ACACTCACTTCATCGGCGAGATGCACGGATTGGGGCATCAGCGGCGTCTCGCATCACCATCACTTTCATTTCAGACGTATATCCTCACGCCGTCATTATGCCTATCGAGCATACTCGAATGCGCGAGAGAGCGCGTTTTTAGATTTCTGTAGTTATTTCTACTCTTTCTCGAGTATCTCTTATCTCAAATTGTCATCTTTCTTTCCTTACATTCATGGTTTTCAAAAGCATGGCCTGGAGTATCTTGCTTCCTACGTCATGACCTGCATTGCGACTCGGCTTCATCAAGCGTTGGATTTCGTGTACTATAATAGAATGACCAGGCTTTGTCAAGCCAATTGCTTTCCTACCAAAATCACTACGCCGTTCTCTCCCCCTTGCGCCGCCCATACGTCGGCAATAGCGACACCGCCAACCTCGAATCGAGGCCTCCCACCCCTCATCCTCACTCGCTTTCCCCAGCCCATCCCACCCAGAGCCCCATAAGCACTGCTCGCTGACCGATCACTCACCACATGACGGCGTGCAGTGCACCAGCCTTACCTATCCGCACACAGCCAAACCACACAGACCCAAACGCTCCGAGAAGTCCCCGTCGTCGCACAGCAGGAAGGCTCAGCATGCATCTGCATCTGGCATCGCCAGTCAGACCCCCGCCCTCGCTTTCCCCATTTCTCACGCCCGTTTATTCCCCAAACAACAAAAATCGATAAAGTCGTGCATACCACAGAGCCTCATTCCTAAAAATAGCCCCCACCACACGCACCGCACCGCACCGTACCGCAACACCCCACGATTCCCGCCGCCCGTCACACAAGATCTCACCCACAGGAAAAAAAAAAAGCCGCTCGGCTACCATGCCTCCAACGCGGCTTAGCAGCGCCCACCCCACCTAAGCCTCCCGTTCGCGCTAATACGCCTTCTATGACGCTAACCCATCTACCACCACAAACCCACATCATCCATCGCTCACACACACGCTTGACTCCGCCCCTCTCACACCGTCCCTCATTCCCATCGTCGCGGATCCAAAAACCTGCCTTGCCTGCTTTTGCTTTGCTGTGCATATGTGGGGGACAGCACAATGAGTAGCGCAAGCCTGCACAAGCAATGCCCTCTCCCCGTCCCTCGACCCTCCTGCGCGTCCCCTACACAGACCCCCTGCCCGCGCCCAAGATAATCCCTGCGAGCGCGGGCACCGCCTCCGGCGCCATCGCGGCGCTCGTCGACTTCCTCTCCCCCGCCGCCAGCAACAGCACCTCCAAGGCGAGATCCTCACTCCGGGCGGCCCGCAGCAGGCACAATAATGGCAAAACGCTGCTGCTCACCGGCGCGGGCATATCGGTGGCTTCGGGGCTTGCGGACTATAGGGGCACGAATGGGACGTATACGCTGAATAGGAGCTATAGACCGATTTACTATAACGAGTTCTGCGCGAGCCATGAGGCGCGGAAGAGGTACTGGGCAAGGAGCTTCCTGGGGTGGACGAATCTCGAGCGCGCGAGGCCGAATAAGGGACACGAGGCTGTTGGGAAACTGGGGGAGCTTGGGATCGTGGGGAGTGTGATTACGCAGAGTACGTTTCTCTCCACCTTTTCTCTTTAACCCGCACAGCCGCGAAGCCGACACAGTCCGAACGGCTATCTCCCCCCAAGCAGCACGAGACGCAAGCAAAGCCCAACCCTAAGCTAACCCTCCCATCAACAAACAGACGTAGACTCCTTCCACCCGCTCTCGCACCCACACCTCCCCACCCTCGAGCTCCACGGCTATCTCCGCAGCCTCGTCTGCCTGACCTGCCGCACGCCGTACCCACGACGCGCCTTCCAAACGCAGCTCTCGCACCTCAACCCCGCCTGGACCGCCTTCCTGCACGAAATGCTCGCCGCGGGCGCGCTCGACACGGAGAACCCGTCGGAGCGGAAGAAGCGCGGCCTGAAGACCAACCCCGACGGCGACGTCGATATCCCGGACGCGCCGTATACCACGTTCCGATACCCCGCGTGCCCCGTGTGTCTGGAGCGGGGGCGCGAGAGGGTAGAAGTGGACAAGGATGGCGCGTGGATAGAGGGCGCCGGCGTGTTGAAGCCGGCTGTGGTTATGTTCGGAGAGTCGATACCGGGAGATGTGAAGATCGCCGCGGAGCAGGCCGTGGACTCTGCGGCTCGGATTCTCGTCGTGGGGAGCAGCTTAGCTACCTATTCAGCGTGGCGGTTAGTGAAGAGGGCGAAGGAGAATCAGGTGCCGATTGGGGTACTCAATATCGGCGGCTGCAGGGGCGAGGAATCTTTCTTCGCTGACATACCCGAGGGGAATACGGGCAGAGAAGCGGTGCGTTGTAGTGAGAGCGCGGATAAGATCTTGCCGCAGGTTGTGACGATATTAGCAGGGATGCAGAGGTAGCCTCGCCTTTGTGACAGCAAATGTACAAGTACTAGATCTATATCAACACAGACTAAGCACGTACTGAGATGAGCGATCCGGATATACATTCATTACTAGTGTCATTAGCAGCACGCGAAAACCGCGTCGCCGCCTCTTCGCGAAACGGAACGAAGCCTACTCCGCGTAAGACTCCTCCTCCTTAACTTTCTATCGTCCCTATCCCAATCCATCCATCACCCATTGCGCCCGTCACCAGGCCGCTTCCCATCCGTACAAAAGACAGCGCGCTGCTTTTCCGCCGCAACGCTTTTTAGTTAACATAATGAAAGGAAGTGTAAAAAAGGCGAAATTGCCGCGCTCCCACCCACTCTTTTCACAGAAATGCGCCACGCCCAATCCCCGTCACTGATGGTAATAAGTCCGCCACTGGAGACAGTAAGAAGCCCGCACCGCACCGAGAATGCATGACACGCCACATGATATGCCTCGTACATTCCTAGCTTTCCCGCCGAAAGAAAGTTGTATAATCCGCCCGAAGCGGTGAGAGAAAACGAGTCCGCCGATGGCGACGTGAATGCTGCGAGACCGAAGATGCGAATATCGAACGAGAGAGGCGAACACCCGTCTTAGAAACATCCGCCGGTAAAACGCCCGAGGGCTGCGCGTGGAACGATTCGATGAGCAACATGCGAAGTAGAAAGTACATTGCTGGAGGCTTTTCGTTGCACCCGTTGCGTCATGCGTTAGAAGGTAGCGTGTCCTAGGAAAAGTTTTAATGGGCATCGAGGCCTGTTGCCTTTGTTTAGGCAAGGAGAGACCGAAGGTTGCTTTTGCATGATTCGCGTCCAAAGTAGGAAATAAGGGTACCGAATCGCTGACGAAGGAAGGAGAGGAAACAAGCTCGCGGCAAGGCTCAATCATCGCTGTTGACGGACTGACCCGGGTCGCTCGTGGGAGGCGTTCGCAGCTGGGAAGAGCTCCCAAAACTCGAAAGCTGCTTCTCGTGATCGTTGTTGCTCCGTGGTCTCCGCTTGAAGAAGCTCTTTAGCTTTCCGGCCCGGCTGGCTCTACCTGGGCTGGTAGCGGTAGGAGAGTTTGCCTCTGAAGTCGAATTGGATAATGTAGGGTCCAGCAGCATCTCCTTCTGCGGGCCCCGCGTTTCAGCGTCCCCATTTCTCAGGTCTCGTGTACGCCGACGAGAGCTCATTTGCCGCCACCACTCGTTTCTTCGTGGGGAATCGCGTGACGCATCCGATCGGGACATGTTGCTGTCGGCACTCAATTTGCTAGTCTCCCATTGTTGCAGCTTGGAGCCGTCCGCATTGCCGTTGGCCGTGTGAGAGAGATCAACCTCGGAGTGACTTTGCGAAGTTGAGTGCGGCATTGGAAAGAGATTGGTGGCTGAATCAAAGTCAGGACCGACGCCTACAGGCCGCGAGGAAAGATAGTAAGAGGGGTCACTCGGGCTTGAACGCTTACCCTGACTACGCCTGGCTGGTGAAGGTGCCGTTACTGGTCGAGCACCTTGCTTTTCCTTTTTTGGGGACGACCTCGTTAAAGTATCCTTCCGGTTTCCTGGTGACTTCGAGCGATTTCTGGAATTTGAATTGTGTTCCGGCCCCGGCGCGTCGGATGCGTTTGGGGTTTGGGTAACAAGAATAGCGGTCAAGCTGGCATCTCCGCTCCCTCGCCTGGACTGACTTTGATTTTCGCGGGATCCAAGAAGCCCAGCAGAAGAGCGTCGTGATCCTTTGTCAACGCCTGAGGATGACCGCCGCGAATTTGACAAGGCACCTTGGAAGGAGCCGCTAGAACCGCGGCGGGCTACGTCCTCCATGCTGGTGACCTGGGTGGGGCTATGGATCGGGCGACCGAGCTGCACAGCCGGCCCATCGGTAGTTAGCCTCGCGGGACCTCCAGAGAATGGACTTGGCGTCGGATCCACGCCAAACGAAGGAGACAGGAGGCCTAACGACAGGTTCGGTTTTCTCCTTTTTTCCCGCTCTTCCTCAATCTTCTTATCCCAAATAGCTTTGTTGGAGAGAATTTCTTCGACGATGTAGCGCATACATGGCAGTATATCGGCGACGGCTTCAAAGAGCGGTCTCGCGAAGATGTTCATGAAGCCAATCTGGGACTCTCCAAGCTTGATGATATCGTCTCGAACAGGGGGGCCGCCAAACAGGCACGAAGGCACCTGCAATTCTTGTTCCATAACACCTTGATTGCTGAATTCGTCAGTCAAGATGTTGGCCCACCGGGCAGCAGTCTCGAACTTTCGCGCCTAGTTTTCATTAACATGAGACTCTTTCAGCGAGCATAACAACGGAACTTACGACGTTGCTGATATCAGCACATTTGATCAGAAGCCCGCATGTTAAGTCCTTGTTCTCTTCACGGACTTTGCCACTCCAGCCATCAACGCCCTTGTCGTGCGCAATCTTCTCCTGCAAGTTGCCCAGATCTGTCATGTACTTGAAATGTAAGCCCATGTCCGTTGCCAGGATACTGTTGATCATCAACTTTCTCATTCCAGAGTCCGAGAATGCTTTAGGCCAGTAGCGTCGCAGAATCTGAGAGTACGCGGCGCAATGGAACGATTCGAGTACGGAGCGGTCGTTATAAAGCTGCGCAAGCGGAGCATTAAGCGCAACGAGGAAGGCGTTGTTGACACCAGGATGACCGACATCGTGTCCGATGGCAGAGATCAAGAGGGTGAGACCATCGAGAGGCTTCAACAACGTCGCTATTGGCGATTTCGGCTTAGCCTCCGGTTTGGTGGTTTCTGCGGGATACGCAGGTAACGTGCCGATCTGTACGAGGAAGTGGAACAGCGCTTGTAGGACGTCGACGACATGGCGGAAATTGTGGTAGAGAACAAACTCATTGTATGCTGTACGGCTTGCAAGGAGGAAGACAATTAGTTCATCTAACGGAACATTCTGTTAGCGCTGGAGAGAATCAATGCCAACAGAGGCTTACCGTCAGGCATGCCCCAATGCTCCAATTCGGGCATCGCAAGAGCGTGCTTGAGAATGAGCAGTGCGCCGTAGAGAAGCTCGTCGTCGGTAAAGTCATGGGCGGAAAATGCCCAGGTACCAATAGCTTTGGCAATGACCTCTCTTCGGTCTTCGGCGACGTAGATGTCCCTAAAATGGTCAGCAGGTAGGAACCTAAGCGTAATCAAAAGACCGTACTTAGAATCTTGCGAATCACCGACTGTCTCTGGATTGCAGATGCCGCTCATCAAAGTCGATACCATGGCTTCGCGCAGGTACGCATACGGCTTTGCATCGTTAACGCCAACCCAAGACAGCTTCCTGTTCCTCTTAGTTGTCAGAAAGCCAGCCTCTTCACGAGCCACCTCTTTATGTACCCGATAAGCATGGACCAGCAAGCCCTGCACACTATCCTTTGACAGCGGACTCGCCAAGACGTCGACAGCGCCGGCATCCAGATAGCGGACCAGGCGAACAGTATCGGTGAGGACTTGCGAACCGTGAACGCTGGGTGACGGGAGAGTGCTCGAAGCCCATTCGCGATCCAGTCCACTTAATATTACGACAGGGACAAGAAGCCTGGAGAAGTTCTTCGATGCGATTTCGGACGAAACATGGGTGAGCAGGTGCATGCCGTAGATGTCGTCGGGCTCGCTTGTATCTATTCGCGCGATTCGTGTGGATGTCGGGGAGGGCGTGCGAGGTTCGCGCGAGAGCCTTTTCAATCTTTGCTCTTCGTCGTAGGGCACGTCTATTAGAATAATGGTGGGTGTATTGCCTTTGGTCGACTCGAGGAGCTGGGATATCTTAGTGAGGCAGGAGCCTCCAGAGCCGCAAATGTGAACTGTTCGCCATGTCAGCGTAGTCGCACGGGAAGACAGAAGCGCGATACTGACCTTCATTGAACGTCGAGAGAATACTCTCCACGTTGGTATGGACCTCTACGGGTGGCGCCTTTCCGAGGCCGAAGTAGCCCTGGTTCACGTTCCCGGTACTCGTCCTCGCGACGAGAGAACTGGACAGCGTCTCCCTCTTGACGTGTTCGTCGTTCGCCCGCCGGTCAATGTATATCACATTGCACGCGCCATGCTCCATCGTCTCCACCTTGGCTGCAGCGACCAGCGGACACTGGTCTCTGCGGTTCGTGGAGCCTCCCACACTACGGGGAGGAAGCGTACGTTGGTCGCAAAATGGGTGTTATCGTCCCAAGGGATTTGGGGGAAAGGGCCGAGGGGGTGACGGAGCTGGGGCACGGGAATCGTGTCGGCGAGCAGCGGCGGCGTCGCGCAGGCAAGAGATCAATTGGAATGTCGACTGCCGAGCAACGGGGCATGCGATGGGCAGTAGAAGCTGCCGAGCCGTGGTCAGCGTGGGGGAGACGAGAGATGGGCACGGGAGCCGCACCCGTTGATCTCAGATCCAACCTGAAACGACTATGTCGAGCTCGTCCCAAGGGAACCCAGCAGAGGCGGAGCGTTGTAGATGCGCACGAGACAGGCGCGCAGAAGACACGACGGCCGCCGGTCCAGTGTTTGCGGAGCGGCGGGAAAGCGCGGGCGCAGAATGCGACGAGGAAGGCGCAGAGGGACGCTGGGGGAAGCTGCGATGGTCTGGTGGCAGTCGGGAAGGCGCGCCCGGGCGGTGCGCAATGCAGCAGGAGCGGTGGTGAAGCGTGCGCCGGAGCTGTTCGCGCTCGGGGCTCGTGCTGGAGGCAGATCGTCTGGCCGCGCACGGGAGAGGCTGCAGAGGGGAGGGCGGAGGGCTCGGGGGACGCAGGGGCTTTGGGGTAAAAGCGTCAGTGTCGCAAGCAGCGCGCTCGCAGAAGTCGCTGCGCTTCGAGCAGCATCGGGGCTCAGCGGGGCCAGCAGCAGGAGAAGCGTGAGGGCGCTGGCGTCGGGCACTATGTTAACCCGGGATCGAGTGTGGGAGGAGAGGTGAGATGGGCTGCCGTGCCATCATTGGCACACGGCGGACTCGACAAGCGGGCCTGCTAGTGCAACCCGCGCCCTCGCTGCAGCTCCCGCGGCAGCACGACCAGATGGAACAATTCTAGAACCCGCTGCCATTGGCTCGACGCCCACATTGCGCGCCTCAGCGCTCAGCTTCGTCGCCCGCAGTGCGTGTTTGACCCGCCGCGAACAGCCTGTCACAGCGGCGGTCCACAGCCAGCCCAGAGTCCGCCCGCGCCCGCTCCTGTCTGCCCTGTCTGCGAACCCAGAGCGCCGTCCGCGCCTTCTTGGCGTGCAGACGGGGAACCCAGGCCGGGCAGGGCTGCTGCGACCATTATCACACCCTCCACTTGTGCGTCGGAGGCGCGACAATTGGAGAGATTCAGGACCTCCAGCGTCATCGCACAAAGCGCTGCGCTTCCCCGCGTGCCCGCCTCCGTCTATCGCCACCTGGATGCTTCTTCGCCGCTTCTCGAAGACTAAGGCGAGACAACCGTCGTCATCCGCCCGCCAAACCCCGTCAGATGCTGTCGATCAACGAACGCTGATCCTCGGTCGCCAGTGCGAGCGGGATCGCAATCTGCTGGCCTCCAGCGAGATGCAGCCTCTTCTTTCTACAAGAGACTACTCCTGTCATCGCTTAAGCTCAAAGCACACATGATATTTTGCGCTTCGCTTCACCAAGCCACCGCGCATCTTTTATATTCCGGCCCTATTCATAGCCCGGCTTTATCACCGGAAGGGCAGGTGCTAGCATCCTCGGTCGCCGCTCGAAGCAGGGCTCCACGTAAGCAAAAAGGTCGCGGCCAACCACCGCAAAAGACCCGCCGTTTTTGAGCTTCCCTTCAATTGGAAAGTGTGTTGATTATGGACGGGAAGGAGAGCATGGACGCAAGTCTTAAGGGGTCAAGGGTGTTGGACCCTTGGTGTGGCGACTCTCATCTGTGTCTGCACCCCAATCACATTTCCCCCCGCATCCCAGCTACACATTTCGCAATTCATCTGCGATAACGCATTTCGACAAGGCTGTTGATCGTCCGTCGTGGTCAGCTGCCTTCCTACCTCGCTACCCGGCTAGGAAATGAAGCGCAGCGCGTCCATCAATTCCGGCGCCCTCCCTCTATTCGTCGGCTGGCCCCTCGTCCCGCTGCCTGCAAGACAAAATCCCGAAAACAGATCTTTCCACTAAGGCCGGCATTCTTCCAGCGAACAAGATGTTTCATGCATCCGCACTCGTCCAATCAACATTCCTAGGTTCTGTCATCAACCGCGGCTTTTTGGGAACTTCCGCTTGAACAGGTGACCGCAAGATTCTGTCTATTATGCCTCCCATATTGCGCTATCCGGGCTTTTGGGACGGCGTCAACCACTGCAAGTGCGCGAAACTCCTCGGGCCGAATTTGAAACATGGAGGAGGCGGGAAAGGCTCTTCCAGGAATGTAAGAATGCAATCATTTATCCGCTCCGGTGACCGTTTCGAGGTATGGACGCAGTACCTAGGTACCTATGGCCTTGGTGTACACATTAATAAGATGTGCTTGAGAGTACAGGAATGGACTACAACTACCTATTTGTAATGCGAGAGGCACTGACCCTCTAATACAACACCGCTACTTCGTGGAGACCACAAACATCCAGCGTAAGTAGTATATTCATTGGATAGTCCCGCGTATCTCTAGTCGTTAAGCTCCGAGAATGTCTCATAGAGCAAAGGTACGACCATGTAGGCCCCCTTAGAAACCTGTCATGAATAGAACGATGAGTCCTCAGCCTATCTCCGTCATAGAAACAGGCCACCAAAGAAATCCACATTAGGGTCCTCCGTAGGATCGAGGTGCGGCTTCAGCCCATCGGCTCCATGCCGGTTGCTGATCGTCCCATGTCTCGTACTGAAGAACATATGGGTACCACGTACCACATCCACCTGCACTCCGGGTAACACTCTCGAGGCAAAGGCCTGTAGGCTTTCACCTAACCCCTGCTCAAACCCCCGCTCATCCACTCCACGAAAGATCAATCGAGCCAATTTCGGCCAGCCGGCCCCGTCATCAAAAACAGATCTGACGACATGCTGCCAGAAAAGAGTATTCTCCAGACATTCGGGGTCGAAGAAGACATGGTCATGAGGCGATAGCTCGTACTCAGGGTCTAGGATGTATTCCAGCATCACTGGGCGCTGTTCGAGCACGACTTCGACGACAGTTGAGCGGACGGACTTAAGCAGGACTGCCCAATGCTTCAGCTCATGGATTTCGTAACTCTCGTCCTCACGGTACTCCAGGTCCTCCGGCTCAGACATTTCCGGGATAGGGTCGTAGTGGCCCCGCTTGCAGAGAAGCAAGTGGGTCACCGATGGAAGCAGAGGAGCAGAGTCCAGCGGAAACCATAAGACACCCCGAGGCGCCGCGAACAGTGGGTACCCTAATTCCTCCTGTAGCTCCATGTCCTCCAGGTCGCCCTCCCAGACATTTGGCTCTTCGATCATTCCGAGGTCCAGGCTGACGATGCTTTTAGCTGAGGCCTTGCAGACCATAGAGACGAAATTGGACGGAATATATCCTCGCAGCCTCACGTTCCGAATCTTGCTTGCAGAGGGCTGTCGGAGGGCTGCGGCTTTCGGTGGGCCCTTCCATTGGAAATGCGAGTCGAGGCTATACTCTCCGATAACTTCCACGGCTCCAAGGGTTGGAAGAGAAAGGATTGCGTTCCAGATCGAACCTGGTGTTTTGTGGCCGACGGTCAAACACAAGTGGCGCACCCACCCTGAGAGCCTCATCCAAGCGTGGGACTTGCCCGCCGTGCGATACAGCGTTCTGATTGCGGTACCGAATTTAGCGTTGCGACGATCAAATTCAGGGTCGTCGCCGTTGAATGACCTGTACGACCAAGATCCGCGAAGCACATCGTCCAGATACATTCGTGGAATGGTTTGCTGTATGGTCAAGCCGAACCCTCCATGGTGAGCGTCTTTGCGGTGAAGTTCGATGCTCCGCCAGAGCGTGGATTGGGCGAACTCGCGAAACTGCTTAGATACTCGGGCGAAGCGCGTGAGATCGTGGGGTCGCAAATGGCTTGTGATCTCGTTAATCAGCTCTGCCGGCAGCGTTTGGATGGAAGCCATGCCGATGTGAGGTACGACAGGCGGGGCGTGAAGACGACGGCGTTGGAAGGACTAGAGTCAACGGATCAGTGGGAGATGAATGCAGCCTGGAGTTAGAACTCTCTAGGCAAAAGGGTGACGTAATGGTTATTGATGAGATAGAAGTGGAAGGGGCAAGGTACGGTGGGCGCTCTTTCCATAAAGGTAAGACCTCAGCACTCCTGCATGACCTCAACACCCGAAGTAGACGATACCGCGGGCAATATTCTTGAGACCGTCCTACACTTCCCAAGTTACGGCTTTTACCACACGGGTCATTGTATCCCCCTCAGGATGATGTTTAAAACTCTGCCCTTCCAACTTCGTGGGACCATCCCACCTCCACTCCTTCACGTACTCCTCTGGACGCACGATACGCAGAAATTTGCCGCCTTTCCGGGGCCAGCGATAAGCCTCCTCGTTCTCGAAGATACTGCGCAATAGCGCTCTAAGTTTTTGCTCCTCAGCTTCGATCACTTCAAACTCCACCACGATCTTGTCCACGCTGGACGGAAGCTCATGAGCTTGTACCTCCTCGCTGTTGAACCAAACAGGATAAGCTTGCTTCCACCACATCCAGTCTGTGTAGCGGATGGTCAAGATCACGGTAGATGGTGACAGCATGCCTCGGCTGAAAAAATCTTCAAGGAAGTAGCCTTGTTGCAGGAAGATCTGAATCGTGTGTAAGGCGTTCCAGTGTATATCGAGAAACCTTCGCGCTCGAAAAGTTTGGAAAGGGCCGGTACCTTTGCACTCTGTCCGAGCTTTGTCAGTCATGAAATCTTCCTGCATCGATTGTACCAACCTGGCGGTCTTGCGTTTTTGTCCGCGAGGAAGAACGCCATTGGCGTGTCTGACAAGGCTTTCAGAGGCACCGCGCGGGTCTCCAGCCAGACGCGCTTGCACGTGCGCAGCAAGGCTACGTCGACTCTTCGCGGGCCACGGAAACCGGGACGCCAGTAGTGCGTATCTCGATCGTAAGGTCTCGACATATCTTCGTATTCCGCAAGCGCGAGTGAAAAGATCTGATTCCGGATTTCGGCCGGGACACGCTGGAAGAGAGGGCATAGCTCTTGTGCGTCGTGGTGTCGTTCGGCTCTGATCCACAACGCATCCAGGTCTTCTTGGAGATCTCGTGCCATTGCTTCTTTGGTGATAATTGTCTTCGATTGAGAAGTCGTCTCGGCCCCGTGCGATGCGAAAGTACACCTGGAGATGGTAAGAATCAGGCACCCGCGCTGGCGATGAGGGAGGTGGGGTAAAGGATGCGTCGCACACTTGGCGCATGGCAAGCTGTTTATATTTCCATCCCGTAGAAATATTATTTCATCGTCTTCTCATTTTCTTCAAGCTTCGACGGGAAACATAACTTATTGTCACTCATTACCGCAACTGCGTGCTTTGATACCATGGAAAGTATGATTTTGCAGGCAAATTTCCGTGAGCGGGCCGAACTATACCAGCAAGGCAATGTTGAGTCTTAAGTAATTGGAGAAAGTCCGTTTTCTGCTCGTATTTGAGGAGCTGCTGCCCCAAGCCTCCCCAGGTCCCCAAAATAGTAGAGCCGCCAAGACGCAGAGTCGACGATCGATCTTGTAGAGCCATGGTGTGGATCAGTAGGTGCGACGAAACAGACACGGTTTCATGATGGATCCGAACTGCACCGGCGAAGATTAGATAATACTGTAATGTGTTCACCTGCGATTTCCTTCTTCGGTTTAGCGCTCCTGATCGGGGAAACCTTACCTCCGCGTATTCAAAGTTCTTCTGACACCCAGCTTAAATAGCCCCCTCAGCGTCGATGCGAAGAGGCAAGTGCGCATAAGCCCAACACAACCCCCAAGCTCGATTTCACTTTCTGTCTGCGTGCTAATGAGACTTTTTCCCCACAGCCATCGCCCTCTTTGGCTCCCTGAAGACTGAAGATTGAGTCTACTTCATCCGTTCGCTCGTCTACGTCAATCAACCTTAGATGGGCGCGTCGGAACCCTATACCAGTACGAGTTCATGCTCGTGGAATCCAAGAAGCTGGGAGAAGCTTGGGGACCCACAGAAGATCATCTCCACGATCATCTCGAAGGAAACGGGGCGACTCCAAGAATTGCTACGGAATGATTCAGGTTGGGTCCAATTTTAGCAGGGTTGGGGGACGGATGCACCTCATCAACGATGCCAACAATGTTGTAGCCTGGGGTCGACACATCAAGGATAACCCCATGCCGTTCGTGTAGACTAGCAGGTGGGTCGTCAATGGGTGTGACGGATATCGTACAGCTAGGATGATCGTCGGATGGAGATCTTTCGGGTTTTCTAGATATCCGTGATTGGTGGAATCTGAAACATGTACTGGCCATCCTGCCTGATATATAGGGAGTACGACTCACGATCCATCGATAGTTAATGCAATCGTCAAGCTTCCTACTGTGCGATAGATTGATTAATACCTCACAATAAGCGTTTCGAACACGTTTACTTGTATGCTATACCACTAGGGTAGTCACCGAACCAAATATGCGACTCTACAGGAGTCCAAGGCGTTCTAGACCGACGGCCTTCTTCCCTTTTAATATTTCGGGTGCCGCACTTCCATGTAAAAATTGACCCAGCGTCAAGTAGGCAGCCAACCCTGGCGCTCTCAATTGGTCCCGCTGATACCTTGTCAAAGATCGCATCCTGCAGCTCAACGGGGAGCTTGCGAAGAGGAGCTGTGGGGGGGCTGGTCTGCGTGGCTTGGAGAAGGAGCTCGATGGCTTCGTCAGAAGGAGGATGCGTCCCATCGAATAGACGCATAGGTTCTGTGTATTTTTTGAGCTCGCTGTTTATCTGATATAGGATAACCTCCCGCACCGAGAGTATGAGGTAAGTGAGACTTTCGTCTGCCGAACTAGGAGTGGACTGAATCTGCTTCGCGAAATCCTTTCGGACCAGCGTGACGGCGTGCGGAGCATGCTGGCATATAACGATGGACGTCCTACCAACCCTGACGATGTCTCCACTTGCAAAGCCCCACTCTGGGAGGTTGTCTATCCAGACTAGAAAGCCGCCAGTGCCCTGGCGTGAGAGCGTTGCTTCTTTAACGGTAAAGTTCAGGGTAACAACCCTAACGATAGCATAGGCAAGCCTTTGAAACGTAGAGTGGTTGTAACGACCACAGAGGACGTGCCTCCACTAGAACGCAAAGTCGGCGAGTATCCTAGAGACGAAAGCCTTGCGCCGTTGTAGGCGCTACAAGTCGATCTCCTTGCGTCTCATTTTCCAGCACGGCGCTGGGTAGACGGATTGTATGGCGTGTTTGGTGAGTGTTGGCGGCGGTTCGTAAGGCTCGAAATCGGAGATGGTTATGGAACGCTGGCGAACGAGGTTGAGAGGAACCCAAAGGTTGCGATCTCTCTTGTCCAATCGCAGAATATCGCCATCAAGGTCAAAGGTCCAGACCGCTCCAACGTGAGTCCATCAGCGGTCGTTAAAGGGTGTAACGACGTCATCGTGCTAATGCCAGTCTCGGGCAACACGCGAGTACAAAACATCAAAGGTGGATTCTACGTCCATGAGCGCTTTTTCGCCGTCCATGCCAGGCAATAATAGTACTACGCACCTCTTGCTACGCCCACAAGCATGCTTGAATACAATTGCAGCATGGTGCCGTCTTCGGCAGAACGATGTGCAGCAAAATAGACAGTCCCTAGTATTTCGTGAGAACTACAGGTCGTTTATAACTGTATTATAATAGCAACGTACCCTGCAAGCTAAGGTTGATATACGCTGCCATGGCGAGCCGTGGACGGAGGCGAAAACAGGAACGGTTAAGCTGGGCGTAGGGGGCGACGACAAAATTCGGCGCAGGAGCGGCGAGTGTAAGTGCAAGTATAATATATTTCACTCAGAGTCTGACAGGAGCACAGAGATCAAGCTCTGCAAAAGTCATACGGGGTGGGAAGCTTCCGGGAATCAACCAAGGACTGTACCTTGAATAGGCTAAGCCTGGCGGGAAATGCCAAGTAGCTAGGCTAGTCGGATCGGACCGCAAATCGCCTGACTAATCAGAAAGCTAAGCAGATCCTCCCCGCTATTGAATTAAAATCGTATCTTGTTGCGTGCCTCTAACCAGTCTGCCTCCTACCACGTGTGCCTACCCCGCTTCGCCGCCATCTAGTCTTCACAAACCACTCTACCTCCACTTCCACATCCAACTTCCACGTCTGCTTTCTCCGCTTCGCCCCTCCCCACGCCTTCACTGTCCTCCGGTCTCGCTCCGCTTCATCGCCCTTTACCGCCGTTACACACTCTTCCCTTTAACGGTGCGCCACTAGAACTATAGGCCTAGCTATTTCTATACATCTATTTAAACCATTCTTCTTAGATGGACTAGGATAAGCGGGCGGAGCTTGCACATAAGGAGCTGTCCGTCGGATAGTTTAGCAAGTTTCGTGAGCAAAAGTCCCATATAGCCGACTAGGTGTCTTCTTATCAAGATGGCCAATCGAGCAGAATTATCAACGACCACTGTGGCTCCTTTAATTGGAGCTACCGTCTGCGTTTTGAGGATAATATGGAATAGTTAGTTCGGTTTCCCGTTCCTGGAAGAGTTATAGACTGTGATGAGAAGCTACGTCAAGAGGTCGCCGTAATGCGCTTGGTCAGGGAAAAAACTAAAATTCCGGTGCCCACAGTTCATGCCTGGGGTCTGTTAAACGATTTAGGATTAGGGCCTTTTATTATAATGGATTACATCCGTGATGGAGAGTCACTTGGTAATCTTTGGCAGAAAGCGCCTGAGAAACGAACACTACGAACCAACATCAGTAAACGCGACCTGCGTATTGTGTTTCACTAGATAGCAGAGTTTTACCTTGAACTTTCAGCATTAGAGTTTCCTAATATCGGGTCTCTATCAATCCGGGACGACTAGAGTATTCACGCGGATCTGAGCCTAATAACTCTAAGGATGCAAGAAATAGAGGCACATTCGGGAGTAAAAGTTGGAGGTATTGTAAGTCCTAGCCTTATTTACATAGCGAAACTAATTGTAATAAGGCCACCGCTTAGTAACGTTTTCTCTGCGAGGGAATACTTTAACAACATTGCTAAGCAAGACATAGAGCAACTGCACGAGCAACCCAACTTAATTAACGACGAGGATAACGCCCGAGCCAAATACAATTTCCGTCACTAATTCAACACCGTCCTTCTACGTTTCGTCACTAACGACAAGTACAATCAGACCGGCTTTAGACTTATATGCGATAATTTCCGCTACGGGAATATGATTGTTAACAACGCGAGCGATCTTAAGATAATTGCGGTAATAGACTGGGAGTGGGCATATACTGCGCCGTACCAAATGTTTAGCTCAGCGCCGCGATAGCTTCTAATTACGAAACCAATCCTCTGGGAAGCGCCTGATAGCTTACAATTTCAGCGATACATGGCTTGCCTAAAGCTTTTTCTCAGCGAGCTGGAACTCGAGGAGAGCAGAAGAACTAAGGGCCATAATAGGCTTTCCAACCTCATGCGGAAGTCTCTGAGCGACGGCAGGTTCTGGTTTCACGAACTAGTATATAGCGGTTTCACGGCTGCTGACAACCCAGCATGGAAAGCTATTTGCGAGATGCTCCCGGATATCAGTGACCTGGCGTCTTCCCCCCGGCCCGAGCTTGTACGAGAATCTATTATTTACAACGGCTAGAATGCCTAGATATTGTATAACTTGCTTGTCGTTATCGTTAGGTTTTGGAGAGAGATGTAGAAGCTGCTCGAACCAGACACTGTCTGTGTAAAGCAGGTCCTGGAAAGTGTAGATCTTAAAGATATTAGGAAAGAATCCGGCAAAAACCCAGTCTACGAAACAGACGAAGGAATTTGGGAATAACAAGATGTTTTGTCTGACAAGGTCCATATAATGCATACTAAGTTGCTGGTGCCATGCCAGGGATATACGAGGTTGCTTGACAACGTCAAGTCTCTTGTTTATCCACTCTAATATGTCTTTGATAAATTCCAAACTTTGTCCGGTTCCATTGTCTGACCACAGGTAGCCGTATGCGGATCCGCCGCCAACCAGTCCAGGCCCTTGATCTGGGGGGATGGGAATTATAGCGAGGTGTTGAATCGCCTCTATCGTGCGCTCCGCAAGATGTGGATTCTCGACCACATTTAGCGTATCCAAGTTGATTCTAAGCACATACTCTATAACAATGAAGCCCATGTCAAATCTAAATAGAGTGGCTCTGAAGAAGCGAAACACTTGTGGAATATACAAGACTGTACTGTCCACATAGCGACGCGCGTAGCTTTGGTTCGCAGCTTCTTGTTTTCGAACACCAAGTCCAAATTTCACAGCCACGTTGTCTGAAATTTTAACTAGTTAGTTTCCGTGCGGGCATCCAGCGAAAGGGGCGGTAATCATGCATAACTCCACGATCTCATGGTCGGGTAAAAGTGCTTCATGAGAAGTTGTCATTGTATTGCGTAAAGCACTAGCCTTCGTGCGGTTGGAAACAGGATTTGCCGTCAGGCCTCAGACGCAGCGAGCTCGCAAGCAGAAGTGATCGCTGAATTATTCGCAGAAACCAAGCTGTGGTTGAGGAGCGAAGGGCACCAGTGGTGATAGCGAAGCGGATTCTCCTTGGCTACCAATGGGAAAATTCACACGGGTATATCCACAGAGCAGTACGTTTGCGCGGAGGAGGACGGCGCGGGTTAGAGAACGTGGTAGGCAGCGCGGAGAGGGCAGGCTGTCAATAAAGTGGCGCTTTGGTGGCAGGCTCGTTAGATGCGTCGATCGGCGGCGGCGGAGGTCGCTGTCTGTAGAAGGATCCTTCTATTGCGGCGCGAGCAGTGGGAGGAGGATGGAAATCTCTGATGCGAGGAGAGCTGTGACGGACTTGGCGTACAATTCACTAACCTCTTCAAGAATAGTCTGCTGATGAGTCACCATGTGTTCGAGCTGTCTGGACACCACCCTAGGGAACGGGGAGGGCAGTGGCAACGGCACAAATTTTAAGCGCGCAGATGCGGGTATAGTGCGACAATTCGTGAAATGAAAGGGGCAGGAACGAGTATGTGAAGTCAAAGAATGCAAGAAGAGTTTCTATTGATGCTGCAGCGTAACGCGTTGGGGCCGGCGAGATTAGACAAAAGGCAACACCACGCCCAGACAGGAGGGCGCCTAAGCCCGAAGCGGAACCGGTGCCAACCCACAACTCAATGTGGGAGCCACCTCTGAGCCATTCCCGTATCTATTATTGTCGCGCGAGTGCATGCGTGATATCATTCACGAAGTCGCACAACGGCGTTCAACAAGCGATTCGCCAGCACGCTCTGGACAACGCCACCATTTCCTCAGTGCGTGAACCGTCAGCCGTGGATCTTGATGTCGAAAATGCCTATACCAATGACCTTTTTATGCTGCCCAAAACGATCTCCTGTTATGATGGATAGCGAGCTAGAGGTGGCTCTGCGTGGGCCGGGGCCGGGGATGGTGGCTTCGTACCCCCGAACGCATCCATCCCCGCGTTTCCCCGTCTTCTCGGGGAATTGCCGAACTGCACCGGCGAAGATTAATGATATCCCCGATGTGCATGCTGAGGATCGGGCGGCACTGCGTGTTGCATACGCGGCCGGTTACGTTCACGCCCGTACCGACAGGACATGTTGAGCTTGGAAAGGCTATCTTGAGTCGCTCTGCCTCTGCTCCAGACCGGCAGCAGAGCTCGTTTTCTTTCGAGAATCCCCTTTTGCTAACTTTGCGCCTCACCTTGCTGCTACTGCGAGCCATTATGGCCGGACACTACAGTCCTGCGTTCCGCGTGAAGCAGAACGGTCTTGCCAACACCTTCCAGAACGGAATAGGCGATAACTTGCCTGTCGTCACCAGAACCTTCCAAGGTCCCAGTGTCTCAGGCTTCATGAGGCCAGTGCGCTTCGAGGGCGAAATCAACAACCTGGAAGTCATTGGAGAGATCCCTAAGGAGATCGATGGCACCTTTTATCGGGTGATGCCTGAGCCGCAATTCCCCGCCTTCATCCCGAACGACCCGGTAGGCTACCTCCTACGAAGACGCACCTGCAAATAGTAGCTGATGCTGTGCGGCGCAGTGGTTCAACGGAGACGGCAACGTCAGCGCCTTCAGGGTCAAGGACGGTCATATCGACTTCAAGCAGCGATATGTGAAGACGGAAAAGTTTGTCCGGGAAGCCAAAGCACGGAGAGCGCTGTTGGGTGAGGAGAACGCGAAAAAAATGTGAGGACTATCGGTATGCTGATGTGTCCTGGGCAGGCAAGTATCGGAACAAGTACACCGACGCCGTCGCGTTCATAGTTCGCTCTACCGCGAATACGAACGTTGTCTACTGGAACGGAAAGCTGCTCGCGCTAAAGGAGGACTCCCCTCCGTACGCGCTCGATCCCGACACACTGGAGACGCTCGGGCTGTACGATTTCGATGGCCAGCTTCCCAGCCTGACCTTCACAGCTCATCCCAAATTCGACCCGGAGACGCGAGAAATGATCTGCTTCGGGTATGAGGCGAAGGGAGAGGGGACACTGGACGTTTGCTACTATACATTCGATGCCCATGAGAGACTGACTGAGTTAACCTGGATGATTGCTCCTGTCTGCGGCATGATCCACGACTTCGGCGTGACGAAGAACTATGCGAGTTCTCCCACCCCAGCCGCCTAGAGTCCATGGATGCAGTTCACTGACGGTCTCGCTTAGGTTATCTTCCCAATGATCCCGCAGAATTGCGACGTGGAGAGGATGAAAGCTGGAGGGGAGCACTGGCAGTGGAACAACGACATTCCAGTGTATATCGGCGTCTTGCCGAGACATGGTGCCAAAGGCAGCGACGTCAAGGTTAGACCAGCCGTAATGCAGGTCCAGCGACGACATGTGCTAAGATTCACAGTGGTTCGAAGCACCACATGGGTTCGCAGGCCACGTTGCCAACGCGTACGAGAACGAAGCCGGGCATATTGTCTTGGAGATGGCGTATTCCAAGGACAACGTCTTCTTCTGGTGGCCGGATAAGGACGGCAAAAGCCCACAGCCGGGGCAGGCCCAGTGTGACCTGGTGAAGTGGATCATAGACTACAGCAGCAGCAAGTTAGTCTTGTCCGAACCTGAGATGCTCATCAACGACGACATGGAGTTTCCCCGCGTCGACGAACGAATCGCGTTTGAGAAGCACTCGCACACCTTCTTCTGCGTCATGGACCATAAGGCCGGCACGGACATGGCCTTCATCGGGCCGGTCCTGGGAGGTGAGTGTAGGGGTGGGTTGGATGGCGAGCGGTTGCTGACACGGCGGTTGCAGGCGGGCATCCTCTATTCAACGGTCTCGGCCACTACAACGCTAAGACGAACAAGTACACCAACTTCTTCGCGGGGCCGCGGAAGCTGACGCAGGAAGGCGTGTTCATCCCGCGCTGTGCGACGGCGGAGGAGGGCGACGGTTACTTCATGGCGCTGGTCAACGATTACGAGAGCATGAACAGCGAGCTGGTGATACTAGACACGCGCAACTTCTCACAGCCGGTTGCGCTCGTCAAGCTACCAGTCCGACTGCGCCAGGGCTTGCATGGGAACTGGGTGGGCGCGGCTGACGCCGACGGCCATCCGTCAAAGATGTAGCTGGGCCATGGGGGGATGGGGGAGATTCGGAGAATATGTGTAGCTACGCTGTCTCGCAAGCACGACCATGCAAGTTTCAGTTGTCACCGATCCCGCGCTCGGTCCGATGCAGAGCACGTGATGCCACTCCACGTTCCGGCCCAGCTGCCGCGCCAATGTGGCTGCTTGCCATTGCGGGGACGGAGCGGGGTTTAGGTGGAGACGGCCATTTAATAATAGGCCATGCGTCGGGCGCGCACTGCTATGACCACGTGCACAAGCAACTAGACCACATTTTTGAATCGCGAGAACTCCAACTCCATCAGCTGCATCCCGACACCCCCATCCATCGCACCATGTCAGAGCCACGCCACTCGCACGACGGCTTCGAGAACAATGGCCAGATCAACATGCGGAAACGAAGGCGCACGGCCGTCGCATGCAAGAACTGCAGCGCCCGGAAATCAAGAGTACCCTTTCACTCGCCCGTTGGACCCCTCGGCTGGATGCTTACCGTGCACCATAGTGCGACGGCGGGCAGCCGAAGTGCTCGACCTGCACCGATACGAATGCTGATTGCGTCTATCCGCGTCCGGCGCGAGCTTCCCAGTCGCGCCCAGCAATGTACCATGCCACAACCGCACGCACCATCTTGGTTGGGCGCTGACCGGTGGCTCTAGATCCGATGTCGAGTTGCACTCCCGGCTGGAAACCATGGAAGAGAGTCTGAAGCAGCTTCAAGGAATGCTGCCAAACTTAGGAAGAATGGTCCCTCCGTGCGAGCCCCGTGCCTCTTCCGCCTCAGACGTGGCAAGCACAAGTCACCATACCACGGAAAGCAGCCATACATCAGCAAGTCCAGCCGAGGACCCTGTCGATGGAATGGGTATCATGCTCGCGGACGATAATTACGACAACGCAGACGAGGGCTATTTTGGTAAGTCCCCTCCACCACCCCTCCGTCTCGTCATGCACTCATACGAGGACGTGGAGGCGTTTCGTCCAACATCGCGCTCCTGAGGAGAATCACTCATACCTGTGTCCACGCCCGAACCCTGAACTCAACGAGCCCGGCTTCGTTGAGGAATGTGGGTTTCGATCACCAGCAGAGGCCGCCATCGCGTCCGCCGCGAAGACTTTCCGGAGTCGTCTCGCACCAGCCTGCTGAGTGCAGGCCTGAAGGTTCCTTGAACGTCCACCACCTACCGAGTCTCGGCGAAGGCATAGCTCTCATCCGTCAGTTCTTCGGTACCGTGGGGTTGATGATTCCCTGTTTCCATGAACCGCAGTTTGTGGAATTGTTTCAGCAAGCTTCGTTGAATGGAGCGAGCACTGTAAGCAAGACAATGCTGGCAATTCTCAACGTCATGTTTGCCTTTGGGAACGCCGTAGCAACTACCTCATCGCCACCCTACGAGTCTGCCCTTGCAGAAGAATCCGACATCTGCTACAGCCGGGCTATAGCCTTGATGGGAAATGCTTTTGATCCTTCAAGTCTCGAAACCGGTAGCTATGCTATTCATTGTTGTCGTCTAGTTTTCCGCTAACATACCCTAGTCCAATTGTCACTCATCCTATCCACCTACTTAATGGGCACTCAGCGGTCTGTCAAATCTTGGAGTTTCCACGCCCTCTCTGTGGGTGGTGCCATCAAGCTCGGTCTCAATTCGTGCAACGCAGGAAAGTCGCTTTCGCTGCTTGCACGGGAAATGCGGAAACGAGTTTGGTTTTGGTGCGTCACAAATGATCGGTATGTAGTCAGTTGTCCGATTCCTTCCTTACCACCCCGCAGCTCACCGTGTGTGGAAGATTTCTCAGTATGTTGTTCGGTCGTTCCCCATTAATACATCCATCTCTCGTGAGCATGCAATTGCCAGTCGATATCAGCGCAGAATATCCTTCCAGCACTGTATCCAGCCCAGTCATGCGGTCCATAGTAGATCATTATAGCGCCATCATGTAAGTGCCATGCTCCGGCTCTGAGGCCAAATAAAGCTCACTCAGGATAGAGAAGTCTCTGCTCTGATGGGTGAAGTAGTGGAAAAGCTATACAACCAAAATCTAGTGTTGGAACTGGCGATCAGTACCGAGAAGTTGCTTGCATCCAGGCTCGACTTGATCTGGAGACTTGGGGACTGGCGCAACGCCCTACCTCAGGCATTGAAACCCATTACCTCTCACGACATAAGTTGGAGAAGTGCGAACCCTGCCATCGATGATCTGCGTCTCCGAATTTTCCTAACGTTACGTTATAAATGCGTTCAAGTCCTGGTCAACCGAGCCGTTCTGTTCAAATACCTGGACTACCAGCCCGAATCCGACGTGGACAGTAGAGAACTTCATCTGCTGCAAACTTCAGGCCAATGCAGCTTACAAGCTTGCCAGGAGGACTGCAGAGAGCTGATCAAACTTGTAGCAGCACTACTTAACCCCGCCAAAGAGTTTGAAGATATCACGTTGTTTGGCGCCTGGTACTTCAGCAGTTACCATGGTAAGCTCCACTGCCTTAATACAAAGAAGCTAGACTGATCACTACCAGTCTTCAACGCTGCCCTGGCGCTGCTTGGAATCCTGCTCGTCTGTAGAACTGCCAATTTTAGCGATTTGCTCATTCAGCGCGAGGCGATGGAAATTAGGAAATCCCTGTACGAAGCATCCGAAGTCCTAGGCAGTCTCCACAACGGCAATCCTATGATTTTGCGATGTGCCGAGTGTCTCCCAAGGTTGATTCGGATGTATGAATCTACTGGTAAGCCCCTAGTTCTACGCGCCATGAATCCTTTCGGCTAAGGAAATCAGATAGCACGAACTCCGGCACGGCCATCCTAGCAAATTCACTCCAACATTACATGCAAGACCAGACGACGAACAGCGTCCTTGCGCCAGTTCAGGACTTTCGGCGACCCGACTTCAACATCGACCTAGGACTAAGCTCCGACGGGCTAGGCATGAATTCAGACTTTGACTTTATAAACGACTTCTATCAGGCGATGCCTCAATAGCGACATAATATATACGTCACAACACGCTTGTCAGCTTCCGCTTTGACCAAATACCGGACTTCCCTTGCGATAAGATCCCATTTGGGTCCATATGGTGTTTCAAATCGGTCACGAAGCGCCTCAAGGCCGAATCCTCGAAGGTAAAGGCGTCAGCGACATGATCCATGAAGTCGATGTGTGTCCGGTACTCGGTCGTGTTGCCGTTGTCCCTCGCATCCTTCAGGAGCTTCTCGAAGACCTCTTTCGCCCTAGGTCCCTCTGTTGGTCCATACACGATACAGATGATTCCGTTGATGTATCGGCCCATGACGTGGAAATCGGAAAAAAAGTCTAGTTTGGCCTCCTTGATGGAATCCCTCGCTTTGATATACCACGCGCTCAACTCTTTCCCACCGGCGGGAAATAACGGTGAAAAATCCACGTGTCCGCCGCCGTAGCCACGGACGTTGACCATGCCGATTGGCGTCATGCGTGGCATGCCGTTGTGGGGAATTTCTCCCTCGGGTGTATCTGTCATGCGCAACTTTGCGCCGTCCTTTCCAGAGTACTCTGAGCATGTGCAGACGGCGCCTGAGACACCAGCAAAGGCCTTTTGCACCAAGTCCCAATTCGCGTGCGCAAGCGTACCAGACTGCGCGTAGATGGCAAAGTAACCTTTCCAGAATCCCCAGCCTTGCTCCTTCTGGAGCGCGGCGAGGGCGGTATTGTCAGCGGATTCACCCTTCTTCATTCCAGGGCCGATGGCCACTTCGTGGATTTTCGGGTCGGGGTGCATCATGGCTTGTCGCCACAGATTTGCAACCGAGGTATGGTTCTGGATTACATTGTCGCGCTCTAGACGAGCGATCTTGGAGACGAGGACTTCGAGGTCGCCTTCGTTTGGTACGCTGACGCTGCAGTCCAAAAAGTGTGTTGGAGCTGGCATAAGATGGATTCCAATCTTGGTAACGATGCCTGAAGCCTCGTTAGTGCTAACTGCATTGAGGTATCGTGGATGCTCAATGGAAGGCCCTACCAAGATTGGACTGATAGAAGAGTCCGTCGACACTCGGCCCGTAGCCACCCTTGTACAAAGGAAACATCGGACTATCTTTCTGCGCTCCCATTCCGGTCCGCAGGAGTTCACCGTTTGGTAGAACGACTTCCATGCCGCACTGATGCAGGGCATGTTCGCCGTAGGGCGTATAACCAAACCCACGCTCAGTGGTATTGCCCAGGACGGAACCCCACCCAAGTGCTGGTACCGAAGGCCAGACGTCGTAACCTTTCTCGACGATGTGGTTGTATAGGTCGAAGAAGGAGACGCCCGGCTCAACGATGGCGTATGCATATTCCTCGTTGACTTCTACGATCTTATTCATACGGTGAAGATCAAGCACAACGGTGCCACGCACAATTGGCGCAGAGCCTCCATACCTATCTACAGTTAGTCCGTCGCCGCAATTAGAATGGTGAGGCAAGGTGATGCTCACGCTAGGTTTTTGCCTCTGGAGATTGTCCACAGAGGCAGCTTGTACCGATTCGCTATCTTGAGGATCTTCTGCAGCTCCGGGACTGTTTGGGGTCGAATGGCCGCACTGGGGGCGTGTTGGTCTTCTTCGGCCATAGGCCATATGTCTCCGTAGAACTTCTGGCCCTGGGCGCCTTCTAGAGCGCCGTCCCGCCCGTCGATCGAGACGTTTTCTTTCCCGACAACCTCCACCATCGCATTGAGTGTGGCATTAAAGGTCCGCTCGTCGAAGCCTGCGGGAAGGACTCGCGGTTGGACTTGGGGCGTTACAGAACTCATGCTCGTCGGCTTGTACAAAGACGATGATGATAACGAGATAGCTTTGGACAAGGAAGTTCCAGAAGTGTTGGTGCATCTGTCTTACAAGAAAGCAGGTATCGGGCAGACAAATATATGGGCACACGCACCGCCACACCAATGCAGCAGCAGCACGGTGCTAGTGGAGATGGAAGAACGTCATACGTCCGATCAAACGAGCCGCGCGGGCAAAGCGGGTAATGCATCTTCGCGGACCGGCGCCTCGATACCCCAGAGTCTGCGCCTAGAACTGCTCGTACGATTCTCCGGGGGGAGTTAAGCGGGACGGCAGCTGGGACGCCCGGTACGCACACGCGGGGCCCACGTGATGCGCTATTTCTGATACTTCCATCCTCTACATCCCCGCCTATTACCCCAGGTAGTACCTACTTGATCTCATTGCTTCGCACCCATGTCCAAAACCAATCTACTCTCCGCTTGGCGCCGAGCGCGGGCGTTCCTGGCTCTTGCGGTAGGGAATTCTCCGAATCGAAGGGCTCGCCGTACAAGTAAGATTGGCGCGTCCATTGTACGCGCCCGCGAAGGCCTCCGGGGTGGCTGTTGCGTACGTTGTTCTATCCGGGGAATTCCACACCGTGGAGGCCTGGCCACTAATACGTATGGGGGTGCGGCTAACTTCGATGGTTAGTTGAGATGTCGGTTCTTCAGTGCCCTGATGCAAATGTTCGTTTCTTCTCGTTCGTTTCTTTGCAAGCTAATTGCTCTTTTGATGGAATGTAGGTTATGAAAAAGCCCAGAATACAGCTTGATATACAAGTCCTTGCCCACCTCTTCAAACCATGTATACTCCGCAACGCCGCCTCTTAACGCGCCCAAACTGTACGGCGTACTGTGGAAAGTTTATCCCCGGAATCCGGCAAAATGTCTGGGCAAAAGGACACCCGGGACTGCCCCACAACTAAGCGGCTCTAAATATACGTCAGTGGACAGTGATGGCTCGAATATACCCCGCGATATTAATTAGCCTCAAACAACCGCCCTTGCACCACATCACCAGGAACCGTTTTACTATAGCCTTTCTTTGCTCTATGCAAATTGAATATACATGCTCAAATCTGGATCACGGCACACGGAAGAACTAGATTAGGGGTCAAAGTGATCACCATGCTCTTAAATATGTCAATCGCTTCTCCCGCTTTTGGGTTCTCGGTTTTGTAGTGTTTTGGTGTGGAGGTTTCTGCCACCATCATGATCACAACTTCACTTCTTTCCGTCGCATTTGCGGCACTGACCCTTTTCTCCCCTGCGACTAATGCCCGCGCCATCGAAGCAGTCGAGAAACGTCAAGATGCTGCATCCCACTGGATCGACACCTGGGTCAGCATGCCTCAGCTCGTGGAGCAGAACAACATGCCTCCATCTCAATTCGTACTTTCCCCACACACACACACACTCATCGTCATGTCTCGCATACTGATACTGCAACCAGAGTTCTGGCTCCGTCATGCGCGACGCAACCCTCCGCCAAACCCTGCAAATGTCCATCGGCGCGCCCAAGATCAAAATCATCATCTCCAATACCTTCGGCGGCTCAGACCTTCCCATAACCGAGGGCTCTGTCGCGCTCCCCGCGGGAGGTACCGCCGGTGTGTCTGGCATTCAGGCTTCGCCCATTGCAGCTATCACCGTGGGCGGAAAAGCTAGCTTCACGGTGCCGAGGGGTCAGGTCGTGGAGAGCGATGAGATTAATTTCGAGGTCAAGCCGCAGAGCATGCTTACCGTGAGTTTGTATAGCCAGCAGGGGCAGAGTGGAAGTAGTATCACGGGGCACCCGGGGAGTCGGACGACGAGCTGGTTCGTGAGCGGGAACAAGGTCAATGCTACGACGATCAGCGGGTCGAGTAGTGTGCACTGGTACGCACATACATTCCAAAAAAAGCCCATTCTTGAAATCAGAGCTAGAGCTAATGAGGGCCAGGTACTTCGTCTCCGCCGTGCAAGCCTACGTACCGACCACGCACCGCGGCCTCGTCATCCTGGGCGACTCCATAACCGACGGCCGTGGCAGCGACGATAACAAGAACAACCGCTGGCCCGACCTCCTGCTCGCGCGCATGCAAACTAACAACCACAGCGACGTCGCCGTGCTCAACCAAGCCGCGGGCGGCAATTGCGTGCTCTCGCAGTGTCTCGGCCCCTCGCTCGTCTCGCGCTACAAGCGCGACGGCCTGGAGCAGCCCGGCGTAAAGTACCTCATGATCTTCGAAGGCGTCAACGACATCGGGAACGGCAACGGCGGGAGCACAGCCGACCAGCTGATCTCTGCGTTCAAGCAGATTGCGGCGGATGCGAAGAAAGCCGGGATGACGACGATAGGCGCTACGATCACACCGCTGGGGACGAGCTATTATAATGCGGCGAGGGAGCAGGCAAGGCTGAAGGTGAATACGTGGATTATGCAGCAGGGCAATTTTGATGTTGCGGTGGATTTTGCGGGCGTCGTGGCGAATGCTGGGAATAAGGCGCAGATGGATAGTAAGTATAATAGCGGGGACGGGCTGCATCCGAATGTGGCGGGGTATACAGCGATGGCGGCTGCGTTTCCGCTGGAGGTGTTCAATTCGTGAGGGCTGGGGAAGAAGAGGTGGTTATGGTTGCGGGAGCAAGGTTAGATAGAAAGGACGACGTGACCGGAGATGACTGAGGGAACGAGACGCAATATGTATATAGGCAGTAGCACCAGAAGCAAGCATCCGTACATAGGAACGAAATCGAGCATTCAAGAAATGAGACCGACTAGAGAAAGGACCGCATCGCGATGCTTTCAAACCACAACATCTTTCAAACTCCCACCGCAGCCCAGTAAGATCAAGGTCAAAAGCTCCGACCATTTTTCGATTAGATCCTATCACGATGGACAGAAGCAAGCATGACAGATGAAGTCAGGCAGCCAACAGAGAGGCCAGTACAAGAAACCGTCGATACAACCGGGGGTTGTAGACGGCTCCTCGTGTCAGGAGCGAGATCGCGAGCTGGAGCTGTAGTCTGACTCGCCGGACTCCGCGCTTGGGCTGCTGCGAAAACTGTGGTCAGATGCATCCTCGTAGTGCGAGCGAGGATGCGAGCGCGAGGAGACAGAGCTGCGGCGATGCTGAGCGCGGGGACGCTCGTTGGGGTGGTCGACGGAGCCGCGGGAACGGTGGCCGTCGAAGCCATGCTGGTGGACTGGGAGAGGCTGGCTTGGTAGAGGGTACATGCCTGTGTCTGCAGACATTGTCGTGTTCGTGTTGTAGTGAGACGATCTCGGTTGGCGTGGAGGGTCTGACTTGTTGATCGGGTGGATTGGAGACATGAGTTCGGATTCATCGGTACCGTCAGTGCGGCGGCCTAGACATGCCCTATCAGTATGAGCGGTTTGAGAACCTGAAAGTAACGACGTCAGACTTACTGGCGCGTTGAGTATCGTCGTATGTTTCATTGTCTCCATAACGCTCTGCATAGCGCTCATCGCGTCCATCACTGTCCGCACCAGGGTTCGCAGTCTCGTACTCGAGCAGTTTGATCAAGCGGTAGAAGATAACTGCTACAATGGCTCCGAGGAACGGCCCAACCCAGTATATCCAATGGTAACCGTCGAACGTGTGGAGGATGACATCCGGACCGAATGAGCGGGCGGGGTTGAGTGACCCTCCAGTGAAGAAAACGCCTAGACCGGTGAGTAGTGGGCCCCTTAAAAGATCAGGAGTGCTTTTACCAGCAAGTTCGGCAATGAACAGCGCCAGTCCGATGCCAATCGGGGCAAGGAAAGTCGCTCTGTGTTTCTCGGCCGCCAACATGAAGATGCAAAAGATCAGCTCAGCGGTAAGGAGCATCTCAATGAACAACCCGCGAGTGATCGAGGTGGCGGGACTTAGCGTTGTGCGAACGGCTAGAGGACCAGGAAGCAGAGCCGACACGATACCGGCTGCGGTAATACCAGCGAGGATTTGCGCGATGATGAGTAGAGCCGCCTTTAGCCAGTTGATGGCTCCGACCAAGGCCAGTGCTACCGTCACCTATGCAAAGGTGAGCCACTCGGACGGAAAGACGGGCGATGCAACGACTGACCGCTGGGTTGAAGAGGCCTCCACTGATGCGGAAGAAGATCCATACGTTGACTGCCAGAGAGAAACCGAAGGCTAAGGCGATGTAAAGAAGAGTCGACGTGCTCGCTGGCTTATCCACTGTCTTGTTGGGAGGTGTATTGGCGACCTGAGTGCCGGCAAAGGCGAAAAACAGGAACAAGTATGTGCCCACAAACTCTCCCAGCATGGAGATCAACATATTGCGGACTCTGTTTGGCAGCCATCCGAAGCCTGTCAGGCGCCTCTCCCCTGGACGAGTGGGATCAGTGGTGTAGGCCGGCTTCATGCCAGGCAGAACCATGAAGCTCTCAGAGGGTCTGTTGATGTTGTTCATTCTGGCGGCTTACGAGGCGGTGGATACTAATAGTCGGTCGAGGTGGCGTTGATGAATGCGTGAGAGACAGATGACCTTTGAGGGAGAAACAGAGCGAGTAGGATGCCAGGTAAGGACGGCAGGGAATGAGTAAGGCGTAGGACAGACGGTTGCAGGACGTAGGAGACTAAGGATAGACGTATGTTGCGCAAAGAGATGAGGGAAGTAGAGAAAAGAGGATATTGCTAGGAGATAAGAAAGTCAACATGATGCTATGATGCATGGAAGGAGAGCCGGTAACCATAGTGCAGGCACGAGAAGGCGTGGCCATGGTAGTTTCCCTGCGTTTCTATCAAGATCAGATGTTTAGTCGGACTAGCAGTCGATTTGAGGCTTAGGGGGCGGAGTAGAGCAGTGCAAACCTGGGCTCTTTCCTCCACACTTGGGGAACGACTGAGCAATCCATGGATTGAGAGTCGGCCAATCACGTGACTCGTGTAAGTGGATGTCGCGATCTGCAAGCAGCCCTCAAATGCATTGACTACGGTGCCCATCCAGCTATGAGAAAGGTGCCGGCGCTGTCGATAGAGCCTGACGTAAATATGGTTTTGTGGAGTTTCCCATGCAACGCGCATAGGAAACGATGAGAGAGGTCTCACTCACACGCCTTGCGCTGCTTGCGGAAGAGGCGTCTCTAGTGATAGGGCGAGAACGGCGTGGGCCGTCGGTAACGACAGTGGTTCTCAGATGACTGCATCCATTGCGGAGGTCTGGATTCGAAGGGGTCTGACGATGGAGACATGACTTTAGCCAGGGGAAATTCGAGGGTCAAGCATCCGCCCAGAACTCGCAATCGGCAGCCAAGTCCTGGGGAGATGAAACTCATATGGAGTGGAAGAAACAGCAGATGAAACGCGAATACGCAAGTGGGTTGATCAGGGCGCAGATCTCGTTAGTGGGCATGTGATGGAAACGTGCAGCCCTGGGCGTCGCCGCGAGGGGTCGTGAATAGCTTGGCGCGCTGTGGCGTCGATCAAGTCATCAGTCCACGACACCACGAGCCTTCCCTCTCGCTGTGTACGGCCTGCTACGGATTCTCTCCCCTTGCGCTTTCCTTCTTTCCCCTTCGTCCTTCTCTCCTCCATTCCGCGACTTCGAACCGGCCTGCATTCGCCCCCGCCAGAGCCACGACAACGCAGCACCTCCGCCGTCACATTGCCGCATCACCGACTTGGCCGAGCTGTTTCGCAGCTGACCTCCCCTGCACGTACGCGCTTGGACGAACCGCAATATATCCCTGCCGGATGCGTGCACGACAATAGAGCTCCAGCATATTTTGCTGCCCTCAATCTCTGCCCTCTCCACGATCGCGCTGCTAGCCGCCACCTCCCAGCATGCGCCCGCTTCGGCTGCTTCTGTCACTATGCTCCAGTCTAATAGCTATTACACTACTACTCTACATCGGATTTGGCTCGCACAGTGAGGGCGAGCTCCGGCAAGCTCCCGCGCCGGAACAGAAGAGTGGCCTCAAGGCCCTCTTCTCGTTTACGTCACCAGGCTCGCTCTTCCCCCCATCCGCTATAATCAGCCTTACCGACGACAACTCTACATTCTTCCTCGCCCGACCTGCTGCGTTTGGGCCTCCGCTGCCGTCGAAGGGCCTGAGCGGCCCGCTATGGATTGGAAACGGGTTTGGCGACGACGCCATGTGGACGGGCGAGCTAGGCTGCAGCGATGTGCCTGGCTGGGATGACGGAGGCGACAATACTGGAATGGTGGGGTTGGAGACTGCATCGGATGCTAAAGCGCAAGCACCCAGCCCGCCGGACAACGGCAGATATCCTCCGCGGGAAAGACAACGACGAAGCAAGAACATTGCCGACACTCTAGCGCCTGCAGGGGACGACGATGGCACGGACGACCATCTCCACAAATCGCTCTCAGCGTCTGGCACACCGAAGAGTCACAGCGGAAAAGCAGGACACGCCGATATCCAGTCGCTCCAAGAAGGCGCGGAAATCGCGGGAAAAGTGGTCTTGTTAAAGAGGGGTGGTTGCGGGTTTCTCGAAAAGGTTCTGTGGGCTCAAAGAAGGGGCGGGGTCGCACTGATAGTAGGAGACGATGTCCGTGGAGGAGGCTTAGTACGCATGTACGCTCACGGAGACACGTCCAACGTCAGCATTCCGGCTCTCTTCACGTCGCATACGACCGCACATCTACTTTCGTCGCTACTGCCGACTGGAGGCCTTGTCCAAGACCTTTCGCCGGAAGATGTAGCGAAGCTTAATCTCATTAAGAGCGGGAAAGGGGGCAAGAACAGCATGCATCAGGACAAACCTGGGAAGAAGCAAGAGAAGGCTGGTGGTCCTACGGCTACCCAGAGCTCCCTCAAGACGGCTCAACCCTCGAAAGCTGGAAAAGCCACCGAAGTCAAGCAGCAGCCAGATCGCTCCGAGGTAGGCTGGTTCCGCTCATTTCTCTCTGCGCTCGGCTTAGGGAGCTCCGCAAGAACAACAACGAAGGGTGACAATCGAAGACCTCCGAGTAGTGGAACGCTCGACTGGGTTCTTGTGGAACATTGGGATGAGGAGCAGAAGCCTGCGAAAACCGGTTTGGCGAGCGCAAAGCCTACATCAAGCCGCGCACCGGAGGATTTTGTGATCGGAGAGCAGGACTGGCGTGACCCCGACCTGGTACCGAAAGCCACCTCGACATCTATCAAGTCGAACCAGAGCCCCACCCCCGATAGCGGCCTTAAAGGCGGCAGCATCCGACCCAGCAGCGGCGAGTATACAGAAGGCGACACCGGAGAGAGCAGAGGGTGGATAAACTATCTGTTGGGTGGCAGAAGGGACGATGCGCCGCAAGCTGGCTCGGGACCCACCCTTGGAAGCGACACTCCGTCTTCAAGGAACGCTCATTCCAAAGATGACGATGAAACGCCGGAAGAACCCGAACCGCATGAAGGCCTATGGGTCACCCTTACCCCTACTAATATGTCAACAAGCCCGTTCTTCGATACCTTACTTGTCTTGGTTGTTAGTCCTCTGGTTACTTTGACTGTAGTATACGCACTTCTTCTACTACGATCTCGGATTCGGCGTCGACGCTGGAGAGCGCCCAAGTCGTTAGTCGAGCGCCTACCTGTTCGAACGTACCATACCATCAGCGACAGCTCACCTTCTGCAACACCTGGTGCATCCTCGCCTACCACCCCACTTCTTCAACACACGCCACCACGACCTACATCATCCCTCTCTCGGCCGCAATCTCGAACAGAATCGGAAGTTCCCGCCACGTCATCATCTTTTCACCAAGCTCATAGGAGGACGGAAGAAGAGAAGCGCGAGTCTGGGCTAGCTGAGTGGAGACGGCGATATGGTGGACGACAGAAGGAGTGTGTTGTCTGCCTGGAAGAATACGTCGACGGTATCAGCCGCGTCATGAGCCTACCGTGTGGCCATGAATTCCACGCGGACTGCATGTAAGTGCCTTTCTGGATGAGATAACTTCGTGTACTCACGCAGTTACAGAACACCATGGCTCGTCACACGGCGCCGGACCTGTCCTATCTGCAAAGGCGATGTCGTACGTTCTCTATCGCAATCTTACTACGACCGCACTGTTGAAGCGTCGTCCTCGCGCTTCTATGACGACCCAGATGATGTCCAGGCTGAAGCCGCAGAGTCACGTAATGACTCGCCCGCAGCGTCGAGACCAGTCCCTATATCATCCGACAGCCTTGACGCTGACATCGAAGCCAACTGGGGGGATGAAGACGAGGACAGAGGACGAGACAGCCCGCGAGAGCAGACGGATGGCTTGAGCAGCTCCTTTAGAGAGGTCAGCTCTTCTGTTGCGACAACGATTTGGAGGGGCCTTGACGCTGTGAGAACCGCGACTGGCCTCCAACGAAGACCCAGTCGGGAAGAGGTCGATCGGGACCGATAGACGTTCGGTTGTTAATAGCTTGGATTTGGCATGTGCATTGGGTTGGAGTAAGTCTTAGTTCATGACTTGCTGTCATAGTGTTTAAGTTTTGGAAGGATACCTTGTGCATAGGAAAGGGAAGTATAGATGCCCGCATTCGGAGTTGGGACCACGACATGAATCGACTCAATTTTTATCATGGAGAAGTGTTCAACTTCTCCGCTCCACTCCACTTCACGTCACATTAATTTTCCCTTCTCATGCTTCATGCTCCATCACTTTGTTTTCCAAACTTCTTTGCGTTCGCTTTGCATCACTCTCAACAATCCTCATAATCGCGAAGTTCTTCATTCCTACGTACTCAAAACACTTTTTCTCGCCTTTTCCTGTCTCATTTTCCCTTCCCTTAATGCGGCCAAACACAGAGCCCACCACAATCCGCACCCCCGTTCTTCGGATCGCAATCATCCCTGTAATCGTCCACGCACACCTGCCCATCCTGCGGGCAACCGAACCCTGCGAAACCGCCACACATCTTGTCCTCGACGCAGATACCCAGGCCATCGCACTCGGGTCCGCAGCCGGGCTTGTAAGGGTCCTTGATGCAGATGTAGCCTTCGTCGCATTGGTAGAGGTTGGGCCGGCCGCCGCCGCAGGGCGCGTGCGTGGGCCATGGTTTCTTGGTAGGCGTGGGTGTGGGCGGGAGTTTAGTGGGGAGCACGGTGCGGGTTATGAATTTGGAGCTGGAGAGGGGTGGGCAGACCTGGGGTTTGCGTCAGCGACTAGAAAGGACGATGAGGGCGGGGAAGGGGACGGAAGGGTAAGGGGTGGGAGGAGGACGTACTTGAAGTGTTGGCGGCGCGCCACCGCACTTCTCGTAGCACTTTTGTTTTGCGGCATTCTGGCAGTAGCATGAATCTGGCCACATCTGCAGACACATGACTTCTTCGCAGACGCATGATGGGTCTGTTGGCTTGGGCGTTGGCGTCGACGTGGGTTTGGCTGGACAGGGCTATATCGTGTTAGTGGTTTCTGGTCGGAAATGTAGAGGATGAAGGCTGGGCTGACGAGGTAGGTTGGGACGTAGTCTGGGCAGTGTTCTTTGCAGAGGGTCTCGCGGTTGTTGAGGCATTGACAGAGCGTCTGGACGCAGTGGTTAGCATGTGTCTTGCGGGATGAGAAAGGAAGAGGGGACGTACAACCGCGTCGCTGGCGTCGCATTTGACCTGCGGGCACTGGCATTTTGTCTCGTCGGTTGGTGTTTGCGCGAGAGCTAGGGCTCCCAGCAGCGGGAGCAATAAGAATGACTTCATCGTTGCTCGATGCTCAGATTAGACTTCGTCGAACTCTTAAGTACAATCGCAAAACGAGGTGGTACTAATCGAAGGCGTGGAAGAAGTCGCGACTCTCCGATCTTTCAAGGCCAGCAACTACCCACCGCATTCCAGCCCTCCCATCCATCTTTATATCATCCGACTCGCCAAGCCCTATAAGCAAGCAACAAATTGCCAACCCGAACCAGTACAACCCACGATCACGACGCCTCCCCCGATCACCTGTCCTCACCTGCACTCCACTATACCCATCGAGGCATTCGGTCCCCCGAGCTTCTCGGAAGTGGCTGGCCGCCAGGTCCGCCACCATCAGCATTTCATTTCATCATCTCGTATTCAGACTTCCGAGAAAGAATGCAGGTTTAGGGTTGCACGAACGTTTTAGAGAAATGCTGACGGAGGCCGAGAAAGAAGGGAGAAACGTTTGGCGAGGAGCTGATGCCGCAGGGGGGTGAATTAGACGAACGAGGGCTAAGAATAGGGTGAACAAGCTTTTTAATGACGGGGCTCGTATCTTTCTTTCCTGGGGAGGATCGGCGGTGCGATTTGCGCGCCCCGCAAAATTCGGGAGGGTCGGATGCAGGAACCGAAGGGTGCGACTGTGGAGAGGGAGAGCAGCCGTTCCGATGCCTGTCCGCACTACCACTACGACAAGCCTTTAAGTTCGTATGCCAGCGACGTTTTGTTATGTTCTACTACTAGCAAGCACACATGTCGGGTTGAAATAGCCTAGAGCACCGGCCAAGCTCGTAGGGCTATTTATCAGATCGTTCGTACGTTTTACAACTAGCAGCGCACGCACGTCCCGTCATGGTTAATAGGGAGTGCGGACCGGGTAATAGATAACTTTGCTCGTCAAGTTCTTCCTTGCTTGCACATCTACAGTAGCTCTCAATGCTTTCGCCTCTTGTATAGTCGCACGAGGGAAGGGAGATATCAGGCTCGTGCGACTATGGTAGTCTGTCTCTCCCCGGGAGCAACGGCCGATAACGTTCCACAGGAATGCGAATACAAAGTCCACCGTACGGCGAACCCGCTGCAGGGACCGGAACGTGAAGGCCATGGATCCGCATACCTCTTCCCGCCTTTTGCGGAGAAACGAGGACTCGCAGAACGTTTTTCTGCAAGAGTCTCGGGCCGTCGTGGCAGCCATCCCGACCTGGCTGCAGAATGTGTTCGGTCTCGTCGTATCCCGTATTCGAAGTAGTAGTACAGAGTGTCCGGAAGACATCTCCTGAGGTGGAGAGTCCCCCAGGTCTTTCGCCTTGCGTCACTCATATACAACGCCTTGGCGCGATCGTCATGCGATATTGCACAGTTCATTGAGTTGTTCGGTACGGCGTGATTTAGGGAAGGTAGCCGATTGGTAGTTGAGTGGACTGTTTGCTGGATTGGGAATTTTTGCGGCGAACAAGAGCGAGATGGATAAGATTTGTGGGTGCTTCGAAAAGAACTGATTATACCAATGTATAAATACGAGACTAGTGCAAGGATATACGATGCCTACGCCCAAGCTGTCGCCCAGCGCCGCGACGCCGTACGCCGAAAAGACCATGCAGTAATCTCGTAGACTTACTCCTCCATCTTCTCCCCATTAACAATGCCCGCATTCCCTTCGCCCAGATGCTTCAACAGCCAACTGCGCTTGAAATACGTATTCGGATGCACGATTGTGTCCAGATCTGTCGCACTCCACGTCCCATCATCCTTCACCTTTTTAATCTCCCTCTTGTGCGTATGTTCAAACACCCTGTTACACGCAACGTGGTATCGCTGTTTGCTCACATCCTCCTTGACCGTCTTGAGCACGTCGCGGTCGTTGATGCCCACGCGCTGGAGCAACGATGTGAGATTGTCGCTTGTGAACGTGCGGTAGGGGCATCCATGCGCTTGACCGGGACCGGGAACCGGCTCAGTCAAGATCTTCTGGCAGGAGTAAGGTGTATATCCTCGTCCGCGTCTATTCGCGTCGCCGCCCACATCGCCGTACGCGTGCCGGACATTGTACTTGTATTCTTTCTGGAACTTGTCGTCTGTCATAAGCTTGAAGGAGCGCCGCCAGAAGACGATGCACTCTTCTAGGCTGAGACCTATGCCCTTGAGGAAGAGGGTATATTGAAGACGGCCGTAGTGCTTGAGATGCGAGTTTGCGCGTAATGTCATATGCAAGTTCTGCATGCAGAGAGGGAAGTTTTGGGAGAGCGTGTCAATGGCGTTGGCGGTTATGATGGAGAGGCCATCAATGGAGGCGTCTGAGGAGGAGTATGCGGCGTCAGGGGCATTGAAGGATTGGGAGAGGTGGGAGAGGATGGGTGCAAGGCGGTCGTCTTCGTCGAGACGGGGAAGTGCGCGAGCGGTGAGCTACAATGCCTGTCAGCGTCCGGACTCAAAATATTGCCCGAATACACGTACCTCGAGAGCTTCATCTAGCCGTTTCGTGAACTCCGCGACGACCAGGCTCATCTGCTCCCTCTGTGGAACGTATGCCTTTCCCCTCTTCAGCAATACCTTTCTCTGCTCCACCAGTTCTGGAACCCGCTCCCAGTCTACCTTGAACCAGTCCTGCTCTTCGCCCTTCTTCGACCTACTAGCGGCTACCAATTCGTCGCGGAGCTCTCGCTTCTCGTCTTCCTTGACCTCCTCCCACTCCAGATTCAGACTTCTCACGAACTCTTGCCTTTCTCGTAGGTCATCGTCTTTGAATCTCAGGCGAAAGAGCATTGTCTCTAATCGCGAAAATCGCCTGCGCAGGTCTTCGGTTGCAGAGAAGGCGAGGCGGAGTATAAAGTGCGAATAGTGGTCTTTTTTCCTCTCGTCCTGCAGACTCTGGCTACGCGACGAATTCGAACGAAGAGGGAGGTATTTGTTCAAGATGCTCGTCATGTACTCGGAGGTTTCTTCGGGGCTGCGGTTGCGGAAGCTGCATGCTTCGAGCTCAGAGAGGACTAAATAGCAGCATTAGCATGTAAGCGTGCAAATTGATATCATCAGAGCTGCGCGCCTTTCAGCCGATTGATTGCCCACGTCTCAAACTCCTCCAGCGTGATTTCCGCCGTGGGAGGCAAGATGTAGAAGTTGAGCCGGTGCTCATAGTTTTGCTGCTGGAATTCTGCTTTGGCGAATTGCCTCTTCTTAGGATCAATGTGTGTTCGCCGCTTCGGATCGACTCGAGAATAATCGTGGCGGATCATGGTGTATGTGGTTGTGTTTGCGTTTTGCTGCTCTGGAGTTCGAGATGAGCGTTAAGTGGGGGACGCGATTACTCACGACGCGTCGACGCGAAAAGGTCTACTAAGCCTATTTCGGAATGCACGCGTTTGATGCTACCGCAACCCCTGCCCTTACACGCGAGGATGCAGGTCTTGGACCGTGTCTATTCACTCTATGAATATCTATAAACTCTTAGCAAAGGACGTGCCTATGTTTGTCTCCGAACGCCATCGATCCCGCTCCTCCATCATCCCATCAAATCTCCGATAGAATCCATGTATGTCGTTGGCACGGTCGGCGCTCCCTCCGTGAGGAAGTCCTGCTTCTTGCTCACGCCAGTCAACACAGCCAATGTACCACCCAGCTTGCCGTCAATACCAAACTGGATGTCCGTGTTCAGCCTGTCCCCGACCATGCACGTCCTCTTCCGGTCGAAATGGAACTTGCCCTCGATAGCATCCATCATGGCCTGGCTCGGCTTACCCAGAGACAGAGGCGCTCTGCCAATCGCCTTTTCTACACCCGCACCGGCTGAACCGGCTCCCGGAAAGAAACCATGCGCCATTGGAAGCGTGCTGTCGGTGTTCGTCGCGAGGTAAATAGCGCCGCGCTGAAGATACTGGAAGGCTATCGCCATCTTCAGATAATTTACGTGGAAATCTAGGCCAGCGAGCACGACGCCGACATCCGGGTCTAAGAGCTTGCCATTGGCAATGTTGGTGAAATCCTCCGGTTCGATGTCGCGGCGATACGCGGGATCCGTGCCTCCGACATACTGAACGCCCTCCGCATCGAGCTCCTGTTCGATGCCACTCTCGCCGAGCACGAACACCTTGTTCTTCGGGGCCGGAAGCTTGAGGATGCGTGCAATGTACACGGCGGCGCTGTAGGAAGAACCGAATACCTCGTCCTAGCTTATACGTTAGTCACGGGCTGGAACCACTGCAATCCCTACTTACGACTTCAGCAGGTATTCCCAGCTTGTCAAACTTCTTCTTGTAGTCGGCTCGCGATTTCGTGCTATTGTTCGTAACGAAGACAAGCTGTTTGCCTGAAGCTCAGTGTTAGCAGGCGTGTAGCTACCTGGCAGATGAATTCGTACCTTTGCTCCTCAACATTTCTATTGTCTCTGGCACCTTGTCGTATATATGATCTCCAGACCAAAGGACGCCTATCCTTCTTCACAATCAGCGCATGCTGCTTCGAGGAGTGGAGCCCGGGCTGGTTCTGTCCAATCTAGGCACAGCCGACGAGGAAGGAATCGCACGCACCATCGCAGTCGAACAAGAAGACCTTCGCGCAGTTGTCAGCATAGCCAGCGCTGAGGGGAGCATGTCACTCACGTCGAATCTGGAAAGGAATTCCTCAATACCAGCTTTGTCGCCGGTAAGATATTTCGGCTGCGCCATGCTCTCTAGAGCATTATCTTGACCCATGGCTGGACTTGAGCGGAGGCAATAATTCACGATGGACGGAGAAGAGTGAACGCGGGCTGAAGAAGAAAGGCGGATCCAATAGTGGGGTGCTTGGCATTGCCTAACCGGAACGATTCCGGATTCCGGATTGTCATAGCCTGGCCAGCACTGACCCCACGTCTTCCTAAGCTATCTACATGCGAGTACCCTGCTTCACAGCTTCGAACGGTCTAGTCAGTCGACAATAATCTTTTTCTCCAGCTCCTCGAAGTTCTCAAAGAAGCTCTCAAACAGATTGATGGCATGCTCGACATCATGCGCGCCGCCCGTCTCGCGAATACTATGCATGCTGAGCTGAGGGTTTCCCAGATCGAGCGTGCGAGCCCCCATCGCCGCCGACAGCATTGGCCCAATCGTACCTCCGCACGAGGAGTCATTTCGCACAACGAACATCTGCAGCGGCACGCCTTCCTTCACGGATGACGGGCTTGAGGAAGCCTTCTTCGCCCGGCGCGCTGCTTCCTGAAGAAGCACTATCCCGGGAGAGTTGGTTGCGTACCTGGCGTTCGCGTTGACCTTGATTACGGTTCCTTTATTCATCTCTGGTCGGTGTTGAGCTTCATATTTGGCGGGATAGTTCGGATGCACTGAATGCGCCATGTCTGCCGAGATGAGGAACGAGGTGGATAGAGTCTGCTCGTATGCGGTCGCTGTATCGACATCGAGCCTGTCGTAGGATTGATCTGAGTTGGGAGAGTCGGAGGCCGGCAATACCGAGAGGCGACGGACGACAGCGGGAAGCAGATTTGAGTCAGCTCCTTGCGCGGTCAAGCTTCCAATTTCCTCATGATCAAAGAGGGCTATTAGGCGGATGGTGGAGTCCTTGTCTAGCGACCCAGGCGACGAAAGACTGTTGATCAGGCCCTCCACGCTGCAATACGACATCATCAGATTATCCAACCGCGGAGAAAAGATCAACTCGTTGTTCAGGCCACCGACGACGGACTTCTGCGTGTCGTAAAGCACCATCTCGAAATCCATGATATCCTTCGGCTCGACGCCCGCTTCCTCTGCGATGATCTCGACGATATACGAATGATGCCGCTGGGATGGAGTGACCAGTGGCTCAAACGGACCATCCTTCTCTTCCTCCTTGGTCTCCTCGGCCTTCCCCTGCCTGTTCAGTTCCGCTGCCGCCAAGCCAGCAATTGGAAACAACTGCGTCTCCTTGTTGAACTGGAAGTTCTCCTGACGGTCGAGATGGATGGCCAGGGTAGGTATCCGTAGGATCGGTCTCTCGACCTTGACCAAGCGCTGCTCAATAGTTCCCTCGTTCGTCTTGACCATGGCGCGTCCAGCAATGGACAGATCCCGGTCGAACCATGTGTGCCATAGTCCACCACCGTAGGTCTCGCAAGCCACCTGCAGGAAGCCGTCGCTCTGACGCTTCGACACCGGCTTGATACGTAGGCACGGCGAATCTGTGTGCGCGCCGATCATGCCGACCGGATTGCCGGCCTTCCATTTCTTGCCGATAGCAAACGCAACGATCGAGGACCCATTTCGAGTGAGGAAGTACTTCCCACCGGGATGGATGGTTGATGCCCACGAATCTCGTTCCTGTGAGTCGTAATCGTTAGCGCTGGAAAGTTGTGGAGCCGTCTCTCTTGGTCATGTCTCGGTTGCCCAGGTCATGCTGCCAATAAGGAGCAACGTGCGAGCAGAATTTCGAGGTGACGCAGCTTCCGATGGCTTGACAAGAACTTTTGGTGTTCATGTCTCGCCACTATGGGGCTTCGGCTCTCTTATAGAGGGTGCAATCATACGACGGGACGGCATAATGCTCACCTTAATTTGTTTGAAGCCTGCCTTCTCCAGCCGCTCTCTGGCTGATTTCACAGCATGGAAAGCTTCGACGAGTTAACAAAAGACCCATAGTCATATATCATTTACAAGCGAAAACATACGCGTCGGCGAGGCATTGACAAAGGACAGAAAGTCCTCGGCGGCTTTGAGTGACGGCTTGGTCGACATGGTCCGCAAAGCACACGACAGGGCGAGGGGAAGAGTTGTGACACTGAAGGACTGCGGCAGGGTTGCTCGAGTGGGCTGGCCTCTGAGCATAGGATAGGTCTGCGAGAAGGCTGAGTGTGGGGTGGAAGAGAGGTCGGTGCAGGGTTGAGGTGATGCGCCCAAGCTTCCAGGGACCGGGATTATTGTGATTGGCTGGCGGGCGGCTGCACGCGTTGAGAACGAGAACATCAAAACATCAGAGGGCGACGTGACGAGACGGCTCCTCACTCACCGTCCCTCGCCGCGTCGCCTTCACCGTGTCTCTCATCGGCTTTAGTTATTAATTTTGCCCGCCATTGTGCCGCCGCCCGCTCGAGCACGCTGCCCTGCGTTGTGTCCTTGAACGCCGCTCCTTGCCTCCAACGTCCAACGGTCGCCGCGTCGCTCTTTCCTAGTGCGGCTCTTCGCAGCGGCCCCAAAACAACCATATTCCTGTCACCACCCGCGCCCCGCCGGCTGCCCCGTCAACAAACACACAATCACTGCGATGCGCGATACGTCCGATTGAAGAGGAGGAACAAGTAAAAGTCTGCGCGCACGGAAGAGCGCCGCCGTGTGGGGAGCGGTGGTGAAGAGTCCAAGGGGCGCTATCTGGACCGCCAGCAATCGACTTCACTCCGCGCGCACCTATCGCATCTGCTCACCTCTCACCGCTGCTGCAAACGAGCCGAAGACCGCACATCGGTGCAAAGCCCTCCTTCACCTGCAATTTATTCAACCTCTTCCGTCCCCGCCCCGCCGCCCTCTTCTCTCCTCCAACCTCCTCAATCCACACCACGGTTCTGCAAGCAGCTGCTAGCTACAACATCGCGCGCCACTCCGCCATGGCTTCAGACGATATCCACGCTCCCGTCCCGACGACGGAGCGAGCTGTCGACGAGGCGCGCACGCCGACCCTCATTTCACCACCAGAATCGAAGACGCCTCCCACGGCTACGCACAAACGCAATCAGGCTGACTTCACCCATGACCGCAATTCAGAGCCTGTGGATCCTTCAGCACTGACCAAGGCGCTGGAGCGATTCGAGCAGGCCGGGCGGGTCAGCGACCGACCAGTTGCGAGTCCGAGTCGCAAGCGCCCGCGGCTGTATGGTGACCGGTGAGTATCCAGTCGTTCATCTCATACTGGGCAGGCAGGCTGACAGAAACTTCAGATTCATCCCGAATCGTGCAGGACAGGACCTTCAGGCGAGCTTCTCCCTTCTCCATGAGGATGGCTCTCCGGCAACTCCATCACGATCTGCAAAGCGCACCCCGCATAATGAGCTCCATTTCCAAAAGAGTGAGTACACTGATGGTACACAGCATGCGCATATCGCTGACTCCTTCCCAGCTGAGGAGGCCAATCGGACATATTCCGCCGTCCTTCGCCAGGAGCTGTTCGAGGGAACAGTTCCGCAGGCCTTGCCTCAGAGTTTGTCTCCAACCGACAGTGCTATGCTGCGAAATTCAGGCCGCTCACATACGCCACCAGCTCGCACGACGGGGGCTCTGCCAGCCCCCAATCTGACCCCGTCTACCCCGCACAAGAATCTATTCAACTACTCCGGCCAGCCAACACCCTCAAGGACCCCTTCAAGCAGGCATGGTGTGAATCTCAATGCGCAGTCCGAGCTCTACAGCCTCTCACCGATCAAATTCAGCAGCCAACGGATGTTGCTCAGCCCTCAGAGGACCCCACGTGCCGTGTCGAAAGTGCCGTACAAGGTGCTTGATGCACCGGACCTCGCCGACGACTTCTATCTGAATCTTGTCGACTGGGGCAGCCAGAACACTCTTGGTGTGGGCCTTGGGTCCTGTGTATACATGTGGAACTCTGCCAGCGGCCGCGTGACCAAGCTCTGCGAACTGACTGACGACTCTGTCACGAGCGTCAGCTGGATCCAACGGGTAAGTGGATGCGATCTCCCGGATGCCATTGCCGTGGTTTAACTGTGTGCAGGGCTCCCACCTCGCCATCGGCACCAACCGAGGCTACGTGCAAATCTGGGATGCGACGACGCAGCGCCGCCTCCGAACGATGACGGGCCATACACTCCGTGTCGGTGCCCTCGCGTGGAACGAGCACATACTCACTTCGGGCTCCCGAGATCGAATTATATACCATCGAGACGTCCGCCAGCCGGATCAGTGGCTCCGAAAACTCGTTGGCCACAAGCAAGAGGTTTGCGGTCTGAAGTGGAACCACGAGGACGGCCAGCTTGCTTCAGGCGGAAATGACAACAAACTCATGGTCTGGGAGAAATTAAATGCCGAACCAACCTTCAAGTGGAGCGAGCACCAAGCCGCCGTGAAGGCCATTGCTTGGAGCCCTCATCAACGCGGACTTCTGGCAAGCGGTGGTGGCACAGCCGACCGGACAATCAAATTCTGGAATACGCTTATCTCTTCGAATGGACCATCTCCATCGTCCCTCGCCGCTGCCTCATCCGCGGCATCTGCATCCGGCCCGGGTAATGTTCCGCATTCGCCAACCGCACCAGCCAACCTCATCAGGAGCCTCGATACCGGTAGTCAGGTCTGCAACTTAGCATGGTCCAAAAACAGCAACGAAATCGTCTCGACCCACGGGTACAGTCAAAACCAAATCATTGTCTGGAAATACCCAAGCATGCAGCAGGTCGTTTCGCTCACTGGCCACACCTACCGAGTGCTTTATCTAGCCATGAGCCCTGATGGACAAGTCATTGTCACCGGTGCCGGCGACGAGACTCTCCGCTTCTGGAACGCATTCAAGAAGAAGGAGAAGAATGGCAGTCTCAACACCATGGACAAATGGGGTGTCATTCGCTGAAGAGCTACCACTAGTGGCACCCTTTCTAACATTGTACCATACAGGGCTATCGCGTCGTGTGTGCAGTGCTGCAGTGTCGATCGCCGTTTTCTATCATGGAACGATCCTGTACTAATATGTTTTGTGTAGATTCACAACTCATATTGATCCAGCATCTTCACGAAGATGGACGATCCACGGTTACGTGGGACGACTTCGAAATGACGGAGATACTCGGCACGATACCCCTCACAAAAGTTTCTCTCTATGACCTTATCAGCATGGAAACGGTGTTTAACGGCGCATTTCGATGGACGAGGAACCAGGATACCATTTCGCTATTTTCTCGTCAGCATCCACCTATCAGCATATCTTCTGGGATCTAGGTGTGCTGCTGCTTTACGACTTCGAGCATTTGCTGGCGACGAATCTTCCTGCATTTGGTGGAGATTTGGGTTATCTGGTTTGTGATCGATCATAATGGGGGGCTTTGGTGGCATTTTGCTTCGGCTACTTTCAGGGCGCAGAAGCTGGAGTTAACGGCGTTGGAGACCGACTTGACAAGCAAGCGGCGAGCTCTGGGCATTGACGATTATGATTGTACATTTAGCCCCGAGATACCACCAACTTCTTTACTTCACCATTCCTTTTCCGTTGCAAGCTACCCGTTAGCTGACGGTTCCTTCCTGATTGGGTGAGCTACTGACCCACTGCAACACCAAGTGGGGTCTTCACGCCCTGCCAGCACCTCGTCTAATCTCATTCATGCTCAAACCATTTCACTTTACGATGCATATTGTCGAACCGTCTGTGTCCTTTGCACTTCTTACTTGTCCTTAGTTTTCAACTCACGTCCGTTTGAAGGATTCCCATACGTCCAGAGCCTACCAGATGACTCTCTCCGACCTCGTTACGACGAGTCTGAAGAAAAAAGTACCCCGCGAAAGCTTTCAATATCCTCTGGGTCGTCCTGCGACTCCGAGCAATCCCATCTGCTAGAACTAGATTTTGATCCAGAAGGAGCGCCATGGGGGAAAGGTTTGCCACCTCAGGACCGAGGTGCCGGTGCTTGGAAAGTGCTGCTCGGTTGTTGGCTGCTCGAAGTATCTTGGGGTGTGAACACCTTAAACTTATTTCAACAATGAGTGGCTAACGAATCGCAGGTTTTCCTATCAGCTTCGGCGTCTTCCAGTCCTACTACTCGACGCACCCTCAATTCTCAACGTCGACTTCAATACCCACGATCGGCGCTCTCGCTCTCGGGTTCCCCTACTTGTTGCTTCCCCTCACAAGCTCTATCTGCTTAAGATATCCTCATTTCCAGCTCCATTTTATGTTCTTTGGGTGGTTCATGTTAACTTCCAGCCTGCTCTTAGCTTCATTTGCCACACAAGTCTGGCATTTGATATGGACGCAGGGCGCAATGTATGGCATGGGCTGGTGCGTCTGTTATACGCCATTCCTCATTATTCTAAATGAATGGTTCGATAAGAAGAGAGGGCTTGCGTACGGATTGCTATTCGCCGCCTCTGGAACGAGTGGACTGATATTACCCTTCATGCTTGAGGCATTACTCTCTCGTTATGGCTTTCGTGTCGCGCTTCGGTCATACGTCGTCGTATATGCTATCATCAGCGCGCCATCCTTCTGGCTCATTCGACCTCGGTTACCCGCTCATCGCCGGAAGCAAGACGCAGGCAGAAAGTCGGAGACTACCCGGCTCTGGTGCACTGTCCTCATATCCCCAGCAACCTTAGTTATATCCGCCTCCGTCTTCCTTCAAGGCCTCGTCTTTCCCTTTCCAGCAACCTTCCTCCCCTCTTTTGCTACAGCGCTCGGTTTGCCTCCTTCGGCAGGCGACTCGCTTCTAGCCGTATCCTCACTCTGCCAGGTCCTCGGCCTTGTTATTTTGGGCTGGTTCTCTGACCACGTTTCCTATCACATACCTCACTCCATCTCGTCGTTCGTATCTGGCATCGCCGCTCTATTTCTCTGGGGACCCGGGAAAGGGTTTGCTCCATTAGCAATCTTCGCCGCGGTATGGGGCTTCTTCGCCACGCCGTACAGCATGTTGTGGACGAGGATGAGTGCTGGATTAGCGGAAGAGGGAGGACAAGAAAACTTGGTGCAGAGGACAATGGTGCTGTATTCTTGGTTTAGCTTCGAACGGGGCGTTGCAGACATCCTGGCAGGCCCGCTTAGTGAAGTGCTGATTGAAGGAGAGGTCGCGAGGGGGAAATTTGGGCTGGGGAAGTGGAGGGATATTGTGGGCTTTTCCGGCATCATGCTGCTGGTGAGCGCAGCTGGGGGGCTGATGTGGTTTTGGGAAAAGTGGAAGAGACGGCCATGATGTAGATATTGAGATAGGGATCTGAGAGCCTCAGCGTACCCAGTGAGTATTAGACTGTTGCTCTCTTTGCTACCATGTATCAAATTTCGACTCCAACCCACTACTTCTTTGCCTAGAAGAGTCATCCTCTTCAACCTCCCGGATGTTCATATCCTTCGTTGGACTATGAGTACACCTGCCAATCGAGCGCTACCGTAACTGTTGGTCTCAAGCGCAGCTTCACCTCTATTTTCACTCTTCGCGTTAGCTCTGGTTCTATGTATCGCGCGCTGCCCTCCGAGGTCGCGCCGCGTCTCCCCGGAGACGAGCCCGGAAACGCAAATGACCACTCTCAACAATCACGTGAGTGAGTGAAAGACATCACAAACATCCATACGCGCACCGAATCCCAACAATTCTACACCCACCTCTCGCCCGACAAGCAACCAGCACAACACGATGTCCCCGCCGTCGATCCAAGCAGTCACGATGGACAATCCTCTCACGGATACACCGCCGCCGGACATCCTGGCCCTCCACCGCATGCTCGAAATGTTCTCCCACGCTCTCTATGTTGATGTCCGCCGCACCTTGGACCCCGCCGCCGTCATCCCCTCGGATATAACACATCGCATGACGAGTGTCTACAACATCAAAGGTGAGCGTCAAGTCCGCCCCGCCTTCCTGACCAAACTGCGCGGCCACATGCGCTCCCTTCGCGAGGCGCGCAACGCGGGTGAGACAGGTAAGGCGTTCAGCGTTGAGCACTTCATCGTGTCTCTGGGTGTCGCGGGGATGCTATGCCGACTGGTGAATATGAAGGACGGGGATGTGGGCAGCGATATGAAACCGAGATTGAGGTATCGGTTGGGCTATGTGAAGTTGGTGCAGAAGCGGGATGCGGAGAATGGGGTGGAGGTTTGGGTGCTGGATTGGAAAGAGGGGAACCCAGGGGATGAGAGGGAGCTGGGGGAGATTGAGAAGGAGATTGGGGGTTTGGGGGTTGCGGGGACGGGGGATGGGATGGAGGTTGGTGGTTGAGGGACGGTAAGAAGATGAGATAAGGATGTAACGGGCTGCTGACATTTTCAGGTTGGCTCGCGTATCAATGGCTTGGATTCTGAGTTCGTAAAAGGCCATCGGTATGGGGCACTGCTATGTGCGGTGCTGTTTAGGGGGAGCCAGTCTAGAACAAGGGCATGCAGAGTTCATGTTCGGGTTGGAGAGCGCGTGGTTATCAAGGCTTAGTTATGAAATACAGCCTTCAGACGGAGACAGGCTGTGGATCGTCTGGATTGGCAGTATAGCTAATCCGACCCGCTGGAAGAAAGAATAGCGCAATGAGAGCGCCGCCCCGTACCTGAGGGTAACTATATAACTTGTCAGCTTCTTGAAGTTTACTACTGCATGCAAACTGGCGGACTTACTGATGAGTTCCTGCACCTGGAGACGTCCACCCCGCACCCTGCCAACCCTGCATTCCCATTAACTCCGCCGTCTTATCAATCTGCACCACACAATTGATCTCTCCATATGGATGCTTATGGTACTGTCCCGAATACTCCTCTTGTGAATCCATATACACAGTCGTAATGCTAAAGAACCGCGTGTCTTCCTTGGGAAGAGCGACCTTAGAGCGCCGATACTTACGCCCATCGATCTCGATGTTAGCAATCCAGCCTTCTTCAAGTCCTTTGCGTGTTAGGGAGCATAGATCCTCATAGATGAGATTTCCGGACCCATAGTGCGTGTTGAGATATGTTTCGAGGTCTTTGCCAGGGGTGCTGCGGTAGGTTAGGAAAGGGTGGAGGAGAAAAGGAGGAGGGAACGGACAGGTTCTCGACCTCGGAGAAGAAATCTTGACAGCGTTTGAGGAGCTTCTGGGCGGTTGAGTACTTGGCGAAGTCTACCTCAACCGGGGCTGCATTGCCGCTTTGGCTGGTTAGACGGTCCATGCTCACGTCTTAGTGCGAGTTCGGGGCTTTTCAAGTGCGTTCCGTTCTGACTGTGGAAAAGTAAGTATGTTGGTATATGATGCTCACGTTGCGGCTCCTACCAAAGCTCTCATGCGTCGACCTTGGAGAGTCTGATGCTGGAGGGCATGCGATCGTTCCTCCACCTAGGCACGAAGCTCTCTTATGAGATTACCAAGATGCACGCAGATGCTTAACTTTTTTTTAATGGAGCTGAGCTGAAGACGTCGGATATGTGTTCGGGAACATCTTCAATGGTTGGATGGTGCTTACCCCGCAACTGCAGTAGCTCGGGATGCATTCTCGGAAACTGGACGCCCTGTCATCGGAATCGGAACGGAACTCATCTAAAGTCTGGATTATTAAAACGCGAAATAAGCGTTATTGGAAAAGACGGGAAGTGAAGAAGGAGCGAAAGGCAGGTAAGGGGATATTCTTCTCCAAAAACTTATTTTAACCTCATGCGCCTGAGGCATGCTGGAACTGGCTCGATGAAAGATAGCTTGATCAGACGTTGAGCATGCCCTTCATCCACCACAATGTCCAATTGAAACAAGCGAAGTTATGTAGCAGCGCCCAAAGGCGAATGACCATTCAGACAGCTCCAGACGGGAGCCTACTGGACTGGCTACTATACCGCTCGATTCCCCAACATCTAACAACAGTAGAAATGCTGGTGCTGGCGAGTCGGCCTCGGGCGCAACGGTCGTGGATGGGTGGAATGTAACGCCTGGAGACGGGGTGCTGGAGGTACAACCTTCTCTGCTCCCCTGTTCTCATGACGCAGGAATCGTGATGGAGTCTCGTTTCTAAGAATCTTGATAGGTAAAGCGGCCAACGCGCGCGATGACAGTGTTAGACCTCTTCCACAAACCTATCCGTTGGCCAGGCTGTACGTCGGTGACGCTATATCGAAGAGGAAAACCTATCCAACCAATTCGGAGTCTGTCTACTACGCATCGTCACCAGACTCGACGCCAAGTCGAATGCTTATCTCGGCGATGTCGGCCTCGGTCTTCGAGCAATAGGCGGCTTCGCGTCGACTGTGCGCTGGCAAGGTGGCTACTCTCAACATCCGCCGCGTACATTGCGTTGCAATCGGAATAGCATGGGGTCGATAGTGCGTCTGGTGGAGAAGTATGGCAGCGGGGAGGTTGAGCGGTTGTTGTCAAGCTGCCGAGGTTGATATGAATGTACTCCACCGATTCGGTCTAGCGGACCAGCCCTTCTCGTCGGGGAAGGTGCCATCAAATCCTTTGACTACTTCCTCATCTCCTTTCCCATGCATGATCTTTGTACTTTCGCATACCCAAGCATTTACTCTGCCTCTTCCTTTCACATGCTACCTGCCATCATGGAGATATCCTCTCCGACGCTATGGGCATGCCGTGTACGCCTTGCGACGCGGTGGGCGTCCTTCTCACTACCATCGCCCGCCCTGAAATGCTCTCCTATTCTTCCGGTCCCCAGGGAATAGTAACGCCTTAACCGGGTTTAGAGATACCACCGCTCCTCACGCACCATCTCCTCGGCGCTTCCGACCGCTGGCAACGTCTGCGACGGAACGGGCACCGGTGGAGAACTGTTACCTCCTGGGGCGCGAACACCTCGCCTAGAGGCGCATGAGACCCAGCAGACAGGAGCATCGCCAGGGTCTTAGATCGGTGCGTGCCGCGTGCGCGTGGCACGATCTAACGGCCCGCTCTGAATCCTCCACGGAGCGTGACCTAGAGCAACTTCACAATGCGGGGTTCGCGTCACCACACCAGTCCATCTGCGAGACATGTTCCCGCTGCCTTTCACGCAAAGGCAGAGGTAAAGGTCAACTGAGCCGTGGAGGTAAGTGTGATGGGGTTGGGAAAGGTAGGCGCTTGTTTAGGTCTCGGCGACTGCTGTTCTCCCCTACCCCGGAGAATGTCCCCTGCATACTCTTCGGATGTACCCCTTTCAGTCGTACGTTTCTATCTTGCAGGGATCGCAAAGCGCTTGCTCTTCAATATCCAGGATGGATGTCTTTTTATGAGCAGGATGCAAGCTGGACGCTGCGATGGTACTGTACACAGTAGGTACCGGACCCTTGAGGACGCGGGCTCTCGTCCCGTCCAGGTCCACCGGAGAATCTTTATTCTCTTTTTATTTCCTTCCCATATCAAAATTTCTTGGTCAAATTGTTCCAGAATTTGCGTCTGTCGCGTCTTGAAATGCATCCGCGGAGCCGAACTCAGTTTGATGAAAGCGCGGACGCTTCGGACCAGTCACCTTTCGAGACGCGAAGCTTCTCTTATTGCTCTCCTGGAAGCGGCAAATCCACGCCAAGCTAACTGACCCTATTATTCATAGCTGGGCGCGACTGTCTAGGCCCGTCAGGCGCCATGTTCATGCCTCCTGGTCAAGCCTTCTCAACTTCCTAGCTTGGTGGATCTCCCGCTCTACCTGGACAGTCTACAACCTGACCCTAACTGGCAAACCATGAAATGTAACCACGGAAGGCTCGCTATAGCAATTTATCTCCGTGGACGAATGGGATTCCGGCCTTTCAGAACGACCAGTCGGTCACAGTCCGTTGCCTTTACCAGGCCATGGGCCGGAAGGAGTCCAGCAGCCGACCCAAAGTTTGAACCATGCTCGTGGATGCATCTCTTGGTCTATTATATAAAGGACCACGAGGCGGATGCACTTATGGGGTGTGTTAATACTCCGTGCAACGGCCGACTCTATTCTTTCTGCAGCAAGCCACCGTCATGTCTTTCAGGGCTTTTATCGTGTCCCTGCCACTCCTTTGGAAATATACTACGGCATTCCCAGCTGGCCCTGGATACTTCCCAAATAATCAATCTTCGCCCGTTAATGACGTCCACGTTGCGGCCTACGGTCTGATCGACTCTTACGACGCTAGCAACTGGTTGAGCAAATTCGACGTCCAGGCTGTAAGTAAAACATCATCTATTGAGGCTTCTGCTAACCCGGCATAGATCGCAGATCCTACCCGTATGCTCTTCCACTAGATGTGCGCGGCAACGTTAACCTGAACATAAAGATGGCTTTGTTACCTACGTCAACCAGCAACAAGCGCAGCAGCAAGGCCTCATCAAGACCCAGAACAACCAAGTATACATGGGCGTTGATACCACATCCGTACTGAACCCAAACGGCGCCGGCCGAAACAGCGTCCGCCTGCAGAGTAAGACAGCCTACCGCCATGGTCTCATTATCGCCGACTTTGCCCACGTTCCAGGGAGCAACTGTGGCAGCTGGCCAGCCTTGTAAGTCATTATATTTATCAGCAAGCATATCATTGCTAAGATAAATGTAGTTGGATGGTGGGTCCCAACTGGCCCAACCAAGGCGAGCTCGACATACTCGAGGGCGTCAATCTGAATACCTACAACCAGGTCACATTGCACACCTCACCCGGCTGTGTCCCCAGCGTCGGTTCCGGCGGCCAAAGCGGGCACCCCGTCGGCAACGCAGACTGTGGCGCAAATGGAGGCTTCACAGGCTGCGGCGTTGAGTCTAATTCTGCCACGTCCTACGGTACGGCTTTCAACGCTAACGGCGGCGGGGTGTACGCCGCGCTGTGGACGTCTTCTGCAATCAAGGTTTGGTACTTCGCTGCTCGAGATGTGCCTGCCAACATTCGCAATGGAAATCCGGATCCGAATTCTTGGGGCCAGCCGATTGCGAACTATGCTGGCTGTGACTTCGATTCGAAGTTTGGCAATATGAATATCGTGAGTCGAATCCGCATATGATTGATAGGGGAGATATGGGCTGACCTAATGTAGATTTTCGATATCACCTTCTGCGGTGACTGGGCTGGACAGGTCTGGGGATCGAGCTCTTGTGCCAGCGCTAATCCGAGCTGCAACGCCTACGTCGCGTCGCAGCCGCAGTCCTTTGGCGACGTGAGTCTTAATCTGAACCCCTACTAGCACAGTTTTGCTAATGTCTTCTCAGAGCTATTGGCTGGTCAACTCGCTCAAAGTGTACAGCGTGTAGAACGACGAGGCCAGAGCGATCTTGGTCGGCGCTTTTCGATTCTTGTCTATAGTTCACGTACTCATCTACATTTTCTCTTTATCCTTTCCGTTTGTCCGTACTGTTTTCATCTCTCTTGCATCTGTTCCTTCACTCTTTGCATTTCTTGTCCATACTCCCGGACTACCTTGTGCATATCCGGTCCTGCAAGTTCTACTTGTTCATACTCATCGGCACTCATTTATTCTTTCGTCGTTCTTGCATCACTTGCATACTCTTTCCTCTGTTGTCTCATCCGATTAAATTGTTCTGTATCCTTTCATTCAGTGTACATATGGAGAGGGAACGGTCGCTTTGAAACGCTGATACCCTTAAGCGCTAAATGTCATTTCCATCTATCGCAAGTCTATAAAGCGCAAATGCCTTAGGGTTAGTTATGTTCATTGTCCTTCGACCGCCGCCTTCAGAGCCTCGATCTCGCCCTTCCTCCACTCCGTCACCTTGCCCTGCCACTTCTCGCCCTTCCCGCCTCCTTTGGCCGTGCTAACAAGCTCTTTGACTTTCGTGGCCATGCTTTCAACTAAGCCCTTCTCTCCGATGATAACAATGGACCCCGCTGTCTTCACTTCTCCTGAAGCGAACACGACAACGCCGCGCTCCTTAACGGCTTCCTTGACTTCAAAAACCACCAGATTTATATAGTCCAGCCCATCCGTTGCCCGATAGCACCACGCTTTCTTGCCGGCAGCCAAGTCAGCCTTGATCCTGTCGCCCTCGTACTTCGCGATCTCGGCGAGCATCTTCTTCTCCTTCTTCCTCGCGTCGGCAAACGAGTCGCTAAGCCGCTGTACGCTGCTCTGCACGTCTGCCGGCGCAGACCCCGACGACAGCGATACCGCGATATTCCGCAACGAGTTGATAGACTCCGTTGCAAGCTGAATCGCGCGATCGCCCGCGGAGAAGAAGAGCCTGCAATTCGTGCCGCGCACACTCTGCATATGATGCAGCAGAATCACCCCAATATGGCTCGTCTGCTTCAAATGCGTCCCACAGCACGCATTGTAGTCCAGATCGCCGATCTTGATAAACCGCACCACGCCCTTCTCTTTATCGTAGTCGCCAGGCAGCTTATGCGCCGCCGCATCTCCGGGCGTTTCGACTGTGATGGGCATGTTGGTCCGGATGGCTTCGTTGCAGCGCTGCTGGATGCTGCGGAGCTCCTCGTCGCTGGGCTTCCGCAGGAGCTCGATGTAGTTCATTTCTCCCGCGGCGCCCATGGACCAGCTGAGCGTGGGCAGGGACATTGTGTCCATGATTGCGGAGAGCAGATGCTGGCCCGTGTGCTGCTGCATGTGGTCCCAGCGGCGGTTGAAGTCAACATCTTGCTGTACTCGCGTGCCGGGCTCGAGGGGCTGGGAGGACAAGTGGACGCAGCGGAGTCCGTGGCGCTGGATGCTGGTGATGGGTATAGCGCCTGACGGGTCTGAAGTCAGAGGCGTGATGGAGCCGTGGTCTGTTGGTTGGCCGCCGCCTTCGGGGAACAGAACCGAGTCCGCGAATTCGATGAGCCATGTTTTTGAAGATGGTGCTTCACCGTTTCCTATTGCCTTTCCGGGATCGGGGGACTTCGTGCTTTTCGACTTGCCGTTTGTTTTTTGCGTCTTTGGGGCTACGTATTCAGTACACGATACAACTTCCGTTTCCAGACTGCGGAGATAAGAATCCTTCTGGCACGATAGGGCGCCCACGATGCTTGGGATCGGTTCAGCTACGGCCATTGCTCGTAAGACGAGAAGAGATGTGTTACGTGAAGAAGTAGGAGAGAGTTTGAAGAAACTTTGATTGGACGTCGAAAAGAAGGACGAAGGAAGATGAGAGAAATGGCGCGAAACGGGACACTTAGTAAGCGCAATCCGGGTTATCATCGAAGCTATTGCAGGCTGGCCACCTTTTACTATGAGGAGTACTTGGTTATAAGTTTCCAGTCATTTTGCAATGAAAATTTGCGCAGATTATCGTCGAAGGGCGTGCTTGAAGGGCGGAGAAGCCAGGGGGAGATACCTTGCGCTTGGCTTGAAAGGGACTAGCTCCGTCTGTTCATATTCGAAACCGAGCTGCGAACAGCTTCATCCATCTCACAGTTCAAATGCCCAATGTTTCCCACGTTCATGTATTAGGAGTCGCAATGGATTCGTACACAAGACTAGCCCATTGGCTCACACCCACGGGTCGGTGCATCTTCCAGGTCGCCGCGACGCCAGCCAGATAATGACGCACAAGAGCTTTGGAGTAACGCAGCTATCCATGTACCACTGACCGACCACCAAGACTTCTAACCACCACAGCAAACATGCAGAAGAAGCCGACTCACTCTGCCGTAACACACTTCATATCCTCCATCCTCCCGCCGAAGAGCAACGAACGTCCCGCTCCTCTACCACGCCCCCCGCCATCCAAAGAACGCCGCGGACACCGCGGTCGTCGAACAGATCGTCTTCAGCGTCACCCCGACACCCGGCGTATACGACTTGATAGGCTTCTCAGATACAACGGCTGTAGAACAGCCTGCCCGGGCGCTACCCCGTCCGCCGCGCACGATATGCTTCCTGCAACGGCCGTTTGCGCTCGAACGACGGCGGGTGAGAAGGGGTACGCTGGTCTTAGCGAGCCACACCTCGTTTGATGAGCATCTTACGGTGGGCTGGAACACGGCGCTCGCAGAGCGTCTTGGGATGGACGTTGGCGACAGTATATGCGTGGCGGGATATAGAGGGGATGCGGAGACGAAGATCGGCATTATCGGACGTGTTTGTATGCGTCGTGGTATGCTTCGGCGGCTCATCGCTCGAGAGTTCGGAGCTGTGGAGGCTGAGCACTTGCATGGAGGGTGGCCGCGATCATGAATGCTTTTAACGCAGACGAGGTCTATCGCGTCTTGGAGATGGCGCGGCAGCGGGGCTGGATTCAGCCCGAAGGGCAATGCGGCAGGCATGTCCTCTACCTCACCGGGCAGCCGAGAGAGAGCGGGCTAGCGGCCGCGAACGAGCATGGAATGACGGCGATTTGCGTGGGGCACCGCGCAGCTGAAGAGTGGGGCATCCGATATATGGCTTCCCGTTTTAAAGAAGCTTTCCCGGGTATGCGTGTGGAGGAGGTTTTCGAGGAAACATCTGCTAAGAAAGACGCATGATTTATTCGTCTATAATGGAGGCGCTCTTTGAAGCTTCGCTACCTCAGGAGTAGTAGGCCTATAATGCACCTTCTCTCTAGGTTCCTAGTATGTGCTAGGAACATTATAGGCCATGTATCGATCAGCCTGGAGGCATTCAGTAGGTTGAAGCAATCCCACATCAGTCATCATCGTGGATCTACTGTCCCGATGATGAGGGCAAATGGGCTGGAACAGATCTTATATAACCATGACACCTCACTCTGTCTCCCTCATTTCGTCGAGGTAAGACCGAGGCCTACTTCGTAACTCGCAGGAGACGCTATGCTACCCAATCTGTCAAAGTCAAATCAGATCGATGCAACTGCCAATCTACCTCGTTGGCTTCCGGGCGGCCGTGTTTCCCGGTCTCCCACGAATGGTCGGCGCTTTCTTGGCTCAACTCCAGCTGGAGGACCATTGAGGCAGAAGTCCTTCAGTAGATGAACCGCATACCGTGGTTTAAACCGGCGTCCACTCCCATAGCCCTTCAGCTATCAATCAATCAATCACTCAATCAGCCACTCCTCAGAACCCTCCACCCATCCCTCCTCAACTCCCCCACCACCCCCCACCCCAGCTCCGCGCTCAACCCCCACGGCACCCTCAACACGCACCTCCCCTTCTCGCAGCCCCTGACCAACTCCGCCATCCGCCTCACCGGCGCCAACACCTCGTCCTCACTCTCCGCAAACTGCTCCAGCCGCACCTTGTCATACCCGCCCGTCGCAGGCACGACCTCCACCGCCAGATCCCGCAGGCCGCGGAACACCCTCAGCGTCTCCCAGATGCTCTTCCAGCTGGCGAAGTCGGCGGTCGGGCCGGGCAGCGGCACGCCGTGGCACGTGATGCGCACGTGCGCGATGTGGGAGAGCGCGGACAGCGGGAGCGACCAGGGGAGGTAGGGCATGTTGGGCCAGTGGTCGGTGAAGTCGAAGACTGTGGTGCTGTAGAGGACGCGGATGGCTTCGAAGTATCTGGGTCCGCAAGCATGTCAATCAATCAACTGCATTGCACGTAGATATCGTAGGAGCTCGTGGCATGAGATAACTCACATTGCGCGACAGGTTAATAGTAAAGGCAGAAATCCTTTCTCCTGACATATCTCGCTTTCCTTGATATGGTTTGCGGTCGTCCAGAGAAGCTCCCGCCCTCTGTTGCGCGCGTGCGCCATGCTGATGCATGCGGCTTGCGCCGCGCAGACGAAGGCGCGCAGCGTGTCGCGGTCGTGCCAGAAGATGTGCACGGTGGAGTGGCCGAGCACGTGGGCCCAGACGAGGTCGCGCAGCTCGATGGGCAGGGTGCGGAGGAGCAGACAGGAGGAGGATTGGAGCGTGTACATGTCGGGACGGCTAGATATGGCTTGGCGGGGAAGGCGCGGTTTGGGGGTGCAGATGTATTCGGAAGACTGGGTGGTTGTTGTGCTGGGTCGGGATTCCACTGTCGAGAGGATTGAGGACCATGGTGGCGGTTGTGGTGGCGTTGTTCGAGCTCCTTTGGGGGGATCGATGGTGATGTTGAGGCTGCGCATGAGCCGCGTGAGGAAAGTGGTTGCTGATGAAGGCATGAAGGGTGCGGGGAAGTTTGGGACCTGGCAAGACGGGGGATTTCTTGTGTGTTCGAGTGCAAGGGGATGAGATGTCGTGTGTTCTGGGTTGGGGAAGCGAGTTGACACCAGGCTGGATTGAGGGATTTTATTGGGGAAAGCTTTCAGCTGTTCATGTACCAAGATCCTACGGTTTTGGAAAATGGGTCGATGCCTTGCGCGGCTACTTACGCCGGGGTGGGGCCTCGTGAGTTTGCCGACCTCCAACGATTCGAGTTCTACCACAACTTATCAAACACTGGTATGGCCTCTCACTTACTTCCCGCGCTGGCGCTATCCTTCAGCATGCACTATCCATTCCAGCCCCGACAGACGCATCTCATGTCTTTTCCGAGTATGCAACAGCACAAAAGCCCTCCTCAAGTAAACTCATCGTCCTATTAGACTTCCTGTAGCACCCGGTGGAGGCCAAAATCTTGCTCCTCTGCGGGCGCTGCCGAGAATACGCAACGTCTTTGCGCTTTGTGGCATGTTCTCATCGTTGACGACATTCGCCTTCATCTGCTCGCTCTTATACTTCGTCGGCGTGCAGTCCGGCGGCTCCAGAGCAAGCTTCCTTGGGGATGTGTAGTCTGAATGATAGCGCGACGGTCCGCGCTCGATGCACACATTCGGGCTGAGGGGGCTCAATTCGATCCCGCCGTCATCTGCATCGTGCAATGTGTTTGGGGAATTGATGGACACGGTCCGACCGAGAGCGAGTGGCGTCACTGGTGCGAGGCCTGGGCTCTGGTCCTTCATCGTACATTGATTCATTGCGGGTGGAGGTTGATCGAGAATGAGGCGCTTGCACACATCGGAGATGTGCCTCTGGGACCGGGCCGATGGAGGTGGACGATATGATCCGGCCGTGACGTAGTTGGATCCATCGGTGGAAAATTTGCTGCCGCTGCAATCGCTGCTGTCGTCGGGCATAAAAGGGTCATGAAGCAGTCCATGGCGACTCTGTGGATGCTTTGGATTCTCTACCCGATTGGACGAGAGCGGTCTGGTGTTACCAAGCTCATAGGTCTTGTCAACGGATTGGGTGGGCTCGACAGTTTCTTGTCGGAGAGCATCGGAATATCCTTCGTTAACGCCTGCGACTTCTGCCTGAGATACTGTTGATAACCAGTCGCGGATTTGGTCCTCTATGGAGACAGTTCTTTTAGGGGAAGCGCCTTGCCGTCCTACTACTAGATAGCCGGAGTCGCCTGACCAAGACCCTGAAGAGCGCTTAGATGAAGACGTGGGGGACTCGTGGGAGTGTGCGATCTCTGGTGCGGCTGAAAGCAGCTCCTTGGACGGTAATAGTGATCCTGGACCATAAGCGGGTGTACTTTGAGGAACATGCTGGCGTTTCTGGTCCCGAGGGGGTGGTGAAGTTGCCCTGGAAATATTTGGGAGCTGTGGGTATAGAGCGACTCCATGCTGCGATGGCTTGCTCTCGAGGCCGGCTTCTTCGAAGATTTGCTTCATCCGGCTCGCATGACCAGGTCTTGCAGGTGAGCTCAGCAACGAGCCATGGTGGAACCGACGTCGACCAATGTTGGCGCTTGCACATAAGGAGGGTGTAGGAGTTGCGGGTACGTCGTGTTGTGTCAAGGTAACACCACCATCCGGAGAACGATGAGTGCTGCGCCCGGTGTGCTGGTTCCGGCGAAACGAGGGTAATCTGTTGTTTGGAGTGATGGGCACCTGGATGTTGGCCGTTTGCTCAATGCGGCTGAATTCATCTGGCTGAAGGCGATGGTGGTCTGTGTCGTTTGTTCAGCATGTTTCGATGAACAACCATAAAGCAACGACATACCGTCGGAATGATGAGGCTGTAGATCCCTCAAGGGCACAGCGACAAACATCCGATGCTGCGAAGTGTGATCGTCGCGAGTTACGGGTGTTTCCTATATGCAGATTGAGCATCGCGCTGGGGGCGTCTCAATGTGCCTGCCGCTCGTCCAGCACTTACTTGCAGACGAGCCATACGATCTGGTCAATGTGACTGTAACAGTGCGTCTTGGACGTTAGTCGCGGGAGAGGGAGTGGGTTAGGCTCGAAACGAAAAGGAGGTGACGCAACGAAAAGGTTGAGCAGTGGAAGTGGGTGGCATGGTGCCTACCTGCCTCTCCGACAGTAATGCAAACACTGCAAGTGCATGGATCCGCTGCTTTCGACTACCCGTTGCGCTCGCCCATGCTTCTTGGAAGAGGTGCAACGAGCAGGCACTATAGTAGGCGCAGGTAGGCGCGGGTAGTCGCGCAGGCGTACTGCCAGAAACATGTTCCTGCCCAGCCCTGGAGGAGTGAAGGACGGTGCACGTGAGGGATTCAGGGTTGGTCAAAGCACAAGAGAGCGCGTAGGTAAATGAGTTCGACTTGGCTGACGACATGAGAGATGAAAGACGGGGCAGAGACTTGAGAAGCTTCGAATTGACGTGGACCGTTCCTTCCATCAGAACCGCCCGCCACCTTCGATCGATCCTTCCGTATCCCGCGCAATCTCTCTTTATAGCAGCCCGCCGATCCGGCTGGTGGCAGGGCGTCGGGAATAGAGCTGGATTACCGGCGGAAATTGGTGAGAGCGGTTCGCGGTTGCAAGATTGAGATTGATGAGAGGAGAGGGGCGCATCCCGTCGCTCGGTTTGCGCAACGGCACCGGTTCACGACGCCGTCTGCAATTCTGGTACGTGCCCTAATATAGCGCGGGATCCTTAGTTCATTTGCGCTGACCGAGCCTCGGGCAGCCGGTCGCCGCGTTCAGATGCACAGCTGCCTCCTGCGGCCGTTCATGCATGCTGTGCAGTCGAGGTGATGGGGGGCTAGATATCGCACGGCGAGCTCGCCGACGAGAAGCGCGGCATGCGAGCGCAACGCGGCGGGTTTGGAGTGCCCTGCCCGGCGTGGTGGTGAGGGCCAGGGGAGCAGGGCTCAAACAGGGGGCCAGCGCTCAATCTCGGGAACGAGATTCATGCTCCACCACGCGTGCGTCGCTGCTTCACGGTGCTGACCGCCATGGGACGGCGCATCTCTGGTGGAGCTCACTGGCGGCGCGACAAGGCAGCAGTGCTCACGGGCGCACACGAGCTGAGCCTGGCCGACGAGAGGACTGTGGACAGTAGCTGTGCCGGCGGGGCCGTCGTGCACTCGGAGCCTTTTCTCGCGCTCCTCTCGCCTTTTCTCCTCGTGCTGGCGCGGGAGTTTGTGCGCAGCCCGCTAGTGTCGCACCAGCGCGCGTCCAATGAGGCGGCGCGCCCACGACCCCTGACTCGTCTACCTGTGGCAGCTTGGGATGGCGCACCCTCCGCCGCTCGCTTCCCATCCTCTTCCCATCCTCCCTCTGCCGTCCCAGCAGTCCGTGCGCCCAGCCTGATCCCAGACCTCCCCTCCCGCCAGGCCTGCCATGCGCAACAGTCAGCTCGGGCCAGCCCCGAAAGTCTCTGTTGGTGTCGAGACACTGTCTCCGCACCCGTGCTGCCTCTCCTCCTCCATCTTCACCACCTCTCCGTGCTGGTGCTGGCCGTGTCTGCTCGCGAGCTTGACGCTCTTTCCTTCCCAGTCCATCTGCTGGCCTTTTGCCCTTCTTTTCGCTCTTTTATCGTTACTTTGCGCCACCTCGCCAGCCTCCCGCGCTGCGAGTTAAATATATCTTACCACCAATTCTTAACTCACGCCTCGCCTGAGCCCACCCCTCAACCCCCCGACCGCAATTCACTGTGCGCCGCCAAATACCGCCTTCGCAAGCCAGAACCAGTGCCTCCGACGACGTCCGTTTGACCTTCAGTCGCGGAAATGCTCTGATAGAGTACGTACACTGTACACCGTTCCCTTCTGAAACCCCACAATTGGAAATCTACCCCCCAGCCCTGCAACAGACAACGTCAGAAGATATCCCTCCTCGCATCCCACGCTATTCCCTCCACGCCGTCTTAGTCTTCTCGTTATTGTTTTCCATGTCCGCTTCTGGCCGTATTGGACCTGTTTTGCGCCTTCGCATTGTCTTGTCCCTCTCGCTTGGGGAATGCCTTACCGTCCGTTCGCTTTCTCAGCATCATGCTAGGTTCGCATCTAACTGTGAGAAGGGATAGGTCCTATAATTCCTAATAGCGAACGCGAACGCTCGGTCTGTTTCGTCAGGCTGCTGGTTTTGTACCTGCAGCGTCGTGCTCCCGCCTCGAGCAAGGAATCATCGACATCGGTACCCCTTCGTACCGATGCTCTATGCCACTCCGGCCCATCTCTGACGCTTGCCCCTCCGTTAGCCTTCTCTTTATTATCGCAGACAGATAGCTGAGAGCACCGCCAATCCGCAATTTGTAATTGCCCCTGGGAGGAACCCTCGTTCGCCATTCCGTGCCACCGACTTCCGCATTGGCTCCCAGGCTCTGCGATTGCCCGCTTGCGGATGCAACGCCCTAGCTTTTGCAGCTCGCCGCGCTATCTGAGACAGAGTCAACGGACAGGCGTGATCCTTGGGGAGCTGTCACCACCTTTCGCCATCCCTCCATCTCTGAAGCCTCGACCCTTCACCAGACCAGTGTCGGTCTATAGACACGCCCGGTCGCCATCATTCCTACCGACTCTTCATGAGCTACGATCCCAGACTGGCCGCCCGGCGGTATGGCGGGCCAAGCGAAGATGATGATGGAGAGGGGAGGAAAGGAGGCTCCGTACGGGCAGCGCGCGAGAGATTACAGGCGTCGCAATATGAAAGACAGCTACCAGACCGATCGAAGATAATAGGACTGCCACAGAGGCCGAATCAGCTCGTCTCCCAGTTTTCGACCCAGAACCGTCCGCAGCCGCAACGCGACCTGACACCCCCGGATAGCAGAGGAAACGGAAACACAATATCCCCCACACCACAATGGCCTCTTCCCAACAACGCAGACGATGTAATAGACTCACGTCCCGGCCCGTATCCGAAGTCGCCCAACCGAGGGCCTCCACCTCAGAGACCTCCGCGACCAACGTCCGACGAATTACCCATACAACAACCCATGTCTCCAGGTTATCGCGAATCATACCAAAGCGATGAGGTCTTCTCACCAACATCTGCCCAATCCAGACCCCTAACTACTTCCTCCGCCGCATCCGAAGCTTCATCATTAGGATCTATACCAGATTTTCCAGTACCTCAACCCCCAATGCCAACAATACAACCACTTCCCCGACGAAACCCCAGCCTAGGCCCGCCTCCTTCTTCCCGTAGAGGACCCTCGTCGTATTACACCCAAATATCTTACGTGTCGCCGATTGCTGAAGAGTCAGATACGCGTTCAGATATCATACGGTCGCAACATGGTTCCTTTGCATCAAGCAATGTCATACCCACGAACGATGATTTCTATCCAGAGGACAAGTATGCGCGCTCTGACGATGAGGAGACAGTAACAAGCGACTATGGCCGGGATTCGAGGGCGAGCGATCACGACGATAAGAGTGGTCTTGTTACACCAGCGCTCGTTCGCCAAGCTAGTCTAGGCAGGAGGACAAAACCGTCTCTCATGACGATCAAATCTGTGGACAGCCTTGGGGAGAGGAAGGGAGCTTCGGTGAAGCGAAAACCAACGCCTGGTGGCGCAGGAGCAGCGGTAGGGGCGGCGGGCATAGGAAGTGCAGTATTGGCAGCAAGAGACGGAATTGGAGCACGCGGAATGCTAGCCCCATCAAGCGGATCTCTCAACAGCGGCACTGGGCTTCTTGATGCTTCTTCTTCCGAAAATTCCTTGAACTCGACCAGGGACGCCGACTCACGATATGGGGACTCAGAATCACAGACGGCGTTGGACCCGGAAAAGGACGGATCTAGATCGCCGGTACATCCGCTGCAGCAGGAAACGCGTCAGACAACGTTAGCAGAACGCGTTGGGAAGCGTCGGCCGCCGCGCATTGACGTCGACGCAGTACGCGAAGCGGAAGCGCGTGGCAGCTTGACCAGCTTACCGGAGCTGATCAGGCGAGCAACCAGGCTGGCCGCAAATCTCGATCGCGGAAAGACTGCTAGCAGATTAGGGCTCGACTTTTGGGAGTCAGGTGCGCCAGAGAAGGGCTCTCGCAGATCTGGTTCCTTGTCAGATATGCTCGCCGCGTTCCCTCCTCCAGGCGAAGCTACACCCCTCGGAGCGACCACTCCCAATCCGAAGCGGACCTCTCAATGGCCCTCTGCTGGTAACGGCGGCTATGGTGGAGCGGATTCTGCGATGAGCGATCGAAAGCCTAACAACAAACGCCGCCGCCGATGCTGTGGCATGCCCATGTGGACATTCGTCACGCTCCTGATTGTGCTCTTGTTCCTCATCGCTGCTGCAGTCATCATCCCTATCGTCCTCATTGTTCTCCCTAGGATGAAGAACAATGGGCAAAATACCGCTGCGCAGGACACCTCCGCGACTGGAACAAGTACCAGCAACAATCCTGCTGCGCCCGCGCCCACGTCAGGTGGTCAAAACGATCAGTGCAGCGGTATCATCACGTGCCAGAACGGTGGTGTCGCCATCTTGAACGCCGACCGGTCGTGCAATTGTGTATGCATCAATGGATTCACCGGGAGGACCTGTGCCACTGAGGGAGACTCGGGATGTACTACTACGAGCATCGGCCCAGCCAACAACGCTACCGTCGGCTCCGGAATCCCAAGGCTAATCGAGAGTGCTCAGAATCAGTTTAGCATTCCTCTGAACTCGACTGTTCTCTTGTCGCTCTTCTCTAGCCTCTCCTTGAGCTGCACGGCGGAGAATGCGCTCATCACTTTCAACGGTCTCGCGTCTCGCTCGGTTGCGCAGGATTATATTCTTGTTGAAACTTCAGTCACACCCTCACGGTCCCTCCCAATACTCGACGCGCCGCATCCAGAGCGAGCGCCGCGCGGGCTGGATCAAAGGCAAGCAATTGGCGGACCAGGAGTTGCCAACGCGAACGCGAACGCAGCTGCAACAGCAACAGCAACAGCAACATCTGAGCCCAGCGCAACTCCCACACCAGACGAGCCTATTTCGAGCAATGCAACTGCCATTGATTTCGCACGCGTCGGAGTCCTCCTAGCATTGCAAGAAACTGGCAAGCTAGACACCGCGGCCAGTGCGCAGGAATCCATCCAGAACTTTCTTTCCGAGGATCGGGCTGGAAACGCCGAGGGAAACACAGTCGACGTGGGAACATTCACAATCGATCTCGTTCAGCTCTCCATCAAGTTCGAAAACGGGACTACCATCCAAGCGTCCTCGAACGCGACGTCTTCGTCGTAATGTCGTTACGACTTCCATCATCTTCGTTTCTTTCCATACACAAATACCCCTTTCGTGCATTCTCACATGAGATTCTCTTCGCCAAAATCTTTTCTTTGTCATACCATGTACCATATGGCGGCGTGTCTTGGGGAGAGCGAGCTTAGCCTTGCTCTGTGTATTCCAGCATCGGCGTTTCCACATCGTCTCGGCTGCGATTATCTTCAACCCGGATTTTTCTCTGCTATTGATGCACGTCTTGAGGACGGAAGCGCGATCTATGGATTGGATCTAATTTCTTGTGTGTTGGGCTTAATATACCCCTTTCTTGGACGGCAATGACGACGGTGGTGGAAAAGGATATCCTTGTATATAGCGCTGCCAGGAATTGGCTCACGGCATAGATGCAGATGCAGGAATGCTACATTGTCTGAATGAAGCCGGGTGGATCCTCTGGCTTGATGGGTGAAGATATGGTCTTGGTGACTACCATCGGCAGGCCCCTTGATGCTTGTTTTCATCTTTGGAGTACCCTTCAAGTATCCTTTCACTACACCACAACATCGATCACTCCGTAGCAACCGACGATGGGAAGTCTCTACAGCAACGCCCAAGCTGCGCACCGCAAGCTTAAAATCGTCAACACCAACCGCCCGCCTTCCGTTCTCTCAACACCACAACACGCTGCACACCTACAACCCACACACATCCAAGCAGCACACACCTCACAATGAGGTTCAACGAACTTTTCGTCGGCGCGCTCAGCGCCTCCCTCGTAGACCAACCCGAAGTCACGACCACCGTCACGCGGTACCTAGCGGCGACTACCACGGTGACGGTCGGTTTTGCGCCTACGACGCCTACTCCCGCCGCCCACTTGTCCCCGGTCGTCTCCTGCGCGCCTGCCGCCAGGCCTCCGCCCGGCGTCTTCAACTCTACGGCTTCCGTCCCGCAGTCGACCTCCGGCACTTCCCTCCTCTCCGCCATCGGACAGTGGGCCTCTGAGCCCCTGGCCATCACGCCGTGGCAGATTTTCCTCACGCTTTCCATCCTCGCCTCGCTGTCCTCCTTCGCGGTCTTCGTCTCCCGCATCGCAAACCGCTTCTACCTCCTCGACCTCACGAACTTCCTGCTGCGCGCCGCGCACATGAACTGCATGCTCGTCTGGACGCTGATTATCTTCGCCCTGCACTATCTCGCCTACCAAGCCATGCCCATCGACCCCATGAACGCGCTGGTCACGCGCCTTGCGCTGTACGAGGCGGAGAACCCGACGCTGTTGGTGATGGCGTGTAGGTGGGCCACCAAGTGGTGGCGTAGGCACTTTTATCAGGGGTATGGGGTCCTGTGGGCGGTCTGGCTGGAGGTCGGACCGGGGATTGAAGAAACGGGGCGAGTGCTGCTTCGGCGCGCGGGACAGATGTCAAATGCGCTTCCGAATCTGACGGAGCGCGCGCTGGATGGGATTTCCGCCGCGATTAGGTTCGTTTTCTGGTGCCTGGGCGCGACTTACGCCGCCATATCGACCCTGCTGAGCTGGGTTTGGGCCGGCCTGATCCTCCCAACGTCACGCTTCCTCAAATCCACAGCCCTCTTCACAGCGCAAAAACTCTACCCAGCACGCTACCTACGCCACCGCGCCCTGCGCAACATCCAGGCAACCACCCAAGGCGAAACGTACGCCCTACATCACCGCGCCGCCAACCTCTCCCTCCACGAAATCGTCTCCCTCTACGACACCATCTCCTCCCTACAATCCCAACTCGCCACTCTCGAAGCCAGCACCTGCGTCACACTAGCCCAGACATGCCTCCGCTACCGCAGCAGCCTGCTCGCGCTGATCAGCGACGTCAACTGGTACCGCCGCAGCTGGGACGCCGTAGCAAACTACCTGCACAACACACGCCACAACATCAACCCCTCCAGCGTCTGCGCCGAAACGCCCTACCGCTCCTCGCGCATCGTGTTCCTGCCCACCGCCAACGCCCAGGGCTTCCACTTCGACATCGACCCCGCGACCACCTCGCGCCTCAGCTTCCACGACGTGTACACCGTGCGCGGCGGCAACGGGCGCAAGTTCCGGACCTATGCGTTCAACTCCGGCGTCGTGAATGCGGGGCTGGTGCCGCGCGCGCTGGACCTGTTCCAGAGCGAGCCGTGGGGCTTCGACGTGCAGTTCCCCGGGATTCGCATGCCGCGCGCTCCGCGCGCGGATGATTTGTTTGATATGAAGCGGCGTGTTCCGATGCCTGTTGCGGAGCAGCAGCGCAGGTTTGGCGAGATGATGGAGGATGTTGCTGCGAAGGGCCGCGTGCGGGAGTGGGAGGCGCTGCGGCGGGTCCAGGGTGCTAGGCCGACGCGAGCTGTGGTTGAGAAGAGGGGACCGTTTGGATGGTGAAGAGAAGGGGATGGGCGCAAGGTGGAGGATATGCGCCGAGAGGATGTCTTTGGAGAGCTCGTGTACGTTGCCGTACGTCCTCGTTTGGGGGCACCGCCGGCGACTCGTCTGGCGGTCTTTTCTTTCCGGATTTATGTTTTCTGTCTTTTCTACGTTCTCGAACGGGAACGGAAGCGATGTTTGGCCAGGATGGTTGGAGGTGTGCGTGCTTTGTCTTTCCTTTCTTGCGTTGCTCCTCATCTGCGTATCTGCGCTGCTTTTCATGCATCCCCTACTAATTGCCAGCGTCGTCTGGTCCAAAAGCTATTGACTCGGTCCTGGTTCCAGCCATGGATGACAGGAGTACTAGGGGAGTGAGTAATAATTAGCGTATCGAACTGTCGAAACAGCTCGCAAGTTCAGGACTTGTCCAGATACTCTAGCAAGTTGTAGCGTAGAAGTCTAGAAGCTGCGAGGTTTTTAATCCCAACTCGTTACATAGAGGGTGATATTGCTTCCCCGCAGACATTAGAACAGTGCATTAATTCTTTCGGTACCTAACCCTGTTCCTGATTAATCCTTCGTACTCTAGAAATAGTAGCCAGGGCAAAGCAGGCATACGCATTACCCAATCCGACCTATGCATTCAAAACGGCTGACCAGACGTAGGCAGCCCGAACCGCCATCGGCCTCCCTAAAAAGCATACAAAAGCAATAGAAATTTCCTCCCCGATCCGTCAGAAAGAGGGTATATCCGAATCCCTCTCATCCCAAACACCGAAAGCAGGAGTATGCAAAAATATAACCAACGCTAAGCCTAGAACCACCTCCTTCCTTCAAGCTTCTGCCAGAACCTCCCCTTCTCGCCTTCTTCCCTCGGGCCAACAAACTCAAGCACCTGGTCATTCCTTCCAATCCTTATGTCCAAATCGAAAATGTCGTTCGCAGTCCTTCTGCCTTCTCTGGCGCCCAAGCAGAAGCTTGCTCTGACCCTGACGCCACCGTGTCGATCTTTCGCTATAGGGCTCAAATGTGGGCCAATATCCTGCGCCACGCGATAGGCAAGGGCGCTCGGTGTAAAGCGAGTTTTGAGGGCCACCGCCCAGCGATTGAACTCTTGGGGGCGCGCAGCCGGGTTCGCGAAGTCGGGCATGGTCGTAGGGTCAACGGCGGTTGGGGTCGGACTTGGCGAAGCTGGCGGCGTGACGACGACAAGGGCAGTGGAAGAGGGTGAGCGTGTGTCCATCCAAGATTGAATGATCTCGAGATCGCGGTAACTTTCTTCAAAGTACGTCAGCAGCCAGAGAGAAATGACCAACTGGCGCAGATTGTCGAAATGCCGAAGAGGATAGAGGAGAGGGTTTGTTATCGGAGTTGCAAAGGAGAGCACTGGGCTTCCATTGTAACCACATAGCTTGAGCTCCTCCACCGTCGAAGCATGGTGAAGCGCAATCGTCTGTAGGAATGGTGCTTCTGCCCGCCATCCGTAGTATGCTTCGAACTTGAAGTTGGAGGGCAGCGGTGTGGTGTGCTTGTACGAATGAAGAATCGCATCGAGGTCCTCCTCCTCAAGGTTGTATGTAGCGTCGGATCCCTGACCTGGATCCAGCGCCTTCAGCTCGTCGCCGCGCGGTCCCCAGGTATTTCCAATGGGGAAGGTGACGCCTATCAAAACAATTTTCTTCAAGGGCGCAGAGTGCAGTGCACGTAAGATTTCCTTCTTCTCGTCCCTGGGTATTCCACCTTCAAGTTTCACTTGTTCCACTTTGCTCATCCAAGGCGCGAATTCGCTGATGAACCGACGCCGACGGACCCGCTCTTGCTGCTCGTGGATTTCTCGGCTTTCGTCCGTGAAGGTCTCGCCGTTGCCAGAATAGTAGCTATCAAGCCTAAGATCAACTAGAACATTGCCGAGATGAGCGACCAGTCGCCGTGTTCGACTCTGCAATTCCGGGGATGGCTTTGTATGCGAATAGAACCTATCGAGCGGCCACGAAAGGCATTGTATCTTAGTATGAGCTTCCAGGAAATCCAGGAATGTGTCTTCAAGTAGAAACACGTCGTCCGGTAGCTTGGTTTGAGGTACGACTGCATTGCGCATCTGGAATGCACGCAGGTTTGGGAATCTCAGCTGCGCTAATTCCTGCATGATGTTGAATGCATAAAAATCATCGTCTTTCTCTCCCTGGCGCCAGAGTATCCAGTCGAGGTTGAGACTGGTCAGCGTCGACGAGGACTTCGCTAGCAACCACATCAGTGGGTCGCCCGGTGAGAACTGTGGGATGACGCCGCCAATCTTATTCGCATCTACGAATTGCTGAACGTCTGCGAGGTCTTCCCATATGTGTGCATCAAACTCGTCAGCCTTCGCCTTGAGCTGCTCAGGTCTAATCTGGGGCCAACGGTCCGGGAAATTCTCCTTGGAGAATTCGACTGTCGACCAGAGCCAGCCGCCCGCGGCGTTATGCAGCTGCCACGGGTGTCCACCGCGAGACAGCCTGTACTCCAGAAAGTGCATCTGGCTTCTTTCGATGTGACTTAGTGACTCGGCCCGCAGGCGACGAATGCGTATAGACTCCAAACCGGTAGCATATTGCGCGGAGAGCAAGCCCATGCCTATTCCTAGCATAGAACAGCTCTCCAGCCATAATTTTCGGAGCGGTATACGGCAGGGTCGAGCGGGATCCAAGAAGCCTCCGAGGAGCGCGCGCGTAAGGTTCCAGTGCCCATAGATTATCCTCAGCGTGTGTACATTGACGAGATTCCGTATTGCAAGTGCAAGTAGCGCCTGCAGGCGGGAGTCCTGCGAGAGGGTTTCCGCATGGAAGTACATGCGCGGCAGCTCCGTGAATATGTTCGGTGTTGGCAGATGGCACCGATGTGTGAGGATTTGGACTTTGGAAGCAATGTCTGGGTTCCTGAAGTCGATGTTAGCTTATGTTTTCTATACTGCACTTTCGGGGCCATACGTCGCCAAAATATAAAGTTTCTGTATGATTGGGGTGTCATCGTGCTCATCCGGCTCTCCTTGACCTCGGTCACCCCAAAGTTGACTTGTCTCGTCGTTTAGGTGGAGTTTCCATGTATCAGCCAGACACACGGTCTGCCAGAGAAAGTCGCTGGCATGGCGGTAGAAGCATCTCGAGACGAGGGCGGCGGATTTGAGGTCGGCGGCGGGAAGGAAGCCAACGATCAGCTGGAGGAGCTCGGTGGGAAGATAGTCAATCTGTGAGGGAGGTCAGCACGGCACGCAGAGCACGGGCTGAAGGTGGACGGCTGCTTCAATGGGAAGCGTCGGGCACGGAAGAAAAGTGTTCTCCCTGTGGTCGTGAGCCGCTGCTGCCCACGAGTCGTCATCCGTAGGAGAGACCTGTGAGAGGTAGTGGCTGAACATACTGATATGCGCGGTTCCGCCTCGCTGCAAGGCGGGGGGCGGGAGCAGGAGCCCTCTTCAATCGTTATCATGACAGTAGTGTATTGCACATGGAGCGAGAGTGGTGTCAAGGAGTAGTTATACTGTGCTCGAGCTCGTGAGATTTCGCGGCGGCTTCGAGCGGTGATGTGATGTATGGTTACGCACAGATCGCCCGCCCCGCGTCACCCCTGTCATCCAATTCTGGCCCGCAACGGCCCTTCACGCCATGACCAGCCACCATCCGCAGAAAGACATCCCTACGGGCAGATATTGCGTCCTTCACTCAGGCCGCACCGCTGTGCTCCGCAACATACCCGCTGCCTTCTCCTCCCGCAGCTTCCTGAAATCCGGATTGCTCTGAATCGGAGTGCATCGAAACATCCCGATGCTCGGCTTCACGTCTTCGAAACCGAATCGAGGATACAGCATTTGCCCCAGCGGTTCTGCTACCAGACTCACGTACGCGTGAGGCGCATTCTCGTCGATATAGCCCACCAGCGCCTGCATGATGCGCTTTCCGATCCCCTTCCCTTGGTGGCCGGGATGCACGGCGACGTCGCAGAGCTGGAGGAAGAGCGCTCCGTCTCCGAGTAAACGGCCCATCGCAACCGGTTCTTGGTTAGGGCTAGGCGTCGTATCGTCCAACATATACTTGCGTTCGTAGGCGAGAAAGCAGGCAAAGGAGTTGGCGAGGGCCTTCGGGACCGCTTCCAGCATCATTGTCCGGTTTGGAGGGGTGAGGTTGGCCAGCTTCCGCAAGTCATGGTACTGCTGCGGCGTAGGTAGGCCCTGCACGACGGTGTACTCTGGGACATCCATCCTGAGAGAGGCGATTTCGAAGACCAGTGGTTTTCCGCGGCTTAAGGTAAGCGGAGGTTGTTGCCTCTGACGCGATCTGAGGAGCAAGGGGAATGGTACTCCGGGCCCGACCCAAGCAAAATCGGAGTAGGCTTTATAACCGTCGGAATACAGCACCACAAACATTCCGCCCTCATTTTCTTGGTGGCTTCTTCAGGCATTACTACCTGACGTCGAAGCACAGGCCTGGAGGTAGCTCAAGGTCAGGCCGTGCTCTGTACGCGCACTGTACTACTTCAACGGCCCACGCCGCCCAGTCACGAGCATCATCATACAACTGACTCACTCCTGACCCCAGTCATCACCAGCTAATTCTCCGACACTCCCACCATGGAGCCACATGTTGATCTGAAGGCCGGAAACAGGAAGCCACGATGCAGCCACCCGCGCGCCCCTGCCGCCAGTTGCGCTTTCCTGCTGCATCCTCCCAGTCGCCAGTGTAATGTCAACACTGAGCAACATCCCGCACACCGCACTCGACTACTCATTCCTGCGCGTCTTTCTCCGTCCTCTTCTTTCTCGTTCTGCCACCCTTCTCCAGCAAAAGCGCCTCGTGCCCCGGAATGGCCGATCAAGCACGTACACAGGTCGCCGTCGCGCCCAAAGACATCCAGCACCAGAGAAGCTGGCTGACCCTAATTCTGAAAGCCCTGGTCGCCGTGATTACCGCTCCGTACCGGCGCACTTTCAAACTGTACACCTGGGCACCCATCAGCGCCATTCGAGCCGCGGGCGGAGATCGCAAAGCGCTAATACCGTTGGCGAGGGATTTCAAGGTGGACAAGTATGCCGAGCTGCAGTCTGTCCAAGTTGCGGTGAGTGCATTGGCTCTTCGCACTACAGCATTTACTTCTTTATCCTTTGCTCCACTGCTTCCACCATCAGCGGGGTCGCTCCTGCTTCACGCCAGCTCATAAGCCGTAGGCCTCGTTCTGCACCGGCGCGACGCTCTCTACACTACCGTGGTCTCGTGACCAGAATACCATTTGGGTGGCCGATGCTCTGTGGTTCAGCTCGCTCGCTTGCGCTATCTGGGCTGTCATCACCTCCATCCAGATGAAGTCGATCCTCGACGATCTGCCCAGCAAGGAGCAAATGAACTCTATGCTTCCTGAGTACGAAATCAAGCGTATGAGGCGGACAATACTGCGTTACAAGAAAACTCCTGGTATGTATAGATCCGCAGGCGTTGCAGATCGTACTCCGCTCACCTTTCAACAGGTATCGAACATTGGATTATGTTGTTTATCTGGCAGTTTCCGTCCATGACGATGAGCTATGCATGGGCGACCTTCATAGCCGCGCTGACGATGTACATCTGCACACCTTTCATTGAACATAATCGGTGGGGGAGGTCACATAAGGTATGCCGATCCCGCTCTATGCCTTCACCATCCGGGAGTGTGCTGACTGGGCACAGATTGCCATCGTGTACCTTGCCGTGGGCGGTATGGGCCTCATCACCTATATCCTCTCTTCGGTGTTCGTCTACGTTGGAGAAAAAGACTTTGAGCGTTCCGTAGCGAATACGCGAGTCAACACCGACGAGGCGGAGGCGGGAATCAGTCCTCACCCTACTAGGCAGGCCGAGGCGAGGAGTGCACAGCAGGGCGCGACCAAAGCTGGGGATCCAATCCAGACTGCGCGTGCTAGAGTCTTGCCCGGGGGGGATCCATCCAATGAGTCCCGGAAGGAGTCCGACCGTTCTGGAAGATCGAAGCGGCAGCTACTGATTTGAGAGGTTTTCGGTCTCCCTGAAAGCATCTCCTATTTCGCACGAGGGCATCTGATGATATGGCCAGACTTGAAGGAAAGAAAACTTAGTCGAAGGGTCATTAGGCTGGCCTATTGAGAAGGTAATTTGAGAGGATGAAAAGGAGAAGCAAGCGAGTATGTCAAGGTCAGAAGCTTTCTTGATCATTTTCACGGGTGCTCTCCTAACCACGGTGCTCGTATCATAAACGAAATACTCAGTATCCACTGCCAAATCCACAGGGTCCTGTCAAACGGTCCAAGCCTCACGTGTCAGCCACCACCTCTCCAGGGCTCATAACAAATGCTCGACTCTCGACAGCCCTCCGCAAACCAAACACCACCACAGCCTTTGCGCCAATGGCGGCGTTCCCTCCCAAACGAGATCCGTAGCATGTTCATAACCCGCCGCCCAATCATCGGTCCCACACCCCTGCCCAGCTGACCGCCACGCGCCATGCCCGTCTCGGCAAGCCCCAGGAACCCCCGCCACGCCTCGCCTCTTCCGCTTGCAACCTCCCTATTCGGGCTCAACGATGCCGGGTGTTTGTCCAGTCCATGGTCGGCACCCCTCCTGGCAGGTGCTTAATATACTGGAGTTATGCGTAGCGCAAATGAAGGTCGGCGGCTCGTGAGAAGATGTGTGCTGGGAGCCCCTGGACGGCTGCTGAGCGGGTGATTCGCACACAAGGGTGCCGGTTACCCATGTGCATCATTCAGTCCAGATGTCGACTGGGGTAGAGAATTTGTATAAGGTCTGAAAGTCCGCCGTTCGTCATGAACAGTAGGTGACGTTCTCGCGCTCTCTCGTTGCGCTCCAGCCTCGAAGATGTTGTTCGAACTCGTTCTCGCTGTCACATGCCTTGCTTGGAGAGTCTGGTCGGCTCCAGCTCGATTGGAGGAGAGGCAAGCGCCTGATGGGGTCCCGGACTATGTCTTGAAGTACGGTGAGTATCCGTTCCCCTGCCTCTTCTTTCCAGTCTTCAGAAAGAGATATTCCGTTGTCTTCACCTGGGTTCCTTCATTCCCAAGCCCCCGCGCCGCCAGCATGATCAGTACACAAGTCCGCTGGCACCTACTCAATTCGTACATTCGCCCCGATGCAGCAATGCATAGGTTTCACATGACATGTCTTACAACGATCCCTCAGCCTAGATTCTGACCTATCAACACGCAACGTGCTCACTGACATGCTTCAGCACCAATCGTCTACCTGCACTCTGCAGACCCATACATGCCTTCGGACCTGCAGACGCACATCTCGCATACCACGCCGCGCGTAAACTTCAACGCTGTCTCGGCGCCGAATCCCCTTGACCTCAACAGCCTGAATCAGCTTGGAAGCGATGTGTATCTCACGTCGAATGACGACGTCACCAAGAACCCGCAATGGATCAAGGGCGTAAAGCCCGATGCGAATGGAAAGACGAACAACGCCATCACCGCAGCAGTCATCGTGAATGACAAGGGAAATGGCAACGTCGACGCGTTCTACATGTACTTTTACACCTACAACTGGGGCGGCACTGTCCTCGGGATTCCCCAGTTGAACTTCGGTAAGCTCTTCCCCTTTCCCTCCTGTCTTCCGCCCATTTAACACATCTCAAGGCAACCACGTCGGCGACTGGGAGCACAACATGATCCGCTTCTCCAACGGACAGCCCCAATCTGTCTGGTACTCGCAACACGCCAACGGCCAAGCCTTCAAATACTCTGTCACCCAGAAACAGGACTCTTTCCGCCCCATCGCCTACTCCTCCAACGGCTCGCACGCCAACTACGCCATCCCGGGCACCCACGACCACACGATCCCTAACTTCAACCTCCCCGGCGGCGTCCTCGAAGATCACACCGAGAAGGGCATCCTCTGGGACCCGCTGCTCGCAGCCTACTACTACAAGTACGACGCCGGCGCGAACAAGTTTACGCCGTATGATGCGAATACGCCGGTGAATTGGCTGAGTTTTGGCGGGAGGTGGGGCGACCAGGAGTATCCGACGAGCGATAAGAGGCAGGTGAAGCTTTTTGGGCAGGCGAAGTATAGTAGTGGACCCACAGGGCCCGCTGACAAACAGCTTAATAGGAATAATGTCTGCCCAGATAATGGGAAGGATTGTATTTTGAGGAGTATTTTGGTGCCGAGGAGGAGGGATACGGATGGGGTTATCTTTGAGGGGGATGAGGTGCAGAGATGAAGCGGTTTTAGGTAGGTAAGTGGGTGTGCGAAGGGGATATAGTAAATTAATTGTAATGTCTTACTTGGATCGGGGGATATGGTTGCGTTGGACATACCCAACTGTCTACTTCATTGTAAAGAATTCATTTGTGAGGGGTATCTTGTAGTCATGATCTGGCTCCAAACTCTCCGGTGACTTGTGGGGAGAATGTTTTCTTGAGTTTGGTTTCGACGCCTGATCACGTGCCACTTTAGCGCGTTTTCTGACCTAGGATGTAAACACAGCAAATGCGCGGCAGAACTACGCACGACAACCTTTGGGACGACACTGCTCTGCTGCTGACGCGCAAGACGCACATATTTCCAGCTCAACATGCCCGCCGCCACGAAGCCCGAGTCCCGCTCCCCATCTCCTACGCCCGCGCCGCCTATCGCAGAAACTCCAGGTCCCCGCGCGCAAGGTCTCATCAACGTCTTCAATCAGGCTGTAAAGGCGACCCTAGATAAATGCTCTGCTGCCAACTTCGCATCATGCTTCCCTACGGCTGCGCAATACAGCCCAGAAGTACTGGACAATTTGCGGGGCCAGATTGTGGATCAACTGGACCGAACATGGAAGACAAACTTCGAGGACATCATGGAGCGGCGCGATGTTGTCAAGTTGCTCAACTCGCTGGATCAATGTATTGAAGATGCGCGATTGAGGAAAAAGCGCGCGGAGTCGAGCGCAAATGGCGGGCCTGTGGAGGCCCCTGTTGCGTGAGTACTCTCCACCAGCTCCTAATAGCTACGATGCAGTCAATGCTAACTGATCGGGTGCGCAGGCCGCATACTCTCCCGCCCTCTGAAATATATCTCGCGCATATGATGCCTTTTCTCGAGAAGCAAGCCGCCGACATGAACGTGCGGCTCACCGAAACGCAGCAAACAAACACGGAGCTGCTTTCTACCGTCAGCGCGCAACGCGCTGAAATAGAAGGCCTAGTCCGGGGCTTGGAGAACGTCATACAAGATCTGGAAGCGAGCGCGCAGATAATGGGCCAGGATGATGTGCAGCAGTTGAGCAAGGAGATCAAAGTTCTTGAGACGGAAATGAAGAAGTGAGGCCCTACAATATGGCGAAGAGCACGAAGAACACGAGCCTCGACCTCTCAACGGTAGCAGACTCCGGACGCGCCAAGATGAAGCCTACCGAGAAGGCGACAGGGCGCGGACGCGTCCAACGAAGACGACCCAGTCTCAGGACGCAGCAATAAGGTGGACAGGGCAAAGCTGCATCAAGCAACCAGCAGTGCCGAGGCTCAAGAGAGAATGGGCTGGTTGGGACCTTACCGCCCTACCAAGCGTCGGCATCGGGCGACGAACGTCTTCGCAGAGTTGGACTTCCAGCTTCAATCTTCAGTTAAATAAGAGAAGACGAGCTAGAGGCGGAGAGAGAGGCTTGGATCGGTTTACGCTGTCCTAGAGCCGTCAAACAAGTGGTTGAGGCGGGTCAAGTATCCGCGATCCCCAGCGTGGACGCTCTCCGACGCTACGACTCGCGAGGCCGTACTATGCAGCGCCTGGAGAGTAACTCGGTGATCCTGGAGGTAGCGATTTGTTCTTCTCAAGTGTTTGCCTTTAATGCTTTGGGCATGATTGTTCTATTTCTTGTTCTGAAGTCGATACAGGCATCGCGCATCTACTTAATTTATCTACCCACGCGCACATTTCTTCACTTATCTCGTCCGTTGACAGGTATCGCATTGTACGCCCGGTAGTTGCCGTCTAATTCAAAATTCCGCCAACACCACCGAATTACAGATCTGATGTGCTATCGGGTATCACTGGCAGAGCGCATAATTTTTGCGCAACATCACGGCTTACCGGCACTTCCTTGTAAGCCGCGATCTACCGCCCAACATATTCCAGAAAGCCAGGATATCACGAGTGCCGAATCGCGGGGCCCCGCGTGCTCGAATATTTCAAGGCATGCAATATCCATTAATCTACACCAACCCAATCCGTACACCCACCGGTTATCCGTGTAATATACTCAGATTACCCATCACCAAAGCAGAGAGGAGCGAGAACAAGAATGCGCGAGCCGCGGCATCATCTATATAGGTAATGGGGCATGGCTTTAGAGACGACTCCTCGTTCCTCTTTTGCTCCTTTCGTAGAACTGCCATTCCCCGTTGTAGGATAGGAGAGATCTGGACGCCATCAAGCCACCATGAAGTTCTCCACAGCTCTCAGCGTTGCCCTAGCCGCTGAAGCCGTCAATGCAGCAGCCCTCCAGCCCCGACATTGTACTTACTCCTTCCGATCCTCACACCGTCCAACCCCCTCTAACCTCCACCAGACACGTTCCCCGCTCTAACAGGGTCCTCTGACTGGCAGTATGTGCGCCAGACCGTCAACTATCAGAGCAACGCCGGCCTCAGCGATGTCAGCTCCGACCAAATCCGCTGCTACACCTCGGGCATGAAGTCTGCGCAAACGACAAGCGTTGCTGCTGGTTCCAGCGTCGGCTTCAAAGCGAGCCCGAATATCTTCCACCCAGGGCCCCTGCAATTTTACATGGCCAAGGTGCCGGCGGGCAAGACGGCGGCGGATTGGGACGGCACTGGGAATGTGTGGTTTAAGATTTATGCGGAGAAGGCGAGTGTGCAGGGAGGACAGTTGAGCTGGGGAAGTCTGAGTATGTCACCCTCTGGTTTACGAGCTTTGCTTGGGCAGAGCAGAATAAAGAGGCTAATAGGCGAATAGACAAAGGCACCGTCAGCGTGACGATTCCGAAGAACACACCGTCCGGCGACTATTTGCTGAGAATTGAACATATTGCATTGCATCAGGCGAGCAACGTTAATGGAGCGCAGTTCTATATATCCTGTGCGCAGATTACGGTTACGGGTGGCGGAAGCGGGTCGCCAGGTCCTTTGGTTAGCTTTCCGGGAGCATACAAGGCGACAGATCCTGGCATCAAAGTTAACATCTACTCTGTAAGTGTAGGCCTGGATTAGAGTTTTCGGGAAGTTTACTAACTCCCCCTGAAGGGCGCCACTTCGTACACTCCTCCCGGCCCAGCGGTCTGGAGCGGTTAGGCAGGGATCTGTTTCTGCGGCCGAGGTTAGGCGCTGGGTCTGTTGTTGAGTGAGAAAGTAGCATTTCTGCATTCCTATAAGGAAACCAGCATTGAATAAGGAGAGCGGTTATCGTTCTGACAAGCTGCAGTGCCTAAGTGAGATCTTGTCAGGTCGTGCTATGAAACCCTGCCTCTGTGCCATATTTGGTGCTCACAGCAATGGTTCTGGTGGGGTACTCTACACATCCGGCGGGGTTGGAGTAAAGGGGAACGATTGCTGAGTGATGACGTTCGGCCGAGAGAAACCCGAGCTCGAGCATAGACGTAATTTTCCGAGTGCAGCACCCCTGATCTCTCCTATTTCACCTGTGGATGCCTTCAACATGTCGACGTCGACACCCTTCGATATTGAAATTTGAGAACAAAGAGTAACAGAGAACACCATGAAGCTACTGTCCGGCCAAATGCACGTGCAAGGCCTAGCCTTTCGACTAGCCGAGCAGCTTGGCCCTAATAGTCTCTCACCGCTGGGTTTATGGCAGAACGTGCATACGCGAGCGAAACCCATGAGCAGCAATTGGTCAATCTAAACCCCGTTCGACGTGGCATTGCCTTTGTCCCGCGCCGTTCGGATCCAACACCAAGGTTCCCCAGGATCCCGAATCCTCCTCTTGTTGCACCACAGCTTCTGTATCGCGATTATGTCAGGCGAAGACGAGCCATATTGGCTCGGGCGAGCCTCAGAAGAGCAAAAACGGCTTATCAAGCAGCATCATGTGTGGACGAAGTAGGCTAAGCGCACTGCCGATTGATGCCCCTCATACTCATCTATCTTTAGGAGCATCGGGTATCTGCTACATCCGTCAATCGCTACCAAACTCCCAGAAGACGCCCGCGTCGCAGATATCGGGACCGGAACTGGCATTTGGTTGGCTGAGTTGGCCAAGGTGTCGCCATCCACATACCAATTCAATGGATACGACATTTCCGATGCGCAATTTCTCCCAACAGATACCCTTCCATCGAATGTCACTCTTCGTTTCGGTGACTTCAAGAAGCCCATTCCCGAGGAGTTGCGCGGCCAATTCGATCTGGTCAACATCCGACTGATCATCATCTCCATGGGCGAAGGCGTCTGGGAGGCTACTCTCCGCAACGTTCTCCAATTGCTGAAGCCTGGGGGCGCAATCTCTTGGACCGAGGGGAACTTCTTCGTCGCAAGGGGTTTCCGCGGAGCCGATCCGGGCTCTTCTGGAGGGCACTACCTCACTAAAGCCCAGTTGCAGCTAAACAATACCCTCATCAACCGCTTCCGGTACAACTTTCCCGAGTGGACCAAGATGTATACTGAAGCGGGCCTGGAGAACGTCGAAGAGGATGTTAGTAGCACGGATCGGCTTGTGGAGCAGCGACCGGACTTTACGGAGATCGGAATGGGCGCCGTTTTCGGAGGACTGAAGAACCTGGCGAGCACGAAAGCTGAGGACTACTGGACGGAGCAAGAGGTGGATGACTATAGAGAGAAGGCGCTCGAGGACCTCAAGTCGGGTGCTTACTTGCGCTGGGATCTCCATGTCACCATCGGCTGGACGAAGTCTTCTTGAGTGGAATGGAATGGCACAAACAGGTACCTCAGAGAACTGTCTCTCTACTTGGATTTGCATATATCAGTTGGACATCAACACAAAGTATCTATATCTTCATGTATACTCAGCTCTTTCGGCCGAACCCTTCGACGGGACGTTGCTATCGCTCGGGCCTTGTTAATATGTCATCTATCGAGCGTCTGATTGGTGCAGGTGGCGGCTTTCCTGATTTTTGGTACCTGCCAAGACCCTTTCCCTTCTCGATGGAACCGGGCCATGACCCTGACGATCTTTTCGCGAGCGTTTACGCATTTCCAGAAAGCTGTGTCTTTTCGGATGGTTTGCGCAATGAAACGGCGCCGGCGCTGAGGCTTCAGTGGTCTTCGCCGGCGATAACGATCGATCAGAGCTAACGCGTAGTATGACGTAGGGCCACGACGATCTGGACGATGGAAGATTTCGCGCTCCCAACAGACGCAACGCCTCGTTCCAGCGCTATGCTGTGCTCCATCGATCATGGTTTTCTTTCTCTTATCTTCTTTCCCTTCTTCCATTGAAATTCACACCTCTGTCGTTACTTACTCAAGAGCTTCTTCTCATTCAATTCCCGAGCGCTTTCTTTCTTCGTCACTCGCTTTGTGAAGACCATCGAACCCGACTATGCGAGTACGATCCAGACAGTCTTCAGGGACCGATAGCACTGACGAGTTTCTCAACTTGATTGCAGATCCCTTCCAGGCTGAGGTGAGAGCAGATTCCCGCTCTTACTTGGCGGCCTTCATTGACCACCTGCTCTAGATTCAACAAAACTCCATCTATGCCGCCATAATATGGTCCTTCGCGGTCTCGGGAGGCTTATTCCTCGTCTTTTGCTGGCTCCGGCCACGAAATTCTCGAGTATACGCGCCGCGAGCTAAGCACGCCGACGAGAAGCATGCCCCAAGGCCTCTGGGCCGGAAGCCATTCAGTTGGTTTCATGCAGTGAAGGATGTCAAGGAGCACGAGCTAGTTGAGAAGATCGGCCTGGATGCTGTGGTCTTTCTTCGCTTTCTTCGAATGATACGGGATATCTTCGTCGTGCTTTCCGTATTCGGGTGCGGTATATTGATACCGGTCACTGTTGTCGGAGGCTCTGCCTTCTACGAGCAGTGGAGTGAAATTTCAACCTTGCTGAAGGTAACTTGGCCCTGTTTGTATGTTCTGGAGAAGAAATACTAACTTCCCGTACAGTTTACACCACAGTACATATTCGGACCCAAATTTTGGGCTTATGTTGTGTGCTCCTACCTTTTCCAGGCGACTGTCTGCTTCTTCGTCTGGTGTAATTACAGAGCTGTCTATAAGCTCCGGAGAGCGTACTTTAACAGCACCGATTACAAGTCAAGCTTGCACTCCAGGTCCCTGCTGGTAAGCCAAGAAAAACTCTACAAGAGCTATTACTAACACGACATAAAGCTCACACATATTCCCGAATCCGCCCGCACGGACGCTGGAATCGCTGAGCTAGTCGAAGAAGCTAGACAGACGCAGGGTGTGCCTCGAACGGCTATCGGCAGGAACGTAAAAGACCTTCCAGAGTTGATTGAGGCACACGATGAAGCGGTTCGCAAACTGGAAAGGAACCTAGCCAAGTATCTTCGCGACCCAGACAACTTGCCCGAAAAGCGGCCAACATGCACGGTTGCCAAAGGAGATAGGGCGGCGTACGGGCAAAAGAAGGTTGACGCTATTGACTACCTGACTGATCGAGTTGCGCGTTTGGAAACGGAGATCAAGGAGGTTCGCGAAAGCATCGACAAGCGGAACCTCATGCCGTACGGATTTGCCAGCTATACGCAGATTGAAGATGCTCATGCCGTTGCGTACGCTTCCAGGAAGAAGGGACCAGGCGGCTGCGACATCTACCTTGCGCCCAAGCCACATGATCTTTTGTGGCAAAATCTGCCTATGAGTCGAGCAACTAGGAGAGCACGCAAATTCTGGGATGGTCTATGGATGGCCCTCATCACGATCGTCTTCATCGTTCCTAACATTTTCACTTCCGTTTTCCTCTCCGATTTCTCGCATCTTGGGCTGGTCTGGCCTTCCTTCCAGGAAAACCTCCAGGCTCACCCAACGGGATGGGGTATTGCGCAGGGTATCCTGGCTCCCCTAGTCCAGACCTTGATATATATGGGCATCCCAGTTCTGTTCCGCCGCCTGTACACGCACTCGGGAGATGTGTCGAAGACCGCTAGGGAGCGGCACGTCACGTCACGCTTATACGCCTTCTTCGTCTTCAACAACTTGGTTGTGTTCTCTGTCTTCGGATCGGGCTGGCGCTTTGTCGCATCTGTGATCGCCGCCCAGGACCAAGGCGTTTGGGAAGCCATCCGATCCAGCCATCTTTTCTCGAAGGTCATGACAGGGCTTTGCAACGTCAGCAGCTTCTGGTTGACTTGGCAGATGCAAAAGAACCTCGGTGCCGCAACCGATCTAGCGCAAGCTTTGCCCCTTGTCTGGAGTTACATCCAACGAAAATGGTTCTCGCCCACGCCTAGACAGTTGATTGAGCTCACTGCCCCGCAACCGTTTCAGTATGCCGACTATTACAACAACTACCTGCAAACTGCGATCGTGGGGCTTTGCTTTGGTACGCTTCAGCCCATCATCCTTCCCATCACGGCATTCTACATCGGCATCGAAGTTTGGTTTAAGACATACCTACTTCAGTACGTTTTTATCACGAAGACGGAATCGGGAGGCCGCTTCTGGCGTCTGCTCGTCAACCGACTCCTCTTTTCTGTGCTACTGGGCAACGCCGTGATCGCTCTAGTGGTGGGCGCCCAAGGTATCGGCTCGATCAACTCCGTGCGCAATGGCTCCATGCTGTACGCAATGATACCGCTACCGTTCCTCCTCTTCGGATTTAAATGGTACTGTAAACGCGCATTCGACGACAAGATCCTGTATTACTCTACGGAGCCATTCTCGGACATCGAAAGTTCCAGTCGACCAGACGTTCCCAAGCCGAAGCGCAACGACAGAGTAGCTGTCCGCTTCGGACATCCCGCTCTCTACAAGCGCCTCATAACCCCCATGGTACATGCCAAGTCCCAGCACTTACTCAAAGAGATATACGGACATGGTTCAAATATGGACCGTGGCATTTTCGAAGCGCCGCATCGTCAGTCGACTGATCGGGCAATGGCAAATACATACAGTGACGTGTTCATGGCCGAGATGAACTACGAAGAGCCGGGCAAGGTGGTGGCAACCCAGGACATACCGCCTGTCGAGATCGTAGCAGAGCAAGATCTAGACTTCGAGAACTTCAAGAAGAGGGCCGAGTTCAGGGAGGAATTTGGCGGCGATGGCGAGTTGTACGGTCGACCCGAAGATCTCATTTCAAGGGCTGGGACGCCTTCCACATTTGTCACAATGACTGATGTCGGCCTTTACGGAAAAGGCAAGAGCAAAGATGAAACCAAAAACTCCACAAGAAATTCGAGTATGACGAGGTTAGAAGAGGTGGCTGCGCAGGAGGAAGAGCAAGAGCAAGGAACAACTTATGCGCCTGGATATCTGCCGACTCCCGGAATAGACCGATTCGAGGATGTGGGCATCGATATCCCGACAACGCCCCTAGAAACAGATGACATCTTGCAGGCCGGGAGGATGGCGAGTGAAAGGGAGAGCATCGGGGAGCGGCTGCTTAGTAGGGAAACGTCCAAGGAAGATGAAGGATATTTCGCAGGGGTCGTAAGGGATGAAGATACGAGTTATGACCGGTATAGACAAAATGTATAGACAAAAGACGATAGATAAGAGGTAAATTATGGGATCAGTGGACAGAAAACTGTTCTTGTTGACACTGTCCTGCCACGCCAAGAACTGAAAGAGCACGCTAACACTGCGCTAGAGAATCCTGGCTCGTAGTTGTCTGCTGGTACTATACCCGGAGAGCTCTTCGTTAAGATTCTCCTCATGTGCTCTACTATACACAAAAATAAACCAACAGTCCCTCGCCAGATGTCTTCCCTGCATGTCTTTTCGTCCTATACTGCCAAGGAACTAGAACCAGTGTCAGAGACAGACTTAGACAGATTTCTCCTTTCATTAGTCGCTTTGCACCTTGCTGTTCAAGTTAGTTCTCGCTTCTGCTACTCACATACTTCTCAAGCCGGTATCGACGTCAATCAACACACATTTGGTATGCTACGGCTCTGTGCCAATCCTCCGTGCGTGGGACAGAGTTATCCTCCTCCTTAGTTAGATTTAGCGCCACAGAAGGCGTGGAGGGCTATGGTTACTTGGAGTGTATTAATGGAATCGTTGTGAGGCCACATTAGCAGGGAGACAGAACATGGGAGCAGCAGAAGAATAAATTTGATGCGATATTAGACGAATCCGGAGGGCAAGTGAGAGACCTTCGGCCAGAATGCCGTTACCGCTCAAGTCCTACTGAAACACGATTTTGCTTGCTACCCTTTAGAGTACGACTAATCATGCCCATTCCCAAGTTCCCTGTACTTGACGTCCCCATTTCTGGTACTGATCATACCATACCCAATCGCCAGGGTTAATGGCCTGTGGTTGCTGCTGGGCCTGTGGTTGCTGCCGAGTTTGTTGTTGTTGACCATACTGCTGATGCTGTTGCTGAATCCTATTGTATCTAGTCTCAGCTTTCTGGGATTGGACCGCTTGTTGTACATGGCCTGCATATTCATTTTTGGCTATGAGAACTTCCTTGTATTTATTGTTGAAGGACTCGCGGCGTTCGGTATGACTATATATGTGAATCGTATCTCCTTAGCTAAAGCTAGAAAGTCATTATATAAATGCATACTTACACATTAAAAGCATCAGCAGCATTGCCAGCAACAGGATCCAAGGCCCGATGTCCTGTGCCGTTGAACATCCTGCCTGCCACAAGCCCACCTATGGGTTGGTTGTTCTGATCATATGGGCGATTCAACTGCAGCCCTTCGGCCGCATCTCTGTAAGTTGTGGCAGCAGCGTTGGCGTCTTTGTGTGCATTCTTGTAGGTGTTATATCCTCTCGAGATACCATGTCCATCTTGGTAATTCAGATTGTCGTCGAGGCCCGAAAATGTTCTCTGAAGCCTGTCAACTACCTTCGGATCTGGTGCGCCAGCCATGATGGGACTAAAATAGGAGATAATTGAATTGAAGATCAGACGAATTGCAACAGGCTGAAAAGGTAGAAGCGATCATTTAACATTGTCAACCAACGTTATTACATTTTCCCATGAACTTCGCAAAGATTTGTTTCAGTAAGATAAGCTAAACGTGGTCTACCTTGTATTTTTGTCGATGACATCCTCCGCTTGGCTATCCCTTTATCCTATCAAGGACACATGATTTGATGATTGTCTAGTAAAGAGTGAAATGAATTGGTCTGCCTCGACTCGTTACAGTCAAGACTGTGTAGTGAAGCAGCGAATCAACACTTGTTAAGATATCTGCCGTCCTGAAGGCTTGAAGGACCACTTGGCAGCAAAACTCTATTGGACCACGTGTACTGCTCTGCTCACGGTGTGTCCTATTTGCATCTTCTCCCTGATAAACCCAAAGCACCGCCAATAACACCTCTTCGTATGCGGCTAACAAAGATGACAGACCAGCGGTCTATCACAGTCGGCATGCTCAGCTACGAGCAAGAGGTAATGTAACTCCACTAGGTTAAGCTGAGGAACAAGCAAAAAGTGCTGCTTCGAAGGCTGAGAGAAATACCCTCTGCCAAGGCTGTGGGTTGATAGCGCTGTCGCACGGTCCAGGAAAACACGTCATTGGTCCGGCTCATTAGAGCGGGATGGCCGGTGACCTGGCTTAAGCCTGGCCCTCCCACACATAAAACCTCCATCTCCCTACGACGAAACTGCGCTCCCACATCCCACTACAAACATCCTCATTAATGTGTATTGCCAATACTACGCGATGTCCGGAATCACGAAATTGTCGTGCGAATTAGTGGCTTCTATCTTGCGCTCTTTTGACGATATTAGCTTCCTGCCTCCAACTCTGCTTACATGTCGCCAATTCTATGCGGCATTCAAGGAGTACCCCAATATCTTGATTGAGATCATGCGGCAACAGGTAACATCCGACCTACTGCCATACTCAGTCGCTGTGGTAGAGGCATCACGGCTCCCGCACCCGCGAACCAGCGTCGGCATTCAGACATTGCTAGACACTCTATACGATGATCCAGCGCAACTCGTGGCGCGGCTACAGATGATGACACTCTCTGACATGTTGAGAATGGGACGCACACACGACGTCATCCACGACCTGGCCACTGACTTTGCTGCTGACGCCTGGGACTTGCTTTCCCACGGAGATTCTGGAGTGTCTGGCAAGCTTGTACTATCGCCGAAGGAGTACTTCCGTTTTTGCCGCGCCTTCTACCGAGTAGAGTTGTTTTGCACTCTCTTCCGCGGCGAAGGGATAGCACGGCCCACTGCGGTTGATAAGAGCGAGATCCGGGGGTACCTATCAAGACATCCGCCGTGGGAGAATGAGCAGATCTGCTGTGTTCACGATTTTCTGGAGAAGAGGCTATCTACAGGTAGGCCGCAGTCATTGTGGATGGCCATATCATTGACTCATATGCAGCCTCCTTGGATGTTGTCGCTCATGACGTTCAGCTTGGAGAATATCGGATCGACTATCTCTCTGTCGGCGGCGAAAACCAATGGAAGCAACTCTGGGTACGCCCCACTCTATGATTGCAATGTCCAAGACTTATTTCATTGAGTTGACAGATTACTAACACAATAACCCCAGTTGTCTCAGGGCGTTCACTTCATTCACCAGCTATTGCATAGCAGTTCATACGAGTCAAAAACTGCTTTGTTGAAAGGAGCCATGGGTTCTAGTTCAGCCGAACTCTACGATGCACTTGCCGAGTCGGTTGAGGCTGACTCAAACGATGACACTAGCCTCGAAGACTATACTCAGGATATGATAGAGGCCTTGGTCCCACGTCACGACAGCCAGGACACTGATCAGGGCCCATATCTAGCTTGGCGTGCCTTCCACGGATACTTGCCCCGCAGCGCTTGGGTCATGCTCTCTACAAATTCTGGACTCCGAGAACGCGGTTACGTACTGTGGGACTGGGATCGAATGGAACGATATAATATGATCGAGTTATTCCAAAATATACCAAACAGAGCAAGCCATGCACACACAGACGAGGATTATGAAGAAATGGAGGCATCATTTGACCAGCGATCGAAAATCTGGCAAAAAGGAGGGTCGGGTTATTGGAGGAAAGGCGATACTAGCAAGATAGTGTGGCCAAGGGTGCAACCAACTTAACCCAATCCATGAGCCTGCTCGTCGCTTGGGGATTCATCGTCACACCTGTTAGTTAAGCATAGCCTCGTTAAGGAGGGCCTAGAATGATCCCAAGAGTACCTACATCAACATGTGAGCCTAGAGAATGTGAAAGATTGCTTAATGTGCAGCTGAGTTGAGTTGAACGAAACACGAAAGGGCATGTTGTCGTTTGTAGTTCGTGCATTTAGACGGTAGAATGCGGAGTTGTGTGATTCAAAAATAACAGACCCATTCGTATGTAAAAGATTTGTGGTGACCGTCTGGTTGAAGAAGGGACGGTCGCGTGATTCGATCATTCTTCTCGCGTCTTCCAGTTTAGGTAGCATTGGAGTTCCGCAAGTGTTGCAAAATGAGGGAGATACGTTTATAACATGCGGGCGCATCCGCTCGGTTTAGACATGACTAGTAGACAGCGCAGTTATGAGTGCAAAGACCAGCCTCCTGCCAAAGGAAGAAGTTGCTGTGGGACCAGTGGAAGAATGTTTGCGCCATAACTTTGTTTACGTCTCACGGATTATCCACAGAATATCCCTCGCACAGACTTGGTGGAGGTAATGAGTGGATTGTGGAGCATAATGGGCTCTAGCCTGTGAATGGAGGTGCTCTAATGGAATCGAGTAAACGTGTAGATGTATAGTAACCTAGAGCACACGCGACGATGGCGCATATCCCCTAAGCCGCTGCGCAACTACTTTGGCGAGCTCTAGCATGGTGTTTGGCAGCATATTTGGGCACTGAAGGCAGAGCGGTTTCAGACGCTGTCGACTGACTGACTTCTGTCTCTTTCGTAGTGATTTTCTCTCCTGAAGCTGGTTTCAGCAAGACCTTATGGAAGCGGCGTTAACCAAAGTCATGCCAAAATAACGCGAAGTCTATAAGAATAGTATGGGCGAAAGGATTACTGCAGTTACAGACATATCACGAAGAGACGAAAAGCGAAAGCGAGGCGGAGAGACACTCTCCGTTCCGGTACGAGGAATGGTCTACCGAGGACGTCGCTTCGGAGCGGAATGAACCGCATATTGGGGCGTTCGGAGGATTCGACATGTCGGAACAGCGGTGCGAACACGTCGGCCGGTCTCGGACTCTGTTTCGCGAACCGGTGGATCGGGCGGCTAGGGACGTATCTAGCACTCGAGTGCTAAATGATCGACCAGGCAATCCCCAAGGTCGAGGTAAAAGAGAGAAGAAAAGTTTCGTGTTGGTCGTGGTCTAGCCATATAGATCTACATTCAATAAGGCTCTAGGTCATGAGACATAAAGATGGGAAGAGGCGGGGAACGTTCTATTTGGAACGGTGGTTTTGTACTACATTCCGTACGAGGCCGAGAAGCAATATCGAGTCAATCTATCCCAACGCGCTGGAGGCGGATATGAACCAATAACAACCCCGACGGCGCTTGCAAGGCCTCAGAGTATCGGTATATGTGCGGATCGGAAGTGGCAAGTACAGGTACGATTTGGTGGGCCTGAATGACATGCTTCTAGAATCTGTCTTGAATGCTCAGGTGGTCCCAGGAAAACGCGGGTCCAAGAGATCAGAAGCTCACCCAGGTATGGAAGACTCTGTGCCTCGTCAACCCGGCGCGACTAAGGTATCTCCAGATCGTTCGAGGGATAAGGATTCCGTGGACAATGCAGTAACCGGGTTTTCGGTACGTATCGCCTCCAAGCCGTTCCAGTGACCTTCGCCAAGGGATACCTCGAAGCCCAAGAGGCCAAGCTCGGGTATATCGAACAAGCGCGACGTGCAACCAATCTCAACATAAGACACTGACTACTTTCGCTCTCGAACCTAATAAACAGCGAGAAAATGGCTCCAAGGGCCTCTTTGGACGGCCTCGAAACGCTGACTAGTGTTGACGTGTCCCATAAAATCCTCCACGATATCAATAGAAGGCGTTGTCGGCACCGCTCACCTTCTGTTCCGGGAAGCGAACGCCTCGATGCCGTGACCTGGCATGAGGCTTGAAGGCAGCCACTCTATTGATGGAATTAACAACACCTGATGGAAGGTCTATAGAACGATCGTAGAAAGCCCAGCATGCGAGGAAAATGCTTGATGACCCTTGACTCATGAGATGGAGCAACGGGAATATCGGAGCGCTAGCCCGCATCTGACGCGGAGGTGGAGCGCCCGCTCAACGCATGCAGAAACGCCCGGACTCACGCAACACGCACACCACCCAATAAAATTCCTCGCCGCTCCGCTCCATCAAATGATCCATCAATGATCGTTATCCTTGCGGCGGGCGCTATCCCCGCGTTTGCCTGTGGAGCTTTTTCCAGAAGACTCGTGAGGCGCGCCGTTTGAGCTTGAACGAAGCCTCATGATGCATGGCATCGTGTGCCTAGGTACGAACCCGACACTAGGAAAAGCCACACAGGAGAGCCGGGCCGTTGCTCCCTCCACCGCGTCTCTGTGCGAAGGAAGAAGCTGCCGCGGTGAGGGTCTCTGTTGGAGAATGGAGCGATATCGTACAATTCAAGGCCAGTTACGCCTGGTAAGCAGGGCTAGCTGTGCCTCGATGAGACAGAAGTCGTCTGCCTGTAAAGAGATGAAATCGCCGGCACTTTATCCAAATGGTCACGGAGGGGCACATCGCGCGCATCAGCGCGCCACTTCGAGAATGGCATGAACGGACAATGCACGCGAGCCGCGTGATTGCAGCGTCTTTGCCATGCTGCCGACTAGACCCCAAATCTTACTCCGCCTTCCCCCAATCGTTCTCCAGGACGCGTTTTGGCGAGCTGCTGCTACCCGGTCTTCCCTCCGCATCCCTGCGCTTACACGGAGCCTCGACCCTAGAGCCGACAAGGGGGAATGGCGTCCTACCCCGGTCCGCCTGCACCTCAAGCCTGGGATATATATTCGGGTTGGAGAGAGCTGGATTCGAGCTACACCACACTGTTATAATAGATGCGCGTCCCCCGGTGTTGGCTCCCAGTGGCTCGAGCTCGGCTTTGAGCTTCCCGTTCAACAACATACTTATCAGTCCTACCTGTATACGTGCTGTCGCGCGTCAACATGTCTTCGACAGAGCACAAGACCGGCGCTGGCATCTCGCAGGAAGAGCGCCGTGGGAGCGCCACCCAAGTCCGAAATGTCCAAAACGTTGCGCTCGCTGATGCCACAGCAAAGGCAGGCGTGTCGCCATGGACGCCTGCCATGTTCAGGGTCAGTAATTCGAATCAGACTTTGGTGCCAAAATCTAATGGACTTAGCTCTATCTCTGCTTGCTCATTGCTACGCTGAACTCCTGCATCAACGGTTACGATGGATCTTTAATGGGCGCTATCAATAGCTACAAGCAATATCGAGAATACTTCGGCTTCTCGCTCACCGAGGGTACGCCAGCCACAGGCATTGTATATGCCATCTACACCATCGGCAACTTGGTGGGTTCTTTCGCCGCCGGACCAGCGACCGATTACAAGGGCAGGAAATGGGGAATGTTCATTGGCTGTCTAATAATCGTGCTCGGTACTTGCATCCAAGGTGCGCTCTACATGTCTTTTTTCACGACGATTTACTTATTCGCATAAAGCTACCTCGACAAACCTCGGAGGCTTCATGGGCGGCCGATTCGTTCTCGGATTTGGAGTCGCGATTACCTCCACGGCTGGACCGGCGTATGCCTCTGAGATGGCCCATCCGGCCTATCGAGGTGTTCTGACTGGTATCTTCAACACATTTTGGTTTGTTGGAGGTATTCCTGGAACCTTCGTCCCATATGGCACATCCACTATGAATGGCACGCAAGCGTGGCGTATTCCCGTCTGGTTGCAGATGGTGTTCGCCGGCGTTGTCCTCTTCTGCTCCCCATTTCTGCCCGAGACTCCGCGTTGGCTGATCGCCAATGACCGGCACGAGGAAGCCCTGAATACGATGGCCAAATATCACGGAGAAGGCAGCCGTGAGTCACCTATCGTCCAGCTTGAGTACAAAGAAATGGTTGAAGATATTTCCGTGACCGGTTCGGATAAGCGATGGTGGGATTACCGTGAGCTCTTCAACTCCCGCGAGCAGCTCTACCGGACGATGCTTGTGCTTTCAATGGCATTCTTTGGTAATATAACCGTTTTGTCTTGTATTTGAGACACTGGCTAACGTTCACAGGCCAATGGTCCGGTAACGGGCCAGTATCCTACTACTACCCGGCCATGCTTCAGGGCGCTGGTATTACCGACAACCACACCCGTCTCCTCTACAATGGCATGCAAAACGTGGTCAGCTTCGGTGGCGCTATCTTCGGCGCCCTCTACACGGATAAATGGGGCCGCAGACCTCAACTGCTAGTATCCACTGGCTGCTGCGTCTTCATTTTCGCCATCGTTTGCGCGCTTGTCGCCACCAACTTGATCAATGGACCTGACGGCAAGCCGCTGAAGGACTCAGGTGGGACGCCTCTCATCAAGAGGCCCGGCCAGGCGAAGGCAGTCATTGCCTTCATCTTCATCTTCGGCTTCATCTTCTCCGCTGGTTACACGCCCCTGCAACAGCTGTACCCTGTCGAATGTTTGCGCTACGAGTCGCGTGCAAAGGGCATGGCGTTCTACAACTTCTTTGTTAACATTGCTGGCTTCTACAACACCTTTGTTACTGGTATCGCCTTTTCGGGAGCTGGTTGGAAGGTAAGCTTGAACCACCTCCCCTCTGTGCGTGTTTTATGAAACTAATTCTCCCGATAGTACTACTTTCTTTTCATCTTCTGGGACATGTTCGAATTCGCCTTCATCTACTTCCTCTACGTCGAGACGCGCCGCCGCACGCTCGAAGAGCTCTCCGAGATCTTCAAGGCGCGCCGCCCCGTTAAGACCTCGCTTAGCAGGACCCAGATCGTCATGCACGGTTCCCAGGGTGTTACGGAGGTCCTGGATAAGGAGATGTCGTAACAACGCATAGAATGAAAAAAAAAAAACCCCTCCTTCCTTGCCGTAGGAAATTGGACATATACCCTCGTTTTCTATAGTTAGGCTGTTGTTTCTGGGAGCATGGTGGATATGCTGGTCATGATTGTGAGTGATGATTTGCATAACGGGTGCTGGGTTGGATCTGAGTAGGAAAGCATCTGTGTAGACGCACCGTACCTCTTTTGTAATAGGTGAATGTGTTCGCTTCGCCAGTGATCCAAGGAGACGCCGTGCACCCAATGTCGTAAAAGGCGTTGAAGAAAGGGGAGTAAGCGAGGTCGGGCCTGCAGCGTGCGCCCCTCTCGAATACGACGGGGGATCGAGGGGACCGAAGCTCAGGATGCTAGATATGTCTGGACGTCTTATTTGGCCCACAGAAGTATCCCCCGGCCGTCCTGTCCCGTCAGACGCCGAAGAGACTGCACAGATCATACCCTATCCGCCCTCATAGCAACGAGCGAGATGGCGATCCCACATGCAGCCATGATATACGCACTCACGCCAAAAGCCCCTTGAACGTCCATCTTATACTTCGACCACAGGACCCCAAACACCAGGCTCGCCACCAAAAACACCGCAAAGACTACTAGCGTAATGATGTCTTTATCCCAGCCCTCTTGGTAGTAGATACCCCATCCCTCTGCCGGCTGCCCCGCCTTGCCTTTCAGTTCGCCGCAAGTCCGCTTGGGGAGCTGATCTAAGATCCAGGTGTCATTTTCGTTCATGCAGGTTGGAGAGGTGAAGAGGTGCATAAGGTAGTGGGGGTCGATAGGCGGCCAAACCATTGGCGGACCAGGGATGCATCGATATTCCGCTTGCGGAGAGGGCTCGACCCGGTCTATGGGTGGTATGCATTCGCAGGTCGCGGGGATGCAACAGGGGTTGTGGTGCCTCACTTCCACGCTGCCACCCATGGGAAGGCGAAATTTAATGAAGAAGATCCCCTTGACGCTTTTCAGGGAGAGCAACGTGCAGAGGCGGCCGCGATGGCGAGTGTATTGTCGCTTGAGGAAGCAGAAGAGAGTGCGATCGCTGTCTATGTTCTCCATAGGGTCTTGATGAAGGGTCTTCCCGAAGCGGCCTTGGTGCATGCAGGCGAGGAGGTGAAGCATATGTTGTTGGGGTGGATGGCCAACTGGGGCAGAGCGCACTGTCGTAGAGCTGGAGCTATTGTGCTGCGGTAGGGTGCATACTTTCGATTGTCGTCGGAAAGTCGCCGCGAGTTTTCGGAAGCCATTCTGGAGCCATAGATCAAGACGTGGGTATGCGAATTTCTGGTTGGTGTTGTCCGGGCTATACTGCGTGGCGAGGACTTTGGCTCCCGTTACGCGTTCTATACGCGTGATCAACTCCGCGACGCCGCCGTTCTGGAGTTCTGTGACATCACCACTGAACATTTCTCCGCAGCCCTGTAGCGATCAGGTTTTCTGACTTTGCTGATTATGATGGGATCCTGAGGGTACTTACGCACTGCCACTTAAGCCGAACTTTGCCTGACTCAAGGGGATGCTCCAACTGTCCGGTGGCAATAAAGAAAGCATTTAAAGCATGCTTCAACCAGCCGGACAATGCGGGAGCGGACCGGCTTCGTAGCATCTCCGAGCACTCAACCTTCGAGCACACCCCACCCACGTCCTGCTCCCTAACGTTCTCGTCTGGCAATGCAGATTGAAGAGGCACTGGCAGAACAAAAACCCGTAGCTGAGTACGGAGCGTCTGGAACGCATCGCTGCCTACAAGAAACTCACGGAAGATGTCGAGGTCTTCAAAGGCTGTGTCGTCAAACGGCCGCGCTTCATCTTCGTCCTCCTCTGAACTCTCATCCTTCACCTCTCGTCTTCCTTTGGAACTGCTAGGGCTACCACTGTCGAACCATTCAACAATCGACTGCGCCAAAAACCTCGCCTTCAATGATACAAGACGAGCAGCCAGATATTCCAATTGGTCTTTTGCCTCGACTTTCAGATGCTCAGCATACTTCTTGAATAAGCGCCGTAGATTTCGCTCTAATCTTTCCGGCCCTATGCTCGGATCTTCAACAGCACTCATGTAGAGTGGCACAAGAACCTCGTCCCCTTGGAAAATAGCAACGAGCTCTTTCGTGGCGGTGGCTATTTGTTTTGCGGAATAGCCACTCCCCTTCGAGAGACCTGTTGCTGACGACGCCAGCGACTGTACCGAGAAAATAGACGCAGCGTAAGACGATATGACGGAAGCTATGTCATCCTCGACTTCCGGGTCTCCTGAAAGACCGAAAGGAATGTCATGGTGATCTGTGAGAGGAAGTACTGGTGGCGGCGTGTTCTCAGAGTCCATATCCAACAGTGTGGCAAGGGAAGGAATCTCGTCCTCCATGTTGCTAACTCTCGGCCCCAACGGCTCTGTTGACTGCCCCGGATGGATCTCCTTGAACGGCGTTAGCGGTACCGCTGAAATGTGGAAACTAGGCACGTACTCTTCGTTGCGCGAAATCAACCCTTTTGGCCATGCATGGTGTGGCTGATTCAATGGTCTCTGACACCCCCTCGCCCCTGGACTCGACTTCAGGAGCACAGTATTGGGGCGTATAGGCACCAGGATTGTGTGTCGTAGGGATTTGACTGTCAAAGGCGATACCGAAATCGGTCAAAATGATGGAGTCGGAGTAACTGAGCATGTTTCTGGGCTTGATGTCGCGGTGGCGGAACTCCTTGGGCTCATCTTTAATAAGAACATCCCCTAAATCATCCTCTTGTGTCTTATCGCCATCGTCTGGAGATATGATGGGATCTATGTCCCCAGCGGTTATTCCAGCTTCTATTAAATGCTCACGTTGAAGTCGTCCGGATTCGTCGTTTAATGGGCGAAAGATCTTCTGAAGAGTCTCTAAAGCGAGTTGACGCGGGCTAACATTTCTTTGACATAGTTAGGCGCGACTTTAAAGGGAAAAATAAGCAAGGCATGGACCTACCTTGACCTATTTCTGCTATGTGCGAGGGTCATGATGGGCTTCGGGGCCGGACCGTTTGCTGATGCGTGTGCACTCTGTGGGGGGCTGTCCTTGTCAATTCCTGTGTCTATGGCGCCAGTCCGTTCTCTTCTATTTATGTCTTCAGGTGTCTCCAGGAGTTGCTCTTGCACACGCTTTTGGTCCACTGTGTATATGCCGTCAGGGGTCCACTGCTCTGGCTGGAATTTAGGATTCAGGAAATGAGCTGTATTGTAATGGGAGCTGAGAGTGTTAATAAGACTAGACGTATAAGAGCATATTGTCGGAGAAGCTTACTTGCGGAATATTGAGGCCTGGAAGGGTGGCCTAAGTGCAGAATTTGTGCCAAAGCCTGGTTCACGCTCGTACACTGATGGTCTGAAGGGCCCGCCTCGCTCTAGCGTAATCGGGGGAGCCCTCTCTATACTGAGGGGAGGCGGGTGAGGCGAAGAGATGGAGAGTGTGAATCGTGTTTCGGATGGTAGCAGTCCTCCTCTCGATAGATCCGATATGTCCGAGAGAGCCTCTAGTGTGCTCTCTTTCTCATCATGTGTACTTCCATCGGATGATGCGGCAACTTCACCTTCATCTGGTTTGGATGCGCCGTTTTCCTTCTTAAATGCGTCCACTTCGACACTCTCAGAGGTGCCTGCGGGTTTCAAGCGATCGATATCTGCCGCCAACTCCTCTGCTCTTCGTATCGATGGGGGTAGACATTCGTAAGTCGAGTTCTCAGGAGTTTTAACAGATTCGCTAACATTGTCAAGAGATGCCGCATCGTCTGTCCCAGGTGACGAATCCTGCCACATATCGTCTGCACCCGGATGGTTCCTGAGGACATTGTTGCTCTGCCAGTATGGGAAGTGGTGCAACTCCTCCGCGGTTAATGGAGTTGGCGGGGATAGACTGCCGACCTGCCCGACATCCGCAGTTGTATCTTTCAGGGGAAGGCCCACGCGCCGATTGAACTGACACTTTTTAGCGTGGGCGTCGACTAGCTTGCAGGCCCTACACCCGGAGCCATCTCCAGGGTCGCCACCACATCGAATCTTTCGCTTTCTGCAGCGAGCACACGCCACATCGATCCCGTACTTGGGCCGAACATCTCTCGAAATTGACGCCTCCGGAGGGGCACGATTTTGCTCCGGTAGCGACGCCAAAGCCGATGGTGAATGGCGCTCATCAGGCTGTGCCTCCGGCCTTTGCTGGGGCGGTAAGAGCTGCGGAGTGAACTCTATGTCGAATCCTGTAGGAGGGCCTTGCGGACTTTTACTCCGGTTACCAGGGGATAATGAGCCTCGAGAGGGTGCGGACCGCTCTGCTGTCTCCATTAAAAATGCAAACGGTGATTCAGGATGCTCCGTAGGGGGCCCGTCTGAAGGAGCCACAGCAAGAACATCAGAGTGCCGTATAGGGCTTGAGGGCTGCCCTGGGTAAGAGTTGGATACTGAAGCGTCGCTGCTTACGCTCTGAGACTCTTGAGGATGGAATAGCTCAAGTGGTGGACTAGTACGTCCCGGTGGTGTCTGCGATCGAATCCAATCAGGTGCGAGCTTGATTGAAGAGCACCATTGCTCGGCGTTCTGCCTTTCCACTAAACGCTCGTGCCTCCTACGGCAGGCATTTGGCGTCTTTTGAAGGAAGTGCTTCATTGCGATTTGATTCCAGTTTAACCCTTGAGCGCGGGCCTGGATTAGCGTCTCGTCATCCTTTGCGGACCAAGATGAGCTTGCCCTATCTAGCCCAGGGTCACTGAATGCTTGTTGGTTAAGTTCGGCGACTTGACGCTGAAGATCTTGCACTTGCGTGATTACAGACGTCCACCGGTCCGGGATTGCAGACACTCGCCCGTTCGTCTCCTTGGTAAACTGACATTTGCAGTTTCGGCTCAAGCATTCCGAGCAGGCGGCAGTCTCTGTTGCATCGCACTTGACTTTTCTTTCTCTGCAAGCATCGCAAGACGGATCCTTCCTACGCTGCCTGTACGCGCGCTTCTGAGAATTAAGGTTCGCTGAGGATATATGTGTAGGTGAGATCCCTAAGCCTGTGTGTTCGTTTTCCTGTGTATCGAATGACTGCTCTAGGCGCGGGATATTGGCCGTCTCGATTGCGTAATGAGTTCTGGTCTGTAGGTCGGGTCGTCTCGGCGTTTGCTGGGAGTTTGGCAAGTGTGGTGGGCTGGTGCTAACTTCGGCGTTTATAGGTATCCATTCTCTCTCATGTAGAGAATGCTCAGCAGTGGAAGTTGACGGTGCTTGCATGGTGCGCCTGATCGTTACTGGAACAGCAAAGAGCTAGCAGACACTTGTACCGACTGTGAAACTGTTATTGTTAACTGAGGAAACGCTCAGCCTGTATGAACAGCAGGCTGCGGAAGGTCGCATATCAACATTACCTTAGCCTCGCTGGACCTCGCGAATGAAAGCTGCAGAGCGATTCCACCTATTTGTCTGGATGTATAGCCCACTGCAGAACAGACTACATATGCTCCGGTTGGAGCGTGAGAGGTGTTCTGTCGTCTTGTCAGCTCATAAGTGATCAGGCTGCAGAAGGCTGTATTTCAACACAGCCTTGGCTGCCTTCAACGCACGAACCCTGCTGGGGCGATTCAGCCTTGTGTTGCCAAGCGGAAAGACTCTCAAGCGAAGAAACATTTCGGCATAGGCTGACGCAGTATCATATGAGCAGTAGGCGAAAAAGGGTCGTAAGGTTGAATCTGATCATCCAATACATGTGACGTCGAATGAGGATAGCGGTAAGGGTCCTAATATGAATTGGGTGGTTTATTGCGGATCCCATTTACTCTTCTATAGTATTGGGAAGGCTTTCTGGATAGTCTCGAGCGCAGAATATGCAGCTATTCTTTGATATATTGCCTCCAACAAGGTCCGATAATTGTGGTGGACGAAGCAATGCTCAGCAATCTGGCTCATGGCTCTGCGCTATGTGATAAATGCGATGTAGAGTGTTCTTGCAGTGCGGGATATCGTTCGTTTGTATATCTGCACATTCGGTGTGCAGAGTGAACAAGGCTACAGCATTGCTGGTCTCACCCTGCCAAAACGTACCCCTTGGCCGACCAATGTGTCGTTTCCCTCGCCGATGCCGTACGAGGCCAGCATGTCTACGCCATTCCATGGTGTACTTCGAGGTATTGAATCTAAACTACTCATGGAGGAGGCTCTAGTTCAAGCGAATGCCGGCGTGATAAAAGCTGTGACAGCCTTCAATGCATCGCCGTCATTCGCGCGGAGAAGGTCGGTCGCTTTCGCTTTCGGGAGCTCGAGTTCTGAGACCTAGATTCACTGTTAAATTGCCTTCTTCCAATCCACAATTATGCCTAGTTTTCCATTTTCCAATTCCATAAAAGAAATGATTGAATTCAGGACGTACCAAAAAAGAAACGTCGGCAGGATCAATCTTGACGGCCATTTTCTTGGTTTGCCCCGCACCTTTGTCCTTCACACTCAGGTTCTTCATCGCTTCGCCGAGTGCCTTGCTATCGACATCTTTCTTTGCGGAGGAATCGTCGTCTTGGGCGTCGAGCGAGGAGAGGGCGGCGGCGGCTTTGCGGTCTTCGGCGGAGCCGGCAGGTGCTTGCGGTTCGGATGCGCCCTCGTGGATGTTGGAGGGTTGTGGTTCTTCGGCCATGATGATTATGAATTAAGAGACGACGTGTAGAGAGGTGTATGGGCGGGAGAGGCGACGTAAAGGGTTGAACAGGATGGCCGCCAAGCTTTCGATTTCGGAGAATGGAAACTGACCAATTAGCGCGGCGCACCGCCGAGACTTGCTCGAAATGAATTGGTGGCTTCTTCCGTTTGTTTTTTGAGCGTGACTGCTTCTGACTCGTAACGTCACTTTGGTTCTTCAAATTTGGTATAGCAGCAACGGTTTTCTGCCATACAAGAATTCAAAGGTAAGCTCAGCTCGCTCTTTAGCAACGGTTTGATCAGTTTTCTGCGTTTGCTACGTCCCCATCTATTCCCGAGGTCTCGAGTGCATTGAGTCACAGTACTTTAGCTTGTCAAGCTTATAACCATCACGAGGACTCGCATTCACACACTATATTATGCAGGTCCCTCTCCTAGACCTTCTATGTCTGTGCTGGGGGTCAACTTCTCTCTCACCCCATCACTCGCTGTTGAGTACATAAATCAAGCACTTCCTAACTAGTTCTGATCAGACCTGCAACAGCATCTCAAAGATAGTATTGCCTCCAGAAAGCAGTAGCAAATCGGGCTTCCTTGAACGCAATGTCGGCAGGTGGCGAATGGTCGCCCTCATGTAAGAACACCCCTCTACATTCCGCATGTGGCTCTAACAACCTCAGCCTGGCGAGCAAAGCCAATAAAACAAGTAGTCACATATGATGAGCCGACTGCCGTGTCATCCGCCTTGGCAAAACTCTCAAGCTTACCGCCCATTGTTACGCCGACCGAAATTGCCAAGCTTAAATCAAGTCTCCGAGATGCAGCATTAGGGAAAGCATTCCTGCTTCAGGGCGGCGATTGTGCCGAACTGTTCTCCTACTGTGCGGATGACCCGATTGATGCCAAAATCAAGCTCCTGCTTCAAATGAGCTTAGTCCTCATTTGGGGTTCCAATAAGCCGGTCATTCGCATTGGTCGAATGGCAGGCCAGTACGCTAAGCCCAGGTCCAGCCCCACCGAAGTCGTGAACGGCAAGGAGATCCCTAGTTTCCGAGGCGATATACTAAATGGCTTCGATCCTGCGCACCGTAAGGTGGATCCGGAGAGACTGGTCAGCGCTTACTTCCATTCGGCTACGACGTTGAATTATATCCGTGGCCAGTTATCCAGTGGCATCGCTGACCTGCATAACCCCATGGACTGGGGACTTGGCCATGTTCGGGATAAGGAACTGCAGTCGAAGTACCAGAGGATCGTCACGAGCATCTCAGATTCACTTCGATTCATGCGGACTATAGGCGCAGATACCGCAGGACAGTTGCAGACGGTCGATTTGTACACCAGTCACGAAGGCTTGGTTCTAGAGTACGAACAAAGCTTGACGCGGAGACTCAAACATCCTGCGGGCTACCAGCCCTCACAGCCCTCATCTGATGGGAAAGGCTGGTACAACACGTCCGCACACTTCATCTGGATTGGTGACCGGACGCGGCAGATTGATGGAGGGCACGTTGAATACTTCCGCGGCATTGAGAATCCGATCGGAATCAAGGTCGGCCCGTCGATGAAGTCGGACGAGTTAGTTGAACTGCTCGACATCGTCAATCCCACGAAGGAGATCGGCAAGGTCACGCTGATTACGCGCTATGGCAAAGACAAGGTGGATTCAATGCTGGGAACCCATATTGAGGCCGTAAAGAGTAGCGGGCATGTGGTTTTATGGCAGTGCGATCCAATGCACGGGTAAGCCACACTTCCACCACTAAGACAGCAATTGTTTAGACTGACTCTTCTCAGAAACACCCATAGCACGCCTACCGGCATCAAAACCCGCTCTTTCAACAGCATCTTCTCAGAACTCTCGTCAGCCCTAAAGATTCACAAACAGCACGGCTCGTTCCTCGGCGGCATGCATCTCGAACTTACTGGTGACGCGGTCACAGAGTGCACCGGTGGAAGCGAAGGACTTGCGGAGGCGGACCTGAGTCTGAACTACACGACTTACTGTGATCCTAGGCTTAACGAGAAGCAAGCCTTGGAGCTGGCTTTCTTAGTTGCTGGACACTACCGTGAGGATAGGGAGCTTTGAAGGACGGCGGCGCGGGATAGCAACGGACTGTTCAATATTGGCATGATACCAATACAAAAGCATTTCTTGACGGGCCTACCTCATCCTTTACGGTTTGCCTCATGGATGATCCTTACTTCGAACTACAAAACCTTCCTTCCAAGGTTAGATGTTCTTGCAGATCCACGTGACCTGGCCCAAGCTCCCAGAAATTAGAGAAACAAGTCGTCACCGGCGTTATCGGGAGCTCGCATCTCAACACTTCTTCTACACCCTATCACATACGCAACAATGGGTTCTACAGCATCAAAAGGTGCTCGGGTCGCTGGCGCAAGCGCTCGTAAATATCCCACTCGTCCGCCTCCAAATACAACAACTCGTGCTCCGCCGGTTTCACCGGCTCCTCCACAGTCTGCAAAAGCTGGGCCTTCCGTACGCCCGCCACCACAGGCTAGCGATGCAAAGACAGAAGGTAGGAACACGGTAACGGTTGAGATAGTCTTATATTGACTGGATCCATAGCAATTGATCTCGACGCCCGCGATCCTGTCTTTGCCTCCCGCCTCAGTTCGCTCGGCGCGGTCCAGCCTAATCCCCACTATTCGCCCACGTCTACCTCCTCATTCGATCCGCAGCGTAATCCCTCGTCTACCTTTCCATCCGACATGATGTCTGCGCCGCCGCAATCGGCCTTCCCAGATCCACGAGATAATCCAGCCCTACGGGTGCTGGAGGCGAGACAGAGAATACAAGAGGAAGCGCAAGCAGAGTTAAGCAACGTGGGCAGAAGAGGGTTTCAGGGAAGGAAATATGTAGATGCGGGCACCATACAGTTGGCGTTGATGAGAAGACAGCGAGGCGAGCCAGACAGCAGAATTGAGGATGCGCTCGGGATCAAGAGGGGTAGGCTGAGCATCCTTGGGAAGGGGATTGCGGAGTCAGTATAAAGTAAATGAATTGGAGACGATGAGGGGCGCGAATGCACACCATCCAAAAAGAGAGGGCTAAAGTCCGGGGCCGATGACGTGAGCGAAGCCGAAATCCGGGGATCGCATTGCGCCTACCAAACCCTACGTAACGAACCAAACCCGAATGATTCCCAAGCGCATCCCATACCCAAATGCTCTAGCCCGCCGATGCAATGCCAGTCCATACCATTACGCCTTCCCATTCCAGAGCCGCGCTCGCCTAGAATTCCCTATGTTCGTGGATGAAGTTGTTCAAGGCCGTCAGGGCCTGCGTCAGGCTCTCTTGGCTAACCTCAAGTCCGTCGCCACCCTCGTCTCCGACCTTGAGCTTGCCGTCTATTCTCGACTTGCCGAGGCGGAATGCCTTGAGCACGCGCCAACGACTTCGGGTCTCTTTGAAGGAAGGGCATGAAGGGGAGATGTCTTCCTTCTCGCGGAGGGTCTGCAGAGCACTCATGATGTTGAGGAAGATGCTGTGGATGAAGAGTCAGCATGTTTATGTGTCATTGGGGCATTGGGTTAGCGCACTTTTGCGTGAGCTCGATGTCGTGATCCCAGTTGTAGGCGGCGGTCCTGAAGCTGTTTCCCTGCGCGACGATGTCGAGAAAGACGAACAGACTCTCTTCTATACTGATGTCTGGTGTATTCGATTCGGCGTGTTCTACCATCCAGTCGGCGAGTTGTACGAAGGTGATCTGGTCCATGTGGCAGAAGTCGTTGAAGCGATCGGGGACGCCATTGAGCAGACTCCGTGCTCGATCAGCACCGGCAGAGCCCATGACCGCCATGTCGAAGTATCTTGATGTACTGTAGTCTGCGAAGCGAGTGTCGTCAGGGCGGGGAAGAGGTGGACAGGCGATGGCTAAGTGGTGGTAGTACAATGATATACAATGGGAATAGATAATCTGGAACGAATGATTTCACAGGACCGCAGAGACGATAATAGGGCTGGAAGAATGGCGTGTTATGAAGAAGAAGCCGTCTTGCGAACTGGCGTGCAGCTGAAGTGTGAGGCGGCGCGGTGGGGCCGGTGGGCTTGTGAATCAGCATGTGAAAGTGCACAGGCACCATGACATCAGGATTTAGCCAATAACAGCCCCATCCACGTCCGGACAAAGCAGCTAGAGCCGCGCATGCATTATCGCTTTGATCGCGCTCCGCATCAGACGTCGCTCGTTCCACGCTCTCCGTATCGCATGCCTGCGGCGATTCTCGCGATTGCTGCCTTGTCACGTGCTGATTGCTATATTTGGGGTCCAGATGTCGGGCTAGATCCGTCCGATGTCGGGCTAGCGTGTGGGAACAAGAACCGTCTTATCTCCGCGAGGGAACGCGTCGCGAGGTGGAACTCCGCTCACCTGCATCCATCTTACAGTACTGACTCACCATGCTCACAATTTATATATCCCCAGCTTACATACTCTCTGTGAAGGTTTGCTCAGCATTTAACTTTCTCGCGCAGCGGCCTTGCTTTTGTTTGTTGTTGCGGCTCCATTAAACGTCCCCACACCTGGATTATAAATTCGGAACAGAACATGCTGGGATATATCTCGTCGACGCGCAAGAAATCCTGCCGCCAGTGTGTCAAGAGCAAACGGAGGTGCGATCTCGGCTTTCCATGCTGCAAGCGCTGCTTTACAAAGGGATTGGACTGCGCTTACCCCAATGCTTCGGTTCGCGAAGCTGAGGTCGTCATCCGGCAGGCTACGCCTGAGTTCGCCCCGTTGGTTGGCAGCGAAGTGACTCTAGGACCCGCGGAACCACCATCGCGAGATGTCGACCTGGCGCTGCTGCAGTCGGAAGGCTCGTCGAGTCCTGAGAGTGAACCAGGGCCACTGAGACTGAGCCATAGGACTTGTAGGGAGCCGCGCATTTGCAAGGAGCTAATGACGCACCTTTGGTGTCCTTGCTATCTTACCGAAGCGCAGGTTATGTTTCTGTGCGGCAGGATGTGCGCGATGGTACCCACGCTGGCGTATTCCGGCCACACGCCTTTCATCCACGAAGCACTGTACAGGAACAGCCAGCCAACAGCATACCAAGACAGCTGCAGTCTCTCCGCGCTCTACCTCGCAAAGACCGAAAGAAACCGCTCCATATTAACAACGTCTATCGACGACAAGATCGCCGCCCTCGTAGCCTCCTCCCACGGCTGGTCGCTCACCGACCACCTCGCCGCCGTCCAAGCCCTCATAATCTACCAAATCATCCGCCTGTTCGACCCCGACCTCGGCGCGCAAGCGCAAGCCGACCGCCAGAACCGCCTGCTCGAAGTGTGGACCGCGCATCTGTGGAAGCGCTCCTTCAACGAACCCGCCTCCTTCAAAACCTGCTACGACGCCTGGGTGTTCTACGAGTCGATACGGCGGACAGTGCTGATGTCCGTGTTCCTAAGAGGCGGCTGGAGCTGCGTAAACCAGGGCGGGTTGTGCGACCAGGTGCCTGTGCTGGCGCGGCTGCCGCTGACCAAGGATGGCAGCTTGTGGGAATGCGATTCTGCGGCGTGGGAGCAGAGGGGGCCGTGCGATAAAGGCGTGGACTGTCTGATTGCGTATGGCGACTTGTCGCTGGGTTGGAAGCCGGGGACTGATCCGGAGCAGTTGACGGGCTTTCAGCGGATGTTGCTTGCGGCTTGTCGCGGGAGGGACGATCCCTCACTGTTCTATTGAAGAGACGGGACACTTCGTGGAGCATTTTACAGGGAAACGCTGCGCTCGCCGCTTACAAGTTCTATGCGGCAAGCGTCGCGATGGTATAGGATATCACCAGTCGTGGGCGAGACACCGGAGAGATGCTCCCCAACTAGCGTACTCAGCGATTGCCGCCTCGTGCTCGATCCCGCCCCTCCATCTACAACTTATCCACCTTCTGCTCCGGAGCTGCGCTCATGTCCCGAAAATCGCGGCCAAATTCGAGTCGTACGTCGAGGTAGCGGTCTCTCCTCTGCTCGCCGGGCGGATGTTGTTATAGTAGAGAACAGCGGTTTACGTGCAGCTGATGAGGAGAGGTGGGAGGAATTCTGCACCTGGCGTTAGTCGCGAGTGCTCAAAGAAGTAGAAGATCAGTTCGGAGAATGACCGATATCCTGTGGACGGCGCGAGAAAGGAACCCGAAGCCCTTCCGGATCAGGAGCAATTTTCTCATGCGGCCGACGGTCAGGAGACGATAGCAGAGGCAGGGACCTCGGTACATGAGATTTCATGGCTATGTACACCTAGTGTACCGGTCCAGAAAACCGGCGGATTTATCGAAAGATATTTGGGGCTGTATGTAGCGGTTCTTGACGTCACAGTGCTAGTCGTAGATAGCCTCGTAGGTTTTGGATTAGCAAATTCATATGTCAAATATCCACGAAATCCTTGAGGCGGCACTACAACTCCTATTAATACATGTGAAAGGGAATCCATCTACCACTTGATCCCCTGCTTGAATATCGGCACCTCCGCAAAGTCCTCCGCCTTCCACCTCAGCTTCCCCTTCTCGTCGATCCATGCCCCCTCATCGCTGCTCTTCAGTCCCTCCTTCTCATTCTCTCGCACTTCGGTCTTACTCACGCCCATCCCATCTCTCGCCAGCCAAATCACAGGCGTCGAGCTCGTGAATGCTGGGTTCAGATATGCCTTCTTGATATCATCCTCAGAGTACTCCGGTACATCGTCTTCGTCAAACTCTCCGCCTTCCTTCAGCCATGCTTTCATAGCCTTATGAGAGGCGAAAACGTGCGGTTCGAAGAAGCGGGCAAGGGGTGAAACGATCTGAGATGGGGCGCGAACGTGGCTGCCTAAGCGCTGGATATGTGAGTCGGTATGCTGGGGTGCTTCGCCTTCTTCTGCGGAGGACAGGAGTGGTGCTTGTTCGTCCTCTTCAGACTCTAGAGCTAGATCTGCGGGCAGGAATTGCTCGAGCGGCGCGAAGTATCGGTTCGTTGTCGCGTTAAAGAGGACCGTAACGACGAAGAGTATCGCAGTCATTATAGAAGGGCCTGTGGCTTTCCGCAACCCAAATAGGCCGATTAGACAGAGCTCGGCGATGTAGATACCGGTAAGGATTTGTTGGAGGGCGATAGTGTAGCATTGTCCCTTGGTATCTACCTTTGGCTGCACGGTGTAGAGCAGCATGTACTTGTAGCTGAGGTAGAATATCGCTAGGCCTACGGCGGCGAAGCCCATGACCAGAGGAGCGACGCAAGAATAGGCAAGTGCTAGATAATTCAGCAAAGGATCTTCGTAGAATTTAATGTGCTATGCTTACCAATGATAACAAAATTGCCATATTTAGGGAAGACTTTGCCCCATTGAATACCTTTCAAGCGAGTGTAGCTGTTGTACTTCTGGCGAGGCGTCTTGTCGAAGAAATAATCGAAGAAGAGATACGAAAGAAGGTCCGAGTAGTTCAGAAAGTTGTCCGAAGCGCTCGTCAAGCCTTGAACAATGAAGTACGTGAGGTAGGAGTTCGATGCTGAAGGAAGCTTCTCCGCGAGCAATGTTGGTATAGACGCAGGATTGTTGGCGATTTGTGACACAACTGCAGTAGCTCCAGAAGCTATTGTGTTGACCAAGAACACCTGCAGGACTTGGAAAACGAAGTACCATTTCAGGACTTTCAGTTCAGCCGAAGTGTTCGTAGATTCTCCAAAGGACTTGAAGATAGCTGACTTCGGTTAGGCACCGGCGCACGGAATGATTTGGAGGGGCACCTTACACCTAAAGATCTTTGGCACCCATGAGCTCAGCAGACTGAGGAGCGTAGGAGGTACCAGGCCAGTCAAGAGACCCTTGACCGGCTCGGGGAGGTTATCAAGCCAACTGAGCCACTCATAGCGCTTCGCGAGGTAGGCAACATTGGAAAAGACGCCTACGAAAGACACAGGGATGGACCTTAAGGACAATTAGTACAGTCCGGCCTCAAACAGTCATCAGGGCCATACCAAAAGACAATAGTCGCGACTACGAGAGCAGTCGCCATCCCTTCCTGCGAGATTCTCCTCGCTGGTTTGAGTGTCAAGTTACTCCATATCACTTCCCCAGGCATAATGCCAGTATAGCGGGGAGTGAAGGCGAGTATCTCTGCCGAAGCGAGCTGCTGATACGCCGTTTGAGCTGCGGCTTGGGTTCGAAATTCGACAAACACAGCTGCAGCACCACCGTGACTATCCACAGACTCATTCGACTCGCGTGCCTTTTCAATATCCGCTTCTTTCGATTTGATCTGTTCTCGGAGCCAGTCGATGCTGTCCACTCTCTTTCCAACAGGCTGTTGCGTCTTTAATATGTGAGTAGGCCTCAGTGACTTCTTCAAGTCATCCGGCAGGCTGTCGTATGATGGTGTGCTACCGTTTCTCTTCTTGCCGTTCTTTCTACCTTTCTTGTTTACGCTTTGAATGAGCGCGATTTCTGCAGCTTCCAATTCTTCGACCTTTGCATTCCGGTCTGAAACCAGCGACTGCAGCTTTTCAGTCTTTGTTGCCGGCCACACTCGCACAGCTTCACCGCCGAAGTATCGTTGCATATTTCCCTCGTCGAGAGCAGCGGTTGGTGCAGACAGGAAGAGAACAACCCGAGACGAGAGCCTCTTCGCATTCGGTTTCGAGAGATTCCACGCCTGGCGCAAACCGATCAACCAGAGTCGCTCCCGGGCGACAGTAAACATTACGAGTCCGAAAAATACCCACGCTACGACAGCATGAGCATAGAGGAATCTCTTCTCCTCAACGTTTCCAATCGATATCTTGTCCAATTGCGAGCTGTTTCCCCCTCCGGTGGCATTGATGGGCATAAGTATCGGCCATGTGATGCAACATCCGACTACGCAGATGAAGATGAGCGTCCGCAAGAAGCGCAGATATAAGTAGGAGTCCAAGGACTCATGATAAAGGGTAAACTTGTCGGGAACAACTCTCAAGGTGTGAGCCCAGTCGAAATATGAGCGAGTCGCAGACGGTGTGCGATCCCTATTGCTGTTAGAAGCGTATGAAGTTGTGGTGGCTTAACGTACTTTTCTGGTATTGTGCCAATGTAGGTTCTAGGCGAATAGATCTTGGGAAATCGGTGTCTGATAGCTACGAATATGCCTACGAACAAGCATGCTGTAAGCCATGTTGGGACGAAGGCTGACAGAACGGCAGATAGATTGTTAGCAGAGCCGCGAGGCTATCGAAAGATATATAATTAGCAATCTGTGCAAACACTTGACATCGGGTGGCTGACGAACACGTCTTGAATCTCTCAAGAATCTTAAAACAGAGGCTGAAAAGCTGTGCAATGAAAATAATTCGACTCGAAAAAAATTAGGAAAGAGTGGATGCGTGTGAAAGATGCACTCACCTTCGGCTTGTTAGCCCAGGCACCAAAACTCCCGTTTCCCACCCAGCCTCCACCACCAGAACTCAATACGCTCTGAATATCCATTGTGGCTCGTCCTGAGAAAAATGATATACCGCTGGTCGGTAGTAATAAAGCGGAAGTCCGGCTTTTCAATATTTGGTCGCGACTGCGCCTCGTAGGGAGTTGGAGCCTTGAAACGAAGATCTCAAGCAGACGTCATCGCGTATTCCCCGCGAATCCTTAGACCAAAAGAGGGACGGCAGAGCTGAAGCGAGATATGTCCCTAGATGGAATGTGTGTTGATGAAGACCGTTTCTCGTGTTATGTCGTGTCGTTTAAAGAGCATTCAAGGCAGATGAGCGACCATGACGTAGATCATGTGGCGCGTGCGTGGCGCCGCGCTAGGGGACGAGATCACGTGGCTCTCGTTTCACTAGGGGAACATTACGGAAGTATAGCTAGAATATCACCAGTTTGGTTACCCAAACCGAACAGGGAGTCTCACGGAATGGAAAAGCCATCTATATTGAACTACCGCAGCCTCAAGGTAGAGAATTCTCCAGATATAACGACGCACGTAACAGCCACCTAGAGGCCTTTGCAGTGCGTACAATAGAACATAGCTAGCTGCGTGAGCAGTCCTATCATCTATGCGACGAGCGCTTGGATCCAGAGGACGCCCTACCACAAGAGAACATGTTATTCTAACACCATCTATTTGCCCTAGTGCCAGCAATGTCTCTTCTCATCGTCCCGAAGAATTGTATCCCGATTATTAATTACAAGCCCCATAGTAAGTATACACGAAAAGGGACGCCTACTTTTATATAACTTTCCAACCCTGCGTATGCTGGAGTATCAATCCCGTGTATCCAAAAACGCCTCCTTCCCGCTAGACTCATGCGATAAACACAGATAAGACAATCAAAGTCGGCGACGAGGTCTAAACCCACAGAAGCCATCGTACGACCTTGAATCCAAAACCAAACACCCGTCTTACAGACCCGAGTATGACGACAATCAACCATACGAACCACATGAAGCCAAGGAGCATCCATTCGACGAGCATCCAGCCCACTCGTCGCACCCACCTCATACGTCGCCGCCTCATGCGGAGCATTCTGTCTACCTCGTCGCTGATTTGTTTGACGGATAGAGGCGCGTTGCTTGAAACCTCGCTCGTGATTTTTACGGCTTCATCGGCGCTATTGCGCACACGCGGGAAGAGGTCCGACTCCACTCTCGACTTGAGTGTAGTGATCATCGATGCTAGCTCCTTTACGGTGGAATCGCGGAATTCTTCGGCAGAGGCTTGAAGAGCCTGGGTGGATGACTCGAGAAACCGAACAAGGATGCGCGCTGCAAGTACGTGTTCTTCCTTCTTGGAGACTGGAATGAGTTCTGCATTCGCCGTCTTCGCAGCGCGAACGAGAAAGGGCGCTGGTTGGGAGCGTGGGCGCACGGCATGAGCTCTGCGAGCGATTTCCTTCGCCTTGATGCCTGAGCAGAGGAACAGTGCGCGGACACGAGCGACATCGGCTTGAGCGATAATGGTAGGAGTAACCTTGCGATGGAGAATCTTTTCGTCCTCGTCCGTAATACTCCAGTGGCGCTTGCCCTCGAGTGTGGGCCGTGAGCTGCTACGTTGCCGATTAGTGTCAGACGCTTGAGCGTCGGCCAGAGCAGTATGGGGTAGGCCCCCATGTCCGACGCCTCCGGGACGAGCCAGTATCTTGCTGATTCGCTCCTGACTGCGAGAAGGTGATGAAGGTGAACTCGCTGATATTCCATGCAAATCCATCCGCGGAGGTGCTAGCCTGTCAAACCGGGGAGAGCGACTGTTGGCTCGATCCCTAGCTTGGCGTGTAATAGGATGATCCGGAACGTACGAGTCCGTGGCATATGCGGGGTCTTCCGGATTCTGCGTTAAAGTAGACGAACGGAAGGATGGGAGCTCAAGATGGTAATGTCCATTCCTCTTCGACGTGACGCTACCAGCAGTTTGTGCTGTTGTGCTGCGAGCAAGGTCAGGCCGGTGTCTACCCTCTCGCACTCCGAAGCCTCCATCGCTATCGGAGTCGCTAGCAATAGCAATATTACGATCTGAAGCTGTGTCTGTTTCTGAGTCCTCCGGCGGCCGGTCTCTTCTGAAAATGAATTCGCCTACTTTCGACCCTTCGCTCTTAACGCCTTTGAAGAATCTTGTCACCGCAGAAGGGGGCTCTTTCGGCTCCTTTGCCTCCTTCTTGGGCTCTTTCTCCGGGCTCTGCAAGCTACTGACACTATCATTCTTGCGATGCCCTAGGAGATTCTTGACTGCGCCTGGTGCTGCCCAAATCGTCGACCCAAAGCCATTACCTTCCTCAGTATCCTCGCTCGCCTGTCTAGAACTCAGTTTCTTGTCTGAACTAGTAGAGTCGAAGTCGGCTTTGTGCTCATGCTTAGCGCCTTTGGTACTGTCGTCTGAGCGGAAAATATCCAATCTACCCTTTCTCGGCTTTCTCGTCACCGAGCCATCCCGGCTGGGAGGTGGCGAAAGATCGGTTCCAATATGAGGAAAGGGTCTGGGGTGAACCGGCGTACTCGGTGCGGTGCTGTCAAGGTCGTCAAACGAACATCTAGGCTCTTTCGAAGGGTCAATGGAAAGGGCGGGATCAGTGCGATTCTTCGGGGGCAGTTTGAGACCGAAACTGGCATTCGCATTGGTAGAACCATTGGCGGATCCCGGAACCTCCAGAGAGCTTCTGGGAGCGTAATTATCTGGCGCACCTTCCTGAACTCTACCCCACTTGTCAGGCGTGTCAGGTGTAAATATAGCGGGGGATTTAGATTTTGTCTGCGCCTCTTTAGCTTCTTCTTCCATCAATTCCCTCATCCTGAGTTCCAGTGGACCAGTGTTGTTGTTGACGTCTATGACTCTGCGAGGTTTTCGTGAACGTTGTTGTTGCGCATCAGAGTCGGAGTCAGAAGAATTAGAATAGCTACGAGATTGCTGACTCGAGCTGCCGCGGACGTGCTTCTTCTGCCTTGGGCTTTCTGCGCGGAAAGTTGGGAGTAGTCTTCGTTTGCGGCCACGTTCGCTTGCCCCGTCGCTTTCGTCACCGGTCGCAGGGTCTGCAGCGACTCCGGGCAACCCATCCGCCCAGCTCTTTCGACGCTTCTCTGGATACTCTTTGCTTGCTCGAGGCTGAAGGAAGTCCTGCTTCTGTGGCTCTTTCGGCGGAAAGACCTTGCGGCCATGCCGATCTTCTATCACGGTCTTGTTGTCACCGATCTCGAGCCAGTGTGCATCTGCGAGCAGCTCTTCGGCAGTGAACATCCATACCATGTGAGGCCTTGAGGACTTAGTAGGCGCAGATTGTGTTCCATGGTTTCCGTGAAGCTCGGGCAGTGACACGCCATCCTGCTGGCGATAATCAGGATATGTAGCTGCCCTTTCTACCCTATCAACCCAATCACGTACTAGATTGACATCTGTGAACTCCTCTGGTGGATGGTCCAGCGTTTTCCTTTCGCGAGCTCTAGTTCTCCGATTCCGTAGAAATTGCAGCGGGTTATATGGCCGACCGAGCTCATATTGTTTTCCTGCGTACGACGGTATGCGAGTGAGTTGGGCATGGGGGCTTCCTGGCATGTTGTTTGCAGTAACAGTAAAGTTTCCCGGTGCACTGGAGTCGGGTTTCAGAGGCGGTAGGAAGTCGAGGAGCCTCAAATACTCCATGCGTAGCTCGAAGAAGGCGCGCGCTTTGTCTCGGCGGGCTAGGGTAGCATCTGAGGGGTCGAAAGGGCGACCCTGGATGAATAGCGACCCACTTCGCTGCACGGAGCTGGACATATAGCGCATTCCAGAAGGAGAACTCCTACCGCCAACCGGAGAAATATTCCGCGAAGCCCTGCGTTGCTCATTGAGGTACTGCCTCAGGCTGCTACCAGCACCGCAACTGCGAAAGCTCCCATCCTGCGGTGCTCCGGAGGAAACCTGAGGCGGAGGGACTAGGAGCTGACCGGCGCTGAGGTTCCTCTTCCGGCTTTCGCTCAAGTTCAACGCCATATGTACGATCTGATTCGGGTCGAATGCAGGCCGTGGCGCCCCTTCGTCGGGTTCGCTACCTCTGTCGTGGGCTGTGGATGGTGTGCTATGCACATTATTTCTTGCCTTCGCCACACGGAGCCCTCCACTGCCATCCTCTTGCACGTTGGCAGAGTCATCTCGCAAATTCCGATCTGCGCCATCCTGATCTGTTATTCTCACCTCCCGCGACAAGGGCGAGCGGGTCGACGCGCCGCTTCCTAGCTCTAGGCGTGCTTCTCGCCCATTCTTGACAGATCCATGGCTATGGAAGGAGCTCCGTTTTCCTTTCTTGTCCTCGGTGTGTGGGCTGTTGTAGGGTTGTCTGCTTCGTGGGCCGCCGGCGAAGCTCGAGTCCAGCAAAAAGCCGGCGGACCTTCTGTTGCGTTGCCTGCGGTGCGCAAAGTCCTGCTCTTCTGTGGCCTCAATCGACAGAGAACTGCCCGTGTTTAGTGCTCCGTTTTCTGCGCCGCTATTATGCCTTGAGCGCGCGGGGCTGGGCCGCTGCGATGCGCTCCCTTGCACATTGTCCACGAACGCGCCCGAATGTCTCGAGTTGAGGGTATGCGACGATGCGGCCGAGGGCTCAGAGGATACTGAATGTCGACCATCGCTGGAGGGCGCCGACATGTTCTGCAACCGTGGCTTAGGTATTGTTACCTCCGCCAACGAGGGGGGCGCATGGCTAGAGAAGCGTGACTGCGCAGAACGGAGGAGCGAAGTATATCAACGTAAGGAAAGCCTTGCCGAAATAGGAGAGCAAAATGTATGCTGCAGCGAAAGTGTGAAAGGAAGTGGTGGGTGGTTATTACAGTAAATGCCGACGTGACCAGCACCGCAGATGCAGTTTTATGGGAGATGGAGGCGCACCCCTGCATGGCAACGTCAACGGCTCATTGTCCGTGCGGGCGCGCATCACATGCCGGCGTCGCGCACGAGTAATAACTTCAGCAAGCTTCAACCACATCAGCCTATCCGCTCTCCGCGTACAAAGACCGTCCAATTCTAGGCTTGTTCTTTCAGCGCCTGGTCCACAACCTCCACAATCTCGTCCGCGCGATCGATAGCTACCTCGTGCCCTGCCCCCTTCACAATCCTGACTCGGAGCTTCTTCTCCCCCAAAACTTCCCTTGCGTCTTCGATCAGCTCTTCCGCTATGATGATTGGATCCGCGTCTCCTAACACTAGCCAGACTTCCTTCAACTCCCCAACGCCCTTCTCGATATTCTGCGCAACGATTCGCCACCGATGATGCTGGTTGTGGATCGGAGCGTACCGAATGCTAGAAATAAAAGCTGGTACGAACCCTTGGTGGTGCAGGAGCTGCCAGTCCACCACCGTGGATGCCGTGCTGTTCGGATTGTCCCGAAGGAGGCCGAGATGGCTGGTTATATACACCGCTCGACTTCTCAAGCCGCCTTTCGGCTCATCGTCGTTGAGCGGGGATGCCTGACCGTCGGGCTCCGGCTCGATGGTTCGTGTCGTCTCCGGACCAGTCCAGAGTCTTCGAGCGACGAGTCTTTGGATGAGAAATTCCGGTATAAGCCCGCCGGTCGAATACAATAGTTTGCTCTTCCAAGTGATATGCTTCGTTCGGATCAAACCACCTGGGGCAACCAGAACTAGACCCTTGATAAGATTCGGGAAGTACGATGCGAAGTCCGCAGCGATGGCGCCACCAAGTGAGTATCCGATTAGCGTGAAGGAGGTCCAGGGGATGGGCGATGACTGGATGCACAGAAGAATCTCGGAGGCGTAGAGCGCAGAGTCGTAGCGGTGCGTTGAGGGGTCTGGGCCCGAGCTGAAGCCGCGTCCGAAGAGGTCTGGTGAAGTGTGGTGAGTGTGCTGTCTAGAGCATGACTAACACGGCGTATGTGACGATGGGCACCACTCTATTGCAAAGAAGCACGACACGAGTCCATGCGGAGAAAGGAATAAGATACTTGAATGAGCTCTATCTCACCTACCAAATAGCATAACGCGATATCCTCTTTCGACAAGTTGGTGAGCCAGACCCGCTAGGGCGATGCTTGGGGTCGAGATACCATGAATGAGCAACACCTTCTCACCCTGCTCTGGTCCGAACTCGTACAGCCGAACACTACCGTATGGACTATCCACGTCACGAGCTCCCCGGAGCGCATCTGGGGGATATGGTAGTGCTCTTTTCTCTTCCCCGGAGAGGCACGGTAGTATGGTTTGCGCTGGGGAAGGAATGATCTCGGGTCTATCCGACTCGAGGGATCCGCTCGTGGATCTCAGCAGAATTAAAGTGCCGAGGGATGCCACGCCTGCAAACAGGCACAGATTTAGACGAGATGCGGGAGACGTGAAATGCGATGCAAAAATGTCCGATATACGATTGGCCATGCTGGAGGTCTTCACGGGCGCTACCCGTAGGCGCTGACCAATGGTAGGTAGTTGTACCACACAAATAGATTGCTTAGAGACAGAAAGTCGGTGTTGAGGATCCATGGATAAGAATAAGCCCTGGAGCGGAGTGCTGCGGCGCTATCCCTATCGTGCTCTTGATGCTTGCGCCACATGCCCAGGGCTATTTTGGCGGAACTTGCGCGGCAGGGTGTGGAGATCAAAAGTTTCGACATTCGTTCGCGCGCACAATTGGCCGCACCCCTTCGTTGCCGCGCTCTCTCGCGCGCCGCAATCACAAGCAGGACCCAAGCGATCTGCGGTTGGGGACAAAGGGGAATGGAACATGCGACAGAGCCAAGCGCGCCCAGGGCTCAGCGGCGACATGTCGCTCGACGGCGCTAGCGTGCGGCCTGCGGTCAGCTTCTCAGCCACGCTGAGGAACACTCCTACACTGCCTTCTTCGTGAGGCACCGATGGAGAGAAGCCTGCCCTGCGACCGCCCCGGCGAGCTATTTTACTTTGGCTGAGCCGCTGCTGTTTCTGCTCCTTTCTGCCATTGCGCGTACTCTCCGCGAGAGTCGCCTGTTTCGAAACTTGCGCACCCCCAAAACATTCACCTCTCACCTCCCGTTTGGCGGCCGCCGCCAGCCCCTCTCTTCGGCTTGTACATAGTTCTTGCGCTTCGAAAGGCGACGGCTGCGGGCCTCAGGACAGTCGGAACATATTTCGGTGCGCCTGGATGCGGTAGCGCGCAATGGACGAGTGGTCAAACAAGCTCCCCGAGCGCCTGCCCTTCTCCAAGAAGCGACTCCCCAAGAGGGTCATATTCTCGTTCGTACCGCACGACTCTCCGCGACCGCATGAGAAGCTGACCAAAGCAGATACATTATCGACTATGTCATCATAGTGTAGGAATCCTCCACTCCTTCCGCATCACACGACCTCCTTCCCAATGTTGACCCCAGCTAACGCGCACTACCGCAGATTCCTAATCGCGCTCTTCTTCATCATCGACAAGGTCAAGCCTTACCACCAGCCCTTCTCCCTGCGGAACTACACCCTCCACTACCCCTACGCCGTCCACGAGCGAATCCCGGTATTCTACGCAGCCATCATCTGCGTCGTCTTTCCCGCCGTCGTCATTATCGTCTACACTCTGGTCATAGATGGACTCTTCTCGCACCAGACGCCTATGCCCGCGGATAGGGCAGGAGGGTTGAAGCGCTTGGCAGGCAGATATAGGTTCAAAGACAGACTGTGGGAGCTCAACTGCGGTATTCTCGGCCTGATGTTGAGCAATTGCGCGGCCTTCACAATAACGGGTATGGCTAAGGCAGACATAATTAAAATAAGGTGCTGACAGAGGATAAAGGCGCATTGAAGAATGCCATTGGCAAGCCTCGGCCAGATCTCATCGACCGGTATGATGCCACATGGGGGAGCAACGCTTTGACGTGGACTGACATGGCGCAGTTGCCAGATCAAACCGAACATCGAACTCCCTGGCCTTGACATAAAAGACTTCCGACTAGCCACAAGCGACATTTGCGGGCAACAGGACAACTATATCCTGCAAGATGGCTTCAAGAGCTTTCCTTCTGGACACAGCAGCAGTACGTAACTTTCCACTAATTCTGACAAACGCGCTCTAACCTTGCATAGCTGCATTTGCCGGTCTTTTCTTCCTCTCTATGTACCTCGCTGCAAAGCTGCATGTCATGGACGCAAAGGGAGAAGTGTGGAGAACCTTCATCGTCATGGTTCCCACGCTTGCCGCTGCCCTCGTCGCCGGCAGCCGCATCATGGACGCCCGCCACCATCCTTTCGACGTTCTTTCCGGTAGCGCTCTCGGCATTCTTGTCGCCTGGGCCTCCTATCGGCAGTATTTCCCACCAATATCAGAGACGTGGCGCAAAGGCCGCGCGTATCCGATCCGTAGTTGGGGCCGCGGACCAGCTCCTCCTCCAAATCCTACATTCCAGGTCGAGGAAGACGTGCAGCCACTGCGCCCAATGCGAAGACCTACGGATGAAGAGCGAGGAGCAGCATCTGGCTTCTCGTCCGAGACAGCAGTTGCAGGACCTGATGAGCACGGCGGCAATGTTTTCCGCCAACAGATATCGCAGTCACAGCGCCGACGGCAGCAGGACGCACCGTTTGCTATCCAGCATAGCGACACTGCGGGATCGACGTATTCACAGCAAGTTTCTGGATACCGAGGCAATCTGCCAGCGTCAAATCCATTCGCTACCGAGCCACGCCGCCATGATACATATGATTACTCTTCGTCGGAAGATGACGATAACTATGAGTTACAGCAGACATATGGGCTTTCAGCTCCACAAAGCGGAGGCGTGTATAATCCTGTCTCGGGGACCATGACCGATACGGGATACCATCCTACGCCCGGTATCTCTCCGAATCCAACACCACCTCCTCCCGCCAACCTTACCGCAGCTCCGCGGCTTCCAACCGCAACCTCCCCGACTGGCGACCTAGGAGACAGACGGGAAGGAGCACCGGCTCCGCCACCGCATGCGGTAGGCACAACTCCTCAGCAGGTATAGACTTCGTGGAGGCGACTGCTATTTCAAAAAAATCGGGACACGCGACGAAAGTCGCATACCGTGCCGTGGCCAGAACGGTAGTGAGAAAGAGATTGCTGGGAGCTGCCACGAGCGCCATTATGTTGACGGTCACCGAAGCTGTCAGGTATGATTGTGACATGCTCTAGCAGGGAGTTATTGTGTGAATAGGGATCGAATTGGGATTATGTGGAACAATGGCGCCATGGAATGGTAGCTCTACCTTCATGCAACAATCAACATCTAATTTCTTGCTTCATGTGAACGTGGTCTCTGTGTGTGTCTGCTCCAAATTCGGTCTTATGTTCTCCTGTTACTAGTCTCCGGATCCTGGAAACTGAAACGACGTCGATTACCCGAGCGGTACGGCAGAGCCTTGGGCAAGCCTTCGGCGCCTGAACAGGGTCCGGGGATTTACTACCTACCCATTCTCTCCACTCAATCATTCCGCACCACGGCTTTCCAGTAACCTAACAATCCCTTCGCGATTACTCTCCCTCGCGCGAGCCAACGGCGTCCGCCCCTGCACATCCTTCAGATTGACATCTGCGCCGCTCTCTAGCAACAACTCCACAACCTCCCTATGCCCCGCCTCAGCCGCCTTATGCAGCGCACTCCCCATCTCCTCCGTCTCCCTCGGATCCGTCGGGTGCTCCACGCCCATCTCATCGACATCCGCGCCCTTCCCCAACAAAAACTCCACCATCTCTTTCTTCCCCGCCTCAGCCGCCAGCACAATCGCGCCACTCCCCCTCAGCGTTGCCCCGTGCTCGAGCAGCAGCCTCACCACGTCGACGTGCCCGCTCTCTGCAGTCGCCGCGAGCACGGTCTTGTACTCCTCGCGCCGGTCTTTGTCCGGCTCCGCGCCGTGCTCGAGGCAGAACTTCGTCCACGCGTAGTTCCCCTCTTCCGCGACGACGGCGAGCACCGTGCCGAACCAGGGGATGTAGTAGGAGATGGGGATGGCGTTGGATTCGACGAGCAGTTTGTGCGTGGTGAAGGCGTTGCTGCAGATCAGCGTGGACATGACGGGGTCGGTGATGGTGCCGCCGTGTTGCAGGCAGTAGGAAACGATGTCGGCGCGGTCTTGCGTGGCGGCGGCTTGCATTATGGCTGTGAGGGGGGGATTGTAGGATGGGTTGGCGGATTGGGTGGTTTGGAGTGTGGAGCGCACGGTGGCGAGGTCGCCGGAGGTGCAGGCGCGGAAGAGGTCGTCACCGAGCTCTTTTTGCAGTTGGGCTGTCATTGTGGTGGTTGAGGGGTTGACTTTAGTTGATTAATCCTTAGAGGGGCGAGTGGTGGTTAAGAAAAGCTTCCGACTCGGTAGGACACGGCAGGTGAGGCGTAAGTTGTAATGAGCCGAAATTTGTGGAACCGAATGTGGTGGGAGGTGTTAAGATGGTGAGTTCTCAGCTCATACTAACGGGCAGGCAAGCTACTACTCATGGAAGCAGCAATGAAGCTCGGTTCTCATGGGTGATGACTTCGGGGTTGTAGACGGTCGAGGCGGAGCACGGGGGGCGAGTTTCATGCTATACCAGCGTCACGTCATTACGCATATGAATCCCATGAACGGCCTAGTATGTAGGGTGAAGCACTGTGGTCCGCTCAACTTCTCATTCAAGTGAATCATAGTTGTCGTCGGGGTTCGTTGCATCCAGGAATAGTGTAGTGCGGATCACTTAGTAAGCGGCGTCGGGAACCTCTGATGATCCTCCTCCACAATCTCACTTCCATGAAACGTCTTCGGACATTTACAGCACTGCCAGCCCGTTGATTTCCTGTACGGCTTTGCGAGTACACGCCATCAGCATGGTACCGACAAGGGCGTAAGGCGAAAGATCTGCGTACCCGTTCCCCACATTCACAACAATGCCGCCGAGGGCAGGATTCTCATGCGGCTCAAGCCGTTGTCCAGATGCTCGAGCCTGCTCAGTGTACGAGCCGCAGCTGAGAGGAACCGGGGCAGGGGCATGCACTGTAGAAGAGATGGATGTTCAGAAACGTCACACCAGCAACAGTTTCCAAGACAGGGAATAGTTTGCCATTCATCTTTACGAATCTTCATTTTCCTCACGATGCGTGCGGGGCGCGGAGCGACGAGACTGATGATGCATTCCCTCAATGTCGATGCCCAGATGGATTCATCGGCTTGGTTATATTGCATGCACTTCCTAACGCTCAACCTGAGCTACCTACGTCGAACTCAAAACAGCCGTAACTCCATCGGATGATGAAGACGTCAAGGATTTCAGACGAGCTTAATGGGCTCTGTGGCACTAACTCCTCGACACTAAGCCCATCCTCCCCGACTTCAGCCCCAGAAAGGATTCAACTCAAATCTCGCTGTGCCCCCTCCGAGCGCACAGAATAAGCAGCCAAGGCTCCGGAGACTAAACATACATGTTCTTGGCGTTTCATTCGACTCCGCCGTACAGACAATTATTTCCGATTCAAGCTCCTTCGCTGACATGTTGACATCACAGGAGCACCCCGGTCGGAAGACTTTCAGCATCTCGTCTACCAAATGCCAAGATACTGGGACCTGAGCGGCCGGGCTTGAGATGATGGCGCACAGTGGAATGGATGGCTGAGCTACCGTCCGTCCGGTGTGAGTTCAAACAACGGAGCACACACCGGCATCAGCATCAGCATCAGCGAGGGAGTAGGATGGATCATGAATTCATCATCTAAGAGAAGGACCGCTCCTGTATAAGAGGACTCTGTCTTCCAGTTTGAGAAGAACATCCAGCACCGCAGCCCACTCCACTCATTGATTTAAACCTCCATCCGTCTACCAGCATCCCCCCCCTCCCCCTCATCACCACCCACCATGCGTTTCGCCCAGACGCTCCTAGGTCTCCTCTCCCTCACCTCCCTCGCGCTCTCCTCCCCCGTCCCGGATCCGCACCCTGTCTCCCTCTCCAAGCGCTACAGCGGCACGCCCAAAGGCAAAGACGGCTCCGGCGGCCCCGACGTCAGCGACTACAACACCGACGACGAGATCCGCGCGGCCTACATCACCCCCTCTGGGCCCTCCGTCTTCTTCTCGCAAATCCCCTCCTCGACCCTCGCCTACAACTACGCGCAGTCCGTCAACGGCGTCATCTTCCGCGGCACCTTCCCGCGCGGCTTCACCGCGCAGAACAAGCGCTCCAAGGAATGGTACCAGGACTTCGCAGACCGCTTCTCAGGCGTCTACGCCGAGAAGGCGAGCGGCGAGGTGTTTCTCGTCGCGCCCTTCGACGCCGAGATCGCGGCCTGCAGGGTCTGGCAGCGCATCGAGCTGCCCACGCTCAGGGACAACGCGGCGGTGACGAAGATCACGCTCGTGGATCATGACGATTTTACTAAGACGAAGACGCTGTTTGAGCGCGGCGTTACGCGGTTGGCGCTGAGGGATATGGACTTTGGGAGCCTGGCGAAGAGGGATGATGCTTGCCCCGATTGGACGGACGATGAGGATGGTATGGATCCGGCGGAGCCGGATGTCGACTCGGATTCGGACTCGGATGTGGAGGATATCTTTGACTAGAGGGGTGGCTTGATTTGAGGGGAGAGATTGGTGCATTCATTCGTTCGTTCGCTTGTGTAGATATCTTGGGCTAGGTGGATGAAGCTTTTGAGGGGAGTTTTCTACTTCATTGTTCTCATGATGATGACTTTTGTGTTGCTGGCTGGATTGGTTTCTGGTGTAGATTGTAGGGAATTTTTTACATATAGAGAGAATATCTGTGCGAATTGCCACGCCCTATGCCACTTTGTTGTATATGTTTTGACGCTGTATCTCACAACTCAGTCACAGCTTCTTCCCAAGCCGTACTTGCCGAGGTGGAAAGATGTCTCCCTCTGTTCCTTCGCCATCCTCTTTTAATATCCGAGGCTCGCACACACCGACATCTCAAAAGGACGCCCTCATCAAGTGCTGACGCTCTTGCGGCTCTCCTGCTCGGAAAGGAGTGGCTTAACTAATCCGGAGCCGCGATGGCGTGAGGGCTGAAGTCGTGGAAGACGTCGAGATGAGAAGCCTATCAGGGGACGGGGCCATCAATGGGTAGTGGAAACTCGTGCAAGCCGGGCAATGCAAAACACGGAAGAGAAGTAGTCTACTAAGATACGTGTGTCATGAATGGATTGGGCATTCGATCTATCCAGATCTCAAACTTTCCCTAGCAGCCTCTCTTCGAGACCAATTTGTCCAGAAAATGCAGCCCAGAACGCCGTGGTATAGAGAACGAATCAGCTCCCACAAAAATAGAATCGTACATGCCTCATGCCGTGATGCATCACAAGAAAAAGAAAGAATCGCTCAATGCGAATCTTCAAGCTCGCCCTCATTAACGATTACTCTTGGACCCGCCGCGCAACACTTTTTGAGCAAGCACGTCGCTTTAGACGTTGTGCTGCTGATGCCTGAAAGGCTCGTATGCGCTGCCTGTTGTGCCGTGGCCGGTGGGAGGGTGCATTTCATGCGCATTGCCTGAAACACCCATGTAAGGCGACGCGACGCGCTCGTAGGTGTATGGCGTCTTCTCGACAACCACCTTCTTGTGGCCAGACTTGCCGGAGCAGCAGCAGACGGAGATGAGCCAGAAAAAGCCGGAGGCGAGGGAGAAGGCGACGCCGAGCCAGAGGACGGAGAGCATCTTGGTACCCATGGAGGCCTTGATGTTGTATGGCTTGAGGACGCTCTCGAAAACGCCGACGAGGGTGGCGTAGAGGGCGGTCGACGTGGTTGCGGCGGCGAAGACAAAGACGGTTTGAGCCTGAGGGCGTTGTTAGTGGTCAGTTCGAATGAAGAGATTTCAGATGTGCTTACAGTCGAGACAATAGTGGTGACCAAGCTACCCCAGCGGCTGAAGATGGCGCTGAACCCAATAAGGAACTCGGCGGCAGTCAAGCAGATGGCAATGATGTACGAAGCAAACATCCACTTGGCAACCTTCTGGTACGTATTCAGCCCCTTCTGCATCTCATCAGGGAAGATCTTCTGCGCAGTCGTGTTGGACAGCTCCCAGACGTCCACCGGGTTGAACCAGAAGTAGTTCTTGCGCGGCGAGCAGTAGGTGATGGTTTCCTTGCCGTTATCGTCCTTATCGCCCTCGCAGTAGTTCCACAAGCCAACCTTATAAAAGTCCTTCAGGCCGTCGTCGGTGCTGGCGGCTCCCTGCAGCGCCGCCAACAGGTTGTTGTCGATGTTGTCATTTCCAGGGAGGTCGATGGCCTCCGGGTTATCGTTGAATTTGGATGTGTCCGCCTGCGTTGCGCGTTAGAATCTCGGGCAGAATGGATTCGGGACCCCCAGCGATTGGGGGCGAGGCCGTGCCAACCCACCTTGAAGAAATATAGATCGCGCTGTATCGAGGAGTTCTTGCTGAGCTGACCGGACATGACCAGCGCCAAACAAATGAGCGATGCTATCGTCAACGCCATTGGCGTGAAGATGCACGCGAATCGGCCGAGTTTCCCCATTGTCGCTGTTGTTTCCGATGTTTGGTGTCGCTTGCTGCGAAGTATGGGGCGGACGCTACGTCAGAGCCGTAGCGGGGAGTAACGATCGTGAGCTGGGAATCGCGGTGTTCCCAAACGCAAATAAACGTGAATAGGTGTGTCGAGGGCGACGGGAGGCTGAATGATGGGGCCACAGGTCGTAGGGTCCGTAGCAGGCTTTTGTATGTTGTAAACGGCAGGCCCTGGAGCTGAGTGGCAGCCCAAGGGGGCTGAGGCAAAGCAGGGGTCCGTGCAAGCGGGCAGGCACCGCAAACCAGGACCGCCACTGCACCAGCCTCACAGCGCTTGGCCCGATCCAGCATAGATGCGTCCGCTTTGCTGACCACTAGGCCTCTCTGAGTAATGGCCAACGATCCCGAGCGCAGCGCATGGCGGTGCTGAGCATGAAGAGGTATTTCCTATCCCGAAGATTTGCTCGCACAATGCTCAGCTGTGCGACTGGTGACGAACGCTTGTTGCGCAGTCGGTCCTTTGCTGGCCACCAAGCCGCGCGCCGTGAAGAAGCAACTGCTGTCTACCGGCCGTTGACTGCGAAGTATGGCGGCGCTGCTAAAAGCTTTCAATCCACCGTCAATGTCAAAAGTTCAAAGGACAGCACACCCCAAAAAAACAACCGCTGAATAAGAGCGCCAAAATAGCTCCACCTCATCTCCACCACCATCAGCACGGCGCAAAACTGATCTCTCATCCACCGCCGGCAAACCCCCAACCCCAGCTCCAGCGCCTCTCCTCAAACACGCAACAGCAACGAGCAGCAGCACAGCAACGCTCTCGTACAAAGCCCGCATCCACATCCCCCAACCGTCGCACCGGCCGCCCGTCCACGCAACCGCAAGGCTTGGCCCTAAGACCCCCCAAGCCAGCATCTCGGCAAGCACACCCTCCGACGATCAAGCTCGCCGGCAAGCATGACGGCCAAGCCGCGCGCTATCGCCCGCTCGGGCTAGCCTGCTGCTGCGCAGTCAGCAGCGGCTATATTTAGGGGCCGATTGCGCCAACCAAAGCGGGGAAAAATGGGCCTTGGATCACGCCAAGAGTTCGGAGGCGAGGGGCTGAGGCAGCGCAGCGCTGGCGGAGAGCGGTCCGCGACTGTGAGACTGGACTCGAGTCGGTCTCAACACCATGCGTAGAACTCACGATGGGGGTTGCTGGTGGCCGGGGACCCTGACTGTGCGGCTTGATGTTGGAAGGCATGCTGTTGACCCACTACTGTCGTTCCCTACCTACTGGTGTCGGATCACGTGCTCGAGCTTCCGCACGTCGCTACCTACCTACCTACCCAGGTACCTGGGTATGAGTGCTGTGTACAGTACATATCCTTCTTCAAAGGCGAGACATATACGCGTCCCTACCAAGACATCAAGATGTTCTGATTTAACTGTGGGGCGATTGGTGGGCCGCATCTCGGAGCCCGTTCGACTGCCCTTCCGGCGAAACAACATCACATATTCGCAGACGAGCCAGCTTGTGCTTTGAGCACTACTCACGGATACGTTGACTAGCTTTGCTATTAGCCATATTCCTTATCGCTTGGATGTCTAAGCATAAGGGTTTGCATAGACTGTCCTGTTAGCGAATATCAGACAGAGGGCCATGAACGAGTCGGCGGATCTTCAGGGAACTCATAAAAGCTGCGAAACAAAAAGTAAAGTCTGATGATCACGCTGCGAAGATAAAAGTGGTTCATAATGCAATCCATTCGGTGATTTTCTGTCTGCACGTCCGTGGCGTGTCCATGTGCAGGGACGCGCGGCCTTGGACCGTCTCTCTCAGACATCGCCCACACCTCCGGATCCCCTCACTCCCCATCATGACTTGGGCGTATCCATCGCACGCTTAGCCAATGAGAGGCTCCAACCGTGAAAGCCATCGCGTCGTGCGTACAATGATTCCTTCCCCCAAATGCTCGTGACAAAAGAAAATGCGACAAACGAAATCCAAGTCTCCAGACTTTGACCAAAATGCCAGTGGTGGTATAGCTAGTGCAGCAACCGTTGCACGCGTACATCGCACAAAATATGCAGGTATCCGAGAGAATCCTCTTTCTCGCCAGCCCCTCGCAGAAATGCCGAGAAAATGTAAAGCAAGTATGAAATAGCCCGTGGCGGGTTTGTAGACATTAGGGTTTAGGACTAATGTCTTGGTCGAAACGCCAGAACGCCGTGATAAGTCGCTGAATCCAGAATGCTATTGTTACAGGTGCACATATCGCGAGTTCGAAAACGGGGGTATCTGGTAGTAGCGAACGTGGCGGTATGCGATAGCTTGTCTTGTCCTCGAGGCGAGAGCAAGCATACTCCAGTTCTCTTCGCCCGCCGAAGGTCGTTAGGACGAGTTTTAGAGACTCGAAGAGTGAGACATGCCGGTAAGGGTGCTGCCGTGCATGCTTCATCAAAGTCCGGGACGCACGCGAGTCGATGCGGCGCGTACGATTGAAGCTGGGGTAGCCTCGTCGAGGGGCTCTGGTTCATGGGCCAATGACCCGGATTGAAGGGAAGTGGTGCCGTCTGTCCGATGCAGGAGGCTCATCGTGGATGTTGATTGTTGGGATCTTGTTGATTTTGCGTGCCTCGTCCGCCTTCTCCTCTGGCGCGTATCCATTGGGCGTTACCGCTGGTTCGGCCTTCCAAGGCCTTCTGAGCATCAGGATCCGATCTTGAGCTAGTGCGTCCGCTCAAAATGTCCTCGGGGCTAAGTTTGACGACTTCGTGCGCAATCGATGAGATAACGTAGCCACGAAGTTCACGGTCTTCGCGCATATCCTCGCCTTCGAGACGGAACTTCTCTTGCTTTGAGAGATTGCTTCGTCGCATGGATCGGATTTCGTCCATGATATGAAGGAGAACAGCCTCCGGTGCTCGATTGCGCTCTATGGCATACCTCGAGGTATTGCGAACATATCTCCGGGTGACGTCCATTGCGCCATCCGCAGAGAAAGCGATGCAATAGGAGAGCTTCTTGCCCCAGCCTGACAACAAGGTCATTATAAGCTCCTACAAGATAGGGGAGAGGAGAGGTACGTACCTTCAGTGTACAGACGCGGCTTGTCCCACGCCTCTTCGCAGACATCAACGTGGACCCATCGCTTCCTGTGGGCGGAGTAGACCTCAGTCCAGACGTGGTCTTCTGCATTCCAGACCCATCGGACTCTTGATCCGATGGCCCTGCAAAGCATGCTGAAGCAGTTGGCCCATTCGCCACATCGTCCGCGGCGGGTCTGTAGCAGAACGAAGGCGTCATTGTAGCGCGGATAGCGCTCGTAGTTTCCACAGTGGTCTAGCGAACACTTGTAGAGTTCAACTTGGTTGGCGCCGCGGGCCTGTTCATCTGGTAGTGGGGCGGCCATGCCGACGCCTATCGTCGGCGAGTAACATCGTGCACATGGAGGGTTGTTGACCCAGTTGAAGAACGACCGCTTAAACCAGCGCATGAGTGCGCGGACGACACAGTCCTGATAGCCCCATGCGGCCTTCTTGCCGGCACCTAGGCTCTCAGCTTCGGCCTGCAGGATCTGGCTTTCCTCTTCGGCTTCGTTGTAGATCTGTTCGAGCGGAACGACACGAAGAGCTTCGTCCAGCAGGCCAGGGTTCTCCCATCGCAGCGGCATGTTCGACAGCGAGTGCAGCATATTCCTGAAGCGTAACGAGCGAGCGTCCTGCGGTGGCGTGGGTACGAGGGGGATGTTTCGGAGCGACGAGTAGGATGGAGGGGCATTCTGCACCGGCGGCGGCTGCGGAGTGCCAAAATCTCGCGGCGCTGGCGACGAGGAACGCGATTGTACGGATCGCGATGTGAGTTCGTTCATGCGCCGGGTGCTGAGGACCTGCCGGAACTGCTCCGTCATTTCCTGGGCGAGCTTGTCGGTGTCGATGTGGGCTGCAGGCGCCCGCTGAGCGCCGTGCGAGTGCTCCATGGTCGAGGTGCGAGATGCAGTCGCGATAGTTCGGGGGTCGTGGGCGGCGGAGCGGTGGTGTTGAAGAACGTAGGGGTCGCGGGCGTGGTGGGTTGATAGTGTTCCAGGCTACTGCACAGCCAGGCTGCGGGTGACGACTAGTAGGCGCAGCAGTGTGGCCGACGCAGCGGAGTATTCTTGGGGCGGCTCGACAACCACGAGCGCGGATGCGACAGCGCAGCGTCGATGGAGGGAGCAACAAAAGCTCGTCGAGCGGTGGGTTGGTGTTGTGGAGAGAGAAGGGAAGAGTTTGTAAAGACGGGTTGATGCGTACCACTTGCGGCGGGCGCCCGCGGGCAAGCTGACGAGGCCTCTGTCGCTCTTGCTGGTGCACACGCGTCCCTGCCCCGGCCAGAGGTCTCGCTTAGCTAGCCTCTCACCGCGCCCCGAACAAAGCAGCCCTTTTCCGCCTCAGGAACCGGCGCCCGCAGGAGGCAGCAGATAGTGTTTGACGGCCACGACAGCAGCGAGCCGATCGAATACGTGCCCCGGGCCTCTGTTGCGCGCTCGTCGCTCGCTCGCCCGCGCCGTGGTGGAGGGGTGGCCGTGGGGCGCCGCGAAGGGTAATCCGCCCGGGGCTCTGCGTAGGGATACGCAATCTCCAGATTGCCTTGTATGGACTGCGACGGGCCGCCAGAAAGCACGCCTGGGCAATTCAGAAGATTTGAGAAACTGTGCAGCTCGGCGCGCAGGGAGGGCGAAATTGGATATCGACGCTGCGATCATAGAACCGCCCGTTTGAGCGCTCTTTCAGGGAGGCCTGGCCTTCTTCAGAGCGTCCAGAGGCCAAGCTGGGAGCATCTCGCGCCGCGTCATTGGCTTCACTGCACCACGTACTGCGCTTACTGGATGCGTCACCCCTTGCTTCGGACTCTCGCCCCTCGCTTTAAACTGACACCTCGCCAATATTACAAACGAATTTCCGTTCAGAATCTGGAGAAAGAAGACACGCTGTTTGCTGATCGTGCTATCCACTATCCGCTATCCACTATCCGCTATCCACGCAATCGTCGACCGCTTCGCATGCTGCTGCGAGCGTCGCCCATCGCCTTCATTATCCTCCGGCCCTCCACTCTTCCGCACCGCGTCGTAACGCAAGCCCTCTGCAGTGGCGCACATGGCAGATCCGTTGAGTAAGCCAGATACACCCGTCCGATACCACACTGCGTCGTCATTGGAGATGCACCCAAGACAATCCCACAACATCAAAGTGCCTGCAACTGAAACAGCTTGCCACCGCGCCGCTCTCCTCCAGCAGCGCATCCCTTCGCCTGGGGCCCTTCATAGAACCACGTAAAGTCTGCACACATCCTCTTGCCTTTACCCAAAGAGAGGTTCCCAGCCAGAGGGAAGAAGGTTGAACAGAGCCCGTCAGCGGCAGCCACGCGCAACGAAAGGCTTGACACCGGAACACCTCACCGACCCGGAACGGCAGTGCTTACGAGTCGCAATTCGCCGCCCCACACCAGATCAGATTCTATGGGCTTACGAAACGGTGTCTCGTAGTTTCGCAGACGAACATGTGTCGAATAGGGTTAGACATGCTAGCAGACCGCGTGAGCGCAGGGATCTTCCCACTACTCCACAACCTAGCATGCTCCTCGTGAGACAGTGCACGCAGCAGAGCGCCCATGGAAGCCTTGCTAGAACGGTGGCGATCATGTTTGGAGGGAGCATCAGACCTTTGACAGAGTCCTTCGAATTCGCTATATTAGGTAGTCAGACTTCGGCGTGTTTCCATGACCTCCAGGATCAGTGGACGCTTTTATACGTTCTGTTATTCGTGGGTACCAACAAAACGAGGTGGAAGATCCACCTCCCATGACGGCCGCTCTATGAGTACCACCTCGAGAGGCTGATGACTTCCACCAATTGGTACTATGCCCAATATCGGTCGGTACTTGAACGTGTGCCACCAAGGCTCAGGGTTTTGTTTCCGCTGTTCCAGAACTTCTCTACCATTCTTTCCTTCGATGAGGTCCCTCTCTTCCGTTCCCATATCGCCATTCGCTAATCCACCAAGAGCAGAGTCCACGCTATCCTGTCCTGCAGATCTTCGAAAAGTAGCCATGGTCTGGTGCTTATCGTCCAAGTCGTCGTCAAACTCTGCCGCTTTTCGCGTATCATGGAGGCCTCTCCAAGGTGGTTTCGCGGATGGGTCCTCGCCACTGGTGTATTTGCGCATCTTAGTGACTGGTGCTTCTTTTGAGGGGACCGCGTCACCCGCGCCGCTCGTACCCTTTCTTGACACTCCACGTGCTGCATCTCGTTTACGCTTCTTCGACATTTCTCCTTCCGCCTCTTCGACGCCATTGGTCAACACGGACGCTCCTGTGGATTGTGGGATGGGGAAATCCTTAGAAGGATCGAACATGAACAGCCACTTCTCTCCATATAGCCAGATGCGTTGATGTTCTTTAGTGACGTCCCATATACAGCCCTTTGCTGGGAGATCAAGCATTCGAAACTGAGAAGGGTAGCTGGAGGGAGGATTCCTCCTCGACCACTCTGATAGACGGCCGGCCAAAACTTCAAAAAGATACATCCGACGATCCGCAGACACTACTAAAAGGCGGTGTTCTGTATCTGGTAAATCTTGCGAGTGGGGATGAGGATTGTGCCTAGTCGGGTGCACGGCCGGGTTTCCGTTTGGTTCTGGTCGACCGGAATCTTCATGTCCAGGCTGGAATGAAAGAACTACAGGTGCCGAATCCAGACGAGGGAGCAAGTGCCCAGAAGGATTACGTACCCACCGCTGACCCAAGAACGTCATTGGCTTCTCGATGGCGTCTTCGTCAACATCTGACTCCTCGCCATCGGAAGCCGTACCGTGAGATTCGTCGATGTCTATTTCAGGCGCGGTGGAATCCTCGTGCCCTTCTGTGACCCAAGTATCAATATATCCGGCCAAGTCCGCGACGGCAAAGACGCTTCCATCTTGAGAAAATTCGGCATGTGTGATTGAGCGGCTGTAGTGCCCTGAAGGTCCATCCAACGGATCGCGCCAAGCCTGGTCTCTCTCTCGTCGACGCAAAGGCATCAAGGAGGGGAGCATACGTGCCCGATCTGAAGGATCTTCTGATTGGATGATACGCGCCAACGAGATGTCGTTTGCTCCAGTAATTATAGCGAGCCATTTGCCATCGGGAGAGAACCGTACGAGTCGAGCCCCTGGGCGGAGAGGCAATTCAAGTTTTCGAATGCGAAGGGTTGAGGCGACCGCTGACATGGACTGCACAAGCTGAAACAACTTGACTTCCCTCGCTGTGGCTACGGCGAGCAGCCCACCGTCTCGTGTAATCGCGACGGACGAGATGTTCTCATCTCCTTGCAAAGCCAATCGAGCAACAACTTTGGGCTTTGCAATTCCAACTTCTTGAAACTTGACCCGCCATATCCGAACTTCGCAGTTCCACCAGCTAACCATTAACCGTGCTTCGGGGGCGCTCACTACAGGCGGAGAGTGAGGTAGAGCCGGAAGTCCGCGGTCTAGCTCTTTCCCGAATTGCCGGAGCGGAAGCACGATGGGCTGGGCATCAATTCCTACAACTCGTTAGCAGGTCTCTAGAACGCGGTACAAAAGTAATATCTTACCGCCTGAGACAACTACACTAAGTTTTGCCCCGTCGTAGGTAGCTAAAGCTTTGACGTCGTGATCATGATACCTCTTCTGCGAGACCTTAGTCCATTTTCCGGAAGCTATGGCAATCTTCTTGTTGCAAGTATAGAAGCAAGTTCGGCGATCCATGCCTCCACTGAACATCCTAGTGCCATCGCGGGACACCGCCAGATCCAGCACGTCGGCCTCGTGACCCGATATCCGTTGCGTCTGACTGTAATTCCTGCCGCTATAGAATCTGATATCGCCAGTGGAGTCACCGGAGATAAAATCGCCATTTGGGAGACATTTCACTTTCCACACTAGGATCTCCTTGGGTCCGTTACGGGGCCCGCTTCCAAGCGAGATATTTCGAATGATGTTTCCATTCCTCGTGTCGTAGACCCGAATCATGCTATCCGCGAAGCCTGCTAATACGGTATGGCGGTCCTTGTATGTGACACTGAGCGCACGAGCTTTCTTCGTGGTGGATCGGGCAATGAACCTCTCGAAGCGGAGATCGTCGTCTGCGGTCGAAAGCAGCACCAAGGTGCCATCAGCACAGCCCGCGATGAGATTCTGGCACGCCTCCGCCTCATGCGGTACTGTCGATTTGGGTTGCGTCGCAAAACACCACACCTCGCTGTGGGTGCCGTCGGAATGTCGTGCGGGAAGACCGGTTCCTAGATCCCATTCGGTGACACTTCTCGAGTACCCAATACTGAACAGCCGCAATCTCCCAGGCTCCAGCTTCCCATCCTCGTCTCGTTCTTCCGGTTCTTGCGTCCATGCCAGACCTTCCACACTCCTCTCTTTTCCTCCGAGAAAGACTCGTTCTTGTAACCAATCGCCATTTGCTGGGTTCCATATCTCGATGTCGCCGTTGGCGCGTCCAACAGCAAGTCTCAGACACTCTGGGTCCCTGTTAGCGTCGAGGGTTTCGGTATGTGAAAAGGCAAGGGCATTGATCGCGGAGGGCGGATAGGGTACGAAACGGGAGCGGTGGATATCCATGGTGGGTGAGTAGGGTAGAAGTGTCAGAGTTCGTATGCCGGAGCTCAGAGCGAGAGCAAATAGCAGCTGCTAGCAGGAGAATCGAGAAGCAACCATTTTCGGCGTTGTTGTTTCGTTGCCGCAGAAAGTTCGAAATCTTGGCGCTGGAATTTTTAGCGCATCTAGGATCAACCTAGGCTCGGAGCATCGTTGTTCCCCACCGACGAACGTCACTTCGCACCCTTTACCCAGCCATGAAATGTCCGAGACCGCTCTCAAGGTCTTCAACGCTGGGTAAGTTCACATCTGCCCGGAACTAGGCATTACAAGCGCTCAAGGTAGCAATAGCTGCTTTCCGTGACCTTTCAGCAGGTGCCAGGCCTCCGACTCCCGTAAAATCGCCCGAATCCTTCAACCACCCCCGCAGGACCCGCCCTTCTATGCCGCATCCCTTCTACGCCCTATAGTCAATCATGCTGTTGGCAATGATACCATACGTTTCGGACAGTGCGAAGACAAGGTGTCGGACCCGTAGTATTCTGTCTAAAGCGGGTGGTTGCTTGCAATCTGCTTGTAGTCTAGAGTGCGGGAACCATCTAAAAGGATCCCCATACACATTTCTATTCCGCAGCAGTCAGCCCCTACGGCGAGGCAGTGCCGATGGACATGTAGTGCAGCTCTGTAGGACTGCCTTGTCGCTAGAGACGACGCTTTTTTGCGATCTGAGTAACTTGGGCTCGCCCTCCCTCCGTTCTCGCCGGGCTGATTGATGACGGGTTGAGAATTGCGAGTGCACTGCATAAAGCATTATCAACAGTAGCAATAGTCCGTTCAGACCTCTGAGTGGTGCTCAATGGTTGATGGAAGGAGAAATCGTTGCGGTGCGCGCGGAGAGTTGCCAAGACAAGTGTCGCCTGCAAAGCTTCGCCGATTTTAGGGCCGGAGCTAGCAAGTCTCAGCGAGTCCGCCCGCCTCGCCGCACTCCACCAACACGGCCCCACTCGAAACATGACGAAACTCGTAGCATATACAAGCGCGCGCAGTACGCGTTCTTCCTTCTTCCGAAGATTTCCAGGATGTACGTGTTAATACAAGTGTGAGGGCTCGCCCAATGCCCCCGCGGTAAGACGACTCATAAAACCGCAGTCGAGCTCGGTCCTTCAGGGGCCGGTACGACATTGCTAGAGACAAGAGGATGATCTATTGTGCCCGTCGTTCGCCTTGCTCAACGGGCGGAGTTGGAGTCTGTTGGAGTGCGTCTGACGGCAGGTCTTCACATTGTTGGTGCCAGGAGAGTCGATGTCTCATCAGCTATGGTAACATGCAGCATGCGGCGGCGTTGCTAACGGTGAATGCATGCATATAAAAAGTTTGCTGACGGCTCTAGCGCACAGATATGTTGTGTCCAGGTAACGCACGAAGCGATGAGCTAGGCTCCCTCACAGCAAGGCGTCGGTGTCACGAAGCTACCTGAAGTACTTCGTTGCTGTGGAGAGGCAATTGACGTCTGTCATACCGACAATTCGTATTGCTGAGGCTCCGCACGACAATGAAAATTTTGAGCGAAAGTGCAGACAAGTGAGGGCGCCTGCATGTGGCCCACAGGGCACGAGACTCCTCGGATGCGAGGTCTCGGACATGGGAACAAAAATAGTCAGGATCCATGGTTTCGTCGCGTGGTCGCGTGCGTGAGGCTCAAGCACTTTAAAGACGCGTCTCTTGTCGCGATCGTGACATAATTTCGGGCGAGACGAGATGGCTGGAAAACGAGTTGCCGTAACGGATGTCGGCTACTGCTAGCTGCAGCAGCAATTGAAGCAGGCTGAAGCCAATTACAGAATCAAGGAATTGGGATGCAGCGGATCGCGCTGGTTCTGTGCTTTTGGTTAGGAGCTGCAGAGATCGCGCTATTCGTATGCAATGTCGCCAGAAATTCGGTTGATGAGCCAGCCAGCCGCGTGCCGTGACCGAGGCCGAATCAACGTAGCGGTAGGTATGGTTCGCAAGATGCCAATCCAAGATTTGCAAGAAATGTTCCTGCTTGCTGCATGCAACTGATCAGAAGATGCGAAGAGCTGAGGCACGCCTGAGCCGCTACTATTGCCGTTGTCCGACCCCTTGCTCGGGATGATATGCATCAATGCTGAAGAGTTACAGCATTTGCTCTCCACTTTGGAAGCGTCAGGTAAAACGGTTGCTCTTGCACCGTCAAAGCGCTGTCACAGTGATTCGGGAACCATGTCTTTGCATGCGGCCCCGGGGCGGAACCGGGCCTTGCAATAGACTTTTATGGTCGCGCCTGAATTCACACGCCAACCGCGCAGGCGGGGGTGCTCTAGCAGGTGGTTTGCCCAAAAGCACAGCGGAGGCCGACCCCCAAGTCGCGGAACTCGCCACATCTCAGCATTGCCAATTTCGAGAACGAAGTAGGAGAACGCGTTTCTCGTCGACGTGTGAGATTACGATGCAATAGTCAGCCATTTGGAGCTCGTCAGCGTGCGAGAAGCGAGTATTGAAGTCCCATAGAGTCCAAAGTTTAAGAGAAACAACGAGAACTATGGTTTCTTGAAGTTCTGCAAGGGCGGTGTCTGTATTACTCCGGTTGGAGATTTGGTAGCGATGGATCCCAAGCACAACGTAAGTAGTTTCCTTTATAGTAATTCACCATGCAGGAGAAACGTGAGCAGCGGCCTATTTTGCCTCTTCTCGTGTGCTGGGGTGTTTGCCCGGCACAAGGCCGTGAGCGCGGATTCGCGAATAGCCCCATTTTTCCAGCCAGCCCATTCTCTGGAATACGGAGCGGTGATTTCTGTGCAATGTATGACATGGCTTGCTGTGACGCGCTCTTTACATGTCTTAAGCCGCGCTGCTAAAAGGAGAAGGCGCGCTGAGGCGCTTAAGCAGCCTCTCATCAGCCATCAAATATGACGATATTCAGGAGCGTGATGCGGCCCATCGCGGACGGCTTGGCGAAGGAGCGGGCCAGGGGCACCCACGACAAGTTGCCTGCATGGTGGTCCCGGGCTGGGGGCGATTGCAGAGCCTAAGCAGCGGCGGCACTGCCTGAAGAAGGGCTTGGCGGGCTCGAAAGCAAGATGTTTGGAGCGCGCCGGAGGGGATAGATTGGACAGCGATCGAGGGCTCTACCTGCAACCTTGTGTAGCTGCATGCGTTGGCTTAGGCTGACCGGAGCGTGCTGAGGCAGCTGATTCGAGCGGGCTTTGGCGAGCATGACGAGCCACTCAGGCCCTCTGCCCCAGACGAGCAGCAGCGCTGGCACATTCAGCCGTCCTGTCGCCCGCGATGCGACGGCCATGGGTGCGACGACGGGCACGGCGACGCGTTGGGAGTATTTGTGCGAGGCTCAGGCGACACCGTCCCACGCTGCGGCAGCGCATAGGCGACGAGAGGCGCCCGCTGGAGCAGATAGAGCGACGGGGCGGGCACGGCAGGCCGGGCGGCGCGAGTGTGCGCGGGAGCATTGATGGATGCGCTGATTGCGGGCGCGGGCGACGCGTGCAATGGAGCGTGTTCCTGGCCGGGAGCTGCCAGATGCAACAGAAGCAAAAACGCCATCTTGATCCGCGACGCCGCACGACGCCGGCCCAGCAGCGCGCAGATTGGCTCGGGGGTGCTGGCTGGTGCTGGTGTTCCTTGCTGGGCGCGCTCGCTGGGGTGCCGATGCGGACTAGTGCCGTCGCTCCATTTGTCTCCACCGCCCGTCGTTGTCTTCTCAAACCTAGCCTTGGCTGCTGTCTCCGTCCTCCTCATCCTCTCACCTCTCCTTCACTCTCCCTCTCCCCTCCCATCCGCCATTCCCCACCACGGCCGGAGCACTGAGTCTTGGATTTGATGGCGTGCTGACTGTTGCGGCCCTGTCTTTCCATAAAACTCTCCCTCCTGCTCCTCGGTCTCTCCAAGCCGGCCGTACCCTCTCGAATAGGACAGCTCGAAGCGTACAGAGACCACACTGTGCCTTTCAGCTCCGTTCACCTCTCACCCCCTCCGCCTCCCCGTGACGCTGAGATACAAGAGGCGTAGCACTCATCGCTCTCTCGTCCGCGCTCTGCACAGAGCCACCGATACTCGACTCCCCCCGACCAGCCTCGTGTCTCCCTCCGCGGTTCGGACGGTGCAATTCGCTGTGTTGTATTAGGTAGGTTCGAGTTTCTTTCTCTTCTTTCTGCGCAGGCATCCGCCAGTGCCTGCAGCGTCCTCTCCGGGCGCACCTTTCCCCTTTTCCGTCAGAACTGGAACAGGAAGCCACGAGGATATCCACGATACACCGCCCCGGAGCGAGCGAACATTGGAGGCCGATTGCATATTCGCTGCGAGAGTGACTCGAATAGACCACAATGACTGTGAAGGGTGCATTGAGGCCGGTGGCCCAAGGGGGCAGGGCTGGGGAGTAGGACGTTAAGATTGGATGCTGGGCGGGAACTCGAGGGCGACTGCATGCCGCACGCACGTCGGATTGCAACACCCTCACCTTCCTCACGACGTGTCTCGCCTTCTTGCGGCTTTCCGCTCGACCCCAAATTGCGACTCTCGCTCCGTTTGCACGCCACGTACACGTCTGAACAAGGGCACGCCTGCACTTTCACACCGCGTCCGTGCTCCTCGAGTGATATTCACATTCACATTGTTCGGCAACATGAACGCTGTCGGCACCACTGCGGCTTTCCATTTCCAGACGCGGGCCTCGCCGGCGCCTCACCGTTTGCTTGTCGTCTATCTCGCTGCAGTCTCGGTCACCGCGTCTTTGAGGAGCTTCCCTTCGAAGGTTCCTCCTCCATCCCCATCTCCATGACCCAGGAGCCATTCCACATATTTCACGACTCTGCAATTTCCGGCCCGGTCCGAAGACGCCTCCTCATTCCAGCAATTTTAGACGCGCTCCTGCGCCACCACCTACCGGATTGCATGTCCTTTGCCTCGATCAGCCGCGAAAAAGGTCCCTCGTTGTGCCTTAAACAGCGTTCGCTGCTTGTGCTAACTGTTGGGTTACAGTCTTCTGTTCTTTTACGGAACCACGACCGGCTGTATCGTACCAGTGTCTCGCTCCTTCATCTACCTGAAGGACCGCATCCAGCGTGTGTTCAATCATCATACCGTCGAATCTACTAGGTGGCTAACTTATCCTTGCTTAGATTGAGATTGCCAGATCTGGAATCCGCGCATTCCCCGGCTGTCTTGGCGATCCTCTCGCCCTACCAACCAACCGGCGGACTCGTTAACTCGTGTTCTGCCCCAGACGAGCTCTCCCTTCGCGGCGCTCGCCACACAATAGAAAGCCGCAATCCATTCCAGATCCGCTCCTGGATGCAACTAGCAAGGGGCTTGAACTTTCCGACTTCTCTTATAGTTCTCTTTGCGCTTCCGGTTCTACCGTTCACTCTTTATACGTAATTTTTTAATTCTTCAAGGTATGAGAAATCTTCTGGAGCCTAGCTTAGGCTCTATCGAGAACTCCCCAGGCAATCACGTACTAACTGGATGGCGTTATAGGCTCGGTTATATCGCGTCCCCGCCTCACAATACTTCGGGGTCATCCACCTGAGACCTTCTTTCAAAAGCATATCCAACTAATTACAGTCTTTCCAACTGTTGCCTCAAGGCTTCCGCTCTCTATCCCGGCTCACTCGTCGAGCCAGCCGTTCACTCCAAACCAAGCGAATTCTTGATCAACAATCCCCCAGTCTATCCCGGAGACCTGACGTCCACTCTTTCGACGACCTCATACGGCATCACCATGGCTTACCAACAACCTCAACCCCGGTATGGGCAATGCGACTCGTACTTTGTTGAGTCACACGATGATGGTATCTATGCTATTCGTGCGGAGGCACGAGAGCGTGCTCGAGCCATTGCCCGCATGCAACAACGGGCTTTGGCTGAGGAGCTGTCAAGAATAACTGCCGAGGAATATCAAGAGGATATTATGGACCACATGGAATACATGGAGGTCGGTGTTTCTCACGATACCTGCCCTGGTCCGCCACGCTAATGTGCCTAGTCGCAAACTCTTCCTGACGTCAACTCGATCGACATCCAGACGGAGATTCAGTGGTTCATGCGTCCTTATCTTCTTGACTTCCTCGTGGAAGCACACGCCGCTTTCCAGTTGCTCCCGGAGACACTCTTTCTCGCAGTCAATCTTCTTGACCGATATTGCTCTCGTCGCGTGGTGTATAAACGCCACTATCAACTGGTCGGGTGTGCCGCCCTTCTCATCGCTGCCAAGTATGGTGACAAGAAAGACCGGGTGCCGACGGTGCGAGAGCTTAAATCGATGTGCTGCGCCCTGTATGACGACGAAATGTTTACCCAAATGGAGTGGCATGTGTTGCAGACTCTGAACTGGATTATCGGACATCCCACCGTGGACAGTTTCCTGCAGATCGCGCTTTCGGAAGGACCTTACGATCCCGAAGTCGAGCACATGACCTTGTACATTGCAGAAATCGCTCTGTTCCACAAGGAGTTCGTTTCGACTAGGCCCTCTGTGCTTGCCAGGTCTGCTCTTGCGCTCGCAAGGTGCATCCTCTCGCGGGACCAACCGAAGGCTTCGGAATGGGCTGGCGCCTATGACCCCCAAACGGTTATGAGCCTATCCAACCACTTGTATCAGCCGTCCCAGGTCCTGTCTCGAAAATACGCATCAATGCATCTATCGAGCGCATCCACCACGGTTGATGAGTTCCTTCAGCGCCAAGCTCAGATTGCTCGACGCGCTGCGTCCCCGCCAACCCCTCCAGCAGCCGTCGCCCTCGAAGAGCCAAAGCATGTCGCGGAAGTCTACGGACCCCAAACGCCCCAGAAGGCTCATTACGGAGCTGTCATGCAACATGGCTGTCTCACTCCCCCAATTACCCCGGAGAACGAGCAGTTTGGACACGGAAACCTAGGAAAGACTCATCCGATCCCACCAGCATACCCCTCTACTCCAGACCATCCGTCCAACATGCAACACCAGGCACAATACTACCACAACTCGTACCAGCAGCCACAATACATGTAACGGCACGATCGATTCAAGACGTTGCTGTTGTCCTCGAACGTCAAATATCCCCGCCCGCTATAAGACGGACCCTCGGCCATCCAGGGTCCTCTTGGGTACCCATTTCGTTGTATTAAAAGTCCCGTGTATGAGCGTCATAGCGTGGTCATTTCCCCGGCATTTCAAGCGTTTGTGTTTTATCTCCTGCGATATCAAAGAATCTCTTTCTGTTTCGAGCAATTTCCTTTGTCATAAATTCGGCCATCGAAAATATCACGGTCGTCCGCCATTGTGTCGGTGGAAAAGCAAGGTCAATTTGGTGCTTATAGCCCTCCGCCGATCATTGCACGTCCCATCCTGGATATAGTATCCGCCTAATTTGGGTCGTCCTGGTCCGGGCTGGGGGTTCGAACGGAGGGGGGGACCAAGCAAATCACAGGCTGAAATTGAATACGGAGATGCCTTTGGACCAGGGCAGTAACCGCACAATCAAGCTCACTCGCCAACTGTTGTTTGCTTAAGCGAGCAGAGATACCCTTCTGTCTTCTTCTTTTTTATCTCGATCTCCCTTTTTTAATCAGTCGGAAGTCGAGCCTGATGCCAGCAGCGCGGAGGGTATGGTGGCAAGATCACAGGTCACACAGCGTGGTATGAGCTAGGTGGGCTCATAAGATTGTCTTGACAGCGGGGCTGAAAAGGATCACGAGCATTAGCTATAGATCAAAGGTCACAAAAAAAGGAACAATTGGAGTTGCCGAATCCCTTTCGCACGCATGAATTGCGGCCTTTTCCTTCAGTGTTTCAGAGTGCGACGGAGTGCTGATTTGCAAGGCGTTTCATAGGCTACGGGCTGGAGGGATCTGGGGCGAGTAGAGCAATGCTTTTCGACAACATCACACAACTTGCGCCTCAAGGTTGTCCATTCGACAAGGCTGGTTTCACGTACATCCATGCCGCGTCTACCTTCTTAAAGCTTGACTTGCTCTGGCACGGCGAGCTCCTGCTTTCGACACCCTTCTACAGACATCGCTCAGCATGCCGCCAGTAAGTGACCCAGATAACGTTCTTCCACATCCAACAGAAACGCATCGACTAGAAGGTTGGCCGCCAACCCGGCCTCCTGAAGGGCTTCTGACACCCTTGACCTGACGAAAGTCCTCCGTCGCGCGTGAAAGCACCCTATGCCTAATCACCACAGAGCCAGCTAACCGTACAAGGCATCAATTTCTATATCAACTTCGAGACCGAAAGCCGCAGGCTACATACCCATATCGCCGTACACCGATGACGAGAATGCCCTATCAAACAACCTACTATATCCCCGGTACGCCGAATCGGACCCTTCATCTCCGCCGTCGCCGGCTTCGATCGAATCCTTCGATATTCTAGACTCCATTGCCTGGCGGCGGGGCTACACATCCTACGACACGGGAGGCCCTAGGGCGCGTGCCTGCGATATTCTCAAGCAGAGGTGGAAGAAGAATCAGCCACAGTTCATTGCCATACTTCTACTATTCATGCTGTTTGTAGCCGGGTGCTCCATCGGAGGCTACCTAGCTGTGAGGCATGAGCGAAATAGGACAAGGGGAACGTGCTATGCGCGAGAGGGCGGAGACAGATGCCAGGAGCCTGCTTGGGCAAAGTGCGTGGCTGTCAATGGACTGGGATACTGTGAAGGAATTCTTTGAAAAAGGGAAAGCGATATTAGCTAAATTCTCTAGCTCGTCGCATCGGCTGCGCTTGCGTGCCGAATCAGGCTCGCGAAGGGACGGGATGTCTGGCATGCAGTCATCCCTTACAAGGGTGCTCAGCTCGCGGTTCCAAGGGTGTTCTTTGGAGAAAAGGAGGTCGCTATAGAGACGGTGAATAAGGACACGCACAGGCCGGGCAAACGTATTGGTAGAAGATAAGGGGTCGTTTCCGGTGAGAGGAGATTACTTGCAGGTGCACGATGCGTTGGCAGGTGGATCAACTGGGGTCATCCAGCCCTACATCTAGCTAGGGCAAGCCACTCCTGAAGACCTGCAATAGGAAACCAATTTGGGCATGATAGCGCCCACTTGCTTAGCCTTTGACCTAAGACGTTCGAATATGTCCCGTGAATGTACTGTGTAGGTTGAAACTTTGGAACCGAGGCTTCCAGCTGGAGGTGTTTGGTAGTGAATCACGTGCGTGTTATCGATAGGCCACGGAGTACGTCGCATGTGCAATTCGGTCTCCTTCCAAGTCATCAACAACAATCTTTGACATACCAAGAAACGAGCAATCACTAGCAAAGTCATGCGATAGAGTTGCGCCCCATGCTCGATGTTCATCATGCGCCGTGAATAGCCTCAAGGCTAGCCCACAGCGCCTACGTCTACCCATCCCATCTCCACCCACATAGGCCTTCCCCTCGGCGGATGCAGTGCTGTAGTAACAGGCATATTCTGGTCGGTCCGCTTGCCCTATCACCCCACTTGTTACTATAAGTGAGGCGTTGCGTTATCGCGCGCGCCAGCAGCCGAAGCACACCACCACGCGTCCGGGCAATCCTACCGACACCAATGCGCTCCCGAACACCATCTCCATTCGGACTCCAACCCGACAAATCATCAGTATGGCCCTTAGTATTGCTTCTCCTCCTAGTCTATATGGCCCAGGCGCTATACACGCTTCCCTTGAACCGAGTCATCGAGCTGCGTCTGTGTGAAGAGTACTATACGCGATACGATCCCTCAGTCATCCAGCGCGATGGCTCCATTCCAGAGAAGCTGTGCAAGATTGATGAGGTACAGAGGCAGCTGGCCTGGCTCCAGGGTATCATGGAGACCACGTTGGTCGTCTGCGGTATGTATCTGCGGGGCCGGTTGATGGACCTGCAGTTCGGCTAATTCTGGAACCATAGATTTCGTGGTCACAATCCCGTTTAGCTTTGTTGCTGAGCGCTTCGGCTTTGGGGTCGTGCTTTGGTGTAATATGGTGCCGAGGATCTTTTTGTCGGCTTGGGCTCTTGCCGTCGGTGCGTCGATGGCCGCCCGCGCCGGGTTATCATGGTTTGGAGGAGAGTACTAACTGCCGCAGGGAATTATCGTCATATCCTCCCAACTAAGGCGATTATCGCCGGTCCGTTCTTGGCTGTTCTAGGCGGCGAGTGTGTCTTCACCTCGACGGTGTTTACACTGACTTCGGCATTGACGCGAGAATATGTACAGCGGTCAGAGACGCCTGAAAGTCCCCCGGAACCAAAACGCTGACCATAGCAGGGCTTCGTACTTCTCCTACATCAGCTCCACATCCTATGTGGTCTCCTTCATGGGTCCTACTCTTGCATCCTTCACCATGAGCCAGAACCTCTGGCTTCCGTTCTGGGTCAATATTGGGCTTCTCCTATGCGCCGTGCCCACCATCAAAATGCTTCCCGAAACAAAGACCATCTATCAGCCGCCATTGAATGATCCCGAAAGGGAAAGCAGCACCATTGATGAAGCCGGGCCGCTACTCGCAGGAAGGGACCCGAGCCCAAGCCGGTACGCTAATGCATTCGAAACACGAGGAGGAATCTTCCAAAGCATACTGCATGCAGTCCGCAAGCTGGTGCGCCTAGTAACCGGGCGGCGGAACTTCCAAGTGCTTCTCTGTTCGTTCTTTCTTACCGCGCTTGCCAGCTCAGATACGAAGCTGCTTGTTCAATATATCTCGAAGCGCTACGAGTGGACCTTCGCGCAGGTGAGTCTCGACGCGGGGGTTTATGGATGCAATAACTTTATTGACACTAACGCAGGCGGGCTATATGCTTTCTGCTAAGGCGCTCGTCAACTTTACATTGCTCGCGATTATCGTTCCGCGAATCATACGCGCGTCTATGGCTTCGAAGACTGTTCATGGATCAGAAGTGCGTCTCAACTATCTGGGCGCCGAAGCAAGCATAATCGTATCAGTCATTGGAGTCCTCTGCGTCGCGTTAGCATTTCGGTTCTGGATGTTGCTGACCGGTAAGCCTACTTCAGCAATGCCAATTAATGCCTTTGCTGATCGTGGCTAGCCCTTATTATCTACGCTCTGGGCTCGGCTTTGCCAGTGTTCACCATGTCTCTCGTAAAATCGCCCCTTATTGCGCTCGCGGACTCGGATATACAGGATTTCAGCATCGTCATGCTTACCAAGACGCTTGGTTCTTTGGTAGGCGCGCCCTTGATGACCATATTATGGGTTCAGGCGATCAAGATCGGGGGCGCTGGCGTGGGCTTGCCGTACTTTGTTTCTGCTGTAGGTACCGAAAAGATCCCCGTTTTGAGAGGAGACGCTAACCGTCCACAGTGCATATACCTACTTGCTGCAGTTGTAGTAGCTCACCTGAAGTTTTAACATTATTATCAGGCTTTATGAAATCTAGTTCTCCAAGATTTGGTTGACGCTAATTCCGCGCTCCAAACTGCATTTTTGGTGATGCATCGTTCAGCGATGCGGCAAGGACAGCTAATTGACTGGCCGGCGACCACCATACTGGACGCCTTCCAAATTGGCCATAATCGCCATGGCAAGATCTTGAATCACTATTAGGCAGTGTATGTTGAGGGCAAATTTCAATGGGAGATCCGATGACTGTCAGCCCATGGGTTCAAATGATGCTCAGGCTGAAAAGGAGCAATTGATGTCATTGAAGCGTTTTGCTCTCAGGCCATCACCACCTTATCTCCGTAACTCGCATCTGTTCACGCTTTCCTGCTCCAGACGTAAACCCGTGTTCCCCATGGCGGATCGAGTAAGTACGGCGGGTGCGAATCCGTTACACTTCCTCCTATTCTCCGCGAGTGATCCGGGGGAGGAAAAGGCACTTTCCGCCGGTCCCCCTTCTCTTACTCTTCTTCCCCGCCTCCTGTTATCCTTCCCTCTGTGTTATGTACAGTGCCCCCGCCGTTGGGTAGGTGACGCGGGACTTGCTTCCGCGTTGAGCGCCAATTCGACCGTACGCCTCGCGCTGGACCTGGACGCATATCCATGCTGAGGCACAAGGAGTTAAAAAGCCCTTGAATCGCAAGTACATTCAATCCCAGGACCCGACCCACATCTCATCGTCCGGCCCCGCGCCCTTCTCGACACCCTCAGCCGCACACAGACGATCAAGCTCCGCCGGCACCGTCCACTTCGCCACCTCGTCCACCCGCGTCAGGAACTGCATCAACAAGCCCGCCTCACTGTGCCACCCCAGGTGGCAGTGAAACGGCCACACGCCCGGATTATCCGCGACAAAGCGTATCAGCGTCCATCCGAAGGCTTCTACGCTCGCCGTGTCGCGGCGCAGCGGGTTCGTGAGATTCAGCGTCGAATGCAGGTTCGCGGGCGGATACCCGTGCCCGGAGGCAAGCACGAAGAACGTGTGGCCGTGCAGGTGGAAGGGGTGGTTTCCGTCGTCGAGGTTCTGCAGCAGGATGTCGATGGTGCGGATGCCCCTGGTTTGGTACACGAGGGTGTGCGTTGGGTCGAAGAGGTAGGTGTTGATGCCGGAGACGAGCGAGAGCGAGTACATGAAGACGTCCTGCTTCTGGGCGAAGCCGGTGGTGAGCGTGTTCAGCGTCGGATGGGTCAGGTTTGCGCGATAGGTGCTGTCGTTCAGGTAGCCGCGGCTGAGGCGCCAGTCCCGGATCTGGAAGCTGGACCGTAGGTACACCTGGTCGTCTGCGTGCGCCGGCGCGGCGATGGCTTTGATGGGCTTGAGAGCGCTGGTATTGAGGTCGCGGCACTCGACTTCGATGATCTCGGGCCAGTCTTTGCTTTGTGGGGCGACGCTGTCGCCGGGCGCCCAGTATCTGATGACGCCGCGGACCTCCTCTTTCAGCTCGGGCTCCTCGTACGCGAAGCAGTGCGTTATCATGCGCGCCCGCATCCAGTATAGGCCCTTGCTGGGATTCGGCGGGGTGAGGATGATGCTGTAGCGTTGCGCGGGGTTGATGTTAAGTCGGTGGATGGATTGGGGGTGCACATCCACGCCGTCGACTTCTGTGAGTAGGAATTTGTGCTCGTCGATTTGGATCTGAAACTCCGCGTACGCGCCTACGTTGATGATGCGGAGGCGCGTGTTAGAGTCGGATGAGAGGTCAAATAGAGCATTGGAGGTGTTGGTGGATGAGCAGTTGCGGTTCGGTAGGTCAGAGCAGTCGCGGATGTTGCGGCCGTTGATGAGGGCTGACTGAGGCACTGGCTCGTCGTTCTCGTTGCCTGGAGCGAGATATTGCATGAGCAGAGATGACGAGAGGTCGTAGTAGTGATCGGAGACTAAGACGACCCTATCTTCGCCATATGGCACTTCTTGCAGCCTCTTCTCTTCGTCTCCTTTGGCGTGTATGACTATGGGTCCGACGAGTCCGTCTGAAGCTTGCATGGACATGTGACTATGATACCAATATGTGCCTGTCTGGCCGGAAGCGTTGAAGCGGTAGGTGAAGGAACGACCTGGAGCGATTGGGCACTGCGAAGGTGTTAGTAATTATGTTGAAATAGGGGGGGATTCGGCCATTGCCTAGCAAGTCTTTCCAAGAGCCAAAATCAAGACTTGCTAGCATTTTTCCAGTGGCTGACGTACCTGGGTAATCCCAACAGTACCGTCCATCCAATTCGTCCCATTCTGGTATAGCCCGTGCCAATGAATAGAAGTCGCGTTGGTGGCCTCGTTATGTACGTGGACGACAATTTCATCTCCTTCATTGCATTCGATTAGCGGTCCTGGGAACATGGCATTAATGAGCATCATGGGCCGATACACGCCATCTGGGTTGAGCTCATGCTCTGCGATGGTCCAGTGGTACTCTCTCGTGGTAGGCCCCGCGTCGAAATCCCACTTCGGATTCAAGATATAATCTTCTTCGGGTCGAAGTTGCGCGCTTGAAGCAGGTGATGGCGGGTCTTGTTTGCGAGGCACCAGGAAGGAATGTACGATGAAGCCCAGAGTCCATGCGACCAAGAGCGCGACGACAATAATTCTCAACCAGCTCTTTCGGCCTATTCGCTGCTGTTTCAGGCTTTCTTCATAGTCCAAATCCAGCTCTTCCTCGCCTTCTGATAGTTGACTCCCCTTCTCGAGCTCTTCTCCCTCGTCGAGAAGACCCAGTCGCTCCTCCTCTTGATCAGCCTCTTGCCCTCTCCTACTCATCTCGGCTGGTGATGAAGGTTAATGTTGGGGAATCTACAAATACGTTGAAGCGGTCCAGCAAATCCCTGGTCCGAATCTAGACAACGGCTTCGGGCGGCTCGAGGCCTGGTAAACCCTGTGAAGGCCTCCACGGTGAGTGATGCGTTCGATCAAAAGTGTTGTCACGATGTCGGACCTGGTGCGCTTCGTAGTTAGATACAGCAAAGCGTCGTCCCATACAAAGTGGCCACAACGAAAGCCCAGAGCCTCGCACGTGCTGCAATCTATTCAACCTTGGAACGGTTTCTTCCGGAGATATCGTGGGAGGGGATATCCTAGCCCAACCCCGCCAATAGAAACCATTCGACCTCACACGCCCCTCACTCGGTACCAAGCAACCTTCCGAAAGAGCTTAAATGCAATAGACGATCTCGGCACATGTTCTCGCACGCGCCGCATGCAATTAATTTGATAGGTTTAGAGGTGGCAGCTCTACACGGGGCAGAGGTGAACCTTGAAATTCTTTACAGGGACGGAAGGTCGTGACGGTAGCTGGTGACACTACTAATAATGTCGCTGCCATTGGCCTTTTGCTTCCACCTTCGCTGCGGTCGCGCTTGAGGTGTTTCTCGGTCTCTACTGATCTCTTTTGGTTGCGCGAAGCGTCAGGTTGAAGGGAAGCCGACTCAAGACCCGCAAGCGAGCCGGACCGCCATGTTCTCCGCGCTGTTCCTCTCCCTGTCGCTCCTGGCCAGCCGTGGTGCGGCAGACTGGGTGAAGGGGAAGGCATTCGATCGCTTCGCCGTTGTCTGGCTGGAGAACACCGACTATACACTTGCCGCTGGAGACCCTAACCTTGCCTGGCTGGCAAAGAAGGGCATAACGCTTTCGAACCATTTTGCGGTCACGCATCCGTCGATGCCGAATTATGCTGCAGCGATATCTGGCGACTATTATGGTATCAACCACGATGACATGATCGCGATCCCCTCGAATGTCTCGACTGTTGTGGACTTGCTGGAGGCAAAGGGCATCTGCTGGGGCGAATACCAGGAAGACATGCCATATACGGGATTCGAGGGGTTCGAGTATAGGAATCAGAAGACTGGCGCGAATGCCTATGTTCGCAAGCACAATCCGGCTGTGCTGTACGACTCCGTTGCCGACAAAGACGACCGACTAGCCAAGATCAAGAACTTGACCTTGTTCTACCAGGACCTGGAAAATGACGCGCTTCCTCAGTGGATGTTCATTACTCCCAATATGACCAGCGATGGTAGGCTCCTTTCAGTGACCTGGCAAGAGTGATCGCGGGCTGACAATGCACCAGGGCACGACTCGACCATTACCGTCGCCGGGACGTGGACGCGCACCTTCCTCGAGCCGCTTCTCAACAATGATAAGTTCATGAAGAACACTCTGGTGCTGGTTACGTTCGACGAAAACCACACATACGCGCAGCAAAATCGCATCCTGGGCATCCTGCTCGGCGATGCGGTCCCGAGCGAACTTGTCGGTACTACAGACGCGACCTTCTACAACCACTACAGCGAGATCAGCACAGTCCAAGCAAATTGGGGGCTGGATACGTTGGGGCGGTGGGACGTAGGCGCGAACGTATACAAGTGGGTTGCGCAGAAGACTGGCGATGCAGTGCGAGCGTGGGCGGGGAAGGTGCCTCTGAATCAGATGTACTTCAATGTCAGCTACGCGGGCAAGCTGAACAACAAGAACACGTCCGTTCCATGGCCGGTCCCAAACTCGAAGCTTGAGTATGCTGGAAGGACAGTCGCGCCGGTGGTCGCCAGCACGTGGGGTAGCATGCAGGAGGACTCAGTATATACCACTCAGTTAGAGGTTCCGGACGGGCTACACCCAGAGGCAGAGTTCGCGAAGCAGTCTTGAGGATAGTGAATGTAGAGGTTAAGATATAATAGGCAGTCTAAGGCGAGACCTGTGCCGCTCGTCGTGTGGTGGATCAGTCAGCGCGAAGACGCACAGACCATGGCCAATCAACCAAACTTCGCGTCCAGCCACCGCCCACGGCACCCCTCATCCCAATCCATCGCGACCAACACACCACTACCGTGCCGCCCGTGATACCCGGTTTTCAGCTCCGCTGGGCAGACATGAGCGTGCTTCTAGAGATATGTAAAACCCTTGGGTCTGTCGAAAGCACGTAGCAGCACTCCGTAGTCATTGAGAGCCCTCTGAGACAGCAGCTTACCTGTCTCTCCTCATCTCTCTTGTCCCGCGCTGGTTCATTCTGAAGAGCATCCGAAGCACAATTGACCTGGGGGCTTGCACCAGTCTTAGCACTGCACGCTATCAACGTGGCTTAGCATCTGGACCGGGCAGCCTTCGTCGTCGACTGCCCTCCAGCAAGCCCAGAACTTTCGGCCTCGTACTGATAGACGTCCGAAAGAGGACGAAGCGCCGAAGAAAAAGTTGCACAGGTCATGAAAAAGTCATCCCCGACGGCAACACAAGGAATGAAGCTCCCCTTAATATAGCGAAGGGCTGACCAGAATCCCAAGTCACATCTCGGTTCTCGTTCCAAGACTCGCACGAATCCGACCAAGCCTCCGCCCCTATGCATGCCAAGAGGGCGTAACTCCTACGCACGGCCCCCGGCAGCTCAACTCAACCAGTGAGAGAAGGCCCTAGCGTTCCTTTTCATGCGGACTCCTAAAACGGTCAAGCTGGAACACCAAAGGGTTTAGGAGCGGTTCGATGGCCTTGGACTCTCGGTGCTGCAGATCCTCCGCCCGCGTGTTTTCCTGGAATTTCAGGACACAGCCGCAGAGCAATTGCATGAGGGTGCGCTGGAGCTGTTGTATAGGGAATGGTCTCCAGACTTGGCTCAGCCTCCTGTACACTGCCTTCGCCTTAGCGATGGCTAGTTGCGCGCCCGCATCCCGACCCGCGCGAATGAGCCAATAATGGGGCTACGGCTTTCCGTCGGTCGCTTCTCCGACCGGGGTCTGCATCCTCCATTCTGATGCAGTGTGGTACTAAGATTGGGGGCTGGAGGCTGGAGGCTGATGGACGGCGCTGTTTATCCTCCCCCGTGCCCTCTCGCAGCTTCTCGTACCTGTTTCCTTCGTAACACTCGTTTAATCTACAATATACGGCACTCGAAATGGCTTTGCTGCTTTCCCTAACAGTGTCGCTGAAGTTGCTGTCGCTAGTCGCGGCAAACCCACTGGCAGCTCCTCAGCCTCTCATAACTGCTGCTGCGCAACTCTATCCTCGGCAGGAGGCCACCACTGAAGGCTGGATAGGATACTATCAGTATTCAACGTCGGGGTCCTCGGACACAAGCTGTACGCACCATATTCCAGTGCCCCAAAGGTTCTGCTGCTCACTTCGAAAAAAGACACAGCCGAATCATGCGGATCCGGCATGACCTTCTTCACAACTGGCTCAGCCGTTGGCTGTTGCGGTACCAGTTCGTCGGGCTGGGAGTCTGCTTGCTTCAGTACACTCAAGACCGCTTGCGTGAGTGATACTATTGTGAGCTACGCTGGGACTGGCAGTACTTGGTAAGAGCATCCAACTTTCTAAGTGGAGCGAGCAGAGCGGGCTGACGAGATGAATTTAGCGGGAGCGGCTACACGTGCAACCCCGACACGATCTATACTTCAAGTACGGCCGATGCTAGCGGCTTCTTGTGGTACGGCTGCATGTCGAGGAAACCACGTCTCTACTATCAGGTTCTCCCCGAAGCAGCCCAGGTCCTGACCGACTCTTCGTCATCCGACTCCTCTACTTCCTCCTCTTCGACCGCAACTCCTGGCCCAGCCTCTTCGCCCACGACCACGCAAACTACATCTCCCACGCCCACGGAATCCGATACCCCAGCACCGAAAAAGGAAAGCAAGGCCTGGATAGCCGGCGTGGTCGTCGGCGCCGTCGCAATCATCGCCATCGCCGGCCTTGCCTTCTTCTTCCTCCAGCGGCGCAAGAAGAACAAAGAGCAATCCTACCAGCCCGCGCCCCAGATGCAGACATACCAACAGTATCCCCAGTCGCCTTACATGGGCTACGCCAGTCCGCCGCAGGGCGCCATGTCGCCGAACCCGGCTCCGGCTGGCGTCCACGAGAGCAAGGGATACTACGGACAGAGCGTTGTACCGCAAGACAACGGAATGGGCGGCCACTCCCCCAACAACCCTGCTGTCTACCCGCAGTATGCAGCACCCGGGCAGCCGGCGAGCACCCACCCGGTCCCGGTTTCTGAGCTACCTGCGCTCGTGGACCCGCAGACTAACAGGTGATGACGCGATACGTGGCTCAGTCTGCTGTGCGGTTTCGCGCGATCACTCTATATCCGCGCTCAGCGGAGAAAAACCCTTCCACCACCCCTCCGACGAGCGCGAAGGGAAGAACTGAAGAACGCGGTTCAACACCCAAGACCCTTGCGCCCGTTTTGCCGATACAATTGAACTTTTAGCATGTGGAGTTTTCTCACTTTTTCTTTTTCATCATGTCTCCATCGGACTTGTTTACCCTTTTTTTTTTTCCCGCCTCGCGCAAATTGCTTGCGAGTGCGCTGTAGATATCGATACCCAAGCCGAAAACGGGAGGGCTGTGTGTTTGGAACGTTAGTTACTGTGCGCACTAATGAACTACATCGATAATTTAGAGGACGTGTTTGATATGTTCGTCGTGCGTGGTGCTTGTTGCGGTGTTGTGCAGCTGTGATTTCGGCGGTGGCTGTTTCTGTTTGTGTGCTCGGCGAAGTCATTGAAAAATGATTATGAGGGCGAGAGACGTTGCCGTATACATACTAAACCAGATCCGAAAAAGAGACTTCTGATGATCCGACCTAGTACCTATCACGCCTTTAAGACGCTCCCAATCAAAGCATACTATCGTAGAGCAAGCACCCCTCCAGGGCTCAGTCATTCTCATTCTCATTCTCATTCTCATTCTCATTCTCATTCTCATTCTCATTCTCATTCTCATCCTCATCCTCATCCTCCTCTTCATCGTCATCGTCATCGTCATCGTCATCGTCATCGACATCGACGACCACTGCCCTCTTCCTCTTCCTCCCTAGGCCTGCACGGCGTTCCCCGCGTTTCTTGACAGCCACCACGGGCGCCATGCTGCGCGTCGCACCCTGCGGCCGGTCCTCCTCAGCATCCGTTTCCTCGGAGTCAGTGACGGGGACCACGTCGCCTTCCTCGACTTCCTCAGCCTCGTCAGGTTCGTATTCATCTGCCGCGTTATCAGAGTCCTGTGCTTCTCGGGACTCAGGCTCGGGCGGAGCCTCTGCAGAAGAGAGGTGCCTGTCTTTGTCTGCGCGGGTGTCGTTAGCGATAGAGGAGAATTGCTTGTGGAGGGACATACTGCCGGGTTTGTAAGCACGCTTCTGTCGCACACGCGCGGTGTTTGGTGCTGATTTTTTGGCGCGCTGGGGGGCGCGAGAAACTGCAGTGGACTGCGAGGAAGCTTGCCCCTTTGTGGTAGCAGATTTCGCCTTCAACGCTGCGCGAGCCTTCGCGGTCTGAGCCCGGCGCTCTGGCGTGGAAGCTCTGCTGCGGCTGTTCGTCCTGTACGTCCCGCCAACCTTGGCGGATGTAGAGGACGCTGAGTGCGTCGTCAAGGACGTTTCGGATGGAGAGGAGGCTTTTGCTTTCCGTTTGACGACCGCAACCTTGCCGATGCCAAGGGGCTTGCGTTTCTGGCCAGGCTCCTTGAAGTATTTGGTTTGTTCCTTGGGATAGCTGTAGTTGAAGAATAACTCCGTGCCGGCCTTGATGTCGGTGTTGGCAAACATGCCGATGCGGCTGACGGTGTTGCATAGGCGGTTCTTGGCGTAGCAGTTAGTGAAGCGTGGGTCTGCGTTGTTGATGAAGCGGGTTTTGTTGCCGACGTGGGTCGAGTCGACCTCTTGCTCTGTTATTCCGGGTTAGTCACAGTTTTGGTCATCTCTCTGGGAGAGCAACATACTCTTATTCAGGCTGAACAGATACATGGTCTGCTTCTTCTCGTATATGATCCCTCTCCGGTTGGCCTCGCCAAGGGCGATGACTTCCCCTTTATATTCGCCGAGGAAATCTTCTTTCCTCACGTCTTCTCCCGTGTACAGACCAAAGCCATGGACCTCGGAATGCCCAAGCAATGTCTTCTTCGGCACCCCCCTTTGAATAGCCACGTTGCAACACTTCCCCTTGATGACATCTTCGTTGTACCGATTGACAGGATCCAAGATCTCAATTGCGCCACAGCTGCCGCACAAGTCCGCATCGCACTCACGGTTCATTTGCTGGCAGAGGCATTTATCTGTTCCACAGACGCGTCGTCCGCCTGCTGTCTGCGCGCAAGAGCAGCCGGGGAAGCGTCTATTACAGGATGATGAGCATGCGCACGTTTTCTCACAGTTTATGTTTTCCATGTAGCACCGACACTGCGCTTTGTCGCAGGGGCCTTCATGACTGCAAGGATAGAATGGCCTCCGCTTTTCCCAAGAGGTGGCATACGTGTTATTAACCCACCATTTGGCTTTGAACTCAGCAGGAGGTTTTGGTAGCTGGGTGCCATGGTGTTCCACTCCAATATACTCTGGCAGGTTGGCTGCGTTTACAAATCGTCTGTAGTTGATGATCTCTTCGATATCGGAGTCTGATGACGCAACACTCGCCTGATCTAGGCCAACAGCCGTCTTCTTCCTGATCAAAGGAACATCGTCGTCTTCGGAGCGCGAAGTGTCAGCTTCAAGTCGTTCTCTGAGCTCGCCGTGAAGAGGGCAGTGGTGTCTACGATTGTGCGTTTAGCTTCTATACGCGCAATTCAAAGGTCATGAACTCACAGTTGACAGACCCTGCATGCTGCGCTGCGATAGTCAAATTTCGGTGCCTCCGTGCCTTGGAGATGAGCTAAGACTCCCTTTTGTACAACATCGCACCGCCGGGCCAGGTGCCAAAGACTGAAGTTGCACTGTTTCAAGAAGGACGAACAGGCAAGCACTGAAAGCCTAAGTCTACGGGTAGATGGAACTGGTAGGGTTAGAAGCAAGGTTTTCCACTTGGTTTTGTTTCGATCGAAGACAACTATATCAGGAGGTGGTTTGTCCTTGCAGTTTTCTTTAGAGTGCGGTCGTTTTTCTTCACAGTGCGGTCGTCGGTCAAGTAGTAGCTTCTCAAAATCTGCATTACCGAGTCCGTCCTGGCCGTCGTTGATGCCTTTGATCTCAGAGTCTGACGCAAGAAACCAATAGAGGACGTCTTGCCATCCAACACCAAGCTCCCATAGGAATGTTTCAATGCATCCGTGGTAAAACTGGTATTGGGCCGATCGAAGATCAGGGTAGTGTCCTTCGTGATTTTTCATTTTGTAGTGTATCATCAGCTCATCCTCCATATCCGATCTCGGTTCCTCGTCCAGGAAATATGGCCAATTAAGGAGTGTCGTCTCGTTCTCGGCGAGCACGTTATCCTGCAAGCTAACGTATTCTCTGAATGAGGGAACGTCGATTGCCATAGATCTGAAGCGAGTGATTTCGGAGGCGAACGCGGACTTTTTGCCAGACTTAGGCCGAAAATTGGTGAAGAGCTCTTGCGTAACATATGGGAAGTTTCCCTTACTCCCTTTCGGCTGGGCCTCCATCCGGAATGGTAGCATATTTTGGAACGGTGAAGTTGTCTGCATAAACTTGGCGGCTCCGGAAGGAACTGCAGCAGAGGCTTGTCTCCCAGGATGCGCATTTGAACGAGAGTCCCGCTCGAAACACGTCCGCTGTCGCCGCAAACAAGCTCTGACCTTGTAGGCGTGTGACTCTTGCACCTTGCTCAGGTGTTTCTTCAGACAATCGTCCACTATTGCTGCAGTTAGTTCGAGGTCTTCCGCGTCGATGATTTGAGCCAGGTTCATTGGGACTGGACTTGTTGGGCGACTGGAAAGGCCCTCATGTTGTTCGGCGGTAAAATTGACATCCCCTTGGGGCGGCGTGACTCCTTGAGGAGCCAGCTCATGAGAAGGGCCAGCAACGGATTCTGGAGCAGCGTTTGCCGTCGGCAGATCCCTCTGCGGCCGCGGAGAGCTTTCAGTGGAAGTTCGGGGAGCTTGCTCAGCCGGTCGTAAAAGCGTTGCTTTTGGTCTGGTGACCTTTGTCTGCGCTCCTGGGCCGGAATTAGAAGACTTAATCATCCTCGGTCCAGTGGGCTTCGGGAGTTGGAGTGTGCCCAGTGGGCGCCCTTCGTCTGGAGGGTTTGCAGGCGTAGTGGGCTTTCTGGCGTGCATTCCTGCACTTTCGTTCGGTTCAGGATCGGGCTCATTCTCCAAACTCAACTTTTCAGGCTGCTCCTGCGGCTGCGGCTGCATTGTGCTTTTTGGGGTCCCATCAACGCTTCTTGCCTCGGAGCCGGTTGGCTTGTCAACAGGTGGTGCTCCCACGCTTGTAGAGTCGGTCCGTGAAGAATGCTCTGGGGCCGCTGTCAAAGGAGAAACGTGTCTGAATGGTATAGATATGAACGAGGGCGTCTCACGCCTAGCTGTGCTCTCCTCGGTCGGTTTCTGGAACGGATTGATTGCAATAGGAGCAGCTTTTCTCGGGGAGAGAACTGCAGGGATTTGCGCTGATTGTGAACCGCGTGTGCTTGGGGATTCTGAAGTGTCAGGTTCAGTGCTCGCACTCTTTTGATGTTCCTGGTGGTTTGCCGCCCTGTTTGCGGGCGCGTGCGCTCTGGTGGATGGCGAAGGCGCAGGCGCGCGGGCACGCTCATCCTCGCTGAAGTCTAGAGTCAAGTCCACAACCTCGCTGTTTCGCGCTCCCGGTCTCGCTGGCGTGCCTGCTTTGATTGGCGCCGGGCGTGGGGGCATTTCCGAGGAGTTGTCTTCCGTCAGGTCAATGACATCTTCGCGGGTGACGCTTTTCGGATTCGCGCGCCGCCTGGGTGCTTGCGCCCATGTTGGCTCCTTCTCCAGGTCAATAGATTCCCCTTTGGAATCCCCTCGCGCCATAGCTGACCCTCGGGCTACTTATGGGAAGTAGTGCCCACGGCCAATTCGTCCGACGGCTACGGGGTTTGCTGATCAGAGAGGGTAGAGTTTGCGGAATGACAGGGACAGGTGCAGGAGAAGCTCTGGCCACCGCGCCGCGCTAGAATCTCGGGAAATGCGCTGGCACGTGATAGGAGCAGGAGGATGCGTGGTGCACTGCAATAATGCTACAGCAAGCTTTCCGTTCTCACTGCCTAAGGACTGCAAAGGCCGGCTTTGTGCTGCAGATTTGACAAGAATGCCTCCAAGTTGAATACATAGCATTGTTGTGAAAGATAACGTAAGAAATGGTGGGGATGCTTCGAGTTATGTAAGCAGCGCGCGGGCCACCGTCTTACCTTGTTTGTTTTGTTTACGCTCCTCCCATCTCAAGCGAAGCAAGGAAGCATCACCACCACGACACCTCCACCCACGCACCATGGCTAGCGATCGCGGCAAAGAGAACATCGCGGACGGGCTGGTCGCCGGCGCGTCTTTCAAGGCGCCCGTGCTGTCGTCGAAGAAGTCCTCGCGGAAAACACGAAGCAAGAGCATTGGGCCAGGCGGTCTCGGTGCCCCAGAAGCACCCGCGCTGAAGGAGACCAGCGGAAACCGGCGCAAGGTATGTGCGCTGCGTGCGCTGCTGCTGCGCTCAAGCATTGCTGACGGCGCATAGTCCGCCTTCATACCCGCAGTCAAGTCCATCCTCGCCTCGAACGACGAAGACGAGAGGAAACGACGCGAAGCACGTCGGAAGTCGCTTGGTACGCTATACATGGCATGCAAAGGGAGAACTCTACTAACGCCAATCATAGCAAGGCGACGCGTTTCTTTCGCCCCGGAGGCGACGCTCCACACATGGGACGTAGTCGAGTACCTGCGCGATGCGACCAGCTCCTCCGCATCCTCTGAAGCAACCCGGCGAGCTTCTGGTGTCTCGGATGCGACGACACACGCAGCACAAACACCAGATTCAGATGCGGAGGAGCCTCCATCCACCCCACCAGAGCGCGTCGAGGAGCCGGAGCCAGAACCCGGATCCTCCCCCGCCAACCAGCGCGATCTCCACCAGAAAAAAAACCGACGGCGCAGCTCAGGGATCCCTCCCATGAACTTCAACAATCCAGAGGATGTCTTCTCCTCGAGTCCGCTGAGCGGCGACAACGATTCTCCCGCCGGCACGGAGAACCTTGGGAATGATTCGGATGACGACGGCGCAGCTGCGAAGATGGATGACTCGCTTGACTCCAACGACTCGCAGAGCAGCGCTAAGTTAGATGCTGCGCTGCGACAGGCTGCCGCCCGCGCTGGCACGCAGCGGTTGGATCTGGACGACGATGAGGACATGTCTATGGTCATGGCAGAGGACGACATCACCGCATCATTCAAGCCTTGGGCACAGCAGAGCCGAAGGCCCGCCGCTGAGGATCAGGACAACGCCGACCCATTTTCTCCTGCTATAGCAGAATTGCGCACTGCCGGCGGAGACGAGGACATAAGCATGGACATTACACGTGCCGTCGGTAGGATTATCGCTCACCCAGAGGCTCAGAGCCCGCAATCTGATGATACGAGCATGGAGCTCACGATGCCGCTTGGAAGCATCCAGGCTGTAAGCGCCAAAGAGACAGGGAACCGAAGGAAGAGCCTCAAGCGCAGGGCGTCGCTCGCTGAGACATCCCAAGGCAGTCCAGCCAAACGTCCTGCGGGCCGTAGGACTAGTCTGCGACATCGAGCCACTCACGACGGAAGTCCCTCTTCCGACGACCAGACAATGGAGCTTACCATGGTAATGGGAAGCATAAAGAGCCAGTCTTCTCGCAAGTCTGAGGAAGAGCCAGGGAGGCGAAACAGCGTGGACACTTCTTTCGGTGATGAGACCATGGACCTCACGCTTGCTGTAGGAGGCATCAAGGATGCCCAACCTGCCCACATGGCGGAGAAAAGCGAACCAGACGACGAAGACTTGTCCATGGAATTTACGAAGGTGGTTGGACCCGGCATCAAGCATCTAAACAAATCGGTCGAAACACCAGTGAAGGCTACGATTGTGGCACAAAACTCGACAACAAAGGCGAAGACGCCCATGCCAGGGCAATCACCTCGAAAGTCCCCTGGTCGGCCGAAAGCATCCGGTTTGAGTGTGACAAGTTCCTCGTCTCCTCATAAAGCAGTCCAAGCAACTCCCGCGAAGTCCTCCGGGCGGCCACGTCGAAACTTCAATCTCGCCACTCCAGAGATACTGCCACTAGCCCAGCAGCGAATAGAAGACTTCGAGCCATCACCTTTTGTACGCAGTGCCCAGCAGAGCGCTTCTACGCCAAGCGAAACCGTCTCCACGCCCACGAATCGGACCCGAAATGCGCCGGCAAGAATTCCTGACGACCCTATCGCTGCTCCGATCCTTAACCGACGCCGTTCGTCGTTGTCTTCGGTACAGTTTAGCCCGCTTGCCACCGCACGGGGAGAGCCGACCTTGAAGAGCACCGCATTCCTGACGAATAGCATCAAACTTCTTTCCACGCCAAGGAAGCAGACTCTGACTTCGCCTGTAAAGCATGGTCTAACGCCCAAGAAGTCACAGACGCCTCAAAAGGAGCCGACACCGAAGCACAAGACCTCAACTCCAAAGAGAGCAACGCCAAGGAAGAGCATCAGCCCGAAGAAGAGGGTGGCATTTGGAGATGAGCCGGAGGACAAGGAGAATGTTTCTGATGAGGGCGTCGAGGAGGTCGTAGAAGAAGTTGAGCGCATTTCACTACAAGAATTCCTCGAGCTGACTAAGATTCGCTTTATGGATCTCAGCACCACCAAGCGTCGACATACTGCTGCTCCAGCCGCCTTCCATGACAAAGAGATTGAGGAGAAGGATGAGTCTCTGGATCGCTATGTGGTGGCAGGCGCTTGCACCCTTCCTGAGTTCGAGCTGTACCAGCATGCTTGCCACGAGATGAAGAAGTACATATCTGATGGTCGCCATTTCGTTCGGACAATGGAAGCGAACGTCATGGAAGAGAATCCGCTGCTGTTCAGCGAATATCTCACGGCTCCACCGGATCAGCGTATCATTATGGACAATCAATTCAAGAACTTAAAGACGAGCGCTCGGCTTGAAGCTCGCGGAGAGTGGTACGGATGGAGGGGCACGCTGCTTCAGGATCTCAAGGCTGGTCTCCTTGGCACAATGGAGGGCTTCAAGCGCGATGAATCCGTTCTAGTAGATCAGGAGAAGCTTCTCGATGCTGTGCTTCCATCTCTAACGGAGAAGCAAGAGCAGCTAGACAAAGAGTGTAGGCAGCTGCAACAACGGCACGATGAGCTGAACAGCTGCGATCGCGAAGAGCTAGAACGGGCTCGCGAGCAACTTGTCTGCTTGGACGCAGAAATTGAGGGGAAGCGTCAGCTCGTTACACAGTTGCAGGGAGAGCTGGCTGGGAAGGAATCCCGTATCGAAGCGGTCAAGGAACGCAAAGCCGAATGTATCGCAGAGATCAAAGCGGCTGAGCGTCTTCGAGAGGAGTGTCGCGGGTGGTCTACGACCGAAATCAATGACTTGAAAGGTATGCTTCGCTTCGCACTCTCCTTAGTTCGACCAGTGAGCTAACATGCTTGCAGCCCAGGTGACTACCCTCGAAAAGGCTCATAGCTGGAGCATCACTTCCGCCTCATCGGGCATGATCACTATGACTCATCTAAACGATCTCGAGCTATACTTCCAGCCTTCTGCCTTTGCAACAGGCGCAAATACCCCGAACGCCTCCATCTCTCTAACCTATGTCGGCGACACGGCTACACCACATGCTCGACCCTTGACAACGAGCAAACGCTTCTTCCTCCAGCTGATTCGGGCTCACCTGCACTGTATCCCCCAGTCACAGACTCGCGTTGCAGAGCTGCTATCGTTTGTTAAGGCTGGATGGGCTGCGGCACTTTCCGTGGCCGAAGGTGTCCGATGGCTTGGGCACAACCACATCACGGAGGAGTGCATCCTGTCTGATGAGCAGATGGCCATTTCCTCCAACATGCTCCTACCCTCTCTCCAGACAAAGATCAAGGTCACTTTTGAGATCGGCGTCAGCCTTGGCTTGAACGCGGTAGAGACAGAGGTCGGAACGAAGGCGGAGCTGGTGTATGGGGAGAAATACAGCGAGGAGAAGATGGGTGCGTTCTTGCGGGACTTCTGTGGTGGTCAGGTCAAGCACGAAAAAGACATGGCGATTTGGGCCGACGCGATTCTGGATCTGGCCGGTAGGCTGAGAGCTACCGGGAGGAAGGGAGAGCGGGCGTGAGGACGGATCCAATTTTCTATGGTCAATGGTTCTTCCATGTCGCATGACGCTCAGATTGTTACGAGACATGACGGCGTCCTTGGGCATCATCGGCTTGCAGTTCATGATGGGAGGTCTTCGTTGTTTGAATAAATGAACACATCTGTATTGATGCTTATTACTACTTTACGGCTTTGGTCCTGTCGCATAATGAGAACTTCTCTGAAAGCAGGGTACGCTAGTCTAATTTTGGGTTAGTCTCGCAAGTCGTTTGAATGGACTAGCGCCGGAGGAATTATGGGCCTTCGTCGACCAGCATAGACTATCGAACCTACACCGTATCCCCACCCCAAGCCAGTTCGCATCCTCGGTGGAAATTATGCCGAGTAGTTCGTCGCTCAGATGCGCGTCAGTCGTCATGACGGCGCTCTCTCCAGGTTTGTCGAGCCCCGCAGTACGGAGATGCCGGGCCCAATATGTGGAGAAATGAGGCTAAGATCGCTATATACTGAAATTTGACCTATAAGTACTTAGCTGCTCGAGTAGTATACCAACAGGGATTGAGTAAAGGGTTTTCAGTCAAGATGTCGTCTTCTACTCCGAGGTTCCATCTTTTCATCTTCATTCTACATGCTGTCCTGCTCGTTTCTGCAGCCCCGATTCAAGATGCAGCGCCCATTGCTTCTCTCGACTATGGCGCCTTCCGAGGCGCTTACTCCCCAACATACAACCTGACCTACTTCCGCAAAATCCCCTTCGCGGCTTCGACAGCGGCACGCAACCGCTTCCGGGCCCCGCAACCGCCGGCGCGAATCAATGCAACACCCTACGACACCGACCAGCCCTTCGACATGTGCCCCCAGCGCACGGTCAACGGTTCCGAAGACTGTCTCTACCTCGGCGTGTACTCACGACCCTGGGCGTCCCCCCACCCGCTCCGCCCCGTCCTGCTCACCTTCTACGGCGGCGGGTTTATCCAGGGAAGCGCCTCCTTTTCCATTCCGCCGCCCGGGTTCCCGGTCCTGAATGCCAGCGACGCGAATGACTACGTCGTCGTGTACTCCAACTACCGCACGAATGTCTTCGGCTTCCTGGCCGGCACGAAGATCCAAGAGCACCCGGACGCCGATCTGAACACGGGACTGCTGGACCAGCGCGCCGCACTGGAGTGGATACAGAACTACATCCATGCTTTCGGTGGCGATAGAACTAATGTGACGATCTGGGGCCAGTCTGCCGGTGGCGGGAGCGTGGTCGCGCAGACCATTGCGCAGGGGAACAAGGGCGAGAAACTGTTCCGCAAGGCAATGGATAGCTCGCCTTTCTGGGCAAAGACGTACCGCTACGACGACCCTGAGAACGAGGCGCTGTTCGAGCAGGTTGTGCAGGCGGTAGGCTGCCAGGGGGAGATGGATGAGGTGGCGTGCTTGAAGAGCGTGGATGTGCAGAGTCTGCGGGATGTCAGTTTGAACTTGAGCACGAGCCATCAGTACACGACGAGTAGCTATACCTGGGGCCCTGTTATCGACGACAGCTTCCTGTCGAAGCCGCTGTCTGAGGTTGTGAGCAGGGAGGAGTTGAACGCCGAGATGGTGCTGTCGAGCTACAACCTGCATGAGGGGGAGAACTTCATCCCGCCGGGTCTGCAGAGCGCGACGGGCTCTGGCGGGTTTAATTCCTCGGCCGCGAGTTTCGACGCGTGGTTGCGAGGTTTCCTGCCCAAGCTGAGCGAGGATGAGTTAGAGGAGGTTAAGAAGCAGTATCCAGAGACTGGGACTGCCGAGGAGATCGCCTATAACACGACGTACACACGCGCCGGCTTACTCTACCGCGATCTCGTCCTCGCATGCCCCGCGTATTGGCTCGCCAATAAAGCCCAGCATGGATATCTCGTCGAGTATACCATCTCGCCCGCAAAGCACGCCTCAGACATTATATACGTAAGTTGTCTTAATCCTCTCTCCCATCTTCCTTGAAAGCTTATGAAGTCTGCAGTGGAACACCATCAACCCAGTCCAAAAGTCGGATCCCTTGACGTATGAGGGATATACAGGCGCGATAGCAAGTTTCGTGCAGACGGGCAATCCGAATGCGCATAAGATTACGAATAACAGCGTTGTGGGTGTACCGAGTGTGAGGGATGGGAGGGAGTTCGTGGTTAGGAATGGTGGACTGGGCAATGAGGGGATAGGGATGCTGGAGAGGAGGTGTGGGTTTTGGTTGGGAGTTGCGGGGAGGGTGGATATATAGAAGATATTTTGGAGTAGGTTGGGAGGGGAGATTGGACTGTATATAAACAAGCATCTGAACTAGGCACGTATGGGTCGAAAGATATGAAGGAGACGGAAAGGGTCTAGTTTGGCAGATGCGGACACCCATCGAAATTTAGCGATAAGCATAGGATTATATCGAAAAGCACCATCTATCGCTCTTAAGAGTCGAGCGAGTGTTTGGTACGTATATGGACGCGGAAATCGTCAAAAAGCGGTGGTGTTAATATTATGTTTCGGCCACACAATTCGCAGACCACGTAGTCCGGGTCCGGGTCTAGATCGAAGGTCACTCCCCTCAGAGCAGATGCTCCAGACCAGTGAACCCCCCATAATTCGACCGGGGAACTTGTTTCGGAACGAGCGATCCCTTCAACCAGTCTGCAGGGTTCGTTCTCGTACGCGCTTTTCATACGGGAGAGGCGCTGCCCCGATGCAAGCATGGAGTTGTCCAGCTCTTGTTGGTGTTCGCTCTTCAACTCGTTGATTTGCCGCTCGTGTTCCCTTCTACTCATGAAAGGGTCTCTGCAACAATCTCCAAAAATAGAGTAATCTTCCCCTTCATAAACAGGCTCAAGAGTATCGATGAATGCTAAGCTCAAGCGTATCTCCGCAATAGCTGGCCTCATCTGGGGCTCTATCTCAAGCATGCTCCGGATCTCGTTAAAGAGACGGCGTCTACGCTTTAAGGCCGGTTTGGCGTGTATAGCATCGCTAATCCAGTCGTAGATTTGGTCGAGATTAGCTTGAAATGATTTGTCATGCTTCGTTCGGACAGTCCTCAAGGGCTCCAGGCTGTCGTACGCGCACAATGTGGACATCTCAAGGAGGATGCAGCCCAATGAAAAGATGTCAGCTGCTCGTCCATTTGGCTGGAATGCAGCAACCTCAGGTGCGAAGTATTTTGGCGTCCCTCGTTCACAGTTCTCGGTCGCGCTCAAAGTCTGAAGCGAGAAGTCCGTCGCCGTACCAAAATCCGTCAACCACAAGCGATCCTTAGAAAGGAGGATATTTGAGGGTTTGAGGTCTTTGTGACGGATCTTTTGGCTGTGAAGATAATCGACGGCACAGACAATACAGCCCATCTTTCCCCATAGGGAGATAAACAGGAGGAAGGAGGATGCGGGTGCGCCAAGTCTGGAAAGTCGTTCTTTTTGCGCATGATCGAGGCTGTTCGTAGCAGAGCGAAATGCCTCAACGTCTTCCATAAAAGTAGCTAGATCGCAGACGGCCACAGGATAGAGAAGTAGTCCGAGGAATTGGCGGTGCGTATACGATCCCGCGAGCCGAATAATATGTCTGTGAGAAACTTTCTTCAATATTTCGATCTCTTTCCTCTCCGCGTCTCCGATCTTCCGCCTGCAGAACCTCCTTTTCCATGCAAATGCATGTCCTCGGATGGAGGTTTCGTACACGCCGCCCATGGAACCATGGCCCAGGAAGCGTCCTTGTTCCAGCGGCACATTCTCGCTAGGGTGAAAGTCCACATGGGCTCCTCTTCCTGACCAGTCTTCGATGATGGATTCGATTTCTGGCTTGACGTCTGGCCCTGTTTTCGAAAGAGGAGTGACTGGAGGTATCCCAGACGCAGAACCGGGGGTGATCGGTGATACCCTGTAGTTGTCTGGTTTAGATGGTGAAGAGGCATCAACGACCTGCAAGCGAGGGAGGGTATTCGTGAGGCTATTTGAGTTGTTTGGAGAAACGGAGATAGGAGGATAACGATTTGTCAGAGGAGGTAAGAGTTCGAGGTCGCGACTCTCCCAGCCGATTGTGGAAGCCATATTCCCTGCCTATGGGTTCATGGGTTGGATTCGAATCGGCACCAGGTGTCCGGGAATTGACGGTCCGAGGATTGAAGTCGTGGAGCCGGTCGAGCTTCTGCGAGCGTCCAGAAGACCCGAATGCCGCAGAAGGGGCCAAAGAAGCGATTCGGCTATTCCGGACGGTTGAGTTCAATGTCCAGAAAAGGGCTGTAGAACTCGCAGCCGGCTGTGCAACTTAGCGGGAGAGTCTGGCTGTTACGACCGCGTGGCAGTAGCCCTGCAAGCTGTCAGTGGAGTTCAGCGGGATCTCTCAAGCGCTTACAGGAACTAGATCGAAACAACGCGGGAGTGAGCCACAACTTCCTCTATAGCGCCTGGCCTCTTCTCGGGCGCCGTCCGTCCCAGGCTGTCGTCGCAAGGCTGAGGCGAAAGCCCATTCAACGAAAGCCGTGGTTTGGACACGTAGCCGACCAAGAGGGAATGGCAAACTATAACATAAAGACAAAAGGAACCACGAAGTTGCGGATGACGGTGAGGTGGTAGGAAGAAGAGTGGTGAACAAGGCGGAGGAAGGCTGAGGTGTTGGCTCAGCCCCCTCACGCAAGAGGAAGTCACAATGCAGGCAGCCAATCAGAGCGATCGATGTCGTGATACCTTTACATAGAGCACGACAAGCGATTCTCCACACACAATCGAAAAAGACACGGCCTTTGCGGTGTTAAAAAGAGGTTACTATCTGCATTGCGCATTCTGCACACTCTCATCTACTCATAAAACTTCCCATCCTCCGGCAAATCCACATGATCCATCGAAAACCCACAATGCCCCGGCTCCACATAACTCGTCCCCATAACACCCCACTGCACCTTCTCCCACGCAGCCTCGACCCTATACGGCGCCGACCCAGGCTGGCACGCTGCCGCAATAGCAGCACTACAGCTCCCGGCGACCGGCATCCCCGACTTCAACCGCTTCCACCCCAGCGCAATGATAGCAGCGAACGCGAACGTACCCACGAGGATAGTCGCCAGGATGGCAACCGGCGAGTATCCGCACGTGATATAGCTCTCGTCGTCGACGGGACTCGTCCCTTTCGACGAGTCTCGCAGATCGTACACGTCGACGCTGACGAGGAAGAGGCTTTGCGAGATGAGCCAGTGCATGGTGCCGCACATGACCATCAGTGGTAGTCCGAGGCGGAAAGGTAGCTGGAGGAAGTAGGAGCTACGCTGTGAGCCCTTTGGATCTATAGAGACGCGGAGGCCCTTTCTGGAGATGGCGAAGCGCGACCATTCCGAGGCGAGGCTCATGGTCGTGGCGAGTCCGTTCATTGTCAGGTATAAGAAGGAGAAGACGAGCTGCGGACTGTTGGCAACGACGACGTTGGTGATGAGGCTGCGGACGCCTCGGCCCGGGATGTTCCATGCGATGAGGGTGCTGGAGTTTACAGCGCCCAGGCCAAGTTTCCAGACGGCGGATCTGCTTTCCAGCCCGGTCGTCTGATTGACTCCGTACCAGAGGAGGAACATGGAGGCTGCGAAGATGATGATGAAGCTGAAACTGAGTGTGAGCTTGCGATGGGCAAAACATCAGGGCTGCACTTACGCCAGAACAAGGACTCCCATCCTCATAATGCTCGCTGCGCGATAGCGTCGCACTGGCTTCTGCACGTACTGCTTCCGCTGACCCATGATATTCCCCGTTTGAAACTCTTTCTGGACCTCCTTCCTACCGACAAGGCACGCTCGCTGCGTGTACATGTCGGGACGTTGCAAGTAGGAGGCCACAGCGTCCCCAATAGTAAGCAGCGGCCTCTCCTTGAACCGGAAAGCAATGTACAGCATAAGGCTAGTTTTGCCCGCACCAATAAGGAGCACGACAATTGCTAGATGTATGCTATACGCCAGCTGGCAGTGCCCTTCGATCTTTTCGCCCAGACAATACTCGATTGACTTCTTAAACGGCTTCCAGTCCGCCAAGTTGGACGTAATGCAAGGCAGGAAAGTTTCGCAGTTCGCGAGCGTAAATCCACCAGTGCACGAGCTGTCTCGGCATATCCACTCGAACGGAACGCCATTGGTGCCGAAATACCAATCGATAGGCACGTCTCGCGCTTCGAATCCTACTACTGGCTCGGCAGTATCGTAATCAGATGTGGAGTTCGAAACGACGAGAAACAGATTTCCGTAATTCGTTTGGTAGCTCTGTGCATATTTGGTGATGCAGTCGTTGACACCTAGTTTCTCCAGTTTGTCCCGGTGAACAGATTCGAGCAGGGTACTGCCTTCAATGGTATCGCCGTTGACATCGTATCTGAAGGATCCTTTGATCTGAAGGTCATCTGTTGTTGGATCGGCCGCGAATGCCTCGTTGGCGGAGAATACATCGTATTTGAAGGCGCCGAGAGACGAAAAGATAGTAGAGTTGTAACTGCTAATGGTTAGCTTAGAAGGTCAGCGGCTGGATTGCAGGTGGTGTTATACAAAAGGTGCAACGGCAGTGAAGAGAGACCAAGTAAGAACCATACTACTGCCCGACCCCCACTGACATGCCTTAGGTTCCTGACACTAGGTACTCCGATATCGACCCAGCGGAATCTTGCATGCGCCCGATCGGCATCCGCCCTTGTTGGGGCAGACATACACTGCATGCAATAATTGCTGGCGCCCAGGAGAATCGTGCTGAAAACGTTGATAAGCAAATGGGCTGCAATGTTGAGCTTCTTTGTCGTGTCGCAGTTGCCATCGTACAGAACTCGTTTTCCGTTTGACCTGCCCACGCTCTGAAAGCCTGTTCGCGCTTCTTGCCAGATGACGATTATCAGGTTTAAGAGAAAGACAGCTCCACCGGCGCAGAAACAGGCGAGGGCTCCGGACTTCCAGTTTATTCTCGTCTTCCTTGGCTTTTCGCTCGTACCATCTCCAGCTTGGATGAAGGGAGTGACTTCATAAGGGTTGCTCTGAGGCACTTTGTCGTAGGTCCCCGCTTGTTGTTGGACGAAGGGAGCCACTTCATAGGCAGTGGTTCCGTAGACATTGCCTTGAGGTACTTTCTCGTAAGACGCCATCTTTTCGAACTTCCACAACGGGAGACCTGCCAGGTGAACAATATTTGATCAGTCTGCTGGATGGAAGAGGTAGCAGCGCTTCGAAAAGTTCGTGCTGCAGCACGGCCGCGAATGTGGAATCGACGACAGCATAGTTGCTGGAGACCCCCAATTTTGAACATTGAGGCGGTGCTCAGCTGCCTGGATCGATTCCTTGGTCTCAATGTACGGGTGGCGCCACATGCGCCACGGCAGCTGGGGATGGCGACTGAGCGGGCTTGGGTGCGCAACGTGATCCGGCCCTAGATTAATGCTTAGAAAAGCCAAGGTCCGCTGGCACAACGCCTATTGTCTCAAGGTGTCGTTGGACTGCTATTCTAAACGGAAACACATTTTCAATCATGAAGCACGTCGGAGCCGTTGAGCGTTCTGATGAACCTCGGTGAGCTTTGGGTGATAGTGTTTTGTCGAGGCAGTTTTTAGCGAGCTGAACGCCGTCGTTTCGCGTACTTCTCTCGCCGAGCCTCATAGCGAAGGACAAGACCGGTCTTGAGGCTTGGAGAGGCTGGCAAAAATTGATGAATGGCACCGCATATTTACACAACACTTGACCGTAGCCTAATATTATAGCATTAGCACATAGAAGAACTGGTTCCGCGAGTCGATGCAGAGGAGTAATAGCATGGCTAAAGGGTAGCCTGCATGCAGAGATTCCATTTCCACTACACCTGATCATCTGAGGACTGCTGTTGAAAAGTGGGCGTCTTCTATTTCTTATCTCGTTCGTACACACCTAAACAAGCTGTCAAAGACTTTTTCCATGCGATTGCAAACCCGTCCCCTCTCCGCGGTGTACACATACATTCCCCTGCAAATACCCCCTGAACACATTCAAAGATCATCTAAGCCCAGCCAAGCGACGCTCTTGTACCTCGGAGAGCGCCCTGCTTCCACTCAGGAAAGCCACGAAACCCACAACAGCGGCTGCCGGTAGAGTCTGGAAAAGGTTCCAGCTCGTGTAGTAGAGGAAGAAAATGCCCTCCATGGCAAGGATAGAGCCGTAGAAAAGCGCGTGAGAGATGGGCGCGCTCCCGAGGGCCTTGCCCAAATGATTCGCGTTGGCGCCTAGAGTGGCCCACACACCAAACAGTACGGGCAACGCACCGATGACAGCGGCTGCAAATACCAGTGTTATTATCTTGGGGGACGATCGGGGATCAGCGCGGAAGATATGGTGGATCTCCTTGTCGACCGCGTAGCGGAGCGGCTTCTCGGGAACAGCGAGAGGGACATTGGGATCGCGAGCCACATTCAGGTCAAACACCTTGGCCTTGTATGGCGTAGATGATCCAAAAGAGCCAATGACAATGGATGCGGCGATCGGCTTCGCGGAAGTGAGGAATTGGTGTGGAAGGTCCTTGTGGGTCTTCGAACATTAGCGACGTTGGGAGCAATTGTGTCGGCTTACATACCAAATCAACCTTTCCCTTGCCGCTTTCCTTCACACTGAGCACAAAAGACTCCTCGAGGCCAGTTGCTGAGTCTGTAAGGGTGAGGAATGCTTGATGGGGCCGCTGCGATTTCTTTCCGTCAACGGTGGTAAGTTGTAGCTTCAGCGTGTCCGCGGCGCCCAACGAGACTGATTTCGCCAACGGGCTTGAAGGATTCAATCTAAATAGAACCATTCGTCAAAAAAGCTTATAAGTTATGAGAATTGGCGAAGCTCACTTTTCCTTTGCGCCTGCACCTACTCCAGCACCTTTACTCTGAACCGTGACGGTGCCGTCTTCGAAGCTCCATGAAGAGGCGGCCGACACAATGCAAGCCCCAGAGAGCAGAATCGAGGGAATTAGCGAGTGTAGAAGCCTCATTGTTGAAGAATGGTGGAGTAGTCGGGGAGCTCTTCCGTTACCTGGGAACGTAGACGACTTCGTAAGCTGTCCTTCGGAGTTTCTGTCGGCCCGATATTACTGCACGTGACTTGGTCTCCCTGGGCTCTTGGCGAAGCCCCGACCAAACGCCGGGAAGCCGTGCTATTCCCGACGCCGTGATGCAGATCATCCTCCTGATGAATCGCCTAGAGCTGCTAGGAACGGTAGAATGAATCGTAGCGTGGTTCAATATGCACCTACCGTAGTTCTACAAGGGTACCGTCCAGCAAAGGAGGAACAAATCGACTGATTGCATCATGTCTCGAATCATTCCACTTGGAGAGAGAACCACACAGGCCGGGTGGAAGCCAGAACATCTGATTCAAACCAACACTGACGGTGTGAGCCTTCACGGCGGGCGACTTGCCTTATTTGCGCCGTCCACCTGTAAGCATGCATGTTTGAAACGCTTGAGTAGAAGCTTTGGGATGGTTGGCTCCAACTTTGATGCTTCCTGTGGTACGCTGTGTGCAACATGTGATAGCTATGCCTCACCCGGGCATCATTGCAGGCAGGTGACGAACCGACTATCCGGTAGGTGCGACTGTTGTCTCAACTTGGAGCGGTCAGTTGGAGAAACTCGCGAGCCAAATGGATCGAAGATGACGGTCAGATGAGAGGTAAGATGCGATGGCCTGAGAGAATTTTGGTAACGCTCGCTTCCCCACGGACCGGCGGTTCCATCCCCAAGATCCCCACGATCCGCACGAATTGGTCGTCTGCGTGACCTTCCCCCGCACAAGCGGCGAGGGCATCCACCAAGTCGGGATGACCTGAAGTTCTCCGTCGCCCAGCCGTGATGCTGCGAGCGAAGGTAGCACAGAGTAGTTGGGTGCGAGGACGCACATCCCGCACCAGCGGCCCTCTGAGACGCACCGGGATTCTGCAGCATGCCAGTCCATGACAGCATGCGCAGTAGCGGGCGGTAATGGTGGGCCATCTGACTGCCGGCGGCGTGGGAGAAATCGTGGACCTGCAGCGCTCGAAGCGCAAGCCGCAGCGTTCTGGGCCGTGCGAGCGCTATTGCCGCCTTGTCTTGGCCCACCCGCGCCCGATGACGCCTGGGCCGGGATCGTCTTTGATCCCTGCCCAGGAGCGCTGCTGTCCTCATGCCATCCATCCATGCAGGTATTTGAGGCCTGAGGTCGACGTTTGCTTGCAAGTCAATTTGATGTCTCTTTTGAGTATTTCTGCCCTTCGCTCGCCGGAGCGAAGTCCGTCGTGCCCTCTCCGACGCTCCCAAAGCTGCGCAACGGCCTGCACGTGGCCAGCTAGCGGAAGTCCGTCTCTGACGTAGTCCGCTCCGTTACACTACTACACGTCGACGGCTCCGAGTACGGATCTAGGCATTGCTCTACCCGACGCTACCTGCGCATACCGCTCCTTCGCACCTGACCGCCCGCAGCACCGCGTCGTCCAGCAATTTTATTGTTAACCTCAGCGCTCGCGCGCACCGCAACGCTCCCTTCCCACCGGCCACCCGCGGCCACCCGGTACTCTGCTATTGCGTATGGCGTACAGTCGCTCTCAATGTCCTTCCTGTCCGACACAGTGCTTTCGAGTAGTGCCCGTTTGCATACGGGAAGAGAAGGAGAGGCAGGACAAAACGATGGCCTGAAGAGAACAAGCCAGAGCCCTGCTGGGCTTCTGACGCCTCTCATTCAACTCGTGAGAGATCCATTTGGTACAAAAGCCGGCGAAGAAATTGTCAGCCGGGCACCGGTTGAACGGCCCGCAGTCACCGAGGATGCAGATCGCAAGCAGGTTTTGTATCTGCGCATGAGAAATGTGAGAGTGTTACCATGTTTCACGATTTCACATGCTAACCCGGGCATATAGGCCGAGAGCTACGACGACTGGAAAGCCGCTGCGACCGAATTGGACTCTCTTGAAGGGAATGATGCCTGGAAACTCGAGGATGAGTCCCCCGAATACGATGCCGCCCTGGTTAAGGCTCGCCTGGAGCAGCTCGACGATGCTCGATTAAGCTGCGACGTGCAGCGAATGCTCTTTCTAATCCGGACATCCCTGACGCGCGGGCTTGGTGGCATGGGCCATCTGCGAATGTACAAGCATTCGCACGTTGGAACGAAGAAGCTGATTGAGAGGTACATCGATTCCGCCGTGCAGACTTTGAACGCCTTGCACGAGGTATCCGCCAAGCAGGGAGATCGCTGCCCCGTCGACCACAATGTGATCATGCAGGGGCTCCTACATACCCGCCAGTCCTTTGGGCGAACTGCCCTGTTATTGTCAGGAGGTGGTACTTTCGGTATGAATCATATTGGTGTTGTGAAGTCTTTGTGGGAGATGCGCCTCCTCCCACGCATCGTATCGGGGGCGTCGGCGGGAAGCATCGTTTGCGCTATTCTGTGTTCGAAGACGGACACGGAGATTCCCGCAGTACTGCACGAATTCTGTTACGGTGATTTGAATGTTTTCGAGAAAGTTGGGGACGAAGACAGCCTTATGAGGAAAGCCACGCGGTTCCTCAAGTACGGTTCGCTGTTTGACATCTCCCATCTCATGAGAGTCATGAAGAACATGCTAGGCGACATCACGTTCCAAGAATCGTACAACCGGACCCGGCGGATTCTCAACATCACAGTCTCAAGCGCCAGTATGTACGAGCTTCCGAGGTTACTCAATTATATCACAGCTCCGGATGTAATGATCTGGTCCGCAGTGTAAGTGCCATTTCTAGTCGGTCCTTCCCAGAGAGGCTGCTCCTTTTTGACGATCCGTATCACTGACTCTATGCAGATGTGCCTCTTGCTCCGTCCCTTTCATCTTCTCTGCCGCCTCTCTACTCGCTAAGGACAGGAAGACTGGAAAAGAAGTCCCTTGGAACCCTACGCCTAACGCTGGTTGGATTGACGGCTCGGTCGATAATGACTTACCTATGACTCGTCTTGCGGAGATGTTCAACGTCAACCATTTCATCGTTTCCCAGGTCAACCCACACGTCGTTCCCTTCCTAGCCAAGGAAGAGAACGTTGGCGCAGAGATGCAACAGAGCTCTGCGCTCTCTGCTGGACCCAGCTGGATGCACAACATGGCAAGCTTTGCGAAAAGCGAAGCACTACACCGTCTCGACGTGCTTGCGGAAATGGGCATACTTCCCAATGCGGTGACGAAAGCAAGGTCGATTCTCAATCAGCGGTATTCTGGCGACATCACTATTTTCCCTACGATTTCCTACTCAAACTTCCCGAAGATCCTGAGCAATCCGACGACTGAGTTCATGCTGCGGTGCATGCTCACGGGAGAACAAGCTACATGGCCGAAGCTCTCGAGGATACAGAATCATGTTGCTATTGAAATTGCCCTAGACGAAGCTGTCCACAATGTCCGTGACTCCGTCGCCTTCAGTCAGAGTCAAGTCGACCTCCGGCTCAACAACCTCCACCGGCCACTCTCGCAAGGCAACGATGTCCGGCCAATGCAAAGAGTGAGGTTGCTCCACAAGTCTACGCGTTTCGGAAACGGTACCGCGCCTTCTACACCTTCGATGGAGATGACCTCTCCCGCGATACCCCGTCGCTCCCATCCTCGCATTAAGCTGCCTCCTAAGCCTGCTCCTGCCGCCAAGCCTTATCTACCCACGCATCCCTCGAGGAGAGGCACGAGATCATTGGATATAAACCAACTGAGCTCATCCAACGTAGACGCAGTCTCCTCATCAACCAATCCGGACGGATCATCCTCGGACGGAGATTTCTCAACGCACGATGAGAGCGATACGACGGAGTCCCTATCTTCTCACTCACCACCTAATTCGCCCTCGAGACAGATGCCTACCCTATGGCCATCTACGCGACAAGTCCTATTTCCGTCATCCTCCCAGCCCGCGACGCCGTCCCTCACCGCAACTGGTTTCGGCCACAGAAGCAGTTCTTCACTCAACATCACCATGACCTCCACCGCACCAAGTTCGCCCGAACTTCGCTACAAGCGGCTCTTTCACCCGCCAGTTCCGTCTCCGGTACTCGAGTCCGAACCGGTCGCACCCGAAATCCAGCAAGAAATCGAGAGAACAATGCAGCCGCTTGCCCAGACATATCCCGCACTGCAGCAGACTGAGTCCGTCCCCGAAGACCAGCGTGCACCTCCGGCCCCTTCGGTACGAACAGACTCGCTCAATGAGGCGCAAATACGGGCCTTTGATGCTCCGGCGCTCTCTCCGGTTATCAGCCCTAGCACCACCAGAGACGAGGCCAAAGCCAATGTCAAGAAGAAACTCAGCCAGCACGACATCAAAGCCACCGAGCGCAGTCGAAGAGACGGTCGACGAGGCAGCGCGCAGGGCGCGGGACTGGGTCTTATGCTCGACATCTCGGGGACCAGGGGCATGATGCTCAGGAAGAAGGGTTCTCGAGGTGGTTCGTCCGCCGCCTCGTAGACTTGAGTCGCTCCCTATCAACTTTTCTTATTTGTCTGGGATCGGAACATGCGGAGCTGGAGTTTAGTGTTTCTTTCGCATCGCAAGACGGGAAATTCGCATTCATCACGCATATGAGGAGTACTTTCGGGGTTCAACGAGGCGGGGGTCGGGAGGGAAAGGGCAACCTGGCAACATTAGAATGGGCGTGGTGATACCCGCGGTTTTCGTTTTTATTTTTTTCGAGCGCACTCATTCGTACTTTATCTCCTTTGTAATCCTTCTTCCATTCAGGTAGATACTACGAGATAGATTGGAGTGGGCTGGCTAGCATGGCATGGCAATATATACATTTTTACTTCTTCCCCTTCGCCCTTGTCCAAGCTACATGGCGATGGCGAGCTTTTTGTGGGTCGATGCCGTAAACGTTACTTCGTCATTACATCGGCATCATGCATGCAATATGAGCATTATTGATTTTTGTGGGATATATACAGCCGTGATGGTGACGCATTCGAAAGCGTAGGTAGGTAGGGAGGGTGGGGAAACCCGCCAGCGACGTCTCCCGCGCGCGCGCCCCTCGTGGAGACTTATGACGAAGTGCCTTTGGGTGGATCGACGTCGTATTTTGTTCGGATTGTTTGGTCAACTGCTCATGTGTTAGCTTAGCTAGAATCTCCTCTCGACTTCCTCTCCCCTCGCTCCTGGCTCCCTCCTCTCTCCTTACTAAACAAGAAAGCGCGCCACTTACATCTCTTATACAGCTCCATGCCCACCACGATAATCACCGGGATGCCCACCATGATCGCCGTCACGCGCCGCCCCGCCGGCCGGTATTTCGGCGGCATCTTGCCCTCCCGCAGGCCGCGTTCATAGTCCAGTTTCGCTTGGTCTGGCGGTGGAGGGGCGGGATCGTTGGGCCGCGGGCTTGCTGCGCCGGAGGGGAGAGTAGCGGGGTCTTTGGGTTTCCGCGGGAGCGGGATGGTGGATGTGCGTGCGGGTCTGGAGTAGGGCGATTGTAGGGGCTGCGAGGGTTGCGGGGGCTTGGATGTCGCGGGAGAAGGGGAGGGGGAGGCGAAGGTGGGTTTTATGGCGGAGAGGGTGATTTCGGGGAGGGAGGTCTGTGGGCGGGGTGGGGGCGAGGGTTGTGAGGTTTGCGCTTGCGATGGGGTTGGGGGTTGTGGTGGAGGTGCTGCAGCGGTGGCATTCGTGGATGGATTGTCTATCGTCTGCGCTGTTTCCGTCGACGGAGGGATCAGCGTCCCTGTTGCAAACACCTCCTCTAGTATCTTGCTTGTTGCCGGCGTGGCTGGTGTCGCTTGTTTCGCAGCCTTGGGCGTCGATGTCGCTTCGGCCGCATCCGCCTTCTCCGTTACGCTCTTCGCTTTCGCAGTCGTCGCTTTCGCCGTCGTCTTCACGCTCTTCGACGTAGCACTCTTCGCCGTCTTCTTAGGCCCTTCCTCCTCCTTCTTCTTCGCCGCCGTCTTCGCAGAAGCCTTCTTCACGCTCTTCTTAGCCTCCGCCGCCGGCGCATCTTCCTTCACCACCTTCTTCGGCCGGCCGCGCTTCTTAGCCGGTTCCGCTGTTGCCGTCGCTTGCATGATGCTCAATTGAAACCACGAGGGCTATTCGAGGCGGAATATAGGGATATCGAGGCGCAGGAGCGGTGTTGTGGGGTTGCGACGCGAGAAAGGAGGTCCGACGCGTCGAGGGATGAGTCGTAAATTTTGGACCAGGGTACGTTGGGCGAGCAGGTCATCGGTCATCGGCGGGGCACTCGGTTGTAGTTGCCTCTGAAAGACGCCTTCGACAATGGCGGTTGTTCTTCTATCTCAAGACATCAACTCTATCGTTGAAGGGCATTCTTCTACCGTAATATAGGGTTAAGCAGTCCTGTCTAGCCTGATGGCTAGGGGTGGAGCGACCAGCGCGCTCCCCACCGTACACTCCTGTGAAGCCGTCACGCGGATTTCAGCACAGAACACCAACCACAGTCTTTAAAGTAACGTAGGAAATCTACCACATACTAGCACATTTCGTCGTAAGACTTGCTCCCTGGTGGATAGAGTGAGCCGAAGAAAGCGTTCGCAAAGATTCCATTTATCGTGCATACGCCTGTATGTCTCTGTGACTCTTGGATATCCAAAAAACCACTAGTCAACCCGAAATCTTCAAGCATCTGTGCTCATACTCCGACTCCAACAAACCCTAATAACGCCCACTGAGCAAAAGATCATAATAAATCTCCTACACACCAGCCTTGACGATCAACAAGCTAGCCCCTGACTTGCTCTCCCACACCTTCTCCGCCAGCGCACCCAGCGTAGCAGCCGCAGAAGACGGCGATGCAGATCTAATCTCATCCGCGCCTAGGGCCACTTGGAGATCCCCATGACCCATATTCCTGCCCAAGACAATGAGGTCGCCGGCGTTCTTGGGGTTCTGCCCGATTTCAAGGCTTGCGCGTGCGATGACGTCTTTCACCGGGTCCGACGAACTCACCGTCTCGAATACGACACGATGTGCAAGTTCGGCTGGGAGAGAAGCGCGAAGGGAGGCGAAGAATGAGGCATCGTGTTCGCGCGATGATGACGTCGTTGTGCCTGTAGTATCGCCGCCTTTAATAGGAGAAGATGACGAGGCTGCAGCGTGACCAAAGAACTCATCTGGGACATCAAAGCGCACGAGTGTGGCAGTAACCTCTGGGTTCTCGGCCAACTGGAGGACAAGGCGAAGTGCGGCGCGGTCGTCCTCGCCGCCGAAGAAGGGGAAGAAGATGTGGTGGCTGCGATCTGCGATGGGCGCGGTGACTGCTTTGTCTCGGGCGCTAGAGAGGCTAACGCTGCTGTAGGTGCGCGTGAGCCTAAGCCCATCCTTCTTGGCCCTGTTCTTGCTGCCTCCGAAGTTCTTGTTCACGAGGACAGCGACTGGTATCGTTGATTGCTCAAATGTTGCGTTGACGAACGATATGTAGGAAGGAGCTGCGAGCTTGTTCTTCGTGCCCTTATCTTCGATGATTGTCTGCTCGCTCATTCCGCCCGTCTCGCTCCATGGGAGCAGGAGAAAGTCGGATTCGGACGCTCGCGTGGTCAGTGTATCTGCAAAGGAGGATTCTGGTACGACCAGAACTTCGCCACTGACTGCTAGGTTGTGTAGGCGACCAAAAGTGCGGAAGGTATTGACTACAGGATCGTATGCCGTGTAGGAGTCGATTTCCGAGACCTGCATGACAGAGGAACCACGGTCCGTCAGATTGAGTAGGCGCAGTCCATAAGCCTGCACCGGTCGCTTAGGCTGTTCTTCTTCGATAGATGATTCTCCAGTCTCTTTACTCGTACTGGCCGCCTGCTGAATTGCTGGGTGGATCTTTGGGGCTGGCTTAAAGGACTGTCCACCAAAGAGGGAGGCAAATGCAAGTAGGTTAGGCATGCTATCCAAGCGAAGATAAACCGTTAGATGTTTAATCTTCTCAGCCGCCAACTTGTCGTAATGAGCACCATCAGCAATGCTTTCGGCTCCGTCTAAGGGCTTTCCGGTGTCCCAGTCAATTTCGCCTCGCCTCCAGGCCTCGACTTTCTTCTGATACCATTGCGGATAGAAGTGGATGGTCAGGGGGGACGAAAGGCAGGTAGTGACAAGCGCCATGACGACGAAGATGGTGAAAGTTCGTGAGCTGAGGATTTTCGCTTGGAGTCCAATGTTCTATCATAGTTAGCTTCGTCCAAAGTGTGGTATGGAGGAGAGTCCACTTACGAGCACAATCAGTTCGACCAAACCCTTACAACTCATCAAGGATCCAATAGCGAAGCACTCCCTCCACAGCATGCCCGTGAAGCGAGCTGCAGCGGTAGCTCCGAGGAACTTGGAGAAGAACGCGACTGCGCAAACGCCAATAACATACGCCCAGACAATGCCGCTGTCAAGAAGGCCAATGTTAGTGTTCAATCCGGAAAGAGTGAAATATAGGGGCAAGAAGAGCGCCCCGATCATATCTTCAATCTTTTCGGCAACCTTGATGGCGAAACCTCCTTCGTGAGGGCAGATAAGACCCGCCAAAAAGGCCCCGAAAATGGGATGCACGCCGATGATGCCAGTGAAGAAGGATGAGCCCAGGCATATCAGGAGCGTGAGCGCAATAATGCCCTGACTGGGACCGTCCTGAAGCGCACGTGATCGTCTCAAGATGTATACGAAGGCGGGGCGGATAGCGTAGACGAGCAGGAGGATGTAGCCAACGCAGGTAAGTAGTATCCATAATGCTGTCAAGCCGGTTCCAGCATTGACAAGGGCGACACAAAGCGCGAGTAGGATCCAGCCTATCCGAGGAGCGTTAGCCCTGGAAGCACAGGAGTGACGGAGGCGGGGTCATATAGACTTACCAACAACGTCGTTGGCAACGCCGGCAGACAGCACGATAATGCCCACGGGCGTCATGAGCAGCTTCAGTTCGGTCAAAATGCGGCAGAGCACGGGAAAGGCCTGAGATGGGTGAGTTCGAAGCACACAAGCCTGTGATATCAATGAGACTTACCGTAATAGCCATAGCCACACCAATGAAGAGCATAAAAACTGGGAAATCGATAGCCACAGTCTCCGGCTCGTCCTTGAACTGATTGTACAGACCAACGGCAATAGCGCATCCCAGGCCGAACGGAACCGCCATGCTGACCAGGCCGACGTTCGCTGCCACCTTCCAATTGCTTATGAGGAATCGCAGATCGACTTCGAGCCCGATGATGAACAGGAACAGGATGAGCCCAAGGTTGGCGACGAGAGACAATTGGGGCATCGCGGCCTCGGGGAAGATATTCGCCGTGAACCCAGGTATGCGGCCCATGACGGAGGGGCCGAGCAGGATACCGCCAATGACTTCGGAGATCACACGAGGCTGGCGCATCTTGGAGAGCGGCCAGTTGAGCGCTCGACAGAAGATGATGATGATAGACACCTGGAGAGGGCCAGAGTCAGCGAACGCGCCTTCCACGATTGAGGGCGGCTCTTACCTGGATAATGAAGAGAATGATAGGGTTCTTCGGGTCGACCTTCACAGGACTCACGCCCTCCAACACGCCGCCCTGCGGAGTAGCTTTGGCCACTGCAGTCGCCGTTGCGGCGGCTGAAGCTGCTGTCGACGCCATAGCTAGCTGACTGGAATGTGCGGAGAGCTCCCCAGACTTCAAGAGCGCTCAGTCAGACAAGAGCTGTTCCTTGGGATCTGCAAGGACGAAGGCAGGGTCCAGTATTTATCGGATGCCCTCGCCTCTCAAAGGATGTAAGCACGGTCCCAATGGCGGGGCGATAGGCATCGCTTGGACCCAGACTGCAGGTCGATGGAGCTATGGCTCAGCTTGGCGGCGCGGGACGAACCAGGTTTGATGCTGGGGCGCGCCCATGTGACGGCGAGAAGGAGGGCCTCGTGGTGCTACTAAGAGGCATGGCGGCGAGGCAGCGAGAGGCATGCTCACCGCCACGCGCCTAGGCGCGCTGATGGTGAGTGGTATCATGGTGGCACCGCTCTTTGTCCCACATCAGCAGATGAAAGAGCCGTTATCGTGTAAATTATTCGTAAGACACGCTAAGTATTTGTATCTTACATATAACTCTTTAGATAAACTATAAATTACTGTTATAGTACTAATAAAACTTATACATAGCTAAAAGTTAATATTTTATAAGTTGAGGCTCGGGTGTAAATTTATTCGGCGGGCGTTCTTAATAATACGCAGAAATATTTCGCACCGCCGAAGTAGCGCCGGAACAGAGCATTGCCTACTAATGACTACGCCCTGCGCAGACCCTGTGCGGCTTTGTATGGCCGTCGCATATACTTCTGAGCGAGCCTAGGGCAATTTCAGGTAAGAATACGGCGTTTGGGGGGGGTTGCGTGAGCGGGCGCGGGGTCGTCCGAAGTTCTGATGTTCCGGCATTACTTCGGCGTTCTGAAATAGGTTATCCTGCGTATTTCTCAGAATGTAAACTGTGTTAGTAAACAGTAAAATAATAAAGAGAAAGTAATTTTCCAAGCACTGAACTAGATGGTACTGAGCCACATCTAATCGACAGCGCTTCCCAGGATGCTGCCCACTCAACCTTGCCGTTCCGGTCATAACGGTAATATCTCCTATGCTCCTCAGACCATTGCCAAGGACTGAACACTTCAGGACACTCAATGGCAGTATTCAGTGCTTCCCTCAGTTCCGGGTGTTTGCTCAGCAGGGTCGTCAAGGCTGCGGTCTGTTCTTGGCCACTGAAAGTCAAGCACTTCGCTTAAACCAACCCGAGGAGGATCCTGATATCGCTGAGGTCGGTCTGTTCCTTCGGGTTCCCCTGTCGCTGGTGCTGGGAGAGGATCTTTTCTCTCAACAGCCAACGAGGACTAAGGACTGCAACCGTCGCTTGCTCCACGGTCAAATTGATTCGGTCATTGTCTGGCCTGGAGAGGTCGTATTGGGGGCGATTTGACCAATTCTGAAAATCAAATATCTCGATTTCTACAAGCTCTTCGTGACCATTGTCTTCAGTAATACGTACTGCTGGCAGAAATACGCCATCCCCGGCGTCCTTTTTGACAAATTGCTGAGAATGGTTGGTGTACAGCATTTGCGAAATGCGATCAGCGTCAATCCCCCTAGCCGGATCGGCTTGAATGACCACGTCGATATCCCGGGTACCGCGATACGGCTTCTGGTACTGGACGAAGATCAAGGAGCAGCCAGCGCCCCCGATGATACCAAATGTTACGTAGTTCTGTTGGAGAAACTGCGTGAGGGTGCTCACAGCACGTCGAAGTTCTCCAACACTGAGAAGACTTGCAGACATTGCCGCTAAAGAACAAAAGGTAAGCTTTGGTTGAGCAATGTGGGGATTATCCAGTCATCCCAGTAGAAGTAGTTACATACCAACAATTGGGATTCTCTTAGGAATGGATCGGGAAATGACCTTGAAAGACGGGCAATGGGCGACGCAAGCTGGGGGAATGATGCAGAAGTCTGTTGTTTGATACGAGCGGGCCTTGTTTCGACAGTCTTGCTGATTTCCTTTCGTGGATGTTGTGCTGCGCTGAATTGTTCTTTACTGCTCTAAATGAGGTAGGGAGAGGGTCATTTTATGCTCTTATAACACACTCCTACTTCTCAACGCATTGTCTGTAAGCGCCTAAAACGAAACCACCAGAAATAGCGCAGGTTGTAGCGTTAGAGGTTCCAATGCAGAAGCTTTTGTGCAGCGCTTAAGATAGAAAGCCAGGTAACCAGGCGATATGGTCCTTTCCAGGATTAACGAAACAGGCCCCCTTGAATTAGAATTGTCAATAAGTCTTCTATGTGCAGCGCCTAATGATTTGAGATAGTTTTCCGGAGCGATCCCGGCTAGGGCTTGCGCGAAAGGGGCATGTGATGGGTTTGGATGCTGTGCCGCACGGAGTATTTATGTTTCATGCGAATGGATGGAGAACCACTGGCTCGCACCGTTCGATCATCTACGCGCTGATCCAGGACTGGGTTCAGTCTCCTCTGGAAGTTCGAATTAGCTTTGTCCTTGACCCCTGAAGGAAATGCGCGCGGCAATCGAACCTGCCCCACTAGTAGCAGATGTGAACATAGTTAACACTGGCAGAAGCATTATTGGGCTAGATCAGTTGGAGCGTGGTAGCTCCATCTGAAGGTAGCGTTGTGCCCATCTCTGGAGGCATTCGCAGTGACCTTCCAAGTAGGTATCTTAGAGCATTCATGCAGGGACCCCGGTAGTGATCCTACCTCAGTCGAACTCTTTCTTGAGTTTAGGTACACTGCGCAACACTATTGTAAGCCTCAATCAAAGAAGCTTACCAAGCTTCAGGAGGTGATTGCTGGACATATACTAGGCCTAGATTCGCGAGGGTTTGCGCCCACTCTAGTTACTGTGCGAAATATGGCGGACAAGCTGCTTGCTGAGCGCGGTGCTGGCCAGGTTGGCCAGAAATGACAAGGGAGCTTTGTCAACCATATTTCTAGCCCTATAAAGCAATTTAATCGACCTCACGCTCAGTAGAGAAACCTATGCGAGGGTCCCAAGGTTATTTGCGACCAGTTCGTGCTTGTACAGCGCACCAAGGCCACGTAAGGCGTGGTAGGCAAGACCAGGAGGTAAGAGCTGGCAGATACAGATGATATAGAATGGCTAATTCCGAGGCCTTTAACTTACTTAGTAAGGGCTTGGCCTTTACCCACTCTCTTACTGACCGTAGTTCTGTCTAGGCCACCCTTTCCCCGGCGAATCTTTTCGTTGAACCATAACCTAACACTTTCTTCGTCGCAAGAATCAAGCACGGTGTCTTCAACCATCAATAAACCATACACATAGGATATAGCCCAACCCGTCAACGAGTCGCGCCAGAAGCCTGGAGAGTCCTGGAGGAGGGTCCTGATGAAGCTCTCTAGGAGGAGAGCTTTGTCAGGATAATACAAGTTCTGGTGGCAATGGAATCTCTGCATCGATGACGGATCGTTCGGAGGGCTAAGGCCGACATATTTGCTGCGAAGTAATACAACTCTTCCAGGGCCAGAAAACCCTGCTGGAAATTGGAACCGCACGGAATTGTCATCCAACATCCGGTATCCAGGATTTTCCATAGGGTTAATCCGTCGACCTATCTCGTCGTCTGGAATGAGGTGTGGATCGATTATACCGTACGACCATGGGGCGGGGCGAAAACCTGCCTCAACCAACTTCTGTGCCGCGAGGTCAAAATCAGATTCAGACGAGATCAGCATATAGCTCTGCGTTATATTCGTTAGGACAATCATTAGCAAGCGTAGGAGAAGGCGTACGTTAAGTAGTATCTCCGCTCCGAGAAAGCCCATTGCCTGTTCACCCCAAACAACCACCTTGACAGGACGCAACGCCTGAACGGCGAATTCGAAAGCCATTGTGGCAGTGAGAGCGGTAGAAGATCCGCCGAAATGTGGATTGTAGCCTGGCGCAAGAGGTTGTCGAAATCAAGCTTTCTGCCTGTCAAACATATGAAGGAGGCGTGACAGTGGGTTTTATTGCGGAGTGACAGGTTGCTTTATCTCAGCTAGCTGCTAGTCCTTTCTAAGCATTAGCGCGACGCCACATCAGGCTCTCCCGGCATCCGACGTTGTACTGTAACCACAAACGCGAGCAGGAGAGACTTTCCCACAATAAAATCAGTCGCATTTGTACGCCCGTTCGGCATCAGACATGCCTCCACCACCGTTTTTCCGTATCCCTAGCGAGCTCCGCAACCGCATCTACCACTTCGCACTCCTAAATCAGCGCCCCCAATTCTACGTCGCTAATCTCTCCGTGGACCTCTGCTATCTGGAAGAACCCGGCCATATCGAGCCGTATGAGAACGAAAACTTGCGCTGGCTCCTTACCTCCCGCCAGATCCTTTCGGAAGGCCTCGATCAGTTCTACACCCACGCTAAGCTCCAGTGGTACAGCATATGGAGTTGCGACCGCACAAATGACCTCACGCTCGATGGAAGCACGTCGATTTTTGATCTGGGGAGAGTGAAGGCCGCCGAATTGTCGCTCCAGATGGGGAAGGAGCATCACGAGCGCGATGGCAAATCCTACGATCTCGTTGTGCCGAGAGGGAAGGAAAAGTGGGAGGGGAAGGATGAGGATTTCGCGGAACTGGGGAAAGTTCTGAAGAGCTTGGATCAGTGCGCATTCCAGGACTTGAAGCTTATGGTCTATCTATTCAGAACTTTCAACAAGACCAGAAACTACGAGGATACCGGGAATAGATGGGTTGTCGATTTGTATGTTGTTGTCCGCCTCCTTAGGTCTTCTGTCTGATATGTTTGCAGGGGTGCAGGGAGCGACGCGGGCAGCGAGGGTAATAATGAGAACGAGGAAGCAGACGACCAAGATGACGATGACGATGATTACTCAGACAGCGACAGCGACAGCTACTCTGAGGGCTACTGGAACGCATACGGCACAAATCTCTCAGACCCTGACTGGATTAACGGATACCTAGTCGACTTCGGCTTTCTGGAGAATCTGGGAACGCAGTGGAAGCACATCCAGACCGAGTACATTCCAACATACATGCTGGCATACTGGGGAGACGGAGATCCAGTAGCTGCGAACATCGTAGCCGTGCCGATCATTCAGCAGGGCCTCGCTGAGATCGCCAAAGTGTTAATTGGCGGCGAAGGCTGGACCATTCAAGATAGCCTTGAGGAAGTAGAGCATGGGGCAGCGCGGTGGTTGCTAGATGCCAATCGAGCGCCTGACGACGAAAGGGTGCTGGAGTTGAAGCACACTGGACTGCGAAGCTACGTGGGGGACTGTGAGGGATGTTATGATGAGGAAGAGACCTTCACGCTACACGACGATAGGGGAGACGGCATCATTAGGTTTATGGCCGGGAAATGCGGACATGTTGTAAGATATACCTGCAGTCCTATTGCGACTTGTCTGTTTATTGATCTTGATTTCTTAGGTCGAACTCGAGACTCCTGTTGTGGGAAGGGAGATGTAGGGCTTCGACCTTGTCATTGCACTCTTCCTCCAACGTTCCATCTACTACAAAAGCATTCAAGAACCACTCGCCCCGCCTCTAATCATATCCGGAAAGTTCCTCCTTCACTATCCATCCCGCCTACCAGCCAGCGTCGCAAACCTTCTTGGCCTTCGTAATGTGCTTGTCGTACGCGTCTGGGAAAGCAGACCTGCGGGGAAACCTTAGCTCCACAAACCACTGAAGACATTTAGAATCGACTTACACCTGGACTTTCTGCGCTGCCTTGCCAATAGCAAGACTGGGCCAGTTGCTAATCTTCTTCAGGGCATTGAAGAAGAAATGCGCACTCAGCGATGCATCCATGCGCTCCTTGGTCGAACCCCAAGACGGCCGCTGCTGAAAGATGCCCACGGAGTCATGGTCGTGCCCAACCCCATCGTGGGGATACTTCAGCGAAGCGGGATACTTGCTATTAGCGAGAATGCGGATGCCAGACTCCTGGAACGCAGTCGTGATGGCGACATAGCAGGCGCGCTTCTGCTGGCTGCTCTTGAAGTCCTGCTTTGCGCGGGCAATGATGGTGCGCGCACGTTTGGTCTGGACTGCATTGAGACCTGGGAGGTTGCCGCTGGAGCCGCCGCCGGTAGACTCCTTAGTGCAGCATTGGAAGTTAGTGGGGCCAGGGCAGAAGCCAGGCTGGCTGGTTAGCCCAGAGCCGCTGCACTGTGAGGTCCAGCGGCAGTTGCCGCCAGAGGCGCAGGACGTCTTGACGCAGCACTTGATGTCGTCCGGTGTGCCTGGGCACGCATTCGAAATGAAGGAGCCGCCGTCGCTAGAGCAGGAAGAGGTGGAAATGCAGACACCAGGTGCACCTCCAGCGCCGGTGCAAGGGCCGTTGACGGAAGAGCGAGGGGCAAGGGCGCTCACAAAGCTCGTGGAAAGCAATGTGGCGAAGAAGAGAGCGTTAAAGGAATGCATATTGAGGAAGATTGACCGCAAATGAGTGTCGAAGCAAACCAGGGCTAGGGGTAGGTGGATGGTACTACTTTTGAACAGCTTCTACTATCCTGAGGTCGCCTTTATACCTAGGTAGCTACCCCCAGGTTAACACTAGACGTGTTGTCTGCTCGTACTTCGCATCCAAAGCAATCATGATCAAACAACTCTACGAGGCTCGTAACTCCAAACAATTACACAGTCCCTTTCATCGCTCTGAAAGTCGTGTTCTTGTTGTAAAGGTCCAATGAGACATGTTGGAATACGAACTTTCGGAGATTTGTATTCTCATGTTTTCAGCCCCACGTCCCTCTCAACCAACCATGAGCGTTCTGCCCCATCTGACACTAATAATATGGACAGCACTACCAAAGCCCGTACGATCGCAGATCAGGGAAGATCACCTGCAGCCCGTCGGTTCCTGTCGATCGTGCTTTTTAGTGCGCTTCAGGGCTGATTACGCGCTGAAGGCTCTCTGCGCCCCTTATGTGGTCCGCATTCGGCGCGATGAAGGTGCGATACTCCTGAACAACGCGAAGGCGGGTAGATCATTGGTGATGGAATCAAGAGGGACGGTAGTGTCATGTTTCCGCCGGTTGTTTGAGCGGTGTGTTCAAAGTGATTCGTTGCATTCGATGAGCGATATTAGTGTACCCGAAATTTCGAAGCTACGTTTCCTACGTATAACTTGGAAGTGAACGATCTGCATCCGAGATTCTTCTGGTTCGACAACGTGTCGAGGCGGGCGGTGCAGCCGGCGTAACGCCACGGAGGAAAATGGTGGAGTGCATGCCTAGAGTCGAGGTGGAGCAGTCGCGCGAGAAAGTAGGCCAACAGATCAAGATTCCCTTCCGTCTTTGTGGGTTCAAGAAGTTCGTGTCCGCCGGCAATCCATTGATATACTTAGCACTGGTGTGTGGCGGTTTGCGAGCGAATTCCTCGCCCTATCCAGCATTGATAGTCCTAGCAACATTCACTCTAACGTCATAATCGAAATCCTACTCCCCGCTTTTCTAGAAACATGCAAGCCCGTCATGAAGTAGGGATGAAGGAACATACAGCTCCCTCAATCCATCCCCCTCGGCACCGCATACTTGCCCAATTCCTCATCTCCCAACAACCTGTCCATACAACTCGTCTCCAGAACCACGCAGAGTTCAACACCCTCCTCCGGATCCTCCTTTGGCCTCTCCGGAAATACAAACACGTACCCCTCCACATTCGGTTTCGGCCAACGAATCGCCCGCGGCAGCCCGAATCCAAAGTCCTGCGTCGTGTACCCAGACATACCCTGCCACGTCGTGGCCGCGAGGTCCATGCCCAGAAAGGAGTTCAGCTTAAGGCTGATCCAGGCTTTGTTGGGGGTGCCGGCTATCCATGTCGAGGTGTCTTCAATAGTGGAGGGAGAGACGCTTGAGGTGATAGAGGTGCGAACCGCCGCCGCAGCTGAACGAAGGCCGTCGTCGCTGAGGAGGTTTTCGATCGCCAGGCCAGGCTTCGGCAGCATGAGCACGTTGCCAAGATAGCCCGGCGGCAGCGCTGGCTTGACATATCGCCGAAAACCAACAGCGTGAACGAGGTGAGTAGGCGACGATGGATTGGGGTGGAACAGCGGGATGCGAGCTCTCGTAATGGACCGCCACATCATGGCCATGATGGCGTTGTAGTTGGATATCCGGTCCTGGTCCACCGGCTTCGCGTCCGCTCTTAGCCTTTCAAGGGCCGATTTGCTGAAGTGAAGCATGACCTGAGAGATCGGCGGCATGACAAAGTCCTTTGGCGGCGTGGGAGGTGTTTTGACGTGAGCAAGCGCCCCTGTTATGCCTCGTTCCTCAATCTCACGCAATTGCGCCTCGGTTGGCGTTGCTTTCGAGATCAATGGGCTGCGGTCCAGGTTCCGCGCATCGAAGGGGGCTGGACCAGCACCGACAATGACTCTTCGCGTGTTCTCCGCCCAGTTTGTCAACATGCCGTCCGTTCCCGGCGCATCAGAGCAACAATGATGGATCGCGATCCCCAGCACTACCCCTCCTCGGATGAAATTCACCTGCGCGCAGAAGACGACTGAGTCATCCTCCTTTTCCTCGCCCAATGGCGTCAGCGGCTGCTTTTGAGTAAGAGCAGTCGGAAGAAGCGCATCGCCGTCAATTGCATGACATGGGAAGTCCGCTTTCTCAAGTTCTTCGTAGGACGGGAAGGCGTCCTCCATCCAATTCGCGATCAAGTCGACGATGCTCTCGCGGCGCTTTTGGATCCATACCTTTCCCGATTCGGGCGACGTTCGGAGAACGCCGGATAAGGAGCGGTACTGGCTGAGAGTTACCTCAAGGCCTTGTTGAAGATTGCCGATAATGGTCTCGGGAGAGGCTGTCCCTTCTCCCAGCTTGTAGACCAGCGCGATTAGAGTGTAGATTTTGGGAAGACAGTGGTCGTAGTCCGACAGCTCAAACCTCTCAATTGCAGGGTCGTTGGTGTGATCCTTGGGATGGACTTTGATTACCTTTTTATTCGTCATGGTGGTGGTGGTGGAGGAGGCGGTGAAGGAAGCAATGCGTTACCAGCGACGACCATCTTGTCATAGATATTGCTTATATGTAGGAACGGTGAGATCCGCGGTCGAGTTTGAGCGGTAAAGTGTCGTGCTACGTGGGAGCATACGAAATTTGTTGTGGGCCCATGTGGAGTGCCTAGTTGTTAGGCCGAGCGCATCCCTGCCTAGCTTCGTCAACGCGAGGTCTCATGTACGAACTTGGGCAGCCGATGTGGACATGTTTAGTGCTCAAATCTCTCATTAAAAAGCCAGGATTGGCTCAAAGTTACCTTTGTAGGAGTGAGGTACTATGGACCTATGCTTTTGACCTAAACGATTTGGAAAAGATTCTTCCGCTCCTAGTGATGCTCAATAGCCGCCAGCACAGCGCTACCGTGCCTCTTGGCCGGTGGAGGCCTAATCTCCGTCTCCACGTATGGAGCATCGGACCCAGAGAGAAGCGCAAGACACCGCGGCGTAGGCATAGGCTCCATTTCTGCCCAGCGTAATGCTTGGAGTAGGGCCCTCTGGTCCACTTGTTTGGACTTGCGCTCAAGCCACTGACGCCAGTCCTCATTCGGCTCTTTTGCATTTGCAAGCAACTTTTCCACCGCCGCGTAGTCCTTACGCCCTTGGTGGTGCGTCCTCTGCTTGAGATATGGTACGTCTTCGAGAGTAAGATGCTCTTGCTTCTGTGCGTAGGCGAGGGGTGTGAGCCCAGCGAGATCCGCTCCGCGAAAAGGAAACCCTGCTTCGAGTAGCATTTTGGTTGTTTCTAAGTCTCCGTGACCAGCCGCGACATGGAGTACAGTGGTTCCAAAGCGGTACAACTCATAGGTGATTGGTATTAGGCCTGTAGGACACTTCACCATTAGAGCACGCACCAAGTTGTCCACTCGAACGGGATTGCGCGACTGCGAGCGCCGATTCCTAGGCTTTGGAGGCGGGAACAACGCACTTCCCTTCTTCTGCAGCTCTCGCAGTATATCGGCTTGTGGCGATGTTACTGGAAAATAGGGACTCGGATGCGGATTTCCATGCCTGTGGACATCGGTTTCCGCCTTGGTAGCCACAAGACAGAACGTCTTACACTTTAGGTGGTGCCGGATTGCAGTAGCCAGGTGACGGACAACTTCTGCGTCTCCAAGCTCTTTGGCATGGTACCAAAGGATGACGGCAGACTCCGGGAAGCAACGAAGAATGGCAGCCAAGATCTCTTCGCGAAAGTTCAAGGAGGGGTACATTTCCGCAGCTTTCCCTACCCAGTCGTGTAGATCTTCGCGCCCAGGCAGCCAGTGTTCAAGGACAGTCGTGTCCCGAGTCAGCGCCGCAAGATGCACTAAGTCTTTTGGCTTGATGACACGTTCATCCGTCCGTCGCATGTCCCCACCCTTCTCGATCAGCAGTCGCGCCACAGCCCAGCGCTCTTTCGAATAGGCAAAAGCCACGATGGATGGGAATTCGATGATAATATGTGGAGGCTCGTAATCTGAAAACTCAACATTCTTCCATTGCGGCCAGAGGTCATAGTCGACAAAGGGTCTTACAATCTCCGGGCTGTTCGAGAGTATTGCTTCCTCAAAAGCGCGCAGCCTGCTGCTAATAAGATTCCGGTTACGTGCGCCATGCAGTCTCTCACGCGACTTATATTGCTCGAGGAAAAAGCGTATTGCGACAGTATTTTGGGAGGAAACGGCGCATTGCAGGGGCGTCTCGCCGCTCGCGTTCCGGCTGGCCACGTCAGAGGTGAGGTTTCTCGGTTCCGTGGGATCGCAAAGAAGCTGTAAGAGTTCTTGTCTTCCATGTCGTGCAGCTTTGTGGAGCAATATCTCGTGGGTTCCATGTTCTCTACGTAAAGGCGCTCCATCTCTCAGGCACACGCGAACCCCGATTGCATCATTACTCTCGACGCTTTCGAGCAGTGTATTCCACAGCTCCTGTTGCTTCTCCTCTGGAACGCTTGTCGGATCTACTGTATTTGACTCGAGCCCGTCTTCAACCGGAAAGATGAGGCAGTGGTCCACGGGTTGGAGTAAATTGAAGAGTGTCATCGGATGCCGCTGGTACCAATGCAGTGCAGCAGGGTCCTCCGGAATGTTGAATACCTTTTTGGAAGGGTCCTCGCATGCTTTGCGGACGAACTCTCGATTCTTCCATGCCTTTTGTTGAAAAAGACGCCAGTGGACGAAAATAACGTGCGAGAGTGCCGCTATGCAGACGATGAATGGGGCACTCTGTCCCCATTCGCTAATGAGGACGCGACCCTGACTAGCAACGAGGCCAAGCTCGTCCCGAATGATCCCGAGGTAGCGGGAATGAAGAATCATAGTACTGCAGAAGAGAAGATAGCTCGTAGTGACGGTTGCCGGAATTCGTTCCCATCGAGGCCCATACACTCTTCTGCTCTCTTCGTACCTGTTGTGTTCCACCTCATTGAAGATCCTCGTCTGAGAAATGCCCATCCACAGTTGAGCCAGCCATAACACTAGCCGAAAGCTAACGTACAACCAGAGCCTGGAGGGAGCGTGTTGTTGTGAGTGGAAAGCTTCGATCCAGGGAAGGGCCACACTGCAGGGTCCATCGTGATGGTCCGCTATCGTGGCTGCGGACAGGTTCGCCAATGCTAGCGCTTGGACAATGAACGCGAAGAGCTGAATGAAGCCGCTCCACAACACCAGCCACCTTGATGCGAGGACTTCCTTGTCTGAAAACGCCATGGAGATAGAGGCACTGACTGCGTCCATGCATATACAGGCTACAAGGATCTCTTGGAATTTGAGGCTCTCTCGATAGGACTTGGCAACATTGCAAGCAAGGCAGGCAAGATCTGCACCTCGTTAGTACAGCGCTACCAGAAGGGCTTCAACTTACTGTACACCTGCGCGATGCATAGCTCTTTCACGCCGGATGTCTCGCTCTTGACGTGGCCGAGAACCAAGACAAGCGCGATAGCAAAGCAATTGATGAACAGGCCGAGAACCACTCCTATCCCTCCTATATCCGGGTTCATTAGGCTTTCCCGAGCATCTTCGCTGAGTCCGCAGTTGAGGGCATCGTATCTGCGGGGTGTCGGAAGGCTCGAGGAGAAAATTGCAAGCAGCAAGGTGAGTACTGGCACGACACGCAGGGAGAATCGAATCCGGGGCAGTATCCACCGATTGCGGCGCTGGAAGAAGGGGCGGGGTAGGTGTTGCAGCGCAGGCACCAACAGGGCGTATGGGACCCAGAGCGAGAATGTCGACACCGCGAGACTCTGCGCAGTATACATCGTGCTCCGCGCGACTCAAGAGGATGGGTGGTGAGAAACTGCTGTGTGAATTGCTTCAAGAGCCTGGGGTTACGGTGGGAAGAAGCGGTTTCGTGGGGAAGGCTGCCAGCTGAACGCGCTGCGGCTGAGCGATGGCTGGCACTGACGCAAGCGTGCAGCCAGTTTTGCTTCTTTTCGGGCCAACATTAGGGCCGAAGGGAGGAAGAGGCAAGTGATGTGTGCGATGAAGTTATTCGCGTCGATTCATGGCAACGTGCGACGGGAGAGCCCTCCGGATCCTTGTGGACGGTCGGACGTGGCGCTCGGCTGCTTTTGGCTCAACATTCCTTGTCATACCTCGCTCCGCACCTATAGGCGTCCTCACGACATGAAACACCGCTATATCCTTGACAACCCCTTCTTTCTAGCTCACCTCGATTGGCGTGCGTACCAGTCTCCTCCTCCCTCTTAGACCCCTCCAAGCCCTCAGCCTCAAACCAGACTCTTCTACAAATCACCAGACGCCGGGCTTGGAGGCAAGTCATCCGTAGCCCAGTCCGCCGGAGTGCTCCCGAGCACGAATTCCATGGTGCCTCCACTGGCAAAGACATCCTGGTATGTCACCCAAGCTTTAGTCCAATTCTCCCCATTTACCTTCAGGCTCTGCACGTAGTACGCCGAATCCTTGTTCCCACCCGTCGTCGTGATCTCGAGCCTTCTCCCGTTCCCAAGATCGATGGAAAGCTGCGGGAACCATGGAGACAGAACGAGGAATGTCGTTTGGCCGGTCATGGGGTAGAGACCGATCATCTGCCACTGCACAGGGTAAGTCCTGGGCGAGAAGGGGGATGAACAAGAAACAGTATGGTGTCGGACTCACTAGGATATTGCTCTCCATAGCCCCCGCATCCGAATTGCCCGGCAAGCCAGCGGCGCCGCTATTATAGAGCTTGCCGATATCCCTGCTCCGCTGAACGCTCATGTATTGCTTCCCTTTGACGAAGTTATACAGATACGGGCTCGTAAAGCTGGGTTCATTGCCCGCGTTGAAGATCTTGAGATCCCACAGCTTGTTGATCCTATCCACAAACTTGTCATCGCCGCCAATAAACTTCTTCATCGTGTAGACGTCATGAATGGCGTTCAGGCTGTAGACCCACGGATTGTCCTCGTAGTATGCATCGCCCCAGTAGCAGCCGCCGCAGCCCAGAGGGTCTTGCGCGACGAAGGAGCCGTTTGCGAGACGCGGGACGACGAAGCCGCTGTGGTTGTTGGAGGTTGCAGCGGGATTCCAGTGATTGCGCCAGTTTCGCGAGCGGGTGAGATACTTCTGCGCATCCGCGGAATTCCCAAGGCCGCTGGCGACTTGGTAGAGACCGAAATCGTTCGTAGAGTACTCGACGGCTCGGGAGACGGCTCTTGTGAACGCGGGCGTGATGTATCCGTACTTCAGCCAGTCAGGAAGAGCGCCTCGTCCTTCCTTAGTGGAGGAGTCTGGAGCTTTCGGGTCGTGGTTGTTCGGCGGTGTTTCCTCCGCATCGGTCTGCATGGCCGAGAAGCCGTCTTGCCAGTTGATGGCGCCTCTGACGCCCTTGACGTACGCATCCGCAAGCACGTTGTCTTGGTTCGAACCGCCTTGAACACGCCCGTTGTAATTAGAAGAGCGAGCATCGGACATAAACCCGTCGTGCCTCCAGATATCGATGAGGGAGCGGATAAACTCCTCGTAAGCCACGGGTTCGAGGATATGAAAAAGCGCGGTGTGGCATCTATGCGTGTCCCACAGCGTGAAGGAGTCATCATAGTAGGGCTCTGCGCTGCTCCACCCGGGGTTCTCTCCAGTCCGGTTGGAAGGGATCAAGAACATGCCCAGCAGCGAGCTGTACAGGAGCTGCAAATCCGCGTCGCTAGCACCGGAGACCTGGACTTTGGAGAGGACTTGTGCGTTCCACTTGCTCTTCGCGTTATTCATGAGAGATTGCAAGCTAGTTGACTCTTGAATCTCGCGATCGAGGTTTTCGCAGGCCTTGCTTGAAGAAATGAACGAGATGCCGACGCGGGAGGTCAGATTAGTCTGTGTGAATGTAAAGACGCCACCAACACGCTCGGTCCCGGACACGGAAGGCGTGCTATCGTACGAAGATAATGTGGTGCCGGTACCCTTGAAAGTCTTCATGCTTGATGGCTGCTGACTGAATCTGCCGCAAAAGTATATCGTCCAATCGGGAGCTGTGCGGGTCAGAGACTGACAGGCCTTAAGAGGGTGGACTTACAAAGATTCCAGCCGTTATTATAGGTTCCTGATCCTTCGTAATGACCGTCAGAGGAGTAGGTAAAATTACCTCCTGAATAATGCTGTTCCCAACCAAGGCCTCTAAAACTCGGCAACACATGAGAAACATCGACTACTACGGACGAGGAGCTGCCGCTTGGGAATGAATACTGATACAGACCGGCATGCTCCATTGCGGCCAACTCTACCGTGACGCCGCTCGTAAGCGAAGACTTGTAGTAACCAATCTGGCCCTGATCTGCGGCAGCCCTTCCTTGAGATAGGTCGGCTAAGGGATTCGACACATTCCCGACGACTGGCATTTGCGATACAACGCCATATCTGGAAGGCGGTCGTTAGCATGCTTTCGCGATCAATGGAGCTGGATACTATACTTAGGCGCGCCTCCAGTTCCAGATTCATGCATCATGCTGAAGCCCCAGATATTGCCGCTGGGCAGATATCCAGAGTAGGCGTCGGTGGTTCCCGACTGCACATCCGGTCCAAGCTTGACCATAGCAAAGGGAGCTACAAATATTAGATATTGCCATGGTGAGAGAATCGCACAACCGACCAGCGACTACCCCGGGAAACCTATTTCCTCCGCCCGTTGTGCCCATGCTATTTCCTTTTTTAGAATTTTTAACTTTAAAATGGGGCAGAATTACTTACAAGACGTTGACATAGTTCGTGTAGTCAGCTTGGGCAGCCACGCTTCTACCGCATGCTGAAGCCACAAGACATATTGTAGTCTGTAGTGAGAAGTGCATTCTCATTGCAGAATTCTATCGTGACAGCTCGGGCTTGCAGTGGGGGATTTGTACATAAAGCCGCTTCTGTCCCCGTACCATGCGTATTTCAGCGCACGGGAAGAAAGTACGCGCCTGTATCAACCAATGTTCGGGTCTGGCGTGCTGTGGTACGCCAAGGGAAGACGTGATGCATGTACCTCCGGAGACCTTGATCTTTCCTGTCACTCTGCGCGCTGAGCCTCGAATGCCACAAAGAGGAAGAAAAAGAGAGGAGAATAAAGATAAGATTTTACGAAAGGTGAAGCCACCTATAAGGAATGTGTTCTCGAGGAGCCTAAAACATTCCTCAAGAATGAGCGAGTGACCTGCCAATAAGCAGGGAGGACTGTAGCATGACCTGAATACATGACAGGGGTTCAAAGACAGTGATGAAATAGGTGGAGGACCTAACAAAATCCAAGGCTAGCTTGACGTTGAGTAGAGAACCGTTGGTACTTAAAGCCTTACCGAATGTCCATGACCGCAGGCCTCGAAGGTGGTCAGGGGGGGTTGACAGTAAATTGCATCGCAGCTACGACGCACGTGGAGTGCAAGGCTGGTTGAGTCGGTACATGTCACATTAGGATCGCCGGCTAAAACAAGTACTCCAGAGGGAGTGGAGAGCTGCAGTTCGAAAGCGCGGTCAAGGGTTTAGCGTGTCTCTCCTGCCAGTTTCGTCCTGTTTGCGAGCATGGTCCCGGACAAAACGGTATATTGAGTATCGTCCGCGGCGCTTTTAAGAGTATGTTCCGGGAGTGTGCGACCAGGGGAAGTCCGCCAGGCCGAGATAGGAAGGAAGCACTATTGACTGGACCTTACCAGCCAATCAAAATGCTTCAAATTGCACGAGGCCCAAGCTCAATCGCGAGAGGTGAATAGGGGATGATAGAGAAAGGAGCATACACCCGGTGAAGGATCGCACGGCAATGATGTCGGGCGCGGCGAGCAACGATTATTGTTATCCGATTTGAAAGGTGTTCGATTCCGTGGTGTCGCTCCTGGGTAATGCTTGCAGCTACACTTTCAAGCTCATAGGCTAAAGCACTGTCAGTGTGGAAAAATAATTAACAAAATATCTTTCAAATGCTCGCATTCGAATTGCCGCAACAGATTCATTTGCGCGCTCTTTTCGGAGTATATGCGTTCAGATGAGCCGCTGAATGCGCCGGATTGCCGTACGGTGTCGCACATGATCCTGATCAGAAGACAAGCGGCGCAGGACTTCTCCAAATGATCACCCACGGGAAAGCTGAGGTTTTCAACTTGAGACGCAATGATAGATAGGCCTCTGGATTCTCTATGCGAAAATAGAGTAATCTCCTAGCTCTTTCCCCAACCCTGGAGGTTATGGACTATGGGGTTCCTTCCACCGCGGGTGATTATCCACTTGACTTCGTCGTCGCTATCATTAACTTCTTGATGTTCAGCATACGCGGGTATAAGCGCGAAGTCGCCGGGCGACAGTTCTTGTCTCTTCGAGCCGTCTGGTCCCCAGACGATGGCGCCGTGGCCGCTTGCAGCGTAGACGATTGTGTCTAGATGTGGATCAGATGGAAGCTCAGACTGGTGTGTGGGACGTTATCGCGAGGAAGTGGTTCGGGGCGAACGGCGTAGAGCAGGTTGGGAATTCTCAGGTAGCGTACCCTCTTCCCCATGGTGGTGGACAGCGGACGCGGTATGCGGCTTCGCGACCATGACTGGAGCATTTAGTCCTCGGTACTTCAGATGCCTTTCTTTCTCTCGGGGCTCACCAGTGCCGCAAATCTGATTAGACATGTCCGTGATAGCGTTCATTCTAATCATTCCCTCGGTTTGCGCCCCGCTTGCGGCATTGATCTCCGAGCCTTTCTTGATCTGTACTTCGCCCGGCATGGTCAGTTTGGGATGAAGGTTTTACGATTGCGGTGAGTTGCGATAGTGGTGGTGTAAGTGTGCGGCCAACTGAAGCTCTTGGGATCATGATGAGCTAATCGCAGACGCGAAGTCATGCTTTTGGCGAGAACCGCGCCAGTCCTTGAAAGCAGTCGAAGTACGATGCCAAATGGTCGGCATATTCAGGGACAACGGGCCTCCGCACTTCCGGCACGTTGTCGAGCATGCAGCCGAATAATGTCAGCGCGAATGATGGCTTGTGAAGACGCAAGCGGACACGTGCTCCCCCTTTGGGCAACGAGCCTCGGCACGCCCGCAAATGACGTCGGTCATCCCAGCACCCTTCAAAGAAGCAGCTCAGCCGTCGCCGCCGAGGCAGCCAATTGCGGCGCCCCAAAAGCGCTCACGAGATCACAGGGCCATGACCACATCACCCCGAGTTTACTCCACACGCTTTCTGCGGCTCCAGACCGTCAGATGTCGCGCTCAAGGCACGCCTGCTTGGCACAGCCGTCTGGCATGTGAAAGTAAACCGAGACCCGCGGCGGCGAGCTATTATAATCCTCGGCTAGCATTGTCTTCATTGTAACATCGACCTGTACCATTACTCTTCGTTTTCCTTTGCTTCTTCATTTGCAGCGCCGTCACCATGGCTCAGCGGTTTTCTACCGCCGACGTGGCGTCACACAACAAGGCCGACAACCTCTGGATCATCGTCGACGAGGATGTGTACGATCTGACCAAGTTCCAGGACGAGCATCCAGGAGGGAAGAAGAGTGAGTGCTGGCGACAATGTGTGGAGGGCCTCTGGTACTAATGCACCTCCAGTCCTCCAGCGCGTGGCTGGCAAGGATGCGTCCAAGCAGTTCTGGAAGTATCACAATGAGAGCATTCTCAAGAAGTACCAGAAGCAGCTCCAGGTCGGTTCATTAAACACCAAGGCCGCGCCGCCGACTCCCCCCGCGACACCACCTCCCCAGAAGAAGGAGAAGGAGGTCGTCAAGCCCTCGGCCGAGCCTGGAGTCGTTGCTCCTCAGCCAAGCGCAGCAGCCGAGGAAGCAGAGGCGATGGATCCTTTTGGAGACCTCATTCCTTATGCCGATCCATCATGGTATCAATCCGTGAGTTTATCCACCAAATTTACATAGCTATGGCTAACATGGAGCCTGCAGTACCACTCGCCCTACTTCAACGAGTCCCACGCCGCCCTCCGTGAAGAAGTCAGACAATGGGTGGAGGACGAGATCATGCCGAACGTTACTGAATGGGACGAGGCAAAGAAGGTGCCGGACGAGATCTATAAGCAGATGGGCGAGCGAGGTTATCTTGCTGGGCTGCTCGGCATGCATTATCCTACACATCTGACGGACAAGCGCGTGAAGAGCGTGCCACCGGAGCAATGGGATCTCTTCCACGAGATGCTTCTGACTGATGAACTTTCACGCGCGGGCAGCGGAGGCCTTGTCTGGAATCTCATCGGCGGTTACGGTATTGGCGCTCCACCAGTTTTCAAATTCGGCAAGAAGGAACTCGTCAAGCGCATCGGTCCTGAACTCCTCAGCGGCGAGAAGCGCATCTGCCTTGCCATTACTGAGCCTGGTGAGTACTCCGCAAACGGCTTGAGAAAGCTTGCACTAACATAGCACAGACGCTGGTTCCGATGTCGCCAATCTAACCTGTGAAGCCAAGCTTTCTGAAGACGGCAAGCACTACATCGTCAACGGCGAGAAGAAATGGATCACCAACGGTATCTGGTGCGACTACTTCACAACCGCCGTGCGCACCGGCGGGCCCGGCATGAACGGCGTCTCGGTCCTGCTCATCGAGCGCAGCGCGGGCGGCGTATCGACGCGCAAGATGGACTGCCAGGGCGTCTGGTCCAGCGGCACCACGTACATCACCTTCGAAGACGTCAAGGTGCCCGTGGAGAACCTGATCGGCAAGGAGAACCAGGGCTTCAAGGTGGTCATGACCAACTTCAACCACGAGCGCATCGGCATCATCATCCAGTGCGTCCGCTTCTCGCGCGTCTGCTACGAGGAGGCCATCAAGTACGCGCACAAGCGCAAGACCTTCGGCAAGCGCCTCATCGACCACCCCGTCATCCGCCTCAAGCTCGCCCACATGGCCCGCCAGATCGAGGCCTCGTACAACTGGCTCGAGAACCTCATCTTCCAGTGCCAGAGAATGGGCGAGATGGAGGCCATGTTGAAGCTCGGTGGCGCTATTGCCAGCTTGAAGGCCCAGAGCACTACTACGTTTGAGTTCTGCGCTAGGGAAGCGAGTCAGATCTTTGGCGGCCTGAGCTATAGCCGTGGTGGCCAGGGAGCAAAGGTCGAGAGGCTGTATAGGGATGTCAGGGCTTATGCTATCCCGGGTGGAAGCGAGGAGATTATGCTGGATTTGAGTATTAGGCAGGCGCTCCGGGTGCATAAAGCGCTTGGCATGAAGCTGTGAGATGTATATTGTATATGTGGTCAGTGTGGGATGGGGGTTTAGGGTCGCTTCTTGCATTGGGATGCACTCTGTTTTAGTACAAAATAGAATACAGTATCTCGCAGTTTACCTCACCTCATCCACACTGACCAGCCCCTCTCAAAAACGTGTCGTGAAATATTCAAAGGCGGCGAAGATTTCGATTCGATATCTCCAGCACCTACAAGATAGTCATTCATAGCCGAAGCCGCCTCACCCTTACGCAAACAACAAACTTCTAGCCCCTCGAAAACCTCGTCAATCTTCCCCTCTTAGGCGTACGATCAATATTCATCCACGACAGCAGCCAGTCCTCATAGCCCAACTCGCTATCACTATCCCCCTGCGACCCCCCCTCTCCGCCCTCTCCGCCATCCCCCCAGAAGAGGTGGCTCAGTCCGCGCCACCAGTCGTGCATCCAGCCGTGCCGTGGTCTACGACGAGGCCCGCCGAGCTCAGACTCCAACATACTTTCCTCCGCTGTGTCGTCGTCGCTCGCAGAGTAGTAACCATCGCTTGTGAACCAAGGCGGATACACAGTCGACGTGACAGTGGCCCGTACGTCGCATTCAGGAACCGTGGGCGTCGGCGGTGCAGGCTCGTCATCGTCGGTGGCGTCTTTCTCCGACGAGGAGGTCCACGCGCAGCTGCAGTCTTCTCCGTCGTCATTACTCCCGTCTTCGTCGCCGCTGCCATCCCAGTAATCGCTACCATCGCTATCGACGCCATCACCGCCCTCGCTCGGATCCGGCCACGGATACGGCAAATACGGTCTCGGTCTTGGTCGGTCGGGCTTTGGAGCTGGCGATGGAATGGAAGGGGCAATACCCTCGTCAGCGGGAGTGGGGGGAGTGGAGATCGGAGGCTGGGATGTGCTGCTTTGGCTGCTGAGAGTTTCTGGGTTTCCGTTATTTTCGCCTGGGGGCGGAGCAGGACGCGTTGGAATGTCAGGCGCTCTCGGTGCGGAAGTAGTAGGTCCGTTAAGCGGTGGCGCTACCTCCGTCGGCGCAGCAGAGTTCGTGCGAGGCGGCGGGGTGGGCTGGCTTACGGGTGAGGTATGCTCGGGCTGATTGGGAGGGTTCGGAGTCCCAGGCACGTTTGGTCTCGACGGGGTCTCTAATACCTCGATCAACGTGGCTGAGGAGCTCTCGACTGAAGAGGGAGGTCTTGGTATAGGGATTCCGGGGATTTCGCTGCTTGGAGCTGCGCTTGGCGCGTTTGGATTGTGCGGTGACGTTTCCGGGATGGGATTAGTGGGAGGATTAGGGAAAACTGGCGTTCTTGAAGGCAGTGACGACGCGCTGGACTGGACTGGCGGATTCGGCTCTGAGATGGAAGCCTGTGGCGGTGTAGATAGGATAGGCGATGAGCTTTCAGATTCGCAGAGCCCATATTCGGACATGCATCCGGCACCGCAAGATTCAGAACCGTCGCCACTGCAATGCACATTAGCTGGGCTCAAGGGGCTTCGTTATGAGACGAATGCACTTACCAGATACCGCTCCTGCCGCAACACTGCCCAAAGTTACTACTCAGACATGTGTAGCCAAAGAAGCTGCCACAGAGTCCATTGGGTGAGACGCGAAGGACTGGCCTCGGGAATGAGAGTGATGATGTCGCTGAAGGTGAGCTGGCTCCAGGTCTTCTCGTATCCGCGGTACTGGCACTTGAAGGTCCCACAGTGGTCGGAGAATTTTGCGCGGGGCCATTAGAGGATTCCGAGGCCGGAGACGAAGCCAAGGGAAGGACGGGTGCGTTCAAGTTCGTTGAAGTAGAACCGCTCGTATAGGCTGAGCCTGTGGTGGAGTAAGGCACGCCTCCAACAACGGCGGATTGCGAAGTTTGTGGAATAATTGACTGTCTTTGCGTGCTTAGAGGAGATGGCATGCCCTCTGTGCCTGGCTGTGAAGACAATGCGGTAGTGGACTGACCGGAGGGCGCTACGCTTCGTTTCAACATCGCACAGTAACCACTCGCTACTTGCGAGGCTCCAATGGTGCTCTTGAGCGAACACATGCCCAATAGCGGATTATACACGATGGCGACACAAAGCGGGTTGGCGATACAACGCTGAACGCATTGCCCAAAATTCATGAGGAGAAGTTGCTGCATGTCGCCGAGTGGATGGTTCGTGCCGCATTGTGCTTCATAGGTTGAAGACGAGGAGGTGTATTCTTGCCCTGCTGTCACACCGCAGCATGTTCTCGGGGCCTGCGATGGAGTAGGCGTACTGCTTACTGGTTGCGTAGTCCTTGCTGGAGAGTTGGTCGTGGAAGGTTGAACAACGGGACTTGACGTTCGCGAGATCGAGAGTCCGCTAATTGCAGGACTGGTGCTCGAAGACGCGCTGCTAGAGGTTGCGAGTGCAGTGTTTGCGGGAGAGGCGATCTGACTGGAGGACGGGTTTGTGCGCAGCGAGGATTGAGTACTGGTTTGAGCAGTGGGAAGCGGGGACGTGGTTGAACGAGCTGTTGTTAACGGAGAAGCAGCGCCGCTATCATCGCTCGTCAAGATAGTAGAACTTGCACCGATAGAGGCAGAATTTGGCGATAGTGCTGCCGCAGAAGACGAGCCAATACTTGACGATGTGCTTGAAGTCGAAGGTATGAGGAAGTCCAGTAGATCTAAGATGTTGGGAGCACGAGCCGAAGTCGTTTGCGCGGGAGTTGATCCAGGCATCGGAGAGAGAGATATGCCCATACTATTGCTCGACGATGGACCGCCAGGCATTACAACTGGGCTTCCCGTGCTCGAAGAGCGACAAGAAGGTCCTGGGCATAAGCCCTCGAGTAGCCCTAACGATAGGCTGAGATCTAAAAGTGGAGGCAGTGCTGGCGGTGAAGTTGCTGCGGAGATGACAGAGGTCGTCCAAGGGCTTGATGTGCTGGAATGACAGGATGGGCCTGGGCATAAACCGTCAAGTATCCCAAGCGAAAGATTGACGTCTATGAAGGGAGGCAGCCGTTGCGAAGATGTCACTGGACGGGTAGATAAGATTGTCAACAGGCTCGACGTGGCCCTCGCGGAGGATGACGTTTCCTGGGATAGAGTGGTCGAAGAGCTCTGCGGCCACTGGGATGTCTGAGATGCGGTACCGAGCAAGGTCGACGTAATCCTGTCGGAACTACTTGGACCTGCGGATGTGCTTGAAGGGAGACAAGATGGCCCTGGACATAAACCATCCAAAATCCCCAGAGAAAGGCTGATATCAATGAGAGGAGGCACAGCAGCTCGAGAAGCAGAGGCTGAAGGCCGTGTCGTGATGCTCAAGCTCGAGAGCATGCTGCCCCCGGACGTAGTCGTGGGGGCTAATGAGGAACCGAGACCAGAAGAGCTAATTATCGATGGGCTCAATGTCGTAGGTGCCGTAGAAGCTGGTGCATTCGTTGTGCTCGAAGAACGACAAAACGGTCCTGAACATAGGGTTTCCAGTACTCCAAGCGACAAATTGATGTCGATAAGCGGGCCCCTAGTCGAAGATGAAGAAATGGAAGAGAAAGAGGCAAATGTGGCACTCGATCGTGTAGCCGAAAGCTGTAATTCAGATGAGGTCCAAGCTAGTGACCCACTCGCTCGGCTTGTAGTGCTCGAAGAGCGACAAGAGGTTCCTGGACATAAATTCTCCAATATTCCAAGCGATAAATTGATGTCGATCAAAGGCAGGGTGGTAGCCGAAGGTGACGATATTACGGGGAAAGAGCTGATTGACGGATTAGCCCGTGCCGTCGAAGTGCTTGATGTAAACGACGAAGGAGAGCCCGGTAATATTGTAGTCCCGATCGAACTTGAAGAACGACAAGAAGGGCCCGGGCAAAGACCCTCAAGCAATCCAAGAGAAAGGTTAATATCGACAAGAGGCGGGTTCGTACTTGTGATAGTTGAGACGATTGCTGTTGCTTGAGGTACGGTTGTCGTCGAGGGGGGCTGCGGGATGGCTGAGGAAGTGGCAACTGGCAAGCCATTTACGCTACCTGGGCTTGAGGAACGGCAGAATGGCCCCGGGCATAAGCCCTCTAGCAGCCCGAGCGATAAGCTCACGTCGATCAGAGGCCTAGGCTGCGTACTAGGTGGGGTCGGAGATAGAAGAGAGGAAGTTCCTGAGATGGGCACCCATCCGCTGCTCGCTGAGATTACGCTCGAAGCAAGTGGCCCACTCGATCTAAGTGTGCTCGAAGATGCACAAGATGGCCCAGGGCAGAGACCATCGAGCAAGCCAAGAGACAGATTGATATCAATGAGAGGCGGATTTGTGCTCGTTGTCCTAGTCTGAGTGATTACTGTATGCGAAGACTCTGGCGGGGTTGAAACGGGCGTGCTATCGGAAGAGGATATTCCGGAGGGCGAAAACGAAGTCGTTGCTAGTGTGCTAGAAGTCGATACTCCCGAGACGCTACCGCCTGACGGAGAAGACACTTGGCTGACAAGGGTGCTAGGAGAAGAGGTCCGCTGCCCCAGGAGGCCCAGAGACAAGTTAATGTCGATGAAGGGTGGTGGTGGGGTAGAAACTTGGCGCGATGTTGCTGGAGATATTTCTTGGCTTGTCGTGGCTGTTAACGACACTGACGGGGAGAGCATTGCGGTAGTTCCCCCGCTCAATGAAGCCGATGGAGATGTACTGCGACAAGACGGACCTGGACACAAGCCTTCGAGTAATCCAAACGATAGGTTAACGTCTATTAGCGGGGGATCCGTCCTCGCAGTCGTTGATGAGCTAACTGCAATAGAAGGGGCGATGGCTGTCGTGGTTAGACTGGTAATAGAGGCGTAGGAACCCGAAAGCGAAGTTGGTGTGCTCGCTCCAATTGGGGTTGATGAGTAGCATGACGGGCCTGGGCACAAGCCTTCAAGGAGCCCGAGTGACAAGCTAAGGTCTATGAGTGGTTGGGTGCGCGTCGTTGGCGGGCTTGCAGAGGTAACAATACCTGGATTCAGGCTAATGATCGACGTTGAAGATACCGGCAGGGACACGATTGGACGGGAAACGAAAGTGCTCCCCTTATCTGTATTCGAAGAGCGACAAAACGGTCCCGGACACAACCCTTCAAGCAATCCCAAGCTCAGGCTGATATCTATAAGTGGCGGGTTCACGCTCGGCGTCGACGAAGGGTTTGGGTTGCCGGAAGAGAACAATGTGGTGAGGGCCGGATTACTAACGGACACTGATTGGCTAGGAATATAGGAGCTCGACGAATGAATGGGCTCGGTCGCGCCAATTGTGCTAGAACGGCAGGATGGCCCTGGACATAAGCCTTCCAGCAATCCTGAGCTCAAGTTCACATCGAGGAGTGGCGGATTCCGGGTGGAGGTGGTCGATGGGGTAGGGCCGCTGGAGCTTAGAGGGCGAGTCGGTGACGAGAGCGTCGAAGTTTGAAAGCTGGACGAGACGACCGATGTACTTGTTCCAATCGCAGTCAACCGGCAAGAGGGCCCTGGGCACAAGCCCTCAAGCAAACCCAAGCTAAGGTTGAGGTCTACGAGAGGCCGGGTCTCTTGTATGCTTGGAGCAGGGCTGGGGCCGCTGACGGAGCGGAGAGTACTGCTTCCTGGGGTCGTCGTTGGCGGTATCGTTAACGAAGGAGAAACAGTCGAAGAACTGCAAGATGGTCCTGGACACGGAAACTCAAGTAATCCGAGGCTTAGGTTTATATCTACGAGAGGCGGGTTTCCATTCGATGTGGACGCTGGTTGAATGGAATTCTGGGAACCAGAACTGGTGGTTCCGGCGCTGGATAGCGGCAGATCCGATATGGAAGGAAGAGCAAAAGAAGTTCTGCATGAGGGTCCTGGACATAAGCCCTCGAGTAAATCTAAGCTCAAGCCGATATCTATCAGCGGAGAATCCGCCCTTAGTGTCGACGATGGCTGAAGCGAGCTGGGAGTAGTGAAATCCAAGTTTGTGGGCTCTGGAATAGGGATTGAAGCTGAGGACCCTGGCGAGAGGGGTGCCGTACCGGTAGATATGCCCGTTGCCGAAGAGGATAGTACGAGCCCGCTTGATACACCAAGAACAGATAATAACTGGGCGAGGTCTATGATGGGGCGTTCGCTCGGCTGGACAGGTACTACGATGGGAATACTGGACACTTGGCTGTGTGTTGCTGTACTGGTGATTGAAGGCTCCGATGCTTCGCTAGAGGGAATCCTCGTAGACGAAGAAACTACGAATCCACTGGATGTAGACGGCGATGCTTGCACTACCCCTAAAGCCGATAGCAGCGCCCCAAGATCTATATTGGCCTGTCCGCTTGCCTGGCTCATCGTTGTGAAAGGACTCAAGAAGGTGCTCGATGCTGTAGTAGCGGAAGCTGCGGGAGGTAATGGCACACATTCGCCGCCCAGTATGTCTAGACATAGGCTAGCTTCAATGAGTGGCTTTAAGGTGGACGAAGAAGACGGTAGGGCTGTCGAAGCGTTTGTTACGGACGGTGAGGGTGTGATCCCACCCGTTGTAGACAATGATGCTTGTGCTCCAACGAGAAGTGATAATATAGGACCGATATTCGGAAGAGGCACTCCACTTAACTGGCCTTGTGCATCGGATTCGGAAGTAGCACCGCTTGCGCTCGACGATGAGGCTAGTGAACTACTGGGCGTGAGACTTGCTGTGGGAGATTCAAGCAATCCGCCTAGAATGTTGAGGAGACCGCCTAAGTCAATGTCAGGTTTGCTAGTCGATAAGCTTGAAGGTTGTAGGTTGATAGTCGAGCTTGCATTCTGATTTGAAAGCTCCAGAGCCATCGTAATCGTGAGCATCTGGCCCAACGAAGGCGGGGAGGCTATTGTAGGCTGGCCACCCAAAGCTAGGCTGAGGTCTAAGAGGTTTGGCTTTGTGGTCCCTCCACCTAGAATATCCAGACCAAGAGATAGAATCCCCAGATCCAACGAAGCGCCTAACAAGGGTCCACCCAAACTCGCAAGCGGAGTAGTCGTCGCAGTGTTGGTCGTTTGAGCAAGTGATGGTGATGAACCGGTCGAAGTTGTAGCAGGGAGACTTATTTCGAGATCCGCGCTGGCGCCAACAAGTGGTTGATTGGTCGGTACAAGGGCTTGATTAGATATTGCTCCATTCAGGAGATCCAATAATCCGCTGAGTAAGTCGATGTTTGCTGCTGTCGAGGTGGCTGAAGGCGATGCAGAAAGGGCTAAGCTGACGTCTAAGCTTGCTTCGATCAGCGGCCGACCGGGCGATGCAGACACCTGCGAGCTCGATTGAGGGAAAGAAGCATCTGTTGATGCCACCCCTGTGATCGCTGACAAGGTCGTGGAGCTTCGGACGAGGATTGGCAGACCTGAGAGCAGACCACCGACGAGATCCGCTGCGCCACTGGTTGTTGTCACATCTGCACTGGCGGTCTCTGTCGGTGTTTGACTTTCAAGAACCCCTCCAAGGTTGGACAGCAGATTTTCCAAAACTCCTGGGGCAATGCTGGCGTCCAACGAGTTCACGGTTGTCGGTTCTGCCGATGGTGATTGGCTGAGTATTCCAAGACCCGAGAGTATGCCGCCTAGGGGATTAGGTTCGCCGCTGGGCTCCGGATGGCTTTGGTTGATTGACTCTATTGGTATTGGGGGTCTAGTTGTGATCCCAAGACTAGAGATGAGGCCACCCAAAACATCTTCGATACCAGCAGCCTCCGTGGGGCTTGGTGTGGGCGAATCCGATGGTGTCGGTGGTGGCGTCAAGTCTAATCCGAGGAACGAGAATACACCACTCAGGAGATCAGGTGTAGCATTGGCTTCTGCAGAGCTCGGTATGGTGGATTCCGTTGGCGTCGGGCTCAAGTCCAGTATTCCAAAACCGGACAGTAGTCCATGCAGTCCATCTAAGACATTCTCGGTGGCGAGAGCTGCCGTTGAGCTGGCGTCATTTGAATCCGTCTGGGTAGGGCCACTAAGGAGGGTTGCAAGGTTCGATATGAGACCGTCTAAGGGATTGATGGTGCTGCTCACCGGAGTAACGCTTAGGGCAGGAGAGTCCGTTGTCGTTAATTGTGGGATATTAATACCAAGGCCCGAAAGCACACCATCTAAAAGATTGATCGCGCTGCTCGCTTCTGGAGAGTCGGAGGCAGAACCCACGCTTTCGACGGATGCAAGGGCTGAAATCAAACCATCCAAGACGTACCCTGGGGCGATGGTCGGAGTGCTAAGCGCCGGTGTGCTAGAAGTACGGTTTCCGACCCCTCCAAGAGCCGAAAGTACCTCATCCAAGATGTTTGCTAGAGTCGCAGTCGGCGAGCTGACTGAAGGGGAATCTGTCGTAAAGTTTGGGGTAGCTTGAAGTGCAGAAAGCAAACCTTCAAGTATGGTCACTGGGACCGTGGTCGGGGAGCCCGGTATGGGGTTAGAGGTACGGGCCAGAGCGCCTATTCCAAGCACAGAGAGTAGATCTCCCAAGACGTCTTCAGGAAGCACGGTAGTAGTAGGCCGCGGAAGTGACGCATTGAGAATAAGTGGGACCTCAAGCGACAGGGAAATCCCAGTGTCCGCGCTGATACTCACAAGAGGGTTTGCCGGGACAAGGGGAAGACCGGGGAGGAAAGGCGTGACACTCGCGGGTATCGAAGTCTCGGTCGTGGAAGGACTGGTTCTATCCATACCAAGGGCTGAAAGTAGGTTGCCAAGGAGCTCGCCAGGCACCGCTGTAGAGCTCGGCGGTGGAGATTGTATGCTGATAATTGACGGAATTTTTGTGGAGAGGGACAGATCAATCTCCACACTCACGTCCCCAACCGACAACCCAGAGTTAAGGGAAGGTGCCGGTATAGGAGACGTTATAAGCGGAGTCGATGTACTTGCTATTGTTAAGCTGGCGGCCTGAATTCCTAGAACGGAGAGCAGATTACCCAGGAGATTACCTGGAGCTGTTGTGCTTGAAGAATGGCAAGAGGTACCACGGCACAAGCCTTCAAGCAATTCGAGCGACAAGCTAACATCCACAAAGGGTGTATTGGTGACTAAAGTCGTAATCGGAGGTATAGAGCTTGAAGGATGGCAAGACGGGCCGGGACACAGACCCTCCAGCAGACCTAGGGATAGGCTGACATCAAGTAGAGGTTCATCGCTGGTTGGTGTTGCAGCCGGAACTGTGGTGCCTGAAGAGTTGCAAGACGGCCCAGGACACAAGCCCTCAAGTAATCGAAGCGATACATCAGCGTCAAGAAGTGGTGGTCTGCTGGTTGATGTGGCAATCGAAATAGCCGTGCTCTGCGCATGACAAGATGGTCCTGGACACGAACCTTCGAGCAAGCCAAGCGATAAACTGGCGTCAAGCAGAGGCAGATTGCTGGCCGATATAGTATCTGCAGCTGGCGTAGGATTCGGGATCGCTGGCACCGGGACGTTGATGATCGGTGGAAGCCCCAAGGAGAAAGAAAGGCTAGCATCCACAAGAGGTTCGGTAAAAGTGGGCAAAGGCATTGGGTGTACAGGCGTGAGAATGGCTGGGGCCAGAGAAGTGGTCGAAACGAAGCTCTGATCATTTAATCCGAGAGCGGAAAGGAAATCTTCGACAATATGTGCTGCAAGTGTGGGTGTTGCTGATGGCGAGGTGGATGCGATTGTCGGACTTCCGCTGACTATGCCCAAAGCTGAGAGCAGGCCACTTAGGAGATCTTCTGTCATAGCAGTAGCCGTACTACTTGACTGTGGCGAAGGATTGGGTATATTAAGCATAGGTCCTGTTCCAAGAGATATTCCAGCACTCACATTGACATCGAACAAGGGCTCTCCTGTGCTCAGCGTAGGTAGTGGAAGCAGAGACTCTACGACTGGAGGCTCGGCAGGCTCACTCGTCGCCGAATTTCCTGACGTTCCTCCAAGGCCCGAGAGAAGGTCACCTAAAAGTCCTCCAAGGCTACTTGCATCGGGGGCCGTTGGTAGAGGCTCTGTGCTCTTTGTGGTAGTGAGAGAGACCATTGAGATTCCTAAGCTAGAAAGCAAACTGTCCAAGGCGTCCTGAAGGTGGCCAGTTCCGGTAACACTCGGTCGAGGTTGAGTTGACTGCGCCGTCGTACTCTCTTCGCCTATTCCGAGACCTGAAAGCAGGCCTTCAAGAATATCCTCTACACCATCGGCATTCGTAGGAGCTACTGTTAGACTTGGCGAACCAGTAGTCAGGGGGACCCCGACATTTGAAACCAGATTGCTCAAAATGTCAGTGATAATACTGGCGTCTACGGTGCTTGGCAATGGTCCCGGAAGACTGGTCAACAGCGGACCACCTGTCTCCAATCCAAGACCTGAAAGCATTTCGCTCAACGCAGCTCCCACGACATTAGGCCCTGTCATAGCAGGCGGTAGGCTCGGTGTGCTCGGAGTCACTGTCGGCTCGGAACCTACTCCCAAATCTGAGAGCAAACCCCCAAGGAGATCGACGACGCTGCTAATCTCTAAGGAACTCGGCTGTGGTATCGTAGGAATCATCGCAGGAGTTTTGCCTCCTAATCCTAAGGCTGAGAGCAGGCCGTTTAAAGGGTTTGGTGCAACGCTTTGAGTGCTTGCCAATGGCATGGGTGACGTCGCGGAAGGCGTAGCGCCCAGCGATAGCCCTAGTTCCAAGCTTGCTTCAATAAGAGGTTCTTCTACGCTGATGGGCGGAATATCAATCGCAGGCTTCGTAATCGATGGTAAGCTAGGAAGTCCGAGACTCAGTTGCGCGCTGATGTCCGCCAAGACATCACTCGTAGCCTCCGGTGATTCGCTCTCCAGGGTTGACGGCGTTGGTGTATTGCCAAAGGGAGACAGTAGGCCAGAAAGAACATCTATCAGCGGATTGCCGCCGCCGGATAAGGTAGGGCTCGGTAGAGGCGTAGGTAAGGGCAGCGATAAGCCACCGACAGAAAGACTAGCATCTATACTCCCCGCTAATAGAGGCTCTTCGGACGACGGCACGATCAAGCTGAGAGTTTGTGAAGAAGCTGGCGTTGGAGGAGTACTTCCGAGCCCGAGCAGCGAAAAGATGCCGATCAGAATACCAGCTTCGACACTACCCGTGGATGTCGGCGTAGCAGCGCCGAGAGAGAGCAAATCAAGGCCCACGCTCAGCAAAGGAGATGATGTCGGTCCAAGACCCAGGTTTACTCCAAGAAGAGGGTTCGTGACCAAGGATGCGCCAACAGCAATGTTTATGGCAGGCGGGATAGCATCCACTTGGGACGTTCCTGTAAACGTGGTCGGGGATATACTCTCAGGAAAGGTCGTCCCGTCCGATGCTGGCAACGCTGGCGCCGCCAGTGATTCAGCCCCGGTGGATGATGCCTCAGACCCGGCTCCAATTCCGATACTCAGACTGGCTTCAACGAGTGGACTGCTAGTCGGAAGAGGGAGTACGTTGTCTGATGGCACTGCTTCCGATGTAGGTCTTGGCCACTCAAAGCCGGAGAACGGTTGGATCGAAGGGACATCTAGGCCTAAACGTAGAGAAGCGCTCAAACCCAACAGACCATTGTTGCCGGACGGGATTACGTTTGAGAGGGAGGACGCTTGTTGAGAGGTAGGGCTACCGAGACCGAGGGCCAGGAGAGCGCTGAGTCCAACAAAAGGATCCGCATTCGGCGCTGGGGAGGCAGAGAAAGTTACCTCGGAGGTGATTGACGGGAAAGTCTCTGAAATTGAGCTCGTGGTCGACGTAATGGCACCGCCAAGCCTAAGTACGTTCAATAATCCACCAAGGAGACCCTGTTCCGTTGCCAGTAGACTGGATGTCGGTCGTTCAGAACTGCTAGCACTTGTTGACGGCAAGGCAGCCGATAGCGATGTCGATGTCGAAGCCGCAACCCCGTCTATTCCCAGTCCCAGATCCAAACTCGCCGCTATCAAAGGGTTTCCACTCGCTGGTACTCCGCTTGAACTGCTTGTACTAGAAGGGATCGTAGTAATAGGTGCTGTCGAAATTGGCACGCCCAGAAGGGCCATCATCTGTTCTCTAGGAAGATGAATACCGAGGTCCACCGAAAGGTATGACAGCATGAGATCGAGTTGATTCTCAGCCGCTGCTGTGGCGCTCGAGACTGGGGTGATTTCAGGCGAGGATGCCAGTAGTACAGAGGCGGAAGTCGGAGACGTAGATGAAAGAGGGGTGCCTAGATTAATACCCAGGGATGCCTCTATAAGGGGATCGTTGGGCTTTGCGGATGCTGCAGTAGTTGAGACGACGCTTGACGATGCTGCTGGGCCCCCCAACCCCAACCCCAAATCCAGGCTCGCAGCGATGAGCGGAATTTGTCCATTGCTTGCTGTGACCGATGATATAGGACGGCCGGAAGACAATGGGAAGATACTGGCGGAAGAGGCGCTGCCAGCAGCAGCAGTGGACGCTCCTGCGTTTCCCAAACCCAAGCCGATGTCCAAACTGGCAACAAGAAGCGGACTGGGCGTTGTCGTTATTGCTGTCGATGTCGTAGGAGAGTTCGAGGACCCAATACTAGCCGGTGATAGGGCGCTGATGGTGAGGGCTGCTGACGATGCTGAGCTAGAGGAGCTTAGGGTCGATGCTAAATTGCCTAAGCCAAGATTGAGACTAACTGCAAGCAGCGGATTTGGTAAACTGCTTTGCGGGTTTCCGGGCGATGAAATGGGAACCTGTGGCGATGACGGCGATGACGAAATCCTCGACGAAACGGTGAGAGCAGGACCGATAACTGAAGTCCCTCCGCCCGGGTTTGAAAATGCTCCTGAGCCCCCAAGCACCAGTCCCAAATCCAAGCTCGCGGAAAGAGGCGGTGGTGTGGCGGTTGCTGTCGGCACTGTGGGCGCCGTAGTCGCCGACAGAGTCGGGGCAGAAGCTGAGGAGGAGGAACTGATCGGCGAGGAGCTGCCAGCAGCTAATCCGATTCCGAGTTGCCCGCTCACAGCCAAGAGAGGTGTGCTCTCAGCAGCCACTGCGGATGCCGCCTGCGAGCTCGCAGCTGAGGCGATGGTGAATGAAGCCGAGCTCGAGCCGACGCCTAGCAAATTAAGGCTAACGCTGAGGTCAACGGGTGGAGTATTTGAGGGAGAGGAAGCGACCGAGGAAGCGGAGTTCGAGGCCAGAGAAGACGATCTCGGAATCGTAACCGTTGTAAAAGTCATTGGCACCGAGAAAGATGCAGACTGACTCGAGCTTGACGTCGCTGAGGGAGCAGAAACCGACGTGGGCCGCGAAGAAGAAGATGAAGTCGGACTATTCAGGGGTATGAGTCCAATGATCCCACTGGTCCCCACTAAGCTGCCCACCAGCCCATTCACCACTCCCCCAACTGTTGCCAGAACCCCTTGTGACCCCTTCAGAGAGCACTTTTGCGTCGTCTTTTCGTATGTCGCGCCGACACAATACGGGCTCCCCACGCATGCGTCCAGACACAAGCTCAGCTGAGGCGTTACAGCAACAGCGAGTTCAGCCTGCACCACATTGGTGCCGCAGAGAACCTGGAACAGACGCCCATTATCCGTGATTGCAGTTCCGTTTGCATATGAGTTACCAGCGGCATCGGTGCACGTCACTGGTGTGAGTACGCCTGGCAGGAGGTTCACACCCAGGATTTGAGGTCGAGCGACTGTGAACTGGAGCAGTAGAAGCGAGATCAAGACGAGTCGCAGGCGGCTCCACGAGGAGGAAATCGGCAGAACGAGCATCTTGAACGGCCTCCCGTATCCCCGGGGCAAAAGAATGACGAGACCAGTGAGCGGTCAAACGAGGGTACTGAACTGGGGACGAAAGAACGCGAACGAACGACTAACGCTGTAAAGACCGTATGCCATACAGAATGGAAAGGCAAAGCGTTTACTAGCTGAAGCATATCGAAAATGAGTGACGCGAATAGTCAACCTCTGGGCTACCGTGGGCTACGCGTCGCGTCAGGGCCTACCAGAATGTGCCAGCGTGTTGGAATGTGGAGGAGCGGGCCGAAGCGCAAGGCAATTGGAGATCTTTGACTGGGTCCTCCGCCGGCTCGGCTCGAGAATTGATAATTGAGCATTAAGAATATCTGGAGTTCGGTCGCTTCTCCGACCAACAGGCGCCCACAGCCGGCCCAAAGGCTGTCCTGAATAGACAAAAGAAAGACAAGATGCACGGACTGAAGGATCGATATGAGTCTTGAAAAGCTTACCTATCCGATCACAGTTGGAAAGGGCGCCGAAGCCTCGCGATCCGGAGGCGTGCGCCAAGCCAGGCGAGATCGTGACGCTGCGGTAAGGAGCGTGGGACAGCATGCTGCACAGCGGGAGCGGGGCGGCCGCACTGAAGAATCCGAGTGTCACCCATCCGAAGCCCCTGGACTTTTCTTCCGTAAAGCGTAATACTTAATTTACATTCTTGAGGCTCGCAATTCCGTGCTGTCAATCCGTCGGCCCTCATCGGCTTGCTCTTTCACTGTGAGATCGGGGAACTCCGCAGGCACTATAGAATTCCAAAGTCAGCGCAGCTTCTCAAAATGATGAACGGGCCGTCTATATAGTTATATATCCGCATGGCGCAGAAAACGCGTGTAGGGGCATTCCGAACTCTGCTCTCCGAGTGACGGGTGACACGGAATCTATACTCAGGCAATACATACTTATTCTTCGCGGTCGGGAGCCAGGGACAACGTTGTACTGCTCGAAGTCGGTAACGCCCCGCTTTCGGAGGAAGTCCTCGTCCAACTCCAAACACCCGTTGACCTCGGATGCCGGAGCTCGGAGCATGGCCAGGATAGCATCCGAATAAATAGTAGGCTTCCTCAGCTCGCTCGCATTCTCCCGGTCCAGGTCCGTCGTGGCAGCCGACTGAATAGCAGTCGCGGGCCAAATACTTGTAATAGCCATGCCTTTCTTGCCCTCGCGTTCCCAATCCATAGCCAAGCCTTTCGTGAGCACGCTCATGCCAACTTTGCCCATAGCATAAGCCGTCTTGCCCCGGAAAAAGCGCGAGTATATCGGTGGGCTAACAACGATGATGCGTCCTTGATAGCCATTCGCTTTGAACTGAGGCAGGGCAGCCTGCACAGTGCCGTAGAGGCCTTCCACATTCACGCGTTGCATGAGCTGGAATCGCTTCATGGGCGTGTTCTCCACGCTGGACCACCATATGGCCCCGGAATTGTATATAAGCACATCGAGACGTCCGTATTTCAGGACTGTCTGATCAACCAATTCCTTTATGCTATCATAATCCCGTGTATCGACAGGGATGGCTGCCGCATCGCCGCCAGCTTCCCGAATCTCTCGCTCGACGGTGCTTATCGTCGACTGTGGGGAGTTCGGATCGGGAGGGAAGGGGTGTACATTCGCGGCATCGGACGTGCTTTTAGCTGCGACGACCACTGTCCTCACATCAGTACTCTCGCTCATACTCCGAAGCCATATACTACTCACCGGCGTACCCATTCCTGGCAAGGTCAACAGCGACCTGCCGTCCAATGCCTCTCGACGCGCCCACCACAAGCGCAACCGGCTTCCCGGACGTCGCCATAAGGTTATGTCACCTGTGTATACGTCCCCGCGTTGACGATCTGCTCGGCCCGCTTGGTCTGGAGCTACCCGAAGAATGGAATGAAGAAATGACGCGACCACCCCCTTTGCTGGAATTTCAGCTTAAATATTGTAGCAGTAGCTCCATGAGAGCAATTGACGAGCTGACGAGTGCAGCCGCGGTATCATCGGCGGATATCTGGGGAAAGCGCAGCAGATGATGGAGGAGTGATGGCTGATTACTGATAGATCCAACCGTGGGAGAGCTGTCGCGGGCCTCGGCTGACCGTTGCCAAGATGTCGGGCGGTGGCAGAGAGCTTGTATACACCGCGAAACGGAGGCTTTTTGAAAATAGTCTCAGATGGGATTTGAATAGAATCTGTGGAGTTAATTGTCTTGATATTGTCCGTCGGCATCTTTCACAGAATTCGCGGAAAGGTACCTAGGTAGTGCAAAATCAACCTCACGTCTACCGGCCCCTTCGAGCGCAGCTCTAAGAACTGCAACCCGTCCTCATTGAGATAGGCAATTTTCCTGGCACTCACCGTACGTGAGCTCGATATTAAGGCTGCCTACGAAGAGCTGAAGCGTAGTAAGTAAGTCTTGCTGGCGAACGCGAAGCCTATACAACAACTACAAGCAAGCAGCATTTCCAGCGCGTTCTAGAAACTTGAGCGGTTTTTTGGGGCCAAAAGAGAGTGATGGTGTGCGGATATTTACTCCGCCTTGACGCGCACCGAAGCAGGCATCTTTGATCCCCGAGACAAATTCCGGGGGCGGATCACCCCCATCTCACCCCCATATCCGTATATATATACCCCGGAGTCTGGTCTTCCTTCGTATTCCCTAGCTAAACTTATTTCGAGAAGCAAACACGCGAGTGCCTCTGCGAAACACCAGCCATTCACTTGTTTCATCATGATCCTTCTACCTTTTAGAAGCGACGCCATCTTCGTCATTATGGTGCATATCTTCCTCAGCTTCCTTTACATATCCCTCCTCTACACCTTTTCGGAGCTGTAAGAGACGGCCTGGCAAAGGAGGCGGAAGAAGGCTGCGGCGAAGAAAGATGGGGCAGATTAGTAGTTGGGATGCGTACGGTCACTGAACACAGGATGTCGGCTTATCGCAGGTCCAGAAGGAAAGTCAAAGATTTCCAGGGATTTCACTGTAAAAGAAGACAAAACTTAGTCTGAAAAAAAGTTATCCGACCCGCTCTTCACGATGCACAAAACTCAACCACCTTCCCGGCCTTTTCGCCCACCAACCCATCAACATACGCCAAAAACACATCCAAATCCAGCATATCCACCGCCCCCAGCACCGGGCTCGAACTCCTTAAAACCTGGCCGCCCCACAAAATCCTCATATACCTCTTCCTATTCTTCGAATACACCTCAAACACCACCTCCGCCCCCATACCAACCCACACCATGACTTCGACCTGCAAGATGCTCAGTAGCCGGGATACTGAACCATCGTGCGCAACGTTGTGCCGATAAATCACGGGGCTTTGACCAGAAATTCGGGAGCGAATATTGGAAGCTAGTTCGGCGAGGAAGACGCCGTATGAGCCCACGGCGGCTTGCAGCGAGGCAGGCGAGTCGCGGTATATGAACGAGTACTCGTACTGACCGAGCCTATACACGGTATCGGCCTGGTCTTGCGTAACGCACTTCGAAGTATCGTTGATATTGCAGGGGAGAAGTTTAGCGTGGCACTGCCGCGCGGAGAGATTATCGTAGTAGTGGTCGAAAGACTTATGCCAGTCCACTGAGTCAACCGGAACACCGGAGATCGCATCAAGTGAGGAGAAGAGCGGCTTGGCGGCTGTGAGGTGCGCGGTCCAGTTCGCTGCCGTGCTGCCCACGCCATAAGAAGAGTACACGGAGGATGCAGCGGGGCAAGAGTACGCAGGTTCGAGGGAGTCGATGGATGAGGGTTGGATATGGAGTAGTATGGTTTCCGAAGGTGAATACATCCCATTGATCAGCATGCCGGCGACTTGGCTTGTGATGACGTTGTTGGTTACGCGATAAGTTATTTTGTCGCCGATGTCATCCGGGAGGAATCCGAGGAGGTCGTGGTAGACGCCGTAGAGGTCTTTACCGTGCTGGAAGGAGTCGTCCAGGCCGCCGCGCGTGATTTGCGGGAATTGGCAGGTGCCGTTGAAGCCTGCCGGTGCAAAGGGATTCGTATTCGATGTGTATACGCTCCAAAAGGCGGTCGCCGAGTTATTTCCCGATGGGTTCAGGGGTTGCCCGTAGTAGAAGAGACCTTCGTCTGAGCAGTCCCAAACATAGCCCTCCTTCGGGAAGGTGTTGGATGCGTAGGGTGTGCGCTTGTGATGACGGTGGATCTATAGAAATTCAGTATTTTCTGTGACCTTGATCAAGAAACGGTCTCTTTACGCACAACTTCAACGTATTCCAGCGTATACCCTTGCATTGCTTTCGGATACTCCTGTCGCCTCACGTGCGGCATATTGCACCAATTGTACGCGCTATAAGGTGTTCCCGGAGGTAGCTGAGAGCTGTTGAATATGAAGCCATGCGTTCCCGTTCCATTTATAACCTCTGAAAGGTCGTTGATCCACGTCTTCCTCGGCGCATGCCAACTTAAATTCGGGGTATTAATTTGTGCATCCACCAAAGAAAGCCACAACAGTGGAATGATGGTTTTCGAGCGCCCCATGTCCCAGTTCAACAATTGAAAGAGCGTGAACGTCGTGCCGGCGAGAAAGAGGGCGTAGGCGGCAATGAGGCGCACATTGTGCATATCTTATACTGGAGGATAGTAGATTGAAGGCCATAACGGATGGAGAAGGTCGTAAAGAGGATGGAGGAATGATTGAGAGAATGGGTGCACGTGGCGATTGTGATTGGATGACCAATCACGAGGCAGTGGGGCAAGGCTGGAGAGCCTCGCCGTTGCTGTGGAGCTTGTCTTGACATCTTCTAGCTCAACCTCATCTGAACAGGAATTCTCTTCTATCATACCAGTGTTTTGACCTACTAGAAGGATAGTTACACCGCTGTGTGCGCGTGGCTGGTGGCTGATGGCTGGTGGTGCGTTGTGATTGGTTGGCCAATTGGGAGGGAGCGGTGCAAGCCTCGTCGCTGGAGCTTGTCACGACTTCTACTCCCATTCAACACCACTATCGATCTGAATAGGACGCTGAGCATATGGACTTGAAGACATCTTACATCTCTCTGCGGCATTTTGTCAATTGACGCAGCCTTCAATGACGCTCACGCTACAAGGGTAACCGGAAAAGTCTTCAACACCAAAAGGCCCAAGCTTCCTAACTTGACACAAGCCTTCGTAAGACATTCGGAGCGATTTCATCGTTCAATCCTTATTGGATTCTTTTCGGACCGATCATGTCTCGAACCCAACGAGATCTTGCAAGGGCCATGCAGCGATCGCACACCCGGCCGCGAGAATCTTCCCGACTGCTGCCATCGTTGCAGATCCCTACGCTATCGTCTGTCCGGCGTCACAACCGTCATCAGTCAAGAGCCATTTTCCTCCTAACGATGGCCGTGCTACCCCAGAAGGACCAGGATGGCCGTTCAGTTCGGTATGCTGTGACGCGCAGGGTGCATGCATAGAGCCGCAGCCTCTTTCATCACCGAGCCAGACAACCAATCTGCTTCGATTGTGCGCTGCATCATGAGCAGTATGAACCTAGGAGCCTTTAGATGCTCGTGTGCTCCCTGCGAGCTGGAAAAGGTCTCAGTAAGTATATTTAGGCTCGCCAGCTGCTACTCCTGTGCGTACTCACACAGCTTGGGTACTGGTTTTGATGTGATTTCCTTCGAGCTGCAGACTCTTCAGCAGCCACAATGTTCGGAACCATGCAGCTCTACTTTGGTATGAAGGGACCGTGGCTCACCTTCTGGGTCACGGTCGCATGCGCGACGGATATGACGCTTTTTGGATATGATCAGGGAGTCTTCGGTCAGTATATCCGCTCTTTCTTGGAGAGAATATAATTGCTGATGGGTGACTAGGTGGAGTGATAGTCACACCAGATTTCCTCGACCAGCTCCAGCTTAATGGCAAAGCGTCATTGCTTTCAACCGTCACGGCCATCTACGACATCGGGTGCTTCTTTGGAGCCATCTCCGTGTGCGTAATTGGCGAACCGCTTGGTAGAAAGAAGACTATCTTGCTCGGAACGACGATTATGAGCATCGGTGCGATAATTCAGACTGCTTCGTACGGTGTTCCGGAGATGATCGTTGGGCGGTGAGCCCCTCTATCCATCCCTCTTAGGACGCCGCTAAAATAGTGCGAGAATTATCGCCGGCATTGGGAACGGTATCAACACCTCGACTGGTAAGAGTCTATCCGCTTTTGTATCCACCGTGGATGCTAATATCCTAGCTCCTGTGTGGCAAGGCGAAACTTCGAAGGCGAGCTGGCGAGGCAAGCTGATAGTCATCGAAATGATTATGAACATCGCTGGGTTTTCGCTCTCCAACTGGGTGACCTATGGGTTCTCGTAAGCTTAGCCTCTGCACAGAATAACCCTCTATAGAACGCTTTGTAACATCAATCAGGTTTGTCGGCGGTAGCGCTGCGTGGCGTGTTCCTCTAGCCTTCCAGTTCATTTTCATTTTTATCCTCTATGGAACCGTCCCATGGCTGCCCGAATCTCCTCGCTGGCTGATCGCGAAAGGTCGGATCGATGAAGCCGACCAGATCCTCGCTGACCTTGAAGCCACCGAAGTCGACGATCCGTACGTCATCACAGAGTCGAAAGACATTCAGTGGGCGGTGCAGTATGAGAGGGAAAACGCAGTCCGTTGGCGCGACTTGCTACGTGGTCGGACAGGGGGTCAAGGTGGCACGCATACTATTAGACGACTCTTGCTCGGAATGGGATCACAGGCAATGCAGCAACTTTGTAAGCTTTTTCTCTTCGACGTTACAGTTCATTCGAAACCTAGTGGAGTGAACAACTGTTCTCTTAAATCCCACTCACCACCGTACACTAACTCTTGTTATAGCCGGCATCAACGTCACGTCCTATTACCTCCCAACCGTCCTCATTGAGTCAGTCGGGCTCTCAAACAACCTCGCACGACTCCTTGCGGCCTGTAATTCGGTGTCATATCTTCTCTTCTCCTTGATTGGTATTCCCAACGTCGAACGCTGGGGCCGCCGAAAGATGATGATGTACGCTGCAGCCGGACAGTGCTTCTGCTACATCATTATCACTATATGCATTCGCTACAACGAGCTCGATTCTCTGTCAACTGCTACAAAGGAAAAGTGGGCTGAGGGGTCGATCGCCTTCTTCTTTCTTTACTACGTCTTCTTTGGAATTGGCTGGCAAGGTGTCCCTTGGGTAAGTGTTGCAGACAGACCCTTATTAACGTGAACACGCTGCTAACCGGGGAAGCTCTATCCGACTGAGATCAACTCGCTGTCTATGCGAACGAAAGGCGCAGCACTCGGGACCGCTACAAACTGGATCTTCAATTTCATGGTGGTCGAGATCACGCCTCCTGGAATCCAGAATTTGCAGTGGCGCTTCTACATCATTTGGATCATCTTCAACTTTACTTTTATTCCAACAGGTGAGCAGTAGTCCCCCGAAACTGGTGTCTTATCTGACGGAACACCACAGTGTATCTTTTCTATCCCGAGACGGCCGGACGGTCCCTTGAAGATATCGACCGCTTCTTTGCTGGACATGCTCCGCTCTTGGTCTTCAAGGATAGGGAAGCAATTGCGGAGAAGCGTCCGCAAAGATTCGTGGAGCATGAGAGGGAAGAAGTCAGGAGGAACAGCAGCATCATATCGCAGCATGTGGCTGCAGCGAACGCAGTCAATCGCAACAAAGAAGCTAAGGAGTTTCATGAGGATGTCTAAAGCGGCAAGACGAAGCCTGGAGCGCCTCGGAGGCATGGATTGGTCGTCGATGGGAAATTGAGAAGGAGCGTGGACTCGGCTGGTCAGCGACCGCAGAATACTTCGGCGTGTATGTATTACTAACAACCTTTCAGCAATGATTTGCATCTCCAACGTTAGGGCATGAAGGGATGACATCGTAGGCATCATCCGATCACGTGTGATCGCTATTTATGCATAAGAGTCGATGGATATCTACCAAAGCATAGTCAATAGTCAAACACGACGGTATCCTGTGGGCTCACAAGGTGTCGAAGCACTACAGGAACAGTTATCCCAAGCCCAAATTCCAAGCAAAGAATCCTCCCTTTAATAACCCCCGAAGTAGTCGATCCAGATTAGGACCATCTTCAACGAATGCGTCAAGTTCATCGCCAAAGGGCTTGAAAGCAGGAGGTGAAACGAATATTGGGTTCAGTTAGTACTTCCCACCCTCATCACAGATTTTCCTAAAGACCTCTTCAGTATGCTCCCATATCTTCTTCTCCGCACCCTCAGCCCTCATACTCGCCATCTTCTTGCTATCTCCCATAGCTTCTCCATCCCAGTTCACGTGGTACGCACCACTTCCCTTCACATCATCCGCACCGACCGCCACGTCCTGCACCTCTTCCTTCTTCGCTCGCGGCGCGAATCGCGGCGCAGTCGCAGCAAACAAATGCCTCTCTCCACTCTCCTTCTTCTCCACCATCCACGGCTTAAACAAAACAGAACCGACTATCCAAAACGCGGTATTAAATCGCCCATACGCATCTCTCGCTACCCCAGTGTCCACAATAGACGGAAACGCATGGATGAAAGAGGTCCGGGGATACTCTTTCGCAAAATGCTCAAGCGCGAAGTTCTGCATAGCGCTAGCGTGAATGGAGCAGCTCCGTAGCGAGAACGCAGATTTCAGCGATAGGTCGGAGAAGTTGGGCGCTGTTTTCTTGCCGACCGAGGGATCGAGGACGCATACGGCGCGCGAGAGGGCGGCTTTGGGCTCGGGGTCCTGCGCGGCGGCGGTAAGGAGAGGAGCAAAGTTGCTAATGAAGCGCATGCGGGCGTAGTAATGGCAGGATAGCTTCCTGTCCAGGCCTTCGCTCGTCTCGTCCCGTCCTTTGAACGTGAAGTAGCCGACTGTCATGAAGAGGAGGTTGACTTTCTTTTCTTTCTCTGTGATCTCTTTGCATGCTTCGTCGACGTTTCGCAAAAGCGATACATCTTTCTTGATGAAGTCGACTTGGGACGAAGGATTGATTGCGTTGAGCTCCTCGATGATGCGCGTGGCTTCTGTTTGGTTGCGTCCGATGAGGTAGACATGAGGAGCGTTGGTGTTGCGAACAAATTCGCGTGCGGTGTACAGGCCGATGCCGCTTGTGCCGCCTACGAAGACGGCAACGAGGCCTGGGGCGAGGTTCTTGAGATTGAAATTGTGCGTGCGGGCTTCGGTGAGGGATACCATAGCTAGCATCAGCTCTTCACTTAGTAAAGAAGGCGCGTCCCTAGAAAAAGGCGATTATGATACTCGGCTATGCCTGAGTCTTTCCCCGAAGCCTCCACGTGAGTGGGTGTTCATAGACGGAGGGCTGCAGGGAAGAAATGTCGACAGGCTCTCGTGCGAGATTAGTCCGGGGAAGCCCTTAAACACGATCTCAGCGGCAGGTTTCTAAAGCGGCAGATTAGAGTAATGACCTACACCGTTCCGGTTGAAGACACAAAAGGTTAGGTGATAATATTGCGGCGTCGGTTTGGGCGGGGTTGCAAGCTATAGGGAGCTCTGGGTCTTTGATTATGTACGTTGCCCCACTTTGGTTAGCGCTGATGCTGCTTACCTTCACATCAACTAAATGAGCCGCGTGGATCTTTACTTCCTAAACTGTTGAAACTCTTCGCCTCCTAAGACTGATTTTTGATTAACAGTGTTGGGCCTGGGCCCTGCGAAAGGTCCGTGGACGCTAGTCCATGTGAGGTCCGATTAGGTATTCAAAATCCACGACTAGTCACTGTCTACTTCGAGAGACGCATTGCAAGAGAAAAGAGAAGCACATGTTGGCTTGAACGGAGATTTGTCTCGTAATAGGAATATATCATAGTATGTAAGTACTCATTAAAGAAAACTAGTCAAGAAACATAGAAAGAAGATCGTCATTCAAAGCATTAAGGAGAGTTTCAATGAAAGGAATGAATGACTCCAGGCCCGGATCAAGGTCCTCCACGCAGCCGCGCCTAGCTGCCAGCACCCGCAAAGGTCTAGTCACCCCAGGCGCCGAATCCTCAGGAAAGCTATTTTTTCTTGAGATACAATGAGCTTTCCCAATGGCTGTCCTTGAACTGGCAAATTTTCTGCATTTTGCTGACCATTTCAACGGTATATCTGTTGTATGGGTGCATGCGCCAATTACCTGCCTTTACTTCATCCTCGATGGTGAACTTGGACGGGTCTTCGGTAAGGATGCGCATCGGCGGTTCGTCGGTATGAGTGGAAGTCGAAGGATTGTCGGTATGAGTGGAAGTCGAAGGATCGTCGGTATGAGTGGACGTCGACGGGACCTCGGTTAGAAAGAGCGGGGTAGTGAAGAGACCAGCTGGGCCTCCAAAGTGCAGGGTAATGTCCGGGATGATTTCTCGAATACAGAAGCCGACAGCTCCGGTGGCGACGACTAAGGTATGCTCATTGATCTTGAGTAGGCCTCCGGTATCCCGCTCAAAGGAGACTTGTCCGGGCTCTCCTTGATTTTGGAGATAGACCGCATCATACCGTAGGTAGTTCGGGTCCTGGAAGAGAATTGGGATCGACTTGTCGGATTTGTAGATGCTTTTCAGCGTTGCCGCAATGTCGAAAACAACCAGATGCTGGTGCATGTTCACGAACCTGTCGTTCTTTCTACCATCCTCTTTGCCGTCTTCTTTACATTCCTCTTTGCCGTCTTCTTTACGTTCCTCTTTGCCGTCTTCTTTACGTTCCTCTTTGCCGTCTTCTTTACGTTCCTCTTTGCCGTCTTCTTTACATTCCTCTTTGCTGTCTTCTTTACATTCCTCTTTGCTGTCTTCTTTACGTTCCTCTTTGCCGTCTTCTTTACGTTCCTCTTTACAGTCCTCTTTGCAACCGTCGGGGTTAAGAGGCCCGAGGCCAAAGCACACGATATTGGTAATCTGTACTGTGTTTTCGGCCTCCTTCAGAGAGCCTAAGAGCCTTTGACGATCTCCGTGTTCGAACCAAGACTTTTCTGACTCTTTGATGAAGTCGTCCGTCAGAGGACCTCCTGCACCGCACTCTATGGTGGTGGGGAAAATGGGAATGCCATCCCTTGCCCAGTCATGTACGAAGGGGTACCAAGGGAATTCAGGATACCGGAGTCTGTCTTCGTGACCACCCGCAAGCTCTTGGTAGCTCCAGAACCATACGAGGGGTTTGATACTAGTTCAATGTCAATCAGCCATTCGTATTATATACGCCGTAATTTCAAGAACGAGCAAGCCATCGAATAGAAGAAATACTCACCCTCCTACACGCAGGAAACGAGAAACGTCCTCATAATGGGTCTCTCCATAGACATCTAGGAGTGCAAATTTCTTGATAGTCTCCTCTGTCAAGTTCTCGCATTGTTGCTTCACCAACGCGATTGCCTCGCGGGTGAATACGCGCCGACTGCCCAGCTTTTTGAAGAACTCCTCTAGTTGGCTGGCTTGGAGAGGCATGTTCGTGAAGGTCGATAAAGTGGATCCGGTGAGTTGAAGCCGAAGGGTTTTATGTGTATTGGCGTCAGCGAAGGGACTTTGAAATCGAGATTTGAAAAGTAAGAATTCGGTTGCGGTAGCAAGCTGTGAATAGTGTATGGAAGGAAGATTGTTCTCATGGGGCTGCTCCTTTTATACCACGAACGCCCGGCCTTCTTGGCGCGTTCGGACATGACTCTCATGAAGATGAGGGAACGAGTAGTCATAGTCGATATAGTCATACGACAAAGACACGTAGGTAGGGGCGCAGTGCGGCCAATTGGGGATAGATCTCGTGTACAAACTGGGGAGTCATTGGAGTGGGGAATCATAGCGAAAGACACATAGCGAAAGAACAAGCAGCTAAGAGTCAATGGTAGTCACTAGCGAGGACGATTCGCCGGCTCGATGGGTCTATGCAGTCAGCGAAGCCACTTCAGCCTGGCCGCTCGAGCGAATGATAGGCCCAAGGCCAAACCAGTGCTCAGAGGAGGCGTCATAGCGAGGCGAAATTGGTGTTTTTGTAGTCGACGCAGGCCCCAAAAAGCGAACACTTATTCTGGATTTAGGGACGAAGCTAAAGTGCTCGAATGCGGCCTACTTCGCCTCTGAATCGGTCCTTAGAGTGCGTTTGACAATGATGTAGGTTGCTGAAAAGACCGTGCTTATACGTTACCCCTTGAAGGCGACGGTGGGAACCCCGGACCCCATGTTGCTGCCGTCGTGCAGAATAAACCTGAGAATAGATTCGTTCCCACCCAATGCACAAATCTATTAGTAATACGAAATTGCAATGGTGATCCGACTCACCTAACTAATTAGAGGCTCCGATGCATCTCACTGGCCGGGTGGTCGTAGTTGTAAGTGTTGCTGGGTACGGCCTCGTTGGCGATGCGCGGCAGAGATAGAGCTTTGAGCCTACAAGTCTTTATTATTTCTGACCCTCCTAATCATACCCGTTGACGTTGGAAATGTGCGGTGTGCGATGGTTGCGCGAGGGAGCTCTGCAGTGGAGCTATCAAGACTTGGCCCTATCAAGATGTGGTCCCGGGGTCCCGAAATAAAGCCGATAAAGCCGCCACATACCTGGTCACCACTCGCACACAACTTCTTCGAATGTCGGTTGTACGATGACCCACAAGGTAATGAGACACAATGTTTCAGGATATGTCACCCACCATCGGCCTAACATATGTTCCCGCCGGCAACGCTCCTCCAACCCCACCACAGAATGACACGTTAGACGATATCTACGGCTCCGCGCCGTCATCCCCCCTCCTCGCCTCCCACGATACCAATCGCACCAACCCCCGCAGCGAAGAAATTCTCTCCGACCTTCCTTCCCGCCAGCGCGCTCTAGACACGGACGCTTACCGTGAAGGCCTTGCCAACAGCAAGGGTCAATTCATACAAGAAGGGTTCGACGAGGGCTACTCTCTCGGCGCGAACCTGGGGCTGCTCGTAGGCTATATCTTAGGGGCTCTGCAAGGCTTTGTTGCTGCGTTGAGAGGACACGACGAGGCGCGGTGGAAGGACGCGAAGGGGATGCTGGAGGATGCTCAGAGAGAGCTTGCGATGCAGGAACTGTTGAACCAGAAGTGGCTTGACCAAGAGGGTATATGGAAGTGGGAAGTTGAGGGCAAGGAGGAGGAGGTTACATTTAGAGAGGTCGCGGAACAGCATCCTGTTGTGAGGATGTGGATAGAGAAGGTTGGTCAGACTGCAAGAGAGTTAGGAGTCGAGCTCGAGGCTGTGGAGAGGAGCCGACAGACGGAAATGGATGCAGCTGAGGCATCTTAAAGTTTGCGATTGGAACGACCATCTTCGTGATGGCGAAAGGACTCTTTCTCCAACGTTGTCGGTCGCCGAGGAGGCAGAAAGCGTTGGGCCTCGTCGCGCAGCGCACCATGGCCCACGGGCTCGATGTCACGCTGCCGAAGCTTGGAGGTATCCCCACAAGATGTTTCCATGGACCGCTCATGGGCTTTCAGGACGTTATTGAGCATGGTCCACATGTCTTAAGGCTGGTATCGGCCTTTGGATCATGCACGATCCATTGGGAAGCCGCTAGCACCACGGCAAGCTGAGTTTGAATCTGCACTGAGCATCGAGTATTGAAGCATAGTATACCGCTTGTATGGCTGCTGCCAGCCGCAGCAAGTCATAGCCCGCAAGGATGCGGACGAGCACTCCCACAACAATTACAAAAGCTCCACTATAGGGCTTGGAACGGAGTAGATTATTTCGGAAGAAGCCCTTGAATACAAACAAAGCCTTCCGTTGGACTCGGTGTCTTTGGTGATTGTGAAAGATTGATGCGCAGATCGTCCGGTTCGGAAACACATTCGGAACTCAGCGTCCGTGCACACTCGGTAATTCGCGCCGATTCGCCCATCGGAGTTGCGTCATGACTTGGTCCGAGAAGCTGCAGTAATAATCTTCCACTCGTAGCTGCTTATGCTACGCTTCACGCTCCCTAACTCTTCCTTCTCCTCATAACAGCCATGATAAATGGCTTGTCTCTGCTACGCAGAGCCGCCATCAACCATGTCAATCCGCGACTGCTAGAACCCGCATACGCCCCCACGCGACACCCCCATCCTTCCCTCATCCGCCGCGTCCAATCTCAGGCATGGCAGCCTCTACGGCCTCCAAACCCCGCCGAGCTCCCGAGGCCTAAGCCTCGAAAGACCAAACCGCCCTTCCGCCGCAGGAGATGGGTGCGCCGCCTCTTCATCCTCTCTGCGATTCTCGGCACCGGATACGTCGCTGACAGGCAATGGTATGCCTCATCCCTCACGCGTAGTGTCCGCACCTTCTACACTGGGTTGCTTGTAGGCCTGGACTACAAGGTCAATTTCCGCGCGCACCCCCCGCTAGTCTCGAGCATCGAGGAGCTACATAGGCGAAACGCCCAACGGTTGTTCGACTTGCTACGGCATAATGGCGGGCTGTATTTGAAGATTGGGCAGGCGATAGCGATGCAGAGCGCTATCCTACCGCCCGAGTTCCAGAAGATGTTTGCGAAGATGTTCGACGATGCGCCGCAGAACGAATGGTGGGAGGTGGAGAAGGTTATTCGGGAGGACTTTGGGAAGAGCGTTGAGGAGGTGTTCGGTGTTAGCTTCGCTGGAGAGCCAGGGAAGGGCGTGATGGAGAAGACGGCGCGAGCGAGTGCAAGCGTAGCGCAGGTACATTGGGCACGGTTAGCGGACGGGAGAGAGATCGCAGTCAAGATACAGAAAAGAGAGATTGCGAGCCAGGTCGGCTGGGACCTGTGGGCTTTCAAGGTTATGGCCCGCGCCTACACCTGGTGGTTCGACATACCCTTATACACCCTCGTGCCTTATATCTCGGAGCGCTTGATGCTAGAGACGGACTTTGAGAACGAGGCAAATAATGCTGAAGAGATGAGAAATCTAGTCGCTGGAGAGAAGAGATTGAACGGACGGGTCTACGTCCCGAAAGTTTATCGGGACCTTTCGACCAAGAGAGTAATGACCGCGGAATGGGTCGAGGGTGTGCGATTATGGGATAAAGAAAGCATCACAAACCGCTGGCAAGGCGGATGGCATCAAGGAAGCCCAGGAGCAGGCGGCACAGAGCTTCCACCCTTACCGAAGAACTACACCAAGGTCGACGATAGAGTCCCGGAAGATGCGCCGAAGAATCCCCTTTTGAAGCCAGACCGCTCATACTGGCGCGGAAAGGATAACAAAGGGGGTCTCGGGGTCTCCCTCAAGAGCACTATGCACACCATCGTCGACCTCTTCAGCGCACAAATGTTTCTGTGGGGCATCGTACATTGCGATCCACATCCAGGCAATATCTTCATCCGACGTCTTCCGAATGGAGATCCCGAGGTTGTGCTCATTGACCACGGCCTCTACGTCCACATGAATCCTCAGTTCAGACACCAGTACGCTCTCTTTTGGAAATCTCTGATGTCCTTCGACAACGACACAATCAAAGAGATAGTGAGCAGTTGGGGCGTCAACAACCCTGATATATTCGCCTCGGTTACCCTCATGCGACCGTATGAGGGCGGTGATAACAGCACGCTCAACGAGCTGAAGAAAGAACGCCAAGGTAGAGACCAGCAAGAGCGCGCATATGAAATGCAGGTCAAGGCCCGCGACGGAATCAAGCAGATTCTCGGCGACGAAGACAAATGGCCCCGCGAGCTGATCTTCATCGGCCGCAACCTGCGCATCGTACAGGGCAACAACCAATTCCTTGGATCGCCTGTCAATCGCATCAAGATCACTAGCCTATGGGCATCTCGCGCTCTAGCAGAGTCTAGGGACCTTCACTGGAGAGAACGATGGAAGAATTGGGTTAAGCATCTTAGATTCAGGGCGGTTTTGCTGGTTAGCGACTTTATCTTCGCCTGGTCCAGGATTAAGCAGATGCTCGGCGTCGGGCTAGGAATGGAGGAAGAGATTGAGGAGCGCATGAGGGTCATGGCGAAAGACTTCGGTGTTGAGCTCAACCATGGCGTGTTTGAGGGATAAATAGGGACATAGAGGCGTTGTACGATATGGGCAGGTGGACGATTGCCCTTGTAAATATACGGCTTCTTGGACGACCCAAGACTCAAGAGTTAGACGGCATCTAATCCAAGCTCATAATCAATTGCATCCATGGGGCAACTGGTGCGCTTCCTCTGTGCTAGTAAGTATGCCTTCCATGTTGCCCTTCCCAAAACTGAGGTTTGCAGGGACATAGGCGAACGAGCAAATTAAAATGCTCAAGATCCCCAGCTACGACGTCTGCTCCCATTACCTGTTGCAAATATGTCTTCCACGACCACAAGTACATCAACCATTGGACACCGGGAGCGCATAGAAAGCTATATACCTAGGTACAGAGCAGCATACAATATTTACATTTGGAAGTTGCTGAGGACGCAAGCTTCTAGGCCTCCGATTCGGCAGCACGCCCCCCGTATTTTGCACTCCCTACCCTTCAAGCTAACATGTCCTTAAAAAGTAGTCGCGTTCACGAGCGGCCAGTTGATGCCCTTGTCCTTTGCGCCAATGTTGCCCAGGCCTGCGCAGCTGTACATGCCGACGGGGTTGTTGGCCGTTGCTCGCATGTACTGGAGATCGAGGCACTCCTCTGTTGGGGTTATCAGCATCTTTCCCTCCTTTCTAAAACATGGTCAGAGAGATTTGGACTTACGTGGGCTGGATCCCTTGAGCGCAATGCGTCCATCGGCCATAACGGTCCACGCCTGACCCGGGGCGGTGGTGTCGCAGGCGTTCACGTAGACATTACCCATGTCCTTCCAGTTGCCTGATTACTACTTATCAGTCCCCGCTCGGTCGACTCCAGATGGACGCGGATATGTGCTTACTCTTCGCGCCTCCGTCCATGCACAGTGGGGTTGCAGCGCTCGCCAGCATGATCTGGCTGTCGCCGTCCGTGAGATACCACTGCTGCTCTGGCTTGCTGGTGAGGGTCTGGCTGTGGGGGAATTAGTCGCTTCAGTGGAAGAGATGGAGGGATTCTAGGGGAGGGGTGCGGTTGGAGACGTACACGACCAGTGTGCTGCCAGCGCTCGCCGCCTTGGGCACCACGACGTATTTGGCATCCACCATCGAAGTGATGTAGACCTTGCGGTATCCGGCTGGGGGAGTAGTCTGGGCGAAGCCCGTGGCCGCGAGCGCGAGCGCGAAGAGGGAGGTAGCCAGCATGTTGATCGTCGTACTACAAGAAGTTTGGGAGGAGGGTCCTGAATCGCAGTATTGGTAGACTCCCCTATATGCTCCCGTCGGGGTCTCTCCTGTTTATACCTGGACACACATTTGCCGCCATCCTCCCCTTCTTCCCCGGATTTGCCCCATCCAGCATTGTACGATCTTAATTAGCACTTAACGACGCCGTAGATCACTCCCTCTCTATCTCCCAGGCGCTTCCTTGATTCTCGCCGTTCGAGCCGCCATGGCTCATTCGCCAGCGTCGTCAAACGGCCAATCTATTTGATTGAGCGAGAGGAGTACGGGGATCGGCAGATGGGCGGAGAGGCGGAATCCAATGGGGAGCCGCATATATTTGGGGGGTTAACTTTGTGCGTTATGGGAGGTTAATTTGCGAGGAGCCGGTTCACTGTGGGAGAAGGGATAAAGTCGCTAGATTTGCAATTCTATCTATCCTTGAGCAAGTATGGAGGACTCTCCCCACGTGCTGTTGCGCCCCGCAGGCCAAAAAAAGGCTTATCATGGTACAAGCTCTGCGCCGCGACGCCCCGTTTGCTTTTGCTGAAATGCTCGATGTCGTGAAAAGGCGAGGCACGTGATCTCGCTCCGCCGATGTCCCGATTTGGAAATTACCGAGGTGATTTTCGCGGCCTCAACATCATCACCCTCAATTTCTCGCGTTCCACATCTAGAGGATCGCGGTATTACAGCAAACGATGATTGTTCCCAAAGCCCTGACGTTCGAAGCTCCTGCGGACTGATTCATTAGCGTTCCAGCACATCTGACTCGCCGTCTAAGCAGTGGAGCTTCCCCAACTTCTCCTCGAACCGAGGCACGGGCAAGCTTATGCGGGGCGGAAAGCTTACGCTCACTAAACAACAACATCACAGCGCATACATACCTTCAACACATATTCCACATTCTCAATTCTTATCTGCTTGCTCAATGTGTTCGAGAGCTTGAGCCTGCTCACCTATTACGTCGTCTAACCCGTGGTCTTTCTTCCCTGCGTCGGCTTCAGGCATTCCGCCCAACAACACCATGGCGTCCGAATACGCAGATATAAAATTCGAGATCAAAGGAAAGATCGGGATTATCAAGGTACCATTAACTCTCGAATCCACTCCCATATGTATCCCCGCTCTGACAGAACCGCAGTTCAATCGCCCCAAAGCCCTGAACTCCTTCGGCGGGAATCTCATCCCGGATGTCATCGCAGCACTGCGCGTGCTCAACGAGCACCCCGAGACCGTGTTCACCGTATTGACGGGCGAAGGCCGGTTCTTCTCTGCAGGCGCAGATGTAAAAGGGATCTCTGACATGGTATGTGCGGTTTCAGCAATCATGTGCTGCTGGTGAGAGAGCAAAGCAACGGCTGATGAGTCTGATGCGCAGTCGGCGGAGTACAAGAACGCGGGGGAGAAGAAGCTGGCTTTCTTGCGGGGATTTACTTATGGTGAGTTAAGGCTCCTTGTTGTATTAACTTGGCGTTGGATCCGCCCCGTGCCATCGCATTTCAATGTCCCGCATTTTGTTCTCCCCAAAAGTGTCACTTCCCATCTCAAATTCTTAATGCCCTTCTCCCTCCGCGTAGACCCATGGCACACCTCTAACACGCCTCCCCCCAGCAATCGAACTCCTCCGCTCCATGATCGACCACACAAAAGTCCTCGTCCTAGCTCTCAACGGCCCCGGCGTCGGCGGCGGCGCCGCCTGGTTCCCGGGCATCGCGGACATCGTCCTGGCCTCCAGCACCGCCTGGCTGCAATGCCCCTTCAGCGCACTGGGCCTAGTCCCCGAAAACGGCTCCGCGCTCTCGTTCGCCCAGCACATCGGCATCCACCGCACCAACGACTTCCTCATGTTCGGCACCAAGCTATCCGCCCAGGAGCTGCTCGACTGCGGCATGTATAACCGCGTGTGGGAGAAAACGGGGGACGCGTTCCAGAGCGAGGTGGTGCGGTTTTTGGAGGGCCAGCTGGAGGTCAATGATGGGAAGAGCATGATGGAGATGAAGCGGCTGCAGAATGCGCCGGTGAGGGATGCGAGGATGATGGCGGTGGTTAATGCGGTGGATGCACTTGCGGAGCGGTTTGTGGAGGATGCGCCGGTGCGGAGGTTCGCGGAGAAGAAGAGGGCGATGGAGGAGAAGAGTAAGGCTAGGGCGAAGATGTGAATTGAGCGCGGGTGAGAAGGAGAGAGGTGGTTGATCATCTGATGATGCATCAAATGTAGCTTGTATTATGGATTATGGATTAGGGGTTGACGATGAGGAGGACATCGTTGAGATGTGCTCCTCTCTTTGCTTTTACACGTGCCTCCTCCGCGCCCATTTCGTTAAATACTCCCGTCCCGCCAACCGATACGTGTCCTCCTCCACATAGCTGCCATTATAGCCTCTCCCTTCTGCCTGAATCACCAGGTTCAGCCCATTCACTCCCTCACTATACTGCGGCCACTCTGGTAGCCCCTCGCCATTCGGATCGCCGCCATTGAAAAAGTGCACCCACTGCGCACTGATCTGATCACTCAATGCCTCATACTCCGGCCACGGGCCGACGAACTGCGGATTCGCGAACAGGAACCTGGCCTCGGAGAAGTGCTCGACACCCTTGTAGGCCGGCGCGAGCGAGCCCGTGTAGTCAGTGTAGGTCGCGTTGGTGTTGTTGAGCCAGGGCCGCGTGTTGAAGCGGTAGATGTAGGTCGGTGCGTATTTCGAGTACCAGCGCGCGTCGTCCATGCGCGGCGCGTGGTAGAAGACGTCGCCGACGATGGCGGCGATGCGCTTGAACTGGTAGCCTAGCTCTGCGAAGCGCTCGGTGCCCGTGTTGATCGGGACACCCTGGGTAGGATCGTCTGGGTAGAGTTCCATGATCTTGCGGACGACGGAGGGCGGGAAGTCGTAGCCTGTGCTGCCGAGGACGTAGTCGTATAGGTCTTGATCTGTGTTGATAACGCCCGGTGGCGCGTTATCTGTGCCTTCGTCGGAGGTGCTGCCGTAGAGGTGGGGGACGTGGGCGAAGCGACCCGAGTGCAGGAGTTCGGTGGGATAGTTGGGCATGATATCGCCGTCGACGGTGGGGTAGAAGCCGGGGCCGCCAACTTTAGAGCTGTCCATGAACGGGAAGATAGTCTCATAGGGTACAGTACGTAGGCATTCGAGGGTGTCAGGCCAATCGGTACAGTTGGTTTGCTGGACGATCTTGTCATAGATTGGCTGGTACCAGTCTGAGCCGTTATACCAGGCAGTGGCCGCGGAGCCGGATTCCTGGATCGAGCGGTGGAAAAGACCATCAGTTCGCCCGCCATAAGACATGAGCAATTGACCCTGATATTGTCAGTGCTTCGCATTTCCAACCACAGAAGGTCGTTCTCACGATAGCAAAAGAGCCCGCCGACTCTCCCCAGATCGTGACACTGTCCTTATTCCCCCCAAACGCCTCAATATTCTCCGAGATCCACGCAAGGCCCTTGCGCATATCTCTCAAAGCCAGATTCGTATTTCCAGTGCCCTGAATCTCCCTCGAGTACATCATCCCCCAGCCGCCTTTTCGATAATTGATGCTTGCCGCAACGATAGGCTTGCCGATCTCCACGGACCTTTGAACAATGTACGTCAAGTTGTAATACGGGAGCGCGCTGGTGCCAACTTGGTAAGACCCGCCGTGGATCCACAAGGCGACTGGGAGGGATTCATCTTGGGAGATTCCGGCCGGTCTCACGACGTTGATGCTGAGGCAGTTCTCGCTCATACCATAGAAGCCGTCTACCTCTGGTGTGAAATCCGGACATGAATCGCCGTAAGCTTTGGCTGGCCGTGTTCCATTCCAGGTCTCATTCAGGGATTGCGGGATTCGAAGGCGGTTATGGCCTCCAGTGTCTTGCGCATATGGTATCCCGAGGAAAACATCTTGATCGAACGACGGGAGGTAAAGTCCTTCATATGTGCCGTTCACTACCGTCACCGTCGGATCGGCCACAGCCACAGTCGCAGCGAGGAAAACCCCTAATACCCACATCGCGATAGCGCAAGCTCTTCCCGATAGATTCATCCAACCGAGGACCGAGTAGATTGTCAAGTGGCGGAAAAGGGAACGACGGGATGGAGTGGAGCTTAGTACTATTTGTACTCGGCTGTCGATTACTTGACAGGATCCGGTTCTCGGGAGAATGCAATCTATTGCACCGTGGACCCGGTGATACCGCAGTGGATCCGGGCACTCATCCCTATTCGCCTCTGCAGGTACTGAGCATAGACTTTACCAAAAGGGGAAGGTGCGGTTGTAAATTTCCGCACCGCCCCGCATACGAATGAATACGGCTTCGTGCTCCATCGGGTGTATGCTGGGATGACAGACACGAGACTGCAGGGGAGCCTAAACAGCCAATCTGGACTATGACTGAGGTATACCGGTTCGCCTAGACCATGGCGTCCTATCATCATAATATATAATTCGCAAGGAGAATACGAAAGGAAGAGACTCAGAATTGGGTATAAACGTACGCATAGCTTCCAATCATATCCAAAAAATCTTGGAGAGTATTACCCTTGCGTAGAACAGAATGTTTCCGGGTATCCATCAGACACCAGCGAAGATGCGAAATCCCTAGGGAGTCGGGATGGGAAAGCCGACTACAACCTCTCTGGCTCACCGTATCGGGATACACATCGGGAGCGATGTGTGAATGCTAGTAGAGAAACGCGCTTCGCTAATTGAAAAACCTGGAGAGAAACTTTTTCTTTTTCTACATCATGTTAGCATCGGCCAACGCGGCTTCAAGGATCTAACCTACGTCTGTCGAAGAAGTCCGGCTAACGGCAGGCGCTGGCACTGCAAGCATAGTACCGGCGGCAGGTACGGCATTCCCCGCCATCTCAACCGCTCCTGGCTGAGGCGGCGCCATGTACGCGTACGCCACGTTTGGTGACATTGCAGGTGTTGTGACATTCGAGAGATTTGACGCAGGTGTATTCGGGGATTGTGGAGGCAGGAATCCGGGGATCGAGGGAGGCGGCTGCGCCAGATTCGGGTTCCATTGCTGTGGAGCGTATGGGACGTTCTGCGGCTGGCCGAATGGCTGCGGATGCGCTACCCCCATCATCTCGGCCTGCCACGCGTTGAAGACTTCCTGCATCTGCTGCATCCATTCCGGTGGTGCGCCTACGAAGTTGTACTTGACGGTCCGGTCGCGGAAGGCTACGAAGTAGTGCTCCTTGTTATACGGCGAGATTGCGAGATACTGGCGTCGCGTCAGTTCAATCCTCTCCAGTGCCCGCGCCAGGAAGACTTACAGAAACCGAGCGCGGCTCCGCGTCCGTCAGAATTCTGTCGAGGCCGCCATAGCCGCCATAGAACTTCCAGGAGTAGTAGCCGTCGGGCCACATCACAAACCACGCATTATCCATCCCTAGCGCTACGCAGCATGGCGTATCAAACGCCTTCTGTATCTTGTCGCTCAGGTCCGACGGTATTCCGGCCCAGCATGACCCGTTACCTGGTGCGGATGCGTAGAAAGCATAGCCGGTTCCGAAGGTGACAAAGCACGAGCGCGACGCATTAGGGACTGTCTTGATCCAGCGCGAGAGGTCCGGGTAGTTGATGTCGAAGTAGGTCTGCGAGTAGACTTCAGGGGATCAGCGTGCGAGCCTCGTCGTGTGGTTCCGTCTCATGGAAGGAGAGGCGGCGCGATAAGGCTGCGACCCGGAAGCGAGCGGGGACGGCACTCACAGATCTTCTCCTCCCCATTCAGGACTTTGCATCCAATGTACCATATTGGCTCCGGCGAATTAACCTGCGGCGCGAGCGCGAGACAGAACGGCTGGGTGATCCGCCATGCCGGGCTCATAGATGAATTAAAGAGCTGGCGGAGCGTCTGGGGGATGTTGTGACTGGGCTGCGTCAGCTCATTCGCTCAGCTGTCAAGCCGCGATCGGCATTTGGCGTACAATTTCCATGACTTTGGACAGTCAAAGAAGAAGCTGTTGTTCGGTCCAAAGATGAAGGTTATTTCCGGCATCGCAGCATTTTGTGACGGTGGTGGTTGAGGGACGACGGGTCACAGTTGGGCACAGGAGGGCATCTGGGCAGCGGTCAGCCTTCAGCCTTCTGGCGACGGTTCGCTGCGAGACAGGCGCGAGACCGAGGAATACGGGCGCAGGGCGCGCCTGGTCTTCCTGCCGGGCGCTTGGAGGCTGTGGGGGCCTTGACACCACGCCAATCCATGCGGGACGACGCACTTGTGGCGCTGCGGGCGTGACCGTATTGCCAACTCATCTGCGGGTTAGTATCGCATCGCAGAACTACGACGAAAGCGCATGGAGAGAATAGAAGAGGATAGAAGGAGAAGGACTACTATTCGCAAAAGCGCTCTCTAATAACTCTGCAAGCTATCAGCTAAGGAGACTGAAACACCAAGCCGAGTCAGCAATCGCCTATGCTGTTGACTGTAACCCGGCCCCCAACATCTCCGAAGGAAGCCCCGAAGCTGTGCCTCAAAGGCAGCCCTTCAACTCTACGTCTGCGTCACTTGCCCGTCTCACCCCGCCAAACCAGAAGGCGCCTCTTCCAGCCCTTCCTAAATTCTAGATGCCGACCCAGATATAACAAATCACGTATAGGGAGCTGTACGGACAATCTTATCTATACAACAAGCCCTAAAATCCGGAGAATCCCCTACTGCAAGAGGTTGGCGCGACCAGGAGTACTGGCGAGCTCTCTGGATGCACTGCTTCTCTAAAGAGCGAGAGAGTTATTCCCACGTCGGAAAGCTCATCGCCAATACGACTTATCACGGCCTTGGTCCCGTCATTGGGATCCAATGGCTCTTTGGCGTAGACCGAGACGTTGGGAAGCGTAAGCAAGAGTTGCTTCACTGCGGTGGAAGACGCGCCGCTTCGGATGAACCCCATTTCGCCAACAAAGGCCACCTTGTTTGACTACGTGCGTGTCGAGCATATGCTTAAGCACATAGAAGGGAACAGAGGTTAGATGCAGCATTTACAGGCTCAGGGGTAACATTACCGCAGTGTCAAGACACTTCTCATCGTCGCCATCATCCTCTCCGAAGAGCAGCCTACAGTCGACGCGCAATACCCGGACGTTCTTCATCCGGTTAAGCGTTGCTGTTCTTGAGGTCAAGGACTCAAGATCGTATGAGCGGACACACGCCCACTCGAGAAATTCGCGACAGGAAGCTAAAGTCTCTATAGTTTCCCCCTAATCGTAATCCTCGAGGAGTTCAACGCCGATCAAGATGAGGCGACGGATGTCTTCGGGGTAGCGGGACCAGGTGGCTTCTAGCAGATTGTCTTGGTTAGAAGTGACATTCCATAGGTCCAGTTTGCTCCAACGCGGGATGCCAGTTTATAAGGAAAGGAAACTGCCTACGCTGACTCCAATAGATCGTACTGTGAAGGCCTCGATGGTTGGAAGGGTAAGTATCTCCGCGATCTTGCAATACTCGATATTGACACGATCGGACAAGCTCAACAAGGACACATTGAAGGACATCGAGAAGCGTGCGCGGTACGCTAACTCGGCCATTGACCGCATTGTGCCCCACCAGGACGAGGGTGCCGGCCTGAACGTGAAGCTTGAGAAGTTCTTCGAAAGTCTGTGAAAATGTTTATCAATTCCCCTTCCGCCATCTGCCTGGAGTCTTGGAACGACCGAAGTCGGTCAAGGGCGAAAGTAATCCTCCGCGATTTCACGCTCATTCGCGGTAGAATGGCTTGGAGTGAAGCAAATCCAAAGAGGCCCGCTACGCTAGTCCTCAAACTCTCACCACGATGGTCACTTTCGATAGGCATTCCAAGAGGGCGACTGCTCTTCCCAGAGCGATCGAAGCTTCCAACTGGGGAAAGCGATCCTCGGCCCAGTCGTATAAAAACTAACTACTCGCGTTCATGCCCCAGTAAAACCTCCCAAACTCTCCCACAACAAGAACAGTCAACCTCAACAGCTCAAGACCATCTCGTCATGTCTCTGAGTGCACTCCCAACCGAGCTGGATGGCCGCATCATCAGCTTCCTCGACACCACCGCGCTCAATGCGCTGTCGAAAGTCTCCAAGTACTATCACAAACAGGCCAAGGAGTATCTATACCGCGACCTGAAATTCACCACGCACCATAGCGTAGCGATAAAGCGACTGGCTCGAACCATCCTCTCCCGTCGCGAACTGGCCGACTACATCCATTCTGTCTCTCTGACGTACAAGAAGGAGGACGATCAACGCCAACCGGATCTGCAGGACCAGTTTGAAATAAAGCCTGTGGATATATGGAAAGCGATCGCAACCATTGAATGTCCCGTACCAGAGCTAATGTCGATCTGCTCGCTGAACCTCGAGCATTCAGGGATGGAGGTCGATGGCTGCCTAGCTGCAATCCTGTTACTAGCGACTAATCTCACGACCATCAAATGGACCTCCGAGGTCAAGAAAACGGGGTTCGCCTTGCTGACCTTCCGCTTCCTTCACATGTCTCAGATGTGGTTGTCCATGTCCGAAGACGGGCCTTGGACGCTCCCCTTCTCGAAGCTCCAGCACCTCGAAATCGACGGCGTAATAGAGCACAAAGTGGTCGATAGGGTCCCCGTCCACGCAACGCTGAGAAAGCTAGCGATTCGAAATAGCACACTCTCTAACCTTCTCCTGCCTTACGAAGAGCCTCGCACTACGATCCTACCGCTCCGCACCCTCGAAATCCAAGACTGCTTCCTCGACCCCGCCAAACTAGAAACCGCCATTCTATCCGGCGTTATGCGCAACATCTCCCATCTCTCCATAGAGTGGAACCCGTACCACAAGATCCACAAGCACTACAACAACCAGCGCCTCGTCACCGCCATGGGCACGTACCTCCCCAACCTCGAAACCCTCAGATGGCTCTCGAACCAGAGCGGCCTGGACGGCTCTGCCATCAGGACGCTACATCCGCTCCAGAAGCTGCGCGTCCTCGACTTCGACCACGTCCTCCCCATGGCGCCGTGTCCGACCCCGGCCCAGGCCCTCGACTTCCTCGCAAACGCGCCCGCGTTCTTCCCTCCCTCGCTCCAGTCTCTCCACTTCCACGAAGTCTGGACCTGGGAGTTCAACGACAAAGTCGACCCCCTCCTGCGAGGCGACACCGGTGCTGGCGCTGACGCCGCGTTCGCCTACGTAATGCCTATTCTCTCCGCTTTGGGGCTGCGCGAGTTGTCGATGACGATGTGCATGCAGGGACCGCCGGGCGAAGACGATATTCGCAGCGACTTTTCAGACGAGGGGAAGGCGCTGTTGCGGCGGATTGCTGATGCGCTGGGCGCGGTGGGCACGCGGTTTGAGGTGTTTAGGGGGCCGGTGGTGCTTGAAGGGGTGGAGCAGGCGAGGAAGCTCTGGATTGGGCCCGGGTTTACGACGGAGGAACTGTGGTTGAGGGAGCGGGATATAGAGGAGGATTTATGGGACGATATACAGTGATAAGGGTTTTGGAGGAGTGGCCGTGTGGTGGAGTGGAATGACTTGTTGTGGGTGATTTGGGCGGCTGGGATCTGGGCACGAAGTCCTGTCCATCTGGGTCAGCTAGACTTAGTCCTGCGTGGTTTATCTACTTTCTGCCTGGTAAATGCTGCACGGATATTGAGAGCTTGCAATGGCAGTCACACTGGCACAGTAGTACAGTAGACAGTTGTGTATACTTGAATTTAGACTGCTGTCATTGTTTCAAGGTATTTCATCGAAACCAGTGTGCCCACATTCCACTTCAAGCCATGATGTGTAAGCCAGCCAAAGAGAGTGCATCACGGAGATGTAGGAGAGTCTCCATACACCGGATCCGTATTGCCCATACTCAATCCACCACCTCCAACATATCATACGCCTTATGACTGACGGCCTTGTTCAGGAGCGCCAGCGGATCAATTTTCTTGGCCTTGGTCTCCGGGGTGGCGCCGGGAATCTTTGCGCTGCCTTTAACGGCCTGGTTTGCATAGTCTGAGAAGTGCTCGGAGTCCTTCCTCATGAACAAGGGCGTGTAGCGTTTCATCGCCAGAGACGGCACTCGCTCGTACTCGATATCCGCAAAGTTCTCTGTGGTGATATCCCTCTCCACGACAGAGAGCGCTTTGCGGAGAGGCGAAGCATAGTTCTTTCGGAAAGCTTCGCGGGCGTGACGTAGGTATAACTCTCGGTTGCTGGCATCGGGGCACACCTCCGCCGGAGTAGGGAAGAGTATCTCAGCGATTGAGGAGAGAATGAAAGTATGCTTGTCGTGGAATTCTCCGAATGTCGGAGCCCACTTTGCCGCCAGTGAGAGCTTCGTCAAGTCTGGCTCCTTCTCGGACTTGAGAAGGGCGCTGTCCTCTTTCAATTGGTCTGCAAACAAGCGGGCAACGGTACCGTGTAAAGCCCGATAGAAACCGTCGTTCCTCAACTTGTCTATCACGCGCTCATGCCGCTCTTTGTTCTTTTTCTGTCGCAAGACCCTTGCTTCTTGCTTGCTCCAGACTCGATCCTTCTTTGCGGTTTTTGATTTGTCTTGCTCCTGAGTGAGCAGGGACGATGGGTCGCCATCGAACTTGAGCTGGTCATTAGCAGCAAAGACCACAAGGTTAAGCAGGTCCTTCCAGTAGCCATGGGACAAGCCATAGCGAACGTCGTACGCCTTCGCTGGATCTTTTGGAGCGGTCTCATCAGCCTCGATCATTTCGAAATCTTCGTCTTCGTCCTTGGCCTTGCCTTCTCCACTGGCTGCGTGTGTCTCGATGCCCATGTCCTTCTTCTTATCATCCTTTCTGTCGGGCAACAGCGCCTCGTCCGCAACCACAGGGCGCACCAGCCATCTCAAATTCGTCAACAAAGTGAGAGGGTGATTCTCAGCTAACCAACCGAATGCTTTATAAGCCGCGACCCTGTTGCTCTTGCCGATATGGATGCTTCGCGCATTGAAGATGATTTTGACGGTCACAAGCGCATCTTCCTTCCAAGCATTCTCCAGCAGCGCCTCCAGCTTGTAACTGGCCGTGCGATTGCCAAGGTCGTAGAAGAGATCGATCAGCGGGTCCTGCGAAGAAATGTGGGTGACGTCGGTGTTCTCGGTGAGCGATTTGTTCTGAGCAGCTAGATCGTCAACCGTCTGGAAATGAGCTACATCTTCATCCGGGCCGGCAACGAAAGGAGCCTTCGTCGGGCGATTATCGTCAGCGTCTACAGAAGCGCGCCGTTTGAGACCGGTGCTGTTCTCGGCTGCCGTCTTGTCGATAGCCCCAATTTCGTCTTCGAGCTCGCGCAGATGCGGATTGCGAGCAGCGTCGACCAACTTCTTCACAAATGTCTGGAAATCGGCCTCTGGTAGGAAGAGCGACTCGTCATGCGGGAGCACGACGGGGAAAGAGGAGTCAAGGACGGAGTGCTTGCGGGCGGCTGCGCCGTCGGCAGTGATTTCTGTGGCCATTGTTAGCCGTGGCTCTCACGTATTGTGTGTAGAAGGTGGAGAGGTTGTTGTTCGCGCTGAGATTTGTGTTAAGTACTCCCGGAGCCTTTCACTCGTGAGCGCACCCGGCTAACTGCAAATTTGGCAAGAGCGCTTCTGCCTAGCAACCTGCGACGAATCAATCGCAAGTATACAGTGGCTCTGATAATTCAGCCCTAAGAAATTTACAAACGACACTGCATAGTTGAAATGCTTCGCCGCAACCTACAGGCCCATCGCTGTGGGAGCACAAGGATATGCCTCCAAAATGACTACTTCGTTTGGACACCGAAGACGGCAAGCCAATATATGACTGTGTGAAGGGCGGTATAAGGGCGGTAGCTTGCAGCAGGATCAATAAATCGGGATGGATCAAAGCTGGCGGTACCGTTAAGCCAGGGGCATCACTTTGCACGTGCTCCGTCAAAAGCGTCCGCACCAGCTACTAGATATATATGAGCAATTAGAAACATTCCACACAGTAAGAATAGCAATAGCTATGGCATTCAGAGAATTTTGCTGTGAAGGTCTCAGTGAAGCGGCGACGACGTAGAGCGCCTGTGCTCTGGGATTCCGACGCGACGATGGATCGTAAACTGTGTTGGACGAGGTATTGAGTTACCTTCGACGGCTCGAATCACTCAAGACCTCTTCGATCGACCGATTGAGGTATTGAAGTCATTTGCGGTGTCTAGTGAAAGGATTGCGGTCGCCGTGCGGTGAACTTCTCAAGCAGCTTAGTCAGCCCCTCACCCCGCCAAACGTAAAGTGGTAGGCATCAACACCAAAGCTCCAAGCTCTCCAGAAACTCTCCACACGACACAACCCCGAGTTCGACATGGCGTCCAACGTAGCGGACTCGCCATTCTTCCAGCAGCAGAAGGCGAAAGGCAACATCATCGTCCATGGTAATTCCTCGAATCCACGCGAAGAGCGGTTCTGCTAACCCGCCATAGATCCTCCGAAATTCGACCTCGAATCCTATATCTCCAATTACGATGGTACGCCGTCTTCGAGCTCCAAGCAAGGTAGAGCGACAATATGCTGACCTATTCCTAGGCTTCACTCGTCTCGACCGCCTGCACCACATCGGCTCGCACTCGGCCTACCTCGCCGTAGACGCATACCGCATAGCTATCGCGGAGGCCAAGCAGGGCAAGAACGTCAAGCTGTACCTCTTACTCGTCGAGGAGCTTAGTCAGATAGCGCCGAATGACCCGGCGGCCCTGACAGACACGGCGTGGGCGGAGAAGAAGACGCGGGAGGTGCAGCAGGAGCAGGACCGGCTGGACCATGAGCTGAAGTCGTACAAGAACAATCTCATCAAGGAGAGCATACGGGTGCGTTGTTCCACATTTGGATATGAGAGGCTACGGGCGGCTAACAGACGGTATAGATGGGCAACGAAGACATGGGCCACTTCTTCTACGCATGCGGGGACTGGAGCGCTGCCCACAAGGCTTACATGCGCATGCGGGAACACTGCACTTCGAACAAGCACCTCGCCGACATGACTCTCCGCCTCGTGTTCGTCAGCATCGCACAGAAGTCGTGGTTAGGCGTGCAATCGCACGTTGCCAAAGTGGACGCGGCACAGCTCAAGGGAGACGAGAAGATCAAGCTAGAACCAATCATTTCTGCTTGCACGGGGCTGGCACATATGTGCACGAGCAATTTCCGCGACGCGGCTACGAACTTCATTCACACCTTCCCCACCTTCTTGACACTAGAGCCAGCGGCGGGGATAACATGGCAGCGGGAAGTTCTATCGGGCAACGACATAGCTGTATACGGCGGCCTCTGTGCACTAGCATCGATGGACCGGAGCGAGCTGCAGAATCAGGTCCTAGCTAATAGCGACTTCCGCAACTTCCTGGAGCTCGAGCCGCACATCCGCCGCGCCATTACCCTCTTCTGCAACTCCAAGTACAGCGCCTGCCTTGAGATTCTAGAGGGCTACCGGAATGACTATCTCCTGGATGTATACCTTTCCAAGGTCCTCAGCACCATATACGGTCGCATCCGAACCAAGAGCATCGTCCAATACTTCATCCCCTTTAGCTGCGTCACGCTGGATGAGATGGCGACCAAGTTCCAGCTCACAGGCGAATTCGCTACCATCGAGGATGAGCTCGAGACGATGATCAACAACGGCACTCTGGATGCGCGGATAGACCTCGTTGACCGGCTCCTTATTTCACCTCCGACAAATCCGCGCTACAATGTCCACGCAGATGCCCTCGCCATGGCGGAGAAGTACGACCACACTCTCCGCCTGCGGTTGACGCGCCTCAACATGCTAGCTGCAGGAATGGAGATACGGCCAGATAAGAACCAGCCGCGGGAGGGACCTCCGGGAACGGGTGAGGGTCTGAGCTCTGGGATGAGGGGTATTGGATCCAGGCTAGGCCTGACGTAGGCGCCAAAAGAATAGAGCGAGCGACATTGATATAGCATTTGCAGGCGTTCTTCGGGATGGCGTAGAGCAGCGATAGGTATAGCAACTCCGCTAAGGGGCGTTGAACCGTTCAGATGACGGATGCATGAAGGAGGCGCGGTCCCCCAAGGCCGCATCCCCGCGCTCCATCGAATGAAAATGCAAGGTCTTCAACATCTGTTCCTTGAAGTTAGTCACGTTGTGGGCAATCAAGACAGACTTCGAAACGAGCCGCCAGACCACTCACCATGTCTCCCCTCTCCCATCATGCTATGTTGAAGACTTGGTCTTGAATACCTCTCGTCCTCTTTAGCTCCTCCGCCTCCCCAAACATCATCCCATCGACGTAGCATTCGCCCACGAAGTACCACTTCCCCTCGCCCAGCTCTCGCAGCACATAGGGCACACTCCCTCCATAGAGAATCGCAATAGCGTCTCCGGGTCGCGCGTTTCGGGGGCAGAGACCCATCCGTCCGTCGCGCGTGATGAAGAACTTGCGCTCATGGCATGCTTTGCCGGCCAGCACGGCGAACTGGTCCGGGTCGCCTCGTTCAACTAGCCTACGGAGATGAGAGGCATTGCGGAGGCTAGCGAAGGCTGGGTCGATGCGGGCGAAGTACGCCGCAAAGTCGGCGACTAGGGAGGGGACCTCGCGGGAGGGTACGACCTTTCCCAGCGGGTAAGCTCGGAAGTCGGTATACAGAGCGAATCCCGCGGCCGTTAGTGTGTGTATGTAGGACTGCAGGACTGCATCTTCGGCGCTACCCTGACGATGTGAACAGAGGTGCTTTTCCCAGATGGTCATCAAGGCGTCTTCGGTGTCGGCATGGAGGTTGAGGTCCTTTCCCATTGTCAAAACGCTTGTCATTTGAGGACCAACCTGGTCGATGATGAACCCCGAGAGGCTCAACGCCGTGCTGCCGGGAGAGTTGTTGGTTACCGTGGAGTGATCTACTGCGGTTGAGAACGCGGCGTTGTATTTCCTTGGGAATCCTAGACCACGGATTGTTGCGATGCAGACATCGAAGTCAGGCATCCACGAGATGATGTCATTCTGTGGCCTTCCGACGGAGAATGTGTCGACGGCGGATAAGATGTCGAGATTGTCCATCATCAAGATCATCTCCCTTGCAAATCCAGTGTACACGTCCACCTTGGATTTGGAGTAGTCAGGGCGCATGTTAGGTGTCTGAGAATTGGGGCTGGTAATGTCGTTCGCGAGTCCGAGGAGCGCGAAGCACTTGTCTCTGGGATCGGACGCTTGGAAGTCTCGAGCGCGGCAGACAAGTTCTACCATAGACAAGCCCCTCGGTGCTCTGTTGTGGAGCAGCCCAAACCAGAGTTCAGGAAGGTAACCGGCACCTTGATGGCCACCATCGTCTTCAGCTCTGCCTAAGTATGTCGTATACCTGCGAGTAAGAAAAGACTGCCAGAGAGCAGCTAGGAGGATGGAGCCCCAGGGCAGCGACAATTGACCAAGTCGGGCTGTGATTTTCTTATTCGAGAAGGCCTCCTGAAGAACCCAAACTCTGCGAAACCATTGCAGAGAGAAGAAGTTGGCTACACACTCATATGATTCTCTCACGGCGGCTTCTGGAAGTTGCCTCGATGTATACTGTTCCATCCAGCCAATGTCCGAAGTAGACAGAGCTAGGCTTCCATTTCCAATGATGGACTCGGCCGTGCGGGTTGTATCGTCCCGGAAACGAATTGCAATCGACGAGATAATGGATGAGGCTTTGTTTAGTGTAGCAGTGCATTCCCCAAGCCAGATGATGACGCTTGCGGCTCTGCTATAAATTTCCTTCATCATGGCAACCTGAGCGGATCTTTCAGCTAGATCGCCCTGGTTGATTGAGATTGCGTCAATCCAGAGCCATTTCGCGGCGTGCGTTTCCTGAAGGCTCGTCAAAGCGCTGAGTAAATTCTCCGTGACTAGGAAGGGCTGATAGTGTGAATCTGGCCCATCCGATGTCCTGACGAAAATCTGTCGCTTCTTGCCTCCCTCACCCCAGCAGTAAGACAGGCAATCATATTTCATATTCTTTCTCCATGATTGCGTGCATATCATCGTGCAGTATATTCCATCTTGAGAGCCGAGTCCCTGGCCGGACTCTATCTGTATGAGTCGTAAGCTACCGGAGCCTGCGTCCGGTAGGGGAGGATATTCGAAAGCTCCCCGTGTACCCTCAGGCTTTTTCGTTAAGGGGGCTCCAGGGAAAGCTTTTGCCATATGTGGGGCATGAGAAGGATGCTCCATTCTATGCGTGGACGAGACAGAAGATCGGCCATCGAGGCATGCGATATCCTGTGAACATACAGGGATGTCTCCTACCGCTGGAGACTCCGTTTTGAACGTGGTATCTGTTGAAGGCTCCATCCTCTGCGATGACTGGGATTGATGTCGCGCCTGGAACATGAAAGCAACATTGGCAAGGTTTGTGTTTCGCATTTGTTCACCCGGAATCTCAGGGAACGTGCGAGCGGGACGGGAAGGGACTGGTCGAGCACCGCCAGATATTCGCTTGACAAAGTACTTGAAACGAGTTTTGAGAATAAATTGTAGGTTTGCCAGTGAGTAATTGACAGGGAAGGCCCCAGGTGGAAGTTGCCCCAAGGCCCATCTCTCAGCTAACGGGATTTCTGAGTCGTCGGGATTGCTGTCTGGACCGTCATTGGGAAGGAGTACGTTAGTGGGTGGAGTATTTGCTACAATGGTACTTTGGAGATGTCGCGGGTCTGACACTGGGATATCGGATCGATCTTCTGCGATACCGGCTGCTCTGCCTGGAAGATGGTGGCCTTCTAGAGAAGAGTCAACGTTCGGGGCTTGCTGCCGAAACCCCCGGTTGGTTTCGACGTTCGCATTTCCGGTCTCAAGTGGCCGGGAAGAAGCTCTTTCTCCCCATTTATTGTGCTCCAATGGAGCAGGGAAGGAACCAGGAAGTTCTGAGAAGTTCTGAGTGTGTTTCTCGGCCGACCACCTTGCGTGGGGAGGAGGTAGCGCAGACAAGAATTCTACATTACTTGGCCTAGCCTGCGAGGGATAGGGAGGGGATAGCGCAGACAAGAATCCCACATTACTTGGAGGAGCCTGCGAGGGAGGAGCCTGCGGGGGAAGAGACTGCGGGGGAGGGGATAGTGTAGACAAGAATCCCACATTACTTGGAGGATACTGCGAGGGAGGAGCCTGCTGGCGAAGAGGCTGCGGGGGAAGGGATAGCGCAGACAAGAATCCCACATTACTTGGAAGGGACTGGTCTTCGTGGACAGAGTCGTATTGCGGGGGTTTACCGAACGGATTTGTATTCGACTGTGGCGTATGCATCGTGCTCATATCCAGGCGTACGTGAATCCGATCTAGTTTGAGCCGGGGCTCTGGCTGGTATTTCCGACGTATATGCCAGTGCTTCTTGTACGTTAGCTGAGTGAAGTTGAACGGCGAATATCTTCTCTTACGTAGTCGTCCTTCTCGTAGTCGTTCCTCTCTAGTTTGATGTTCTATCTACTGAAGGGACCTTCGCATGGACTTCTTGAGCTGGCTCTAGCGAATAAACGCTCCCGAACTGGGCGTCTGAATACGACGATTTACGAAGGGCGCATGTAATCCCGCGATGGCTAGCGGTTCTCTCTTCTACGAGCTGAGGCCCTCGCACAAAGAGCATGGAGAAACAAGCTTTCCGATGATGCCGTATCGTGTTGAGCTCTCTCGGGCGGCCCTGCGCGGATCGATTGGATGGTGCTGGAAAAGAAGTAGGGATAAGTAGGTAGGTACGTTGCCTGAAACGGTGGCGATGTGATGATGCGCACCCTCAATCGAACGTAAATTTCTGGCTCAATGCAATGGGTGTAATGGACGACTGCTACAGCTTGAGACTGCGTAGGCAACCGTTTGACCCCAAGTGAGCGGTGAGAACGTTGGGATGGAGACGAGGGCTGAGTGTCTAAGCACTCGGAGTGAGCTACGAAAAAGGCAAGTGCCCCGCGACGCCTGTTCCGGCGGGAAGGCACGATGAGAGCTACCAAGCAACTCTACTTCGACTTCATCACTCCTACACTGCAAAGTTCGATAATGTCAGTCTCGTTGAGTGTACTGAGCTTTAGAGCTCGCAGAGCCAGCGCCCGAAGAGAATCGAAGCATCACGGCCATTGGTGGGAAGCCGCCAATAAGTTTCACGCGCTTGCAAACAGCATTCGGCGATTCGCATCGCTCTGAGACGGCTCTCGACCACCGCCGGAATTACAAGAATCACCGCACGGCCCGTACCAGTCCTTCATCAATCGATATCGCATCTCTGGGGGTCCGTTGTCTTGGCTTGTCTTTGCCTTCCGCCTGGCCCCAGGGCTGTCGCGGTGCAGGCCGAGCCAAAGCCCGCGCGCATATGGAGGAGAAACACCTTCAACACCTAGATCACCTTTCATGGAGTCAATGGCAGGACCAGGGTTGGCGAGGTGGAGCCGTGAGGTGAGTTTCTGAGATGGTTTAGAATCCCCGAGTCGAGCTAATATGGCTTTCTCCTTGGAGATAGGCTCATGGGCGGCACGCCATGGGCGTGTCCATTCGTGGAGAAAGTCAGAGCATGGCACAACGTTCGATTTGTCCGGCACATGCCATGTTAACATGGTTCGAAGCTTCCTTTTCCCATCAGAGTCCAATGGACAGGCTTGGGCGAAAGCCACCGTCGCCTTCCACGAAGGCCATTGCACGGGTAATGCCGTCCTGGGCATGGACATGGGCATGTGACATGAGCCCATAGCAAATGCAGGAATCGAGATGCTGATGCTGCACTGTTGCTGGACGAATCGCCGACTTCGAAGCCAATGGGAGGGTGGGCAGGGCTCCAGCAGCGTGGCTGGCTATCAGAACACCTCTTCCCACCATGTGTATTCTCTGACCGTCCAAGAGGGGTAGGCGAGGCTGCCAGCTCATCTGGGGTCTCGAACGCGGGATGGGTGATGGCGACTCTCGTGGCAGGTTGCATGGCTCCAAAGCCTCTTCTGCTTGGTCGATGCAGCCTTTACCGTGAAGAGCGACAGGGCTGGCGTCCGGGCGGTGTGGATCGTCCAATGGCGCTCGACCGCCGAGGGGATGAGACGGCACATGAGGCTCTGCTCGTAAAAATCAGGCCACAGAGCCCATCCGGCAGGCCAAAAAGCATCCCCCCGAGGGCGAGCCAATTTGGCCCTGTTATTTCGCGCTATTTCCTCGCCGTCCTGGCCCTAGTCGCTGGTCGGCCCGGCTCTATCCACCTCCTGTTTGGGCTAGCCAATCTGACAGTCTAGCGCGCGGGAAGGGATCTCGCTGGGACCGCCAATCCATTTCGCCGGGTGTCCGTCCCTTCCAAATCGGGTTTCATGGCGCTCGTCTGCGGGGGTGCAGCGCACAGGCGAGGCCGACGCCGAAACCCAAACTCCACACCATTTCCCCTTGCGACCGGCGAGGCCGACCAACGGTGGACGTCGATAGTCGCGTCTTTGTGCTGTTTTACCGGGCGCGACGGCTCGTTCGCTAGGCTTTGACGAAGTTTGTCGCCTGCCACCGGTGTCTGGCGCGGACGAGAATGCCCTCGTCCACGACGCCAAAAATGGCGCTTCGCTCTCCGATCTGATGGGCGCACAGCACTATCGGTCGAGGATAGATTGCATGCCCCGACGGCCGAATTGGTCGTCATCAAGCACCATGCGACTGGTACGAAACGCCGGAGACATGCATCTTAGACGGGGCATCACGACATCATGGGGGAACATCCGTCCCAATCCGTAATATTGGTAGTCCCAGTGAGCATTCCTCTGCGCATCACCCGTCGCCGTGGCTTTCGGGCGCTCCATGCGCTTCTGCACCACCTGCTGCTGTCGTACCCCTCATTTTGTGCGATTTTCTAGAAGCGTGCCGTCTGCTATCAAGGACTTCGCCATTCTGGGGTTGGAATTGTCCGCAATTAGACCGTCGACGACTCGACAGCGACTGGCAAGCGCAAACAAGGCGAAGCGAGGACAGAGGGCCGGACCCAGAGTCAGGCCGGGGCCGGTCGTGGACGACGTCTCTTTGACGCAGGAGACATGCGTGGCACCTCACTTCCCAATGCCTTGAGGACCGATGCTATCGCATGTCTCAGAAGCGTCTTCATCACATCTCAACCCCTGAGTCTAGAGGACGCTTTGGAGAGGTGGGGGTTCACTTGCCTTTACTATGGAGCAGGCGGTGGAATACTCCTCCGGTCTTACTATTAAGATTAACCCGCTCAGCAAAACCGTCCAACGCCTCCAACGACTCCTGGCGCGTCCGTTAATAGAAACGATTTGGCAGCCCATACCAATCATACGCCAAATCGTGCACAACATCTACACGAGACGAGACGTCTCCTGCATACCTTCGAATTCCGGTCGGGCACAAGAAGCGACGACGGACGCGGTTTGTGTCCACATTACGAGCGACAGGCATGCTCGCGAAACAGGCCATTCCGGTGATAGCTTGGATGTCGGTTTTCTAATCCGTCCCAATACGAGCGCGAGCCAGCAGGGTTGCGGCCAGAAGCAAAAGGGTCTGGGCAAGTCTTCTTTGACCCTGTGGCCGTGCAACGCCTATCGTATCGTGGACTGTCAGATCACGTACATGAAGCACGTTCTTTGGGACGCGCTGTGCTCGCTGATTCGCCGCCACGCGAGCTCTTTGCTCGCTGGGCCGCTATATATAAACCGCGATACGGGTCTGTGGCGGTGTCGCAGCCACACTCCTCACTGGAGTTGCCTGTTCTCGCTGCACGCTGTAGAGTGCTGTTTCAATAGTATTGAGACGAAGCAGTCGCACCCGGCTGCTGAGCATTCCTGACGTTTATCTATTGCGTACGGCAAACTCGACCACCCCACAGCTTGCGAGCCCATACTCTCCGACGAGGGCGACAAGACTAAAATAGTCTACCACTTCGCATGCCCTTTCCTAAACATCCAGGCTCGTCGTTAGCGAAAGCTACCAAACACCTCTGAGTGGAAGGTTTCGTAGCCCTGCCGGGCTGTGGTAGCGGACGTCCAGTGCAACGCCTGGTCAAAGCACCCAAAATAGCCATCGTGGCCATCCATGGGCGATGGTAGCGTTTTTCCAAGCAGACCACTTCTCTCCCCGCAAATGTCACATGCCCATATGGAAGGACTCGCGAGCACATGAACATCCTCCACGTCCTGCACGTGAAGGGACGAGATAGTAGATTGCGGGCGACAAGGCTACGGGCGATGTTTACATTATTAGATATGGTGAGATCTCTCCCGACGTGTCGCAGGGAGGCGTTACATTGGTATTGGTGCACGACGGAATCCCGTGGCAGCAAGGCAGGCAATATTCATGCGCTCAAGCAAGCCGGTTACACTGCAGAGACGGGCAGGAGGGGTTGGGCGGCGGCGTGATAGGTTATGGCGTCCCAGGACAGGGCCTCTCCAGCGTGCGGTTCACGCTTTCTCACCAACCTTATCCATGACTTCGGGCCAGAGGATTCAGGGACCACGAGAGCGAACGAGACACGATGATTACCCGGGCCCGGCAGGCCGCATGGACGCGGGACGAAAAGGCCGAGTATTACGGCCAACACCATCTCGAACATGACGACTAATTTGCGCGGGCCTATCTATTGTGTATTGTGCTCAGTGTTGGCTCGTGGAGGCTGGCGGAACGGTTTCGTCGCGAGATTGCTCTGGCCAGCAACCCCCCCACACGCACTGCGGTCATCGTCTCGAGTGCCGCTGGTTCGCAGGCAGAGGAGGTGGTCTCGACCGTCGCTGGCGAGGGCTCACCGCAGCCCTGCTTGCTGGGACGGACGGAGCCAGCAGCACCAGCAGCAGCACCAGCACCAGCAGCAGCACCAGCACCAGCAGCAGCACCAGCACCAGCAGCAACGGTCAAGGCATATGCCGCCCTTTGGAGGGTGAAGCCTCGCGGTGCTGCCTTGGGCCGGCGGTGAGGCGGGCCTCCATGACGCGCCGTAGCGTCTGTTAGTCATGGAGATGGTGTTGGGGAAACGCGGTGTGGTCAGAAGCTTGACGGGAGGGGCCAGGGCCGCTAGCGGTGGCAGGGCAGAGGCTCGTGAGGGCCGCGACGAGCCTCTATTGGGACAATGGTGTAAATTTAGGCCGCCCAGGCGGGCGCGGGCCTATCAGGCGGCGGCGGCGCGCGCACAGCCTCGCACCAGCCACGGCGCTCGCCAGCCAAAGCGAGGGCGTCGCGAATCAGCGGTGCAGCGGGCTCCAGGCGGCCGGGTGGACAGGCCCATGGCTCCCCGCCGTGAGCGGCCGTCACCTTGCACATCGCCAGCACCCATCCCAATCCGCTTCTCTTCGCCAGATTCGGCCTGCAGCACGCCGGCGCCGGCGAGTGAGCGCGCGGCGCGTGGGGAGGCCCTCGTCGATTCAGGCATGGCCTGCGCGGCGGCCGTCGTGGTGGTGCGGCGCCCCCTGCACCGTGCTGCAGCGCCGTGCAGGGCCCGCGCTCGCGCTCACCGCACCTCCTGGACGCTCGTCTTACCGCGATGCGGTCGGGGCGCGCGATCGAGGCGGAAACGCGAGGTGCTGGCCGCCGGTATGCTGCGCACGAGTGCCTTTCTTATTTTCCTAGCGCGCATTCACCGTCTGCCACCTCATGCCACGGCCAAGCAGTGTAGGGCAGCCGTCACAGCAAGGGGAACCATGGGCCGGGGGGGCTCCAGTGGCTTTGCGCAGCGTCCGCGCTGGGGGCCATCCACAGACATGACTGAGAGAGCTTTATACATAACTCGACTTCGCCCCCGAGCCACCTCCCCAAAGTCCAGGCCTCCGATCAGCATAAACATCCAGACTGCTCTGAAGAATCCCTCAGCCGTAGTCCGTCCGCATCACAGCACTCCGCGCAACACCCTCTCTGCTTCGCCTGCCCGCTGTCTTTGCTACCGAGACTCCGGCCTCTGGACCCTCCTGTCGACGTCAACAACTTCCGTTCCTGGCAGCACCCGCGCTATCACCCGTCGAGCAAGACCAGCAGCAGATCGCGGCCATTCAATAATACCTGCCACTGACAACCGACCACCTCGCCGACCCGTGCGACGGCTCCAGGCTCTAAGCTGCCGCGGGTAATCCATCGTTTCAAGGTAGGCTTCCCCTGTCCAGCATGTATAAGATCCCCCCCCTGTCGCACATTCATATTACTGTTTACTGCTTATGCTAACCATTGCAAAGGCACTGAGCCGCCGCCGTATATCTTTATTCCTGCGCCCGCTCGCAAACCCGCAGCCATGGTCGACTACGTTCCCTATCCGCATACCAGCATGCCTCACGACTTCCAGCTCTACTCCCACGAGGAGCAGCAGCTCGAATACCTCCCCGCCACCCAGCCCTTCCTCCCCTCGAACTCCTACTCCATGGACCCCACATTCAGCGCTCCCTATGAGCATATGTCTTCGCTTGCTGAGGCGCCCAGGCCTCAGGACCTCCAGTTCCACTACGATGGCATCGCACAGGGCGTGAAGTCCACCTTCCAGTACCAGAGCCCTTCAGGATCACCGAACTCGACATCGTACTCCTTCCAAGATCAACCGCCAGTGCTCTCTGCCTCGTCCGAGTCTGGCGCCTCAGTGTCGTCCTCCGCCATGGGCTCGCCGTCGCTTAACCCACAGTTCAGCGAACCCTGGAATCCAATGGCCAACGGCCTTGGGCTCACTTCGGGCTTCGAATACAGCGGCCTGGTTGAGTCAGTCAAGGTCCCGGGCTGTGTGGGTGAGTCAACCAACGTTCTTTCGCGAGTCGAGTCATTTCCCTCTGCCGCATCTCCTACAACACCAAAGTCCGAAGGGTCGTTCAACAATGTATTTAAATCACCCACTGCTCCTGCTTCGGCAAAGTGGTCGGCGTCGAGGTCCAGCGCGTTTGCAGGCCGCAGAAACTCTCTCCTTTCGCATGAAGTCCGCCCGTGCGACATCCCCGATGGCGCTTCCCAGTCTCCTTCTACTCCAGTCAATGCCTCTCAGCAATTTGCTCAAAGCCCTTCCAACTTCATTACTCCATCGGAGCCATCTTGTCGGTTTCCTTCCATTCCTTCCCTTTTAGCGCCTCCTCTTGGACAAGAGACCCATGCTAACGCAACCTGCACAGACCCCAACCTGGTCCAGCCCTTTGGCAACCCCCTGGCTTACCCTCCGGCATCGCCCTATCCAGAGATCCGCACAACACCATCACCCTACTTCCCGGTGATCGAACACCCTCCGTCGCCTGCCCTTTCACAAATCTCTTCACACAGCCAGCGCCCTGGCTCCAGGAACCTGAAGAAGGGCAGCCAGTCACCTTATCTCGACACCCAGCGCTTCCAGCCGTACCCCAACTTCAATGGCGCAAGACGACGATCAGATGCTTCTCTCCACTCACAGCACTCGGGCACCAGCCGCAAGAGCGGCAGCAGCTACGAGCTAGACGACGAGACGAGGGAGAAGGGCCTTTGCCCCCTTCCAGAGTGTGGACGCGTCTTCAAGGATCTGAAGGCGCACATGCTCACCCACCAGAACGAGCGGCCGGAGAAGTGCCCAATTACAACGTGCGAATACCACATCAAGGGCTTCGCACGAAAATACGACAAGAACAGACATACCTTGACCCACTACAAGGGCACCATGGTCTGCGGCTTCTGTCCCGGGTCCGGCTCGGCGGCGGAGAAGTCGTTTAACCGCGCCGATGTCTTCAAGCGACATCTTACCTCAGTCCACGGTGTCGAGCAGAATCCTCCCAACAGCCGGAAGAAGTCGCCGACGGGACGCAAGGCCTACTCTGGCGCGCAGAACCTGGCCGGTACCTGCTCGACGTGCTCGGTGACTTTCGCCAACGCGCAAGAGTTCTACGAGCACTTGGACGACTGCGTGCTCCGCGTGGTGCAGCAAGCCGACCCCAGCGAGGCCATCAACCAGCGCCTCCTCACCTCCGTCGCCGAAGACAAGGACGTCACCGAGACGCTCGACCGCAACGGGCTCTCCAACAGCGTCGAGTACAGCGTCCCTAGCTACGACGAAGACGAGGAGGAGGATGACGAAGAAGAAGTCGACGTCGACGATGCCAACGACGACACCTACGGCGTGCGGCGCTCGCGCTCCGGCAAGGGCTCCCTCAAGACGCACAAGTCGCATTGACAATCAACACATCCCCGGGGTGTCGTCTCGCACGCCGGGGGTGGCAACGCCTCCAAAGTGACGAAGGCCTCTGGTGCGAGGGGTCCTCGGGCCGGGCTGACCTTTTCCAAGGGCGGCGTGGCAATCACGGGCTCGGGCCGCAAGAAGCGCAAGAACTACCCCGTTTCCTGGGGCTGCCCGACCGACAAGATGAAGATGAAGAAGCGCGTGCTCTGCGTCTACGACGGCCCGCGCCGGCTGTGGAAGGACGACATGATGCTCGACCAGGAGTTCGAGGTCCGCATGAAGCTGCCCGACGGCAAGAGCTACGTCACAGACTTGGACGTGCAGACGCTGAAGCGCGCTGAGGCGCTGCATGGCGCTACGCCTGAGGAGCGCGGCCCTTGGGCCCCGGATAATGTCATCGACGCTCCGCCGATGCCGCAGGCGCCCGAGATGCTCGAGGAGTATATGATATGATTTAAGCATCGGCTCGGCTCGGTCATCGGATAGGATGGATATCGGAAGGGAAAAGTTTTGGTTGGGCCTGCTCCTCTTCCCTCTCTTTCGTTTTCTCTCGCAAACCCCACATAACCCGCTCGTCGATTCCAAGTGTTGGATCCGCACGAGAGCCGTACACAGAGACGCGATCAAGACCACCCCTTTTATGTTGTACTTTTACTTCTTCTTTGACAACTACCCCTTCTTGTGTCTTCTTCATCATCCCCCTTGTTCTTTTTTTTTTCCTTCGCCCTTCTCTTGCTTAGTTGGGCTTCTTTGCGTTTGGGCCAGGTTTCGCATGTTTGAGCGATTGGATTGGGATATTTCAGATCGATACCACTGCTTGCTTGGGAGGAAAGGGACTGCTGGTTGGTGTCGGCATCGGCGTTTGGCTATGGCTTTGTTTTATGACCGAGCTCCCTACTTGGGATGAGCGATGCGACGCTTTCAGTCATGGGCTTCTCTGGGTAATGTGTATCATGGGTTGGCGGGGTTTGCACCGTGCTGTGCGCGAGTGGTAGTTTTTAAAATCTATTGTCTTGTCAATCTTTGATCTTTGTTGCTTGGTGATGGGTGAAGTAAAGTGACGTGGAGTGGAGTGGAGTGAGTTGCTCGAGAGAAGAGGGTGTGTTGGAGTGGAGGAGTTGGATGAGAAGGATTGAAAGGGGTAGACCAGTAAGGAGGAGACAGACATACCTAAGGACTTGCGAAACTATCTCATCATACATCCCTCCATCTGCAACTATTAGCCCACCTCCGTATGACAAAGTATCCTCGCACCCATGCGAACCAAGCAACATACCTTCCTCACTCTCCAGCTCCGGGGGTTCAGCCCCCCAGATATACCCATCCCCTCCCCACTCCCTACCTACCTATTCGCCTCCCCCCTTCCCACGCCCGCCAACCGACCATCATGCCCCAATTTACTCCCCAACCCGCCCATCTCAGCATACCCACACGCACACGCCAACGCCTTCAGCTCAGCTCGGCTACGTCTCCGGAAGCGGGCGGGGCGGGCCAAGGCGGATGACTAGCAGGCGGAGTTTCCTGTTCGGGAGCGATTGACGCGTCCGGGGGCGGCGAGCAGAAGGGGAGGCGGGCGTGTCTGACTGTTTGGGAGAGAAGGGAGGGAGAAGGGGTTATATATATATATATATTTGCGTAGAGGGAGTGGGGTGGGGTGAGGAGTTATTTTGAGGGAGGGGGAGCTGGAGGAGGATTATTCTTGTTTGGAAGGATTGTGGATGGATGGAAGGATTCGAGAAGCTGGGTAAGGCTGACTGGTGCGGCGTATGTAGGGCTGAGCTGGGCTGGGGGGAGGGGGAGCCTCGTATCTGTATGGGACGTGCTGGATAGGTTTGGAGAGAGAGGCTTGTACATGGCGAGATATTTTTCTTTTGACTGGTGGTTTGGATGGCAGAGTTCACAATGCGCTGCGGATGCTGTTTTTTCGAAACTCGAGGCAGACTTTGAAGGTTATGTGGGCTTGCTTCGGCGGCGCAAGCATCGGAGGAGACTCGGCGACACACAGCTTTTGCCGAGTACGGTTGGGAGCGTGGAAACGGGTGGTTTGCATGAAATTTGGAGATAAATGGGTGGAGGATGGTTCTGATTAGGGAAGAGGGCCGTCGTGTTCGCTTCGCGCTGTGCTTGGTAGAGGATTCACTGTTCTTTCTTGTCGGATACGGGCCCATCCATTCTTGGTACCGGTCTCTTGGCGCAGAGCAGTCGTTGCTTCCTCTTAAGGCTGCTGGCCGAAGAAACGCACTTGCCAGCGAAGTACCTAGGTAATGAATGGAAATATTGAGTGCTGATACGACTGCGTTTTGCGTGCTGGGATAGCAATGCGGGAGGTGGTAGTGTTGGCTCCGTCATCGATTTAGGCGAGAAGCAGCGGTGGACAACCCTTGGAGCGCTACTCCGCACCGCGCGGTATCTTACCTCGACCTGTGGAATCTCTCTAATACACCATTTCCGGCGTGCTCTTCTTCATGGACCACCCTTCTGCGCCTCTCCCCGTCGACAACCCTCAGCATGTGCAGGAGGGCATCTTCAACGGGCCGGTCCACCTCGCGCGCGGACGCCAGGCGCGCGACCCGCAGGCAAAGACGGTCACGTACAGCGTCGCGTCGCTGGAAGAATTCGAATCCTGTCTACGCGAATACCTGGCCACCCTCGCAGACCGGGACCCAGAGCACACCGAGTGCCAGCTCTCCTTCTGGATAGGCACGAGCTTCCTCGTTTCGGCGCCCGATCCCAATCCCCAGCAGCAGCAACACCAGCAGCCTCAGCAGCCTCGATTATCGTCGCAGCCCCACCTCGCCCAGCACCCCGACGCGGCCCCGGGCTACCAGCCCGCGAACGGCATCCAGTATGGCGCGCCGAACCCGTACCAGAACGTCTCCGACCCTGCCATCGCTTTGACGCTACAGACATTTCCGCAGCAGTCGCCGCCGTCGAATCCGGACGCGAATGGCGCCGGCAACGCGAGCAACACTCCCAAGAAGCTGCAGGTGGAGCACAAGGTCAGCATGAGCATCCTAGAGGCGCTGCAGCCGACGGAAGATCCGAAAGAGAAGATGCGGAAGCAAAGAGCAATTGCAAAGAGCTGCGTCGACGCGATACAAAGGTCGGATGGCTTTCGGTACAGCTTCCACAACTGCTGGAACAGCCGGGAGGACGACAGCTTCCGCTTCTCCTACTACTGCAACGACTCGCTCCTGAACAAGGACCGTGCCGCAAACGGGAAGGGGGCAAAGCTGGGGAAACGCGCAACGAAGCCGGTGTACGACTGCAAAGGCGTGCTGTCGGTCAAGTTCTCAGCCAGCAAGCAGAGCCTGGATGTTTTCTACAAGCATGTCCCCATCCACAAGACATATGAGGAGCGGGCTCCCCCGCCACGCAAAGACTCGAAGCGGCGCAAATATCTCGAGGAGAACGATCCAGAGGCGCTATCCAGGATACAGAATCGGCCCAAGTCAGAGAAGAGGGAATCAGACCCCGCAGCTCCGCCTAAGCCTAGCAAGAAGAGGAAGAAGCCCGAAGAGACCAAGCCTTCCTCCACATCGCTGGAGAGTGATTTAAGAGCACAAAGCTTGCGTTCTCTGCTCGAACTTATCCGCCCGGATCCTGCTCCTGAACCGTCTTTCCCCGTCCAGCATGCTCCCCAACCCCCGCCTCCACCACCGCCATCACAGCCCCAACCTGCGGCTCATGTGGACCCCAAGCCAGCGAATCCTCCGCAGATGCACGGTCAGGCGCAGGCTCCGGCGCACGCGCACGCGCACGCGCATGTTCAGCAGACTCGAAAGCGGCCCCGAAATAGCTGCGATGTGTGTAAGGCCAAGAAGACGAAGGTAAGTCTCCCGCGCAGCCGAGTAGAAGCACCAAAAGCAGAGTCCTGCTGGTACTTGTCTTCTCGCGTTTTCATTTCGATACTGACTTTCTCTTAGTGCGATGGTACGCGGCCAGTTTGCCAGACCTGCATCGACAAAAAAAGACAATGCATCTACACGGACATGGGAGACGACCGGCGTCCGTCGGCGCCCGACCCTACCGAATCGGTGCGACAGGCACAGGCTGCGAGTACTGAACTCTCCGAGCTGGAAAGGATGAAGAAGGAACTTGAAGACGCCAAAGCCCGCATACACGAGCTAGAAGAGGAAAAGAGGCGGACCTCGATTACTCCAGCTCAGACGCCTCAAGCACCTCAAGCGCCTCGGCCTCATTCCCGGTCGCAATCCGATGCCAAACCCCAGCCCGTTCCGCCGCAGCAGCAGCAACAGCGTCAACATCAACAGCAGCAAGTGCAAATGCAGACGGCTCAGCTCCAGAACGCTCAGCAGCTTCAGAACGCTCAGCAGCTCCAAAGCCCGCAGCAGCTACAGAGCCCTCAGCAAATGCAAGCACCCCAACAGCTTCAGAATACCCAACAATTACAGACGCCGCAGTACAACCATTTCAGTAATCACACGGCTCACCCGTACGGGCTTAACCGTCCGATGCCACCGCAGAATATGTCGCAAACCCCTTCTCAGGCACAGCCAACCCACGGGTTACCTTCTGGCACCGGTCTAACGCCGACGGCAGACGCCAGCAACCCGTACGGCCGCGAATTCGGCTGGCCAGCCGCATACTACGGGTACCAAAGCGCCCAGCAGCACCAGCCCGATCAATGGGCAGCTCCGCGGAACTCGAGCGTGTTCCGGTAGACTCCCGCCTAGAAGGCGACAAAGTGGCGAGAGGTTGAAGAGACGGTTGCGCAGGTTCAGACCGCCTTTCAATGTCTCGAGCATTCCGTGTTTATTATGATCTTTCCTCTTTCTCTTTCGGCACATGCGATTTTCAATTGCATTACGGTTGTGGGATAAGTAGCATGGTGTAGGGCGCTGGCGGATCATTATACCCTTTATTGATTTGCACACTGGACTATCGGGCGTGATCCGACAAAATGCATTTAGGCGTCACCTTGGTATGTATTGCCTCCTCTCCTGCCACCAGTTCTCATGGATGGACGGGACAAGGCCTGAAATGAACTTTTTGCTTTTTATTGCTACATCTGCCTTGGAAACGCTCGTAAAGAAGCACCGCACCCTTTTTCCCTCTCCGAGTTCGTCCTTTAAACGCTCAAGATTCACGAAACCACAGCCGCCGCCCCCCATTCCTTTTGACCCCTTTCTTCTAAACGCGAAATTCTCCGGAATAGTTCGCACTCCACCAGGGACGTGCATATATGCATGCTCAAGTCCCTGGTATCTTTGCTTTTCGATCTTTTTTAGTGTGTTAGAGACGATCTGGATCTTCCCGATCAAGTCTCTTATTTCCCCCCCTCATTCTCCCCCCAGTATCTTAGCCAGCGGGAAATCTCACAATCCACCCAGATGCCGCCGCGAACAGCACATCCTCCTCTCCGCCAGCAGGCCCCGTCCGCGCATCTTCCCCCAGGCTCCCCCGAACACCGCGCCCGTCCTGATCATCCTGCAGCACGCGCTGCCTGCGCGCGTCCTCGCCCTCTGCGCCGGGGAGTCGCACTTCAGCCGCCGCGTACTTCTCGAACAGCGCTTGCGCGCCGTGCACGGTCTTCGCGCTGCGCGAGATGTATTGCTGGGTTTTCTCCCACTGCTTTTCTAGGGGCAGCTTGGCTCGGCGGTGCGGTTTCTTCTTCTTTTGGGAAGGAGCGGGGGTGGTGTGCGGCGGGTATGGGGCTGCGTCGTCGTCGTCGTCGATCGTGTTGTTGGTGGAGGGTGCCGATGGAGTGCCGTTGTTGGGAAAGAGTGGGAGAGCGCTGTGGGTATCTCGCAGTCGCGGTGGGGGGCAGGGGGTTCCGTGAGACGAGGCGTTATTGTATGCCGGCGATGGAGTCGAGGACGCGGAGAAGGGATTTCCTGTATTGGTGGGCGTACCGTGTATGGAGTTGTCCCCGAAGCTCGGGGCCGCGGTATACAGTCCTGGGATGCTGCAAGGCCCCGCTGGGCTTCCGTCTTGCTCAAGCCCGCTCTGCTGCTGAAGAGAAGCCTGGTACCAATTCGGCGGCGAGATCGTGTAGAAGCTAGGATTATTGTACGAGAAGCCGACGGTGGTCGTTGACGGGAAGAGACCGCCAGGAACGATGCTAGCTGTATGGACGACGTTGGACTGGCCTGCATACGCTAGTGGGAAAGATGCAAACCCAAGTTCGGAGGGGGCATTCGGGGTTCTACTAACACCACCTGGAATGGCCGCAGGCGCTGCCCCGGACGCCACTCCTTTGCCGGCCTTCACCCAGCTGTGCTCATTCCCGCAGGCCTTTTGATGGTTGGAGTGGAAGAATTCCTTGGGAAACGCGTCCAGACAGAACCAGCACTCCACCATAGTGCTCTCGTGGGCCTCCCTGCACTCCGGCACGTGGACTTTGTAGAACCATGGGCAGTTCTTGAACGGCTGCTTGCATATTCGACACTCGATAAGGTCGGGATCTTCGGACGAGGCGTCCTGTGAGACTGGAAGGCCTGCCGAGAAACTGACAGTGGGTGCATCATTTTGCGCACCGGAAGGTGCCTGCCGGGGTGGTGAGGGTATCCATGGTGAGGAGGAGATATCGGCAATCTGGTTTCGCTGAGCAGGAGATGGGATGGTGTTGCTGTCCACCGTATCGTTCGCTGACTTGTTCGCGAGCTCCTCCAGCACATTATCAATCTTGACTGTGCGAATGGAGTTCCCCCCGGTGCCGGCGGTTCCGTCAACGACAAGGGGTTCGACAGTGTTTCCCTCTTCCTGGACGATACTCTCAATCTGGGACGCACCTGGGGCATCTACCTCTTCTAGGTTGCCCGCTCGCGGAGAGATGTCTGTTCCCATCTCGCTCTCGTCCTTCACTTGCGCAGCATCATCCTCATCACTCTCCGCAGTTTCTGGCACGCTGTGTGCACTGTCGGTCCCCTTCTCAACGTCAATCCGGGCGCCGCCGGTCTCAGCATGGTCTTCCTTGGTCCGCATATCATCGCTGCTGTAGGCCTGCAGGTTCGGTTGTGCGCTGGCTTTGGGAGCTAGGAAGGCGATCGTCTGGATCTCGGACAACGTTACGTTCGACATTTTCTGGGCTTCTGTGAGTTTCTTCAACTCCTCGAGCTCGGAGTGTAACTGCTCGGCCTTTTGGTCCGAAGCGAGCTTGGTCTGCTCCAACGCTTCAATCTTTGCCTCGAACGCCTTCTGCTGCTCTTCAAGCGCTGTCTGAAGAGTCTGCTTCGACAGATCGTTCTGCTGCTCGAGCTCCGCCTGTAACTGCTCTGCCTTTTTGTTTGATGCGAGTCTGGTCTGCTCCAATACTTCAATCTTTGCTTCTAACGCTGCCTGCTGCTCTTCGAGAGCATTCTGGAGATTCCGGTCTGCGAGCTTGGTCTGCTGCTCAAGCTGAGAGGCAAATTCTTGCTGCTTCTGCTCGGCTGCCTCGCGGAAGGACTGCTGGAGGTCATTGATCTCCGCGCGGTGCTTCACTCGGGCTTCTTCGACGTCTTTTTCGAGCTGGGAGACCTGCTGCTGGTGCTCGGTAGTCTCTCGCTGCTTCTGCTCAGCTGCTTCGCGCAGCGACTCCTGGAGAGCTGCAATGTCAGCGCGTTGCTTCTCTTCAGCGCCCTGGGCGTCCTGGAGCTGCTGCTTCAACACAGCAAGCTGGTCGCGGTGCTGGATCTCGATCGCGTCTTTCTGAGACTTGAGAAGCTCGTACTTCTGCTGCTCTTCTTGGACATGGCGCGCCATCAGCTGGTCCTTCTCTTCTCGCAACTTGTCAAGGGCTTTATGGTGCTCGGTGCTCTTCGCTTGTTCTACTCTCTCAAGCTGTTCGCCATGACGGAGCTTGAGATCGCGAAGCTCTTTTTCGTGGGCGTGGCGGAGTTGAGCAAGCTCTTCACTCTTCTGCCTGAGCTGATCCTCCTGCTCGTTACTAAGCGTGCTGAGCTGTTCGGATAACTCTTTCTCGCTGGCTTCCTTCTCTTCGAGCTTCGTGGTGAGCTCCCGGAGCTTGCGCTTGCTTTCGTCCTCGCGATCACGAAGGTCCTGATCCTTTCGCACCAGCTCGTCGCGGAGGTTACTGATCTTGCCGTCCCTCTCGCGCGTCACATCATCGATCATGTCTTCGGATTTCCGGACCTCTTCTTTGAAGACAAGGAATTCGCGATCCTTCTGCTGGGCAAGCTGCTCAGCTTTCTCCTTTTCATCCCGAGCAACTGCAAGCTTCCCCTCCTTCTCAGCGAGATTGGCTCTCAGCTCATCTTTGTGCATCTGGAGCCCGGCGAGCTCTTCCCCTTTGCCATTTGTTTGGCGCTTGAGCGTCTCAATCTGTTGCTGCAACTGCTTCTCGGTCGCCTGCTTCTGGATCCAGAGTCGGAGCAGCTGCTCCCTGGCGGTCTTGCGGTCTTCTGCATGCTCTTGCTTGAGCGTCGCCATGTCACGTTGGAGGAATCGCTTCTCAGCACTAGAGAGAACGAGAGCGTGTTCGTCTTCTCTGCGCCCTTTCTCGAGGGCCGCGATCTTATTCTCTGCCAATGATGCTCTCGCATCAGCGCTGCTGCGCGCCGTCTCTATCACACTGATTTCGTTGCGGGCAAACTGCAGCTGTTCCTCGAGGTATTGCTTCGCCGTCGTCATGGTCAGGAGCTCGGTATTGAGGCGTGCGACCTCCTCGGCCTTGTCCCAGTTATCCTTGCGGGCACTGTCGAGCTCTTGACTCAACCTCTGCTTCTCAATCTTGCAGGTATCAAAGTAGTGTTGCAGCTGCTTCTGGCCAGCCTCAAAGCTCTCAATCTGTCCATGCTTGGCGATTTTGAAGCCGTTAAACTCGGCTTTGAGCAGGCTGTAGTCGTGTTCATGCTTCTTCTTGGCGGATTCGACCTCGATTCTAGCTTGCCACAGCTGGCGGTCGGCATCAACTTTCTGGGAAGAGAGGACTCTATATTCGCCTTGATGCTTAGTGTAGCTTGTCTGCAGCGCGCTGAGCCGGTTCTCGGTCACAGTGTTCTGGTCAGTGAGAGCGTCGATCTGACGCTGCAGCTCAGCCTTCTGGATCCGAGCGTTGTCCTTGACTGCTCTTACGAGCTCTATGTTCGCATTGTTGATGAGCTCGATTCGCTGTTCCAGACCAGTATTTTGCGTCTCAGCATCCCGCAGTTGGCGTTCCAAGCGAGCATTCCGCTCATCAGCCGCTTGCACTGAGTTCTCAAGCGCGACGATTTGACAAACGAAACCCTCTATCTCCTTCGGGCGCTCCTCCCAACGCGTCTTCCATCTTTGGTAGCGGAGTTCGGCCTGCCTATTTGTCGCATGCATTTGGTCGCGGTCTCGCACTTCCTTTGCATGGCAGTCGTTGAGTTGTCGAATTGTGTACGCGTGCAGCTGCATGCGCTGTGTAAGCTCCTCCTGGTGGAGAGCCTTCAATGCCACTCGTTGCCATCGAAACGCTATCCGCTGGTAGGCTTGAGGATCCCGACATCTAGCCGGCTGCGTGTTCTCGATAACTAGGTCATCAGGGACCAGATCGCGTGGTAGTGAGATGCGCCGATACTCATTGTACTTCTCGTGGCACCAGTCCCAGACCGCCGCAATCATAACGCTCAGCAGTAACAGAGCAATGACATTCATCCAGCCCGGCGCGGGGTTTATTCGGGTATAAGTGGTGATGAAGGCCCGGTTGTCGACAACCGGGCCACTCGCGGTCGGGATTGGGGAGGCTGGTGGCAGGTCTCGGGCGAGCTTCGCACCGCAGTACGACACGGGATCCGGGTCCCGGACGACCTTCGGCGGCGGGTAGTTGAGCGGCGGTATGACGGGAGCGATGACATACTCGGGCTTTGCTGCGATATGTCTGCCGTAGAGGGGGATGCGGATGCCAGCGTACAAAGCGACGAACGGAGAGGCAATAGTACCGACACCAAGGAGCCCCAAGAATGGGTGGCTCACGAGGAAGTCGACGGCTTGGATGATTGCATCCATAGTGGCGGTGCGAGTCCGGCGGTGTTCTGGTGTTGGGTCGCGCGAGCTTGTTGCTGGAAGTCGGGTTGACTGTGTTCGTGGGAGCAATGAGAAGTTGAAGGAGGGGAAGGCTTGGAGAGATATAAGAGCGGCTCGCGGTCGGAAATTTTCGCGCTAGGAATGTGTAAAAGGACTGAGGTTGAATTGAGCATGTGCGGGCGCAGTGATGATGCCAAGACTATAACAGTGAACGGAATAGAAGTGACTCTGATTTTGCTCCATTTACATGCTGACGCCTGATGGCCCTCGCATCCGTAATTGGGAAACGTCATGACTAGTTGGAACCATCAAAACAATTGATGCTGATAAGAGAAACATGCGCTTGGGACGCGGTCATCCGCTCGATTTCGTCACAAAGCAGATACGAGAATACTACATATACAATACTGCCAAAGCAATATGCGTTTGGATTCATCCCTCACGGGCCCATGCCGGCGCGAGTGCTGGCCCAAAAGCAAAGGAACAGTTTCGAAATTTGATGACTCGCCCTCTATGATCCGGCTCCTGGTAAGGAGCGACCCGGAAGTAGTGGTATGATGGCACTGGCGCGCATTTTGATCGCTGTCCGACTGATATAATCAGGGGAAGTCGGCCCTATCTAAATGCAGAGAGGGAAAGGAAGAATGGACATGTGAGATTGTGACGAAGATACGTGATTCTATCAGAGTTCGCATAAACAGACTCCACAGTACCGAGTGCGTTTTTCAGAGATCTCGATAGAATGCCTTACGGGGTCGTACAAGGCGGCTTTGACCCTGTGTGACATGTGACTTCTCCAGGCGTTAGCTCCTGCTTTCCCTCAACGCCCAGAACTAAACATCAAACCCCCGCCCGCAACACCTTGGAGCAGGTCTTTTCCATCCTTTTCGACGAAACCCACTAGGCGACACAGGCCATATACTTGTTCTTAGTTGCCGTCAAAGGAGTAATTCTTACGCCAACCGTGTTACCGCGTTAGATTGATTGACCCTCCCGCCACCATAAAAGACGAAGCATCCCACCTCGCTGGAGTTGTACATGTGGCATGTTATGTCCACAGCGAGCCACCATTGTGGCATTGCCGCGCACGCAGTGTGAGTGGAACCGGTCAACAAAAGCTGAGGAACCGTAACAAGGCTGACTTTACTAGAGTGGGGTAGGGGAGACAGAGATCCCGTCTCTCGCATCGCAGATATACTTTCGTCTTCCTCACTGACCGGATACATAGACCCGGTCCTAGTTGTTATCCTTTCCAGAGGCATTAATGGTGGAGCCAATCTCTCTTATTGCTTCGGCTATTACCGTCGCAGGGACAGGAACACAGCTCGCTTCTATTCTGTTCAACGTTGCCCAGTCCTTGAAGAATGCGCCCGCCGAGATCGCTGAACTCGCCGACGAAGTCTCAACTCTTTCGAGGAGTTTGATGAGTTTAGCAGATACTATAGAGACAAATCAAGCTCTTTGCAAACCAGCGCTCTTTCTTCAAACGGAGTCCATCCTCTGCCGGTTCAAACTCGTGGAAGAAGAGCTTAAGGAGCTCACTAAGAAACGACGTACGCTGGAGCGCTGGAGATGGGTCTTGAGGCGTCCAAAGGCAAAGGTGTTGATGGTGAAGATCGAAAGTATCAAATCGGCATTGGCACTGGAGCTCAACATCATCCAGCTCGCAAAAGAGGAGGTCAAAAGATCGTGAGGCTAGACTCAGCTACTGTATACCTACTCCCACTTGGCTAATATAACGAAAGAGAAACCATGCTATTGCGTCTGACGAGCAGACAGTAGCGAGGACACCTAACCGATTCCGCAAGGTGGTTGAGAGTGTCGTCCAAGCGAACCGAGTTGCCGTGGAGCATGCGAAGCAAGAGAGCGAGAGTCATCCCACCCAAAAAAGGCGCCAATACAACACTGAAATCCAGCGCTGGGAGGCTGGGGCATTCGATACTGCGACATGGCTGTACAATCTTGTATTTGTTGCGGATCTTGCACAAAACAGTCCGCCGGAGGCATGGAGCTCTGCCGGAAGGCAAGCTTCAGTGACAGATAGTCACTCGGACGACGAGCGCGGCGGAAATTGTCCCTCAGCAGGCGGGGCTCGCCGCCCAGATGCTTCCAATCGGGCGTTGATTGTTTGGAACAAGAATACTGAGCCTAGATTTGTCGTCGATCGGCTTTTGATGGTGTGGACGGAGCTTTCTGATGAGCAGATCAGAGCAAGCGCTACGGGCGATCTGGACGATGCCTGGAGCAAGAGCCTTATGGACTCGATTCAAAATGGCGAAGCGGAGGACACCAAAGATGGTAGAAGAGGAGAAAAAGAAGAAAACGAAGACGAAGACGACGATGACGATGACGACGACGACAGAGACGAAGCCGAAGCCGAAGCCGAGGAAGAAGCAGAAGTGCCTGCCGAGTTCTGGGACATGCACACTCAAAGCAGTGAGGAAAGCAGCATACTTAGCACGACTCTTCCCAGTATACCCGGTCGTACTCCGATTGGTGGTTCCATTGATAGCGCAGAAACGCCTCTTCCTCCTCGTAATTTATCTCGATCCCCACCACCTCCACCGCCCACGGGCTACGCTCCAGATGACCATCCTCGCAGGCGTGTACATTTTAGCGACCGCGCGTACGCTGAATCAATAGGCGATAGCACATTCGATGGAACACTACACGACGTTAGGCGTAGCGGTCACGGGTACATACCATCGGGAAAGGAACCACTCCCCGACACATGGCCATACCGTCCGGAGCCAAATTACAGCACTACTCAATCCGCTCGACGTCAGCCTTCCAACGCCCCACACTACTTCCCGCAGCCATCAGATAACTGTAGTGTATTCTCTGAGCCTGGCACAAGATCGAGGCGGTTTCGGGATCCCTGGAGATTTGTGGATGACCCGTTCGAGGATCCCGTCGACTTCTACAGCACCGCTCATTCCAAAACAAGACAGCCATTAGGCGCTCCATCGGGTGCCACTCACTCGCCAAACCCATTCGCGGCGCGCACGTCCAGGCCGAAACGTTTTGAGGGCAATGAAGCACCCGCGGAGAAACCTGTTGACTTAGCTGCCTTTGCCGATACACTAGATTATTTCATACGGGTACGAGCGAACAGGGAATCTGCAAAGGCTGATGCAGCCAAGCGACAAAAGGTAGCTGAAGCGGATGCAAATGATAGAGAGACTAAGATTGGAGAGCAAAAAGCAATGAGTGTTCAAGACACTCGACTGGGAGATGAGTACAAGAAGAGAGTGCAGCAGTGGGAGGATAGCTTTGCGGCTCTCGACAAGGACCGCAAGGATGTCTTGGAGATCCTCAAGGACTCTAGGGGCGCAGTTCCCAAGCGCCGAACCTCCATCTGGCGCGGCGATCATCGCATCGAGGTTGCGGAATACACTACAGAGAAAATGGAGCCATTCCCAACATTTCATGCAAACCTGCTCGACCCCAACTCTATCCAAAGAGCCGACTGCGGACAATCTGGGCCGGATGGTCCTGCACAAGGCATTTGCTCGACGTCCAAGGCACCACAAAACTCGTCCAAAGCCTTCGCAGTGCCGCTAGCGCAGCCCACTCTCCACTTCTCTCCTCATCTCGGTCGGAGCTGCATCAAGACTTGTGAATTGCAGTTATCATTGAGCAAGAACGGCATCAAAGCAGAGTTTGATGATTTGAGCGAAGGAAACTGGAGTGCGACGACTAAGCCCTATGACCAGCGAGAGGGCTTCGTAAGAAGCACCATCTCCTGGGAACATCCCGTCTTCGTCATGGGCAGCGAGTTACTGAGAACTCTACGAGGAGTGGGATGGAAACCGTTGTACTTTCGTGGTTCTGGTGAGTGCCTTGAATCGTTTCGACGTTGAGCTCCACTAACTACTAATGCGGGTCAGATGCCGGTCAAACGTTCTTCTTAGGCAGCCAACCGATTCACGTCACCTTCTTCAAGCCAACATACAAGCCGCAATGGCAGCCTTTGACTAGTCCTTGTGATGCAGAGTACCTCGTCATTGCGAAGGCGCTCGTTGAGGAGGACGCACTAGAGGAATGGCGGTTGAGATTCGAATATACAGATGACGGGGGATATATCCTAGACGGTCGGCTTACGGCGGTGAGGCTCTCCGTCTATCTATAGCAAAGTTCCACCGCTAACTGACGTCTTTGTAGAACGAGATTGAGGCGCTCGTAGAACGATCGTTCCTCATGCGCGAGGCCAGACATCGAACCTTGCACCGTCAGCTTGAATGGACTCGGGACTGCCGCGAATCTGTTAGCGACGAGGGCTATGTCCCATCTATAGCATCAGAAACGCGACGCTCTACCTCATTTGCTGGTATTACTCACGATCGTAGCTCGGTATCCAGAGAGAGAACACCTGGTATGGGAGCTATAGACAATGCCCTTAACAATATCTAGGGGGAGAGTCACACGACGTATATCTCACTCCCGTCCACCCAATTTACCCAATTTGCTCTACCACGAAAACGCCTCGACTTCTAATTCCCAAACGGCACGGCGCTCTCTTCCTGCTTTAGCCACTAGATCTCTTACGGAGTCGCACATTCCTCCTGGTCCGCACACTACTATTCCGATTCTCTCCCAACCCTCGTTCTTTTCCGCCTCCAGCAAACCTTGCAGGTCTAATCTCTCACCTATTTTCACTACCTTCTCCCTCACCCCACTCAACCCATTCTCCAAGTCAATGACAAGACCCCGTGATGCCGCCCTGACGCTCCAATAAAGTTTCACATTTTGGTGGTGCGCAACGTAAGGGAGCGTTCCTGAAATTCCAATGCCACCCGCAATAAGTATAAGGCGATCTGTTCTGAGGACAGCAGCTGTCGAGTTGTTGGGATAAGGTCCGTCGAGCAAAGTGAGAAGCGAGGTTCCGGCGCCAAGGGTCCTCGTGAGGCCAGATGACTTACGGACATACAACGAAACACCCGAGGTGCTGCTACCATGTGCAGTCCGTGCAACGGTGGCTGATGCGCCCGTCTTCTCAACGTCATTGGAAGAGTGCTGAGAGTTCCTCGAAGAGGCCGACCAGCCAGTACTATGGCCGCGCGATGCGAGGAGCGCAGTAGGGATGATGGAGAAGGGGTGATTTTCCCATGGGCGTAGTGGAGCCAGGGTCGGAAAGTACGCGTAGGTGTGTTTTCCCGGCCGAGCGTCCCATCTCACACCTTTCACATCGATCCTCACGATGTCCTCAGCAACCTCCGTGACATCGGCTCTCTTGATCCCGTTCTTGAGCATCCTCCCCAGCCGCATTAGGCGATCGGCAAACCACACGGCGCAAGCAGCGTACAGCCAGAGCTCGTAGCCCCATTTTCGGGTGAAGAGATACTCGACATGATACCATGACCCGGCAATGGTAAAGATAGCTAACAGAACGTGCAGGATCAAGAAGACCTCGTAGCTCAGGCGCCGAAGGGGGAGCATGGAGATGACCGTCGTGACGACGACGGAGAGGGTGGCCACTACCCCCCAGATCCAGTACTTCTCCCTCTGTTCGGTTGCTAGCTCGCCCATGTTCCCGTACAAGCGTAACTCACAGATGGAGTGGAGGATGACCTGGAGTGCAAAAATCCGGGCCACCCAACGATGGAGAAGCATATACGTTGAATGGCTCCAGTTTGTCAACCACAGGAGAACGTTGTTACGACCAGAGAAGAGAATTACCAGCGGCGAAAGCGCGAATGCGATGACCCCAGTACGGTTCGATATATACGCCATGATCTCTTGCCAGCGGTTGGAAAACCAAGTGTTCGGTTGGTAAGAGCGATAGTCGATAGCCGTCAGGATGATGTTAAGAATGAAGAACGTAGCGACGTACAACGCTTCGCCCGCTGTCGGTCCGTTACCCAGGCTAAAAGGGAGAGCGCGCACGTGGTACGTTCCGATGAGGGCGGGATAGACAAATCGCGGCTTCAGCTTGTCAATGGCGGAGGACATATACGGGAGGTATCCGAAGACGGTGAATAGGATTGGTGTCCCAAACCCTAAAACAAGAAGAATGATGCTGTAAGTCGTGTCAGTCACTCAGTGGCCGTTGCAGAATGCCAGGTGAAACCCACCCAGACCGCGAATGCATCGTTTCCGCAAATTCGAAATGGTAGAGCGTCCCACGTTGAGCCTCCCAGGTCTCCTCGTTGTACAGCGCAGTGAAGTTCAGCATCTCATCCTCCCCGAGCTCTTTCGTCGGCTGCGCACTTTCCCCCAGCTCCGCCAACGCTTCTTGATACGTCCACTTCGCCTGGACCGCTTTCTCGCCAGTGCATTTATCTGCCCAATATTTCTCCAGCTTCCACGGAGCGACATCCCCACACGTCGCGTTGATACAGTAAGCAAGCGTGGTTAACCAAGGCGTATCTCCGGCGCGGCATTCCGGGGAGGTCGGTCCAGCGCCGTGACTGTGTGCGCCTGCTGCGTGATCGTGTGACGAGCACTCTAGCATCGCGCTTTCGAAAGATGCTCGACACGCGAAGGCGCAATTCGGTTTATACACTCCTTGCCGTCAATTCACGATCACAGTCCGCTACGCGATGACTTACTTGGGATGCCATAACCGATGAGGGCATTGGTCGTGCCACTGAGGGCGAGGAGTGAAACTGCTCGGACCAGCAGAGTGCACATGATTCTAAGTCTTCGATCCAACAAAGGACGTCGCGATGTGCCCGACCCTCATGCAGCAGGACACTGCAGATTAAGTATTGTAGCGCTGGACAGTTTATTACTTGCTCAAATCGCGATCAACCTCTTGGGCGCTGCTAAGGGACCGCCACCGCCAACTTTTGTCGCACTTAAGATGCACCTCTTTTGATGCCGCCAAGGTCTAGTCCTTCCACTCCGTCGCTGGTGTTGCAGTCGCGACGATAGCCACGCTTAGCCAAGAACGTCTTCATATCCATAGTTCAGTCCAGACAACTTGCCAACCAGGATGTTTTGATTAGAGAACGCGCAGCACCAACAAGAGTCTAGTAAACAGGCGCAAACTCGCGCAGTCGCATCGCAACAAGCATTCAGGCGGAGCTCGGCGGCCCTTGGCAGCATCTCACGTTACCCACCTCTACCTTCCAATGTTAAATTTAGGCCGCCCCTTCTATAGGTAAGAGTGCCTAACGTAGTTATTATAGCGAATCTGTTTGCGATAAGAGCTATAGCGCCTCTATAGCCTTAGAAATAAGATACTCTACCCCCTTTACTAGTAACCTTTATAATTATAGCTTAGTATCTAGAGAGAGAACTCTAGTACAGGAGCTATAGATAATACCCTTGATGATACCCCAGGAGAGAATAGAAAGGAAGAAGCTCCCGTTAAATGGCTTTGAGATTGTCTCTTAGGAAGCAAGCTCTATCGACCCCGAGCCAGCATCTACAACTTCCTGGTCCGTCAGCGCGAATGGGCATATGCGCACTCACCCAAGAAAGGTCAAAGATCATACCGATTGATAGGACACACCTCTGAGCGCCATATGATATAATGCATTATAGCCCAATATCTTATTTCCCAAGTCTCTTCTCTCTGATAAACCACGCAAAGAACGCACTGCCTGCGACAAGCCCTACGCTGACTCCTAATGCAGCCCGCGTACTCTTTCCGTAGCACTCCTTGACTATCTCTTGTAGTCCAGGCTCCAGATTTCTTAGATATGACAGTGATTCTCTCACGCGATCTGCAATTTCTTCAGCATCCGCGTCTCCATTCAAAGCGCTTTGTAGGGACTTGCGCAGCGTCTGGTTGAAAGCGGTAGCGCACATCGAGATGCCGAACACCGAGCCTAGAGACCGGAAGAGGTACGAGCACGCGGTTGCCACCGCTTGATCCGCATGAGAGGCATTCGCGATGAGCCCGATAAGCGTCGTAGTCACTCCGATACCATTCGAAAATGCGCACATACAAGTCCCCACGATCATGAGCGGGATATTTTCGATGATCGTGCCCGCAAAAAGGAGGACCAAAGCGAGGCCGAGGACGAGGATCGAATACGCGATTCCAGTGATCCAGTAGTACTTCCCAGTCTTCTTCATATAGAAGCCGCCGAATAGGGAGCCGCTGACGCCGCATACGATACAGGGAACGAGGAGTAGACCGGCCTGGGAAGCCCGCAGGTTGCCGATTACTTGCCAGTAGAGCGGGATGAAAAACAGCGCTGCTAGCCACCCTCCGAAAGCGAAGAAGTTGCACAGATAGCAGGCGAACAGCGTCTTGTTCAAGATAATCCGAAACGGCGCAAACGGATGGCTCGCAACGTGCTTCTCGACCAGCACGAAGACTCCAAACAGCGGACTCATACAGAGTCCCGCAATCGCGAACGGATCACTCCAGCCTACATTCGAGCCGCGATCCAGACCAACCAGGAGCCCAAAGACGGCCGTGATCAGGATGAACGCACCCAGGAAATCAATCTTCAGGATCTTCTCCTTCCAGTGCGAATGGTCCATCTTCGGGAGATGCAGCGCTGCAGCGACCGCGATGAAAGCGAGCACGCAAAGTGGCCCCTGAGCAATAAATGACCACCGCCAGCCTATACTATCCGCCAGCAGCCCGCCCAATGGCGCGCCAGCAGCGCTCCCCGCCGCGTATATTATGTTAATGTACCCCTGCCAGGTACCGCGATCCCTCAAGCTCACAACATCGCTCAGCAGGATCGACACAATGGTCGTCATGCCGCCGCCTCCCACGCCGGCAAACGCCCTAGCGGCAATCAACTCGCCCATATTACGCGCGAGGCCGCAGAACGTCGAGCCAATGCCGAAAATGAGGTATGCGAAGAGGAGGCAGGATTTGCGGCCGAAGATATCGGAGAGCTTGCCGTAGACGGGTTGGAAGGCGGACAGCGTGAGGAAGTAGCCGGTTGCGATCCAAGATGTGCTGTTCAGAGCATGCAAGTCGCTGCCGATGGTGGAGTAGGTGGATACGACGAGGGTTTGGTCGGCGGCTGCGAGGAAGACCTGGGGGTGGCTGGCTATTAGCTTCATTCCTTCTCACTGTTCTGTCGGCATGTAGAGAGGGGGACGCAAGACGTACTCCTATTGCTATCGCGGGGAATATGTACTTCATACGCTTCTTTACCTCCGGCATACCCTGGTGCTTGGACATATCTCCGCTGCTGCTAGTTTGCCGCTCGCGTCGGTCGCCATCTTGCTGTCTCTCGACATCCTCGTCCCCGGTCTGGTAGCTATTTGGCCCCTCAGGTGCAATTCCATCGCCGGGATCAATTGAATACGCAGATCGATGAGGTTCTTGATTGCGCTTCGGCAGGAGCGGCGAGGTCTCACCCGGGTGCTTAGTTTTCGGACTGGCGGTCATGGCGGGGATGTCGGATATCGTCTGAGGTCAGGGAAGAAGGGAAAAAGCAACAATCCTCCAGCTCCACAAAGGAGAAGAGCAAAAGGCGCTAATGATTCGTATCGAATGCAAGCTCCATTACTAACATCCGACCTCGCTCCATTTGCACCCGTTTTGCGATCGAAGATCGTTGTCCGCGGGCGAGGAAGGGAGCACAGTTCGGCATGCTTATCGGAGACCGGATGACATTGATTGGCTGTATTTCTCAGCATGCGGCTAGGCCTGAAGAGGAAAGTGTGAATGCGATCACGAGACCTCGCGTATGCGTGTTCTGCTCGTATCTCGCTTTGGCGGTTGACGCGTAGGGCGTGCTACGAGGTGGAATTCCGCACGTCTCTTGAATGACTAGATAAGCTGATATATTACCCCGTTCCCTTTACCGCGAGAGAAACACGACGCTTCTGCCATCACTTCCACTGCATACATACACAGTCACTGCGCTGCTGAGTCTCTCATACGCACGCATCAAGCAACGCAATGGCCTCCGCACCACCCGATTTCGAAGCCCTCACTGGTCACTGTACCTGCAAAAGCATCACCTACACGCTACTCGCGCCACCTCTCGTAACGCACTGCTGTCACTGCTCTTGGTGCCAACGCGAAACTGGCACCGCCTTCGCCCTCAACACGGTCATCGAATGCTACAACTTCCGGATCACGTCTCCGACCCAACCCACCGTCGCACGCAACCCATCCCTCTCCGGAATCGGCCAACTTGTCGCACGCTGCCCGACCTGTTGCGTGGCCATCTACTCGCACTATTCCAACGTGACTGCCACGATGTTTGTCCGGGCGGGCACGCTAGAGGAAGGAAGCAGACAGAGGGTTAGACCCGATGTGCATATCTTTACCGGGGCGAAGGTCGAGTGGGTGGACTTGAGTAAGGAGAAGGAGAGAGGGGTCAAAGTGTATGAGGAGTATTATGAGAGGGAGGATGTTTGGAGTGAGGAGAGCATGGAGAGGAGGAAGAAATTGTTGGAGTGGGTGGAGGAGCAGAAGGGGGCGGTCTAGGAGTCGACAGTCTAGTTTCATATGTGGTATTCCGACAGTCGTTCATAGCGTGTAATTTTGAATGGTAAAGGATGCTTCATTCGAAGTGAACGGCAGTCACTTTTCTCCCCGAACCGTGGCTGCGCACCTAACAACGCCCGCCGAAACAGTACTCTTCAATGGACAAGAACCGCCCTGGATATCTTACAGCGCTAGAGCGCTTTGAACCAAAATCCCGTCGTCCGAGGTCCCGCCTTTCTCGTTATACCATATGTGCCTCTTTCCGCTCCGGCTTCAAGCCTTCCTCCACATCCCGACCTCTAGATCGCGAGATGTTGTCAACCTCGGTCGACACTTCGGTGGTCTTGAGGATCCCACCCATCTTGCCAAATGACTGTGACTGCGGCTGGTTATCTAGCAGAACCACGCTCTCCGCGCTGTTCTTTCCCTCGCTGTTCTCGTCACGCATGCTGCTCGCGCTGCCGCTTCGTTCCTTGTCTGCTCCAATTGTCGTCATCATGTGGCTCTCGTAGACGCCGTACGGCGCGAAAGCATTTTCTCGGGTCTTGCTGGAAGCGAGCGAGTTGTAGTTGTTCTTTGCGGATTGGTGGCCGGTGCCTCCGCCGTAGGGACGAGAGAGATATTTGGGTGTGCTGCGATTGCGCGAGCCGCGGCCGTATGTGGACCCGAGGACGCTGCGGAAGATGGGCTTCAGGCAGGGTAGGTTACCGGCGATGATGCCGACGTTGTTCTCGAGCACTGTCCAGATTGTAATGTTCCTGCTATCCCATAGCCAGTCGCCTGTTTTGCCATAATTCGGAAGAAACGATATCTTTACCAGCGCTGCGGCGGTGGCGAAGATACCAAGTCCGAGAATGGCAATGATTGAACTCTTCTGTCGTCGATTCATCTGGACTTGCCATAACATGGGAATCTGATCTTTGTTAGGATTGAAGAGCACTTAAATCGGCGGTCTACGTACGGGTATCACTATCGCGAAGAGAATGTCGGTGATGATGTTTAAAGCTAGCAAGCGGTTAGTATCCGCTTTAGTAGCGCATCAAGCAAAAACCTACCAACGTTGGTGTATGACAAGCCCTTGAGAGTTTTCACGTCCCAGCAAGTACCCTTGGCGGTCGGATCCCATTGTACGGCAAGATTGGTGCATTGGAACATGATTGTCTGCCAAATATGAGCGACTGAGTGACAGTAGCCCGGTGAACAGATGAGTGTTAGAGACTTACGAAGAAGCAGGCAATCGTGTAAGCAGCCATAAACACTTCCGCGATGTCAGTGGGCGGCAAATTTAAATGGGATATGGTATTGGGAACACAAACCCATTATCGAAATGATAGCTCGTCTGTAGAAAGGGATAGTGGCAATCCGAAGAAGAAAGAAGCCGATCGATAGTTTGACTAGACATATCGATAGGAGATATATCGGCTGGGTAACGAAGTTCAACTTGAACGCCGTTTGGAAGTCGGTGGGTTCAATCTGATCGATATGTCTTCCGGCTCCATATAGGACCTCAGGAACTATTAAGCATTGCCCTGCTATACACTATCCAGGTGTTAGCACAGCAGATAGAGCTACGGGGATGCTCTGCTTACCAGTAACATGGCCATGCTCATGATGTAGTCCTGGCATCGTCAGCACCAAACTCGTGGGATTTTCTCGGGCCGTTTGAGCTTACGTCCCAACCGACGTTGCGGATCATCCTGACCCTGACGAAGAGACGAGCGATCATCGTTATGAGAGCGACGATCGTTATTGCCAGGGTGACTCCGAGGATTCGCGCCCCGTCATCCTCTTTTGGAAAATGTATTGTGGTAGCCATGAGTGACTACGAGCCAAAATCCTACTTTTGAGGAGTTGTTTCGAGATGGAAGAACAGGTACGCCAAGAGCGAGGACTCTAAGGGAGAAAATTGAGAGGGCATATAGCAAAGGACCGATCCATTGGCCTTAGAAACTGTGGAGAAGGGGTGTATGTATGTTCCGGGAGCGGCTGAACGCCGTTTGAGACTCCGCATCTAACACCGAATACGTAGGAGAAATGACTATAGCCGAAAAAAAGGGAGTGTTAAGGAACGGGGGCTCGTCAATTGAACAGGCTTCTGTAGCGGCAGTCAAACGAAACCTACCCTTCTGCTGGGCCCATGCACGAGCATCACACCAAGCTGCCCATCTTGGAAGTCGGTTACGGCTCGCGTGGCTGTTGCGAATCAGGAATCAGTCGCTTTCCGACTTCCAGACTGTGGGACCGATTGGCGCTAGAAACCTTAAGCGACGGTTCACCGAGTCAGTCGGTGTCCGCAAGGAGTAGCCCTCGATGTCACGGCTGATGGGGCATTTCATAGCCAGCGAAGCGGGATGATTGCGCAATAGGCCCAGCGCATCCCGATGGTAAGGAAGACATATTTTTGAATTAGGCGGCCAGTTGGACAGCAAACAAACCGAGAACCGGAGGCAAATGGTGGTCGCTTGGGTCACGACGCAGACATGCAGGAAACGCGACCATGGCTTAAACGAGGCTGATGGGTCCCCAGGCACTGTGTACGCAATCGATCCACAAGAGGATGGAGCCTCGGTGCTGATGATTACAGGTTGACGCTAGAGGGGCTAGTGCAAAGTCTGTTCTTCCGCTTGCTCGGTCCCCAGCCGGCTGGTTCATGGCGTCCAGCTGTTCGCGGCGCGGGCGGTGGAAAGAAAGGTGCTGCGATGGCGTGAGCAACGAGCCGGTGCGAGCGTGGGACGTTTGCATGCATGAACGCTACCTCCTGCCACGCAAACATACGCCCAACGGAGACAGGGGAGACAGGCTGTGTCTGGACCTGAGATGAGGAGTACACAGTAAGCGGGGAACCGGATCCCAGAAGCGGTACCTAGTTACGCTAGATCTCAGGATCGATGTGCATGCGGTGCAGAGACATGGATCGACCGAGGTAAGACCGCGCGGAGACGCTAGCCCGAAAGCAGACTGGCACTGAACCTTAAATACGCGCATGCATGCCAACGCTTCCTTCAATGCTGCGCGCGGAAGTGCGACTAAGAAGGCACCAACACCGAGAAAGAGGTGCGTTCGTCTGTCCAGACATCGTATCTGGCCCCTCCAGGCGCGAGGTTCCTGTCGTTGACCCCTCTCATCGGGCGTAAGGGCGGGCCACGGCTGCGTTACCGATATGCACACTATCTAATCGCCCGGCGCCTATTGGAAGCTCCCTCCAGTCTCTAGCTTCTAGAATCAGAGATTTCAGGGCGAACGCTGATTCACATGCGCCTGGGATTGCCGTCTCACCTCTTGTCTGACACTCGCCCTCCCGCTGAACGGCCCGCAGCGCTCCAACGCCAACGGTCCACCATGGAATCAATCTGCTAGCAGGATAATGTTCCGCACTTCCAAAGCATCACGACTTCAAGGCCGACTCGCTGTTGAACAGAAGGCCCGAACAAGGTCCGCCACCTCGCTCCGTTGTACTACAAAGAGGACGCTAACTACTGGATACAACAATGAACACGAACACCTGCGGGCAACGCGTCTATTTCCGGATGGGTCACCGTAATTTTGCTACGCCGCCGGAGGGCATGGAGAATTGGGCTTGGCTCCCCTAACCGAACCGTCGCCGTTACCTACCCTTCGCTTGTTATTCTCCTCCTGCTATTTCGAGTCTGAACTAATGGCAGCGATATATTGCGCAGGGTCTCGCGGCACCCGGCAAGGGTTAGACCAGAGCGGCTTGCGGTGCACTAACCACGGTACTCCGTAGGTGCATGTCTTTCCGCCTCGCCTGGCGCCGAGAGTCTTCTAAATCTCCTAAACGTGCCTTAGCCACCTCCATCCAATACGCTGCTAATGTGTAGTTTCGTGGTACGAGGACGCACGTGGATTTCTGTGGTAGGTTCTCTCCCTGAATCCGTGCCTGACTACCGACAAGGGATTGCAGTCGTTCGGCAATTGGACCGTTCGACAAAAAGTCATGTCAGTTCAGGAGCACGCGTATGTGGCCACCGGAGTCTCAACACCGAGGGACCCTTTATAGTAGCCAATTGGTCCTCTTGGAGAGCTTTTTTCTCTCTGCCTCTCCACTCGCTTCAACCTTAATTGCTAATCTGCTTGTTGGGCTTCGAGGGCCGCACTCAGTTCGTCTTTAATTTCCACTGGGTGTTTCACATCTTACGGCGTCTTCAAGTTAAAATGCGCCTCCCTACATCAATGGCACTCTGCCTTTTGGCTGGCACGCTTTCAAGTGCATACCCCGCACCTCAAGATGAACCTGTTTCTACGACAACCCTTCCGGATGGAGCCACAACTACGCTGCCTGTGTCACCTGCGACCGATACAGCAGTCGCGAGTGATCAGCTGGCCGAGTTAGCAAACTTCGCTCAGGACTTGGTCAATTCTACGCTCGAAGAGACCAGCAGCAAGCAAAAGCGAGGAGGCTGCACCCTGAAGAATCTTGCCGTGCGGCGAGAATGGTAAGTGATATGTATCTACATCGGTAGATCTACCTTCGATTCTTTCTCCGAAGCTTGGGGACTTTACGTTGTCAATCCCGGTCTTCTTGGAAGATGCTAACATTTTCCTCAGGGGAAGTCTGTCGAAGAGCGAACGGAAGGCGTACACGAAAGCCGTCCTATGTCTGCAAAGCAAGCAGGCCAAGACCCCATCATCACTTATTCCGGGAGCTAAATCCCGATTTGATGATTGGGTGGGAACCCACATAAACCAGACTCTGACCATTCATTATACCGTACGTCATCACCTTGTCCTTATCATCACCTGCCAACTCTCACGTGCTGTATTCTCTTTTGCCCTGAGCTACAAACAGATGCTAACCGGTTCACCAGGGCACCTTCCTGGCTTGGCACCGATACTTCACCTGGCAGTATGAGCAAGCGCTCCGAAATGAATGCGGATACACAGGCTACCAGCCCTACTGGGATTGGGCAAAGACCGCTGTGACTGGCATGGAGAATTCTCCCATCCTCGATGGCTCCGATACCTCAATGTCTGGCAATGGCGCACACATTCCCAATCAGGGCGGCATCGTCCTCGGCGGAAACGGTCTCCCTGAACTCCCTCTTCCGGCCGGCACAGGAGGCGGGTGCATCACCTCTGGACCCTTCAAGAACATGACCGTCAACCTCGGCCCTGTCTCTCTAGCCTTGCCCGGCGGTCTCACTGAGGCCAACGGCGACGGCTTCTCCTGGAACCCTCGCTGCCTCAAGCGCGACCTCACCACCGAGATCAATCGCCGCTTTGCGAACGCATCCTCTATCGTCCATCTTGTGCTCAAATCAAAGAACATCTGGGACTTCCAGATGACGATGCAAGGTGTCCCAGGCAGTGGCGACATCGGTGTCCACGGCGGCGGTCACTACTCCATGGGCGGGGACCCTGGTCGCGACGTTTTCGTCTCCCCGGGTGATCCTCTCTTCTACCTGCATCACGGCATGATCGACCGCACGTGGTGGATCTGGCAGATGCTTGACCAGCGGACCCGGACGGGCGCAGCCGGCATCTCCGGCACGGGAACATTCCTGGACTCACCGCCTAGCCCCAATACTACGTTGAACACTATGGTTGATCTGGGGTATGCTGCAGGCCCACCTCAGGCCATGCGTGACCTGATGAGCACGACTGACGGGCCTTTCTGCTACATCTATGTATGAGCAGTTGGGTCGGCTCAGGGCTGTCGATGCCTGCCTTTGCGAGCGTGTTTTTGCGTTCAAGCATAGCGATTCACTCTTATAGACTACATACCCTCATTTAATGCACATATATTCTTCCCTTCAGCTACCAACAATGGCGATATCTGAAGCTCCCACAAAACTGACCCTTCGATGTCTCTCCTAATCAAGCTTAGACCTTACTAAGCAGTTCAGCGTACGACTATGGTATACAGATATCCTCTCAAGCTTCGTGAGTCGTGCATGGAACCTAACCCGCGCACTCTTTTCTTTCAATCCCCAACCTCCCATCTCGAATCCTCCATCAAAAACTCGCACAAGCAAACCCCAAGACTTCGCATGTCTCAACAAGCTCGCCATCCTTGGATCGCATCACGCCGATCCTATCCTCTTCTCGACTCAAGTGCACCCACCGCTTTCTGAACAGAAAATACCCCTTGTTCCTCCACGTGTCCATCGTCCCAGATCTGCCCTCAAATCTGCTCGCTCGCCCATCTCCCGCTCGCTCGCTGTTCTGTCGGATCCCCGCGTGCTTTCCACCCCCGTCAAGGAGGAGATCGACCTCCATATTACCATGCCTAGAACCCCCCTCGGCCGTACTGTAACAGAATCCGCCGCCCTCGCGCTCCTCGGCCCCCGCCGCGGGTAGACGGCCCAGTAGCACTTTAATACAGAACTATATCGGCCTTCGACGCGCCCGAAAGGCCGGTCGGCGGTGGTTCGGCACAGCTCGCCAGCTCGCCGAAGCCAAAATTTTAGCTTGGTGAGCGCAGCGCCCGCACGCTGCACGGCCCGCTGGCGGGGCGAGCGGACTGAACGTAGTGTAGTGTGTGTGGGTCTTGCACCAGAAAAACCACGCAAGCCATCGCTCTGTCGCGTGGGTTGGCGCGCTGAATAGAGTTTCTGCGGAGCCTGCAGAAGCGAATATTGGGCTGCTATGAATGCCATGTTCGTCATAGTGCCTTTTGGATCAGCAGCAATGATTCAAGCCGCTGCTGCTGCCCGAGGCAACTTCTTCCTCGTGGTCAGACGGCGTCAAAGCGTTGCGAGTCAAGTAGCGAAAAAGAAAATACCGAGATACTGGTAGGATACCATCTCCACATTCATGTATATACTAGTCTCGGTCGCAAGACCGCCGCAAACGCCATCTACAATATGCAACGCCATCGTATGCGCCCGACAACACAACAGGACAACCAACCAAAAAAAGACAAAATGCTAAGAAAATTGCCCGGAACACGATCCTTCCGAGCGCTATGTTTACACAGCCCGCGAATGCTCCGCGGGCGAGAAAAGGAAGACTGCACAACTATCGCTTCTCCACCAGCAGCAAGTGCATGGCAAGGTATGCCAGGATGACAAATGCGCCTCCGAAGACGGCAAGGCCAATACAGTCGCGCCATAGCGCCATGGTGTTGAAGCCGAAGGAGCTGAGAATGGCTGAACCAGGGACTTCGATGTCGAGGCCATACTTGTGGTCCACCAAGGAGAGGTACTTGACTTCGTTGACGATGAGGCCTTCGAACGCGTAATGGAAGATGGATAGCTGATCGATGTGATTAGCGGCCGTTAACTTGTCTGGGAGGGGGAAGGTACTCACAGTTTGCAACCACTTCGCTGCCGCAGGGATACTCTCCTTATTCAGGAAGAAGCCTGAGAACAACAAGCTGAACAGCATCACAAGAACGCCAATCAAATTCGCGACTCCCCCATTGCGGAAAACAATGCCAATGAACAAGCAGATCGCGGCGGCCGCAAGGTTGAAGAGAACCAGGAAGAGGACGAACTTGAGAAATTCGGGCCATGCCGGGATGAGACCGGTCATCGGATATACGATGATGCCGAGGATGATGGGCGGGATTAGTCGTAATGGTACGATATCGAAGAGAACCTTCGCGGCAAAATATGATAGAGGCGAATAGTAGCCTTTCGCACGTTCCCGCGTGAAGAGAAGGCGTTCAGGGGCGAAGACAGTGAGAACAGTCAAAGTGCTAAAGCCAAAGAGAGCCAGCACGAAGAAGAAGAGGCCGAGGCGGTTCTGAAAACCCTTGATATCGTCGGTGAGACCGAAGAATAGGAACCCGAGGAAGACCGCGAGGATGATGGCAATGGCGTAGTGGGTGAGCATGAGCATCGGATTGCGATAGAGGTTGCGCCAGGTACGCTTCGAGAGAATGATGAACTGACCAATCAAGCCAACCTTTCGAAAGCCCTTCACCTTGCCAGCTGCTACAAATCCGTTCGGCTGCTCATTGGTGTTATTATAACCGTTGGCTTCGTTTGCTCTGGCTATGGCGCTAGCGATGTCCTCATGAAGAGCACCCGCAATGTCGGAGGTCGCGTATGCGTTTACAAGGGTGTCCAGGCTGGTTCCGGTGCCGCCGTCCGCTGGAGGCGGAAGCTCATCTGGATCATCCAGGATCTGTGGAGGTGGTGCACCTTGTTGACGAGTAAGTTTCAGCCACTGAGCGGTAGTACCCTCCCGACGCTCATACGGGATTTCGCCATCATCAGTTTTTGGGGACACCGTACCATCTGCGGGAGCCGAGCTCTTCTTCCTCGTGAAGAGTTCACGCTCTTGTTGCTGCCGGATAGAGGTCCTTCGCTTATTCTTCGGCCGAATGCTTGAAATGCTCGGGCTGCCGGCGGTGTCATGATCATTGTTCACGCTCGGAATTGACTTGACCGCGATCGCGCTGCTTGCTCTAGTCCCTAAGCCATCTCTCGTGAAAAGAGAACTGTCCTCCTCTGTGAGTCGGCTAGCGGTGCTGGCGTGCATCGTGAGGTCCACTAGGTAGTCGGCAATATTGAAACCGGGTGGGCAGCTGTAGCCGATGTGGTCGAAATATGCCTGGCAGCTTTCGAAGGGTCCAGAATAAACCGTCCGACCTTTCGCGAGAAGGATGAGCTGGTCGAAGAGAGCAACGATGTTGGACCTCGGCTGATGGATTGTGAAGACCACGGTCCTGTTGTAGTTCTTCACAAGAGTGACAAGACATTCTACTACGTTGAATGCGTTGAAAGCATCCAGTCCGCTGGTAGGTTCATCGAGGAACAGAATGCTGGGAGACGTCACTAGCTCACATGCGATCCCTACGCGGCGCTTCTCTCCGCCGGAAATACCACGGCCGCCCTCTTCTGAGCCAATCTTCTGATGTCGAATAGCATGAATGCCGAGCTGCCGCTCCACATCTTCGACCCGCTGCTCCTTCGAAGCGCGACTCATCTCCTTGGGAAGTCGCAGCAAAGCTGAGTCTAGGATTGTCTCATGGACCGTCAAGGTCGGCAGCATGGTGTCCTCTTGGTCGACAAATCCGATGACGCTTCGGAACTCGTCATCACGAACTCTCTCTCCGTTGAGATATAACTCGCCGCCGGTGATGCCGATCTTATTCTTGCGGGCTAGTATGTCCAGGAACGTGGTCTTGCCGGCTCCGGACGCACCCATGATGGCCAACAGCTCTCCAGGATGAACAGCACCAGAGATGCCAGCAAGAATCTGCTTGCCGTTGAGTTGATACGACACATTCTCAAATGCCAAGGAAGCAGGCTTATGATCGGCCAGCAGCTTCGCGTTTTCATCTTCCTCGTCATCGGAGAGGTGGATCGGACCCCACCGTCTCCTTTCCGCTCGACGAGCAAGGTACCAGATGGCAAGGATGACTGCAACAACGAACAGTGCGCAGCCCGCGATAACACCAGCGATCAAAGGAGTATTTATCGTCTTGATAGGCCTCTCGTAGCCAGGAACCTCGGTCTCATAAAGACATTCTCCTGCGTTGCATTTAAGGAAGATGCTCTCGTCGCCAAAGATGGAGGAGATGAGGTCATTCATGGCCGGCTCGGAGAAGATAGAACCGCTGTCCCTGCCATCAAGGGTAGAGACGGTCCGAAATTCACCTGGGCCCTTGATCATCTCTTTCAAGAACTCGCCGATATCGACGGATCCTGACTCCCCGCAGAGCATCCTTCCTGGTACGCACGCGCACTTGATGTTTTGGCACTTGTATTCGGTGATGTTGCGATCGCTTTCGGCGGTCCAGCTCGCGGTGCACGTGTCGAGGGCGCAATAGAATGATTCTTGTCGCTCAACCCAGACTGGTAAAGTTAGCACATGTATTGCGAGTCTGTCGGCCTGGATGGGGAGACTTGCATTGGAAGTTGCATTCTTCGGCCTCCCTGTTACAGGAGAAGGTCGCCTGTGGCTTCTTGTCCTTCAGCTGGTCGAGGATCTTCTTATTCGTGATGTCGCACATCTGGTAGTTTTCGTTGACCAGTTGCCCATTTGTGTAGCACACTCCGCCTTCTCCTTCTGGCATCATAGCATTGCATGCGTCGTTGTTCTGGCACACATTGCAGTTGATGCCCGTCCAACCCTCTTTGCAGTCGCATCTGTCTCCTTCTCTGGGTGCCCGGTTCCTGTTGCCATCGGGGAGGGAGCCACAGAGCGGCGTCGAACAGTCCTCGCCGCCGAACCCGGGCGTACAGTCACACTTCCCGTTCCCTTTTATACATTTGGCGAACTGGTGGCACTGGAAGTCGTCCAGGTTGCAGTTGAAGCATGGCGGGCATCCGTCGGGCCTATCGCCGTATATCGAGAAGAGGTCTTGGGGCAGTTCGGCGGCGGAATAATTGCCGAACGTCTTCTGGGCTCCTGAGGGTCCCGCGAGAGCCAACGAGACCAGCAGCGTGGCGGTCCATGGGGTGCGTCGCATATCGCCGCTTCGCTCAGCGGCGCGGTACAGCAAGCTTCACCTAGCTCCGATGCGCAGACTGCTGCCTTGGAGATGCCGCGCGAGGAGAGACGGACGGGAAAGCGGCGGCGCAGGAGCTTCGAGCTCGCGGATGATGGAGGCGATGTGATAAGGAGCGGAAGTTCAGTGAGCGTGGCCAGATGCGGACTGCTATCGTATGAGCATGTTGATTTGCGGGGGCTGGTGGAGGATGGGATGCCGCCTTGCCAAGAGACGCTCGGGAGGCGCAGACCGATGGACCGAGGCCTAGCACGCATCTGGCAGGCACTCCATCATCGATACCTCGCGTGACCGCGAAATGTAGGCAGCATCTGGACAGAGACCAAATCGTCACCTCGCCCACTTGTGCTATCTGCTATAGTGCTGTAGAGCGCATGCTGATCTCAGCCCTGGAGAAAACGTTGGAACCACGTGGTGTGGAATGCGCTAGCCTGGCCTGAGATGGTTCCCCTCGACCCTGCATGCTGAGTTCGGCAACGCCCTATGTCAATTCCGAGAGAATATATCTTCTAAAGCTATGCGAATTCACTTGATTATCCTAACTCTCTGCGCATATTAGACCGGTCACCCATCCGGGAGTAGCCGATCAAGATGGTCAAAATTGAGACCTTTTCTGTGGAGGCGGTAAGTACATTCATCCGGGTTTCCCGTTCCGATGACTCTTTGCCGAAAGACCGCAACCTGACCTCGTGTAGTGGATGGACCAGCATGAGACGGGAAGCCAATTCAACATCGCTGAGACCTGCTGCGCATCGATCTCCATAGACCAACTCCGCGAACTCTCCGAAGACAAGGATCGACCAGTATTTGACACCTCAAGAACCCTCACATATGGCGCCATCAGAGGTTCCGATGCGCTGAGGAACAACCTTGCGCGACTGTACTCGGCAAAGTCGGCCAACCTACTCCCGCCCGAGAACATCATCACCACTCCTGGAGCGATCCAGGCCAATTACCTCTGCGCATATGCATTGGTCGGACCCGGCGATCACGTCGTATGCCATTACCCTACATGTATGTTCCCCTTCTGTAGCTGGAAGATGAGTGCTAACCACTCCTAGACCAATCCCTGTACGAAGTGCCCAAGCAACTAGGCGCAGAAGTCGACCTATGGAAGGCAAAACCGGAGAACAACTGGATACCGTCAATAGAGGATTTGAAGAACCTTATCAAGCCGAACACCAAGCTCCTCATCCTCAACAATCCCAACAATCCCACTGGAGCTATCCTCAAGAAATCGTTCCTGCAGCAGATCATCGATGTCGCCGCAGAGCACAATATCGCCATCCTCAGCGATGAGGTTTACCGCCCCATCTTCCATTCGATCAACCCCTTGGATCCGGAATTCCCGCCTTCGATCCTATCAATGGGCTACAAGAAAGTGATCGCGACTGGCTCCATGTCGAAAGCCTATGCCCTCGCTGGCATCCGCGTTGGTTGGATAGCATCTCGCGACCCCGAGATTATCGAGAAGATCGCCGAGGCGCGTCACTACACCACCATCTCTGTCAGTCAGCTGGATGAGCAAGTCGCTGCCTATGCGCTCGACCCGAATACAGTCCATAGTCTTCTTGCGCGAAACATACAGCTAGCGAAGACGAATCTAGCGCTACTGGAAAGATTCGTGCTGAAGAATGACGACGCTTGCGAATGGGTGAAACCGCTGGCAGGAACGACGGCATTCGTTAGGTTTCACCGCGATGGGAAAGCGGTGGATTCCGTGGACTTCTGCAAGAAGCTGTTAGAGAAGTCGGGCGTGCTGTTCGTGCCGGGAAGCGAGTGCTTTGGAGGGGAATACAAGGGCTATGTAAGGGTTGGCTTTGTCAATCATGTTGATATAGTGAAGGCGGGGATGGATGAGGTGACAAAATTCGTCAGGAGAAACCTGGATGATGTCAAGCTGGCTGAGTAGATGTACCATGTGAGCTCTATAAATTAGATAAGAAACTATCCACGTCTTCAAAGTACAGAATTCCCTCATTCTCCTTTTCCCTTGGCTAGTACGGCCAAGACTGATGCCGGGCTTAGTCATCACACCTGAAAGATCGTTGAGGTTGAGGCTCTTCCGTCCGGTTTCTAACAGCAAGGGCTGTGCGGTCTTGGACGACGACATGGCTGCCCGCCTGACGACACATGCGCAAATCTCCATAGAGAAATACTAACTACCCATCCATGCTAAACCGCGGTTCATCAAGCAGCTTCTGAACCGTTCCCCGCCCTTGTATCGCAAGACACGCGACAAGCTCCTCCTCTAGATGCTCTACGCGTCAAAGATGGCCAATTCATCGTCCCCGGGTTCCCCTACCAACGATTCCTCCTCCCCTCACCTACCAGACACGAAATCTCCACGCGCATCGACCGCCTCCCAGAAGCCCACGCCGAAATGGTACCACAAACTCTTTAAGAAAGGACAACGACCAGAGACAGAGCAGCCTGGCAAAGAGAAATGGCGCGACGCAAATCTTCCCGATGAAGAGCGATGGAAGGACTGGAAGAAGGCGCAAGACAGGGCGCAGAAGGCAGGGTAAATACGCCGCCGAGCCGGGAAGGTTTACGTGCTAACTGTTTGCATAGGTCGACAACGGGCTATCTGGGGCAGTTTTACAAGGCGAAGGGTGGTCGGTATTGGTAGATTGGCGGTTATGTGAGGGCTGGTAGATAAGTGCCCCAGGGGGATGGTGCGTGGGATTCTGTGAACCGGTCGGTACGATCTGATACTGAGCTCGTTATACCCCTTTGACCTAGTGTCTATTGCAGTTAGGATGCCCTCAGAACGGCAGGTCCCGTCGCGACAGCTTTTCGTCTGTTAGCTCAACTTGTCAAGGTTAACGTCCTGCGGTCCTGCCCCCGTCTATCGGAGCTACACGCGCTAAACGCCCTTATACAAATTCCGCCCTCCTCATCATAAGATAATTGAAAGCATCCGAGGAGCCCAATCCAATTTCTCCAAACAGCTCCCCCTTGCAGGCGTAGTTGGACGATCGCCCCTCAGCCCTTTCGGCATCCCGATCCCGAGGTAAGCCCCGCACCAGAGCTCCCAGCTCTCAGCTACCCCAAACGTCATCGCTTCCGCATCTCCAAATCCTCCCCGCAACAAGCCCACCTATCCACCGCGCAGAAACGTCTCATTCAGCTTGGCACGCCGCTAACGCCCGCATTGCGTCGAGAATACCCGTAGATTGGATTTGAGGGGCGCGTTCGTCTTGTGATATATAATTACGACATCTCCACCTTTGCGCCCATCATGCGATCTTTTGCAGCTGCCAGCAGGGCAATTGCACGACAACAGGGCTTTAAGAGTAGAATTCAGAGGAGTACGCTACCGGTTATTCTACAGAGAAGCTACACCATGGGTCATTCGGTGCCTCAGGTAAGTTTATAGACAATCGCGCGTCCGGGCTAGCAACGCTGGAGGAAACACATGTGGAATGCTGACTTGTGGTCTAGCTTAACGACAAGTCTCTCCTCAAAACTCAAGCATATGTGAACGGAGAATGGATCGGCGCAAAATCAGGCAAGACCTTCGAGGTCACAGGTACGGACGGACCAGCACATTCCTCATCAAGCACAGAGCTAACCTATCCTCTAGACCCAGCAAACGGCAAAGTGATTGGAACAATGCCTGAAATGGACCGCGCAGACACCGAAGCTGCCATCGAAGCCGCAGCCGCAGCCTTCCCCTCCTTCCGCAAGACCACAGGCCGCGAGCGCGCCCGCATGCTCCGGAAATGGTACCAACTTATGTTGGACAATGCCGACGACCTCGCGAAGTTGATAACGTGGGAGAATGGGAAGCCCCTGGCTGATGCGAAGGGCGAGGTTACCTATGCCGCGAACTTCTTTGAGTGGTTCTCTGAGGAAGCTCCGAGGGTGTATGGGAATACGATCCCAGCGAGCATTGCAGGGAATAGGGTGTTTACTATCAAGGAGCCGGTTGGAGTTTGTGGGTTGATCACACCGTGAGTAGCACGAAGGAGACCGGGTGTGATTTTTCATCCCCTAACCACGCGACATAGGTGGAACTTCCCCGCAGCAATGATCACCCGCAAGATCGGGCCAGCTCTCGCAGCCGGCTGCACCGTAGTCGCAAAATCCCCCGGCGAAACGCCATTCACAGCAGCCGCGCTCGCCGAGCTCGCGCACCGCGCCGGCATCCCCAAGGGCGTCGTCAACTTCATCACCGCTCTCAAAAACACCCCCGAAGTCGGCGAAGCCATCACCTCCTCCAGCACCGTCAAGAAAGTCTCCTTCACAGGCTCCACAGGTGTCGGCAAGCTCCTCATGAAGCAATCCGCCACCACGCTCAAGAAACTCTCCTTCGAGCTCGGCGGCAACGCGCCCTTCATCGTCTTCGACGACGCCGACCTCGACACCGCCGTTACGGGCGCCATCACATCGAAATTCCGCTCCTCGGGCCAGACGTGCGTCTGCGCCAACAGGATATTCGTGCAAAGCGGCATCTACGACGACTTCGCCACCAAGTTCGCCGAGAAGGTCAAGGGCTTCAAGGTCGGCGGCGGCTACGACGAAGGCGTGACGCACGGCCCGCTGATCCACGACCGCGCCGTCTCCAAGGTCGAAGCCCACGTGCAAGACGCCGTCAACCAGGGCGGCAAGGTCCTCATCGGCGGCCAGAAGCTGCCCGATCTCGGCGCCAACTTCTTCCAGCCCACCGTCATCCGCGACATGACGGCCGACATGCAGCTCGCGCACGAAGAAACATTCGGCCCCGTCGCCGGCCTGTTCAAATTCGACACCGAGGCCGATGTCGTCAAGCTGGCCAATGCGACGGAGGTAGGGCTCGCGGGGTACTTCTTCAGCCGGGATGTCCAGCGGTGTTACCGTGTGGCTGAGGCGCTGGAGGTGGGCATGGTGGGTGTTAACACGGGGTTGATTTCGGATCCTGCGGCGCCGTTTGGCGGGGTCAAGGAGAGCGGGTTTGGGCGCGAGGGCAGCTTGCTGGGTATTGAGGAGTATCTAACTACGAAGACGATCACGCTGGGTGGGATGGGTCAGCCGCTTCAGGGGGCGTAGTAAGTAAGTAAGTAGGTAGGAGGATGCAATGTACATGAAAATGATTCGATAAGGTACCTCAGGGGCCGAGAGAGTAATGGGGCACGTATGAGTTCTGCTGCACTGCTACCATCTCGAGCTCTCGCGCCGCAGCTCCCGACCATATGGTTTAGCAGGCTGGAGGAACGCAGCCAAGGGCCGTCGCAAAGCGATGAAAACCAAGCACGGCGTTCCTTGTAGATTTCGTTGTATTTCCATGCATCTACGATCGGCACTTCTACCTGATGGCAAACACAGCCGTATGAGAAACCCGAACTCCAGCACCCATATCCACCCCGGAATCTACATCATATTCTTCCATGCAGGCCCCTGTCAGCCCTCCCTAGAACATCGCGCCATGAGACGTCACAAACCCGTCTTCGATTCCAGCGCTGTCTGCCCTCTCCTCGGGAGTATTGAGCGAGAGCTGCAGTATATCAGCCGCGAGGCTAAAGCCGTTGATCAAATTGACGGGACGCCAGCCTTCCTTGTAGGGCAGCCGCTCCTGGGCTAGAACAATCCTGTCAGCACTGCTGCACGGAGGGCTGAGGAGGGTAGCTTTCTCATCCACATACCGAAGAAGATCTTGATGAACTCAATCGGCACAGTGTCAGTCTTTGGATCCCGCAAAAGCTCGCTGTAGATGGCAGATTCGCTGTACGAATTGAACCGATTCAACGCAGTGTAGGAGAACTTAGGATTTCGGCAGCGCTCCGTTTTGACGCGGCCCCTAGCGCTAGTCAGAAATCCCGCAGGATATACACATATAGAAGGGGGAGTAAGGGCCCACCATCGCGCCGCTGCCGCAAGCGGAATGCTGATCTGCTCCTTCCCTTTGAAGTACCCTAAGAACTCATGAAAGATCTTCGGGCAGAAGTTCTGCTTCTCGCCTCCAAGATTGTAGTCCCTGCGCGTGAGGGACGCATCGTGCTCGATAGCGTTGTGCTTGTTGAGGTCGTCGAGGGTGAAGACACCGCTCGCCGGGTCGGAGGAAGTGCGCAGACCGGCTGAGGCGACGATGGTAGCTACCTCGACGCTGAGGTTGAGAGCTTGGGGCAGCGCTTTTACTAGAAACGGCACGGTGAGGTTCTTGCCGTCGCGGGGGATGATGCCGTGGTTGGCGAGCGAGTTGAGCGCGGGGCACGGAGAGCGGAAATCGCCAGGGACGGGGGGATGCCAGTCGTCGAAGTTGACCTGGGCCGTAACGACCCCGGAGAGGACAAGGAAGGTGGACAGCAGCTTCATTTCTGAATGAGACCTAGGATCTATGGTCGAGTGGACGGAGAGGAGGGGGTTGTGGCCTGGGAATCAAGGTTCGATTGGAGGCGTCAAAGAAGCCGCACGGATGTGTATAGGTTGAGGTGCGCGCCCGGACGGTGAATGTGCTCTCTGCTCGACCTGAGATGTGAGGCCAGTGAAAGTGCTGCGGGAGACGCACCCTCACAGGACTGAAAGACCAGAGGGCGGATGATACTAGGGGAAGGATGAGGCATGACGTGCGACGTCACAAGGGGATATCTCGTCGTCCGTGGAGTCGATGTTGGGGAAGGTACGGATATGGTCGATGGTGCTGAGAGCAGAGGGAAGGAGCGGGCCACAACCATGAGCCCAAAAGAGCACCCAGGTCCAAGCCGCGCCATCTCCACCACAGGCGCTCAACGCCCTCGAACGCTCAATATTATCGACGAAATGTAGGGTATCAGTTACAATGGCATGTTGAAATATAGGCACGGCGTCGACCACAATGCGCTTTTCCAAGTCGAACTCGGAATGTAGGCGCGCAGCTGACCAGAAGCAGCTGACCATCCTTTCGACGGGTGTGGGAGTGTTCCGTCGGGGTCGCACCGAATTGATCAAAGCCACCGAGTCCATGCCCATGGCATATGACTGTGCGACCGGTAGGATTTTCGTCAAAAGCGCGTCTAGGTGTGTGTGTGACGAGGTTGGGGGCTGGTCGTCTTCAGCTGGGGGAGTCCCAGGTCATGACCTTCACCCCGGCCGTTGGTGTAATCCATTAACGTTCATAATGATCCCAAAGAGCCCAACTTCATGAACTAATTTTTTTCGCCTATGCGTGGGACGGTCGGGACCGAGGTCGAGGATTTTGGAGCCATCCGTGGGCTGGAACCGACCCGGGCAGAAGGTATTGGTCAATGGACATGTAGGGAGTCCCTAGAGATATCAGCTCACTTCTGTGATCTATTTCTCCTGTTGTTAGGTGCATGCTGCAGACGTTGGGTGGTAAAAGAGAAAATGGCCGCTTGGTAGCTCTTGGAATGGATTCTACTTCCTTCCTGCCCGATACCTTTGGGCAAACGAAGCGAAGCGTCCGTCAACACATTCGGATCACCGCGCTCCCACTGTACCTCTGGGAGAAAGGCCCTTAAATGGTGTGCCTGTCTCGCCGACATTGAAAGCGCGAACGTTGACAGTGAGCGACTGGGCTTTGAAAAAGAGCCGTCTGCACTTGAGCGGCATCAATTGAAATGCCGGCAGCGATGACTAGCGATGTGAGTGGGACAGCGGTCAGAGCAAGGGCAAAATCTTGATGGGAGTAGAAGTTCGCCACGGTGCTGGGAGGTCGGCACCCCCTCAATGTCTTAGTCCCCTCCAACGCTCGAGGGGGCAGTGCTGATGTGCAACCCGTTGCTGATCAGTTGATGCAATGTTTGTAGGAAGTTCGGAGGCTGGATAGCGAATGGCGCCGCTGATAGGACGAGGGAGTCATGCAAAAGACAAGTTGCTAGCTGAAGGCCAGAACGCCTCCTCTTGCCGCAGCGGAGGCAACTGTGGAAAAAGCAAGACTACCCGTGAACGGCAAGAGGGCGCGAATTATCTGCTTGTGGAAGTGTGAGATGCATTTGAAACGCCGAGTCTTCCCAACGCTGCCGATTGTGAGAGGGAACGCTTACGAATCAGTAAGCAGACCCCTCCCCCTCTCTTGTCATCGAGACCCCGCTGTCGGCGGGGACCTCCCAGGCATTCACTGCAAAGTCGGAATGGTATGGCCGAGTGACCTTGGAAGCCAGCGGAGCGGAATGTTGCTTTCGAAGTTGAGGCACGTTCAGATAGAGTTCGAGGGAAGGATTCCCCGGCGACAAGCATGGGATACCTCCGCTCCCAAGCGCCCCAAGTGTGATAACAAGAGACATCACTTCACGGTACGAGGCTGGACAAAGCGTTCGTCAGCCTCGGGGCTCTGAGCTGCCGATCTTACGCCCATTATACGCTTCGAGTAGACCGCCAAGCTGGCACTCGAAAGGCGGGGATCCACCACGTACAGCTCAACACTTCCCCGCCGACAATCATGTTGGCCCATCATGAGATGTGTTTGAGGTTGAGACACGAGCTGCTATGTAAAGCAGCACCTGAGGCTTCAGGCCATGGTCGGGAGATCTGGAACATCTGCAGGTGCTTGCCATCGGCGAATCGAGAGCAATTGGCTCACGCTCGGCGAGGCCTCGTAATGTAAACAAGTTTTCTCCGGGCGCTGATTTGCGTGTGACTCGGCTCCACCTGGGAAAACGAGGTGGGCCGGCCAAAAGCGGCCACGAGGCGGATGCTTCCGGCTGCACGTTGACGAGGCTGAAGAAAGAAGAAAAGCGGCGGACTCGAGAGACGCGCAGATGCCGCACATGACTCTGCCATCTATGAGAAACGGCAGGGCGATGTGCGGCGGTGATGCGACCTGGAGATGGTGCTGTTGTTTCGAAGCTCGAAATAGACGAAAACTAGCGTCTGGAAATAGAGGAGGATGACCAAGCGCGTCACCACACGATGCGCTCGCCAACCAGGAAGCCTCGCGCTCTTGGAGTTGCCATTGTGTGCATCTGCGGAATGATCCGATACAGGGTTGTGCGGGACGTTCGTTTCTTTTTTATTTATCGAACCAAACCGGCCGAGGGGCGTCGCAGCTGTGCGCGTCGTCCTGCCTGATTGGCGTCCTCGAATGGAGGACCTTCAGGCTGAGGCTGAAGATCCAATGGGCGATCAGCTCACTGCTTCAGGCGGTGGCTGCAGCTCAAATCGCCCACTCAGATGGCCAAAGCGAGGCTGACGCCGGGCTGAACTCAGCCTCGTGCGCAACCTCCACCCAAACCAGCGAAAATCGGGATATCAGGCAGCTGTCCCCGCCGTGCCCTGATCGCCCTCAGGAACGCTCCTAAAGACCGGACACCCTGCCAGTGCCCTCATTTTCATCTAATTCCTCGTCGTTATTCGCCGCGACCATTCGTTGGAGGCCGGAATAGTCGCCCCACCGAAAAGAGAACATCAACTTCCGAATACGTCCGGGCGAGCAGTCAGAGTACTCCAGTTCTTACAGCCTTGCTCAATCGCCCCAAGCCTCGGATGCCTCCAGCAAGACGTAAAGTCAGGATGAAAGAGGAAGCGCCTACCAGCACCTCTGCTGGAACGCAGACCAGCGATCCGATCGAGCCAGCGCCGCCCAAGGAAACCGTTGTGACGGCGCCGACAGTTGACACCCCGACGACATCGCCGACGTTCCAGGCGCCGGGTAAGACCCCGCCGCGAAGAGTATTGCGACTGAAATGCCCAACTTGCAATGACTATCCCGACGGCTTCCGCAGCGAGCATGAACTCAGACGTCATACGAACAGAGTCCACAGGAAGACGCGCAAAGTCTGGGTGACCATCGACACCTCTCCCGACAAAAGCTTCCTTGCGAACTGCAAGGCCTGCCAGACCGGAAAGAGGTATAACGAGTGCTATAACGCTGCAAGCCACCTGCGGCGCATGCACTTCCACCCCCATAAGCGTGGTGAGCGGAAGATGAGTGCCGCTGAAGCGCGACGAGGCGGAAAGCCTGGTGATCTGGATCCCCCGATGGAAGTGTTAAAGGCGAACTGGTTACGGGAGGTAGAAGAAGTCGTCGGTGAGGAGGAGGAATCTGCGGCTGAAAGAACCAGCACGTCTGCGACCCAGCTGCAACCACAGCCTGCGGTCAGCCAACCCGAAGGAAAAGCGCCACCAACGCCGACAACGCCGTCTACGCGATCAATGGCAATTGATAGCATCGTCGACAAGGTCGATGCATCATAGAGATTGACGGCCCGTTGCAAAGCGCATCGCCGAGTCTCGAGAGATCCGACGGCAGGCCAGGACGAAGAGGAGGAGCCCACGAGCAAGATGCATGCGCGATACCGTCACCTTCCAAGGTGCTAAGCGGTGGTTTCCTGCATGCCCGCTTCTGCGTACCGGGTCCGCTATCCTTCCTAGGCGGGAGAGACAAGGAGAGATTTCCATAACAAATCTATTAGAGGTGTAGACTGGGCTGGGCACAGATGAAGGCCCTACACTGCGGCCAGTGCCCAGCAGGTTTTGGAAAAGGCGTCTTCATGTTGTTTGCGTTGTAGCAGGAGTTCTGGGCATAAACGGAGGATCCATGGATGCGTTGGTTGAGGGACGCGTGAATGACCGGATGAAAAGCTTGCCTTCTCTTTTACTAAATGGCACGGTTCGTATGAGCATAGAACCTTTTGTGCTCGGTGTTTATCGAGCATATCGTGCATGCTCCGAAACTCGTATCATGTCGTCATCGGGTACCATCGCGTTGCAGCGCGAGTGAGATGCCAAGTCCCGTGATCTGGCTGCTGGTGTTTTGCGCCGAAGACCCTCCGTATTGCTGCAGGGAGCTCGGCGGCTCAAAAGCTAGGAGAAGAGGATGGCCGTTGGAGAATGAGGGTGAGAAAATGCACCCCGCCGCATGAAGTGAGGTGTAATTAAAGGCGCCTCGGGCTCTGGACGACGTGTCGATCCTCCTCGCGAGGGTTGGATGTACGTCTGTGCGCCTTCATGTGCTTTCTGCAGTGCGAATCCTTCGAAGCCACCAAACCACCACCCCAAACAATTCAGTACGTTTCATATTCTGCCTTCGATTTTGTTTCAGAGGGGCGCTGACACTTCTCGGTAACATAGAGTCTCTCTACCTTTTTGCCGACGCTACCGGCCCTCTGCTCGACTCGGCTCCCGCACATGCTTGAGATGTACGCGCAACACCTACGGTGACGTCCTTCGCCCAAAACCTCAGCATATACGATGGCGACATCGCCTCTACCGCCGTTACCCACCGAGCGATACCTACTTCGACCGTCGAAACGAGGGAGATATCGGACACATCAGGAATAAGAGGTCCGGGAAACGGCGTCTTCTGGAGAGAGCTGGGAGCGTTCGGCCAACGATGGCTCACTATGTGCGCATGTCGAGGAATTTTGTCAATCTCGGCAGGCTCTACAGCGTACCGCCGTGGGGTCCGCTGCCACAACCCGTCGCAAACAATGTCAAAAACTTTGTAAACCTTGGCAACCTCTACGTATCGCCCCGGAGCAAGACTCCCTACGGATGGGGCTATTTCGAGGATGGCTCCGTATTCATCAATCCTGGCAAGTACCTCGAGCATGACCGTTTCGAAGCAGAAATGAAACTGCTTCAACATTTTGTGCGCGGCCCGTCTCCGAGCATCGAGCGGATTAGAAGAAAAGACCCGAGCAGGAGTCGGCTCATTGTCATTGCGTGAGTCCTGTCGAGGTAGTCCGCTTTGAGCTTATGGCTAATACACTCGCACTAGAAAACCTCGGCCGTCTCCGAGATCGTATAACATTCTGGCCCGCAACGCTTGTGATGGGCAAAGAGTCGTGGTAGAGAAAGAGCCTTTCGAGAGAGTGGACTTCGAATTAGATGAATCTGGCTCATACCCGGTGTCTGCACAGTTCTCGAGCGTTCCGAAAGGACTAAGTTATGCGCATAGGGAAGACATCAAAACCGCCTTAATAACGTTTCGAGGGACTCTAGTCGAGAATGTCCTCCAGCCCAACGTGCGCTTAGGCAACGGCCTCACGCTATCCACATCCACGAGGCTTCGTCGCACGCAGATTCCCGAGCCCGATACTGGACCGCAGAAAGCCCGCGACCGACACGTCCCCAGGCTGAAGGGAGCATCACGCAGAGACAAGCTTCAACCGCCAAAACAGAGTTCAGTGAGAATATGGAATGAGGAGCGATCTCGGAGGAACATGCTTCCCGTCAGCCAGACCGTCGGACCGCTTACCAACGAAAGGATACACATCGAGCGGGAGGCTCTGCTCAACCAGAGGGAGCAACAGCTACTCCATTTTCAGCAGCAACTCCTCATGGCCTCCATGGAAGCTTTACGAACGCCACCGTCTCCAATACGGCAGAGGAGATCGTTTCCTCGAAGCAAACGGACATTTCCCCCTGCTCAGCAGAAAGCGACCGAAGCTGACCGTCTGGAACAAGCCGACGCAGAATTAAAGGCCGACCGCAAGGCCGCGGAGATTGAAGCAAAGGAGCGAGAGCTACTACAAAGAGAGGAGATCCTGAAGTGGAAGCATAGGAGCTTCGTCTTACAGCAGGAGCTAGCCCAGGCAGCCGGAAGCGCTGAACTCTCCGCGCTATCTGATTCTACAAAAGATATAGCAGCGTCGAGCTCATTCACAGGGGTGAATCCGGTTACTGCTTCGCCGGAAGCCGCCAACACGAATCCACCTCAGGAAGACGGTTGGCAGGACCCATTTGCCGCATTTGATCCGGCTCCCCCAGACTCGCTCTCAAAATTGAGAAGTCGGATTAGGCTTCCTTCCAAACGCTCGATAAAGGGACGGCACTGAGACATCTACGGCTCTCCCCTCGAAGGTGCACCGCCAATCCACATCTCACCGTCAATGCACCAGTCCGAACGCATTGCAATCGCCTTCATGCAACCTTTGTATATTTATCGTATGACCATTAGGACTTGATACCCAGGTTTGTAACATATGTAACACTGTACATATATCGATCCAGCATATTCGCAGATCACCTACGACTTTGAATTCGGAGCTCTCTCCTCGTTAGTGTTGTAGATACCCCATTCCCGACCAGGATGCCCTGGCTCCGTATCTTAGACACAGAATCAATATTTCTACTCCACCCCAAGTCTTCAGTTTTGGGGATGTGCTCACCAGGGCGTCCAGACACTCGCCTTAACAAAGATGTACTGAATTTCATTCGGGTATATCGACAGGAAGTAACCGCGCATCCCATACAAAGCACACCATCCCGGGACCTTGGTATCTGGGACGAAGAAGCAAGCCCGCAAACGGATGCAACCGGAAACAAGGCGGGGGAAGTTGGTATCGTACATGAACCGGTTCGCCATTAGACCAAGGGTTCCCCGGTATCTTGGTGCACAAAGAAGCATACAAAGAAAGCAAATTCCCCACCATCGCGGTATCGAAGATTATCGTCTCCCTCATCTCACCCCGAGCCAAACCAGCAGCATCGGCATCTACAATGCATAAAGGCCGTTACATTCAAATACTCCTCTACAAATGCATCTACGCTACGCGGCGATCACCTCGAATGCGTACTGAAGCCGCTTTGGCTCGGGTTTCTCGATACTAACCTGCCCGGAATGATGGGGCTACTGCTTTCGCTGGCGGATTCCACCTGGATGTTTGTCTCAGTAGTTATGCCGATGACGTTGGGTCCGGGCTTCATTATCGAGTCCTGAGATCCCGTCGGACTTGTTTCGCGGAGAGTATCCTCAAGTCCCCTTCCACGGGCGCCTTTGCGGCCTCGCGAGTGGTCGACGATGCGCGACATGCGGTTGCTGCCTCCGACGATCGTTACCGTGCGTGCAGTCCCGACTTCTTTGTTCATCGACTGCAGCCCGAAGTGGGTGTCGTCTCCTGGACGGGAGGCGTTCATTGATATGGCGGTTACAGTTCGATTGTAGTGGTGGCTGGAGATGTCGCCGCCGATGAATACGCGACGGGTTAGTGTGTAGAGGACAGCGTCAATCCAGCCGCAGGACGCCAAAAAGGCTCCAGCGATGCAGAAGAAGATGTCGGGCATGTCGACACCAGCCATTGTAATCATTCGACCCAGGGCAATCGGGAACGTGAGGATGACGTACGCCGCCGGGTACAAGACCATGAATCTGGTGGCTCGCGAGAGCTTGCTCGTGTCGTTGTGCATGATGTTTCGGATGCTCTTTCGCAGGTAGAAGAAAACGTGGGCGTAGATGGCAATGGTGCCGAATTCGACGATGAAGATCCAGAGGTAGTGAAGCCACAGGCGTTCGGCCTCGAAATCAACGGAAACCCAGCACTGGCTACCCGTTAGCGCCAACATCTTCATTTGCTTGGAATCGTACTCACCCATCCTCCAGCTCGCGCAAAGTAATGGTCTCCATGCATCGCCGGTCCAAGAATAGTCAGGAGCAACGCCAGGCCCCAAATCAACAGGATCGACGCGACGAACCACTTGTACGGCATCCTAACTCCCTTCACAACGCCAAACCACGTATGTATCGCAATGGCCAGCACGAAGAACCCGCTCGCCACATCGCCGATATGCAAGAACCAGCCTTGGACGAAGCACGCGGCCGTAGGCGCAAGGATCTTGTCCAGCCTCAACCAGTGGAACGAGATCGTGAAGGCGATGGACTGCTGCAGATCCGCCAGCAGCAGGTTGTAGATGAGGAGGACATATTGATTGTATCCGACGTACTCCTTGTAGTGCTTGCGCCAGGATATTAAGCGGTATGTGATGAAGCAGATGAGCGCCGAAACTGATATCAGCGACATCATGGCGAAGAGCGCTACGGGGATAAGGCCAGTTTTGAACACCGGGGTGAGGGGATCCAGGCTATTGGGGTAGGGGAAATAGCGCTTTGCGAGGACGGATCTGGCTTCGAGGGAAGCCATTTCGAAGGGAGCCATCTTGACCATTGGGTCGTGTGTCGTTTCAATTCGACTCGGATGGATGAAGGAGGTTAGAAAGGTGAGGTAGCCGGCCGTTTTCAGTGCCTTTCAAGACACCATGATGGTACTGAGCAGGGCAAATCGACTTTAACGCAGTAGCTTCCAAGGGCTGTCACGGGCGCTCCTCGCTATTGTCCAATATCTCGATGTTCGGCGGGGGAGGATCGAATTCTCTATCGATTACCAGAAGAGGCAACGATATGCTTATGGACAAAGGTTTCGCAATCAACGGTGGCTGAACGAGGGATCAAAGAAGGTGCGGCTCCCACGGGACAGGCGTCGCTCACGGACGTAATGCGCCCCTTGATGTGTGATGGCTGGCTGGGTACTTATCGATTATGCGACCGAACGCTCAAAGAACAGACGACAGCAAAAAGGAAAGCAGAAAAATTAGGAGAACGAGCAGAATCCTGGGGCATAGCGAGAACGCCATCTTAAGTTGACAGGAGTCGTGCAAACTCAATCGTCCATTGCGGAATAGACCCGTCCGCATGCAAGTATCGACGGCAGCTAAGCATCTGCAACTCCACCCCACCACAGACGCTAATTGTGAAAGAATCGGCTTGGGTAAAAGTGAGGGCCTCGCGTCTGGGTGCCCCCTGCTGCCAATCGCTGTATTGACGGTTGGTTGGAGGTGGCCGGATGGCGCACTCGTCAACGGATGAAGGGATTGGCGGGCTTGGGTAGGGAGTAGGGAACCAGTCAAGGAACGGTAGGCATGGCCGCGGCTTCAAAACGCTGGTCGCATGGAAGGAAGGCTTGCGGCGATTGTGCCACTTGTGCCACCCCGCGGGGCGTTCTGCGACTCTGCTGTCGTGTGATGAGTTTCACCGACGGGCAAGGGCCGGGGCTCCCGCCACCACGTGGCCATCGACGTCCTTTGTCTGTCAGCAATACGTACGGTTATGTAGGCCTGTGCGAGAAGCAGGCGAGTTTGTTCGCCGCAAAGCTGCATGATCGTTTCCTTTGTGCTTTCTTCCTAATATTGTTTGCCGCACGCTGCTAGACAACCCGGCGTTTTATCAGAGTTTCTATTGATCGTTATCCTGTCTCTCTTCTTTTGCCCTACTCCAGCGTATTGGAGACGATCAGTGGGGGCCCATGACTCGGGGAAGCGAATTCGGATTCCCCTTTGACGCAACAAGCTGCGGAGACGCTACCTGTTCTTGGCTCTGATCCGGGGTAATAGTCTGGATTTTCAGGGGGCGCTCGCCCAAGCGTCGTTACGAACGTTGCTCGCTCGGCGGCACCATGGCGCAAATCTTGGGAATAATCTGGGCCGCTGTCAAGCACGGTATCTCCGCGCCCGCGGCCGCCCATGAGCTCACATCCTGTTCGCCCTAGAAGCGGCACAGAAATTGGAAAGAAGACGCCGTGGCCTCCGGCATTAACGCTCGTGTTATCGAGGGGGACGACGGCGCCTCGTCCTTTGTCGTGTCTTTTCTTCCAATGAAGAGCCTTGGAGCGCTTACCGACCCGCAATGACCGGGATCCCGCATACCTGCCCTGCATTCATCAGCCGGGCAAGAAACGTGCGAGGAGTCCAGCAGCTTGTGAAGGATTCATATGCAGTTGACGAGGGCGGCGGTGAGCAGAAGAACGAACGATAACGAACGAGCTCCATGCGCCAACCAACAACCTACTGTGTACATACGATGGCTGCATTAAGCATGTTCCTCCCACTCGCCACGTGCAGCATGATGTTTGCCTGGTCGCTGAAACAGATGGTGGTCAAGTACAGTACCTGTCAGCACTTGCCGTCAGAACCGTCGCGCCCGAGCTGCGTGCATCTGCCAGCCATGCCCGCTCCCCTTACCACGGTTGAAGGCCGCATTGACAGGACCCTTGCCGAGCAGCACAACTCAAAATTGCCGGGCGTATCATCTTGGGACCGGCTTCATAATTGAAATCCTGGGTCGGTAGCTGATGGGACGTCATTGCAATTTAATCCACCTGCAAGTCCATACGCCCGGCATTCGTCTCTTCACGGTGAGGACTTCAATTCTCCTCGTTCGAGTTGAGATGGAAAAGACGGGGCAAAATACGAGCCCGCGATGCGACGGCCCGGATGAATACCTTCCAGAAGCCCTGAAGCGGCGTGTTAGTGAGGCACAGTACGTATCCTGTTCGTGTACCTGTACCCCGCAGACCGTCCAGACCACCGACGAGGGGAGGGCCGGCGCAGCTCCCCCATTCGCCTTAGCCGCATCATGCACTTCTTGTCACCCGTGGACCGTCTTGTGGGCCCGTTGGGCCGATTGACGTTTTCTCCCCCAAACCGGATATATCGCTTCCGTTATAGGAGGTCCTTTTGCTCATCCCTAGTTCTCTAGGTGCAAAGAAGGGCCGAACTGGTACCTGGGTAGCTACAGTACTGGTAGTATCAACGGGCCTGAAAGATACATCGACGCGGACGGAACAATGCCGGCAGATAGGTAGTTACGTATAAGGCATTGCTGATTCCCGGTACGTACCGTTCTTCTCACCGTTCGCAAAGCTTGCCAGGTGCATTACCCGACCAATTCCAAGTCTCCTCGTTATCCGTCAGGTAGGATTAAAGTTTGCGCCTGTTTTGACAGCCACCAGGCAAGTTTGACACCTGCCACTCTCGTGATACCCGCTCCCCTCAAATAACCCACAAAGCTTGTCTTTACGACAGTGGAACCACGCGCTTTTTGCCCAGGTGCTAAGCGCCCCAGCAGCAAGGACAAGACCCACCGGAACCAGCGCAAGCTACTTCGCCATCGAATATACGAGCTCGCCATCGTTGCTATCAGTCTCCAAGGCCGTTCGATTCATGTACCCCAGAGTCTACTGAGTGGAGCTGCCCCAGGTCTGAATGCCGAGCGTCATGGCATACATGCAACCGACTCCGTACTCGTCTACCTCGGTACCAAGTCTACACAGGTATCTCCACGGCTTGGCTTGCTGGCCTGATGCTCAGGTTCCCATTATCTCTGCTGTTGCGGGGCCGCGGACGACGGCGCTGCGCCCGAGTCGTTGGATCGCCGACCTGCTCCGTGGCAATGGACTGAGGGTTCGCCGAGTGTTTGATCGTTGGCGATGCGCAGCAGATCCGCAATGCCTTTAATGTGCTCACGTGGTACTGTATGCTTTGTACAAAGGGTATGGCTCCACCCCTCAAGTCTGAGACGAAGACAAGTACGTCACCGCTGATACGGGAATTCCAATTATACCCTCCACCAAGACCTCATATTGCGCGGACAATGGAATCTCTCACACACAGTCTCTTCCTTGGACATGCCACGGAGGGGCCACCATGAGCGAGACTCGCAACGAACGAGATATACGCAATGAAACCAACAAGCTTTCGGCGTGAACAGCGCGGTGATACGTGTTCTACTCCATGACCACCGTAACTTCCCAATTCTATCTCTGATGAGTACGCTCGGTCAGTCTCTTCCTCCATATATTGAACGGTTCGCTCTGCCGCCGATAGTGAATAGCAGTTGGCATTCCAAGAACGTGCTTGTGGACGCTTAAAGATGCTCACCTTCCGGTGGTGTGCAACGCCTTCGGAACGGATACTGGAGTCGGCGCAAAGGTACCAGGATCACCGCAAAGAAACGTTCTCTTAAGCCACAGGCTGTTAATGAGAACGCTGGGATGGGTAGACAGGAATGAGAAAGTCAGAGTAAGAACTACGTGCACAAGGATGGGATTGGAGGATGAGGTATCATTGGCATGGAGGGTAACTCTTAGCCATATCGGCACGCCGTTTTATCTGCAATACGAATGCCATGACATCGCTGCTTCCATATGCTAGAGAAAGCGCAGACCAGAGAGAATATTTGTGAGAACCGTCATAACCACGCCGTTGACCTTTCCATATCCCATTTTGCCGCCCACGAAAAGCCACCTTCCCCCGCTTAGATCGTTGTCTCGTACGGCACAGGCGTGATGCTCTCAGGCTTGTTGCCCTTGAGGCTGACGGTTCGTGCTTCCCTGGGCATGGCGGGCTCGCGCTTCAAGTGGATGTGGATACCCTCGGTCTTGGCCTTCTTTCGCTTCTCAACATTCTCCTTGACGCGCCTCACAAAGTCTTCTCGGGATCGGGAGTGTCGGACGTGCTCGATGCGAACGTTGACGCGCTTCTCGATGTATCGGTTGCCGACCTGCTTGTAGCTGTGCGGTGTTAGACTGGCAACTCGAGCGAGAGTGCGCCAAATAAAACATACAGAATGACGCCGACAGCAGACTTGGTCACGTTGTAGACGACGCCGGTCTTGCCGTGGTAGACCTTGTAGGGCATACCCTTCTGCACGGCACCTGCGCGATCGTAAGTTCGCTATCCGCTAAAACCAGCTTCCACCGATTTCCGTACCATTGGCCACAACGTCCACAATGTCACCAACCCTGTAGTGCTGGAGGTAGGTCGAGAGCGGAATCTGGAATCATATTCGTATCAACACTGTCGATTGTGATCTGTCGGAAAACTCACTGCACCGCGTTGCTTGAAGCCCCTCGAGAACCTACGTGACGTTAGCCCGTGGTAGCCGTGGAGGAATTTCATTGTTGAGAACGTACGCATAGCGCGTGCCAGCACGGAGACCGGCCGAATGACCCATGGCGAGTGTTGTTGGACGTGTACGATGTTCGAGGTGTTGATGAGGTCGCCGACAGAATTGCGATGTGTGGATGTTGCGCCGTTAAGCGAGACTAGCGCGCCAAGGCCACAAACACCGCACCACCAAAAGCTCTTCTCCGACTCTCTCCTGCAAAAGCATCGACAACCACCATGGCGCCTCCCCGCAGCTACTCGAAGACGTACAGTAAGTCTACATATACGAACATTTCCCATCATCTGCATGCGCAGACTAACGCTGTCTAGGCGTCCCCCGTCGTCCTTTCGAGTCCGCTCGTCTCGTACGTACTTTGCCCAAGGCCAATTGACGCGAGCGTGCTCCGTCTATGTCTGGGACATTAGTTAACGACAGGAGTAGGACGCCGAGCTTAAGCTCGTCGGCGAGTATGGTCTGCGCAACAAGCGCGAGGTCTGGCGAGTCCAATTGACTCTGTCCAAGATCCGTAGAGCTGCCCGGTAAGTTTAGTTTGTATCCTCTGAGGCCCTAAGATCATGAGCGGGCTAACAGAAGGCAGTTCCCTCTTGACCCTCGACGAGAAGGATCCAAAGCGGCTGTTTGAGGGCAACGCCCTCATTCGACGTCTCGTTCGTGTCGGTGTGCTCGACGAGTCCCGCATGAAGCTCGATTACGTGTTGGCTCTCAAGATCGAAGACTTCTTGGAGCGCCGTCTCCAGACCTGCGTCTACAAGCTCGGTCTCGCCAAGTCCATCCACCACGCTCGTGTCCTCATCCGCCAGCGACATATCCGGTGAGCATTCATCGGCCATTTATTGCTAGGTGGAATGTGACTAACACGCTGTGACAGCGTCGGCAAGCAGATCGTCAACGTCCCCTCCTTCATGGTCCGCCTCGACTCCCAGAAGCACATCGATTTCGCCCTGACCTCGCCGTTCGGTGGTGGCCGCCCTGGTCGTGTGAGGAGGAAGAAGGCCAAGGCTGCCGAGAAGGGTGGTGATGAGGACGGCGGCGATGAGGATGAGGAGTAGATGCCACATCGGGTCAGACAATCTGGCATGGATGATCGGCGTTGGTGATGACGGGATGATGCTTCAAGGTGAACATTTTGTCTCCGGCTGCGACATATCCAGGTCGGGTTCGGTTGGTGGGTGGTCTGCATGATCTGCATGTAGTCCCTCACCTCAAAAATATATCCAGTGCCATGAAATTCACGCCCAATCATCTCTGCTTGTATCATTATCTCTACCTGGCCGCGCCATGCACAACCTCCGTACCTAGCGTGACCGTCACGATCAAGTTCGACAGTGCCCCATAGAGCGGCGTACACATGGTCAGGAATCATGCCTTACCTCAGGATCCGGCCCCTTAGTAGCCACTGAACTATGTCGACATTAAGATCTAGCGTACGTTATGGTGAAATGAAATGGTACCGCCATTGACAATGTGCATAGGCGCCATTAGCACTCTCTGTATTATACTTCAAGTATGAATCTAATTCTACCCCGGCTCGCAGACTTTCATAGCTCAAGGCGAAGTTTAAAATCTTTTACGGGTTCGCCTAAGCTCTAGGGCCGAGTCCTGAAGAAAAGAGGTACTTCCAGTGCTTTTCTCCCCACCAAACTGAAACGCCAGAGTCATAGCTCTACTCTACAATGGTGTGTCCTAATAGTCTATTATAGATTCAAAAAGGCTGCCTGGAGACAGTGCCGTCATCTTCGACTCAGAATGAGAAAGAGTGTAGTTTTGTCGCCGGCTATGATTGGCTAACTAGCCGAGATGCCAAGATCCACAGAACTTTGAGGACTTCCACCGCCGCCTCCTCTCCCCTCACTTTTGAACCTCCCGCGTCCTCGATCCTTCAGCCCATTGATACCTACTGCACGTCGCAAATACCGAATCAAGCCCTTACCATAATCGATCAAGATGGTGAGTGTCACTTTACTGGGAACCTGGAGCTGCAGGACGACAAGTTTCGTGCGCGGAGACACGACAGTCGATATTTGCCACAAAATCTTGAAATCGCGCTCTTGTAGAGCTCCTATTGCCCATTATAGCTTCGATTCGGGACTTTGGCTGACCTTTTACACAGGTTCTCGCAGTTGATCTCCTCAACCCCACCCCGGCCGCGTACGTCTCCATCCCGAATATATCTCCTGTACATCGAACTAATTGTCGGATATAGTGAGGCCAAGAAACACAAGCTTAAGCAGCTCGTTCCCGCTCCGAGGTCGTTCTTCATGGGTTAGTCGATTCTGCATGAGGATCTGATTTTGTGTCAGCCGGACTAATTCGACCGCAGATGTCAAATGCCCCGGTTGCTTCACCATCACCACCGTCTTCTCGCACGCAAACACCGTCGTTGTCTGCCAGGGCTGCTCGCAAGTTCTGTAAGTGAAGGAACATTGGTACTGTGGGCAAGGCAGAGCTAATGGAGTTATAGGTGCCAGCCGACTGGTGGAAAGGCGCGGTTGACCGAGGGTTGCTCTTTCCGACGGAAGTAAACAACCACCGGCGATGCGGAAGTGGATTGACGGTTTACGACAATGATTGATGAGACAGGGTTGTAGATCTCATTGGTACCGATCGGCTCGACCGCAGGATAGAAGAGGGATCTTTCGACTCGGGTCAAGGCAAAAACAAAACGGGAGTTCCGGATATCTAGTGTTGATCTCGACAACCTTTCTGAGCCTGTTTCCTTTGTTCGGCATGCGTTTTCACAATTTCATGTACTTGCCTATGGGAGGCGAGATAGCATTTCAGAGCTCTAGGTCAGTCGTCCAGGAGCGAGGACCGGCTTGCGTATCGATGATACCCCCTCCTGCAACGGTCCTTCATAAAATCGAACTATTCAGTTCCAGACACTCGCTCCAATTGAACCATCCCATCTTATGCTGATCGCGAACTGCTCGGAACGGTTCTTACATTGAGCCTCAAAGCCCAGGCGGCAATGCGACTGGAATTATGACATCTGCACAACGCTTTACCAAGTGCAGCAGGAGCCCTGAATGTAGGCTTGGCTGCGTCTCTGCTAACTGCCAATGGTGAACCACCCACTGAGCTCGACGTTGATTGATTGACCTGCATGTCCCGCCTGACAAGCAAAGAATTGTTTCGCCGACCGCCGACGAAACAAAATGGACAGCACCAGGGTATAAACAAACAGACCAGCACCTCGAAAAGGCGTTGTTTTAGTCGGAGGCAGCACGATCCTCCTGCAAGAACTATTGAAACTGTCGCACGAGGAGGAATCGGGACCCTCTTTCGCAGCCCCACGACGTCATTGCTCGCGCCGTGCCGCGGCCCCAGAAAAACCGTCAAGCACCAGCTAGCCAGCCCCATAAAAACAAAATGGCTCCAGATACTAAAGAACCCACCGAATCCGAGGTCCTTATCCGCGATTTCCTGGCCGCCAACCCGTCGCTGGACTCTGAGCTCGGACAGATCGAGGCCATGACCGACAGGTATACGAATGAAGAGTGGGCGAAGCAGATTGCGGAGACGCAGAGGAAGGTGCTGAAGGAAGTGGAGGAGGGCGGGAAGGCCCGGAGGTATGAGGTTCCACGGACGGGGAGTAGGGAATTTGCGAAGATGGTGGATCATACGGTTTTAAAGTTGGATGCGAAGGAGGGCATGATTGATGCGCTTTGCTCTGAGGCGAGGACGGAGGGGTTTAAGGTGGGTAGTTCATGTTCTGGTCCATTGGTGCAAAGGGTCCGATTGTTATATTGGTGTCCTTCAGGGTCGATTTGCTATGTCCCTTCTTTCTTTGATGTGCTGCCTGCGCATTCCATATACATTCTGATAGAGCTGATACTGACATTTCGCAGAGCGTATGCGTCCGCCTCAACTGGGTCCAACGCTGCGTCTCCAACCTCAAAGGCTCCGACGTCGTCGTAGCCTGCGTCGTCGGCTTCCACGAAGGCACCCAAGACACCTACGAGAAGCTGCGCGAAGCCCGCGCCGCCGTCGCAGCCGGCGCCAGCGAACTCGACGTCGTCCTCAACCACAGCATCCTCACGCGGGTGCATTACCGCAACTCTTCTCCCCCTCCAACAGCAAGCTCCAGAGACTCCACCACGGACTCCGTGACCGCCGCGAACACGGCCGCGAACACGCGGCCGAGAAACGGAACTACCGCAACAGAAGGCCCGTACTCCGTCCCCGGCTCCCTGTCGACATCTAGTTCTGCCCACGGAGGAGACGACGAAATCCCCGACTACAGCGCCATCTACACCGAGCTCGCCAGCATCCGCTCCCTCTGCCCCTCGCCCACCGTTCTAAAACTCATCCTCGAAACCAGCCAGCTGAACCCCGCGCAAATCCTCGCGGCCTCCCACCTCGCCGCCGCCGCAAACTTCGACTTCATCAAGACCTCCACGGGGTTCAACGGCCCCGGCGCCAAGCTGCCAGACGTGCAGCTCATGGTCGCCGCGTGCGAGTACCTTTCCACAAAGACGCCGAGCAACGGGGGCAGTCCGGTGCGAGGCGGCGGGCGGAAGATGCAGGTCAAGGCCAGTGGCGGGATCAGGGATCTGGAGAGTGCGAGAAAGATGCTGGAGGCGGGGGCGACGCGGTTAGGGACGAGCAGTGGCGTGTGGATTATGCAGGAGGGGCGGAGGGTGGTGGAGAGTGAGAAGAAGGGGGTTGGGAAGGACGGGAGGCCCGAGGGAGTGACGAGATTATATACGGATGATTCTGTGGGTGGGTATTGAGCGGTGCTAGCGAAGAGAGATGGGGGTTGGGGATTGGTGCACCAGGTATGCATAATCGGTTGCATTGGGGGGGAGCTGCTGGTAAGGAGATACCACATGCCTTATCGAGGCACTGTCATGGAGGAACCGTAACGTGTGCATGATTTCCAAGGCAGCGAACAATATGAACAGAGAGACGCTATGGTTTTTCTCTAATACGCACTAAGCCTGGGCACCACTCAGCTGCCTCAAGCCCGCTCATCTTAACTAGCATCGACTGAAAACTAAAAATCAACTGAAGTAACCTCTTTATAGAGCTTATCCAACCAGGACATGGTAATAAAAAATGGCGGGGGAAAAATCTCTATGCACAGTGAAAAAAGTAAAGTAAAGTGAGGCCAAAGCCATGTAGTTCATGTACTCAAGACCTTCGCAAATGGCGAAAGAAAAGCAAGCAATGTCCACCGTACAGCAAGAAAGCACCGTCCGCAAGATCGAAGATATTGTGGTCGAAATGCCTTTGACAAATGCAAAAAGTGGAGGACGCAGCGCTATCCAAACCGCCTTTTCTAACCAGAAAGAAAGGAAGACTCGACATTGAAGTACAGGGAGGGGTAGAAGGAAGGGTATAGGTGGGGTGTCGTGAGGTGCTGGGGTGAAGAAGAAGGGGAGTACGAGATCTAAAAAAACGGAGGAGGGATGCTGGCCGGCGCAGATATTTACATGACGGTGCAGCTGCTGCTCTTGTCCTTGTTGGTCTTAACTGTCAGCGCAACGCGGGCGGCTTCGGTGAAGGCTTCGTTGACACCCCGGTTCTTCATGGCGGAGCATTCTAGTCGAAGGTTAGCAAATGAATCTCTAAAATCTCACCGTGTGCTACCAGCTACCAGCTCCTGTATGACATGTCTAAGTCGGCGCGTAGATAGGGTAGGCATGGACCAATTGGTCTCTGCTACCATTGGCTAGCAACTCCCAGCCAGGTGAAAAGTCCCGGAGCTGGCTGCGGCGTGGCAACTCGGCACGGAAGGAGGATGACGTACCGAGATACCGGAGTGCTTTGATCCTCTCTGCAACCTTGAGTCCCTCGTCGTACTGGATCATAGGTTTCTCCGGTTGGGAGTCCTCGTCTTCGTCGTCGCGCTTTCGCAGATCGCACTTGAGAGCCACCAGAACGAGCCTAACTTCCGGGCAGTTCTCGGCAATCTCGCCTACCCACTTCGTTTCCACGTTCTCTAGAGAATCCGGCGAATCGACCTATGTATAGCATGAGCCCAGGCGCATATGTCACGAGTGAGGAATCCGTACGCTGAAGCAGAGCATTATCGCATGGGTGTCATCGTAGCTGAGTGATCGTAACCGGTCGAATTCTTCCTGTCCGGCAGTGTCCCACAGGCTGAGTTCTACGTGTGTATTGTCGATATATATGTCTGGGAGGGATCAATACTAGGCAAGATGATGGGAGCGATCTGGAGTGCGACGAACCGTGGACATAATTCTCTGCGCGGAATTGTTAGCGCCAACAAGGACATGCCGGAATTTCGAGGGCTTACCAAACACTGTAGGCTCGCTATACGCCAGAGCGGTTAACACATGGCGTTGTCGAACGCAGAGACGGGCACTTACTATACGGTAGGGAAGTATCTGTAGCGCAGACAATTAGCTCTCTGTCCATTCGCAGACAATCGCAGCGTCTGCGCAACACTCGACGTACCCTCTTGTGAACACGTTGAGCAGTGATGTCTTGCCGCATGCACCGTCACCACTGTTAGGTACCAGTTAGCCCAGGCCTGTCGCATCCGCGCTCCCCACTTCACCGTGGGTTCCCCGCAGAAGGAGAGACGTACAGGAGCACTAGCTTGCGCTGCACGGACTTTGTTCCACCACAGAGCGGCATGGCGAAGCGTTGGGGGGTCGACTCGGCGATCGATTCGTGCCGTCGGTCCACGGACGAGAGCGCTGGCGCGTGGGAGATGGCGGTCGCAAGCCTGTCGCAGGCGGGGCGGGGTTCGAGGGGAGCAGCGAGAGTCGCACGAGTCGAGGGCGCGAGCAGAGGGAGTTAAGGATGTCGTGAGGGCGGCGTTCCAGAGCCGGGCTGGCTGGAGGTGTCGCTGTCGATGGGAGAGGAACCGCTACCGCGTTAGTCCTAATCCGGGAGGCCCTCGTCGCCTCTCCACCAATTCGCCGGGCGTGGCGCAAGCTGGCACCGAGCGAGCTGGCACCGTCCAGGCGGCCGAGAGAGACACGCCAAGCAGCTATTTATTGCTGACTGCGTGCGAGCAGACGTGTACGTGCGAGGCTGTGAGGATACTGTCGTAATGCGCAGTTTGAGGCGTAGATGTTGAGGAAACAAAAATGCGGCCGAGCGACCAAATACCGCCGTGATGGGCTTTTGCAGATCGGGCCATGGGAGGCTCAATTTCTAGAAATGATGGGCCGCCATTCACGCGAGCGAACGACTGCAACCCTGGTCCTCCTCCACAACGCTCGTGAAGACAATAAGATCAGCATGGCCTCGGTACTTCACCCAAGATTGCGCGCAATATTGTATTCCCCTGGACGCGATTCACAATCCTCGTCCGTGTGCTATGCGTGCGGCTACCCCATTCCCGAGATATCAACGTCACCTGCACTGCCATGCCAAGACGCTGCCAACGTACCACAGTAGTAACTCCATAGGCTATACGAAGGAAGATAGTCGGGGAGTCTTGTGGTTGTAGATATGGATCCAGCAGCCCTATTCGTGGAGGAATTGAATGCATGCCCTCGGAGGGACTCTTGAGAACGATAGCCACAACGGCTACATAGAAAAACAGTGTGCAAACTGGATCCGTCTGACCGTTTGAATGGCAAGCTTGTCAAACTCGACACTTCACACATGACGAGATCCGAAAGTTTTCTATTGAAGATGCCGGTGAAAGTCCCAATTACACGGAACTCCACTTGGACCGTGCGTGGCTGACTAAGGCGGGGATCTCAGGGCTGGGCTGCAGGCAACTAAACCTCACTTTCGAGCTTTCGAGCGTCCAGCTCACCACCAAAGTATCCCACGCCCCGCACATCCGCATCTCCAGCTTCTTGAGGCACTGTTCTCCTGCGCAACTTGCAAGCCAACCTAATCTAAAGCTCCTCCCGCAACCATGTCGGACGACGATGATTTTATGCAGGACTCTGACCAGGAGGAGTAAGTCCCGCCCATGCAGCTAATTTCCGGCTCTGACATGCGTAGGTATGATTTCGAGTACGAAGACGACGACGAGGAGCAGGGCGGCGATGTCGACATCGAGAACAAATACTACAATGCGAAGCAGTTGAAGGGCGACGATCCGGAGGCAGCTATCGACGAGTTCCTAGGCGTCCCCGCGCTGGAAGAAGAGAAGGGTGACTGGTACGCCCACAGAGATGCTGTACAAGTAGACAAACCTGATCGTGTGCAGGGGCTTCAAAGGGCTAAAGCAGGCCATCAAGCTGGAGTTCAAGCTTGGGCGATATGACCAGGTTCGCAACTTCAGATATTCTGCCAATGGGAAATGACTAATGCTAGTGCAGGCTGTGGAGCACTACAAAGAGCTCCTCACTTACGTCAAATCCGCAGTCACGCGCAACTACTCCGAAAAGTCCATCAATAACATGCTCGACTTCATAGAAAAGGCGGCAGAAGACGCCGAGGCATACCGCTGCATGGAGAAATTCTATGCCCTCACACTCGACACATTCCAGAGCACCAATAATGAGCGGCTCTGGCTGAAGACAAATATTAAGCTTGCGCGGCTGTGGCTGGATCGGAAAGACTACCGGCAGTTGACGGAGAAAGTTCGAGAGTTGCACAAGGCGTGCCAGAAGGAGGATGGAACAGACGACCCGAGCAAAGGCACCTATTCATTGGAGGTCTATTCTCTGGAAATCCTCATGTATGCGGAGACGAGGAACAACAAGCGCCTAAAGGTGGGTTTCATCTACCGCATTCTGCTTCGCCTGCATGCTCATCTCCGACGCAGGCACTCTACCAACGAGCTCTCAAGGTTAAATCCGCAGTCCCACATCCCAAGATCATGGGAATCATCCGCGAATGTGGTGGCAAGATGCATATGAGCGAAGGCAAGGACTGCATCACCTAAAGCTCGGTACCGTGACTAATTGGCTCGCAGAGAACTGGAAGGGGGCGCAGAGCGACTTTTTCGAGAGCTTCCGAAACTACGACGAGGCTGGCTCCCTCCAGCGAATCCAGGTGCTCAAGTACCTGGTGCTCGCGACCATGCTGTCGGGTTCGGATATTAACCCCTTCGATTCGCAGGAGACCAAGCCCTACCAGAACGACCCGCGCATCTCCACTATGACGGACCTAGTCAACGCCTACCAGCGCGAGGACATCCATGAGTACGAGAAGATCCTGCAGAACAACCGGGACCTCCTCAAGGACCCGTTCATTGCGGAAAACATCGACGAGGTCACGCGGAACGTGCGGACCAAGGCTGTGGTCAAGCTCGTTGCGCCCTACACCCGCTTCACGCTCGAGTTCATCTCCAAGCAGCTGAAGATCACCCTTTCCGAGGTCCAGGAAATTGTGGGCTTCCTCATCGTAGACAAACGCCTTCGCGGCAAGATAAACCAGCAGACCGGGACGGTGGAGATCGAGAGCAGCACGGACATGGATCGGGTGCAGGCGATGAAGGAGTGGAGCGCAGCAATTGGATCTCTGTGGGCCACGGTCTTGAACGAGGGAGAGGGGTTCAAGTCGGACGACACTGGCTCACAGTTCTCTCCTAGCGGCTCCGGCGAGCCGAGCATCGGGGGAGTACAGCGAGGTAACTGGAGTCTGAGTGGGCTTGGCTCCAAACCTGGGCGGCAGAAAGGCAAGGGTCCGGGAGGACGACTGCTGGGCGGTGGAAGCAAAGGATGACTTGCAGCTTGAGTCTGCAAGCCGTTCGCAGGACGACCAATAGCTGGCGATTCGGGCCGAGACCTGACGGTGCCACAATACCGTCACTGGGGCTTTCCTGACCTGAAGAATTGAAACATGCCGGGTTCCCCAGAAGGAGAGGGCTGCGGTTGGTCACGCAAGGTAGCACAAGGCAAGAGATTCCTTTTCACATGAGCGATTCCACAGGGCCGGCGTCTCAGCAGCGGTCGGAGGCGGAGTTGTTCGGGTACAATCCGTGCGCCAATTGCCACGGTCACGGTCAGCAGCGAAGTGTGTACTGTGGTATGTAACCTGGCCTCGTTTTACGGTTGCAACCAGCCATAGGAACCGATTGCGCGGACGTCGCGGCCGCAGCGCAGCCACGGTGCCCCGCCCCAATGTTGGTGATGCGTCGCAGCGAGTCCACCGTGAGTCTTGAGGTGTCGTCTCGCGGCAAATCAGGTGCGCAATGCTTTGCGGAGAGCGTCCCGGGGAAGCGGCAAGGTCTTGTCTGCTGGGACCAAGCGAGCGGAGGTCCCGGTCAATTGCGCCTGGAGGGCAGCCCACGCAAAGACCCCCGTTTGGGCCGTGGTCGGGGCTCGCTTGCAGCGTGGGGGCACGTATCGACGAGTATCGCCAGGTGAGTGCAGGCTATCGCGGGTCGGACAGTTCCTTTTGTCTGCCGCGTCGGCGCCACGAAAGCCGCCAACGAATCATGCGCTGCAGGCCGGAGCAGTGACAGGCAGCATCAGACGCGAGGTGGTGAGTCTGGGCTGGACGCGCACTGTGTGAGATTGCTGTGAAAGGTCCCTTTTGCGGCGCCATGGAGCCCGCCTGCCACCGCCCGTCTCTCGTCATGATGCCGCATGCCTCGTCGCCATGGACGGCGACTGGCTGCGCGTCACAGCGCTCTCCTCCTCGCTGCATGCGGGTGCAGCCTCGCGGTCTGCAGAAGTTCCGGGGAGCGCGGTGCAGGAGCCGCTCCCCCAGGCCTGAGCCCAAGCTCCCGTGTCCATCGTGTTTCTATAGTGTGTATAGGGACGGAGCAGAGTCAGTGCCCTGGGCGTCCCGTAGTGTAGCTCGCCGCCATATCACACCCCCGCTGATGCGTCGCGGCCGCTGTCGGCAGGCCTTGGGTGCTTGATATTCCAGCGCCCTCGTCCATGCCAGCCATGGCTGATTTTCTTTTGCGGGAGAGACGCCAGGCGCTGATTGCCCGCCCTTGGAGAGCAAGAATTGCCCGGCATTCCCTCCCTCTTGTACGCCGTCGCGCTCGCGCTCGCTCTCCTCCTCCCTCCGGTTTCACATCCAGCAGCCCCATCGCTCGATGTGCATGAGGCGCCCTTAGCATTGACTGAGATCGATACGGTGCTTCTCCAAGGCTCCTGGTGCAACACCGACAGGCCGTTTCAACCCGCCAGGACGAAAGTGTTGCAGAGCGCTTTCTGTGCCTGGCGGCAGAGCTCCATAGCTCGCAAGCCCCGTAGATCGCTCTTGTTTCTCTGATATATTGGGCGCGCCCCTGGACGCAGGTGGGTATCACACAACGACACAGCTCCAGCCCGCTGCCGCGGCTCTCTGCGCCTACTAAAGACGACGCTGCCCGCCGCCGAAGGGAGCTCGTGGACGAGACGAGCTAACACGCCCATTGCCCATCCCACTGCCACTGCTGCGCTGCCGAGTCTGCTGTGGAATCGAGCGTCCAATTGCCCGCTGCTGGAGCCGTCACGCCGCACGCCTAGGGCACATCCAGCGCATCCAGCACCCGCCCGCCGCGCAGAGCAGACCATCCGCATCCAATTCGCGCCGCCGGGGCAGCATTGAGGGCATTGTCCAGCACCATGAGCCGGCCGTCGGTGCTCGCGAGCAGCTTCCACCCGTACGGACACGCGCAGAGTGCCTACGAGGGGTTCGTCCACTCAGGGCCCGCGTATCGGCAGCCGCTGCCCATGCGCCCGCTGCCGGAGCTAACCTCCGGCTACAATAACGCCCAGCACCAGCACACTGGCCACCACGGCCGCACCTCCACCGTCAGGATGTCGGGCCCCGCCTACATGCCCTCGGACGAGGAGCTCGCCCACCTCCAGAAGCTGTCGAGCGAGTTCGAGCCGGAGACGACGGTGAGTGCAGTGCGCAGGCCGGCATTGAGCAGCAGCAGCTGGGCTGACCTCCGTCGCAGGGCCCGCTTGTCGGCGAGCGCCAGAGCAGCAGCGCCATCACGAGCGAGTACGCGGGCGCGGACCCCGTCTACAGGATCAAGACGGCCGCGCTGCCCGCCAAATATGCCTTCTTCCGCACCTGTCGCGGCGACGGCCACTGCGGCTGGCGAGGTATGTAGAGTACCCGTGGACTGTACACACGCCCAATCGCTCCTTCCCTTGGTCGCAATCGCTCCTTCCAGCTCGCAATTGCGCCTTCCCTGCGCGAGACCGCTCCTTCCCTTGACTAACCCGCGCCAGCAATCGCCTTCTCCTACTTCGAGGCCCTGCTCCGCGTCGGCGACGTCAACAAGTTCGAGGACGAGGAGGTCCGCCTGAGCTCCATGCACAACCTGCTCAACCTCGCCGGCTTCCCGCACGATGTCTACATTGACTGGGCCGAGGAGGTGTACGACCTGCTCCGCAAGCTCGCCAGCTCCGTGCGCCTCATGGACGGCTCTGCCGCCGACACGCTGCTGCAGACCTTCAACGACATGAGCCTGTCCATGGCCATCATCACCTACTTCAAGGTATCCCCCCCCAATTCCCCACCGCACCCTGCAGTGCTAACTATGCCAGCTCCTCGCAAGCGCATGGGTGCAGTCGCGGGCCGACGAGTTCAAGCCGTTTGTGCCCATGGGCGACGTCAAGACGTACTGCGCGCTCAACATCGAGGCGGCAGTGTGCGAGATCGACAACGTGGCCATCGCCGCCCTGTCCGACGCCGTCATCAAGCCCGCGGGCATTGGCTTCGAGATCATGTATCTGGACCGCTCGCAGGGAGAGGAAGTCAACACCACCGCCTTCGCTCAGCCGACCGACCACAACGGCATGCCGCTGCCAAATGCGCCGTGGATTAGACTGCTCTACCGACCGTAAGCTCGGACCTCCAATCATGGACATCCATCCATCCTGCAGCTGCTAATTACCCCAGTGGCCACTATGACATTCTCTACAAGGCCGAGGACTTCCCCTCGCCCGTGCAGCAGCCTGTGCCCCCTCCGCAGTCAATGCACGTGGCGATGGCAAGCTACACGGACGGCTTCATTCCCGTCGCCAACAACATGTCAGAAGTCATGACAATGATCCCGGGCATGTATCCCACAAGTATTGGTCAGAGATGGCCTTCGGTCTCTTACGACTTCGACCCAAGTCCGGCGCCGCAGCCTCAGATGACGCCTGTTCAACCCTATGCACCTGCTCCGCCGCCCCCGCCGCCCGTCACCACCTCTCATCAGGATTTCATGCCTTCGGTGCATGCCAGCCATGTGTCTCACCGCCATCACAGCATTCCCATGGAACAGCCGCCAGTCACCCTTCCCATGCATCCGCCCCCTCCTCCCGTTAGTATAGAGAGGGCTCCTCCGCTTACGATAGAGCGAGGCGGGCCCTTCAGGCCGTCCATGTACGAGCTCGAACCAGGATTTGGCTCAGGTCAAATACACACGGTGCCCTTCCAGACCTCAATATTCCGCAAGTAAGTTGTTTCTATCTCAGACGCTGAATGACCCACTGATAATTTAGCTCTCATTACAACACGGCCCATTTCCTAAATCCAGACTTTCAGCCAGAAGAGTGGTCACCGGATACAGAATACAACACCGGAAACAAAGGCAGACACAAGTCAACCCCACAATAACCCGCCCTTTCTTTGCCAAAACGCGACTACATACTCTCGGTTTCTGGGAGGCTTCCTTCGGCCATTTCAGCGAATACTAGCGCCGGCGTTTATCGAGCCTCAAATGCTTGCTTTCGGTCACTGCATCATTTCCCCACGGCCTGCATCTAACGATGACTGACGACTGATACCATTATTACCCATTTTCGGTCTTACCTTGTTCACATAGCCAAAAGCCGCGGTACTTTCCGTTACCTATCTGAGCCACCGCGCTCCTGTTTCCTTCGACATGCTCAACTCGGCATCGATTCCACCTTCTCTGTCTCTTTGGACTGGGCGGCCGTCTCCTTCTCACCAGACTGCAAGAAGCCACCCGCGAGGATGCACGACCGTTACGATCACAAAGACTATCGACCTCAGGGTGCCAACGTACTTAGAGTTGAACATCTCTATTTGACCTTTTCCCCCTATACTTGGACATTCGACACCCCATCCGTTTAATCACTCTTTCTCCTCTCTGCGGCCCCCGATTATTTGGTATGCGCGGTGTTTCTACGGCTTTTCCTAGGCTTTTACCTCTCCGTCACTGTTAAGCTCCTTGTTCCTCTCTTTCTCATCGATACCCTTCCCGGATACCGGTTCTCCGAATACCCCCTCATGTCCAGCGGTCGGTCGCCTGGAAGAATTTCCATTACGGTAGTGCGTTTCTGGAGCTGCTTCAAAGGGATTTGTTTTGGGCCATGGGTGGGGATTGGGCGCAAAATGGGTTTGGACGATAGGGTCGGGTCGGGTTTCCCTAGGGTTTGGTGATGGGATGAGAAAGAGTGAAGGGGCTTGCATTGGCTGGCTTGGCGCTGCACGTCTGGCCTCCTGCTGCTTAGCTTCTGATCGGTCTGCAGATCGATCGATGCGGCCGCAGCGTGAGTGTAGATTCCCGTCGCAGTGAGCTTAGATGGTATCTATGTAGAAAGCTGCCAAAAATTACAAAATGAACCCCAGTACCTGATTACTCCTCCGAACGTGCAAGTATGGCGGGCTGTGCGAAGCAAGTATGGGGCGGCCAGACCGGCGAGAAAGCCAGCACGAGCTAAACGAATGCGATAGCGTCTTTTCGATTGGCTCGGGCTACTTGCTGATCGATTCTGCCCCTCGCGGTTGACGCCGGGAAGGCGTCCTGCACTAGATGCGTGCGTTGCGTGGTAAGCACTACCAGTGACGCACCCGGCAACAGTTGCCCTCACGTGAGCCCGCCATTCACCATTGGCGACGAACTTCACTAGAACGACATTACGATAGACTACTCCCACGGTCCATGTCTCACTCGACGCTTCACCAGACTATCGGGCGTCATCGCCGCTTCCGGGCAGTGGTACGCAGAGAGCACGGGCAACGCTCCATATCGCGGTGGCGATTTCAAAGCGCGCGGTCGGTTCAACATGGCATTCTTTCGAATACGAGGGCAGGACGTGAAGGAAAGCGCCATGGCGCTCTCTCCGCGGCAGGTACAGTGCGTTGGGAGGGCATGTCGAGCATGTGCTCGCAATCACGCGCAGCACCGGGATGGCGAGCGCGGCGAGCACGGCCAGCCATATGCACGGAAGTTTCCATGGACATTCACCGTCTTTCTTGTGTTGCCTGCCTATCTACAGTATCTACAGGCCTGCCTATCGTTCTTTTGCTCAATCTATGCAGTCTAGTCGCCCGCCAGAGCTTCTATCCCCTATCTTCAACATCATCATTACCCCCTCTCATAGGCCCCTTACATTCCCCCTCAGCGCATTCACCTCCCCGGCCGCAACAGGAAGGATCTTCCCTCTGCGCGACCATACACCGTCCGCACAGCGGCCCCTCTCACGAACCGTTGACTTGCGCACCAGAAACGCTGCGCAAGCCCCGTGACACGGCATCAGCAAGCGCGGGACACGGCTGATCACGCAGTCGGACGAAGTCGTCTGAGCTGAAGTTCGGTGACGGGCGCTTGGGTCGTCGACTGTTGTACGGGTGCGCATTTACCCCGCTTTCTTGTCATATCATATCATGTGGCCGGCGAGCGGAGCGTGGCCCTTGATACTGTTGAGGCGGCGAAGGACGGGTCGGGGCTGTCTGTGCGAGTCGTGTGGGTGGGAGTGCAAAAGGGAGGACGGGAGTGCGGCTCGGCTTTGAGGCGGCCGGTAGTCGCCGATGATCAGGGTGTACGGGGGATTATTGATTGAATTGCAAATCTGGGGGCGAGAGTGAGGCGAGATGGAAGGGGACCCCGTGCCGTCTTTGCGTTTGCGTGCCGGTCGTTTGTGAGTTCGTTGTGGAGCCCATGGTTTCGGGATGGACGGGCTTCTGACTAAACGACGGGCTTCTGGATGCTTGGGCTTGAAGGTGATACAAGCTGTAACAGCCAAACGAACACCATTTCTCGGAGGACTCGGCAAAACTCGGAGGAACGCGGACTGGCAGGCTTTGAATTACTTTCCGGGTCTCCTTCATCCCGAGGGATGCTCATCAGTCTACGCCTGCGGAGTCGTCCTCTGAGCCATCCTCGTCACTGTGGTCTGATTCTTCTCCTGTGTCGGATGATGCGTCTTCCTCGGAGACTTCGCTCATTTCCACATCCTCGTCAGCATCGGGACCACCGTTTGCAAGGCCGAGCTTCTTTTTTGCTTTTCGCTGCTTACGCTGCGACCGCTTCTTCTCCTTGTCCATGAAGAACTCCTTCTCTTCCCGCAGCTCGGACAATTGCTCGAACGTGACCTTCTGGATGCGCTGAAGACTAGCTAATTGCTTCTTGAGGTCCTTGATTTCCTCGGACTGTGCGTTGTTCGACGTGGCTTGAGCTTCTTCTCCCGTGCCATTAAGATCCGCACTTAAGGAAAGGAAGTCCGCGGCTTGGGCTGCACTGCCCTTCTGTGGGCTATTCCAAGTCTCAAGTTCTGCAAGACTCTCCTCTAGCATTGCAGTGGGAAAGCTAGGATGCGTGAGCGCTTCTTCGAACTCGCTCTTCCACGAGGCCCTGCTCTCGGTCGCAGAAATAGGAGGAATGGACAATCGGCCGGTGAATTGCATGTTCAGACTATAATTTGTGGGCACGAGCGCATTTCCGCTCATCATTCCGGCGTCTTGTTTCGGTTTGACCACAGTATGGATTTTGAATGTAGGCTCAGGGGCATTGGGGAACCCGGTAGGCTCCAGGAGCTGCAGGTTAGTAACGGATCCGGGAAGATTTGTCAGCGTAGAGATATAGCTTCCTTTCGCGACGTCCCAAGCAGCTATTTTTCCACTTGTGTGCCCTGATAGGACAGTCGCGCCGTCCCAGCTTAAGCTTAGGCTGAGGGCCGCACCCAGCTTCTGTGACTCGGCGCTGAACCTTGTCTTCGTAGAAGGCTGGATCGGACGGTGTGAGAGCGATGTATCCAAAAGCGCGTCAGTTGACGTAGACTTCTGGACGTCATCGTAGAAGTCTATTGTTTGCAGGCTTCCGTCACCGTAGGCTACATAGAAGCCCCGATCCGCAGGATCCAGAGCCACTGCTTGGGGCAGTTCAGGAAGCAAGTACGTCCGCAATGCTTGGCCATTTAGATAGTCCCATACTATCGCCGACTTGTCTTCCGATGTGGATATAGCAATGCTGGTGTTACCGTAGCTGTGCCCGCACACGATCGAAGCGATTGGGCCACGGTGCGTTGAGAGGGTATGTATGGGCGAGTGCGAGGTATCCGGCGAGAAAGATAGAATCGCCGGGAGAGCCCACACATGCACCATAGCATCGGGGGAACCGGAGAGGAAGAAGTTGGAGGTTGGGTCGACAGCGAGCGAGGTGACGGGTTGCAGATGCGCGGTAGAGGTGGACACGAGTCGGCCAGAACATGTCTACGGCGCAGTCAGAGCCCATTCGCCAGCGGAAAATACAGGTGATATTGCTCACCTCCCAGGCCAACACCCTTCCACTCTCGGTCCCAAGTAGCAGCACCGTATCTTTTGCCGAAAGTGCAATGCTATGTATCCTCTCAGGAAAAGGCACAATAGCTTCCTGATTCCCCTTCTCCCTACTGTACACATGCACTAGCGCCTTCTCTGCCTGTGCCGCAAAGATATGCGAGCTGCTCACGGTAAGCCCGTTTGGCGCCGTTTGGCTCTTCTTGAAGACATGTCGCTGGGCGCCCAATGGCTGGTATTCGTGCAAGAAAATACCTGCATCCTTGGTCACTCCAGTGTTTGGCTTCGTTTGGGCGGAGATCGAGGCGATAAAGTGTTCGGTGAGCATGGCGGGGAATTTGAGGGGTGGGGTTGGCGGAGCTTGCAGCTTGTCGATAAATTTTTGGTGTTAGAGCTCGGCTCGGTCGGGAGATCAGCACTCGGCCCGAAACCTCGGTATGACTTCATCCCGAACACGTTCACCCTGGCCGAAGCCGAAGCCTTAACTTCGTCTGTATTCAGTCGTGCATGGCTTTCAATGACTGCTCGATTTTGTCGAACTAAACCGAATGGTACCTGCTACCACCCCGGAGTGCGGTGCACAGCTCTCATACTGCCTGCATTTTACACTACGCAGTAGCCGCCCGCTACCGATGGTATCCCCTCGTTGAATTGACATACTACTTCTCTTGTTGGCACTGCGTTCCCGTACGCCTCGGCCATATCCCTTCGACTTCCGCATTGCTGGTCCAACTGGGGAAAACGGCATTTGAGCATACGTTGTCATCTCGACACAGTCGACGCACTGTGGGCCTAGCTACACGTTGAAACGAATCGATTCCAGCCTTGATTAGCGAGCACCTCTCTAGAGCAGATGGCGAGACGAGGAAGCGCTTCGGCCCGATAGTGTCCTCACACTGTCGAGACACCACATCCCACTCAAGAGCTGACTGGTCATAGGTCTCAGGTAGCCGCTTGTTGCTTGCCTATCCAAATTCATACTCACGGGCTTGTTGTGCTGGCCTTTCGAAAGCCTGCTCAAGACGAACAACCTGCTCTGGGCTCATACTTGTCAAAAACCAAACCACCAGCGCGTGAGCTCCGTACGAATTTTGAGAACATCTTTAAGATATCCTCAGGAGATGGGTGCGGTTCAGCAAGCCGACATTTTCGACAGTCCTGGAAGCATATCAGGATCCTCTACGAGCCGAATAAGGAATCGAAAACCTAGCTTACTCAAGCATATCCACAGAGAGACCACATGGCTTCGCTCGAAATAAAGAGATGTTTGTTTATCTGGCCACGGGAATCCAGATGGCCGTATGAAAGGGGCAACACGTGACGGCTAGCACGGACGACGCATAGCCACCCCTGCTCGGCCACACCGGATTTATTGGATATCTCTTAGCGCAGCCACACCACCCTACGAACCGCCCTGCTCGTCTACTCTACCTATTTTCGACCCGATCACGCTTCCACGTGGTTCGCTGAAGCTTATAGAGGCTTGGAACACCCCTTAAGCTAAGTCGAAGCGGACTTAAGCTTGCGCGGCTGCTAGTAATTCCTCAGTCTCGCCTCGGTCCAGATGCCGGTCTGTCGACAATGGCATTTTGTTCCCGCGTACTTTCACCTCACAAGATTTCAAGGCTGAACGAAAGCTAGCTGGACATATCTTGGCGCGCGTTTGCTATACTGCAAGGAGATCTAGGACGTCAAAAAGAAGCTTGTGTTGATGTACCGGTCTTGCGCGTTGACAGATCCGAGGACGCCTCACGGACGCTACCCTCGTTAAAGGCGGTGCCATTAGATGGTGGCTTGCTGAAGTACCTCTAGGACGGTGGTGAGCATCATGGACGACTTTGACTCTCCGCGGTGTGCCTAAGTATCTATAAGTATCGTTGTCTTATGCTTCTCAAGCGCTCTCCACCACGCTCAGCAAGTCATTCCTTAAGCGCTCCAGTCTTTACATCAATCGTTCTATACCCCTCATCACTCTTTCAGTTCAGTCTTCATTAATCAAATCACAATGCATCGCTCTATTATCTTCCTTGCCCCATTGACAGCGGCCTTCTCCTTCCCCAAGCGCGACCTTTCGCCCCCAACCTCTCTTCCGGCAGGATGGGAATACAACGGTATGGCATCTCCGCATCCCGACCTCTCCCAACAAGTCACTGACATGATTCTTAGGCTGTTATACCGACAGCCGCTACAACCGCGCCCTCAACGAGAAGCAATACTACGATATGGGCTCGAACACTGTTACCGCTGAAACTTGCATTGCATTCTGCGAGTCCAACGGCTTCCCAGTAGCCGGTCTCGAGTACTCAGGTGCGTTTATCTAGTCACTGTTGGAGGCACATTGACTGAACTGACATTTCGAAGGCGAATGTTACTGCGGCTCGACGCTTCCCTTCCAGTCCGGGACCGACGGCTGCAACATGCCATGCGCGGGCGACTCGTCTCAAGTCTGCGGCGGGCCTGATCGCATCACGGTCTACTCCACCTTCACGACCAGCATCCCGGAGGGTTGGACTTCCCTGGGCTGCTACTCGGATAGCGTTCAGGCGCGTACGCTCTCGGACCTCAAGCAGGTGGAGGGTGGCACTGATGCCATGACGCCTGAGCTTTGCACGTCTACGTGCCAGGGCTTTGGCTTCACGTATGCTGGTGTTGAATGTACGATTCTGCCCGTACTCTCCCCTTTAAAGCAACTATGCTAACTGAAGTAATACAGACGCCGGCGAGTGCTTCTGCGGCAACGAGATCCAGAACAGCGCCTCCTCATCCGGCCTCATGGGCGGATGCAGCATGGTTTGCAAGGGCGATGGCAGCGAGCTTTGCGGTGGCCCCGACCGCATGAACCTGTACACTGTTGCCGCCACTCCGGAGGAGCCTACCGAGGGGGAGGACACTGATGTCGAGGATGAGCCTGAGGTTATTCCGGAAGAGGAGCTGCCTTCGAAGTTGTAACCGTTCGATCTTCTCGAGCGCGGCGTTGACTACTACGCATACTGTACATATTTTTTTCTACCCACTGCACATAATGTTTGTACGTTATGGAAGGAGTATCCTATAGATGACAGAGTCGGGCGGCCTCATAGAACACACAAACTTAGCATTCGATTGCTTTTCCAACTCGGGATCATCGAAATGATTGATAGTCGGGATGATATACACCAGCTATCCCGATTCCAGTCCATCGCCCCATCGCTCAATCCACAAACACCATCCCCTCCATAACCTCCACCGCGCTTCCACTTAGCCGCAACTCCTCAATCTCCTTCCCACCCTCCATCACCACCACCTCAACAAAAATATCGCACCTTCTCCCCATCTCCACTCCCTGCGTAAGATGGAACTTCCTCACTCCTTCCTTCCCCTCCTGCAGCGCCAAATAACAGCACAAAGCCCCACTCGCACTCCCCGTCCCTGGATCCTCTCTACTCCCTATACTGCGCGTCCGCAGAAGCCGCGTATCGGCATGCTCGGCATCAGAGCCCAGATCGACGTAGTAAAAGGTCCCGGTGTAGCCAATATCCCAACCGCTTCCCGGGTCGAGATGCTCGCCCGCGTACAGCTTTGCGATGGGGAGAAGGCCTTGGGCCGGGAGTGCCAAAGCATCCAGATTAGCCATGGGGACGAGATTAAACGCCATACCCTTGACAATAGACACCAACGGCACTGTAGCCTCACCCGAAGGGTTCGTCTCCAGGGCCGGAAACGGATGCGGCAGTCTAGCCCTGTGGATGTGCACGTCATGCGGGATATTGACCCTCGCCGTGCGCGTCTCTCCATCATACACAAACGGAACAACACCCGCTAGAGTCCTCAGCTTCTTCACGCCTTCATACGCCTTGGCAGGTGTCGTCGCCACGTATATCGCCGTCCCGATCGTTGGGTGCCCGGCGAAGGTCATCCGCGACGCGGTCGTGAAGATGTCGTATTCCGCGGTGTCCTCGCCATTGTCTGGTTCGTGCAGGAAGGTGATCTCGGAGAGATTGAACTCCTTTGCGATTTTTAGCTTTTTTTCCTCGGTGAGTTGGGCGCGGAGCGAGGAGGGGACGCGGACTACGGCGAGGGGGTTGCCGGCGTAGCGGGTGGTGGTGAAGACGTCGAGGGTTGTGAATAGGAAGTGCATTTTGGGTAGGAAGAGGGACGGGGAGGGGGAAGAGGAAGAGATTGCTGGAGGTTTCATGAGGGCTGGTTGGTAGGATTGATGGAGGTGAGTCATTGCACGTGATTTGATCGACCACCTGCATTAGTAGTGGAAGGAGGATTTTTCCGGAAATATCAGCAAGCTATGCATTGCCTTTGCAGGGTGCAAGTATACGGCGTCCCGTGGGGTACCATTCAGCGGTAGTATGGTGGGGTATATCCGAAAAGGACTGTGAGGCACTTCGGACTAGCACGATGGTAATACTCGATACTACCGGAGAAGTAGAGCCTAGAGTATGTTTCCCTTTCTTCCAGTGATCGCTTGAAGATCCTTCGTTGGATGACATCCATTAGGCTTCCTTAGCCCACTGTTTCCCACTCCACAAACCCCCTGTAGTCCAAAGCCAGTAATCCCTCCCCTTTATCATCCACACCATCCAACTCGGCAATCTCCACCCCATCGCCGCGCCTACACCCTTACTCTTCCCAATAGGCACCATTTGCGTCTCCCTCTTATCCTCCTTGAACACTTTCTCCTCGCCCACTTCGCTTTCCATCTTTCCAGAAGCAAGGAGGAGATCGCGCTTGATGTTCGCGCCGAGAGTTGGAACGGCTGCGAGGAGGTTGTGGACTGCGGGTCGGGCGTAAGATGATGCGTCGCCGATGGCGTAGATGCGTGGGCCGGCTTTGTCGACGCGGAGGGTGGAGGGGTTGGTCTCGACTTGGTTATGGGCGTTTAGTAGGTCTTTGGCGAGGAAGGAAGTATTGGGAGTCATGCCGGTTGCGGGGATGAAGATGTCGGTTTGCAGTGTTTTGCCGTCGCTGAGAGTGACGGCTGCCTTGGTTGTGAGATGCTCGATATCCGCTCCTGCGTTCGGAGGATCCACGCTCTTGACCCTGGTGTCCTTCACGACGATCACTCCAACTTTGGCCAGATATTGCTCCGCTTTCGCGGCAAGGGCAGGTCGCAACGCTGGGAGGATGTTCGGCCCAGCCGTAACCACGGTGATGGAGACCTTTGGGTTCTCAAGTTTCGAGCTAAGCATCCCAGCGCGGCCATTCAAGTACTCTCCCAGCTCGCCAGCAGTCTCAATGCCAGCGGGTCCTCCGCCCGCAATAACAATGCTCTTCACCGTAGCCAGACCTTTCCGAAATTCCGTCCATGCATCTCGCAGGAACTTCTCATCGCGGTTCAACCCCAGCAGCGGCGACGGCGTAGAAGCACCAGTCGCAACAACCAGGGCATGGAACTCGAGCGCCTCAGTCTGACCAGTCGCTGAACTAACCGAGACAATGCGATTCTCATGATCCACCGCCGTCGCCGTGCCGTGAATGAATCGAAAACTGCCTTCAGAATATTGCGAAAACTGCTTCGGTATGCTGACAAAGAGCTTCTCTTGCGGGAACATGTCGTCCGATATTAAAGCGCGAGGACAAGCTGGGCGGCACATGGCTTGCGATGACGAGCTGATGAGGACTACCTGGTAGGAGTCCTTTTCCGGGAGAACGGGAATGGCGTGTTTGAGAACATAGTGAGCTATGGACATGCCACCATATGAGCCACCGAGGATAACAATGCTCTTTTTGGATGAATGTGTAGCTGCTGCCATTTTGGAGGGAGACTTGTTCAAAGTCCGATCGGCCGTGCAAGGGGGTATCTATACGCAGAACGTACTAAGAAAAAACGAGAGGGTATCGTGTACGAAAAAAAAAAAGGTCCGAAAGATCTCGTCATGACGAAGTCGAACTGTATCCGGTGATTTATACCTCCAACGCAATCGGATTGGGGAGCGGTGTTGGATCGGTCGAGGCTGCGGAGCCGGGGAACGAGCGCCACAAATATCGTACATCGCTTAATGAACGAATCATCAAAACCGGGTTCCTCTAAATGCGGACTCAACTTTGCCTAACGCGGACACGAGGGTTGGAAGGGATGATGGATCAAGCTCTCCGGACGAATCTTTCGCAGCACTCTAAAGATCTTGGAGAAAGTCTGGATAAGCTTGGTTTGGATGTGCTCCAAATCGTTAAAACATTACTGGTCTCATTAGCTTGGCATATTTGGCGGAGAGGCTCGCGCCGTGGATAAGTGGACAGGGGGTGGATGTCTTGCGGTTGACTTCAGTTGATAAAACTCGAGTTCACCAGAGGGGCACTAAGAGAGGTCAGAGCTCCAGTAGAAGCGTTTGCCGTAACAGTTTCGAGGGAGCGCAGAGTACACCACTACAGTCCATGAAGAGCCACTTTTCCCGAGGTTGCTTAAATATAAATGCATTCTTTGATACATACTCAAGCCACAGCTCTCTGGATATCTTTCCCCCTAAAGAATAAACGCATCCTCTTGGCTTCCTGACTTCTCTAACCAGTCCATGGCCTAGGGCCCGGAGGCGTGTAGCTTGTCGGGACGGGGTAGTAAATGTTGATCTTGATTCCGGGATCATTCGCGTTGTACGCGCCTGGGAAAGAAACGAGAGGACTGGGGCTACCATTGCCACCGCCCGTGACCTTGATCTGGGCGCACGAGATATAGAACTGCGCGCCACCGGCCGAGCCAGCAGAGTGCAATGCGATATGCTCGACGCGGAAGAGATATTCGCCCGTGGGAAGAGACTTTGGGATCGGGACCGTGACTTGTGACTTGCCTATCATGTTCCGTTAGTTGAAGCACTTATGCATAGTTTGGGTATGAAAAGAGGGGGATTATGGGAGAAGATAAGACGCGTACCCTGTGATGGCCAGCTCAGTCCACCAGCCGCGATAGTAGGCCCTTGTTCGTAAATCTTGAACCAGACGTTGCCGGTACCATCCCACGTAGCCGCTGTCTGGCCGGATGGCACCTTAGCCATGTAGAACTGCAGAGTACCCGGGTGCGAAATGGAAGACTGGGCTGTAAAGCCGATGGAGGAGCCAGCTGCAACCTCCATGGTGCCTGAGGCGCCTGTGCCGGGGCTGAGCTCATAGCAGCGGATTTGCGACGAAGTCACCTAAGAAAAAGTTTAGTTGAGGTAATCACTGTTGGGAAGGAAATGCATACATCGGTGACGGGGCCGTTGGACTGGTAGTTCGTCGTCTTGCGAACATACTGCCACTGAGACGTGGCCTGGCCATTGGCAACCAGAGCCGGGAAAGTGTAGTGCGCTGAAGCCGTAGCGGCCAGCAGGGAGGCGAAGAGGAACTTCATCTTGGAGGGCGAAAACTGTGAGAGCTGCAATCCTATCGTCCTTGGCTTTCATCTGGCATTCTACAGCGGTATATATATACCGCGCCTATCTTTCATCTTCCCAAACTGGAAGTTCTCCAGCTTTCCACGTACTCGCCCCCCGACAGCCAGACAAAATCTAATCTGCACCCCGGACCATCGTGTTCTGGTAGCGGAGCGTGCATTGCCGCCGGATAAAAGGCATGGGCGTTGCCGAGAAATACGATAATTCAAACATATTGAGGGTTTAGATGAAAACAGTGTTTTGCGTAAGCTGTGATTGGTTGCCGCCCCTTGTCGGTGGTGTCGGTAGTCCAAACGCCTAGTCTGGGGTATAGATTGGGCTCGAGCAACTTTGTAGTACGGGGCCTCTACTTGCAAAAGCAGAGTGAGGGAGCGAGAAAGGTCCAGACGTCTTGGTTCGTAGGCTTGCGATGCTGAGAGGAGTTATAACGGGCGATGGGCACGAAGAGACATTCAACTCGACATTATTCTGGCCAGTCCTCGGGATTGAGAGTAGAGCACCTGAGCAAAACATGCCCGACTCATGTTATACGCGTGACACTGGACATAAATTGCCCTGCCGTGGAGCGCTGGAAGCTAGGAAGCAATACACACCCAATACTCAACACCTAGGAAATTGCAACTCGGTAAGCGCTGCGCGCAGTACATGGCGCGGCGAGAATATATTGCTTCGAAATATCGAGGGAACTCGGTATGACGTATAGGTACAGGAAAGGAAACGCGTGTGGGGCCGTCGGAATGAGCTCGTGAGTTGTTTCAATCGCGTGTCGACGAGATTGTCTAGATTCGTGTTGATGACATATAGTACAGCCGATATTCAGACAGGTGCCTGCTTAGCTTTGATCAGCCCCGTTCCAGAAACCAGGATCTCAACCGGCTGTCGGAAAGCTATCATCCAGGCGATGAGGGACAGCGATGCTTATGAAGTACCACTTACTATGGATACATGAATGCCACACCGTGTTGTCATGCCGAACCCTTCCGATCGTCCAATGTCCGATACTTCTTTTCTTCCTCCTCGAGCTCGCCAACCTCATAGTACAAGTCGTCGTCGTAATCCGCAGGGTATCCGAATATGCTTCTCCAAACCCGCTCGCCCAAGCCCTTCTTCTGTGCCATGGCCAAGACCATGACGATCGGCAAGTGCCACACACTCGCCCAGAAAAGACCCCTGGCGGACCCTTTCTGGCCCTGCGCGCGCCAGAACTGATATGCTCGCCACGCCATCCACCCGTTAATGGCGCTGCTTGTAGCCACGAAGCTCCAATCGGTAACCCCGCAGTACGATAACCCGATACAGACAGGAAACATAAGGAGCGCGTAGCGAAGCGCTACTCGGCCGTTTTGCGCGGGATTCACCCACGCTAACATGCGGTATCCGGCGTTCTTGTACTCTTCGCGGATCGACCAGCTCAACGAGTTGAAGTGCGGAAACTGCCAGGCGAACAGCAGCGCCGCACACAGCCACCCACCAGCAGTGCCCTCACCGAACACCAGCTCTTGCCATGTCCCCTCGTGTGCACATTGTCCCGCCGCTGCCGTCCAGCCCATTAACGGAGGGATACCGCCTACTATTGCTCCAATCCATGTGTTGAGCACCGACATCCGCTTCAACGGTGTGTAAACGCCGGCGTAGAGAACGATGTTGGAAGCGCCCAGGAACGCCGTTGTAGGGTTAACGCCATAGTATAATGCGCCTGTGCCCACTGCTCCACATACAATGGCGAATATCAGGGCGCCTCGTGGGCTGATCAACTTTCGGACGAGCGGTCGATTGCGTGTCCGACTCATTTTGGCATCATGATTGGGCTCCATGAGCATATTGAGGGCATTTGCGGAGGAAGAGCACAGCGCGGTGCCCGTGGTGAGGAATAGAAGGGTGAGCGTAGAGAGAGAGGGGGTAGCGGTTGCGGCGGGGGCGAGCAGGCCGGGAACAGGATAGAGCGAGTATGCGGCGGTCGCCGTGAGTACTACTAGAAAGCTAAGCCGCGGCTTCGACAAGGACAAGTAGGTGGTAAGGATTCGTCGGAGGGACCTCTGGGGGAGGCTCGATGAGATGGTCGCCAGCTTGGACGACGCATCTGGCGCGATCGGATAGTCCCCTTCTGCATTTTCAGCGGCAGCCGCTAGTTCCCGTGCTTTCTTTCTCCGCCGATGAGGCAGCACGTCTTCCACTGGTGGTTGTGATGCCATACTCTGCTGAGCCTCGGCTGAGCTCGAGCTTGCAGCGCCTGTCCGCACTCCCGCAATGGCGCTCTGCAGTTCCCGCCGCGTCCCTACTGTCGAGGCACCAAATCTCTCCTTAAGCATGGGGTTCGCCCAAAAGTAGTCGTTGCTGAACGGGCTCCTGCTCTTCCCTATAGCTACCGCACCTTGTCTGTTCGAGGGCATGGTCGAGAAGGGTCGCCGCGAGCGCATTGGGCTCTGCGAAAGCTTTCGCCAACATCGTAAGCACACGGTGCTTGCATCCTGGCGTGCAATTGATCGGTTCAGCGGGGTTCGGAGGCTCATTGCGCGGATGGAGGTGCGCTGCGACTTTTTCGGCGACGCGATCAGTTGATGCAGCCTGTGCCAAGGTCGGAAACCCCCGGCCCGCTTGCCTACCAATAGCGCAGTCACCATTGTCATTAACTTTGCGAATCACAGACAGGCCAAACTAATGCATAGCATAAGAGTACATGTGTATCTGCGGACCCTATGGGCTATTTATTATACATTGCTCAATCAAGTCTAAGCGGGTCGGGCTGACAGCGCCTCTTGCCTCCCTACGCCTGAATTAATGCGTCCTTCGGCTGGAAAAGCCCATGTAGTGATGATACAAAGAGCACATTCATTTCACACGTACGACTCCTAGTCGTCCTCTCCGATATCCGAGTTGTAGTCAAATTCCCCAGGCATGTCTGCTTCCTCGCTCCCTTCGTCGACCAAGTTGTCGCTCACCGGCGCAGAATCAGACGCGGTCTGCACGCCCGCGGGTGCTTGATCGCCGGAAGGGCCTGCTGCGCCCGGCGCCGGAGCAGGTGCTGCCTTCTTCACCTTCAACTCCAGTAGTGTCTTGGGCTCTGAAGGTTTGGTATCCGTAAGTAGAATAACACCTCCGGTTGGCTGCATCACGTCAGTATACGAGCGCGCGATGGACATAGTGTTACTAACCTTCTTGACTGGAACATATCGCTCCTCAGGGAAGCTGATATACTTCACCTGAGCGGGAAGAACGCGCGACATGTTCTCTAGATCGTAGCCAACCTTCTCCTTCTCCATCTTCTTTTTGGACGTCTCCGCCGCCGGCGTGCCTTCTTTCTCTTTCTCCTTTTCGTCCTTCTTTGCCTCCTCATCGATATCCATCTTGTCCTCGTCCGGCTTGGGTGTTGTGGGTGTATGGTCGACGTCCATGCTCTCGCGGCGCTGTTGTCGTGCCTTGACCATCTTTCGGCGCTTGTCTTGAGCAGTGGTAGACAGAACAGCAGTCTTGACTTTCTGAGGTGCCTCCTCTGTCTTCACTTCTTGTTCCGGAGGGTAATCGAACATGCTCGGTCGCGTGTTGCTGTGGAACTTGAATGATGGAATCTCAAGGTCCTGGTCGATGCCGATGATGGCCGTAGGTGTGAAGCTGAGGGACAGGAAATGTGTCAACGGGAACCAATACCAGTACTGAGTGAAGACGGCCATGCCCACAATGGCCGTCATGTTTAGGTTACCAGTTTGCGTCTGCAGACCGATCGTGCAGTTGCGGCCACCGGCGTCGATGATTCCAAGAGCAAGAGCGCAGCCAAACTTAGCCATAGCATCCTCGTGACGATCACCAATGACCTTTGCAAGGGTTTTCCTAATCGTTGCGACCTTGGGGTTCATCGCCTCGTTTTGCTGGACCATGATCATGGCAAGGGAGATAAGCGCTCCTTGTCGGACAAAGTCGGTAGAATCCTTCATCATAGGCTCGAGGAGGTCGATAGCCTCGTGAAGTCCAGTGCCTGCGCAAGCGATACCGAGAGCCATGGTCGCGCCATATCGGACATGAGGGTTATAGGATTCCGCGAGGAGCTCGACCATTCGTGGGACGCTGCCGGGTTTTCGAAACAAGACAAAACCCAAGCTCATTACGGCTACTCTCCGAACGTCGTCGCTAACGTCGCTGACAGCGACATGTAGTAACCTCCGGACAGCCTTGTTGGAGCCTGAACCGCAGTATGCGAGGGCGATGGTCATGATACCACCATAACGTAGGGTTGGGTCTGGGTCATCGAGCAGACCGTTGATGAGCTCCTCTGCGGCTTCTTGCCGAGCATACATGATGAGAGCCATGCCCATGGCAAGACCTCGGACGATCTTCTCATGCTGAGTATCATGAGCGTACTGGATCATGTCCTCAAGAGCCTTGATGTTGCCGGTGCCGAGCATGACAAGACCCATCGCAAGACCCACCGCTTCGCCATTGATGGCGGAGTCGGTGTAGAGGACGCTCTTGAACGCATCGAAGATATCCTCAGAGCCTGTCGCCATGCCAGCGACACCCAAGCCGAGTGCACCACCGTGTTGGATGACCTCTTCAGAAGCGTTCTGGAACTGTTTGAGCAAGTAGTCCAGCACATGGGTTCCGTGATTGGAGTATATCAAGCCTAGCGCGTAGAGCGATCCACCCTGCTCGTAGTGGGAACCGGAAGAGACGGTGTCCTTTGGAAGATATGGTTCCAGAAGCTTCTGCCCTTGAGTGATGTTGCCTCGGTGGATAACACCCAGAGCAGCGGTGGCTGTGAACTTTGACCAATTTACCGCTTTACCCAGCCAGTCCAAGTTCTCTCTGAAGAATGTATCGTTTGTTGTTCCGGCATTCATGAAGGCGTTTGCAAAGGTGACTCCTGTGTGAAAGATGGAATTTCGGGACTCCAAGCTATCCCGAATCTTGTTGAGGATATTCTTGTCGGCGTGATTGTTCCGGTACAAGAACTCTAGGTTGAGTTCGATGCTCTTCGTACCGCGAAGCACCTCGCGCACCTGGGTGAAAGCCTTGAGCTCCTCGTCCGACGGCGCTTTCTGCTTGGTACGAGACACTACAGTTGATATCGTTGGGCCTTCATTGCTTGTATCCATGTTCGAAAGCAGACCGTCTGACTCTCCAGCATCGTCAGCTCGAGGCTTATGTGACGCATCCCCATTTGCGGCTGGCTTCTCCTCGCTCTTCTCCTCGGCTGGTAGTTCCTCCATAACCTTGCCAAGGAACTCTTGGGTACCGTTCTCGTAAAGGTCGAAGGAAATCTGGTAGGCCACGGCAAGCGACTTGCTGTCGCCTCGTTGGACGAGCTGTCGTATGAGGTTCGAGGCCATCGAGTGCTGATTCAGATAGACGACGCATTTCGCGATAGAGAAATAGTCCGGGTTGGGGATATCGTTGAGAAGATCGAGGATGAGGCGGAGGATCTGAAAACATAATTAGCTTAGTCTTATTCCTGGAAAGCGCACGCCCATGCTTACCTCGTTCCTCAAGCCGCGCTCCTGCACCACATTCATGCAGATGTCGAGGACGTACTCCATCAGCTCCTCACTCTTCGTGGGCGCGCTGTTCGCAGGCTTCTTGCCTTGCTTCTTCTCGTCCTGGCTCGCCCGGAGAAAGCACTCCCGCAGGACCTCGAGATTCCGCGCTTCGATAGCAATACCCACTACCTGCTTGTAATCGCCATTCTCGTAGCAGCTCTCGAAGATTCGCCGTATCGTAGCCTGGAGGTTCTTCTGGACGCTGCGCTGAAGTACTAGCGGCGTAGGATGGGCGCCGGCCACGCCTGCGTTGCCGCCGCCGGGGAGTGTAGGATCGAACGTTGACGAGTCTTCCCGGGAAAGGAGCGATTTGGAGGGCAGCGCAGACTGCGAGAAAGGTGTAATTGGCGACGTTAGGCTTGCTGATGTGCTGGCGCCGCCGGATGTGTTCCGATCAAACGATGTGATCAGCTGCGGCGGCGATTGGTTAGCCTTACTTATGGGCGTCGCAGGGTTGTGCATCGCGGACAGGGCGATGTATGTATCAAGGCATTTCGCTGGGGGTACACAGTCAGCTACACGTATCTTCTCAGGCGACACCATGACCCCGGCTGCATCTCCCTCTCTGCTTTATGCTCGGGGAAGGACTGGCAGCCTGATGATCCGCGCCGAAGACTCACCCAAGATTGTCTCCTCAAACTCCCCGGGATGGTGGATGTCGAAGTGCTTGCCAGCACCGAGCGCAAAGACCATACTCTCGTTGTATTCCTGCAGCTGATAATACACCTTCGCCGCGACCAGAGCCGCGAGTTCTCGCTCCGGGAACGACTCATCCTCGTAAAGAGCCTCACTATGACGCAGCCGAGTCAGCAACAAGACCACCGGACAGACACAAACCGGACATATCGCGAGAGCGCTTACATCTGAGAGACTGAGCCAGCGACTTCCGGCCACAGTAGGTCGATCTCCTCGTTTAACCGGTGTAGGGCAAAGGAGCGCAAGGCGGGATCTGGTTCAGAGAGGAAGCCGACGACGCCGGCAGCAGACGTGAGCCCGACCATCGTGGGGGAAGCTGGCGAGAGGCCGGGTAATACTGATGCAGTAGAGACTGAATCCGCGGTGTTGATGGGGGAGTTGCGTCGTGAGGAAACCGGTGGAAGGAGGTCGAGCTGTGCAGTGGCGCCGGGCAGGTGTGCTGTCGGAAACGCGGATTGAGTCGCGGAGCAGTGCAAGGCAGCGGATGGGACCTGCGCAGAAGGAGAGACGAGAAGGTGAAGAGGTGCGGGTGTTTGCGATGTTATGGAGATGGCGCGGAGCCGTGGTGGTTGAGTTTACACGCGAGCTCGGGAGCTTTGTTGCTTGTCGTTAGATGGTCGGTGCGCAATATCTCACATGTGACTAGGCATCACCACCTTCCAAGGTTCTTTCACCACACTGCATGTACTATATAAAAATCAATTCGAGACTAAAAGGATGTAGGCACATTATTCACTGCAATGCACAGAGCGAACGGTATGAATAGAAGCAAAGGGGTATCTCATTTTCAAAGCATCAAACTCCGTGCCAGATGCTGAGCCAGTTGTCTTCCGTGCCGATAACCCAGGCCATGTACCTTCCAAAACACCCAGAAAGACAATACAGAGCGAAGTATTAATACAAGTAATGAGCTGCCCCACTCCGCTGCCTTAAGGGTTGGCCGCAGGCGTAATCTCCCGCGACAAGACTCTCAGGTTGTTCATCATGCCGTTGATCAAGCTCTCGAAGCAGTTTGGCAGCTTCTTATTGACATTGTCTCCGTTCTCCAGAAGCACTTGCGGGTCGAGCTCGAGCTCTAACTCGTGGTTCTTGCGACCGTCCTGGCCGACTTGCGTCAGGTCGAGGTGGAAGGCGTCTAGCCATGAGTATGAGACGCGATCTTTGTGCCGCTTCATCGCCTCCAACGACTTTCCGGGCTCTTGCGCCAATGGGACGCCGTCCATAGGTCCTGGAAATTGAATTTCTATGTTGACGCCGATGCGGTAATCCCATTCCGTCTGTGGGGAGCTGATCTCCAGGTTCGCGATTCGATGCTTAATCAACTGTCGGATCACCCTACCGTTCTTCTGGTCTAAAGTGACGCGTATTCGTTGGCGAGTTTTGGATGCCCCGACGAGTTCTCGTGTCAAGGGAGGGAGGCGCTCAAAGGCAGGTTGGTCGAGCTCGTAGAACACGTCGATTTCCCTCGTGTGAGTATAGTCGATACTGGCGCGCTCAGCGCCGGGTAGCTTTGACCTCTGCACCTGGCCGTTGAGGTACATGTTCATCCTCTTGTGCTGGTCCATGGTCATGGTGCTCTCGAAACTGGTATTCAAGAGCGCGCTCTTCACCACGCATTCGGTGTCGTGAAACCCACGAAGACGCTGTCCGGTGTTCCTCTCTATAATTTGTCCCCATCGCGCCTCAATCTCCACTTGAATGTCCGGAGATGCCGCAATGGCTCGCCGGACAGGCTCGTTGTTAACGACAGTAACGAAGATGAAGTCGCAGACTTTGCGCGAAACCTCGTCGTAAACGTGGGCATCGTTAGATACCGGGCGCTCGTATCCGATGAGTTCATGCGCGGTGCCGGGTTGATGAGGGCTGGATGGGCCGGGAGCAGGGCCGTTGTGCATCGCGTTTGGCGGAGGCTGGGGTTGCGGGCGCGGCGTTGATGGTAGAGGGCGTGACTGTTGACGCTGGGCCGGAATGAGAGGCAGTCCTTCGATCATCTCGTCTTCGCGTATAGCCCAAATGGGCTTCGGATCGTGTCGCTTGCGCTTGTGGGTCATGGGTTTGTGGGTCGAGAGCGGAGGAGTTGGGAGCTTTGCGGAGGACGTTGCGGGACTGGGCGCAGGCATAGAATATGAGCCCGAGGGCGAGCGGCGCGGAGGCACCTCTGACACCGGGTTCACTAGGGCTGAGATATCCATGCTGGCGGGGTGAAGGGAACCACTTGTGCTTCGCGCCGCCGTCTTTGTGGTGAAGCACAAGAAGGAATGCCAAGTCTCCGCCGAGGCAGCGACGACTGATTATTAAGCCATATGCTCGTTGAGTGCACCCCCAGGACCGTGAATGAACCTTGGAACCATGGAAGATGCACACTACGCGGGCTCAACTACCGGACTATCAACTCATTGCTGGGGCAACATTTTCTGGTTTTCATATTCATGAGCTAGTAGTGTCTACGCAGACATGCTATCGTAACCATAAGTTTTGCATCAACGCCTAGTCGACCCACCACCCTTTCCTTCTGTCAACCTTGGAAGTCTGTACACCAAGTGCAAGCTGTTCATCATACCCACTTCATCAAATTCAAGCTTCTAGGTCAAGACCAAGGTCCTCGGTTGCCGGAACGATCCGGAGGGTGTTGGTGTGGCCCATGCCGCCTCTCCAGCCCTGGACACAGACGACAGCATCGCCCTTGTTGAGCACACCAAGCTTGATTGCGTTCATGATTCCCCACTTCAGACGGCGGTCAACGTCCTCCTGCCACGGGGTGGAGTTGAAGTCAGGCTTCGCTTCGGGGAAATAGAAGGGGTACACGCCGCGGTACAAGTGGGAGTACTATTCATGTTAGCTCAGACAGCTGGGGAGTGATTGGGGGAAAACAAACCCGGGCAGCCATTGGGTTACGGGTAACCATGATAATGGGGCAGACGGGTCGGTACTTGGACACAAGACGTGCGGTCGTACCGCTAAAGGACGTTAGTTCTACCGTTGAATACTGAACAAAGGAAAATTGCTCACCTGGTGGTCAACACAAGAATAGCGCCAGCATTCTGTTCCAGGCTGGCGCTGACCGCTGCCATAGCGCAAGTCTCCGTCGTGGGGCATGGCACAGGGGCCAGCTTCCTCAGTTCATCGAAGGCGTTGACATATGGGATGGCAACCTCGGCGAGCAAGCACGTCTCGTGCATCAGGGTCACGGCTTCGACGGGATAATTGCCCTTGGCGGTCTCGCCGGACAACATGACGCAGTCCGCGCCGTCCAGAACAGCATTTCCAACATCGCTGACCTCGGCACGCGTTGGGCGCGGGTTGTAGGTCATGGACTCCAGCATCTGCGTGGCGCAAATTGCGGGCTTGCCTGCAATGTTGCACTTCGTGATCATCATCTTCTGGGCGATGAAGACCTGGCTGGGAGGAATCTCAATACCGAGGTCACCACGGGCAACCATGACACCGTCCGTCTCTTTGAGAATCTCATCGAAGTTGTTCACGCCTTGCTGGTTCTCAATCTTGGCAATGATCTGGATGTCCTTGCCATCCTCTCCGAGGACCTCGCGAATCGCCGTGATGTCGCTTCCGTGGCGGATGAAGGAAGCAAAGATCATGTCCACCCCGTTCTTGACGCCGAATCGCAGATCGGCCTTGTCCTTCTCGGAGAGCGGGGGCAGGTCGACGTCGGTCTTGGGGAGGTTGACGCCCTTCTTCGAGGAGATCTTGCCGTTATTCAAGCACTTGCACTTGAGTGTCTTCTCGTCCACGACTTCCAGAACCTCGAATGACAGCACGCCGTCGTCGACGTAGATGGTACGGCCGGCCTCGATCACCTTGGTGATGTTCTTGTAGTCAACGTACCTAGGAACGCACCATGTCAGCGACAATCCGCCTAGCAGTCATGCAGCACTCACATGTTCTTGTTGTCGCTCTTCGTGGCATACGCATCGTCGGTGGTGATGTTCATAACGTCTCCAGCGCCGATGGGGATATCTTCGTCACCGGGCGTGTTGCCCGTCCGAATCTCCGGTCCCTTGGTATCGAGGGCAATAGCCAGAGGCCTGCCCGGTTGCGTCTTCTCGGCCTGGCGCGCATTGTCGATGACCGACTGGTGGTACTCATACGAGCCGTGGGAGAAGTTCATGCGTACGACATTGAGACCAGCCTTGCGGAGGGCATTGATCTTCTCGGCGGAGTTCGTCTTGGGGCCAATTGTGCCGATAATCGACGTCCTGCGGTACTCTTTGGCCGGGTGGTACTCGGTGTTGAGCTGCGAGAGCCACTCAATCCTGGTCCTGCCAGCGTTCAGGTGGTCGAGAGCGTTCGCCATGGCTGTTGGAGCTGAGTGTGCGTGCGGCGTCGGGTTTTGGGGGCAATTGCTGTAAGATAATGAATCAGATCCGGCGCAGGGCTGTTGTTTTTGCCCGCAGAGTTACTCACTTTATTTGTTGGACTGTTGAGGGGCAGGTCGGGGAGCGAAAGCTGTAGCTCCCTCAGCTTTATTTTCGGATTACGTGGGGCAGCGGCCGTCAACGATCAGCAGGCGCAGAGACAGCGTGCAGCTGATGGAAAGGATGAGCGAGAGTTGCAGCGGACGCGGTCGCCGGGGTCTTATAAGGCGCAGCAGCTGAACAGAATATCGAGGCCGGTGCAGACGTAGCGCTCGTTGTTTTTGCCTTTTGCACCCCACCCACGCGTTGCATCATGGGCTAAGATCCCGCAGATAAGGTCCGTGGTTTTTGCTCACGCATAGTGAAAACCTCGATCTCTTTGGCCCGCGTGCGCATATCATCCCGGCGCATTTTTTTGCGTCGCGCCGCGGGCATGCTGGCGTTTGCATGCGCGGACGCGGACACTGCGAGGGGTGCGGGCTGTCTTGGGAGGGTTCCATGGGAGAGGGTCATGCGAGGAAGCAAAGCCAGACACCTGCAGTCAGGAGACGGACGTCCTTTTATATCAATCGCACCGTCCGTAGATCCTGCTCCCTACATTGCCCGCATCCGCGTCGCCGTAGGGCTGGATCCCGAGGATGGAGGGTCAGGGTCCGAGGGCGACCCAGATGCTGTTCACATGCTTTGACAATGACTAAGCCACCAGCCACAGCTTCATCGAATGACATGCGACGCCAGACTGCAGGTGCCTCCTCGACACCTCTACCAGCGACCGTACCCCAGACCTCCCCGCTAGACTCTTCTCCTGAACGTTCAAAGTTTCGCTGCCCCGAATACCCTTTCAAACTTCTCGAACATGGTTGTACGTAATCCCCATTGCTCACCTCGTGGGCTTGCGCGACAGGTACCAGAGTCGCAACGTGCAGAGCTCACAGTCCTCCAGCTCGGCAGGGTCGCTCACTACGCCTTCGACGCGGTATTAAGTACGTCCACGCCCTCCGCACTCCCCGCAACATAGCTCATCCGCGCAGTATCCGCCTTCCTCGCCGGCGTGCGACGCTCCACCGGCCTCACGTATGTTCTCCCGCTCCCCCACGCGCGAATAAAGCACCCTACATAAATGCCTCTTCGGGACGTGGAAGAACACACAAGTCTCTACAGGCGTTCGCCCCACCGCTTTCTCTCCCGTTTGCGAAACACGTTGAAGAGCTGTAGGCTAACATTCCCCCGCTCCCCGCCCGGGGACCGGATAGACCCAGTGTAAAATCAGAGCAATTCACAGAAGCACCGGGCCTCAAGAAATGGATCGATAACTACCTCTGGGTCGGCGAGTGGACCATGGACCAGAGCGTCGCCGTACTCTCCTCGTCATCGTACTTCGAGCGGAAGCGATGAAACGGACAAAGGGAAAGGCAAAGAGGTGGAACGCTTGGTGGCCATATATGCTATCGGGGCTCTGGATGTACAGTAACGGCACGTCTGAAATGTGGAGCGCGGGCCACAGCTCCAGCACAGCAGCCAGGCGTTAGGGGGCCGCATGAACCGACTCCTATGAATTTACCAATCTCGATTCTTCACTCCCATTCACTTGTTCGCTTTAGGTGTGGATATGTGGTCTATTGATATAGATCTCTGTGTCTCTATATGAGTGTTAGTATTAGACGGGCTTAGCTCTCATCTCACAAGAAGCGCTGCATGGTTGGCTTCACTCAAGGCCCATCTTCTAACCCCTCCTTCGAAATCTAAATCCCGTCTCCTCTTCGTCACTATCATCATCCCTCCTGGAAGCTCTGTTTCTCTTCCTTGACGGCTGACCTGCTGCCACGCTCACAGGACCCCTCTTCCTAGTCCCCTTCTGCGTGTCCGGGTCATCAAGCTGCGTCTCTGCTACACGCTGTGTCCTGCCACTATTCCTATGGCTGGACAAGCTCTCCCCGGGGATCTCTTCGTCATCCGGCCCGCTTTCCGCCACATTGATGACCTCAGTGTGCTTCGTTCGCTTTCGCCTCGTAAAGCCAGGCTCACGTTCCGAATCGCTGTCTTGTCCGCGGCCGATCCTGCGTTTGAGCCTTCGCTCATCTTCCTTGGTTCTCACGGGTGGTTCTGTGTCTTCAAGGAAGAAAGCGTCGCCAAAGCCCTTCTTCTGCGGCGCTTCTTCAAAGGTGACCAAGACTTTCTGCGATTGCGGTCCCCGCTCTGCCCCACGGCGTCTGAACTTCTTGAAGTTCTTCCGGCCGTTCCACTCGGGGTTCCAGCGGTCGCTCTGAGCCTGGGACCGGCTGCTCGGCCTGTCCTGCTGGGGTCGGAGCTCCATTTCTTCCACCTGTACGGCAGCCCTGATCTCAGAGATATCGACGCCTTCGAGTGCCTCCCTCAAGCTCTCTTCATCGGCCCTTCGTCTATCTTCTTCTTCCTTAACGCGTTTGCGCGCCTCTTCTCGGATGTCCACCACCTTATCCGCCTTTTTCTTCAATTTTTGCATCTTCGCGAGTAGTTCTTCGCCTTTGCTCTTCGTTTTGTTAGCACAGGCTTGGTTCTCTGGCTCTACGGAAGCGGAAGCTGCGCGTGTAGCAGCACGTTGTTTTCGAATAGCTGCGGCAGCAGGAAAAAGCTGGTCCATCTGGGCAGCGGTTTCTACGCTTTCCTCGACTGGAGACTGCTGTGTGTGCTGGGTCTGTGCGGCTGCGATAGACTGAGACTGGGGGTCTTGTATGGACATCGATTCTGGCATGTCCGCCATGGAGGTATCTTCAATCTTTCTGGTCTTCGATGGTGGTTCGTAGTCGTCGAAGCCAGTGAATCTGGTGGTCACTCCTCGCCGAATAGGACGCTTACGGGGTATTGTCCTCGCCGGCTCCTCTTTCGGGGCTAGGCTAGCCTCAGGAGCCTGTGATAGACCCCTAGAGCGAGAGGTAGGCGTCGGTTCACGCATGGAGCGCTGGGTCCGTGTACCTGACGGCATACTGGAATCAGCCTCCATGATCTCGGCTGGCGGCCTCCGGAGCGATGAGGTGTCCTTCGTTACAATAGCATCCAGAAACTCGTTTTGTAGAATAGAGCGTTGATTCAGCTCCCGGTCGACACCAGTCACAAAATCCGCTGCCCAGTCTTCCATGCCATCGGGGTACGCTGAGAGGCGTATTGTAACGACTGGAAGGCCGCCATTTCCCGCTTTGCTTCGCCTCTTCTGTCCTGCGGCGTTCCTGACGTAATCAACATACTCTTCCGCTGTGGTTTCGCCAGGTTGTATGTCAAAGAGCAGGGCTTTTCCACCCCCTCCAGCTATGGCCCCATGCAAGCTGCTGTATTGGCTCTCATTGAGGAAGATGAAGGTCAATCCGGTGAACACCTCGGATCGGGATGGATCCGGCTCCAGCATTTGGTCAGGTCGCGGCACAGGTTCCGCACCCACCGGAGGGATATACTCCTTCTCTTTGGGCCACCAGGTATCAAAGTCCTCCTCTAGTTTCGACGGCACGTAGTTGCCTTCTTCACTGGATGAGTGCTTTGCGGCATTGAGGATGGCGTCGAGGTACTCGGTAGTGACAATTGGCGTCCCCGATACCAGCCCCTGCAGGACCTTTGGGAGGTTCCGCTTTTGTGAGACCACATGGGTTGTCTTGTCATACACAAATTCCGTCGTCGTCTTGATATCGATGGCATGGAGCTCGGCGTTGCGGGCTTTGGATTTCTCGCTCTCCCTCTTCTCTTTCGACGCATACGTGAAGACGACATCCTGCCATCTAACCTTGAATGGTGGGTAGCTGTTCGACAACTTGATGGTGTGTTCGGTCCCCGCGAGAGTTGTCTTGTCATATGTGATCGTGCCGTCCGCTTCCTTCGTGCTCTTCAGAGGCTGCCCGCCATCAACGATGGTTCCCTGGCGGCAACTGAGGTCGGTAATCTCAAGACAAGATCGTGCATGAAGCTTTGTGCCATTCTCCGGTGGTACTTCAAGCACCTTTATCATCATGTGCTTGCGCGACACCAGCTTGTTGTCGATGAAGACCTTCTTCCCTTCCGTCTGGTCCTCGTCGCTATGCTTTGTACGGCCGAACAGCTGCTGCGACCCCGGCCGTAGCCAAATGCGCTTTCCTCCAAAGAGGCTTTCGTGTTCTAGGAACCACATTGCGACCGGCTGGATGTATAGCTAAGCCCGCTGTGGTATAGGCGGGATCGGAGGAGCCGGCAATCTCGGTCGAGCGTAGCGGTCAGGAATCGATTCTGCAAAATGAGGACTTCATGGGCGCGAGCATGGCTCGGGAGGTCGCATTGATGTATGTATCGAGGATCGTGGGGCGGATCCAGGTTGCGAAAGCTGTCACGCACTTCAGCCTAGCTGCTGCCGCGTCCGAGCGCCCAAAACGCGGGGTCACGTGCCAGCTGCGCTAACGGCAATGGAGTAACGGCCAGTCAAGCATGCGTTTACTGATCTATTGAAGCCCTTATATTCACCCGGTCACCAACTTTCATAACGCACTCTACCTCATTTTTCTCCTCTTCCTTCCAAGCCCACCCTGCGTCCTTTCCTTTGGCCAGGACTCAGGCAGGCCCCAACCCCATGCGCTTACCCTTACCATCCCTCAATACGATAGCACCAACCCCACCGAGACAACCCTTCTCACAACGATTACCTTAGCCAAAGCCGTGCCTTTTTCCGACCGCCAGAACGACGAAGAGAATAGCAGCTAGGCAAATGGCGGTCTCGAAGAAACCTCGTCATCCTGCTGCTGCTGACCGCCCAGGATAGGGCAATTTGAATGCCTGAGTAAGAGAGGAGGCGCATCATGGATGTGTAGTAGGAATCGAAGCGGGCACTTTCCATCATTATCTTTGCGCTACCTGCGCTAGCGGTCTCTGTACGCTAGTCCCGCGATCTCCCCCGCAATGCCCTCGAGAAGGGTCTAAAAGCGAAGTTCGGGTTGGCGGCTGTCTGCCAGCGGAGACGTCTCATCGTCGATTCTATCGTTTGCTTCCTACCGCCTCCCTGTCCTGAGCATAGTGCGTAATCGCCCATTACGGAGCGATTGGTCAATCCCGGGATATTCCCCAACTAAGGGACCCTGATGCTGCAGATGTAAGATTTTAATTAGTCGCGAGCTCGAATGGCCGGAACCTTGAAGAGGAACGACAGAAAATACAAAAACGGCAAAAAGACAACGAACATGACGCCAGCAAGGTATTGACCGGCGGCATGGCAACATGCGTTGATTGGAGACCCAAACTTCTCAAGGAACCGTCACATGCAGTATCTTAGTCAGGCATCCTCGCGTTCCACAGTAGGAAGATCGCGGCATTGGCTCGAATTGGGTATTTAGGCTTTGTGGCTTCATTGTCTAGTCGTGTCCCCGCAAATCCCCGCTTCAACCGCGCCGCTTCAGCTGGGCCTCGCAGCTGCCTTGTAGGGCAGCATAAAGCGGACAAGGACCGCTCTTCCACTAGGTACTCCCCACCTCTTCTAATTTCTCAAAATACCACGAACACCAAACAGCCGTTTTTGAAGTTGTTCTCGAACCATCCGCCATCATGTCCCCCGAAGAGTTCACGCAGAAATCCTATGACTATGTCATCTGTGGTGGTGGAACAGCGGGCCTGGTGCTTGCTGCTCGTCTCAGTGAGGACCCAAACGTCACCGTAGCAGTCCTGGAAGCAGGAGAGTCGCGCTTGGATGACCCTTTGATCGACGGCCCGAACCTGTTCATCCAGACCTGGGACAAGCCAGAATACGACTGGTGCTTCAAGACCGTCCCCCAGGTCAGCATTGCCTCTCGTGCGAGAGGGCTCACGAACTAATGCCCCTTTCAGAAAGGAACCGAAGGCCGCGTTCACGGTTGGGCTCGCGGAAAAGTCCTTGGTGGCTCCTCGGCCATCAACTACAACATGTTTTCGATGGCTTCCAGGCAGGACCTGAACAACTGGGCCGAGCTAGGAAATGAGGGATGGGGCTTCGATGACCTTGCTCCGTATTACCGGAAGTTCGAGACGTACAATCCGCCTTCCAAAATCTTGTCCTCCAAGATCAACGATAAATATGTCGACCCATTATTGCGCGGTACCGACGGTCCCATCCAGGTGAGCACGACACTCGCGTCTAGAGGCTTTACATGTTTGGCTAAGTCTGGGCTAGATCTCGTTTTGTGAGGCCGACTTCTCGTGGCACCAGGAAGTTTGGCCTGAAACCTGCATTAATGCCGGATATCCAATGCCAAAGGATCCGCGTACTGGGTCTGCGATCGGCGGATTCAACCAGTTGACGACTGTTGATCCTAAGACTATGCGAAGGTCATACTCTGCGAGAGACTACTACGAGCCGAACGCTGGGCGACCGAACCTCACACTCTTGACCAAAGCTTTGGTCGCCAAGATCGAGTTCGAGAATAGCGACTCTAAGGACGCGACAGCAACGGGGGTGTCCTTCAGCGTTGATGGCACCACCTATTCTGTCAAAGCCAGCAAGGAAGTCATTGTCTGCGGAGGCGTCGTCAACTCTCCCCAGATTCTCGAGCTCTCTGGCATCGGGTCACCCAGCGTTCTCCAGAAGGCTGGCATCGATGTCATTGTTGATAATCCAGGTGTAGGAGAGAACTTGAACGACCACGCAGCGACGGGAATTGCTATTCAAGTCAAGGACGAATATCCCACGGCAGAAGTGCTCATCAGAAGTCCGGAGATTACGCAACAAGCGATGGAGGCATACATCGCTCACAAAGCCGGCCCGTTCACTAATGCTCCCACGACATGCGGTTTCGCCTCCTTGAAGCTAGTCGACCCAGATCTAGCCGATGCGGAGAAGCACGTCCAATCGCTAGTAGAAGACTACCTGAAGAAGCATCCTGATTCTGATCCGGCCGGTCGGGATGCTTTGCTCGCGCGTCAGGTCCTCGACCCGAACGAGGCCATCACCCAGATTGTGTTGCTCTGCATAGGTGCAGATATTCGTAACTGCGATACGCCGTCTAAGCTGTTCCTTCATGATACACCCGGTAACTGGATCGTTATGGGCGGCTGTAGTACTCGGTCTTTGTCTCGCGGAAGTATTCACATTCAGTCTTCCGACCCTACTCAACACCCTACAATTGATCCCGCATATTTCAGCCACCCTCTAGATCTCGACTTGTCCGCTCGCACTGTCCTTCACGCCCTCAAGCTGGCAGAATACGAACCCCTCCGATCCAAGCTGAAGCTCGACGAGAATGGGGATATCATTCTCCATCCTGGAGTGGCTTTCAAGCCGAAGACGCTAGAGGAGGCGAAGAAGATTGCGGAAGGGAATACTGTGACCGAGTATCATCCGATTGGCACATGTGCGATGTTGCCGAGAGAGAAAGGAGGCGTGGTCGACAGCAAATTGAAGGTCTATGGGACCAGTAATGTCCGGGTTGTGGATGCTTCTATCTTTCCTACGCATGTGCAGGGAAACATTGTCTCCTTGGTGTATGCGGTCTCTGAGAAGGCGGCAGACTTGATCAAAGGGAAGGCTACTGATGGCATGAATGGTCATTAAGGAGTGGAAAATGCCTTGATATCTGCGAGATTCGACATAATTCGTCGGCTCCATCACTATCGTGGACTAGCTTTTCATAAGGTCGGATGGATATGGCCCCTCTTCCGAATGAGAGGTTGACTGAGCGCCCTGAACTGGAATCAAAGTGGAGTCTGAAGTATAGCGCCTTCGTGAGCTCGTCTCGATATACACTTGTATAGCTGGTTTCGATGCTCCATCCCTTGGGGGCCGAAATGGTGGGCCGTTTTGTGCATTAAATGCCCTCAAACAGCGAGGGAGCAGTATGGGTGTTTGTAAGTCGCACGTATGTGGTTCAGTTGTGAGGAAGAGAGAGGAACTCATATTGTGGAGTACTCGAATTTTTGGGAGGAACCATTGGATTGGATCTCTGTTGGCATTGGTCCACGGGCGCCGGGTGTGCCGCAGGCCAAAATAGCACTAGTCCAATTTTGGCAAGGGCGTCGCGTCCGCGACCGGTCCAGCGTTCAGTGAAATACCTAGGTAAGAGTGTCACTATTATAAGATCTTGGAATCGACAACTCGAAATCCTTAGGATGTCACTTCATAATATCATTCACTTGCTTGGGAGGAGATGGATGTGCAAGCTAATCCCTTCAATCAATGACGACAGCGCCATGCGAAGGCTGGTGCCTTGGACGAGGTTTCACGAGCTCCATTGGTTATTCACCCTGCCACCGTGAGGGGCTGGCGCTGTGTAGCCAACCAGGCTGCCCCGAAATGCGCCTCTATATTCAACTGCAGGCGCCCGAGTCGCAGGTGCCTGAGTGAGTGCCTGAGGCCTTGCGCCTCGTAAATCTGTCCCACGCCGTACGTCCAAGCAGAGCCTCGGGGCTGATAAGGTACCTGCACCTCAGCCGTCTCGTCTCGTCACTCAAACGCTCCTTTCACTCGTTCCAATGCCGCACTGTTCGCTTCGTTTCTTGTAGAAGAGTTGTATTTAGAGCAATGGGGCGTGCTAAGGAGCTCTTGTTGTCCGCATTCAAAGCTCCTCTGACGCGTATGGGTGCGCATCAATCGAAACCTCACGACGAGGCTCAACTCGAGCAGTACGATGATTGTCATCTGGCAAGCACGTCAGTTCCATGTAAACCCAGGCTTGCAACGACTGTATTTCCGCTGTCTCCCTGCGACACGCCATCCAGCGTCTTCCCGTCCGAGCTGCCCCCGCGGCCACAAAAGCAGAGCCGGCTGTCTTTCAGCAGGAAGAAGAAGAGCGCTGCGAACCCGAGTTCTCTGGCAGGCGCTCCTTCTTTTCCTGTCTCGCCGCCCCTGTCGCCTATCGATTCCGATTCAATTACCTTGAACCTACGGTCGGAAATACCCTCACATGTCGATTACAATCACGACACACCACCAACTTCTCCATCATCTCCGGCTGTTGATCGACAGACAGGTTATTTCTCGAAAGCCTCTCACAGTCTGAAAACTGCCGCGTCTTCTCCGAGCCTTTCGTCATCGCTTTTTGGCAAGGCGTTTGCCCGTAGAGAAGTAGCCCACCGCGAACCTCTCTCACCTGAGAAATTACCTCTGTCATCCGCTCCATCATCGAGATCAGATGATTCTATATCTGACCCACTGGTGGCGAGGTTTGCTAGATTGAGGCTCTCGCACTTTCCTCCGCCGGCCTCGGGTTCAACTGCCGACTCAAACCGTCTTTCCACCCAAGAGCAGAATCCAACTCGATCGCACAACGCTCATGCTGAGGGACTTCAGCACCGGTCAGATTGTATTGAAGAGCATCCCGATATGGGTCCAGCTCGCCAGATTCGTCGGCGAGCTAGAGAAAGCTCTCAACCATATCAGACCGCTTCCAAAGGGAGAAGCATTAAGCAACCCACAGCCGACGGCTCGGAACCGGATCTGGACGTGGAGCAGGACAATGTCAGCTACCCAGATATCGAACTTATCGCGGCATTAGCAGAATCCCGCAGCCGAACACTGTCCCCAGAGTTACCGGCGGAATCGAATGTCATCAGCAGGCGTGCGGCTGCGATACAGGAGGAGGAAGACAGGAGGCTTGCCGAGATGCTTCAAGATGCGTACGACGAGCGTGAGGATGCGTGGGAGGAGCTTGAGGATGTGTACGACGAACCTGAGGTTACCTCGCTGGGTGGGCGTCAGTCTCCCACGCTCAGCCAGCTTCGGGACCCTGCGGGGTCTTCCCCTTCTCCCAGTCCGTTTAGAGAGACTAGCAGATTCATTGCAAACGATACCCACGTGGCTACTAAACCACATGTTAACCGCGGAACCCGAGATGACCCCATCGAATTAGATTCAGACTCAGACTCAGACTCAAATGAGTCATACGAGCAAGCTGTTGAAGATTGGGACAGATATTTGGACGAGGCGGCGTTCCACGGTGAACCGATGGTGCTAGACGACAGCAGTAGCGACGATGAATCCGATACTGAATTCGCACGGCGGCTGCACGAAGAGGAAGAGCAACGACTTCGGCATGAATCAGAGACGTGGATGCGTGATGCTGAAGTAGCTCGGCGACTTCATGAAGAGGAAGAGGAACGGATTCGGCATGAACCACAGACGAGGACCCGCGATTGCGCGGTCTGCGGTGATGCGACGCCGATAATCGACCTTCCTTCACTATCCAGCTGCGCGCACAAGCCAGAGACTTGTGCTGGATGCTACGCAGGATGGATCGCCTCTGAATTAGGCGAGAAGGGATGGAGGAATATCAAGTGTCCAGGAGGCGAATGCAGGGTCATTCTAGCACATCACGAGGTTCAGCAGTACGCCACGAAGGAAGTCTTCGAGCAATATGATACATTCGCGATGCGGGAAGCCCTCGCTGACGATCCCAGCTTCCGTTGGTAAGGAATCATTTCAGGGTATGTGATACATACGCTGACATATGCGAAGGTGTCGGGCAGGTTGTGGTTCAGGGCAGATCCATATCAGCGGTGAAGAAGGCAACATCTTCAGATGCGTATCTTGTGGACACAAAGTCTGCGTGATCCACGATGGTACATGGCACGAAGGCGAAACTTGCGAGGACTACACATATCGGACCAGCGGTCAGAAGGAAAAGGACCAAAGGGCACAGGAAGAGGCTAGCGTTGAGGCTATCGGCAAGATCACTAAGAAATGCCCTGGACCAGGATGTGTATACAACATAGAGAAGAACGACGGATGCGACCATATGACATGTAAGTAGTGCCCCCTATCCTCTAAGTCTACGCGCTAACGAAGTCCTAGGCTCTCGGTGTCGGTATGAGTTTTGCTGGCTCTGCCTGGCAGATTACAATGCCATCCGCAGGAAAGGGAACTCTGCGCATGAGAAAGACTGCAAATACCACACCAGCAGGATCAGATGATTCTGGAAACGGCAATGCTGGCGACCTTGTACGAGCTCATGTTCCCACTCCCTCAATCTCGAGATGGAGTCCCTTGTTCGGAGGCACCCACGCATCAGACTCATTGAGTCGAGGCAGTCCACCAATCTCGCCCGCATTGAGCCATAGGAAAACGCTCAAGAAGCGGGACTGATTAGTTGAAGCTCATTTGGAGGGGGATAAGATTGTGAGAGATTAACTGCAATTGGGATTGAAGTTCTACATGGCGGCATTTGATACCTTTATATTTTCGAAGCTGGTTCTAAATACAACAATTGTATAAGCCATTTGACCTTAGCAGAACAACCACCCCAATTACCCCTTTAGAGCTCTTCGGCTTATACAGCTATCCCATAGGGTAAGGCGCGGCTTGGCGCGGGCCCCACACTGGATTGGTCGCTCCGACAATTTAACAAAGTGCTTCCCTAAATTTTCCCGGGCCGATGTCAACAAACAGATCTCCCTTCTGCGTTTCCTGCCATTGAAGGCTGACAGCTGTCGCAATCGCTCTCATGGTCGAACTGTGACGTCTGCTAATCGCTCTTTTTGATTCCCCCATACACACTCGTTCTCCCGCGCCGCTCTGATCTGGAAGCGCACCGCTTGGAGCGCGTCGCGCCACAACCATGTCTGAACGAATGACGCGCTCCAAGACTGGGAAGACGCCCAGGTGAGTGTCCTCAGCACATGCTGCGTCTCTTGAAAACCGTGCATGTACCGCGATGACTAGTAGCTGACGTGCATGCGCCACAGCAAGCCGTATAACCCCGGATTCGTCGAGACTCCCGGTCGCAGAAGGCACACGCGCAAGTCCTTCGCACCTGACCTAGACGGAGCAGCGGACGACTCGACCCCCGAACCTGAGAGTTTCTCTGCGCCGGCCGCCGTGGACATAAAGCCTGAAAACGGCTCCGCCAAGCTCAACGGAAACGGAAACGGAAACCTCAATGGACATGTGAATGGACATACGAATGGACACGCCAATGGACACACCAGTAGGGAGGCTAGGAAGGCCATTCAGGAGACTGAAAACTTCGGACCCTACGATACTTCTGGCGAGAGAGAATTTGGTGGGTCGCTGGGAATGGGCGCCATGATGCTCGGTTTCCCAGCGCTCATGTACTACATGTGGATCGGGGCATTCTTCTACGATGGCAAGCTGCCACTGCCGGCAGATGGCCAAAGCCGATCACAGTTCTTTCAGCAACTTTGGTTTTTGGTCAAAACTGAAGCATATCCGAACGCGCGAGCGTGGAAGATCTACTGGGTCTTCGGATTTGTGCAGATGGCTTTCTACCTGCTTCTTCCTGGAGTCTACCGCAAGGGCAAGCCGCTTCCTCATTTGGGTGGAAAGCAGCTAGACTATTACTGCTCGGGTATGTGGTCTTTCTACACTAGCATTGTCCTCGCGCTGGTCCTCCACTTCACTGGGCTTTTCAAGCTCTACACGCTGATCGACGAGTTCGGGCACATCATGAGTGTCGCCATAATATCCGGTTTTCTCTGCTCGCTTATTGCGTACTCCCAGGCCATTGTCCGCGGAGTGACTATCCGAATGACTGGCTGGCCAATCTACGACTTCTTCCTCGGAGCAGAGCTGAATCCCAGGCTCTTCGGCATTTTAGACTTCAAGATGTTCCTTGAGGTCCGCATTCCATGGTTCATCCTTCTGTTCCTTTCTTTGGGGACATGCCTGAAGCAATATGAAAATTACGGATATGTGTCTGGAGAGGCACTCTTCCTCCTACTCGCGCATTACCTTTATGCTGGAGCGTGCGGCAAGGGAGAGCATTTAATAATCACTACCTGGTATGCCCTCCTAACATCCCGTCATACCTCGACCAAAAGCTGATCTGACTAGGGACATGTACTATGAGAAGCTCGGGTTCATGCTCATTTTCTGGAATATGGCCGGTGTTCCTCTCTCGTACTGCCACTGCATTCTGTATATCGCCACACACCATCCGTCCGAATACCAGCTGCCTACCTGGTTCACTGTACTTCTGATTTTCGCCTACCTTGGTGTATACTACGTCTGGGATACGACCAATAGCCAGAAGAACCAATTCAGACAGGAGGAACGTGGAGTGGTGGATGAGAGGACTACCTTTCCATACTTCAAGTACGGAAGGATCGCCAACCCGAAGACCATCCAAACAAGGCAGGGCAACAAGATCCTGTGCGACGGCTGGTGTGAGTAATAAGGCAGTGAATTAGCACATATGGCTGCTGACAATCGCATAGACGGCAAGGCTCGCAAGATCCATTACACTTGCGACCTCTTCTTCGCGGTCTCGTGGGGTCTCATTACAGGCTTCAAGTCTCCCTTTCCCTGGTTTTACTCTGTGTTCTTCGCTGGTATGATTATCCACCGTGCTCGACGGGACATTGAACGTTGCCGGAAGGTCTACGGCGAGGCCTGGGCAGAGTACGAGAGGAGGGTACCTTATCTCTTCATTCCGGTAAGCAACCCTTCAGCTTATTTGAGCGCAAGAGCTAATTTTGGGTTAGTATGTCTACTAATGATCTTACCATGCTATTCGTAGGGCGAAACGCCCTCTTCCTCTTAAAATCAGTTCGACGTTTCGTCCTCATCGACACTGTGTATATTATGCATATACGTTGCTCTCAGAAGATACTGGCCTTGCCTCACTAGCGCGGGCAATTAATTGATAATGATACTGTTCCATACTCACATGGGATTCCTCATGGGCAACATTTTTCGGCCCCATTCTGAACCTTGCGAAAAGGCAAAGAACGGGAGCTAATACGAGCCGTTCGGCCTGCCATGTCGGACCATGCCGGTCAATGACTCCGTTGCCGCAATCCTCCGGGTATCGTATGATTGCGAACCAGCTTGGGCCGAAATGGACCTGAGTCACCAACGCTGACCGAGATCGACGCAGCGAGAGAGTGCTGCTTTCCCGTCCTCAACGCGCTCCTTATCTTAATCGGTGAAGACACTTTCTTCACGCCATGCTCCCCGTCTTACACGCAGGATCCCAAATTCTGACTTCGTGAGCGCGGCACATCACTGATTGCTTGCTGACGTTGCTCTGTTGTTGTGGGGACCAAGCGAATGGGAAAGGATCCAACACCGTCCGAGCGTCGGCCGGATATGCAGGCTCATTCACACCCACGTGGTCAGCAACGTGGCTCGCACGGACATCTCCACTCTTTTCCCGATATTGAGCAATCTGGAGGACGATGGGACGGCACCGGTGCAGCGCGGGCTCCTACAGTAGGCCATGCAGGAATACGAAGGCCACTAGATGAAGAGAGTCAATGTTGCGCATGGTCTTGCGGAGAAGGTCGGATTGTGGTTGGTATATTTGGAAACTTGTCTTACAACCATGCATGCGCGGTGGAGTTGTTGGGTGTCTGGGTTTTGGATCTGCTATTCCTGTGCGGGCTTGAGCTAGGGGACGTTGGTACAAAGGTTAGGAGAGTCACTGATGTCTCTAAGTCGTGACGCAGAGTGACTGTTCTGGGTCTGTCTCAAGACGACATACAACCGCGGCATCTCAAAAAGCAACGGAGGGTGTCGTCCGAACTCTCACGTTGACTGTTCCACAACACACAGCACACAGCACGCCAAGTAGTGGCTTCTTGTCTGCAGACACGGTTGGCTGCCAGAAGTACCAGAGGCTAGCTGCATGCGCATGAGAGCGCGAATGTTGAGCATGGCCAGCTGTGTCAACTCGTGGACTCCGGCTTACCGCCCTGGCTCGAACGTAGCAGAATTTGTCGCTGCATGCAGGCCCAGCTCGCCCTCAAAAGCAAAAGCAGGCAAAGATAGGCAGCCCCGGAGAGGATGCGGCTTCTTTGTTGCCTTGTCCGTCGTGCTTTGTGGTCCGTCGCTTGACGAGGATGCACGAGAGGGCACAAAGACGGCTGATCATGGACCTTTGATTGCGGAGAAAGGGACGCATGGAATCAAGCTCATCGGCGGCTGCGGGAACCACGTTCGAAAAAACGTGGCAAGAACGTGGGGCTGCATGCGTCAAAATCGTCGAATCGCAGACGCCCAGCTGAGGCCGGCTTTGTGGCTTTTCGGCGACGGGCTTCACAGGTGGAAATTCACAAAGAGCCCCTGTGCAGGCGTGTGAGAGGGCGGGCTGCGCCGTGCTCAATGTTGAAAACCCCCTTCCTGTCCACGCGGGTTTCAGAGTGCTTAGCAAAAGCCGCGCCTCCCCGCCGCTCTGATAAAAGCAAAGCAGCCGCTGCTCCCGCCCGCAGAACACCTCGCACCCATCACCGCTCACCTGTCGACCTCACCAACGGCACTCCGCTCGGCCTGACGCTTCGATTGACGATTGCGGTGCTGCTGCGACTGCGCTAACGACGCCCCTGCTCACGGACTCAGATCACACCCTCTTCGTCCCCCTTGCCGATCCGCTGCCTTGGCTCTCTGTGAAACGCGCGAAAGCCAGAGCACAGGACTTTTCTGACGCCGCCGTTTCTCTCGCCCTGCCCCCTCTCGCGACTCGCGCTCTACGCCAACTGCCTCCTCCTTTCGCTCCCACTTGCGCCTCCTCTTCACGCGATCCGATCGTTCGGTGCCGACGGGTGGCTGTAATACCTAAGACTCCCCCCTCCCTCGTCTCCTCCTTCGCTATAGGCGCTCTCGGACAGCCGAAACACAGTCATAGACATCATGACGAACTCGCTGGAGTCCTCGCGCCCCATCCTAGCCAGCGTAAGTATCCACATTTCATTACATCAACTCCCCGTTTCAGGACTGTCCCCTATCTCCGGGTTGATGCTCGCTTCTGGTGCGCAACAACCTGCGAATAAACACAGCTTCCTTCCCGCTATCGTGGCTTTCTCATTCTGCTCCGTCACCATGTCGCAGCAGCCCTCTAACTTCAAGAAACCGCAGTCGACCGGCAACCGCGCCTCAACCCGCATGTCCACCTACAGCTCTGCGCCGACCCTCACGCCCTCAATTGCGCCCTCGCACCTCTCCAACGCTTCCTCGACCGCCGGCGACCCCAAGGCCCAGGAGATCAAGTCATGGAATGAGGGACTGGAACGCCTGGAGGACAAGCGCCTCGCGTCGCAGCGATACATAATGAGCAACGACAAGGTCGACAACATGAGCAAGCTCGCGCTCGGCGCGAAACTCGACCGCGCCCTCGCACGGCGCATGTCCGGCCAGGACGCCGTCTTCCGGCCGAAAGTCATCAACGAGAAGAAGGTGAATGCATGAGCGGTCAGGCATATCGATTCTTCATAGCGGTTCAGTCATCCATCACTTTCGGCAGCTAGCTGTTCGCAGCATGATGTAGTTACGGTTTCAGTCATCCAGCGAGATATCCTTCATTGCGGAGTGCGTGGGCTTTCGGGGCGGGAAAGCGAACAGGCTGTGGTGTCATCATCAGCCTCACGTCGTTGAATCTGGTCGAAGCGTCGCAGCCACAGCAGAACAGGCGGCCATATAATGGGGTGTCGACAGGCAGCATGGTTCGCAGTGGTTTACCTAAGCATTGGGGGAAACACAGGTCGACCACTTCACTCAGCAAATACCTCTACATCACATTTTCCTTCCTTGAGTTTTCCTTCACGAGCCGCCTCCGGCCTCAGCATGTATTTTTCCTCGGGACGTTTTGGGGCTCGAGCGATATCAGTCGTCGGGCGGCCGGCAATACACCAACAATGCCGGCCTGATTTCTTTGTTAACTCTCTTCAAACAATGGATATGGGAATACCCTTTCCCTCCGAACGTTAATCCTCGCCTCGTCCCTTTGTGACATCGCTAATCTTTGTCTTCGCCATGTCGGTCTTGCTTGTCTCGGGCACCGGCTGCGTCATTGGCCCTTGCTATCCCTGGGTTGTCCGACGCGGCGCATGCTCAATCCTTCCAACAACGTGTTCATCCCGGAATCTTCGCTATATTGGGGCCTGGGGGTTTCACATGCCCGACTGCCCGCCTACAAAAGTTATCGTAGAAGTGGGATTGTTTGCCCTCAATCGGAGATGTTCCCCTTTGAAAGAGGGGTCCTGTAAGTGGTCCCGGCTCCTATTGCTCATCACTGCCTTGTCTGGCGGTTCACTTTCCCTCTTGGAAGACATCGCGTAGCTTATCGTTGCTTTTAAGACTCTGGCTTGCTATAGCTGCTCGAATCGTAGAACATACCCGCAGTAACCGCCTTCCACGACGCGCGTGCCCTTTTTGAAGTCACAGGGCTCGGGCCTGAAGATTAACGACGGAGTCGTTGAAAAAAAGGCGTGATGGGGAATAGGATCATGGAGGGATGTTGCTGCGGTACAAAGGGTCAAGCGCGAAAGAAAGAGGACGTATAGGCAATACGGTGGCCTTACCCCATAATAATTCAACCTCAGGTCTTCGACACCTCACTTTCCCAATAACTTATATCGATTATTACACTAATTTAAGCGACTTTCTTGCTTCAATCAGATGACCGAGCGATTTCGTATATGTGTCCCATTTATTTCGCGTTTAACCCTTTATATCCATCCTTCTTTAGAAAAAGGTGTCCCCAAGAGAACTCATGACACAACTTCTCGACGAGATGCATTACTCTATCAGAGAAAGATCTATGAGGGGAAGGAAAGTCCGCACGACACTGACGGCCAGACTCAAAACTTCCACCTCACCAGATAGGCATTGCGCTTTTTGCTTTTGGAGCGAGACAGAAATGTGATAAAGATCAGGTCCGACTCTTACAGTCGCGGTATCACTCACGGCACGAATGCCGGGCGCGTGAAGATCCAGCTCTTCCCAATGTATTGTCTCTTCGCGGTATCTTTCTTGGAAGATTATCGATGACTCGCGTGAGTAGTGATCCGGGCTGAACGCTTTTAGGCTGGGGATTCGTTTCCTGTAGTCGCAGAGGACAATTAGGGGAATAGCCGGAGTAGCTATTCTCACGTCGAACTTCATTGCGAGGACCGTGGGGTAGAAGGCCCAGTCGTAGCGGTTCGGCCTCAAGAACAGGCGGTCGGTGAGATCCAATAAGTTGACCGGAATCGCATCCGTTAGGTGATATACCTCGTGGGACGGGATATGGATTGCAAGGTTTCGAAACGACGAATAAGCCTCGGGTATGGCCTGGGTAGGGTCAAGGAGAATGTAGCCTATCTCGGTGACGTCCCATGTCCCTAGCAGATCCGCCTCTTCGCGAAAACCCGCGAGAGGGAGAAGTCCGTCTCGACAAAATAGCCTGGGCCCAATTTTCCGGAGGTAGATGCCTCCATCAATACCAGTGTCCAAGTCCAACCCCAGAAAGATGGAGTACAACTTCTCAACACGCCCGCCTTCAGTGGTAACATTGGCGGCTCGCAAGGGGATGTCGCCGCTTAAGAAGAGACCTTTGTTCGTAACGGAGAAGTTTGCAAAGTCGTCTTCGAACGGGACGATACCCGGGCAGCGTATGAACGCGCTAGGCGATGGAGCGATGAGGCCGACAAATCTCTGTTTGGACTCCTGCGGAACGTCCCACGCAAAGATTGTCAAGTCGTTATTATGCTTGACGATCTCCTCCTGTAGACGCCGAAATGCTCTCATCCCCTCGCCATATATCAGAGGCATATTGACCTCAAAGATCCCCAACAAACAGTAGGCCAAATCTTCGACACGCGTAGTTTGCCGGCGGGCAGCCCAGGACATTCGTCTGGCAACGGAATAATCTGACAATGTCGCTTCTCCCAAAAGCAGTCTAGGCGCAATCCATGTATTTTCGGAAATGATATCGATGAGTTCAAGCTTGGTACCGAGGTGGTTCCAATCCGTATCGAAGAATTCCACATGTGCTGGCGCAACCAACTCCTGGAGCGTCCACCCTCGCGTAAACCAGCGGCATCCCGAAAGTTCGGTCTCGGGGGGGGAATGCGGAGGAAGGTCCGCAAGATAAATATAGCAGACCACTGCATCCCTGTACCAGTTGAACATGGAGTTTATCGCTTCACTGAGTTCTGCGCTACTCGATTTGTCGATACAGCAGGTATCAACCCAAAAGAATTCGAGACCGTCCTTCGCGGCTTGTTCTCCACAGCAGCGGATCTTGTCATGACCAGCCTTGCTCTTGCCTGTGCCGTCCATCAGATCCTTGAAGGTGACCTCTTCTCCGTCAGCTCCCCAGGTATGCGAAAGAATGGCGTAGGGCGGAATGTTGGCGATGAATTCCACCAGGCTCAGCCCGCCGCCGTCTTCAAACCGTAGAAGACGCATAGGGAGAGATGCTTCGACGCGGTCTAGTCATGGAAACCGTTAGAGCAGGTGTAGGGTGCCAGCTTTTGGGAGGTGTTAGTGTAAGGCTGAGGAGAACGGCTGCCTCGGCTCAGCCTCGTCGAGTCCTCCATTTCTCGTGTATGAACAAGCGTGCATGATAAACGAATTGCGTTCCCGCGAGCGAGTACAGTAGATGGAGCTGATTAGGTGCTGGTCTATTCTACTACCTCTCCTGTCAACACTATCTGCTTTCGCTGTAATTATACATGCGCAATTGCGTGCTGCGAGGCAGTAGTCGGGTGGTCGGTGATGCAGGAAATGAGGCTGTCGCCGGAACTACTTTCGTGGAGCTATTAGCGAAGTAGTAAGGCACTGAATCCGCTTTATGCCGGAATGATTAGACACGTGCATAGGGGATTGATGCAGATGTGATGAAGATGGACTGCTCATGCCCCTAGTAAGGCGCCTGCCCGTGTTAGCCAGTTACGTGCTAGTCTAATCCGAGCTCAGTCCAGCAGCTGGTTTCCTCTCACACTCCAAACCTTTCCTTACGTTCGACACACGATATTCTTATGCTTCGATTGCTCCCACCAGGAAGAGTCTCTGTATCAGGAAATCCGTGGTCCTGGCAAACCAACCTCGCACCGGACAAAGCTTCTTTCAACTGTCCATCTGAAACACTGAAGAGCGCTTGAGCTCTTATAGACGAGAGAGACTCACCGGCAAGAATGGCATCAAACAGCTCCTATGCCATAGGGATCGACTTAGGGACGGAAAATACCTGCAGCGCCATCTTTCGGGATGATAAAGCTGAAATCATCCCCCACGATGGCCAGTCCCTCATGCCATCGTATGTCGCCTTCACGGAAACAGGTTGGCTGGTTGGATCGGCTGCAAAGAGCCAGGCCAGCCTCAATCCAGAAAACACGATATTCGACGCCTTGAGATTCATTGGAATGAAATATTCCGACCCTCAAGTCCACAGCATGATCAAGGACTTACCGTTTCGCGTGGCGGAGAGGGGCCGCAGGCTTGCGTTTGTTGTCCATCACCGAGGCACCAAATTGGGTTTAACTCCGGTTGAGATAATAGCCATGGTCCTCGCCAGAGCCAAAAGAGATGCTGAGACTTATCTAGGCAAAGGGCGCCCGGTCAGTCATGCGGTCATCACAGTTCCAGCCTATTTCAGCTTCTGCCAGCGGAAAGCGATCAGGGATGCGGCCATAATCGCGAAACTCAATCCTCTCCGTCTGATCAACGCTCCCATCACAGCATGTTCGGACTACGTTGTAACGCAGCGGCTAGCCGGGGAAAGAAATATTTTGATCGCCGATTTCGGCGCTGGGTCATTTGCCATAAGTCTCGCAACTTACGAAGAGGGGATATTAGAGGTCAGGGCGGTGTGCGGCGACTCTCTCCTCGGAGGCGAAGATTTGGACACTCGGCTAGTCCATTACGTTGTCGACATCTTCAAGCGAAAAACAGGCTCCGACCCGACCATTATTCCTCGAGCACTCCGTCGCCTACGCACCGCATGCGAGAAGGCGAAGTGTGAGCTGACATCGCAAGAGCAGACCCGCATTGAGCTAGACCAGTTGTATGAAGGACACGATTTTGCTTGGACGATCACACGACAGAACTTGGAAGACTGCTGTACCGACTTGTTTCGAAGCTTATCCCAGCGGGTTGAACGGGCTTTGAAAGACGCCAAGGTGGCGAAAGAGGGGACCCACACAGTGATCATAATCGGGGGCTCATCGAGGATACCCAAGATTCAGAAACTCTTATACTGGTTCTCAATGGCAAAGAAATCTCTAGGTGCCTTAATCCTGATGAGACTGCAGCACCGGGGGCAGCGTTGCATGCGGCCATTCTCTCTGGGGATACCTCTTCCAAATCCATTCTGGAATTCATGCTACTTGATGTTGCGCCGTTCTCATTAGACATCGAGACACCGGGAGGGGTCATGAGCCCGCTTATCCCGAGAAACTCGTCTATTCCTACGAAAAGATCGAAAACGTACACCACCTCTGAAGATAATCAGGAAAGCTTTCCCGTAAGGGTATTTGAAGGAGAACGCGCACGAACCAAGGATAACTGGTTCCTGGGCAAGTTTGAGATACTCTTCCTCCAGCTCCTCGTGGCATCCCACCAATCGAGGTGATTGTGGACTACGATGCGAATAGCAACGTGTGGGTTCACGCCAAGGACAAAGGTGGCAACGGAAAGTATGGTCGAATGTTCCTCATGCATCCCGATGGGATACCAAAGGAAGAACTGGAAAGCATGATGACAGAGGCTGAAAGATTCGACGCTGCTGATAAGGCTGAAGAAAGGCGCATTGAGGCGAAAAATGCCTTAGAAGAGTATATATCCGCCTTGTTGGATTCACTTGCTTCACAGCCTACAACAGATGCGGTCAGTCGGAACATTCGGCTGGCCAACGTGTTGCTTGAGTGGCTCGACGAGAATCAGGGGGCACAGGCTTCGGAGTACCACAGGCGATTGTCTCAACTGAAGCAAGTTACTGAAAGCACCACGGACGACGATACCGAAAGAGACCGTACAAAGGTGGCCCAGTTGACCCAGGTGGAACCCTTTACTATACCTAGGGACGGCAATACCCTACGAGACTCGGACAAGATAGCCCAGATGTTACCCTTTCCTAGTGAACATCTACCCAAAGCCACTAACGCTGAGAGTACGAAGCGAGTCGAAGTGCCAGTCCTCCCTCCTCGGACAACGCCCGAGCCAGAGCGTCCGTTGCCCGAAGTGCGTACAGCTTCAACTGCAGCGTCGGCTCGATTGGCCGAAGAGATGGATGAGCAATTTGGTACTCCCGGCGACAGCGAGCAGGCTGGCGAAGCATTCAGTTCTGAAGAGTGGACCAGAAAGCTCGAAAGTCAGCCTCTTCGACAGAACTTACCAAGAAGCCAGCATGCACATTCTAGTTCGTTGACCGCGGATGAAACATCTCACGATTCCAACGACCTTAAGAATGCTGTGGAAAACTAAGAGGGTACGTTGAAACAGCGTGGCGTACCTGACTCTCACTCAATCACATCGGATCTGAAGGATGCTTTGCCGTTGAGCGCAAATCCGACCGCCTCAGACGTGTCGGACAGATCAAACGCATCCCAGTCGGAGACACCTCGTTCCGCCGAAAGAGGAATGGCCGAGCTCTTCTCAAAGCAAAAAGAGGGGCGCATCGTCTACACGGATGCTGTTTCATACACATGTCGACATACCTACGAAACACGGGTCGACAGACTTGGAGCGGCATGCCCCAGTTGCACACGGTTCTACGAATTATAGACCAGCTTGACAAGCTCGATACATTCGTGGAGCAAGGCATTACCGATATCTGGTTTCCGTTCACACAGACTTCCTTGCCGACTGCACTGTCACCCACCGCGCAAGCAAATTTCCTTGAGCATCAAGAGGCGGTTTTGTCCAAGTCATTGCTCTTCGAGAAGAATTCCGATCGCAGACATGCCCACTTTGCTCAAGGCGAACCACTTCCCTTTCAGGTCGTAGCTAAGCTAGGAGCGGGAGCGCACGGGCAGGTGGACAAAGTTATGAGCACTGTCAGTCACCGCAAATATGCTAGGAAGCTTTTCCGAAGAGCCGGGGGTATATCCAAGGATGCCATCAAAAGCTTCCTCCTCGAGCTACAGGTCTTAAAAAGGGTGCAACATTATCACTGTGTAGAGCTGGTTTATATTGCTCTTCTACACGACTCGTGCCGTTCATTAACGTGCTTGAAGGTGCAAAGCTATACCGATCCAAAATACTTCGCGTTGCTCATGACCCCGGTCGGCGAGTGCAACTTGTACGAATACTATGACATTGCACACAATTGCCCAGACAAGCTTTCGCTACTTCGCAGCTTTTTCGGCTGCATCGCCAACGCGCTGCAATACGTTCACAGCATCAAGATTCGCCACCGAGATATCAAACCGCACAACGTTCTGGTAAAGGGCGATAGAGTATTGCTGACGGACTTCGGCATCGCGCTCGACTGGGAAAATCTGTCTCGATCCACCACGACCGCTGATTCGGGAAAGACGTGGGTGTACGCGGCTCCAGAAGTTGCTCGCTATGAAAAGCGCAACACGGCCGCTGATGTGTGGTCGCTTGGATGCGTCTTCATGGAGATGGTTACGGTCCTGAAAGGCGAAATAGTCGCAGCTATGCGATCGTTCTTCGAAGAGCAAAGTGGGAACTATCGTTTTTATGCAAATCTAGCACGTTTACCGGAGTGGGCGCGCAAGCTTCGTGGGGTTGGTTCAGCGAAAGATAATGCGATCTTCAAATGGGTTAGCGCTATGCTCGAGGAAGAGGCAGAGGATCGGCCAACGGCAGCGACTCTTTACGCCGACATCACTGCAGAATGCGCTGCGCAAAACGTACCGTTCTGTGCGTCGTGTTGTCTTGAAGCCGTCGAGTCGTCTAGCGTCGACGATGAGGATGAGGATGATCTGTGGGGCCGAGCAGCAGAGCTGACGCTTGTGTCAGAGAACGCTTGACAATTCCCATTACAATAAGTATTGGAAAGCTGGTCCATAATCTTCGGTCCCCGCCAGGGCCACTGCTCTGGGGGTACCTTGGCAAATTTGCGATCTAGCTTTCGATTCTGCCAAACAAGGAGTGTTCGCAGACTCAGCGAGAGCAGCGTGGCGAAAAACATGAATGCGGCACAGACACTCATGCCTTCGACGTAACCGGGTGCCTGATGCCTGGGAGACATATTGCGTGCTCAGTATTGGACCACATTAGCCGACTAGATTGATCAGCACCAGGCCCTCTCCACGGCGGGAATCGCTCCCTTGATTATCTAGTTTGCTTCCCGTTAGCGGTGCTGGGGCAAACCATTAACCAGAAAGCACGAGGCCCGAGGACTTATTTAAAGTCTTAGCTAGGTTGTTCGATATGGTTGCGAAAACTCCGGCGGCGGCGAGAAATGTCGAAAAGTACCGTACACCAACCATCCGCACTGTCGCCAGAACAACATACCCGGCACCTCCTATAATGGGTGTGAAAATTAGCATAAGTCCACGTTGTTGACTCTGATTCGCCAACCAAGTCGTTAAGAGGGCGAACAGAAACGCGACGAAGTACGGAGGAGCAGAAAGCCCCTGAGCGTTAATGTTGCTATATCTCATGTCCCTAAAGATCGTCGGCGAATAGGCAGGAAAACTCGAGTAGCTGACGCTCGCAGCGAAGAACATGAGCTATTAAAGCGGTCACCATGAACTCTCGAGGGGGAAACTCAAGAACGGACATACCGCATTACACCAAGCCGTTGGGCCAATCATCGTCATTCTAATCCTCGATCTCGTTTGCCGTTACCAACCTGGCTCACCACGCGGACCTTGACAACTTCGTTCTCTTCCGGTGTTAAGAAACGGGCGGTATCCGGAGAGTCAGGCGTGAAGGACCAAGCAAAAGGACCCACGATCAATGTAGCTAATCCCTCTACGAGAAACAGCAGTCGCCGGTTGGCCAGCGCAGCATGGCCGCCTGTGATGCCGTATGCCAGAGCTCCGGCGAAAGTGGAGGCGAGGGAGCTGCGGAGGCGACAATACTGCATCGAAAACCGACTTCCCTCCCAAGGCAGAAGAATGACAGCAGGTATATGATTCCTGGTCTAAAGATGCGGCGAATCAATCAGCATTTTCAGATCTCGCTGACCGCCGATTGCGGCGAAGCAAAGGATTCTCACGCAGATGCAGCCGCAAACATGCCCAACAAAAATCGAATCGCCCTCATACCGCCCCAGTTCTGTGCTGCTTTGTGTAGCGTCGCAATAGTGCCCCATGCACACACGATGATACCGCAGACGACATGCGGACAGAAGGCCTTCTAGTACAGCAAGCTGAACTCGAAAACGATATATGCGATGAAGAAGACGGTAACGAGCCACGAGTATCGGTCGCCTAAGAGGTGAAGGTCGCGAGCCATGGCCGCAATACGAGCGTTCCCGATATCGTTGCGGTTGAGGAAAGCGAACATATTTAGTGAGGTGAATGCTAGTTAGCTATCCCGCCAGGTAAATGCTTTTGAGGAGAAAGAAGCTGGAAGCTCGAGCGTGCTTGCAGAGAACGATGAAGAGGGGCATCATGTGGAGGTCGAGCTTGCGGCGAATGCAAGCTTCGGCGCGCACATCGTACAGGGCAGCATCTTCAGGCATCTCTTGGATTTGAGCATCATTCGGTATCTCCTGCGCAGACTCATCATTGGGAGGGGCCATTGTGAGCGATAGTAGGGTGACGAAACTAGTTCAAAGGAGGAGGATTGTTTCACAAGGTATAGCTTACTTGGCTTTATTGAGCACAGAGCTCGTGCTACTGATGATCGGTGCCGTTGCCAAAAGGGAACGTGCTGTGCTACAACCGGGGTGCAATCATGCATAACAGCAAACAAAGTATTCAACACTAGATTGCGTGATATCTAGGTAGCAGGTAAGCGCTCGTCCTTCATAATGCGGGCAGCTTACCTTCAATCGGCAATCACATCGGAGTACAGCAGAGGTTCCGTCCTGCCTTCGTTCTCACATCCAATGTGAGGCGGCGGGTCAGTTCCCTACTAGGCAGACACCAACTAGATTACCTCCCCCATAACAAGCTCAAGCCCTGCAACTTCAGACTATGCTTCGCCCTCTTCGACTCGCAACCTCCTTCCGGGCTACCGAAAATCAAACATCCCATTTGCTCGGTGCTGGAAGGCAACCACAGAGGGTCAGGAAATGCACATTCGAGTGAAGGGGTTGGTGTAAGTGAAAGTGTTGGATTCCAACCTCGCACGTCCACTCTTGGCTCATTTGCTGGCCGAGGACACAATGCAGTCCTTCGAATAAACCCAAAGGCTCAGAATAACCACTATCGCCAACGGAACACAATTCTCCACCTTCCTTCGATCGTCCCCACAAAGCGCTAGCGGCGACTCCAAAATACCGTATACAAGCGGTTACCTAGGTACCTGCAACAGAACATGGCTCCGCCTCTCATGCCAAGTCAACAAGAAGAATACCACCAGGACCGCCGGACGGAGCTCTATGTGAGTCTGATTGTTCTGCTCGTCGTGAACAACGTCGTCGTTCACGGGCGGATTGCGGCACACTATTACGATCGGTATCGACATGAGCGCTTCGGCTTCAACCTCGGCAATTTCCTCCTCGAGGACGTTTTCATGGCACTCTCCGCTATCTTCGTCGATGCCATGATAGGCCATACCCTGGCGTCGGCGAGTTACGGCCTCGGTCTCCACTCCTGGCGCATCAACGCTGAGGATCCAGACTACCCGAGTAACCTCTCCAATACATTCAAGCATGTCTGGATCACCCTGGTGCTGACGGCACCGGCATTCACCTGCGTCAGACTTACGCTGCTCTTCTTCTACCGCCGGCTTTTCCTTGTCAACCAGAGGTGCCTCAAGAGGGCCTGGTGGGCAAACCTCATCTATGTACGTGGATTGCAGCGCACGCTCTGAACATGTCTTAGCTCTTGACCGCGGAAAGCTTGCCCTAGGCTCCTCCAGCGGGTAAAGAGTTAAAACATACTGGAGCGCGTTCCTTCCCCTTTCCATCACTCTAAGACATATGCTAAATGTACCTCCACTTTCCAGGCCGTCGCGTGGTTCTTCGGCGCCAGCGGATTCTACATCTTCCAATGTTGGCCGGCCCAGTGGTTCTACTTGCGATACTACCCCCGATACCATCGTCCAACTCCATACCCGATTTCCGGCCAGTGCAACGCCTCCATCGTGGACAACCTCGCACGCACACTAGTCTTCGGCCTGATTTCAGATGTCGGCATCCTCCTCCTACCCGTTTTCACAATCTCGCGGCTACAAATGACGCTCAGCAAAAAAATCGGCCTGCTCGGAATATTCTCTATCGGGGTGGTAGCTTGCTTGATGGATTTGGCGAGGATCACTGAGCTGTGGGTGGGGACGGACGAGATCATTGATGCTTCTTGTATGTATAGCTTCTGCTGCTTCCGGTCTTGCAGTCTTTTCGCTCACTGACGTCATCGTCGCAGATGGGGCCGCTCAATTCTTCATTCTCTCCGCCGCCACTGCCGTCGCGGCAACTACCTGCGCCTGCCTGCCCGTCATCCTCCCAATCGCATGCAAGGCGCACAAGCGGAGAAGAGAAGGCACGAAGCCGCAACCATCGCCATTATCAGCTCCACCCTCGTTTCCTTCAGGTTCTGAGTCCGCTGCACGGAAGGGTCGCGGATTTACCCGGCTTGACGGAGATTCTAGCGATAGGAATGCTGTTGAACTTGGAGAGGTGGAAACTGGCGGCGGCGACGACCGACCTGAAGAGCCAGTTCGGCAGATGAGATGCGAGGGAGATGAAGTGAGTCGTTGAGCGAGGGATTGACATTCAGTTTCTCGTCGTAGGACCTCGATGTCATACTCACCTCTCCATCTTTCGGGGATGGCGCTAAATTATTGTCGCTTAGGGGGCTTAGACTGTGAGGGGAAGAGACCGTATGCGGAAGCCGTATCTGCGTCCCTCGGCTGGGCGTGCTCCTTGTTGGTCTAGAGTGGTAGTGTGGTTGACAAGAACACGCGGCGATTTGTTCGTTTGCCATATATAAATCCAGCCCACCTAGAGTGGTGACCGCACTTGGCTATTCAGAGAAGTCTTTCCAGTTGTTCCGCAGACCGCCTGCTTCTTCATATCTTACCCGATGTCGTCGTCCTGGCGAAAAATGGGGCTATTGCTCGGCTGGCGTTCATGAACGGCTGGCCGGCACGACCGCCAGACCTCGGAAGGTAGGCTCCACCATGCGGACCTGGGCAGAAGGAAAACAAAGCAACCTTGGAACCCTTACCTGCCGGCTTGCAAGCGCATCCTCTGGAGAAATTTGCGTCTTGCTGAAGAAGAGACGAGGAAAGACGGCCTAACTTCGTTCACCTCCGGGTCGTAAATGAAACTGCCTGATGCGGTAGGTTCGGAGAGGTGTCGAACGCAGATCGAGTTGATATCCTTTCTCTGCACTCTCGTTGGTGGAAGGTTGGGGCCTTGCAAACTGCCTGATCAGGCAGGTTGCGGGAAGTGTCGATCGCAGACAAGTGATATGAGTTTTCAGTGACAAGCGATATGAATTTATGATTGGATGAAGTCCAAGCCTAACACGAACCTTCGGCAACAGCACGCGCGTCTCGAAGAAGGTCAGAAGTCGCCGGGTACTTGCTCCTTACGCGACCGGGTCTCCCAGCGGAACGATCTTTGCGTTGGAGGACAGGGCCGATACGCATCGCGGTGCCTGATATGCTTCAGCAGTGCAGTCAAATAGAGACCCCGATAGAGGAGGCGTCTGCAAACAGGACACCGGGCGCGGAACTCCAAATCTGTAGTGCGCAGTAATCGACGGCTTGGCTCCAAAAAGACACCAAAGTTACCCTTTCGGGCATGTTGCCGGCCTGCGTGACCCAGGCAACTCTTGGCGGTATGTACTTTCCGTCACGGGATATACGAGACGTAAAGAAGTCGACGCGAGACGGAAACTTGGGATGGTAATCTGCCAAAGAGACGCACAAGACATGCAGCGCCTATTGTGGTACTATGGTTGGTGTGGGGAGCGATATGGAGTCGTGATACGAACTTTCGCTTCGTCAACAACCACCGAACGGGTTTCATGCCACACCCAACCATATGCGCGGTCGCACTATCTCAACTTCACCCATTCATTGATTGGCAGGGCGTCGCGCTCCTTCTTCCTCTTTCCTTCCTGCTGCTTAATCCTCTCCTCCAACGGCACCGACAACATCGACGTCATTGTTGCTCCCAGGAGCCTGAAGGCCTCATGGTACGACGCAGATGCATTTGGCATTAGACTACGGGGGCCAGCATAGGACCAGCATAGGACAGAGATAGCCACTATGAGTTGAAGTCAACGACCAGTCTCCCCGCGACCTTTCCAGCTTGCAGCTTCGCGACCGCATCCGGCATCTTCGCTAGCGGAAACACTTCATAGATGGGTTTAAGGAGACCCTGCGGAATATCTGATTAGCGCTGCTATTCTTGCAGACCCCGCAAACTGGCTAACTTACCCTCGCCGCGAACTCGAGCGCCTTCTGCGTATCCAGCAGCGACCCGACTTTCGTCCCGATCATGTGCAGATTCTTGCCTATGAACAGCAGCGGATTTGCTTCCCCGAAGCCGTCCCCTGGCGGAGCTGCAGAAGTCAGTAATGACCCCGGTTTCACGTCTGACTGAATGAATACTCACGTAGTCCGATACACATAACCTTCCCGCCAATTCTGGCCATCATAGGCGCAGTCTTATATGCCGACGCACTCGTAGCCGTGATAAAGATGCCATGCGCTCCCTTTCCATCGCAGATCTTGACCACCTCCGCCGCGACATCCGTCACCTTCGTGAAGTCAACGAAAGCCTCGCAGCCGAGCTTCATACACAGCTCCTTCTTATCGTCTCCGCCGTCGACGCCAACAACGCGCATACCCATCGCTCTCGCCAGCTGCACGCCCATGTGGCCCACGCCGCCACCAGCACCTGGAAACACTGCCCAATCCCCTGGCTTCAACCCAGATTCCTTGATCGAGCTGTAGATAGTGCTGCCGGAGCACATAATCGGGCCCGCGACGAAATCATCAACGCCCTCAGGGATCCTCTGCGTGTACCGCGCCGGAGACAGCACGTACTGCTGGTAACTCCCGGGGAATTGAAGCCCTATCTGGGGACTCTGGGGGCAGTACGTCTCCTTGCCCGACCAGCAGAGCTCGCAGTCAAAACAAGCGTCATACGCAGGCTTAATACCCGCGCGGTCGCCCACCTTCCAGTTCGTCACGTTGGAGCCTACTTTCACGACCACGCCGGCGCCTTCGTGGCCGGGGCTGCGCACGCCGAAGACGGACATCTTGGGGATGGGCAGGTCGTTGAGCATGTAGTGGATGTCGGAGTAGCAGATGCCGGTTGCGTTGAGCTTGATCAGGACGTCATTGGGGCCTTTTGGATCAAAAACATCAGCGTTTCTGGGCGTGAAGGCAATCGTCCGACGATGGAAACTCACCTGGCTCGGGGACTGGTACGTCTTCGACTGCAAGCTTGAAGTCTGGACCCTCGTTCACGACTACACCGGCTTTGCACGTCTTCGGTATCTCTGCGTCTCCGGTCTGCGCCATGTTGGTCAAGCCCGCCATGATGGTCGAGCCAATAACGATGTCAAAAGGCTCGTAAAAAGTTGAGCACCGCAATGAACACCGCAGGACTATATAAGCTTCAAGGAAGCAGCTGAGTTATTAACAAGAGCTGGAGAGGAAACTACGTACTGACGCGCGGAAGATCGGGCCTCCCGTCATCCCAAGCGGGGGCTGACGGGAGGTGAGGGGCACCACTTTGCGGAGAGCATACTGTACCGAAGTATACTAATCTGCTGACTGCGAGCCGAGGGAGTTAAGTCTGTTTTGGAGTAGTTTGCAGGTTTGCGGCTGGGGATGAAACGTGACGGTCGAGTCGCGGCATGCGACTAGGCGGAGAATGGGCAATGTCACACAGATTAGTAAACGCCTTAGTGCCAGCATATACTTCATGAGGACGCGGTGAAAGAGCAGAAGCAAAGTTTCGTTCGAGCAGTCTATCGTGGGGCAGGGATTTCCTATGCCAATCGGGGGGCTGAGAAAGTTAAGAGCAAGTTGGTTGGTCATTGCGTCTATGTGCGTCTATAGTCTATGGGATATCACTTCATATCGATCGCCCTTATTGCGATGCAAACCATACCATTAAGAAAGTCCACCGCTCCCCTATCACTGCCTAGAAGAAACTCGCTCAATCTTCCCCGCCTCAACATCCTTCCCGCTGAACTGCTCAACCTCGCCAACCTTCTCCACAGGTGTCTCCACGCCTATATTCGTCTCATTAAATGCATCCAACTCCTGAGCCTTGAACAAGTTCAAATAAACGGGAAACGAGTAAGCGACTAGGAATCCCGCAAGCGGCACGGCCATCGCAATGCGCGTATTCTTCGCATCAACAACCGCACCGAGCATGGGCGGGAACACCGCACCACCTGACACGGATGCCACCAGAAATGATGCGCCGCGCTTGGTATGGCGACCAAGGCCTCGTAGGGACAAGGTGAAGATAGTCGGGAAGATGCAGGATTCGAAGAAGAGGACCAAGCTGAGCATGGCGATCGCGGTATTGCCGTATGTTCCGATGGCGGCCGAAATGAAAATGACGATGCCGGTCATAAAGGCTAGGAGGATAAGTCGTGGACGGACGTATTTCATCAGCAGAGCGGCGGAGAATCGTCCGACGGCGAAGAGGGCCTGGGCGACGGCGAGCAGGTTCGCACCGTCAGCTGACGACAGAGACGGCTTGACCTCGACGCAGTAGTGAATAAAATATCCAGCGATCGCGACCTGGCTACCGACGTAGCAGAATTGGGCGATTGTGCCCCAGAATAAGGTATACTGGCGACTGAGCGGCTTATCCTGGTACCCGGTGCTGGCCGCAGCTTGCTCGCTTTGTTCGGCCATATCGGCATCCTGGTTATCTATTAGCCTCTGTCGCTGGATTTGAAAGAGGAATACTTACAGTCACTTCTGGAATCGGCGCGAAGAAGAACACGATGGCGAGCAGGAAGACAAAGCAAGCGATACCAAGATAGACCCACTGCACCGATTGTAGACTGTTCTTATCCTCGCCATGAATGCCTTTGAAGATGACGAAGGACGCGAGGACGCTGGTTTGAGTTAGCCGATGGCTAAAGGAGCAAGAGATTCCCTGGTCACTTACGGTGCTACAACGGATCCAATAGCTTGAAAGGCTTGAGCCAAGTTCAATCGAAGTTCAGACCACTTTGGCGGACCGCACGTGGCGATGAAAGGATTGGCAGACGTCTCGAGCGTTGACAGTCCAGAGCCGACCACGAACATTGAACCACAGAAGCCTCCGAATGACCTCTTCATGCCACTAGGCCAGAACAGCAGAGCGCCAATACCGTAGATCGTCAAGCCGGTAATGAAAGTCCAGCGGTATCCGAACTTCCTCACTATCCAGCCGGAGTAGGTAAGAGGACCGATGAAGTATGCTCCAAAGTAGGCACTATGCAATGTTAGCTGTGGTTTATGGTCGAAGGAATGTATTGGAGAAGGCTATGTTTAACTGAAGCGCACTCTCGCACTGCGCTCAGTCAATCCGGACTGATAGTACGTACCCTTGAAGTCCAGCAGCTTGAGCGGCAGATATATGCAACGTCTCTTGAAAATGCTTATTCAGCACATCAAGGAGCCCATACGCAAATCCCCACATGAAGAACAAGATCGTTACTAGCGAGACTGGGATGATAGACTGGCGGGTGGTGATCTCTCCAGCGCCTGTTACAGCGCGGTCATCCACACTTTGTCGTCGTCGAGCGTTTGCCACGGCTTCGGCAGCTGAAGGTCTGCGTCCCATGCTGTCAATGGAAGCCTGCCGTGGCGTGTCTTTTGCGCGGAAATTGAAGTTGATACCCATGATGGAGGGCGAGGCACGGAGAGAATGATGCGCTCAAAGAGTGAGGTCGGAACTCTCCAAGAGCTTTTGGTGAGGTCTTGGTGGAGAGCTGATATTGAGCTCGAGTTGCTGGTGATACTCTTTTAGAGGAAATCAGCAGTGGTTATATAGTCCTTGAATCGAATCTCCGAGCTGTGTTGATACCCATCCAGATGGTGATAGCCCCAAGCAGCCAATGAGATCCACCAGTAGAAGCCGCCCCTTGGCTGCATGCAAGTGCCATGCGGCATTTGACCGCGCCAAGTAGAGCGGTCCGACAACTGCTCCTCAGCGGGCTCTGGAGGCGGAATAAGTGCAGCCTAACCGCCCCTGCTGCTCAACAGTCCAGTGCTAGCAAAGCCTAGCTAGCAATAACTGGCTATCGTCTTTCGCCGCTGCAGAGAGCGGTCCGATTATCTTAGCGTTCGCGGAGAATCTGGACGATGCTGGTGCCTTGGCGCTAACCCCGCAGTGGGTGACAAGCAATGCGATGGCTAGGACGGCGTCCTTGGAGGTCGTATGGACCCGTTCGAGATGTGTGATGAAGTCGCGCGAGCCATACTGAAGTCGCGGGAGTAGTCTCCGCACTACATGTTCTCCAGCTCTTGACCTCGACGAGAAAACCTGACTACGGGCACGACAGCCGAAGCAGACTACCGAAGCGACACGAGATCCAGAGCATGCCTCAGATTCCTGGACGGAGTCTGAACCTAATTGGACATCGAAAGCTGGGCGACCGTGCTGTGCTCTGAACGGTAATCCGCTAGAATGCCGGCGGAATATTCTGGTGCATTAGCGTGTCTTGGACCGGCGAATTGACGCAATTGCTTGCAGAGCGCAGGTTCTAAGGAGGAACCCTGAATTCAGCGAAGTTATGCCGTGACTGACGGTTCGAGCGTCCTTCTAGCGCTTTTCTCGAAGAGCGGTCCCCTTGGCTGTCGAATAGAAATTGGAGAGATGCGGGCGAGCTGTGCTTGGTATACTTGGGATATGTTTTAGAACCTAAGGTTGAGCGTGCACAGACGCCGTGCGGGGAGAATATCGGGAGCCAAATGTCAAGTGCTGCAGCCAGCACGCGCCGGAGGCGATCACTCCACTGTAAACCTCCTTGAACCTCATGGTATCGGACGACAGTCCAAGGTGGATCTCGGCTTCCTTGAATGGGGAAGGTGGCGATAGTCCTGGCATGCCTGTAACTCGGTCATAATCCGTTGGATCATGGCGATATCGGCGTATCGTAGGGTTTCTTGTTTTCCCCGGAAAGCTGGCCACCGACCTTTCCCTTCGAAGAGGCATAATGTGCCGTCACTCCTGTATAGCATCTCGAGTCTCCTCTGTAAATGGAAGTGTATGCGAAGTTCATCTGATATTTCTTGCCAGCTCATCCATATACTCCTCAGCATCCCTCTCTTCAACACCCTCAGCCCCAATCCTCTTCCCAAACTCCCCCACAAACACTTTCCCTACCTCCTCCACACTCTTTCCCCTGAGCCCCTCCTTCTCAAAACTTGTCGTCCGCTTTCCCTCCAGCCCACAAGCTACAATCCTATCAAACCACCACAGATCCGTGCTAACGTTCAACCCCACTCCATGGCTCGTCACATTCCGTCGCATATGCACGCCAATCGCGGCAATCTTGTCGTCAGGTGTAGTCCACACGCCTGTATGCTCTGTGGTCATCGCTTTGATGCCGTACCGTGCGCACGTAGCTATGAGCGACTTTTCCAGCACGCAGACATAATCTCGCGGCGTGAGTCTATGCGTGCGCAAGTCGATGATAGGATATGCGACGAGTTGGCCCGGCCCATGGAACGTAGTCTGCCCGCCACGCATGGCTTCTACGAAGGCGGCGCGCCCATTGGCGCGGAGGTAGTCTTGCTGCTCTGCGGATACCGTTCCAATTTCTCTGCGCCCGCAGGTGTACACGGGATTGAATTCGGCGGTTATGATATGCGGCGGCGGAGCTGGGAGGTTGGATGGCGGTTTCGACGCGAGGAAGCGCGAGACGAGGGATTCTTGAAGGTGTGCAGCGGCGGCATAGGGGATGATAGAGGGGAAGTGGAGGTGGATGAGGGGCCGCATTGGGCGTGCTTGAAGGTTCTATCTGTACATCTTGCTTGTGATGGTTCTGAGGAGCTTTATGGGAGCGTTTCCGGTAGCTTCAGGCCAGATCGTCATATGGACCGTGCGTATCGATAAGTCGAAAAATTCAGGACGCGTCAAGGTGATCTCCAAATCCCGCGTCGTCTGCGAATCGTTTTCAGCAATTGATACGTCAGTTCTCTCTTCAGCAACTATGGCTAAGAAGCGAACTGCCGACGGCAAGGAGAAGCCTCAACAAGCAACAGCAACGGCCCGGAAACCGCCAAAACGCCCTCGAGATGCTCTCGACAGTTCGAACCAGGCCCCACCAGGCGGCCAACATCCAGCCACGTCAAGCAAAGCTTCAGAGACCCAGAATACGGAGGAGAGTGCACCAAATCGAAAGAAGAAGCAGAAGCGCGACACGACCGCTAAAGACGTCCCAAAAGCTCCGCAACCCCAACCCTCGAAGCCGCAACACCAGCCAGCGCGCAAGCAGAAACAGAAGCAGCCCCGCCTACCGGACAGTACGCTTCTCCCCTCCTTCTCGAACCGCCTGCCCGCCCACTAACTTCCTCCCAGACGCATCGATCTCCAAACGCCCGATCCACCACCCCGCCCCTCCCACACCATTCTCCTCCGCCTCCTCCCCCAAAACACTCTACATAACGACATCTTCGCCCTTCATCCCGACTGTAAAACGCATCCGACGCATACTGCAGGAAATCGCTCGTCGGGAAGCTCAATCCCTGTCCTCCCACCCTTCCAAGCCCGCCAACCGCCAGCCTCGCAAACCCCTACGAGCGAACGGCCGCTTGCAACCCGCCGACGTCGAGAAGGAAATCGTGGAAGCAAGTTATGAGCGGAGGGCGAGGGGCGTGGGAAGTGAAGAGGTGTTTGTGAAGGCGACGGGGAGGGCGATTGAGAGAGCACTGCAGGTTGGCGTGCATTTTCAGGGCGAGAATGACTGTAGGGTGAGGGTGGAGATGGGGAGTGTGCAGGCGATTGATGATATCGAGGTTAGAAGAGGGAAAGGAGGGGAGGAGGCGGAGAATGGAGAGGATGAGGGAAAAGGCGGAAAAGGGAAGAAGTGGAAGGATGAGGATATTCCAGAGACTCGGATTCGGACGCTGAGTTCGATTACCGTGGCTATTGGGCCAAAGTGATGGAGCAAGACCTTTGTGTGGAAGATCAATTGTTGCTGAGATACCCAAGTCACTTAAAGTAGCAATGGAAGTATGCCATTGCAGGTGGTAGATGGCAGATGCAAAAGCACCCTTGTGAAGAGATCAATATGTATCATTGAAGTGAAAAGCCTCGCTACCACTGGTCCCATCATACCACACATCCCATAAACGAGCGTCCAAACAAAGGAAAAGAGTAGTTGCCAAGCTGCAAAGAACGTAAGAGATGTCCCCGCATGTCCGCCGCATCCAAAACCGAACTAAGAAAAAGGAACCATCACAAGGCCGGGACCTAGAAAAAGAGGCCGACTGAAACAGGAATCAAGCGGATGAAACGCCATACTGCCAGAACGCCAGATGAACCGTTCGCAAGAAGAGAACCCTGCCGAGGCCCGAGCTGCAACGAAAAGTCGATCCATGTACAAAGCTGTTGCTTTTGACACCCAGAGAGAATGATGGGTGCTCAAGACGAGACCAAGGGAATAGTGACCAAGGAAAGGTTGTGAATGTATGTATAATGCGTAGGATGTGTCCTTCGTGTGTGCCGAACCATGTGTGCGGTCTTGATAGGCTGTGCTGGAGCTCGTCCCGTATTGTGGCGAGACCAGAGCCGCAGACGTCGTACAACATCGCCTCTCGAGTCCAAGACATACGTCGAAGATCGTCAAGATATGTGCGGGGAATGCCTGTAGACATTGAGGCAGGGTCGCGCCGTCACACCTCGAGCTAATGTCCCTAGAATCGCAACGCCGCCGATCCTGAAGAAGTTGCGCCTTGTCCAATCGCATGTGTTGCACCACATGTGCAGCGCCTCGTCTTGTCTTTCCACAGATGACCTCCCCAGAAGCGGCGGCGTCGCGCTGTGCAGTAGTAGAAGCGTATCCACTACCCACAAGTTCACCGCTCCACTCTAGGATAGTTGTTCAGCCAAGCCATGACAGCGACGCCTATTGCAACAACGGTTATGATGGATACCGCAGGAGCGCCATGTAGTGCTAGATCGTTCCGGTTTGGCCGCGTTGCTAGCGCATGCGATGTTTTGGCGGAGTCTCCCGCATCCTCGCTCTCGACGGGCCGCCCATTCTGAACACCCGCCCTACGTAACAGGGCGCCTGCGCCGTCTTCCACGTCTTTCTCATTGATGATTGTAATTTCACCTTCCTCAGCCTCCTCTTCATCTTCAGACCGCTCCACCTTGACTGAACCTGCTTCTCTCGCAAGTTCGCTATCGCTTCGACTTCGGCGCTTGGCCTCTTTGCTAGCCTTCTTCGCGTGGTCCTGTCGGATATTCTCAATCATTTCGGCTAGGCTCTTGCGATCAGCTTCCGCAGTCTCGGCACGTTCCCGATACCTCTCCATCTGCAGCTTCATCTCGTTCATCTCTGTCATCATCGATTCGAGTCTTTGCTGCAGGCGGGTGGTGGCGACGTCCGCCATGGTGGGTGAGGCGGAACCATTCGCCGTAGTGATCTCGTTCTGTTCCGGTTCGGGGACGAGTTCAGGTTTGTGGATGTCCCCATTAGCCGCTGTCGGTTCTGGTGCCTCTCGCTCGCGCTCAAGGCGGTTCGCACGTTCCTCTGCATCCTCTCTAGCGCGGCGTTCCTCGTTCAACAAAGCCTCTAGGTCGAGAAGACGTTTGCTCTGTGACTCGATTTCGTTCTTTGCGCTTTGCAATGCCTCAGTCAGGTTTGACATCTGAGCGTCAGACCGCACGGGTGAGCCGTTGCTCTTGGGCTGCACAGTATCCGACCTCTTGAGAGACGAATGCGCGTCGGGCTTCTCAGGTAATGGCTGCTGGGGCGGTGGTGCCGGCGGGTCAGAAAATCTCGCCTTCAAGTGCATGTCCTTGATGGGCGAGAACTTCACTGGGTTGACAGGCGACGCTTTTGTCGGCTCTTTCTTCGGGTCCGCGGAGAGGATGGCGCTGATGCAATGATGCGCCTGCTGGAGATCCTGAGATTGTTGTCTTGCAGCCTTGATCTCAGTCTAGAGTATGATTAGCATTGGGTTAAAGCTGCCTGTATTTCCACTCACGTTAAGCCTCTTGACAACTTGCTCCATGGTAATGGGCTGTAGCCAGAAATTAGGGTGCCTTGGTTGCTGCATGCCAGTCATGTTCTGACCCATGGCTCCTCCAGGACCTTGAAGCCGTTGACCGTTCATCGAACCCTGGCTCGGCGTGCGGCCGCGCATGTTTGCCAATTGCTGCTGGCCGCCGAGGTTTGACATTTGGGCCCCTTCCAGCTCGCCGAAGTTAAGGTCCATCATGTTATTGCCCGCATTGGAGTAGATGCCGGCGTGCTCGACGCGTGCGGCAACCTTGTGGTGCACAATCGTTTTCTGGTCCTCGCTAACGATATCGATACCAAGCTCTAGCATATCTTGCTCGCGCAGCTCATGGGGGTCCGAATCGCGATTCTCTTGAGACAGCCGTTGGCCGTTGACAAAGGTACCGTTCGACGACTTGACATCGCGAATCCATATCTTTCCATTCCGATCGGCCCATATTTCTGCGTGCTGTCTTGAGAGCACCTTTGAGTCGAAGTAACCGTTCAGCGGCGTGGGTATAGTCTTGTTGTTCGTCTGCCGGCCGATGCGGAGAACATCAGGGAAGAAGGGCACGGTGATGGTCTTTCGCTCGAAGGTGCCATTCATGGGTATGAGGTGTAATATTGCCTGGGCCTCTTGTGTTTGCGGCCGCGGGGCGCCATTCTGCTGCGACTGCGCCGCTCCATTCATCTGCGAAGGGACCATTGGGGAGGGCGAGTGTAGGGCGGTCATGGCGGAGGCTGCAGAGGGGCCTGAGCCTGCGGATGCGATGGACTGCGGTCGGGCGGTGGATATGCCGGAGACGGGCTCTGTTTTCGACGCGGGCCATAGCCCTCTTGGCGCCTTTTTCCGCGCTGCCCACGTCGACCCTTCACCTGCTGGCGCGGGGCCCACACCGTTTGCCTGTGAGGAAACGGTGGATATTGTGGAGGTGGCCGACGCCTGCGAAGAAAGGGACGAGGACGAGTTGGAGCGTTGGGCGCTTTTGCGGGGCATGAACATCCTGAAGTCGTCGGTGCTCATTGGGGGCGCGCCGTTCGGGACGCCGTTAGAGCCGCTCCATCTGTTCTGGAAATTCGGGGGAGGCGCGACGGCAGTCATTGGCAACGAGTGCGCAGCGCGGCTTCCTGGGGACGCTCGTGGGCGGGAGTGCTGAGGTCTTCCGACGCTTTTCTCTCACGCACCCCGTGTTCTTCGCTCCTAGCGCTGCGGCGGCGTGACGACCCCGGATTCTGGACAACAGCGGCAACAACACTGGGCCCGTCGCTCAGGCACTCATTAGCCACGGGACGGTCTAACGAGCGGGCTGCGGCGGCAGGGCGAGGGGTGCGAGTCGCGCGGAGGCAGACTGTCGTGTGCTTTTCGTGAGAGCCCGTGCGACGTCACGGCCTGGCAGGCGGAGGCGACAGCTGGAAATGACAGCAGTGCGGACCGAGAGTCGGGAGGAGATGGCGACAGGGGCCGCTTGCGGGCTGCTCGATGGACGGCGTGGACGGTGGGGAGGGTTCTGTCTGGTCTTCGAGGGAGCGGAGGAGGTCCAGGGCTTGTCCACTTCTCCACTGCTGCACGGCGCTGACTGGCGAGGCTAACGTGATGTGTGCTCGACAAAACGACCTCGACGCCACGACAGATACATAGGTATCGGCGCAGGGCACTAACCTATCAATATTTAACGGCAAGAGATATGCGGGAATGCTTTCCGCTCGCCACATTCCAGTGATAGGTGAGACGCCGTGGTAGTCACGTGATGCGCCGGTTAATCCCCGGGCCGCGAAGAGCTTCGCGGGTGGGACCATCCGAAGGCCGTCATCCGTCTTTTGCCAAACGCCGCGAGCTTCTAGGATTTTCTGCGCTCTAAAACAGGCGAATTCATCACCATGCCTGTGCCTGTGGGTTCTATGCCTGGCGGCCAGCATGGCCCCTCGACTCTTGACAAGCGTGAGCTGCTGCGTTCTCCATGCTGCTGGCTGGTCGCTAACATTATGCAGTGAAGATGGGCGGGATGATGGGTGGATGTAGGCCGCCCATGGATCGCAGATATATCTCGAAGGTGTACTGACGCATGCGATAGCTGTCGGCCTAATCATTGGTTTCATATTCGGTATGCTCTGCCTCGGCGCATACTGGGAGCTTGTCTGATGAAGCTAGGATTCACCAACATCATCCGTTACGGCCCCGGGCCTAACGGCATGCTGCGTACACTAGGACAGTACATGCTGGGCTCAGCAGCGACGTTCGGGTACGCCTCAATCTCGCCTTAAGATATCCAATAGCTGATCGCTCCTTCAACACAGCTTCTTCATGGCCATTGGCACCACAATCCGAACCGAAAGCTCCCTGATAGCTACCGAAGCTTTTGCGAAAGCTTACAGACGGCCGATGATTCTCCCACGACAGTACCAATACCCACGAGCGTCGCGTGAGGAGAAGAACTAGACCGCACGTTGGAAAAAACCGCCAAGCCCTGCGACACCAGCGACTGTACAATATCATCAGCATTTTCGGGCCTATCTGTAGATATGGGGGAATTGGGTTGCCCCAGCGACAATAGCAGAGGAATACTCTCGCTAGGCAGCTCTTGTAACATCATAGGAAGGACGAGGATTCGCCCTCCAACCCAAAACTGAAGCATTCACTACGTTGAGCCGCTCATGTCGCCTCTCCGTTCCTTTCACTGCACTTCATGTCCCGAGCGTGCGCAGCTCAATCGTATTGTCTCCGTTCTTCCCTTTTCACACAATACGAATCACTCTTTATGACGTTTCTGTGTCAACACTTTCTACACACGAACATGTCGCTCCATAACTCCTACTTCGCAAACCATTAACATCGACTCCTTGCATACCCTCGTATATTCCCTCCCCCACCACCTGGTTTCCCTCCCATTCGTACTACATTTCCGATCGAGCCCACTTCCCGCCGCCGACAATTAGCGGGCTATATCACAGCAGACGTAACTACGACAGACACCTGTCAGACCAATTCTACGTTCCAGCAAGCTCCTCCACCGCAAAAATGGAGCGAAACACCCCGGAGCCACGCAACATTGTGCCGCCAGGCACATTCCGCACGCAAGACACGAAGGGAAGGTATAAGACACAGAAGGCGATGGACTGGGCTTCGAGCACTCTTCCGACGAGTGGCGCCTGGCGCACGACTCAGAAAAGCAGCCAGCAGACGAAAACCGCTCATGCTAGAGCGGACAACAAGCGCAAGCGCGAAATCGATGACCACGGTGAAGTTCAAGCAAAACATCAGAAACTCGATGTCCCATCCGGACAGCTATCACGTGCCAATAAGGGCCGTTCCCAAGAGACGGAGGGCGCGGTTTCGCACCCTGGCATACAGATCACGATGGACAGTGGGAAGAAAGAGACCTCATCCAGCAATCTGCCGGGCAGCCAACTACCACAAGGCAAGGAGACGAAAGTCGGTCCCGCTGCAGCGAAGCTAGACCGTCTCGTCGGAAACCCCGATACCAATATTCAGAACGGACATAGCACCCCAAGCACCAGCCTATCCGGTTACAACTTCGACCTAGAGTCTGACCTGGACCTTGATGATATTTTTCCTCCCATGTCCAAACGCAAGACCAGACCCGCCACTATCCCGTCATCCTCCGCCCCACCCCACGAAACTCTTGAGTACCTCCTCACCAACCTGACGGAGATGGCCAAGTTCCTTGAAGCTCATGACGCCGACCGCAATCCTCCCCTCTCGCCTCAGCGTCTCGCTAAGACGATTCGCCGTTGGGAAGGCGAGCTCTGGTCCGCCATCCACAACATCGAAGCAGCAGAAGATCAGCGCATCATCGATATCAAGGAAGCCCTGGATCGTGACGAGAAGCGCGAGGCAGCGCACAACGCCGAGCTAGAGAAGCGAGAAGAGCTTTGGGCGACGCTGATGTCGAAGGAATCCCACGAATTGGAGAGTAAACTACGAGAGAAGGACGAGGAGTGGACGGGTAAAGTGGACGACATGACGCAGGCCACCGTCGACGAGGTGAGGAAGATGAGGGAAAGGTGGGAGAAAGAGACAGCGAAGCAAAAGGAGGCATACGAGAGTGAGATAGCAAAGCTGAAGAAAGAGCTAGAGCAGAAGACGTCTGAGAGGGACGAAGACAAGGCGACACCCGAGGGCATGATGAAGATGAACCATGAAGACACCGTCTACAAGATCAAGGAGGGTCACAAGCACGAGATCGAGAACATCAACCGAGAGCGCGAGGCAGAGCGCAAGGTGTTCAAGGACAAGGTCGACCGTCTCGCTGATGAAAATGCGAAGCTGCGCGAAACAGCTGCGGCGTACGTATCCGTCTCCCTTCACCCTCTCCTTTGCACCCACTAACATGTCTTTCTTTACAGCTCAGAGCCCGAGAGAAAAGAGAAGCAGGATATTGCAGAGCTGAAGCGCACCTACGAAGCCCAGATTGAGTTTCTCAAGAACAAAGCCGAGAGACTCGCCGATACGAATGCCGAGCTGAGGAAGGAGAATCGGTTGCGGAAGGTAGCACCGCCTAAGGTGCAGGAGAAGCCGCCCAAGCCCAAACGCAGTCGGGATGACAGGGACGAGGGAGCGTCTGAGCGGTATGAGACTAGGTCGTCGAAGCGGGCACGGGCCGAGACCGTGGTTGACTCAGAGGAGGGAGGCAACCATGGTCGCAGCCTTAGCTAGGCATAAGGGTGCGTTGGAGGAGGTCATCTGCAGGCAGATGAGATGAGATTGACAAGAGGCATATTTTTGCGGTTTAGGATGGCGTCCTGGTCAGAGTATCCTGTATAGCTCTGCCTACAGAGCTTCAGCACCTTGGGCACGCAGAGGCTAGTATATATCATAAGTCGGGGGGCCTCATAGATAGGTTCTACCTCACGAAGGATTTGAGCATCAGCTTCCCACCCCTCTCCCCCAATCCTGACAACCGCTAACCCACCACGCTCCCTCCCTCCTCAGCAACGTCCACACATTAACGCCCTTCTGCCTTTCCACGCCATTGAACTCCACCACAAACGGCGTCCACACAAACGCCATATCGCCGCACACCCGCGCCTCCACATCATATACTTTCTCATTCACATCCACCTCCGCCGGTATCTTCTCAATCACGCCCTTCAACCCCTCCACAAACTCCGGCCAAGTAACCTGGCGCAGCGGCTCGTTCGCCGCCGAATGCGTCATCCCGCCGCCCGGGAGGAGCGTGCTGGCGAGTTGTGTCCAGTTACGTGCGCGCATGTAGGCGAAGAAGGTGTTGATTGGGGCCATGAGGTCCGAAGTTATAGTAGAGGATATGGTCGGCGTAGCTCCGTCAGGCCTCCACTGCGTGTCCGCTATCCCCGCGATCTTCCACTCCCTCTCCTCGTCCTCCTCCGGTCCCGTCTTCAACAGCCCAAACAGATTGACGCCCCTGCTGACCGCCGCCCCGTCGACGACGTGCTCGTACCCCAGCCACACGGCCGCAATGTTCTCATAGACCCAGACTTCTGGGCCGGGCGCGCAGGGCTTTTCGGCGCTGGAAGATGCGCCGCTTGAGAAGAGGGTGGCGAGCTGGGCTTCGACGCGGGTTAGGGCGTCGCTGAGGCGGGATTGGAGGAGTGCGTCTGGGTGGGAGAGCGCGGCGAAGGAGGAGGGGAGGATGTAGGCGTGGGATGCTTGGAGGGAGGGGGAGTTGTTCGCGCCGATGGTGGAGAGGAAGGAGGTTACTGTTTTGAGGACGGCGGATTTTTCTGGGTCCATTGTTCGTGTCACTAATGCTCTTGTTTTCGAATTGGGCAGCCGATTACTACGTGATTGGTACTGTATGGCCCCTTGCAGTATATGGAGGAGTCGGCGTGGGGAGAAGGGCCAGAGAAGGCGACGTATCGTTTCTGCTATAACGGCTGAGCATAGGAACAACTGACTAGTATATATCCATATCCACTTTTAGCTTGTTGGGCCTGCGTCGTAGGTACGATTTGCAGTTCCGGTACCGTACCAATGGGGGTAGAAGAATCGAAATATGGATGCAGGATTCCTAATCATCTAAGCACTAACGAAGTTCTGTGATCTCGAACAGGGTATCGCGCCAGTGCGGCTCGCAAGACGGAGTGTAGTTTAATTCCGCAGTTTGGCAAATAGGATATTTAGGTAATGTATTGATTGGAGGAAGGGATGGTTTAGTCGCCGTACATAAACTGGTGGCTTGAATGCAGCGATCCTGTTGACCAGCAACACAGATGTCGACACCCTGAGGACACCCTCACTCTATATCGCTTCGCAGAACACAACCGAAGATGCTCAGTCCATGACGCGACGTCAAACTCTACCGCTCTATTTGCGGTCCAGCTGCACGGTGTGTCGCTCGGAATGTGGAAAAGACATGCTGACGGCATCTAGAGCTCTATCCGCCAACCATTTACGCCCCGTAAAAACCCCCTTAAAGGGTCCCAGCCTGGGATCTACTATTCCTACACAGAATACAGGTATATGTACAGTCTAAGTGCACGCTCCAATCCCCATATCTTACAATTCCTCCTCTTTAACCACATCCTCGCACCTCCCACAAAGCTCCCTCTCCTTCTCTCTCTGAAACCTCCAACACCTCGGACACTTTTCCAAATGCGGTCTATGCACCACCACAGTCCCGCCAAACGCGAAGTCTTCATCGATCTCGAACTCCTCCCGCTCCCACCAGTCCTTCGTCACCTCTTTATACTGCGTTGTATCCTCCATCTCTGCCGCCTCCATATCTGGATGAGGACCGTAGTATACTTCCTTGAACCCGCTCACGACGAACAAGCTGGCGAATTCGTTCTCGCGATCTTCGGGCTGGACCATATCCAGGGATCCGAAGTAGTTGGTTTCGTGGCGGAAGACGGTGACGGCGCATTCGAGTGAAGAGCCCATTTTCTTGGCGGCGCGCAGGCGCTCTTGCGCGGCTTTGATGGCGGTGCCGATGGTGTCGACGTTGTATTGGGCCATGTCTAGCTGGCCGGCCGTCTTCTTATCTGCGAGCGGGAGTGGAGACCAAGCGGCTCGGGCTGGGTGCACACTGCCTTCCTTCAACGCTTCTGGGACATGGTCCCAGACTTCTTCCACCAGGAGTGGGCATATGGGCGCCAGCATCTGCAGCAGTTCATAGAAGATGAGACCCAGCATGTTCTGCAGATGCTGGCACTCTGCCTTGTGTCCCGTGTAGATGCGGTCTTTGAGCGTCTCGAAGTAGAAGGCTGACAGGTCGATGGAGATGTATTTGTTGATCATGTTCACGCCCTTGAAGAACTCATACTTGGTGTAGTAACCGTGTACTTCTTGGCTCATTTGCGTGAGACGGTGTAGGGCGAGTTTGTCGGCGAGGAGTTTTAGGGAGGAGCGATCGGCAGAGAGCTCGGCGCGTACATTGTTGAACGAATCGAAGACTGGGGGGCACGAAGGGAGGGATAAGACGCCCAGGAGCCATTTGAAGGTAACCCGATATTTATGCAGCGCTTGGTTAACCGACATCAGGACCGGCTGACCAATAGTAACATCGCGAAGGTAGTCACTGCTAGCGACCCAGAGGCGCAGGGCATCGGATCCCATAGCATCGTAGGTGGGAGCTGTGTCTTTCGGCTGCTCCTGTTTAGCACCTTTCTGCTTCTTCCGCTTGATGGGGGGAAGCAGCTCGCCAGACGTGATCTGGGAGGGTGAGATAACATTCCCAAGACTCTTGCTCATCTTTCGACCCTCCGCATCGAGTGTGAAGCCGTGGGTGATGAGGGTCTTGTAGGGCGCTTTGACCTCGTCAGTCTCGAAGGACTGAGTAGCGACGTGAGTAAGGAGGGATGACTGGAACCATCCGCGGTGTTGGTCTGTCCCTTCTAGGTAGACGTCAGCGACGGGCTGATCTTCCTTTCCAGGAAGCAAAGTCCAGCTTGTCCCGCTGTCAAACCACACATCCATTGTGTCCTTGCCGCGGATGTAGGAGCCGGAGAGACGCTTTGGTACCCAAGCGGGATCATCTTGGGCATCTGTCCACCAGGCATTACTTCCCCGCTCCTTGATCACTTCGATGATGTGCTGGATAGTTTCAGAATCCATAATAGCCTCGTGGTTGCCTTCGTCGGTAACCCTATACAAAGCAGGGATGGGCACACCCCAAGCGCGTTGACGAGAGATGCACCATTGGCTACGGCCTTGGATGAAGCTCTCTAGACGATGCCGACCGGACTCCGGCATGAAGTTGACAGGTGCGATTGCCTTCATCGCGCCCTCTTTGATGCCATCCACATTGGCGAACCATTGTTCTGTCGCCCTCACGATGACAGGCTGCTTCGTTCTCCAGTCAATAGGGTACTTGTGGCGGTAGTGCTGTTTTCCTCGAAGCATATCTTGCTTCTCGAGATAATTTAGGATGGCGATACTGCCGGTCTTCTTCACATCTGATACCGGGAGGCCTTCCAGAAGTTCGGATCGCTCAGGGAAGGCATCCTTCGTAAACGCGCCCGCGTCGTCGATAGGCGCAAATGCTTGAAAGCCCAGAGCGCAACATACGTGGTAGTCGTCCATTCCGTGTCCCGGCGCAAGATGAACAAGGCCGGTTCCAGAAGAGTCCGTGACAAAGTCTGCGTGGATGACAGACTGCAAGCCATTTGCTTTCTGAAAAGGATTCTCATATTGCAGATTACCAGCCAGATCTGCTCCGCGCAGTCCCGACAGGACAATAGTGAGCTCGCGCTCGAGCACCTTCTGGTATTCCGCGAGCCGGGAGGCAGCCACAAGAGTCATCTCACCACCCTTCTCCGAATCTCGCACCACACAGTATTCCATATCCTTATGTACGGCGACGGCCTTGTTGGCGGGCAATGTCCACGGCGTGGTAGTCCAGATGACAATGTTCAGCGGTCCCGAAACCTTCGACAGAGCACCGTTCCGCAGCTCCTCCGAGACCTCGACCGGAAATCTCACGAAAGCCGCCAACGACCTATGATTCTCATCGTACTCGAGCTCGGCTTCCGCAAGCGCAGTCCGAGAAGAAGGCGACCAATACACCGGCTTGTTCTGGCGATAAATCAAGCCCTTCTCAAACATCTTCTTGAACACCTCCAACTGCCGAATCTCAAACTCCTTCTCCATAGTCTTATACGCACTATTCCAGTCTCCCATAACCGCCCACTCTTTGAACCCCCTCTTCTGCTCCTCAACCGTTCGCGCCGCCAATTCCCGCGCAGCCTCCCGCACGCTCACAGGATCCGTATCCGCATGGTCCTTTTTCTGCGCCTGCAGGGCCTTGATCTCAATGGGCAGGCCATGGCAGTCCCACCCCGGGATGTAGCTCACTTTCCTGCCCTGCCCGACTTGGAACCGACAGATGATGTCCTTGGTGATCTTGTTCAGTGCATGGCCAATGTGCAGCGGTCCGTTCGCGTACGGCGGTCCGTCATGCAGGGTAAAAGTCTCGGGCGGCTTCCCGTCGGCGTCGGCCTTGGAGCGCGAGTTCTGCTGCCATGCGTAGAGCTCATCGGTGCATCGGCGGAGGTATTCGGCGGTCGACGCCGGCGACGGGCGCGGTGGGAAGCTGGATTTGGGTAGTCGGAGCGTGGATGACCATGATGCGCGTAGGAGTCGCGTCGGGGCTACCATAGTAGCATCGTGGGCGGATTGGACGCCGGGAACGTCGGTGGTTGGAGACATTTTTCTCGAGCTCCGAGACGCCTCGGTTAGACTTGCCTGGATGGGTGGTGGCTTGGCAATGGGCGGAACAGTCAACGCTGGGTTGAAACCTCAGTTCCGGAGTTCGTGTAGGAACAAGATGGAGCGGAGTCGTTGCTGATGATGAATGCACAAGTGTCAGGGACAGTGGCTGTGCACGGCTTTCTTTCTTCCAAGTATGACTCTTCCAAGCGGTCGATAGCTGCTAGCAAACGGCTGTGAAGTACCTAGGTACGAAGATTGTCGTATTTTTTGAGTCACCGAACTAGGTGGCCGGTGCACCAACATCGATGACTCAAAAGATACGACAATCTTCGCAGACTGTGATTGGGGGCTCCAAGTGAAATGTGGAAGATTGCTTCTATCTGAAATGCTAACAAGCCGTTGTGAGCCGCCCATAACCACGACCAAACTTCGACCAAGGTATCGTGAAGTAAGATAAGGCACGCCCCAAACTCCGTCTATGCAATGCAAATGAAATCGCTAGTACACCGTGAGGGCGCTCACAGCACCGTTCTTCAATACCTCAAACACCATGCCCGGAAATCCAAACAGCTCCACGTTGCCAACATTGCTGTCCCCCTCAATTATGCCGGACCCCGCATTCGCGAACTTGCTCTTCCTTCCCGAGCCGTCTTCCCACCCGCCGAGGAGTTCGCAGCTGCTGCCAGGACTATCGCCCCAACCCCTATTCAGGGCCATGCCACGTTGCTGCAGACGCTCTTCCTCTTCGTTTTCGTAATAGGACTTGAAGACTTCCTTTAGTCGGCCGGAAATATCCGCAAAACGCATTTCTGAGTTAAGGGGGTCTCTGAAGTGTTCGGAGGGGACGTGCTCTAGCGACCACCTGCTTCGTCGATGGCGGTTGAACTGATACGACCCAGGAATGTTGCCGTGGAATATCACTTTCGTAGCGGCAAGGTGATTTAGCGGTTGAGCGCTGAGCTCACCACCCTCATGAAGCTCGGCCTCTTTCCTCTCAGCAGTTGGCGAAGACGGGGATATTTGAGTCGGCTGTGAGATGAGAATGTCGAATCCATGATGGTAATAGTTGTAAAAGTGCTCCGCAGCAGCAACCTCGCGCTCTTGAGCTTCTAGCGCCGCCTCATCATCATCTTCCCAATCGTCCTCATTGTCTGTGCCAATGACGGAGTTGTTATCAGAATCAGTCTCATCGGGCGTCAACCCGAGAGGCGAGTGGTCAGAAACGTCGCTCGCTCTCCGGTCTTTGTGGATGGATAGACGGTGGTCGTGCTTTCTATAAATGGAGTCTGGCGCGCCGAGTTCCATGATGAGGTCTTGAGGTGTGGTTTCGCTGAGGATAATCCAGAATGGCGGACTTGACCGTCTGACGAGCTCTATCCTTCCTTCGCCATGTATTCGTACCATTTCTATCTCATCTGGCCCTCCCTCCTTGCCTTTCCCCGCCAGGGACGCTGCCCTAGGGTTCGGTGGAGTCGCTGTGAAGAGCGTCCCGCGCGCTTTCTGCCAGGATTCGCCATTAAATACCGCCATAGACGTCGCGGGACCAGTTGCGGAAGAGGAGAGCAGAGAGATGAAATCCTTCTTCGGCGAGTACGCGGAGTGCTGAACTGGGAAATTGAAGGCTACGCCCGGATACGATAGGTTGTACACGCCCTTAGCGTTCGGGTCATCCTGGTTGTTCGGGGGAATGTACTCGCCGCCGTAGGTTGGCCCAAGGAGCTTGTCATAGATGTGCCTAAATTTGGGTCCTGATGGCCCCGATGATATGCCTCCGATGCCCTCTGCTGGCTTGAAGACCTCCACATCCTTATACACCAGCTTTGCCTTCAAAAAGTCCAAAACCTCTATCAGTCTTAATCGTTGGTCTGGTCCATCGAACTGTAGCCGCAGGCCATTGTCTGGAAGTACGACGTGTATTGGGGACGCGATCGGGCGGGAGTCGTCATGATAGAGCTGAAACCTGGGAAATGCCCGCACCTCTGCTTTTATAGCGGTCAAGGCTTCGTGCAATGAGCACCCGAGCGTCAAGAAGCCGACGCTCCTTCCGGGAACGAGCTGCATGGAGCCGTCCTCCATGGCGAAAGGAGAGGCCTTAGACTCCACCGGAATCTGGACGCCTATACCGTTCTGCGATCCGTAGCGTGGGAGTTGCTAGTAGCTCGAGGGTCTCCTCGTCAAGGCGTTGAATGCGATATCCTTCAAAGTGTTGCGCTCGGGTCGGAGGCTTCGTAGCTGGAATCGCTGCCTAGAATGATTATGGGAAGCCTGTGGTGCGGGGCGTGCGTGCTTTGTCCACGAGATCAAGGTGAGACAACGGGGCCAACAGGCGCAAGCTCCAGGCCGAGGCAACAGTGAGCGGCAGAGGGTGCGAGGATAGTAGTCCACCAGTTCGTATGCGCGCGGGCTAAAGAGCTGTTTGCGATGGTGGTGTTGAGGAATGAGGGGTGGTGGGGTCGCGGTCGCGATGCAGATGCAGATGGAGCTCCGGAAGGGGGAGTGGATTAGCGGCGCAAATGAGATGCCATTATGAACGAGGGGATCTATGAGAAATATAGGTGCTATCAGCAAAGCAGAGCGGAGCAGAGGAGCCGGAGCCGGGTCGCGGAGCTGTTGAGGTGTGAGCTGCTCGGCCTATCGGTTCCGACACGGAATCATGTCATGGGAGCTCCGACCAATCAGAGCGACTAGGGTCTTGTCTTGGCACATGCACTGACTGTTTGTTTACCATCGAGCGCCGCCGCAACACCAAAGCCATCGCTAACGACAGCTTCTCTTTGCACAACATACATACCCTTTCGCCATGTCCGGCCTTCCGCGACCTGGCGCGCCGCCGACAAAGCGCACAACCACATCAATGCGTCCTCCCTCAATGCGACCGACTTCTAGTCTTGCGCGAGGCCGTTCCGCTACGCCTGCGCACAACGGCCGCTCTTCTCGAGAAGAATCAGTAGCTTCCACAAGGACACGGGCCTCACCGCCGTCCGGAATCAAGCGGAAGCAGCGGGAATATGAGCATGACGGCGAGGAGACCAACATCAATGTTGTCGTCCGATGTCGCGGCCGCAACGACCGAGAAGTCAAGGAAAACAGCGGCGTTGTTGTTTCCACCGATGGAATCAAAGGGACGACGGTGCAGCTCTCCATGGGTCCCAATGCGCTGAGCAACAAGACCTATCAGTTCGACAAGGTCTTTTCGCCGGCCGCAGACCAGAACATGGTCTTTGACGAAGTGGTGTCTCCCATCTTGGACGAGGTAACATCTATTGAATTCAACAAATAGGCCAACATGACTGATGAGCGTGAAGGTCCTCGGTGGCTTCAACTGCACCATATTCGCCTACGGCCAGACCGGTACCGGGAAGACATATACCATGTCCGGCGACATCTCCAAAATTCTCCCTCTCCCAGATGCCGCAGGTATCATCCCGCGCGTTCTGGATGACCTTTTCAAGAAACTCGAGACGGAAGAGACCGAAAACTCTGTCAAATGCTCGTTCATAGAGCTGTACAACGAAGAGCTACGGGACCTGTTGTCTGCCGATGACACAGCCAAGCTAAAGATCTTTGACGACAATAACAAGAAAGGCCACAGCACTACGCTGGTCCAGGGTATGGAGGAATGCCATTTGAAGAGCGCCACACAAGGCATAGAGCTGCTGCGCACGGGCAGCCACAGGCGCCAGGTCGCTGCGACCAAGTGCAACGACCTCAGCTCTCGTAGTCATACCGTGTTCACAATCACAGTCTACATGAAGCGAACGACAGAAGATGGGCTGGAATACTTGAGAGCCGGAAAGCTTAACCTTGTCGATCTCGCGGGAAGTGAGAATATCCAACGCAGCGGTGCCGAAAACAAGCGCGCTGCTGAGGCCGGACTTATCAACAAGAGCTTGCTGACCCTCGGTCGCGTTATCAACGCGCTCGTGGAACGAAGCTTGCACATCCCATATCGCGAATCGAAACTGACTCGGCTGCTACAAGACTCCTTGGGTGGTCGGACGAAGACATGCATCATTGCCACGTTGTCACCAGCGAAGAGCAACCTGGAGGAGACGATTTCCACATTAGATTACGCTTTCCGCGCAAAGAACATCCGCAACAAGCCTCAGATGAACCAGCTCATGTCCAAGAAGACTCTACTGAGAGAGTTCACCGCGGAGATTGAAAAGCTCAAGAGCGAGTTGATCGCGACACGGCAGCGAAACGGCGTGTATCTCACCCAAGAGAATTACGAGGAGATCACCACCGTCAGCGAGTCCAGGCGGATCCTTAGTGAGGAACAGCGCGACAAGATCGAGACGATGGAAGTCAATCTCCGTAATAAGGTCGAGGAGCTTTTCAACTTGACTACCAACTTCCAGAACCTCAAGAAAGACAACGAGCAGACCAGGCTCAACCTAGAGGGTACCAAGAGCATCCTAGAGAAGACCGAAATCGTGTTGGCAAATACGCGCCAGAACCTTGCCGAAGAAACGGAGTTGCGGAAGGCTCACGAGAAGACTGAGGGTGAACTCGCCGGCATTGGATACAACATGATCTCTACGCTTGGGAAGACCACTTCGGACATTGATGGCCTGAGATCGAAGATTCGCCGCAAGTCGGACCTCCAGTCACAAAATCGGCAGCATTGGGTAGCGTCACAAGCCCAAGTCTCAGACACGACCCATCTCGTTGAGACCCGAATAGAGCAATTCCAGGCTCAACAGGAGCAAATGATGAGTAGTCTTTCCACGCGAATGCAGGCTTTCGTTACGGATGAACTTGATAAGCTTGGCGCTTCCCAGACTTTCTTACAAGGGAAGATGAAAGCTTTCGAGACCTCAGAGCAGGAAGTCAACGCCCAAACTGCCAAGGCTCGCGACGATATGAACGACGTTTTAGAGGAGATAAAATCCTTGAGGGATGATGTGAAGCAGAAAGTTGGAGCGGGGCTGAATGAACTCTCTGCTGCTGCTGAGAAGATTTCAGCCAATATAATCACCGAGTTGGACGCTTTCCACACTCAGGTAAGTCCCGATTGTCTCTGGCCTTTTCCTACAATCTATTAACTCAAAGCAGCTTCATTCCTCATATGCGTCCCTTGGGCGGGAGTTCAAGAACACATTTGACGAGCTTGTCAAGAATCTCAACGAGCAACAGGCCGAGAATGAGCGTCTGCATCAGCAGGTGCTCGATGCCAATGGAGCGCTTGTTCAAGCCAACAAAACGTCGCAGGGTCGACTCATCCAGGTCGTTGACGAGGAGAAGCAGAAGTCAGCAGAGGAGCGCCAGCAGCTTCTGGCACAAATCACTTCGCTCATCAACTCGACCGCTGAAGCCCAGGACAAGAGGATGAACGAGAAAGTGTCAAGCGTTTGCAAGGAGATTGGTGTTGCGAACGCGGCATTCGAGACCAAGCAGGGCACCTATAACGACGGTATCAACGCTTGGTCGGACAGATCCACCGAGATTTTGGCAGGCATTTCGAAGTCTCGCGATGGTGTCAAGTCAAGGATCAAATCAGACTTCGCAGTAAGTACCTCTCTCCCCGACAGTGCAGGATATGCTCTAATGATCGCCATACAGGCTGCGACTCAACATTCTACTTCGATCAAGAACACTACAACATCTGTGCATGCTACTACAGTCAATATTGTGGAAGCGCAGATGGAGCAAATGGATATGCAGCTACGCTCCCTCGATGATATTATGTCTCGCGTCCGCGCCCAGAACGATGCCCACCACACAGCTCATACATCCTCGCTGAGCGCCCTTTCGTCCACAGTTCAATCCTCCTACTCAAGTATTGGCGACCACTTATCGACATCCTTTGCTCGCGTGCAGTCGCTTGAATCCGATGTGTCCGCCCAGACAACCGCCCTCAAGGAGACTCTTCCCGCTCTTGCAGAAGACGCGTCTATTCGTGCCCCTCTCCACGAGCTTCGCGAGGCGATTGGAAGTCAGAATCTGATCGAGTACAACCCAACAGGGGAGACACCTCAGCGCGTTGCCTACACCATTCCAGAAAAGCTCCCACGGACTGAGGCTCATGAAGCTGTTCTCCCGCGCTTCCGCGACCGCCCGGCGTCCTCAGATGCAACCCGCAGCCCCTCCAAAGGTCTCGTCTTCAACGACGCTACGCAAACCACCTCGACGCTCGACGACTTTTTCTCCTCCACCATAGGCAAACCCAACTTCTCCCGCTCAATGAGCGCGCATGCTACCTCTACCATCCCTCTCGGTGCCTCTCTCCGCGAGCTAGACGTTAATGTCGTCTCTCAGGAGAACCACACCCAGCCTCTGCCCATCGTCTCCCGGTCCGACACCATGGTCATGGCTGGACCGCCGCTTAAGAAGCAGCGTGGCGAAGACGGGTCGAAGTTGCCGATGAAGAAGATGGGACGGAAAACGGTGGGTGGTGAGGGTAAAGCCGACAGAGAGAACTTGACTATTACGAGCTTCAGTTCGAGCATCGGGCCCGGGGTCTCTGGAGGGAGGAAACTGAGGAGCCATGGGAGTAATTAGGTTGGGTGGTGTTGCGTGCATGACGTTGTGCTAATGTACATTAGGCGGCAATGTCCTGTATGATTACCTGGTCGGGCGGTTCGGTGCGGGAAAGGAGAATATGAATGGCGTTGGGCGTTGACGGAGGGAGTAGACAGCGCCATATTTCCCCGGTCTATAGGAGTGTTGGACTGCTTGGGCGTTTTAGGATATCACAGGCTTGATCAGGGCTATGAGGTGTAATCGACGGGTTTTCTTGTTCTTCCAACTCTGCTTGTGTGCAATGCTCTATTCTGACTATGCTAAGGGAGTCGTGATTTGCTTCTAGGTACTATCGAAAGACTAAAGCCTCCAGGCGTCTCAGCCTGGCCTGATGCAGCCTTCTCTATTATGTCTCTGCGAGGTGTGGAACCAAACGCCTCCCTTATAGTCCTAACGCTCTAATGGCGACCACGAGCCTCCAATACGCCTTCCTTCTTCGTTCTCGTGGTCGTTCGTCGTTGAGGCAGCGGGGTCCCGCCTTACTCCGCACCATAGTAGATGCTAGAGGTGCAATCTGCGTGCGCCCGGGCGCGGAGAATGGATGGGATGGCGGTCGAAGGAAGGACGCATGCTAAGTGTCGATGCATCCGCCCCTTTTAAGGGCTTGTTTCCGTGGAGCTGGCTTCATATCTTCACAGGCTCCGCCCTTCATTTGAAGTCCTGCACCTCAGGACTCCTCGCACTTCTCCCGCCTCCTCTGGGCGTGTACGCCGGCGGCGGCATTTCTACCTCTCCACCACCACCACCCAGCGTTGTTCCACTTGGGTAGCTGCCGTAACAAGCTCCACTCTCACGCTCACGCTCGCGCTGCTTGATCTGCCTCATGGTAGCCTGCGCAGCCTGTCTCCTGAGCGCCTTGCGCTTCTGGTGGCGCACGACTAGGAGGGTGATGATGAGCAGTTTGAGGGCGATGACGACGAGGATGATGGTCAGGAGGATGGTGCGGTGCGTGGAGCAGGATGTGTCGTAGTAGGAGCAGGAGGACCAGCGGCGGTGGAGGGAGTGAAGAGTAGGGAGGTTGGAACGGCTGTGTGGGTTTGGGGTGGAGTTGGCGCCGGATGTCGTGCCCAGGCGGAGGAGGGAGTGGTAGAGCGGTGGCATTGTGATTGGTTGGTAGTAGACTTGGAAGGTGGAGATGAAGTCGCGTATCGGTGTATCGGTCGGAGGGGTGGATGCGATATAGACTATCGGGAAGCCGGCGCTCGATGTTGTGAATTGTTGGAAGTGCTGTAGAGTCCTTCAGACTCTGTATCGCGCCTGAAAATGAACAGCAAAATCAAAAACCGGACAACACGCCATCTTTAAGTCCTCCCCTTCTCGGCGCCTCGCGATCCTTATTTCTGCCTCACTGCCTTACTGTGCCGTCGAAGGATTGTGCTGAGTGCGCTGTGCAAAGGATGCGAGAACGCCCGTGACCTGTTTCGTGTTACACTGCCTCGCATTCAGCCTCGCCGCTTACCCTTTTCTTGCGCCTCAACGGCCCAATAATATTGCCCGACGATGTTGAGTAAGCGCTACCGGGCGAATGAAATAAAAAGGTTGGAGGCTTAGTAGTTTTTCCGGTGTTGGCAGGAGTGAGGTTATCTTAAGGCGGATCTGGATAGATAAGTGTACGCTGAGCCTTGTCGTTCGCCTAACGAGCGGTGGGAGATAGCTGCGCTTTTGCAAGCACATCTTTGAATTCAATCTTCGGACTTGCGAATTTGAAGAGAAAAGTTGTTAGACGGAGGCGATGTGGTGGAGGGTAATCGCGTTGCGACGGATGAGGTTTGGAGTGGGATTCATCGTGCGCAGGTCCGCAGCTTCAGGCGCTTACTTCACATGCGAACTTCGCCACGGGCGAGGATCGTGTTGACACGTGAAGGTATTCTGAGGCAACATCATGTTTCTAGGTTTTGCGGCGGAATGTGTTTTCGCCTTGAGCCCGGTGAAGAGACCTGCCCCCGGCGTCGGGATGCCGATCTGAATTCAGTGAAATTGTGTCAGAAGGAGTGAGGCAGTGCGCAACAGACATTCGATGAGGGAGATGTATGGAAGAACATCTGTAAAGTTGACCGGTGAGGAAGTGATAAGAGGAAGCCTTCCTCCGCTCGTTTGTAGCAAAGTTTTGAAAAGCATGCGGGCTCCTTTCTGCTAGCGCGATACACGATATGCGGTCGAGGAATATACTGTCCGGTCCTGCTGCAACGCCCCGCTGTGGCCTACAGACTATTCGCCGCTCCGTTTCTGCGTGGAGACGATCGTAGAAATTCAAAGTGGATCGGGTATAGCATCGTCCAGTACGACTAGTATGTCTGTAAGGCGGCCCCAGATCAGCAAAATCGGGGATACGTGTTGTGAACTGAAGCAAACACGGGCGGAGGAAGGGCCTCCGTGGCATATGAGATCCAGAAGTGTAAAGTTTCACCCTCGCAGGTTGCAATGAAGCCTCAGAGCGTACGCCGTATCCAGCTAGACTCAGGATCTCGCTCGTACCATGCCTGGAGGTGTGAGTACCCCGGGTGCCGCTCCATGTTGAAAAGCATTACGGCAAATGCCGTAAGAGCGCAAAAGTGCCGTGTTCGGCCAGGCCCAATCATAGCCGGTGCACCAAGATTAGATGCAGCTGCACCCAAGGGACCCCGGGTGACCCGTACAATCTTCTTGTTGCTGGCCGTACGCACGGGTGGATGTATCCGCTGCTCACTCCTTATGGCTTTCCACATGGCATTCCTATTCATTGCGCGCTTAACGAGGCAACTAGTGGTCTGCATATTAAGAGCGCCATCGATCGTCTCATGCTTCAGCGGTCTTCAGTCGTAGATGTAATATTCTGTCGTGGACATTCGGACCGCACCAATGCAGGTCTTGATAAGAAGCAAGGTGATTTCGCGGGAGCTAGATCGGCAAGGATCGCAGGCGAGGTAGGCATCGTGTTTAGTGTAGTAACGCCGATACGGGGCTAAGGAGCACTTTTTTGTTGACGAAAAAGCAATGTTCGGGTGGCAACACAGTCCCTCCAGCTCAGTTAGTATCAACATGCAGAGTGGAGGCTGAACTTACGCAGGATCAGGTCATTGCAAAATGAAGCATGGTCGACTAGTCTCGGTGCTAGCAAGTAACTACTCATGCAAAGGCCAATAGTCAACCACGAGCGGGTCGGCAGCGGAAATCTCGCTATCCGCCGATGTGATTAGCTCCTGCAAGCCATCATGTATGATCGTTCGGATTATTTCCGGTTGAGCAAGGCTTTACCCTGCTCCGAATGAGCCTACTCGTCCATCCCACGGTGCAAATGCTATTTGCGATCGTAAAAAGAAGCACCCATGTACGCTCCTAGCTGTGCCTATGCCGACCCTCAAATCGATGTTGCCGTCTGGGGAATTTGGCATGTGTTGACCTTAGTTGCTTAGGAATGGATATGTTCATGCAAGAATTATTGATCCCGTGCTCTCTTGCACCGTACTCAGAGTGATTCGAGGCTTTCTCTTGCATGATCTCATGTAGCTCTTGGGCGAGCTAGCAGCCGTGGCTGATCCTCTTGAGCATAAGTGACCCGCTGCCAAGTGCGGCACAGCAAACCAGGGTATCATCGTCCTTGGCCTTCTATTAGATGCATGATATGCTACGAACGATGCACACCATAACTCTAATGGCGGTAAGGCTCTAAGCGAAACTTTCGTGTTCCTTCGGAGCGTTTACACTCGCGCCTGAGGCGTGTGATAGCGTTTGCGACGTGGGCGCGCGCATAGAGTCCCAATCCGAAGATGATGCCCGATGCCGCCCGAGGCGATAGCCGAGGAGATTGGAGGAGAAGGCGCCCTAAATCACACTGCCGACAACCTTCAACTGCTTTTGAAGCATCGGCGGCGTCCAGTTCCCTACCAATCAGGGCAGTCCACGAGATCCAGAAGAGTGAAGCCTGCGGGGTCATGGAAGAATTGCGCTTGGTGCTCCATTGCAGTTTTCCAGAAGAGGCTCGCAGCTGGGTGCATAAGGAGCGTTGCTGGGGGCTGAGTGACGAGCATCGACTTCCAGGATGCGTCCTCGTTGAGGAGAATATCGGCCCAATCTGGGTCCGTCAGGGTTTCCTTTCGAAATCGTACATGAGCCACCATCTTCACGGGCCCCTCTCGGCTGCGATGCACCCCTATGACCCGGACGGTGAGCGAGTTAGAGAGCTTCGTCTCCAGGAACGGGTTCCACTTGAGTTGTTCCCACTGCGACAGCTCTGTCGAGAGCTGTGATGGCTCTAGAAATAGAGCGCGTCGAATAGGTTTCGAGGAAGCGACCATTTCCTTGAGACAATGGCACACGCGCTGACATAGCAAGAGGTCCTGAAGCGGAAGGAGCAGGAGAATGGCCTCTAACATTTCGTACGGAAGAGTGATCAGCGTGGGTGGTGCCACGCTCGTCCGACCAGAAGCTGCGGGCGATGGCATTCTGTGAATTGATAGAGGTAGCAGTTGGCGCATGGGGAGTTCGGTAGTCTCTTGGGGTGGCTGGCAGCCCTCATCTGAGCGCGTCGGCATGATTGCTAACTGGCGGCCGTTGGGGCGGGATTCTTCGTTTACGTAGCTGTAATTCAGGACCTCGGCTGATGGGGAACTTGCGCGCGACGGCATGGAAGATGCCTGGACGTAGGTGGGATGGTTGAGGATGAACGGATCACAGAAGGAGGCGACAGATAGTGCACGCCGCACGGGCCCTCTGCTATTCCTTTTCCAGCGTTGGCCTGAACAGCTCAACATCACACCTGGCAGGCCGCTATTTTTTTTAGAGGATAGGCGGAAATGGTCCCATTAATTCGTTTCATGTGAGCGAGCTCTTTGGTGGATACAAAGTTCTGTGGCACCACGATTTTGACTCGCCCTGCCCAGCGCATACAGCAAGGCTTTGCATCGCCCGACGTTCTCCGCAGCCCACTTCTCGCAGGTTACACCCCTCAGGACGCATTTCAGATGCGATTCGGTTGCGAGTAAAAGGTTGGTTGAAGACAGCACTTCTTATCGCCTATTGAGCGAGGTTACGGAGGGCTTGTGGGTCCCCACCGTCTAAGGCAGTGAGTCCGTGCCAATTCCGTCTTCCAGATCAGTATAACACCACGAGCACGAAAGGCTAATAATCAACCGGTTATTCCACTCTCTAGAGCTTCATGGGCTTGTAGTATGGATACGACATCGACTCCATCGCCCGCATCGTTCATCGCTATCCGATGATCGACAAGCTCCGGTTTACCGGAGGTGGTCTTCCACTGCTGAAACATAGGCACAGGACATGCTACCGTCACGCGAGTGAGATCCACCGCTGCTCCGTAAGCATCGATCAGGAGACAATAAAGTGGACTGCGGGTCCCGACTCTGCGGCCCTGGGACGGCGGTTCAGGATTGATCAACGACCAGGGCGTAGCCGAGTGGATGTGCTGGTCACATCGGCCGGGAAACTGCATACACGAGCGGGAAAGACGCGAAACTTCGGGGAATGAGGCGGGAGGCGGGAGAGACGGTCTGTTGGAACCTGCACTACCCAGCGGAAAGGTCCTGAGTCGGAAGTTCTGCTCAGCACATCCCACGCCAGGGGAAATCGAAGTTGCGCAAGGTATTATTTTTGGATACATTGGAGGGGGAAGCGGCAGTAGACACTTCGGGGATACCATGGCCTCCCATAGGTGTATCTTTATCTTGATCTTCATGTATCAGCGGTCGTGGAACGTAGAATTTCGTGTTCGTGATTGGTCCTCGTAGCGGCCGTAGACGGCTGAGAAGACCTCGATCGCGCGGTCCGTAATATGCCGCATACCGGCCCGAACAGCTCTTACGTTAGACGTGCCGCGTGTTGCGTTGTCCATGTTGATAGGCGAGGGCGATCCGCGGTCCCTGACTACCCCGGAAAGACCTCGGCCGACAGTTGTGGATATGTATGTTCGTGCAAGAATGATCCTCTCCAAGGACTCGTAAGCTTGCGCAAGGCGGGCCGTGACACCAGCGGCGTGTTATGAGAGGTTCTTCTCGCATCGGCGTACAGCCGTTACCACGGCTTGGTTTGTGTCGAGTGGGTCGGGGCCTGCGGGCGCTTGAAGTCGGAGTCGTCTTTGTCGAGGTCAGATACCCTTTGCGCGGGCTTGCCGACATCCGCTCGAGGAAATTCACCCAGTCCCTTCTCCAGCATCTGAAAAGTCTGAGCGTAGGTTTTCGATGGCACGGCGTCCGGGTCGACGAGAAGCGTAGCGGGGTCGATCGGGATAGTTCTTGGGATAGATGAGTCTTCCCCCGGTCTTTTTACGAAGTAGTCCCCTTCCTTCATGACGTTCGGGTTCTCAACCTGTTGGATTCCAGCGTCGGCAAACCTCTCCGCCAGTATTTTCCGAAGCACTCGCTCCACCTGTTCGTCACTGGGGCCTTGCCAGGCCTGACGTTGCTCGAGGTATTCGATACGCTCGGACAAAGCTCTGAACGATACTTCAGCTCGATGCATGAACTCGCGACTTCGAAGTGTCAGCGGTCGTTGAGTGTTGGCTGTATACGGACGCCTCATGACTTACTACCACTGGGCGATTTGCTCAAAGGAGTTATTGATTTGGTGGACTGCATAATTCCAAGACATTTTGGGTTCAGAAGATGGAATAGGCGGGAGCTAAAGAGGTTCGAAGACACTAAGGAAGTAGGGAGATAGAGTAGGGAAAGGTGGATAGAAAAGTTGGGAAGGAAAGCTCGAGCGTCCGACATGACTCCGCATGCTGGGCTGACAATGGTTGATAAAAGCACCCAAACGGGAGGCAAAGGCTCCGCCCATATGGTAGGGCTTTGGCATGCAGGTAAGTCGCCCAAAGCGTCACAAGCCGCCCGGTCGACGCTGTGGGAAGCCGGGGAGTCCAATTAGCGTGGGGCAGCGACGGTGCTCCGGTTTGGGGGTTCGGTGGGTAGGGCAGGGCAGGGAAGCGGCTGGCATCTCCTTGGGGCATGGCGGCGATGCCGTGGCTGCAAACGATAGTTGCAGGGGCCGGAGGAGGATGCGGGAACGGACCCAGGCGTGTGCAGCAATCAGAGCAGCAAGACAGACAGAATGCCACGGGCTGCCCCAGACCTCGGCCGGGGTGCGGTGCTGCTTACCAGCAGGACGACGCGCGAGGACGACGGCATTGCCTGGCGATGATGCAGCTGGTGGCTGCTTTGCCTCGCTTTGGTGGGGAGAGGATCAACGAATGGCTGATGCGAGAATGGGTGTCGGGAGCACATCGTTGAGGGAGCTGCAGGAGGCCGCCGGGGAAGAGCAGCCGTCCCAGCCGGTCGCTGTCTGTTTCTCTGCCGCCTGCGAGGGCAGTTGAGGTTTGGTGAAACGGCAGAGCACGAAACGAAGTGGGCCTCAGGATGGCGGCCGGGGGTTGGTGGGCTGGTGGGCTGTGACGCGAAGGCGCTTGGACGAGCCCATGCCCGATCGGCCTCGCCAACACCTCGTCAACAGCATCCGCCGGGAGGAGATCTGATGCGCCGCGCCGACAGGCCAGACTACAGCACGACTCCTCGTCAATCAGCAGCCCTGAGACACGCTCCGCAGGCTCTCGTGTGCACCTGGACCTGGTCGTTGCCGTGCCCAGGCCTCGCGCGTCCTCGCCGCCGGCTACCCGCGCAGCCTCAGCATTCCCGGTATCCGACGCCGTGCGGGAATCATTCCTATTGACTGCTGCCCCTATCGCTGTTGCACAGCACGGCCACCGCTCGTGGTCGGTGAGAACGACGCAGGCTCACGGCGCTAGACACAACGACCTCAAACACCTGTTCCGTGGACATCTAGCCCCCAGCCATTATCTAAGACTTGGCCCTCCTGACGTGCATCGCTCAGCGACTCTGCCAGGAGCGTTGCGTCTGCAGGAAGCGGCACCCCTCTCGCAGCCCTCCATCGCCCTCGCCCAGGCACGGCCTCGATGTCATGCAGACCATGCCGCAGCTCGACCGAACGGGCTGCGGTGACTCCATGATGCGGCAGTGACAGCACACCTGGGCACGTACTTTGGGAAATGCATCATCAAAATGGCACTGGGGGCGTCAATCCGCACGAGCCCTCGCTGTCGAGCCGTTGCCAGCAGCTGAAATTTTTGCCATTGGCCAATAGCAGGCGGCATCTGCAAGCAAGCATTGCCTTCCCCTGCATGGCCCACGAGCTAATCAAGCTCACAGCGCCCACCAAGGCTGCCTGCTTTTGCGCGCAACCAAGCTGCCGAAAACTGGCATATTGAGGACCATGAGCCGCTTGCTCATGCACGTTCATGCAGCATCAGCCCACCACTCAGGGAACGACACATGATTCTCCGCCGCTGCGGCCTGTTCGAAAAGGGAAGCGGAGCATCAATACACGACTCTGACTCCTCAATAGATGGGCCATTACGAAGGGAGACTGGAGCATATCTCCTCCCGCTCGCCTCCCGCTGCTGTCCCGCTGCGAATGTTAATATATCCTGGCAACCGTCAGCCAAGCTAAAGATCACCTTCTATCACCGACATCGCTCCAGCCACTATTGGCCAACCTGCCGAGGCCCTATTCCAAGCCAATGCATTGCCCCCCCTATATCGCCATATGTGGCACCACAAATGGGTTTTGCTCCTCCTACGAAGAACGGATGTGCAATGGCTAAGAGCCGCTGGCAAATTGACGGTGTATCGTGGCGAATTCTACGCATGAGATCCAAGTACACAGACCTACGCCTGAGGCTGGCTATACATTCTCTAGGTTGACTAATCGCGACGGTAGAACATCCACAGTATGCTTCTTTACGGCGTTATTCCCCCCAAAGTCATTATCGCCGGCCTTGAAACAAAGCATGCTCCAGATCATCAGCGGTAGAGCGACTCCGATAATAGAAACGGCGAGCCACGCAAAGCCCTTCCGGACTTCACCGCTGTGGAGACCTATCATCTTCCGGAAACCGAATCGCCATTATTCCCTCAACAGGACAGGGGACACAGCCTCACTGACGACAGATTCGGTGCAAACGAAGGCTCCAGCGGCAGTTCACACGCTAGCTGCCCAACCCGGATGCCCGAGTTGGCGAAGTACCGTGGGCCTTCTCCATCTGTCAATTTCTTTGATCTACTGCTGATTCTGGAGGATAGGTTTGCGAGATTGACGTGAGACATCACCATCTGTACTGTCAAAGTGCCCGTACGCTCGCAGTTATGGCTGCCCAAACCCCACAGTCCGCAGGAGAGCGAGCAAACGGTGCTTCATCGCTGTGACTGCAACGGGCTCATTCGTCACTATACTTTCTGTGATCCAACGGCTACAAGTCGGAAAACGGCTACCAGAAGTTCGGGGGTTGTTTCCACAGTCTGCGCTCCGTATACGTATGCCGTACTTAGCGACGCATACGGGCTTGCTTTCGAAATTAAGAACAAGGAATATCGGTTAAGATGCCATGCTGCAGCCCGCTTGAAGTAGAGCCGCGCAATATTCTTCAACGCGGAGCACTGCAAGGCTTCAAACACTATTCTGGTTGGTAGTCCAACTCCTCCGGTGGCTGCGCTGAGGGGACCCGTCACCGCCATCTCGTCATGATGACCGAAGACACAGCTGAAGAGCGGGGTGTTTGCGTTGTCGGATCACGATCTCTCTGTTGAGGATCGAAGATGTGTTCCTGCTTGAGCTATCTTAGCTGACAGTGATATAGGTGACGCGGCGATATCGGGTTGAACGGGGGTATCGCGGTGAGCAGAACATAGAACCGCGTTTGCCGCGCGGAGGAGACGACACTGTCTGCTGGGTTTTCTCTCCGGTATCCCTGAAGACCAGATTGCCACGACGGAGCCTAGCGGGATTGAAACGGTAGCTTCCCGCCTCCGTCGCCTTGTGTCAGCGGCCGTGCATTCCACGTGGTGGCCGGGCCGAACGCTAGGCGAAGATGGCGAGGTCTAAGGACTGGTGCTTGATCCGACGTCTTCTCGCCTCTCGTCCGACGTCAGGACTGACTTCAAACGCATCCGAGTCCGCGCTCATGAAGAAACGCTCGGGGAGTCGTGGCTGAGTTTGAGCGCTGCCCCGAGCTGCCAGTGTCAACCTTAATAGTCGAGTTATTATCGTACCTGGTCTCGCTATACCATGCCAGATGCCCAACCAAAGGCCCCAAGCTACTCGCTTCACACATCTCGCGAATCCTACAGTTTCAGTCCGATTTTGAGTCGCTCTCGGAAACACAGCGCCGTGGTCGGAAAGCGCAAGAGCTCAGGCTGCTGATCATCTCCGAGGTTCCGATTAGCTCGCGTGTGCCCGTTTGGAGAACATCCGGTTAGCAACTTCAGGCCTACCAGTCCGCTGGGTCCACAAAGCAGAACCGTGAGTCATGGAACTCATATCACGCCGGCCGGGACATGTTATTGCGCCTCACTTTTCAGGTACAGCACACCTTTGGGGAGGAATTGGGCATCCAAGGGGCAGCATCCGTGCGCAGGCGGAGCGGCAGCGGCGCGTCCCTAGGTAATCGCGCTATCACGCTTCCACGTGGGTCCGCCAGAGCATCAACGTCAGTTCGTCCTGCGCCTGTATCAGTCTTTCGACCAATCCCCGAGGGACCCTACTCGGGCTTACGACGCCCCTTTGACCGCTCATCAAGATTTCGTCCGCCTCCGCAAAATGATGGTCACTGCATCGCCGATTGAGGTAGTTCGCTTACAGAATAGTGGTCTGATTTTCACGACTGTTGATAGCCCTCAGTGACCATGCGCAAACCACAGGTTCCAGCAGAATGGGTCCTTCGCTGCCCAATAGCCGTTTGCTGCAGCATCGGCGCGAAACGAGAGGCTCGGGCGCTTTCCTCCGCTAAGCAGGCTTCCTTTCTCCGCATCTCTCAGCCTGCAGCGGCGCAGTCGAACAACTCCAATCGAAAAAAACAGCAGACTACCCTTGTATATGCTACAGGGATCTCTCTCCGGACATCCTCTCCGGACATATCCCACCTGGGCATGCGACACTTTCCCTTTTACCACCATGCATGCGAACCCGACCCCCATGATTCCAACCGCGTCGCCGCAGGCCACCGCTTCTGGCAAACAACCCAGCATTCTGGTCGACAGCAGGGTCCACACTTCCCGTTTTGTGGGGGTGCTTTCCGGCTGGCACAAAGTGCCGAAGCGAATGGGCAGCTCCCGGATCGCGAGTCATGTCTCAAACGACTGCGCCGGCTGGGGCGCGTGCCTGGCGTGAGCCAATCACGATTGCGGGAGCTCGGCCGAGACGCCTTGCAGAGGCAGGCGGCTCTGGGAGTGGAAAGGCAGAGCATGTTGCAATCCTTTGAAGCCATGGCGAGTTCTCCGACCGCGCGTCCTACCGCTGCTACCAGTACTTCCTACACCTTTCATCACTGGCACTATCCCAGCTCAAAGCAATCCTTCCGGGTTTTGCCTATTCGTATTGATTTCAACTTGCAGCAGACGTCCACACCGCAGATCTTCACCAATACGCCCTTTTCCCTCTTGCTCTCTTTAGTCACAGCAGGAAGGAGAACAATTCAGTCGCGGGCTATTCAACACAAAGAGTATATACATTCGGTATGGACCAGACAAATATGTACAACTGCTTCGACCCGAAGAAAATATATACAAATAAACGGCTAATCCGCCACTTAACAGGATACCCCTAACGTCTACCGAAACAGCTCAATAGCATCCAAAATGACATTCGGCTGCAGATACATATCCCCGCTACTCCCACTCGCCACATTGACCGTAATAGTATTGCTCCCACTTACCAGCGTCCCCGCGGGAATCGAATAGTCGTAGACTTCTCCGAATCCACGATAGGCACCGCGCGTCACGCCTCTGCTGTCAATCTTCGTCGGCGCCGCGGGCGTCGCCGCGTTGTAGCTGTTGATAGTCGCCGAGGGACGCCCGCCAGCGAAAGAGAGGGTTGTGCCGATGCGCAGGGTGGCGGCGCCGGAGGCTTGCGCGGATGTGAGTGTGAATTTGATGGTGAGCGGCGTGTTCACGCTCTTGAAGAGCGCCATGGGGACGTCGGTGAGCGCGGACGAGCCGACGGTGTAGGTCAGCGGGCCCCACGAGGACATGCGCGAATCCGAGGGATGCATGCGGAGCTGATTGTCTGCGTTGCGGAAGCCGGTAGGCTGGCCGTCCCAGTCGCCGATCTGCCAGAGCGTGGTCCGCGACTGCGTGCTCGCTGCGATGTTCGCCGTTGTTGTCTGCCCTGCGCTGACGGTCACAGAGGAAGACGCTACTTTCAACTCGCCCTGGTACAGGACCTGCGTGTATGTTCCGGGCTTCATGGGCGGGGACGTGAATTTGCCGCTGCTGTCCGCGTAGACCCAGTACTGCCAGTTGCTGTTGTACCAATGGAGCACCTTCTGGAAGCTGGATGAAATTCCAGTCGCTGTTCCCGTAACGGTCCCCCGGCCGGACGGTGCAACATACCCGCTGATACCCAGATCCGCAAAGAACGTCGTATCCATGCTCTTCCCAGTCGGCACACCCGACCGCGAGAAAGCCAGCGCATAGGGACCGTGCAGACCCATCCTATAACTCTCCGTCTGCACATGTCCCGAATTCATGTAGAAGTAAAGATTCGTCGCATCCCCCGCATTATTCGAGTTAATATCCCTGAAGAACGGGCCACCCGAGGACCCCTCGTAGGAGTACGAATTGAGCAAGATGCAGGCGTGGATGGCGTCGCTGTCGCGATACACGCAGTGCACGTAATCGTCGATGAAGCGCTCGCTGGAGTAGAATTTAGATCTTGTCTGGCCGCTCACGACGAAGACGTCGGAGCCTTCGACCGTGGAAGAGGAACCTGCGGTGGTGGAGACGACGCCGAAGGGGTATTCCAGGGGAAGCTTGGAGGACTGGAGACGAGCGATGAAGCGGAGTTCGCCGACGCTGGGCTCGGATTGCGTGTTCGTGGCCATGTAGATTGTAGAGTCGCCGGAGCGGATGACGATGTAGTGGGTTAGTGTGGAGGTTGTGCAGGTGATTTTCGCATATTGGTCTGGGCGATCCAGTTAGTATTCCTAGCTGAAGGTGTACAGGTTGGTCTTACTGTTCACGATCTGGCTCGACACCGTCGCAGTGCCGAGACCAGACGAGAGATGCGAATACTGGGACTGATACTGGAACTCCTCGCCCCGGTACAAAATCGACGTGATATCACAAGACCCCGAATTGACGGTGACCTTCAGCCCGTTGTCCGAGCCCGCATCAACGACGATATTGTTGCCAGAAGTAGTGATACCGAAAGCGGCCAGGGCCGACGAAGAGAAGGCGAACGTCGCCAGCAACACGCTTTGAAGAAACATTGCGAAATCGCGACTGGCAGCAGCAGTCAATTCACAACTTGCGATATCTCCTGGCCGCCATGGTATAATATACCATGGTTGGTGTTTAGATTCACTCAGGACGCTCGGCGCCAGTTCCACCGAAACACATCATCTCCGCGCCGACCACCTGGTGCGCACATGGCATTGACAGCGACGGCCGATTTTATTCTTCCTTTCCGACATCTCGACCGGCGCTCCGGCCTGGAAAATTCCATCTGGACCAGGAAACGCATATGAAAGCGGAAGCAAACCCGGTAGAAGTACATTAAGGTCTTGCGCGTCCAGGAACGCGATGCGCCCTTCCCCTCTTTCTCATTCAATGTGCACATGCGGGACTGAGCTGATTCTTCCGTGGACGAACACGCCAGAATCCGGGGTGCATGGTTTTGTGAAACGGTAGTGGCGGAAGAACAGCCTTCTCGAAGGTTAGGCGCGATTGGAGCACTATGGAGGGCTTGGCTGTCGTTCTTGGCGGGAATAGTGAGCTCCTGGCCATATAAAGATGTTCTATTCTCGGTTAGGCCTTGGCGAGAAGGGAAGTACAATATGTATGTTTCGGAGGGAGTTAACACGAAGAGAGAGGAGGGAAGGTAGGAAAGGAGACAGGATAGAAGGAAGAACGGCGTATAATATAGATAGAGAAGAGTGAACTGTGATTAAACACTAGAGCCAGCACACCTTTTCGCCCTTTAAGTGCATTCTCTGCCCAGACAACGCACTCATTCTAGTCGTCGTCGCACCCAGGACACTCGTTCCTGTATAACGGATTGACTTCGACCTCTCGGCACCAAAGACCCCATGGTCGCGCCACGGTAGCTTGGTTGGCCTCCCAGGCGTCATGCGCCTCCTTATCGCTCAGATACTTCACATCACCTTCTGCCTTGACCTTTGCAGACTTGATCTTTCCACCGCCTTCCACGTCGACCTTACCCTCGACTGTATGTCCGAAATAGGCGTTCCGTATCGTCAACGCCGTAGTCTGCGCTTTCGCAGCCTGCTTCGTATAGATGGCCTGATAAACCGCTTCCTCGATGCCGTGTGCCAGAGTTGTGAAGCCATGACTCTGCATCAGGACCACGGCGTTGTTGGGCTCCTTGTCTGGCTCCTGGGAGCCACCCATCTGCGAAGGCAGAGCCAAGCGGACCTTGGAGTATAGAAAGCCAGCTGAGGTGGCGGGTTTGAAGGTTGCAGCGAGAGAGGCGCCGAGCTGAGCGTTACGGACAAGCAGGTCGTGCTTCGAGCCACTAGGGTAGGCCGAGGAGGCATCCCATACAGGAACGTTTGTGCCTATCGAATTGACGAGTCAGGGGCCATGACGGGGCATACTGAGGCAAAATGGCTCACCTAAGAACCCTGCCATATGAGTGGTGGCCTTCAACGGTACACCGCTGATGCAGTACGGAAGAACATCGCTACAATGGCTGTGCACTACGCTGTTGACAGCCGGAAACTTCTTGTATATCTCGCTGTGGATATGCCGCTCGAGATAGCCTGGCTTTGCGTTCTTCTCTACTTCGCTTGCGTCGTCGACATTGTATTCGATTAGGTCATCGGGAGAGCTGACCAGCGCGGGCGAGATACTGCATGTCATCCAAAACGTCGCAGGGTTGTCAGGGCTGCGCACTGAGATATGACCGTAGGCGTCGAGAATGCCGTGGTAATGGAGGATGTGGGAGGCGGTGACGAGACCTTTGAACAGGTCCTCAAGGCCCACCTTTTCGCGCTTGGGAAAGTATCCGGCCGACATTTTGTGAGTGCGAGTCAGGAAACGCAGACATGATGGGCAAGACTAGTGACGAGGTGGTTGTGGTGGTTGCCAGTGATGTTCGATGACGTGCGACAGGGCGGGAGCTACCCGGATCTGCGCTAGCCAATCTTGGAGAGAAGATCTCTTGACGTTCAACCTCCTATTATCTTTCCACCTCCACCCTCGAGCTGTTTCGACCAACCAACTTCATTACGAAGGTCGCTAGGAAGCGAATCCCGTGTCACTATGTCGCTTCCCGGAATACACAATCCAGATCGTGGATAGGAGGAGACGCTATCTGCCCTTCGACTACTAGTTCATTCCATCAGTATAATCCCCAGACGTACATCCGGCAGGAAACGCGCTCTCAATCCCACCGGAAAAGCACGACACCAAGAAACAGCGCTACACGCTCATTATACCACCTAGCGAAGAGATTCGTCATTTCTGGGCTTTATTCGCTTGAAGGGCAGTGGCAGCTTGGAACGAAGAGCTATACTCCGAAGGAATATTTGCCAATACACCGCGCTTTCAGTCTTTACAGCCGTGATTGCATGGTATCGTTAGCGTCTGTACGTTTAACCGTCGCTGTCCTCCACATCACATTCATGTTAGTTCCCAACCTGGGAGCAGGTCCGAAGCACTTGCAGACGACGGGCATGCTATACTTGGCTGCCATGTGCTGTCATCCAACAGAGTCTTACCGGTTACCCTCGGCTCCTTGGCGCATACCATATGCTAGCCCCAGCGGCCCTCATCCAGTGCAGCATATGCAAAGCGGTATCACGAATCTTGAAAGAAATCTTCTCTTATTGGCCACTCACTAGGGCAGCAATGAACACCACCTCCCAGAGCCGTCTGTCTCCCGGATTCGCTTCCATCTCATGAGCACCTCGAAGCGGTCCTAGGTCGCTTCTCATATGGCCCTACGCGAGGCGTCTTTCCGTCACGACTCGTATTATCACCCAAATTGATGGCCCTCGCGTGCGCAGAGGATGAACAACCGAGCAGTTTGCCACAATGGCTATGTGATGAGCCTGCTGGAACTGTCTAGTCTCGTTCTGGCCACCCGTTGCCTCCCTCGAATCGAACTTTCCTCTCGTTTTCGGATTATCGTCGCTCTTGAGTCTCTCAGTCCCTTAGACGAGCTGTTACTCCCATAGGGTGTTCCCCCCATCATGCTTCTCGATCAACAGGCACTCTACTATCTGGGACAGTTTTGACGGATGGACGATCCGTCCAAACCTCGATCTATTTTTGTCACAGCCCAGCATGTGTGAGCCTGGTATCTTCACTTGTGCTACGATGCACGACCTCATGACGGCGGTCAGCCGTACGCGCTGTCTACAGATCAAGATCTCCCAAGCTCCGCACCCCACATGAGAGAATGTGGGGACGCAGCCAGAGCGGCCATATTGGTCATCCCCCTGGTATAAAAGCAGATTTTGCTACCCTCTGATTCGGTGTGACCTCCAGCCTCATATATGGCGGTCTTGTCAATTAAGAGGGCCCAGGATATGGTCCGGAATGTTAACGTCTGTTCAAGCTGCAATGCCGCCTAGGCGGCGCACTAGCAGTCGCTTAGCTCCAACTCAATCTGCACCTCCCTTCTCATGGAGCTGGGATTGTTACATTTTTCATGTTCCTGATGTATCTTGTGGAGCATGTGGCAGGCCTTCGGCTATTTATGCCCTCGTCAAATAATTACTCCATCTATTCTACACTCTACACACTATGCGGATAAATACGATGACCTCTCACAGCCCACACATTCACTATTACGCGACTGCCCCTGCTCTTCCAGAAAAGGTCGCCTTGCCACGGCGGCTTGCCCGAATACTGCACCACCAAGATTCCGAAGCCAACGCTTGCTTCGTACGCAATCAAAGACTTCCGCTTCTACACCATGCTACGAACCCGCTTGCATGCCGCCACGAAGCCTCCTTCCAGACCGGGTTGCCATGGATAGTCACGCGTGGACCTGGCCTCGACCCGGACGCTGCTCTAGTATATCGTGCACATGCGCTTGTATATCGCGGTCTACTCTTGCCCCCGACCCGGAATAGAGCAGGATAATGACAGATAGCCCCTTGGCAGCCTCAGCGTACTAATAGATTTATCTTGCCGCACCCAGAGATCCGCCAGTGACACGATTACTCCTCCTTCCAGTCTTCCAAGGACCGTTGATATACGGAGTTCCTCTTACGTCGCCGATTGATTACAATTTACCGCCCAGCTTTCTTAGGGTACCACACGCAAGATGCGCTGCACGTTCGGACTTGCGCTTTTGGCCGGCCTTGGTGAGTACATCAGCTTACCCCCGCGGGAAGGCATAGCTAATGCGTTTTCTAGCGCTGGGCCGACCAGCGCCTGAGCCAGCCAGCCAGGCAGATAGCGCTATCGCATACGTCGACCAGGAGACTGGTTTCACCTTCTCCGAGTTCAAGGCGGCATACTCCCTCACGCAAAACATCGTCTACCGCATTGCTCTGCCCAGTAACGCCCCCTCGGGAAACTACAACGCCGTTGTTCAGGTCGTTGCTCCGAATCAGGTCGGATGGACTGGTCTTGCCTGGGGCGGCAACATGATCAGGAACCCCCTCACCGTTGCGTATCCCAGCGGCAGCAAAGTAACCGTCTCTTCTCGATGGGCAACGTAAGTCACTACCACCCGACATCCTCGTACTCAAAACGCTAAATTCTGAACCAGTGGTCACTCAACCCCTGCATCGTACACTGGCGCTACCTACACTCTCCTCAGCAAGGGCAACCGCGTCAACGGCACGCACTGGCAGTACTCGGCCAAGTGCGTCGGATGCACGACCTGGACGGGCGCCTCCGGCAGCCAGAGGATCAACCCGACCGGTAGCGCGCGCCTTGCTTTTGCCTACTCGCCCAACAAGCCGTCCTCGCCCTCGTCCAACACTTCCACCATCCCCGTACACGACGTCGCCAACTACTGGAGCCACGACTTTTCCGTCGGCCTCAACTCCAACTTCGACGCGCTGCTCGCGCAAAATGGGGCTGCTTAGACGTTTGAGTGGGGGAAATGGTAAACGGCCTTTTTTTGCTGTTGAGTGCAAATGAAAGGGAATGGTAGTGGGCTCCTCTGTAGACTTTCGTTTCTATGAATATATTTCATGCATCGCACGCATTTTCATGAAGTACATTGCGATTCTCTGGGGTTTTCTCGCTCTCGTACATGTATGTAGCATGGTCACTCTGTACTCGGAAGTTGTACTCTCACTAAGTAGATAATTACGAATGTTGCGAGAGTTTTCACACTCTTGTCGCATGTGGAAAGCACCTCCAGCTGTGTGGGATAAGCTAGCAATTGGAAAGGCATGCCCCAGGCACATCTCGGATTCCAAGCGTATTTCGTATATCACCCTAGAAGCCCGCCTCCATTCCCTAGACTCGAACCGATCACGCGGCAACGTGAAAAACAGACTCTCGAACAATGCATTTCATTGCAAAGAAAAAGAGAAAAAATAGTAGTGGACTATCTAGCTACAACACACAACAGTCGCAATCTGCATTTCAAGTTATACAGGTGGATTCATATTCGCCTATCCCAGCAGCCAACAAAAGAAGCGAGCGCTAAGGAAAATAAAAAGAAAATCCCCCGTTGCAACCGCCGCCCCTGCCGACGCTTGTCGTTTATTTCCCCGCATGCCGGTGATTGACAGGACAGGACGGCCCGCTTGAAACGAAACATTAGCCTGAACGCATATGCTTGCTTAATTGCCGAGAACGCGCCGCCGCATGATTAAATGTGGGGAAGAAAGCGAGAAAGCGGAAAGCGGAGCCGAGACGAGACGACGGTTGAGGAGGGATTTTATTGGGGTGAAATGCAAATGCAGATGCTCTATGCCTTGATGGCCATCTCGCCCATGGGCATTGCCTTGAGCCCTGTGGTAGTTTATTAGTATATATTGTACAGTACGTAAGGGGAAGGTGGAAGAAACTTACAGCCGTCGACATCCTCGGGAGCCTGCTGCTTCTTGTTGCACGCGTTGTACGTGGCGGCGGGCTGGGTGGTGAGACCGGCCTTGGGGCAGGCCTGGTTGAGGGTGCAGCCGTTGTCCATGGCCTTCTGGAGCGAGTCTCCCTCCCAGCCGAAGACGTAGTCACCGTGAGCAGCGGAGCCACTGGATCCGAGTCAGTATCGCCACTATTCTTCAGGTGCTTGCGATTAGTTGGGGGAACTTACCCAAGGTTCATGGAGTAGACGAACGGCCTAGAGCCATCAGTGGGCCACTGGCTCTTGTCGGCAAAGGTGGTCACGTTCCACATGAGCTCGTACATGACCTGAGGAAGCTTGACCGGGTGAGTAGACGGGCAGGCACCGCCGCCAGTGGCACCGGATCCTTGGCCGTAGGCGACGTGGCTCTGGTGGTCGGGAGAGTCGAGGTTCTTGCCGTCCCAGCAGGCGGGGAAGACGATGGTCTGGCGGATCATCTTGCAGGTGGTGTCAGCCGGGATGGCGACAGTGTCGGTGCCGGAGCAGGGCTGCATGCCGACGAAGGTGTTCTCGTTCGACGACGTCCAGCAACGATGGCAGATGTTGCCCTTGTTAACCTTGCTGTCGTCGGTGTTCGTGGCTGAACCAGCCAACATACGGAAACCCTTCTACATGTTAGAAAACGTTCCGTAGACGCTCAAAGCAGATTTCTCACCTTCTTGAAGGCAGTCACCTTGCCGCTGGGGATGTAGTAGACATCAAGACCACCCTTGTTCTGGAGAGCGCCCTGGGGTCCACCGTTGCCGACCTGGGGAACACGGTGATAGGTGCCGTTCTTCGCCTTGAAGAACATGACGGCAGTCCAGTAGTTCGACTTGTCCTGGACGAAGCTGCACGATGTGCAGGTGGAGAGCGTGGCCGGGTCGTTGGCCGGGTCCATCGTCACGTTGAAGCTATTGCCTCCAACGATCTGATGAAGATGCGGCGTGTACTTCATGCCGGGGTTGACGAGGGGATCCGTTCGCTCAACGACAAGCTGGGAGCAGGCAAATCGCAGCATCTGCTGGGCGGCGACATTCTGCGCGAAGAGCGCTGCGGCGGCAGCGAGAGTAGCCCACTGCATTGTGACTTTAGTGATCGGAGTGTCGGCCTTGACCTGGGAGGTGCACGACGGAGGAGGGAAGGGGGGTTTAGTAAGAACGGAAACCACAAAGAATGAAGGCGTGCAGAGGACAAACCCACCAGGTCATGTATCGTGGGATCCCTTATAACAGCGTGCAAGCCCTTGTCGCCACCCACATGCTAACTGCCGGTGGTGCAGAAACTTGGTCGTTGATTTTCTGAAATATGGGGTTAATTTAAATCATATAATGATTGGGCACGACCACTTCGTGTCCGATATTATTCCAGCATCCGCATCCGGAATCTCTCGGCCTCCCGACTTCTGGATTGTCTAAGCCAGATGCTGGTGTAAAGTGCCACGCGCCACGCGGCGAATCGCCTTGCCCTGTGTCAATCGCGATTCCGGATCTCCGGATGCATGCGACTCATCTGGCGGCTGCGATAATGATCCCGTGACATGGGTCTGCGCACTGCTCTTCTTGCCTTAGGGCCAAGCACTTGGCATATCAAAGCGGGTGGTGCGCTTCTCCACAGCGTAGAACGCTTGAGAGACGCACGCGTGAGGGCCGTGTGAAAGCGGAAGACGCATGACCAGGGTTGCTCCAGGGCTGCGGTCAAGGTGGTGACACTTGGGTACGAGTGCAGGACCAGAACTATGCAATGGACGACTAGAAAGGCAGCATACGTCACCGAAGAGATTAACGGAGAAAAAGCGAAGCTGGAAGAAGGTTCCAAATGCATCCAGAAGTGCGGGTACGGCGTACAGCGCGGGTGACGCTCTCCGGTTCCGCCCAGGAAATCCCTTATTGGATCGTGACGATAGATGAGTGACTGCATGCAACCCGTTTGCCTGGCGATTTTCAGACGCTCCGACTCATCAGGATTGATGTTGGTCTCAGGGCTTCTGGAAGAGCCTCGACGCCTCAGTCAAGGTACGCTCGGTGCAGCCTTGCGGAGCGCTGCGGGCCGGAGATTTGGATGGGGACACAACAGAGAGACAGGGATACAGGGTAGACGTAGCGCAGATGGAAAGCAATGGGAATGAAGAGGCAGGCATCGTCAAGACGAAACAGACACTACCGAAAAGCTGCTGCTACGTGAAGGGGGAGACAACGTAATTCCGGCAGTCAACGAACGTTCCATTCGTTCCGCAAACTGTATCGGATGTCTAGGCAACGGCCTCGCCGGCATACAGTCCGAGAAGGGTGGTTGACGTTTGTGGTGCTTCGGACGCCGATCGTGGGCAACGGGTGAGGTTGAAGGAAGGTTGGTGATTCGCACGTGTGGGGTCGCCACTAAGCTCGCGCCGTCTACGGAGCAGTGGCAGAGGCGATACGGAGCAGCAACCCCTGGAAACCCCACGTCGAATCCATTGCAGCGACAACCCGAAGCATTTTACCCTCACAGACAGGACTCATTATCCGCCCCGCCCAGTAGAGATGCCTCTTTAGCCGGTTCGTGTTACACAACCGTGATCCATAGTATATTCCCCCGACGGTGATTGCTTCGCTGATCTTCAGATCCGCCGACCCCTGTCGCGCAATATCCGGCAATTCTGGCAGCTAGCGCGCTATAAGATCCGTTGTGGGGTCTGGGGCATACTGTATGGGTATATGCGGCTTTGCCGAATGGGCATGGCAATCTACCAGCGTTGCATGGGTCCGATATGTGCGGCTGAAGTGAGACCGTCAGGTAATCCAACGGCCACCAACTGCCGTACAGCTGATCTGGACTGCTGTTGCTGAAAAATACATACAAAGGAAGAGTGCTGTCCTGAGCCTGAAAATATGGTGCTGGTTTTGCGGTGCGTCATGTTTGAGTATGTTCGTTGTTTGCGACCCAACGCGCCCCCATCTACCGACGAACCGACGAGGTCTCGACATTGGACCATGATGATGATCCCACCCAGATAAGCCCGGAGCCTGTTATCGACCGTTGAGAACCGAATCACCTTGGAGCCAATAGCGACACGCCACTTCCTGAATGGAGCAACCCGACCCATAACGCTACCATAGCGATTATGTTGCCTCCGCCCTGGCCGCTTTCCGACCGCTTTAATCACCCGCAGTAATCACCAGGCGACCTGGGCGAAAAATCCCTTCGGCCACGTGCAGATTGCCTCCTTCCTGCCCTCGTCGAGCATCATCAGGCCTATGCCAAAGGAAACGTGTAGGAGCCAGTGCTCGACGTGCACCTAGGTGGTGTGCATCGATCGCTGAACAGAAGAACTGTAGCAGACTATGAAGACCGGGACCAGGCGAGACCATCAGACGGGATGGGCATCTACTCACAGATGAAGACGACGACCGCAGCGGAACCCATATCTGGGAACAAGAGCAATTCTTCTCGGAGTCAGATCATCTGTAGAGGAAAGGATGTGATCGTGGACCAGCATATATGGTTCCCTATGTTGAAGATCGGAGGCTGTTGGAATATACTGAGACGTCTCGTCCTCGTAGCAAGTAGGTTGAACAGTTGCTCGTCAATGTTAGCCTGATCTTCTTTCAGCAGTTGAGGCCTTCGTCGACCTACATGACTACCAGCGTTACGAAGTAGATGCTCGGCGCTGTATTCGCGGTCGCCGTGATACCACTTGCGTCAAACTGCGAATCGTAGTTACCAAACTTGATCCATATCGCAGGCAATAGTACTTCTTCTCGCTGCACTACCTCACTATCGGCCGAGGCTTCGGTGTTGGGAGGCGACCGACACATATTGTACCAGAGGGCTATAGTGTAGGACAAGAGACATTCGAGCAAGCCCACCGGGAAGTAAGCATGGAAAACGAGCTTGGTATCGACGAGTCGGTCGTTCTCAGGGTTATGCGGCGGCGGTGTCAGGACATCCGACTGGGACTTCTCGTACGCCAGCCTTCTCGCCGCAGCACAGTCCGTGAAGCAGCAGATGATGGCCTATCCATAGCAGGTCAGTCTATGCCCTTGTCCTTTCACATTTATATGGACGTGAGAAACGAAGACAGAATCTGCGGGATACCACGCGTATATTTGTGATCACCGGCCATAGTCGCCGAAGCTTCCAGCGAGGAGTAGCTATAGGGTGATATTCTTTAGGTTATCAAACGTGGCATCCATACTGCACGGCTTTGCTCGATGGCTGTGAACGGGTCGAGAAGCACCATGTCGGCAGTCTCGATGGCATCATCCGAGCCACCGCCCGTCGCGACGCCAAAATCAGCAGCCTTTAGCGATGGAGCGTCATTGACGCCGTCACCGGTCATCCCGATGACGTTGTCGCGTACTTGGAATTACTTGACGATACGAAGCTTCTGGTCGGGCGTGATCCTGTTGCAGTGAGCAGCGCTCGACGGCCGATGAATAGTGGAAGAGCATACCTAGAGAAAACGAACCACCGTCGAGCTCGAAATGACGCCGCACTCCTCAGCGATAGTCTGCGCTGTCAGCCACAAGTCGCCAGTCACCACAAGAACCCGAATAGAGGCTCCATGCAAGACTTTGACACCGTTCGGGACTTAATCGCCTGGCAGAACAACGGTGCCTAACAAACCGACGAAAGTGAGGTCGTGGCGAGCAGCAACCAGCATTTCTTTCTCGGGGTTCGTCGAGAACGCCGCGACCGCATGCTTTCGTACGAGCAGAATAACGCGCTCCTCTTCACGCAACCGGGTTCCTTGAGCGCTTCGATGCGCGACTTTTGAGCTCGGGTCAGTGACACGACTCCGCCACGGCCATCCACGAGAGTACTGCAGGGGCCAGGGGTGTTGGAGGCGGGGTGGCGGGGTGCATGCAGGCCGTGTAGTCTGGGGAGACTGGACGGAGTGTCTCATGCGAGACGTTGATACTTACCGACTGCAGCCTTCTCCTTGACACTCTTTGCAGTATCCTGCTTCTTCTAAGGACTTCCGTTGACCTCAATCGAGCTACGCTGCGTCAATTACTACTAGGCGCATCAGTGTTCCTGCGTACTCACAGCGTGCCATAAGTGATAGGCAGATCAGTCTCCAGCTACACCGTCCTCGTTCCACCACCCACTCTATGAATCGACAAACTCCCTACACCGCACTGATCGGGAATTCGTCTTACCAAAACCACGTTCTGCTCACACTGTCAACTGCATGCTGCATACCAAGAGGTAGCAACGCAAGGAGCTACCTAGTCAGGCATTCCGAATCCGCCGGAGGAGCTCAGCGCGTGCAGGATTCCTGATGCTTAGACATGTTAACCAACGCGGCCCGCGTCCGTGTCCTCCTGGGGTTATATGGACGATACACAATGTCAGTTTCGCCCACCCAAATCTTCCAATATCGCGATCCAGATCTGGGTGTTCGCCACCGCGAACGACGTCTTCAAACTGCAAATGCGAACGAATTAGAAAAACCTAGGGCAACCCCAGTAGTTTGTAAAGGTCAGCGTTGGTGAAGCAAGAGGGATATGGAGCGAGTAAGGAGATGCAGCCAGGATACAGCCTTACAAAGAAGCCGACGTAGTCGAAGTTCAAGGAAGGAACAACCCTTAACACGGAACATAAAAATCAAATGGACTAAAATCTAACCGAACCCCAGCTTCACCTTGCATTCTCATTTCATTCCGTCTAAAGATAAAAGCCGATGTCGTAATGTGGATAAGCCAAATTGAGTATAGAAGGGAAGTCCGAAACCAAAAAAAGGGTGAATGATTGTGCAAGAAGAGAACAAGTCCAAACCAAAGATGAGAAGCAGCCCATAGATCCAAGGAAAAATTGTACCAAATCGCTGATGTCTCCGAAACAATGCATGATATAGTTCGCGCGCAAAAGCCGAAATCCGTGAGATGTTGTTGTCCAACGTCCGCCGTTGCAAACAGAATATTGACAGGCATATAGTCGCTTGCTCCATCCATCGAGCCAATAAGGGTGCTGCTACTGTCCGTAACGCCACTGTATTCCAGAGTCCGCCGTGAGTCAACAATTCGTCGTTTGAAAAATAGCCTGAGCATTCCTCCTCTTCGTTATAATTTCCACGTCACGAGCCCATCAGCCCCAGCCCCAGCCCATCGCCGTTCGATGGTCCTCCCTCATCTCTGCTCCTCGAACTTCCTCTGCCCATCTCTCTTATCCTTCTGCCCTCCATCAAACCCCTCAAGCCCCGCTTCTGTAGTCCGACAACAGCACTGACCTCTCCGTTCCATACTTCGCGTTCGCTACCGATACCGCTGCCATCGCCCAGCCCACTGTCTGACGCAGAGGCCGATGTGTTCGTCGATGTCGCAGAGCTAACTTCATCATCGTGGTTCGCGCTTACATCGGTGTTTATGCGGAGAGCGCGGAGTGCGGGGTCGAGCGAACGCTCCACGGAGGCGTTGTTGGTGTTGTTGGCAACAGGGTCGAGGAGGCCGTTCGAAGTTCCGTTAGCGGATACGCCGTTGACGCCTAAGAAGGCTAGGTCGGAGCCACTGCCTGCCGCCATGGCGGCCGCATTGAAGATAGCAGCTGTATTTCGATTATCTAATAGCACATGCAAACGCTCGATGATTGCCTCTAAAAGACCGTCGATATGATATGGTCGAGCGAGTTGAAGCAGGGAGCATAGTATTTGTGGTGTGCATAGCGGAGAGTTAGGTGGCGGCAGAGAGGAGGTGTAAAGATAGTGTATGAGAGCCTGGAGCGTTAGGTGGGTGTGTGGCAGGTACAGTGTCCTAGGTCTGACAGAAGGTGGTTGAGCGACGGGATCAGGCGGACTTATCATTGAGCCAGCCGCGGTTGATGATTCGGAGGGAGTGGCGGTATTATTTGTCAGCGTAGTAGCAGCGGAGTACGTCGTCTTGACGGAGGGGGTAATAGTAATGCTGGAATTGCGGGATGGGTGCACCCCGGCTGCAGGACGAAGAGTCGCCGTATCAGCAGTCTCCGATGTAATTGTGCTTTCGCGAAGCAACTGGTTGAAATACGGGCCCCAGCGGCGGGCGATGAGATGTGAATTGACCGGAATGCGTTCACCATGGATGGCGAGGAAGTCCATATCGGCTAGCTCGCGCATACCCAAGGTCAACTGACCAAGTTCAGCCGCCGCAGGCGAAAGCGTCCGCCCTCCTGCATTGATATCCAGGCCGTCAGAATGCCTGGGCGCGCTCACAGACGTGAACGCTGAGTTTGGGGTCACCTTCCGAGGATTATCGTAGAGTCCAAAAGCCTCTAACTCCACCACGCAAATATTGGAAAAGTTGATCCGTCGGTGGTTGTAGTCTTCAACAAGACTCCGCTTGCGATTACCCAGGATCACGAAACTGTTTCTGCGGTTCCACAAGATCCCCCTGTTCCAGCTGCCCTGGCTAAAGACGTTGCCTCCAGCCTCTATCCGGCCCCAGCTCAGCGTTCGCAAGTCCAATGCCCAGAGCGCGTATTCCTGCTTCGACGACGTCAAGAAGGTGCCGCTAACCACGAAATGGTTATTGATTACTCCGCCATTGGGAAACCGTAGCCCTGGCGGAGAAAAGTTTCCCTGCATTGGCTTTTCCGAAAGCGTTCCATCAGGATGCCTAACCTGCAATTCAAGCTTGACATCCAAGAAATTATAGTTGGAATATATCAGCATGGACGCTCCTCCATTTCTTGTAGCCACATCCTGTTCTTCTGGGCTGTCCGTTTCGCTCCGTTTTCGTGTTCCTACCCCTATCTTATCCGGGTGAATGCTGGTTAAAGGGGCAACAACGCTCCTGTAGGCTCCACAGCTCCTTCCCAGAGTGTTTGTAGCCGTCCATTTCAGACTCCTCAAGTTAAACACACTTATTTGTTCAATGTAGTGGTTGGCGCTGTCCTGACCACCAACCACAACCATCTCCGCGCCGCCTTCGCCATCCAGCTGTACACCAATTGACCCTTGGTTTGGATTCGTCGAAGATGGATTGTGCCGTATGGCTGCTAAGGTGGCATGTGTTGAGGAGAAGACAGCGGTCGAAGGTAATATTGTTGCGCAGTGGGCATATCGTCCTTGGGGTGAGTCGGTCGTTGCCACATGCATCCAGGTTCGGGTAGGGACGTCGTAGATGTGGACATCTGACATCACCACCACTTCTGGTTGCGCATCTGCGGGCGTGCCCTGTAACACTGCCGCAGACTGGTTCGGTTGTTGAGATGCAGGGGACATGCCACCGTAGCAGACGAGCTTTGTGTCTCCGAGCGGGCAGACACTGTGGAAGTACCGGGGTGGTGGTATGTCGCCCTTCGCTTCGATTTTCGTCCAATGTCGCTTGACAAGGTCCAGCTCGTACAGGTCCGATGTGAGTTGTGGTCTTGTTCGAGACAGCCTCCTACCACCGAAGACATATAGCTTGTCGCCCAAAATCGTGGTTGTCGCGCCAACCAAGGGATGCGGCTCGCGACCAGTCGTCCGATGCACATTGCAGACGAGCCCGGACAGCCCGGATGTCGAACTGGAAGGTGTACCCAGCCCCGCTGTCTGCATCAATGCGGGCGATGCAGCGGCACCGGTGCCCGGGGTCCTGGCCAATGATGTGCTTGGACGTTCGCCATCCTGACCGTCCTGCCGATGAAGACTAGTTTGACTGCTATTCACGCTTGAGACGTAGTTCATGCCTCCACTGCGGAAGGTGTCCGGATATAATTGTGACGGAGAGGGTGCTGAAGTCTGTGAATCAATGGTATTGGTTCGACTGGTGGTTGGCGTCTGACGTGCCATGCTGGCCGGACAAAGGTCACAGGGCGGAGAGGCAGGAAATTTGAGGTCCTCGAAATCGATGGGAATATTGATGGGTGAGGTAGAAAATCTTTTGATCGGTAGGGCCCAGTCCGGTATTACGATTTCGACATGCCGGGATCTGATACTAGAGGAGTCTCCAACGGACTTGCGGCCTGGTAGGGGAAAACTCGAGAGACCGGGACGGGGGCTGGAGACGACGGTAGAGGTTCTTGATGAGCTGAATCCAGTAGAGGTACAAGGGCTTCCAGGTGCTACAATCGGAACATAGTGCGGGATAACAATGGGAACGTGCTTTGGCCTCGTCGGACAGGAAGAATGGTTTGTGTCAACAACGGAAGAATGCTCAGAACGGACAGGGTGCGTCGCCGAATGAACCCTGCGATAGGAACGGATAAGGGAACCTGCAGACTCGCGGGAGCTTCGCCTCTGGTTTGACACAGCTCGCTTGAGTTTGAAGACTCTGGGCTTCTTCCAGATGGACGTGGACTCGCCCAAAGGAGTGGTGCTCGCTGCCACCGAGGGATAAGCGATTACGCCTAATGGAAGCATCGTCAGTAATGAAACTCGGTTGAGCAGCGAGGTTCGAAAAGGAAAGGACGAGACGTAGAAAGCACTGAAAGGGGACAATCTCGTGGTTTTCAACTGCGCCAGTCCACCCCAGCTGCAGGCGAGTTACCAATGCAGGCATTGCCGCAAGGTCTCGGCCAGCATCTGGGACGCTTGCGCTAGGTGGGAAAGCCATGTGTGTACTTTAGGAAAAGAGACACGGCTGCCGTGCTACTGTGCAGTGTAGCACGAAGGTACCGCGGCTGCACCTGCACCGTCGAGTAGGACAAAATCTCGTAACCGGCAGAGATTTTCTCTCGGCCGATCGACAATATACAACAGATCTTACTATGTCCTCTCGATTGCGCCATGGACAAGTGCATTTGTGGAAACAAATTGAAGAGGCCATGGATGTACCTCGCGCACGGACGGAGAAAGAACTGAGGGGTTGACGAAAGCGAAGCGCGACCTTACGTTAGGCAGGACCCGCGGCGCACAGCGGGCGGAGAAGGGCCGGAAAGAAGAAAGGGAAAGGAATGCAGGAGAGGAAAAGAGTGGTGCTCACGGCGGCAGACGTGTTGTGGAGTCCCGCCGCAGAGGCAGCAGCGTGGTGAGTCGGGGCGCAAAGGTTCGGCTTCGGGCCCAGTCCCAATGCGGCTAGGGGGGTTCTCGGCGAGGCTGCTGGAGGAATGCAAGGAGCCGCGTCAACGGGCGGACAGACGAAGAGCGCGCGAGAGGCAGAAGTAGCGGAGACCGGACGGTGGCAGAGACGGCAGCCAGAACAGCACGGCTCGACGGGTGTGGGCTGCGGCAGGATTCCCACGCGAATGACACGCGGAGCGGAAACTTGTTCAGCCGCTCACACCGTCTGGATGAATAGGCAGAGACGCTCCGGCCGGGGGCACAGTAAGGGCTGGAGGACAGAGACAGACCGCAAACGAGAGTCCGGCTCCAACGGTGCGCAGACAGAATGCAGAAGCGGTCGCACAGCTCTGCCGCCTCGCTGAGATATATATCAAAGCACCACTCCCCTGGGTCATTACAAGCTCAGTCGGGCTCCGCACGGGCCTTGGAGCCGGATTGGCGCGCGCAATCACGCTCCGGGGTGCAGTGACAAATGGCAAGCGAGATCGCGTCTATGCAAGACCTGGCTGCTGCTGCTGGAGTCCTTACAGCATTGCCGCCGCGTACGCAGGACTCGTACGCAGTAGACGAGCGCGGCGGCATCCATCACACGTCTCGCATCACTGCACTGCATTGGTCCCGTAGTCTGAGAAAGCGACGAAGAGGGAGGGCAGTTCGAGGCGTAGCACTTAGCGTTCCATTTCATGAGCCAGCTCGTTGTTTCAGCCCTACAATAGGGGTTCGCATGTCCCTATCGGAGAAGAACAGCCTGGAAGGATCCCCTGCTGTTCTAGAAGCATTAAACACTTCACCTAACTGCAGCCACCCCCTCCTAAGCCCTGCACCTAACTCAAATGGCCCAAGAAATTACATGTCCAGTCTGTGCCCAAACAACGCCTGAACTCGCACGCAATGCCGTCGATTCCGCTGCACGGCTGCAGCCGCCGTACCGCCCATCTCCTTATGCCGCGCTAGTCTTCTCCTTCGGCAGAGGCGTGAAGCGCAGATACGGCTTGACGATCTTGAAGTCGGGGAAGAGCTCCTTGGCCTTCTCGTTGTTGATGGTGGGGTGGACAATGACGTCGTCGCCGGGCACCCAGTTGATGGGAGTCGTGACCTTGTGCTTGTCGCCCGTCTGGAGCGAGTCGACGACGCGGAGCACCTCCGCCGAGTTGCGGCCCGTCGACGCGGGGTAGGACATGATGAGGCGGATCGTCTTCTTGGGGTCGATGATGAAGACGGAGCGGATGGTGAAGGCGATGCCCTTGGAGTCGACATTGGTAGTGTCCTGGTAGTCGAGCCTACAGTCAAAATTAGCAGAGTCTCAGAGAGCGAGCTGGGTGTGCACTCACATGTCGTATGCGTATGCCACCTTCCTCTCCTTGTCGCCAATGATTGGGAAGTTCAAGTGGGCGCCCGACACTTCATTGATGTCCTTGATCCAGCCCTCATGGCTGTCGATGGTGTTGGCCGAGAGACCAATGAGCTTCACGCCGCGCTTGGTGAACTCGGGCTCGAGCTTTGCGAAAGCACCGAGCTCGGTGGTGCAGACGGGTGTGTAGTCCTCCGGGTGCGAGAAGAGGACGACCCAGTTGTCGCCAATGAACCTGCGGGTACCATGTCAGGCGTCGTTGTTCAGGCACGAGCATCGCAATACGTACTCATGGAAGTCAATAGGCCCCTTGGTCGTCTCGGCCTTGAAATTGGGCGCAATGCTACCCAGGCGGAGGTGTGGTTGATTCTGATCAGCCATGGCTCTTTAGGCAATTGTCAGCCCTTGCAAACAGCGCAAACAAGAGGGGTAGCGGGGTAGGTGCAGCCTGCCGTCGCGCTTACCTGGTCGCCGAAATGGATTGGAGATTGCACTGGATTTGGTCTTGGGGTGCAGTTGATGGAGATGGTCGCACACTGCGAAGGCTGATGGGCGGGTGAGGGTGATGTCTAGGAGGGAGACTGGAATGCTCGGCGTGCCAAAGGCGGTCTTATCCTTTTGTACTGTGTTCTCCAGAGCCTCGTTCGGGCATGGCGCATATTGCTGGCGAGCACGCAATTCTCGGTCCAAAAGATTCTGCCCTTCACTCCGCCGCCACCTCCAACTGTAGGCCAATCCCGCTGCCGCAGGGCGAGGCGGTCAGAGGTCGACAGCGAGTGCCAATGCGAGCCCAGCGCGGGCATGTTATCGATTCCTCATCGCCGTCAACACCTTGATTGCTCAGCAAGTCTCCCAACGGCACCCGGCGTTTGCACAGTAAGATGGCCTTCCTCTCGCTACAACAATTAGATATGCACATGCATCTTTTCTTCTCTCGTGCGCCCTAAAGAACAGTACCACTCGACGCCCGGATTAGTGAACGATATGTCCTCCAGAGGACTTTGTTTGCCAGGGTAGAGCAAGCTTGTGCCAGAACCATTCATTTTTTTTTCTGATTCCAGACATCCAACCAAACTGCGGGGAGCAAACGCCTTCTTTCTCGGCATTCACGCAATCGCGTCCGCTAATGCTGCCATGAGTCGGGGTACGGCTTCTTAAGGTTAGTTTGGCGGGCGCGTCTACATGCACGTGGAGCACGTGTTCCATGCTTGAGAAACCCCCTCGAGGTCGGGATACGCCGCTAGTAGCTGCCGAAGCTGGACAGCTATCCGCCGCTCCCAAGATCTGGAAGCAATGCTTGGGTTCGGGGAGTTTTCTTTATATCCGCAAGCATTTATCTCCCGGAGGCCAACACTAGATCAGCAAATGCGACTAGCCAACAATGGCGGATACGCAAATCGCCCCGGGATCTACCCCTCTCACCCAGCGCAACAGAACGCCATCGCACAGTATCCAGGTAAAATGCATCCCCAAGCCGCCCGGAACCTCCAGCAAGAGGTGGTCGACCTACAATACCCGGCTCCGCGGCGCATCATGGGCCGCTATTCCCGAACATGAACGGGTTCGCCAACCACATCCCCGGCATAACCTGAAGATGGATGCGCCGTCAATGCGCCTTCAATGCGCCTGGTGCTCAACCGTGCAGAGCTATCGGGACCCTAGAAAAGAACTTAGCGCCTTGTGGGTCTGTTGGCAATGACTGATTTCATATCATCGCCGTCCCCTCCTGGGGCTGAATCCCCCTTCTCCATTCTATGTCTTCAGAGGCAATACCCGCTGCGAGTTGAAAGGAGCCTGGATGGAAATTGTTTACCATGGCCGATCCAGAGATTGAACTGCCCATGACGTCGTCCCAGCTCGCCCTCGACGACCAACCTTCGGGAATAAGGACCAGACCAACAAATCCGGACGATGTATTTCGGAACGCTTCAGAGGACCCCACATTTGCAGCCTTCCCAACTTCCGACGAGAAGTACAACGAGAAGAGCGACAATGAGGCACTCTCGGAAGACGACGAGCAAGAGCCTGGCGACATTGTGTATCACTATTTGACCTTTTCGACCGAGCTGCCCAATCCTACCACCATATATCCAACGAGAGAGGATCAGGAAACCCCCCCACATCCGCCAGACCTAGTCAAATTCACTTCGCCATTCGAATGGCCGAACTCGAGGAAACGAGTTATCATTTGGGTTTCTTGTGTCATCACTGCTCTTACAGCTTTCACGGCTGGAGCGTATAGCCCTGGCGTAGGGCAAATGACTGAGGAATGGCACATTAGCAATGTTGCGGCGTTGGTTGGCATTACCACTTTTACCAGCGGTACGCATATCTTGTGGAAGGAGCAGATGTATCACAATGCTGACTGTAGTATAGGCTTCGCAATAGCCCCAATGGTTTTAGCACCCTTCTCCGAGATCAACGGACGACGACCCGTCTTCATCGCCTCTGGAATCCTGTTCGTGATATGCCAGCTCTGTACAGGGCTAACCCGCTCGTACGCCGGAATGCTTGTGGTCCGCTTCTTCGTCGGCGTAGGAGGCTCAACCTTCTCCACTATGGGTACGTCCCCCAAGAACCACCGTCTCGTTCATCACTGATACCGTGTAGTCGGAGGAATCGTTTCAGACATCTACCACACCGAAGACCGCAACACGCCTATGGCCCTCTTCTCAGGCGCCGCCCTCTTCGGCACCGGTTGGGGCCCCCTCGTCTGCGGTTTCATCGCGCAGAACACCACCTGGCGCTGGATCTTCTACGTGCAGACCATAACTTGTGGCTCCGTAGTCGCCCTCATCTGCATAATCTTCAAAGAAACGCGCGGCAGTGTTCTTCTCTCCCGGAAAGCCCGCGCCCTAAACAAATGGTACGAAGCGCGCGAAGCAGCTGGCTACTACTGCTTCAACATGCCGGATCCGAGCGGCTCTGGTGGTCTGGTTTCGCAGCGCATAAGATGGAAAGTGAAAGCCGATGAAGAGCGCTCTTCCATTAGTAAAATGATCGCGATCTCTCTCTACCGGCCCTTCCATCTGCTCGTCACCGAGCCCGTCGTCTTCTGGTTCAGTCTCTGGGTAGCGTTTTCCTGGGCAGTACTCTACCTCACACTCGCCGCCATCCCGCTCGTCTACCAGCGCAACCATGGCTTCTCGCTTCAACAGGCTAACGCCGTGTTCGCGGCTATGTGTGTCGGCTCCATCATCGCAACCTTTCTGTCCATCTATCAAGAGAAGATTGCAAAGAAGTACGGCAAGTTGGCCAGCACGCCTGAGGGCCGGCTGTACTTTGCCTGCGTAGAGAGTGCATGTATGCCCATTGGTCTTTTTATGTTTGGCTGGACGAGCTTTCCGGATATCCACTGGGTTGTGCCGGCCATCGCTATTAGTATCGCTACGATCGGTATCTTCGCCATCTATCTTGCGGTATTCAACTATCTCGCCGATACGTACCATCGCTACGCTAGTTCTGCGCTTGCAGCGCAGTCCTTTTGCAGAAACATGCTCGGTAAGTTCTTCACAACCCCCCTTCTTCTTCTCTAGATGCATTTAGCTCATACATCACAGGCGGCGTCTTCCCCCTAATAACAACGCAAATGTACAACCGCCTCACCTTCGGCGGCGCAAGCTCGCTCCTCGGCGGCATAGGCACCCTACTAACCCTCGTCCCCTGGATCCTGGTCTTCTACGGTCCGAGGATTCGCGCGAGGAGCAAGTTCGCGAGCGAGATTATGGATGTAACGGCCTAGTGGAGCTCCGAAGCAGAGAGACATTTTCTCTCACTCGAGATTATGCATGTCACGGCCTTGACTGAGTGATAGAGTAAGGGAGGCATCTTTGGATTCGAATTTTATGATACCCTCGACCGGAAAGAAAAGGGAGAGCAAAGATCTGGGGAACAGCTTTTAGTGGGATGAATTTTTTACGAATGTTAGTAAGATATCGACGTGGTGCAATAGCAGTCTTAGTAGAAGCCGTGCCACGTCGATAAAGCCTATACGTGATGCGCTATTGCGTAACGCTTTCAAATTTTTGTGCCTTGGTGAAGGAAGAACAGCGCGCAGGAAGGTAGTTTTGGTCGACTACACATTAGCCGGCTTGAATAGCTTCCTGTCTAGATGTAGAGTTGAAATGGCCTTCGCATCATGCGTTGAAGCCATCACAGCTATTTATGACTAAATGAAAATGCACCTGTAGCTGTCATAACAGACTGTACCTAGCACGAACGGCAAAGGGGCAACACAAGATGCGGATTAAGAATCTGGGGAGCTAAGTGGCTATAAGCATTACTATTAATCTGATCTACCAAGAAAAAAATAAGCGGCAGCGCACCGCCGTACCTAGGCTAGATTGTCCTAAGCAAGCCTATCCCCTACGCCTAGTGCTGGGGCTCTTCGCAGCGACCTGTGCATACGACTCCCCGGTCGTCGCCGGGTTTGCCGGTGTACCTTTCTTCCCCTTCTGCGCAGCGATCGGCTTGTTGAGCTTCTTCGACTCGGTCTTCTTCGATGTCGAGCTGTTCCAGTACCACATCATCTGAAATGCTAGGATGGCGTTTAGCGTGAAGGCGGCGATAAAGCCGTAGAGGATGAGAGGGTCGGGGACTTCCTGGAGGGTGGTGAAGATGCGGGACAAGGAGCCGATGAGGTAGTTGATGACCTGCATAGTTAAATCAGCAAACATACTCCTACAGGAGAGCACACTTCCTCCAGATTCCAGACTTACCGCAAAAGCACTCAACTGCCCGGTGCCGCCCTCCTTCCAAATAGTAAGGATCTGGGGCACTTTGCTCGCGACCGACAAAACCCCCGCCCCAGACATCAACCAAGACAGCATCTTAATATCCACCAAATCCTCCCTGAACAGCGCCGTCCCGACCGCAACCAATCCCGCAACCCAAGCACCCACCCCCGCGGCTCCCTTCCCACTATACTTCAGCACCAGGCTCGCAATAACCGCATTCTGCACCATAATCAAGGCCTGCTCGCCATACGTGCTGAACGGAAATCCATGCCGGGTATTGTACCCCAGGCTAATGAGGTAGCTCCCTGACTCGAGCAGGTACGACAGGAAGGAGACGCCTTCGGCGGACTGCGCGTTCAGGATCTTGAGCAGCTGCGGGATCTTGACGATGGAAGAGGCGGCGATGATGCCGATGCCGAGCCCCTTGGATACGGCGAGCTTGACGCAGTCGGGCGACGCGAAGGGGTCGATGTCTAGGATGAGCGTTTTGTAGCAGAATGGGCCGAGCAGGCTGTGGCCGGTTTCGACGATGGGTTTGGGCAGGTTTTGGGTGACGGGTTGGAGGGCGGAGCGGATGGACTCCATGATGCTGGATCGTATGCAAATGCGTCCTAGCGATAGGGATGGATAATATGGGCGGTATTGGTTGTTGATTTCGGATTCGCGGCTTGGTCGGATTTGACGTAAGGCTTGGCAGAGGAATCAGCAACAGCCGGGGTTTTCCCGAACGGGACAAATCCCAGGATTGAGGTTGACTTCTCGCTACACAATTAACTCATCGTCAGACAGAGCAGTCATCGCTCTTACAAACTTGATCAAAGCGTTGCTAGTCGCTCAGACTATGCGTCTATGAGATCCAATAGCCGACTCAATAATACCTGACTTGTCCCATTGGACCTGGAACCTCGCACAACAGGACATTTCCACCAATTGAATCCCGTTGTTCTGGACATTCTCTGTTGATGGTGGAAGAGAGAGATGCGCTGAGGCTTTGTGCGCATAAAACTCCCGATGGTTCCTGCTGGCAAAGAAGGGACTCTCTCGTGAGCCTGAAGATACTGGTCGAGTACCTCAACGTCAAGATCATTCAGTTCTGGTATGGGGCTACTGCAGCCTGGCCAGCCTTTCAGATGGGAGTCGTAACAAAAGCTACCCTTTTAAAAGACGTTTTCTTGAATATTATATGGGCGATAATTTGATTAGTAGTAATATCTTAAAAGGTCCTATGAGAACATACTCATAATGCCTTCAAAACTGAAGGAATTTGAAGAAAACTCGTAGGATTAGAGGAGCTCGTATTTTCTGTCGCCAATCTGGGTGGACAGTGCACCAACACCGGTGACTCCAAAAATACGAGCTCCTCGTATGTGAGTGGTTGAGTCGCCTTATCGAGGACGCAATCTCATGGTATTGGGGGTGCTTTCTCAAGTCCGCTTTCGGATGGATTCTGGCGACGCAAGGCTAGATTTTGAACTCAGCTACCACGATTGGTGCGTTTCGTCAGGAAAGCACTCGTGGCGTCCGCCCCACTCGTATAGGGGGCGCATTCACTCTTTCAGACCCTTTGTTAAGGCTTGAAGGTGCTCATGCACACTGTATACCGATCAGCCCTGGTCGCTCAGCCTTCAAAATGGCTCGGAAGCCACCAGCCTTCTCCCTCTCTTTTGCTGTTTACCAGTTTGATGGCAGTCCTCTCTGTTTTGCCCGCTATCCTTCTGGCTGCTTCAGCAGCAGCAGCCACAGGCTCATTCCAATCCCCAGCTCCTGCCGTTGCCGATGGCGACTTCTCCTCAACCATAGACTATGCGCTCGGCTCTCAGATGTCCATCGAGTGGACTACTGATCTCGGTAGTTACATTATAGTAGTCAATCAGCAGAGCCTTGTCACCCTCTCGGCAAAGACTGGAAGGACAATCTACCGTAAGAACTGCCCGTTCAAGTGCGCCAGGATCCATTGCGTGTTGACAGTGCGACTCTAGAAAAGGGGTCCTCGGATGAAGAAATAGGCCAGTTTGACTGGACAATCTCAGTTGACTCGCCTCTGAACCTTGCGGATGGACCTGTCTTCTTCTTCTGGCTCTTTGCAAATCCAAATTCCTTCCCGGGCCCGGACGACTTCAGCTCCGGCTACTTCAACATCACTTCAGACCCCTCCCCGTCTCCATCCCTCGCGGCTACATCCACGCCGATTACCTCCGTCACAACGTCTTCTGCCCTGCCTTCCATATTTACGACACGGAGCTCTGTGGAACCCTCTATGACCTCTACCGCAAGCCCACCTCCAAGCGACGGGACCAATGGTGGCAATTCGAGCGATCAAGTATTGAAGATAGGACTCGGTGTTGGTCTTGGAGTCGGCATACCCCTGGTGGCCCTCATGGCTGCGTGCCTATTCTTCAGCACTCGATACCTAAAGAAGATAGCGGACAGCAGGACCGCGCAAACACATCAGCCAACAGAGCAGAAGCATTTCTCCTCAACCGCATCGGAATTTCCTCGAGCCAATGACCATGGGAATTATGGGGGAGAATCGTTGCCGAGGGACCATGCCCACGGAACGCCCAGTGAGCTCCCCGAATCCCGACAACACGAACTCCCCGCGAAATAGTTCGTCAGTAGTTTGGACGCTTTCACACTCAGTCAATTTATGAGGTCTGAAATTCCAGGAGGTTATATACACAATTTAGCCTTCGCTTGGCACTGTTAGCGTCGGGGTTGAGTTCAATCTCCAATATCAAATCAATTGTCGTCACCTCAACTACAATTACTACATGTTCCACAAAGGTAATCCTCGAACCCTCGATCACCCCCTTGCCCCATCAACTCCCCACAGCCCCATACCACGCCAAACCCAGCAAAGCCCCAATGATAATAGCCATCGCAGGACTAACACTAAACCAGGCGCTCTCCGCATACGTGACAGCAGCAACAACAACCCACCAGGGTTCTGCGGCCAGCGACTTCCCATTACTCGACTCAGGCGTCAAATACCCAATTTCCCAAAGTCTATAGACAGCAGTGAACACTAGCCCGACAGCCGTAGCATTGATCCCCCTCAACAAGCTCACAAACGCAGGCTTCGTCCGCAGCACCCGCCACAGCGACTGCACGCCGACCGCGAGGATAATGCCCGGCGCAAAGATACCAATGTATCCCAGCAGCGCGCCGGCCACGGAAGGCGTACTCGTGCGCGCGAGAGCCAGCGCACCGAGGTAGACGCCGAAGTTGAAGTTTGGACCGGGGAAGGCTTGGATGATGGCGAGCCCGATGAGGAAGTTGCGAGGGGAGACCCAACCGGGCTGCACGACATATTCACGCAGTAGGGGGATGACGACGGGGCCGCCGCCGAAGATTATGGTGCCTGCGAGGTACATGTTGGCGAAGAGGTCGAAGGGGAGGTCGAGCGAGGGGACGGCGCCGCGGAGAGCCATGATAACGATGAAGGACGCTGGTCACGCTAAGTAGGGGCTTCGGAAGTGGCTAGGGGAGTTGCATACCGAAGAATCCGGCGATGATGCAGATACCCAGTTTCACGGGGATACCGTGCGTCGTCGTGTCTGCAACGGTAGGTGCAGTGTCCGTTCTCTGTCGCCCGTCGCGACCCGCTTCCCCGATGGAACTGGTTGACGCTGGCTCCGTTTGCTCAGTCGAGATGCGATCTTTAGAGGCGGATGCTTGGGCTCGTCGCTGGACGCCTTCAACAGGGCGATCCCGTGATTGTTCCTCCAATGGAATGCTTCCCGTGTGCCCGTTCTCTTCAGTACTTCTCTCTTCGTCATTGCCTCTCTTCTTCCTGGCCCATTTCGCGCGCAGCTTGCCAATCTTTTGCAGGAGCCAGACATCCCATATCACGGTGGAAACGCCGCCGACGACCATCAAGACAGGGAAGAACCAGAGCGCGGTATAGCATAGCCCAGCGCAGGCGCCGAATATGACCAAGATCCTCGTCAAGCGGTCTGTGATCGCTTTCCCCGCGAGCTAAACAGTCCCCTCAGCCTTTCCCAACCCATATTCTCGGATGCGAACCTACCTGGACAGCAGCCAATGCAATAATCCCCACCGTGCTAGCATTCAGCCCACTTAGCAACGCATACACAATTGGAGGGAGCTTGTCTGGCATGTTTTCAACCCCTTGCGACAACGCAAACATGCCGATCGCGCCGGGTAAGCTCCAGATCAGGAAGACGAAGATAGCGGGTATCATGCCCGCGTGGATCATGGCGATGCAGAAGGTCATTTTCGTGCTCGCTGGGCCAGGTAGTGCCTGGCATATTGCGAAGATTTCTTGATACTAGAGACATGGTTAGGAACTGCTTTGTTCTGGTTCTGGCAGAAGAAGTAGGGTGACTACGAACGGTCTGCTCATCAATCCATCTATTCCTCCCGCCTACGCCTTCTACGAACCGCCGGTGCAGGATTTGAAAATGGACCGGTGGCCCGCCAAATGCAGCTATCAATCCTTAGTTAGACTTGATGTCCAATCCAAAGGTCGATCGTGTGACATACTGAATCCCAGATCCCATGTCCTTGCAAAAACCTCCGTCAACCGCCAAACGAGACTCTTATTATTCGCCTGCAGCGAATTGCGCTGGTCGCGCGTGTGGTCGCGCACTGCGCGGTAGACGTCGAGGAGAGGCATGTTTGCCGGCTTTTCAATGGGAAAGCTAAGCTATGCAGAAGGCATCAAGAGAGACGGAAAAGAAATCGATCACGAGAGAGCTCGAGGAGCTTCAAAACTCATGCTCGCGCAGGCCAAGGCTTCACGCACGCGATGCAATCCAATCATCCCGCCCTCGTGTTGCGCTATGAAGCCACCGCATGGCGTTCACTCTTGCCCGCCCCGCCTGCGGCCACTTTTGGCCAAATAAGCGAACATGCCGCATTAGGCAACTTTTGGTTCGCGTTGATGGCTGTATTGTGGATCTTCACCGGCCAATTCACTTTCACCGCAACTGCCTTTTCCCCCTGATGAAAGAGACTACATAAATTTGAGCACGCCAGCTTAAGCGAACATACCGCATTAGGCAACTCCTGTTCTTCCGTCGATAGCAGTATTGTGGCATCTTCACCGGTTCACCGTGTTCGCCTTTCACCACCAGGGCAGCTCACAATCACAGACTGTGGGCAAGTTTAGCCGACCGTCGGCCCCCGCGAAAAGCTCCAACACCTCCACCTACTCACAGCTCTCAATCGAAGCTGCAAATCGCCAATTGCCCCAAAACACTCCTTCCAAAGCCGAGGCCAACCAAAACGAAAGCCAAAAATGTCAACCATCCGCCCCATGCGCGTAACCGACCTACTCCGAATCTCCACCACGAACCTCGACCCGCTCACCGAGACGTACAACATCAGCTTCTACCTCGAGTACCTAACCAAATGGCCCGATCTGTGCCGGGTCATCGAAGGGATCGACGGGCAGATTGAAGGATATAGTACGTCCTATCCCCTCCTCCCTTTCTCCCCCAATCCCAAAAGATCACACAAAAGCTAACGAGACGCCCCCAGTCCTCGGCAAACTCGAATCCTCGCCCTACCCCTCCCCCATCTCCCCCTACAACCCGCGCACCTGCCCCGACCCGAACTACCTCCCCTGGCACGGGCACATAACCGCGCTCACGGTGTCGCCGACCGCGCGGCGCCTGGGCCACGCGACGGCGCTGAGCAGCGCGCTGGAGGTGGCCAGCGACGCGGCGGACGCGTGGTTCGTCGATCTGTTTGTGCGCGAGAGCAACGTGGTGGCGAAGGAGCTGTATCGCAAGATGGGGTATAGCGTGTTCCGGAAGGTCAGGGAGTATTATAATGATGGCGAGGATGCGCTGGATATGCGGAAGCCGCTGGGGAGGGATAAGGGGCGGGAGTGTGTGAGGGAGGAGGGGGAGAAGTGGGTGGTTAGGCCGGATGATGTGTGGTAGGTGGACTGGGAGAGGGTGGAGGTTTTTGATTGGGGCTTGGGAGATGCGTGCGCTTCGAAGAGGCAGGCATGCCTTGGTATATATGGACAAGGGATAGATTTGAAGGTGTCCAGAAAAGACGTAAGTGCTCACTCAAGAAACCACACAGTAAGGTCCGGTGGAAACCTGTATCCATATACTGACATAACGCATAGACGTACAGATAGTCGATATATATCGTACACACTCCCCTTCAAACGCCAGACACACCAAACACAACGAAATCCCATATCCAAAGCCCGACTACCACATGAGGGTATATAACAAACCTATGCAAAGAGGCCCCTTTGCGTATCCGTCCCGTTCCCACCAAACCAGTATCCAACCTCCTCCCACAACAACGACCTCTTACGCCTCTCCCCATCCGCGCGACCAGCCTCCCTAGCCACCATCGATCGCGACGCCGAAACCTTCTCGTCCGACCTTTTCTCCACAACACTTATCACACTGGTCGTTTTCAGGATCCCACCCTGAAGACTCCCCCGCTCGCTCGCACCTCCGCCAAGGTTGAAGCTACTGCCGCTGCTCCCTGACTCAGTCAGCGCCTGTCGATTGCCCGCCTCATAGCGCGAAAGAGTTGATACTTGGATCCACAGTCGGAGCAGGGCTTCCGGCGCGCACAGCCCGCTGCTCGCTCATTGCGCTTCCGGGCCTGCGCAGGGCATCGAGGGCAAAGGGTCGCGGTGGGCCTCCCATGCCGTTGATATGGTGGGACCAACCGCCTCGCGGCTCGAACTCGTCGCCGCTGTCTAAGCCGATTGCACCACTGGAAGGTCCGGGCGATGCAGCGTGGTGTCGCCGGACGTCATGCGAGACGGGCGGCGCTTGTCTGAATCTCCGCACGGGGCCGGACTTCTCGTCGTCGACGAGAACGACCATCCAGACACCCACTGCGCCGGATTGACCAAGGAGCGGAGTGCAGTGTATCCAACGCGGTCGACCCTCATCGGCGCGGTCGGAATCGAGGTTTGCGGCGGCGGTGTGGAGCCAGCGCACTTTTGCGGTGACGCCGCGCGAGCCGTCTGCGAGGGCTTCGGCGAGAGAGTCGCGGACGCGGGTGGAGCCGCCGATGCGGTCGAGAAAGCGGGATTGGAGGATTCCCGGGACGCGGAGGGATGGCGAGACGAAGAGGATACGAAGGGAGGGATGTGGGCGAATAAGAAGGTACTGTGGTCAACATTAGTAAGATATGGTGCAGTGGAAAATAGGGTGCCTACGTGTTTGTACACACCAGCCAAGCGGCCCTCGGGCTTGATAGACACGTGCGCTGGCTTATTATCCGACTCGATGTTCGTCATGTCCTTAATAAGAACCCGTGGACGGTGCATAATACTCGCATCGTCCCGTTCCTCAAGATGCTCCCGGTGCATGTTCCCACCATGCTTCCGCACGGTCTCAAGCTCGGAGTTGTTGAACATCTCGCTCAGCTCCTGGAACTCGTCTTTGGGCTCTTCCTCTGGCTCCCGGCCTTCCTGCCTGTCAAGCATGCTCTGGAAGGCGTCAAGATCGGTAGAGTCCTTCACAAGACCGCTGACGTCGACTTGTGCGCCGATAAAGTAGCGCAGGTTGCCGCGAGAGTCGAGGAGAGGCGCCATCATCAGCAGATTCATGAAGGGTGATCCATCGCGGCGGCTGATGGTGAATTAGCAAGCCATTTAAGAAAATTCGAAGAGGGACACTTACTAGTTAAGGAAGACCTCACTGACTTCCCTCCCCTCATCGACGGCTCTCCTCAACCGCGCGACGCTACTCCGATTGGTGCGCGGTCCTTGGAGAAATCTACAGTTCCGTCCAATAGCATAGCTGACGCCGTATTGGGTAGTGCGGTGAAACTCTGTTCAAGGTCAGATATCGGCAATTGAATGCTACGGGGCATACGTACCCTCTGAAGCGAAAATGATTGGGTTATCCGACCGCGAGGGATCTGTGAGACAGAAAACCTCGGCCAAGCCTTCGCTGGCCTCGCGCAGCAAGGGAGGCAGGTTCCCTGTGATGCGCTTCTGAATGCTGACGCTGACGACTTGGATGAAGATGTGGGTGATGAAAGCAGGGAGATCTTCTCGGACCAGGACGTCGAATGCCTGACGGGCTTTATCCTCCAGAACCGCATTGATGGTGGGTCGCGCCGGCGTCTCGGTGAATTCGTGGCCTTCAATGGGCTCCAGGGCCTCAGCCACGGCATTGGCGTAGTTGATTGCTCGTAGAGCTTTCATTGCGTCGAGGTAGTAAATAAGGGTTGGCACTGATTGTGGCCGTGCCATAGAAAGGAATGCGGTGAACCGAAGTAATGAGGGAGTGTCATGAAATACAGACTCTAGATGCTCCTTAGAGAACAGCTGCTCAGACCGGGCTTCCAAGTTGAAGCCTCTGCCGCCATCTGCCTCGTTGGGCGCCACGAGGTCGAACGACTTTGGATCATCTTCGAGCAAGGGCGATAGTCGGTCGAGATCGTCTGGGAGACCCTTCTGCTGCAACGGTGGTAATGCTTGCGTCAGTATTGAGGAGGCCTTGGTTTCGTAGGAAATGACAGAATCGGCATCGCTGCGCGCGTGGAGGGACGCGGAGTCCGAGGCGCCGGATGTAGTAGGCATTGCCTTGGAATTTGGTACACTTGATGAACGAAAGAAACGTCGTCTGTTCGCGGAGCTACTGCTATAGAAGAAATCAGCATGGGCTTCTAATTAAGGTACATATCTGGGTTTGATCCTACCTGGTCCTCATAGGAATATGGATGCCGCGACGAGTGAAGTCCGGCGGCGGAGGGGCAGCGTCGTCCCCCGGGGAAGCTGACGAAACTGGCGAAGTTGGTGGAGACTGAACAGGATGACTTGCGAGCGGCTGATAGCTTGACCTTTTGGATGAGGGCGTCTGAGGCTGCTTTTGTGTGGGAGTATGATGCCAGCTTGACCTTTTAGAAGGTGGCGTCTGAGGGGTCCGAGGGGGTTCTTGTATGGGCGCGTCCTGCTCAAACTGGACCTGTTGATAGTCCTCGACAAGCGGTTCGGCTACCACACGTTCCTCGTTCTGCCTACTGCTGTCATCGGCGCCCGTCACGGCGCTATTGACAGTAGCCGCCGCGGGCGCCTCGCCTACGCTGCCCATCCCGGATAATTTCACAAAATTGGTCGGCGCAGAGATGGCGGGATAGTGAGGAGAAGAGAAGATGCCGTGAGCTGATCGTCTTTTGCTTTTCAACATGGTTAGCACGGGGTCCAGGGGTCCCGGATTCGACAAAAACAGAGTTTGGTTCAAGGTTTACAGCGGGGAGATGGGCATAGGCGACAACTTAATGGGACAGGGAATGCGGAACCATGACGAGGGATGCAAGTTAAAGATACACGTACCAAAGGGTCTCAACCGAGACCAGCGCCGCCCAGCACGTCCAAACAGACCGATGGCTCCCTCCCTGCTGGGACGGCGCTGAGGCTAGACTTGGTCCGGCAGGGCGCTGTCCCGATTTGACGGTCGATGATGACAGTAGGCTGTGTTGGCAGCTCGATCACGGATTGCCCGAGTAGAGTCGAGTCGGAGGCGACGGGCAGGCCAATAGTTTTGCCCTTAATTCTTCCCTTAACGGGTCGAGCCGACGGTGCAGAAGGTGCTTGGGCCCTGATGCTCGAACTGGCAATATCAAATCAGAAAGGCGTACGGATCGGAGGTCTTCACGTGCGGGGCTGGGCCGTCGAAAGTCTCCGGACGCGATGTCTGAGATTCAACGAAGCTCTTGCGCTGGAATCTCCACAGGGTTACTTCGTGGACATGCCGCGAAGTTGCACAGCAGGCCAACATCGATCCTTCATGGTGGGTAGAGGTGGTGGAAGTCATGCGAGGAGGTAGCGTCAGAGGCGGAACTGGACGCCGCATTTTTTAGCCACCCGATCCACCCGTTTGAAGTCGTGCCTGAGCGTGCCTGATGCTTCATGATTCGGCCGTGCCAACCCTGCCGGAGATCCTGGAGACGCGCCTCAGTCCATCGATTGGGCTGAAGGATTTCCTCTTTCGTCTCCGCAATGCTGTTTCGCCAAAAGAAATGTCAAGAGAGGAACGACGGCGAACCTCAACCTTCAAACGGCCCTCTCGCTTTGCGCAAAACACTGCCGACAGACTCTGGCACCCCTTGCTCCCTCAAGTCTTGCCATCCCTGCGAACCACTGACTCGTGCGTCGCTGAGAATCAGCGATCCCATCCGGCCAGCCACATGCAAATCATCAGCTCCCACAACACGGCACTCGCGCGTGGCAGCAAACGCGTCTCCCGAGTTCCTAAGGAGATCTACATATTGACGCAAGCGCATCTAGAAAATCTATAGCCATCTTCCGATTCACGCGGCTGCCAGGATACATAGATAGCCGGCTGCCGAGCCTCCGAATTCAGCGAGGAAAGGCTCGAAACTTTAAATCGTTGGTCCACGCTGACTCTGTCCCTGACATGACTTTGACATCGCGTGGAAGCCGAACTACTTCCGCGATGCGCAAACTGTTCCCCTGCGTCTAGTTGGTGGCTTTCCTTTTTCGTCGAACAGCGGCGCTATACAACGGCCGAACGTGCTTAGCACGAGGAGATGCTGTCCCGATCCGGGGAACACCGTGCTCGCCTCGAGCTAGTGAATGCGCGGTGATAGGAGGCGCTCTTGCTCGCTACCCCAGTCTTCCTCGCCCTCATCGATGTTCTTAGGCGGATGGCGGTATAGGACATAGTGTTGAAGGATGAAAATGACGTCAAAGACGATGGAGATGTTGCTCAGGCCGAATTTGACTGGATTACCTGTGATGCCGGTCCAGTCAGCTTGAAGTGAAGAGTCGATCACCAGCTGTGCTAAGGAAAGCCAGCCCCCAGCAAAATCCAGCAGCATCGGATAGATACTCCATCCTGTGAACGAAACGGTACACATTAGCGAATGCCTTAAAAATAAGGAGTCAACATCCTAGCATGTCTTAGTCCCGGGCCTCCGTAACGGTGGACAAGCCACTCATGGGGATCTTCGGCGGCTCGCGATCCAGGACATGCCAATATGTTCACCGCGATCGTACGTACCTACTGTTGACTTTCGTTTATAATTCACCCACACCTGGGGCATGTACTTGACCACGACGGTAATGAGCTTGACATATCCCAGTGCATAAATCTTGCTCAAAGTCAGCACACGCTAAGCCAATATATCCTCTCTCCACACTTACCACGTCAATCCAAGCCCATCCCTCAGGATCGTATCCTCCATCCTTCCCCCAAGTCTGCGCAAGCAGTGCCACAATCAGTATCCCCAGGATACTGCCCCAAAATATGCCTAGCGCAGCCCTGCTCGCCTTCTGTCGCGAGCCGACCTTGAACCCCCATACCGCGGGGAAGAACTGGCTGTATATGATAACGCATAGTATAGCTCCATGTCCCGCAAAGAGGAAGTCGTTGAATCGCACCGTCGTCTCTGCGTTGGAAGGATGGCGGTATGCATACTGCGAGCGTATTGTGGGCGAGTAGAGGAAGGCGGCTGTCGAGATGGTGTAGCAGGAGAAGCCGAGGACGTTTAGGGTAGGGAAGTCGATCGCGAGGCCGAGGGTGCTCTTGCGCCGAAAGTTGGATATTGGCTGAGGGTAGAAGGATCCTGACCTGGTTCGCAGAGTGAGCTGCTCCTGCTTCGGTCCACATACACGTACGAACGAGAGAGACGTACCAGCAGAGGAAATACACCCAGCCCAGCACTCTCGAGAGCGCCTTCGCAAAAACTACAATCTCAGTCTCGGTCATGCCGTCGCTACCGCTGAAGAAACTCCAGATACTCTTGGCATCACATACAGAAAGTCCGAGGTGGGTATTCCCGGGCTTTGGACGGATGGAATGTTGCTGCGATGACTTCAGGACACCAGCTGTGCCACGGCATGTCAGCAGGCAGGCGATAAAAAAGATGTGAGACAGGTCGACATGCTGAGAAGCCTCATGATGTTATCAAGCACGCGGCTTTGGTGGAAGCCTCGGGCGCGTTCGGATGTGATTCGCAGGGTGCAGATGACGACAGCGCGGGATGCCGAGCGCGGGATGCTGGGCTATCTTTGCCAAGCCATTTTCCTTCCCACAACGGAGACAAATAATGCAGGCCGGAAAGTGATAAAGGCTACGGTACTGGAGTCAAATAGTTTTTGAATAGCGATAGCCCTCCTCAAACTTGGGAACTACAGTGTCTCTTCAAGCAACAACTTCAGCCCCTTTGCCTGTCCCTCAAATGCCTCCTGAAGGCCTTCGCCGTACAGTGCCTCAAGCGTACTGGCCAACGCTCCATGGTACACCTCGCGACTCTCATACAGAACCTTCCCACCCCCAATATCACTCAAAGCCTGCCAACGTTCCGCTTCAAGGAGAATCTCTGGAGATTGATAAGCCCAGGCAAGCCGTCCCAAGTCAGGTTGGACATGAGTGACGTTTTCGTAAGCGAATTGAGTATGAAGAGGGTTGTCGGGCGTGTCCTCGTCCACTGGTAGGGGTAAAGGCGGGATTTGAACGCGGAAGAAGAGGCGGTCATTCTCAACGGGGCGTTGCTCGGGGAGCGTAAGGTTCGTTATCGACACCGCTATAGCAGCTCGGACGAAGGGGTTCCACTTGCTGTAATTTGGAAAATCTGTGAGCGCATCCCAGGCGGCGGCGACCGTCGTGGTGATCTCTATACGGGCGCTGACATTGAAAACGCCAGGGGCGACATCCGGAAGGTTGGTATACTCGGAGTAGACGCCGGATATTGAGACTGAAAACAGGAAAGCAAAGAGGGGAAGGAAGGAGAATGCCATGATGTGGAGTTTCTGAGCGAAGTAGAGGAAGTTCAGAAATCCTGTGGGGGAACTCGAGTACTTTATCACCAAACGGACCTGGATGTACCCAGCCGACGATCCTCCACAGTTATACCTAAAGCAACAGAGAACAGGAGCTGATCAGCAGTTCGCGTAGAAGCCCTTGGATCGAAGCCCTGTTCGGAGTTGCGTTATGTTCCCCAGTTTGAACACGGACAGGCTCGGTTACGACGGACAGCTTCGCTTCCAGGGCGTCGGAACTAGCCTTCGGAAACCTGATGTTGCGTGAGAACGATGAGTCCTTCGGCTCTTCTACGATGAGCTTCAAGGCCGAAGTCGTAGGGACTAGCTGTGGGTGTTGGACGCGTGATGGGCGGTCCAGGTAGTAGCCACTTGCCTTCGAAGACGCACTGCTTGGTGATGGTATCAAGGCGCTCTGATCCGCCCAGCAAGTATACAACGGATGATCTATTGAGGCTCCAGGAATAGTCCTGAAGGGCTGGCTTGCTGCTCACGAAGACGTGGAGGTGTGGGTGAGGCCGGGGCTGTGATAGGTGACTCAGTCGCGGAGAGCTTGAACCATTGGAGTCGCATTCCGGAGGTCCGCTTTCGGCTCCAAGCGAGCGCAGAAGCAGCTCTCTGGGGACTGGGATATGAGTCGTCGCGCTTATTGCAGCCGTATCGAGACGGAACTGTAGCAGAGGTATATTGCGTGGGCGGGGAGGAAGGGCGGATGGCGCAAAGGGCGGCGGGGTCCCACGCCTCCGCCGAATCGCCCGGAGGTGCTGCAAGCCCCTCCTCCACCGGCCCTCGAACTGATAGAGCCCAGATAGGCTCTCTGCACGTCCGCGAACCCGGCATAGCTGCATTTTACAGTCCCAACACTTTGCCTGCCGTATATCTAGGAGCCGCCGCGCCCTCCTGCCAGCGATACCTCTTCTCCTCCTCTGCATTGACTGCTGGGGAGCTCCACGAGCACACGTCCGCACCAGCTCGCCAGCCCCGCAAGCCCGCCTCGGCGATCCGCGACCGGCCAGCTCGACCGCACTCACGCAGAGAGAAGAGGCCAGATAGCAGCTTTGGCAGGCACCAGCATCCGCTGAACGGGCGTGGTGCTGTTCCAAAGTCGTCTGGCACGGGACCGAGCACGCGTCCCAGTCAGGTCCGTAGATGACGCAGGCCTTTGTCTAGCACTCAAGCTTCCCGTCTCGACTCACCCGCCGCGCCTCAACACCCGCCCGCACCGCATACCGCAGACACGCACTGCTCGCGCTACCGAAAGCACCTCCTGCACCATTCCCGCTGTTTGAATGAGCCCTTCGCCCGACCCCGCAGCCGACCACACGCACCCCGTCTCCAATCTTACCTACCTGCACCAGCAGCAGCGCAGCCGCAACAGGGTGCTGGACAGCGCGCAGGCCCGCGGCCGGAATATCTCGCGATATGAGCTGGGAAGAAGAGATAGGTATGGAGAGCGGGTTACGCGCATATATCCCCGAGAGATGTGAGTCTGGCCCATCCGCTGTGTCGAGCTTATGCTGGGCTGCTCCATGCCTGGCAGCCAGCTCGGCGCTTGAGAGCGCACTCTGTGAAGGCGGCTCTGCGCGCCTTGCGTGGACCGTTTGCTCGTCATAGAGGCTGACTCCAACGCAGAACAAAGTCCCCACCCACGGCAAAGAGGTACTCCTCCGCCTCCCCTACCGCGCCCCCTGCGTATAATGCGACAACCTCCCCTCTGCTCTCGGCACTCGGCGCCACCAAGACTGCCGCACAATATACAAACGAGTGGACCAAGTCCTTGCCCTTCTTTGCGAACCAAGCGTCCCCGGGTAACGGCGGCATCGCCATCAACGGCTCGCCTCCGAACTTCCACAACTCGCCAGGCCAACAGGCCATGTCCAACTCCCCTCCGGCAGCGGGCATGAGACCCCTGAGCCATCCAAACCATTATACCAGCTTCGGCGGCCGGCTGCAAAGCTCGCCTCACGAATCGCCAGCACGAGACCGTCGAGCTTCCATGTACTCGCAATACGGAGTCAGACCGCCTTCTGGCCACTTTGCTGCGAACCCGCCCCTGCCCCATCAACCGCAGGCGCATTTCTACAACCTCCCTGACTTCGATCTTGGGTTGAATAACGTGCCAGACGAGGGCATTACTGCGGGTGAAGGCGGATACTACTGTGGCTTCGACACCCTTAGCATGGCAGGAGACGAGGCTGCGAGAGGGGCAGAAAATGTCCTGGTCGTCGGGTATCAGGGCGGGATCGATGTTTTCCGGGTTGAGAAAGGCAAGATGGATGTTGTCGGCCGTCTAGAAGGCCTGAGGGGAAGTGTTGTAGGAGCGAAAGTCCTCCCTTGGACCTGCCGTAGAGACCCCCTGTGCGCTTCCAGACCCTTGATCGCTCTTACGCTTCATGGACCAGTTCTCGGAGAAGCCCAGAGCAGCCACAGCGGAAGCGGACCCTCTTCCGTGATCGATGACTCTTCGTCAGGATCTCCGAGCCGGCCCTCTTCCCGGCGCGGGGACGACTCTGCCAGCAGAGTTGCCAATTACCAGACCACAGTGGAAGTGTATTCGTTGAAAGAGAAACGGAGAATTGCCGTCCTCTACCAGAGCCCTCTAATCCCGGTTGTTAGTCCTGTCGATAGCCCGATGTTCCAACCGCCGCCTCCTGTTGGCGATTTCGTGGTCGATGCTAAGGGCAAATTTGTCGTGGTGGCGTCCGGTGAAAGTGGTGAGATCTTCGTCTTCGCTCCCTACCTGAAAGACCACGAAGACTATCAAGAGAGATTTCGATGCATAGGAAAGGTCTGGACGTCCGTTCAGTTCCGAGAGCGGGTTTCTCACTCCAGTACCTCTAGTGCCGCCGATGGCAGCCTGGAGGATCTACCGCCTGAGAAGTACGGAGTACCGATTTTCTCCCTTTCCGATCGTTGGTTAGCTGTTACACCGCCGGCATCGACTGCTCTGTATCCCGTCAATGGCGTTGCTCTCGTCTCGCCCCACTATGAGCGGCCGCCCGGCCTAGCACATCACACCGTGCCACCTCAACCCTCGCCAAACTGTGCTGTGGATGCCCCTGAAGCAGCCAGTTTGATCAATCGCCTAACGAGGGAGGGCACCCAGGTAGCGATCAAGGGCGCGAGATGGGCTACCGAAAAGGGTATCCAGGCTTTCAAGAGCTACATGAACAAGGGATCGCAGGCTAACGGGAACGCAAATGTCCCTTACGGCTCAGAGCCAACGCAGCAGTACTTCCCACCGACTCATGGCCATAGCCAAACCCAGCCGAGGCAGGAATCCACCGTGATATCAATTTTCGATCTGCAGAGGCTTCAAGATGCTGAAGAGACCAAGAACAAGAGCGCTCTACATGCGGTCGCTACCATTCCTGCCGCCCTGGGCTGCAGCTTTCTCTCGTTCTCGCCGAGCGGCTTGTTGCTCATGACTGTCAGCAAGAAAGGCGACTTCCAAGACGTATGGGACCTCAAACGCATGAATTTCCGCCGCGCGCGCAAAACAATGCGGGAACAGCCCACCGGACCGTACGTACGGCAGGTCGCTAGATTCGCGCGAATGACCGTCACCAATGTTGTAGAGGTAGTCTGGTCCGCGCCGAGAATCGACAAGCTCGCCGTCATTACGGATAAAGGCACTGTACATATGTTCCTGATGCCGGCATCCGCCTTCCAATGGCCCCCCCAAAGACGCATTCGCAAGCCGAACGAAGCCTCGAAGTCCAAAGAAGACGCTACCGCTGGGCGTGGTGGTGCCGTCAGCTCTGCCATGCAAGCTATCAATGGCACAGCGAAGCCGTTCCTTAGCGCTATGCGCCCACGCAACAATAGCAACGGCTCGCGCTTCACACTGAGTAGTCTCGGTATGACGCCCGCTGCGGGAGCTAAATCAGGCAAGGCCGTTGCTGCTGGAGTGGGCAAGTCGATTAACAATATTCGGCATGCTGGCGATAACAAGCTCACGCTTCCCACCTCTCCAAGCGGTATCAAGCCTCACAGCGTGCGGTGGTTGACTGGGAAGGGCCGAGGATCGATTGCTTTGGTCTCTGGCGGTGTGCTCCAGATATATCGTGTGCATATGCGACCCGCTACCGGCAAAGGCAAGTCTGCTAATGCGACTTCTATTTCGAAGAAAAAGCTGGTAGAGTTTGGCCTTGCGCCAGTCCGGGATACGCTATTCGCACCGTCAATTGCTGCTCAACTATATCCTCCGCCTGGCGAGCAAGACAACGCAAACGACATACACGGCGAATGGCTCCCTCGCTCGTTGCCCCGCAAAGGAAAACCCGGAGCAACTGGCAAGCCCACAGGGTCTTCACCAGCACCCCTCAGCTTCTCAGAGATCGAGACCAACCCTGCTTACCAACCCTTCTACACCGACCGCCGGGTGACCCGCTTCGTCTACTCCCGGCATCAGACGGACGTCCACAACAGCCACAGCGAATACCACCCCCCAACACCCGACATCATCTCGAACCTTCACCACGAAAACGACGAGTCGCCATGGTTCTTCGGCCAAGACGTGGAAGCCACCCGTATCTCGTCTCCCACAACTCAAGCATACGATTCCGGCGAGGATGATCTAGCTGCCGCCGTCGCTGCGCACATCGAGAACAAACTGGTACTCCGCGACGGCGAAGAAGAAGTCGAGCAAGTCGTTGTTACTACTAGGCGGAGACGCGTGAGGAGGGAGGGCACGGAAGAGGATGAGGAGGGTTTCTTCGAGGATGACTGCGAGGTGCTTGACTTTGCGGAGGATAGAGTGTGAAGGCGGGCTGGGCGGCTTCTTCTCTCCCATGTTTCTTTCATTCAGCGCGCCCCCGATACCATCTTCTTTCTCTATTCCAACACATGGGCGCGATATAAGACCGGGTGGTTGGGCTGATCATCTGGGATGTTTGTGGGTGGAGCATGGAGGCGCTTTGGCGTTTACCTGATTTCAACGTTTGTTTGCATCGAATTGGGATACCGGAACGGATGAGTTGTGCCTTGCGCGATATACGCGACCGTAGATAGACAATGAGCATAAGAATCAGTATGACAAAGCTGGCAGCGATGAGTGCTTGAGGTAAGCCTTGAAGAAAGAAGGCGAACGCGAACCCAGGGCGCCATAATAGAATTCCATGTAGCGAATATGGCGTGGAGGTACCTATCAGCAAAGCTCTTGATTTAAAACCGTCTTAGGTATCCAAAACCCCAACACTTTGATTGCTTTACATCAAGACCTTAGACATGGAAATCTGGTTGTTATCGGATGATCAGGCTGGACTGGCGTCTTTGGCTTCGTACCGCACGGTGCATTCATTCTTCTACGAGGAACATGGGTGTACAGGGAGTCAGGCGCGCCTTGCGCCGACTTGAGTTTCCTTCAGCAAGCTATCCCTCTTCTACCCGTTTTCGTCTTCGTGTCTAGCTCTCTAGCTTCGTTCCCAGGGCTTTAGCCGATCTAGTGGTTTGGGACTTCTGCGACGAGGGTGTAACGCTGGTCGCGGTCTCCGTAGCGGGCGGGGATTGTGCCAATAGTTCGTTCCGACCTGATAGCAGAGCCGGGTGATGCTGCGGGTTTGTTCCTCCGGCGGGCGAGCGCAGTTAGGAGCGCCGAGTTGGATTCGACTCATTTCGCGTCCGCACCCGCCCTTCACACGTGCCGCCAGCCATTCTCGTGGAGGACGTGCATCTCGTTAACCAAGCAGAACTCGCCGCGTTCTTCCCTCGCCGGATCCTTCTTCCTCCACTTCTTCACTCTGCTATGCACCACCGACTCCTTGAACAGGGGCGACGTCGTCCAGCGGCGTATGCGGTTCTCCCAGATAGCAGTGTAGATTCCGAAGGCGGATATTTCTGCGGATTTCGAGTGCACGACGTCGTACGCGGTGCCGTTGTAGCCTACTTGCACCATGGGGTTTAGGAAGACGCCCCGCGTGGCGGATTGCGGATTGTCGGCATGTATCAGGCAGCATTCGGAGCCCTCTAGGTGGTACGAGCCGAGGGAATCGGGGATGCCGCGGAAGCGGAGCGGGGAGGGGGTTAGGAAGGGTTCGGAGCGCATGGCCACTGTGAGTGTGCTTAGTTAGATACGGTGCTTAAGGCAAGTAGAGGGTCATGGGGGGCGGGCAGTCTTACCCATGCCGTTCCAGCACGACGCGACGGGGACCGGTAGAAGGCGTTCCGCGGCGTATCTTGAGGTGTAAGACCTAAAATAGGGCCATGTCTGCATCACCGCCTCGTGGCCGTTCGAATCGCGCAACGCAAAGGTGTCGTAGAAGTACGGTGGGTTTGAGAAGTCTAGAGAGCACGCCGCGCCGTATGAGCCGCCGTTCGTGTCGAGCAGCCGGAGTACATCCTGCGGCTACACTCAGTTAGCATATATCCCGGGGTTTGATTCCGTTGTGGCGCATACCGTGAAGACAACGTCGTTGAGGAACAATACGGTGTCGTATAGATGACCCTGCGAAGACAACGTCTCAAGCGGCTGTAAGACCTGATTCCGCAGGTTCGCTAGGAAAGGTATGCGTCTCAGCGCAATGTCGCCCGAAGGAATCTTAATCCAACCATGGTCCCCCGGCTGCTTCGTGATCTCGTCTTTGTGCGAAACGTCCGAGAGCGAGATAGTCCGCTTGACCTGCAATTCGCCCAGCGTCGCATCCAATTCTCTCAAGACGTCCTTTGTATCATCATAGCTCCCGCTCTCGTATATGGAGACGTATACATTCTCGATCCCAAGCTCCTTGATCAATGCTACGAGGGAATTGTTCCAGCGTTCCCGGAGTACCCTCGCGGTGTTCCAATGCTGTGCGGCGATGTAGATGCGCCGCGTATTGCGGGGAGGCGGCGGGGAACGGCGCGCGGCAGCCTGCGTCCAATATATATTGAGTATATGCAGCGTATCGCAAAGCAGGAACAGGGCGAAGAGGACCCGGAGGATTGGTTGGCGGTAGAGACGGCGGACAGAGTGGTATCTGCGGCCCATTAGGATGATCGGTTAAGTAGGTCCCATGTAGATTGTTTGTAGACATGTAGTGGGAAAGGAATGTATGTAAGAACAAAGAAAGTGTGGAGGTGCGGAAAGCTGCGGACTTACCTACGCTCGGCGTGTGACACTAACGATGAGTGACTGCGCCGTGCCCTTGCGGAGGATTCCCAAGCCTCGAAGAGCAATGCCACGGACGCTGATGTGTCGTCGGGTTTCAAATGCGGCTTAGCAGCAGGTTCCCGGCCCTGGGCGCATCCATGCGTTGGCCAATCGCGTTCGAGCGGTGCCTCGCGCTTATGTCAACCTTGACTTTCTCGTTCGCAGGAGCGCGTTTCTTCCTCTTTCATAGCCCGAGCATGCTTAGGTATTCCGACGAAGAGATTCTGTAGCTTGATTTCTCTCCATGAGTAACACCCAGGTGGCACCATCTTCAGCGTTCCAAGGTTGTCTGGGTTGGGAGGGCATATTGCTCTCGCATTCGTTGCGCCGGTACTCGCTTGCTCACCTGTTATCCTCAGGTAAACTATTTGAAGGAATACTTAAGTTCACCATATGCTACTTGATGCTCGCAGGATATCAAGGCAAGTATTCTCAACTCCAGTTTGAATTGTCTGCACAACCTTTTCTTCCGGTTCAACCAAACTATTTCGCGAAACTAAGGAACTAAAGCCAACAAAAAGTCAAATTTTTGAACGTAAGGGCGGTCCAACGGCTATATAGGGTGGGCTTCTTCTATTACAATTCATCATTTCTCATCATTCTTCCATCACACTTGCAGACTCGCAGTCATATTTCTATTCACTTACCATGGCGACACAACACCCCCTGAAGCGCTCTCGTTCTCCATCTCCTACCACTTCGTCATCACCAGTCCTGCAGCGCTTCAAGACATCAGAAAGCGTCAAATTCCTCGTCATCTCCGACACTCATGATGCAGAGCTTTCGTTCTACCCCCACTGTGACGTCCTGCTCCACTGCGGCGATCTAACAGAGGACGGCACCCCCTCGAGTATCTCCAATGCCCTGAAGGCCCTCAGGAAGGTCAATGCAGAGCTCAAGCTCGTCATACCCGGCAACCACGAGATCTCCTTAGACAAAGATTACTACCTCGCTGAAGGGGGCACCGAAGACGACCATCTAAAGGCCCGCGACACTGCATACGGGCCTGAAGCACGTCGGGCTGGGGTTTCCGTCCTCGACGAAGGAACGCACACCTTCACCCTGAAGTCTGGTGCGACCTTCAGCATCTACGCAAGCCCTTGGACGCCAAAATACGGAGCTTCAGCGTTCCAGTACCCCAGCAACAAAGACCGCTTCAACGAATTTTCACCAAAGTGGGCGGAAAACGTTGGTACCGAGACGTCGGTCATTCCCGAGGGCGTCGATATCGTTATGACGCACGGCCCACCCAAATATATCCTCGATTCAACCTCGGACGGACGAAGTGCTGGGTGCGAGCATCTCCGACGAGCAATCGCGCGGACGCGGCCCAAGTTGCACTGTTTTGGGCATGTGCATAGGGGTTATGGTGCCCAACGGATCGAATTTGACCCCAAGTGGGAGGAGGAGGAGAAGAGTGGTGACGACTTAGATTGCATCGTTGCCCTTCCCAAGGAGTGGGTAGGGAAAAATCAGGCGAAGCGGAAAGGGTACGCGAGTCTGCCTCCGAATTCAGCCGAGGCCTTTCGCGACCGAAAGCAGACTCTGATGGTGAATGCCGCTGTGATGGACGAGAAGGATGAACCCGGAAACGCGCCGTGGGTTGTCAATTTAGAGTTGCCCTTAACTAAGGGAGCTGAAGGCCTCCGGGATGGTGTATCATCAGTACGCTGATCTAAAGAGGTGACTGGGTGGGCGCCAGGACACGTAGCCGAAACATTAGGCATTTGGCATCTTGCAACTTCCCTTGTCAGCATCGCTATGAGCTTTTCAATTAAGGAAGGAATGAATCTTGTCTTCACAGTGCTCCCTGCCTAAGTCTCAACGCAAACAGCGTTAGCATAATCAGCATACCAAAACCGCCCCGGGAGAGAGGATGGCCTCCGGGACTACATTTGGCTTTCAGGCGAAAAGGCGTTGGAAAACGTCTTAAATAATGATTATCTGCGAGCTAAGGCCTAGGTAGGTAACGCGACGCCACGTGACCTCGCGTCAGACCTGGATCCACCTTTGAAGGTCTCCACCCTTCCTTTCCACCACCCCGCCCAGCAATGGATCGTACCACCCACTTAACCCGCACCGCGAATAACTTGGAACTGGACATCTTTCAGGATGTCCTTATTCGGCGGCGATGATTCCGTCCCACAGACGCCGACTTCTCAGGAAGACGATTTAACAGATTATCCCGCACCCTCGCGCTCGCCCACCCCGCAATACGCACAGGACCCGCCGCTTGCCTTGCACCCTCTCTATTCTGACGAAGAGGAAGTAGAGGATTCAGAATATGAGAACGAGTCTGATCTCGAATCGGACCAAGAACCCTCCCGCCCGAATCGCTTCCCCGGAAGACCGCATCAATGGCGACGATACACGGCGCCAGATCGCCAGGTTGCCGCCGCGCTTGAAAAAATAGAAGCCCGAGATCTTGGAGCACATCTCTACAACGCACACAGTTTGAAGCGTCGTGTACGACGGCCTGCGGAACAATTGGCTGGGGTGGAGAGCTGGCAGAGCAGAGATTCTTGGTTGAGGAAAGGAGACGAATTGGAATTCACGGATCCAACTGGCGAAGTGCAGATGGAGCTTGTCCCGAAGAAGCACTGGACAGCGTGGCCACAACCTCCGCACACGTTTTCGGCCTTCGAAATTGGCCCGGCCAACGCGGATAGCGACAAGGATACATGGGATGGCAGGAGATTCGATAGGCGAGACGCAGGAGAGGTTCTGCGAGGGGAAATGCTGGCTCTGTTTATGCGGGTGGCGAAAGAAAAGTGGTCTTCGCGAGAGTCCGACACAGAGCACGCAGATAATAGCCCAATTGCTCGGGTGAGCTCGGGATTGGGGTCAAGGGGCACCCAGGGGGCTCCATGTTCTCTGGCAGCTGCTTCCGGTCAAGGCTCTTCCGGTGTTGAACTGCGAGATGCGCATGGATCTATAGGGGATGGTGCATTGCCATTAGCGAGCGCGCCAGAGGAGTCTCAGCACCCGCACTCAACTGGCCGCCAGTCGTTGATTGGGAAGCCTGTGGTTCTCGCCGACGACACTAAGGCGCAGGACATATTGCAGCCTTCGGTCAATTCTCTGCTCTCTCAGCTAGACTACCTGGCACTAGGTGTTCGCCGCACCCGACTCAATCACCTTGGGAGGGGCGACGATAGTGACAAGTCTACGAGCGAATTCACCTCAGACGCTGCCTCGAGGCCGTCATCAAGGCGCGGTTCCCAGCGCGCTCGGGCTAGGAAGACAGGCTCTCGACTTTCATCTCGCACAGGCCCTTCATCGAAGGGCAAAAAGAAGCCAGGCAGACAAAAAGCACACGCTGAGCACGATGGCGATTCGGCGTCGGAATATCCGGCTGACTACGATGAGGGCACGGCAACCGAGGCCGGTTCGTCAGAGAACTCACCAGCGAAGCCCAAGCGCAACAAGTCTCAAGACTCCTCAAATGAAGAATACAGCTCGGCAACATCTAACAGGCAGCATGAGCAAGTAGGACTAATGGATTGGAGCGAAGTGCTGGGTATCGCAGCCATGACGGGCTGGAACGAAAAGGCAGTTGCTCGAACAGCCCAGCGCTGTGCAGCACTCTTCGGCGAAAGCATGGCGTTCCGACCATTCGATGAAAGCCTTGCTACCAAGTCTGTATCTGAGCCGGTATATTACACACCCTCTACGATTCCCGTACCCGAAAACCTCGTTATCGGAGCCTCACTAGGTCCAAAACGCCCCTACTTTGAAGCCGGTACCCTTCGATGTCCGCACAAGGATTGCTGGGGACATGAACAGGATTTCGAGTATCAGTATCGGGTTATTGAGCACGTTAAGCGCGTTCACCAGTACGATCCGCACACGAATGACTCGGATAATGAAGAGCGTATGACTGGTGGTGTGCATTTCGATGGCTTTCTACAGCCGATTACCGCGAAGCGAGGGTGGATTGGAAGTGGGCGCTTGAGTTCTCGGAATACGGGGTCGGAACCGCTGAAGCCGAGAAAGAAGCAGAAGATTGCGAACGAGGCTTGTGATTGAAGGCATGCTGGTTTCCGAGACGCCCAGCTGGCATCAGAGAGATAAACACATTAAGCCTGTGCGCCGAGTTTGATCGGCAACACAGCTCAAAGTGTTAATTGCAGCCTAGTAGAAGAGATACTTGTTACCAGCATATGTATAGATGCATAGGAGCGGTTGGGGGAGAACCGTTGATAGGGCTGAGCTAGTAAACACTAGCGCGTGAGTTCGTGTGTTCCGCGTGTCTAGGCCCTCCACGCGTTCGCTTGGGCACTCTCAAACGTCAACTGCAATCCACACCTCATTCATATTCTCGCTAGAATTTACAAGTACTTTATCTGACCGCTCACATACGCTGTACAGGACCTCCATCGGCTTTTACACAATCGAACAGCTTTCATCCGCGCGAGGGTTGTCGGAGCTGCGGGGCGGTCGCGTCTGCAGCTTGGGCGCTTCGAATCCGGACACCATGGCCCCACCATCCTACCCATGGCAAACGTACGGAAACGACGAGAACGCGTCTCCAGCGGCCCCAGTGAGCGTTGGAGGGCTAGGGAAGTCGAAGAAGCGACAGAGGGGCAAGGATCATATAGAGTCTCACAACTCTGGGCAAAAGAGGCATCAGAAGCACAAGTCGCAGGCGAACGGTGCCCATGTTGCTCCGCAGTACTACAATCCGGCTGGAATCCCTCTGCCTGCAGCCACAACACAAAAGCCGGTGGAGATTATCAGCTTAATCGACGATGACGACGAGCTGCCACAGCACGTTAAGCCCGCGGCCCCCCGGAGCATGCTTGAACAGGCAGTCTACGAAGCCCAGCCGCCTATAATAGGTACCCAAGATGCTCCCCTCCATATACCATCAGATCCGGCGTCTCATCGTCCGTCGGTGACGGCCTACACTGTACCCTCTCCTCCACCTCCGCCCGCAGCCGTTCTGGACGCGTCCACAGCCGATGTTGTTCCCATCACCGAACCGACGCTGTGCAAAGAACAGGCCGATCTAGTCGACCTTATCCTTAGCGGTCAAAACGTCTTCTACACCGGCTCCGCTGGATGCGGCAAGTCTACCGTGCTGAAGGCCTTCGTGAAGCGCTTCAATGAGCGGGGCATGAGGGTTAATATCGTCGCGCCGACGGGCCGGGCGGCGCTCGATATCAATGGGTCTACTACGTGGACTTATGCAGGATGGACGCCCGACAGTCACAAGAAGCCTCTACTGGACTTGAAGCGCGCTGCCCACGGCAAATTCGTACGCATGCGCCTTATGGAAACCGATGTTCTAGTTATCGATGAGATCAGCATGGTCGAGAATCTACATTTCGAGAGGCTCAATGCGGTGATGAAGGAGGCCCGGGGGAGTGATGCGGCTTTTGGCGGCGTCCAGTTGGTTGTCACGGGCGACTTTTGCCAGCTTCCGCCGGTCCAACCTTTCAGGCACTGCATCGAATGTGGAAGGGAGCTTGTCAGAAATAGGGAGGGGACAGAGTACAAATGCCGAATGCACGGCACCTACTATGACGAGGACAAATGGTACGTACTTTGCGGTCCACACCACATGCAGTATGCTCAATTTGGCTTTGGAAAACCACTTGTGGAGGCCTTTTGCAGATGAAGGCAACTTCAAGTAGCTTACTTGTGGACTTGCCTCACCTTTGAATACGAGACACTTACTAATGTGTACCTAAACAGGGCTTTTCGCTCAAATGCCTGGAAAGAGTGCAACTTTTCGCACATCAACCTCACGAGTATCCACAGACAGAGCGACAAGACCTTCATCGATATCCTCCAAAAGCTGCGTATAGGCACTCCTCTGTTGCCAAAAGACTTCGATACTCTCCTCAACCATCATTCGGAGACCCGCAATGCTATTCAGCTATTCGCGACCCGCGAAGAAGTGAAGAGAGTTAACGATGCAAAGTTCCAAGCTCTACGTACGACAGCTCGCACATATAAGTGCGTAGACCACTTCAAGTGGAATGAGAAGCATGGGAACCTAAGGTCTAAGGGTGATGTAGGCCCCGATGGGTCGCTTCTTGCGCTTCGGGAGCATCGCTTCGAGAGCCAGATTCAGCTGAAGAAAGGGATGCTGGTAGTGCTACTCCACAACCTCGATATCGGCGCGGGCCTTGTCAACGGCTCGCAAGGCACCATCCAGGGCTTTGAAGACTACGACAAGAACAAGATGCCAAAGGCGGCTACAAACAGGGGCAGGGATAATGATACCTACCAGCCGGGAGTTCCGGTCCTCCAGGGAGACCACGGCGCTTTCCGCGAGGAGCGACTTAAGGAGTACGTCAAACAGATGAAGTACAAGGCTTGGCCTATCGTCAGATTCCTAAACGGCGTTGAACGGACTATCTATGCCGACTGTACTGTCAACGAGCTCGGGGACGAGCCGCCGTATAGTATTCTTGCGAGGACTCAGATCCCGCTTATGGCAGCTTGGGCAATGACGACGCATAAGAGCCAGGTTCGTACTTTAGATCCCAATTCCTAAACTCACGACTAATGTTCGACAGGGCATGACGTTGAATCGAGTGGTTGTAAACCTGTCGAAATCGTTCGAACAAGGTCAGGCATATGTGGCCTGTGAGTATTTGATCCCAATCTATCTGGTTCTCGAATTAATTTTCCCTACAGTGAGCCGGGCACGATCACTCGAAGGGTTAAAAGTGGAGTCTTTCCCACGCAGTGCTCAGGGCTCTGGCAACAAGCAGGTGAAAGAATTCTTGCGCGAGAAGTTCGGCATCTAGGGAGATTTTTGCCTACATATTGACTTTCCAATTGATTCTATGTATTGAGCGATCTGATAGCGAGCATAGGGCGGTGATAATTTGCGAGTATTGATACCCTGTTCCTATGATTTATATGGGTATTGGGAACCCGTTCGTTGCTTCAATGCAACGAGAGAGAGGGTGGACCAATCTCATTTCGGATGGGAAGCAAGGTCTGATTTAGACAAGGCGCTGGTCGGTAAGGCGTCCATGTAGAACTACTCAAAAGTTACTCTCACTAGGTTCTAAAGCACACCGTGGCCCTATAGGGCTCACGGAGAAAAGTTCCGATTGGTTAGGTCACATTCATCAAGTATCGCTAGCCGCCAATGCAATGGTAGAAAAACTTGCTAATGGAATGCAGCTAGAAAGACAGAATAACAGGGCAGTTCCGTTTCGCGATCGTGACCCCGACGGCAAATGTTCTTCCAGATCGCACGTCGTCGCTGCAAAAAGCCAACACCACTCACCACTCTACACAGCCAGACATTATTCCGCCGACGAAACTTTGCAGCAGCCTCGATCTCCAAAGGGTCCAGCCATCACAGAACGATTAACGGTCCAGCTTGTTCCCTGCAGCGATCCGCCTTTCGTTGTGTGCGAAACTTGAATCTCGCGCAACCCTGATGACGCTAAACTGCAAAGTGACGTATGCGCGATCGGGTATAGCACCCATATATCTACGACGCCTGGATGCGAGCCCTGGTTTGTGATCTACTGCGCATTTAATATTTTCTTAAAGCGATTATCAAAAGATTCGAAATCGATTTTCTTTGAGCTATTGGGATTGTATCGAGAAGGATTGAAAAGTAGAGCAAGATGTTCGCTGTTGATGAGCTCAAGAAGCAGAACGCTGGGCTTCAAGGTATGTTATGTGCTTCTCATAAGCGCTGAGTCTTACTTCGGATGGAAGAGTCTATGCTAATCATTCTCTACAGCCGGCGTAGCGAATATTTCCAAAGTCGCCCAAGGCGCTTCACAGAGAGGCCAGTCGACCGCGAAGAAGCCTGCTGCAACGGCGCAGAAAACCGCAGCGCCAGCTACACGGAAAGCTACTCCGGTGAAGAAGGCTACACCGGCTACCACCGCGAAGTCTACCACAAACACTACGACTCCGGCTAAGAAAGCCCCGTCGAAGCTGAACTCAGCATCGACCTCTATGCCAGCGAATAGCCCAGCTTCGAAGACTACGACGCCGGCGAAGGCTACGCCTGCGCGGACACCAATCGGGACAAAGAAATCGCTTCCATCTGCTGGCTCGAATACAGCATCCACAGCTAGCCCCGCGAAGAAGACCCCAACCACCGCGCCGAAAGCCTCCGTGGGCGATACACCCAAGCCAGCCCGAACACCCATCGGCACAAAGAAACCCCTACCCATCTCAAAAGCCACCCCATCTTCAAAAGCCACCAGCGCAGCGAAGACCAGCACCCCCGCGAAACCCGCAACCAGCACACCCTCCACAACAACAACCGGCGCTAAAGCAACCCCCATCAAGAAAACCCCCGTCAAACCCGCCGCCAACCCCGACGGCACAAAGCCCACCCCCGTAGCCGCGAAAAAGATCGCCCCGGCCGCCCAGCCCGCAAAGAAACCCGGCGTCATCGGCAGCGCCTCCAACGCCGCAACCGGCACCCTCAACAAGGGCGTCGGCCTCACTACGGGTACCGTGAACACGGTGACCGACTCTGCGACGACTGGCCTGAACAGCACTGTTAATGGCGTTACTGGCGTCGCGGGTAAGGGGCTTGACAAGCTGCCTGCTGGAGTAGGGAAACCGGTGAAGCATGTCACGGATGGAGTGGGCAAGACGGCGACAGGCGCAACGGATAACTTGTACTATACGACGGGGGCGGTGACGAAGGGCGTCCAGGGGACAGTTAGTAAGACCACAGGAGCACTAGGTAAGGGAGACGTTAGGGGTGCGGTGGGAGGCGCGACGAGTGGGGTCGGAAACACGGTTGGCGGGGTTGGGAAGGTATGTTGTTCTTTCTTTTATTGGGTTTAGTTGAGTTGAGGGTGAGCTGACACTTGAACAGGGTCTCGGAAATACCGTGGGAGATGCTGTGGGTGGGGTGGGGGGAACGGTTGGCGGCCCGCTTGGGGATGTGGTTGGTGGAGTGGGGAAGGGAGCTGGTGATGCCGTCGGTGGTATTACTGGCGGATTGGGAGAGGGCGTGGGTAAGTTGGGCAGGGGCGATTTTGTCGGGGGCCTTGGAAGCACCGCGGGCGGCGTGCAGAAGGGCGTTGGCGGGCTGTTGGGAGGACTGCTCGGAGGTATTTCAGGTGGTAACGAGGAGGAGTGAGCAAAGTCCCAAAAGCCGTATTAGATTGGTATGTTTTCTCAGCTTCGATTTTCTAATGTGTAGTTCTATCTATTCTATAGGTTATGAAACTAATTCGACTAATGCCCAACCGAAACTCCCTACGCCTGTCTACCCTATTCCCCTTGCGCATCTACACCTCAGGTCCCAACACCGGCTCACTAGCTGCCATATTACACTGCCTAAAAATCCTAACCTCCTCGGGCAAAAAGCTCCCCGTAACCGTATGCAGCACGCCCCTATTATGAAAGATGGCAAAGTCGCCCTCCTCCCAATCAATTGGGTACACGAGCTCGGGCGCAATACCGGGGCGCTGCATGCGGTGCACAATCTCGCGGACCTGCTTCAGGTCGTCGATGACGTTGCCGTCGGCGAGGATCAGTTTTTGCACGGCGGACGGGTGGATTTGTAGCGCGAGTTGGTTGGTGAGCGGGTTGCGCCAGCACATAGGGAGGACCTTGATCTTGGATTCGTCGATGGGCGGGAGCTGGCAGGGGGAGAGTTCGAGGCCCTCGGAGATGAGGCCTAGCCCGTCGGAGCGGGATTTCGCGGGGGACATCCAGATGTATGGGTGTGGGGCATACTGGTTTTGGTCAGCATACTGGTATCTCTCATATGCTAGGTTAGGAGATGTGGTATGTACATACCTGAACCTTAGTCGTCCTGGCGAACTCTTTGTCCTCTTCGGACAAGAGGTCGTACATCGTATAGCTGCTTACAAACGCCGTACTTCCCCTAGGCACCTTCAACTCATCCCCCGTCCCATCATCATACCGCAAGTTCTGATACTGCGTCTTCGGCACCTTGACCGCCAGCAAGCTGGTCGCCTTGGGCGGCTCGAGATCATACAGCGCGGCATCGATATGCCATCTGTAGAACCTCGTGTTCTCGCGGTCGTCTTCTTCGCTGATGGCTTCCTTGTGGAACGTCTTGTGGTGCGGATGCTTCAGCGTGATATCCTTCAGTCCCTCGAACTCAGCAACGGCGCCGTTTCCGATGACTTGGACTTGCGGCTGGTGCGGGATGGTTTTCAGATCTGGGTGCAGGATGGAGCGCTTGGCGTCGAGTGTCTTGCCGTGGCCGTAGCCGGTGGCGGCTGGGTCGAAGAGGCGGGTCACTTCATATTGGGCTTTGGGGGTGAGAGCGTGCTGGTTCTTGAAGAGGATGACTTGGTGCTCGTAGAGGGCGCGCTTGATTATTTCGGCGTCGGCGTCGGTCAGATTCTCGAGATCAGCGCCGCGCAATTCGGCGCCAAAGTCGTAGGTGGAGCCTTTGGGAGGCTGGATAGGGTGAATGGTGATGTTGGAGGTGGTGGAGTGAGGCATTGCGATGTCTTTCAGTTGGTAGGCGGAGTGTTTCAGATGGGATATCGAGAAAATCGATGGTTATTGATTTCAAATAGTGTTGCTTTGGTGTTCGAGGTACTTGGAGTCATGCTGGATATCATGGTTGACTTGCACCGCTCTATATACGAAGTGCTCATCATCTGTGGCGGAGGAGTGCACCGACTCTTGGGCCCACGGCAGCGGCCGATCGTCATTGTATGCGAAAGGCCTTCGCCTGTGAGCCCAATGGAAGGGGGATAGAGGTCTAGAATTGTGGACGCGTGCAAATCGTGCTTTTCCGAGAGATAATGGGCCGGCGGGTTGCCGCGGGATACCGCGGTGCTCCGATCCTCATCGTTGGGTTCCGCCGCTCCCGCGCCATCCGACCACGATACTATTTTCCACGGCATTGCATCACCAGAAAGTAGTTGAGAACGGCGGATTTATGAAAAAGGGATCCATTGAGATTCGAAAATCCCGCCTCGATGACGAGGTGCCGCGTGCTTGGACGTCGCAATGTTCGCGCATTTGCATACTAACACACAATGAATTTATCGTAACCATCTCTCAAGTCGAGGTAGATCTTCTGAACCCACCCGACATCATAGACTAACCGCCTAAGCGAAGTCGTATCCATATCCTTATTTCCAAGAAGTGTTTTGAACGCCATCGCTAAGTCTCGCCGGACCGCAGCACCGTTCAAACATCAATTGCATCGACCGTAACGCCCTTGACCCAGGTATACTGCATAATGCGAGCGACCTCTAGAGCCGACTCGTGAGAAACCAGAGAAGCTACCAAGTACAAGCTGGCATCCAGGCCAGCCGTGACGCCGCCCGTGGTGATGACGCGCATACCACCGAGCGGCATCGAGGCACGCCGCGCGATGGACTCGCGGCGGCGAGACTCCCTCCAAGCGTTGCTGCCCTTGCGCGCGATGGACTTCCGGCGAGCGTGGGACATGTTGGCGCCCTCACGGCTCTTCTTGATGATGTACGGGTTCTGTCCTGCGTTAGTATGGCTCTCTATGTGGCGATTATTCAAAGCTACTCACATCGTCCGGGTTCTCGCCCAAATCAAATCGCGCATTATTGACCACGTATCGCTCCTCCATGACATCGGTGCGCATCGAGAGATCGCGAGTAGAAGCCTCCTGGCAGATCGTCTCAAGGCGGGTATAGTAGTCGGGGTGGGTAGTGGCAGCAAGGCCCTCGAGCATGCCTTGTTGGGCAAGGAGGAGCGAGCCGATGTCTATGGCGAGGATGGTGCGCTCCTTGGCGGGATTCTTCTCCTGCAGCTCGACGTACTTGCTGAGGAAGTTGAGCGGCTCCAACTTGTTCTTGATGACCTCGAAGACGCCTTCGCCGCCGGGCACGATGACGACGTCGAAGTCTTCGATCTCATCGATGGCATCCTCGTAGTCCATGTCGGCCTTGATGGTGAGGCCCTGGACGGAGGTCATTGCGGCGGAGGGGCCGACGAACTGGCATTCGAAGGCTTTGGTCGCTGCGGTGGAGTGTCAACAAAGGGACGGATGCTGAGTAAAGAGACATGCGATTTGAGGCTCGTGGGCATAAGATCCAGACAGATTGACTTACACTTGTCCTTGGGCTCATGCAGAGAGCGGCTGAGGATCTCGAGCGGTCCAGCGACGTCGAGCGTGTTGTAGCCCGGGTAGAGAGCAAAGAGGACCTTGAGGACCTCGTTCGGGCCCTCATTGGTGTCAGCAATCGCACTCATCTTGACTGATTTCTTGGGAGAATGGAGTTAGGGAGAAGGAGGCAATGGGGTTCAGTCTGGCAACGTGTTCGGTGTCCTGTGTGAGGAATGGCCAGATGGTGGGCAGAAGAGGGGCGTCGGTCTGACGCGCTAGGTGCACGGACTGCTCCAACCCCAGTTCCCCGCATCGATGGGACCCACTTAAAATGGCGCTTCTCGTATACGTCCTGGTTCGTGCGCTGACGCTTACTTCATCCTCCCAAAGACTAAGGGAAGTGAATTTGTTCCAATGGAAGACCTTTCACTTCCGACCGACGCGAAGCCGCACTCCCTTTCATCGAACAAGAGAACGGGCCGACCCGACCCATTTGTTATCCAGCCAAGAGCCAAGCACACCCACACCGCCATACTGCTTCACGGACTTGGGAATGGTGGTGAGAAGTTCGGGGTTGAGTTCCTGGAGTCCGCCATCTCATCTACTGGGGCCGGCCTTGCGGACTCCCTCCCTGGAATGAAATTCGTCTTCCCAACAGCACAAAAATGTCGGTCCACCGCTTTTAGACGAGCACTGATAAACCAATGGTTCAACCTCGCCTCTCTGGAAGATCCCGTGGAACGTACCGATCTGCAAGTAAATGGCCTAGGCGAATCGGCTAGATATGTTCGGTCCATCCTAAGTCAAGAGGTGGAGATTGTACCGCCTCAAAACATCATCCTAGGTGGCTTAAGTCAAGGTTGTGCAATGGCTATTTTCATCTTGCTCGGCCTGGAGTTCCCTATCGGCGCCTTCGTTGGCATGAGTGGATGGCTTCCTTTTGAAAAAGACTTGGGCGAGATCGTACGTCTAGGCGGCACCGAAGACGGCGAAACAGAGACTAGTCTTGTCACATTTTGCGATGATGAAGATGAAGGGAATAATGATGCATTCCTTCAGGCGGTTGGTTTGGCAAGAGATGTTCTATCCATGGAAGAAACCAACCCTACCAGCATGGCTCGCAACCATACATGTTTGGGAACGCCTATCTTTCTAGGTCATGGCGAAAAGGACGAAAAGATAAATTACAAGTTTGGAGAAGGAGCCGCGAAGACTCTCGCTTCCCTTGGCCTTGATATTGCATGGAAATGTTATCCGGAACTAGGCCATTGGTATGGAGTCCCAGATGAGATCGACGACATCTTGGGATTCTTACAGACACGCTGGCCTTGGGCGAAATCAATGAATGACAGCTTCTCTATTATTACCTCTCTATTAGTATATCTCTAAAGACGTGGTAATATTCTATGCTTTCTTTTATCTTCTTACCTTAAAGGAATCGCCTTAACAAAACTCTTAGCAATCCCCCAAACTTCCTCTACCTGTTCCACCAACCCTCCTTGTCTTTTGCTCTCCATGTTCTCTTCATTAAGCCTGTCTTCCCCATTTGCATTCTTGTCCTCAGTGGTAGCATCATCATCATCCTCCTCCCCCTCCTCCTCCCCCTCCCACTCACTCATCTGCTTCGAGCCCGGAGCGCAAACTACGGACCAATTCTTCTGGGAATCCGCATCAGAATCTAGGTCTGATAAATCAAGGAGATCATCATCTGTGAATTCGAGAGCGTTGGGGTTGTGACGAGTCCGTGTGGTGGAAGAAGGAAAGGGGTGGTTGAGCAGGTCGTTGGAGGAGAATTCCAGAGTGTCGTTTTCTAGGTCTAGTTTCCTCAAGTTATCCTCTGTTAGGGCGTGCTTCTTGCCTGTATATGGAATTCCACATCCCTTCGCGACCTTTTCTAGAGCACCGTCGAGGCAGGTAGTTGCATACTTGGTGACTGCTCTGCCGGCTGTTGAAGTGAGGATGGGCTTCCCAACGGCATCGTATCCTGATGTTGCGGCATCAACGATTTGGTCTGCGCCAGGGAGGCGTCTGGCGGCCTTAAGGAGGTCCATCGTGGTTGGTTGAGTGCAGGTGTTGATGCGGGTCTAAGCTGTGGCTGTCCATGTGGGCGTGGTGTAACCTATAGAGAACAGGTCCGGATACACATGATTGTGAAGGACGGTATACGAGGTCACTGTGAAGCGAAGTACGAAGTGTCAGGATAAATCCCCGTAGAGATAATTCAGTGCTGATGTACATGCGTATCAGAAAATGCAGTGAAGGCCCCTAGGATCATATCTACCATAACCCAACCCGACAAATCCCATAAGCTCCCATCTGGGACCGCATAGATCAACATACCCGCCATTCCTCCCTGTTGGGAGCGTCTTTACGCAAACCGGTCGATCAAGGACCCAATCTAAAACACCAAAATCCCCATGAGAGCGCTGACGGAAGAATCCGTGATCCAGATATTCTGAGAGACCAAATTGACGGTTAGAATTCCCAATATCGGTGCGAATAGGGCGCTTTCGACTAACAAGCGGCCGGGTAGGTGTTGGGCGGCACAAACCATTCGCGTCCATGGTTGGCTGAACCACAGGGAAGCTTGGTTGTTCATCACGGATAGGTAGTCCAAAGTCTTCTGTCCTCGACCCGCGATCAACGCTCGTCTTGAGCAACAAGAAACCCATACTGGAGCCGAAAGAGTTGAGTTGATGAGGTCTGAGCCTGTAGGGCTGACGCAGGGGCCTCAGCGCCAAGAACGGTCACCTCGAAAGTTGTGGACAGCTAACGGTGAGCATCACTGCAAGATGCCGCCATCAGAGGGCGCTGACGCGTCTTCAGCTCCCAAAGAGGACGCGAAGCCATCCCCCTCATCTCCTCCTTCGCTCGACGCGGTTAGATTGAGAAAGCAGCCTCCACCAGAGGGTCGCGAGAGCTTATGGCGACGGCGGTCCGCCATCTTCTCCTTCTGGGCCGTAGTGCTGTGCTTGGGCCTCCCAGTATGGTGGAAGACGACGGCGATATACCGTGCAGATCTGCCACTGCAGGACATGACGGATTGGGCTGAGGGGAAGGTAGTAGTCCCGCCTGCGGCTCGCGAAGATGGGTTGCTCTGACACTCCCCCTAGATATGCAAGCCAGTCTTCCCTCTCCGCATTGCCGTCGAAGCGCCATTGCCGCCGCAAGATGCGCACCACCTTCTCCGGACGACGCAGCATGCTCTCGATGACCTGAATGAGTTCTCCGCGCACCACCTCCGCCTCATGCTCGCCGACCCGCCGGCACCAGCGAATGCCTCCCAGCAAGTCGTAGTCGATGGGACGAGGAATACTAGCGACGATGAGGATATCGCCCTGTCTATCAGATTAATACCTGTAGAGACTGGCGCGACGCCTCGTTCACACCTGCAGCCGTACTCGCCGACCTTGGATGTATACTACACGCCGAACCAGATCCCGCCGCCCTCCTCGACCGGCTCCCCCCTCGCGACCTTCATTGCGCACGAGCTACACAAGATATTTGCAGAGGAGCAGGCGCAACTGGCCTATCTTTTGTCTACCGCCTCTGGTGGTCATTCATCTAAGATGAAGTCGCTGTCCCCGGAAACCTCAGCGGAGCTCCAGCGTCAATCCACGAGGGCGCTGAAGTATGCGCCAACCTACCATTTAACCTTTTCGCTGTTCACCCCGACCTCTACGCCCTCTGCTTGGGACATTGAGTCGGCTCTCAGACAATACGTAGCACCCTTGCTGGATTCGTTCTCCGCCATCAGCAACTTCACCGTTGATACCCAAGTGCAGCTCTATGCGACCTTCTCTCCGTCCATTCGCCAACCTGAATATGACGAGGCCCTAAAGGCGTGGACCCTCCGTAAAGAGGATCTGAGCGGCTTCATCAACGCCGCCGAATGGCCGCTCAGCCCCAGTATCGGCAAAGGACCAACAGTCAACTTCGTCCTCTACGTTCCGGATAAAACGCAGTCACCGCTTCTGGTGAAGGAAAGCGGAGCAAACAGCTGGCTCATTCCTCAATGGGGTGGTGTTGCCATCCTCAATCCCACCGCGCCGGGCAAGGATGCTATCGTATCTGCGAGCTTGACCAAGGAGGCTCTTGGCCCGGCCATGCATACCTTCTCAAACCAGCTTATATCGCTTCTCGGCTTGCCTCAGATGCCATCTTCCCTCCCCCTTCGCATCTCGACCCTTGCGCGAGTGCGCGCAGCATCTCTCATTTTCTCAGCATCTTCGACTTTAGGCGCCCTCGCTCAAGTCTACCAGAAGTTGCCGTCGATCCCCGTTCCTGATTCTGTGGCCAAATCCGTTGACCTGGCTCTCGCTCACCTTCAATTAGCCTGCGACCGACTCCGCGAGGGGCGCTTCCAGGGCGCCTTGGAACTCGCGAGAATCGCAGAAGGCGAAGCAGAAAAAGCATTCTTCGAGAGGTCCATGGTTGGCCAAGTCTACTTTCCCGACGAGCACAAGGTTGCTGTATACCTACCGCTACTTGGGCCGGTAGCTGTCCCTCTTGTGATGGCAGCATTGAAAGAATTGAAAAGCGGACTCTCAGCTCTAAGAGGACGATGAATCGAGGGCTCTCAGTATACATCTGTTCTGCCCCGGCTCGGCGGAGCCCGTCTAATCCGCCCAAGGGGAATCTGGTGTTGTTGGGCGCCTCAGGCCGACCATATCCCCTGCGATCAGGGAATATCTTGATGTGTTACCGATCGTCTCCCGGCGCGGCATATATGCGAAGATGACTGTCTGGTAAGACCTGCAGGGTCCGGCGACTTTGCGACGAACGCCCCGCAGCGGGGTAGCGAGCTTAGAGGTAACTACTGCAAACACCCCTCGGCTCAGACGCGGTCGCGCCATGCCTATCTAGCAATTCAAGACAGAAGTTATGAAGAATCCACGCGTTCAATTGGTCGATCCTAGGCTCGTGGTCTCCGCCTCTCCGCCAGACTTCCGAGTCGAGCTAGGCCCTCTTGCGGCTCACCACTATACTCGTTAGGTCTGACAGGCATGCAGCATCCGAGACAACAAATTCGGACTGTTCTACTAATCAAGAACCGAGGAGCGAGGAGCGACTCGAATTTTGACTTTCTTGCGCTAGTTCAGGCCCCGACTCCCACGGATCTGTGGGTCCAAGCCATGCTGTGTATAAGTACCGCCTCGGTCGAACCCGCCTCGTGTCTCCAGTTCTTAGTTTCCTTCTCCCCGTACTTCTCCCTTCAATTGCTCTTCTCGTCTTCACCTTTCTTCACAATCGATTAAGTAAAAGCGTCCGTAATGCCTCTCTCAGCCGAAGGCGTGCAGAACGTCAAGGCTGTCCTCGATGGAGTAACGTCTGAAGGCAGGACGGGCGTGCCAGGGCTTGTCTTTGCCGCTGTTGACAAGGCCGGCAAGACGCTGGTAGAACATGCGTCGGGCACGCGGGGGGTTAATTCGAAGGAGAAGGTGGACATGGATACGACGTTCTGTAGGTCTTCCCGGCTGCACGACGACAACAATCTCTCGTTCTATCCTTTAGAGATTGTCGGATTGGGTATATGTGATGTTCAATACTAGGAAAAACTGCCTGAAGAAAGATCTTTCCGATTAGTTCGCGCTAACCACGTGTTCTTCCAACCCAGGGATCGCATCCATGACCAAGATCGTCACCACCATCGCTGTCCTCCAACTCGTCGAATCCGGCAAAATCCCTCTCGACGACGCCGACTTCATCAAGAAGATCGCGCCTGAGATAGCGGCGAAGAAAGTGTACGCCGACGGCGTCACGCCCGCAGAACAAGAGCGCGGCGTCACCATGCGTATGCTGCTCGCGCACACGTGTGGTTTTGGGTACACGTTCTTCGACCCGAGGGTTATCGCCCAGGGGAGACCCATAGGGCTTGATGAGTTTCAGGGAGATGAGAAGGATATCTTGGAGAGTCCGATGGTGAATCAGCCGGGCAGCATGTGGGAGTATGGCGTAAGCTATCCCCTCTCCTTCTCTAACCTAACATCACGAAGGTTTGGCAGGGTCGAATTCAGCTGACAACCAAATAGATCGGTATGGACTGGGCCGGCATAATTCTCGAGCGCGTCACCGGTACCAAACTCAACGACTACTTCCAAACGCACATTTTCAAACCCCTCGGTATATCCCACACCACCATGTTCCCAACCAGCGAAATGGCGTCCAACCTCGCATACATGCACCAGCGCGACCCGGCGACAGGTGCGTGCGACGAGCGCGACCACATCTACCGCCGCGCCTTCCGGCAGACGACCAAGGAAGAGCAGGAAACGTTTTTCCACTCTGGAGGCGCGGGCCTCTTCGCAAGGCCAAAGGAGTACGTCAAGGTGCTGGGCATGTTGTTGAACGACGGCGCTAGCCCGACAACGGGGCAGCAAGTCTTGAAAAAGGAGACAGTGCAGTTAATGTGGGAGAACCAGATCCCGGACCAGCCGAACTTTGCTCGAGGCGGTACGTCATGCCACTCACTCGCCCTCCCTCTCCATGCCGCCCTCTCACAAACAACTAACCAACACACCCAGGCCCCGCGCCCGCAAACCCCCTCCTCGCCAACGCAATGCCCGAAATGTATCCGCAGGAAGGGAACCCACCGCAGGGCTGGGGCCTCAGCATGTTCCTCACCATTGCTCCCGGCGCCACGGGTAGAGGCGCGAATACGGGATGGTGGGCTGGTCTCGCTAATTGCTTTTGGTGGGTCGACAGGGAGAAGGGCGTTGCGGGCGTTATTGCGAGTCAGGTTGTGCCGTTTGGAGATGGGAAGGTGGTTCCTGCGTGGGTTATGGCGGAGAAGGCGGTTTATGATGGGCTGGTGTAGGGAGGGAGGGATGGGAAGGGTGTTAGGGAGGGAGAAGGAGGGATGAGAAATGAGGGATATGTGATAGGAAGAATGGAGGAAAACAAAGCCTCCATCCATTCTACTGAATCACTCGGAGTGTACAAAGGCAGATCTTGATGCATGGCTAAAACAGTATACGCGCAGACTTTCGCGGTCTCTCGTGAGGGAAAAGCGAGCTAGAATGTAACGTCAGGACGACTGCCTTGTTGGTGACGCAGTAACACAAAGGGAAGGTATGCTGAACACAGTGAACGGGACCAGAATGAGGATCGTATCCAAAGTCGAACCCTAAAGACCAAAAGTGATTGGCCTCATATTTGTATAGAATTTATCATTCTATCTCAGCTCAAAGCCTCAAAGCCGCAGAGCCGGAATGCATCTCGCATAAGTTCCTCTCGTGCATGATGTGCATCACTGAACAATCCGCAGCACGCCCTCCGCCTCGTCCCTCCCCAGAATCCCCTCCTCCACCATCTGCTCCAGCACTTTCTTCACCTCCATTCCCTTGACTTTCCAACTCTCGTTCCCCACGATGATCCCTCCTCCACTGCTAACCACCTCCTTTAGCACCTCGGCAACGATAGCCTTCGCATCCGCGGTGCGATGCACATCCGCCTTCCCCGCCTTCTCCGCATAGCTCCTAGCTCCTCTGTAGAACACGCCCGCATTACCCACCAGTGTAGCCTTACTGCTCGCCCACGGCGGCTTTGCAACCGGAAGAAGCGCCAGACGGAACCGGAAGAGGTCGGTGTCGCCGCGGGCGAGGAAGGTGTCTGCGAGGCGGGAGGCCGGGAGGGCAGACGCGTTTGCGCCGGTGGAGAGCTTGGTGAGGATATTCTGCGCTTCGGTGAGAACGGCCCATTGAGTTTCTAGGTCTGCGGCGTAGGCGGGCGAGTTGGCGTTGTGGGAGGGATTGTCGGATATGGTTGAGGCGACATCCATAAGCGCGTCTGCGTACGCGGACAGGGCGTTCAGATATGCTGGATCCTGGCCCCCCGGTGGTTTTGTCATAGGTGTGAAGATGTCGCTCATGGCACGGGCGAACTGATCTGATGTTGATAGACCGCGTCGATAGGCGACCTCGGCCACAGCGACGTTGAAGTTTGCGACTGCGAGGAGGGCGTCGTCTTTCGGTGCCGTTTGCAGGTCCTCGGCGATGGTGCCCGAGGGGGATATGGAGAGTGTTGGGCCTGAGGGTGCCTCGGCGTGCTTCTGGAAGGGAGAGTCGTCGAGAAGAGTGATCAGTGTCGGCACTTTGTTGGTAGTATCGACGCCGTGTTGAGCGCGTGCTTCGAGCAGTAGATCCGTGGGATCATAGAGACCTAGGAGTGTCGTTAAGGCTTCAAGCTGCGCGGTGCAAGTCTCCAGAATAGTTTCCGGAGTCAAGGGCTCTTCAACGGTTGCCCAATTGCCTAGCGTTGAGGAGGCGGTCGACGAGGTCTCCATCTCATCATACTTCTTAGCCCCCGAAGCTAGCCCTTGCCCAGCTCCCAACTGATCCTCAAGGTCTTGCTCTGCCTGCGCCTTAGCAATCTCGATCCGCATCTGCTCATACTCTTGCTGCTGCCGTTCCAGACACTTGGTGAACAGATCAACCGCCTCTTCAAGTAGCGTCCTCGCTGGTACTTTAGCGGTCTCCTCCGTCTCTGCCTCTAGAAGCGCTTCAGCGATCGAAGTAAGAACTTGACCCGTGTTGAACATGACGTCCGTATTCTCGGCTTTCAGCGCCATCGCAACTCGATGAGACTTCAATGTCTCCTCTAGAAGCGCCATCTTGCTGCTAAACCGAGCCACAATGCGGTCGTCTTCGCAAATGTTGAATTCGAGATTCGCCCTGTAGAGAATTAGGTTACGCCCACATTAAAATTTTTGGACATTTTCCGACTCACTTGTTATACGCCAGATCGAAGCTTCCTGGGAACTTCTTCAATCCCTCGTTGTACATGTCAATCGCCCTGTTGAAGAACCGGGTCGCCTTTGCAGCGTCTCCCGCGCGCCATTTGCCCGCCGCTTGCTCGAAGTCGTCTGCAGCATCCAGAAACTCGTTTTCAGTTTGCGGATCTTGCGCCTAGAACTTATCCATCTTTTGAAACATAACATGAGCTGAGAAAGCTCACCTTCGCTTTTGACTTCCCCATGCCCTTTAGCATCTCGTTGCCTTTGGGGGGCATTTTGGTGTTTTTGGTGTTTTGGTTGTGTTGACTTTCTAAGCACCATAGCAACCTGGAGTGCTTTCAACCACCGATGTGCAATGCATATCCTGCCAACTTTCCGTCTATAGGTTACAGCAGTCATCTTCTATGCAACAATGTCATGAAAAGTTCAAGCTCTAGCTTTTCCAGCTCTACTACGCTGCTGCTGCTGCCCCGCCTTGCCTACCCCACCACCCATTCCCTCACACCTTGCCCTCGACCTCAAACCCATCCCACCACCGCGCCTTATCCTTTAAATACCCATTCGCATCAAACAACACCCCCTCCTCTCCCAGCAACCTCCTCTTCTCCTCCTGATTAATCCCGCTCGGCACCTTCTCCCAGTCGCCCTTGAACCCGCCGATGAACTATCGCTTCGTCAGCCACAGCCACAACCTCCAAACCCGCCCCTTCCACGCCCCATAGCTCTCTCATTATCCCAACCTTCGCGTAGGCTGGAGAGCCTTGCTTTATAGAGCCCGTGGTTCAACTTACGCCAGTACTGGCCAACACCCGATGACACGGCACCTCGGGCGCAAACGGGTTATTCCTCAACGCGCCGCCCACAGCCCTGGGACTGCTGTTCAGCGCCTTCGCTAGCGCGGCATACGTCGACACTTTGCCCTCGGGGATCTGCTGTAGGAGCGTGTAGACGCGTGTCTGGAAGTCGGTGACTTTGCCCGCTTGGAGCGTCTTCGACTGCATGTCGTGCTGAGAAGAGTGAAACGGTGGAGGAAGCAGTATTAAAGAAGACGTAATGGAGTGATGAAAATGGATAGGATGGATAAGACAGAAGGGACGGGCTTGACGCGCCTTTATGAGTCGCGGGTGGCTGACACGAAGTCTCGTGACATGCTTTCAAATTGGCCGTTCACACATCGAGGAATAGGTCCGTGCGTGCATCAGAAGAGTCATGCTAGACGCGCTCTTGAAAGTCAATGTACCCTATCGTATCTGCCGTAGACTACGACTCACTGTGCTAAGAAGATGCGCGCAGCTGGGGAAAACTCGCGTTCCAGAATAAGATAAACTCCATCAATGCATGCAAGCGGTTGAAAGCCTTCGAAAGTCACTATGACGCCGTCCCCATGCCCCGCCCTGATACCCATTCCACGCTATGCAAATGTAACAATACAAATGGTAATGCCAGTGCACCGAAACTTAGGATGGATGGCCCTGAATCAAAGCCATAACACCGCATCGAGCTAGCGTTCAGTCAAGCTCCACAACCAAGTTACAAACCCCATCCGCCCAGACCGCGTGCGCAATGTCCGACTTCAGCTCGATCCAATCACTCTCATTCATTATCTCCCGCAAGCCCAGTGTCGACATACTCGTGATCCTGTACGGGGGCAGTCGACCTGAGGGAAGGACGGACGATGGCGATGTCATGCTTGCAGGTGTCTGAGCGGGAGGTGATGACTGTCTGGAGTCCGAGAGGAGCGCCCGCGTCGACGCATCGTCGGAGACTACATCGGGGATCATGCCTATGGCCACAGAGTCGTTTCGTGCTGTTGCACTGCCATTAGCACTTTCGAGACCCTCATTGTTGTTCGCGGTGGACGTAGCATGGATCTCACTAGCAGCGACTGCTAAGCCACGGAGTGCTTCGGGGCCCATGCTTGAGAGATTGTTTAGCTCTTCCTGCAGCTCCGGGTATAGTAGCGCATTCTCCCTGATGAGGTTGTCGATTCTGGTTCTCAGCTCGGTCCACTGATAGTTGAACAGAGGCTCATCTGGTGGGGCGGCCTCGAGGCGGATCACGCGCGCAAGTCTGATGCCCTTCTTGGCCAGAAAGATATTGATGCGCTGCAAATGAGGCTCGGTTGGAGGCTGGATCGGCAGAGGGAGCTTCAGCCCAGGCGACAGTTCGATGGCTGATCGATTGGAGATAGCCTTAGTCGGGTGAGCCGTGGTGATATGAGGGTAGATTGCTTGGTTGATTTCGGGAGAATGGACCGGTAACGATGGAGCGGATGGTACGATTGGAGGTTGCAAAATCTGACTCTGAAGCGGAGCGAGCGGATGGAAGTTTGTGCTGTCGAAGATGGTCTGTGGTTGCTCACTCTGTTGTCGCTGATTGTTGTCATCGCTCATGCCGGGATGGCTGTCCTGCGCTTGGGTTGCTTCAACACTACCTTCCTTTTTCTTCGCGCCTCCTTTCCTCGTCTCGATGGCGTACATGCGCTGTCGCTCATTCGTAACCATACGCCTCAGGAGCGGAGTGACGAGGCTGATGATCTTGTTCCCGTCCCTCGGCCACACCAGCTTATCATCGCGCGAGCTTTTCTCTTCTCCAAGGGCTCGGGCAGCCTCAATGGCATCTTTCTCCCCTGGCTTCTCAACATACTCGCCGAAGAAGCGCTCACCTACGCCATCATTTAAGAAATCCCGAACGCAGTTGAACAAGCGTAGCTTGACCATGTCCGTGTCTCCCTTGCCTCTGTTTCCAACGCAATTCTGCCGCTCGGGATGCGCTGGATCGAGCATATACGTCTTTGCTTGAGCCTGCAGATGGAGAAAGTTCTCGGGAGTGAGTTGAAGCGACATGAAGAGTTTAGACATGGGCGGACGTGTGTACTTGCGGCTGGACTTCTCGGAGGAGCGTCGAAAGAGGGCGGCGGCGGAGTGAACACCTGCAGCGCGAGCGTTATCCATCAACTCACTTGACGGCGGCAGACTACTGCTCTCGGATCTGCCGCGCATGCTATTATCTGCGCCGCGCAGTTGAGGGTCTGTCGGCAAATCGATTCTCGCCCGCTTCGCGCCAGGCGCAGCGTCTCCTTGCGCATCAGCCGAAGGGCTTGAGCCTCTCTTCCGCTTGCCCTTGCTCGGTATTGCCGCGCTGTCGCCAGAAGTATCAACGTCCATGGCCTGCGCAGCCTGTCCGGCAGCCGTAGTCGCGGCCTCCAGTAGCTCGACAAGATTGTGGTTCTCCTCCAGTGTATTGATCGGAGTTTCAGACGGCTGGCGTTCGGTATAGAGGGAAGCAGCCTCCTGAGGCGTAATGGACGCAGAGAGGTCATAGTCGTCAACGTCGTCAGGCACGAACTGGGCGTTTGCGCCGTTGGTGAACTGGCCGCGCATCTGGTAGTATGGCGCGTTTGCCGTCATGACGGCGACGGCGGGCCAAACACGCCTGAGCAAGCGCGCGGCCTGCCTGCAAGGCGGTCGGACTGTGTGTATACAAGTGTAAGTGGATGGATCAAAGCAAGCAATGAGAGCAATCGATGCAGCGTTCGAGACCGCTCAAGGAACTCGAGGATGGAATAGACGGTTTATGGAATGCAGCAGCTTGCGAGAGAAGCGGAGGGCTTTTGAACAAGTCATGTTTGGTTTGGAGGAACTGGCAAATGCGCACCTGTGGAGCGCTGATTGCTCAATTGCTTGACGAGGACAAGCAGAGCCTCAGCGGTCGATTGTCGAGGTCGTGCTGCGGGTTTGTGTTGTTTGCATCGTGTGGCAGGCATGTGATTGGCCTCTACCTCACCGCCGACATTCTTCCAGTTCACTATCTTATGTAAGCAAATGGCATTCGAAGGTCGAAGGTGGTTGCTGCCGCGCGTGGCATCAGGAAGAAGCTTAATTGAAGTTCCTCAACGGAGGACCATTTTGGATATCTCGAAATGTAAGAAGTATGTCCTACATACTACCGCCGAAGAAGTTCCTATCGATACAGCCCAAAATGGGGACCATAAACACCCATTTACACAGTAGCCTCCATCTCCGGACGCCGTAAATGCAAAAGGGTTATCCCTCAAAATGCTCAGAAATCATCTCCCTCATGCCACTCCCTCCCGGCTTCCTTCGCGCGATTCTTCGGGTCTTTCCCCCTCTCAACGGCATCGCGCTTCAGCCCATCAACAATCGGCCGTAACCTATCGATCTCCTTTCTGAACTCCTTATCCTTGCCCGGCTCAGGCTTTTCCATCTGCTCCGCCTCCTCAAAGCGGCCCTCGTCCTTCGCTTCCTGAATCGCTTTCCCCTTATCCTCCCACTCACGGAGATCGCGCTCCCGATCACCGAGCTCATTCTTGACCTTGATGAAATCATCAAACTCCTGCTCACCTCCAAAGCAGCTGCCGAACTGGTCGCAGAAGCATATGTGCTCCTTGGGACAGTAGACATTGTTGCCCGTGAAGACGAACTGCCATACGTACTCCCATATACGGCCAGAGAGGAAATCGGGGAGCTTCGTCGAGAACAGCCACTCGCGGTACCAGACATATTGCGTATGCGGCTTCGCCTGAATGCGCTCGCGGGACAGCGCGAACTGCGCGCAGCACGGTTGCGCAAGAATGGCTGGCACCTCGTCGAGCGGGAACAGCTCGCTCCACGATTTCGCTAGCAGGACCTCCTCTTGCTTGTACACATTCTCCTCCGTCTCGCCGGGATGCATCCAGTCGGGGCACCCGGGGTACCAGGAGCAGCGCATATTGACGAAGCCTTCCCTCCACACGCGCTGGCGACTCAGTCTCTTGACTAGGTTCGCAGCATCGTGATCTAAAATATCGTCGTTGTGCCAGGTGCGCTGGTGGGCGTGCATGAATATAGCGACGTCGGGCAGGTTGTCATAGTTGTCAATGATCCAAGACAGGTAGATCATGACCTCGTGGCCCTTGTTCTTTGGGGGATGCAGCGGCGCGGTCGGGTCGTCTGCGACGTATACAGCCTTCACCTGGTCGGGCAGCTCCGTGTCCATCCAACTCGTGTCCTCCTCCTTTGTCTTCGCGATGACAAGCACGGAGGTATAGTTGTGGCCCGACGGCATGGGCGAGCCTGGCTTAAAGTTCGGTTTGGGGTTCCAGTTCGCGAAGTCCGGGTCCTTGGGCGGGCCATTTGACAGGTCGCCGCCCGGTGGTTCGCTGTCGCCAACATGATCTCCTAGCCCAATGTGCTGCGGTATCCTCTGCCATGTGTCACGCGCAGTCTGACTCGAGTATAGGAAGAAGAAGAATAGGACCACCGTTAGCGCGAGAAAGGGTATGATCTTCTTTTTCGTCATGGTGTATGTAGGGGAGGAGGCGCGGCAGCGGGGAGGAGATGCGCGTAGGTCCCGAGGCTCAAGTCATAAATCGTTAAGAGGGCGTCGTCCTGAGGAAGTCAGTCATTCGCTTGGTCCTGTCATTGCTGATACTATTGAGCGTACCGTCAGGCGATCGGCGTTCGTGGCGGTGGCCTGCGAATACGAAGAAAGGGAGCGAATACGCCGCTCAGCAAACGGAGTCTACAAATAGTGGGAGAAGAGAACAGATGCGCTGGACAAGTTACGGATTGAAGGAACACACTGGGCGCACGGGTGCGAGGTTGCGAAAGGAGGCATCCCTTTCACAGGCGGCCTTGTCCGCGCAAAAGCCCCGGGGCTGAGAGAGGCGTCGTCAGATCGCCGAACGGGCTCCTTCGACTGGCCTACCCCTGCGCGCTAGCCCCAAATCGTACACTGCGTTTCGAACGACCTGTGCAGCATTCGCGTTCTATAAACGTAATTGAAGTTGCTGCTCCAACATTATGGCACCGTAGTTGGTTGACGTTCCTGGCATGGACACAAACCGGGGTTCAAAGGCTGTTAGACCACAGAAAACTTGACCTCACAGCGACAAATGCCATCAGCTCAAGAGACCCTGCAAATGTGCCAGAGTATCCATCCAAAGACACGCGTAAAATACTCAAAAAAGTGTACTTGCACTAGGAAGCAATGCGTTCAAACAAGATAAATTTAGGTAGAATGCGTCTTCGTTCCTGGACGCGCTACTGCGAGTCTTTCTGGAGATTGCCGCGTCTACGTAAGCTTTGCTTAGCTCTTGTTTAGCCATAGGGCTGAACAAATTGCTACAATGTCTGGACCAAGCGGTACCGTCCATGTTGGCGCAGACAAGCGCGACCTGGCAAATCGCGGTTCGCAGTCGCAGTCCATCTTCGTGTAACTGCCTCATTTTTAGAGGACCGCAAGGCATCGCTGACCCATCGGGCGTGCCTGCAGACACCCACACCGCATCCCGTATATGTGTGAGCGGAATAATACGTGCGCCTACTATGGCATGTCGCGCGTCTACCGTCTACCGTCTACTCACGCTGACTTGCCAACGGGAGACCGTGCGGGCTTGTTTGTTGCAGCGTATAAATGATCCGGATAGCGCAAGCTGAAGCTGTTCGGGCATCTACGGAGGACTTCACAGACGGTCGGCAGCTCGTCCAGGTCGCGGTTGAGCTACCGGTCAGATAAGGGGGGATAACGTGCCCGAAAATAGGAAAGGAAAACACGACAGACGAAACAGGAAACGACGGAGTGTAAAGGAAAGGGGCACACACCAGGCTCTTTGCAAGAATCTGCCATGATTCGCATTGATTGTTGTTGATGATGCTGTTGGTGTTTGCTGTTGCGGGATGGTCGACGAATTTCCTGCACGGTGGCGGCACGGGTATGGCACGGGATTTGTGTGTTTAGGTGCTGCTTGTCGCACAGCAGGTCGAAGGAATGAAGATCACACATGCGTTGCTCTTCAAGTAAAATCGTATGTTGCGTGTCGAGGGGAGTGTCGCTGTTACATCGGCGTTGTTTAAGTCGGATGCCCATTTATTGCTAGCCCATCACGGGTTTATTGAATCGGGCGGCTGCTGCTGGCATCGCCGTTATGTGAGGGCAGCTGTTGAGGGCCGACATTGCCAGAGATGATATTGAAATATTTAGACAGTGTTGAGCGCGGAGGGTGGTGACGACTGATGCTTTTGACGTCCTGGGTGCATCGCATGGGAAGATATAGAAGTACAATTTGGATGTCGACGCAGATGTAGACGATGATGCTCCCAAAGGCCAGACGTCGTGGCGTTTGGAAGCGTTTACCGCAGAGTTGTTACCGTTTCTCCTAAGGAAATCCACCGTGTGCCGAAGACCGTGATGAAAAGATGCTGGGGCTACAAGATGGCAGACTATTGAAGCTTGCTACCCTGCGCCGCTGCCGTAAACCATTTCGATGAACTTTTGTCGACCATAATCCCCGAGTTGTGACGAAGCCGTATTAAACCGATTCGCAAAGAAGAAGTGTGTAGGATTACATGAGGGGATGAGGTCGAAGATTGCCGCCAAAACCGGGGAGATGGTTAGCATCTCAGTACCGTTTCGGCTCTAGCAGGGTCAGCGTGGAAGCTAGCTGGAATATCGGTAATCGTCACCACGGTCCTCGTACGGCCTGCTACCGCCACCGCCGCCGCTGCTGCCGCCGTATGCTTCCTGACGAGGGGGAGGAGCAGCGTCGCCGTAGCCGGCTGCACCTCCTGCTGGTGGCGGCGGGCGCTCATAGTATCCGCTTCCACCACCACGTCGGTCCTCGCGGCTATAGCGGTCGTCGCGGGAGGCGTAGCGGTCGACTCCACGCGGGCCGTAGTCGTCTCGCTCGCGGCGGTACGGGCGGTCTTCATAGCGGGAGCCTCGGTAGCCATAGCTCCCGCCGTAGTCGTCTCGCCTACTACCACCATAGGAGCCTCCGCCTCGGCGGTCCTCATAGCGGTCGCCATATCGGGGCGGCCCTCCTCCACGGCCTCCTCCGCGGAACTCTGGACTATGTTAGCTCATGGATATAGCAGGTTGACGTAGAACATACCACGCTTGGGCGGACCGTAGTACTTGCCCGGGGTGGGAGTACGTGGGCGCGCGCGGCGGGCTTTCTCGATGCTCAGCGTCCTGCCCTGGTGAACTTCACCCTGGAGGCCCTCCTTGGCAGCGTCAGCCTGGTCTGGGGTGACCATCTTGACGAAACCGAAGCCGCGCGACTCCTTGGTGTGCGGATCGCGCATGATGTTGCACTGCTCCACCTCGCCATACTTCTCGAATAGACGAGTGACTTCATCTTCGGTGAGGCTGGGGTGGATGCCGGTGACGAAGAGATTGGAACCCGGGTTGCGGCTGACATCGTCCTCGCGGTCCGGCGGTGGGCCGCTGTGTCTGGCGTCAGCTGCTGCTCGATACTATCTCTAAGAGGGGAGAAAGGGCTCACCGGCTATCGCGACCGTTCGGCGAGGCACTGCGAGCGCGAGAGTTGTCCATATCGCGACGGTCACCGCGCGGAGACCTGCTGCGGTCGCGGTCGTAGCCACGGGGCTCGTCTACACCTCCGTCAGCAAAGCGTTCAAACAGCAGGCGAGCGTGTCGCAGGGGTGAGCGAGACAAACCATCGTATCCGCGCTGCTCAGACTCGTACTCCATGGAAGCCATGATGATAGGTTGGGGTTGTGGGGGTGACTTGGAGTGTCAGGTGTGGTTTGTCTGGGTCGGGCTGGAAATTTTGGCGACCGATCGACGTAGCCGGGCCTTATATAATGAGAGCGCGCTAGGCCGCAAGTGAGCGTCGTAGACTGGCAAGACACGCGCTGCGGGCGGACGGCTGAGGGCGGAGGAAATGGGGTGTAGGAGTGAGGGAGGGCGGGCGAGGATTTAAGGGAAGGGGGTGAGAGAGGGAACAAAGAGGCAGCAGCCACGCGAGCTGAAGTGAGGCAGGCGCAGCCCGCAGGGGTGCAATGGCCAAACGCCCTGGCCGCCCTGTTGTTCTTGACCTCTTCTTGCGCCTCTCACTTTCACCACCGGCGAATTTCGCTGAGCAATCAGCAAAGCTAGAATTACGCGACTCTCGGTTTTTCTGTTTACTCATTTGTGGTTGGGCGAATGCGCATTCTTCACCTTCACTACGCATATGGATAAATGGCTACACCTTCACTTAAATAGACCCGAGCCCAAGCATAATTGCTCTGCAAAACCGCCCAGAAACCGTCAAACCGCCAATGTAAAGCCCTTATCCACTAAAGACGGAAACAAAACAGGCGCCATGGACCACTCCATATCGCCCGATGCCCGCTAGAATATGTTACAGGTGCAGAAAGGTCGTACAAAACACACACGGCGGAAAGCCGTGCCTAGAAAAAGCTCAGAAAGTCCAAACACTACCTAAAACCCCTCCACCTCTTCTTCTGTTTCCGCGCAGCCGCCTTCTGAAGAGATTCCGAAACAAGTGTTTCCGGTGCTATGCCATCCGCCGGGACGAGCGCTTCCGCATCTGCGAGGCCGTTCAGTTCATCGTCGTCGAGCTCGCTCAACTCTTCACTCATATCTCGAAGAACCTCTCTGCCGGTCCATCGCTCCTCGTAGACTGTCGTGCCATGCGGATCGAACGTCTCCACCCACCAAGGTATCCCGCCATTCTGAATGGGATCAAGCAGATCCTTCACCGATCTGGGAGGAGTGAGCTGCCCGGTTTGTCCGTTTTCTTCATCGTGGTCGACGTCCATCGCACCATGAGACCCGCCATTAGCCTGCATCGTGTCTTGCCCGAGCTGAGCCGCGATGGCTGCCTCGTCCGCCGCATCATCTCGGGGAGCATTGTGGTGGTCAGGCGAACTGTCATCGGGTGTAGGTGCGAGCTGAATCGTGTCCTTATCTTTGGCGTTCTCATCCATACCTTCAGCGACAGCATAATCTGGGTGTGGTTGGTCTTCAGTGGTCCGCGCTCCTTGAGTTTCCGCGTCCTGTGGTACAGCTGCGCCGGAGGAAATGCTCGGCCTCCCGCGCAACTTCTGCTCAAGAAGCGCCTCGAGGTTGGGTAACTCCCTCTCGACCGGCCTACCAGCCAAATCAGCTTCTTTGCGCATTGCATCTTCGAACAGCGGCTGTATTCCCTTGATAATGCGCTTAGCCAGCTTCTTCTTTTCTTTCTGCTCGGCGGTCAACGAATTATGAGCGACACCGCTGAGCTGGTGCTCCGCATCCTCGACGTTGGTGATGGTGGTAAAGCCAATGACGCAGCTGAATACAGCGGCCATATCTTCGCTGAAGGTCTGGACAGAAGTGTAATACTTTTCGTCGAGCTTCGTCTGGATATCGATGAGGCCGTCGTTGAAAACATTCTTGCTATCGTAACTAGGCAGGGTTAGCTCCTGGCTGCCGGTATCAAATAGATCCACGTACCTCATAGCTCGATCGAGGATCGGCTCCAAAAGTGGGGGAATTGGGAAGTAAATGCAGTCTAGGATCGACTTCAGAACCATGGCGTCTTTCAGTTTCTCGGCTTCGCGTTGCTTGATCATCTCGCAAAGAACTCGGATCTGCTCCATGTCATCCTCGAGACGCTCTGCAAATTCGATACGGCGCTGAAGCCTGGGTCGGCCAGCTGCACCCATGCCCGCAAAGTTGCGGCGAGTGATCTCCATGGACGAAAACGCCTCCATCTGGAGCTGGAGGCGCTTTAGCAAAGCAGCTCCGCGACGTGCCTCTCGCTTCAACGTCCAGTATTTGCAAGCCTCTTGAACAAACTCCTTACGCTTACGGACATTGAACTTGATAAGAGCGTTCTCCACGTTGTGATAGACGGCTTGCGGCACGACTGGGGCGCCCGAAGGAAGTCGCCATGATTTCGCAGGTTGTCCACGCTTGCGCTTGTTGCCGGTGACTTCATCGTCATCCGCGCCTTCAACTGAAGGTACGGGGTGTGTGGAACCTATCGAGAGAGCGTATGCCTGACTGTCGCCCCAGCGGACGTGCCGCAAGGTGTGTCGGTAGAAGGCCTTCGCTTCCGCGAGCGCTCCCTCAACGTCGTTCTCTCGCCGCCAGTCGAGTGGTGAATGCTTATCGCAGTATGCCTTGAGCACGCTCGCATCAAGTGGATTCTGCGACTGCGAGGACTTCATCTTCAAGCACAGCCTAGCCCGGCGAGCGCAGGTGACATGGAAGGCCTCAAAGCATGACTTGTGGCCACACTGGATGCAAGCACCCATCTTCTGCTTGCAGATGTAGCAGGTCAACTTCCATCGCGTCTTCGGAACCTTCTCGACATCTTGTACTGGCTCCTGGAAGGTGGTGTTGCCGAGGGAGACTTCGGGAATCCACATGGCGCACAGAAGATGTGCCCATTTCATGGCAGTGGTTTGTTTGAAAGCGCCGTCTATATTCGGACAGAATATGCAGCCCTACGGCCGTTAGCATGGGTCCGGATGGCACAGGAAGACAAGACGTACCGGTTGCTCACTAACAGGGGTGCCACGCCCCACTAGCTGGCAGCGCCTGCAGAGCCACTGCCCTTCTGGGATAAACGGCACACCGTAGCACTCCTGATGCACGGCCAAGTCGCAGCCATCGCAAAACACGATCGCGTTCGTGTTCTCGCAATCGCCGTCATCGCATATCGCGCATTTTGTGTCTTGCTCGTCTCCTTGCCCCGCGGGTTCTCCATTGACGGCGGCTGCCGAGCTAGACCGCGGACGGTGGGTCTGCGGAGGCTTTGGGTTTGGCTTCGGAATGCCTGTGGACAGATTAGCCTTTCGAATACGGAATAGAGAAGACTGCTTACGTTTCTCTAGCGCGTGCCATTCCTTCTCAATCTGAGTAATCGTGACCTCGAATATCGCAGGTTTGATAGGCTCTACGCCTTCTTCTCGCCGTGCCGAATTGATCGTATCCAGCCAGCGATCGTCCTGCTCGTCCATGTCATACTCCACGCGCCCGACTGCCACGGCGCTCGAGCCGTCGCCCTCGGTCTTCAGCGTCAAATCCAGGTCCTCTTCGATAGAACCCTCGGGAACCCGAATCAAGCTTCTCTCCGGCCTGGCAAATATCTCGCTTTCTTGGTACCCTATGTTGGCCATCGTCCGATCAACGTAGTTCACCTTGACACCCTCGCTCTCTTCATACGCCTTGAACGGATCTATTTCTCGCACAGACGGTTTCGGCAGGTTGAGCTTCTCCTTTGGGTTCATGGTCGGAATCGGGTTGATGCGGGGTCGGGGCGGCGATCCGAGGCCATTCAGCATCGAGTCCACTTTCCGCGGAGGCCGTCCGGGACGTCGCTTTACGGGTGTCGCGTGTAAGGCAGGTATGATGGCGCCATTGCTTTCAACCCCGTCTTGCGCTGCTTGTTGTGCGCGGATGCTCTCTAGCTGGGCAGACACGCCACTCTCGATTGCGAATTGCCCCGAGGTGCCATTCATTGGTGTGCCAGGAGCGGACTCTGGGGGACTTATGCCGTCTACCAGGTCTGCACTGAAGACGGGGAGTTCCGCTTCGATGTCCAAGTCCGTGTGGAATTCCTCCCACCCCCGCTCCTCGCGGGGTTTATAGCCATCGCTTTGCGCCACGGCGGCAGCAACTGCAGCGGCCGAGCTGGATCGCGGTCCAGCAGACGGCCGTTCGCGTCGGGGTCGTGAATATGAGGGTGAGGTCGCGGGGACAGGAATTCCTTGTCTCTCAGCGTTCATCCGGCCGATGCGGCCGCGTGGTCCAGTGTACGCGTAGCCGCCCGGTCCTGTGCCTCCAACCGGTGTCTCTAAGCCGTCCTCATCGACGTATCTTCCTCCGCCACCTGGCCCGCCGGGGATATATCTGCGCTTCTTGAAGACACCGGGTGGTGCTGAGTCTGGCACGGCTCGCTTTGGTGGTCGACCGGAACTTCGTACGCGTGGTCTAGGGGTGCCAGGCATTGGCGCCATTGGGAAGAATGTGGAGGGTCAGAAAAGGGCGGCCGAAGGGTGCGGTTCGCGGGTGTGGTGGTGAAATAACGCGCCAGTGGTGCTGCAATCTGGCCCACAGCTCCTACCCCAAGCGCGTGCACTCCAGGCAGGTAAACAGCGGCGTGTTCATCGGTGAAGTCGTCTGTCGCTGCGCAAGTCGCGCGGAGTGAGCGGGCGGTCGTGAGCGATGGCGGTCGCACCTGCCCGCCCTGAGTGAGGTTGCCGATGCAGATTAGCGTTCCCACTAGTCTGTCTTGGCGTGCAGTGCTAGTGCGGTTGCAGTTCACTCGCGCCACACCCCCCGAACCCCACGAAGACACGATCGGATAATTTTGGGCCTTGTCCTGGATCATGCTTTGCACTAAGCCTTATTTCTTGCTTCTTGGGCTCCGCCCATCAGAAGCTCTCGAATCGCGGTGCGCCACTCGGTCCCCTCGAGCTCTCAGGGTTCGATGAACTGCCTACAGCTTTCGGTACACATTCATATTGCCAATCAACATCACCGCTCCACGACCGAGCAATATCGAGTGATTCTGCGTGGAGCTGAGAGGTTTTCTGGGATGCGAGCGAACATCACCATTTCAAACCCGGGTTCTGGGGGCCCGTACAACGAAAGCCTGTTCGTCGGTCCGGGTAGGGTCCAACGATGCTAGCACCAAAATTAAGGTTGCTGCATGCGCCCGCGTTGCTCAAGCTACTATTCAATACATAATTACGGCTGGACATGTCGCTCCCGGCTCTGCTTCCTGCTAATGTAGAAACCCAAACGCTGCAGATTCAAGGCAACCACGCCAAACTTAGAGCATTGGCTCATTTCTTCTTCTGAGCGCCAGGCACCTAAGATCGGATGTCTTGCATGGCCCTACTTACCCCAGATCTACGCCACGTGCGTATCCGTACAAAGGCATCCGCTGAACCCCGTATGACGTACCGCGAGGACTTGGGGTGTCCGCCCGGCTAACTTCCCCACGCGAGCACGCACGCGAGCATTGCAGAGCTCGGGAAAGCTTGACCTTCCACAGCCCCAAGTCTCGCAGGGGGCATGGGATAAGGTACGCAAATCTGGTGTACGCCGTCCCGCTGGTTTTCGGGAGCTACGATGTGCCCCTTTTCTCATACTCCGAAGCTTCTCTTTCGCAATCAATGTCGCCAGTCTTTTCTTGTCCGATGTTCCTCAATTCTCTACCTTTTCCTTTTGTGGGTTTCCTCCCAGAGTGCACACGATGATGAGACCCTTTACACCCAGCGTTCCCGACCGCCACTCCCGCTGAAGTGCTGAATCACGCGAGCCGTGCCGTCAGGTCTGCGGCAAAAGCTAGCGGGAACGCTCTAGTGGCTTTTTCGCAAATACCCCCTGACTGAAAAGGTATCATAGCCAAGGTGGGAATTTTCGCACGTCCAATTGTACTATATGGTATCACGTCGCTCGGCTTCAAAGTATTTGACATCCAGCAATCTAAGACCCAATCTGCTCCAAGCCCCAAAAGTCATAGCAAATGCCGCTAGGTGTGCAAGGACGTCACGATCAAGCTTTCAAAAGTCTTCTACAAGTCATGTCACCTCGTCACACCCAAACCCTCGTGCCATCGGCATAGTACTCACAGCCCGGCTTATGCATCGAATTACCCATATCCCTAATCGGCTTGTAAGGCGCCAAACACTGCCAGCAGAATTCGTATCTACATTTCGAACCTGTCAACCCACAGTCAGCATTCGCTCGATGCTCATCGCCGCCGCTGCCTGCCACTTACAAGTCATATGATCGCATCCACTGATCTTCTGTATATTCCACTTGCAGTGCGGGCACTGTTTCGCCAACTCCTTGATCAATTTCTTGCTCGCTTTTTCTTCTGCTTTCTTTATCTTGCCGTCGGTCCTGCGACTAGTATCAGCACCCTTATTCATGCCAACGCCATTGTTCCCAACGTACCTATAATCATACTCCGTACACGTCTCCCCCTTATGCCACATGATCCCATGCACCACGCAATGACTTGCCTTACAACTCACGCACTTGAATCTCGGTGTCCCACTCCCCTCATCATGCACCTGCCCACTCTTACACCCTTTCGCAATACACCATCGAAACCCCGGGATGGCTTCCAGCGCCGCCCTGGTAGCCAAACGATCGTACCGCCGGAAGATCTCTGGCGGAGCGAACTCGCGAATGTCGTCGTATTGCATGCGCAGCCCGCATTCCGGGCAGTTGATCTGGTCCCAGAGCTTGGTTTTGAACGACGACTGGATCCATTTGCGGAGGCAGCGGCGGCAGGTGTTAACATCGTGGGTGCAGTGTGCTGTTTGGGCGCGCTTGGGGAAGTGGCGGAGTGATCTAGAGTCGGTGCAGATCATGCAGTCTTTCGTTGGTGGTTTCTCTCTGACCTCAATGATCGCACTTTTACCCTTACGATGCCTTCCGTGAGGCTGCGAGGCTGGCTGCGGCTCAGCATGCAAGCGAGAGCGTGACCGTGTGTTTCGTTCCGGAGAAGCCTTTGGTCGGTGATGGTGACGCACTTCAGCCTTGCGGTGGTTCCGGTGAGGACGAGCATCAGCCTGAGGCTCGCGACTTCGGCTTCGACTTCGGCTCCGATCGGGTCGTACTTGGTGGCATTTCCGGTTCTTCCGGTCAGTGCCCCAGGCGGCGGCAGCGGCGTCACGAGCATTGCCGTCAGTCTCCCTCAGGGGGCTTGTTCTCCTTCGTCGCTGGTGCGTAGATGTTTCTCTAGTGGTGGATGGAGTGCGGAGCGTGGATTTCAGAGGAGGGTGAGCGCTATCGACTTTTGCTTTGGCGAGATTGCGTTTCGAGCGGCTGGCTTGACTTCTTGTTGATCGTGTATGGTGGGCTTCCTCTGCCGACTCCGTTGCGAGGGATTGGCCCATCGTAATGAGAGGATGGTGTAATTGATACAAAAAGATGTGAGAGTATGCGCTGCCTTTGATACAGGAATATACGTGGCGATTACAACAAATTTCGGGAGGGGTAGCTTCAACGATCGGATGATAAGCTCATGCTTGGCCCACGCCCTCGAATGTGAGGAGACGGGGGCGAAGTGCAGCTCAAGAAGGAATAGATTGACTGAGGAATGTGGAAAATACGATACTCAAACAATTTGCAGTCCCTTCGCGGTAACGCCCTGAACGAGCGTGATGTTGATGATGTTGAAGCCTGCGCCGAGCTCGAGGTGGGGCTTCACCGGTGACCGTGATGTTCTTCGGAACCACTTCATTGGCTACCTGACGAAGGACGCATTGCAGCGCAGCAGGAATGACTGTAGCCTAGCAGGCAAGTCCTGCCACAGGGCAGAAGTAGCAAGGCTGAGATTGATACCCTCTCCCGATTTATGAGTATCGCAGATGTTGCTGTACACCATGCTGGGAGAAGTCCATTCCCCTAGATAAGGCAACTATCATCGATAGAGCCAGCCAGACTCAAATCTGTTCCCATAGAAATCGAGACTGCCAGCGTCAGGATCAACAGGCTTCCTTACCACTGTAATGTCTCCAGGCCAATAGCCCTCCACAGAAGGGTCTGGATCGCCCAACTGCAATGCTACGGTGTAGGCAGCCTTCCTGTCTTTCCGAAATCTTCCAATCTCAGCCACTACATCTAGCACGGGTGCGAAGCCATTTTCCGGTTGACGAGGCTTCGGAGGGGGGGCGGGCCTGTTCGGAGCTAACATCAACCCATCCATAGCCGCAAGCGGCAGACGACTACCAGGCTCATCGTTCGGTAAACCACATTCCTCATCGCCAAAGAAAGAGAAATCATGGGTTGCTGCTTCCCAAAAAGCTTCTGAGTCTTGATCTTCAGTCGATGATTTCGTTGGATATGCACGCCAGCTTGTCGAAATTTTTTTAGGCGCTGCTTGGGGTGGCGCCATCTCGAGCACTACGCGCCGTAATGCAAAGAGGCTCCTTGCGTACTCGCGTTCCGCGAGTTTTCGACTCCTTCCTGGCGGAAGCATATACGTGTGCCTCGCTCTCAACTTTGCGATCTCCACTTCCTCTGCGCAGTCCTTGATGAACTGGATCAAGCAGTCGATCACTTTCTGATCGTCTGTCTTTGTCGGTACGTCAGTCAGAACCAGTGTGTGGAGCTTGGGAAGCATTCCCGGGTGAAGTCGGTTCTCCTGCGACTGCCGTAAATCCAAACGTGCCCTTCTATCTTCGACGTAGGAAGTAGAATTATGCCGCGATCTTAGCGTGCCTTGTCCCACGTCGTCTATTGGAGAGAGTTGTACTCTATCTTCGAACAAGGGAGCGACTGGCGAGAGGCCTCCACTTGCATCCAAGACTGGACTTAGCGGAGAGAGCGGAGAATCCGCGAGTCTGACCGGTTCAGGGGCGTACGCAGCTCCCCGTTTGATCTCTGGCACCTCCGGGGTCACCTTTATGGTCGGACCCCGTTCGGGCGTCTTGGAAATGACGTTGCCGCCGTCGGCGGACTGGATTCCACTTCTTTGGGTATTATCTGCCGTTGGTAAAGCGGCGAGGAGCTCTGTGGGTTGCACAGAGTCTCCCGGGAGCTCATAAACGCCCGTGTCTCTGGAATCGAGTTCGGACTGGGGCGGCTCCACATTCTCAAGCTCATGGGCGTCTGAGGGAGCGTAGACAGCGAGGTCTCCGTCCAACTCCGCTCGAGGAGATGCAGCAGACTCGATGGGAGCGTCTTCCGTAATGACCCTGTGATTCACCCTCAGATAGGCCAGTCTCCCTGCCGCACATTCCGCGAGAACCGGGGTGAGCTTCTCAACACCAGGTATGCGTAAATCGTCCTGACCCTCCTCTGAAAATGAGTGACGTGGATTCCTTACGACGACCGGTAGCGTGCCAATGTCCAAGACTTGCAATCGCTTCGATCGCAATAACCCCGATACGCCTTCCACGGTCATCCCATTGTTCGACAGATATAGGTGCGTGATTCCCACATCTCTGACCTCTTCAATCGCAAGGCTACCGACGAAGCCCTGTGTGAGCTTCTTCCTTAGGTGGCCATCCAGATCTTCAATCGCGTAATCGTGAATCTCTCCTGCGGGCCGGGTATGCTCCACAGGGGGAAGAGGCGATCTCGTTGCATGGGTCTCGTAACTCGTTTCTTTCAAACAGTACTCCAGAAGAAGCCGGGCGCTACCATCGCTGAGCTGGTTGTCGCTTACGTCAAGACTCCTCACTCGAGTGCCTATAGCGGGTGCAACGATCGAAAAGTCGGCGTCCTTTAAGCTCAACCCCTTCAGCTTCAATACCCGTAGATTCCGTAGGTACTTGAGTTTGATGAGTACGGATTCATCTTTTGCTGCAGATGTCCTGGATAAATCAAGAGAGACCAGATCCGGAAAATGCGACAAAGCCTCGGCAAGACCGGTTGATGTCGCATTTGCGCAGGCCGATGCATCAAGCAGGCGCAATCCGTATACGGGGAATGCGTTAGGATGGGTTTGTCTCCACCATAAGCTCGAATGTCGTAATGTCAGGAGTGCTCCGTGGTCGAAGAAAGGAAGTCCATTGACAATCAAACATTGCAGTCGCGGAAGACGTTCAAGGCAGTCGCGTAACCACTCGGAATGCGGGCCACCATAGATTTCGGCGTGCGCGGGGGGAAGGTGGAGCGTATGCGTCAATTCCCGTACGCATAGCCTTGACCAGTATAATGTGCGTTTAAATCGTGTCAAAGCAACTACTATACATCAGTTTCATTTAGGGTCCTTTAACTATGGGGACACTACATACCATATACTGTGTCATTTTGCACTCCAAAATGCGATGCAGGGTTACCCCATAGCTGCGGTGTAAAGATTTCGTGCCATCTTTGGCACACAAGAGCCGCCGAACACAGGTCATCCGAGGGGAGATAACGCGCAACTAGCTCCCATGGATCCTGCTTGATGACGCTTTCGTACGAAGGCAAAAGGTCGTCCATTTGACCGCCTGTGGAGGAAGCTCGGCGATGGCAAGAACTCTATCATCCAAAATCGAGCGAGAGTGAGAAGAGAAATGCTTCAAAAGGATTGCGGAAGCGCATTCCGTATGATGGCGAAGTAAAGTAAGGCTGAATTCGAAGCGTGGCGGAGCACAGCGTCGCCTGACACTCTGAGTGGTGAGCCGCTCGATGAGCTCAGCCAAGCCCGCTTAGCCGAGGTCACGTGCAGGTTTTTTTCCCTTTCAAGTAGGGACTGATGGCGAAATGATCAAGAAAATTATCCTCAGTTCCAGAGATATTCTGGGGAAAATGAGAGAAAGAGGCTATGTAATAAGAATTGAAATGCCAACAAAAAGTGAAGAGGAAGAAAACCTCTTGGACGAGAAACACTGCTTGTAAAGAAAACCAAACGAATGCACGGCGCGTCTTCATACTCCCTCTACGCGCCTCCACGCAAATACGAACACTTCCAGCTCTCTGCCTCATTATCCATGATGGCCCCTCCAGTACTCAAATCCGCACTGCCCGGGTAAGCCAACGTCTTACTCTTCCCCACACACCCCTGATCTGCAAAAAGGGTACAATTGAAGTTGAAGAACACATTCTCCGCCTTATCAGGCCCGAATGAAGAAATAGTGTTCGTCCAGTCGTCGACGAAGTTCCAGCACTCGTCGATGGCGGACTTGAAGTATGCGCATTGGCCGGCCCAGTTCTTTTCTTTGCACATGTATATGCTACCGATGTTGGGGGCGAGGTCGGGAGCGTCGCGCTTTGGGAGGATGGGAGTAATGGGAGAGCCGATAGCGGAGATGTCGACGGGTGAGAGGGGTGCCGGGTTTGCAGCGATGAGAGCCGCGCCCGAAAGGGCAAGGAGGAAGTGTTGAATGCTAGAATACACCATGAAGTCGGTTTGTGATGCTGTACAAATTTTCATAGAGTATTTGAGAATCGCTTTAGTATGTAGCTGATCTGGTGGAGGGGTATATGAGGAACTGGCCTTGAATAAAGACAAACGCCGTTGTAGCGAGCACCTTCTTTGTCCTTGAGGACAATTAGAAGTAGATATGCGAGGGAAGTGGATGGCGACAAAGGAAGGAGAGAGACTATTGGAACTGGGCACAAAGAAACGGCAAAGGCCAAAGCCACCCTGACCGACCCTGATGAACGATGTTATATTTGACCGCGAAGTGCCTCCCGTCGAAGTTGTATCTGAAATCAACACCGTAAAAGCCAGCAGGTGTTCACCCACAACACAAGGCCATCTTCCCTCTCCGGATGGGGACGCCCGTATGTATCAACGCCCGTTCAATTTTGTAAGCTCGTTAACTCATGCCCTTGTACGTATGATGCTCGTTCTGGTGAAGCCTACCCTGGACGGGAAAGAAATTTAGCCCGTACCAAAGGAGGAACCGGGGGAAAAGTTCAATCTTAATCCCTCATCGAGGCTCACAGACCGCGTCTGCATCTCGGGTACTCACAGAGCCTAACCGCAAGTCCTCCTCTGAAGTCGGCGTTTTACTACGACTATTCAGGTCTGAGACGGTGGCCCATTCTGGCGCCAGGAAGTTCTGCGATCGCGTTCACTGGAAACGTCCCCGCTGTCAAGAATGGCATCTTGGTTGCCAATGCTTGGGATACCGGATGATCTGTCCGCTCTCTCGATATCCTCCTATGGCTTTAGCTCATAGGTTTGTCTCGGGTGTTGTTCTTCCTCAAGCAACGCTTTGATTGGCTCAGAGCCTCGCCGCGGATTCAGCGCAGAACTGGTTTGGCCGCTCTTACTCCCTTGTAGAGTGGTAACTGACGGAGTGATCTTTGACCTTTTTGATGGATATTTTCCGGAGCTAGGTACCATGGTCGAGAAGTGGTTGGTTATAGCAGACATGCTTAAGGGGAGATTTGCGAGTAGGGGACGAAGGACTGGCGCCGAGGCGCAGATCTGACCTAATCAGCGTCCGGAAAGCGCAAGTGAACAAGCAAAGGTAAGCACATACCACCCCAAGTCAATCTCGATAGCAGCTGCTATCCACAGAGGATATGCATACCAAGTCTGGTCATATTCCAGCACCAAGCTCTTGTAGATATACCACGTGCGTACTATTCCGGCGATGGTGACTATAAATCCGAGACTGAACAGTATGACAACGGCTATGCGCTGTCTACGCGGCATTTAGAGCTATTATGAGTATTAGCTACTGCCACTCATAATTTCGCGATACTGACCTTGGCGACCATGGGTATTGGAGTCACAGTGCGAAGAAAGTCCGCGATGCAGTTGATTATTCCCGATACCAAAGTGACCGTACCTTCATTGAAGCAAGAGCCCTCGGGTGCTCCAAACGTCCAATAATTTCGCACCGGAATGCATTGGAAGATGGAAAGGAAGATGAATATGAATATGGCTACGGAATAGATAACATTGGCGTGTACTGCCCAACGGAAAACGCGCTTGTCAGAATCTTGGACGAGTCGGTAGTAAAAGCAGAGGACAGATAATCGCGTGAACGTAGCCACAGCTGTAAAGATGATTTTGGCAGCCATTGCGATTTTCGAGGTTGTCACCAGCTTTGTGAATGGAATATCATAAACGTGGCGATCCCAGCCGTATTCTTGATTCGCGAGCAATACGCATATGATAAAACCGATCGTGGAGAGCTTTAGGATGATTAGCAGAGAGCGCAGGTGCTTTCTCCCAAAGACATGCTTACCAGTGCAAGGACAATAAAGGCATCGTCCGATTCAAACCACCTCTTGACCTAGGTTCTGGCATACAGCCTAAGCCCTACAACGATGGCAACGAGGATTATGAAAACGCACTTGACGATTAGGAGTGCGTTCCCTCTGGTGACCGGCTCCGTGTAATTGAGTGTCAGCCACGACAAGATAACCTCAGGAGGTATGCTTCGCATCCTAGAGATGTTGACGTTCGACTAGGATAAACGACAGAACGAGGCATGCAAGCGATCGTGTAGAGAGTTGCAGGGAGGGAAAGTGGAAGGAGGAAAGGACGCCGGAGGCTAGGCTGAAGCGCGGCGAGCTCATTTTGAGATTGCATCCAGCTAGCAGTTCAAGCAGTGGGGTGAGCGGGACGGCCTGTATTCCAACGATACGCTAATGGTGGTGGTGCGCCACAAATCAGATTCCGACAGCGTTCCCTTGTGAATCGCATCGTGTTCCACAAAGAGGTCTTACCTTGCGGTAGTGAACTAGAAAAGGTCCGGCTTACATATGGCTCAGCCAGTTGAAGTTCGTCCGACAATGGAAGGCTCATTTCATGTACAGTAAATCCCCTACGAGGTCATGGCCTCGCTCGAGCTCTTTCTTGGAAGCGGCATGCCGTCCCGCGCGTGTTGGCGGAATTCCGTGATGGCCTCCACGTGGGGTGTTATCTAAGCCACAAGCATGTCAAAAGATACGCCGGAGACGTTGCTCAATGGTGAGACTGTCGAGCTCATAGATGTTTCGCTTGAATCATGGAAGGTTCAGGCCTGCTGGCTCAAGGGAAGGTGTAAGCTGGCGTGAATCCTGCCCACCGTACTGTGTAAACAGCCATGGCTACCATGGCTTGTCATCAACGTCCGACAGTTGACGTAGCGCAGTATTGGCTCGCTCACAAGCCTTGAAGATGTATCGTGAAGAGGGGTTGAAGCATTGTGGGACGAGTCAATCCGATTAAGTTTGGGCCGTGCAATCCCGGCAGCGATCCTCATAGGGCACGCCCAACCTATCCTAGGGATAGCAAAGTCGTTTTGTCCCTCTAGTCGGGTTGGACGGTTGGGAGCTTGCGGAGTCCTTGCTTCCTCATCTCGAAACCCGGGTCAGCATCCGTCGCAGGGGCTCCTTGTCTGCGATAAAATGGAGCGAAGAAGAGGGGAATAGACTGAGTCAACAAGCAGGGCCTCCCACGTCATTTTTGACACAACAAACACTACTGTGTATTTGATCACGCCTCGACATCCAGTAATTGACCGCCCTGAAGTATTTCCGAAACGCCTTGTCGCTTCTGTCTCGTTGCGGCTTCCGGGAAAGCCGGAGTTCTACGCCTCCATGCGGCCGAGTGACGAAAAGTGTCCACAATATTATTTAATACGACATATGTAGGTATCGTGAACAGAATCCAATACACCAATTTCAGGTCTTTACCCACTGAAGGACACTCCCTGATGACTTTTCTGTGACACGTTCAGGATTCCCGGACCTAGGTGAAAGGCAAGGGCGGCACTCATAGTATCACAGCTGATCCGGATCCCGCAAAGCATCTCTCTTCGCCCTACATGTAGCCTCTATCCAACGATTGCAACTCATGGAGCACCCAGATGTGCCGAGAAGGGTGGTCTGACCAATTCACTGGCCAAGCCACACTGTGGCGTACGCGACAGGGATCATCTCGCGCTAAAGCACGGAAATTGTCCGACAACCGGTTCTGACGTCTTTTCCACACTGCATCTTTCCTCAGCTCTGGCCAACTTGCTGCTGCCACGACAATCGGCTATTTGGCACTCGTCACCGCCAATTCGCTGGCAACTGAGTATCATATCTTCTTTAGGCCGCGATCACGAGAACACCCTGCTACCCCACCCCGCAAACTCTCGTCTACCTTCGCCCATTCCTGGACCGCATCTCACGATGTTCGTTGGAGCAATGCGCGCATCATTCCATGTGATTGGCCATTCTAGGGGCGTTGTAAATGCCCGTGACAGCCTGCTGGCTGAATAAACCTTACTATCATGGTTTCCTTGTTTCAGCAAGGGGATCCCAAGGCGCGTGATATCATTCCACAACGCGAACGAATCACTTGCGGCCCGATGAGCGACCGAGAAGCTTCAGTCCAGTAATATCAGGATCCCGAGTGGGCATCAGGTGCTGGGCCACATCAGCCTGGGATGGCGCTGTGACGAATACAAATACGTGGCTCGCAGCGAGATCGCTCGTCGCCCTCAAGCTTAAGTACAACTCTCTTTCTGCTTCTGTTCCTCCATACCCGTCGACGCTTAATTGCTAAAGCACCAGAAAGTCCTTTCTGTTTTGTTTTGCTCAGCTGAGACTTCCGTTTGCGGTCGTTAGCATAATCCATTGTTACCCAGACCCTACAACAACGACAGCCTCGCGCAACCTCCTCCACATTCCACTCCACCTTCTGAAAAGATCAATAGTCAATTCGGCAAGATGATTGTCTCGCGCATGGTCTCCCTCTTCCTCCGCTTCGCCCAGTTTGTCTGCTCGGCAATCGTTCTGGGCCTCGTTGCCTACTTCCTCCATCAGCGCGACAAATATGGTGTTGGTCCTCTCGGCAGATCAATCTATACAGAAATCGTCGCAGCACTCTCCGTCATATTCTCGCTGATCTGGATGATCCCAACGACGTCGTCCATCATCAATTATGCAACTGACCTCTTCTTCTCCGCTGCTTGGTTTGTATGTATACACCGATTATTTGACAATATTGACACAATGCTGACTGTTCTACAAAGGCTGCATTCGGTGCCCTCGTCGATTGGTATTACGACGTCAACTGCGGCTCCATCTGGCACTGGGGAGGCATCAGGTTTCGCGGCGGAAACTACTGCAGCAAATGGAACGCCGCACAGGCCTTCTCTTTCCTTGCCGCCATCTTCTGGTTTGCGAGTTTCCTTCTTGGGATCATCGTGTACCACAAGCTTTCGCGCCCTGTGGCTACCGATGGCACTCAGTAAGTCCTTCTCTGTGTTCGGACCATGCGCAATATGCTGACAAAAGTAGTGGTAGGCGCTGGCGCCGTTCCCACGTCTAAGGGACTTTAGGACGGCTAGGACATGACCGCAGTCGAATAGGGCAATGGACGACTGCGAAGAATCACGGACTCTGGAGGGCTCTTGGATACTTCAGGTTGGCGCTTTTGGGCCTTGGTTCGACAAATTGATACCCTCTGGCGAATGTTTCTTTGGTTTTTGAGACTGGGGATGGATGTCGTAATGGATGATGATTTCATTTTATCGGAGTTTTCAGGTTTAACGCTTCACGGCACCGTCAAGGGCGACAGATAAACTTAACAATATATTAGCTCAACAGCTATGACAATTGATTATTAAACTTTTGCCTCTGTGAACGCGTATTCCACTTCAGTCCCCGCATTCTGATCCCCACCGTCGGCATTTGCTCCCCAAACACCGACTTCACCCCTCATCCGGCCACCTCCGTCGCTGCATTACTAATAAACCACGTACTTGAATCCTCTCTACATCTTCCCAATTCACGTTACACTAAAACACGACATATCATGGCTCCCCTCGCCTCGATCGGCATTCTCTCCATTGGCCAAATGGGCCTCGGCATCGCGCGCCTCCTCGTCGCACATAACTACCGCGTCCTCACAAACGTCAGCAACCGCAGCCAATCCACGCAAGAGCGCGCAAAATCCGCGTCCCTGGTCCTAGTACCCACGGACGCTGACCTAGTCCAAGAGAGTGATTATATCCTAAGTATTGTACCTCCAAGAGATGCCGTCGCGACTGCGAAGAGGATCGTAGATGCGTGTAGGGAAGCAGAGGGGTTAAGAGCAGGAAAGAAAGAGCCGCTGTATTATCTCGATCTGAACGCTGTATCTCCGTCTACCGCTAGGAGCATTGATGAGCTCTTCAGAAGCAGCGCGCCGAGCGTACGCTTCATCGACGGCGGCATAATCGGCGGGCCACCCACTCCCTCCTCTTCCACCAACTCCTCAGAATGGACGCGCCCGGGCATCCCCCTCTCTGGCTCCCATTCCCTCGACGGGGCTCCCATCTCAGGTGCCCACCTCGCCGAAACGCTCAACACGCGCTATCTGGATGCCAACATCGGCAGCGCCTCGGGTTTGAAGTGCACCTTCGCCGCCCTCAGCAAAGGCTTCACAGCCCTCGCCCTGCAATCTTTCACTACAGCTACTAATCTGGGCGTCCTCCCGCACCTGCAGCACTACCTGGGCATCTACAATCCTAGCGTTGCCGCCCGCGCTGAGAAAAGCATCATCGGCTGCACGGGGAAAGCGTATCGTTGGGTAGAGGAGATGCATCAGATTGGGGAGTGCTTTGCGGAGGAGGGCGGATGGAGGGAGCAGGCGAAGGTGTTTAGGGAGATTGCGGGCGTGTATGAAGGGCTGGCGAAGGTGGTGGAGAGGAGAGGGACGGAGGGGATGCGGGACGCGGAAGGGGTTGTAGGGGCGTTAGGGGAGGGTTTGAAAGGGAGGGAGAGGAGGGTGAGTGTGGAGAAGTTGGAGCAGGATGATCGGTGAGCAAGTGGGTCTTTGAGAGTTAGATATGTATTCAGAATACATGCATGCAGCTAACCAACCTATTCCCACCGGATTTCCCTAGGCCCAAAACCTAGAGCGCAACCGCTCCAAAAGCTCCAAGATATCCCTATGGTACAAAAGAAGAAGACGCACAAAGGAGAATGAGAATGCTAACCCATCTTTTTCCGAGTTTCATAGCAAGAGGCGAAGTCAAGTCATTATAGCCTCTATGCTAGCGTGCTAACCCCTGAACAGACAATCCATTTACTCCTTCGTTGCGGCTTGCGCCTCGGAAGCAGGCTTGGGATTCTTCGCCTGCCCTTCCACGCTCTTCTCCTTCCTCTGGTCCTCGGCAGCCTCAACGGTAGGCGGCGCCTCACTGGCTTCTGCCTCGCCCTTCTCCAGTGTCTCCTTGTGCGGGCCCTCGGCGTCAGGATGCGGTGGCGCAACACCCTGGGGTGCGTCGCCGTCCACATCCCTCGCATTCACAAGCGCTTCATGGATCTCGTTGCCCTGGGCGTCTACGATGCGCGTCCGCGTCTCATAGCGCGTTTTGAAACTTACTTTTCCGGCGAGTGCTGCCACCTCTTCGTCGTTGAGCACGCGGCCGTTCTCGTCGCGGAACTCGATGCGCTCCTCTTTGGAGAGGATGGGAAGCTCTTTTGGAGCGCCCTGTGGAGGAGGGGATACCGCGGGCTTCTCTGATACCACCCCTTCCGGCTTTTTTTCGTCCTTGGGTTGCTCTTGTTGGACCGGAGGTTCGGCGGGAGGAGGTGGCGGTGCTGCTGATGAGGGAGCTGAGATGGAGGGGACGACTGTCTGGGAGTTATACTGGTCATACTGTGAACCATTAGCTGATGTTCGATTTGAGATGTCCTTCTCATTAACTTACTGAGGTGAGGAAGTTGTTGCAGTCCCAATCCCAGGTGCCAAACAGTTTGACACTGTTGCACTGATCCCGGGTCCAGGGATTTCCGTAAACAAGAGGGGAATAGACGGTGAAGACAGTGATGGCGACAGCCAAGAACGCAACGGCAGCTGCCTGGCCAATGGCGGGATACTGCTTAAGACCAAGACCACCGAATCGATACGCCACGAAGTCGTACATCTGGCAGAGAGCGAGGATTGCAAAGTACAGGGCTGGGAGGTAGTGATGAAGGAACAGTTGGCGTGCCATCAGGTAGAAGGGGAAGTAGTGGAAGGCCCATCCGAGGATGGACATGCCAACTTCATAGTCGAAGCGCTTGAACGTGACATTGGAGTAGTCACGGTATCCGCGCTGCCACCGGAGTACCGCAAGACCTTTGATAGCGATATAGAGGCCAATGAGGGCGGTGGTGCTCCACCATATAACGGGATTACCGAGGAGGTAGATCTGGCGGTTGTGCTTCCCCCAGAAGTTGATGCCGCGGCGGAGAACTGGCCACGAAGGCGGCCTTGAGTCCCACGCATGAGACTCCACGAGACCAGCGTTCGTTTTCCACATAACCTTCTGGAGCTCCCAGAATTTACCAAAGAAGCCTGGGTTGCGGTAGTTGACCTTTTCTACATTGGCTTGGCTGCTCATCAAGGGATGAACATTGCCCTCGATGTACCAAATGCTGTTCGGCAGAGTGCCTCCGCGAGCGCAGGTCACTTCCTGCTGTTCGAAGGCCCAATCTGGAAGCTTAACTTTGTGGGAAAAGAGTACACAACCGGTCATCAGGTGGACAAGCCTGAACTTGGTTTGGATGGTCCTCAGACGCTTCTTTGCTTCAGCACCGTCGGACATGCTCTTAATGATTTCAACGCGGAAGAAATCATTGGCATCGCCCTCAAAACCTTCATAACCGTACGCGGACACTTCGTTCTGCCAATCTGCCTCCGTGACAGGTGGTCGTTGGTCATGCGAATGGAGGCGACGATCGGTAGTGATATGATACAGTCGGATTACGGCGCCATCCTCGATGTTGATCGGGCCCATATTATCCCAAGCCTTTGGGCCTTCAGGCTTCGGACCATCAAGAACTTCGGGGAGAGTTTGGTTCTCGAGGATCCAGATATTGTTCTCATCTTTGTGCGGGTACAGCGTAATCTGCTGCTGCTTGCTACCGGTCGGATACATGTGGCTGTGAGAGTGGAGATAACCACCCTGGGTGTTCCAGTGACGGATTGATACACGGCTGCCAAAGGCGACATCGGCTGGCACGTCCTGCATTCCCTTGGAATTCAATGTAGCCTGAAACTCTGAGGACATGAAGCCATCTCCATCGCCGGGATTGACGAGGCAAGTGAAGTGGATCGCGAACATGGCCATGTAGAAGGTTAACGGGATTACGACCAAGCAGAAGAGGCGGGCGAAAAAGTGCTTGAACCAAAGTCGCTACACGTAACTTAGCAGCCGCGTCATGGAGATGTTTGAAGCGCACTTACCGGAGTGACGCTCCTCGTATCCCCAAGGAGAACCCACAATTGCAAAAGAGTCAAGCTTCCAACCCACGCGATTGTGAACAATCCAACCCACTTGACGCTAAAGGTGGCTCCAAGACTGACGCCAGTCGCTGCCAGCCAGAACCACCAGGATGGCTGGAATGCCTTCGACGGGCCCTGCTCATGCTGGTTCATGAAGCTTGTCCATGACAGGGCAGTCATTGCGGTAAAGAGGACGAGAGGGGAATCGAGAAGGATAAGACGCGACTGAGTGGTGAGCGCGTTGTCTGCGAAGCATTAGCGTCACGCCTTCAGTTCACGGTACGATTGGAGTTCGCACCAAATATGACGAGGCCGGCTCCAAGAGCAGCCGTGGTCGTTCGACAGCCCGTGGCCTTAAGAGTCAGGAACATGGTTGGAATGCTAAGAACACCGCAGATTGCGGGCAACAGGCGCATGGCGACATAAGGAACGCCCGGTTCGAGGTAGTCCTTTCCGATGTCCTTGAAGTCGAAGTTCCCGTCGAATCCGGCCAGCCATCCCGCCAACGTAATCAAAAGCTTCGCTAGCGGTGGGTGGACATCCATGAAGAATTTGCCTTTGATGTATTTAGACGCGAATCCACCAAAACTAGAGCGCACCGTTAGCTCTTGCTCCTCAACAGCCTCGGATTGCGCAAACGTACTGGACCTCGTCGAACACGACACTGCTGGGCTGGTAGATCCTGAACAGACGCACCACCGACGCGACCAGGATCAGCAGGCCCAGCAGCTGCCAGTCGGAGCCGGGCAGATTGAAAATGTCATGATCCATCACCCCCTCCGATGCGTAGCTGGGAACCTTCTGCGCGTGCTGCTGGCGCCCGCTCGGTGCTGGAGATCGCGAGGGGGACTTTCCGGGTCGGCGCGTGTCGGCCTTTTGTGCCAGATGGGAGCTTGCTGCCGTCCGGTTCGCCATGGCGGCGGCGTGAGAAAAGGGTGGTGCGAATCGATCAGGCCGAGCTGGGAGCTATTACGAACGCTAAGGACAACTGCTACGCGGTCAGCGGGAGATGGAAGAGGGGAATTTCCGATACCCACAGTTGTTGTTAACGAGAGTATGAAGAGAAGCCCAGCAATTGACGGAGAAGTGGGCGTCGTGGAGGTTTGGCGGTTAGGGGCCGAGAGAGAGAGAGAGTACGCAAGGCGTAGTGCACCCTGGTCAGAAAGTGCAAGGTGTCTTCGCGACTTTAGCGGGCCAAGCAAGGAGCTGAAGCTTCAAAAATAGGTCAGCCCACAGGATTGCTCCCCGGTGAAAGGAAACAGCAATTCTGAGCCGTGTGCGTGCATTAGTCGTGCGCCTGGGACGTAAGGCACCGGGAATTAATTTGATACCCGCAGCGACAAGAAGCGCGAATTGCCCAGCCGCCCGCGGGTCGCTTGATTGAGACGTATATGCTAAGCCTTTCACGTGGTGGAGTAGCCCGGAGAAAGGTATTTCCCTGCCGCCTTGGCCGTTTGGATTTGATGCGACCGCCCCGGCCTACCAACACCAACAACCGTCGCCGACCTTCGCACGCACACTATGGCTGCTGTTAACGGTAGTCAAACGCCCTCGAGCGGAGGGGAACTCGCCGTCAAGCCGCCCTCCGATGTCATCATCCCGCCTCCCAACGTGCGCGACAACGTCGCGAAGACGGCCGACTTCGTCTTCCGCAGAGGCGAAAGGGACGAGCATGCCATGGTCGTCCGCGTTCGTGAGAAAGGGACCAGCCATTCGCTCTCGTTTATCCTCCCCGAAGACCCTTACAATGCATACTACGTCTGGTATCTTCAACAATTGAAGGAAGGCAAAGGGCCAGAGCAGATGGCAAAGCGCGTTGTCCAAGACACCAAACCAAAGGGCCCGCCAGAACCCCTGAAATTCCGCTTTTCCGCAAGAATGCCCAACATCAGCGCAAAGGATCTCGAGATTCTGAAGCTAACGGCACTTTATACTGCGCGTGTCGGCGAGAACTGGCTCAAGGAGCTGCGGAACCGCGAGTCCGGCAATTTCCAGTTCGATTTCCTCCGAGCGAACCACAGCTTCTTCCCATTCTTTCGGGCTCTCGTCGACCAGTATAAGATATTGCTTGAGGAGGAGCGGACGGTCGAAGCGCGCATCGAGGAGTTGCAGCGCAACATCAAGAATCGCTTCCACGTATTGGACCGTGCGAAGCAGCGCGCAGAGTACGTCCGATTCGTAACGCAGCAAAAGGAAAAGGAGGAGAAAAAGGCGGAGGACGAGAAGAGGGAGTATGCATCGATCGACTGGCATGACTTCAGTGTTATCGCGACGGTGCTCTTCGATGAAGGTGACGACGCTGCAGATCTTCCTCCGCCAACGAACCTCGCCGATCTGCAGTCCGCGTCTCTGGAGCAGAAGGCCATGGTTTCACTCTCGGCTAAGCGAATCGAGGAAGCGATGCCTGACGAAGTCTTGTATTACAACACGTCTCAGCAACCGGCCATGCCAATGCCAATGCCGGGTTACCCAGGCGCGATGCCGATGGCACCGCCCGTACAACTCCCCTATCAGCCACCTCCTTTCGCTCCTCAGGATTATCGCTCGCCGGCACAGAAAGCTCGGGAGGAGGAGGAAGCGCGCCTGGCTCGAGAGCGACAAGCGGAGCGCGACCGGGCTACCCAGGCTCAAGCGGCGGCTAGGGGAGCACCCAGCTCGATGCGAATCAGAACAGATTACGTTCCCCGCGCAAAGAAGGCGAATGTTGCTCTGGTTCAGTGCCCTAACTGCAAGCAGAACTTCCCTGCCGACGAAATTGAGGAGCATATTCGAAGTAAGTACTGTCCTTTACACTTGTTCAAAACGTTGCTAACTGCTTGACTAGTCGAGCTTCTTGACCCGCGCTGGAAGGAACAACGGGCGAAGACCGAAGCCCGATACTCCACCGTCATCAATACGTCCGAGGTCGCCAACAATCTCAAGCGCTTCGCCAGCCAACGCGACGACATATACGATGGCGCCACTGGCATGCCGATAACTGAGGAGGAAGCTGCGCGGCGGAAAAAGGCGGCGACGTCTTACGACGGCCAGCCGGATCCGGCGAAGGACGCTGCGCGTCTCCAGCAGATGCAGACCATGAATGTCCAGGAGCAGCTCCGTCGCATTCAGGAGAGGCATGGCGGTGGCCAGTAAGAGACGAGCATTAAGGCTAAGTACGTTTCCCTCTGTCTCCCTCTGTCTCTCTCTGTCTCCTATGGACACCTCAGAGGCTGCCACCTTTGAGAGTTCCTATTCCCACTGTCTGCTGTACAACAGATTCATCGTCTTCCTGCATTGGGTGGAGTTTTGGAAAGGACGTTCAATGGTGTTCATACTCCCAGGAGGGTGCGGTCTGCAGAAGTAGCAGATACGTATCGAGCTGCTGCATCTACTCAGCTCGAGCAGAGCATGTCTGATACCCAAACAAATTAAAAGTCAATATGTGTCTCTGCATTTCCGTGACTAGTTGCTCTAAACTGTAGCTGGATGTATAAGAGACGAATTGTTCGCGGGCAATGCGCTCTCATGCTCCAACTTCGAGGTCCAGAGAGCCGCGGGCCAACCTCCGCGTTCAAGCTCGGACTCGGACTTCCAAAGCTTTCCTCCGACCCTAAGCTATGATATAATCGCCAACATTATTTTCCATGCGCAAAGCATATCCTCGCAATCATTTCCTTGCACAAACATGTCGTTAGCACAGGTCAGCAAAGGCGACATGCCCTACCAAGTCCGGTCTCTCGTACGTCCCTGCAATTCCAGTCCCCACGCACAGCCGCCACCCATCACCGCAATGCGCGAGTGCTGGAGCGCTGGCTCGCCCGCCCCGCGAGCTTTACGGGCATGCGCATACGGCTATTACAGTCGCTTGGGAGATCTATCGCAGTTGCTAATAAAGCATAGTACCGGTCGTTACTGCGAACAGGCGGTCAATTCGCCTCGTACAACTTCCGCGAGTACGCGAAACGGAGAACGCGCGATGCCTTCCGAGAACACCAAAACGAGACGGATGAGAGGAGGATACAAGAGTTGGTGCAAAAAGGCTTGAAGGAACTGCAAGTGATGAAGGTATGTGTGGCCAGGCAGAAAGGAAACTGAACTAGGACCTTGGAAATGGCGTACCACGATCATCTACGATAGGCGAACGAACAGCAGACGATTAGGAAGCAGGCTGACACACGGGCCTACAGAGACAAACGGTCATCAGCCAGTTCTACCAGCTCGACCGGTTAGTGGTAGAAGGCGGCAAGACGGGGAAGCAGAAGGGCGACGAGGGCGGGATTGTGCGGCAGAAGGACCAAGGGTGAGCTATATTCGACTCCTGCATACTCGTACAGGTGTTCTGACATTTCTTCTAGTTGGGATTGAAGTGCCGCCGTGGATCAGAAGTGCAAATTCGGATCTTTTGTAACAGGAGCTACATACTCTTCTCGGACTGTTTGGGGCAAATCGCATTGGAGAGGGTGTTGCAGAGCGCACCCGTCCGCGACTGTACTATACTGAAGTCTGCTTTCCCCGAGGGCTAGAAGACGGATACGTCGCTGTAGATATATGACTCTCATAACTCCGTCGATTTTGAGCTCCCAGTTCTTTTGGTTCTTGTCCCAGTCAAGGGCCGATTAGGGTACCGAGACTACGTTGAGGACACCGCATGAGCAAACAACAGAACAACAGACACGCGCCATGTCTTTCCCTTGAACGATCATACTCCAGCACATCACAGATGCTTGATCCGACAGGAGCGTTCTCCTCAATGACCTCTCGATGCACGGTCCACAAATGAAGCTTAGCGTGCACGGTCGCACAACAGGCGCAACTTCACTTGGGACGCGCCTGCCCTTCACACCGCGCGACTTCCCGTCGAGGACAGCAGCACCGCTTCACCGCACCGCCTGACCTGCGCATTCCCGCTCATCGAGGCAGCTGCGTCAACTATGGCTCCGGTACGTCCCGCGTCATTCTATTATCCTCCCGCCTCCATTCTCTCCGTGTCATCTTCGCGATCACTGGCGCTATCTCGACCTTTCCGTATATCTTCTTTTCGCATCAACTTTTCACTCTTACTGCGGTGGTTGGGTCCTGAGGCAATTTACTGAGAGGCGCTTTGCCTCGGGGACGTTCACCTCTGGCCCTAGCTTTCACAGACTAAGGCCCGAGGGGAGGCGCGGAGAGCTGTCCATCACCTCCATTCATCGAGCTCGTCCTGGAACGCGCGGCAATCTAACGCCGAATCCGCCGTCTGCGATGCCAGCTAACATCATGTGACTAGTTCCGGAATAGGGACCGCTCCAACAGATCGGGACGCGGCCAAGTCGAGCATAATGTGCTCGAGGGACTTCCCATCAATCAGTATAAAGAGGTCGAAATTACCATTGGACCAAGCTCTTCCGAATCCAAAGAGGTGGACAAAGATGCGTGGCCCGAACCACCTATGCCACGGGATTCCCATATGCTGCCGGAGCACTCCCAGCAATTACTTCGCGCAGCAAGAGCAGGCCGGATGTACAAGCCGCCAGCACCGCCGGAAGAAGATAAGGAGGCCATGGATGAAGAGGATGAAACGAAGGAGGTTTCCCAGGGCTTCACTGTCAAGAAGTGGGCCAAAGTACCGCGACATCTCGAGGAACCGGAGCCTGAGTATCTGGCCAAGCGACGGAAAGGCTTGCCGTCACAGTACGCCATGTCTAGTCAAGTGCCGGCGCAGCCCACGCCAATGAGGGAAACTAAGGTCAAGAAAACCGACGCAGAAGGCAACGTGAGCGTGTACAAGGTCCTGGTTCCAGAAGGCCAAGCCGTGGAGGGTGAAATTCAGCCGACGGATGCCGTTAGCGAGGCAGCACCCACGACTGCCGCTCCAGGAACAGTAGTGGAAGGTGTCGGAGTGGTCAACGCCGAAGGCATGGTGGTAGCCAACGACGTCATGCAACACACTCCACCACGAAGGAGACCGCCCCCTCCTAAGAAGAAGAAGAAAAGCGGCCCTGGAAGGGGAAAGAAGAAGGTTGTGTTCGTGGAAGGAGCCGAGCAGCAAGGGACGCCTGCTTCTACTACAGGCAGCGACCTTCTCGCGGTGCCTGGAGTCAAGCAGGAAGGGGGATCTGTCGAGCCTTCAGAGGGCGGCGATACTCCCATGGCAGATGCTGGAGACGAAGAGGAAGGTTCAGGCGAGGAGGGATCAGAGGATGAGGAGCACGAAGAAGGGACTCATTCGCCGACGCCCGCTATTGCAGTAACTCCTTCGAAGACGCCCGCAGAGCCTGCCAACGCCCCGGTTGCTGAACCACCGAAGGAGGAACCCATCGTCGAAGCAGTGCCTATAGCGGACACAGCACCCGTTACAGATACTCCTAAAATTACCCCAGCAGAGCCTACTCCACCTTCTGCGCCTCCAGGAGACGACGGAGCTGCCGTGGCAACCCAAATTGAGCCCGAAAAGCAGGAGAAAACTGATCGCGATCCATCAAGTTCCCCGGAACTACCCCTCTCCGCTATGGCTCACAGCAGACAAAATTCGTTAAATCAACTTCCTACAATTCCTCCCCTCGAGCCTGCGGCTCCTGAACCTGTTTCCGCTGAAGAGCCTGTCCCTCCTGCCGAACCCGTTGAGTCTGTCGAAACTGTCGAAACCGTCGCGCCTGTCGAACCGGCCCCTGCGCCTCTGCCTCCGCAGGAACCGGCGGCCGAAGAAATACAAGCCTCAGATGGCGAACCCGATCTGCTCGGAAGCCTCGAGAGGCAGCTTGAGAAAGACAGTGAGTCAATGGCAGCTCCCTGACCTTATCTAGGCCACCTCACGCAACCACCCAGACAGCATTTACCTTGCATATGATTGACAGTTAGAGAAGGCCGATATTTGTCCAATTTGGCTCAGAAGCAAGCTCGCCACGCTCGCAAATGATCGATTTTGGAGACTATCTGGCACTCATTCTTTCCTATTGAGTTTAGGGCTTTAGGGTTTGTCGGATGCGGGCCGCGTCTTGTATACCTCTGTATGAGTAGGATAGTGTAGATACCACCTGTGGACGGTGTCTTTGAGCTCTTGTCATTCTGTCAATAAACATTTTCTTCTTGTGTGATATAAGTTTCAATCGATGCGTTCGTATCCCTGCCATTGATTCGTATACGGCGATCGGTTCGGCTACCCCACTTCACAGATAAGTGCGTCATAGTCGAAGCGACTTACCCGTCGGAAAAGCGTGCCACCCCTCTTGATGAACGACCGCGAGGCGGGCGCGAACGATGGCAAATGAGATGAGCGCATATTCTACCGTTAACAAATACTCACCTCGATGATTCTGGAGGCGTCTTTCTCTTGGAATCTATATCCCACCCCAAACTTTGTCAACTCAGTCAACTCGGTATAGCCGGAACCTGCCTTTGGGATAACTATTCAAGTCGTAGGCATCTCATCGGTGGCCTGAACTACCTCAAACAGCAAACTACTATTCGAGCCTTACGAAATCAGCTTCAGGATGCCTGCAATTAGCAAGATCATTGAGTCGCATCGGCCAGCACTAGGTCCATACGAAGAGCTCTGTAAGCCTGCTATGCAAGGCCTCTTTCTCAATTGCCGAACTAATATACGTTACAGACAAGCATTTCCACTCCCATCCCGAACTCTCATTCCAAGAAAAAGAAACAGCAGCGACCATAGTCGCCCACCTGGAGAAACTCAGCGCCTATGAGATCCACTCCTCAATCGGCGGCCACGGCGTCGCGGCCGTGCTCAAGAACGGGCCTGGGAAGACTATCTTACTGCGCGCGGACATCGATGCGCTGCCCGTTGAGGAGAAGAGCGGGGTGGAGTATGCGAGTACAGCGAGGATGAAAGATTTGGAGGGAATTGAGAAACCTGTGATGCATGCTTGCGGCCATGATGTGCATATCGCCGCGCTGCTGGCTGCTGCGGAGACGCTGGCGAAGGCGAAAGAGCAGTGGAGCGGGACACTGATTCTATGCTTTCAGCCCGCGGAAGAGAAAGCCGGCGGTGCGAAGGCCATGGTTGAAGATGGCTTGTATAAGAAAGTTCCCGAACCAGACTTGTGCATAGGAGCGCATGTAATGCCCTTGAGATCCGGCATGTCTTCTCCCCTCTTCCGGCAATACGGCTGAGCTGACTCTATTCAGGCGTGATCGGAACAAAACACGGCCTCATGGCCTCCTCAGCAGACTCTTTCCAGTACCACTCCCTCCCTTTCTTCACTCCCCTCATACCCCCCAGCTCAGCTCAGCGCAGCTAACAATCCCCAGAATCCACATCCAGGGCCGGCAGGCGCACGCTTCTACTCCGCACGTCTCCATCGACCCCATAGTCCAAGCCGCCTCCACCATCCTGCGCCTCCAAACCATCGTGGCTCGCGAAGTCGACCCCTCCGACTTCGCCGTCGTCACCGTGTCGGCCATGCACGCGGGCGATGCAGAGAACATCATCCCGCAAGACGCGCTTCTGAAGCTCAATATCCGCGCCGGGATACCGGAAACAAGGGAACGCGTGCTCAGCAGTGTGAGGAGAATTCTGGACGCGGAGAGTGTTGCGAGCGGGAGTCCACATAAGCCCGATATGCGTCCTACGACGAACTTCCCCTTCCTCTACAACGACCGCGCCGTCACGTCAGCGCTGGAAACCACCTTCGCCGCGCACTTTGGTGAGAGTCCGCACAGCTATAGCCCGGATATCCCTAGATTACCGGGGAGTGAGGACTTCGGCATCCTGGCGACCAGCATTGGCAAACCGAGCTGCTTTTTCTTGTATGGCGGGCTGGAGCATGAGATGTATGACAGGGCGGAGAAGGAAGGGAAATTGAAGGAGTTACCGGGTAATCATAGTCCCTTTTTTGTCCCGGTTGTGCAGCCTACGCTCGGTGTGGGTGTGGATGGGTATGTGGTTGCGGCGTTGACGTTTTTGGGGAAGGACGGGGAGTAAGGGTGGATCAGAGTCCGGCGGTCGTGCGTGTGCAAAAGCAATTTGAGAATCTGGTATGGTGTGTGTAGCTTGGTCTGTGAATGGTTTGCGGTAGGGCTGTGGCTGCTGCATGGCGTCGACTCTCAGCCATGAAAACTCAGCCTTATCCGCTACCTGATGAAAGCATCAGGTGAGGGGCTGCGAGACATCTGATATGACCTTATACTCCACTGAATGAGTGAGAGTGTCATGGAACACAACTGAGAGGCTTGTCCCCGCGGCTGAACGATCTCTCCTTAAGACATATATGCCCCCCCCTAACCTGCAAACACAACCCATTGATAGCCCACAATCCCCTCCACGCTTATTCCAAACCAATACCCCCGAATCACTCCACTTCGTCCCCATGGAGAATACCACACACCCAATATCCCCGCACTATATGGTACGTCGTTTACTAGTGCGTGAAGAAGGATGGAATCTAAAAACAGTAGAAGGTAGTTTGGCTCTGGTTTGTGTGCGAGAAGCGGGTTACGATTGGAAAAGTAGAAGACAGTCACGGCTATTAGAAAGGGGGCTAGTCATAGCACGTCCTGGAAGGAGAAGAGGCACGGACCACTACAGTGTACGAAAATAATTCATTGAATCGGGTTTGATCTAGGAACAGGAATATATCCAGCATGGAAAATCCCTAGCTCAACAAAGGTGACATGATACTGTCTATCCAGAGCCCACTACATCCTCCACGTCTCCATCCAAACATCGTCCCCCGTTCCGATCATGCTCCCCATAGAACGGTGATTTCTTACAGAGTGCGATACCCCGAGATTCCCGTGTTCGTCTCCGAGTCGTATGGCTCCTGAGACTTCCCGCCCATTTCGCACGGTGTGCGTAGTCTCGTGCACATGCCATCGAGTGTTCCCCCAAGTATCCAATCCTGCGGGATCCGATAGCAGAGGAAGCTCGCTGTCGTCACCGCCGTTGCTGCCGTCACCGCCGTCGCTGCTTGCAGCCCTCAGCCATCGCCTCGTGTTCTCAAGGTTCACGCGCGGCACCAGGAATGTGAGGCGAAAGAGTGCTCCGAAGGCAAGTTGCTTCGCGCGCTTGAGGTTTCTCATCAATTGGGTAAATGCTTGCCGCGCTGCTCCTTGCATTTGTTCGTACTCGGCATCTGTAATGGTGACCTCCACGTCGACGACTTTGTAGGCGCCGAAAACGGTGTAGAGCGTGTCGTAAGTGCGGTATTCGATGCACACTATGATGCCGGTGATGAGTCTGGCGAGCCAAGTGATGGTGCCGAAGACAGCGCCGGCGGAACGAGCAGCGTGGAGGGTGCTGATTGGCATGTCTGGTCCTCGTTAGATCTACGAAGTACTTAGGGGGAAATGCAATAGCGCGTACGTTGGTTTGAAGCCATTTCTGCAAAGACATGGCCTCCGATGGCGTCGGAGATGATGAGGAAAAAGGCGAGGAAGGGGCGCGACATCTTCTTGTCCATGGCGAAACATGGACAAGTCACTGAAACGCCCGTGTACTCTGCAAAGAAAGCGTTAGCTCTGGCGCCTCCCAGCGTGGAAGTAGATCACGACGTGCCTCCATTTGCGTCTGGCTTCGGCTCAATCAGTCTGATGGTCTCAAAGTAGAGCGGTATGGCTGCTATGAGAGCCGCAATGAGGAGTTCTTTGGGCACTGCAGCTTGTCAGAATTCTGCAGCGGTTGATCAATATGTTAACCATGCCTTTATCCATTGTGCTGTTGCACACTTCGGCCGTCAAAATCAGGGAAATCCCGAATGAACTGAACACTAGGAGCAGGAGGATAGAGAAGGCGAGATTGACGCCCATCCTTGACACTACTTCGTAGAAGGTTGTAAGTGCAGACTTAGTGATGCCGGCAAGAGCACCGATTCGAAGGACCTTGGGCGTCACCGGTGCACGGTTGAGACGTGCGCCGACTGACGCCGCTGCTCGTCCCGCCGCCGCGTTCATCGCGAGGTCGATGCCAGCGAGGAGGACGAATGCGAGGACTGTACAATGCGCGTCAGTTTGATGATCAATCTTTCAGTGGATGAGAGGAGAAGGCTGACAGTGCTGCCATGGTCGAGTATTCACGAGAGCTGGACCAAGATTGATGGTTCGTTCGCTTTTTGGGTGGGAAGCTGCAACATCTGTCGTCTCGTCCCGTGGCAGTTCTTCTATACTGTCGGTGTCTGAAGCATCCGTTTGGGTGGAGAGCTGCTGCTGATCCGTCATTTTGCCGATTGTGATGCTGCAGCCTAGGGGACTGAAGAGAGCTTTGCTAGACGCTTGGGCATCCAATGCTGCAGGAAGCTAGACTGCATATTAAAGTGTGATCTTGAGAGCTAACCTCGAATGCGAGGCGGTAGTACAACGGGCACCGCCTCCCACCGGTGAAGGCACCCCTGGTCGGGTAGACGATGCTGATTTGTCCAGGTGCTATCAGTGGGCTGATTCGTATTCGGATTACAACATGATATTCGCTGCTGATTGGCGAGGCTTTGTGCCCAGAAAGCCTCAACAAGGCTGAGCATCGCTGCTCGTTTCGTATATGCGGGGGCGGGATTTAGATTTAGAGATTTATTCCGCGCACTCTGGGCAGAGGAAGAGCGTTAGAGGTGTACGATGCGCGGAAAGAGCGAGTATGGGCTGCCAGATTGAAGCAAACCCCGATGTTACCGGGACTGGCGTAGGTCGCTGGAGCCATCATTAAGACCAATGCCGCTGCTGACTGAGAAAGATTCGAGCCTCCATTTACACACTCTGTATCGCTGCCGGTATCTTGAAAGTTATCGTCAACGTATTCGCGGAAGAACGAAGCCGGCGAGATTTCGTGCGAGCGCTTGACTCTGCGCTTCAGGTCCAAGGCCTCGCCCTCCTCTTCACGGCGATCTATCAGACATTCCGTTCGCAGCTGACATTGTTCCATGCCATCTGCGTCTTACACCTTCTGTCCCTGCTTGGATTTGGTCTTACGGCGCGTGGAAAGTATGGACACTACGGCCTGGCTCGGCGCATCGTGCTCTGGTCGATCAAAGTCCTACTTGCTGCTGCATTCCTGGCGTTCGTAGCCTATATCTGGATTACAGCGCCGACATTCGGGAGTCAACCAAAGTGCAACGGATCAACGATCTATGTGGTCTTCTTCGTGAGCATCGACGCAACCAACGTGGTGTTTCGGTACACCATAATGGCTCTGATGATTGCGTTCCTCATTTCCGCAGCATTTGGGACCGCGTTGTTGGGATTATTCGCAAGTATTTGCGGCATTCGGAAGAAGAATCGGGTAGTGAAGGACAGGGATATCAAGACGTTCATGGACATCCTGAGCCGGATCCGGGTGAGGGACGGGCAATTAAAAAGTGATGTTCGGTGGAAGTGGGTGCCTAGTCAGGAGGATCTCGGTTTCATGGCCACCCGTACGCTCATCAACGTCTACGGCGTCTTGATGCTCGAGCTCACGATATCCCGCAACGATCTGGGCTCAGACGAGCGTGAATGGACCTTCGGCCAGATTATCGCTATATTCCTACTCTTGGGAGTGGCAGCAGAGGTCTTCAACCTGGTGTTAGCCAAGATTGATACAAAGTCAGAGGAGAAGCCGGACGAGGAAGAAGCAGCGCAGCAGACGCAGCTGATGATCGAGGAACATGCGGAGCATGCTGAGGAAGAGGGAGAGGAAGGTTCTTCTATACCTCTGGAGATTGTACTACCAGCAAGAGTATAGTCGGCTGAGCTCACCTTACCTCAGTGGCAATGCCTTAAGAATGAGCTTTAAAATTGAAGATTCGTGGATGCGTGAAGTAGGAGAAGCCGGATAAGCCGGATAAGCCGGGTTTCCGAGAGCAACGGTGAGGTAGGTTCCTGGTGTCGTCATCATTCAAGGAAATCCATCCGGGTCACGCTCGGCTGGTATCTCTCGTTGCCATGTGGTTCCCGTGTTATTCCCGGAAGCCGCAAATACTACAAGGGGATAGTGGAGGACGGTGAGTATTCCGGCATCGGCGAAAAGACCGAGGGCTGCATTGCTCTGCGCGAGTCAAGCTGCTGACGTAATCGTGGTATCATGAATCGTGCCGAATGCGGAGAAAGGCGAACTCAGCTCCTGCACCTCGGTGGAGATGCTCCACTTACACATCACAGGCGCTTGGGGGAAGAACATTCTTCTGCAGCCTCTAAGTCTTCTGCTTCATCAGCATTCCTGTCGCCGATGGCGTTGCCATGTCGCAGAAACGTCCAAATGACGATTCAGAGCATAGTTCCGGCCCGCAACCGCAGGCTTCGCGCACCGCCAGGGCCCGCGCATGTGAGAGTCTATTTGCGCATTGTGGCGCTCACTGACAATCCTGATGCAGGTGCTGAATGCAAAAGACACAAGATCAAATGCGAGCCGGTGACGGGCGAGCAAAAGTGCTCCAAGTGTCTTCGCGGTGGTCTCGAATGCGTTCCTCACAACCCAATCCAAAGGCTGCAGGATGAAGATGCGTTGTAAGCATGTCGATGCTCCCTTCTATTAGCTTCAGGTTTTAATGTTCACAGATGGAAAGCCAATGCTGCGACGGAGATGGCCGAATTGCGCTCTGCTGTGCAGCTTCTCCTCCGGCACAACCAACTCCCAGACCTCTCTACGATGACCCATAAATCTCCAGCCACCGCTCCAACCGTTGTCATCAGTCCTGTTAATGCGATATCCGAGAACGGAACCTGCACTGCTATGGTCGTTCCACCTATGGATATGACAAGGGAGAACAGTGTCGACCGTGATCTGGATGAAGAATCAGACCTAGTCCCGGCACCGATGAGGAGCCTCTATGATTTGACACGGATCCGGAACTTACGAAGCAGCATTCGATGGAAGCCGAATACCAATTCTATGGACGAAGACTTCATCTCTCAGGGCATCATTTCACTCCTTGAAGCCGAGGATTTGTTTAGTCGATACTTGGAGAACATGCATCAACTTCTATGGGCTGGGATGTTGGTCCCCCATAATACTCTAGAGGCTGTTAGGCGCCACTCAACACTACTAGCGGCTGCGGTCCTCACAGTGGCTGCGTTACACACTCCCGGTCGAGACGACGCGCTGCAGAAGTGTTACAACATCTTCGTTTCTCTCGCGTACAGCGCCTGTTTATCACGACTCCACAACGTCAACGACGTCAGAGCCCTGTGCCTCGCTGCTTTCCACTTATCCAACCTAAGTTGGAAACTGTCCGGTCTGGCTGTACGGAATGCGGTCGAGATGAATATTCACCAGTCGTTCCAAAAACTCATGCGAGGCCATGCCGAGCAGCGCGAAAACGTTCGATTATGGTACGCCTTATACGTTTGCGAGCATCAATTTAGCATTGCGTACGGCCGTCCACCCCTTATCCACGAAGATGTCGCGATCAAGAATATTGAGCACTTCCTCGACAGCCCCCTTACAACACCCGGAGAGATTAGACTATGCGCTCAAGTGGCGTTGTTCAAGATTCTCACTGAAGCTTACATCACGTTTGGAAGCGATCCAGAACAACCCCTCACCGAAGCTGATTTTCAACAACTGCGCATGTTCAACTTCGCGATCGAACAGTGGCGACTGTCGTGGCAACCCAGATCCGCTGATAGTGCGGCGATTGGCTCATATCCTTCGAAGGGAGTGGTATTGTATTACCATTTTGCACGCTTTCAACTCAATTCCCTTGCCTTACGCGCTCTACCACCTCCTAGCGCCGTCTCCTCAGAGTCACTCTCATATGATCGAAGAGGTACGTTCGCCGTGCTATATGCACCATCGTGTCTTGGTTTTGGCTCTAGGAAGACACACGAGGAGGTCTTCAGCGGGTGTAGACCTGTGCTGCGTTCACTAATCTGACCGTTATTCTGGACATATGCTAATATATACCGCCACTTTTACAGAAGCTGCCAACATCGCGATCTCCGCTGCCACGAGTACCCTAACTCTTATCTTCGAGGAGCCGGACCTACGTAGAGCGCTGACCGGAGTGCCGATCTTCACTCATACAATGGTTGCTTTCTGCGCTACCTTTCTCCTGAAGATGGCTAGAACTTGGGGCGGCGTGGCCCAGGCCGCGTCTCCAGAGTGGACGACTGAGCCTGTAGGGCTTGGTTTGAACTTCAACATCGGACAGGTGCTTTCGCTTTCAAGAAGATCCGTCAATCTACTGGCCAGAGTCGCGGAAAGCCTCAATGAGAAGCACTTAACGAGGCATATCGTCCATGGTATCAGAGAGCTCTTGAAGCACTTCGACAGCTCCGACAGGCCCGCAAGCACGGGGACCGTGACCATTTATCCGCCGGACACAAACGAGACGCGGCCTCTGCATTCAACTAACGCAATGGATGGAGCCTCTTCCGTGGATTTCATGAACGGCTACAGTATGTTTGACCTGATCGGCTCATATGGTTTTGGTTTCGATGAATCCTTTCTGGGCCAGGCAGCATCTAGTGATTTCGATCTTTGGTCGGCGTAAGGGGCATCTATTACAATTTCGCTCGTAGCTGGGACGGCCCTATCTCCGGAAAGGATGACTCGAGCGACTTCGGGATGAGATGGTCTATGTCGCAGGTGTTTAGGAATTTCGGGTGGACTTGGGATAGGTCGGTGATACCTAGCAATCGCATTGTCGTCTCCAGCTCATCTTTCATTACTAAAGCATGACCATCAGCGCGCCTTGCCTCAATCGATTCAATGAATCACTTACTGTCAATGAAATGCTCGACGCCTTCCTGACCATACGTCAAAGAATATAGGAACGGCCTACCCATGCCTACCGCTTTTGCACCAAGACACAGAGCCTTCACGATATCTGTCCCGCGTCGGATGCCGCAGTCGACGTACACTTCGAGGTGCTGGAAGACTTGGGGATGATGACAGCGAATTTCCATGAGAGTGAGAAGCGATGGTGGAGAACTGAGCGCCAGTCAGTCAAGCGCGCTCGGTGCACTGGAACTAGCGAAGGATCACTTACGTATCGAGATTTCGCCCACCATGGTTGCTTATAACGATACCATCCAGCCCGTGTTCCATGGCGAGCACTGCGTCTTCAGCCGTCTGCACGCCCTTCGCAACAATAGGCAGCTTCGTTGCTTTGCGTAGCCATGCGATGTCCTCCCAACTGAACGTGGCATCGATGTAACCGCCCATGGTACGCCCCAGCCCTCCGCCCTTGGTGTCGTTCGTAGCAGTAGCACCACTCATGGCTGCTTTTGCGAATGTCGCGGACTCGACCTTGACCCGCTCATCCCCTTCACGTTTTCCTTGGACAGGGCCGTCGATAGTGAACCAGACACCTTTGATGCCGTTCCTCTCGGCGTCCTTCAGGAGAGCTTCCGACGCCGCGCGGTCTTTGTTGACATATAGCTGGAAAAAGAAAGGGATTGAGTCCGGCTGTACGCTCGCTGTAATTTCGGCCATCGTAAAGGACGCGTTGGTTGAGATCTGCCCTCGTCAGCGCAAAGACACAGCAGGCGAGGGTCGGTGAACAATACACATTGGGCTACTCCGAACTTCTCGCAACCCCTGGCCAGCGCCAATTCGCCATCTGGATGCGCCAGTCGCGCCATTGCGGAGGGACTGACGAAGAATGGCAACTTGACACCCTGACCCAGTATCTTGGTGCTGGTGTCAATATCCCTAATATTCCTCAACAACCGAGGTCGAAACCATATCCGATCGAACATGCTCCGATTCGCATCGCGAGTTACAAGATTAGTCGCCGCTGAAGAGTAAAACGCATACGCCTTTTTCGTCAAAGTCTTCTCAGCGACCGCTTCAAAATCATAGCTGTTGATCAGCGTAGTTAATGGCGGTTTCGCGCCAACCGCGAGTTTCGGCTGGGCTTCTTCAGTCGGGGGTGGCTTCAGAAGATCTGTGGCTGTTTCCGAGTCAATCTTGCCTTTACGCTTTTCGGCACCGAGGGTCTTTGCGATGAGCGAGGGAGAGTGGACGGAACTGTATGCGAGGGAGGCATCGTGGCCCGCATGCCTGTATATGACTTTGCATCGTCAGCACCTTGGAGCTCTCCTGTGGCTGTCACCTACTGTCAGTTCCGCCGGGATGCGACGGAACGAAGTCAGTGATATCCCACACGACGTCGTCCACAACAATCCAGCAATCATTCTCGCTTGAATGCGCCTTGATCTCTTCGACTGGGACAATTGCGTCCGCCATCTGTTTTTCCACTGCTAGCGAACAGCTTTGTATAATGAAAAGGGCCTCCGAAATGGTTCTCCGGCACACCTTGAACCGCGACTTTTGCGATAGCAATTATATCGGAACACATTCGTCTGACCGCGGAACGAACTCGCTCTTCTTTCCACCGAGCATGCATGACGCTAAGTGGGTCCGGCGACAAAGCCGATGTCTTCGCACCTCGTCGGACTTCGGCCTGCCGCGCTTCAACCAGCGATGCTTCTCCCCATTGTCGGCGCCTGCGGCGATGGCGAAGAATTCTCGCAAGGTACTGCATGTGCAGCACCCGATGCAGCAGCTGCATGCCGATGCTTTTCCGGAGCATACGCAGTAACAATACCTAGGTATATCTAGGAAGAGTGGTATGGGCTCGCCCGCTTGGCCGTCTATCCACTCATCTCGTCCATGATTCTTGGCCATCGGAACTGCTTCGGAATCTCACAGTCTTTTTGAGCTCAAAATTAGAACAAGTACGATGCGCATCCTCATTACGGGCGCGGCTGGCTTCATCGGCCAGCTTGTCGCAAAGAAGCTCCTCAACGATGAACACAACTCGCACTCACTCATCCTTACCGACATCATCGAGCCTCCTATTCCTTCCGAATCGAGATGTGCGGGCCGAGCGAAAGCCATCAAGGCTGATTTATGCACACAGTCGAGCCTCGTCGTCACCCAGGACATCGAGGCCGTCTACGTCTTCCACGGCATCATGTCCTCAGGCGCTGAGGCGGACTTTGAGCTCGGAATGAAAGCGAACTTCGATGCTACGCGCGCGCTTCTCGAAACTATTAGGAAGACGTGCCCCGGCGCAAGAGTAATTTACGCCTCTAGTCAAGCGGTCTACAACAATTCCGTCACAATGCCCGTCACAGAAGCCCAGATGCCCACGCCGGAGACGAGCTATGGTGCCGAGAAGATGATGTGCGAGTACCTCGTCGCGGAGTACACCCGCCGAGGTTTCATCGATGGGATATCGCTCCGATTTCCCACTGTCTCTGTCAGACCTGGCAAGCCCACAGCAGCGGCGAGCTCGTTTCTCAGTGGCATGATTCGAGAGCCCATGAATGGGGCGAAATGCGTCATTCCGATCGCAGATAGGCAGTGGAGACACTGGCTTTGCTCGCCACGAGTCCTGGTCCGAAATCTGGTCTATTGTGCCATCGAGCTCGATCTTAACAGACTAGCCAAATTCGACCGGAGTCTGAATGTCCCTGGCATCGGTGTATCGATACAAGACATGATGGACTCGCTGGCTAGAGTCGGCGGGAAGGACAAGCTTGACTTGCTTGAGCAGAAGGAAGAGCCCACACTGAAGAAGATTTTATATTCATGGCCCGCGGATTTCGATAACACAAAGGCGTTGGAGCTTGGATTCCAGAGGGATACGGGGTTTGATGAGATCGTGAGGGATTATAAGGAAGGTCTGGCGCCGAAGGTGAACGGGCATGTGAATGGAGAAAGTGTGATCGGAATTTCCGACGAGAAGGCTCTCCCGCTGAAGGTAAATGCGATACAGGTCGAAGCCGCAGTGTGAAGTGGTAGATATATACACTTAGAATATACCATGTCTTCCATAACATCACATCCCCACCATCCACATTTTGCACTATGCACTGGAGTTCAAACATGCACAAATCGCATCTTCAGCACTCCTTTGGCATCAATTTTCTACCACGCCTTTCCCGTCGATCCCATCCAATCCATATGCCTCTCAACTGCTTTTTGCATCTCCAACGTCGCCTCCTCCAGTAAACTTGTCAACGGTGCCGAGCGTGCCTTCTCGGCCATAACCCTTGTAAACTCATTATTCACCGCATCATTCAGGTTAATTTTCGCAACCCCACATTCAATAACACTCCGCAGCATCTTCTCATCACTGAACCACTCCGTCCCAGCGCCGTGCAGCACAAGATCCACTCTATCGCCCACCTTCGCGTACACCCTCTTCAACCTCTCGTAGTCGAGCTGTGGGCCCTTCGGTCCGTATTTCCCGTGCACGTTGCCGAAAGCAGGCGCAAGCCAGTTTATCCCCAGCGAGACAAACTCCTCGGCTTGTTCAGGTGTCGTGAGAATAGCTTCCAGGCCCAGCGCTGAGACGTCCCCTACGCCATCTTCCCCACCGTCGATTCGACCAGGCTCCGCTTCCGTAATAATGCCCCGCTCATTACAATATTTGACAAGCTCCTTCGTTAACCGGAAATTCTCCTCCTTCTCATAATGGCTCATGTCTACCATTATCCCATCAAAGCCGCCCAGGTCCGCAGCTTTCCGCACGATTTCGGGCGTCTGCGCATGGTCCATGTGCACTGCTACTGGGACGCTGGCGTTGTCGGCGGCCTCTTTGGCGGCGTGCACGAGGATGCCGCCCGCGAAGTGAATCGCCCAGGGGAAGAGCTGGATGAGGACGGGGGAGTTTTTGGCTTCCGCGGCTTTTACGCTTGCAATTACTGATTCGATATTGTAGCAGCAGATGGCGGGGACGGCGTATTTGTTCTGCGCGGCGTGGGTGACAATTTTGAGCGCGCGGTTCTGGGAGAGGGAGGGCGCCATGTTGGCGAACGGTTAATGAATGTGAGGGTCAGAGGGATACGAGGAGAAAGATGGGAGATTGGTGGGAGTTTCTAGAGGTCTGGGATTGCCGTTCTTCACGATAGTGATTCAGATCTCAACAGCTTGTAGAGACGAAGTGCTTCGGGCGATCTCATCCCATGTCGGAACGTTTCCGCAATCTATTTCCGAACCGCTGTTCCGCCCGGCCCTTTGGCCGATAGCGGGGTCGGGATCCCCAGCATTCCCGGCCACCACGGCGATGACGCCGATACCTCGCTGCCAGCGCCGACATCAAATTCTGCATGATCAGAACCGTTCGATCGGCGGTTTCCCCAGTCATGTACGACTCCACACTATTCGCCGCTTAAGGTTTCCCCGCAATTGAGATTGGACGGTGTGGATAGCAACCACGAGGCTAGTAAATCAAGCTCGAATCATGCAGATGGTGTATAAAGACTTCCTGCCCAGGGTGTTTGTGGGGCATCATCAACACCGTGGTGTTGGCCAGCGTCCTCGTCTTAGACCCTTCTATCTTTCGGTCCGTTGAGAAGTCCGACCATTTACCATGGCCGAGGACAAAACCTCCATCTCCAAAGTCTCGCTCGAGCAAATCGAAACATCCAGCCCCTCCACGGATATCCCCGAAATCTTGCGCCATTACACCCGCGACGAACTCGCCGCGCTTGAAAAGAAGCTCGTCCGCAAAATCGACGTTCGATCCCTCCCTATCCTAATCATCCTGTTCCTGCTCAACATCCTCGACCGCAATGCCATCGCCAACGCACGCCTGGGTGGGCTTGAGAAGTCGCTGGGTATCACCGATGTGCAGTATCAGACGGCTGTCATGGTGCTTTGGGCTGGTTACATCTCCATGATGGTACCGTCAAACATGCTGCTCTCGATCTCTAAGCCAAGGGTGTATCTGCCGACAGTTGTGATCGTCTGGGGCATCGTCTCAGGTTCGACCGGATTCGTGCAAAACTACAGCGGATTGGTCGCGTTGAGGTTCCTTGTGGGTGTGACAGAGGCCCCATACTTCCCTGGCTGCATCTTCTTTCTTTCTTGCTGGTACCGACGGTCTGAACTCCCGTCCAGAATCGCTACTTTCTACTCCGGATACACCCTCTCGTCTGCCTTCGGAGGGCTGATCGCTGCCGGGATTGTCGATGGAATGGAGGGCGCTGGCGGATATCCCTCGTGGAGATGGATCTTCATTCTCGAAGGCGCGCTCACGGTCATCTTAGCCTTCCTGGGCTACATTCTCCTTCCGAACTATCCCTCGAACACGGCATGGCTCTCCGCAGAAGAAAGCGCTCTAGCAAGATGGCGCCTCAGTCGCGAGGTCGACAGCGAGGAAGATGAGGTCAACGAGTCGGTCTTTGTTGGACTGCGACAAGCTGTGACTGACCCCAAGGTCTATCTCCTGGTCTTCATCCAAACTGCCGCAGTCGTCTCAATGAGTTTCACCTACTTCTTCCCGTCCATCGTCCAAACGCTTGGCTACCCCCGAGTCGAGACGCTCCTCCTAACCGCACCACCCTACATCATGGCTTTTCTCTTCAGTTTGGCCAACTCGTGGCATTCCGGACGCACTGGGCAACACTGCTTCAATATCGTCACTGCCTGCGTTATTTCCGCCTGTGGTCAGATCATCTCCATGTCGACACACAACACCGGCGCCCGCTACTTCGCCATGTTCCTGCAGGCCATGGGATCTTTCTCGGCATTCCAGGTCATTCTTTCGTGGGTCTCCGCGACCATTTCGCGACCGAAGGCTAAGAGGGCTGTTGCGCTTGCTCTGGCGACTGCGGTTTCGAATGCGACGAATATTAGTACCGCGTATCTGTATCCTTCCTGGAATGCTCCGTAAGTTTCACCCTCCTGGCGCGAGAGTATCGAAGTCGCGCTAATCGCGGATTTTAGGCTCTACCGCATGGGGTGCATCGTTCTAACTGTCGCGTTGGTGTGCTGCGCTGTCGCTTCCCTTACGCTGCGATTCTGGCTGCAGAAGTTGAACAAGAAGGCTGACCGAGCTGCTGGCCATGAGGGCATTGAGAATGGCACTGGCGCCCTTTTCCGTTATACCTTGTAAGAGGATGCAGGGGAGTTGGGAAGGAAAACTGTATATATGAATGGTAATGAAGAAAGAAGCGGACATATGCAACTGTCTCTTGTTGCGGCTCGTTCCGTCTACAATGCCCATCCTGAAGTCCTTCGCGTTATTCCAGGTTACCTTCAAGCGAACTTCTCATACTGCTTCGCACCTTCTATGTGATAGACCTGAAGATGTTCGGCTCAATTGCCCAATTTAGCATACCACGGATTCCTCTTTGTTCATATGTTCCGAGGGTGACGTCACTCGTACGATCAGTCCACGGAAGTCACAAACTACAACATAATTATGGCGAAACCGAGGAGAAGTCGCATTAAAGATCAATCTTGTAGCGTTACTCTTACAGTCCACGGCACATGTTCCTCAGACGATCCAGAATGGTGCAATCACTGTCGGAAGTCGTCAAGAGCGCTTGCAAGCCGCTACCGGAGATCGAGAGCAAGTCGTTCGGCTCATTCTTCGATATATTCGCCAATTCAAGAGTGGTGCTCATTGGCGACGCTAGGTACGACTCCGTCGATTCTCTCATTTGGTTGCTGAACTGACACTTGGGCTAGCCATGGAACCTCAGAATTTTACCGCGCCCGAGCAGCCATCACCAAGCGACTCATCGAGCAACACGACTTCAACATCGTCGCGATCGAGGGCGATTGGCCAGACTGCCGCGTAATCGACGACTATGTACGCCAACACCCTAGCTCGAAGGGCAAGACGCCGATACCGGTTTTCAAACACTTCCCCGAGTGGATGTGGCGCAACGAAGAGATGCAAGGCTTCGTTGACTGGCTGCGCGCCCATAATGATGGAATACCTTTGGAGAAGCGAGCAGCACTCTGCGGGCTAGACCTATACAGTATGGGTGAGAGTATCAAGGCTGTGATCCAGTATCTGGAGAAGGTGGACCCGGAGCTGGCGCAAGACGCGAGGAGACGATATGGCTGTCTGCAGCCGTGGGTCAAGGATCCAGCGATGTATGGACGAGCAGCCATGCACAAGGGCTACGCGCCTTGTGAGTCTGGTGTCGTCAAGATGCTCAAGGAGCTCCTCGAGAAGCGTATCGAACTCTCCACCAAAGTCCAGAACGGAGAGAACTTCCTCGATGCGGAGATGAACGCCCGGCTTGTCCGTGATTCGGAGAGATACTATCGGAGCATGTACTGGTCCGACGATTCGTCTTGGAATCTGCGAGACACGCATATGTTCGAAACGCTCAAGAGGCTCTTGAAGGTCAAGGGCGGAAAGGCAGTCGTCTGGGCGCACAGCTCTCACCTAGGCGATGCGCGAGCTACAGGTATGGGTTCCACCAGGGATGAACTCAACCTAGGCCAGCTCTGCCGCGAGAACTTCTCCAACCCGGGCGAGGTCGCCATCATTGGCATGGGAACACACGATGGTGAGGTCGCTGCTGCGGATGCTTGGGACGAGCCCATGCAAGTCATGACCGTCAACCCTTCTCGAAAGGATAGTTGGGAGCGTGTCATGCACGACACGGGTGTTCCATCTTTTCTGCTGGACATGCGGAGCGGATACCAGAAAAAAGAGGTAAGGCAGGCGCTGGAGCAGGAGAAGCTGGAGCGATTCATTGGCGTGATCTATCGACCCAAGACGGAGCGGTGGAGCCATTATGTCGAGTCGATCTTGTCAAGGCAGTTCGATGCGTATGTCTGGTTTGAGAGGACAAGCGCGGTGAAGCCTTTTGAGATCGAGCAACCGGACGAACCAAATTCGAGGAGCGAGACGTATCCATTTGGATACTAGTGGACAAGGTGGACTTGGTTTCACCCGGCGCTTGAAGGGCCTCGAAGGGAAAACATGAGCGGATGGGGAAATAGGGCTCTATTGTATTTTTAGTGTGCATGTGCATGTCAAGAGGGACAAATCTTCCTCGCATAGGAGCTATAAGATTTCGAGCTGTTCATCAGGTCAATCATTTACTTCCTTTCCATGAAGTACTCATGAGCAGGCTTCACCATGTCTTTGACCCCCTTGCCTGTAGCCTCCTTCTTCGCTATCTCTTCCTTCAGCTTGTCGTAAATGGTATCGAGGATCTTCGAATCCCCCGTGCGGATAAACTCTCTCAGCAGGGGAGTGTCCTGCGTTGATCCGTCATGTAAATCCGTGTATATGCTGCGCATCGCAGGCACATCCTCCAGAGAGCGGATATAGTGCGCTCGCACGATCGCCATCCGCCGCTCGATCTCTTGCTTCAGTTTCCTGGCGTTCTGGATCTGGTCAGCTTCCTCATCTCTGGTGCCCACGCAAGAGATATACTGACCGCTACCGTCATACCATAAACGCCCTCAGAAAGCCCATATTGAAACCGCGGCTGCGGGAGGGGCGCATCGCCTCCGAGCCCGATCCGCAGGACCAAATATCCGCCCAGATCCTGATGATCCGACAGTCCGGCGGTTTTCGCCAGCGCAAAGCAATGTTCAAGATGCTTCGCCTGCTTCTCACATGCCTGCCTCATCCCATCTACCTCCCTAAACGCCTCAACCACACCATCCAGCATCCTTCCCACGCGAAATACCTCCTTCTCCCTCAACCTTAGCTGCTCATTGAACTCAGCCTCGATTTGAAGGCGCTCAAAAGCATCTGCCTTCGGAATTGCGCGGCCCGCCAGATCGCGAATAGTCTTCCTGAAGGGGATCTCAGACTCGCACAGTTGTCGGCTGGCGGCGAAGGCGGGCTGGACGAGCTCCCAGGCCTTGATGCTTGCATCGGTGAGATCGTTCATGGCGGTAACGGCGAGGTTGATGGTGCTGGTGAGTTCGGAGGATGGGGAGAGCGAGGAAGCCGGGAGGCAGAAGCTGCGGTGGGAAGGGGTGTAGCTCTGGTCGGGTTTGTGTTCAGGCAATGGGCGTCGGGAAGGCATCGCGTTGGTAGATAAGGTTGAGTGGGTGCTGAGAATGGAGAAGGCCGGCGAGTAGAGTGGGTACGGCGAGGAGACGTTAGGGGTGTTATGAGTGTACGAAGAGCAGGTGAGAGGCTAAAGACTGAGGTAAAAAAATTGAAGGAATTGGTGGGGATTGGTGAGGACTCAAGGGTTTCGACGCGAGTCAAACGAAGCTATTGCCGCTTTCACTCATTGAAGCTCCCGCTATCCGTCTGATATCACAACGAAACAGGTCGCTCAACGCGCGGAAGCCTAAAAGAGTGTTTGCAGCGTTACGTGCAGTCATCTTCGCGCATGCACCCGGAAGTGAGAGGTATGGAATACATTGATGTAAGATACGCAATCAAGATTGCCTGTATGGCTAACTATGCATAGTAAAATACGTGCCCGCGAAGGCCTCTGGAGTGACTGTTAGGCGCGTCGTACTATCTGAGGTAGGAGCGCGAAGGATGTCTCAGGAGTACGTCACGAACGAGACCTAGCGTCGGTTACGTGATCAATCAGCGCTCGGACCACCGCTTTATCGCGGTTCGCGTCGTCTTCGCGTCTCTCCCAGAAATCGTCTCGCTCACACTCTCTTCTCGTCCTTTTCCTCCAATTGCCTCCCCACCTCCGCGAATATGGCTCGCGGGATAGAAGGGAACGAGATGTCGACTCCTCGTTCGTCGTCTCAGAAAAAGCAGCCTCCTTCCGGCTCCCAATCCACGAAGACTCAGAAGTCAATTCTGGGATTCTTCCAGAAGAAGTCCACGAATTCGCCCGGCCCAGCTCCGTCTGCTTCTACACCCGCCAAGAAGACACTTACATCCGCACTATCGAAGAAATTCGATCGATCGGGTCCCGCTGCTCTCACACCTCAACCCAGTGGCGACGCTCCCGAACCCTCGAGTCCTATTCGGCAGGGGCAGGACGCCGGATCAGGAAAGAACAAGGAGAATGGTCTGCCTTCACCTGTCACACCTTCAGACGCGGAAGCTAATCGTGTCTTGTCAGAGGTTGCAGGTGTCACTTTTAGTAGTCCCTCGCGAAAGGTATGTTGTCCTGCACTTTCGAGGCTTGATCTTGATTGCTAACGGCGCCTTCTAGGCTAGAAAGTCCGTTAACTACGCCGAGTCGGACGATGAAGATGACGAAGTCTTCCAGCCAATTGCCAACAATGCTAGGAAAGGCCGAGCTATAAAGAGGAGAAGGGTCGCTCTGGAGGACTCAGAGGACGAGTTCGGCTTAGATGAGGCAACTCAGCAGGCTATGGTCGATGATGGTAAGTGGGAAACCATACTCGGCAGCTTGGAATGCGAGGATGAATGAGTGCTGATCACAGTCCAGATATGGACGATTTCATCGTCCCGGATGACTCCGATGAGGATGCGGTGCTTCCTCAGAAGAGGAAGCGGCAGCAATCGAACAAGTCAAGCAAGAAAGCTACTCCAGCATCCTCTCCCCCTAGACCTGTCAAGGCCGAGGATGATGACGACGACGAAGATATCGCTATGACTGGCACATCAACCGCCCAGCAATGGACGTACGACCCAGAGAACCTCGCTCCCCTCAATCCACGGCCTGCCATGCAGGTAGCTAAGACAAACGCAAAGAAGGGCAAAGAACGTCCGTCAGCTAGTGAGCCTGAGCAGAGATACCCTTGGCTAGCAAATGTTCTCGATACCGACCGCCATCCTCCCGATCACCCAGAGTACGACCCGCGGACCCTATACATACCACCCCTCCAATGGAACAAATTCTCGCCTTTCGAGAAGCAATACTGGGAGATCAAGTCGAAGTTCTGGGATAGCATCGTCTTCTTCAAGAAGGGGAAATTCTACGAGCTATATGAGAAGGATGCCGTCATCGGCCATCAGCTCTTCGACCTCAAACTTACCGACCGCGTCAACATGAGTATGGTAGGCGTACCTGAGGCTTCACTAGATCAGTGGGCCAGCCAGTTCGTCGCAAAGGGCTACAAAGTGGCTCGAGTGGATCAAATGGAGTCTGCTCTCGCTAAGGAGATGCGCGAGCGTGGCGACAAGAAGAGCGCAAAGAAGGGCAAAGAAGACAAAGTCATCCGACGGGAACTGGCCGCTGTGCTCACCTCCGGTACGCTCGTCGATATTGGTATGCTTCAGGACGACATGTCGACCTATTGTATGGCCATCAAAGAGATCGATCGCGATAACCTGCCCGCATTTGGTGTGGCCTTCGTCGATACCGCGACGGCACAGTTTCATTTGTGCGAGTTTACCGACGACATCGATATGACGAAATTCGAGACCCTGATTGCGCAAATGCGGCCTGGCGAGCTGCTCCTGGAGAAGTCTTGCGTTTCGGCGAAGGCTCTGCGGATATTGAAGAACAACACGGGGCCGACAACTATCTGGAATTCTCTCAAGCCTACGAAGGAGTTCTGGCCAGCTGACATAACCATAAGAGAAGTAGAAGCCTCCAGCTACTTCGAATCCCCTACGGAAGATAATATCGAAGCCTGGCCTCCAGTCCTTCGCGAGGCTCGCGACCATGAGCTAGCTATGTCGTCCTTTGGTGCTCTTTTACAATACTTAAGGATGCTCAAGATTGAGCGCGAGCTTGTCACCCTTGGCAACTTTGCCTGGTACGATCCTATCCGAAAGGCGACCAGCTTAGTCCTTGATGGACAAAGCTTGATCAATCTGGAAATATTTGCAAACAGCTTTGACGGGTCAAGCGACGGGACCCTCTTTGCTTTACTAAATCGATGCATCACTCCCTTCGGAAAGCGACTCCTTAGACAGTGGGTTTGCCACCCATTGGCCGATGCGAGGAAGATCAATGCGCGCCTTGATGCCGTTGAAGCATTAAATGCGGACTCCAGCATCACCGACAACTTCACATCATCTCTCAGCAAGTTACCCGATCTTGAGCGGTTGATCTCCCGAGTTCACGCTGGCCGTTGTAAGGCGCAGGACTTCTTGAAGGTCCTTGAAGGCTTCGAGCAGATCGAATACACTGTTGGGCTGCTGAAGCAATTCGGTGAAGGCGAAGGCGTCATTGGGCAGCTCATCTCAGCCATGCCTGACCTTGCCGGCGCTCTAGAAAAATGGAAGACAGCGTTTGATCGCGATGTCGCCAAGTCTGAGGGCATTCTTGTTCCCGCGCCCGGTGTCGAAGAAGACTTCGACAGCAGCCAGCAAGAAATCGACGCTTGCATGGCCAATCTAGATCAACTATTGAAGAAGGCTCGCAAGGAGCTGAACTCTTCGGCAATCCGCTTTCAAGACAATGGCAAGGAGATTTACCAGCTGGAAGTGCCAAAGAAGATCAAAGTCCCGTCGAATTGGGACCAGATGTCTGCTACGGCCAAGGTCACCAGATATTACACGCCTGAGCTTCGCAAGCTTGTTCGAACCCTGCAAGAAGCGCAAGAAACCCATGGTCAGATCGTACGCGACGTAGCAAGCCGCTTCTGCGCCCGATTCGACGAGGACTATGCTACCTGGCTCGCCGCCGTCAAGATCATCGCTCAGCTCGACTGCCTGATCAGTCTTGCGAAGGCATCCGCTTCCCTTGGTGAACCGAGCTGTCGTCCGGTTTTCTCGGAGGCCAAACGCACTGTTGTGAAGTTCGAAGAGCTCCGTCATCCGTGCATGCTGAACACTGTCGATGATTTCATCCCCAACGATATCAAGCTCGGTGGCGATTCTCCGAGCATTGATCTCCTTACTGGTGCCAACGCGGCCGGTAAATCAACCATCCTTCGAATGGTGAGTTGCATCACTTTATACACTCATAGACAATGCTAACCCCTTGATAGACGTGTATAGCGGTCATCATGGCTCAGGTCGGCTGTTATATCCCATGTACATCTGCCACACTCACTCCGGTCGATCGAATTATGTCCCGTCTAGGAGCGAATGACAATATCTTCGCGTCGCAATCTACCTTCTTCGTCGAGCTTTCGGAAACACAAAAGATCCTCTCCGAAGCTACTCCCCGCTCCCTCGTCATTCTCGACGAGCTGGGTCGCGGTACCTCCTCGTACGATGGCGTCGCTGTTGCCCAAGCCGTCCTCCATGACATTAGCTCACGTGTAGGATGCGTCGGCTTCTTCGCTACGCACTACCGCTCCCTTGCCAAAGAATTCGAAGCGCATCCTGAAGTCGCGAATAAGCGCATGCGTATTCACGTCGACGATGAATCGAAGTCCATCACATTCCTGTACAAGTTGGAAGAGGGTGTTGCTGAGGGCAGTTTCGGTATGCACTGTGCCGCCATGTGCGGGATTCCGAGCAAAGTTATCGAGAATGCGGAGGTGGCTGCCCGCGAATGGGAGCATACCTCGCGCTTGGGCGAGCGAATGGAGGTCAAGAAAGAGGAGGGTGGTGTGTATATTCCGCTCGGTATGCAGAGTGATGTTGCCTGGGCTCTACGGGAGGGCCTTGAGGGTGTGGGAGAGAGGGCGCTTGATGTGCTTCGCGAAGCTATCGCCGCGTTGTGAGACCAAGGATGTGAGAAAAGAAGGTGTAATAGTGCTACTCATTTCTTTGGTCCGACATTTTGGAGTCTACGGCCGGTATATGTATCGGGAGGCATTACTAATTCTGGAATTTTGGCAAGGATATGGATTGGTAGGGCGTACTTGGACTTCGATCTGGTGTATCAAGCACCGCTGTAATCATATGCTGCTAGCTAGCGAAAAGCATCGTTTGTGTCTGTCTCACGCCGATTCTCATAGCATCTGTATTCGGCTGTGCAAAGCTCAGCGTGAAGCCCTTCAACGTGTTCGTATAACATCCGCCGGCCGAGTGATGCTCATAGCATCGCGCGATGTTCCTACGCGGGCTTAGTCAAGCGTGGTTACAGATAGTGTGAAAACCTTCCGAAGGCTTTGGTGCAGGAGATGGACACCAACACAATGGAGGCATAATCATGCAGCAATATCATCGAGAAGGCGAATAGGATCCAATTCTCCCTATGAACGCCGATCTCCAGTCTGAAAGCAACTCCCGCCATCCAGCCCACGCATTCAGACCGCGCAAAAGTCAGCCCAATGGCCTTCAAACCCGATGAAGCAGATCCAATTTCCCATTCCCCAAAGCATAGTCCCTGAAGAAGTCCTTCCAAAAGGACGCAGGACAGAGAAGACTTCAGATGACATCGCCATCGCGCTCCTCGTACGCTCCATGCCTTTCTTCACCGAGGTAGTCAGTTAGGTCCCTGACGAGCTCGCCAGCTTCCTCCTTCTTAATACGCACGTTGGTGAACTCTCCATCCTCGTCGTCGGACTCAGCGCGGGCCTTGTTGCCTCCTGCCTTCTTGCTCTTCTTCGTGGGGGGCTCCTCATTGTTGGGACCGGCAGCGTTGCGCTTCTTGGCGCTTGACTTTGGAGTCTTGGGGGCAGTCGGTTTCTTGGGCGTGCCGGCCGGAGTAACGGTGGCGCCGTTGTCATTGCCCTGGATAGAAGCGGCGTGGACCTTGAGCTTCCGCTTTATGTTTCCCATGATGACGCCCGCGCTGCCCTTGGTGTACCCGGCTAGGCCGGCGAGCTTCTCGATGTTGATCTAGAGGCTGTTAGTGAAAGCCATTTTGGTCATGTGGAAACGGAAGTCTGGAAGCCCTTCAGAGGGCATTTCACCAGTCACGGTATGTGACGTGCGGTAAGGACGTACTTTCGGTTCGGTCTCCATGCACTGCCACGCCAGAGCGAGGACCTCCATCTCACGCGAGGAGAAGCTGACAGACTGGTCGTCTTTGGCCATGGTGACGGTGGATAGCGTGTTTGCAGATGGAGCTTGAAAGGCGGCTAGACTGGTGTTGCAAAGCGAGCTGCTAGGCGTCGTTGCGTTGCTGATGTGTGGAGTAGAAGGGTTGGAGCAAGAGACTCGAAAGCAGTGAGGAAGGCTGTATTTGTACCCAACTAGCGCGGGCGAAAGTCCGCACTAATATGAAGTGAAAGAACATTTTTTAGGCGGCTTTGTGTTGCGGTGAGGAGTCGTAGCAGTGGAGGTGAAAGCGAATACAAAAAGCTTAATTTTTACTATTTTGAGTACAATTGTGGCACTGTAATGAAGAGATAAGGCAAGCGGTGTGCTGATTCGGCCAGGAATGTCGTACGACAAGCCCGTCTGCTCATTTCGACCCGAAGTGGTGATCTGTCGCATTGGGCATGTCGCGCTGTCACGTGTTGACGGCTCCGGCCCCTGTGGCGTCTGCTGTGTTACGGAACTCATTAGAGGTTAGCAGCTCTGTACACGCGGTCCTAGATTACTTCAAGAGCTCATCCACAGGCTGACAAGTGGGTACTGAGCTTGATGGAAAGGACGGCTGGAAGACAGGGTGTAAGTGGGCTTTTTGTACTTGTCATGCCTGTTCATCAGTTTGATCATTTCTATATGCGTTTCACCTCTTCGCCCCGCAATTCAGGTCTCTCGACATCCAGCTCATCCCTTAATGCCGCATACAGCGAGTCTCCAACAATGATCGACAAGCCCAAGCTCCAAACCAACGTAATGGCATAGAAGAAATTGGCATTCCCAGAGCCGGCGTAGATCCACAGATGGTAGAAGGCAGGACCGAGAAACGATGCGTAGAGGATGCTCGCTGAAGCCAGAAACGTGTACCGCATTACTGGTTAATGTCAATCGATGGACATTTGGGAAGACTTGGGGAGGCACTTACATGGGAACAGATGCCTGAAAAGGGGCACCAGTGAAAGGTACAAAGTTGCATCAGCGATGCTAGGGTATGGCGTGAAAATAGCGAAGATGCCTGTCAATGTGGTAGCAACAAATAAGGGCTGCTTGCGAAGCCGAATTGTGAGACCTGGCATGTAGGATGCAACGTGAAGCCAGAAGACGCCCAAGAAGAACTCCCTAAAGGAGTCGAACATCTCGGTAAAAAAGTACCACCACAGGCCCACATTGGGTGTGAGGTCAGGTAGAAGAAGTCGCACGCCGTATGTCGCCGCTAGGAAGTCCCACGATCCCGTAAGAAGCGCCGACACGAAGAGCAACGCACAGACTGCTGCAGCCAGACCGAGTGTATGTACCACCGAGAATAGGAAGGGGCTAGGAGCAGACTTCGTTTTCGAGGCACGGGCGTCGTATAGGAGAACCAGGAGCGGCGGAAAGAGAAGGAGCGGGTGCATGGCCAGGTACGATGCGAAGGACAGAGCGAGCACGAAGGTAAAGCTAGCTCCCTGCGACGCTTTCGCCATGGCTGTGAGGATGAAGAGGTTCGTCAAGGCCGACGTGGAGCGAGCAATGCATGTCGCGACCGTGAAAGGGTTGAACAAAAAGCTTCTGGCAATTAGCTTGAGGCTCCTAGGTGGTCCAGGTAGACGTACCCTGCCGCAATGGCCACACTGCTCCAACGCAAGTCTTTCCGCGAAGATTTGAACAGCCGAGTCACAACTGACTGCCCGCTCTCTGCAATTTGAGCCAGAGCAAGAGCGCTCAACAAGTCCACCATGGTGAAGAGCACACTCGTCGCGAAAGGGTAGTATGACGGATTCGGCAGGAGTGAGAATAGCGGGAGAAGGAGGGGTGCCTGGTGGTACACGCCTCCGTCGTACGGCGAGACATTGTGCGTATAGAGGAAGAGGCCTTCTTGGACTGTATGAATTCAGTGAGTATATCTCCTCAATAATGCTTGGGGTGAGCCACTCACGTCTCTTGAAGCTCGTTACAGGCGTGGAGACCTCAACGCGGCCAGCGAGGCGGTTCGGTAATGACGGGAATGCAGTGAACAAAAGCAACCTCACTGCCGCAGCAGATCCAAAGAGGAGTGCCTTTTGCTGGTCGAGCGGCATCCTGAGGAACTACCGCAATATTCGATCCATGCTCGATTGTGACGCTGTGTCAACATAGAGGTGTACTTGCCGCGGTGGACCCTTGCCAAGGCCGCTCTCGGGAAAACGTTACGCCTAATTCTCGGGCCGACCTCAAGACCGAGAACTTTTTTCGTCCCGCAGCTACATTCGAAATCTTAGGCAGTGCCGTCGACTTTGAGTAGCAGCAGACAATGGGCCGAATCAAGAAGAAAGGTAAAAAATGCGCCTTCGATCTGTATAACGCACGCTGAATGCCTTCAGGGATCTCTGGCGCGGCCAAAAATTACATCACCCGGTCGCGCGCAGTTAAGAAGCTTCAGATTTCACTCCCAGACTTCCGACGGCTATGTATCTTCAAGGGTATCTATCCGCGTGAGCCTCGCAAGAAGAAGAAGGTCTCGAAGGGATCAACTGCCGCGACCACATTCTACTATACCAAAGACGTCCAGTACCTGCTTCATGAGCCCCTCCTCGCAAAGTTTCGCGAACATAAAGCCGTAGCGAAAAAGATTGCTCGAGCACTCGGTCGGGGAGAAGCTGGAGATGCTGCGCGATTGGAAAAGAATCTCATTCCTAAGATCAAGCTCGATCATCTTGTCAAGGAGCGATATCCGACCTTTATCGACGCTTTACGCGACCTGGACGATGCCCTCTCGATGCTTTTCCTCTTCGCCAGCCTCCCGTCTAGCCAACATGTGCCAGCGAAAACGATCAGCCTTTGCCAGCGGTTATGCCACGAGTTCGAGCACTACGTCATCGTCTCCCATTCCCTCCGCAAGTCGTTCCTGTCGATAAAAGGTATATACTACCAAGCAACGATACAAGGGCAGGATATACTTTGGCTGGTACCGTATCGATTTGTGCAGAGAACAGGCGGGGATATCGACTTCCGTATAATGGGTACATTCGTTGAATTCTACACCACGCTGCTCGGATTCGTCAATTACCGCCTATACACGTCAATTGGGCTTGTGTACCCTCCCAAATTCAATGCGAAAGTCGATGAACAAGGCGGCGAGCTAGGTGCTTTCCAATTAGAGGGCAAAGGTGTTTCTACGAATGGGAATACCACCAATGGCGACAAACCAGTCGTTGTGAACCCAGAAGCCCAAGCAATAGCGGACAAGATTGCAACTCTTCCAGGCACCGAAGAGGCAGAATCCGAGACAGAAGCCCTTGCTCCAGTTGACGGCGACGAGGAGGAGAACACCGAGGGCATCGACAAGTTCGAGACGACGGCTCCGGATGCAGACATTCTGCCTCAACCGCAGGTCACAGGTGCAGAGGCTGCCTCACTGTTTGCAGGAATGGTCTTCTATATATCTAGGGAGGCACCAAAAGCTCCGCTTGAGTTCATATTGCCAGCCTTCGGTTGCAAGCGCGTTGGGTGGGATGCCAGTCTTGGTGATGGCGCATACACAACGAACGAATCCGACCCATCAATAACTCACCAAATCGTCGATCGACCCGCTCTTTCCGATGCAGAGGCCATGGCCGTTCCCGAGACAACAAACGGTGGCGCGGCTGCCTTCAAGGCGCAATGGCCACGATCAACCATGCCCGGGCGGACCTACGTACAGCCGCAGTGGGTTTGGGATTGTATCAATCAGGGCAAATTGCTGCGTCCGGATATCTATGCCCCTGGCGCTGAGCTGCCCCCGCACCTTAGTCCTTGGGTGAAGCCTAAGAAAGGAGAATACGATCCGAACCTTCCTTTGCAGCTTCAGGAGCCAGAGGTAGAGGCTCTCGAGGAGGTCGAGGAGGACGAAGAGGACGAAGAGGCAGCATCAGATGCGAAGGACGCGTCTTCGATTGAGAGTGGAGACGATATGGCTGCGATCGTAGACCGAGATAGCTCCGTTGAAGCCGGAGAAGGCATGGACGTGGTAAGCTCGGCAGATGAGGAAGAAGACTCCGAAAGCGATGCCGATGCCGGTGCCGATGAGTGGGAAGGCTTCGAATCCGACGCCGAGTCCGACGTATCAGAGGGTGAGGCAGCCCGAATACGGCATCAACGCGAGCTGGAAGCGGAAGCTACAGGCATGGCCATCGAACCAGAGGCTCAGACGACGAAGTCCAAGAATGCTGCCTTGCGCAAGAAGGCTGTAAAGAAGCGGCGTGAAGAGGAAGAGGAGAGGGAAAGGCAGAAAATGATGCTTTCAAACAAGAAGCGAAAGCTGCTCAAGCGGATTGAATACGGATCCAACAAGCGGGATACCGAAGCCGAAAATCTGAGGCGGAAGAGGCGGCGTATAGAAAAAGCGAAGGCTGCTGCGAATGCCGTATGAATCCGCGGGTTGGTGTTTGGTCTGGCATCTGGAGGCGTTTAGGGTGCAGAGGCATTTCAGGATCCTAAAAACGGTTGTTCGTGTATATGCTTATGATTCTTGTAACCTTCCTCCCTATGCTCGGACTTGAGCAATGACACGCTCTCTGAACGCGGTGACCCACTCGCTCCTTGTAGTGCCTCGTTATAATTGCCGTGATAAGGATGGATCCAAAAACAAGGCTTACCACTTCCAGAACTCTTTACCCTTTCCGAGGTGTGGAAAGCAGCATTGCAGCCCACCAGCCTTCAAACTCGTTGAGCATACCACTTAGGTTCGCTACCATTTGCTAGCCCATCCTCTGTACGTGTGTTTTCCCCGAGCTTTGCTCTTGGTTGTCGTTGCGGTGTCCAGCCAATCACGAATGAGCCGCACAGACCGCCAGTGAACCTCGATCATTCCTCTCGCCACTGCCGGCCCACCTTCTAGTCATCGTTCAGCATGTTCTCCCGAATGATTCCAATCCTTTCTGCCTAGTGGATGGCTGTTGCAGGCCTGATGCTCGGTTTTATTCCCTCTCTGGCCGCTAGAGAAGGGCGTTGTTGCAGAGGATTGTGGCGCAGGTCCGTTACATGTCAGAGGCAGATGACTCAACGAACGCCAACGGGGGTATAACATTCTCGCGTGTCGTCCTCTGCCCTGCCTCCAGAGCTTTTACCACTATATTATCGATATCTCTAAATCCTGTCTACTACCTCGTTTCCAGCTTCCAAGACTCTATCTCCGCCACCATGACCGTCTAACTCCCAGCCCACAAACGGCAAGTTTTCGCGCGGATCCAACTTTGCTTTAGCCATCGTGGAGTCCCTCGACACATTATACGCCATGGCGTGAACATACGTGCAGCCCTGTTCTGCAGGGCAGAATCCTAGTAGGTACAGAAGCCTCTCGCTCCCGCATCCACCTAAGGACCGCAGGTTTACCAGATTAGTACTTCGCGAGAAGATGCGAGAATAGCATCACGCAGCCTAGAATATCCAAGCGCACTTTCGCAACTCTGGTTCGAGATGCATCGTGCCGACCCGTTTCCGAAGAACCACCGTGCGTACGGCAAACCTTAAAATTTTCTGGTGGGAATATTCAGTTTTTTGAGAAGTTATATTTCCCGCAAGGTACTTTGATCCTTTCACGTGTGTAAAGACGAGGCTAAATACCTTCAAGGCGATTTGCGCAATTCGGACAATTCATGCACTGCAGGAGGAGCCATCACGTGATTGGCTATTCATTTGCTATTGTGAAGCTCACACAATAGCATTGTCATCGCTCGCTTGTGGTCACCCAACCTTCAGCATAATGGACGATTACCTTCTCGCTCAACTGCAACGAAACTCTTCCTCCTCACATCTCAATATTCGAAGCTCGTTCAACCTCAGCAACGCAGAGCAGCTCAATATACCACATCTAATACCCCTTGCAATCCTCATAGCCTCCTCCACAATGGAGCCCCATCAACTCCTTCCCGCCCTCCCACCTGAACTTCGCAACCTCGTTTTCGCTCACACGATCTCCGAAGCCAATCCCGCAACAAATACCGGCCTCCCCTTCAAGCAGAAAGTCTACGACTCCAAGCAAACCAAAGTCGTCATCGTCCCCGTCCACCACGGCAACACCGCGCTCCTCGCCCTCAATGAAGCCAACTTCTCAGAAGCCGAAGAATATCTCTCTTGGCTATTAACAAACGCCATCGAACTGCGTATCGCGGTGCTCTTCAAAGGCGACGCAAACGCCTTCGTTCAGGAGCACTGGGACCAGAAAATACAGGCGCATTTGAAGAACCTGGTCAAAAAATGGCCATGGTTGGGGAAGGTGGTGCGGTACGATGTGCGGATTGTGTGGGAGCCGACTGCGTGGAAGAGGAGCAAGAGGAAGAAGACAGTAGGGGCGATTGCGGCGAGCATGGTGGAGGTGCTGATTGGCGCGATGGATGGAGATTTGAAGAGAAAAAGGGGGGTTGTGAAGGCGGGATTGCATGTTCGGGATTTCGTCGCACATGACTACGTCTACCATGCCCAAGAGTTGGGGTTGAAGGATTTCCTTGCGCCGAAGGGCGATGCAGTTAACACGCAAGTTCGAGAGGTTTGCATTGCGCCGGATGGGTTGGGTGCTCTGGGACCGAAGCTTCCTCCACATCTAAGATCTCTTCCGGATTTGAACGAAGAGAAGGACTTGCTTGTTGAGGAGAAGGGAATTGTGGAATGGGGGCTCTGCATGAAGGGTCGCTTGCTTCTGCGGAGGGAGGTTGAGCTAGGAAAGGCAGCCGCGAAGAGTGAGACCGGGGAATGTTCGGGGCAAGGGGATCCTGCGGAGAGGACGTATCTGGTTCTGATGAAAGAATGTTTAGGTGCTGGGGAGGAGTAAGGACTCTATTCGCTGATGGAACAAGAATGGATAGATAGCCATCTTCGAGGGTGAAGGACAAAGCAGTTGCCGGTGCGAACCTCGGTACAGTCGTCAGTACGCTACAATATCCACTACCGTCAAAAACCCGCCCAAGAATTTGTAGCTCCTGCCACATTTTGCTCAAGCTCGGTAAATGTATTCATATGGTTCCAGCATAAAATCTAGGGACGGGCTGTTACCCTGATATTAGCTGATCGCCAAGCACGGTATTTAGAAAGACAGAGAAGAGTATAATCCACCAGACGAGATTCAGATTCAGCGGCAAAAGAGCGTGTGGCTGAAGGAGATGCCGCCCATGAATGATTCATGAATTCAAGCAGCTCACAATCTGCACTGAGGCCGCCTCCATGGTGTCGACGAGATTGTCGAGGACGTTCTCGCCATGCTAGAAGAGCGATGCTCTTGGTAGTACCTATGGTGAGCTCAAGAGCTTGTGATATCTCGTAGTTGTAGTGCAGTGTTGATGCGGTTTCCGGTGATTTATACCACGGATACCGGATAGCACATCAGCGCCCATTGCCGACCCGGGCGCAAAACCCTGCCCTACATCATGGACACCAATATCCCACTCATCGTCTGTGGTCTCAGAATACTCCAAACTCGCCGATAAGGTTATTGAAGTTCTATGCTCTTAACGAACAATTCGAATAAGACGCTCAGGGTGGTGAGTGAGGGGAATAAGTGGCTGTACATCCACTGCTGCAGCAACGAAGTCGAGCTATATGGTATCCCAGAACATCACTAATTGACATGCCCTATTCTCCCGCATTATCCCACCAGTTCCACTCATACTAAACCCAAACCCCAGGCCGACCTCTGGGAAATCCATATCCTCGCGCGCATCACTCCCTTCCCACACTCCACTTCACGGGTAATCGATCGCCTCAACCCTATTCACCCCGTCATAAAATCCTGCGACGGCCGCACATGTCGCAACCCCTGGTTCGTCCTGCGATCACCCAACGCATCACTGATCGCCAGTCTCGCCAGCGCGCTCAAACCAGCCTACGATGCCTTATTTGTAGTTGACGGATGAGGATTTAGGTTTGAGTGGTGAGGGCGGGAATTGCGTGGGCGGGAAATCTGGTTATGGTGGACTGAGCGCAGAAATAGAAGATAGGGGCTGTGTCGTCGGATGTGTGCCTGGAACTATGAAGGTATCTAGGCATCAAACATGTAGAGTCTTGTCTATCGCGCTCAAGCAGGTCAGCTCTCATCAAAGCTTCGAATAGTTCCATCCTTAGAAGCGCTGGCCTCGGTCTTTTGCTTCTTGCGCCTGCCCGACCGAAAGAGCCATCCACCTGTTTTCCTTCGCGAGACCTCATCTGTGGTTGGGGACGCTGTAGGGGGCTGGCTCCTGCCCCCATTTGACGGTGTTGAGCCGACACTGGAGCCAATACCGCTATCAGGAGGGGACGCGGCGGGGGTGTCATTTGATGCTGAAGGCCCGGCCTCTTCTTCTGGGTCACCGCTATCTCCCCACCTCAGAGGCAATTTTCGGTTATGGCCAAAGATAACAGCGCCCGAATCTTCCAGTCGCGACGGGCTCCTATACTGTCTCGCCCAAAGACTTGGAAAGCTGGACGGAAGCAAAACCTGAACTCTGTCGCAGCACTTCGAGATCTTCGGCTTCTTCGAGCGTTTGCATGGCCCGAATATCGTCTCGGGGTTGTGCCAGCGGATATCGTCAATAAGTCTCCAAGGATTGCTGAGGGTATCGCCTCTCTTCTTCAAGATCTCTTTCAAGTCTGAGACGCAGACAGTGAGGTAATCAAGACCTCTGGGCACCGTCTTCCAATGGGCACAGATTTGGATTTCACTCGACGGGGATAAAAGATCACCGAAACCGCGACCGAAGAGAGTGACGGCGTGCATAGCTCTGGCGAAGTCGACCCAGCCGGCTCCTGTAGATGCTAGGGTCACAACACGGGGCCACAAAGGATCCTCGTCTGAAGCAACGTCCATGAAATCGAAGCCTTCCAACTGCCTTCTTGAGCTGGCCTTGACTTTGAACCCAATACCGTCTTGGGAGTCTACTTGCGACTGGTACGCGATCATTTGCTCCAGGACGTGGTAGATGTGGTCCACTCGATCCTTAAAGCAGTAGAAGGTCGTCGTCTTCTTCGTTATTCTCTCGGTATCTTCCCCTTGTTTGGTTGTCTCCTCCTCGAAGCTGTCCTCAGGCCTTTGGTGTAACCTAATGCTCCAGTTTTGGTTGTTGGTTAGGACGGAAATAGCTGCGGCCTTCCCGATGCGATCTGAACCTGCCTCGACTAAGTCCTTGGCATCGGACAGGAACAGATCAGCGAAGTCGTCGTCCTGGTTATTCCTAAGAGATGCGCGGACAAGGTGAAGGAGCGCGCTGACGCCATCGACCATCCACGCCCTCCGATCCGCCACATCATACAGTATGACGAACTTCTTCGAAATCCATCTCAACTGGGATAAGTAGTCGTCCCTTGCTCTGATAAAGACAGGATTGTCCTTCTTCCCAACTAGGAATGAAGCGCCCGCGGTAATGAACTGGCCCCCAGAAATTGTGACCTTCTCGAAGGCACATCCTTGGTGCGTTCTCTGTAGCTGAGACCAGTTTATCGAGTAATTGGCTGTGGGCGACCCTTTGCACATATTAGCAGATCGCATTGAAGAGCAACGGTAGTCTTACCTGTAAGGCAGGATACTTTCGAACACCAACCAACAACGTGGCGCGCTGATTGTAGGGAATGGATTCCGATCCTTGTGGACCATGGTTCCGTAGTCACTTGGATGCGAGGGTCTGTGTATGAAATGTGCTCTCCATCATCATTGAAGAGGAAATGCCAAACGACCATATCCGCAACAAGCCGAGTGACACATAGCATAGCACAGAAGCTCTTGATGAAGATGTTGCCGGCGAATTGGTCAATGCGACGTGCGCCCAATAAGCCCGCCACAATGTTGAGAGGCATTTCAATCCCAGTGTCTCCTTCCGGTTTGGCTAGCACAGGGAAGCCTTTGACAATGACCGGATTGCGGAATAGAGCATGCCAGCACCGGCCGTTAGGTAGGATAGGTTCCACATCTTGGTGTCTCGCGAACGTAGACTCAATATAGCACTTCGCAACGGTTTGGCCATCGGCAGGGATTCCAACGTCCACACGGATATATGGAGAGCAATAAGCCACTCCCAAATCATCTGGTGCGGAACGTAGAGCGGCCCCCATCCAAGCAAGCTGCTCCCCAATCTCGGCAACCGCGTCTAGCGTCCCAAGAGCAGTGAGACAGACCGCAGATTCTGTCAGACTGGCTTGGACAGTGGTACCATTCTGCAGATTGTCTAATGAAAGGCTTAGCATGGAATGCATAGTTCACCATAAATTCAATGACTTACATTGTTTGGATACAAACATGCCCCCAGCCTGGCGAAGAGCACCTCTCAGCGCTTCAAGGACGCCAATTCCAGTCAGCGGCCAAGTTTGTTGGATGTATTGTTCCGTAGTCAATGCCTGTGCATCGGTTGCCGTGCCGGTCAGGGTAATCACCTTTCCAATCGCTTCTTCAGGTCTCTCTTGGTATTCCTGTTCCCGAAGAAATTCTAGAGGACGCCAGTTGACAGAAAATTCAACAACACATATGTTGGGCCCTTCACTTCGACTGAGCGTTCTGGCAGCATTACTGCGTGACAACTGCATCAGAATCTCATCCTCAATGCTCCGCATGATGTTCGGATATGGCCATGAAACCGCGATGTTCCGGCGTATTCGTGATAGGAGCCATTGATATGCGGAGCTTCCTGCCACACAGCCTCGATATGATGGGAGTTTCACTGGCTCATCCTCCTCGTTCGAATCCTGTTCGTCGAAATCTTTGACGCCAAAGAATGTCTCCTGGGGTGACCGGGACCCATTTACTTCGATTCCAGGACCTCGGGGTTCTTTAATGACTTCATATGTGTCTTCCAGATCTTCCACGGCTATAGGAGCGGCTGCCTGGGGAATATGATCACCCGGTTCTTCTGGGGGATCTTCTCCGAGCATCCATAGTGTAACTTTCTCATTGGAAGGCGGATCCCGTACTTGGCTTCTCATATCCTGAACTTCAAAGTGCTCTCTTAGCCGAGTAGCAATGATTCTATCTCGAAAAAGAAGATTAGCGGACCGCCCAAAGAACTTACGCAAGGGACGTATAGGCTTACTCTCTATGCTTGCTCACAAATACCATCACAGCTCTCGCATTTTGAGACTCTCCCAAGTATCCGACGCTCCTCGCAAATGCCTTCAGGAGTCGAGGCAGAATAACGCATATTTGGTCCACAGAAACGTCGTCACGGGCTCGGCCGACCAAGATGTTGTCTGCCAAATCATCGACTAATTCAGCAATATAACGTTCTTTGGTCGATATTGTAGCAGTTGTCGCATCTGAATAAATGCTCTTGCAAATATCAGGCCCGACACCGTTATCAATGCCGCCCCCAGAACCAACCTCTGCAGGGTCATCTTTAGCATTTTCCGTCATCGGGCTATCGTGAACCGCCTCTTGGCTTTGACGGATTCGACATGCATCTTGTGGTGCAGAGGCGTACCCCGAGTCAGAGAAGGCGAAATTCATGGCCATTTCGACTCTTGCACCGAAAGATTCGTTCCAGTTGGATTTCCCTGGTGCAATCTGCGGACCATAACCTGTTGGACCTAGTCGGAGTGATTCCGCTTCGTGTAGGTCCGTGGTTACGACAAGTTCTGCTTCAGAGGGAGTTTCCAAACGTCCAGAGGTGTCTCCTGCGGTAAGTCCGGGGCAGTGAAGTTCATGCCTCTTGCGTGCCTCCTCATCCTTAAAGCCCTCAGAGAAGTAGAAGCATGTAATGCAAGAGCATTTGAAGCTCCTCTCGTCGTCGTAGGATTGACGGAATTTGGCAAGTTCTTCGGGTGGCAGGGTCCGCGGCAGCTGTTCGAGTACTCGCCGATTACGATCTAGCGCCGTGGCAAGGTCCGGAATGCTGATTGCGTGGCCGCGGCTGGAGCCCCTTTGAAAAAGATAGATGTGGCTAAGAACTACAACTAAGGCATCATGGAGGGGGTGGTTTGCGAAAACCTTGCAGCTTTCTTGACATTCGGGAATTGCGGCCCAGGGTTCTTTTCGATATCGTGATATGAAACCATCCAGCGCAACGGAAAGTTGATTCAGAAGGCCGGGTTGCACGTCGAGGCTTCCTTTTCCGGCCACGACGAAGGCGTTCAAATGCCTGTACCAGTTGGCGACGGCGTAATCTTGAAAGGCAAGATGGCCCTCTAGTGCGAACTGCTTCAGAGTATTATCGCTGATGTTTCCATCAAGTTTAAAGCAGGGCCAGGTAAGATAACGCAGGCAGAGAATTGAGAGCTCACACTCTACCGTGGGTATATGTATCACGTTCGTATACTGCGAGAGGTACCTGACAACCGTTAGCGAACTTTTAAAGTCCTCCGAGTACCCGACCTCACCATGCTACGGAGCTGTGAACCAAACCCATCCGGTCACCAATAGATCGAGTCAAGGGGGAGATGTCGTAGATAAGCTTTCTGCAATCTCGCAATGCGTCGTGGATCGTTTCTGTGTCGACATCCATGGACAAGGCGCATCCAATTTCCCTCCATGTCCATTGTCTTTTGGCACAGGTCATCCAACCCAGAACTTTTCTGGCGATTTCCCACTGAGTGGAATCGCATGAATCCTTGATCCGTATGTGGTCCCTTTCGTATCTACCCGCATGTCAGTAAGTCTTAGAGCTGCCACGATATTTAATAAGATAACGCTATTCCAAGCAAAAATGCGTACCGTCTGGTTATACGGCGCCGAAGAGGTTTTTATAAGATCATGCAGCTGACTTACACCTGTGCCAATCCGTGGGGAGATTCGTCGAGCTGGATCCGATCAAGAAGATCTTGTTGACTGGGATGTAGTTCGAGGTCATCCAGGACTAGCTCGACATACAGAAACATCCCTACAGAGTTTCGAGAGTCAGATTCCTTGAGTAGGCAAGATGATTCGGTTGAACATACCTTGAGCTCTTGCAACAGCTAGATTTGTGAGATACTCCACCGTGTCCTCTATTAATGGAGCATATTTACGCGCTATCTTGTCGATCCATTGTTTCGTGTATGTGCGGATGTCGGCCTCGTTGTCTGCTGGTGAAATGGAAATTTCTCTCGGCGGAAAAGTCGGTCTGGGAGCCGAATGTAAAGTTCGTCTGATATCGGCATAGTCCCGACTCACGAACAGAACACGGACTCGTCCAGGCTCATCGGTGCAGCAGTGATTAATCAGCTCCCAAAGACACTCTACGATCACCTTCCGTTGTCCCGGCTCACACTCGTCAAGACCATCAACGACGATGTATTGCTTCGGTAACTTGAATGCGATCGCCTTCCAGAGGCGTTTGATCATGGTAATGGAAGAGAGAACGGGCTCATTGCTGGATGTATCCGGAAGATGCCTTATGAGCTGGATGAGGAGGCCTGCCAGAACAGTAACAGCCTCCGCTTCTTGGCCACAGTGACAGTAGAAGTAACTTGCCACAGACGAATCACGGGATCTGCATTCATCGATTATAGCAGACGCAAGAATTGTTTTACCTAGTCGATCGTGAGTTAAAGCGCAAACGTTTTGAAGAAACAGGCAACCTACCAGCTCCAGGAATGCCATTTATCCAAAGGATTGGGGTCATAGGAGTACTGGCGCTGAGCCAATCCACCAGATACTCATGCTTCAAAATCCATCGACATGTGGAGGGGAATTCCTTCCGCACTGCGCAGTATCCTTCGTGGTCCCATTTCCAAGCTGGAGGCTGATGCTGCAACAACGAGGCTTCGTATATCAACTGTTCATGTGATGCTTGCCCTCCGAGTTTGCTCTTTGCATCACCAAGCTCTTCCTCGAAACGTTGGATTCGGCTTAGACCAGCCTGGGTTTCGATCTGGTCTCTATATGCACGGAGACTCCTTACTATTCTATCCGTCTCTGTGCCGAACTTCGTCCACAGAGGATGGAAGCGCTGTTTCCAGACTGTATAATCTGTCGTCAATATAATTGCCCTTGCCCTTCTCATCAAGGAGCTCTTACACTTTCTCGAAAAGATACGAATTGCCCACTGATGGAATTCAAGGAGGTTCACATATATCAGCCCGAGAGTTTGTATCATCAACGGCGTATTATTGAACATGGATCCGTACTCGTGAATGAACGGGAGCTGTTCACCGATCTGTTGATATGCATCCAATAGACACTCGAAAGAGTATATGAATTTGCTAGCCTCCTGGTTCACATTAGCTCATCATTCAGAGAGCGGTGGCTCAAATAGTAGTGGTACTGCAATTCCACGCAGAAAGTACCAACATGAAAGAAGAAACGGGGAAGGTAAGGGCTAAACTTGCGTACCGAAAGCAGAAACTTGATAGGGCCCCATGTAAAGGCAACAAGGTCTGCAGTATTGAAAAGCACCTCGATGGCGTTCTCGAATCGCGGAAGCACCTCGAAAACAATCTGCAGCCGGGCGAGATGGACCATATTCTTATTTACCTCTTGCTTGGACTGAATCTGCAATATCTCACGCTCTACATCATCGTAGGTGGTATTCCGAAACTCGCTGAGTTGCTTATCTGACAGCGTGGCTTTGAATCTTGAGAGCGCTGATTCGACCACCTCGCGGCCCTGCGCCGGTTGTGTCCCCACCGAGGGCAAAGGCGAGGTTGAACTGACGCATGTTGTGCTCTCCGATGTATCCATCCGTGTTCAGGGTCGACGCAAAAGTAATGTCAATTTGACGGATGTTGGGGGACAAGAGGGTTAAGTTATGGAGGTGCCAGGTTTCGCAGAAGGAAGGCCGAGCTCTGACCGGTGAGCGTAGTGGCTTATGCAAATCTATGGTGGATTCAGCGTGCCACGTAACAGATGCACGAGGGCGTTACTCACAAGACTCTCGGCGACTCTCATGGCGAGGCAGACCGCCAGTCGGCGACAATCATACACGCGTTCTCCTCGCCCTCCGCTCCAACCCCGCTATTCAGTACCAGCCTTGTGTATTCTCGAATTGGAAACCGATAGACTGGCATAGGAGTAGAATGGCTTATTGGAGGTATCACTCAGAATGAAAGACGACCAACAAACGGCCCAGAACGCGGGAAACCATGAACAACCCTTTTTTGGCGAGGACTCCCATTCTACGCTGAATCCCATGTCATCAGTATAACCTCTTCTTACTGCGCTTGGCAATCAACAGCCTTCCTCGCAATCTCTCCCGTCAGATATCCCGTATTCACTAGTGTAATCACATTAAGCGCCCCCGCCCCGTAGCAGCCACCAATAGGTAGTTGCACTGCACACCGGCGGCTGGGCAAGTTCCGCGTGCTGCTATATCGGACTCCCCGTTATATACGTTCATGTGAACCTCTTCCAGGCGCGCGCCAGTAGCAGACATACTGCTGGTGGGTTGATTTGAGGAAGGTGTTTGCTCCAGCGCGAGAATGGGTTGGGCGTGGAACATCGCTTGAGCGAAAGTGTAGCCTCGTAAGCGCACTTCAGTTGTATCTCTACTTTTCAGCTTTGATGGATCCCAGCCGAATAGTAGCTGCACTCCAGTCGAGCAATACCGAATTGGCCAACCGGTGTTCAACTTCGTTCATCGCTATCCCTCTACAGTATTCTCAATCATCCCTTGCGAGTTTGTCACGCTCTTTTGCTGCCGCCAGCCTTTCATCCGTCTCTTGCTTTCCATGGTTTGAGAAAGTTGCTGTCCGCTCGGGTATGCGGCTCCATCGACTTGATCCATCGCTTCAGCCTTCGGTTCTTTGCCGTAATACTTTCTCTCCTGCCGATCTCGCAGCTCACAAATCGCGAATGCTGGCGAAGCCGCCTTAAGTCCTCCGCCACACCATCTTGAGCGCTCAAACTGCTCCACCGCGATCGCAATTCCCGGAATCCAACAAGTGAACAGTTCGCCCATACAACGCGCACCCGTTCTTCGGAAAATTATGCTCGATCTAAGATAAATTGCTCCGCCAATGAGCCATATATTAGCCTCGATACACCCGGAGCCGGAGCCGGAGAATCCATATTTGCGTAGCTCTCGCTCACGCGTCGCGTCCACGGACCGCTCAGCCGACAGCCAACTCCAGGTCCAACGGCACTATATCCTCACTATACTTTATCTATCGCCCCTTCTGTGCGGCAGCTTTCGCTGAGACGCACAAGCTTTCCGGCGCCTGGAGCCGCGCAGACGGATTGATTGCAGCGGGCTCGCCTGCTGTCCGAGCGATGGCACGACCGCGCGAGCGACGCAAAAGAGAGCGGTTATGTATGTATGTATCTGGGGCGGCACCTCCGAAGTAGAATTTCTTTGGCTTTGTATTTGGGGGCGTGATACTGTGACGTCGAGACCGCATCGCGCAAAGCTAGGACAGGACGTCATTCGAAATGGGAGCGACGCTATCGAAGCTGTGGGGCTCGTTCAAGGCTGCCTTTTTTGGAGGCGGAGGAAGGAGCCACAATAACACCGCGAACGGGCAGCCTAAGGACACGGAGAACGGTCTCCCGACGTCGAATACGCCTGCGAAACCGCCGACGCCGCTGCCAGACATGGGAGGCGTGAAGAAGTACGAGATCACTGAGGTACGTGAAGTGTCGGTTTTGCGAGGTGTGGTCGTGGCGGTGGGGTAGCTTTCTGCCCCGCTGAAGTCATCGCCAGACTCCTGAGCTCTTTTGCGATGCTCGTCGCCCACGACAAGCCCCACGACTGCTCAATTGCTCTTTCCGGGACGTCAGAAGACTGTGCTGACCCTCAATTCTTCTTTCACAGCCATGGATCAAGCTCAATTGCTCCCTCGGCGAAGCGCCCTTCTGGGAAGAGAAGACCAACTCGCTCCGCTTCCTCGACGTCGAGAAATGCCGCCTGCACCACGTCGACCTGAACGCCGGTCCGTCGAGCCATAAGGTGATAAAGGAGTGGGACATCTCGATAGGGTGAGCACATATCCACGCTCACAAAGCGGACACAAGGAGCACATAGCTGACGCTCCCGCAGATGCACCGCAGACATCGAAGGCAACGACTCCGAGTTCATCTTCGGCGGCAAATACGGCTACGGCATCTGCAACCGCGCCACCGGCGAGTACCGCTGGATCAAGAAAGTCTGGTCCGAGGAGGAGGTAGCGGCGGGAAAACCGGACCTCATGCGCGGCAACGACGGCGCCGTCGACTCGCAGGGCCGCTTCTGGGTCGGCTTCATGTTCGACCCGCTGAAGTGCGACATGAACTCCGAGGGCGCCGTCTTCCGCCTCAACCCCGATCTCTCGCTCGACCGCCCCCTGTCCAATATCACCATCCCCAACGGCACGACCTGGAACAAGGATGATAATACCATGTTCTTCGCCGACAGCCCGTTCAAGACTATCTATCAGTTTGACTACGATCCGCAGACGGGCGATGTCACGAATAAGCGCCCGTTCTTCGTCATGCCGGAGGACAATCGGTATGGTGAGGGCGCCGTGCCGGATGGACACTGCATCGATGAGGAGGGATACATGTGGACGGCGCTGCATGGTGGCGGCCATGTGCTGCGGATTTCGCCGCAGGGAGAGATCGTGGCTGAGATTAAGGTGCCGACACAGCAGCCTACGTGCCCCTGCTTCTGCGGCGATGATCTCGTCATTACAAGCGCCGGGGGGACGAGTGGTCCGGATGGAAAGGGCGTGGATGAGTTTGCAGGAAGCGTGTTCAAGATCAACGTCGGTGTGAGGGGGCTGAAGAGGTTCAGATTCAAGGGCGGAGCGGCCATTGAGGGAGGAAAGGTGGATGGGCAGATTGTCGGCGAATGATCGCTCGGCTTTCGGTGTAGGGTGACGAGGAGGTGCGCACTGGGATGACGGGCTGTAATGCGTGGCGGTGGAGAGAGTAAGCTAAACCCATACTTAAATTGCGATATCCTCCTCTTTTCTGCCACAATGACTTGCATCCCAGGCACCTCTATCCCGCATACTTTCCAGACTTGCACGTCGCCTGTGTCAACACAGGCGAGGTACAATCTCTTAACACCCCACTAGACCCCGAAGACTTCGTTTCAAGACGGGCATCCAAGGTATAGGTCTCGATCACCGATTGCATTCTCCAAGCGGAGGCGGCGGGCATTGGGGGTTTCCTCGAAAGCTATATGAAGCCTTGTCGCCGAACGAGGAGCACTCACCCAATCCACGGCGAAGAGTGCCGCGCATAAACGTTCGTCCGAACGCAAACAGCGCAGTACTAGCCCCCCGAGTGGGCACATATGCAGCCACTGGACTGACCAACGTTTTGCGTCCCCTTCAGCTGCTAGTCCTCAGGACTATGACAAGGAACCATCTAGCCACCGCCCCAAGCCCACAGCGCAGCTCAAATCCATGCTCAGTGCCCGAAGCAGGCATGTTCTCATCATCCGCCACTTCTATGCGCGACGCCAAAACACGAGACGAATGCCGACATAGCCCGCCGACGGGGTGCTTATCACGAGTGGCGGTCGTGCCTAGCTTAGGCTCCACATCAGGTGCTCGGGGCTACAAGTCCTTCTACCAGAGCAAGGAGGTCAACTTCAGGAGAATAGGGTGATTCAACGAGCGGATACTCATCGCGAGAGACACGCTTCGGCACGTCAACGTTCGGCTCCAGCAGACATGAATCTCTGTACTTCGCGTTAGGGCAAGAAGGCCAGGGCCAGGACAGGCCTGCAGACTGCGTGAGAGGCCTCCCAGCCGTCATTCGACTACCAGAGATGCGGGAATATGGACCATATCTTATCGGAGGCCACAGTGGCAAGAGCGCTCACGCCTAGCAGACGCGTGTAACCGGCGTCAACATGCCGTCTCAACATCAACGCCCAGGTTTGGGGATTGGCGGAGGAAGTTGAGCATCCGGGTGCCGCGCATTGTCTTACTTTATGTTCAGTAGGTCCATCACTAGGTATAACCCCGCTCCTCTAGCTTCAGCACGTCGGCGGATATCAAGTATCTGAAGAGACCCAAGCATGAAATGATGCCAAACATACCCTCGATCATGCGCGTCGGCAGAAGCTTCCAGGATGCAGAAGGGAGCTGTGTGTGCTCCGAAAATCCTTTCCAGGACTCCTCGACGCTCCGCTGCACATCCTCTCAAAAGAAGAAGACTTTCGAGTAGTTGAGAGCGAGCAGGGGCAAGAGAAAGCGGGGAAGACGTGTAGCGCAATCGGTCATCCACGCTGTATCTGAGGGCGGGATATCTCCGAAGATAATGCCATTGTAGTCGAGTTCTTCTCATGCGCCGTTCGCGCCGCGAGCTCTTGAGTCGTGCTAAGGGAAGGGGATGAGGGATCGCGAGAGAACGAGGGGATACGGTTGCTAGTAGTGAGGATACAGAGCACGTGGAAGGATTGAACGTGCTGCGAATTGAGCTGGACTGAACTGAACCGATCTTCGAGTTTGACAATGTCAGCGGCGACGAAGTACCCAAGGGCTGAGGTACGTACTTAATAGATCAACGAGACTAGCGTCGCTCATGGATCCATCGCTACGCACTTTTACCGCGGAGTATACACACAAGGTGAAGGAGCATCTTCTACCAAGGGGTACTTTCGATGAACAAAGATACCAAGGTGGACGAGAGAAGGGGAAGGCCGCGAAGAAGAGTCCCAAGCTCGTTGCTGTGATGGTTCGGATATGCTTCTCAACAGCAAATTGCAGCGAAGGGTCACGCTGTAGTCCGGTAGCTCTATCCACGACCGTTCATCCCTCATTGAAGGACTTTAGCCCGGGTTGTTTTTGACTCGACGGCCTCTTGTCCACGGGATCCTGGCACTAGTAAGGTTCGAAGAAGTTTTCACTGCGATAAGGCCCCCTAGGAGGGCATCGGAGGAAGGGACAGAGTCGAAAAGACGGCTGCGTTGCAATATCCCACGCGTCGGTAAGAAAGCGAGCGCGAAAGCAGGGAGGGATGCGGGAGCTGGCGACATTCCCGCGATGCATCTTCAACGAGTCCAATAGCAACTATAGTGAAAGACTCGCGCGAAGCTAGAAGAAGAGGCCTGGGATCCGAGCACTAGAGTAAGCGGAATTCTCATCTAACCGGACACCAACAGGTGCTGAATATCCCCCAGAGTCGTCGAAGTGCCCAGCCGCCCCAGGCCGGAGCTGTGTCTTTGAGCGGTAGTGTTGTGGCTGCTGAGCGCATACTGATAGTAAGACTTTCTGAGACAGCGATTTTATCGCTCGATTTCCCGGGCCGAAGCAATTGGACGGACGCCCTCTTCGGGACGCCGATTCGGCACGGCTGACTGGATTTGACGTACGTCAGCGTCGAGCCCACATCCTACCTGCTGCTGCAGTAAACGGTGTGCAATGGACGGTGTGAAGGACCGTAGAAAAGCGAGAATGCTGGGGTTACACTGCTGGCGCTTCTGCATGAGCGGGAACTGATGTCCGCGCATACACGAACAATAGTGGCTGACTCGAAAGGGAGAGTCGGAGCAATAGAGACGCTGAGAGCTTCGCTAGATGCGCAGCGTGACGTAGTCTGGTGAGTCCTGTTGGCTGACTTTCCGCTAGATCCCGGAAAGGGCGGGAGGGGAAGTTGCATGTGCATCGTGTGGCGATGGCTGCGAGATGCGAGCCGCTTCCGAGTGGCTGGCCTTGGAAGTGATGTTGAATGCAGCCTTGCATGTATGAATGCTCGTGCAATGGGGCGTTGGAGCCCAACTTCTGATGGAAGGGAAGCGAGGTTGTCGATTGGGACGAAGGACGTCCAGACCAAGCTATTTGTAAGTAACCGTGTGGGGGGACGACCTTTATAGCTGCTACTCTAGGTTGCTTCAAACTCTCCTGTTGGTTCTCGGGTTTCCGGGAAAGTCGCTCTGGTTGACCGGCCGTGTGTCGTTTAACTTGTCGAGGGACGTGTAGGTAGGACCCATCTGGGCATCAAGTCGCTTGCACAGACGAGGTTCTCTCGTATCCTTATGAGACGAGCTAGAGACGCATGGATGGTCTTCCTTCCAGAGAATACGAGGCTCTCATTGGAGATCCAATTTCAAGCCGAGTAAATGATAGTCAGAGTGCGCGTACACGGGGCAAAGGGGATGGTCGGCTAAAAAGAGTCAAAATGAAGCTGAGATGCATTAGCTGGGCAATGAAGGCTGAATAGCAAGAGGTCAGTCGACGATGAAGCCGTGTCCCGTCGAATCACCAAACGTGACGTTCAAGAAGCTCAACGAATGGGAACTTAAGTCCATCGAGACGCCGTAACTCAATCCGCTGGGAACGGCATATGGATGTCTTGGCTTTATACGAGGCGTAGCATGCTCCGCAGTAGCGGGCCTATCGAGCAGGCGCGATCCGCCTTCAACGAAGTCTCACCTCGCTTTGACGAAGGCCGCGTTATGACTCAAGAGCACACAAGAGTGACATGGCGTTCAAAATTGCAGGAAAAGGTCACGCGAGGAGTATCTGAGTGTTGTTGGCGAAAGCTGAAGATAACGAAGAAGCGCGGTAGCCAGAAATTCCAAGTCTGCAAGCCCAGAGACCATACATCTGACTGACACACGCGATGCTGGAGTGATCCACGACGTGAAGTCTTGCCATTACTGCGGCGCCGAAGCGCGAAGCTTTTCGTCGATAATGCGATGGAACAGATATCCGTGCATGGGCGGGCACGTGCTCACCGATCATGCACGCGCCCGGCGTAACGAGTCTGCAGGACATTGTGTCTACAAGGGAACCTTGGAAGCAGCGGATGCGGATCCCATTCGCTGGCGTCAGTGAGGCGGACTGTGCGCTGATCGGTGAGAAGACGATAACGGGTAACTTATCAGACCAGCACCGGCTGACAAAGGCCTCAACAAAGCATGTGATGCATGGCGGATACCTAGGTATTTGGCATCCCTTTTCTTTCGCAACGATTTCGGTGTTTTTGCCGGCTTGACTGCGGTCAAATTCCGTTGTCAAATTGCGTCTTTCCCTAGTCGCCGTTGCGGGAGCTAGTCCTGAAGGCGTTGAATTTTGATAACCGGGGTAGTCTGGCGCGTCAGAGCCATGACGCTTGCTGGAGAATCCTTGAGCCTGATTTTTGCTTTGATTGACTGATAGGCAAAGGACCCTCCTGCGTCTTGAAGTTGCCTGAGTCGGCAGTTTCTAGTGCACATCCATAAGCATCGTGTAAGAAAGCAGCCCATCATGTTTAACCAGAGTTCCCCGCAGGCGGACTGTCTTCGGAAAGCCATCGGCGCATTCCCCATGTGTCGCCCCGCAGACCACGGAGAGCCCCGGAGATATCAAAACGGGCTGATCAGGGGACGGAGGAACGGCCGTTCGTGATATGCAATAATGCGGTCCTGTGACGGAGAGACTGGCCGCGGCATGCAGAAGGATTGCGCTTTGTCGAGACCAATTGTACTCATGGCTAGTCGGACAACGCGCAGGTCTCAACGCTGCCTCAATGAATGTCCTGCAATGCGTGGGCTTCCCAACATTTGCCCTAGTGCCGTGGCACGTGCCGGGATTTTCATGCTCGTCATCCGCATTGCTTGCGTTGGCCAAGATGGGCCGGACTGAGATTCGAGCCGGATGTAGGGAACAGACATGTATTATGAATCGGAGAGACCGAGACAAATAATATACTGTGTAGGGAGCGTACAATCATGTGGAGGCGGACAGATGGGACCGAAGCCGTTGTTCCCAGGTCTGCAACTGCGCCGTTTCCGAATTGGGAAGGAGCCGTCTGGACCTCACTCAGCACAAACTTAAAGCCTTCGAGCGCAATAACCAATATCTCGCGGGTTTCGCCGTTCATACTTGTTTGCAGAGGGTGAGTGCTGCGAGCGCCAGAGGCAATCGGCGGCGAGCAGCAGCCCGTGCTTGAAGAGGGTAAAAAAACACCAATTCACCGGCGGTGCTGTGTAAGAGTCAGTAGATCTTCGCCTGCATTCATGAGCCGGGTGCCTTCAACGTCGTACAAATTGGTCATCAGCGTGACAACAAAGCAAACTGGCTTCGCGTGGCATGCATCTCCTATTGAGCCTATAATACACGGCAATATAGTTCCTTGCTGATGCACACCGCGATTTCTTCTGTTGTCCAACAGCTCGCCGAATTTGCCACGATAGCTGCTGCTATCGGGTGCAAGCATGATCGATGCAGCAGACGTGCTCAAGATCTGAATCTGGACTTAGTCTGGAGGGGGCTCTGCGCGCGTTGGGTGACGGAGATGGAGTCGCCATTCGTCTGGTCCGGGGTATAATTCTCCTGCTATAGGTGCCCAAGTCATCTCAAATGCAAGTAAAACCTCGCGTAGAGTGGTCGGGTGTCGAAACTCCTGCTAATCTTAGGACACCGAAACGTAAAACGAGACACGATGCTGGAGGGGAGCCCGTGCCACTCCGACGACGTCCGCTTGTGTGCGATACGGAGTACATCCGAGACGGTTATTTGGAAGTCGCGAGTCGCGATGCATTCACAGATATCAGTGTAACTTTGGGCTCCTTTTTCCTGAGCCGGAAAACAGGCCGTTCGGATAGGGCCCAGCCTTATGCGAAGGGATACGCTGTTGGCTGCAAGTATTAGTACTACCACGACCGATTACCATCAACCATAACCTCTTGACGTCCATCCCCAGCTGTTGGACTGTTGGATAGTGGTAGCTCGATTTTTCCGACGCGAGTGGCACCCGTTGCCGGAACGGTTTGGGTAATCGTCATCTGTCGTGGCTTATCTTTGTTTTATGCAGCTGAGACGCTCATGCATCGCTGTTCTCCTATTAATTCACAAATCTCATCGAAGGCCCATTGCCCAACGAGGGCATGAAAAGCCGTGATAGTCGTGCATGGTGACGGTGATTCCCTTGCTGGCCCATGCTAATAGTAATCATGTTGGTAAGATCTCATAAGTCGTTTCGCTCTATGCGAACTTGGCGGCCAAGGCCAGAGAGTTCGTGTAAAGTTGTGAGAAAGATATGAGCCGCATGGACACGCACAGTCATTGTAGCCAACCGAGCGGTTCCGATAAGGTACATGCCGGATGGCCAACGAACCACAGAAAGGCTGGGTTATATGGTCTGAGGTCAACTGTAAAGTCAAGCACACTAAGCATGCTCAAGCGTCAGTGAAGACGCCGTAGGAAATAAGACCTGGCGAGTAAGTTTTTGTGCTTAAGCTTGCTTCTTCTCGTTTAAAGAGCCCGTTGTTGATGCCCATGAATACCAGAACGCTGCGAGCAACCATGTTGCCAGACCGTTGCTCGTTTCGGAACATGTATACGGGACGAGTACGCTGTCGTGGGAGGATGAGCGCCGGTTATCTGCTCGCCAGGCAGCACGTGAACCTTCCAAGTTGTTGGCGACAACTTTTGGACCGGCTAGTCATGACTAGCCGAGGCGGCGGGTAAATAAAGCGATTTCCGTGCTTCTTCTCGAAGGTTCAAGAGGCCACATGTACAGATCAGATTTTCCAAGCAACGCGGATCTCGTTCGCGTTCTAGGTTTGTTCGACGGTGGTGGGGGAGGCGACCAGCGAGCCGACCCTTCGCATTCGTATGTAGCCTAGAGCTCGCCAGCGGGTAAATCGTCGGAGCGTCCGCGGAAACTATTGGATTTTGAAAAGAAAGTCCCACCGAATCACAGTGTGCAGCGGAAGAAATTACTTAGAGACAGCCCTGCTTCCGTTATAATAGCTGTTAATACTGGTAATAGTAGCTTGCGTCAGGCCCCGCAAGGAGCAGGATGTGACGACTATGCACTCGGGCGCTATAGGTGGTGTGTTAAAGCGGGACCGGCACTGGCTCCGTTTGTGGAAGGTTGTCGTGCAAGCGGCCTTGGACATGGCCAGGCATCCCGGGAGAGAAGGGGAGAAAATTGATATGGATTCGCTGCAGCTGTACATGACTTGCACCAGGCCAGGCTCGTTGGGCGGGACCTAGGCAAGGGCCAGATATTATTCCTAGACGAGGCAAATCCAGCTGTCGATCGTGGCTTTTGCACTGCCGGCCAAGGTACGTAAAACCGTTTCGCTGATGATAGGAGTTCTGTGGAAGTACCCGTGGATGTGATGTACAGGAGGCGAAACCTGGCTCCAGGCTATGATTGCAACCAAGCTGATACGTTCGCGATCCGGCCCTGTTTCAAGCTCGACAGCCGCCCTATGTCCTGTGTACGTGATGAGTTTGCACACTTGCAGTATTCCACTGCGTTGGTAAATTGGCTGACGAGGAAGAGGGCTGCCCCGTCATTTCGCCGATCTGCGTCACGTCCGCGTGACGTTGGATTCTGGACTCACTGTGGATGGGAAAGCGTCGAAGCTGCTATGGTTGCGTGTCGCCAAGTTCAGAACCGTCACCCTCGCGGGCCAGCGCTGCGTATCCACGCCCATGACGCCGTTGGAGCTCTGGTACCCAGCTCGCAGTGGCGGTGGGTTGAGCTGAGCGTCGGATGAGTGCCGGCGCGTCAAAAAATACTAGCAACGCCCGGCCCTTGGCAGCACGCAATGAAGGCCCGCTGAGAGCTTGTGCCTGGCGCACGAACAAGGGGCGCAAACCGAACGCGAGGGGCCCCAAAATCGCACTGAGCCAGAAGAGGAATCGTAACTGACTCAGGCTTGCGAGTTTGTTGAGAAGTGAATGCGTCGTCACGAGTCTGTGATGGGCAAAAAAGCAAGCAGCAGCCACCGGCTGAGAGGCATGGGGACGGACCGAGTCAGGCGGCGGCTTCATTTCGTTTGGAGGAGGCTGCTGTTTTGAGAGGCAGCTGGGCGCCCGTGGGGCTGGGACAGGAGGCACTCTTCTCGCTTCTCGCGGCCGGGGGTGGAAGAACAGAGTTTTGCGGCACGCGTGATGGCCGAGTAGGGCACACGTCCTGAATTTCCCTCAGGCTGGGGCAGCACCGACAGGCTGGAGCCGGAAAAAAGGTGGAGGAGCGCTTCTAGTTCTGGCGCGGAAGCTTCGATCAGCTTTGAAACGGCCAAGCGATCTGCCCGGCTCCAGCAGCGGCGCAGCGTGACCGTGGACCTGGGATGCCCGCTATGACGCTTTGAGCGCCGCCCTGGACGACGGCGCCGGCGGGTGCCTGCGGCGTCGTTCTGCTGGAGCGCGTCGAGAGCAGAGGCTCCGCGCCATGGACAGACGTGCCCCGTCGCATTGGCGGGCGTGCAGCGCGGGCCCGAGACGCCCAGGACGGAGCACATGCCGGCGTGCTGTGGAGGAGCGCGGAGGACGGCCGGGGGAACGCTGTCCCTGCGTTGGTGGGCGAGAGACTGTGCGTGCATAAAGTGGCAGCGCGTTCCCTTCCCCTCGCGCTCTCCTCGCTGCCCCGCAGTTGCCCGTCGCCAGCTGCAGCTCCCGACTCCGGCCGAACGCGCTCCGGTGCAAGCCGCGCTGGTGCCGTGATCAAGCCGTCAGGACGGATTCGAGAGCGGGTGCATTAGCCCGCGCGGTCGCGACGTTGAGCGTCGAGATGGCGTCGTCGGCCTCGAGACGGCCGACTGACAGACGCGGGTGCTCGAAAAAACAACGCCCAGCACGCAACGCACGGCACCGTGATGTGCAGGCCACCGCGTGAGCGCCCACGGCCAATCACAGAATTATTGGCGCCCTGGACTGCGGTGAATATGGCAGCACATGATGCCAAATGCAATGCGGCCGGGGGTGCTTTTGGAGCCCAATCCGACCTGCCCGTTCTCGCAACGCCGCGTCTCCTGTGGCCGGCACGACATCTGCGGGCGGCTGATGAGGTGCTGATCGAAAAGTAATAAAGGGCCGGCGGTCACGGGCGACGTCTGCTGCCCAGGTGTGCACCGTCTGAACAGCGCTGTGGAGAGCGAGGAGCCCAACCCTCAGGGCTGGGAGACGCCCATCATCGCCCCGCGCAGGCCCGCACGAGGCAGGCGCCGCCCCCACGGCACGCGTGGGCGGCAGGAGCGTCCAGCTTCGCAGCATCAGTCGACGCTCCTCGGAGGCACAACGCAAGCCGTCGCAGACGCGTTGAGCTGCTCGCGGTGAGACGGGAGACGGTGGGCGGGAGACGGTAGACGGTATCCCGACGCCCATGGCCCCCACGCGCTGTCTGCCTTCCAAATTGCCCTCCCTCCGCCATGCAGCGCCCTCGTCCGCAGTCTCCAACGCTGCCGCCATCGTGCTCGCGCGCCGCACGTAATTGCTTCTCCCCGCACAACGTCGACTGCGCGGTACAGTAGTGCTGATGCCCGACATGGCCTGCCGTCGCCGTCAAACTGTCCCCAGCGTCCTCAGGCCACTCGCGCAGAGGCACTCCGATCGCATCTGGCGTCTGCGGGGTTCGACGTCTGCCCGCATGCTCGAAATGCCGTGCAGCCCAGCGCTCGCGGCACCGCGAGACCGTCTCGGATATTTCCTCGCCGCAGCGCTGCCATTGGCCGGCGGCGCAGGAAAAGGGCAGAAATGCGCGCCAGCCAGCCAGGCCCGCTAGCCGTCATCGAGGACAGGTGCAGGGCCAAGCGCGTCCAGCCACAGGCACTCTTGGAGGCGAGCGCGCCGGGATGCATCCGCTCGCGCTAGGCGCGCAAAGGGGCCTGTTGCGCCGGCGTTGAGGCTGCTCACCAGACATGACAGGCGGGCGTGGCCCGGGGGAGTGCCGCTGGTGCGCCGCACGACGAGGCCGCCAATGGACGGCGCCGTCACGCCTTCACTGCTGCTCGCGGCGCCGTCGCACCATGCGCTTGCTTCGCTTTGGGCAAAATTCGTCCCCGAGGCCGATGCACTGTGCGGCCTCTTGCGAGCAACCCGCCTTCCGCGATGGCTGCGCTCCTCCGCGCAGTAGCGCCGTCCGACTGCGTCGCCCCGTGCCAGCATGCCCCGGCGGGCAGGCCTGTCGTCGACTGCTCCGCCTAGCGCGTCGACTGCGCGCCGCCGACAGGGAGCTTCATGTACGTTTTGTGCTCGTCCTTTCTGGCGGGAGCTGGCTCCAGACAGGGGGGCTTGTCCAAGCTGCATCATTCAAATGATTTCCCCTGCAACCGACCAGAGGCTGATCCCTCCAGCACACCTCACCGACCTTTCTTGTCGTATATCATCGCGGCCCTTGCGCTCGTCCCCATTCCAGTCACGGGCCCGCTGCAACCTCCATTCCAGACCACCGCTACTCTCGCCAACAACCCCCCACCGGACACAGCTGTATCCCTCTTTTTCGGCTCCATTCCTGCCTCTGCTCTGCCACGCAGAGCTCAGCATGGCCCTTGGTCTCTCCGCCACCTAGACCAGCGTTTCCCGAGACTGAGCCGTCCCTGCGCCTTTTGGACCCCTCGTTCGCTTCTCAGCTCCTGCTCTGCCTTGCTGCGTCCTGCTTTTTCCGTCTCTGCTCTTCCGTTTCTGGTGCTGGGTGTTGTCCACGGCGGCGACCCCATACACAACCTTCACACTGGCTGCTCAAACGCTCCCCGCTATCCAAAACCCTCACGCTCGTTACCCCCGCCCATACCAGCCCTCGCTCACTCCGCCATACGACGACCACCCGAAGCTGTATCTGGACCAGTCTCCTATTCCCCGCCAGTCCGGTTTCCCTGAGCCAGACCGCTCATGGTTGGCCCATAGAGGGCTGAGGGGCTCTGACGAACAGGTCCTAATGTCGCGCCCGGGAGCGGCAGGATCTCAGTCAGCGTCTGTGAATGATGCCTCGAACAGGTTTCCGCAGACCACCCCTCAGATGTCGCCGGCCCACCCCCGTCTGAGCATGCACCCGCTGCAGAGGGACGGTACGCATGATGCTCCGACTAACGCACACGTTTCTCTTCCCCCTCTCCGCCAGCTATCGAGCACTCCGCCAACGCCATCCGCGGATCGAAGACCGGGCAATCCTTTGGGCGTTCATTCTATCCTGAATCCTCAGGCGGACTTGGTGGAGCAACAGCGGAACCGGAGGCGTAGCGGCTCGCAAATGGAGTCTCCGTCTCCAATTGAGACGCAGCCATCACAGAGCCTGCCTTCTATCAGCCGGCCTACGAGTGTCGATTCGATGCAGGGCGAGCCGATACCGTCTAGACCATTCCACCCACCAGGTCGACCATCAGGAAGGCATTTAATGGCTCCGAGATCCCCCACGCTGCACCGTACCCAGAGCCTGGGTATCCTGAATCCAGCGAATCTGAATCCCCCAACGGGAACGATAGATGCACACCAGTCGCCCTTTCTGTCCTCAAGCGGCCGGCCTTTGGGCTCCGATCCGGTGACGTCGCAGCCTGCTCTTCCAACGCCCCCGGTGGGAGGGCGTGTTACCTATTTTCCTACCGTGCCTCCGACGGCACCAACCCCACCCCCGAGCATGGTCCGGACGAACGAGCTCAGGCGCCCGAGCATGGGCTTTCCGCAGTCAGGGAGCGCCAGTCCGATTGCGAATTACTCTCCGTATAGCCAGCCTGCCTCCGTTGCCTCGAGTCAATTTGAAGCTTCTAGCCAGCAAGGTTCTTACATGCCTGCGCCGCACCACCCACAAATGCAGGAGCCGCACCGCATACCTTTGGCGATGGAGACAGAGCGCAACAGCAGGATCCCAATGGCGCCCTCCAGCCAGAGCAGCATTCAGATCATGACCATCAAGAGCCAGCAAGGGCACCATGTCCAGATTCCCGTTGATGTTCAGGCCGCGTCCAAGGTGGCCGACGAAAAGAGAAAGCGCAACGCAGGCGCGTCGGCGAGATTCCGCGCCAGACGAAAAGAGAAAGAGCGCGAGGCTTCGATGAGCATCGCCCGTCTGGAACAACAGCTCCGCGACGCCCTCGAGGACGCGGAATACTACAGAAATGAGAGGGATTACTTCAAGTCCGTCGTCTTCCAGCAGCCAGGCGCCGAGCGACACTATGCTAGAGCCCCGTCGCCTCGTCTGAGGCGACTATCTGCCGCGCCTTCTATCGCCCCGTCCTCCACGACTGGTGATGGCTCGCGAGACTCTCCCTACTCTGGGTACGACGATGAGGTGCTGGAGTCGGACAGAAATGTTCGAAGGAGGACCAACAACTACCACCCTATTTCTGGGCCAGCTCCCACACCTTTGGAAGGCTCTGGTCTGCCCGCGACAGCTTACGCCGCGCCTGCTTTTCCATCCGTGAACGCAGCACACCCCGGTGGTCTGAGTGGGCATCGACCGCCCCCTCAGCCTTTTGATCCCCGGGAACAAAGGCCGCTCCCAGAGTTGCAGCAGCCACCACCACCACCACAGCGACCCACTCTCCGCGACCCATTTGCTTCGGAGCCGGCTCGCTATGAGAACAGGCACTGGGGCCCGACCCCGGGCCCAGGACCGGACAACCGAGGGTGATTCCAACCCTCTCTGGCACGCAAGATCGAAACGTTATGCCCTTCACGCCCATGCTCTGGGCAGTCGTCTCCTACTTTTGTTTTCTTTCCGTACTTTGATACCCCGAACCAAGAAACAGCGGCTTTTTGCATTTTCAGTAACGCATCGGGTGGTTCCATTTGTCAGCGTTCGCACACCAGAGGTTGGCTTAAGGCGACTGTATTCTTCGCCTGGCTACCTCGGCAGCTTCCAGCATCTTTGATTTTTCCTATCCTACAACGCGAATACCATCATCGATATACCCGACCATGAACCAGAAGCGTGGCCCGACATCATTCGCACGCATAGTTTGGTCATGATGTTATCATTATAGAGCTCTATACACCTAGAGTACCTCCTCACGGAACCTTTCTTCTACAACACCAGAATGTCTATTATTATTTTATCAGTACCATTCAGCATGTACTTTACCTATCGAACAATTTCTCTACGGCGGCACGGGCGTCTTTTGGTATGGGATACTCCACCGACGACAAGGTATCGTAGATCGGATACTTTTCGCCGCAACGCGACTCAAGTCCAATGAAGCTCCCCACGCGACCATTCCGTGTCAGGACATATCTTTTGGAGCGTCATTTTCCTTTGCGATCTTCCACATGGCCAATCATACACCGACCCCCTAAACATTCCTTCACCGCTGCAAGCTGCAACTGTGCTCGTGGCGGTCTGGGATGTACTAGCCCCCGCGCCATCCCTCTTAGACTCGGCAAAAGCTCACGCATGACCTCCAAAAGTGGTCCAGCATGATCCAAACACAATTGCCCGACCTTCGTTTTCGTCCCGCCCGCCTTAAGCGCATGTACCAAGGCACGTCCCGCTCGCCTTCGCCCGTCGACCGGGCATCGCTTTCGAACCAGATCAGATCAGATTCCGAAACGACCAAAAACTTTAAAAATGACGACCCAGGCAGCCAACCGTGGCGCCGAACGTCAATTTCCTTCCGAGGCTGACGTCGAATTGTCATTGCTTTTTCTTACTCCACCCGCGCCTACAGTACGGACTAGAATCCGCCGGCTTTTTTAGTTCACATATACGTGCTCGAGTCCAAGAAGTGCAATTTGCGCGACTTGCACGTGTTTCACCTCGTATTGAAGGTTCTCGACCGAATACAGGAGTGCGAATGGCATGATACCTGCATGAGTAGTGTTCCCGCGGATTCGGATGAAGGGCTAGAGATGCATTTTGGAAGCTCGTAAGGTTTAGTCTAGTGAGTGTTGATGGCGTTGGGTGCTAACCTCTAGTCCATGCGCACCAGCCATAGGCAGATCGTTTCGGTACCTAAATCAACCTTGACGTGGGACACACTTCCGGAGCCGCATCATCATGGCATAGTCCATCGAATACAACACTTTAAGGATCTTTCTAGGGGCTCTACCTTCACGGCGTCTGTGAAAGTGCCGGCTCCGTGCAGCAGCTCGGTCAAGAGGAGATGCTATTCGAAATCTTCACGGTGAGCCTCACATTGCGTTCTCTAATTTGCACTCCAGGGACCTGCTACTGCCGCCGATATTCCTCTGGCGCCTCCGTTGCACCTTCGGCTTGGTGGCCGTGCCAAAGCATCACAGCATCGTCCACGAGCAAATGCATCATCGCATTCCGACTTCTCCCACCCGGAAGTAGGTCTAGCTTTCCTCAGTGCGACTTGCAGGAGCATATTCGGCGGCGGATTACTTGCAGACGAAGCTTTCGCCGGTGGATACGGGCGTGCTGTCGACAAACGGCGTGTCGTTCGACGTCTTTACGGATCCACCGGACGACCCCTCCCGTGATGTACTGCACTACCGCCGGAGAACCGTGTCGGCCCGTTTGACGTTTTCTTAAGTCCCATAGATGGGAAACAGACGTGCGGGTCCGCTAGCATTCTGAGACTACGCAAGCGTACCAAACATTGATGTTTGGAGTACGCCCGCAGGTTGCACGTCAAATGCGGCTCTACGGCGCATGGAAAGAAACGATGCGCTCTCTGGTCAGCTTCGTGGTTTGATAACGCGCAAAGTCCGTTTTGGAGACCGTTCGCGCCCTGTGTATTGAGCTGAGCTTTACATGAGCTGCTTCTCAGGGGCCAGCGACTTCGGAAAGCCCCTATAGCAAACGGCCCGAATGCAATACAGGATCTTCCTAGTACCTAGGTATTCTGCAATGATACTGTCTCTCAAAATGTGATTGCTCGCGACAGGCTGCGGGGTCCTTGATGGGTAGGAAGCCGTGAGCCGCGTTTGGTAGGCCTACCATAGCCTATCGTAGTCTACCGAATTGGGAAAGCCGGGAAGACAAGAACCTCGCCGTCGCCCCATAGCAGGAAGTTGGATTAAAGGAATGTGATTGTATGTACGCCTGCGGCGCTGCTGCTGTCACAATGACACACCTCGCATGAAGGGCAGGTCTCGTGACTCCGCTGGTTGTTCTTTCCCAGCCTGTGGTCGACCGGAAACGTCATGCCAACACATGCCATGTCCCAACTCTGTATGCCCTGCATGCATCCTGCTTACTGCATTATTCAACAACCCCACGAACCTCTGCCCTTCCGCCTTCTCACGACCCTTGCCAACTGTCCCATGACGCTCTGCTGGATCTTGAACGCGATCGATGCCGGTCGAAAGCCCACTTCCCCGCGGCACTCGGGCCACACCGCTCCTTGCTCCTCTGGATCTTCTTCAAGCCCGTCATCCAGCCACGGGTCCAACAACATCGCTCTGCCATGATTCATTCGTGTTAGCCGCTTGGAGCAGCTTGCTCGTAGCTCTTTGGCGAGTGCGTAGGCAAGGCGAATTATCTCCGACTACTACAGGTCTGTCTGCCGCTCTACGAGCCGGCAGTGCCGCGATGCGATATGGGCCAGACTACTGCAAACATGCGGCGTATAATAGCACCGATTCGACGTCTGCTGCAGCCACTCACACGGTTGTGAACGCCGCACCACGCAGGCTGACTGGATCCTCGCCTGTGCCCGCTCAATCGGATCTCGGAGCACAAATGACGATGGCAGCACGCTCACCGGTTACCCTCGCTTCGGTGCTCCTGCAATCACCACAATGCGGACTTTGATGACTCGGCGCTGACTCGGCTTGCGCCTCAAGCACACAGGAAGCAATGCGGTACCCGATGCCGAGTATGCTCGGCCCGGCCATATTGCTCCTCAGGTGAGATGCTTAACAGCTCAACTCCCACTAGGCACTGCATCGACACCAAGCATTCCTGCCGTCCAGAAGCGGACCAACATTCCAGCGTAAACCGGCTGGAGCATAGAGCAAGAACTCAACGCCATGTCCCACCTCGACACGTGTATCTTCACCTCACCGCATGTTCATGCCTGCACCACCCATCTAGTCGATATCTTTGCATCAGTCTGGCTGCTGAGATTCCATTCGTGCACAAAGGCATCACACTGACAGCAGTGTTACACGCCTGCAACAATGCAGCGCTCTTCTCCGCCTGCACGAAGCACTCGATTGCGCATCTCCACAAAACCACAACCCCTCATCCTTCCCCCGACCGGCTTCCCAAAGCGGAAACTCGATAGAAAGCTCGCAGCTCACAGGGCAATTTCCACACGTCGACCAAATAAGCTCGATCTGCCTGCGTGTCGCACAGCATCGGCCTTGGTCCCCCGATTGTAAAGATATACATGCGCTGCCAACGCATCTTGAGTCTCGTGCAACGCTCCACAGGACTCGAGACTCAACTTGGGGCAGGGCAGAGCGGGGCACCGTCGGCGCTTATGCATGTGATGGAGAGATATGCAGGCTGGCGTAAGATGGGAGCGGGCCTTGCGTACTGTATGCAATGCCGAACCAGTGGTTACACGGCAGCTCCTGGCTCGCTCGCGGGACGTAGGGCGGCTGCGCGACGTCCCGCCATGGGAAGGGAAGGGGAGGGGAAAAAGTAACGAAACACCCCTCCGCGTGAGCACATTACTGTCGGCCCACCGGTAATAATAGAGGCGGGGACAGGCATTCGCGCATGGCTGAATCGGCATTGGATGGAAGCATGCGAGGTAGGCTATCGATTTTCTTTCCCCTTCAGCCTGCATATACGTGCAGTTCGTTGATCGAGGTCGCAGCGCCGTGGCAAGCCGCAGCCATGAAAAAAAAAAAGAAAAGGAATTGCAGATTAATATATTAACGTGCGTCTGCTAAGGACACGTCGTTTTTGCTTGCTGCGCGCCCGATGCAACGCAGGCATTATTGCATGGCTATCGTATGTATGCAAGAGCAGGGGCCCCAGGGATACAGTACAGATACGGCGGGGCTGACGAAGCCTTGGGCTCCAAGCACACGCCTCAGATGGGGATGCGCCCCTCGGACGCGACGCGGGTCAGCATGGTGAGAAAAACGGGATGTGATGAGCTGCAGCAGCTGTCGGTCATGTGAGCGGAAAACCATCCTCAGCCTGGAACCCAATCAGAAAATTGCGTGCGACCCTGCAGCGCGCTGCGACGCCTGGTTGGACGAGCGCGACACGGGCGTTGGGGGTTCCTTTTGCATGAATGCCCGTTGTGACCGGGTTTGGCGCGGACGACATCATCGATGCACGAGGGATAAATTTAGGCAAAGTGCAGATGTGCTTTCGTTTGAGCACGTGGGACGGTTGATCGATGCAAGCAGGCTCAATGTCTTGTTGGCTACAAGATGTCGCCGCTGAATGGCAGGGCCAAGTGGAAATGACAGGCGTACGAAGGGCACCACTTTTCAACATCAACGGCAAGGTAAGAGGCATCCGACACATGTCCATTGATCAGTGTTGTACAGACTGCTACCGATAGCTATGCCCCGCACTCTCGCTCTCGCTCTCGCACAACTACGCTCTTGTGTGCAACTGTGGCGCACAATGTCGACTGCAGCAGCGGAGATTGACACAAGGGCCCGCCAATCTACATGCAATCCTCCACGCCGGTAACGAACCGTTACGCGAACGGACGACGCGCGATGGGAGGCATGGACCGTGGGCGGCGGAAACTACGGGAAGTATCCTATTACCTGGACTACGCGAGGTATGCCTTGGGCCATGCGAGGCTGCGGCACAGCGCTCATGGCACGCGTCGATTTCAGCCCAATGGCGGGCGGGAAAGTAACGTTGTGGAATGTGGCGAGGGTCTTGATCGGTGTGATGTGTTCGAGAGGGTTGCGGCGCGGGATGGAATGATGGTGATAATGGCGTAATCGGGTGGATGGGGCATGTTGGCCATGGGCGCTGTGCCGCCATGATGCACGCCGTTGAAGGCTCGCTATTTGCGGCGTGTCATTCATGCCGTGCTCAACGTCTGCCATGGAGTTGAAGTGACTCGCAAGCTGAGCCTGATCCTGCGAGTTCCGCAGCGAACACCGAGCAGTGGCTTCTTCGCGTGGGGGTGCTTTCACATTCCTGCCGTGATACATATCGCCATTTCCGGAGCGCTCAGGAGTCGACTGCGCGTGACCGGTTTCCCCCCTTCACCCGCCTCCTACGCCGAAGCGCACGCGAATCGTGCGCAATTGGCGCAGCGTGCTGGGCGGAATCGAAGAGCTCGCCCCTGTATCAGCCCTCGTTTGGCGGTATGTCTGGTACTCTTCGTGCTCCCGGAGGAGCGTGTCGATGAGGGTGAAGTCGCCAATCACGCACTGCCCGGAGTGGAGTACGTCCAGGGCGTCAATGTGACCCGCCTCGGACGACGACAGGAGGGCGTCTTCTTCATCCACATCAGCGCCTATGTCGGACAGCGTGTCGGTTCGGCGAAGAACACCGCGTTCTTCGGCATCGGCGTCTTGCTCGCGGGCTGCGTTCTCGTCCGTCGATCTCTCCGGCGGGTCCCCTTCGGTTGGCCTTGAAGCTGTGCTCCCTCCTGATATCTTGGCTAGCTTCCTTTTCAGGTCTCGTTTCTTGACTTGCGCGGACACCATGGTGAGCTGCAGAATCAGGAGGCAGATATCCAGGCCAGCAAGCTTCCACTTGCTTGTCGGCCCCTTTTGCCCGATGAAGTCTATCATTAACCCCCCATGCAAATAGCCTCGTGTATCTTCGCCGGCCGATGGAGCTGCATATATGAGATGCAGAAGGAAGTTTGCAGTGAAGCAGAACAAGAGGAGCGGTAGGTATGGCTTGTATACATCGTTTTGGCGGTTGAGGCCCATATCGGGCAGGGGCGTGAGGATCGAGAGGTGGATTACGGCGCGTACGAAGAACCAGAAGAATGAGCAGCTGCAACGATCAGCGACTTGTACACATTGAAGAGGCAATACCCGTGTATAAGCTTACTCCAGGTAATAGAGGGTGATGAGCTCCAGAAAGACTAGAGTATCCAGTTCGCGAAGCAAATGCTCGAGAAACTGCACCCGCTTCCTCTTCGCATCAAGCCTCCGCTCCTTTGCCCGCTGCTCGCGCTGAGCTGCATCCTCCCCTTCGTCGACTGCTGCTGTTGTTGCGTCGTCGAGATCCGCATCAGAGGTCGCAGTGTTTCCATAGCGCTCTCCGGCTCGCGACGACTCGGCCTCATCGTTCATGGCGCAGCGGGGCAGATCCTTGCGCAACGCTTCCGGTCATGAAGCCACAAGTCGTAGAAAAGCGCAAGGCCAAAGCTATGCTGGCAGGCAGCTGTTGGCCGGCGGTGATGTCGTGCAGCAAGTGAGCATCGGCGCCTGGAAAAACCGCAACCGCCGAGCTTCCGAAGTGGTGAGATAATCGATCGTCGCCGACCAGAGCTTGATGCTCGCCGTTGGCTCCAATCTGCAAACCATTCACTCCTCCGCCTCCGCTGCTCCGTCGAATGCTCTCCAGAGCTCCAGAGAGTGCCTGAGGACTCCAATTGCGCCGGCTCTCCATGTGAGACGTTGCACTCGCCCGCCATTGATCCCGCGCGACACCATCCACCACCTCCGCTGTCACAATGAATTCTCCGAACAGCGCGCCCCTCCCGTCGTCGTTTGACGAGAATACGTACGTCCCCCTTCGCTCGCGCGCTCGCTCCACAGACTCGCAAAGCTAACCCCACCCCAGCGACTTCTACAATGAAAACCGCCTGGGCAAAATAGGGCGCCGCCTCCGCGAAGAGCCTCTCATCCCGCTCGGCTGCGGCCTGACCGTCTGGGCCATCGTCGGCGCCACGCGCTCCATGCGCAAGGGCGACCACAAAATGACGAACCTGTACTTCCGCCGCCGTCTGTATGCGCAGGCCTTCACCATCGCGGTGCTGTGCGTGGGCAACTTGTACTGGCAGAAGGACCGCGTGAAGAGGAAGGAGTACGAGAAGCTGGTGGCGGAGAAGGATAGGATGGATAAGAGGGACCGCTGGTTGAAGGAGCTGGAGATGCGGGATGAGGAGGACAAGGCGTGGAAGGAGAGGATGGCGAGGAGGGTGCGGGGCGAGGGAGAGGCGCAGGGCAAGGGCGTTAGTGAGATGGTGGCGGAGAAGACGAGGGAGTTGAAGGATAGGGCTGGGGGTGGGAAATGAGGATGCGGAACCCTCCGAGAGGTAGCATGCGGCATGCGGAGAGCGGCAGAGCCGGCTTTGTGGCGGAACGGTTATGGACGTTCGCTGTACATATTGCTGAGGCGTGTATGAGTACACATCCGGGATTGGGCAAAAGTAGGGCACGGGCACATTCTCTACTACGGGTAGGTTGGTCAGGTTGCATTCAGCTCAGTCTTGGTCAATGTTTTTATGTTTTACGTTCATTCATCGCTGTTTTGATCTCAGGATTCTCCTCCCGGCATAGTTTGTTTACCCAAGCTCTTATCTTTAGGAGCAGTATCTGGAATAGAGACTCGGAGACCGCGAGCAAGGGCGCCTTATTCGCCCCATACCCACTCAACCAGCAATCGAACGCGAGTTCCATACAATTGTGCGGCATCGGCTGACGAGTCAACTTTTAGACTCTCGAGTAGACGGGAAGTAGATCTACGAGTCTTCATTTGAGAAGAAACTGTGCTAAATCTTACATGATCGGTGCTTGTTATGGACGGAGGAGCCAGATGATGCTGAATTTCGTACCATAGACCAGCAAAATGAGTAGAGCTTGTTCTGTTCGCATCGAGCGCAGTGCCATTTGTGGAGATTATAGGCTATGTATAGGTGGACTCCGCTAATTACGAAATTATGCAGATTGAGATAGCGGAGCGACGTAACCGTTCCTCTCGATTCCTTAACTCTTCTGGAGTCCCATCTCACCAACAGAATTGGATCGCTTGCGACATTGACACCGGCTAACCAGAGTGCTTCTCGACGTCACGTCCCGTATCCTCCACAAGCTCCACCTCCATTCCCAAAGCCAACCCCTTATCCAACTTCCTCCTCGCCTCCTCATCCATCCGCGTATAATCGACCGCAACGGTATCACCAAACTTCGCACTAATCTCTTCAAGACTCAAGCCCTTGGTCTCGGGGTAGAAGAAGTACATAATAGCAGCGCCGAAGAGGGGCACGATGACTGGATTCTCGGTCAGCGGGAACCATCGAGGAAGTGGGGACGTTACTTACCAAAGATGAGGTAGTACTTCCAGCCTACGGTGGTAAAGGCTACAGGTGCGCACATGGTGTAGATGAGCGAGAAGCAGAAGAGCGCGGAGATACTGAAGCCGGCACCTTGGGCGCGGATGGAGGTGGGGAAGAGCTCGCCCGCATAGACGTATGAGGAGGCGTCCATGGAGCCGCCAAAGAAGGTGACAACTGGGTTTGAAGTCAGTATATAGATGTGCATAGGTTTAAGGTGGTAATTGACTTACAAAGGTACAGGAAGAAGACCCCGAAGCCGTTGCCGATCTTGTTTGATGTGCCTCCGTACACGGCGAGACAGCCCGTGAATCCTGCTACGGAGATTGCGCAGCCAATCTGACCGACTACCATGATTGGGATCCGACCCCACTTGTCGAGCCACAGCGAGTTCATGAAGTTCATGAACGCAGCCCAAGAGTCCCACACAGCATACAGCGCAAGTGGAAGGGATCCGTACAGTCCAAGGCCATTGTACAAGAGCACTTGGTAGTTATTGATAACCAAGCATCCGGTGGACTGGACGAGGCCCCTTGAATATAGTCAGCACATCCGTTCTCAACGGGCCATGGGCCACGAAGCCGCACTCACAGCGTAAGGAAGCCAAACAACAACCGCTTCCTACATGACTTCCTTTGGAAGAGCAGAATCCAACCCTTCACCCACCCTTGCCGCCATCCCTCCTCGCGCTCGAGATCAAGCTGCTTCCGAATCTGGTAGAACTCCTCGCGCGCTAGAAGGTCGTCTTCCTCACCGGGAAGACGGTGCAGGTCCCGTAGGATGCGCAGACCCTCCTCATACCGGTCGTTAGCCATCAGGTAGCGCGGGGATTCGGGAAGCCAGGGAGAACCGATGAGCAGACCGAGCGGTGGCACGACTTGCAGCGCGAGACAGAGACGCCATTGCGCGGTTTGCGAGGCGACGTAGTAGCAGCCGAAGCCTGTCCATCCGGCCAAAGCCTGGTTTGGTTAGTCAGTGCGAGGGTAGTGCGACTTAGGGAAGGGGTAGACCTACGTATCCGACGCACAGAATGAAGCCGTGCGATCCGACCATACGGCCACGCGTCTTTGCCGGGGAGATCTCGCTCTGATACAGCGGCGTGATGACATTCACCATGCCCACACCGATGCCTGCGCAAACAAGCAGTCAGCATCCACGCGTCTCATCCCCCTCTCAACACGACTCAACCAATTCACTCACCCATCAAAAACCGCCCCACCAAAAACATAGCAATATGCACGCTCCCCGCTTGAATCGCCCCGGCCACAATACACAAACACGCCGTAATCTGGATTGCCCTCTGCCTGCCCCACGCGTCCGCCAACCACGTCATAAACAGACATCCAATCAGGCCGCCGCCCGCAAACAGCCCGTTCGTCGCGCCCGTAATGCGCGACCCCTCGGCGGCATTTGGGCCCGTCAGCGAGATGTTGAAGTAGGCGAAGAAGGAGGGCAGCCCAATGACGGCGCCGATGATGGCAGAGTTGTAGCCGTACGTCAGAGAGCCGAAGGTTACGAGGAAGACGATGAGGAAGTTGTAGCGGTTTGCTGTTGCTGCCATCGTGTCTTACGTAAACTTCAAATGATCGGCGGTGGGAGGATAGACAGCGGAGCTCTAAGCTTGCTGAAGAGCTTCAAGTGGAGCTTGGAGTAGATTGGCAGGAGCTTGGACTTAAGAAGCTGCGGCGTCCCCCTCCGCCGAGCCAGGATGCGTGAGCTTTCCCCACAGTTCCAGAGCCATGGTAGCCGGGCGTGGTTATGGGGCTATCGTGGTCTGGAGAGGTATTACCGTAGATGAGGGGTTGGGGGAAGGATGATGACCGGCATCCGCAAATGGTAAGTAAGCGAGGGGGAGTTGATGCTGGTTCCATGTCTGGAAGCGGTTAGGGTGAGCTTTTCCCCACACGTTGGGGAAGAAATGTTGGGGTAAGAATAATACCGCTGCTATTAAGGACTTGTTACCTAACTGGACGGAAGGGCTGGATGGTTTGAGGGTTATGCGTGGGTTTGGTTTTTCCCCGCAGAAATAACCGCGTGGCTGACGAGTCTGGACCGCTGCTGCGAGCCCCAAGAGTCTCTCCACAGTTCACGGTCCAGCGATGCGAAGCGAGGGGATGTCAGCTGCAGCGTGTGCTAGTCATTTCAATTGGAGAGGCTCCTAGTAAGGGGAAAGGAGGGACTGGAGGGGGAGATTGTTAACGTCATTAATGGTACCATTGAGCATGCATGGTATAGTCATGCATCGCTGTCTTGGAGAGGAAAATGGAAGTAAAAGCATAGCAGAAAACGTATTTCTGCATGGTGATAGGAATTCAACGAAGTCTGCGAGAGACTGTGCTGATGGAGGGGCCCGCGTAGGCGGGTGGTTTGTAAAGTGGAAGGGAAGACAGATATATAATTGTGGGTATATTAGAAGTGCAAACGTATGAGCAAATTCAGATAAGAAACCAAAGTCCGACTACAGAGACGAGCTGGAATCGAAAAGCAAGCGTACCCTCCAACGAGACGGCCCAAATCCTCATCTAGTGCATCGCGCCCACCAGTTTCGCTCCCTCATCCATGTTCTGAAGTTTCACCCGCATTCCCTCCGCCGCGTCTTCCATCGCACCCAAGCTTTTGATCTCGCCGCAGACTTCGCGCTCGGCGCTGCCTAGTCCATGGAATAAAAGCGGTAAATTGGACCTTCTCCAGCCGTGCTCGCCTGCGGTCAAGATAGCCGTTACGACAGTGAAGAGCGCGCTGCCGAAGACAAGGATCGCGGGGAGTGTGAGACTCTTCCAGTTTACTTGGTAGAGGAAGACGTAGCGGTAGACATAGCCCGTGGTATATCCAGGAGTCTTCGTGTCATTGGTTCGTTGAATCGGGTATCGGCGGACGACGTGCGACATGCTAATAGCAATGTTGTTGAACATGGAGTCGATCTCTTCGATGAAACCATCCCTTGTCCCCTCTATGAGTTCGAAGACATTCGTAACGAAATGGTTCGTGGGGTTCCATTCCGTGTAGTTCGTCTCTTCATTGTGTTCTTTGACCATAGATTCGCCCACCAGACCATCCGTAGGATCCAGAAGCAGGCTCTGGAGGCCTATTTGAGCCTCGGCGCCTACCGCATAGCAACACTCTTCGATATAAAGGTCCGGATCCTCGGCTTCGGTGAGGGTATCATTGTTGATCCAGCATTCGTCCTTAGGATTCAAAAGGTAAGCAAATTGTTTGTTGTCTGGGTTTAGGTTGAATTCAAAGAACTCGGGCTCGGTTGTCTCGCTCATGAAGCTACCTTCGTTCTGATCAAGACTCCCGATCTCCACTTTTCCAAGAGCTGTCTTAACGCGCCAGAAGAGGGCGCATTCCATTCCGACGGGATCCGCACCTTTCCAGTTGTCCACGAGCAATGCTGTCCGCACTATCAAGGGTCCGGGTGTATCAAAAACATCCTCATCGGAGTGTCCAGACGAGTTTGCGGCTATTAACATCTTGAGGAAGTCGCTGCCTCCTTGATGATACAGCTGTAGACCGGTTCCCGGAATGGTCAGATATGGATAAGAGTTTTCTTCCTCAACTTCGACAATATCATTGGATCGATCCACACATGAGTAATGGACCCCAAGCGTCTGGTATTTCCCGAAGTCACAATAACCGGTCGGACACTCTACGACTGTGTCGGCAGAGATGGAATCACCAAGGCCGCTCATATACGAGATGCCGAACTTGACCGCGTTAATCATTTCCGTTGTAGCCCAAGGCTCTTCAGTGGACCTCATCGCCTGCCAACCAAAGTATTCGCTTGTTTTGGGAAAGGTGGTAGTGTTCGTGATATTGGCGCCGCTGCGCTCGTAGAGGACATCATTGAATACGCGTTGCTGGGGAATTGAAATGGCGCTCTGGATTAGAGCATCAATGGGTAGGGCGAACACCGTCAATCCTGCACCGACAGCTGCTAGATGTCTAGAGACAGAACTATTAGCGTCTATGGCGTGGAAGTGCGTAGGATAACCCTCCATACCTGAACCGGATAGTCCACAAGAGGTGCAGTGAGCCAGTCATACCTCGACTAGCTTCGTCGAAACGCTCAATGTCGATAAGTCGACGACTGCTCCTGAACCATGACCACTTTAGCTGTCCGATGCAAGTCGCGACAGGTAAGAGCATAGCCGCACGCATGACTGCGCTCAGAAAGGATAGTATGGGGAAGATCTTTGGTCTCTTCATTTCACCCGCCTGGGATATGGCCGAGGCTGCTCCGTAATTCTTATTGTCGTAGGCTGCCAAAATGAGCACGATGACAATGAATAAGATAATCGAGAATGCCCCAGCAAGGGCCTCGAGGATCCAGAACTTGTGAAGTACATGCTTTGATGGCAGGAATGCTGTGACGCGTGGTTTCTTGAGCGGGGATTCGCAACGCAGATGCTCGTACCGTGGCGGATCTCCGAATGAAGATGGAGTGTTGGGTATTGGGGCGGCGCCCGCGGCCAGAAAAGGTTGTCGAGAGTCGGATGGCTCCATATGTGCTGTCGTGATTGAGGTTTAAGTGTTGCCCGGCAAAGAAAACGATCGTCGAAAGGCAGCTCAAGACAGCAACTCGATGCCATACTTTAAGTCTCAGGCCTCTAGATCTCGTGGGCGGTGCATGAGGCTCTGCCGTACCAACTTCGCTTGATATCGCTGCTTGTGTCGAGGAGGCTTCTCGGCAGCTGAACGAAGTCGGAGGCTTGGCCATTGGGTGGCTAGGTGGCGTTCAATCGAACGCAAAACTCAAGAACATAGTCGCCTCACCTTTCGCAAATGCGAAGCTAATGGTCTGATATGTGTACTTAATGGCGTGAAGAAGAAACATGAAGGCGGTGTTGCCGCGCCTTTTGAGGCCAGAGTAGTGTTGAGGGCACGGCTCGACGCTCTCTCCTCCTGGATCTTTGATGCTGTGGTCGTCACCGACGGTAGATGTAGCTAGAAACCGCATGTCCTGCTATTCGGGGCCTTCCTCGATTGGATTGCTGATAGGAAATCGCATCACTCGTGATCTTGCGGATATCGTGGAGGCTGAGCTCGCAACAAGTTTGTGGCATCAGATAGTGGCTGAGGAATAGCTCTTGCTGGCACGAGAATCATCGAAAAACTGGCCGCAACAGAAATAGAACCATACGGAACGCTTTCTAGACCACTTTCTCTAAGGCTATGTGCAGTGTAGTGGAGCTGCAAGTCTCCCGGCGTTTGGCGAGAATGACTAGGCTAGATCTGAAACCGGCATAGCTTCTGGGCTAATTCCGTCTCAACTCTTCCTTCCGCATCTCCCGACTTCGTCTTTCGTCTGCCTTGCCCGAAGATGCCGGCGACGACATATGCCATTGCCGATAATGCAGACGGTGTTCCAATTGCCCTGCATCTATTGCAGAAGTGTTGGCCATGCAATATAGTCAACAAGCTTGCGAGTGCAAGCAGCACCACTGACGCGTCAAGAACGGGAGGCTGAAGAAGGAAAAGTGCGACAGCAACGAAACTTGCAAGATTTATACCGAACTTCAATGACTGTGAGGAGCTTTACGCCTTGAGAGGCATGTTGGGAGAAGAGTCGCACCCCTTGAGGTAAGTCCTGCTTGAACGGGGACCATGTTCGGAAGCGAACTAAACCTCTTGCAAAATATGCCTGGATTCGGACAAGCTCCGTGGCCATGAGCTTGTCAACTTCCGCTCGCCTTCGCTACTCTTAGCTCACCTCTATTCTGCTTACGTGTCAACCTTAAAAACGTCGGGACGAACGAGGATCCAGAGAGCGCTGAGTAATCGGCAGGTCAGAACGCGACCATGCATGCGAAACCAAATTTAGGTCCACGCTTATCGATAGACACCTCTGTTGCACGCAAAGGTCTCTGATCTCTACCGCTCTTTGGCAATCGACATGCCCTCGATGGGCCTGCAAAGCCACGAAAGAGATCCAGGGTAGCGGTCGCTGTCGTACATATATGAAGCATCCTACAGGACCCTGGTTCAAAGCGCCCGTCTCTGCCCAAATAGCAATCCCAAAAAGAAGAGGAAGACTAGGTACAGTGGTCTTCCTCGTATCCTGTCGGCACTTATCCGTTCTTGCCTAAGCATCTACTCCCACAACTTACCATGGCCCTGGGTAATCCGGGATCCGGGTCGACACTACTGAAGTGAGCCTCCATTCATACCATCCGCAGTTCTAACTAGGCCGCACTAACACACCTGAAGCGTCTTTATCGCGTTCGCTGCTGTGGCGATATGGTCCACCGTTCCCTTAACCATCCGCCTACTCACGACACTCAAACGGCGTCGAGGCGTATACTTCTACTCCATCCTCGTCACATCCTGGGGCCTCTCCATCCGACAAGTCGGCGACGTCCTCCAATTCCTCGTCCCGTCCTGTCCATGGATCCTCAGCAACGGCCTCGCGCAGGGTGGATGGGTGGCCATGGTCTCTGGTTTCTCCATGGTGCTCTACTCACGGCTGAACATCATTTTGGAGAGCCTGAGGATGCGCCGCGTTGTTCTAGCCATGATCGTTACGAATGGAGTAGTCTTCCATATCGCTATGATCACGTTGTCGATCGGCCTGGCTGCTCTAAGTCATGGTGATCGCCATGAGAAAGCGCAAACTCCGGCATGGAGGCGGGTTTTCCAGCCCATGGAGAGAGTGCAGATTATCGTGTTCTCGGCTCAAGAAACGGCGATTTCGTTCTTCTACGTACGTGCCGCGTACCAGTACCTTAAGAGCCGGTTTGCGCAGCGCGGGAAGACGCAGAGAGCCATGTTTCTGCTTCTGCTGGTCCAGGTCATCATCATCGCGATCGATATCGCCCTTATCGCTATCGACTTCGCCGGACTTCTGCAGTTGAAGTTGTTCATTCATTCGTTTGTTTACTCGGTTAAGCTAGAGCTGGAGTTTGTGGTGCTCAATCAGTTGGTGGAACTGTCGCAGCTCGGCGTACCGGGCATTCCGTCGTTCTCGATGGCTCTGCGATCTGAGCACAGCGGAGAAGCGATCGTGAAAATGCCAGCTTGGACTCCGGAGTCGCCGGACCCGGGCCCGGAGTCAGTCAGATCAGAGAAATCAGAGCGTAATCTGGAGTTCATCACTGAACCGGGATCGAGAGACGAATCTCATAATGCTCACGTCTTAAGCATGCCTCGAATTGGCACCATACCGAGCGCCTGACCAGCGATCCGTTCGCAATATTCCACGTCTCACGACTACGACGTACGACTCACGAAATAATGAGGATGAGTGCTGGATCAGAAGCTTCCTGGGTGCTCACCAAACTGGAATTCATATCAGCAAAATATGGTGTGGTTCTACTGCACCATTGTCCGCCACTCCTATATGCATTTTGAAGTACCAAAAGCATAGAGTAATCATTCTCGATTCCTCCTGCGTTTATGGGGATAGCTGTTGCTTCTCCTGGGGTAATGGAGTGGCATTTTCTCCCGGTATGGTCGAGTCCCATTTGGTTGCTGAGTTCTGCTTCACCACCCCATCGAAAGTTGCCAAACATTGAGTGTTGGACCGACAATGGCATCCAGTGGGCTGAGAAATGAGGTCTAGATATGTATGGAAAGGCTGACAGCGCGTTTAGGCATCGCTCATCTACACGAGGCAATGACTCGTGCCGCGTCGCCCTTCCACAACGCTGATTCGCTCAACAGCCTCGGGTTTTTGCCTAAATCAGCGAGCTAGCCCCAAACCCCTGGCCCCAGCAGAGGGGCCAAGCCAGCGATACCCATGAAATCGATAAATAATCTCAGGGGAATTAACCAGAGCGTCGGGAAAGGCGAGGGGGGGACGCAGGCCTTAAAAGCGACATGCACGCAATAGACACGGGCTCGGTGAGGTTGCGGCATGTCCTTCATCCTTCATCGCGTAATTGCCGCTTGTGTGCTTTTACGGCTTTTCGCGAATGCGCAAGAGAGATTGAATGGCTCCCAGCCTACGACCGGAGACGTTCGATCTACTAATGGACCGGCCAATCTCACGAACATTCCAGAGCCAACGAGTTCGCTGCTAGCAAATGGAACGACGCTGCTCAATGCGACGTCTTCGGCTTCGGCTTCGGCGACCTATACGACATCGAACACTTCCACGATCGGTAGGAACTGTTCCTTCCCGCTTCGTATACCGGGAATGCTAACCAAACGAAGATCCGGTGATCGCTTGCGACAAACGGTGGTCATCCTACTATGCATCCAGCATTTTGGCCTACAAGCCCACTTCGGAGCGAACCTTCACAAAGGTCGTGATTTCCACAGAGACGGTTTACGGAACCACGTACACCTGCTCCTCCACTTGTGGAAACGTATGCTACGCCGATGTCACGACGACGGAGACGGACTTCTCAACTATCACGAGCACCCAACTCTCCACGTCGACAGCATGGTCAACATATACTGGACCACAGCCAAGCTGCACGGTACCGTCAGCAGCATGCACGAGTCTATGGGACGTGTTTTCGCAGTCGAAGTCCGTATACATGTCCTGGTATAACAACATGGGGCCGCCTGAATCCGAACCGCCATGGCCGTCCACGCCAGCTTGCAAGTACTGCAAGCAGACGGACTGCTTCATCTTTGGATCAGGAAAAATACAGATCTACTATTGGCCGGAGTCGACGACTGTGGTGCGAGACATGTGTACGGATGCGCCGGCTCAAGCTCCGTTTGACCCCTGGCAGAGCGGCACCTATGCGAATACCAGTAGGTCGAGTCAATGCACTCCTGTAGATTGCATACTGACTCCGAAAGGCTATGTTCCCGTCACTACTGGCGGGTCCGTTGTGCTGGACGGACGTACCTTTTACGAGGGCAATGTCTACTTTTCCATCCCGGCCGCAAGCGTAACGAACAACTGTGGCGCGACCTTAGGCAGTGTTCACTCCGACATTCTACTCACGTTAGCGTCGAGCGATATCTACTCCGTGCGAAACGACAGGGCGGGAGTATATCCAATCAGCTATGCCGACTTCAACCCGCCCTATCCGTGGAGGTATGTGTAACCTGCATCACGCCCCTCGGTGCCAGACCTAACACGAGCAGTGCCTACAGAGGCGCGCTCCACGACTGCGCTTCCGGCATGAACTTCGGCCAGGGACCTTGGTGTTCGCGCTCAGTCGTGTTCGAAGACAATTTCCATCCCGTCGTCCAGCTGCCGATATCGATGCAGCAGCTCGATCCGGCTTGGGTGGGTTGCAAGCCCATCGATGCCCTTCTCGATCCACCGGTTGCGCTGTCAACCGTCGCGAACTTGCTCACTTCCAGATATAACCCGCCGATTGCATTGTCGACCGCTGCGCTACCGGCCAGTACGCCTGAAGCCGCCGCCTCGCGAACCCCTGCTTCTACCGCTGTGCCTTCTCCTGCACCTGGACCGGATCGCAACGCGGATCAACCTGGCCACGGCGGATCCGACAACCAGCTTCCACATACAGCACCCGCAGGCCAAGGAAACCCCATCACAGTCGTGCCACCACAGATCACCGTCGGACCAACTGTTCTCCCAGTGCGAGGCACAGGGCTCGTCATCCAGCCCGGCGTCACCGTCTCGCGAGGCGGTCCCGCAGCCATCATCGGCGGCACCACCGTCCGCCTCGGCGACGCCTCCATAACCCTCGAATCCCCGTCCGGCACGTCCACGATCGCCGTCCCAAACACATATTTCTCCTTCTCCATCATGGTGGGCGGGCGGCAACTCACATTCCTAGACGAGGACAATATAGTGGCGCAACCAGTTCTGCTCGACTCCAACGACCCCGCCGTCACAGTAGCGGGAAGCATGATTGTGAGCGCTGGTTCGAGCGGGATTACGATCATCGACATTGAGACCGGAAATATCCAGTATATTCCGTTCGAGCGCCTCGCAAGCATGAGCAGTGTGACCGCGGTCAGAGTCGGCGGTCAGGTTTTGACCCTGGACGCCAATGGAGATCTGATCTTGGGCTCGGGGAAGACGCTGCATCCTGGGGATCCTGCCGTTACTATCTCGGGCACTGTCGTTAGTATTGGTACCGCGGGGATTGTGCTCGTGGATAGCAGTGGGGTCACGAAGACGCTGAGCGAAGACGCGACGCGGACAATGGACGGCGCTGGAGCTACCACAATGGGCGATCAGGGTTCGACGCGGCCGGGTGAAGAGCAGAATGCTGCTGGGACGGCGGCTCCAACCAACTCGAAGAAAGCCGAGGCGTCAACCAGCAAGGCAGCTGTAATAGTGCAGATAATAGCACTTCTAATCCTGGGCTCTGCCTTCCAGGGACTGGTTTAGTAACGACGGTATAGGAGGACCGCTTATGCGGATGTTGAACGGCTGAGAAAAAAGGCATACCAATGGCGCAACGGCTCGGCTTTCTGGGTGATCAGGATACCCGCAGCGCGAATTTTCATATAAACCTGAGGCATGAAGCCTCTATTTCCGGTACGTCGGGCGCACATGAGGTGATAGGTGGTGGCTGGGGAAAAAGCAAGGGTTACCGAAACGGGCGAGTCTCGCCCCACGGAGAAGGCTGCGACGAGCCACGGCTGAACGCCATCAGTGCCTTCGTCCTGCAAGCCACCTTCAGCCCGAACAGCTGGTCAGCCGGATGTCATACGATGCCATGGAAGAGAACATGAAGGACCCAGATGTATAAAGCAGACTGGGCTGAGGTGGAGAGGCGGTAACAGGGCAGAGCGATTATTTCTCCTATCCTCGAGCCTCCCTATAGCATCGGAACGTGTCCTACTGCGATCAGGCTATGGAGGAAAAATACAATCTTCTTTCCCTAGATGGAGGCGGTGTTCGCGGCCTGTCGTCTTTGTTGATTCTTCAGCACCTTATGCGACAAATCGATCGAGACAAGCCCCCGAAACCATGCGAGGTATTCCACTTGATTGGCGGCACAAGTACTGGAGGGTATGTAGATCCAAACCTGACCCTGCCTCGTATCTTCTGACTCCAGGAGATTGATCGCGATCATGCTAGGTCGGCTCCATATGTCCGTCGACGAATGCATCGATGCCTATCTCCGTTTGTCGGCGCGCATCTTTCAGAACAGGGGCAACGGATTAGTCAATATTGCGAAGTTGGGCCTGAACATTCCAAGATTCGATGCCGCGGAGCTGGAGTCCGCTATTAAGGATGTCATCGCCGGTTGCGGGTATGACGAAGATGTGTTGCTTAAGGATTCTCCGGGAGCCGGCTGCAAGGTGTTAGTCTATTGCCTTTTTCCTGTCTGAGATAGCTTCTGATGCAGTGGAAGATCCGTTTGCGCTGTGCGGGATGAGAACCACGGACATGCCGTCCTATCCAGTTATCCACCGACGAGGGGACTCAGGAACCTGTATGACGAGACGAAGATATGGGAGGCTTGCCGCGCTACATCAGCAGCTTCAACTTTCTTCGAACCAGTCACCATCGGTCGCTTCAAGGAGAGGTTTGTCGACGGTGGCTTGGGTGCGAACAACCCAGTCCAGGAGGTCTGGCTCGAGGCCATGGAGCTCTTTAGCCAAGGAGTCGAAAGATTTGAGGATAGAATTGGATGCTTCGTGTCTATTGGCACAGGCGTCCCTTACAACCGTCAGATCAGTGCGAACGCCGTAAGCCTTTTCAAGGCTCTCGCATACATTTCAACGGATACGGAGCAAACGGCGGCGAGGTTCGAGAGGGAGAGGCGGCGCCTCCAGCGAGATCATCGCTACTTTCGGTGGAACGTTAATTTACCGGCAATGAGTGAGATCGGGCTGGAGGAAGAGGATCGTTTGCATGAGATAGCCGCGGCGACGGGTGAGTACTTTGGGCGCACAGCGCTCAATGATGAGGTCTCCAGGTGCGTAGACCAGCTTTGGAATGAGAGACGTAAGCCGAATCCCCACCCCTCCGATAGAATTGTAATAACTAATCATGCCCACCTCGCTAAGTGGTGGGAGATTCTCCGTCCCGCCGTGTGCGACAACTATGCGGCGAATTCGCCCAGGCGAAAACCAAGTTTACGCTCGCAAAGAAAACAATCGAGCGATTCTTTCGGCAACATGTCACACCCCAAGGCGCATCTTCTCAAGATCGAGGTGACATAGAGAAGGCGATGAAAGAGGTTGACGCTGGAATCGAGAGCTTTGAAGAGTTGATACAGCGCCTCTACCAAATGCAAAAGGACATCCAGGGCAGTATTGAGCACGTCGAATCCCAGGTCGCAAGCTTCCGAGGAATCGCCAATGAGATCGAGAGCAAGAAGGCCGAGCTGACCAAGCTGTTGCATGAGATCGAAGAGAGAACAGTGGAATTGGAGAACATGAGAGATCAACTTCGGGAAGGAAAAGAGCGAATGGCGGAGAGATCGAAGGAGCAAAAAGATAATCCCCGGGGCGTGGAGACTACGCCACCACGTCAACAAGGAACCGCCGAAACGGTGGTAGGTTTGGCTGTCCTTTATGTAGGATGGACGGTCCTGAAGTGGGGAGCTGAAAAGGCATTCGGGCTCTAATGGTGTCATCGTGCTCGCCCTATATTCTCACGTGTTCTTGTGTCGGGTAGAGCGTATCCCTAAGTAGATCAGAACGTAATCACCACTTTACCCACATGCTTCCCAGACTCCAGGTACTCAAATGCCGCCTTTGCGTCGTCAAACGCAAAGGAGCGATCGATGATCGGATCGAGTCTCACCCTCTTCTCCTCCAAGAACCTATTCACATCCTGGAAGTCTTGCTTCGAGCCCACCCGTATACCTCTGCAGCCATCGTCAATGTCTATTTCCCCTTTCATGGTCAACCACTTACTGAATTGTAGCGCACTTGACCATCAAACCCAGCAACGCATTCGGATCCCACTCCGCCTTCTTCTCTTCCAAGAAGCCTACTAGGGAAATCGTCCCATGCCGCTGCCTTAACGACTCCAGATCGGCAGGAAAAGATGCGGCGCCTGTATTGTTGACCACGATGTCGACGCCCTTGCTGTCAGTGAGCTGCTTGACTTGCTCTGCCTGGCCCGGATCCGTCTTATAGTTGAAGCCTTTGACGAGCAGGCTGATTTTTCGAATGAACGCGAGTTTGGCGTCAGAAGAAGATGTTATGATGGGTGTTATGTTGGCGGCCAGACAGAGGAGGAGGGCGAACATGCTTACACCGCCGGTGCCTGCGCTGTCCCTCAGTGTACACTCTATGAGCTGGGAGAGAGGGGCTAGATTACCCTGAAGAAGCACGCTTGTGTCTGGGTCGATGTTCCTCGGACGATTTAAGGCAACCCATGCTGTGACTCCAGCGCACGGGATAGTCGATGCCTGATGCTATTAGGTTGTTCTAGTTCCGAAAAGCTCCGAGCAGTCAAAGAATACCTCTTCCCACGACAAATGCTTCGGCAAATGCACCAGCACGTCCTCTTCAAAAACAGTATACTCAGCCAAAACGCCCGCATCCGCCCCTAGCGTCTTGGAACCAGCATCCCTCTCTTTCCCGCTCAAGTCACCTACATTGAAGCACGGTGAGACTGCATCCCCTTCCTTGAACTGCGTGACGTTGGAGCCGATTGCTGCGACCTCGGCAGCGCAGTCGGAAGCTGGGATGCCGCGTTCTGGAACGGCGATCGGGTAGCGTCCGTTCAGCATGCCGATGTCGCGGTAATTGAGCGATACGGCATGGATCTTGAGGAGGACTTCGTTGGGGGCGAGCTTAGTGGGGAGGTGCTCGGTGGTGGGTTCGATGGTGCGTGGGACCGGCCCTGTGGTGCGGCGATAGGCTCTGTACATCGTCGGTAGAGACATTATGGAGCAAGCTTCGCGGTTGAATGGCTTTTGCTGCGCAGTTTCTAGCCTCTCTTCTGGGCTCATGGTTCTTTTGCTGGAATGTTATTGGGCGGTGATTTGTCAGCAAGCTAGCACTTCCCCGACGACCCCACATGGGGTTCTCCAGCAGCTTGTCCGTGGAATTAATCTCATCCTGCACTCTAATTGAGTGAAGCATTCGAAAAGTACATATCAGTCGCTCGATTCTGCACCCTCTACGCGCCTGCAAGCAACAGCGCCTCGAGATCTTCCTTAGTCCCGAAAGTTGAAGTCTCTCTCGATAACTCAAATAATTGCGAAACGGACTGGCATTGCATGTCCTGGAAGGTGAAGGCTTGGAAATGCTTTCGGAAACACGATGATAGAGTAGGAGAGGACGAAGTCGAGGCCTGCCAGCAGCGGGGGCCGATGTGATCCCGTATCGCGGGAGCTGCGTGCCGTTCGCCTGGCATGCGGCGCTGCGAGGAACATTCTGTGCAAGCACCTTCCAACAAGAAGTGGACAAGACCCCAAGACGAAGCTTGAGCCGCTGCGGGCGTCTTCGCGATGCTTGTCGTTATCGTCGCCGTCCGTGGTTCGCCGTCGCACCTTCCTAAAGGGGGACTAGCGCCGAAGCCGTATATGGCCTCTTCGCGCATTGTGCATCCGCCCCTCTCCAACAACGCGCTCACCAGCATGACCTGCCTCATCTCCGGTAGCCGGGCTCCCTGTCCCACCAAGCCGTACCAGCACCCCAAGCAAGCTTCCTAAAAGGCTTGATCTGCAAGGTACCTGTCAGCCATGGCGGGATCAGCGCTGTTTATCCTCCCCGCTTTCATCTGCAGACCTTCCCTTCACGGCGTCGCGAACGTCTATTCACCCTGCGACCCCGCGTCAGAGGCGAAGGCTGAGATTAGGCGCGATTAAGCTGCCCAATTTCATCATTCGTGTGCCCAGAGATAAAATGGAAGGAGCGACCCGGTGAGCGACGCGCGTGAAGCTTTCCCTCCGCTTCCCTTGCTTCTAGACGCTCCGTCTCCAGTCGCCGCGACAGGCTCCATCCACGATGCGCTTTCTCGCCTCTGCACTGCTGGGCGCAGCAATTGCTGCGCAGGCAGCCGTCGCGTCCCCAATTCGCGCTCGCTCGCCATACGTCATGAAGGAGGAGCACTATGCGCCCCGCGAGTACACCAAGCTGGACCGCGCGAACGGCGAGAGCGCTGTGCACCTGCAGATTGGCTTGAAGCAGGGGAATATGAAGGAGCTCATCCGGCATCTGCACGAAGGTAAGGTCCCCAGTTGCGTAAACGAGCAATTGATTAGCATCCGGAATGAGATTCCGCGCTACGAGGACCGCCGCTAACCTCTGCAGTGTCGGACCCCGACCACGAGCGTTACGGCCAGCACCTGAGCGGCGACGAGGTCGATGACCTTGTCCGCCCCAAGAAGGAAACCAGTGAGCTTGTAGAGGAGTGGCTGCGCGAGAACGGTGTTGAGGATATTGGCTACAACTCCGCCAAGGACTGGATCACTATCCATCTGCCAATTGAGTTCGCAGAGCGCCTGCTGGACACCGAGTACCACAACTACAAGCATGAAGATGGTCATATCATTGCTCGCACGACTCACTGGTCGCTCCCGCGCCATCTTCACGCCCACATCGACACCATTCAGCCCACAACTTCCTTCTTCCGCGGCGCTGCTAATGCTGCTACTTGGGTCGAGATGGCGCCGGAGGTACCGGCAAGCTACAAGAAACCTAGCAATGGTTCCATCGCCGCAGTGTGCAACGTCACTTCCGTCACACCGGAATGCTTTGCTACGCTGTATCAGACCAAGGGCTACCACACCAAGGCTTCGAACAAGAACAGCATCGGCTTCACCAACTATCTTGGCGAGATTCCAATCCGCCCAGACACCGAGCTCTTCCTCAAGAAGTACCGCCCCGAAGCTGTTTCCTCGGCCAAGACCTTCAAGCAGTACTCCATCGACGGCGGGCCAGAGCAAGACGGTCCTCTCACTTTGAACCAGTCTCTCGAGGATATCAGCCACGAGGCCAATCTGGATGTGCAAGCTATCTCAGGCATCAGCTGGAAGACGCCCATCTTCAGCTACTCGACCGGCGGTCAGCCTCCCTTCATCCCAGATCCGGCGACACCTACCAACACCAACGAGCCGTACCTGACCTGGGTGAACTGGCTCCTGCAGCAAAGGAACATCCCGCCAATCATCAGCACCTCATACGGCGAGCCAGAGCAATCCATCCCCCCAAGCTACATGGAGCGAGTATGCAACCAGTTTGCCATGGTCGGCGCGCGCGGAACCACGCTGTTCTTCTCCTCTGGGGATAGGGGTCTGGGCGGAACTAACACGTGCTACACTAACGACGGAACCAACACGTATAAATTCATCCCAGACTTCCCTGCCTCTTGCCCGTACGTCACGACTGTCGGCGCCACCATGAACTTCCAGCCCGAGGAGTCCGCGTACAGGCCGTCTCGCAATGTCTCGGGCGTATTCCGCGACTTGTACGCTAGCGGTAGCGGCTTCAGTGACTACTTTGACCGCCCGGCGTGGCAGGACAATGTCGTCTCTGAGTACGTTGACAACCTTGGTGATCTGTACGATGGGCTGTACAACAAGGATGGCCGCGCGTACCCCGATCTCGCTGCCCAAGGTCTCTACTTTGCCTACTTCTGGAACGGAACAGAGGGTACTATCAGTGGTACTTCAGCGTCAACCCCGCTGACTGCTGGTATTTTCGCGCTTGTCAACGATGCGCTGCTGGCCTCGGGCAAGAAACAGCTCGGCTTCTTGAACCCGTGGCTGTACAAGAAGGGGTACAAGGGGCTTACGGATATCACCAAGGGATACAGCCATGGTTGCAATGTGGAAGGCTTCCCGGTCACGGAGGGCTGGGACCCGATCACGGGCTTTGGTACGCCTGACTTCCCGAAGCTTGTCAAGCTGGCCGGCGCGCATGGGTACTGAGTGGTTGCTGCGAGCTTTCAATAGAAGCATCTTGCAGCGAGGGGAAGTTTAATACCTAATGGTATTTAGCATTTATAAAGGTTCAATGCTAAGCTATCTTCTTCGTTTCGAGTGTATGCATATGTGATCATAAGTCATCGGTCCCACATGGGAATTGGGCTCCATTTCCTCCAATCAAAGGTGGCTGGAATGCTTCCTCCGTGAAAGTTCAGTCCTCATAGTCTCGTCCTCAGAAGACACCGTCGGCGACCTCAATACCCCTTGAATCCTCCGCTCTCAACGCCATTCGAAGTAGCAATATCCGGGTTCGGATAGTACCACGAAGCCACGGCAATGATGACGTAGATAATCTAGCATCCTATTAGCTCCACATTCCCCATCCACATCCTGTACGAGTTTCTCCTACTTACCAGCAGCAAAGCACCCTCGAGATAATTAGACTCGCCATCCCGGAGGAAGTTGCCCACCACCACGATGGACAGCACGAGCAGCACGATCATGAAGATTTCGAAATTCAGATCCATGTTCTTGCCCAGGATCCAGCCGACGATGACGACGAGCGGCGCGTTGAAGAGCGCCGTTTGGATCGACGGCCCGATGCAGTGGAAGAGCGCGAAGTTCTGAGAAGGGAAATTGTGTTAGCCAATCCAACGTAATGCAAGGGGAAAGGAAATATCACGGGTTTAGGAATGAATGAATGAATGAATGAATGAATAAGAGCTTACAATCTGCCCATCCCACGCCTCATCGACGGCAGTCATATGCTCGGCTGCCTTCTCTACGAGCGGCAGAAGAATCAAGCCCAGGAACTGATCGGGCACGCCCGACTCCACGACGTCTTCGATGCGCTCGACGAGGAACACGGCGAGCAGCGTTACGAGCACCAGGGAAAGCACGAGTGCCACGATGCACTCGGTGAGGGTGAACTTGGGCTTGGAGAGGTCCTCGCGGCGGTCTAGATCGCGGTGCTCATCCATTTCGAGGACCTCGTCGAAGATGGAGTGCTGCGAGCGGGCGTTGTACCATATAAAGCTGTGAATGTTAGCACGATCCTATTTTGATTTGTCGACAGGGCCTACATGATAAACGCGACGATTAGTAGAATCGACGTAACCTGGCTAATCCTCAGCACGTTATGCTGCAGCACCTTCTCCGTAAACGCATGGTGCCCGGTTGCTTTAGGCACGACCGAGCTCTTCAGCGCCGAGTAATACGCGCTCGGGATCAGCAGGCCAAAGCCCGCAACGCACAGCAGCCCGGTGCCCACTTCGCTGATACTTGCGTGGAACTTCTGGCTCGCCTGCCGCAGCCCGCCGACGTAGAAGCACGCCCCCAGACAAAGCAGCAGGTTCGTCAGAATAGAGCCCAGGATGGCGGCCTGGATGACGGGGATCAGGTTCCCGTGCTCCGAGGAGCCCGTGGCGCTCCGGTGCTTGGCGATCAGGATGAGGAACAGGATGATTTCTACGATGGAGCCGAATGCCGTCTCGATCAGGATCCCGCTGACTTTGGGCATCTTCCGCGCAAACTCCTGCCCCGCGAAGCCTAGCAGATTGGCCACGGGCACCATGGCGATGTAGCTCATGGCGAAGACGAGCAGCGGGAGGCCCGGCGTGGCATAGCGCAGGACGATGGCGACGACGACAAAGGGCCAGAGCAGGTTCACGTATTTGGCGACAGCGGAGCCGCTGCGCCAGGAGACATTGAGGAAGTGGGAGGGCGAGAAGCCGCTGCGGCCGGATTCGCCGTCCTGGTGGATGTGCAGGTTCTGCGGGAGGATGGCGTGCACGTGGGAGAGGAGCGGGGTGGATTCGGAGCTGTTGTGGTTGTGGTTGTGGGAGGCCATGGTGCGGCGGTGCCTAGGAAGGGCGGATTGGGAGATTTAGAGAGGTCAATGGCTGAGGCCCAGCTGGTGGTGCTGAGAGAGTGGGAGCTGCGAGTGCGAGGTCGTGGTACTGCAAATGCGGGGGCTGGGGCTGGGCATCGCCATCGGGCCTTCTCCCAAGAGAAAAAGGAAAGCGCGATGCTTTCTGACGACAGTGATCACTCCACCATGAGAAATCCGTCGATCTTCCATCTCGACGCAAGCTCAAATGACATGCTTTTCAACGCGAAACGTGCGCGCAGTCACGATTCTGGCATCAATTCCAGGCTCGGCATTTCGGATCGATGATGCCCCTGCCCTTGGCTGATCCCCCGCGACACCAGGGGCCCCGTTCCTGGCGCTTGTGCCCCCGTCGCATTTTCCCGGCCGCTTTACCGCCGGCAAAAAGAAACACCATCAATTATATCTCCAGGACGTCTGCGCTAGAGCTTCCGTGGATTTTATGGTCACGATGATCTGGAGAAACCGGGACGACGAGGCAGTTTTGCCCTTCGGACGAAGAAACGGTTTAAAGAGACGCAGTATGGCGCCCTCTTGGGGGGCTGTGCCTTTGGCTGGAGTCGCGATACTTGCGAATAATGGTGCGACTTTTTGGCATTCTTGTGAGCGTGGTCGTTTTCCTGGCTGGGGCGTGGGCGGCGGACGATGGGCTGCAGACGGTGGTTACGTGGGATAACGGCAGCCTCCTTATCAATGGTGAACGCATCATCATCATGAGCGGCGAATTCCACTACCAGCGCCTACCGGTTCCCGAACTCTGGCTCGATGTCTTCCAGAAGTTCAAAGCGAATGGCATGAATGCCGTCAGCATCTACTTCTTCTGGTCCTACCACTCGGCCTCGAAAGGGAAGTACGACTTCACGACTCCCGGTAAGGATATCCAGCGCATGTTCGATATGGCGAAAGAGGCGGGGCTGTATGTGGTTGCGCGGCCGGGACCGTACTGTAATGCTGAGACGAATGGTGGCGGTCTTGCGCTGTGGACGAGCGACGGGAGTGGCGGGAAGCTGAGGACTTCGGATGAGACGTATCACCAAGCTTGGTCTGAGTGGATCGAAGAGGTGGGCGCTATTATTGCGAAGAATCAGATTACCAATGGCGGCCCTGTCGTCCTGGCGCAAGTCGAGAACGAGCTACAAGAGACGACGTATGATGCCAATAACACCTTAGTGCTGTATATGGAACAGCTGAAGGCTGCGTTCCGCAGCGCTGGAATAGTCGTACCTCTGACCCACAACGAGAAGGGCATGCGGTCGAAGAGCTGGTCGACGGATTATAATAACGTTGGCGGAGCAGTCGATGTTTACGGCTTGGACAGCTATCCAGGTGGACTGAGCTGCACGAACCCTGATTCTGGATTCAACCTCCCAAGAACATACTATCAATGGTTCCAAGAGGTCTCTTACACTCAGCCTGAGTATATACCAGAGTTCGAAGGAGGTTGGTTCCAGCCCTGGGGCGGGTACTTCTATGATCAGTGCCTAGCCGAGCAAAGCCCGGAGTTCGCCGACGTCTTCTACAAGGGTGTCGTCGCACAGAGGGTGACGTTGCTCAATCTGTACATGGCGTTTGGGGGAACGAATTGGGGCCATAGCGCTGCGCCAGTGGTGAGTATTCGGTGTCGCACTGTCCACAAAAGTGTTTTGACTGATCGGCCTGATAGGTCTACACCTCGTACGACTACGCCTCTCCACTGAGGGAAACGCGCGAAGTCCGGGACAAACTCAAGCAATATAAGCTTCTAGCACTGTTTACGCGTGTAAGCACAGGCCTCCAGAACACCTTCATGGAAAGCAATGGTTCCGGGAACGCTGTAGACAATCCCGCTATCTGGACGTGGGTATTGAAGAATCGCGATTCAGATGCGAGATTCTACCTCGCCGAGAACAACAAGACTAGCACGAGGGTTGTAACTGATTTCGCAATGACGGTCGAGACGTCCGCGGGAAGCATCATGATTCCGAACCTCCAGCTGAGCGGCAGACAAAGCAGATGGGTTGCCACTGACTACGCCATCGGAAACGAGACCTTGCTGTATTCTTCGGCTGAGATCCTCACTTATGGAGTGTTTGATCGTCCAGTGGTAGTTTTATATCTCAAGGAAGGTCAGAACGGAGAGTTCGCATTCAAGAGCTCACAGCAAAATATCACCTACGAGACTTATGGCGCAGACGCAGGCATCAAAGACAGCGCGGTTGGAAATTCAACCAAGTATACCAAGTTCATGTATACCCAGAGCCAAGGAGCCACGACTGTACTTTTCTCCAATGAAGTCCTAGCATACCTTCTCGACGTCCCTTCCGCCTGGACATTCTTCGCTCCTCCGACTACGTCGAATCCTTCCGTTGCGGCAGACCAGCAGGTATTCGTGCTCGGGCCGTACCTAGTCCGCTCGGTCAATGTCGCGGGTGATGTAGTATCCGTCGTCGGTGACAATGCGAACTCGACAGCGATCGAAGTCTACGCTAGGCAGTCGGTGCGAACAATCTCATGGAACGGGGTGAAACTCCCCACACAAGCTTCCCCCTACGGGTCCCTCACGGCAAAGATTCCTGGAGCCGAACGCCGCCTAATTACCCTCCCCGGTCTTGCCGGCTTCAGAGCCGCGGACTCTCTTCCGGAACTGTCGCCTTCGTACGATGATACTAAGTGGAGCATCGCGAACAAGACCACCACCATCAGCCCGGTGAAACCACTCACCCCCCCTGTTCTCTTCAGCAGTGACTACGGGTACTACGTTGGGGCCAAGATCTATCGCGGGTACTTCTCTGGACGGAGTGCTACTGGGCTAAACATAACTGTGCAGGGAGGGCTGGCGGCAGGATGGAACGCATGGCTAAACGGAAAGCCAATTGGATACAGCCCTGGAAATGCCTCGCTCACATCTACCACCGCCTTGCTTTCTTTCGAGAATGTCACATTGAAAGACGAGGGCAATGTGCTCACAGTAGTGACGGACTACAATGGACACGACGAGACTTCCACGGGACCAGCTGGCGTAGAGAATCCTCGCGGCATTCTTGGGGTCCAGCTACTCAGTGCGAGCAACAGCTCAATAAAGTTCGATACGTGGAGAATCCAAGGCAATGCGGGAGGCGAGAGTAACATCGACCCGGTACGCGGACCTATGAACGAAGGCGGTCTGTACGGGGAAAGACTGGGATGGCACTTACCCGGCTTTGGCACCACAAACTGGGAGAAGGCGAGCCCCGTTGATAAGGGTGTGCAGGGCCCAGGCATCAGATGGTTCAGCACTACGTTTGACCTGGACATCGATGAAGACCTCGATGTCCCGCTTGGTGTCGAGCTGGGCGCATCGGAGGGCACCATCGCCAGAGTGTTGCTCTACGTTAACGGGTATGCTCCTTCAGATCGCCGCTCTTCTCCCTTCAATTACTGACGTGTGTCGAAGATATCAATATGGCAAATTTCTCCCTCACATCGGCCCGCAGACGCGCTTCCCTATCCCGCCCGGTATCATTAACATGCGCGGCTCAAACGCGCTCAGCATCGCGATCTGGGCACAAACCGACGCGGGCGCGAAGCTGAATACCCTAAGGCTGGTCGAGTATGCGCAGTATCAGAGCGGATTCGGGTTTGGGAAGATTGATGGGAAAGCCCTGCAACCTAGGTGGAAGGATAGGGGCGAGTACGCATGAAGGACGACGTAAGAAGAGGGTGCATCGCGCGTGCGCTTTTCTCCGTTGTACGTCAGCCAAACGAATCGAACAGTGCGACAGACACATCGTTTGCTTCGATCAGACCTCTCGGCGGCCTGCCATTCACAATGCGACTTCCTTGCTCTTCGAATGTCGGGGCATTGGTCGTGTCAGCACGTCATCCACAAGCTACACTTTGCCGTTCGCGTGCAGCATAAAAGGATCAGATATACCTCGCCCGGGCAAGACCGTTCCGCCCTCTATGCTGACATGCTTCTACAGGAATGTGCACGAGCTGCTTTTCCTCGAATAGAACGAGAGACAAAGGACTCTACATCGCAAGCGGAAGGCTTGGCGTGATCTGGTGTCGCATCGTGAAGGCGTAATGCTGCATCCACAAATGCACAATGGAAACGGTGCGACCACAGGTGTGATTGGGCGATGTTACACCAATAGTCGAGTGCAAGATGCAGGCTAGCCAACGGAAAAATGGAACTCGAACGTCAGCGAAGCAGGAACAAGAGAGTTTCGCGCCCCTGTGGGATGCTGCAGCATCGGGAAAGAGGTCATCGGCGCTGGAGGTCGTCCAGACATGAGATGCCGCCGCGGTCTTTCGGGGAGTCGGCCATACTTGCGCGAAATCACTTCGCAAAACTGCAGTCTATTACGCCCTTCAACATCGAGCACACTTCAGCCATTCTGCGTTTTCTTGGGGTGGCAACGCCGGCCTAGAGAACGCTCTCGATGTCGTGTCGATGGGCTTGCGATCCTGTCAGCACTGCAGCAAAGCGGCGTCACGAAAAAGCAAGCTTCCCGAGCGTGCCGGCCCGAACAGCAGCCACGCCGGCGAACGGTGAGAACGTGCTTCGAAAATCTCAAGCAGCGGCCCTATGCATGATCGACTCTCTTTACCCCACGCAGGGACCTTCACTGATTCGCCACGCTTCTCAGTAGTATTACACCTGCTTCTGTGCTCAACGACTTTTCTTGCTTGGCTCTTCTCATGCGACTTTCGCTCACATCCCAGGGCAACATCACATCGCGTAGGTCCTCTTGATGGCTACGATTACGAACCGGGCGGGCGCAAGCGAGATGCGGGGCAAACCTGGAAAAGCTCGTTGGAACGTTTCGTGAACTCGCCCGGATGCCTATCCCAGGGAAGAGACCGTCGATCCTCTAACGACGCATGCATTGTGCATGCGGCGCTGTGACAGCCACGTTGCCGTGTCACATGGAACTTTCGTGGCTGGCTCGAATCTTATGCATACCTGGCTTTCGTTCCCGTCTCGGACGACAACAAAAGAGCATCCCCGAGGAGACAACCAATCAGCGAACCCGGCGTAGACTTTTGTGAACAAGTGCTCCGGCGATAGCGAGGACTGATGCAAAATTGCGCAAGTCCTACCCTATGGCAGCGTGTTGAGCGAGTCATTGCGAAGGCCTGACGCGCAGCCATGAGGCCATGGAAAGTCAGCACGACATACTGCCTACGGACGTTTCCTTAGCGGACGACATTCAACAGTGGAAGGATAGCAAGGCATGGCGTGCAGAATCAACCTGCACCTCTACTAAACAAACTGCAGTTCGTGAAGCATCTCATCCAACGTCATCTTTGGGGCGGTAGCACAAGCCTTAGCGGACGCGATTATCGACGCGGGGCATGACCCTAATGGCGTAAGACGGGACGGCCCAGTGGTGCCCTTTACGCGGTCTTGCCAATTACGTTACACGCTGGTGAACTCCTGACATGTTGACTGAGTTCAGAAATTGCTTCGACCCAACGACATTCGCCCGACTTCCCGACACTTCGGTTCACCATTCTCACCATCACTCTTCTGACCTTACGGCCAGTTTCGCATGCCATCACACCCTTCGGTCTCAACCCAAGCCATAGAACTCTACCGTCCCGCGTCGCGTCCTCAGCATTACTCGAAGCCAGATGTCCCTCGAATAGCAGATCGTACCGCATCAACGATGGACCACTAGTCACCTTCTGAATCACTGGGGCTTGCACGCTTGGGAGCTACCCGTAGCTATCGGAGGATTAGGGCGTAGCACATCCCCCGCAGACCCGACGCCTGGCGCGATAAGCACCTTCCGCGAAATGATTCGCACACCTCCTTTTCGGCTTGCAGGTGCGCTGCTGTAGGTGCTTTGCATGAAGCCCCACGCGTCCTGCGATGATTCTCGAAACTAACTCATTCTCCTTTTTCAATGATGCTTATAGATGCGATTGCTTCGCAGCTCGTGGCGCGCGCACCGGACCCACCTCATGCTAGTCACCTTCCGGCCTTGAAGTCGACCATATTTTCAGTGCACGCCTACAATGGCTCTCGATCCTCGCGCGGTGCAAACCGCTGTCATTATCAGCATCTTCGCCGGCCTCGGGTCTCTTTTCGTGGCGCTCCGTCTGTGGACGCGCTTCGTGATCATCCGCGCTCCGGGCTACGAAGACTACGTTCTCATTTCTTCTTGGGTAAGACTTTGGTCTCCCCGAGTGGATAAGCAACGCTAACCCGCCCGTATAGCTCTGCGCTTTTATGACCGTCGTCACGATAGGCTTGGAAGTTCATTATGGACTGGGAAATCACGCCGCGGATCTGTCAACATACCAAAACGAAATGCTATCACTCGTACGTCAGGAAGGCACGCTCAGACAGTGTCATCCGCTGATTTCTACCTGTCTCTCAGAATATCTACATTAGCATAAGCACGTACTGTGCTTCCATCGGCCTCACCAAGCTTGCCATCCTCATGCAGTACCAGCGCGTCTTTCCAACACGCACCTTTCAAATTTGGAACTTTGCCTTCATTGCCATCATCGTCGGTTATACAATCGCTACGGTCGTTGCGTGCGTCTTCGTCTGCTGGCCGGTGCAGAAGTTTTGGAAACCGCAGCTGGAGGGGCATTGCATCAACACCTTCGCATCGTGGTTTTCTAACGCGGTGCTCAATATTGTCACCGATCTGGTGATTATCGCCTTGCCTATGCCGGTCATCCGGAGCTTAAAGTTGGCGAAAAAGCAGAAGTGGTTGCTGATGGGCGTTTTTGCTTTTGGCGCCGTGTAAGTACTCTCGCTCTATTTGATCATTCCTGAGACACGGATGAGCGCAGCCTATCCAAACCTCCGGCTCATGGCAAGAACATACTGACCAGCTGGTATAGCGTCTGCATCATCTCCATCGTCCGCCTTCACTCCCTCATCACCGTCACACACTCTAGCGACCCCTCCTTCGACAACGCCCCCGTAGCAACATTCTCCATCGTCGAAATCAACGTCGCGCTAATCTGCGCGAGCCTGCCTACACTTCGCCCGTTGCTCGCGCAATGGATCCCCTCGCTTAACTCCAGCTCCCTTCGCGACACGCATCCTAGCAGCAGTGGCCTCAACAACTCCTCCCATCGTAAACGGAGCTCCGTGATGCCATCAATCGTTGGCGGGTATGGCATGCCGTTGGGTTCGCTCTCGGCGAGGAATAGGGGCGTGGAGCGGTTAGATGGGGAGAGCTTTGTGGGTGACGATGATAAGATTAGGGTGGTTACGAGGGTTGATGTTAGCATAAGTGCGCAGCGGCAGGATAGCTGTGCGAAGGATGGACGGGAGAGCAGTACGGAGAGCCTGTTTAGGAATTCGAAGCTCGTCGTTTGAAAAGGATATCGCATTAAATCACCAACGTACGACGTATTTCAGCACAAATGTTCCGTTTTATTTCGGATTTCTATCCTTTCAGTCTTCCTGCAAGATCATCGTCTTGCGATTACTAAATCTCGCTACTGACCTTGTCATCGCCGACCATTCAAGCCTGCACGCGCACTAGGCCCGCGCCCACATCGCCCCAGCCCTGTCCCAGATCTCATCCAACCCCCTTGGATCCGGTGAAACAACTCCAGACTCCTCTCAACGTCAGAGAAGGGGTGGAATAGCGGGGCGCGGCACATTGGGCAGGGGGATTTGGAGGAGAGCCAGGAACGCAGGCTGGCGGAGTGGATGGCTGTTTGCTCGTTGCCTGTCTTGGAGGTGCTGCTGCTGTTGCTTGTTGACGCGAATGGTTCGAGGTAGTTGGGGCAGTTAGGCTCGGATGTTTGGTGCGAGGGGAGGGGTCTGCGATGGTTTCGAGACCGTGGGCGAGAATGCGGCCGGTTGAGATTGGGGGCCGGATGTTTTGGTGCTGCAGGAAGTTGTGCAGGTGAAGTGTAGAGAGAGTTTGAGGGCTTGATGTGAGAAAGGAGATGGCGAATGCTGCTGGAGTGAGGCGTACGTGAGTGGGAGATGCGGGTGATAAATACCTGGTAGGGTAAGGTTAATTTATCATAAGGTACGTTCTCTAGGTGGAAGCGCTTTTCCAAGGCGTCCATCTATGCCAAATTCTCAAACGCGTTTTCTCCAGTCCTTATGCGTAGATTTCAACAGCGGCCCCAAAGTCACGTGGCAAAACTTTTTTTTCTCGATATCTCTTGTCAAATATTTCCATTATTTTCAATGTGTATTCGTGGCAGCTATATCACCTCACAGGCGTAATTGCCACTCCTCATCCCAGGATATTGTCCTGCGCATTAACATCAACCGCAGCGGGGATATTGGCGCATCATCTCTCTCCCCATCCACCGTTTACACCACCAGTCAATCTACTCGGTAAAGCTCCAGCAAGCGTCGCTGCCGTTCCTCAAGCTCTTGCAGATCCTCCAAAATGCGCGCCAGCTGCTGCTCTGCATCGCTGAAATCCTCGTTATTTTCGACTTGCGAAGCTTGGATACGCTCCCCCAATCGGAGGGCACGAGCCCTGACTGCATCAACTGCATTTATTGCATCAGCAACGGTCGCAAAGATCGAGTTCAGGGTGTTGCCGCTGTCTGTTTCGCGGGGAAAAAGGCTCGAGCGGCACACGAGACATGTGTTCTGGTCTTCCAGCCAGACGCGAAGGCAGGCATGGTGGAAAACGTGCTTACAGGATGCAATAAGGACGGTGGTAGCTTGGTCACCGGACTGAGTGTCTGTCACCGGAGGCTTCGCATACGGGTCTAGGCAAATCGGGCAGTTCGGTTCTGTGGTGTGCTGCGAGGCATCTGTGATCGACTCACAGCCGTTGGTAAGGAAAGTTTCGCGGGTGGGGAATTTAGGTTGCTGGGTCGCCATGTTGTTGGTTGGAGTGGTTGAAGTGTGAACTTCCAACGCAGTCCTCGGGTAGAAGAATGTTTTTGAAGCTAGAGAGCGTGTTGCACAATGGCGTGTGAAGGGATTCTATGGCTGAACTACGGGAATGTTCGCGCACAATGATGGCTGCATCAGTAGAAAAGTGCGTAAGCATGAAAAGGCATGCTTCTATTTCGTAGGGCGAGGTAGGTGATAAGCATACCAACTCTTAAGCTCGAGTTTGTGCGTCCACAGACTACTGTGAACACTAAGTAGACTCTACCTTCCTGCCTCACATCAATAGGTTCATTAAAGTATTCTTTCGGGAAAAAATACTATTTAATAGTGATAATTGAGCGTTGCAAAATATTTCCTTTTCACTTTTCACGTGCAGTATTTCTAACCAAATAATGCAATGTGTTCATATACTATTCATCTTTTGCGGCTGTATGTCTTGGAAGAGTTCCTTCTCAGATACAGGCCCGCTAAAGGCAAGTGCTATGCCGTGCCCCAAAACCACTAACTTGTCTATAAGGTCATGCAATTGTAACTAAGATGAGGAGTCCTTGTCTGTCTGCTTGTCTCCCTCTAGACAAGCTCCTGCCGTCTCTTTGAGGCTTGCAATGAGCGCCTCGTGATGCTCGCTCCTGCGGCGATGATCCTCAATCTCGGCATTCAGTCGGTTAATCATCATCTCTTGAGAGGTTACCAATTCGTCTGCTGCTTGCTGTGTGTTGGTAACAAGTTGCACCACCTCCTGGCCTAGCTGCAAGATAAAAGTGCTTGCATCATCGCCTGCGTACAGTTCATGCCGGCATGTAGGGCAATCCATTTTGGATTGTTCCGAGATCCAAGCACGAAGGCAAGCAGTGTGGAAGATATGCCGACAGCTGCGGATCCGGACGAACTTTTCTTCCCGGCTCTCTGCCCATGTGCCCTTGCTGTAGCGTTCATGGCAAATGGGACAGTTTGGATCGGCGTCCTCGGGTAGACGTGAGAGTTGCTCGAGGCCGTTCCAGAGGAACTCTTCGCGGGAGTTGTAGTCAGGCATGGTCGGACCGTGTGAGATAGTCGCGACGAGTATGACGAGAGGCAGAAACGGAGTGAGCGAGCGGCTGTCTCGAGATATATACAGTTGGCTGCAACATTGTGTTCTCATAATTCCGAGGGTTATTATGGAATGTACATATATAATGAGAGTCTAAGTCGTACGTAGCGGCGCGTCCAGTAAAGAATATATCTTGTATGAACTAATGGGTTTGGGTATCGAACAATGAGGCAGCAAACCACGTTCTGCATTCTGCGCGTAGTGGTACTGTTATTACGCATGCGTCGTATTCCACCACAGCTATTATATGCACATCCGGGCTTCCGTACGCTATGAAAAATACGAGATAATTGCCTCGTAGGGCCAATAAGAACCGGGAGCTTGAGATCTGTCTGGTCTGTATCTTCAATAAGAAGTATTCGTCCCAGCGGTTTAGTACCATAGATCTCACAGGAAGAGATTGTGATCCATCTTCTCACTGGGATCAATGCCAATTAAAGTCGTGTGATGTCGCTCTCTTTTAGAAGTGTATGTTTGCTTGCCCAAGTGATTACCTAACCACTTAACGTATAATTGGGTCTAAATCTCCTTACGCTACTTTTAGAGAGACCAACGATAACGGTGCTATTCACGGCTTCTTAGTCGGGTCTGCCACCGGAGCTCTCCACATTGCCTTTTACACTCTGACGCATCAGCAATGCACTAACCTCAACTAAGAAATTCTCAACGTCCGACGCAGGTACGCCATCTTCCAGTCGCATTGCCCCTGGCCCGAAAAGGCAGAGAAACTCTTGCATCTTCGTTCCCTCTAAAATCCAATTGACTCTCTCCTTCTCGGTAAATGTGGGATTAGCAAGGGTATGAGGGAGCTCTTTCAGCACCACTTCTATCGCTTCTTTGCCTGGGGCATCGAACGTGCACCTCATCAGTCGAGCAATATAGATCATGAAGTTACTAGGCTTGGAGCCCTCAGTGTTCTCGTAGAGCTTATGCCGACATAGCGGGCAACTCGCCGACTTATTGTGCGCTTGCGTCGACACGCACTAAAGTAACAAACATGACTTATGAAAATAGTAAAAGTAGTGACCACACCTAATCTAAACCAACAATTCGGTTCCGCTTGAGAACTCGAAGTAGTTCTCCAGGCATATAGAACATGTCTTTCCTACTACTTTTGGGATTTCTCCAGGACGACACTAAAACCTTTGCAGGCCGTGTTTGAGGAATGACTCTAGTGGCTCGGGAACGGCATTCCGGGCAATAGCAAGAGCTTCCGCTAGAGAACAGTAATGGCCCGGGAGAGCTACACATGCAATACGCAAGGCCATATGGGGTAATATACATTGCCAATCAACAATTCATCAAAGAGCTTAGAATGTAGCAACAAAGATTGAAAGATTTGGTGGACATCACCGTGAAAGGATGCACACCTCACAATGGTTACGCAACGCAGTCTCTATTAGAGCCAGTAAAGTTTCTCTTGATGGGCAACCTAATACATCTATACTCCCACAGCCGACAAAATGGCCATGAAAAAGACAGCCAAGCAACTACCAACCCAAAACGAGTTCCTTCAAACCGGGCTAGTGCCTTGCAGTCTAGGATCTCCATGCCTTCAAGACACTCTGTGCTCTATCTGCACTTGCGTTTGCAAGGCTGATGAAGAAGTCGTCAAGATCGTCCACGGCAGCATTTGTATTTTCCACAAAGAGTGCATTATGTCATGGTTTAGTTCTACTCATCGCATGCGAGGCACCTGCCCTAACGATAGGATGGAGCTTTTTGAGCCTGATCGCCTCACACCGCAACAAATTGCCGCGGAAGGTGCGCCGTTCATGGATCGAAACTCGCTGGCTCTGATCGGACGCTTCTATCTCCAGGATGCTAAACATCGGCTTCATGTATTTCTTCGTATCCACAACGATTTTCTCACCACGGATGAGATTGTTCACGACTGGAATACATCTGTTGCTCTGCGAGAAATGCTTGAAGAAGATGTGCGCTTTTTCCGTGGTGAGCTTGCTTCCGCTAATGGTGACCTTGAGGATATCCGCGTCGAGTTCCAGGAGATGGTCGAGGCCATCCAGACCGAACTAACTCGCGCACATGCGAAGTATGTTGCGGCTGCAAAGGAGGCTATTACATCGCTTCGGTTCCGTATGAATTGGATTCGCGAGAATAGCCCGAACCAGCCGACCAATACCCTTACTTACTACGAGGCAAAAGTGGAAGAATTAGGGTCACTGCTTTCCAGCGCCTATCTATCTGATCAGCGACATTTGGCTCGCTCATTAGGCAGCCTGTCACAGCAAATCAACGTACTAGGTAGGAAGCTGTGTAGCCAGGTGCAGCCAGACCGGAACCTGCGAAATGCAGAACATCCGGGACTGGATGAGGAAGATCTTCGTATGTTGGAGGTGGCTGAGCAGCTGCGTCAGCAGACGAATGGAGATGATGAGGAACAGGCTGAAGGAGGAGCCTCGCTGAATTAGGCGGACGCAGTTTCTGTAGAAAGTGTAGTCCGGGCGACAAGGTTGGGAGTCACAATAGTGAATAGAGTGTAATAAACTAACATTATTCAAGGAATAATTGGGCTTAAAGACTTGAAGTGAAGAACTGAGTTGGTTGACTAGAGTGCCTACTCGTATTACGGACTCGAGGCTTCGAGGCATTATGAGGGCCGGGGGATAACTGTAATTAGTGGTATGCCATGAAGAGTAGCGGGAATGGTTTCGAGACAACTCGTTTATTTGATTCGTAAAGCTCTCCATCAGTTCAGCTGTACTGTGCTGCTTGTCGTAAATGAACAATGCTATACTCCAAACCACTGTCTAGACTACCGTAAAGTCTCATTGCGTGAAAACAGCGCAAGTCCGGATCCTTACCTTCACAAGCATCAATAATCTATTTGATCTTCTTTCTTGGTGAGATTCTGCCTTAGCAGAGCTCACACACAACCCCTCCACGCAATGACTACTGCCGTGCGTTCGCAGGATCTCAATCTCGAGACGGCCGTTGAGGCATGCGGGACATGCCACGAGAACGTGACGTGCAGCATCTGCACGGAGCCTTGCAATGACCCCTCACCGAAATGTGTCTCTGCAGGGTCGAACAGGCCCACAGTGGGGGAAGAAGTGGTTAAGACTGCAGTCTGTAGTCACTACTTCCACCGCAAGTGTCTCATGGCCTGGTTGACTAGCGCATCGCCGACCCTGAATACATGTCCCAACTGCCGTGGCGTACTGTTCGGGTCAACTGCGGTGTCTCAGCGGGTGCACAATCTTCTCTCGGCAGATGGTGACATTGCTCAAACACGCGCAGAGGTTGAAGCGCAGTTCAGGTCGCGGTGGGATAGAAACCCCCCGGCCCCCCCGTTCGCTATGCTGACTGACTACGACGAGGATCCTGGGGTTATGCTTATCCAAGGCAGCAACGATGATATCTTGGTGTGGATTTCGCGGCGGTAAAGGGCCGGTGTTCGAACTGCGTTCCCAATTAGAATTTGGATGTCTACAATTCGACAGGTGTGCCTTAGGTCGAACTTTTATCTTATCCTCGATTCCGTGTAACAAGGCTTCCTGTACTCAAATACTTGTCGTTGTGCCTCTTCATCCTTGGAATGAAGACGATGAAGTTCATCCCGAACTTATTTATCTTCCATTCAGCGCATTGCCACGTGTCCCTCATATGTGCTCTTCAAGGTAATAGGGCAGCACAGTGTCTCCAGCCATATAGAACCACTCGGCACCCTTCACATGGATCTTTAATCCATGTTCTCAGACTATCTAGAATTAATCCGGTGCAGTATCTGTCCTTGCGTGCTGTGATCCTGAGAGATCTACCGTGGATTTCTCGGTTCCTTACCTATTTAAAGCCCGTTTTCGTAGAACCAGGGTCTCGCGTGTGATTTCTATCTCGGTCCGCGATGAAATGGAGTCTATCTGCCGACCAGATCGGTGCGTTGAGATGCATGACGGTTGAACTTGGAGGCTGTAGCCTCCTTTACATTATTGAAGCGCAGTATCGAGATGGAAGCGCTGCTCTTCCTCATTCCGAAAGCCAAAGTCAAGAAATTAAGGTGTACGGTGCCGATATCAATATCAAACTTTTTATGATCAAGCTCAAAGGACACACTAGCCGATTATTGAACATTGTGATGCACCGCCAGATGTTAGTGCACAATGCGACCAAAACCTCCCGCACACTTCCCTACATAAGCAACATCGTGAACCTATCACGCGCATCCCCGGATAAAAGCACCTGAAACATCTTTTCAAATCGCACCATCTCTTACCAACTGTTTACACGTCAAAATGCCCCAATTAGGAAAAGCACATCACATCTTCCCAATGATCGCCGATGCCCCGCTTGTCGAACAGCCATACCTACACTTCACTACACCCGCGAAAGACATCGTGTGCCGCTGTAATCGTCCGCGGCGTCATGAGCGCTGGTATCCAGTGACCGAGTACGAACCCGTTGTTGAGGCGCTGGCGCTACAGCATATGGAAGATGCCGGAAGCGAGACGTGTACCAAAGCAGAATGGCGAGCCGTATTGAAGCGCAACGAGCCGCGCCCTACGAAGAAGCAGCTTTTCGGACCCGAGCTGCATTACACGAACGAAGCCAAGGATATGGTGTGTCGCTGCGCTGACCCGACGCGCCATCTTGGACGGACCGCACGGGTCAGGAACGACGAGATTCGCATTCTTGCAACACAGTTCTTCGCTCGAAATCCGACCAAGCCAAGGTGCGCAAAGGAGGAATGGAGAACTCTTCGAGATCACATCGGCCGAAAAGAAGCAATGAAGGCCGCATCCGCGCCGGTTCAACACCCAGCCTCGCATAATGTCACATCCTCGCTGGAAAGAGGATGGTCGACTTTGGACACGCGACGCTGGGGAAGCATGCAACCCACGAACGTATTGGCTAGTGGCAAGGAGTGGTCGAAAGTATTGTCTGAGCTGGCAGATGACCAGCCTCAAGTGCCGGACTGGATGATGGAAGCACGCCATTTGTCGAGTCTGGATCCAAATAAGATTATTACGGACCAGCCGCCTCCCTCAGGCCCAGTATATTCTACAAGCCTGACCGAGCTGCAGCAGAAATATGGCCGTCACAGCATAATCCTCGGCAATGCCAGGGCGGACACAGATGACGAAGACGACGTCGAAAATGCCGACCACTGTGCGTCTATGCGCCCTGTCAGCCTGAGAAAGCCTCCCAGTGCTGTGCATGTGTCCGAAGAGGAACACCAGGAAGGTAGTGAGGCTTTCCTCTTGGGGAATACATGGGTGCAAAGCAAAGAATTGGAGTCCCAGGAAGACTACGACGACTATCCAGAAGTGCCCAGCATAAGCTCACTAGAGGAAGACATCTCAGATATTCCAGGACAAATGGACCGACTATCGTTCAATCCTTGGGGTCCACAATGTGAGGGTACCGCGCGGTCGGCTCGAGGGGCGCAAACACTGCCTGTCATGGCAACAGTCCTGGAGGATGATGAAGAGCCGGAGGTTCGGATGCCAGGCTCATACCCTCTGAAGCTTCCTGATGATTGCGGTCACGCTTCAGAATTCATCGCTGAGATGCCAGCTTTACCGGCAGTCCAAATTGAGTCATCCGAAGATATCAAAGGTGCGAGGTCGAAGCGTGAGTATCGATACTCAATCCGAGTAGAGAAGAAACCCGCGTCGCGCATTCCAGTCCCGGCTGAGAAGCCTAAGAGGATGTCGGCTTTGTACGACGTTTCGGCGCCGTCCCGAGCTACACCACTACCTTCGCAACAAGCTTTCTTGCAGAACGGCGTTACAGTATCCTCGCAGCTCCATTGTGTACCACCCGCAGGGACATGCAAGATCTGTAAAGTCCCCTTGCACTTGCAACAGAACAAAGAGAATGTCCAAGTTGCCTGCGGCCACTTCATCCACAAAGAATGTTTGCTCGAGCATTTCCGCTGTCAAGATCAAGAGCTTGGCTCTTGTCCTACTTGTGATAGCGTTCTGTGCGAGCGAACGCTGGCTGATCGTATAGATACCGATAGAGAGGCACTTTTCGGGCAGCAATTCACGCCGCTTCCTCAAGAGGCGGTCGTCGACTCTCCCGAGCTGGGTGAAGTTGTGTACTGTGTCACAGAGGAGGAACTAGCAATGACTCAGCTCCGCATCCTGAAAGCACACCTCGACAGTTGTATGGAGGACGTATGGAGTTGGTATCAGAGCGGTGGCGGCGAGCTTGACTGGTATTCAATGGTGCGAGCGGCCCTGGAGAGGTTTCGAGAGGATGGCCTGCCGGTACGTCAGTGCCGGTACCTTTCCAATCATGACGCATTCCTGAAATTTGTGCTGTGGGCTGAGCTGGTTCGGCTGATGAACAACATTCGCATCGCAGTGAGGCGGCTCGACGGCCCCGACTCTCCTTTTCCGTCTCTACGCGTATTGCACAAGAAGTTTCTCATGGCGAGAGACAGGTTTACTCAGGAGGGGGTGAAATGGCCTAGGGGCCGCCAAGGTGTCGCTTATTGCGAACGTGTTGCGAAGGATGCGTACGATATCGCGATGAAAACACTCCAGAGTGGTTGGTAGATTGCCTCCCTCACTGGGAGGCATGTTAGGACCCCACTCTCCGCCATCTTTTCGTTCGGAATGCTCAAGGAAGTTGGATTGAATTAAACCCACTCGCGTTTACGTGCCCTGCACACTCTGAGCTGTCACCTATTTCACTCTCACCTGCTGGGTGAGATTTTTCTTGAGGGCACTGGAAAGCCCCACCTGGTGAAAGAATGCGAGCGTAGCAGCGATACTATGACGAACCTATCATATATTAGCGCCTCGCTCACCAATGCCTACCCACACACGCACACATACTCGCCTCGATCAACCAGCAACCAGCATGGACGAACTGCTCCAACTGGAGCGTTTACTTCAACGATTCCTCATTACCTCAGTATCAGGCTCGCAATCAAAGGAACCGAAAGGACCAAATCTTCCTACGCAGGCGGATTTCCTCGCCCACGGTATCGTCCCTTGCTCGACTGAGACGGCCGACCCGCTCCAATCCACAAACTGCGCAGTCTGTCTCGAAGAATGTGATGTACCGGAACCGGGGCCTGAACCGCTCCAAGGTCACACGGTCGTCTCCCTCGAGCCTTGCAAGCACAAGTACCATAGGGAATGTATCCTTGGCTGGTTCACCAGTACCCGTCCCGAGCGTGACACTTGCCCCAATTGCCGGAAAACGCTTTTCATTCCCGACAAGCTGACAGCTGCGCAAATTGCGACCTTGGGCGACGACGAGGATGTTATGTTGCGGCGCATTGGGGAACATCGCGCACCCGCACCCCATGAGAGCGTCGTCGATTGGACGCGGTACATTCTCGACACGGAAGCGGTACGACTTATCGCCCAAGAAATGGCACTTGCACGCACAGAGCGACGGCGCGCCTCGTGGATCAACGTCTGCCACCAGCTCCGGAACTACCTGCTCGCGGAGGCGAATGCACCAATCCGGGCACCCTTCCAGCCACACGGCGAGTCTTTCTTGAACCATCTGTGCGCCAGTCACATGCTGCTCTGGCTGACGGCCTACCATTCAAACGTTCTCCGCACACCAGAGTTCCACGAGTTTTACTACTGGCTCACGGAGGATAACGGCGACATAATGCAGGCTGGGGTGAGGACGGGGTTGTTCCGCGAACTTGCGCTCGGGGGGCTTTTCGATACTCAGACCATTCGTGTGGTTACGGTATCTCAAGTTTACGGATTGTCGGTTGAGGCGGCTTTTGGGACGATCATTGCACTGGGCCCCGATCATTTTGCCCCGCGTCGAGGCATCCGTGGGTTCATACAGCGAGCGTGGCGGCGCATTCTCCCGCGCCGGCTTGAGCAACGCTGGATGGGGCTTCCAGGGCTTCAAATCGAAATCGAAAGGCGAAGACTGGAAGCTGATGCAGGAGAGGGGGTAGGTGCCGAGTGGCCGAGTTCGATGGGTTGAGGGGAAGGGGGCATTCCTTCCATGACGGTGGTGGCGGCGCAAATGGACATGGCGGAACAACCTGAAAAAAAAAGCCTAGCGTTGCGAAATAGCACAGAATCACATCTTACATTTTCGGTTCAGCCGCTGCGTCTAGACAGGCAGACATCATCGAATGGTTGCTGCGCCACGGGGCAAACGCGAGCATCTGTAATAGCGAGGGAAAGACAGCGAGCGAACTTCTACCCGGGGATGGCTATGAGGCTTTGAAGGAGATCTTGAAGCATCAGTGACAGAAGTCCATGGGGCATTTCATTTGTATTCCCTTCATTTTTTTTATCTCTCATCGATCCGCATTCCTGTAGTCGTGGCCGTCTTCCCTCATTGCTAGTCCACAATTCATGCTCTTTTCGAATGCCACATTAAAAGTTCATCTACTTCAAAAAGTCGACTATCGCAACCTCAATACGAAGTAGTTGGGCTGGGAATCGTGCGGCCACTCAGAGGGGTTACGCGCTGCTGTCGCGAGATTATTTTACGCGGGGAATGGAGAAGACCTAGAAGTCCAATCTCGCAACAACGCGGATTTATTCGCCTGAAGTACTGGTCGGCTTACGGTGCAACATCTATCGCCTAGTTACGTAGCACGCGAAATCACCCCATTACTGCGGTATCCTCTACCGGGAGCCAAAAGGTAGGCCCTGTAGGCGGATATAAGGCTATAATTCTGCGAGAGCAGAAGGGTCGTGATCCTTTTGCTCCTGACAAGTCCTCATTGAGCACGCATGTTCAAACACATCTCCTCATCCCATCCCCATCCACATTTAGGTGGAGCGTAGTCGGATACCTGATAGGACGCACGGGGGCCGATAACTCTCGGCGTACTGCACCGGCGCCTTAATCGAAGGGTAGCATCATGTAAATCATTACGTCATATGGGGATTTTGTCTCAATCCTCTACACCTAGATACATTCTTTACAGCATCCCGTTCATAACAAGCGACAATGGCCGAGACGCCATCTATTCGTCCTCAGTGTACGATATTTGATTCTCTAGCTATGCTACCCAGTTTGCGCTAATGGTAGACATTGGTGACAGTGATCAGCGTCCCGCTCGTGCTGCGCTGAATACTATACGAGCCATTCCCGATCCAAACGGTTGCCTTGGTCGTCTCCACTTTCGTCCATTCAGGGAGTTCCGTTTCTTCCTCTACCGATACGATGTCCCCGAAAGAGTACGCATGTCCGGGCGGGATAATGATAGTCGCTGACAGCACACAGCCCCCAGTCTCTGACGCTTGCACCGTCACTCTATCCAAGTCACCTGATTTGTTGGACACAGTTACCTCCTCTTCCACGCGCATGCGCAGCCCAATGCAAGTCTCTACGGTGAGAGTATCGCCTCGAAGATTCGCGGAGGTGACGAAGTCGAAATCGAGTGAGCAGCCAGGCTTGAGGAAGAATTGCGCTTGGACATCTCGGTAATACGCTGTAAAGGATGGAGAGAGGGATTGGGCAGGGTCAGCAGAGGATGCGCTAATGATAGGCGACGAGGATGGGGATGGCGAGTCGTCTCCATGTGCAAGACCGCTGCTAAAGGGCAGTGGATCGTCGAGCACTATGGCGCTAGCTCCGCCGGCTCGATGTTGCTCAGCCATGGCAACGATAGGCCCATCATGATCCTGGTCCTGCGCCTCGATCCTCACCGACACTTCCCCGAGCGCATCGGTCAGGACGAAGAGTGCATTTAGAACGTCCATATCGGCATCAAGCCTCACCAGCCGTTCGTGTTCGGCATCGAGCGCAGCCTTTATGGCGGCTCTTACATCCCGGTTATCTAAGAACTCAGTGAAAGCGCTGACGATGAAATCTTGATCTTCCTCGCTCAGGCTCGCCCAACGTTGGCGGAGGATTTCATATGCCAGGAGAACTACGATCACAACTAGAACGACATATTCGATCTCATCGCCGTCCAGCCGGAGGTACCGGTCGTACCGAAAGTGGCGGATTATGCGATCTAGGACTTCGGTACGCCACTCAGGTTGGCCGTCATCGGAAGAATGTATCGCAACCATGACACTACACTGGAGGTTGCAGGCGACTTCCATACCCAACGCTTCGAGCGCGACCTTATCCACTCCGTTATAGGGGGTGGATGTGCTATCTCCAGCGGCACATTGAACGGCGGTAACGATATTTCCAATGCTCAGATCACGAGACGCCAGGCTTCGGGCCATGAAGGGAATCTTGCGGGCTTGCGACGGTTGCATTTTGATCATGTCTTAGATACTTCGCTCAAAAGTTTTCTAGCTCTTTGCCTTATCCGTAGTGCTGGGATATTAATTTATTAGGCTCTGTCCGAATTACACAATGACCTTGTGAGTCATGTTGAGTCTGAATGCTACTAACAATGTAATTATGAAAGTCCACGCGAATGCACGATTTATTCTGTCAAGAAGCAAAAAGACTTTCTGAAATCCTAGAAAAGTTATGGAAATATTACCCGGCCATCATATCTGACCGTGTAGTTCCATGCCACCATCCGTCTCCACCTGTCCCCCACTGCCGGCTTGCCCTACTCCTCCTCGGAATCTAACTGCTCGATACTCTCTAAAATCTCCCCCAAAGCCGAGTAATCCACGCGTGCCCTCCTGGCGCAGCCCATCAACTCGCGGCATAAGATCTTGAAAGCCACTGACTCGGCCTTGGCGAACGCCTCTAGCATCTGGCCCTCTGCGGTCTCCTTGTAGGCTAGGGAAGCGTCGGCGAGCAGTGAGCTCCAGTCGATCTCGGTTCCGTCGCTCTCCTCTGTGCGGCGTCGATCCTGTTCGTGGCTCCAAGCCATGCGTGCTTGGGCGATGATTGCGTTTTCGTTTCCGAACAGCAGCTCCGTGGCGGCCGCGACTTCTTCCGGGCTATGCGATAGCGTCGGTCCCTCGTCGTCGCTACCCTCTTCCTTCTCGTCGGCTGGCGGTTCGAAGAATGTCTCGCGGCAGTATGGGCACGAGTTGTAATTGCCGCGGCCCCTGGCTATCCATTCCTGAATACACGTCCTGTGAAAATGGTGGTGGCAAGGGACGGCGACGGCTTCTGAGGAGTCATCGCTCCACGTCTCCATGCAAATGGTGCATTCCTCGGACTTGTTACGCGGCGTGAAGGCCTTGAGACAGTGGGTGAGGAAATCCTCAGGAGTGTGGAAGTAAACGTTCATCGGAGACATGCTGATGGTAGATGTGGGAGGGTGTTGAGATCGTGAAGTGAAGGTGCTTGTTCGGGAGCACGGTGAGTGGAATGTGGGATGGAGAAATAAATGGAGGAAGGTGGCCTGCAGCGATATTTAAGATTCCGCATGGGAGCAAATTTTTCACTGTACCAGCTATTATTCAGTTTGGACAATAAATGTAAGTGGTTCATCCAGCAACTATTCAGCGCTAACCTTGCTATTGTGGAAAATATAGCTGGTTCACTATAGCGGCCCAGAATATAGAACTTCTGTTGAAACCCAACGCTTACTAAATTATTACTTCTCTTCTTACTCCCACACTGCACAAAAATATCTACCATTCGTCTCTCCACCGTGCCATCATCCTCTATTCGTCAAACATGGCGCAACCCAACGAGCTACCGACGATGGATTCGTTTGTGCAGCATCAGCTTCAACCCTACTTCATCTTCTCAGGCCACGGAGAGTGTGGATTGTGCGGAGTGTGTCAAGAAGGGTTCAACGACTCTCCGCACGGCATCGTTCGCATCAGCACCTGCACCCACCTTTTCCACCGGAATTGTCTCCTTAAATGGTTCAACAGCACGCACTCCAAGCGTAATACGTGTCCTGCCTGCCGCAAGCTTCTCTTTCAGCTCAGCAACCTCACACCCGAAGACATTGAGGCTTTTGCGGAAGAAGCGGCAAGGCATTTGGATGCAGTGGGGCAGATTGAAGAGGAAGAGATGCGGAAGATTGAAGAAGAATAGATGCGACAGATTTAAGAAGAAGAGGAGGAACCAGACGCATATCGCCCCACGTCGCCGCGATGCCCATATTCCCCTTAGTCCATCGTATAGACACACTTCCCCTGGCTACTCTCCCATGTCACCCTAGTACAATCCAACGTCGTCTACCTACTCGCCGGAATCTCCTAAGCATACTCCCACGTATTCCCCGACCTCGCCCGTCGCCACTCCCGCAGACTGCTGGCCCACCCAGTCTTTCCATTACAGCCCCGAGCCCCCTTGGTACCTGCCACCAACCCCTCCCAGACCTGCAAGCTCGGCGATCGCTACCCTATCACCCTCATACAACCAGGCCTCACCGTGCTACTCTCCAGCCTCGCCTCAAGTCACCTCTTCAAATCCAGCTGTATCTCTCTTTCATACACCCCAACGCCGCCCAGTTATATGCCAGCTTCTGCCATTTCAGCCATCGCTAGTAACAGCGACATCGAACCCAGGCATCCTATATGGCGTCCACATGGGGCTTGGACCCGTCACACCCCGTGACCTACTCACAACCGGACACTTCCAATCTCGAAGCGGCACCAACAGCATGCGAGGCAGCGCGTATCTCAAACATGCGCCGCCGTCTCCAAACGTCAAACATAACAGTCGGTGAGATTACGAATGTCGCCTGTGTGCGAGGGTACGGTCGGTCATTCTACCTATATCTGTGCAGTGGTCGCACTGTAATCGTTCGAGATGTGGATGGTTATGCTCGTGGGTTGTACGGCAATTTTATTCGAAGAGGGGATATAGCGAGAGGTTATCGACGGGGCCTCGGTCTCCTCGAGGTTGGATTGGGGGTTGCCGTATCCTCGCTTTCGCCATATGGATGGCAAGCTGCTTTTGGGGCGTAGGGGTCGGATTGCTTTTCAGCTATATTTCGTAGCCTCCCTTTTGCCAGCTGCAATGATAAGTTGCTGTGGGTTTGCTATTGCGGCTTGTCACGCTCGTCGCTCCGTACTTATATTTTATGATCTCCCTCGTCATTCCCTCGGCCAGGCTATGCTCCATTTCGAGGGCTGCGATTCCGCAGAAAGGCTGTTCCACTGTCTTGGGACCTCTCGCGCTTCGCGCCGGCGCCGGTCGCGACCGAAGGTCCTCTGGGTTTCGTCACAGGTGAAAGTCTTCCTACACAGCGGCCTCGGATCTCTGAAAGCGGGGTACATTGCTCCAGTGCCCTCATAGAAAGTTCGCGTATCCGCCACCGGCGTAGATCTACTACACCTGGGGTCTGTGCGTGGTTGTTGATTTTGCGACCGCGCCGATACGCTCACATTCGCATATAAGTGCTCCAAATCCTCCCTATACCATCTTCAAGACAGCATTCGACGTCGACGCAAACCCCCACTTCCGACACGTTAACCCAGGAGCTCCTGCACGTTGCCATCTCTTCTCCCTCTCACTCATTCAGGCAAGTCATCACAACGAGAGACTTGCTTTCAATGTTGTAGCTCACACTCACCACCTGGGCAGTTGTCCTTTCGCCGCATCGAATCAAGGATTACTGTACCATGGCCCATTTCGTTCCCACCTGGGGCTTTGGCAATATCGCGAAGCAGAACACGCCCGCGGGAAAAGAGAGCAACAGCAACCTCATCGAGATCCGGGTCATGAAGGTGGAGCCGGAGGCAATAATAGTCAAGCGCGAGTCAGATGTTGAGGAAGATGCGGTTTTTACTAAGCAGGAGTTGAACGTCGAGGACCGGGTGGCGGACATCGCGATTAAGCGCGAACCTGAATATAACCGCCAGGCAGAGATCGAGCGAGAGTCCGCCACTCCGTACGAAGAAGATGATCTTGAATGCGCCGACGAGGACGGAGATCAGGAGATGACGCCCGCACCAGAGGAAGAAGGCGACGGAGTGGCAGAGGCGGAAGAGAATCATTTGGAGAATAACGACCAGGCGGGCCAGTACCACTATCCCTTTCAATACCACGGTCTACCTTACCATCTACCGGACCCGGCCGCTCTTGGGGGATATCTGCCGGTGCGCTACGCCAACTATCATGCGCTCGCTCATCTTGCCGGCGTTCCTCTTCAACACGATCCAGTCGGGCACTGGAACCCGCGAGTCGCCTACGGACCACTGCGAGCCTACCATCGGGACCCACCGGCCCGATATGACGACCTGGGGTTCTACAACGCCCCGCCTGTCCCGCGGCCACAAGATCCCGCCGCAGCCCCCGTCGGCAACGAGCGAGAACGGCAAACTACTGCCCTGCGAGACTTTGTCGGTCGCAATGTCATCATCCTCGCTGAGGTGCAGAGTGTGGACTCTGTTGAGAACTTGAGGGGCCGTGGCTTCCGTGTGCGGCTCACTAACGGTCATGCCATGACGCTCGATACCGCCGACGGCCACTCTGCGGTGGGTGACAAGACCCTCTTTTGGGCGTACGCTGAGTAGAACAAGCGGACGGTAGGAATGAATACGAAGAGGAGGATTGGAAAAATTGTTTGGATCATGCGAGGAATACAAGGGCGATGACTGAGGCACCTTGAGATAGAATCAACGCCGAGGAAGATTTTCGGGGGAGGGATATAGAGTATGATTTTGTTGGGGATGCCGGTCAGCATAGCACCCGTAAACATCCAAGCATACAACCGCCTTCCGAACGCTGAGCTATCCTCGAGACATTCGTAGAAAAATCCAACTTGCTGAGTCTCCGTTGCGCCTATTCCGAACTTCTGGAGCCTTCCTCGAGCACTTCCTAATTCCAGGGTGAAGCAGCTATATTTACCGTCCATGTGTAATCATCCCCTCTTCACCATTCCTTTACTCAAGAAGCACTCAAGAGCTGAGGAACGAGGAACTGCGTGCGAGCATTACCTAATTTCCCCCTTCGAACCAATTCTACCGTGTCGCGCAGGGTGTTGAAATCGCATGTCGTCGGAAGTCGGCACTGACGTCGCCTCAGCTTCGTGGAAATAATGTGCGAATGGGGTCGCGTCCAGCTAGCCACGCCATGCACGGGGCTCGTGTGGAAGAGTAACCCCTGCCTTAGCTGAAAATATGGGGCTCGGCGCCGTCTTGGCTACTTACGAAAATTTCTTGTACGCGTCCTGGTTTTTCTTGTGCTTACCGTAGAGGACTTGGGACTTGGGAGCTGGAGATGTGTACTGTGTGCTGCATCGTGAGCATGTATCTCGACGGAGTGCCGGTCATACGTGCGAAAGAATAAATACCTGCGATTTCGCCGTCAACATGAATCCAGCATCACTCCAGCATCACAATCAACGGAACACACAGCTTGCCACAACCCTCCCGCAATATCAACTCCTCGACGAGATCAAAACATCCCACCGAACCACTATCCATCCATCGAAAATGCATTTCTCTCTTGCTACCCTCCTCAGCCTGCTCGCGGCCACTGCTCTCGCCGCGCCGGCTCCTGAGGCCCACGCCGAAGCCGAAGCCAACGCAATTGAAGCCCGTGCCCCCCATCTCCGCTTCTACAACAAACTCAACTTCAAGCAGCCATTGTGCAACTACGACTTCAGCGCTGCGCAGGACGGCAGCTGCGCAGGACGGCAGCTGCGCAGGACGGCAGCTGCGGTGGGTGATCCCCTTTTCGTACCCGGGCTCGGTTCCTCCGGCCGGCGCGATCAATACACTGACACGTGCACCTAGTTCGCACTCCGGACTGTGCCAGGAACACGGCAAACTCGGTCAGACTTAATAGTGGAGTGATAAGCTGCTCTTTCTTCCGGTAGGAGACGCACCCACCTACGCACCAGTTGGAAGTGGCTAACGTCTTTTTTCTAGCCAATCCGACTGCGAAGGTTCTTCTGATAGCTTCGGTGCTCCTGGTGGGAACCTTCGCATCTTGCTGCGCGACAATGTCGGCAGCTTCAGGTGCAACCTTTAAGCTGCTTAGGGCACTCCCAACAATGGTCTTCATGATCCCTACCGTAGCCAGCACTGCTCCAAGATACGAGTTGGACGCGATCCATGGGGATATGAGGACATGAAGTAGATTTGGGGACGAGGGATGGTGTCGACTCTGCTCGGGGATCTATGGTCCTTGGTAGAGGCTTCGTATATATCTTCTTTTTCTTGTCAATCGCTTGGGGTGGTCGTCGAGGTTTTAGCTTCTGCTGCATCTTGCTTTCTAGGTGTTCTTTCAGCATGCATCCAACTATTTACGCTCTTTCTACAATTACATATAGAAAAATAGAATCCTGCTCGGGCAGATCCTTTCTAAGACAGCCTCCATTGTCCTGGTAAATCCGGTCGTATTCGATATTTTCGGACGAGTGCTACTAGTGCTACCGGGAGTCTTCTTCATCCGATTAGTCGGTGTAAGCTTATAGACGTGCTCGAAGCGACGGCTCTCGGTTGGGGGCGGGATGCGTTGGAAGTGAATAGCGGGAGCTGTGGCCGCATGGAAGGCCGCATGGAAGGCCGCATTTGGAGACTCGAGGGGGAGAAGGAGAGCGGAGGTCGCGGCGCTTGCGGCCACATCTCAGCAGGAACGGGCGGCTTGGCACGCTTCCCCACATATTGACAACCTCACCTCGCGCCGCATTGCTCTCCATTGCAGCGCCCAACCGCCCCAATTGCCCTTTGCATCGCTTGAGAACTATAAACTGCAGCATACCGCAAAGATCAAAGCCAGCATGAAGATCGCCATCCTCCTCGCCGTCGCCGCGACCGCCTTCGCCGACGTCATCAACAATGAGGCGCGTTCCCCTGCCTTTCCGCTCTCAAGCATACCGCTAACAGCCGTCCAGCACCTCAAGACTGAAGTGACCAACGCCGTCGAGTGCAACCGCAAGACCAAGGCCGGCGACAAGATCAACGTGCACTACCGCGGCACCCTCGAGAAGGACGGCAGCGAGTTCGACGCCTCGTACAACCGCGGGCAGCCGCTGAGCTTCACCGTGGGCGTGGGCCAGGTCATCAAGGGATGGGACCAGGGCCTGCTGGATATGTGCCCTGGCGAGAAGCGCAAGCTGACCATCCAGCCCGAGTGGGCGTACGGCGAGCGCGGCGCCGGGCCCATCCCCGCCGGCAGTGTGCTGAGTACGTCATAAGCGTGAATGGAGCGTGGCTCTGTGCTAACCGCCGACAGTCTTCGAGACGGAGCTGGTATCCATCGACGGCGTGACCAAGGACGAGTTGTAGGCGTGCACACCACCAGACGAAACTCACGACACCCATTACGAGCCGTGGGCTACGACATCCGCACGAGATATGGCGCATGCACCACAGAGCTGCATGAAACGGTACAAAAGAGGGCTTGGGATTTCGTATCTCAAATATGGCAGAGAGGCCTCACATTGGAACTAGAACCGATGTCATCCATTCTTTGACTCGTGCAGTGAGAAGAACGCACTCGAGCATGCCTCCTCGTTACAGCCTGTCCACTGAGTTATGTCGTTCTCTGCAATTTTTGTTTTCACATGCCTCCTCGTCCCCCTTTCACTTTGCTCCGCCCTCATCAGCTACGCTAGATTCGGCGCCTCCTATGCATTTCCCATTTCACCACCTCGCCAAGACTTGGGGCCCGTCGCAAGCACAATAGCTATCAACCTATTGTTCCAATGCGCCTGCAAACTGCTTTTATATCTCCCTCCACCTACGAACCGGACTGTCAACATCACCACCGCGTTACCACACTCGCACAAGCACCAGTAGACTTTTCATACACTCTCATACCTGCCGCGTTCGACTTTGCAAGAGCGATAGCCACACAACTCCCACCATGTCTGCTTCGCCGATCCATACTCCCATGTCATCTCAGAACAGCACCTCCAGCCTCGGGGCGCTCAACATCCAAAACGGCGAGATTAGCGTGAAGCAGCAGATCCAGAACTCTATCCGGGATGTACACGAGAGGCTTCCTGCTTCTGCTTCAGCGGCGGACTTCCATCGTCAGGTATGTTGGATATCGCAACCTACTTGCACAGCTAGTTAACGACTCAGGTTATGGAGGATCTCCGTTCGAACATCGATATGTCTCAACTTCCCCCAGCATCGCCCATTCCGTCAGCTCCGCCCACCCCTAGGTGCTTCTTCAATGATCTCGCATTTGACACCTCCAAGACCCTCAGCCTGATGTCCGACACTGCCGCTCGCACTGCATCCTCAGGCTCGACGACATTTTCGCACACCGCCCTCGCCACATCCATCAGCAGTCCGCACGGTATAGGCACAGGTCGTGGGGCAGCCCCCAACCAAGTTCTTCGAGGCCTATCCAAGTTCGTCGAGTTTGCCCGCTTCGCCGCGACCTTGGGTGGAGGGTCCATTAGTGAGGAGTTGGAACAGACTCTTCATCTTCTGGAGTCCGTCGAAGGCCACGGTACCGAGAAGCTAGAGGTGGTGAAGAACCTGCTCACCCCAGGATCGCTTCCCTTTCTGAAGCGAACGCTGAAGGATATTCTCGAGCTAATCTTGCAACCTACCAAGGCGGAGCAGTGGCGTGACGAGCCTGAAGTGGTCACTCAGGATACAGACATCGCACAGGTCGAAGATGGCGCACCGGAGATGAGAGTTGGAAGCGACCTGAAAGAACTCTTCACAGGAGAAGACATCGACCACAGCCAAGTGTCACAAGACACAAAGCTCACGGAGCCTGCTACCAGCAATAGCCCGCAGAAAGACGACGTGCAGACAAAGCACGCGCCGCTCCACGACTGTGGCTACCATGCAAAGGCTTTGTCAACAGAGGCCACCAAGCCCAACACAAAGACCACGACGACAAAGATCACCCAAGGCGACGTCCAAGGACACACCTCGATTAAATCCAGCCTCATCAGCAACCCGGTGGGAGCCATCATGCGACAAAAACCCAAGATCCATCAGGTCACGATGTCTAAGCCACCAAGCCCTGCGTCCAAGAGCATACCGCAGAATGATCGTCAACCCGATACTGGAGCTCTGCCAAGCCTCGACCAGGCACACAGTAGTGCCACCTCCGCGCTATACAGTAGTAGCAATTCTCAAGTCGAGCCTCGCATGTCCCCAGTATCCATCGTAGGACCTAAGATCCGCCGCAAGAAGGCTCCTAGTCTCTTTAGGACCGATGTTCGCATGGGCCAACGAGGCGACACACCCATCAACCGCCGGCCAGTTACCATGAATCCTCCGCCGAAGCAACCTCAGCACACCACAGCTGCTCTCCCACAGTCACTTCAAGCCGAAGATCTCGAGGGCGAGGCTCGTGCGCTCCGAGCTGTGGCGGCGCTACAAGCCAAGATTTCAAACGCAGCTAATGCGCCTCCGAAGTCGAGGATCCTTCATGGCGACGATGTACCTGCAGACACTGGTCAGAGCAACGATCACGGCAAGCGCGCACCGGACGCTAAAAGGCGCAAGGTCCTTACCGAAAAGGGACCCGCCCCAACGAGGGGTAGCAAGTGGATGAAGAAAATCGGGTCTCAGGTAAAGCAGGATCTCCCACGGGGCCGCAACGGCAAGCGCAGGTATGATGGCGAAGACGATTCGGGAAGCAAAAGACCCAGGATTTAGATCTGGGTATTTGGAAAGAAGATGAACTTTGTGCAGAGATAGGAATGCTTTCTTCCGTGAGCTGCGTGTAATATCAGCCAGCATGCATGTAGAGATCAAGGCCAATTATCCTTCATATTCATCACCATGGTCCTCTGAATGTCATTCCATCCTCGACCATGCGACCGAAGTATTCCCACTTCATTCCCTAGCTCCGTCTCTTTCCTAGTGACAGACTCTGAGCGGTCGTCTGCTGGCCTTGGCGACGCTCTGCCTTCCCTCCTTGCCTCTGCTTCCGTATGACGATTTGCCGCGCGCCGGTCGTGTACTGTCTTCACTCCTTCTGCGTGCCCACTATAAAAAGCGCACCGCTGCCCAAAGTCTACTCCATTCTTCAGAGTCGCACTAGAACGCAACCGCTACACCAAGGCAGCTCAACTCCACAACCGCCGCCAGTGACTCAATTGCAATCGCAACACCAAACCACAACCTACATCTTTCCAACCCACCCACCAAGTACCAACATGCCCGCCGACAACAACAACCATCAATCCCAATCGACCGCCGCCACCCCCGAAGCTGCAGCACCCAAGCTCCACAAGGCCATCAACTGGGGCAAAGCCGAACAGGGCTGGCAGAGCATACTATCCGTCAAGAAACAACACAAGGACGACTTCGATGCTATGCACGATTTCCTCTCGGACAGCCAGTCGAGCGTCGCCGCGCTGCCCGATAGCCACAACAAGGCTGCGCTGGTGAATAGTATCAGCCAAATCGCTCCGATTCTCGCACGGTTGAGCGCCGTGAACGCGCGTGAGATCGATTCTGCTGAGGCTGTGTTGGACGGTCTGGGACGCGAAGACAAGTACGCGCGGATGGAGCGCAGCGTGTACCTGACTATGCTGCAAGTTGCTGAGGACATGCCGGAGAACATGACTGTTGGGGAGCTGCGTCAGGCGCTGAGAGACGCGCCTGTTACCGGAGAAGCGCTTGTTATGGGAGGCGGCAAGCAAGAGGGAAAACAAGTGAAGACTGGACAGAAGGCCGTCGCAGAGAAGAAGGATAAAGAGAAGAGCCCAGCGCCATCGGAGGGTAGCCCCGATGCTGTCGATGGCCGCGAAGTTGCCGCTATACCACTTGCCGACGAGTCAAAGGAGTCGGCCGAGCAAATGCGACTGGTCGCAAACCGGAGCGAGGACGATGAGCCGGCACCGACGAAGAAGGTATGTATACTGCACAGTCTGCCACGCTTTCGCTGCTAGTATACGAGGGGCTAACATACTATCTACAGACAAACAAGCCCACTGCGAAGATGACATCCGCCATCACCGAGACCACCGAGCAGACCGCCACCAAGTCCGCGAACACCCAGAAGTCGAGAAACACGTCGCGCCAGCCTCCGAAAGACACGGTAAACGCTTCTAAGACTACCATCACCACCCACGCAAACGATCCAGAAGAGGTCGTCGAACCGAAGAAAAAGAAGAAGCCTGCGGGACTCCGTCGCCGGCCCCAACTCGGAGACCCAGGCGTTGCTCGTCCCGTGGTCAGGAAGAAGTCCGAGTCCGAATCCGAGTCCGACAACGATAAGGAGAATAAGGCTCTCCATAAGTCCATCACGAATGACGGCACAGCCAACGAGAGCGAAGACGGCTCTGAGAAGGAGACATGGAAAGGAAACGAGCGCGGTTCGGACAAGGCTAGGACTAGCAAAAAGCTCGAGAAGAAGCCGGCACACAAGAGCCAGGAGCTCCTCACCGACAGCAATGAAGAGGAGGACCACAAGACCACCCCTGCAGTTATAACCAAAGAGACCGCTAAGACGCCGTCCATGACGCAAGCTACTCGCCCGTCGAAGAAGAAGGATGATGACGAGGGCATCGACCCCAAGAACATCATCGACGGACCACGCCGCCGCCGCGGCCAAGGTGGTGGTTCGTCAACAAACAATGCACGCGGCCGTGCTGCTCTTCGCTCTATGAGCGGGAAGCGTAGGCGGGACGGCAGTGACGACGAGGATGCCGATGCGGTGGAACCCGCGAAGAAGAAGCCGGCGATCGGAGGTCGTAATATGGCTCGGCCTAGGGTAAGCATAGACTCACGCGATCCTAAAAGTCCAATACTAACGAGGAGGCAGGCTCGTCTCACGGCTGCACCACCCACTGACATCGAAATGACGGATGCTCGGCCTGTCGAGGTTGCAGCTGTTGCTCCGGTTACGCCGCCTTTGGTTGGGAATGTGTTCGCGCGCAGCCGTCTGTCTTTCTCCGACTGGACTAGCAATGGCGACGGCGAGGAGCTATGAGTGCTTAAGGCTGGCCGCGTCTTTAGCTCGGAGAGAGGGTTGCTCTGCCTTCTTCATCTTTGATGGCGTTTAAGTGTCGTCGGGAGCGATTGATAAAATTCGCGTATTTACAGTCTACTTCGGTTAGTGTAGGGTCGTGGAAGGCAACTAGATATAACATGGATACTATTGTACTATACCATTCTTCGTGATGGCGTGTCGTGGTCGCCTAGAAGCCGTTGATGAGCTCCTTCGCTTTCACTCGGTTGAAATGGTTACCAAAGGATTAACAGAGCCCGCACGGACTGGCCTTGGGCGCTTTCACTTCTTTCCCTTAGGGCGGCCGCGCCGAGTGGTAAAGAGCGCGCAGTTCCAAGCTTACACTCGACCGTGACGCAGACACCACAACTCCGAAAATGGCGTCGCCGCACAACAGAGCCGTTCAAGCTGACATGGTTGTGAGCAGAAAACCAGAGACGGGCCTCCTCACCGGAGAGGTCATGGCTCTCGTGAACGAAGGGCGCGTGATCGGGTTCCAGACGGCGTTCGAGACGGGTCTGAGGTGAGCCCACGGCACACCATAGCGCGCCCCAGCTGGCATATGCTAACCTCTGTTCCAGAACGGCCGGCGGGGCCATCGATCAGACGGAGCGCATGCGCGAAATCGAGAAAACGTTCTCGCGCTCTGATGGGGGAAACCTCTCGCATCCACGAGAATGGCACGTCTGTGTCGCACCCCTTCTGGACTCGTGCTAACATGCTCGTAGGGGCTCTCTCGGCGACCTCACCAACGACGCCGTCGCCCTCTGGGTACGCAGGCTCGTCGAGCGCAGCCGCGCCGCGAAGAAACATCTTGACACGGCGCTCACGCGCCTAGAGCGCACAAACCAGGTCCTCGCCACACGCCCTACGCCGTCCATCCGTGATGGTGTCGGTGACCTCCTCGCCAGCTACCAAACCGCGAAAGCAGCCGGCGACGCGCTCTTCAAGCCGCAAGCCGCGGTCCAGGCGGCAGTCAAAGCGCTCCGTCTGTTCGTCGCAGACCTCATCAAGTCCTTGCCTAAAGAGAACCCAGCAAGGCACAGAGTCAAGCAGCTCTTCAACGAGGTGATCGGGTACGCTGCGGAGGCGGAGGATCGGACTCGAGCCGAGATGGACATGTGGGGTGCGGACTATATGAAGAGGGCGGAGAGAGGCGACGAGAAGAAGGCAGCGGCGCAGTGGATCGAGTGCGTGAAGATGAGAGCCGAGGCTTTGGCGCATGAGGCAGAGTTGCTGAGTGCTTGGGCGGTGGAATGTGTGAAGACCGGAAATGGCAGCCCTCGGTCGAAGTAGGGGAGATGGCTCGGATCTCGGAGATCGGATGACACCTAGGTCTAGTATGTACCTAAGCTGAGACTCCTCAAACCTCAGCCTGGAATGTACTTCGTGTCTCTCACGACCTTACTTATCCACGCTGATACACTCGCACATCGCTGACTTTCTTTGCCGGTGCGCATGGACGACCTCATAGACGCGCCATCTGCTGTGCGGCTTCGCTCGGCACGGACGGAGCTCTAATCCGGGAGCCCCGAACCCGTTCGTCACACCATCGCAAGTGCACACAGCCCGTGATCCAAAACCTCATTTCCCCGGTCCAGCCCTATATTAGCACTATGGGATGTGTGCCTGGAGCCGGCTGGGAGCCGCATCGGCCGCCGTCACACAGACGTCTCGTACCACCTTCCAGAACGAACACAGAACTTCGACAGGAGATCGTGGCGCACCGAGCGGAACCTCATGGTCCATGAACCGCTTCGAGCTCTAGTTGTACTCACGACTGCCGCTTGCGGGCAGGAGAATAAATGAGATGGTAATTTCACAGGTACTTTTTCCCAACGGCTCCACGAAGCCATGACGAGCCGTCACTAGAGAGCAGGAGATGTGCGAGCATGTGACTTGCGGACGCAGTGATGCTTTAAACACCGTGGACCATCCTCCATATATGTTAACCTCCACCGGCCCTGGGAGCCAGCTTCAGCCATCCTAGCCCCATATCCTCAAGATTCAGCAGCTTACCATGCTTGCACAACTCTTGCTTACCGTCTCGATACTAACCCTTCTCTCATCGCAGTATGCAGTGGAGAAGCGGGATTGCAGAGAACAATGGGTATGCACCATCGTCTAAGCTACGTCAAGACGCCCTAACAAAAGTTCAGCTGCAGTGCGGTGGACTTGAGTACTCCGGGGAGACATGCTGTAACCCGGGCCTGAAGTGCGTTAAACTGACGGATTACTACTCTCAATGCCAGCCGGACCCTGCGGTAAGCCACATTCGCCATCTGACTGAGTGCCCATAACTGAATCTCCTCAGGCAACGGCAGGCGGAGGCGACAATCCGGTGTATACGCCGACCGGACCGACAGCATATACAACAACCGTACCTGTGAGCACGACATCGCATGCTCAGTCGCCCTATCCATCTCCGACTGGCTCCAACAATGGATGCGGCTCATGGCAGATGACGGAAGGCGTATGCTGCCCTTTATACGATAAGAACAACAATCGATCCGAAGGCTGCAGCGGCAGTGGGGGTAATTGCGTCACCCCACCGGCAGCCATGTGCAAGAGCGGAACCATGTATCCAGAAGTTCATTCAGTCTCTTCAGATGAGCCGTGGCATTACAGCGTAAGCGGGACTCATGCACCTCCCAACTTCTTCCAATTCTCCCCGAACTAGGCTGATCGGGCAAAGAGATCCACGCACTTTGGTCTCACGTCGGGCGGTGCTTGCGGCTACGGCCTCTATGGCCTCTGCACCAAAGGGTCAAAGACCGCCTCCTGGACGGACCCTATGCTGGGCAGTACTTGCGATGCCTTCTGCAACGCATACCCGATTTTATGCAAAGATCCATCTGACAAGACCCTCCGCGGCAACTTCGCAGCGCCCAATGGAGACTACTACACTCAGTTCTGGCCGTCGTTGCCGGGAGACTGGGACAACTACCTCTCTTGCGGCGAGTGCTTCGAACTGATCCGGACGAAGCCCGACGGCAGCGACTACGCCGTCGGCGAAGCAGGCTACACGGACCCCGTCGTCCTAGAAATCGTAGATTCATGCCCGTGTTCAGCGAACTCCAAATGGTGCTGCGGCCCCGGCGCCGACCACTGCGCCGAAATCGACTTTAAATACGGCTGCCCACTGCCCGAAGACTCGATCCATCTAGACCTTTCGGATATCGCTATGGGAAGGCTCCAGGGCAACGGCAGCATGAACGACGGCGTCATACCAACTCGTTACCGTCGCGTCCCCTGCCCCAAGCCTGGCAACATCTATCTCTGGATGCGCGAAGGCGGCTCATCGTACTACTTTGCACTCACCGCCGTCAACGCCGCGGGCATCGGCAGTATCATCAGTATCGAGATCAAAGGCGCAGGCTCTACTACTTGGGTCCCGCTCGAGCGAGACCCGCATTATACATCGAGCCGGCCGCAGGAGAGATATGGTGCGTGGACTATCCCGCAAAATACCGGGCCGTATAATCTCCCTATTGCGGTGCGCTTGACTAGTGCCGCGGGCCAGCAGGTGGTGAGTGAGACGGCGATCAACAGTTTTGATCCGCCGGCGGGTGCGGTGAAGGGATTCTGGTATCTTGACACGGGCGTACAGTTCTCAAACTAGGAAGGTGGTGAGTGAGGGTGTTAAAGATTGCTAGGGTGAAGAAGGGCCCATGCCAGACGAGGCGTCCTCCTCGATGACACAACATCCTTTTCCCATTGCTGATCCAGGATATCCCCGTCTCAATACTAGACTGTTTTCTATACTTCTTTCTTGTCCATTTGAGCAAATTACGAAGCTTCCTGGTGTGGTGCATAAACGAGAGGGAAGTACGTAGCGCCCCTCGCCTGGCGAACTGTACTGTCTGGCTTTCGTTGCTTGATCACATTGCGGACAACGGCTACCAAGAACCCGCATTTCACCGCCTGGCCCGGGAGCCTGGGTATTATCATACTGTCAATACTTCGTTGCTTGTTTTCAAGCTGGCGAGTCAAGAGACTGAAACCGGTCTCAGGTTTACGCAGGGCAAGACGACAGCTACTGTAGCGCCATATTGCTGCGAGACGTGGCTTCAGGGGTGCACCTTTCGCACTGGCCTCAACTGGTTCTTCTAGATGTACTTAGTTCTTTAAGAAAAACGGGAACTGGACTCCTGCTAGCTAGACAAATTACTTTCGTTGCTGTGCCCCTTTTTCGCATGACGATGCGTCTAGACTACAGCCAACAGCCACGGGGTGAAGTACACAGACATCCGTTCCAGGTTCCGAGCGGGATTTACGATTTGAGAAAGCCTCAGGTAGCCTCAGATTCCCGGTCTAGCATTTCTTGAGCATGTGCTAAGGGGTTTCGCCTAAGCGCAGAGAACACCAACGCCATAAGCGCCCTCTCCAAAATATTCCTACCCTATCTGCATTATTCGGCACGCGCTTGCAATTCCCATTTCGTCGGGGCAAGTTGGCGTTAGTTTTAAGTACCAGGGCGTAACGCAGACGATAAACCGCCCAGGTTACCTCCTATATCAGCTTTGACCACACCCGAAATGGAAACGTCATTGCATTCTAGAAAACGAGAAGAAGAAATTCAATCCACCTCAAGCCCAGGATCCACCCGAACTATGGCGTGTTCGTACGCACAAGACCAGCACATGCCTAGTTAAGCGCAGGCAGCTACAGCATGGCCCGCTACAAACACATCCTCACCAGCACAGTACCACGATCTTCAGAAACCCCTGGTTCACGCTTTCCACCCCCCATCTCATCACCACAGTTCAAAACGCAAAGCAACCCTGCTCCGCCGTCGTTCGCAATGCTTTTCAGCCTCATCCTAATCCCTCTCCACTCCCTTCCCGCTTTTGCAAGCTTCAACAAGGCCCGCGCCACCGGAAGCTACCAATGCCGCATAATCGGTGACGCTATCGTCGTCAACAAAGAGCTCGTCCCACTCGAAGACTACATCCTCGAGCTCATCGTCGCCTATGGGAAACACTCAGCGTCCGCGCACGCCGCTTTCGACGCAGTTCGATACGCAGGTCTCGAGCTCCCGGAGCATCCAGGGAAGGAAGATATATCAGTGCCTCCGAATAAGGGCTTCTCATCGGTTTTTAATCAATCAATCACTGCCGTAGAGCGTGCGGCAAAGGTGGAGGGGCAGTTGAGGCGTTTCGATAATGCGCTGAAGGATGGAGGGGGGATGCCTAAGAGGGGATCGATGAAGAAGGTTGTGCAGCTGGTGCTCGAGGAGGTGGAGCACGTGAACGCCCGATTGGTGAATCAGAAGGAGATATTGAGAGCGACGAGGGACTACATATGCCGGCCCGGGTACGAGATGAGCAGAAGAAGTTGCACAGGCGGAAGGTAAACGTACTAAGCCTGAGGTCTTGGGAGACAAAGGGTGGATTCGGGATTTGGAGGATGACGTGGTCACAGAGTGGAGCCTGTGGTGGACGGAGCTCATCCCACTTGTTGTCGGCACCGTGTTTTCTTTCTATCGCCTTGGAAGCGAGCCTAACTTCTTCACGTATGGCTCTCCCTCCGCAGAGCTCCTTAATTCATCGACACTCTTCTCCACCCCGTTCCTCGACTAAAGCGCGAAACTGCACTGCTACTCTTGCGCACCTACGCCTATCGGCGCTGCCAAAATTCGCTCAGCGCTACATTAATCGGTAATTGCAGGCCCGCCTAAACAGTTTCCCTTTCGTAACTTGATGGCTTCGGTCTCTAGGCTTCTTTCACCAATGGCTTCTTCGGGTGCAACAATCAACCCCAGGATACGGTCTTCGCCTACGGGACGGTAGCAAATAACGACTTCTAGTTAGCACACGCTGCCGACTGCGATGTGTTTAACAGGATATGCCAAGACGTAGATGGGGAGCTAGAAGAGCTCAGCAACTTTATCTTCCGTAACGGGAAAGGGATAATAGTCGCGCCCTACCCTAGGAAATACGCGATTTAGAGGATAAGCTAAAAGGATTAGAGAAGTATAAGGTCGGCGAAGCGGACATCTCGCCGGAGGACTACAGGAAGATCCTGAGTATGCTGGATTCCCTGGAGGATGATCGACTGCTAGATCATGTTGACGAGCTACGAACCCGTGGCATTGCGCACCCGCTCGATTTAGATGACCAAGATTCTCAGGCGCGTATGTTGATCGCCTCCACAGTAGATTTTCCACTTGTTAACATGCCCCCATGTTGACCGTGATAGCTTCTGAATTCAGTGGGTAAGCACGGGTGATACAGGCTTAAACAATTTAGTATCCTTCCGAAATTGCTCTTGAGTGAATAAAAGCCCATGATGGCAGCTTGTCTTGTCAACGCCGCTTCAAATGCCTATGGTTTGTATTGCGCCCAGCTCATTACGTGGTCATCATCATTCCCACTCTTCACTTCTATGTTTCTCGGCTGAAAGGCTGATGGCCCAGCCCCAGAGGACAGATCCGGTGTCTTGGATAAGTCTGGGGTTTTGAAAGGATTCTTTTCCTGAGCCGCAAGCTCGGGGATGTTTCCGAGGGGATCTCCGCCCATCTCATTGTTGGGTCTGATCATTCTGCTATCGAGCTGCGGCACGTTCTCTCGCCCGTCGTCATTGAGCCCTGCTTTGTCTTTCTCGTTGGTTGCGCCCAGATATGCTGACATATCTCCCTGCGGGTAAGATGGCGGTAGAGATACTCGTTGGCGTTCTTTAACTCGCTTCTTTCGTCGGTAAAAGAAGAGTGCGGATATAATCAGCGTTATAACAATCACACCTCCTACCACGCCTCCGATTATAGCTCCGATAGGCGTGCTTCCGTCACCGGCGGGGGAAGGGATTGGAGACACGGACGGCGATACATCGCGGGTCACCGTGATAAACACCGTTCGTCCTTCACTGACCGAAGCAATCGTCTCTAGCTTTGTTGCCGCCGAAGTATTCGGCTGTGACTCTACCCCGGCAGACGATGGGTCTGCGGAAGTGGTTGGTGAGGATTCCACACCGACAGAGGACAGCTCTGCCGTAGGATTCGAGATTGCGTTCGACGTTGCTAGTGCTTGCGAGGTTGCTGTAGCCGGCACCGCAGCTGGGATCGATTTTAGCAGATGTGCTGCGTCGTCTGTATACAGACTCAATACGTACCACTGCTCGTTGTACCCGCACTCTCACCATCCGGACAGCCACCACTTAGGCTGCACGGATCTACCCCACAACATCCTATGAAGCCATTTGACGAGCATACGTAGTACTGCTCACCGGATGAGCAGCTCTGTCGATTCTCAAGAATAAGCGGCATCGCACTGATCTCATTGTGAAAGGTCTCTGGAGTGTAGGCTGCGATGAGAAGGAAGAGAAAAAGTTATTGCCACGGGAGGCTCTGCTCAGCATTTGAAGGCGGGGAAATGAGCGCCACGTTTTTGGCCCCATTTCACTCCATAATCATGAGGCGCAGGCGGCCTCGTTGTCGTTCGCGCGATTGCTGCACACACTGCGCCGTGCATGCCGAGCCGAATCCTTCGAAATCGTGCCAAATCGCCCTGCGTCGCATTCAGCGCGGGGCCGCGCGGTATGCTACACCGAACGAACACCCGAAAGTGAGAACGAGTGGTATTCGGCTGGAACGACGCGGTGACGCCCTTGTTCACGTTTGATCTAAGAGTGAAGACGTGGCGATGAGAGTGGTGTGGATGGCAGCGGAACCGGAAGGGGTAATGATCGCCATGGCCCATGCATAACCATCTATCCATGTCGGTAAACAGCCCGAACGTCCTCCCACTACCCATCTCAATTTAGCCCTCATCTTCTCGGCTCGCTAACATACCCTCCATCCAAAAACATCGCCTCCAAGGCCGCGAGGGGCATAAGAATCCCCTATGGCCCTTCAGCATCGAAGCAAGTTGTCGCCGATTTACATCATTCCGACTCTACCTCGCTTGGGTAAGACGGAAGAAATCAACACTATTGCGCTGTTTGTTGAACTATCGAATCTGAAGTCTACGTAACCGCGGTTACAATAGGCTAGGCGTATATCAGAATGATCTCCATGAGCCCTGAGAGCTGGAGCAACCACGACCATCACGTGACTTGCATCATTCACCCAAGGCTAGTTCGAAGGTTCCGACGTTCCCGCTCACGCACCCCGCATTTTCGTTCACATTGGGTCGCCGGAATAGCTTATTTCAGCCCTAGTTATCAATAGCTTAATTCAGAATTCGCCGTTGCGGGGAGGGGAGCATAGGCATACGTATACCTGCCAGCTCCGAGGTCCCGGCTCGTGCTTTCCACATGCACCCACCGTACTCCGTTGGAGACGGCGCTTCCAATAGTCACTTCGTATCATGCTATCTTTCCTAGTTTGCGGTTCCCTAGAGCTCATTTCTGTTATTCATTCCAAAGTAGGCCAATCCGATACCCACTTTGGTCCCCCTTCGGAATTCACGCCTTCGCTTCAGCAAGCATTCTGTCCACCTCTTTTTGTGGAGCAATGCTATTAATTCTTAGCTTCAAGTAATCTCTGGGTCTGTTGCATCCTACGCCCATTTATGCGGATGCTGTTATGGTGAGGTGACGCTCGATTTCATCACCGGTGGGACGGCTGGGGATTTGACGTCTGTTGATATAAGAAGAGGTCTTCGTCTACGTCTCGGGCACTTCCTATCCGCATCTCTACAACATTCATATTTGTTGGTTATCTTTCGTTATGATGAAGTACGCTTCGAGCCAACTCGTTCTCAGCCTCGGTGCCTCCGCCATCGTAGCTCGAGAGCCAGGACAATGTGTCCAGCTTCGTGCATCAGGAGGGGTATCGGGTATCCTCAGACAGATCGGTGATGGCCAGAACAGCATTGGCGGAGATAACCCCTTTGGTTGCTACTGCCTAAGCAATGTGGGCTTCACCGATTCTTCGGGCCGTGGCTGTATTCTCACAGCTCCCACCACGCAGCTCCAGTGCGATATCGGCGCGAGCCGTACCACTGGTTTTTCGATCGGATCTTCCGGAATGGTTACGTACAACGGCGGCTCTACCTTTTACGCCTGCCCTGTCAAGCCCGACGGCCCGTACAATGTCTACTCGAAGCCTGTCGCTGGTCAACCAAACTGCGTTAAAATCACTCTGGGCTCCGCTGGATCTTGCTACTCTGGAGGCCAACCAAGTAACAGCCCGCCGGTCTCCTCCGAAACCAAACCCAGCAGTGGGCCCTCATGCGAGACGACTTCAGAGCAACCATCATTCCGCAGCATGACAACTTCCGTAAAGCCATTGTCTCCTAGCATCAAAACCTCAGCAAGTCCACCTTCTCTACCGCAGCAAACAGGTACTGCTCCCACGCCTCCACAGTCCAGCGGCAAAGCCAACAACTGCCCAGTCGACCTGAATGGAAACTACCAATACCCTCACCTGATCGTCCCGGTCAACTCTGAGCACCCGAGCCAGGCGTACGGCACCAATTACTTTGGTATGGTTAGCAGCACCACGTGCTCGATCTTCAACTTCGACATTCCAAGCTCCTACTCTGGCCGCACCTGCACATTGTTGTTTCTCTGGCCTAAGCAGTCCTAACTAGAGACGTCCAGCTACATGTGGTCCGGTACTGGTAGCATTGAGGTCGGGAAGTGCGATTCTGCCGCTAACGACAAGACGTCTTGGGCCAATCAACCCGCTTGCTATGAGCTCGGCAGTTGGAGCATGACACCTGGAAACTCGTACACACTTATGTCTAGTTCGTGTGCAGCGAGTCAAAGGGTGGCGTATAGGATGTGCGGCAGTAATGGCATGTCTCTACGCTACTTCCAGGATTACAACCCTGCCCCAATTGGCCTTTACATTCGGAAGTGCTAAGACGATAGATGCTAGTACGCCCTAAGAGGATAATGATAGCGTTTCCAGGAAAGCTGGGTGTTGATTGATGGGCGGAAATCTTCTAATGAAAATTGCACATCTTGGTATGTACCTAGCACACATGAGGGATCAAGACGTTCCTTACGGAGTAAAATGGAATAACAAACAATATCAGTAAATGCTCTCGATTTTGGGGCAATCCACCAGCCCCATTCAACTTGAAGCAGTAGCTCAGTTTATCTCCGCCGATATGCTGAGCCTCTGAATGTCAGAAGCCGATTCCTCGGTTGCTTTGCTGCAGCACGGTACCTCAGCCCAATTGCGACCATGGAATGCATATCTCTCTATTGTGCTCGCCATCTCGCAATCCGGACAAGTCGTAACCGCTCGACCTTCAAATAATGCTCGACATAGAAACCAACTCCCCAAGTCCTTCATGCAGCATCACGGGAACGGGGCAGTTTAGAGAACAATTCCGCTTCCTCTTAAATTCTCTCATCACTAATCGATGCCTCACCCCCGCACCCTTTCATCTCTCTTAACTTGTTTATCGCTCCGGATATCTTAACCTAAGGAAGGCGAAGCCGTGTGAATTTGTCAGCCATCTTCCCTTTAGTAACAGCTTTGCTAGTCCGCCGGGGATCGCCAGGGATAATTAATAGCGCCTGCTCTCGTAAGTTCAGAATGCGTCTTAGTCAACAAGTTCCACTTGACTCTTACGTCGAAACGAAGACACTTATGCGTTGAGAGGCGCTGTGGTACGTTTTCCAAGACCTTATCATCTCCTAGTTTTTGCGTGGAGCCTTCCCTTGTTCGCAACATCCCAACCGTGGTAAAGAAGGTCGATATGTTGCGAAGCTTGCATTGCACTCATTGGTCCAGGATTGTCGCATTATCGCTTCATTTGGCCCCATTCCGGCAAAGTATCTCGTGCGAATTGCGAATCTGACATAAGCGGGAAGACGTCACACCAATCGGACACGTCGAACGGAAGACCGCGCACATCATATCTTGCGAATAACTAGATTACCTACCTAGGTAGACGTTAGGCTCTCGGCGTGATGCGGCGCGTACGGCGTGGCACCATTTAAATGGCATTTATTCTGTGCCCCTTAAGTACTTTCTGATCGCCACTTCAGCTTTCTTCGGTCTGCTTGATTAGTACCTCCCTCCCAAAATGACCGGCTCTCGAATCCCCATTCCTCAAGAATATAAGTCGCAGCTGCGCTACGTAGAGTCCAAGGATAAACGCAACGATGCTGAGATCCTCGAATCCCTCACCGAGCATGTGCCCATCTCATCCGAAAAGAACATCTGGACTTATTGGCATGCCGGCGTGCGAGCTATGCCCCCCTGGTGCCAGCGCAACATCATCAACTGGGTGCGCCTTCACGGTTCCGAATGGACCGTCCGCGTCCTCGACACGGTTCCCGGCTCGCCAAACCACGCGCTGAAGTGGATCTCGCCCAATGAGCTTCCCGAATGCTTCGTCAAAGGAACCATGACCGGGCCGTACATAGGCCCGCACAGCGCCGACTTCCTGCGTGGTGCTGCATTATACGCCTATGGTGGTGTATGGATGGATGTCGGCAATGTGCTGTTTAGGCATCTAGACAAGATTTGTTGGGACCAGCTTGCGGATGAAGATACTCCGTATACAATCAGTACGCCGTGGATGTTTGCTCAGTATATGGCGAATCATTTCATTGCGGCGAGAAAGGGGGATCCCTTCATCAAGCGATGGTGAGTGGGATCTTCACACACAGCGCCCTGCAGTTCAGCTCTGGACGGCGTGCTGGTCGAGGCCAGGATGCGTTCATGGAGAAACTCCGCCTGGGTCGTTCGAGGGCTTGACCGGTCACGGAGCATGAAAATCTGGATTATGATTTTACGAGCACCGAAAGCTAACTCACTCACCAGGCACGAGCTCTTCATTCACTTGTGGGACGGCCGAGACGAGCACACAGGCCTTAGCGCATCGCCGCTAATTGGATTCGTGGCCAACCTAAGCTTTGAAAAGGTCCACGAGCGAGGCTTCAAGTGGGAGTACAAAGTCGACGAGCTCTTCGTGTTGGGCTACGTCGGCCAGGTAATTGCATGGATCCGACTCGCATGGCTGAAGGAGCCAAATGGCGGCTTTGATGGCGTAGAGTATCATGCCCAGAAAGTCTTGTATTTCGACTCTTTGCCTGAGGACTGGGCTGCTGAGATGATCCTCGGCTTCAAGGGGGAAGATCTGCTGAACGCGTTAAATATGAGCCGGGGTGCCGATCAGGAGACCGAGGGGTATAAAAAGGCGTACGAGGCGGTGTGGACAATGTTGACGAAGAGCTCTTTGCAGAAAATCACGCATGGGAAGGGACTAACGCATGACATGCACTGTGGTGCGCTTCTTGACCTGCCAGAAAATGAAGGGAAGGATACAGAGGCCGGGACATTTGGGGAGCTGCTCCGGTACGGAAGTGTGCACTTCGAGCAGACGAGGGAGAGCATTGAGTATGTGGAAGCCCTCAAGCCAGACCCAAAGCAGGTCATCCACAAAGGCCTGACGGAGCCGTGAGTGGAGGAGAAAGCAAGCAGGAGATCTGCTTTTCGATACCTAAATGAATGACTGGGTTAGATCAGCCAGCCAACTCCATATCTAAGACTCAGTTTCCAGCAATGCTGATCGCCTCGCTCTGTTGGGCCGGCTTTTTCCTCTCGTGCATATTTCCAGATGTACTAGAAGTTTGAAAGTATTCCCTCACCATACATTAGTCAGTGGATTGGTAAGCTAGTTTGGTTGGAATATCTCACCACAGCAAGGCCCTTCGCCCAAGGTTTGATTGCCAAAATTGGCCAATGTCCCATGAGTGTTGTTGTCCACATAACTCGTCGAGTTGGCTCACGTGGAACCGCCACAGCTGCGGCTAAAATGCTGGCAAGAATGGTTAGCAAGTTACATTTGATGCCGATACACGTCAGAATGGTCTGACTTGACGCAGAAATGGCGTGGCAGCAACATTGGCCCGAAGCACATTTATTACTGAAGAACACTCGATGCTGGTCAACCTCACGCCGAAGCCCGGTATGGTCGTTCATGGCCAACGGATTGTTATGGGCGATTGCGACTGAACTGACCGGAAGCGGTACCGGAATCAAGGATCCTCTTTGCTATATTATGCTCTTATTTTGCACCGAAGCACTTTCTGGCAGGATGCATCAAATAGAGGCAGTTCTGGTAACTATACCGGGTTTTCACCTCCAAATAAACGCTTTTCAGCGCACGTTCAACAGCCCTAGGTTTTCGACTTTCTCGAATCCCTACTATCCCTCATTTTCCAGCGACATGCACTCCCCAAGATCTTAGACCATTTATCCACTTCGGCACGGACTTGAAGCAGCCTTTAATCGGATGCTTGCGCCACTTCACCTGCTTTCCCAGAGCCACTATGGTCCTACTGCGGGAGGACGCGAGCGTAGAATGCCAGATGAGCCCTTCCGCCGTCTAACGCAGCCGAGCTATAAGCGTTGACGAGCGTAGACTTCGTGACCACCTGCTCATCGCATTTCCACCACTGCCCGTCATTCGTTTTCGTAAAGGCCTGGTAATGACCCCCCTTTCCGCCTTTCTCTCTACTCTTAACGATGGTTTGGAGGCCGTAGACCACGCTCTCGATGCTGGATTTCGAAAACTCCCGGAGGTGAAGCACGCCATCGAGAGTCACGTCAACGTTCACGCCCTGCTCGGCCGTGTTGCTGCTTCCTCCTGCTTTCCTAGCGCTTCTTCGTGGTTCCGCGTACCGGAACTCGACGATGAGAGTGTCAGGGAGCTGAGTAAATCCAGTCCACCGCTCCTGGTTCGACATCCGATCTCCGCACTTCTCGCAGGCTCGTGCTTCTTTGCTTTCGATCTTCTCGTAGTATCTTTTCAAGCAGCTGGTAATCGACATTGGGCTCGATGAGCTTGGGTCCTTGAATGGCACATCAATCGGCAGAGTCCAGGAGCTTCGCTGTCCGCGGTCTGTGGCGTGGCCCTTGCACATCGATCCCATGCATGTGGTGGCATATTCCATACTAATGCGGAAGAGGCTGTTGACTAAGACATGTCGCGATTCCTCGGTGATGGGCGTGACATCGCGAGGATAATGGCAAGAAATGAGATCCAGGATTTTGCAGAGCCATTCGAAGGGATTCTCGGGAACGCTTCCGCCGGCTTCGCAGCTCCCCAGCGAGAGCATGATTTGTAGCGGATACGGGTTGACGCATTCAAAGCTCCCGTCCTCCTCCACCTGCATACATTCGAGAACATACAACAACTCCGCAACTGGATTGAGCGAGCGCTGGCCTTCTTTTGTCGTTATCGCTTTCTGAATCGTCCGGTCCATCTTGCTCGCGCTCCAGGAATGCTCGATCGGGAAACGAGGCCCAATGTAGTCGTCACCGAGCTCCTTCACGAGCCATGTCGGGTTCAACGCAGTCGCGAGCGCTTGAAGAACCGCGTTGGAGAAGCTGAAATCTTTATCCTTCTTCATGAGGCCTCTCGGGTGGGTCCTCCCGGATTTTGCTGATTCGTCGGGCATTTTCAGTGCGGTAGAGGTGGTGGGTTCTGTCCTCGACGAGAATTCTTTATATAGGTCGTTCGCGTTCAGCGGTGCAGTCATTTCACCCTCATCTGTTCGCCTGGCATGGCCACAATCATTCACCGCGGATTTCTCGTTCCGTTGTTTGTTTCCCTACCGTTTTCCTAGCTAGTGCCTCGCTGGCGATCCGCTTGTAGGACGTCAAGTACGCATGAGCCTTCTGTTTGTGGTTCTTCATCAAGAGATGCGCATGGCCATCTCGGCCGAAACTACTTTGGCTGACCTCACCATCTCTACACTGCCACCAGTCTCCACTTTCTCCGCCGATCTTCGTCACCATCGAGTAGTATCCCTCATGCATGGAGTTTTCTTGATGATAAATGACTGACTGTAGCTTGTAGGTGCACTTTTGCGCCTTGATATCAGTAAAAGGAGACATATCCTGAGTGTGGTTACTAAAGTCCACCCTATTGCGAGTTTCTCGCGGATACTGTTTCCGTCTTTCACTCCGAATGGACTCTCGAATGGAACGTGGTCGAACTGAAGGATGAGGTACTGAGGTAACTTCCTGAGACGCCAGTGTCTCCTAGCATCACATTTTCCGTAGCCCGGGCAATTATAGCCGATCGGTTGTTCGTGCTGGCGATGCTTCAGGAGTTCGTTCAGCGTGATAATAGGTGCCGGGTTGTCTCTCGATTCCGCACTAGCTACCAGCTTACGCTCCGGTAGTGGTTGGAGCGTCAATATCTAGTCGCCTTCTTCCGTCGGGCAGTCTCTTGAACACCCGTCTCGAGATGCCGGCATACTGCACTCGATACCCAATTTACCCAGAAGAGGTCCTTGAAAACGTGGCCGCTAGGCCCAAGGACAAGACTACTACTTCCTGCGAGGGCCGCGCGCTGGGTGGAACAGCGCAGCTGTTCACGAAGCTATTCCACGGGCTCATTCCCCACTTCTCCGTTGAAATCGCCCTACCAGTGACTCTAGCAAGAGCATATTGTAGACCGTATGGTGCCACCGCTGCATCACTCGGAGCCGCACCCTCGCGCCGAAGTTCTCGCAAAACCTTGAGGAGCTCTGGAAGATGGTTAAACTTCGTAGATGATGACATATTCCTTATCCTTACTAAATACTCGCTGGAGAAGGGGGCTTCCTGTACTCGCGGGCCGAAGTCGTGCGCATTACCGATATGTTCTTCGCCAAGCTACCCTTTCAACCAACGCGAGTCGACCGCTGTGGCGAGAGCTTGCGGGTCCGCATTGAAGGGGAGCTTCGTGGTTGCGGCGTTACGCAGTCCTCTCGGTTTCTGCATCCGGACACTCCCAAAGTCGGTGCGTGGCTGATCATTCGTACTGCACTCGCATCTCCTGCTCCTTCTCACCACCGTCTCCAGGCTTGATTGCTAGATCACCTTGCTCCATCCGTTCCCGATCACCGCCGCTCACATCATGCACCCGCCTCTCCGTTCCGGCTTCATCTTCCAAGGCTCTCAGTTGTTGGTCAGGAACCATTCCAACCCTTCCCTCACTCCTCTCATCTCCACCTCCTGCACCGTCTTCCTTCCCACTGATTGGATCCATCCTCGGCTCAGTCATAGTCGGTTCCGATTTCTGACGACGTAGCGCACCACAGACGAAGGCTTTAGCGATGCGAAAGACCGCTCTTCGTTTAAACGATGTCGACCGTCGCTTTCCCACCGCAAAGACTCTTACTTGGCAAGCTTGCTAACCTGCCCAACTAGTAAGAGCAAGCAGTTTCCTTGTCTCATAATATCACTAGCGCAATTGCAAACTATGCAATGCAAATGCGACATCATCAAAGGTCGCCCTTTCCATCTCATCATCATTGCATTTTCCCACCATTGTCCTTCCTGCGTGCGGGTGAAGACAATGTAGTGATCCCCTGTCAATAAAACTCCCCTATGCGGCTGGTGACCAAGCGCAATCTGTACTTCACATCGTCTCATCCCTTCTGCTGTTTCTTGTCGATGAGCTCCTCAAGACCGAGGATCTCCCCTCCTTTGAAGTTGGTCTCGTAAGCCATTTTCCCTTCCCTTTGCTTGAACACCGTACCAATTTAGCCACCGCCGCGCTCGACCCGTAGCGTTTTGCATGTCAGGTAGTTTCAACCATTTTGAAGCATTCCCATTCCAGTACCTCTCGCAACGATAATTGCACATCCTCCTGCTCCAACCAGGTAAAAGTCGCGCCTGCATCATCGTTTTTGAGGAATAAGATCCCATTGATCATAAGACAGAAGCCGTACGTAATCCAGATGCACCGTTCTTCTTCCCGGCGCCCTTTCAGACCAGCTTTGTAACGGGCTTTCCGACGAGGTCAAGCCGGGTCCAAGCGCTTGCGTGCGACGGGCCGGTAGTCTTCTCGCGAACTGGTCTGGGGGGTGTGATACTTCTACGACAGGATCGGGGAGCGTTCTTGTTCTCGGGGTCGCGCTGATCAACTGTCTCCCAACGGCCGTGGATGAGCAAGAGCGATTCGGGCGAGATTTCGTGCATTGGCTATGGTCGCCTCCGCTATGTCAAACGCCGTCTCCACTGCGTCGCGGAATCCGTCAGCCATGATGTCCTGTACTGTAGGTCGCTGGTATTGCAGGCGGCAGCCACTCGCGATGTGTGGAAACCGCCCCCTTTTGCACAACGTGCGCCATTGATTGTCCAACACAGAGAAGAGTCCCCAGACGCATTTCCCCGACTAATGCCTTCCACGCAACGGGTGAAAGAAGCCCTCTTCTCGGCGCTATATAGAACCAGCACCACAAGCTCTCCCTCGGTCCTGACCATTCTACCCACACAATCCCCAGCAACAGAACCCACCCCAGCATTCCACCGAGAGGTAAGCAAAGCGCCCCATCATCCACCATGGTACACTTCTCACGCCGTCAGCAAACACCACGCATGTCGGCTCCATCCTCCCATTCCCTCAAGCGCACGCTCGGCATCCACATCGCCAATGCCGCCGCTGCACGCAAAGCCCTCACCAACGCTGTCGCATTGGCCAAAGCCGCGCAATCCATCATGCTAGAAGGGCTGCAAAACGCCGAGACAAGCCTGCAGTCCCTAACCGAGATCCGCATCCGCACCGAGGCACTCGGCGCGAAAACGCAATTCGGCGGCGTGACGGAGCAGGACCTGAAGCGCCGACTGGCAGACTACACGCTCCATGGCGTGAATGTACGGAAGGAGCATGAAACGGCCATGGACGATGCGTGGAAGGGATGGCGGTCCGCGATGGCAAATATCGTGCGGGCGGGAAAGGCGCAGAAAGATCACGACGAGGTGGTGAGGGAGCTGCGGCGTATGGAGGTTCTATACCGGGGCTTTAAAGAGTTCGAGGGCAGTGTAAGTGGGGTGCGCTCGTCGATTGAAAGGGAGAATGAGGAGGTTTGCAAGGAGGTGGTGGCTATTGCGAGCGCAAGCCAGGAGAGGCTGAGGGGCGCTTTGGAGCAAATGAATGCTCATTCGGCGGCTTGGGAATGGGTCGACGATGGGGTACGGAAGGCTGCGGCGGCAGCCCGGAGGGCCATAACCGGAGTCGAATAGTAGTCGGAACTCTGTGCGATGCCCATCGAAATGGCTGAGCGAGTGCGAAGAATAAGATGGCGTAATTGATGTTATTCGAAAATGGGAGTGCGTTATAGGTGACAGTCTTGCGTAGCGCAAGCTCTTGGTGGTGATGGTGTGCTATACTAGTTATTTGAGAAGTTATACTCGGCCGCCGAGCAATAGCATCGGATAAGAAGCCTCCATTTGGTGACAGGGGGCCATATCGAGAGAGTTGCTGAGGGATCGCATGAGATCATACTTACTCGCGTGTAGGGAGACGCATCCCCGCGGGAGCAGCTGGCCTCACTAAGCGTCGATGGGGTACCAGCCTGACTGAGGAGAGACGGGAGAGAAGATGCGGTAAACAACCCAGCACCATACTCCTCCGTCATCTCACGGATCCATGGATGACTGGGATCGACGGAATCCTCCTGTCAGCGCCTATCTTCCACTATTCCCGGTTGGGACGAGGCAACCAAGGGCCCACTGCGGATACCGCCCGAGGAACGGTGGAACCAAAGCTTGGCCCCCCACACAAGAAACCGATGATGACGGCCCGCTCCTTCTCGTTTCATGAATATTGTTTGGCTTCGCCGACGGGAGGGCGGAGCCGATCGAGAAATTGTTGGGGGTGGCAACCTCCGGCCATCGCAGTGCAAACAGCCTCGTCGGTCAGGGACTGCGAACCGGGGGTCTATGCATTCAATAGGGGGGATTTGTGTTTCATCAATAACATTCCTTCATTTGATGCTGCTCCGCTCAACGGCGGGCAGGTCGAACTCTTCCGGAAAGCGCGTTGGCGATCCAGCGCGCCGGGTTCAACGAAAGGGACAAACGCCGTCTAGCAATGCTTCGCCGAAATTCTGCTTGTAATGTCCGCCATGATACAGAACGCCATCAAAACTCCTTCCGAGTCCGTGTTCCCGCACTTCCTACAATGGTGGTACTAAAAGGTATCCGATAAGGGTATTATAGACATAGAAGACAAACGGCCGAACAGCGGATCGCTCAACTCGTGATTAACGGCATTGCCCGTGCGGAGAGAGGAGAATGGGTCAGCGGCGCATAAAGGCGGGATCGTTGGGCGGGAGCGGCTCCTTCTCGGGTCGCCAGCGGTCCTTGTGGCCCCTCTTGCCCCAGAACTCCTCGAACCACTGCTGGCACTTGCCGCCAGTCCAGCACCCCGCAAAGTGGACCAAAAGGTCGCCGTCGCGGTAGCCCATGATATCGCTGCCTTGCACGTATGCGTTGAACTTGCGCTGCGGGTAGACGCCGACGTGGCTGCGCACGAGCGGGTGCTCGAGCATGAGGTGCTTGATGGCGTCCTGCTCGGCGCCGGCGTGGTCCTGGCCCATGAGCAATGTGTAATCCGTCATCATCTCGAGGAGCATGCGCGTGAAGGCGGTGCGGCGGAAGAAGGTGCTGCCCGTATTGACGCTGATGTGGTCCTGCGTGATCAGGATGTCGATGTCTTCGACGCGGTAGTCTTTCGGCGTGGAGATGTTGGTGGGGTTCTTCTTGAGCTGGCCGTCGAGGATGGGGGTGTCGCGCATGATGCCCTTCTTGATGGCGTCGGGGGCGAGGATCTGGCGGACGAGGTCGTACTCGGGGTTCATGATGATGATGTCGGTATCGATCAGCCAGACCCATTCGGCGCTGGGGTAGAGGTAGAAGGCTTCGGCGACGGCGGGGATCTTGGACCATGTCTGCAAATGGGAGCGTCAGCGTTCGGTGCGCCAGTGCAGCGCGGAGAGGCCGGGACTTACCCTGTGCGCTTCGCCGATGTCGTAGCGGCTCGTGTTGAGCCAGAGGTTGGTGTAGCCGTGCCTCTGGCAGTACCTTTCGCGGTCGTCGAGGGTGCGCTCCAGCACGTTGGGAATCTGGCTGTTGTGGCCGCCGCCATCACTCGCCGTCAGGACCACGATGTCGCGGTTGCGCGGCGGCCGCGCATAGCCCTGCCATCCTTTCGAGTACGCGGGAACGTCCCAGTCCCACTCTGGCTGTGCCTTGAAGTAGCCCGGCTGCGGCCGGTCGTTGTTTGTCTGGACGGGGGTGAAGGTTTCGGCGGGGCCGTAGTTGCGATAGTACTCGACGGGCAGGTCGCCGAAAAAGCGGTAGAGAACGACGAATATTGTGACGGCAGAAATGCCGAGTATTATCGACCTAGAGGCCGGGTGTTTGTTAGCAAACGGGCAAACGGGCAAATGGTCCAGCACGGCTAATAAAAGAGACAGCGTCGTGAAACGTGTAGCGCTAGTAGTCTACGCTGTCGGCGAGGCGAGGAATGGGACCGTACCTCCGGGGCACCTGGAGAGCCTGCATCCTGGGCGAGAGCAGTTTGTCGCCCAGCAGCGAGATGTTTGGCAAGGAGCGCAACATGAGAAACGAAGGACGGTTTGCCGGCTTTATGAATGCGGCGGAGGGGCCTGCGGGAGATGAGCAGAGAGATTGCAGAATATGCGTGATGGCCGTGCTCCGATGAGAGCGCCATGCCGCAGCTATCTACCTATGTATGGCTGCGCGACCCGCCCATCCTCTGCTATCGCGATACGGGCAAGCCATGGGCTGAGGGCGCCGAATCTGGCTATTGGCATTGAATACGCTGACATGGGGCCCAGAAGCGACGCTGACTGGGCACGCCGGCGGCGACGATTGGGCGGTGGCGGCATGCCGCCCGTTGCGAGGCGGTACAGTATTTTGAGAGATGCACCGTGACCTGGGCACTCCAAGCCACTAGCAGCCACCATCGCACGCGCAACAGCCAAACGCGGCCGTTGAGCGACGAGCGGCGGGCCTGGATTCCTCGATTCCTCTGTTGCCGCATGGAGCCGCAAGAAACATGCCACGCCGTCGCCCAGCCCGTGCCAGTGCCAGTGCGCTGGTAGCGACTCTCCACGCTGGTGTTGAACTGTTGAAGCATGCTCAGCATGCATTCATTATTATTCGCACATGCCGACAGGAGCCTCCTCGACGGCCAGGACGGATTTGGCGGATTCGACCCTCGCCGACACAAATCCGGAGCGCGGGCCAGAGTAGAGATTGTGCTCTCCTGCGTTCCGTAGCCCCCAGTCAGGATATCGTGTTCCCTCGTATTCCACTGCTTCAGGAGAGAGGCGTCTCAACCCAGCAACCGTTGGCCGCTTGCATGGCAGTCCGGCTGCACGCAACGTCACGATGCCGCACACTGTGTCCATGGCTGGCCATGGCTGTCCATGGCGTGTGGTATCGGTGCTGAGTCGGATTAAGCTTTTTTATTTATGGTTGCGCTACTGGCGCAAAGCATCTGGAAAAGCGCTGAGCCTCCGGCTAGTGGCGCGCGCTGGCATCAGCAGCACCGAACGCCTGCGGGCTGATTACTAAAATTTGCCTCGGCCATGCCGTTTTCGGTCGCCGGCGGTGAGGTGGAATGACTGCGTGACAGTAACCGTACGCGTGCTACTCTCCGTCGACGGTCCGGTTCTGTTCAAACGTGTTGTCCGTTTTCCTTTGCTAGCGATTGCGAAATTGACCAAGTCAGCTGGACCCAGACACTCCAGGGCTCGGAGAGCTTGAGCTCAGGAGGGGCGTTGCGAGGGCGTCGACGTTTGTGAGAGACAAGAGGGTGAGCAGTTTGAGGAAGAAATTCGCAGTGTGATACTCCACAGTCATCTATCTTGCTGCCCAGGTGCTGTTCCAAGGTTGACGCCATGCAAGTGCCTTTTTGGCCACTAGGCCCCGTCGCGACTGCCTCAAAACCTGTGATGCTGCGCACTTTCCAACCTTGGAAGATTGACACCTCCACGTCCACGGGTGGCGCGCGATCACGTGCAGTACACGGCCACTCCCGCACCCCTTATATGGGCGCTGATGGAGTTTTATAAGACATTGCAAGCCGGCGAAACGAGACCTCGATCAGCGACGGGTGAGACTTTGTTGAGAAGCGACGGGACCATCTCGACTTGATCCATTCACCCTCTATGTTTCCAGAAGATACCGTCCGTCCATCTCGCATTGAGCAAATAGGTGCGTCGATCGGGCCAGGTACAGATCCCTTGACCCGTTCCTATATACCCCTGCACCGCGCCAACGATATCACATATCCCCTGTGGAGCCGGCAAGCGTCATGAGACCGGAGACGGTACGTAGGTAGCGGTTTCATTGAACCTTTGAATACTGGTTCCCATAAATTTACACCAAGAATCTAACTTATCTGCAATATTCCTCGAATCCCACCACCCCGCCGCCCCGCTTCGCATGGCCATCTCATTGCAGACCCGGCAGCAAACTCAAAGTTTTGGTCACGGTTTGCGTGGTAGTAACCTTATTTGTGATGGTGGTGGAAATCGTCCTCGTCGAGCCAGCCGGACCCGACGTGATCAAGCACGAACATGCCGAAGAGAGCGGTCCAGGGCCTCCAAGGCCAAGCGAGATGTTGATCTGGCGTTTCCTGACCGGTAGTTCCACCGGGCAGCTCGCGTCGTAGAAAGTGTAGGGCGACATTGGATTGTAGTTGGTGTTGTCCGCCCTAAGACGAGTCAGTGACCGCCAAGTGGCGGAAGGGATCTACGTACGCAAGAACATCAAAGAGCATGCAATTGGCTTCTCCATATCCAAAGCTCTTGCACTTGGAGTCGGCCTTGCAAGCAGCGCTGCAGGTCGCCCATGTATTCTTGGTGCCGGATGAATCGAAGTAGTACGCGGCAGTGCTCTTAGTATAACCAACGATTCCGCATCCAGCCGAAGGAGTCCTACAATTCATTAGCATCTATCCAGCAAACATGTCACGTAGTGAGGCGTACGGTGAGGGGCTAGCGGAAGGTGTAACGGGAGTGGAGGATGGCTTTGGCGTCGATGATGGCTTGGGTGTGGACGACGGGGGCTTTGGAGTCGATGACGGAGGCTACCACTAGCATTAGCATAGCGCATATAAAACAAACCAGGATATAACGACCTTCGGAGTAGATGACGGCGGATAAAGAGTGGTGTAGACGGTAGTCTGAATTGTGGTTGTAGCGCCAGTTGTAAGGGTAGCGATCTGGGTAGCAGTCCCCGATCGCAAGAGGCTGCTACAGAACAACAGCGCCTCTGAGGTGTGTCCAACGAATGCGTCCAAACCGCATTGTGATACTAGAAAACTAGTTAGCTCGATGCGATTCTGAGGAACTTTATGCTATGGGAATTGCCTCCAAGAGAGTGATATATGGATGACCCCACCGGGATAGAAAGGCCCTATCTGTGCGCCGGATACTTACCGTCAGGCGGACTTCCTCCAGGTACCGGGCGACTAGTGGTCCTGCCTCGTTGCCGTTCCTCAATCACACGAGCATTTGCGACTACAGCAAGAGCTGCAAGCAGTATCTGTGCCTTCATGTTGCCCTGTCGATGACCTTTGGATATTGAACCTCTTGGTTTCGAGATATTCGCGTATCTCGGGAAAGGCTGGCGACAGTTGGGGAGATCTCGCCCTATAAGTACCTTGAATGGATTACGACGCTGCCATAAAAACTATAGGGAAAGCGGGAAGCCGACTCGTGATGTAGCATATTTCATTTGCGAATAGATGAGAAGTGACCTTTCGGGCGCATCGATCCTCGCGTGCGAATGCGTCGGGCTAGACAGCGTCCTGAAGCTTTTCAGCACAAATTAATTGGAGAACCTGCTGGTTAGCGGCCAATTTGAGGCTCTTCCCTGGTGTCTGCTTTCTGACTGTCTGCCGAGGGCGACCTCATCGTGCTTCCAACCGGGAGGAGGCGGCCCCGAAACCGCGGATGCGCGTTGGCATCGTCGAAATAACCGCCCGAAGTCCGCGAAGAAAATAGATGACGAGTATGAAGGAAATATATCCAAAGTAAAAACAATAATTGCCACGGTTGGTAGCTCGATAACCCCTGGTCCCGCACCCCCGCCAAATCGCGTGTTCGGTCGATATTAACCTGCCCTTCTAAAATAAGGCGCAAACCTCCTTTTTCCCTGGGTTTGGAGTTCTGCGAGGAAAACACTATTGAGCTACGGCATCTAGGTTGTGGCAACATGTTCGTATTCTGATGCTGTGGGAGTGCGGCATTCGGTCCAGACCGCGCCGAATATGTACAATAATTGCTGCAGTGAAGCGATGGAGTAGGTGACTTCACTCAGGCAGAGAGGCACGGTAACCGCAAGCTGATGCTGGTGTATAGGGCTTACGTCCGCATGCGCACAGAAGCGCTTGCGACAGATTGCCGTTGCTTCCTTCAGAGAGCGAGTGCAACATCCGATGCTGGCTCGCAGAAAGCCGTATACATAGCGAGATGCAACGCGGAGGGTCTTGCTACCCTCTCCGAATGACGAACCAGATCCGCCTCGTGTCATCGGTGTGAAACTTGGAGTGGTTTTCGCTCAATTGCTGGAGGTTGGCGTCCACCGAAAATGCCACGCCAAGGTCGTCTCCAATCTCTTCCCAAACCCTCTTCAAGCTTTCAGCATTGTGCAGGAACATCTTGCCTGTAGGATTGGTGGTGTGGTCGTGCTCCGCAGCGATCACTGAGCCAATCTGCCGACCCAGAATCATGGATCCTTTCTGCGGCCGCAGTAGCCTGGCAACAGCCTTTGACGCCTTGACCTGGTCCTCGTATCCCCAAAGATGGAAGAAGGACCCTGCATAAACCATGTCAAATTGGCCCTCTAGCTCCATGAGTGCTGAATTCTCATCAAAGACGTCAGCATTCAGGAACTTGCTTCGCAGAGTGTTGTGGTCCCCGAACAACTTGTAGCCAAGCGCAACGTACTCTTCGCGAAGGTCGCATCCGTGAATGTTCTCCGAAGGGGCTCCATCAGCAACTAATTGACGAATCTCCTGGCCAAAGCAGCAGGCCATATCCAATAGCTGCTGCCCTTTTTGAAGACGCTGCAAAACCTCTGCATACTCTTTCATCTGATTCAGACTCAAGTCGAGGAATCGGAACTGCCCTATGCAGGGGTATGGAAATATGTTCCAGGCTTCGTCACGTATCCTGATGACATGGTCCTCGATTTTCTCGGCGGGGATGCCGCTATATGTCTCCAGAAGATGGCGAGCGGCGGGGGTGATCTGGGTGCCATTCGGTCGCTCGTCCCACCAAGGGACATCGTTCCCCCACCCCTTCTCCGCGGTCATGTCGGTTCGGTGTGGGACGAGCCTTGGAAGCTCCGATTAATGGGAATCCCAGGACCTATTGATGGACGCGGTCGGGAAATCCAAGAAATGGAATCAATGGCGGAAACTCAGGTCAAACGCAAATGAGTGCCTTATCGTCAAGGGATGGTGGAGTGCAGGAGCGTTCTGTAGGAGACGGTCCAGTGGTTGACGGCTCGCTTCGGCGCTGACGTCATTCGAAATTACGTGCTCTCCTACGCCTACGCCGTCTCGAATGCGATCCTTCGCTCCTCAACGAGCCATCTCCGACTTTTCTCATGGCCACTCAAAGAGTGCTCATTGCGACTTCAGGCGCGGCATGCTGCAGGGCAAGAGGGTGGTGGAGCGTGTGAGCCTTTCACCTTGGCATGAAGGCAGCGTTATGCGCTGTACCGTCCATATGCCCAGCTGCCCTAGGTAAAATCGACAGTCCGAAGACATCGACACTTTCGCTGCGGTTGCGCACCCTTTGGAAGGAAGAGTAACTGATGCTCAATCTTCCGATTCTCTCACCCAGAATGCTAACCCTAACAGCGCGGGACCCGTCAAGCTCAGCCCAGGCACGCGGTGTGTTCCCGAACGAATATACAGGCTAATTATCGAGAACGTGGATGAACCCACCGGAGCCGCTTGCCTCTCCGGTGCGAGAGCGTTCCGCAGCTTCGCCTCCAAAGTCTACCATACAACGGACAATGTGAGGGTTGGTGAACTAGGTCCATCACATTTCGGAAAGGCGAGAAAGCCATGCACGACTCTCGTATGGTATCCTGTGATTAAGTTTTCAAATGGGACCGCGAGTCTGATGCCTAAGCTCTCACCGTTCTATTCTAACGCCGCCATGAGACGTACGAGTAATGCTGTCTAAAGCATCGCGCCTATGGGGAATCCAGGGGCCCTAACAGCCTTCCTGGATCTGGACGTGGTAGTCAAACCATTCGGTTGCCAAGAGACAGGGCGTTTCCGTTTCCTCCCAAAACCCCGCCTTCACCGCCTCCTTTAACTGCCGAATTTTCGAGCGACTTCTTCCCTCTCACAACATAATTGTCGCAGTTGGGCTATTTTCATCTTTATTCTTCTACGGTTTGGGTATCTTCGGATGCCGTGTGCAAGAAATCTCCTGTACGCCGTGGCGTAGCAAGCCGATAGATATTAGTCTCAAGGCTCATCTGAACACTTGGCCTCAAGCTAGTTATCCGCCTATCCAAAGTAGGAGAGATGCTCTATGGTGTGCTCTGGGCCAAACAGCCCTCCGAAGGCACCCATGTGGGCTGGAAAGTGACTGTCAAGGGAGCAATGGAGCGCGCCTCACTTGAGTATGTGCACTTCTCATACAAGGTTTGCATCAAGGGTCGGGACGACCGGTGAGTTCGGCAAAGGCTCTCTTGACATAAGTCTCGATGATATTGACAGCATTACAGTCAGGACTATCTAGCGATTATGGTCATCCCTGGCACCAAGGTCAAGATCTTTTTGTACTATAACCACTCTTCACAAATTTCTTCCTTCTGTGATGAGCTTTGCGGAAATAGCTGCCCGATTGGGGGGTGAATAACACCCGCGACTACATCCTAAGCGATAGTTAGCTCTCTAGGAGGAAGTTGGAGTTTCAGTCACCAATATCCGAAACCAGTTGCGCAAGGTGCCGGTGCCCGAGATCTGCGGAGATATGGAAGCTTCGCCTCTGGATGATCTAAACCCTAGTTAGCCCCTAGATCCGGCTGCCAGCAAAGGAGCTCACGAGAAGTGGAAGTGAATCAGCTAAGGGATTTTGCAGGACGCATCAGGCGTTAGGAGTCACTCAATACTTTGGAACTTCGGAAAGGACTATAGCTCCAGCGATGACAGGAGGATGGAAAGAACTGTATCTGGCGCTAGGATTCGGTCTTCTCTCAGCAACCGCGTCGGATCATTGTCCACGATTACCGATGAACGCAATGTGGTTAATATGATGTTTAATAAGTACGGTTAGTTCACTCCCCACATTTTCCGTCGGCAATACCTGAGTACGTTCATAATAAATACGGCGTTCATCATAGGCAGACTCGCACCAGATGTGAAGAGGTAGGAAACTGGATGCCTCCCGTCGTATCAAACGAGGACCTTGCCACATCAGGAGCTCCGTAGACAGGTTATCCCTTTAGTAGAAGTTATGTATAGCTGGATGAAGAGGAGAGTACACTTAATGCTATGTCTACTGCACCCGTCTTGCTTGACTCTTCGTTCATGCGCAGCTTTTCTTGGATTTCATTATAATGGACAACATGGCCGATAAACCCTCAACGAACATTAAGCGTCGAGAGTCCAGAACTCCTACGTACAACCATATGAAGGTGCAAGAAGGAAACACTGCTGCTTAGCTCACGGTTCTAGGCTTCTTTCTCGTCTACTACTCCTACGGCATCCTTGAAAGCTTCGGCTTCTTTCAGGATTACTATGAACATCACCATCTACAATTTGCTTCATTAGTACGCTCCAACTCGGTCTTATGAACTGCCTTGCGACCATCTCTGGAGCAATTTACGATTCCTATGGCGTCAGGGTAAGTGCTTTCCAAATTATTCATCTCCACGGTCCGCGGGCTAATGAAGACGTATACACATAGTATCTCTACGTTGGAGTCGGACTTGGCACCGCTGGTGTGCTAGTCGATTGGATGATCCACTTCCTCGGACTAGCAGCCGCAATACTCTTCGGCGTTTGGGCGCCTATGTCCTACCAAGCCACCATCGACAGAAACGCAGACAACAACGTTACGCAGAGCCAAATGTTGAACAAGCTGGATAGGCTCGACGAATTGAATCGCCTGGATCATCTAGATGTGTTGGAAGAGATGCAAGAGAAGATTCAGGGTCTGGCTGTTCTGAGAGCGGTGGAATTTTGCGCCAGGCTGCAGAGTGTCGGCGTGCGAAGAGCTGCTCTCGTCCGTGAGCATCGACAGCTTACTCTATGCGCTTACAGGGACTGCGAATCCGATAACCACGAATCCAATAACCGCCTCTTTCTCTTCTCCTTCTCCTACTGCAGCTCCTGGCGGCGGAGCCAATGGGACCGGTAGAGGCACGAATCCAATCGCGGTTGCTTTGGGTGCGATATTTGGCGGTATAGCGCTCATCGCGCTAGTGGTTGGAACTCTATACTGGAGGAAGAAAGCGATGCAGAAATGAAGGGTAATAGATAAGAAATTAAGGGCTCGGGATGGGGTTATTGAAAATGGGATTTGACGTTACTGATTTGGGCGTGGCGTCTTCGACGGACATCTTCTTAGTAAAACAAGAAGGCTTAATTTTAATCCATTCGTTCAAATCCCCTCTCTCACGTTCTTCATTCTCTTTCTAGACACAAGGACACCGAGAATTAGCCCTAATAATGCAAGACCCCCAAACACAATACCCAGAATCGCCGCTAAAGGCACACTAACTCCTCTACTGGTTGCACTTCCGACGGGCGACGGTGTATTTGTCGCCCTAGACGAAGCGGTCGTGGAGCGAGGAGGTATGCTGCTCAATGTAGGTGTGTTTGAACTTCCCGGATTACCGCTCGTAGGAGATAGATTTCCCACAAGCGAAGTGATGACCTCGTCGATTGTCACTGCCGCAGAGAGCTCGCTACAGGCACGAACGTCGCCCGCTCTACCGTCACAGAACTCCCACACTTTTAACGTCGCTAGTCCATTCATTTTCGCTCGGACTGCGGAAAGGGCCAATGCAGCGCTCCGCGCCTCATACAGAGCGCTTGATTGAAGACTTGACGCGCTGCTCGCCTGTTCATTCATTTCGTCCAATCTGGAGACGAGGCTGTCTTGCGAGGCATTGTTATCCGCGTTCCCGTTCGCCGTTGCTTTGTAGGAGATGGGTGCCCAGATGCCAAAGAGGATTGCGGATGCTACCCCAAGAACTTTGAGTGACCAGTCCAGTAGGAACTCGGTTCGTGGTGCTAAATAGGTAGGTTCGGAGGGCTGCAAGACCGTAGGCATGGTTGAAGTTGTATTATTAGGCTGTGGAGATCCCGCAAGCCCTTGTGTTGGCGGCGGGTGCGTGTGGAGGATAGGAAAAGATGGAGGCCGTGTATTCGAGGTTTGGGTTTGAGTCGCCATTTTAAGTTTCGATATCAATCGAATTGAACCGAAACGGATGGGAATGTCGAGTATTTGTGCTTGAGCAGGCTGAGGCTGAATGAATACGAGATCTGTGGCTGTACCTCATCGCGATAAGAAAACTTGGGTATGAAAACAAAACACACAGCAAAGCCCACCAGAGTTCAGAGTACCTCGGTATAGCAAATGTTGGATTTCGAGATTAGCATGCTGAGAGTACTAACCGTACCTAGGTAGCCTGTGAATGATGTTGTCACGTGACCATTTCATCCTGAACACTTGGTCCAACCTTGAAATGCTCCAAGGTAACTTCCGCAACGCTCCTAGACAGAGCCTAAGCCAAATATATGATCTACAGGTCGTTCTCAGCTTTCGAACCATCGTGACCGGAGATGCGAGAAGCGACCCCGCCGCCTTGGCATGAGTAATCAACACCCTCGCTGACCTTGCATGTTAAACGAGCCCTTCTTCCACCTATAGGTTTTCTTTGTTGCAAAGCAACGGTCGTCTAGTCCCGATACGAGCCCTATTTTCGCCTTCGCGCTGCGAGAACGGGCTCGGCGAGATGCCGAGTGCACGAGGTCACTTTAAAAGCGGTCCGTTTGCATTGTGGTTAGAATTTTCGTAGTAGACATACATTTACACCGGCAAAAATGGAAAACAGTACTACGGCTTATTCGCACGCCCAACTAGCCAAAAGATCAATACGACGCGTTGCGCTCGCATGCATCCAGTGTCGATCGAGAAAGGTGCGGTGCGATGCCACACAGCCTGTCTGCACTCGCTGCCGTGCCGATGGCAAGCACTGCCAGTATCAAAAATCACGTCGCGGAGGTCGCCCTCGCCGTCCGGCCGCTGCGCCCTTACAGGTTGCACTGGAAGGCCCTCCGTCGTCTGGCGCCTCGTCGCAATGGCCCGAAGCCCTCAGTGCCTCCGCTGAAAGCGGTTCCTCTGGATCAGGCTCTGCAGGCAGCTCCACGCAAAGCATTTCTGACACCCTCGAAATCCGCTCCAATTCAGAGACTATACTTCCTAGCGGCACCCGACTGACGAGGATACAAGTCGACCAGCTCCTCGCTCAATACTACACGTACTTCCACATCTCACATCCATGTGTCCTCCCGCGATGGTCTCTCCAGGCACGAATGGCTAGCGAGCCCGTCACATGGGACATGCTACTTCCAGTTCTGCTGTACATTGGTTCGATCTTTACCCACTCGATCGAATCAGCGCCCCTGGGAGACGCAGCATATCACGCAATCAAAAGTGGTCGGGCTCGTCCCGGGATTCCAGACCCGTACTACATCCAGGCCCTTACTCTGTACGCTATCGCAGTATATTGGTGTAACGAGCCCGAGCGAGGTCGAGAGTTACTGGACGAAGCGATCTATGGGGCCTTCGATCTGGGCATGCACAGAGCAGAGTTTGCTTCGCAACATGGCTTAGGAGATCCTGTCCTGGAAGAGAGCTGGAGACGGACCTGGTGGCAAATATATGTCACTGATGTCCATATTGCCGGGAGTACCCATACGTATAAAGGTCTGGGGGCGAAGTTCCCAATCACTACCGAGCTCCCATGCGAAGAGCGGGATTACGAAGCCGGCGTAAGTGCTCCGTGACTCCTGGAGCCTCTCCGTAGTTGCTCATGAAAACGCAGAACGTTCCAACGCCATCCACGCTCAAAAGCTATGATGTGCGCGAGTTCTCCAACGTCGAGTTCTCCTCCTTTGCTCACTTCATAGGCTTCACGCAAGGCATCCATCGATTCCTCGCAACTCGGCGTGTAAATGACATTGAGAGCGCGAAAGCCACATGTTCAATTGCTGACACGATAATGACTGCGTGGTGTTCATTGCTCCCTGCAGCGAAACGGCGACTCCTCCGCGATGATGGGAGCGTGGATGAGCTACTCTTCAAGGCCAACATCCTGATGCACACGTAAGTTTACTGAGACAGAGGTCTTACTAGTTGCTGACTCCTCCAGATACATAGTAGATCTACATCGCCAATTATCGGGCTTGAAATATAGCGCTATTGAATCAGTCTCCAAGTGCGCTCCCCCACCACCACCAGAATCGAACGACTCCATCAAGGGAGAAGCACACATCCATACCGCTAAGGTTCTCTTCGCGGTCGAGAAACTGAATGGCTTACTTACGCTACCGACACGCTTCTCCACGCATACCCCCTTCATAATCTGCATGATCGCAAACATGACGATCGCCCATCTCTCCGCCTGCCGCTACATCTTCCAGGAGCCCAAGCTCTCGCTCGAGCGTGACAAGATCCGGTTGAACATGGGTGTTTTGAAGATGCTGGGGGAGTTCTGGCCGGCGGGTCAGCGCGAGTACCAAACGACGGGGATCATTGCGAGAGAGATACTGTCATTGAAGGAGGAGGATATTCAAGTGCCGAGGGAGACGCCTGCCTTACCGCTAGATACGCTTGATTTCAATTTCGACTTTGACATCAATTGGGTGTGCGATATGTTTGCGAACGCCAATGCTACGTTCTTGGACGGTTTATCGGCCTCTTAAAAGTCTTTCGGGCCACCGGATGGCTCCATGTTTCAATATTAGCATCCATGTTTTAGTAGCGGACAAAAAGAACATTCGAATTGTACCATGCAAGCCCAATGTGATCAGCGGCGATTGCATTATGCACCGTGCTCACGCATTGCAGAAAAGCTTGGAGTGCATTCAGGTCAGCCTCAGGCATCCGCTCCTCCCTTGGTAGCTTCTTCCTTCCGGGTGGGAGTATCGGATATTACAATTTTAGCAATAGAATAGGGTAGCCGGTTCATCATAGTAAGGCATTGGGGTAATCGCAGGGGCTGTTCAGTGTCGTAGCACCAAGCACGGAGCTGGTTGAATCACTCTCCTTGCTTCCCAGCGCGCCTATGAGCACCACACTTTAGCAATTAGAGAGCCAGCTATATATCACAAAAATACGATCCATGGTTCCGGTCAAGAGTACGACATACCTGACGTGTCCCCAGTGCTGACCGCCTCTCCGTCACACACCTTACACAGCAACGTTCCTCACCCAGCCTCCCCATGCAACGTTCACGGATCACCAGGCCACGCGTACAAAACATGTCTCTCACGTGGTGGCTCGCACGCCTTCCTACTAGCGCGGAATCGTGATTCGAGGGATAGCGACATCAACTTGCGACCCAGATCGAAAGGACTCAATACGATGTTTACAGAGAACAGAACGGGGGAGTAGCATGCTCCAGAAGCATGCCGCCTTGTTTTCAATCATACACCAAGGCGCCACCCAAGGGAACAAAAGCCATGAGAAAAATATTGTTTGCTAATCGTAGTGTTACAAGCTCTCAGGCTGAATATATGGCAAGTATTGGTTACTGGGCTGGGTAACCAGTCAAAGACTACTGCAGTATGAAGAGGTAACCTAGCGCTATCTGTGTGAGGGTCGCGTAGCCGAGGAAAGACAGCCAGAGGCAGCTACGTAGCTCCCAGCCCCTTCCTCAGGATCGCTGATTCAAGACAATGTGAGTGTGCATGGAGAGATATATTAATATGGCGCACACCTGTCTTCAGACTCCCTCCCCCTCCTTAGGACTCCACACATCTCTAACATCCCACGATCTCCCAACTCCCAACTCCCACCCAAACTCAACCGCATTCGCGATGCATTCCATTCTATCTCTTTCCCTCTTCCTCGCTCTTCCCCCCTTCTCATTCGCCCTTCCCGCCCCGTCCTCCCCACCCTTCGACATCACCTGGTACGTCACCTCCTTTGAAGTCCTCGATGGGTCCGCAACAAACACCCCCTCCTACGCCAGCTTCACCTTCGTCGACCCACGCCCCGAATACCATTTCAACATCTCGTGCTTCGGCTTCCCCAGCAGCGGCGATTCCGTCTTCTCCCCAAGAATGCGGAGGTGCGGATCGGCACCCGACAACGTGCATGTTCGGATTACGGACGGCGAGGTGCAATTCAGGCGCAGTTGGCAGTCGCAATCGTGAGTTGGTTGTTCTGTATTGGAGGCGAGATTGGTCCTTGTTCCTGACTGGTGCATGATAGGGGTGAATGGCTGTCGGGTATCGCGACCCAGGGGACGTACTGGAACGAGGGCGAGGGCGGGAATGCGACGAGTACAGCGGAAGGAAAGTTGTATACGCGGACGACGGATTGGGCGTTCCCTGTAACGTCGATAGTTGGATGATGCGGACTGTGTAAGCGCATCGGGACGGGGATAGTTGTGGCTGTGAACGCTCAAGTTGACTAGAGTATTACGGACATAGATACGACATGAATGAGAAGAGGACCCTGTATGTGTAACACGGGGGGGAAAGGAATCATTAGTATTGAAATGTCGAGTAGCCTCGAAGCTCATCTCTTAACGCAAGCGTAAACCGTACTCCAAGGCCGGAATATGCCCCAAATGAAACAGGGAAAAGATGCAGCCCTACCAGGCTGCAGGTCGAAGAAAGTGCCACACCCAAACTCGCATATGCTCCTCGTGTCTCCGAGGCTACCGACAACGTTCTAATGCCCCATAAACGTGCCATCGACGTGAAATCATAGGCGGTTTAACAATTACAGCCTCCCGGGCCTTGCGTCTGGTTCGCCTCCGGCCGTAGGTTCACGCCCTGTCGTTGCTGGCCGGGCCTGAGGTTCCGTGGACCGCCTTGATCCAGGGGCAGCTTCTTTGCGATGGCTGTGAAGAGTTCCCGCACATTCTCGCTGGTCTTGGCGGATGTCTCGAAGAAGAGCAGGCCGGCCTCGTGGGCGTACTGCTCGGCGTCGGCCGTGGAAATGGCGCGCTTGTCCGGGGACTCGGTGACCAAATCAAGCTTGTTGCCGGCGAGAGCAATGATGATGTTCTCGTTTGCCTGGCGCTGGAGTTCCTTCACCCACGCCTTTGCCTTGTCCAACGATGACTACAGCCCGTCAGTGTCCGCTGCGTTTGAACGGGGCGAAGGGTGCGAACCGCCTGGGTTATGTCATATACCACGACGGCGCAGTTCGCGTTGCGGTAGTACATGGGGGCGAGCGACTTGTACCGCTCCTGGCCTGCTGTGTCCCAGATCTCGAACTTGACGGTTGTGGATTCGTCGAGGGCGATGGTCTGGGTGAGGAAGGCAGCGCCGATGGTGGATTCTCGGTAGTCGTCGAATTGGTCCTGCGTCGAGATTAGCGTCCAGCAGCACGCATGCATCCAGCAGGCCGGCCCACCTTCACGAAGCGCAGCACCAGCGACGACTGCACGCCTGTTAGCTCATATCGCGGGTGCCTTGATAGCAGACGACGCGCACCTTTCCGACGGCAGATTCGCCTGCAAATGTTAGCCATGCACGCGCCAGGGGCCGTGGGGCGCAGCTATTTACCAAGCAGCACCAGCTTGAACTGGGCGAACCTCGAGCCCCCGGGGCGGCCGCCTTGCTGCATTCTTGCCGACATGGTCGGGGACGGGAGGAGGGCGAGGGGCGGCGGCGTGTGGGCGTGTGGTCGAGGCGAGATGCGGAATGCGGGCCCAGGCTGGTTTTCGGAGGTGGAGCGGGGAGGAGGGCTGGGGGTAAGGGGCGATGGCAGCGGTGTTGCGTGCAGGACGATGAATGAAAGGTGCTGTCGGCGTGCAGGTATGGGTTATGGGTTGGGCGTGACCGGCGAGGGCCTGCCTCTTGGCGCGGGCCCATGCGCTCAATTCAGCCCGCGCGTTTCGTCATCCGCGAAGCTAGGCGAGCTATGCTGCCGCGCCGCGCCCTGGTTTGCCAGAAAACACATTGCGACAACATTCACCTGCTGCACACAGGGCCCTCCTCCTCCTCCTGCGAGCCCCAGCACAGCGCAGCTCGCGCCGCCCGCTGTCGTCGCCATGGCCGCCGTCCTGCCGTTCCGCGACATCAACGTCCACTCCTCGCCCTCGCACTACGCCTTCTCGTCGCCGTCCTCGCCCGCCGCGCCGACGCTGGTGGTAGACCGCCCCTCCGGCGACCTCCGTCTCCATGACGGCAAGCTGCTCGGGTCCAAGAGGGTGTCCAGCATTGCGGGCATCCTCGGCATCATCAAGCTGCGCCTAGGTCAGACCCTCCGTACGGCTACAAGCGCAATGCTGATGTAGAGCGAAGATAAATACATAATCGTAATCACCAAGGCACAGCCCATGGGCCGCATAAAGGGCCACATGATATACAAAGTCGTCTCGACCGAGTTCCTGCCGTTGCGCGACCGCCCGCTGCACGACCCCGACGAGGACAACTACCTCGCCCTCCTCAAGAACCTCCTCAAGACCGCCCCGCTATACTTCTCGTACTCGTTCGACATCACCAACAGCTTCCAGCGCCAGGCACATGCCGACCATTCGGTCCCGCTGTGGAAAAGGACAGACGACCGCTTCTTCTGGAACCGCTTCGTCCAGAGCGACCTGATCGACTTCCGTGCCGGGCTCAGCACCGGATATGGACACAGGCACTCCAGCGGACAGCAGCCCGAAGTGGACCCGTACATCTTGCCCGTCATGTACGGGATGATGGAGATCACGAGCACGTCAATCAAGGGCACCCCGCTCACCTTCATCCTCGTCACCCGCAGGTCAAGGCACCGAGCCGGGACGCGCTACTTCTCCAGAGGCATCGACGAGAACGGCAACGTTTCCAATTTCAATGAGACGGAGCAGACCGTCATCCTCAATGATCATGCCTCGGGCGCGCCGGGCGGATATGGACCAAATATGAACGGGAGCGTGGGGGGCAGTGCCGGGAAGGAGGTGCAGGTGCTTGCCTATGTGCAAACGCGAGGAAGCGTGCCTGTCTACTGGGCCGAGATTAACACACTCCAGTACACGCCCAGGCTTCAGGTGCGTGGTGTCGAAAGCGCCATACCGGCCGCAAAGAAGCACTTCGCCGAGCAGATACGCCTGTATGGAGACAATTGGCTCGTCAACCTCGTCAATGCAAAAGGCCGGGAGCAGAAAGTCAAAGAGGCGTACGAGCAGATGGTCAACTACCTCGCCACCTCGCCCGCCGAGGACGTCCAGGGCGACAAGGTCACGTCGGAGAAGTTCCACATCGTAGAGCCGCAGCAAGCGCAGACGTCCTATGACCGGCTTCACTACATCTACTTCGACTTTCACAATGAGACAAAGGGCCTGCGGTGGGATCGCGCCAAGCTTCTGATGAACCAGCTCGAACCGCACATCCTCAAGCACGGATATTTCCGGGGAGTCGATATGCCCGGGGACACGGGCCTCGTCGAAGTCAGGCGCCATCAGACGGCCGTCGTTCGCACAAACTGTATGGACTGCTTGGACCGAACCAACGTCGTGCAAAGCATGCTGGGCCGCTACATTCTCTCTCGCATGCTGATCGATCTTGGCATCCTCCGCGAGGGCGAGAGTGCAGAAGACGACCAAGCCTTTGAGTTTCTCTTCCGCAACGTATGGGCCGACAACGCCGACGTCGTCTCCAAATCTTATTCCGGCACCGGTGCGCTGAAGACCGATTTCACTCGTCTCGGCATCAGAACCAAGCAGGGCGCAGTCCAGGACTTCAACAACTCGGCCACACGCTACTTCATGAACAACTTTGCTGACGGGCCGAGGCAGGATGCGTTCGACCTCTTCCTGGGCACCTACCTGCCTGACGATTCGGGCATTGGACACCAGCTACTCTTCGCAGACCGACGACCGCTCTTCATCCAGGCCATACCGTACATCATGGCAGCCAGTATCTTCTTTATTTTTGTCGGTAGCTTCACGCGGCGCTCACCGGACGCCACGGTGTGGCCTTTGCGGCTGCTCCTGTTTATTTGCTTGGCCGTCGCAGCTGCGTCTTTCAACTTTATCTGGACGAACGGCACGCTATACGTGAGTTCCTCGTCCCTCCAGACTGATGATTGGAACAAGCGGCTGACTTGTCGTAGGTCAACTGGCCGAAGCTGAATCGTCTCCCGCACGCGGTGGAGTCGTATACAGAGACCCTGTCGAAGGTATCGCATAACCCTGTAGTAGGACCGCTTGTTGGGACGAGGCACGAGCGTGGGAAAAGCGATGCGCGGTTACTGGGCTTGGAAGAAGGCAAGAAGAGGATAGAATAGAGAGGCTATGGCTAGCCCGCCAGGGAGTCGTAGAGCAATGGGGTGTTCGATTAGACGTAGCATAGCGAGCCTGTTATTTTGAAATATCAAATAGAAGTTGTAATTGATAGTGATTAATATTTGCTCTCTGTCAAAGGTTATCATCCGAGATTATCACTGGACCACAAGTGATTCGCAACATTGACTTTGAGGCAGGTGTCGCGGAAGCCTTCGGAACGAAAATGGTCGTCTGAGTGATTAGGAAGATTGTTGGGAAAAGAGTGATACATGTCTTGGTACGGGAAGTGTTACATAGACTGGTGGTAGTACAGGCTGTTGGGGTATCATCGAGAGTAGGAGACGGTAGCAATGAGATAGTATAAGCGAATGAAAGGGTATTGTGGAGGCAAAGAACAGACAAGCGCTCCCTAACAAGAAACGTGCACCACAGGCAAAACAACAACGTCAAACTCGTCGTCCACGCTCTCCTCGCTCACGCTGTCCACCTCCTTCAACGCCTTGCCATCCTCGCCGTACTTTCCACCCACGAAGTCCCATCCGTCGCCCTCCAGCCTTCGCCTCAGCCGCTCACGATTCGAGTTCACGGCGCGCTGGACTAGGGGCGCCCACTCGGCGTCTCTTCTTCTTGGGGACTCTTGCAGCTGGGGACTCTCGGTATCGAGCTCCCATTCGTCGAAATCGGGGAGGATCCATAGATCGGACTCGGTGCTGTTGTCGGTGCTCAGGTTCAGGCATGTGCTCTGATGCATTTCGCCTTCGGGTGAGGGTTGCTGGTGTAGGCGGCCGCGTTTGCTGCTCTGGGTCGTGATCCAGTATCCGCGGGCATTGTAGCGGCTGAGCGAGATGCTGGGGCGGAAGTAGTCGTCTGAGTCGGCAGTGCCTTTGCGCTTTGCGGATTTGGAGTCCTGGCTTCTTTTGCCCGGGCCAGCTGCTGATGAGCTTGCGCCGCGTGACGGGAGAATGCCGTAGATGGCGTCCGCAATGTTCGCGGTGTCGCAGCTGTCACGCGGGCTGCGAGTACACGGGCGGTCATCCATAGCTTCGAGGCGAGCAGGTGTTCGGCGACACGACGAGATAGACAGATATCTAATGTGGTAGAAAGAACTGGGAAATGGGAAGCCACATGCAGGTGATGCGGGTGTAAGATGCGGATGTGAAATGCGGGTGATGAAGTGCAGGTGGCCCGCGTACGAGGTCAATGAAGTGGTGGTGCTGGATATGGCTGCCTGGTGGAGTCATGGCCCGATGACGTTGGGTGATGGTGGCTGTGCTCAGCCGTGTTTCAGTGGCGTACCACAGTTGGAGCGGGCAGCGAGAAATGGAAACATGTGAAAGGGAACGCGGTCGCCGTGCGTGCGGGCTCTTTTGTATGCCATGCCGGAGTTCGCGAGTGGTTTGTCAAGCAAGTCCGAGACACGACACGACCGCGACGTGGCTCCTATGGGGTGCCGGGGGTTGCACGACGGCGGCGGCTCGGAGGGCTTCAGGCTGTGGCCAGTGCAGTGAGCAAGCGGTGTGATGTGGGATAGTCGTCCTTCGCGAGCTCAAGGATGGTGGTGATGGTGATGGCGGTGATGGCGGCGTGGTGTTGAGTCGCCCTGCCGCGCCGGCGGTCCGGAAAAGCCCGACGCCGGCGCGCCTCGACACAGCAGCAAGCTCCAAGTTCTGCGAGCTGTCCGACATCCACACCCACCCCTCCCCACCACCCCCATTCCCCGCCATTGGAGGCAGTCCGCCATGCTGCGTGCCTCTATTCTGCGGGCCCGGCCAGCGCTGAGGCCAATTGCACCCGGCGCCCGCCCGCAACGGCGCGTCGCCCAGCGCTTCTACGCCGACGGGAAAAAGCTCGGCGACACGACCATCCCCAATCCCTCGCCCACCGTCTCGCCGACAAACGCTTCGCCCGTCGAGAATGCGGCGATTCCCCCGTCCGACGTCCCCAAGCCCCCGCCGGCGCCCGAGGCTGCTTCTGCAACACGCTCAGCGCCCGTCGCCCAGCCCGCGACCACTCCCCCAACCGGCCCCGGCTCTGCCAGCGTCGCACCCGATCCACAGCCGCCGAAGCCGAAGAAGCGACGTCTGCGCCGGCTCTTGTTTTGGACCGTGCTTCTGTCTACGTTGGGATATGCAGGCGGCGTGTGGTATTCGCTCGTGTCGGACAACTTCCACGACTTCTTCACCGAGTACATCCCCTTCGGCGAGGACGCCGTCGCATACTTTGAGGAGCGCGAGTTTAGGAAACGCTTCCCAGGCCGTGCCGGCCAGCCGCGGCTGCACCCGCAGGTCAGGGGCGAGAACAAGGTCACCATCCCAGGAAAGAGCGGATTGACCTCGCGGGTCGCCGACCATGATGGCAGTGACCTGGCTGCGAAGGGCCCGCATGTCAGCGCTGTGGACGCCAACCCGCAGAGCGGCCCGCCTGCGCAGACAGCAGCACCCAAGGTTGGCTCCGACGACCCGGCAACGGGCGAGCCGAAGAAGGACCGAGTTGATGAAAAGCCCACCGAGTCCGCTTCTCACCATCTGCTGCCCAAGGATGAGAAGAAGCCTGAGCCGGCCAAAGAAACAAAGGCTCCTGCTGCAGCGCCCGCTCAGCCTATCATGCCCATCGACCATCTCAACGTCCCTCAGGCAGGCGAGCCGGTAGTGCAGGATGTAGTGAAGATTGTCAACGACATCATTACCGTCATCAACGCCGATCCGTCTCGCGCGAGCAAGTACGACTCTACGCTGGAGAAGGCCAAGTCGGACCTCGGAAAGGTCGTGTCGGACATCAACCTGCTCAAGGAGAATCTGCGAAAGTCGGCCGAGGAGAAGATTAAGGCCGCCCACAGCGAGTTCGATGCCGCGGCGAAGGAGCTCGTGCAGCGTTTGGACCACCAGATGCAGGCTCAGGAGACGCATTGGAAAGAAGAATACGAGAACGAGCGGGAACGCCTTGCGCAGTCCTATCGGGAGAGACTGCAAGCTGAGCTCGATGCCGCGAAGAAGGTGTACGAGCAGAAGCTGAAGAACGAGCTCCTCGAGCAGAGCATCTCCCTCCAGCGGTCTTTCGCCTCATCCGTTCGCGATCAGGTCGAAGCCGAGCGTGACGGCCGCCTCGGCAAGCTTAACGAGCTCTCTTCTTCTGTCCACGAGCTAGAGGAGCTGACTGCAGAGTGGAATTCGGTCGTTGATGCCAACCTCAAGACGCAACATCTTGTTGTCGCCGTGGAAGCTGTCAAAGCTGCGCTTGAGAACCAGATCACGCCCAGGCCCTTCATTACCGAGCTCGCTGCCCTAAAAGAAATTGCCGCTGATGATCCCGTCGTCAGCGCCGCGGTCGCAAGCATCAATCCCGCCGCGTACCAGCGTGGCATTCCCAACTCCGCGCAGCTCATCGACCGCTTCCGCCGCGTCGCCCAGGAAGTCCGGAAAGCTGCCCTTCTCCCTGAAGATGCTGGCGTTGCCTCGCACCTTGCTTCTCTCGCCATGTCCAAGGTTCTTTTCAGAAAGTCGGGATTAGCTGTTGGTCAAGATGTCGAGGCTGTACTCGCGAGAACCGAAGTCCTGCTTGAGGAGGGTGACCTGGATGCTGCCGCAAGAGAGATGAACGGCCTGCAAGGTTGGGCGAAGGTGCTGAGCAAGGACTGGCTGAGCGAGTGCAGGAGAGTCCTTGAGGTCCGGCAAGCTTTGGATGTGGTTGCTACCGAGGCAAGGCTACAAAGTTTACTCGTGGATTAATTTTCTCGCACATGGGTTCTAGATCTGCATGGTAGAGGAGATGGTGTTTTTCTATTGTGTGAATACGGAATGTACCTGGGTAGTTGTACGTGTAACCGAAAACTCATTATCGCGTTAACATTGAAGCCTCTGGGCATCGGCGATTACGTGCACTGTATTTTCCTCCGTTAGCTGAGCGATCAAGTCGATGGAAGTCTTCCAATGGTACGCATTCCAGGTTCATGGCTCACTATCAGACAATTGGTCACAGGGCGCAGTCTCGCATTCTCACCGCAATGTGTCACGCCATTAGGCCAGAATGGGCAGTGTGCAAACAGGAGGAGCTTTAGGGACTGGGGACATGAAATGGTATACGTCGCTCTAACATTCGCTGGAACCAGATGATTGGACGTCCCAGGGGTAAGTGTGTCCTCGTTGTTTCTCTGGAATAACGACGTACAGTGGACGCAGCGATAGTACCAACCACGGTTGAGTGATTATCGGACACGCTCCCAGCGCCTCCATAGGCGTCTAGATAAAAAGTCTGTCAATCTCTAGTATCCTTCTGAGCTCTGCTCAGCAGTTTTCTTCTCGTACAGCCTTCGCTACTCAAACTCAAAGCCAGCAGCATCTTCCCCCCAAAACCCAAATTTGTTTTTGAAGGCTACTACTAGCCTCTGCCTCTTTTATGTTTGCCAGCATAGCTCACGTTGCGACGGCCACCAACTGCAAACAAGGCCTCGAGCACTGCGGACCCAGTCTGATGTGCAAAGGTCAGTCCTCAATCCACTCCCACTCCCACACGGCGCGCTAAATACGAATGCATGAAACATGAAACTGCTGTCTGCAAATCGTCGAGGGCAGGAGTTAGGGAGCGCCCCCTCTATAAGGTAGGGAGCAACCCCGTAAGCCTTCCGCGCGCGAATCCACCCTACCACATCTAAACCCTAGGCTTCGTCCGCATGCTCCCTACCTTGTAGGGGGGTGCTTCCTGACTCCTGCTGCCATCGTCGACGAGCTCCTTGTTGGGTTCTGCCCATCCGTCAATGTAACCAACGATGAAGGGCTCGCATTTCTATTGCGCAGGTAGAATGATTGGCGATATCTGGTACGAGGAGTTTTGTGGGGAGAGGAAATGTGTGGACGGAGGGGGAGGGATGATCATTGCTAGCGGGGATTGAGGGAAGTAGAGAGCGGGAAGAAGACTGTTGCCAACAGGACCGTCCCCAGACTTCGCTACCGCGACCACCATACTCCAAGGAGCTTTTGGTCGAGACGTATTTTGTGCGCGTGTCATGCTGCTCCTCCGACTACCAGAGTTTGGGGGAAGCGCACATATAAACCTCCCTCGGGTCATTCTGATCGGTACGGATTTGCGCGCCTTGTTGGAGATGGGCGTTCTGTGTCTCATGGTGATGATGGCGATCTGTCTTGTAATTGAGATTATTGCATGTATTGGTCTTGTAGCCGGTATCAGCGTGATCAACGGGAAGAGGACGTGGAGAAGGATACAGGGCGGAAACCGCCTAGTCTTGGGCGAGAAGACGGGACGTTACTAAGCCTAACATTTTGCTACGCTTTACTTTTCAATATCCAGCTACGCACGCAAAACGCCGGATCGCTCTAGAGACCGGTTACCAAGTCACCTGGGCAGCCTTGCCCAGGCAGGTCCGCATATGGCCTCGGAAGGCGAGGATATGTTTGGGGGGCGCTTCTCATGTCTGCGTCAGGACTACCCACACTAATTGTGCTCTTTCCAGTGCATATTTTCCTCTTCATCTTTATTCTCACTGTACTTTTCTTCCTCATACTTGCGCATCTCAACCCAGAACGATTCCCGGAACGCTGCGTATCTGTGCTCTGAGCGGAAGGAGGCGCGTATGGAGTGGTTCATAGCATCTGGATCCTGCATTTGTGTCGGTCTAGTGTCGGAGCATTGGATTAAGGCCATGCTGTTGATGCGCCTGCAAAAGCGGATCTTCATCCCAAAGGCGTTCTCCTTCAAAGTTTCGGCAGCAACGACGACGCCGACATATTTCCGCCGCTCCATAGATGGCCGTCAGATTCCATGAAACTGAGGACATAGAGGCGAGAGTCGCCACTCTGACCCATCCAACCGCTCAGCGCTTCGTCAAGATCGTCCGGTCGCTCCGTCTCCTTCATGTTCCCGCCGCTCCTACGCTCGAGAGCTTCCCTCTTACGGAAATTGCATAGGAAACTTTGCCACCACCAGGCGGTCTAAGCGCCGCTGTGGCAATGCTGCCATCATGTCCTGCTGAGTTTGGTGTCGCATTTGCCCGTCAAGCCGACGCTGACAGATCGGGCACGCATCATTCGCATCTTCATGTCCTCTGTCCTCCAATGTCGGAATTTACTGCTCTAAGTAGTCGCTCTAGGTATCGTATTTGACATGGTGGCCTTTCGGTGGTCAACCTATTTCGTTCAGCACTGGTGGGACTTTAGCTATCGTGGCTGCCCGCTTAGGCCTAAGGAAGTGGAGGAATTCTGCGATCTTGTGGCGAGCGTTGAATGATTCCAGATGCGAGCAATTTCGAGCTGAGCGTGGCTACAGATTTTCATCCAAATGAATTTGGCCTTCGGCGTTTTGACATTGTTCGAGTACGACGCACCGCGTTGCTCGGCCAAAGTGAATTCACTACAACATCCACACTCGTATGCGCCAATCCCAAAATAGGCTAGCCCATAGTGCAACTCCCTCAAATTTTGTCTTTACATCCGCTCCCCAAAATTTCCTCACCACCGACTCTCTGCGACGCACCTCCAACTCAACCGCAGGAACAGCCATAGACATAATTTGCTCTCCAACCGTTCGACTTCCGAGATTCCTACAACACCCACCCACCACGGACACAATGTCTGCTCCCGCTTCCCCAATTCGAGCTTCCCCGCTAGCATCTCCTGCTACCATGGCTTCTTCATCCGCACCTGCGACTGCTGCTGCTGCGGCTGATCGGATCTTCGATACCACACTGGATGTAGGATCGCCTCTCTCAGAAGTGGGACTATTCACTCACAAGTCCCCACAGGATGTTCACATGGCTCCTACGATCCATCCGACTGTCCCGGCCTCCAAGACAACGCCTCGTTCTCCCCCACTGACCCCCGATGAGGTTGAGGTTGGGCAAGATGAGAATGTTAAGGTAGGGTTGCCAGGCACTATTGGGAAGCTCTGCGCTGATCTTGAACTACAGTCCCACGCCATAGACGCCCAGCTCAATGATTTACATAGTAGCAAACACTCGCCAGCTCCGGCAGCGAGCTCTGCAGGTCTCCCGTCTCCAGTCCCTTCTGAGACCACCGACCGATCGCCGGAGTGTCACGGTAATGAAATCGACACCCAGCAGGCTTCAAAGAAGCGCAAGCGCGGCTCGGATCATGAGAATGCGGCCAATGCTAGCAACGCCCACCAACCCGATCATGACTCGCCGCCGTCCAAGAAGCGCAATATCAGTGGCGTGGCGCAGAAGGTTAGCAAGACGCGGCAGCCGAAGGAAGATGAACGCCTCATTCGGCAATCGCGTGATCTGGAGCTTCTGATGAGGAAGGAAGAGGTATCCATCGCTGCGAAGGCCAAAGGCACGAACATCTTGCTGAAGAAATCGATCAAGGCTATGAAATATGGCCCCAAAGCAATCACCTTCGACCAGATCGAGAACAAGAAACCACTGACAAGCCCACCGCCGGGCGCTACACTACCCACTTTTTGGGATCCCTTTGCTAGAAGGCATCTACGCGAGCAGAAGGTTGAGGTGACTGTGGCGGACTCCGTCAGCCGAGACTCTCCTAACGACCCGGACGTCCGCGAGGTCTCTCTTACACAGAGCCTAAAGATTTTCCAGGTTACGACAGTTCCGCGAGGTCAGGGTGGCGAAAGTGCACACCTTGACAAGGATATCCGCAAGTACCCAACATGGTATCCACATATCTGGATCGAGGACGACGAGGGCAAACACGGCACAATCTACATTCGGAAAGTAAGCCCTGAAGACTTGAAAGCCCTGAGGGAGCAAGCAGCAGCTCGGGACAGGTTCATGATGGGACAAGGCGTCGTTCCCCGTCCCCGCCAGCGCAAAACCGCTCCAAAGGCGCCGACCCCTCCGCAGAAGCCACACCAAACTACAGGGAATCAGATGAAGCATCGGGTAGGAAAGAAGGGTAAGGCTGGCAGGGAAGCAGCTAAAGAAGGCCTGCAGGACGCGCAGAAGAATCACGGACCATCGCACTCGCCCTCTCCACTCTCGCTTTCGTCTTCGCCCGCTCCCTCACCCCCTCGTACTCGCGCTAAAGCCACCTCTAAGGCTGAGCGCCGCCAGCACAAGAAAAGCGATAGAGCTTCGAAGGTGCAGTCTGCGGCTTCGTAAGCCAGCCCCTCGGTCGTCGGGTTAAGCACGATATTTCGAATGTCGCAATGGTGCATGGCTATCTGTTCAATATTCAGTGCTTCATGCCTTGAACTTCAGCCCGCCTATGTTGCATTCATGGGCTCTCTTTCTGAAGGATGAATGTCTATTGGCTTGCGTCCTGGATGGTTATAGTCACCACAGTGGTGATTACTCAGGGTCGTGGCAACCGGCAACCGTGTTTTCCTCCAAAATGCAAGTTGATATTATTCCAAGAGTAGAGAAAGTGTAGCAGTGATAGAATTCCACGGTAAAATTTGTGCTTCGCCTCTCTTGGACTGCCTCTTTTGAAAATGCGGACGCATTTCGGAAGGTGTTGGTGGCAGGTTTCCGGACGGCTGTTCCAAACTCTTCGGTTCGCTTGAATAGGATCACGGCTCATTCATAACGGAATCAGATAATCAAGCAGGTCGCGAAAATTTCGTTTCCGGTGTTCTCACTCTAATCAAATGGTGGCCTCCGTATAGGCCCTTAGGCATGCTTACATTACGGCCGGTGAATATCATGTTTCGATGAAGTGCAAGTGACCATTGCCGCGATAGCTTTAAAGTCCGGTCCAGAGCCGACGGCGATTTGGCTAGCGAATAGACAGTACTCTATTGAAGCAGTTTTACCAAAGCTGTTAGTATTATTCTGAATAAATTTTGCTGCGAGGTGACGGTACTTACTATTGTTCGTGTATTGAGGCTCGAAACCCTAAGCCTTCACCTATTGTACCGCCACGACAATAACGAGAATAGCTATCGTAGGGCAAGCCCGCCCCCAGCACGAGACGCCCGTATAAGTATCCAACGGAGACTCCTTTCTTCTCTTGATTCTTCAGGCCACTTTCAATCCCACAACCATCAACCACTGCTCCCGCAGCACCCATTCCTCTCAAGCACCGACACGTTCCCACAAGCATAAACCACCACTCCACAAACCACCACTCCCCGACACCATGTCCGGCTACGCCCGCAACGCCCCTGTCGACATGCGCGCCGCACTCTACAACCACCAGGCGGAAAGCGTTCCCCGCCCACTCAGCAGCCATCGCGGCTACGGCGCTGGCGCCGTAGAAGCCGCCGACGAGCGTTTGGTCGAAGAAGTCCGCGCCCGCCGTGCAGCGCGCGCAACGGCTTCGGCCGCCGCCACCACCACGAAGCAACCACAACCGCCGCAAGACTCGGTCGCGGCCATCGAGGCCAAGCTTGGCGACGCCCGCAAGCAGCGAGCGGCGGCCAAGCGGCAGTACGAGCGAGCGCTGGCGCTCGAGAAGAAGCTGGAGCGCGAGCACGCGAAGGCGGTCGAGCGAGAGAAGAAGCGGAAAGAGGTGGAGACGGAGAAGCGAGAGAAGGCGAGGAGGCGTGAGCGCGCGCTGGGGATCAAGGCGCCGACGGCTGCACGTCCGGAGGGGATTCGGAAGGCTACGGTGCCGGCCAAGGGTGGTGCTGTTCGGAGGGCTGCGACTGAGAGGAAGACAGCTGGTCTGTCTGCAAGCTTCTTGGAGGAGTGATTGGTGGCGGCATCCTATCGTAGCCCAAGCACAATCGATCCGGCTCACTGCTAGTGGGCCTTTGCTCCTTGGGCGCTAGAATGACCTTGTCCTCGCTCCCCTCCGTCTCAAACTCCCACCCTTGCACGGCTAGGAAACGGGTTGATCCGCAAATATTCTTCTTCACCCATTCGCAACTCGAGCTACAAGAGACACTTCTGCGAAAGAACGGGGCATCCGACCGGCCTCAGCGCCTGGCCTCGCGCACGTTGCAAGCTGTCCCAAGCGGGGGATTCCTACCACTGGACTCGGACATGAACAAGAGCAAGGAGCCTAGAACGAAGATGGTAGAGGAGTGAAGCGACGTGGTTGACGTCTGGAGAGGAAGCACATGGCGCCCGCTGGCGTCACTCGAGGGCCCGTGCGCATACATCATCACTCATCACTCAACCTCGACCTCAAGCCGTCACCAGAGAAGGCTCCTACGCAGGCACCCTTTGTAACATTCGAATCCCGCCATTCTCGAATACCCCGTTGATTTGGACCCTAGCCTTCCGCGCTGCACGAACCGGAGAATATCTTCCAACCTGCCCAGAGAGCCACCCCACCCCGGTCGCGCATCGTTCCGATATCGCAGCAGCCTCGCCAGCCCGTGAAAAGCAGGCCCCCCGAATTAAAAAAAAGGCATCGTGCATTATCATCCGTCTTACGAAGAGGAAGAGCTTCCGCTAGGCGCGATCCAGAAGGTGCCACGGCAGCGCTGCAGCTCACCACGCCCGCGTCTCTACTTGACTTGCCGAGCGCCTCTCCACATGTTTGGGACTCTGTGCCTGGCTTGATAGGCCGACGACGCCCGACTCTACCGTATCAACCCTTGGCGTTGCCACACCTATTTACTCACCATCTGCTTGCGTCGATACTGGAACTACTCCTGACCTGCTACTCAAGCGCACCGCTGCACCAACGCGCTCGCTATGGCGGCAGTGGCTAGCCCTTCGCTCCTCACACTGCCATCCGAGCTCGTCCATCACATCCTCACCTTCCTCCCTCTGCCAGACTTGCTCTCGGTCGGTCTGGTGAGCCATGCCCTCTTGGAGCACTCTCGCCAGGACACGCTCTATCAACCCTACGTCCAGTCTCATGTACCCGGCTCGGCTGTCACAAAACCGGCGGGCCTGGGCTGGCGGGCCCTGTTCAAGCTGCATCATCCGTACTGGTTCATTCCGAAGAGCAAGATATGGTTCGCCGATAACGCGCACACTGGAAAGCTTCTCATAGCCCGATATGACCATCGAATCAATGCCATCGAGGCCTATGCCCTCGTCGCAGAGCGGCGCCAGCCCACATTCCAGACCTGGGACTGGAATCCCGAGGCTATCATACACACCTTTAGTCCCCGCATTCAGCTTGATCTAAATGTACCTGTCGTACGCTTAGACATCAACGGCTACGAGCACGCGACTGGCGATGTGGGATGCCGCCTACAGAAGGAAATCCCGATGAACCTGTTCGGCGGCTCGCCTCGATCAACTGCCAGCTTGTACTCCCGCCTCATGCTCACAAAGCCATGGCCTGCGCATATCACAACGGCAGCGACGCCCGTATGGCCGCCGCTCATATTACCCAGCCCCACCCGAACGCGCAGAGATTCACCTACGCAGTTTCGCGACCCAGAGCATAGGCCGTCTGCATTGCCAGAGCTCTCTACGGCGAGCTTTAGGATACGGAAGTGGATGGAGTTTTCCTCTCGCCCTCACGGCGTCAGTATGCGCGTTGGTGAGGACATCACGACGTGGGCCACGCTGCCGGAAGAATGCTATACGCCCACGCCGCAGAAGCCGTGGCAGGGCATCTGGTGCGGCGACTACGCCGGTCACGGCTGCGAGTTCTTGGCCATCATGCAACCAGACGATCCCAGGCCTTTGCCCGAGCGGGCAGAATGGGCAATGCGAGCGCGGGAGCGCGAAGGCAGCGGTAGCAGGGCTGCGGCCTGGAGTACGGCGCCCACAGAGGCTGCCGAATGGGACGAGCCGTGGCAAGGCGAGGCTGTACAGTCTCCTGGCGCGAATATGATCTTAGAGGACAGTGCTGCCACACCGCAAGCCCATACCAAGCAGCAGCCATGCCCGGCATCGGCCGAACGCAAGCCACCCGAGGATGAGAGCGTCTGCCACGGCCGCATCGAAGCGGTCAAACTCACCGGCGACCCAAACATACCGCGGGGAGAGTATACCTTCATAGCGCCGGATATCGGGCCAAATGGACTTCTTCGGGTTGCTACCGAAGACATGTTCAAGGGGGCTCGGGTCGTTAAGAGCGTCGGTCATATTGCGGCGCATGGTTTCAGGGATGGTATGTTAAAGCCCGGAATGAACAGAGCCTCATTTGCTTTTGATGCGTTTTCTAACCACGACCAGATGACTATATGACATCGCAACTAATCCTCATATCGTATGACCGACTAGCACAATATTGGGAGACATTTGGGCATGTGTCGTTCTATCAGCGGGTGAATATTGACGAGTTCACAAAGATACCATGAGCAGCACTGCGGTTTGGACTTAGACTTTCCTAGATAGGGTCGGGGGAGGCGTCATGCAGAATACTCCATTTCTGCCTTTCCCCTCTGTGAATCCCTGCAGTAATGGTATTGGAGTTCCTTACACTGCCGGTCCGGGAATGGTATAGCGTCTCGTGGGGAAAGAACCCTGTCGGAGCCTCGGACGTCATAGTGATCGTCAACAATTTTCCCGCCATGCACGCAGCCACGACAATTCTCCTCCGCCGCGCCCCTCTCACATTCTCAGAACCGGATCCCCTTAGCCCTACTTAGCTCGATTTGTCAAGCTTGTCCAGATCCTTTTTTCTACACTACGCGCGTGGTCTGCCCATGATGCCGCACCACGAGCAATACATTCTCCGCGTCACCGCCGGCTCCACCTACGACACGGCGAAACACGAGGACGTCCACGTAAACAGCGAGAAGCCCGTCGACATATCCTCTGATCACGTCGATGCCAGGATACACATTCGAATAAAAGACTACAGAGGTACGCTGGTCTCCACCTTCGCCCCTAGCCCTGGAACCCTCAACAAACCTCTGCGTCGCCGCTTCGCCGTCACGATGCGGGCGAACGCTCCCTCGGCCCATGGAACCCCTAGAATGAAAACGTGTTGACGCACACTACAGGCCTACCTCCAAACTCCCCCTCCACGTCGCCTTACTTCTCCACGCCCCAACACCCCTACGATCGTTACTCAATCTCCTTCTCCTTCACACCCAAGCGCTCTATATCCGGACATCACCTCGTTTTCGGCAACGACTTCGACCACCCGATCCGAGACCGCCTGCCGCCGCTCTTCGACAAAGCATTCGGCATCGTAAAGTGGTGGATAGACCCCGGGCTAGATGGCGATGTGTACGGCGACGAACCGTACCTCTATGGCGCCCTGCTGAGCAGCATAAATGTGCTAAGGATAGGGAGAAAGTTGCTCGGCGAGAAGAAGAAGCAAGAACAAGAAGAAGAAGAAGAAGAGGAGGAGGAGGAGGAGGAGAATACCGTGGTGTATGAAGAGGGCGCCGACGGCGACGGCGAGGCGGTGCGGGAAAGACAAGGGATACCGAGCGTACCTGGCCAGCGGCAGAAGCATTTCCTCAACGAACAAAAGCGGAAGGATTTCGAGTTCGAGCAAGGGAGAGAGTACAAGTGCGATTTCTTCAATCCGTACCTAGACTTTAATGAATTCGCCTTAAAACTGGGATACGGGCTTCCGGCGATATCGATTATCGGCCATTGGGATGGCCAGCCGCTACGGTACGTGCAGTCCTCTCCCCTCTAGCCATTTTGCTCCCACCTCATTATCCATTTCTGCATGTCTGCATTTAACAATGGTCTAACTAACCAAGCACACACTCTCTCAGATACGTCCTCAAGAACAAAGCGGACAACAAGGAGCTTTTTGTCGTCATATTCCAGCTCATACCGACTGAGCAAGCTAAGAAAGAGCAAGGTGCGCAGAGTCCGGAGGACAAGTTTGAGATAGTGCACGGTGGTGCGAATGGCACGGCAGCAGGAGGCGACGATGACGAGCTGGACTAAGCGTTGCGCTTTCAACGTTGATAGGGCGTTTAGGGTTGCAAGCACACAACTCGCCGATTGGAATGGCTGGATGGTCGGAATGAGGAAGCATCGCTGCATAGAGCATACAATAACAGTAGACCTGGCAAAACCTCGCTTTTACATGGCAACTAGACTTGTACAATCTCGACTCTTATTCAAGACATTTATCCTACAATCTCTTGCACACATCTTCAATGACCTCCTCCGTCGTCGCCTTGCCTCCCATATCAGGCGTCAATAGCTTGCCTTCCTCGAGGTTCGCATCGACTGCCTCGTAAATCCTGGCTGCCGCCCGCTCCTCGCCCTGGAATTCCAGCATGAGCGCTGTCGACCGGATTGTCGCAATCGGGTTCGCAATGCCTTTGCCTTCAATGTCTGGTGCTGAACCGTGGCAGGGCTCTCCGATGACGAAGTCCTTGCCTACGTTCGCAGAGGGCACGAGACCCAGCGAGCCAACGAGTGCCGCAGCGCCATCGGACAAAATATCTCCATAGAGATTCGGCGCGACGATAACGTCGTAAGCAGAGGGTTGCCGGAATAGCTTGTACACCATCGAATCCACAATCTGCTCCTCCACGTCCACCGTCCGATACTTCTCCTCCGCCAACGCCCTCCTGGCCGTCTCCCTGAACAGCCCATCCGTCTGACTCAGCACGTTACTCTTGTGCGTAACCGTGACCAGCGGCCTGCTATGTATACTCTCACCGCCCGCATCCCGGACCCTCTGCCTCCTCAGCGCAATTTCGCCCGCCATGGCGGCAATGTTGTAGCTCGCCTTCTCCGAGATGCGTTTTATGGCCTCGGCGATCTTGCTGCCGTCGGCAGCGGTGTAGGTCTTTTCTTCTTTGACGTAGAGGTCTTCGGTGTTTTCGCGCACAATGACGAGATCGACGGGGGAGGCGGAGCTGCGTACAGTTTTGACCGGGCGCACGTTGGCGTACAGGGCGAGGCGTTTGCGGAGGGCGACGATGGGGGAGGAGTAGCCTTCTACTTTGGCGGTTGGAGACCTGTTGACCGTAATCAGCACACCAGCGCTCCGCGTCCTCGGCGCCCACTTCTTGAGAGTGCAATGGCAGGCAAGGCCCCGAGGTGGTTGGTGGGTATACATACGATACCGCCCCAAACAGCGCCCCGTCGCAATCGCTCTTCAGTGCTTCAACCGTCTTATCCGGCAGCGCAACGCCCTGCCTCTGGAAGGTCTCGAAGCCAGCATCGAGGTGCGTGAAGGAGAATTTGAGCCCCAGCGAGGAAGGGAGTGCTTCGAGGATGCGGCGCCCCGCAGGGATGACTTCGCGGCCTATGCCGTCGCCAGGGATGAGGCCTGGCAACGGGTCAATACATGAAGTAATCTTGGGGGGAGGTTTGCCCCGGTAGAGAAATACCTATCCGAAGAGTGCGAGCTGCCATTGCGAGCGCAATTGCGAGTGGTGAAGGCTGAGCTGGAAATTAATTTCGGGGTTTAGGTTGCGATGGGCCGATCTTCGGAGGCAGGCAGGCTAAGCTTGTTAAGGCTAGCCTTGAACTACCGGCTGTGTCCGCCGCGGGAACTCCCCACCGGCCTATGACTCTATGCCCATTGGGAAGTATGTCTCGAAACTCGGATCACAAGACCCTATGGATTCGTTTCTGCTCTGGCTTCCCAGGCTCAAAGACAAGATGAGTGTCTACAGACTCTCCTCACCTCACGTCCTCGTCCTACCGTAGATCAGGAAGGACCGTAGATCAGAAAGGATGGCGCACCTGGCGCACTCCAGAGGTGAATGAGGAAACCTTGGAAGCATGTTTGCTGCCCAGGTGATAGAGGCCCCGGGCCCTACACAGGACAGCGGCGTGATCTGGGACTGGCCATCGCCTCTCCTCCTCTCCTCTCCTCCTCTCCTCTCCTCCCTGTTTCCAGCGTCACCCTTGCATCCGATATTCACTGGTTACACGGCCTACACCCCCTCCACTATGATTCTCTCCAAGGTCGCCCGGCTCCTTGTCGCGGCTCTGGCCATGGCCGGAGCCAAAGCCCATCCGCATCTCTCGCCAGAAGAAATGGCCGACTATCAGCGGGAAATTACCCGCAGCACCGAGACCCTAGGACGCTGCCTCGAGTTGCCGGGCATGCAGCGGCTGAATGCGCGCATGGCTGCACAGCGCTCCGAGGCTCTGCAGCATCTACGCAAAGCTCGCGGTATCGATACCAGCGCCTGTATGTTAGGTTTCCGACTTACACTGCAAGCGCTTACACTAGCATAGACATGGGTCCGCGCGACAAGCCGGCCCTCGAGAAGTGGAATGGCATGAGCCACGAACGATACGTGGGCCCGGGTGTTTCCAAGGATCCCCAAGATCTGTTCCACTTCAAGTGGTCCGACAAACCCGTGGCAAAACCCGCCGGGTGCATCTTGACTCCGGAGTCCATCTATGGCCCCTATTGGCAAGAGGAACAGCCGCAGCGCCAGGATATACGTGACGGCCGGAAGGGTGTCTACCTGCGTCTAGCTCTACAGGTCATCGACCTCGACACCTGCAAGCCGCTTCGAGGCGCCCGCGTCGATGCGTGGCATACCAACGCCGAGGGTGCCTACAGCAGTAAGGCCGACTCGTGGCTCCGGGGCTGGCAGCCTACCTCAGAGTGGGGTACTGTGAGCTTCGACACCATCTTCCCGGGACACTACTCCGGCCGTGCCACGCACGTCCACGTCACTGTTCGACAGCCCAATGCGAAGAGCATCGTTCACTCTGGCCAGATCTACTTCGATGAGTGGCCTCGTCGGTTGGTTGAGGTAATTGGTTTCGACCCCCAACCTTTTCACACACATCCGCTAACTTTCACAGACGAAAGATCCATATACCAAGAACAAAAACAAGCTAGTCCATACCGTTGACGACGCTTGGGCACCTGATGCAGCGTCTAGCAAATACGACCCGTTCGCACAGTGGGCTTGGCTTGGATATCCGCGGATCGATGGTACGTATTCGCTGCCTACGCCCCCCGCCGCTTGACTGTAACCGCACTGACGGCTACAGATGGTGTTCTTGCCTGGATTGCAATGGGTGTCAATCTCACTGCTCCTGTGAAACAGCCTCCGGACCGGAAGCGCAGCTTCCTCAACGATCACCTTGAGCACTAGTTGGGAATGAAGCGCGTCGGAAAGGTGTCTCTAACTTTAGTATGCTTTCAACCTTCAATCAGGACGGGCTTAACAAAGGCTGATGATATGGGTGCATTGCATGATAGGTCGAAGTTGAGACCGTTCTTGATAGGCATATGCAACGAGCATAGGAGAAAACGTTCGTCTTCAATACCTCACTCTTTCGTCACAGTTCCAAGCGTGTTGAATGCCTTTGTCAATGCCGGCAGTCGCGTCTGGCGCAATTTTGGTGCGGATTGGTGTTGAAGTACCTAGGTAGATGGCATAAGGGCGGGGCCGCTGATTGGCTGCAGCGTCGGCCTGAGTAAGTGGCCGGGGAGTGGTTGCCGTTATCAGATTGCGACGCGCGACGCCAACCCCCCACTCACCCTGCCCCTCGACCATCACAGGCCTGTATTATTACAACCTTGGAACTTTGCATTGCACAACCCTGTCTACCTATTGCCTAGCACACTCCGCTTCACGTGCTGCCTGCTCAATCGTCCCACGCACGCGCCACAGAGCCGCCGGTGGCGAATTTTCGCCGTTCCTCGCTTCCCCGACCGACTTTTCGTCGGCAGACCTCACGCTCTTTCGTCTCGCACCTGTCCCTGTCCTCCTGCTTGCACTTCTGTCGCGCATTCGTCTACCAGCTTCGACTGGCTTGTAAGCTAATCCACGGGAGCAACATGGTGAATCTTTATTTTCAGCCAGATGCGCAACTCACCGCACAAGACCGCTTGGTCCTGAACATTCTGCAAAAGGACTACGAGCGATACCAGAGCAAACACAGCCAATCGCAGCCCGAAGCTTCAGAAGACTCGGATGATTCGGGAGTGAAGCACACCCGATTTGAATCGACGTCACCAGAAGGTAATTGCAGCATTGCCCAGCCCTCCCACCCAGCACGTCGACAGCCTTCGTATTGCACCCCCCTCGACTAACGTGTACAGCAGATGCCAAAGAGGTGGAAGAACAGACCATCCAACGCCTCAAGGACCTGAACAACCCCAAGTCTTCCGTCTTCGAGCCCACCGTTTTCGTCTCCGTGGACTATCCCGACATCAAGAATCCCCTCGTGCGCAAATGGCTCATCGACCCTTACGTTCGTTGGGCACGCGCCATCGTCCGCGTCGACACTGATGTTGTCATGCTCACCCATCTGTTGCTGTACTTCTCCACCAGCATCCCCTCCGCTGTCTACATGTTTTACAACTTCCACTGGTGGCACGGCCCGCTGCATTTGATCATGCAGGTATACTACATGGGGTCGTACACGCTCATGATGCATCAGCATATCCATATGCGAGGCATCCTGAACAAAAAATTTGCAGCCATAGACCTGTCTTTCCCCTACATCACGGATCCGCTGATGGGCCATACGTGGAACTCGTACTACTTCCATCATGTCAAGCATCACCATGTCGAAGGCAACGGGCCGGACGACCTTTCCTCCACCGTCCGCTATCAACGAGACGATGTTTGGAATTTTTTGCATTATGTGGGCCGATTCTACTTCTTTGTCTGGTTTGACCTACCACGATACTTCTTCCGCAAGCGAAAGCCAGAACTTGCATTCAAAGCCGGTGCCTGCGAGATTGCAAACTACGTCTTCCTGTATACCATGTTCAACCATGTCAATGCCCCGGCTACATTCTTCGCACTTTTGATGCCGCTCGCTGTCATGCGGCTGGGCTTGATGATTGGTAACTGGGGGCAGCACGCCTTTGTGGACGAGCTGAAGCCGGACTCCGATTTTCGATCGAGCATTACCGTCATTGATGTTCCAGTCAGTTATTGATTAAGTTATGATTCAACGCTCGGACGAGTGCTAATTGAAACAGAGTAACCGCTACTGCTACAACGATGGCTACCACACATCGCACCACCTGAACCCTCTTCGCCATTGGCGCGACCACCCTGTTGCCTTCCTCGTGCAAAAGAAGCAGTATTCTGATGAAGATGCTCTTGTTTTCTACAACATCGACTACCTCATGATTACGTTCAGTCTCCTGGCGAAGAATTACATGCATCTAGCTAGATGTCTGGTCCCGATTGGTGACCAGATGAAGTTAAGCCTAGAAGAAAGAGCCGAGATGTTGCGACGCAAGACAAGAAGGTTCACGGAAGAGGAGATTGCTGAGAAATGGGGAAAGCAATATGCTAGGCTGAAGTAAGGGCTGGCCGTCCCTCTACGGTGTGTCAGATGCGGCGTTTGGGTATACCACAAAAGAATGAATGAGGTCTTGCACTATAATCGCCTCGTACGAGTGGGGACGAGCTCTTGGCTAGAGCGACAGTTTATCTTCTCTTCTCGACTTTGGCACCCGAAAGCGGCTGGAGCCGCGGGCGAGACTCCCTGCTAATCCAAGTATGTGATAGCGTCTTGGCGCCACTGCACGACCTTCGCAACCCGTCCCACGGGTAGAGCCTTCGCCGCACAATCCACGCCGTACAAAAGCCACATTACATTTCCTCATTCCTTCTATTGCCCTGGTTCGGGCATTGTGGATATCCCCTTAGCAGAACTCCGAATTCCCCGGACCTGAAAGACGCTCGACGCCTTCAGCCCTTTGATCTTCCGTTTCCGACATCATAGAATCAGGTCACCATCTGTAGCTTGCTTCGAGGCCTTCAGGGCGTCTCACCGCCGTGCTTTATTGGCTTCACACCAAAAACCTCAGACAGGATATCTATGCTCGCCGAGGTGATTTCGGAAATCACCGCGAGGATGGTAAGGCTTTCCTACTCATAGTGATGGGTCTCTAAGCCCCCTTCCATCGCAAATGCGCACAGGGCAATGCCGCGTTATCCACGCGTATCTGCTCCTTTCTTTCTCTGACCCCGCCACACAGGATGGGCCAGATTTCCTCTCAGGTCTCGCATGATGCCGCGCTCATCCCGAGCCTTTAAATATGCCAACAGTGCAGTCCGGTTCAGTTTCGAGTCTTCCTTGCGTTTCCATCTACTATATTTCGAAGTTGCCATGCGGCCTGCTTCTTTTCTACTTCTTGTGACCCCTCTCACGCTTGCCCGGGCAGGCATTACACCGAGGGCCTCCTACGCAGATGTGACTGTGTCCCTTCGGAAAGATCTTTTGTCAGACTGGTATTCCGATATTGATAGCGATGACTCGGATATTGAAGGGCCCAACGACCCCGCAGGATTCTACAGCTGTGTTGGCCCTATGATCGAAGACTATCCTCAGAAGAATGAGTGGCTGAGCTTCAAGACAATGTGGGCTATTAACGAGCCCGACATCACGCTGGCAAATGGGGGTGATTCATATAACACGCATCTTCGGGAGGCCATCGAGGAGATCTCAGTAAAAAGTAAAGTCGACGCAAGGCTCATCCTCACGCTTGTCTTGCAGGAGGTATGGCATCGTTCCCTCACATTCTGGGTGATATCGACTGCTAACAAAGTGGAGTCCTCCGGGAACATGTCTATTGGGTGTACCGGGAAGACAGACTGCGGCATCCTCCAACACCGGGGCTCCCGCAAATTCGACCGAAACCAGCCCAAGCAGAGCATCACGAATATGCTCATCGACGGCATCTACGGAACGGCCCCGAACCCCGCTCCCGGCACGCCATACGGCTGGCCTGGTTACCTGCACCTCTTCAACGGCTTCCAGGAAGGTCTAGAGTGGCTGGGCGATGCGCAATTCTGGCGCGGAAACCCATACGCGGCGGGTCATTTGTATAACGCGGGGTCGATCGGGAGTGAGAATCTAACGACTATGGATGGAGGCGTTGAAAGGAGCAGGTATTATGCGAACGACATGGTCAGTCGGTTGCAAGGATGGAACGGGCGAGGAGAAGGGTGTTTGAAGAGTCGGCAGTGTCGGGCACATGGCTTTGAGGGCAGAGTGTGCTACTAGGGGTCGTGACCAGCGCCGATCATCGCTTGTTTTCATGTCTTAGTTCATCTGCATCTCAGGCTCAATATCCGCCGTGCGCTCCTTCCAAGTCTTCTGTGAGTGACGTCTTGCACCCCCGCCATCCGAACCTCTACTTCCGACTCCAAACCGCACCGCTTCATGCTTTTGTCCCTCCCTACGCAGCATTGCTAATCCGCTGTATCTATCATGTCGAGAGCGCCCCAGCTACCGGCTGACTTCCACTTGTTTATCTCGACACCCGGCGCTGTACACTCGTACCATGGGGCGGCCAGCGAGCTTCTGTTCGAATGCGCAACAGACGGCATCGTCAACGCCTGCGCCGCCAAGGACAATAGCAGTCTGCTCGCTGTCGCAGACAGTCGTTTGGTCATTCTGCATGACGCGACGCGCGGGGCTGATAGGAAGTACAGGCTGAAAAGCGGCGAGGTGAGTGGCGACTCAGCTTCCATCAGCGATCACAGCGATTTGGACAACCTGACAGACAAGCGTAGGGCGAGCCACGTCTCCTGCTCTTCTCCCCGGACTCGCGCACCCTCTACTTCACCACCACGCTTAGCACATGCATCCAGGCATACTACATCCCGGCCGGTGAGCTTCGGCCCCCGCCCCAAACTCACCCTTCTCCGCCGAACATTCTCGCCATCTCGGAAGACGGAAACATACTTCTCTCCGCGTCCCCGACCCCACCTACGATATTCATCCAAGACTTAGGAACGGGTAGCCGCGCCTCGGTGAGATTTCAGCCCGCAGAAGCGCGATCACCGGCCGCGTTCGCGACGTTTCATTCTCACGCTCGTCCTATAAAGCCGTCTTATGTTCTATTTCTTTTGGGCTTTCAGGATGGAACGCTGTCTGCGTATAGGCTTGTCTCGCCCATGCTACGTCCATTGCACACAAAATCGCACCCCAATCAGACGCAAGCATTAATACAGCAGCCGTTGAAGGTGGGCTCTATCAGGAAGCTCCACAAGGCGGCTATGGGTGGCATAACGGCGGCTGAGTTTATCCCCGGTTACAAGTCCCGCGCTATCAGCATTGGGCATGATGGACGTTGTCGGCTCGTTGACTTCGAAGATGGGGGAACGGTGCTCAGGACTTAGCATGTTTCTGAGCCAGCAACTTGCCTGTCCGTTATCTCGAATGGGCCGATTGCCTCCAGGGGAAGGAAAGACAAAGCTGTTCTTCTGGGCGGCGATGCAGCGGATGATGAGCCCAGCTATGAGGCATCGGAGACATTGATCGCCGTCGGCACGAAATCGGGCAAAGTTCTCGTCTTCAACATCCTCGGTCTATTGGTTCATGAAGTGAGGATGGACGCTTCGATCGTTGCTCTAGAGTGGATTGGTGACATGTCCGCACCTTCAGTACTCCCGAATCGACTCACAGTCTCGCCAACGCCCTCAACCATTCATGAAAAGCAGCCCATACTCGAGTCACTCTTAGCCGAGTATGAGAAGGCGCCTGATCAAGCGTCTGATGAAGAGGCCGGGACCGTCAAGAGAACAGTGTCACCCACGAAGCGCCCCGATATGAGCAGTCCGATTACCTTAGATGGGCAACATCGGGACCTCTTCTCGCCGAACTCTCCTCAGAATAACGACATAGACGGCGCGCAGAAACCATCTAACATTTCATATGGTTCTCCTCTGCAGTTGGAACCTAGAAGAGAGCGTCCGAGGAGGAAGTCATTCCCTCGGCCTAGAATCGCAACAGAAACGTTCAAAACCCCAACGCCGCCCTCGCCTGTACGCCAGTCCCTACCAACAAGCTTGCCCATTCCAGAAAATCCGATCACGCCTGTCGCATCAAGGATACGGTCCGCACCAAAGACCCGTAAAGCCTTTGAGGTCTTCAAAGCCGATCCGCTACGAGTATCGCGATTATCATCATCACCATCTTCACACTACTCGCAATCATCAGATTCAGAAGTGTGGACAACCCCACCGACTTCGCAGAAAGAAAAACCCACTAGCCGCCTGACAAGCGCCTCTCCTGTCGCATTTGACATGAGAAACCAACAACCACGTCATGTAGCAAGCCCGCCGTCGACGGTCGCGGTGCAGAACTATTCGGACCCAGCTACAAGGCACGTGTCGTTCGCGATGCGGAACTCACCCAAGGCGGTGGACGGGGAGATGCACGTAGGTTCTTGGAAGGCTAGCTGGGCTGAACGAAGTCCCTTCCCAGCACCACCAGGACAAAGAGCAAAGAGGAATTTTAGCTTCGAACCTGGACTGCATGAGCAGGAGACGCACTGGGAACACAAATATGATGAGATCGCGAAGAGGGACGGCAGGCAGAGAGTTGACGAGGGGAGGGCACAGCCAAGGAGGACGAGTAGGGGGCGTAAGTCGGCAGAGGAACTGAGAGCGGACAACGAAAGATTGAGGCGGGAGATGGAGGTACTAAGAGAGGATTTCAGGGCATTGAAAGAGGCTGTTTTTGCTTCACTGGGGGTGAGCGAACGCTGAACCGCTGGATGGCTTCATATTCCTATCTTCCCTCGTCTTCCTAGATTCCTGTTTACTTCGTCATGCACGGTATTACACATCCTCGATGGAAATTCCTATGTCCTGCCCGGTGTTGCTCGCCATCAAGTGACTATTATCCCCGGCGCAACCTTGGGCTTCCTCTCGGCACCCGGGCTGCCATGGATATCCCTGGTAGTATGATTCGATCGGCTCAGCGCCATTGCGCCCTTCCGTTCGGCGGGACGTTCGGTTGCTTCCGCAGTCGAGCGAGGAATTCGAATTCGTCAGATTGTTTCCAGCGCTGGCTCTTTCTACGCTTTCAAGCCTTCGTTCCTCTTGCTCTCCCCTTCCCAAGCCCCTATCGCGCCCACCACTCACTCACTCACTCACTCACTCAAACCGGCCCTTCACCCCGCCGTCATCCTCCCTGTCCACCAGTGTTCCTCCTCCAAGCCACGCCGCTCCACTCCCCCTTGCACTGCTCTTTCGCCTCCCGCCGTCGGATTCCGTATTCGCCTCCACCACCGTCTTTGCCATTTTCCACAGCGCCCAGGTCTGGAAGACGATTGCGATGAGCAGGAGGAAGAGCACGACGAGGATGCCGAAGAGCGTGAAGAGAAGGAGAACGATTTCCTGGGATTGGAGCCCCGATTTTCCCATTTTGAGCGGTTTGGCTTGGTTTGCGTTTGCTTTTGCAGGTGAGAGTAGGGAGGGGACGAGTGGTGCCAGATGGGGGTGAGAAAGAAGCACGGGCCAAAGTCGGGATTTGGATTTTTGTCCGCCGAAGCAGTCGATGCTGCGTTTAGTTGTGCTGTCTTGCTCGCTCGCTGCCTGATATCGTATGGAGTTGTTCTTGATGAGTGATGGGTGGTCCGTGCCGCCGTGGTGCTCGCGTGTTCGCAGCCTCCAAAGTCCAGGTCCAGGATGCAAGTCGTCTTTAAGGATCCCAATAGTGGAGACGAGCGCAGCAGATCAGGAACCGCCGTTTTATGAGCAAGTAGCGGGAGGTCGCGATCCGACGGCTTGGCCGCGGCCAAGCCGTCGGAGGCGCGTTTCAGGACCGCGTGACCGGCTGGTTGCACAGAACGCCCAGATCCACCACGGCGCAGAGTCAGACGGACTGAGCGTGAGAACACGATGAGGCGTTCCCAGCAAGGGAAGAGGTGGCACGGATGTGAGAGGAGAAGAGAAAGTGAGATGGTAACGAGATTGTAAACTAATGGGATTACTGTAACCATGTGCCTATGGAAAGAAACGATGAATGAGAAGACCGGAGAAAACACCGCGCTATGCAATACCCAGGAGCCGACCGAACACCCATACTAGCAACAACTAATCATGATCATGCTGATGAATGACGGATGAAGAGCTATCGTGAAGTCGTGAAGATGCCGTGGTTCGATGCAGTCGTTGGAGGGTATGCAAGCGATCCGGTCCGATGTTTTTGTCTAGCCCCGCACGAAACCGTAGGACGCCGAGATGAAAGAGAGCGATAACCTGAAGAGATACCCATTATAAGCAACCGTAGACGTGAAGCTTATGGAGACAGCATATCCACATCTTGATCTTATCAATATCCCTCGTAATCAGCCCCAGCGCACGTTGCTACCGGCTAACCGACAACAGCCTCCTCAGCGTCCACCTCATCGATATCATTCTCGATATTTTCGTCAACGCCAAAGCCAGAATCCCATTGGCGCTTGGTGACCTTCTTCCTGGCACCCTTCTTGCCGACCTTGACGCGCTCGCTGACCTTGGTGACTTTGCCGTTGGCAACTTTGTGCAGGTCGACGCCCCTGGTCTTGACCTCGACACCCATGACCTTCATCTCCTGTACGGCCTTGAGCGCCTCGGCGTTGCGCTTCTTGAGCGCTGCGGCTAGTTGCTCATTTTGCTGCTGGAGCTGGCGCTGCGACTCAATGAGAGTGTCTATGGTGTTGCGCGTATCCTCTTCCTGCTCGCGGAAGCGCTCCTTCAGGTCTTCAATCTGACTCTCAAGCGTGACGATGACCTCTACACGTGTATCGCCGACAAGCCGGAGCTCCTCGATCTCGCGGGTCTTCTCCGCGAGCTGCTCCTCATGCTCGGTTGCACGCTGGGCAGCGGTACTCTGGAGGGTCCTGATGGCGTCCTCTTGAGTATTGATGACGGATCGCAGGGCATCGGACTCTTGGGCGTGAGCATCCATAATGTTGAGAAGCTCCTGGGCCTCGTCCTCAACGCGATTCGCCAGCGACTTGTTCTCTGTTACTAGTTTTTCGTTCTCGGCACGGAAGGTGGAGAGGTCGCGTTCAAGGTCGGCAATGTCTTGGGTGTTCACTGCTACTTCGTCGCGCAGACCTCGCTCGGTCTCCGCAGCCTCGCCCTTAATGCGCTTGATCTCGGCCTCTTGTGCCTGAATCTGGTTGGTGAGGTCGGTGATGTTGGCTCTCATAGTAGTCATCTCGCTCGTAGAATTATTCTCCAACGCAGCAAACTTCTGTGCCAGATCGGCGAGCTGAGCCTTGAGAGAGGCGATGCGCTCATCACGGTCGTGTTCGAGTTCCACGCGGTGGTTTGTCATCTGAGTGATAGTATCACTCAGATCGGCGATCTGCTTCTCTAGCTGGGTCTTCTGGGCCTCCAGGTCGGCAACTTGCTGCTCAGTATCCTGGCGACGCTCGGTCTCCGCATCCAGAAGCGCCTGGTGCTCGGCATCACGCGCCTGGGCTTCCTCTTCCAGAACCGCGATGGCCAGCTCCTTATCCTGCTGGACCTGGAAGAGCTTGGAGCGGAGCTCATTCGCTTGGATACCGGCGTCGTGGACGCGGGTTTCCAAATCAGCGATCCCTTCATTTGCTGTGTCCAGGGAAGCCTCAGTCTGTTCGCGTTGGGTGCGTTCGACCGCCAAATTGGTTCGGCTCTCAGCGAGCTGGGACTGTAAATCTTGGAGTTGTTCTTCCAGGTTCTCGATCGCATTGGCCTGCTCATACGTCATGGTAGCTAAGTCGTCGCGCTCACCCTCCGCCGTCTCACGGACATGCGTCTCCGCGGCAAGGCGCTCACGAAGCTGGTCCATCTCGTCGGTAATAGCGTTGACATCACCCTCTAAGCGGTCGATGCGGCCCACCAACTCATCGATGTATTCGGACTTTTGCGCAGCATCGCCTTCAGCAGCCTCGCGGGCCTCTGCTTCGGCGCCTAGCTGGTCCTCGAGAGCTTGCACGACCTCCGCATGCGCCTGCTCCATGTCGGCAATGGCCTCCTTATGCTCTACCTCTAGACGGGTAGCGGTCTCGGAGACGGTGTTGAGGTCGTTGCGGTAGGTCTCGAGGGAACCTCGAAGCCTCTCCAATGCTGTCTGCTTGTCTTCAATCTCGTCGCGAAGGCCATAGATCTCGGCGTCCTTCTGATTTATCTGCCCTTCCTGGTCGTCGGCGACAGTGGTTATGGTGGTGACCCGTTCCTCTAACTCAGCAATTCGTCCTTGCTTCTCTTTATTGCTGTCTTTGAGCTCGTTGGCCTCCTTTTCAAGATCGGCATTCCGGTCCTCAGAGCTAGATAGAAGATCAATGACTTTCTCGTACTGTGTTCGCAACATCTTCTCGTTCCTATAATACTGCTCGGAGAGGAGGACCTTCTCTCGAAGCTCTTCGAGGATGTCCTCAAAAATTTCAGGGATCTTGCGGAGCAGCTCGCTGTTGGTCAGGCCGACAGTGCGGTTGGGCAACAGGTTTTCCAACTCCTCACGGAGGGCCTCGAAACCGTGTCGCAGCTTGGTGATGATGACATCGCTCGAAGCACCCGGCGGGATAACGTGCAGATTCTGCAGCTCAATCGCGACAATGCGCAGCGCGGCCTGGGAGTCGGCGAGCTGCTGGGTGAGACGCTCGATTTCTGTCTCGTATCGCTTGACGGCCTTGTCGGAAATCTTATCAGGGACCGACGTCGGATCGGACTGCGAGGCCTCAGCCAACACATCATAGCTAGTCTGGGTCATGGTGGCCAACGAGTCGACAGTGACCTGGCTGGAGAGGGCTAGAGCGCGCGATGCGTATTCTCCATTGGGAAGCGGCTCCGCATCCATATCGTCCTGAACACCAAGGTCTTCGGGGTCGACGAGCATCAAGGGCTCGTCGTCGTCATCGATAGCGTCCATGGTGCTCTCGAATGCGCTCTGCTCCCGTGAGTCGCCGGTATAGACGGACGATGCGCGCAGCTCGACAATCTCCTTCTTCGCCTGGGCGAGCTGCTCCTGGAGCTCCTCGGCGCGATCATCCGTCATGTCGATGTCTCCCAGCCGCCGGGCCTCGAGCTGGTATTCGAGGTCCGTGATGACCTGATCCTTCTGTCGCAGCTGGCGGCGCAGCTCCGCATACGCCTGCCGGAGCTTCTTCTCCTCCTTGTTGTGCTCTTCGATTTCGTTAACCTCCTGGCTCAGATGGCTTCGGCGGAGGCGACGGCGGGTGCGGCCGTCAAGCACGGCAGTCAGGGGCGCAAACTGAAGCTCGCGGTCGCCGTTGTTCTCGTCAACGGGCTCGACACGGAGCTGTGCGGGCATCGACATGCGGGCACGGCGGGCATTGGACGGGCGGCCGCGCTGGGCGCCGAGGCGGTCGAGGTGGGGGGTCAAGCCGGGGAGCGGCTGGGTCGGCGGCGGCGGCGTGTTCTGGCTGTCGTCCTCTTCGCCCGGGGCGGACACGGCGGGCTCCGAGTGTCGACGGCTGGCGCGGGTCTGGTCCCCGCTGCCCACGTCGTGGTCGTCGTTCTGCGACCGCAAGATGGACTCCTCCAGCTCGCGCGTGATCTGCTCGTGGTCGTCGATTTGGACGCGCTTCCGCTTCGACTGGGACGGCTCGGGCGTGGGCGAAGCCGGGCGCTTGTTAGCCTGGGTGAGGTCGACAGAGGGCGTCTGGCTCTTGCGGGCCCGCTTGCGGCGGGGGGCGTCGCCAGGGCCCACGGGGTGGTGCTCAGAGGCAAGCCCGCTGAGTCGGGCCATGGCTGCGGCTGCGGCTGCGGGTGGATTCGATGGATGGATGGCTGGCTCACGGTCAGGACGGCTGGCTCGCTCAGGGGGACGGATGGGCGTGCGATGTCTTACCAGCAGTGTAGAGGGAGATGCGCAGTTGGGTCTGCACACGATGGGCGGGGGAGCAGAGGGTAGAGAAGAGGCTGCGGGGAGGAGGATATGGGGAGGTTGGGAGGCGGAGGTGTTTTTATCTACGTCAGTCCCGTGCGCGAATGGCCAATGGCTCGTGCCGCACCAAACGCTGTTTCATCGCTTTCCCTGCCGGTGACGTCGACGCGTCGGCGCTTTTCGACGCGTTTTCACCCCCGACCGCGCTTTATGCGAGACGCAGCAGAGCGACAATAACAGAGGCGGGCGAGCAATAGTGAAAGCCAGGAAATTCCGACAAGTGCAGGGCGCTGCCGCTGCTCGACGTCACTGCTGAATTTTGCAGGTGTCAACAGCGCGTGGGAGCTTGGGCCCGCCAAGCGACGCCCTTCACCAATCCGCTTGAACACGCCGCACGCACACCGCCGACAGGCATCAGCTCGACAGGAGCTCGAAAAGGGGCCTCCTCGCCTACCTCTTCAGCAGGAAGTCGCTCTTCACGAGCAATCCCTTGGTCGCGCTCGCAACTCCGTACAAGCCTCCGAACGGCCACGTCTCCCAGAAGCTGTTCCGCGCCCACTCGCCCCACGATATCCGTCTCCGCTGACCCTGCTCCCCTGCCACGCCTCTCAAGTCAACCTTGACCTTGTCGTACACGCTCGGCAGAGACTCGGCGTGATATTTCCTCCTCAATCCCGTGTACCCTTGCTCGTCGTATATCCGCCAGAACTCGTCTTCCGTATAGTACGCATGCGCATACAGGCACTTGAGTCCTCCTAGCTCCGCCACCTTGGCCTCCAAATCTCGATTCAGCTTGATAAACTGGCGCCCGTCTTTGGGCCCCATGCCCCAGACGCCGACATCAAGCAGCGTCTCTTGTCCCATCGTCTTGCCCATGGAGAAGCTCCGCTCGTCCCCTGGCCCTGGCTTCACCGGGCATAGCCAGAGGGGCCAGAGTCCGGTGCTGTCGTCTGTCCACTTGAGTAACTCCTCCGCGCCGTCGTACGGCACGGCAAGGTCCTGGATAATGGCTTGCGAGGAGAGACCAGACCGGTGGAGGGCGTGAACCATGGTCCTGCTATTCATGAAGGGATCGAGTAGGTATCGTGTTATCCGGTTGAATGGCACGCCGAAGTAGTCGAAGGCTCGCAGGCCCGACCAAAAGACGCCCCTATCGTATCGGAATAGGTACGTCTTGATCGGGATGCTCTCCTTGTAGACGCCTGTTCCCTCTTCGATGCGCCTGAGCACGTCCTCGGCGTGGAGGTAGAGCCACGGATCGAAGGCCCTGTCGAAGGTTTGTATCCTGCCCTGAATCACTTCAGCTGTGAGTTTCCCGAGCATGATGACGCCTCTGTTCATCGAGAACATGATCCCGTCCATGTAGTCCACCGTCGGATCCCGCTCGGCCTCGCGGCACGCTCTGACGGCTTCTCGGGCGCTCCCGACTGGCTTGTACGTCAACTCGACGTAGGGTTTGGCATCCATGAGCTCCATTTCCAGCAGCGTGATTACGCCCAGGCTGCCGCAGCTCCCGGCGCAGGCGTAGAATAGATCTCTAGTGTCGGCATCGTCGCCGCCGGCCCATATCACGTCCCCGTTCCCCAGCACAAGCTCAATCCTCCTGATGCTCCTGTCAAATAGCCCATAGCGAAACGAGCTGCTCTCCCCCGAAGTCCCTGCAAATCCGCCGCCGACAGTAATGTTCGGCAGCTCCATCACTACCTTGGGCAGCAACCCCTCCTTCAGCGCAGCATCGACGAGCGCGTCCATCGGAACGTTCGGCTCCACCAGGACCGTCTTCTCCGTCCTATCGAACCGCAGCACATGGCTGAGGCTGCTCGTGTCGATTATGCTGTCTCTTTGCCGGGACGATGCACGCGTTGAGAGTGTGGATCCGTGATAGATGCGGAAGGGCCTGCTGTTGTTGTGGAAGGTGCGAACGCGAGCCGCCATCTGCGCCACTGTGGCTGCGTGCTGTTCCATCTGGCTTCCTATTGGCTGGCACGAGGCTTCGTGCAACGGAGCGACGGGGCGACGGAATGCTGCGAATGGTGAGACGATGCCCGAGCAACAATAGCCCCTGTTTCTCTCTGTTTGCAGACGTCCATGGACGATGGAGAACGGATGTTGTCGCGCTGATGCCCGGCTCTCGTAAGCGTGCAGCTCATCCTTCCGTCTGTTCCCGCTCGGCCTAGGCCGCACCTGGGCAGCCTCCCCCTCGCAAGGACAAGAACATCATCTGGCGCTTTCCTACCCATCTAGACCATGGACGCCCACGAACGCGCCGTCGACGTCATTCGCACGCAGACCCGCCACTTCTACGACACCAAAACCCCGTTCCGCGTCTACCATGGCAGCACTAACAGCACGCGCCATACAAACTTCGACCGCAACGCTATTGTCGACATCAGCTCGCTCAACCACATCCTCTCCATCGACCCGGCGAAGAAAACGGCGCTCGTCGAGCCCAATGTGCCCATGGATGTCCTGGTTCGCGAGTCCGCGAGGGTAGGACTGCTCCCACCCGTGGTGATGGAGTTTCCCGGAATCACGGTAGGAGGAGGTTTTGTTGGCACCGCGGGTGAAAGCAGCAGCTTCAAACACGGCTTTTTTGACCGTACCGTTCTCTCCGCCGAAGTTGTGCTTGCGAGTGGGGATCTTGTCACCGCATCTGACGCATCGAACCAGGAGCTATTCGACGGTCTAAGGGGGAGCTTCGGCACCCTAGGAGTGCTTACTATGGTGGAAATGCGCTTGATTGAGATGAGCAAGTATGTCGAGCTCACGTACCATCCCACCACATCAATCAAGGAGGCAATGACCAAGCTCCAAGAAGAAACACAGCGAGAAGGCATGGATTTTATTGACGGCATCTTGTTCTCAAAGGGCTCTGGCGTTATCGTCACCGGCCGTCTTGCCGACACCGCATCATCTTCAAACGTCCCGCTTCAGCGCTTCTCGAGACCCTGGGATGAATGGTTCTGGATTCACGCCAAATCAGTCGCCTTCAAGAAGTCCCCCTCGACCGAACTCGTCCCCATCCAAGACTACCTCTTCCGCTATGACCGTGGCGCTTTCTGGACTGGCATGTACGCATTCAAGCACTTCATGGTGCCCTTCACACGCTTAACCCGCTTCTTACTGGACTACTTCTTCCACACCCGCATCATGTACCACGCTCTCCACGTTTCTGGGCACACCGACCGGTATATAATCCAAGATGTCGCGTTTCCAGCAGGCAATGCTGCAGCTTTTGCCGAATTTGTCGATGAGAATTTCGGCATATATCCGCTTTGGCTTTGCCCATTGAGGAAGGACGCGAGGGCCTCCATGGGTCAACCCCGGGATTATCAGGGTGCCGTACAAGGGAAAGAGCCGCGTAAACCGAATGAAGGAGAGTATATCAATATTGGCGTTTGGGGTCCTTATCCGTCGTCGGAAGACGAATACCTGAGGGCGAATCGGTCGTTCGAAGCGAAAGTCCGCGCCCTAGGTGGTCTGAAGTGGCTGTACGCTCGCGTATTCTACACCGAGGAAGAATGGTGGCAGATCTATGACAAGGAAAAACACGAGACGCTGCGCGAGAAATATAAGGCTACTTCTTTACCGACGGTTTGGGATAAAGTCAAAGATAGAGTTAGGATAGAAGAGCTTGAATCCGGTGTGAAGGGATGGCTCAAGAGAACCATCAAGAGTAATGATTTGCTCAGCGGATTCTACGGCGTATACAAGGCGATGGGAGGAGGCGATTACTTACTCAAGAGGGAAACAGCCTAAAGACGAAACGAAGGAGTCACACAGCTCATACGCTTTCCTTCCCAGTGATACGCAAATAGTCCCCCCGAATCTCCTTCCACACCCATTCATCTTTCCTTTCCTCTCTCAGCCCCGTGAGCAACTTGACGACATTCGGAAACGTGCTCTCACACTTCTCATCGGCAACGTACACGCCACTCCCGATCTCTCCGTTCGTCCCGCTCGCAGTCGTTAATCCACCGTCAATCAGAACCCCGTTCGCGCCGCCATCCTTGGCCGGGAAAACCGCACTCGTCGCAAGGAATAAATGCCGCTCCCCGCTCTCATCGTTCGGAATATACACAAAAGGTCCAATCACCTTAAATAGGGCCCTCATAACGAAGTTAGCAATTCCTCCGCCTCTTGCAATATTGCTCCGCACCGGTCCCGGAAAGTCGTGGATGAACGAGACGCCCGGCGCCCGCTTCGCTACTTGTTCAAGCGACAACGTGACACCAGATGCCGCCTGTCCTCGGAACTTGAGGAGCTGGCCTGCTGGCACATTGCGCATTTGTAGGTCGTTGATCGGCATTGGGCCTTCTTTTGTACCGAACGAAATGGATAGGACGCGCCGCAGGATAGGCGCCGCTTGCAGCAGTGGGAGGAGATTCAGGGCAAATCGCGTCCGCGAGTGCAGAATCAGGCTCGCGGCGGCGTTAAGGCCCTCTTCGGTTTCGATTCCCTGGATCATGGTTCCTTGGCTGAGGCACAGGATGTTCATGTATCCCTCCTTGCTCTTGATCTCTTCGCATACCGCGTCGACGTTCTTGACGAATGCGACGTCGGATTTGATGAAATGGTAGGTGCCTTTGGGATTGATTCTGTTGAGGTTCGCCAGGATGCGATCTGCGGCTGCTTGCGAGCGCCCGACAAAGTACGCGGTGGGATAGGGGCAGCGGTTGGCGAAGGCGAGGAGGGTGTATTCGCCGATTCCGGAGGTGCCACCGACGAAGACGGCGGTTAGGCGGGTGGGAAGGCGGCCGTTCGAGGCTTTGACGGCGGTAAGGTCGACCATTTGGCTTTCGGAAGGGCTGCTTGGCTCGGTATTCGATGTCCACGGTCAAGAGAGGTTTGGGAGCTATTTATACGTCTTCCTGGCGAGTCGGAGAAAATGCGAAGCACATGGTCTTTTGCCCGGCTCGGACCATTGCGCACGCACTCATACGGCGCCATCATGCGGTGCGTGAACGACGTCTGGTGTATGTGAGATTGCGCGATGGCGAAGGAGCATCGTGAAGCTACAGCATCTTGGGCTTCAACCAATCAGAGCGCGGCGTGTTCGCATAGCCGGCGTTGAGTTCGCCCGCGCCCTAGCCCCTCTCACTCGCTATCTCCTCTCGACGCCTATATCTGCCCCAGCAATCCATCCTCACACTGAATGCGAGACTCGTTCGGAGGCACACAGGACCTATGCGATGAACACTTGTATCGGCCCGTTCCCTGTCCACTGGTCATTTCTCTGCAACCTTCCTAGGCGACGTCATCACCGCCGCGACTTCATTGCCTCATCATAATCTGATTCACAGCGATGCCTTTCTATCCGCAGACTCGAGATCTCGCTGCCGTTGTGCTCAGCAACAGCGCATCGTCTTCACCGCTTTGGCGCGTGCTTGCCAGGAGCGTGCGCCGTCTAGACGAATAATCGACGCTGTACCACCGTGAAATACCGACCACCATTGTCCATGTCCATGTCCATGTCCCCGACGAAAAGGGGCTGCAAGGGACTGAGACGCATCCAATTAATTCTGCGTCAGCAGCTCGTGGCTTACAGGCGTGGTATGCAGCGGTAGGTCAGATCATTTCACTTGGCGCCCTTCGACTTAGCATCGCGTTCTCCCCTCCTGCATGCATCGTCACCAGCTTCTACGCAAGGCTCGAAAGCGTCTCTCGAATCTCCGTCTATCGTTCAATCAAGGCCGCGGGAAGTGCGGAGCCGAAGCTAGAGCTAGCAAGCGATCATCCAGGCTCGACGAATCTGCGGACAGGCAATGATGACATTCGCGCCGCCCCTGCCGTCAGCAGCATGCAGGCCTGCGGCGACGACATCGAGGGTAAATGGAGAATTTCATCACAACGGACCTGGACTTTCCGACCTCTAGGCTTCGCTTTCAGAAGACAGGTCCTTAGTCAGTTCACTCCTCCGCCTCCCACGATTGGTCGCACAACCACCACCAGCAGACAGGTTATGGATTTGGTACCTCCACTTCGACAATAGTGCCTGCTGTGCCTCATTCCAAATACCTGCAATATTGTGATGCTGCAGCTTATGTGTTTCGAAGCAGGTACCCCGTCAGGATTTCTAAGTTCATCGCCGCCTGCAGATCAGACCGCACCCATCCAAGGCCCCGGTTGACTGAGCAATTTCGACAATGTATTTAAACCTCCGGCGGAGCTGCTTCGAAAAGTCATCGCAACTATCACAATGCCGCCTCTAGCATCATTTACTCCCCTACTACTCGCAGGATTCGCGGCCGCGAGGGCTTGCACAAATGTCACCATCCCGGTTGATATCTCTTCGCGACAAGGTTTGTTCGAAGAATTTCCAATTGAAGGGAACATCGATGTGGCAGCCTTTGCGCAAGCTTTCACACAGCAAGGTCGGAACTACACGGCCATGTTGCTGCGGGACTACCAAACGCTGAAGGGGAGCTACGAGATTTCTGCCAAGTTCTGCCAGCCCGACAGCGGTAGTGCATCCACCATCCAGCTACTGTCTCACGGTATTGGTTTTGATAAGACGTACGTGCTCTCTCCGATTCGAATTATTGATAGGAGCTAACATTGGACAGATACTGGGACCTGCCATACAACAACTACAACTACAGCTATGTCGACATAGCCGTCAAGCAAGGATACAGCACGCTCGCAATTGACCGCCTGGGAATTGGCAATTCTTCGCACGGGGACCCTCTCAACACTATCCAAGCCCAAGCTGAAGTTGAAGCCCTCAATGCCATTACGACACTTCTTCGCCAGGGCAAGGTACCTGGAATTGATACATCCTTCAACAAGGTCATCCACGTCGGTCACTCTTTCGGCTCAGTGCAATCTTACTGGCTCTCCTGTCTATATCCCAACAACACAGATGGTCTAGTCCTCACCGGTTATTCAGCGAACGGAAGCTATCTACCCGTCACGGTCGCCGCATGGAATTTGCACAGCGCACGCCTCAACCAGCCTCTTCGCTTTGGTAACTCATCAAGCGAAGGTGTTCAAAAAGCGTTCGGGTCCTATGGGACTGGCACCGCCCTACTCTCGGGGATTCAATCGCTCCTCAAGAACGTCACAATACAGCTCTCGACCAATGAGATCTGGAATGAGGTCGCGACCACTGAAGTCGGCGATCTCATCAACGGCTACAACCAAACTATCGCCCCTCTAGACTACCCCAGCGGATACATCGTCCAGTCCGATTTCACCGCCACTCAGTACGTCTTTCTGCTTCCCGGTCGCTACGACATCGGCCTCGGTATCCTCGGCGAAATGACCAAGCAGCCGGTCGCCACCGGAGAGATTCTGACTATTGGCTCCTCCCCCATGATGTCCCCCTTCAGCGGCCCTGTTCTGGTATTCACCGGGGAGAACGATCAGCCGTTTTGTGGTGGTGACTGTCTCGCGACGGGTACAAGTGCGCCGAGCATCCCGGCAGAGGGCAAGAAGCAGTTCCCAAGCGCGAGCGTCTTCGAGGCTTTGATTCAGCCTGAGACGGCGCATGGGTTGAACTTCCATTATAATGCGACGGCGGGGTATGAGGCCGTCCAGACTTGGTTGGCTGCTCAAGGCCTCGCCGCTTCATAGATCTCTCGGAGAGGATCCGAGAAGCGCGAGTAATGGATGAAGAGTGCGATATAATGTAATACAAGATTTCCCCTCTGCCCGGATGCTTAGATACCATCTGTGCTGTGCTACTCTCTTGATGCAAGCCTTCGTGATGATGTAAGCACCGGAGGATAAAGACGCCTCTTCCGATGCCGCTGGCTTCGTCCCGTGCCTGTTCCTCCACACACCAACGTCCTCGTTGCCGCGCCTAGCAGCGCCGCCCACTGTCTGCGCTCGTATCTGAGGCTCATAACAAACACCCGACACCTCGCAATTCGTCGTCCTTGCCGTTCTAAATTTTGGACTGGGAAGGTCGAGCCCAAAATTCATCTTATCATGATCAGCTTTTCGCACCATCGAGGCTTCCGAGGTTCGATTAAGCCGCGTCTCATGCGTCTTCTTCAAGTAACCCGGAGAGGAGATTGTATCACAGCCTAGAACTACGCTAGCGCAAAGGCGAGTCCCGCTACGAGGTCACGCAAGACGCCACCGCTCCGGCTACTCACGCATTGCTCAGCTTGACTAACTCTCTCCGCGGTGTGTCCCCCTGAAGGCGACAAGTTGCCTATATGGGGATGCGTATATGAATCGCTTGGCAAATGGTGCCACGGGAGGTTGACTAACTGCTGATGAATAAGGTGAATTTTGCTTACGTGCAGAAGCGGCGTGCCGCACGAGCCGGGGTCCCCGAACAGGTTGTCTCAACAGCCTCAAGCCGAGCGCTACTGCTATTGCATGCCAACCTCAGTACTTCACAGACACTGAAGGTTTATCAAGCACTACTTTCAGACGGCACGTGGACCGGAGGACTACCGGTTTTCGCCCGCACTACCGATCGATGTTCAGGTCGACATTTGGGCCGCCTTTCGGATGCACGAGGTGCTGGTTACGCAAGAGCGCTGCATTGAACAGAACCAATTGAAAGTGCCCCTAGATGCGAGGCTAGTGACGAGGTTGTTAGTCATGCCTTAGATATCGAATTCACTCCCCCAACGCACTTCACAATGTAACTCCACCATGCAGTCGAGATTGCATCCCCACCCGACTATCGTCGAAAACGTTGCTTTACGAGGACGCCCTAGTGGGCCGACAGACGGGACTTTGATGGACTCGTGACGACCCTGCGTGCCTTAGTTCAGAAGAAGCGGATGACGAGACGCTTTGAGGAAGGTACCTAAGGCTCTATGGGGTAGAGGTGGAGAGGGCAAAGTATAAAGGGGGCTGGGGGCTCAGGAAAACTTGGACATCACGCCACCACTACAGCTTTCTGCCATAGATACAGCTCTACGGATTGATACTATAAGCTTTCAACATGAAGCTCGCTGCTAGCTTTGCTGTCTTGGCCTTTGGCCTCTTCAACGCGGTCCGGGGTAACGGTACATACACCTGTCCACGCATCACTCTCATCGACATGCATCTGACACACATCAGCTGTTCCTTGGGAGCGCATCGACAAGAACAACTCCGTACGTCATGGCCCTCCATCCGGCTCATCCTCACTAACACGTCTAGATGCTGCTCATCCTCGACCTGCAAGTCGGCCTCTACCAGCTCGGCCGCGATTGGGAAGCGACGCTCTATCGAGATAGCATGATGGCGCACGCCGAGCTCGGCAAGCTCTTCAACCTCCCTGTCGTCATGACTACTTCAGCCCAGCGAGGTCCCAATGGTCCGCTTCCCAAGGAGATGCTGGCCATGTATCCTAACGCGCCGCTCATTCAGCGCCAGGGTGAGGTCAAGTACGTTTACCCTCTTACTCGGTCGCTTCTTGTTCCTTTGTTGCGGGCGGCTAATGAAGCATAGCGCTTGGGATAATGCCGACTTCCGCGCCGCTGTCAAAGCCACGGGCAAGAAGCAAATCATCGTCGCTGGCATCGTGACCGATGTCTGCACTGCCTTCCTTGCTCTCTCGCTCCGCGCTGAAGGATATTGTAAGCCCCCTTCCTCCCTCTCTTCCTCCCCAACCCTCCTTCTGTCCTGCATTCTCGCTAATCCGCCGGTAGCCGTCTTTGCCAACATCGAAGCCTCTGGCACCACCACGCCGCTCATCCGTGATACTGCCAACTCGCGCATGCAGCAAGCTGGTGTGCAACTCGTCTCGCTCTTTAGCATCGTGTGCGACCTCATGCGTGATTGGAGGAATACTCCCGGAGCCAAGGAAGTACTCCCTTATTTGGATAAGTATATGCCGGTCTACGGTATGCTGGCGAGGGGTCATGCTGCGGCGATTGAGAACGGGACAGTCATTCCGGGTGAATTAGGGCTGATTTACCTGTGAGGATGAGAGGGTGGGAGCAGCACGTTGATCGCTGGTCCAAAAAATTGACTTTCCCGGCATATGTCGCCGGCCTGTTAGAGAACTGGATAGATACATTACAGACTGCTTTGAACGACGTCGGGACTTCACTGCCAATAATCCCCTCATTCGATGATGGTGCTACCCGTGGAGACGCACACTTGGGTGGCAATTCCAGCGAAGGAAGGCGTACCGTCACGGATATCGCGGTTGTGAGAGCGAAAAAGGGAAGCAAACAAATCGACCGGCTGTGAATGTTCCCACGAGATTGCGCCGACTGACGTGTCGAGCCAACGCCGCAAGCCCATTCTCTCGGTCCCTTGCAAGCCGTCCTCTCCTTCCACAAAAGACCACCCTCCCAACGCAAAACGACGAATTCGTTCCCTCGTCAAACAGGAAATCACCATGCCCTACCGCATAGACGACTCCATAATCTCCAATTTCCTCACCACGCACACGCGCCCCATCCGCCTCTCCTCCCTTCCCCAGGACCCCTCCTCCCAGCACTGCCCAATCTGCCACCTCCCCTACGCCCCACAAGATCCTTCCTATGTGCACCCACTCCATCCCCCAGACACACCTGAATATCCCGTGCAAGTTCGGTGCCGCGGACCCTGTAAGCATGTTTTCGGAAGAATCTGCATTGAGAGACACATGCGCGGGGGGCAACCTTGGAGCCACACTTGCCCGATATGTAGAGCCGAGTGGTTTCCGGCGCCGAATGCGGGGCGCAGAGAGGTGCTGGCGGCTACCGAGATTGCGCTGGATGCGTTGGCGCGAATTGATGCGGCCGATGTGGAGGTTAGAGCGGAGGTGGAGAGGGTGGAGGAGGCGTTGAGGAGGATTAGGGAGGTGCTGTATGGCTCACGGTGGATTTAGTGTACGCTAGCATTTCAGAGCGTGCGTGCGATGCTTTTGGGTCTACATATATAAGCCTGGATTTGAAGTATTTGTATATTCTTCGAATATTGTAGCTGCATCATGGACACGGACAGCCAATGTGTTTCTCTTCTGCCGCCAACACGTACATCTAACAGTATTCCCCACGATCAAATATCCAGCAGACTGGAACCTCAACTTCCCGCGTCGTTCGGTTCCTCTATGGACCCGTACAGCCCGCGCAGTCTTTGCTCAACCTCATCCGCCGAAGCCTTGACCTCATCGCTTCCGTCTCTGACCTCGAAATGCTCCAGCAGTTGCTGAATGAAACTGCTTGGTCGCTGAGGACGCGTTGAGGGCCCACGAGAGCTGGATCGTCGTCCGTTCCCTTGGCGTCTATGCCGGCTTTCCAGTATTCGCCGCGCCGAGACTCTCGTGGACGCAACAGCTGTAGTTGGCGGCCTTGCAGAAGCTGGAGTAGCCGCGCGGTGGTTGCTCAAGTTGTCGGATGGGAACCATGTCAGACGGCAAATGGGGCACTTGTTGTGCCACGGCTCCGGTCTTCTGAGATGCTTCTCCAAACACCGTCGACCGAAAATGTGTCCGCAGCACCGCCGGCTGCGGTCGGGTTCCGCTGTAAGGTCTACGCGGACTGCCCACTCCGCTTGGGCTTCGCCTAGATCCAACATCCCGGGCCGATAGTCTCCGTACGCCTCGTGGCAGATGGGGCAGTCCCGCGAGTCGGCTTGCAGACACCGGAGCGGCAGTGGCGTAGTAAAGACTACAAGGTGTGAGGAAGGCAAGTTGGCCATGTTGCTGTCCGCGCTTCTCGTGGGCCTGGGAAGTGAATCGTTCGCATGGAGACCTCGACCACGACGGAGACGGGTGAGTTAAGTATGCCGACTTGGTGAATTGGCTGGCACCGAGTCGTTTGCTTCTCTGAAAGGGCTATGTTTTCGCTGAGTGAAGTGCCGTGCGCTGCTGGGCGTGGGAGCAAGTGAGCATTCACCGCATCCACGCCCTTCGGCCTGCTGAGATTTGACTTGCTGGATGCACTCAGGGGTGACACGGCAGCCTCGCTTTCACCGGCTGTTGAGGTGCGGTCGTACTAGCCGCGCGGAGCTAGCCGTTGTGGGCTAGCGCGTGTGGCGCTCTTGCCCACTCCAGGGCTTGGCCGGGTGCCAACAGGCAGCGGTGTCACGGGAGCAGGCCAGAAGGCCACCGGCCAGGCTGAGAGCCGCGCACCTTCACTCTCCCACTTCGCGAACAAACACGCCAACAACCCGCCCCCGACGTCACATCCAATCCTCGCCGGCTTGCAACACGCTTTTCATCTCACCGTCGCAGCCCTGGAGACGATGCAGGCGGCGCCCGGCAAGAAGAAGCCCTATCGCCCGCCGCGGCCCGACGCCAACACCTTCAGCACGCAGCACGAATTCCTGGAGAGCCTGACGCCCGTGCCGGCCGACTCGGTCGGCGAGAAGGACCGCAAGTGCGCGCACTGCTGGAAGCGCTTTGGAGAGGCCGATCCCGGCCTGGATAACGCCGAGGAGCCCGTCCGCTTCCGATGTGGCCACGTCTTCGGGGAAAGGTGCATGAAAGAGCTATTTTGCCCTCCAGAGGCCGTCAGAATCGACATGCTGCCGCTCTCCTTCGCGCCAGGCTCCCGAGGTGCGGAGCTCGGCCGCAGGCTGAGCGCGTACGTGGACCAATGCGGCGTAGACAAGGGCGCGCTTCTAATTGGCGGGAAGAGAGAAAAGGACTTCACGCGACTGCTCAACGAAGTCCAGAACGCAAACCGCGGCTACGAGATACTGGGGAAGGAGTGGTATCCGCGGGTCCATCAAGCCATGCACCCCAACCTCAACTTGCATGATGTCCACCTGCTGGAAAACGCGGTGATTTTCGACGTCGGCATCCCGGAGCCCAAAGGCAAGCCAACCTTCATCCCCGAGTATACGACGGCCGCAGTGGGCTACATACCCTCGATGCCCACGGAATGGACTGCTACCAGTACCGAAGACCTTCTGGCTCTGGCTGATGAGGCTCAGCATCTGTACGAGGCCGCTAAAAACGCCACTCCCGATAGCAGCAATGCCTCCTCCACGCCAGTATCGAGTATTAATAACAACGGCCTCCCTTCGTTCGCGAGCCTACTCGGGGCCCTTCACGGTGATGTTGACGTTCCAGACCACGATCCAAGCTTTGCAACAACGACATCTGAGCCGGTCTCACAACCAGACACACCAGGTAGCGCGAAGACGGTTGCAGAGATAACATCGGAACTGTTGGCAGAAGACCAAGCACTCATCGAGATGATGTCGACGCTAGAGGACCCGGCCTTGGCCATGGACTCGCCCGCGTATGTGGCATACCAGCAGATGATGGAGCACTACAGCGAAACAGCAACCGAAGGCTCGATCCCCAGCTCTGAAGATGGTCCTGAACCGATGGAAGGCGTGGAGCAGCCCTCAACCGACACTGCTGCTGAGCCATTGCAGGGGAAACTTCCGAGCATTCATGAAGCTTTGAGTTCTGCGGAGACCGGGGGCACTGCGCCGGGGGCATGGAAGGACAAGCTGCCCAAAGTTTCCAAGTTGGACAAGCTTGTATCATTGCAAAAGTCACAGGCAGACGCCAAGCAAGCGTTCAAAGCCGCCAAAAAGTCAGAAGCTTCTATAAAGGCATCCAAAGAGGCCTCTCAAAGGCGGGCCGCGAAAGCGAAAGGTACGTGCTATGCTTAGTTCTGTCACAGTTTCAGACAAGAATATCCGTTGACTAAATATAGCTGAGCGAGATGCTCGGAAGCAAGAGCTGATAGCAGTGTTGGCTCGTTCGCTCGCAAGAGTCTACGACGAGTACGAGCAACACCAGTTCGACAGCGCCCTAGCTGCTGGGCAACCGCCGCCGATCAAGAGGTTGAAGCTGGCCTCCCCTACTAGTACAATTACTCCGCCTCCTGTCACAGACGCGCCGATCCCGGGGCCTCTGCCGATGAACGTAATTCATTTGTCGGCAATGATGCACCGGCATGACGTGGACGCAAGGCACTATGAAGTTCCTCAGCCTTACACTCACGGCGGCGATCCTGAAGACGAGGACGATGACGAGACTATCAACGATGAGGCGCAGGGGCTCTCCGAAAAGACCATATTCCTCACTCGGACGACGTGTCGAAAGTGCTTCAAGCACACAGCAGGAGGACCAACGCGTTTCTTCTCCCTCCCGGAATACATCTGCTGGAAGAACACCAAGAGTGTACCCGATGGCTGCCCCATTTGCCACAAGGTCTTATTCAGAAAAGGCCTGGATTCTTTGGACCCGCACGGTGCAGCCATGGCGGTCGACCCCTACTGACAACTCGGGGGCTGTACAAGATTGATGTATGCATTTCTAGGTCTGCGATAGGATGCATGGCGTTTTGGAGCACTTCCGGCAGCATGAAGAGATGGTGCTTTTGACAGTATTTTAGCCTAGGATGGATGAGGGGCAGTCTAGAAACGGGGCTATTCATTAGGATCACAGCCTTTCCCTACACGCTTAACGCATGCTTTTCCAAAGGGGTCTCATCGAATGCAGCTCAAGTGTGAGGAGTTGTGTTCTACTGATTAGTGGGTTAGATTCGGCCGCACGGCTAGCAGCCCGCGTTATCAACAGCAGTCTATTGCCGCTGGCATTTCGTTACATTCAATTCAATTGCTCCGACTCCTCTATATGCTGAAGTGAAGGTCCCCGTTACTAACGCAGCGGATGGGCATGTGCCTATCGCACGACCCTGGATCTTTCACTCATTCGCCTGTTCCTTGTTGCCCGGACCCGGATCTGGCTTGCGAATCTCTCTCTTTCACCACGTCATGATCTTTATATCTGCTATCGACAAAAACTCTTCTCCATCTAAATCAGACTCCAACGACTCTCCGCGGCTCTCCATCATGACTACCCGAACACAACTCCAGCCCAATGACAATGCTGCTGCTATGTCGCACCCGTCGATAACGTCGTTCCCGCCTCAATCACTCGCCGGCGCTGCATTACCATACCTTGAAAGCACGCCGGGTGGCGCAAAATACAAGCCAACACCGTCCAAAACTGCAGGATTGAGTTCGTCGGGGGTAGCTCCGGGCCCGGGCGCCACGGCGACTGCGAAGCCGAACACAGGAACGCCACCTGCTACAGCACCAGCAGGGCCCGCCAAAGTAGAAGGCGACGAACGGTCACACGCAAGTCCTCCATTTATCGATCAGCGCTCTCTTCCACTGCCGTCCCTGCTCCGCTACGTCGACCATGACCTCATCCGCGACACTTCTCTCCATAACAAGCCACCTACGCCTGACGCCATGTGCCGGATCTGTGGCCACCAGCACAATCTTGCTCCCATTTCCACAACGTTCCTCCCTCTCACACCCTGCGGCTGCTGGATCCACTACCGCTGCTTCATATGGTGGGTGACACGCGTCACGGAGACAAGGGCCAGCTGTCCCATCTGTGGGATTAAGCTTGCCGAGTGGGACGGCATTGGGGCGCTCACGCTCGCCACGCGGACCGGCTTCGATATGCAGGACGTACAGTTCGCGCCTTACGCCTGCTACACGGATGTCGACACTCAATTCGTGGTGAACTCCGATAGCACCGAATACATATGCGAGTGCCAGCTTATCGAACAGCTCATCGGCAAGCACTTCTTCCATCAGCTCCACCTCGCGCAGCAGTCGCAGCCGCCCAAGTACACCGACAGGTCGCCGGACCTCACGCAATGCTACTACAATGTGCTCGACGAACTGGACAAGATGAGGCGGCCAAGGGCGAAGTGGCTGCGCTGGAACACGAGTTCGGGCTTCTTTCTCTTCGGAATGCTGGTCGCGATCAAGATGAGGAGATGGCTTGTGCAGGAACATGGGCGCATTGTGCAAACAGATGGGTGGAAGTACTTTATTGCTGGCTGGGATGTGCTGCAGGAGAAGTTGTTGGAAGAGGTGAGGGCGGAGTGGCCTCAGCCAAATGAGACGGCTAGAGCTCCGCCGCTGGCTCCGCCTCTAGTTCGTTAGTAAGAGATAATAGCAACCTAAGGCTTAAGTTTTAGTCTAACGGATTCCACCACCGAACACCCCAAACCACCGAACACCCCAAAAATGCCAAGCCCCCACCAAAAAGCCGCCATCTTATTCAGATTGCTCTGACTCGGAGCTGCTTGAGATAAATCTAGATAAGCTATCCGACTTATCTGTATCGTCTTCAACTACCTGGCACGTTCGCGCGTTGTGCCCTGGCTTACCGCAGCGTCCACAGCGTCGCTGAGCTGGCTAGCCGTCGCGTGCCACCACTTCACGCCGCTTCTTACCCTTATTCTAATCCGCAGTCTCCCTTTAAGCGACTAGCTGTAAGCTAGCTTTAATTACAAGAGTATCCCCTTCCTAAATCTGCTTTCTTTTACGTAAATTATACTCCTTTTTCTATAACGTACTTTATAAGCAAACCGCCTAACTACTTCTAATATTTTAGTAAAGCGTTTTTAAAAGACAGACTTCTCTATTCTTTTATATACTATATTCTAGTCTATAGTCTACTTGTAGTAATAAGGCTAAATTCCTATTATACTACTAAGCTATCTACTAAGAACTACTTCTAGATCTCTAGAGATATACTACCTAAACGAAATCTAACTAGAAGCTAAAAGGTATAAGCCTCTAGCGTTGAAAGTTAATAGAACCTAAAGTAGATTGATTCCCTTTCCTTGTAGTACTACCCTACCCTGGATGCTGTACCAATGTGTTAAAAAGATAAGGTCTAACGTAAACGTCTCCGCAGTCTGATCGGCCCACAGCAGGAACTTAGTGGATTCGAATTTACAATTCTGGGGAGGGTAAACTCGATGGTTCGTCCATGGTCGAACGCAAATGGTGCCATCGTCCGGAAGTAGTGTCCGCTCATCTCCTTCTACTTCGAGGACCTCTAGATGCTCCTCTTGGTAGGGATGGAAATGTAAAGGTGCTTTTCGGGAAGCGGCCGCTATGAGTTGAGGGTAGTTGTTGAAGAACGTAACCTCGAATGTCGATGCGTGTTGCGGGTGTTTTAGTACGCGCGTCACGACTGCTCCGTTTAACCTAATTTTTCTTAGGGCATGTATTGGAATTTTGGAAGGTATTTGTCTTACACAACGATCTCTTTCTTCTCATACGCAGCGGGCAGATGGAGCGATGGCGGATTCGGCATTTTGTTTACAGAGAAAGGCTCAGGACGCAAGACACGGAAGAGATGGAGTTGAACAAACTGAAGCCAACGCGATTTGATGCAAGAGCAGAAGAACAGTGTCCGCTTGAAGACACTGGAAATGTCTAAATAAATGAAAGCACCAGTCTAACATGAAGACTGGCCATGCGTTCTCAGCTCGGGAGCTTCGCATTTGGGTAAGTTAATAAGAACGGACCAGATGTTTCCAAGCCTGTATCACACAATAACATTGGTTCTTCTCGCTGTTCTTTGCCGGATGCATGCAGAAAGCTGCTCAGCTGATCTAGGCACAGATATAGGCATCGAGGGTTAAGGGGTATCATACTCGCTTCCAGATGCATACGGATGCCTTAGTCAATCTTGAAAGCTAGGCTTCGGACGAGGACGCGTAACAGTCAGGCCAGAAATAGAGTCGTGCGCAAAGCTCCAACCGCTACTTCCCAAGCCTGGAGGGTCGGGTAATCTCAAGCGACCTGCTGAATGCAATGAACATCGATAAGGTGCTTTTCGTATCATCTTCCAGCATCAGCCTTGGGACTTGGTCCGAGAACATCGGTCTGACAGAAATATCATCGACGATCACATCAGGTGCCAATAAACAAAAACAAGATACTCGATGGCAAACCCATGTAATGCGTCTTCGTGCGCAGACCCATGCCACAACGGCTTCGGCAGCAAACTGTGAGTTTTCCACGCGCCAGTAAGAAGGCGCTGCGCCTACCTAGGTAACACAAGGGGGTGAGACATCTCACAACTCAATATACTTGCAGTCATATTAGACAGACCATCCCTGGATGCATCTGCATGTTTTGTTCTAAGCTCGGTGTCCTGTATGCATGAACTGGACGAATAGCGCTCGGGAAAAGGGACTTTTGAGGCAGTACAATATTCGCGCTTCGTTTGCCTTTGGCACGTGCTGCAATGAGCTGGAATGTACCCTAGTTTCTTCCCAGGAACAGTCGGATAATTTAATTGCCCAGGTATGCAGTCATCAATTAGATGTCTGCCTTCTATGAATGCAAGTGCTCTCCAGTGGAAATCTAAGGCGGCCGAGTAGACCGCTGCAGGCGTACAATTCGGTAGATGAAGCGGCCGTGAGCATATTGCGGCACAGTCGTGAAGTCCGTTGATAAGTTGCGGCACGGGCATACCCGAACCGCCCCGTATTGCGGCACACCCATGCGCGCACTCGCTGACGCTGATCTTGGCTATCCTGCAGCGCAGCCCTCCCTTGTGCAGACGTCGACTAACTCCGCCTTGGCCTGCAAACCCCTCTAAATGTCACCTCCGACGATGCGATTTGCATGGTCAAGCGAAAGAAGAGTTGGGAAATGGGGCCAAAGAACGTGCATCGAGCCGTCCCGTTCCGTCCACATCTCCACGCCCCCTGCATACCGTTGCGTGCACTCACAGACCCCAATCGGAGCTTGCGCAATTCAGTTATCATCATGTTCGTAACCCTCAATGTGAGACACGGTCCGCATGTCTCGAAGCACTGACCAGTACTTAGCTTGTGCGACCCTCCCAAAAGTGCAGTGGAAGTTCTTTTCTCTTTCACTTAAACGCAAGAAGAAGACATAACACGGGCGTCCACGTCTGCTATCGGCACATCGGAGTAGCAAGAATCATTCGCTATGGGACCTGTTCGTCCTAAGACCGCGACCGCTGGTCAGGAGCCGATCGTAGTGTGAGCCGAGCTTCATGATTCTGTTCTCGTACTAACAATTGTAGCTTTGACGGGGCAATCAGTGTCCGACACCTGTTTCACTCGACTCGTCTTTTTAACCTTGAGGTCACCTTCGACGACCATCACCCACATATGCAGAAGCTTCGCGCGCAGGAACCTCCCCAGCATTTTCACTATCTGCAGGTGGAATATATTCAGATGCTTGAAGGAGAACTCTATGTTGACGTGGGAGACAAACGAATTCGGCTCACACCTTCTGATGGTGAGCTGGAGATTCCCGCTTGGCACAGAAATCGGGTAATTCCACTGCCCCCCTCCGAGGACCGCAAATACACAAAGTTTTTGCTCAGTGGACCCGGAACTGATGGACCGTACATGCTGGATGCGATATTCTATGAGAATTACTACAGATACATGGATCAAGCATTGTCCCCAGGCGGTGAGGGGATCAGCGTCGTCCAAGTGCTCTGCGCAAGTCTCCCCAAGCTGTGTGACGATGTGAAATTCGTCGTATATGAGCGCTGACAAGTGCATAGATGTTCGACCGTGGTGGCTCATGTCTCGCATTGCCGAAGTTCATACCATTCAGCATGACCCTATCCAAGGCAATGACCGTTGTCATCGGTCGCTGGTTGGGAGGTATTCTTGGCTATCAGCCATACTACAAGGAGTGGAGTACCGATTGGGAGACGGCGAAGCAGCGAATGAGTACATCAGTCGTTCAGAAACGCTTCGCGCGTGAATAGCAAGATCGTATTTCTTGCCACAGGTTGAGAGTGCATCACCATTTCCATGTCGTAAAGTTCAGGGACGTCGTACGGTAGATGGCATTCATACTTTCGAAACCTTAATATCACAACGGTTGGATCTTGGATCGTTTTTCACAGCAAGCCTTGCAATGAATGTAGTATGAATAATAGTGATGCCGGTAGGCTTCATTCCTAAGATGATTAGAGCTTTTGCACTAGAGTTCAGAACTTCCTGGTAGTTTATAGGGGGTTCCATTGATACGAAAACTCTGAAGAGTGTGCTGCACATTTCTTTCGCCAACCAAATTAATCCGAGCGGGTAATAGGTGATCTATCTGGAGTGTCAAGAAAGAAAAAACCCACTCTATAATTGTGTCATCCGGTTAAATGCAACCCCATGTGTTCTAAGACGTCCCCTGTTCATGCTCATGCGCTCTAGATCAATCATGCATGCTTTCCAGGATTCCGTACGCAGATATGTAGCGAGGGCAACCTTTGAAACTCTCGGACTCCGAAGAGATTTCTTACGTGTTGAGACTCGGATTGTTGCTCGCTACAATTCTATTTTCTTTTCCTCGAAGGGCTGGTATTCGAATTTTTATATGCTTGAACAAACACACAGTCTGCCGACACAGGGCAGCATCCAACTCCACATTCCACTCGTACGCCTTTTATCATCTGATTCGGACTCGCACATCCAACAACATGGCAACCGCCGGGACAGAACCTTTCTCACTACCACCACCTACCCAGCTCAACGATACACACAAAGTATGGGGCGTATTTGTCTTCATCACGATTTTCCTCGTAATCTCCACTTGCATTGCGCTTCTTCGCTTGCTCTTGCGCTGGAAATCCAGGAGCTTTGGATTGGATGACTGGGTCACTATACCGGCATTGGTAGAGTTCTAATGATCTCGATTGGGGTGCAGCATCGATTTCTGATGCATCGCAGGTGGCTTACATCGTGCACTCAATTATAGCAGCGTATGTTAATGCTAACGCTGGCCTTGGGAAACCGCTTTGGGAGGTAACCATGCCTGAGTTTGAGCTTTGGGGCAAGGCAAGAAACTCCAATACCCCGCTCTTTGATCGATGTCTGACTCTGGGTGGCAGGGACATATTGCGACATGTTTTCTGTACCCCATCACCTCCGGCTTGATTCGAATCTCCATCCTGCTACTTTACGACCGCGTTTTCTCGAAAGCAAGCCGATCCATGAAGATCATAATTCGCGCCTCGATTGCGTTTGTTGGGTGTTACATCGCAGGCGTCGTGATCTACACTGGCTTCCTGTGCAAACCTTTGCACAAATTCTGGAAGCCTTTTGAGAGAGCTCAATACTGCGGTAGTAATCTCTCGTACTGGATATACACAGCAGTAGTATACGGTGTCAGTCTTTTTCAAGACATCGTGCTACTTTTGCTTCCCGTCGTTCGAGTGATGGGTCTGCAGATGTCCCTGAGGAAGCGTGTAGCTGTCATACTTGTATTTGCCCTGGGCTCGTCGTAAGTTCTCTATGACAGATTCAATCCTATCACAGGGGCTCTAACATTGTTTCAGGGCTTGTGTAGCTGCTGCCTACAAGCTTGTCATGCTAGGACTACAGTGGGGAAGAACAGGGCACATTGATCCACGCTGTAAGTATTCCATTCAACAATTGCCCGCATATCGGACAGAATTGATTTAGCGCTCCTAGGGCTCAATATGCAAGCTAGCCGTGTAATACCACCTCAGTTTGATCAATACGGGTATACCATGTGGATTCCTACGCAAGCGGAACTCTCAGCCGCCGTCATTGGATCTTCATTGGTTCCGTTGAAGGCTCAGGTCTGGGCCGTCGCGCAGAAGATCTTGTCGGCAATGGGCTATACTTGGGGCTCAGGCTTTGGCAGTGGCGTCAGCAAAGGCGATAATTATGCCTCTCTGGATCGAAAAGGGCCAGTAAAAAAGGACACATACAAAAAGGTGAGTGAGGATTCCAGGATTGCCATCACTATGGACATTGAGCTTGCTTCCCATGAGACTTTCAGGCTTTAGTAAGGGCCTGTCTTGATATGTCTCCTGTCGCTTTTGGGGACTCCTCTCAACGTCTCTGTTAGTTTTACTAGTAGGGTAGTGAAGAATCATCATCTCCTAGGCAGAAATGTTTCCTTATTCTGATTTGAGTTCTTACATATCATTCGGCACAACACACAAGAGACTTCGAGCTCGCCTATGAGAAATGTACGCTATCTTTCGATCTGGTTCGCTCCTAAGGCTGGCTGAAGTGCTCTGCTTGGCGTTGGTCATCCCCCAAGGCTAGCGAAACTTCTAAGGTTAGAAGGCAACAAGGGGGACTGCCTGGCCAGGATACCATACAGTTGCAGAAATCTGGGGGTTAGAGAAGAATGAAAGGGAAGCATAGCTCATTACACGTTTTTCTACAATTTTTTCTTCAATCGTAGCCGTGGCTTCAGGCACGACAAGATCTTACGAGCCGTCTCTACTATGACTATGTTCAGTAACTTTTTTTTGGTGTTGTTAACTTCGCAGAGAATAAACTTCAACGAAGCCTTGAGTCGCAGGTGAGAGCCCGAAATGATGTAAGCTGACGTGTAGCGGGGAAGGTTCCAACCTTGAAATGCATGCATGCTACATGTTTCCAGTGGAGTCCCTTTAAGTGGTATCAAAAGTCCGAAGCGGTGGGGTGCCTGCGTGGCCCGTATTCTCTCATCGGCAACATGACCACACGCCGCAACAAGGCATCAACTCGCCTTTGGGGTTGACCCCTGCTCCAATAGCTCAAGGGGTGTCAGATGCAAAGTGACCATCCCGTGGCGCAGTGCAAGTTACGGTATTCAACTAAATAAATCCTTCGAGGATTCATGACAGGCTATACCCTTCTTGCTGTTGGGAGCTCATTCATATTCTTGGCGTTTATGATAGCGAAGGTGGATTTGGAGAAGCCGAAGACTATAGGGTGGTGGTTTAGCAATGGATTTTGGTACACAGCTGGAGCGATCGGTGGAGGATTGATGTTGGAGTACCTCTGTGTATTGGACATGCTTTGGTGAGAAAAGGGTTAGGAGGGGACTTCGATTAATTCGCCGTCCATTTGAGGGTGTTTCCTGGTGCACTCTTCTCATAGCTCTGTTTGTCTTATACTATTTCCCCGCGTTTTGTAGCCTGTTAAACACCTCTTAGCCCCGATTAATTTGGGTAAATTGTTTTTCTTGTATGCTTAGTGACCCTGCTTGCAATGAATGATTGTGCACGAGAGGAGGGAGGGGTCAATGTTGCTGGTCGCGCCCCCTAGCTCTTAGCGGGCTTAGCTATGCTAGAAATTTTTTTTTTCGCGTATATGCAGGAACGCGTAGTCCGAATAACTTCACCCTATTTCATTCGGGCGCCTGCTATAGACGATACGCGATGCTCGACTCCCAGTCTCCAGCCACAGAGCGCCTACCGGAACCTCTTGCTGGCTTCCGCGAACGACATACCCTTTGAAATTTCAGCGCGCACCTTGCCATCCGCCTCAACTCGCTTTCTCATCAGCTCCAAGGCTTTTCCAGCCAAGTCTCGCGGTAGTAAAACGACCCCGTTTAAGTCGCCCATGAGGTAGTCACCCGGCCGAATCTCTATATTCTGATGCATGGACTGCAGTTTGACCGGCACATTCACAGCTGCGACTTTGACCGACTCATACGGCGGCGCCGTCCCAATATCTCGCGCGAAGATCGGAAAGTTCAGGCCTCGCTGCTCCTCCAGGTCGCGAAAGCGGCCATCGATTATGGAGCCTGCGGCGCCGAGGTAGTGGGCTCGAGCCGACATCAAGCCGCCATACACGGCATTGGGAACATCTCGTGGAGATGAGACGAAAACGACCGAGCCGGACGGAACATGGTCAATCTGGCAACAGATGAGCCATACAAAAGATGTTGGGGTTTTGCTCTTACGTAGTGAGTCGAATGCTTGGGCGCAGGATCGCTGAGTGGCACATACTGGACAGTATATGCTGGACCCGCTATCTTGGTGGAGCCGGACTGCCGCTCAGGGGACCACATGGTTAGACCGGAGAGAAAGCCGCCATTGGGATATTTCAGCGAGCAAAGCGCATCAGATATGTCGCATCTGCGGCGCTCTTGTAAGTCTTGCGGGAGAGAAAAGGCCCGGGGTGGCTTACGTTGTGAATTTCTTGAGCTGGCCGACAATGTCCCGTTCGTCTGTCATCTCGCAGAATGGCACATTTAGTGGAATGCGTTCTGGATGCTTCACACGCCTTCCGCCTGGCGGAGGGGGCTTTCAAGATACAAAGGCGGGGTAGCTCTTGTCTGTGTTGGTGTGCCGATCTTCGGGCCTCCTCGCCGGAAACTGGCCGCGGCCATTGCCCGGGGGGAAGAAATCACGAAAGACGGCAGTAAGCGCATATAGGGAGGCGGGGACACGGTAATGCTTTCCTGCGCCGTTGCTTTCGCTCTCAAAAATGCAGGGAAAACCCAAGGTCTACGTCCTGGACCCATATCACGCTGATGCTATAGCACTCTTGCAGTCATTCGGAGACATACATGTCGTTCTTCCGACCGACCCGCGGAAATCGGACTGGTACAGCGATGCCGATGGACTTCTGTTACGTTCCGAGACACGTCTCGGCGAAGCCGACTTCAAAGAAGCGAGAAAGCTGCGCGTCATCGTAAAGCAGGGCGCAGGCGTCGACAACATCGATCTTGAGGCGGCGAAGGCCGCTGGAGTCGCTGTCCACAATACTCCGGCGTTGAATAGCGAGGCCGTTGCAGAGCTGTGCCTCGCGCTTACTTTGAGTCTGAGTCGCCGAGTCTGCGAGATCGATCGGAGGATAAGGAGAGGAGAGAAAGTCGTTCGCAGCCAGACATTAGGGCTCAGCCTGTTCCAAAAGACCATCGGCATCATCGGGATGGGGAACATTGGACGGGAGTCAGCTCGGAAGTGGAAACGAGCGTTTGACGCCAAGATTATCGGATACGATCCTGTCGTGCTCGAAGATGCCTGGGCTGATATCGAACACACGCGGGTCAAGAACGTCGACCAGTTGCTGCGGGAAGCCGACGTGGTGTCGCTGCATGTACCATTACTCCCGACGACGAGAGGGATGATCGGGACTAGAGAGCTGGGCCTCATGAAGAAGCAGGCGATCTTGATCAATGCGGCGCGCGGTGGGTTGGTGGATGAGAAAGCATTGCTCGTGGTGCTGAAGCAAGGTCGGATATGGGGAGCTGTGCTGGACGCGATGGAAGTGGAGCCACCGACCAAAGAATCATGTGGGGAATTTCTTGAATTGGACAATGTCATCGTTACGCCGCACATCGGAGCATCAACGATAGAAAACCAGAGCAACAGTGGCAGCGCGGCGGTGAGAATATTGAGGGGAGTACTGAGAGGGGACGCTGGGGTAGTTGGAAAGCTGGTGTAGAGAGCATAGAATTGTCAAACCAATGAACGGCCGTGATGCATTGGGGCGTCGGCCGGTTTCCGCGGCCAACCGCCGTGCAGCAAGATCTGAAGACCTTAAATAGTGCAAGGTCACACGTTGGCAGTAAATGCGTTTGATATCGCATCAGGACCGACGTCTTCATTCTTGCGACTGCATTCGTGATTTCCCAGAATGGCGGACTCGGAAGGGAAGCTTTGCATTACATCAGCATCGGCGCATGTCTTCATTACCTCGGTGCTTGCGAAATTCAATGTGCCGAAGGATCGGGCGGAAACAATGGCGGACGCGCTCGTCCAAGCCGACCTGCGCGGTGTCGATACGCACGGGATCAATAGGCTGTCGGGATATATCGATCGGGTGCGGACCGGAGTCCTGGACCCCAGTCCCGACCTGGCCTTCGTCATGAAAACGCCGGTCATCGCTCACCTGGACGCTAAGAACACTTTTGGGATGGTTGCTGCTTCCCTCGCAATCGACAAAGCCTCTGCGATTGCAGACACATACGGAATCGGCCTGGTCGCGGTGAAGCACAGTAATCACTACGGTATGGCAGCTACCTACCTCCTGCGAGCGATGAAGCGAGGCTTTGCGGCAATAGCCTTCACGAACGCAGCGCGAAGCATGCCCGCCTGGGGATCGAAGGAGCCTTTGCTGGGTACGAGTCCATTCGCTGTGGGGGTCCCGGGCGGGGAGATGGGCGACTTCGTGCTGGACATGAGTCCCAGTGTCGCAGCGCGAGGAAAGATTCGGAAGGCAGCCAGGCGTGGAGAGAAGATTCCGGAAGGTTATGCGCTGGATGCTGAGGGAAAGCCTACTACGGATCCGGAAGCGGCGCTTGAAGGAACGGTGCTTCCCATCGGAGGCCCGAAAGGGAGCGGCCTGGCCATGATGATGGACATCTTCGGTGGAGTGATAAGCGGTGCCGCGTTTGCAGGAGGCGTAAATGACCAATACAAGAACCTAAAGGAACCGCAGAACGTTGGCCACTGGTTCATTGTCTTCAGGCCCGATGTCTTCCTAGCGGGCGGCGCCGAGGAATTGAGGGCGCGGATGGATACGCTGATGCGTACGGTTCGGCAATCGGAGAAGGCAGCAGGCGTTGATCGGATATGGACGAGCGGAGAGATTGAGGCGAACATGCAAATGCAGCGGGAAGCGGAGGGTATACCCTTCACGAGGGGCGAGGTGGAGGCGTTGCACGCGTTGGCGGACGGAATTGGGGTGAATGCGCGGCTGGAGACAATACCTAGGTATCACGAGGCCCGATGTACCCGGGGCGTGTAGCAGTGCGATAATTACTGTTCATCAATAGCGCGGTCTTCGTATGGCGTCGCGAGAAAAAGGCGATGAAGCGCTGGTGTTGAGGTTCCGTGATTCGAGTCATGACGAAACGCAGCCCCTCACGCTCACGCTAAGAACCACGTGACTCCGGCAATCGGTCCATTTCGCCAACCGGAGAAGCCCTCGAGGTATTCTTCATCACTCCATTGCAGCATTAGCTTTCACTGAGTGCAGCCATCGCGCGATTCTCGGACAGATGGTGGCTGGCGCAACATGCCTACTAGGAACTCTCGCGGCAGCAGCCAACGTCGCACCAGGGCACATCGCGGCTTGACGTGCTCCAACTGCCGCGCACGCAAGGTACCGTACATGGTCGCTGAGCATGAATGGGCTGGTCGCTTGGTGCTGATATGCATAGACACGCTGCGACAGAGCGCAGCCGACATGCAAGACGTGCGAAGTCTACGGCGACTCTTGCCAGTACGAGAAGATGCCGCCCATGTCGCAAGTCCTCGCCATGGCCGCGAGGCTCCAGGAGGCCGAAAACACCATTGCCGAGCTACGGCAGACGCTCGATCGTCGCAGTTCATTGGGCCCAGAGGATACCGCTCAGACCGAGAGGAGCAGCAGCCAGGCCACGCCTTACCCTCGCCCCATCCCAGCCCGCCCGTTTAGTCCAGAAGAGATGCGCTCCGATCTCAGTCTCGACGAGAAGGGCCAGGTGAGCGCTCCTTCAAACTCCTCCATGTCCTGCTGAACTTCCGCTTAGCTCTGCTACCACGGGCCGACCTCTGCTGTGCATGACCCGCCTGCGCTTCATTCCGGCTCGCCTGATGCTGTGGTCGGCACGAGCCGGGTATCTGATTCGGAGGTGCGCAGCTTGCTCACTTCCAATGCTCAGGAGTCACGGGCCTGGGAGGAGTTCGCCCTTGGGAATGCCGCTCTTCAGACGGATATTCCCCAAGCCGTTATCTCGCAGCTACTGCAGATACACTGGACTTGGATCGCCCCGAATTTTATGTGGGTATATCGTCCGGCTTTCATACGTGCGTGAGCCGCCCACACTGTCTTGTCCCCGCACCGCATCTGACAGCCTGTAGGCGATATGGTGACGGGTGGCCAGTACTACTCACCTTTCCTGCTCACGGTCCTGTGTGCGCATGCCGCGCGATTCGGACAAAGCGAGATGCGGGACCTGCTGGTATCTCGCGCTCGCCTCCTTCTCGGCACCGAGATCCACAAGACTAGCTCCATACCGACTGTTCAGGCTCTATTGCAGCTCAGCGCACGAGATCTCGCCTATGGCTCCGTCTCGCAGGCTTGGCTTTATAGCGGCATGGCCTTCAGGATGGTCAGCGACCTTGGCCTGCACCACAACCACGCGAAGCTCCTCGCTCTTGGACACCTTACCGCCGAGGATCTTGAAATCCGCCAGAGACTCTTCTGGAGCTGTTATTTCTGGGACAAGTGCGTCTCCTTCTGCTTCCACGTGTCGGTGCTTACTTGGCGAAACAGGGCCATTAGCCTCTACCTGGGTCGAATGCCAGCTCTCTCAGACCTCCCTATCCATCATACCCCCGAGCTCCGTAGGCTTTGTCTATAATTGCCGTGATGATGTAGCTAATGGGAAGCAGTGGACGACTTCGCGGAAAACGAGCTTTGGTCTCCTCATCACGGCGAGTCCCTGAACCTCAGCAAAGTCTCCGTTGGAGAGTATCCGCCCTTGAAGACGCACGCCATTTCCTGCTTTCAGAACTCGTGCAAGCTAGCTGTCATCATCAACGACATTATTCTACGCCTATACTCCCGCGCCACGGTCCATAACGCGGATCAAGCCCTCAACGACATCAAGCAGCGGCTAGATGAATGGAGGTCACGGACGCCGGACCACCTGAAGCTGGACCCACTACGTCTTCCCAATGTGTGCCCCCCAACGCACATCCTTGCTCAGAAGTACGCTTTTACTCATCTTCATGCGAACATCCGCTGACAATATTAGTATGTTGTACTACGCGACTATCATCCTGCTGCATCGGCCATTCTATTCCACTCCAGCGCATCACCTCCAATGCCGGAACGCGTCTCACTGCTTGGAGAAGCTCGTACTTATCCTCGAGAAAACCTTCGGCGTGACTAGACTCACTTACCTCATCGCGTATTGTATTTACACGGGTGCGTCGATTATTGTGCCAGATGTCAAAGCCGGCGACCTCGAAGCAAGCACGAAGATGCAGACTTTCCTACGGGCGCTCCATGGTGGGGTCGCTACCTGCCCGCTTGTACAGAGAAGCATAGACATCATCACGAACAGCCTTGATCCCGAAAGGGAAGAACTTGAGACGCCGAGAGGCCCCGCTGCGCCAGCAGAAGATGTGGCCTCCGGTCGCTATCTACCCGCCTTTCCCTTTCCTGATACGCAGTCGGCCTTTAGCGTTGAGCCAACGGTGGGAGGCCTGGATCTTGATGCTTTCACTCTGCTCGATTGCTTTCCCGAGTATCACACTACCAGTGCAGAGGCAGAGTGGTATATGCCTTGAATAGATGAGGGCAGAAGTGACGTAGTCTTTTGTTCATACTATATGCACTACTTGTCATCGTACTGCCACAGGGCTCTTGGGTTGTCTCTCCAGATCTTGCGGATTAGATTCTCCCCAGAAACAGCCCGACACCAGGATTTGCAGCGGTCAACCCATGCCCTGTCGTCTATCTTCCGGTACTCTTGGATCGCATTGCAGTCTCCACCCGGGTTGGCTTGGGCGCCTCCGCTATGTGGCCAGTCACTTGCCCAGACAACCCGGTTGGGAGCGATACGCAAGACATCCATGATGTATTCCTCGAGCCCGGGGACCTTATCAAACCGGTATGTTCCACTGAGCTTCGTCCAAACCTGGCCGCTTCTCAGTAACTTCATGAAGGCTTCATATCCCGGTTGCGTCTTTGGAGCGCCTTTCGAGGGATGAGGTGCGCCCAAGTGGTCAATCACGACGGGTATTCCGAGTGTCGGCAACACGTCTGCGATGAGATCGATCTGCTCCATTGCCACGAACAGCTGAAGCGCCCACCCAAGGCACCTTATCTTGTCTGCGTAGCTCTTCAGCAGGCCCTCGAATTCGATTTTCCCCAGTCGCTGGTCGCGCGTCTTCAGATTCAACCGAACGCCACGCGCACCGAGGCCGTGCAATTTTCTCAGCTCTCCGTCAGTGACTGCTTCGGGGTCTATGCAAACCACGGCGCGCCCTTTCCCTCCGAGCTTGGTTAGGGCATCGACGATTGATGAATTGTCTGTGTGGTAGACGGAGAATGCGATGAGGCAGACGTGCGATATGCCCAACTGTGATTCGAATCGTAGGAGGTCATCCAAGTCGGCCTTCTTGGGTCGATACGGATGCAATGGGTGCAGCGGAAACTTCTCCTAACAATGTCGCGGTTCTCAGCAATTGTACACGAATGTTTCGCGGTTCTCCGAGCATCTCACCTCGTCACACACATGGACGTGACTGTCCCACGTCCCTTCGAGCTCGGAATCGCACTCCGCTATCGAGCCCATTCTGGCGTTGGACTTTGGTGGTTAGAGGCTCAAAGCGCTAAAGGCGGGAGCGAACCAAAGCCGCGGTAAAATGCGTCTCTGTAAACCGGATTTAACGACCAGACGGTGCGATCGGCGGCTGGAATGCTCGGGCGGACACTTTCCTCGGAGACTCGCCGCGGCGCCTGGCCGGTATGGCAAGACCGTAGAATTGTCAAGGTAGAGTACTCCGCAACTACCGGCTTCCCCACGGGGACTCGCCATGCGCGACTGAGGGATCGGAAGCGCATGTATGCTTCTCTCAGCTACCACATACATATTTGATGGCGATCGTCGCTCCTCAGTCTGCCATCCACTTCGACGCAACCTATAGCGACGAGGCAGCTTCCATCACTCGCCGCATCTTTGCACGGCGCCTTCTTCTTCATACTTCAACCTTCGATAGAATCACTCCTGCGTGAGTTATTGCCACCGCTGGACGCGCGTGTCTAAGCTCGCCATGGGCTACGAGGAGAAAGCTTCTCATATCGAGCGGGCAGCCGACGAAGCCCAGCAACAGCCTGATGACGGCTATGCTCCCGTCGATATCCAAAAGGAGACATGCATCCTCGAGGATCCCGAATGGCTCGCCAAGCAAAAGAAATACTTGAGGAAACTGGATTCCATCCTTCTTCCGACCATTTCCATACTGTACTTCTTTGAATATCTTGACCGCGGTAACATTGGAGTAGGAGAACACTTGAAAGCGATAAAGTGACCTTAGGCTGACCTGGAACACAGAACGCGAAGCTCTATGGCCTCAGCACTGGCCACGGCACCGCCAGCGAAGGCATCGGCCCGGGGAAAGTGAGCGTATCGGATACGCAATGGCAGCTTTGTATCATGATCTTCTATGTCGGACTGGTTCTCTTCCAGGTCCCTGGCTGCATTGGATACCGCGTATTTCCACCATCTAAGGTAAGTCACGATTGCAGAGGTTGGAACTGGTACTGACGGAAGGCAGTGGATCGCCTTCACCGTTTGTGGCTTTTGTGCTACAAGCCTGCTTCAAAATTCAGCCTTCAACCTTGCAGGGGAGCTCGTCTGCCGCATCTTTCTAGGCACATTTGAGGGACTGTTTGGAACGGGAATTGTCTACTATCTCTCCCTCTGGTACCACCGAACTGAAATGGGTGTCCGCGTTTTTTGGTTCTTGGGCCCCACGGCCATCGCAGGGCAAGTAGTGCATCCAGCTCAAACGGGCAATGCTAAACCTGTGCTTCTAGCGCTTTTGGGGGCCTCATTGCATACGGGATTGGTCATATCGATAGTCCCACTCCGTCCTGGAAATGGCTCTTCTTGATCGAAGCCCTCCCTGGGTTCTGCCTTGGCTTGTTCTGTCTGTACTGGGTCCCGGACCGACCCACCAAGAATTCGAGGTTCTCTGGAGCGGATCAGGAGATCGCGGAAGCTCGATACCACAGTGAAGCATTTGAGAAGGCTGGCAAGATGCAGAAGAAGCACATACTCGCGGCAGTCACTGACTGGAGACTCTATGGTCAGGCGGCTGTGTACGTTCCTACTGCTGCCTTGCTTTCATCTATATCTGGTTTCCTCCCTACAGTGGTGAAGAGTACGCACTCCATTCCTAATTGTCTATTAGCCATTCGCTAACAATGAATTTAGACCTCGGCAACGACAAACCCACGTCCGCAAACCTCATGACCGTCCCTCCGTATGCATGCGCCTTCGCCCTCATGTATATCACATCTCGTACATCGGATCGATTCCGTGACCGAGGCATCCACATCACCTGCCTCGCTCTTGTTGCTACGATTGCCTACGCGCTGCTTGCGACACTCCCAGAATCCGACTTGAAGGGCAAATACGGCTGCATTTGCATTGCCGTAGCTTGCGTCTATGCAACCTACCCGCCCTCGCATGCCTGGGCTGCCAACAACTTCGGAAACGAGACCAAGCGAGCAGTCGGCATGGGGCTATACACGGCGATAGGTAATCTAGGTTCTATTGCCGGGAGCTTCTTCTATCCTTCGCATGAGGCGCCTCAGTTCCAAAAGGGCCATTTCATATGCATGGGCATGTCGATTGCGACGGCGCTATTTGCGCTGGGGAACAGCATGGCGTTGAGAGCGGTGAATGATTATCGGGATAAGAAGTATGGGAAGCCCGAGCCTAGGACGCCAGTAGATGTCACGGAGTTGGGAGATGCGAACCCACACTTCAGATATATCACCTGAGATTCGAGAAGAGGCACTCTCTGGGACGATAAAATGATTACACTCGCCTTCAATCTAATGATCGTTGGATAGTTCCTGATTCTATAATTTAGGTGGCTCGCATGACTAAATCGTCTCAGATTTAGACCTTCCGAGGTGTATTAGATCAGCGTCATCTCGTTGTTCAGCGGATAGGAAGATGGCCAGACAGGCCTGGAGCTATTGACGGCTACATAGGAACTCGGTGATGCTATCCAGTGCCAGTTCGCTTCCAGTTTAGACCTTATGGCTCACCCACGTTTCCGCAGCCGGCCCAACCATAATTGCCCGCCTCGCTCGACCTTGGAACCCTCTGCTGCAAAAGTACGTTTTGTCCGAGGCTTCTTCGTATCGTTCTGTCTCCATTTGGGTTTCCTTCTATCCATGTCTTTGCTAGTCTTTCCATTCCGGCTGGGTTCCTCTTCGGCTTCATGCTCTCAGGTGTCTCCGGTAACTTTGGTATCTCCCTTGTCTTAGGAATCTCCTTGATTTTGGGAGTGACGTGTTTCGCATGCAGCACCAAAGCATGCAAGAGGCGAAGCCACTGCAGTACGTTAGGAAAACCTAAGGTATTGGGCATACCCTGGCCCCATAACTAGTGATCCGATGCCAATTCGGAGATGAATGTAGGCGTGCCCAGACCAGCAAAGCCGGTCGTTCGTTGCTTGTTTTTCGCTATTGTTCGTGAAGGCTGTTTGCTCTGCAGCAAAGAGAGTGGTCGGAGCGCGAAGAATGCGACTGAGGTGGGGACTATAAGGCCGTCGAAGGGGGATGCGACGGTTTGGCCGGTTCCCATAGTCTTCTCAGAAGTCTATATGGCTTCCTTATCATAGATGTCCCGTCGCAGTTTCCAAGTTCTCTCCCCAATGCAGAATGTCACCCTCGTTCAGTTCAGGGAAGACTTTGAGCAAGCCTGCTTCTTGCAATGTATCCAAAGAGACAGCTCGATAGCCAGAGTCCCGGATCGGCCCATACGCTATGTATTCGGGCCAGCCACGAATACCCAGCAGCTGGGGAACGTGCCAAACAAGGACTTATTCAATCTTCCGTGTGCCGATCACACTAACATGGATGTCTTTCTTGCCAATTTGCCCCTTCTTCTTGGCGTAGTAAAGCACTAAATGCAAGGAGGCAGCCCATGAGCGAACTCGGAAAGGGGCTACTTACTGCTACGGTAATGCTGCCTCGCATTGTGTAGGGGATTGCTTTCATATTTTCTTGGAAAATTCGGGCCCATCTCGTTTGAGGGCGGTGGCTTTGACGAATGCGGGTGGGATATCCTCGAGCTTTGTGTTGATCGACACCTTCGGGCTTCCTCCACTTGAGCTCGACCCTGCCAATATAAGAAGCGAGGAATGTGGTTTAGTCTCAGGTCTAGGTACATCAACATTAGTTATTCAATCCCTTTCCTTGCGGAAGTCTCACGGGGATATACCTTGTAAATTCGCCTTCTTCGCCTCAGTGATGAGTACCATGTAGTTGCCTAGGGCCACAGTATCTCTCTCTTGGTTTTGGCAGCGTTGAGAAATTTTGAAGACCAAGTTGGCCGTGAACGGCTCTTGCTATTGTAGTTGTGACTATAGGAACCGGGCACTCCCCCGAACTTGTACATTTAGGAGAGCTTCCGCGGACGGTTATCTTTTACGGGCATACCGGCACTGGCAAATAAGGCGACGTGGTTCACCTCCAGCAAGGACGCCGTCTGCTGGCAGACTTTGCATTCCGTTCCTGACTAGGGCGCTAGTTACTGTGACTAGAACCTGTGTATATAATACTCGCGAAATACTCCTCGCAGGGCTGTCATCGAAACATCTCCGTTCCCCTTCTTTTCCCTTACGCAGCCTCCCGTTTAGCTGTGTCTCATTGTTAGAATCAGCAGCGGCATCTTTAGCTTTGTTTGATTCGATCTACTTCCGCTTGGTCCCCTACTTGGCTCTCTGAGGGATACCCTGGATAGCTTTGGGGTAAACTGGCTGGGTCTTCTTCCGCATAGTCACCCACTTGTTTCGAACCATCTTCGCCTTGGGTTGCCTCCGCCGTTGTAGCTCCATCGACCTTGAGTTTGGCAGACCTCTTCCCGCTCATTTCTCTCTCTTGCTTGTTGGTCTCGGAGGCTCCCTAGCATACAGCACCATCGCATGCACGAGATCGAACCGCTGCTGAACGTCTAAGGGCTCTCTGTATTCACCATGTCGAAATTCATAAGGCCAGGTCTCATCGGCCCTTTCAGACGGGATGATAGGGTTTCTCAACCTCTTAATAATCTTTTTGATTTGCGCTTCTATGGCTTAGCCACGTAGTACGTCCTGAGGCTTGAACCAAGAGTGGGGCCATATACTTCCAACTATTAACAGGCTTCAGGTGGGAAAGCTTGATTATATCTAACGGCCCACCCATTTCTTCTGTTTTTTTCTGCTCGTAGTCACTTCTTCCTTCCACGCCAGCCCCTTGTCAAAGTCGAGACGGGTTGTTCTACTGGGAGCTACCCAATATAGACAACTGTTCGAGGCTACGTTAGATAATGTTTATCTAAGATCGGAACGGGACTCGAGACGACCGTTAATATGTACCCCAGTAACCCCCATGTTCTCAAGCAGAGATTTTTTTGTCGGCGGCAAACTGTGGCATGCTAATAATCTGCCCCAGAAGTAAACGTCAGACGGAGAGTAAGCGCAAAACCGTGAACAAAAAGTGCAGAGAAAAACACACAAGGCCGTTCCCGAAGACCAGCCAGCTCCTACAATCCTAAAAAGCCTGCCGAGGGGCACTCCAATGTTGGTCTGCTTTGCTAACTCAAAGTTGACCACTAAGTGTTCCAGTAAAACCGGTTTCGGCCTGAATCTGCTCGCTTCGTCCGGGTTGCTCGGACCGATCTACTACTAAAGGTGTAGGGCCCTTTCAGGCCTACTTCCACGTCCAGAGCGTATTCCAGTCCTGTAGCAGGAAGGTTTCGTAGAGAGTCCTTTGTATCCGAAAGTAGTTGCGGGCTTGTTAAGAGCAAGGCAGACGTCTCACAGCAAAGCTCAACATGCACGCAATAATTAGATAGCTTGATCTCTTGTCCCAGTCGTTGTAATGTTTGCGAGACTGCGGGCGCTCGCTCTCATCTAGGATGAAGTCGTCTTCTCCGAAGGGGCCCGGATCTGCATGATGACCCCTCGGGGTGTGACCGTAGCACGAGGTTGAGAATCTCATCTCTGAGTTCTCGTGGAAGCTATAGAAGACGCGGCATGTCATCCAAAGTGGCCCTAGGGAGAACGGATATAGGGGAGACGGATTTCAATGGAGCAGGAGTGTCGAGTGGGCGAGAAGCGTGATTTGTGCGCGACGGGTGGTAGTTGCCTAAAGCAGCCCCCGCAGTTTTAGCATGCTAATGACCCTGCAACTCTCATGTCTTCGGATGTCGAAGAACTGCGAGATTTGCTCAGATACGGTCCCGAGAAGGCCAAGGGCCGGAATTGAATCGGGATCGCTGGTTGCGGCGAGTGGGATGGCTACAATCTGACGCTTGCGGGGCGATATGGTAGGCAGACGTGGAACGAGAGACTACTGGACCAAACCTGGGATATGAAGGCGCCAAGGATGACAAGGATGGAGGAACCGATGACGGAAAGTGAGCGATGCGAATTATGATGATAGTAAGAACAAGGGCTGATGAGCGCTGGGAAGGATGCAGTATGGTCATCGCAGGCTCGCCCCTCATTTCGAGGTCCCGCGATTGGATGGCGAGGAGCTCTCCTAGCAGGAAAGGTATCTCGAAAAGTATCTTGGCCGAATCATTCAAGGACGTAGTCAACAACGAAGATACTTAGGCCTCGAACGTATGCGAGGCGACGTGCCGGCTCGCACAGCCCCGCCAGTTGATGACGCTTATGGAGAATGAGAACGTTGCATTCTGTCCTTAGGAAGCGCCCCAAAGTATATTGACCATGTTGTAACCCAAGCACCCGGGATATCTTGCGCTGAGCAAATTGCTCAAAGTATTGGAACAAGAAAGTACAAAGTCGCCCGCGCTATGCCATGATCGGACAGGAAGAGCATCGAAAGCGACTCGGCGCTAGGAGAGCAGCGATCAGGTTGGCCAGAGCCAAGGAGAATAGCAATCTTAAGCAGCAGAGGTCCACCAGGAGAAGGAAAAATGAAGACGAAGAGGAAAAGCCGAAAAATCCGGCGAGAATGCGGCAGTTTGCTCGGCCAAGGCATCCAGTGAAAGCAGCGAGCACTCCAGCAAGAAAGCCGCAACACAAAGCTAAAGAGACTAGAGAGACCGAGAGCGAGATGAAACAGTGAAATGACCTATGGCAGAGCCGGGAAAACTGGACGCGAAGGGCTTCAAGGCTAGCTTAGGTGGCTGGGCCCTCGTGTGCCAGACATAGTGTTATCGTGTGCTAGAGTAGCCACGACCGTATGTGTACTGCGGCGAATTCGTCACCGGTATGCCGTTGAGCGACTTGTATGCAATCTCGGCGGCCTCTTCGCGCGATTGTTCGAGGTAGCGGTAGTCGCGCCATAGGTGTGCTCGATATTCGCGGCCTTGGACGATGACGCTGCTGGACCACGCCGTTCGGATGCCTGAGCGCACGGTAGTTAGGCTACGGCCATCGCGCAAGAGGGAGCGGGGGCGAGCGCATGCGCACCTCGCGGGTCAGAGTAGTCCTGGAACTGAGGCTGCGCAATCTGGTTGGAGGCGCAGTAATCTGGAGATGGATGTGGGAGTCAGCGCCAGTCGAACGAGGAGGCATGCGAACGCACTCTGCAGCTTCTGGACCCAGGACTCCGGACGGTTGGCCGCCATGTCTCTGGCGTACCCAAGATACCCTTGACAGTATCGAGAGAGGGACCCGGGGTTAGCTAGGAAGGCGTAGTGAGGTAGACTAAGGGTTCAGCCTTTGACGAGGGAACGTAGGACGGCGCGCGACCCAGGGATTCCGGGCCAGTGTTTATAGTTCAGGAACACATGTCATGGCTACATGGGTCGAATCCTGCAAATGCCGACTGAGTTCGTACCCACATCAGTGGGAAGAGGGGCTGCCTTTCTATGGCTGCTGCCGTGCAACATGAGGTGGTGGAAGAGCAGTGTGAAGGGCCACGCTTGCGTTGGCAGACACGGGCCCTTCTCATTGGCCTGGGCACAGGAGTCGGGGATATGGCAGAGGATGAAAGCGTCGGGCATGGCAAAAACAAAAATTGCAAGCCCCGGGTCAGAGATATATGTCATGCTGCGGGCGCCCCAGCTGCCGCAGCGTTGGGATGGGGCGGCCAATTGCTCGAGCAGCTCGGAGGCACTGGCGCTGCTGCGATACTGCTTCGAGGTTGGCTCGATGCGTGTGTTGGCAGGAGGACCAGCGGAGAAGCTGTAGGGCTAATGAAAGCCGGCGCAGACTAGATGTGTCGCGCATTGACTGGACCAGCACGTCGCCAGTCACCGGCCCGCCGTCGAAGGAAGGCTTCGCGCCGTGCCGCTTCCGTCCCATATATTCGATGGACGTGCGTCATCTCAACGCCTGCCACCGCGTGAGGGAGCTGCACGGCCGCCGGAGGACGATGCAGCTGCTCACTTCCCGCGACAGGACGCGCTGGCCGTGCCAATCGGACCGGCGCACACTCGAGCACGGCACCGGGCCTCGCATGGCGGGCGGGAGCGTGCCTGGAGAACTGCGGAGGCCTGCGCATCTTATCGTTCCTTCGACGCCGACGGTGCAGTTCGCACACGCGCCCCCTGCCACGCCCCGGGTTCCCACGCCTCCACGGAATGCTTTGGCCACCTGTTCAGCTCTGCCCCGGGAAGGACACCTGTGACGTGGGCGTCCCCATGCCGGGCCCGCGAGCGAGAGGCGCCCGACCCAGCTGCTGTCGGCAAAGTCGGGCGTGCGAGGGCGAGAGCAGCGGTGGGGTCCTCGCCCCCTCCGTCTCTTCGCTGTCAATGTGCGCTGTGTGTTGTCAAGGCATGAACGCGTCAAGGGTGTGGGCGATTTAGTGGCAGAGGGCGAATGATTCTGTGACGTGGTCGAGGCCGTGTCCCGCGTGCAGGATTGTGGCGCTAGCCTGAAAACTGTCCCTCATGCACGTGCCCCTCCATCGGGCTAGCGTGCACCCTTGAGGCTCAAAAAGCCCGGAATTTGGGACACCGTGTAGACCATATCCCCGCGTGCTAAGAGTGAAGCTGGGACACGCGGGTAACGCCTGGTAGTTCCGCTCAGGACGGTGCTGTCCAAGGGCGAACCACCTCTGACAAGGCGCTACGGCCGCCGCTAAGACGAATAACAAGATTGCTACTGACGCGGGCTCGGGATGCTATTACTCCATCGGCTCAAGGCGCTCTGCCACTGCGGGCCTCCTATAATGGGCGCCTGTTGCACTACGCTCGCGGATCACGTGACAATAGCCTGTACCCTTGCCCAGGCTGGAAGGGCAAAGGTGAAACCCCGCGTAGACACTGATGTATTAGGGCTCATCCAGCCGCAGATTTCCCCTTTTATCCCTCACTTGAACCACAGCACAGCAGCTTCGGCATACCCAACATCCATCGCCTGCCCAGCATTCCACGACTCCGCCACCATTCTCCCCACAACATTCCCCTCTTCGTCAACCGTCTGCCCGCCCCAAGTTGCCCCTGTCTTGACGTCGCTCCCCGGCGCCGTCAATCTCTTCACCCTCGCACTTCCCATCAACCTCTCCGGGAGCCAAAACCGCGTATATGGCCTGGGTCCGGTCTGCGTCGCATTCCACGGCTCCATATTCACTACCACTAGGCTGTCCAGTCGCCCACTGTCATACACCGCATACGCGACGAGAGTCTCCTCCTCTAGCACCGCATGCACCTGTCTCTTCCTTCCATCCCCTTCACTACCACCAAGCACCTCACTAATCGCCAATGCACCATAATAACTTGGCCTCACCAGCGCCGAATGACTATTCACCTCAGCCAGAAACGGACTCCAGAGACTATAGCGATATGGGGTACCCATATGCCAGTACATCTTGCTTACCATAGTCGCGCTCGCAATGTACAAACTGTAATCGAGGTACCACAGCGCAGAGCCGAACACGTTGGAGACAAGGTCGCGGCCCTGGCAGGAGATGCTGTTTGTTTCGCCAATCACGTATTCGACACCGTAGCGGTCGACGACGGGCGACATGTGCATGTGCGGGTACGCGCGGGTGACGACGTTAGTGTGGTTGAGGAGGTTTTGGCGGAGGGTGGCGATTTCTTTGGTGGATTTGCAGTTGCTGCCGTGGTACTACGGATCATTAGACTCGAAATCCTCGGAGGTGTTCCAAGCGGATAAATCCGACATACGTCGTGTTGTGAAGCACTTTTAATCTGCCCGTACCGATCAATCCCCAGCCCCAAAATAACCTCCGAGTTCCACGGCTGATTGATAAACGCCCCACCGCTCCCCATCAACGTGCCCATCTGAAACATTGGCGCAGCAATCGGATCCTTGAACACGTGCTCTTCGAACAACTTCGTATACTCCAGATACTCTTGTGTATACAGCTCCGGACCCCAGTTATCGGGTCGATACGTATGGTTCCACTTATTATCCATCTCGTTACCCAACTCGAAAGCGTAAAGACTGGGGCCGAGGATGTCATACACACGCTTTGCGACATCGACGGTAGCGTTCACACCGGCAGTGCTATTGTCGCGGTAATTGAGGTCATAGATGTACTGCGTGCCATTGGGTGCGGTTTGGAAAGCTTCGAACCACGCAGGGCCGAGGATGGACTTAGAGGGCTGGTCGGTGTTGGCACCCGTGAGGCCGACGTTGGTGCTGCCGTTGAAGAAGTTTTCGATGGCGTAGGGTTGGGATTCGTTGAAGAGCGCGATATTGGCTGTTGAGCCTCCGGCACGAATAATCACGTTCTTGCCGGAGCGATCCAGGAGGTTGGTGAGGAGGTTGTGGCTAAGGATGTTCGGGTGGCTATGACATGATTAGTACACCGCTAGAGAAACCCACGGGAAAGGTGGCACCTCATATTACCCAAGTAGTCAGCCATGTATGAGAATTCGATGGAGAAGGACTGCCACGATCCATCAATTGGTCGGATTTGAGAGAAGAGTCGTAACGGAACATTGAGAGAAACGAAGCGATTCGGTTCTGCCGCTTGTACGCCGGTATGGGCGAACGATACCAAGCTCGCAAGAGCCATCCTTGCTCTGAGCGAAGCCATCATAATTTCTCCACTCACCGAAGTGTAGAAATTGGTGAGGTAGCGCTCACCGCCTCTCAGGAAGCCTACACTCTCGCATGTTATATGTATGCTCGATTATGGAACCTGTACATGACATTGTTCGGCCAACGATGTACCGAATCGCCGTTTTCCGGTCGACGTTTTGAAGATCAGCACCTGTACGAACATGATTTTCTCCGGAATGCGGGGACCCCTCTCTAGCCTCTAGGGGAAGCCATGGTCCACTCAAACTCCATCGTCTTCGACAAAAAGCTCGAAGAATTTAGAGCAGACGGAAGGAAAGATGGAGAACGGGCCCGAGTTGAAAGTCTGGGCAGTAACGTGTGAGAGGAGCCCGACAGCGGGTTACTCCGCGCTCCTCTAGGGTCAGCAATCACTGATGCGGACTTCCAAACCTTGAGTCGGCTTTTGAACAGACATCGGTCTTTGAAGCCGTTTGCCGTCGTCGGCAATTCTATACTGCCTCTCGCTTTCTTATATTGGTCCAGGAGAGCAAAAAAAAAAGCGTATCCGAGATCGAACAAACGAGCCTTCACTGGCTGACATTGGAAGTAGATATCTACTGGCACTGCGAATAATAAGAGTTCACCACCTTGCACGAGCTCCCCGACTGACAGGTCGTGCACCCCGTGAAACCAGTTCCACCACACTGTTGGTACTTGGCAACGGCAGCGCATCCACTGCCACCCGCGCTGGTAGCTGCTGGCATTGCTGATGTAGCAAGTGTGCTCGAAACAACCGCAGCTTTCGTAGCCGTAGACTGAGAAGCGCCCCCAGTGACGGTGACGGCTGATCCAGCTTTTCCAGCTTGCGCCTCGGTGCCTCCAGGGATGACTGTCGGGCCTGGAGCGACGTATGTGCTGAGCTGCTGGTAGATGTTGATCTGAATTCCGGGATCGGACGCCTTGTATGCTCCCGGGAGGGAAACGCCTGACGGTGTTGTGGAACCGCTGCCAGACACGGCAAGCTGGAAACACGTGACATAAAATTGGGCCCCTCCAGGTGAGCTGGCAGCGTGAAGGGCAATAGCCTCCGCTCGGAGCAGGTAGTCGCCAGGCGCCAAACCGGTAGGAATCTTGACGTCCATCTTCCCACAGTTCGAGTTGAGGTCTTTGGTGCCCCAATAGTCGTCTGAGCCTTGGGATGTAGAGGACGCCTTAGCCCAGGTGTCTTCGAATATCTTGAACCACGAACTTGAGCCATCGGCGGTCGAGGCATCGCTGACCTTGCTCATGTAGACGAGGACGGGGCCGTAGTGAGCTCCACCGATAGCCTCATTTGCGCAGGAGCGGTCGCCCGGTTGCTGGTGCATTTCGACGGTCACGGTGTCTCCGGGGGCGACGGGACATTTTGAGGCTGCTACGCCTTGGTTGATGTTGCCTGGAGCTGTGTTATTGTCGGTGCCCGTGTCACTGCGGTAAAGACTATCTACATCGAATGTCGTTGCTTGTAACATCAGTTACCGGGCTATTGCTCGTTGGCAGCCTCGCACATGCACTACTCTGGTTCAGTTAGCGACGTGCGATTGTTTGGCTGCCGCGAGTACTCATCTGATCCTTGCCGTTTATCCAAAGGTCCTGGAAGGTAGCATGGCCGGCAACGCCTGTCGCCAAAGCGGCAATGCCTGCGAGGAGAGCTGCGGTTCTCATCTTGATATGCAAAGTGAGATCTAAGTAGATCGAAGGGAAATCGGATGCAGATGTGACGCTCAACCATGGTACGTGAGAGTGATTTTATATTCCCCTGCTGCGGTAAGGGATGATGCCATGAACGGCCAACTGTGCCTAGCCGCGCATGTCTAGCGGTCCTGTTTCTTAGCAGAGAAACGTAAAGGATGTGCACTAAAGCGCGGTGTTTATCGCATGACATTCGAATAAATTGAGCAACGAGGCTTATTCGGGTATAAGGACCAGGATCTTTACCCCACAAACGGTCCTGCGGGCCAGGCGGTAAATTTCCCCGGATTGAAACAAGAGACGCCATTCGACGAAAGAACTCTCGTGCCTGAAGACGTGCTTCTGGGTGGCGTCATATGGCGGACGCTGTGCGATGTCGCTTGCAAGGAATTCGAGGCCCGACGTATCTCCCGGACTAGAAGGAGCAGTATGCCACAGTGCTGCAAAAGTACTTGGAAGCGAATGGAAATACTGCCGCCGGATAAAAATCTGGTCGACCTCCTGTGGGGATCTAGAGCAGAAGCGAAGGTTGGCCAGGAGTATTGGTGGCTTTGGGCAGCGTTGAACGCGTGTTTCTCCTCGTCGTATATTAGCCACCATATGCGGAGATGTTCGTTGGGCAACTTGGTCCTGGCGATGATTCTGAGTGGTGGAAAGCCGTGTCGATTCGGCCATGGAGAATCAGATCAGGTCCGTGCGCACTCCCTATGGTCGCACAGCATGTCGGATTCCCGGATTGCTCGCGTCGTCCGTTTGCCGATGTACCAGGCGCGAGGGCTGCTGGAAATTGGACCTCAGTTTGCGTTGATGAATGCTGATGATGCCACGTCGCGGGGCCAGGGGAGCGCGAAAGCTTGACCTCGGCCTGAACCGAGGCGAAATCAGGCTGAATGGCGAATGCTGGCCGAGGCGCAGGGAAAGGCCCCGGGCTGTTGCAATAATAGTGTTCGCCAGCTTCATCAGTCGTCTCTGAAGGTGCACAAGTAGGTCGGCTGCGGTGGTTCACGGGTGTTGGCATCCCGTCCACGTGGGATCGCGATGACTCAGCAGGCCAGATGCGGCTTAGCGCCCATCGAGCAGAATCTGCCACCTGCTCTGCACCCGGGCATCCATCTGCCGCCGCGGGCCTCGATAGCGCACATGTATGATATACGCCTTAACGTGGAATCGGCACTCCTGTCCCCAATGCTGTTCCCACCGCTGAAACGCTGCGGTGCGCCGATGAGGCGGAGCCTCAGCTGCCAAGGCGCCTTCAGCCGCAAGGCTGCACGTAAACGTTGCCAGCACGGCGGAGAGAGCGGTCTGCAAATCGCTCGCCGAGCACTACTGTCTATATGTAGCGCTGTGCTGTGGTCCGCTCGGACAGCCCGCGTGCCATTTACGGAAGCGTTGTTCGCAGTACATACCATTGCCTATGGATGCTACATCACAGTCTTCCGCCCTGCACAGCCGCGAATACTGGTCGAAGAGTCGGTGAGTGGTGCATGCGAGGGCCTTTAAGAATGTAGGGCTGCTGGAAGCTAGGCCTTCGGGCTGTGGCTCTTCTCCATTTCGTCATATCCTTCGTCCTGTTTATCGTCCGTTCCTCCTTCGGCACAGAGCAGCAATGGAGGCACCCGATCTCTCGAACATGGACCGCACCAACCTCCCGCCTGATGAATCGATTGGCACCAAGGCCATTGTAGCCATGACCGTGAGCTCCGCGTTCGTCATTGTTACGCTTGGGTTGCGATTATACAGTCGACTCATGGTGGTAAAGAAACCGGGGTGGGACGATTTAACTATCGTGTTAGCCACAGTAAGAGACCACCGTCTCACTTGCACTGGCCAACGGACTAATTGTCTTTGAGATATGCTCCCTCGTCCAGCTCATTTTCAACGCCATATTCCTGCATCACGGCCAAGGCCGACACGTCTTCTACCTCACGTCCTCTCAGATCCATCTCGCCTACAAATTCTCCAATCTCGTCATCTTCCCCTTCGTCTTCTGCACCGCAATCACAAAGATCTCCATTGCGTTCATGGTACTGCGGTTAACGCAGGCGAGGTGGATGAAGTACTACATGTACGCGCTCATCGCGTCCTTGGTGCTCGTCAACGGCGCTTGTATTGTGCTCCTTTTCGCCTTCTGTCGGCCAAGCTATGCGTTCTGGGATATTGGCGTCAAGGATGCGAGGTGCTGGGATACGAGGGTCTTGACGTACGCCTCGAGTGTGCAGGGCTGTAAGTTCCCAGCCTGTTTCCGTGCGGAACTGCAGGGCTTGGAAGGAGAGAGGCTGACCTGCGCTGCCTGCAGTATGGTCCATATTCACCGACCTGGTCTGCACATCCACGCCACTCATTATGATATGGAAGCTGCATATGGGCGTCAACCAAAAAGTCGCTATCACGGTTCTCATTGGATTTGGGTTGGTGACGACTGGCTGCTCCATTGGCCGCTGCCTGTACTATGCGAACACCAAGTTCTCGGACGACCAGACGTGTACGTCCCCACCTAATCCGTCCCCCACTTAATCGATGCTAAATGGGTTCATAGGGGTGGGCATTAATCTCGTCATCTGGACCACCCTCGAAGCCAACATCGGCATCTTTGCTGCTAATCTCCCTGCACTAGGTTTCCTGCGCAAAAAGATGGAAGAGAAGCTTGCTTCTGCACCCGCGCTACGCTATCTGCGCTTCTTGTCATCCGGCAAGTCTGCGGGAGATTCGGATCGAGAAATGCTACCCACCATCGGCGCCGCAAACCCGCGGCGGAAACGTGATGCTTTTGATTCGGTGCTGGGCTCGGATGATGGGCTCATGGGTGAGGATGAACGGGAATTAGGTGTAGATAGAAATGCATACACGCCTTGATGCTGCTTGGAAGGCCCTTGCTGCGCTCTTCCACCTTCTCAGTGTCCCATATCAGGCTCATCGTACGGCCTGGCATCCACGCCGCCCAGCGCGTGCGCAAAAAGAGCGAAAGACCACCTGTGAGCATAGGATCGTCGCGGGGAAGGGAACGAGTTTCCAAGACTGCGAGAAAATTGACACACCGCATCACAGGATCAGCCAGCACTGTTCTCTTACTCGGGTAGTTTTCGTCGACGAAAGTAATATACATGGACAGCTTTTTCCTCTCCATTGAAGACGGAGCGGCTCTATTGCACCGTTGTGCCATGCCGTCTACAACGCTATCGGCCTATATCGCTCGAAGGCTCATAGTTGGGTGGGGTACTTGGTCGTCTCGATCTTCTCAGGATAGACGAGCCCGCCCTGCTTTCTCGCCTCGTCCATGACGTCCATGATGACGATGCTCTCGGCGAGGCTCTCGTACTTGCCCTCTTTTCTTCCCTCAACGAGCGCCGTCGCAGCCTCATCGGCTTCCCAGAACATGCCGTGGCCTTCGCCTTCGGCATTCTTCCCACCCCCAAAGCCGTTGTACCAGCCGCTGCCTGCACCGGGGCCGGGCTGTGGCCACTCCTTGTCCTCGACGGTGCCATCGTTTAGAACGATCTTGGTGCGGGTGGGGCGGTACGCGGGCGGGAAGACTTGAATCTCGCCCTTTGGTCCTTGGATGCGGATGCCGGGAGGAGCGGCGGCTTCACTTCCAGGGGTGGTGGCGACGCGCAGCGACGTGGTAGCAATGGCGTGTGCCTCGCCACCCGCCTCCTCCGGTCGCGGAAAGCTGAGCACGATGGTGGTAGTCTCGTCGGCAGCTTTCGTCGGGCTATAGTTCTTGAGCGCGGCAAGCACCTTAGGCGGCTTGCGCTGATTCTCGGGCTGGGTGAGGTACAGCGTCTGGAAGATCCAGGTCAAGCTGTAGATGCCGAGGTCGAGCAGTGCGCCTCCCGCGAGATCAGGGTTCACGAGGCGGTGCTTGCCGTCGTGGAATGCTTCCTCGGGGTTCGTGGCCATGCTGTTGTCGGCGAAGACGCGAGCAACGGGGCCGATGCGTCCCGCCGTGATCTGCTCGCGTACGTAGATGGAGAGCGGGAAGTATCGCGTCCACACCGCCTCCATTAGGAACAGGTTCTTCTCCCGCGCCTTGTCGGCCAATGCGCGGGCCTGGGCGGCGTTCACGGTGAAGGCCTTCTCGCACAGCACGTTCTTTCCTGCATCCAAGCACAGCATGGCATTCTGATAGTGGTGCGAATGCGGGGTGGCGATGTAGACAATGTCGATGTCGGGATCCTTGACGAGCTCCTCGTACGAGCCATAGGCCTTCGCGTCGGCGGGGCAGCCCGTCTCCTTGAGGAACTGCTCGGCGCGCGACCTGGACGACGACGAGGCGGCAGCGACGACGGTGTGCTTGATGTGCTTGACGCCGCGCGTGGAGGGGTCGACCAGCAGGTCTTTGGTGCTGCCAGGCCCTTAGTGGGAGCGCTGGAGAGCGCGCGCGCAGGCGGGGTAGCGGGGTACTCACAAGGTGACGGCGATGCCGCCGGTGGCCAGGATGCCCCAGCGGATTGTCTTGGGAGAGGACATGGTGCGATGAATTAGACAGACAATAGAGAGGAATGTGAGGGCGACGGAGCGGAGGTGGTTGAGGCGACTCTTCACGCCATTCTTTAATGCACAACGCCAGCGCCGTGTCGGGGCATTTAACCCCGACGCACCCCCGCTTGTGCTCCTCGCCAAGACAGCCTTCCGCAATAGGAAGCTTCACGTGACACAGCGGAACAGGACCGCCCAGGCCGTAGATTGCAAAGCGACTGCACCCGCGGATTGCTAAGGCATCTGCAATCCCTTCCTTCGTCCACCGTCTGTTAGCCCGTACGAGGCCTTACGCCGCATCGGGCAGGTTGCCGCGTCGCCCTTGACCGCCGCTGTTATTGCCCTGGGGTTCACGGGTGCGCCGCAATATACTCCCCATGACGCACGTGACCACGGGCGGGTAAAGGAGTCGCGCTCGAAACCTGGCGAATGGCGTGCGTTGTTTCATTTCGACCTTTTGCTCGCCTGCCGGCTTTTCTTGCCAACTGCCCCAGGAAGAAGCAGGTAGGAATCAGATCAGCTGCTCGTCATACCCGGCGAAACACCTGCTTCTGGGACCTTGTGCAAATTGCGGCACGCCCAAGCTGTTATCACAAGCCTCGGCGTATACCGTCTTTTCAACATATAAACCGTGCGGCAGTCCCCCAGTAGATCCTCATCAATCTTCATCAATCGGCCATCGATTGCCGCTCAGCCCTGCAGGACGGCAAGCACCTTTTACACATCTCACATACAAAATGAAGCGACTGTCAGCGCTAGCATCACTTGGAGCCTGCTTCTCCTTCTCCACGGCTGCGCCAGCAAGAACTTCCCGCGCACCATCGGCCATTCAACCTATCCCCATAGCCCCCCACTGCACCAATGCCCACATCACCCAAAATTGGATCGTGGCCGACTGTCCTACGGGTCCCGACTCCGACGACACAATCGAAAGCGCCGTTTACCTCCCTAACAAGATCACCAACGATGACGGCGTTCTAAAATGGAAAGCCGAGTAAGCCCATGCACTCATGCATGATGAAGCGAAAGCGGTCTAACACGTCCTAGCGGCAACTACATGCAGACATGCTCAGACTGCAAGCTCGCCAACGGCGGCGCGAGCCTGAACTGCCAGTGCAGACCCAACTACGGTCAGCGAAAGGATACCACAATCGACCTAAGTCAATCTTGCCCACTCTTTGAGACGCCTTCCTATTTCCTGACTACCACTTAGATGAGCACATCTCCGTATACGCTGGACATCTCCTCTCCAACCTCAATGGCGCACCTAGCGTCCCCAGCCAACCATCTACTTTCCCGGTGCCATCGGACCTTTCCTTTGGTTTCGGCGGCAACGCGACCTGCCCTGACAACAGCAGCACGACGCCCGGCTTCGACTGGTGCAAACAAGTAGCACATACCTGTACCACATCCAATGCCCGCACAGATACGAGCGATGTCTCGTTCAGGATGTACGGCCCGCTAGGTTGCTACGTCCCTGTGGTCTACATGCCCTACCACTTTCAATTCGAGGTGATCAAGCTGGTTGGCGAGGGCGCGTGGGAGATGGTGGGCTACGCGGATGAGCAGTGTACGACGCCTGTAGGGACGATCAGCTCGGAGGATATGGGCGTCTGCACGAGCTTCCAACCGCGCGTGAGGGCGATTAGCGTCAGGCCGGCGTTTAATGGGGATCCAAACTGAGTGGGACCTGGAGCGGCTGCTGCATGCTGGGCACGGGTAGGTTTTCAAACAAGGAGAAAACGTGAGATAGCTGCGTCGCAATCATGAATGGAGCGCTAATAGAAGCTCTAAGCCGGGATCCACGAGATAACAGACGCGCAAGTGCCCGCGGACACTCCCGCTTTTTGCATTTCAGAGACCGGGGGCGTTCGTTTTCGAGCGGAAATAGGCTGCAGTGGATAAATCGTTCACCATCTCTTCAAACTAATCGTATAAGAGGTACGGGTAATCTCGTGAAACGCCATTCCTTTTCAGATACGTCCAAAGGCGGCGGCATTGGAGCAGCCCGGCGTCACTAAATTCGTTTATATAGTTCCCGGTCCAAAGTCCCCTGGATTCTTCGTTCCCCGTCTGACACAGTAGCCATCAAACCGAGCAACACATCCCCACGCCTTATACGTCCCGGTTACCCAACTAATTGCAATGTACAGGACAGCGCTAGATGCAGTTGAGGACCAACCGTCTAAGCGGTCCTCCTGCTTCAAGTTAACTCATCCTCACCTCCATCTTCTAGGTACCTGAGAGCGCGCCGTGCCGATTGCTACGGAGAGTATACTAGGAAGTTTCTTAGAATTAGCTACCTTGGTGTTAATGTCTCAAAGGTCGTAGCGAAGGTTGCTTGGGACGTTCAGCTTGAGCAATTTATGTCTATGTGTCCGGCGGGCGTTTCGCGGATGTAGCCCGTGAGTGCAGTGATTAGGCATGTTGTTGCGACAGCGGAGGTGGGGCCGGCTGTTGACGGGGAGGTGGACTGGATGCGAAGACAACATTACTGGTCCTATGTGGGAAGCCTCGAGTTATTGCATCATCTCCGCGTTGCTAATCTTTACTACCTGCACTTATCCCATGGGACACAACAATAGCGGTACCGACCAGTACAACTTTGAACATCAAATGCGCGAACTAGTCTCGCCTTCCATGAATCAATCACATCGGTCTCAACATACCATATATCATTCTCCATCAAACCCACGCTAGACCTCTAACTATTGTCGCGCCTAGGCCTTCCACACCTTCGGCGCCGCAGTCGGCGGCGGCGCCCCGCCCAAACTGCACAAACTCACAATGCTCGGGAACGGCGGTGGCTCGATGCCCAATGTAGTTGGTGCTGCGACCTTGCTAGCCATACCGGAAGCCGAGGACGTAGGGCACACGGTCGCGGCGAGAGGGGGCGCGGTGAAGTTTCCGCGCTCTTGGTAGCAGTATGGAAGACCTGGCCATAGCGCGTTAACGAATTGTATTTTGAAAGAGGAGAGGACGAGGCAAGATTGAGTGAGAGGATAAGGCCGTACCGGTGACTGCATAGGGCTTGCAGTGGTATCTGCGTCCGTTCAGGGTTTCGTTGGGGGTTTTTATGAAGCTGCCGTCGTAGAGCTGAAACCACGGCCTATGCATCGCATCGTTAGTTAAGTTCAAGCCATCACATTAAATGTAATCCCCCTACTCCTCTTCAGTGCTGCAATCAGCGCGGCATCCAGCATGCACGATCTGGCCCGCCGTGGCAGTTGCATGAGGCTGGCATCGTTCCCACTCACAATACCTCTGCGTCACGGACGGCGCGATGATGGTGCAGTTCAAGCTCGCGAGTGCAAGCGCGGGTATAGCGATGAGAATGGCGGTGGTTTTCATGGTTGTGACACGAACTCTGGCCTCGATTAGGGGGTCCGTCGATCGATCGTGAGAATGGCATCTATGGATCCAGCGCCTCATATAGACTCCCCTAAATCCACCACTCCGGTGGCTATTGCGCCAACATCTTCTATAGACATTGACCATAGGCAATTCGAAGTGCTTGGTATGCTGAATTTTGTGTCAAGCAGGGTTCTGAGTAACAGAGCTTTCATTTATGTAGATGGTGGACCCCGCTTCAAGAACCCGCAGGCCTCCAATCTAGCCAATACTGCTTCTCGTCAACACAGCGACGGGTATGGGTAAAACGAGGCCAAGGTAGTAGCAACAACATAAGGAAGTGACAAAGGAGAATTTGCTTACGGCAGTTAGTGTGGGGATCTGCACGTGCTTACCTGAAAGCAGGTGCCTGGGTGATGCCGACCAAAGTTAGGTGAGGAAGGAGGATGGGTAATGCTTGTCGTGTATCTCTGCACTCACAGTAGAGTAATGACAGGTCCTACTTGTTGATCTGCTATTATGTAACTGCTTCCTGTTGAGTTTGTTGCTGTAATGCGCCCAGCCGGCTGTAATGGCGATCCGTTAATGTACACTGCCCGCACACTAGCGCCCCACATTATAATACATCTCTCCTCCCCACATCTTTCGACACAAACGGTAATGCGCGAATCGGAAGGTCACCTTAGATCGTTAGCGCAGAAGAATACATGCCTATTAGCTCCCTCGTTTGTAGTTCCCAAGTACTTCAGCTGCTGTTCCAGGGTCACCGCGTTCCCTTCCTGTCTCGTGACTTGTTGCGCCATGTACAGTATGCTTTCATAAGAAAGTACAAATCAACATTTCTAATCGCAATCTTAAAGAGTGTCCTGCTTCTATGCTTGTAGCTCGGCGTCGTCCTTGCGGTGGAGATTCGAAGACATGATGCCGCTTGCGAGCCGAACATGCTGTAGTAGGCCATAGACATGGTGCGCTGAATCAATCGTTAGTGCCATGGATGGAGAAATTGTGACGACGAAGGCTTATAGTATGGATTGGAACGATAAGGGCAGACGTGGTCAAGTCTAGAATGGCTTGGGAATGTTCTTACCGAGAGTATGACGCAGAAGAACCCGACAGCCAATAAACGTCCTTAAACAAAGAGGCATAGGTCGACAGTCCGCCCGTGGCAAAAATGTGACGGTGAGCGGTGTATGCGCTTCAGCTAAAAGGCATTCTCGACTAGTACAAGGCTTGCGACATCACTCTAATCATTGGCTGGAAGTTCGTCGAAGTGAATTTAGAGGACTGGACTATGATCCCCTGCGTGATATTGCTATCACAAGTAAGTTACACACTGCAACGTACATTTCTGACTACTAGCATAGTCACTAAGCGCGGAGTGGTGTTCCGCAAGTAGGACGTCGAGTTGTAAGCTATCCACACAGTGATTCGAACGAACACTGTGACCGGGTGGAGATCGATCTTCGGTTTCGGGCCCATAGGCAGAAGATTAATGAATTGACGGAGGAAGGGGCAGGACATGGTAGACTTTGTGGAAGATGAGCGGAATGGGAGAACAGCGAGCAAATCTGCCTTGCCGACGCGCTCGGAAGGCCATACGAACGGCAAAGAGAGCATCCGAACAGAGTTGGGCTCAGAAATTGATCGTTTGTTTGGTTAGATGCAACGTCGGCTGCGGATCGTGGAGAGGTGGCGCCGCCTTCAGCGGGCTTCCAGGTTGCGACGTTGGGCGCCAGAACAATAGCGGGAAACCTAAGGACATCAGGTCAACCGCAGAATGAGGCATAAGAAAACGACGGTGATGCATAAGAAACGAGGGGTATTGTAGCCGTTTGCGTAAGGTTGACACAGAGTCCTGACGCTGTGAGCGGCAAGCCGGGGGGTTGAGACCGGGCCGGTTTGGACCCCTGTCGCAACCCCGCCGCCAGACTGCGTTCTACGAGGGAAAGCCACGATCGTCTGTGGATGGAGCGCTGGTTCCTCAGACAAAATAGAAACCTTACTCGCATGAAGGCGTGCGTCTGTGCATGGAAAGCGCGAAGCCAGAGCCTAAGGGAGTGGGCGTGCGGCCTGTGATTGGCCGGAGCCCGATCGGACAATATTTCGGCCGACCCCGCGCCGCACGATGACTAACCAGAACACTCACCTTGTCGCTCCGCAACGCCACATCGAAATAGCCTCAACGGGACCCCCAAACGCATAATGTTCATCCCCGCTCCCTGTTCTTGGTCGCCGTTTCCAATCGACAGGCACAATGTTCATTCTCTCGCGCCATTCGCAAACAAAGCCGATGTCAAAACACGGCGTCTAGCGTAACCCTTCCATCCGTCGAATCCTACTACATACCACCTTGCCCCGCCTCTCGATGAATGTCATCGCCGTTTGAGGCAACTTCACAGGGTCTCTCGCGCTGTCGACTGTTTCGGGACAGGGCGTTCATTCCCCAGGCTATGTCCGTGGTGTCAGGTTGATCCACCCTGAAAGAGTCCGAAAAGGAGCTCTGCATATAAAGTTCGCCTCAGGAATGACTCCCAGATCTCCTCAGCAGCTTCATTCAGCAGCATCTTCTACCTTCTACTCAGTTTCTCTTCTTTATCCCATATTTACTTTATACTTCCAGGTGAAGCTGGCCGGTCCTTACGATAACTTCTGTTCAAGCCCTCCTTTGCTCCTATTCGTCTAGTTTTACTTGGCCTTCCCAAAATGGCTCCTCTTCTTAAGATCGCTGCTTTGTTGAACCGTAAGGCATCGCCCGGCCATCTTCTCAATCATATGCTGATCTAGAATCCAGTTTCTCTTTACGTCGCCGCTCAAGGCACTCAATTCATTACTGGACCATGCACCTCAGATGCTGATTGCGCTTCCGCATGCTGCGGCTTCAACTCTGGCAAATGCGCTGGGCCTGTCGTGGCCCAGGAGCGCGACGGCGGCTGTGGCTTCGGCGACGCTCAGCCGAACGACAACGCTGCTCAAGCTCTAACGGGCGGAGCTGGAAATGCCAACGCAGCCCCGAGCGCCGCCGCAGCAGCTCCCGCCCCAACTTCGGCTGCCGGCGCCGCAAACGGCCAAGGCACACAATTCATCACTGGCGCTTGCACATCTGATGCCGACTGTGCGTCTGGATGCTGCGGCTTCAACTCCGGAAAGTGCGCGGGGGCCGTCGTTGCTCAGGAGAGAGATGGTGGCTGCGGATTCGGCGATGCTCAGCCAAACGACGATGCTGCTCAGGCTCTCACAGGAGGTGGAAGCGCCAACGGAAATGGGAACGCGAATGCCGAGGCCGCCAGCGGGACCCAGGCTGCGGCAGCTAACGGCGCCGGGACCCAGTTCATCACTGGGCCCTGCACATCGGACGCCGACTGTGCTTCGGCCTGCTGCGGCTTCAACTCCGGGAAGTGCGCCGGTCCAGTTGTCGCTCAAGAACGTGATGGTGGGTGTGGATTTGGAGATGCGCAGCCCAACGACAATGCTGCGCAGGCCCTTCAGGGAAGGAACCTCGGAAGGAGGGGGGCTGCTTTCATGTAAGCCTTAATATCCTATATGGGGAGTGAAGCGGGAACTCGAAGATACAGTGCCGGAAAGACATGGCACTGGTTTGGACCACGCAGAGCGTGATAGGATGCTTGCCTTGGCATGGGGTTCAACCTAATGAGGGATGCTTCTGTTTCTTCTGAACTTCTACCCCATCTTACAAAAGATATCCAATGATCTCCTTCTCACACCAGTTCCTGTGCCTTCCGTCTCCTGCGCGTTCGACATGCTTTTCGGGACCGCTTCGCTATCTCCCGTACACACCTCGTGGTTGCTCTATCCCATATCAGTCTCGCCGAGCCGCACTGGCTTTCCAATGCCAGTCCCTAAGGGAACTGGGCGCGTCAGCTCTGGACAGCTACGATTGAAGATCTCCGGCCAGTGAAGAACTGCGGGACCCATATCATTCCCATGTCCCTTTCCCAGCTCTATCCCAATTCGCTCAGGAATCGTTCCAATTCGGACCTTCTCGCTAGTCAATCACGAGGCTCAGTCCTTGAAGTACGTCGGGCTTAGGCAGCGCTAGGCCAGTCATTGCTTCGGCCCTTGGCTATAGCTCTATCCCACATTGATATCCTGTCAGAGAGATCTGGATTGTCCTGCTGTGCGTTCGCAATATGATTCTTTAGACAACATCCCCGTGAGCTCGGGAGCTATTCAAGAGATGAGGTGAGGCAGAAGGTGGTGCTTTCACGCGTAGGATGCGAGAGCCTAATTGAAGGGGAAGGAACGACTCCTGAGGCAATCCAAGCGCAAAAAGAGGTAATTCGGTGAATGGAGTGCTAGGCTAGCTATGCAGGGAAAGTCCAACTTCATGATGCTGCTGAGGGCCCCCGCGGGCCTAGGGAAGGATGCCCAGATATAGCCAGGTATTGGATGCGGAAATGATCTGGAAGACGAGCTTTCTAATGCGCTACAGCGATTATCGTGGAGCAGCTGCATTTTATAGACGCAGCTAGTGAGCGTATGATGCAGGTAACGAGTACGCGGTGTACACCGCATGAGCAATATCAGTGGGAAAACACTGGAGACTTGTTGAAGTCTGCCATCTCCAGATGACCACGACAAACTGTAGGAGGCAAAGAGGGTAATCGCGAGGAAAGTTAGAGAAGGTCCGTTTTGAGGCGATTAAGTTTATTTCTTCTCATCCTCCTTCCTAATCCCCTAACTCCCTCCCTCGCTCTTCTTACCCTCCATCTTCAACTCCTGGATAGTCCTTTGAAGCACTTCAGGCTGAAGTCTATTCATCAACTCCAAGAGCTTTTCATTATACATTCTCAGCATCTCCTGATACATCGTCTTCGCATCCCCCAAATGTTCCTTCAGTTTCTTATCCTCATCGCCAGTGCCCTCGTCAACAATATCTCTCAGTGCGTGCTCGAGGACGAAAATGTCTGTGGAGTGCTCGGACATCAGGGCAATTACCTCTTCAAATGTGCAGATGTCTGCCTTAGTCTTGTCCCTATCATTGCGTTGTAATCGAACGGTATAGAGGCTGGCTTTCGCTTTCCTCCCCGCCACCTCAAACCCCTCCACCTGCGCATTCAGCCTGTTCCTGCGAGACCGCAGGAGATACAGCATCGAGGCTGTTTCTTGGAGAAGCGAAGGCGACGACAATGATATGAAAGCTTCTAAAGGTGGAGTCGCCTGCCTCATAGGAGCAATCCTGAGCTCGCCCGGAGTTAGAGGTGGTGGTGGCAAATCCCTTGATCTCGGTGATGCCAAGCTGCGGAGCTCTCCAGAATTAAAGACCGTGAACAGGAGGCTGGGGCCATCGTTGTTGATCGATTCTCGCATTTTCTTCTTCTCCCTCCTGTGGCTTCCCTTCTCTTTCTTCTTTCGCTCTCTCGAGCGGCGGCTGTGGCTCCCTGCAGCGATAGGGAGCATAGGAAGGTCCATGTCGTTTTCGTCTTTGCTGGCTTCCGGGGATCTTTCCTTCTTCTTTCTAGTGGCCTGGCTTATTTGGGTCATCTTGCCAGTTGACCGGTCCTGGTTATTGCTTTGCTAGTCGGTCGAAGTTCAGATTTGGAGCAGCTCGTTGAGGGTTGAAGATATTCTTTCTGGCCGTATTTGGGGGAGCTAATGTGTGATATTGATAGAGGGGCCCTTGAGATTTCTGGGCAGACGGGTAATGATTAAGAAGGCACGGAGACTAGGAGTGAAGATGAAAGTGAAACGAGGGTAAGTTGATCTGGTGAAAACGAGAAAGAACTAGTGAAAGCCAAGGCAGATAATTGAACGGCAGAAGATGCTTCCAGTGTGGTTCTAGAGTGCTCCTTGGAAGCTGCCGTGTCAATAGCTGGGGACGGAGAAGCAGTGAAAGGTTGGGGATGATCATCCTTGCATGGTCTGGAAACTTATATTTTATCATGCGCGTATCGGGCAAGCACTCCCTTTTGATCCTCCAATGTTGATGTCATCACCTTTTCGGACGCTGTAAGGTAGCTCTTCACTCGTAAAAGATTAGGCACCTCACCTCAATCGACTGCCGCCCTGGCGCATCAGCCGGCGTCTGCGGATCCACGAAGGCCGTATGCGGGGTCCTCAATGCCAGCCCTTTCACACCGTCCCGCATGCCCTCCCCCCAAGAATCAAAGCACTTCAACAACATAACCTCATCCGGAGTCATATCCTTCATATAATAGAACTGATGCTTGTCATTCGGCGCTATACTTAAGGTCTCTCCCTTGACTTCATACCCCTCGGTGCTCGTAAAAGACTGGGGATCAGGCAGCTTCTCCTTTCCGCGGTCGTCATCGTCCGCATCGAGGGAGTCCCTCCGAGGGTAGAGGAGATCGACGGGGATAAAATCTGAGGGTGAAGTGGAGCGCCAGTCGATTACTGCGAGGGGCATGTCGGATGCCGGGTTCTCGATGGGCCGCCAGACGTTGATGATCTGGTAACGGCCTTGGAGAAGCAGTTTGGCTTCGTCGTTGGGCAAGTGGCGGCGAACGCGTACTTCGGCTGCGCCGGGTGTCTGGTCGACGTGGACCTGTTGGACGGGCTGGCGGGGCGAGTCTTTCTTTCTGCGGCGGATGGTGTGATCGAAGATGACTACCTTTCTGATGCCAGGGAGCTTTTCGCGGAGCATCTGCTCGACTTCGGCATAGTAGCTGTTCCGGACGGCATTCTCGTCCACGAAGAGCTTCTCTTTGGCGGGCGAATTGTAGACTGCGAAGCCGGCATTGTCGGTGGTGAATTCATGCTCTCGGCCTCGGATATTGTGCAGCGTCCTTTGGTGTTTTCTCTGCGTGAAAGATGTCCCGGGACCATCAACTTTGTTCCATGGTTTGCCGGAGTAAGAATCGGGGTCGATGTGCTGGAAGCTTGCAGTCGTCATTCTGCGTTGAGGAGTGTAGCTGAAGCGAGCAGAGAGTAAAGCGCGCAATAGCCGAGGAAGCTTCGAAGACATGGGCTGGAGAGGGGGAATGCGGAAACGCTGTACTTATACACGTCGTGATTAGAAATTCCTCATGACGCCACCGCCGTATTGGGCGATGTCGGGTGCTGCGATTGTGACCAATAAGCATCTGTAGAAGCACGTGATACGCGCTTAACTTGCCCCAGATGGCGAGATGATGTGTGAATGTCGACGCGATTTTCCAACACGACCGCTGAACCGAATCCGCCTAGGCCCGCTGAGCTGTTTTGCAGGACGTGCATGGGGGCTAGGTAGGAGTTTTGGGTGGAGAAAGCCGCGCTGTGATTGGACAAAACGTTATCGATAAGGGCAGCAGCACCTCGCATCATTATCACTGGAGCTGTCTCACGTACTCTACCGCGCTCAAAATGCCCCGTCATGTCACCAGCGACGACGACGAACCGCTCGAGGACAAGACTGCTGCTCTCTCGCTCCGCTCGAAGCGCACGGGGCGCATGTGGAAGAAGCAAGCGAAGCGCGACCGCAAACGCGAGGCCGTCCTCACGCTCACGAAGCTCCCAACCGAACTGATCCTCGAATGCCTCAAGCTGCTGCAGCCCGGCGATGTCCTCAGGTTCGGCTTTGTGAACCGCCGCTTCCGCTCCCTTGTCGACGCGAATGCAGCTGTTCTCGGGGGTGCCTTCCTTGGAACGCGCTACCCGCTCCTCGTCCAATGCTTCCCCCTCCCGAAGAGGCTGGCCGAAGTCGATGCCGCCCTCCAGGCCCTGCTCGTACATCCGAAGCGGCAGAGCCAGCTCGGTATCCATCGCAAGCCGTACCAGCATGTCCCGCCGCCTGACCCCAATGTCCTCTGCACCTGCCTGACGTGCGTCATGTCCTGGAACAACCTGTGCCTGGTGCTCGACTTCGCGCATTGGCAGGATAACCTCGACAAAGGGGAGCCTATACCGATTGTTCCGCGGGGCCAGTCACCACAATGGAACCAGCAGCTCGTGCATCGCAACGCGAACATTGTGCGCCTGGCCATCCGAGACCCCCTTTGGCATGCCCGAATCCTGGAAACGCACCTGGACAGCACGATACGCTCGATAAGACGGCATGCGAAGAACAAGGGAAACAAGAGGAAGCACGTCGAAATGACCGACGAGGAGGCAGAGTTGGGCACCGACCGCTTCCTGTCGAAGCCGGGACCCTCGAGCTTTGAGTTCCCATACATTCGGGATGAGTACTACTTGCTGTATGCCGCCCCATTTCCCGCCCCATTCCCCTTTCTAATTACGCTGCAGCGAAGCTTACCTTCCCAACCGCACATGGAGGACGCCTGAGCAGAAGTGGCTATACATCATAGAAGGCCAGCATGAACGAGACCTCGGCATGGTTGTCCACTTTGCAAAAAGGGTTCAAGAGCCGACATAGTCGAGCCTCTACAGTTCCGACAGCAGACCATCACCTTCCGTACTGCGCTCTTGGTGGCTGGACTTGCGTTTCCGGTTATCGGAGACTTGTCCGAGCCCGCATATGCATCGTCATGGACCACACTCAGGCCCGCGAACGCCAAATCCTTATCTCCGCACATCGCTCATGGTTCGCCAAATTCCATCACGCGCCTCCTTCACGCTGCATCGGTGTGCCCTTATGCACCTCTCGAAATTCCTCTCCTATGGGCTGCAGATCGGCTTTGAAATCCGTCGTGTTCCCCTCATCGTCGGCATTGGGCGCCGTAGCCCCTGCTCCACTATCTACACTAACGATTCGCGCCCTTTCCAAAGTGACTCAGTTCCCAACATCTGAACGCTTCGCACCCCGCCACTCTTGTTTGTTACATTCTCAAGCCGTTACGACCTGTTCGCGATACCAGCCACCCCTCCACTTCTTCCATAAGAGCAGATGGATAACGCTCTAGAAAAGGCCGAGGTACTGGACATAGATCCAGGCCCAAGCGCCACTGATACACCAACACAACGAGACGCACCTCCTTCGACAACGAAAACAGCGAAGTCCACTGCATTGGAGAGGGTCGCCTCGCGCCTCACCACAAGCTCGATAACAAATCCCGGTCCTCCTCCCGATGGCGGCCTTCGAGCATGGACCCAAGTTTTCTGCGCCTGGCTCGCCATCCTGAACACCTGGGGGTTTGTCAACTCATTCGGCGCCTTCCAGACCTATTACGCTGAGATCCTACCTGAAACGAATTCAACCATATCTTGGATAGGATCTACTCAGGCATGCATCTTGTTTTGTCTCGGTATGTTTAGTGGACGCGCTTTGGATGCCGGATGGTTTAGACCAACCATCATTGTCGGTATTGCTATACAGCTCGTCGGTATCTTCGCCATGAGTGCTGCGAAGAACTATTGGCAATTACTGCTTACCCAGGGCATCTGCACCGGCGTTGGAGGCGGCATTTTCTTCGTTCCGATCATGGGGCTCGTGTCTACGTACTTCGCTAAACGGCGTGGCATGGCACTCGGAATAGTAACTTCGGGCAACTCCGCCGGCGGCATTGTTTATCCGATCGTCGTGAGACAGTTGCTCAGCAGGGTTGGATTCGGATGGACGGTCAGAGTGCTGGGCTTCATCAACGTAGTAAGCCTGGCAGTCGTCATCGCATTCATGAAGCCGCGTCTCCCGCCTAGGAAGAGTGGCCCACTCTGGGATACCGACTCGTTTCGAGACATCCCCTATATGCTGCATGTTCTAGGCGTGTGTTTCTTAATGCCGCCAGTGTACTTCGTTTTCTATTATGTAGGTCTGTGTCGCAATCACTGCCTAAGAATCATCCAGCTAATGTCGAAACAGGTTGCCTCCTTCGCACGAGACGAACTCGCCATGCCCTACACCACCTCCCTCAACCTTGTGATTATTCTCAATGGAGTTGGCATTCCCACGCGCATTCTCCCCGGCTACATCGCCGACCGGTTCCTCGGCCCGCTCAACACATGGACCATCAGTGTCTTCCTCAACATCATTATCTTGTTCGCCTGGCTTGCCGTTTCGTCCATTCCTTCGTATTACGCCTTTACCGTCTTCTACGGACTCTTCGCTGCGGCCTTTCAATCTCTCTTCCCAACGACGATTGCGGCACTTAGCACGGATATCACGAAGACAGGGACGAGGTTGGGGATGGCATTCACGGTGATCGGGTTTTCGGCGCTAGTCGGTGGGCCCATTTCGGGAGCGTTACTGAAGGTGGGTGGGGGGTATACTGTGCCTATATGTTGGGCAGGTGCGAGCACACTGGTAGGAATGGGGCTGTGTGTCGCGGCGAGGTGTGTGAAGCACGGGTGGAGGATTAGGGTGCAGTGTTAAGATAGGCAAGGCTAGACGGAAGGCCGGGATCTAAGCTATGCGATAAACTGTCGGTAGCAGCAGACACATTGAGAAAGGAATTTTTGATGCCATTTGGGTTACGCGATGAAAACGCATCGTCCTCGTCCGTCCCATGGGAATATGGACACTCGGTTGGGTGAACCATGGTATGGTTCCTCTCCCGCTAGACCAGCGCTTGATTGATTGATTTTTCGTATATATAACCTCGTCGCAGCACAATTTTCCACTCACGTAACGACTGCCCCGAATATCTTCGGAGTATTTATCAACCGCAATCACATTCACCGTAACCCTAATCCAGAGGTCCTTTCAACACAATCGACAACTCGGACCCGCCACGATGGACTTGCTCGCGGCCGAGCTCGAAATCATGGCGACCAATGCCGCCGCTGAGAACACGCGCGCCAAGGAACCCGTTGCCGAAGAGGACATCGCGTTATACACTCACGAGACCTACGCGCAACACTTACAGACCGCGCGGCAGCCACCCAAGAAGACGGCTGCGACCAAGACGGACAAGATGACTTATCTGTTGTTTCTCGGAGGCTCTCTTAACAGCCCGTCCCAGGTTCAGAAGTACGCGGGCTTGTGTCGCGTGCCGCAGGTAACAATGGCACACAGCGGCGAAACCGCGACACCGAAACAAGTGGTAGCGCTCCGTCGCCACCAATGGGATACTCTAAGGGAGAACTTTCCCGCCTCCCTGGAGCAGCTCTATGTCGTCACCATCAACATTGCGGAGAAAGACCTATTCAGAACCTGTATGGCACCAGCGCTGGGCATCGACACTACGCTTCCGCATCTACGACCGACGGAGGTGGCCCTAGCTCGCCCGTCGCAGGAAGAATATCCCGTGTGGTATTTCTTCTACGGTACGCTCGGGGAGCCTGACCGGCTCAAATCGCTGCTGGGCTTGAAGAAGGGGCCGAAGCTGAGCCCGGCGAGCGTGAAGGGCGGGAGGATTAGGATGTGGGGGAAGTACCGTGCGCTTGTTGATGGCAGCCCGGATGATGGCGTGAGTGGCGTTGCGTATGAGGTGCAGAAAGAGGAGGATGAGCAGAATCTGAGGATATATGAGAGTGCGAAGTATGAGGTTGTGAGGTGTAAGATTCAGTTTAGGGATGATGGGAGGGAGGTTTGGGGGTTAACGTTTAGGTTCTGTGGCGGAGAAGGTCTGCTGAGCTGATGGGTCTGGAGGGACTCGAGCGTGGAGAGAATAGAGTACCGAGGTTGGTGGGAGCGTACTGAGTACAGGCTTTGACAGTACAGAAGTAGAAATGAGGGACCGACATAGGAGCGTTGAAGTGAGCTGGTGCAAGCAGCTAGTATTCTCGCGCTGATCCCGATATATTACACGCGTCTGCGAGCTTCAGGGTAAGATCAATTGACTCGTGAGCCCTCGCAAACTTTCTGCATCCGCATACCTTATATGCCTACATCCTCCGTGAAAACCCCATTAGCAATTCGCCATTCCCCACTCCATACTCTTCCGCACCGCCTCTCCTTGCTCCACCACGGGTCTGTACCCCAGCAACTCTTTCGCCTTCTCCTCACTCCACCAGCACCCCGTATTCAAATGCTCAATATCCTCCCTCCTCAGCTTCGGCGTTCTCAAGCCCAGCGTAAAAACCCAATACGCCCACTCGCCCACACTCGCAATCGTCATCACGACCCAGAACGGAATCACTCTGACTTCTTCTTTGGCGACCGGATACCCAGCTGCGGCATAGCACTTCCGCATAAAGTCGAAGAAGGGTTGCGGCTCACCATCAGTGATGAAGTATGCTTGGCCGGAGGCGTTGGGCGTCTTGGCGAGCAGGGCGCGTGCAGCGAGGATGTGTGCTTCCGCCGCGGACTCAATGTATACGAATTCAAACATCTTTTCGTTTGGTCCAATTTGGTTTTTGTGCTCCCCATTGCGGATACTCGCTATGATCTGCGGGATGAAATTCGGATCGCCTTCGCCGTACACGGCTGGCAGCCGCAGCGTCGCTGTCCTAAGTTCCGGAGAATTTGCGACCAGAACGGCGGCGTCGGCGATGGCTTTTGTCTTTCCATAGGCGTTGGTGGCGGTTGCGGGTGTGTGGAGTATGCATTGGTTTTCGGTGATCTGTTTGAATGGAGAGGGATGGCATGTTGAGTCGGATGATGTATATACAAAAGCCTTCGTTTCCGGACATGCGTTCGCTGCCTTGAGGAGGTTTTGTGTGCCGATGACGTTCGTTGCGTGCAGTACCGATGGGCATGAGCGAGGGAGAGGAGACGCCGTGTGGATGACCACCTGAGGCTTGATTTCCTGGAAGAGAGCCTCTATTTCTGACATCGAACTGATGTCTACGGCGTGATAGGATAGGCGATCATCCTTGCCATCGCGCGTTTTGGGATTGCGGCTTGTGACCGCGATGTGAGAGGCGTGGTTCGCGGAGAGAAGACGCTTGACGATGTGTGAGCCGAGGAAGCCTGAACCACCCACGACTAAGACGGTACCTAGCCGCATGTTTTCCATTATTCGGGTATTTCAGATAGCTCCCGAAGCCAGCTGATTTCTGGATTGTAGTTATACATAATGTGATGCTGTGCGGCACGGCTGAACTCTGAAATAATTGCCCAGGCCCTCGTTGGCCGCCTAATGTTCCTCCGGAGACTCTCGCGCGAGAGCACGGGTCCTACAGCGTATCAACGTCACACTGCAAGTGCAGAACGCAAGGAATGTTTCAACTGTTCAAACGATTGCACTTCCTCGTCCTATTCCAATTCAGAAAGCGCGATCTCGCTATATGGGATTACAATCACATTCGTCAATAGCCCGTACGCTCCCTGGGGCGGTGGTACGAAGCCATGGCTCGGCCCCGCATCTGGGCTGCCAGGACCCTCTCCGCTACTCATCAGTTTCGTCCATATCGGCCGCAAGACGTTGGCCAGCGGGGTCGCGACGATGGCTTCCACTGTATTGGCGCCTTCGACGAGGTACTCTTTAATGTCGGCCCTTGCCCACGTAACGTCAAGCGGTGGAAGACGATGCCCGTTTACATAGGCCTGCAGAGTGTGATAAATGAAACCAAAGTCGATGAAAGCCCCGTCTATGGTTCCGTTCGAGGCGCCGTTCGAGCGTGGCCAGGTGAATGTTGTGGAGTAGTAGCCCCTACCTGATACGTTCTGCAAGCCCTCAATTTCAAGCCATGGAACGAGGCTTGGAAGTTGGTGAGTGGTGTTATGTTTCAGCGCCCCACCAGTGTAGTTGTACAAGTCCGTAGGTGGGTTCCAATGTTCCACAGTGAGAGTCCAGTTCGATAAGGTGAGTGGCGAGATGGGCGGCGCAGGGATGCTCTTCGTGCTGCCTGAGGAGGTGACGAAGGTCGTCGCGCTTCCAATTTTGACCACCACATTACCGTTGGTCAAGCCCGAGCTGAGGACGTCTTTCGCACCGTCAATGAGATGGATCGGTGGAGCCGTCCCGTTTCCGGAGGCAGGTTCAAAGGCCACGATAGTGGACTGGTTCCCAGCAAGGCGGAAAGGAATGATTGTAGACGTATTGGTAGTGGTGTAGGAAAGAATTGGTCGTTTCTCCCCTGTCCAAGCGTTATATTCGTACGGGATCTTGGTTGACTGGAACTCGATGGTCCCTACGGAACTGCCTTCGCCCTGCGGCTTGTACATTGCGTCGTTGTACACAAACACGTAGTCGATGTGTGTAGACGGGTCTGATCGCCAGTAAGTGTACCACGAAACGTTAGTTGAGACCTTGGTCAACGGCTGCACGCCGAGAGATGCGATGGTCGATCCGACGAGGTACGAATCGGTAATGTGGACGTTCGACAGTCGAGATATGGTATCAAGGTCTCGCATAGCCTGTCGCAGTACCGTTGGCGCAACAGTGCCTAGGACTGTGGAAGGAATTCCTCCTGCGATTACTATAGGAAGTCCTGCGTTTGCGAATTCGACAAGCTTGGACACGCCCTCAATAGTCAGCGAGTCATTCTTCCGCAGAACAAGCGCTTTGAAGGCCTGTGCATTTGGAGCCAGAATGCCGTTCACCACTTCAGCTGCCGGGAGATGGAAGTTATCGGGACTCAGGTATTCATAAGAGTAGCCCATATCCTCTAGGTCAGCCGGTTCGTAAGTCCTGCTCTGGACGTGCCCAGGATAGACGGTCACCTTTTGCCAGACAGCAATATCCATTCGAGGAATTCCGCTCTGAAACACCCAGTTGTTGCGAGCGATGTAGTCGAACTGATCCCGATAGAACTCCCAGGCAGGCTGATGCGGTCCATGCATGTCTGAATATTGATAGGTGAAGGTCGTCCATCCGGGCCATGTGGTGTTGCCATACTCGCCTGAGTACGGAAATCCATGGAATACAAACTGGTTGACGGAGCCGGCGTAGGAGCGTTTGACTTTCCAAAGCAGTTCTGGAAGGGTTTCCGAATAAGCCTCTCCACGTACAGCTCCGCATTCGGACGACACAATACGTCGCCGGGCTAGATTCGCTGGTCCCGCATACTGGCGATACCCGTCGGTTAGGTCGCTAAAGTCGAGCGATTCGGTTTCCGGAGCGTCCACGGTAGGGATGTTCGCAAGCATATCCATTGGAAGGTTGTAGGAAAGCTGTGCGGAAAATTGTAGGCCGAGATATTCATTCGTCCAATTTGTCAGCGTTTCCTCGTAGATCTGGTACTGTGTAGCAAGCGTGGCTCTGTAGTCGGCGATGTGCGCGTTTCCGCTGTCTGGCTCGTCGGTGACATACCAAACGCTTGGATTCGAGTTCTTGTATTTGCCATTCCGATGGAAAAGAACTGGAAGCCACTTGTTGATGGAGTACTTGTGCTGTTCCTCAAAGATGTCCGACAAGTTCTTGGTCCAATACACGTTGGCCTCGATCTCCACAGTCTTCCCACCCATAGTTGCCCACCTGCTGTAGCATTTCCTTCGTTCCGTTACTGAGAATATGCTCTTCCCAAAATTTTGCCACAACGCGGGCTCCCAGAGAAGAGAAGTGGTCGACCGCCCATGAGCCATTGTTGATGTATGACTCCGGTCTGCTCTGGGGGCCTTTCATCTCTAGCGGGCCTTGTTGGGCACGGTAAAGTGACTGATAGAGGTAGATAGCGAAGATTATATGCGCATCGCCCGTGGTGCTCGTACTGTTCGCCTTGGAGAAGTCGAGTTGCAGATGTCCGGAGGCGTCAACCTGGTCCGTGACGTCTGTGAGACTTGCAGCCGACAGGGTGTACTGGGTGTGGGCCAGTGGAACATCTCCAGGCAGGCCCCCGGCAGGGTCACTAGAAGAGATGTTCTGCGATCCGGTAATTGTACCCGAGACAGCTGCTTGAAGCTTCCCCAATCCCCAGCCGGGAAGCACCGCGTCAAAGGTGGCACCGATAGGTACCGTTACGTTGTATGCAGAGAGATCCCATGCCAGACCTTCCTCGGTGATCGGCGCTGGGACTCCTGTGCCTTGATTGGGACCCATGGCGAAGTCCATGATCAAATCGTTATCGCGGTGCGCTTGCACGAAGGCGTAGAACACATCGTCTAACCAAAGGTCAGCATTTCCCCCACCAATGTAGAACAACCATCATACGCCACGCTGGTGTGCCGAACCCATATTCCGCCCAGTCTACCGGGGCATAGGTGCCACGACCGGCGCCATTAGAGGGCGGTCCGCCATACAAGTAGTAGCCGAGCAGCTCGAGGCCACCACAGCCCACGTCTGCAGCCTGCTTCACGTCCCCTGCGACCACATTTGTATCTACAGACGCATCTGGTATCCAGTATCGGAACTTGGGGCGGACGGCCTTGGACGGATTCTCGAAGGTGCCTTTGTCGACGACAGCATCGAAGGACGGGTCGGTCGGTTTCTCCGGGAGAGCAATTGCGCCTGTAATGGCTATTGCGATGGCATATATCCTTCTGTAGCGCTTGAGAAGTTAGCAAGAAAGAGGGCCGAAGCTGTGCGCGCTCACCATGATCAAGACATCAACCGCCAGCTGTCGACTCGTGCCAAAAGTCCGGCGCGGTCGCACCAGCTTAAGTAGCAATCGAACGCCATCCTACAACTGAATGTCGACCGGGAAACTTCCGGAGAAGCGCTGGAGCCGTCGAAGATCTCGGGCCATCATTCAACCGGTACCTTACCGGCGGAGATATGAATGATGATGGAGTAGTACGCGGATGACGGAACTTTCAAGTACTAGCATGCGGGGTGCAGAGAGAACCAGCCGAAGCTTTGACCCCTGAAATCTACCTTGGCTCCACGCGACGAATACCACAACACTGACCAAGGAGCTGAACACAATTCGCCATTCAGCCGCTGCGTCTTCAGCTCTTTCCCTTTGCTTTCGGCAAAGATAGAGCATCCGTAAATGTGCAATCACGTGACCTTTAGTCTCCTTCCAGCTCGGATTCGCGCGACTCTGGAAATTTGCCCACAGTCATTGGCAGGCATGTACTGTGTAGGTTATGCTGTTGTGGTTGGTCTTTGTGACCGCCTTCCTCGCAAGTTGCGTTTATGTCAAGGTAGTGGTTACAAAGAGGTACATATAGGACGATAGTATCAGATGTCGAACCACCCTTCTAATCGCCTGCCCGAGTACCCCAGGAGACGGTATCACTATATTATACGAAGGCAGCATCAGTAACACATGGTCAGCTTCCATTGCTAATGCCGGAGGAGATGGAAGGCGTCACCGATGGCTTTCATTCGCGGGATAACTCCCAATAGATGGGGACGGATCTACGCCGCTCGCTCAAAGCAACATATCTGGGTAAGCTTCTGTTTGCTACACTTCAAACGCGCTTTCTCCCTCCTCAACTCGTTTCTTGACTCGATCGAACATATCATACCCTCACTCCAACACCCCCTCACGTGCCGCTCGATTTGTCGCCCGGGAGCGCGGGCATGCCGCGCCAATACACTGCAGCCGAAATCGCCTAGTGCGACCTGCGGACAGTTGGCTCCCGAGCCATCGCTGAGGAACATGTTGCCGGGCGAATGCTCTTACAATCGAAGTTCGGAGGTGTTCCGTGGCCGCCAATAGGCATGTACATCAGCGTCCCAGCGAGGCTTCTAGGGACATACCATATGAAACCTACCCGTATCGCTACATTGACGCCGGTTCCGCTATATCAAATCTCCCAATGAGTCCTCCTCGTAGTACTGGGGGAATGCTGCGGTGCTTTGGTTGTGTCTTGCTGTGATTCAGTCTGCTAATGTAGGGGTACGACGCAGCGCGCATGGAGCTGCTAGTTCACGCAGTGCGAAGCCGCTTCTAACATCCACTAGAGTGAAGACCATTTATACGCAGCACTTGCCGGTGTTGTTCCTGTTCTTTTATAGGAATGTGAGAGGCTCCCCTGCAAAAGGGACCATTCCAAGAGACTTGAACTCAAACCTACAATAACCATCATATTATATCCCCGCTATTACAACACCACTCAACCCGCACCCAAAAAGGTTCCTTATCATCTCACAGCTCTTTCTTTCCCTCGCTCCTGAAAACCTTCAATGCCTTCTCCTCGTCCACACACGGATCCTTCCACTGCCCATTCCGCACCTCCCACGACCGGCCCGGCCTCGCCCTATCCTTCTCCCTGCACTGGCTCAGCATCTCGGCTAACTCATCGTCCTCCTTCTCCCAGTCATCATGGTACGCCTTCTTCCTCCTAGGAACCGTACTCCCACTGTTCACCGCCCTCCGCCAGTTACGCACACACTCATTCTTCATGAAACACTCAACCTGCTTCTCAAACCGCCTAATCGCCTCCGCACACACATCGGGGTGGAACAAGCTAGGCGTGCCCGGGGCGCAGAGCGGGCTCTCCGGCCGCCACGGCGCCATCAGATAGTCCGTCACATATGTATCAAACTCTGCGCGCTCGGCCTCCATGTGCGCATTTTCCCTCACCAAGCCCAGATTATCCCGCAAATCCGCAGCAAAATTAAGCGCGTTGTACGGACTCTGCAGCACCCAGCCAAAGTGCGCCAGCGTCAGGTTCTCATATAGATCGCCTAGCTGCTCGAAAAGCTGGATCCGCTTCGCGGGGACCAGCAAGTCGCCTCGGCGGAAGGTAGGGTCTGGATTTGGGTTGGCGGATAGCGGGAGGTTGAAGATAGGCGGGGGCAGATGCGGCGGTTTGAGGATGAAATTGAGAATGACGACGACGAGGGCGAGGAGAAGTAGGTAAAGGAGGCGCTTGCTGCTCTCCTTATGCTTTGCGACTTCTGCGCGGAGGTGCTTGTTGGCGAGTTTGAGGTGGATGTAATCTTTGCGCGTTATGCGGGCGTTGGGCGGTTGGAGGCTAGAATTCGAGATTGAGCGGGAGCGGGGAGGAGAGTGGTCTGGGTATGCGTCTTCTGGGATGCTGCTACGGCGGGCTGTGCGCTTCGAAACGGTATGGGATGACATGATTCCAAACCTGGCCCCTTTGTGGGAAAGTTTGGGTGTAAGAAGTAGAGACCCCGTATCGTGCCGGTGACGAGAGCGAAGCAAGCCGCTCGAGGAAATCCATAGTGGACTATAGCCGTTGAGTGGGAGCAGCTCTTTGTTTGCTCGGATTGTTCGCAATCGCCGTTTTCGGAAGTCGCGACTTCCTTTGTTGGATGCATGCTGTGGAATGCCATGCGAGCGGCACAGCACGGAGCGGGACGCTTGAGGAACATCAAACCTTGGATTAACCTTAATTCGACCACAGTGCTCGGATAAGTTTCGGCGTGCTCGGTATGGTCAACGTGAGAGCGCACCTATATTGTGAAGGGTGGCCTGAATACCCACGTGAGGGAGTGAACCGGAAGAGACGCCCCCAGGTGCGATTGCACAGAAAAACTTGGAAGTCATCTTAGCTGCCACGTTGATAATGTTTCTGCAATACGTCGCACCCAATTTCTCAGCCCTAGAGGTCTGTGCCAGACGCATTGTGCTCGTGCTGGCGTTCGCCATGGCCCTGTTTTAGCTTGGCGCAGCCACTACGTGCTGGAACCGCTTCATGAAGGTGGTGGCGCTATTCTAGGTAGAGGCGATTTAGCCCTTGGATGATTTCGTGGTTATGAGAACTAAGGTAAAGGCGCTCTTCGTGACGGGCCACGTACGGGATGCTACGAAAGCGCATAGACTTTGGTAGGACCTAATCAACGATTGCGGTCCTCTTGGCGTGCGCGAAGTAGGACGTTTCTTCGTGTTTTGATATGAAGTCAGACCCCCTAGTGGCCAGCCGTGCTGAGATCCGCGCCTAGTCTCAGGGCCACGAGCAGATGACCTGCGCCTTCTCTAAACTCTTCAAGCGGCATAATGCAAGTTCGCTAGAACGAAAATCCTTGGTCTGTGATACGGCCGTCTTCCAGCCGTAGCTCTGCGTCGGAGGCGTATTGATGTCTCTCTCCTGGGCCATCAGTGCGGGGTTACACAAACGGATGAGCGTTATATCAGGGAGACCTTCGCAGGCCTCAGTAGCGTCTTGATGGAGCATCGTCTAGGATGATCGAAACTCCTGCAGCGTACATGGGGCATTAGCATCCACCAGTGGCTTACTGTAATGCCTTTCACACAACCCCGCGCAAACTCTCTCCAGATATCTATTCCAAGCAACACCCATTGGCGAGCTCCTCGGCCACCAACACCGCGACGCTCGACCTTCCCTCGGCTAGGTACGGCTTCTGCCATGATACCTGGCATTACCGATCGAGACATCCCGCCAGTCCCTCCTCTGTCGTACTGGGAACCCGATACACCCGAACCGCTCACCTCGCCGTTGTCGCCGCACAACCCTTTCCTCTTCCCACCGCCGCTTCCTAGTCCAAGCGCTGGCTTCCCCATGGCTTCACCCATACTTCCAGCCTCTCCACTATCCATCTTTGACCGCGCCTTCTCGCCCATGTCGCCTACCTTCCTGTTCCCTAGAACACCTCCGATGATCCCTTCCGAGATGTCGCCACGCTTCCTGTGTCCGCGTACTCCGCCAATACCGCCCTCGTTTCAATCTATAGTCGAGGCAATGCAGCCGCAGCCGCAGCGCAGACATTCCACAATGTGCTCCGTGCCGTACAGCGATACGGAAAAGACGAGGCATCAGCAGCAATACGAAATGCTCATTGCGCTGCGTGACAAGCTCAGAATGGAGAGGGAGAAGAAGCAAGGAGACAGGCTTATGGAGCGGGCGGAAGTGATGGGTATGCAGCCGGAAACGCGGTTGTTTATGGGAAACATGATGAAGAAGCAAGAGAGGAAGAGACTCATGAAAAGGAAGAGCTTTGAGATGGTGAAGGCTGCCGCTGCGGGAGCTTGAGGGCGAGTGATGCTTGGTCTGGCTCGAGATTGGATTGAACTTCTGGTGGAAGGCATTCAACGATAGGCGGTATCTGGTGGCGTCTTCGATTTGATCGATTCTGGGTGTTGAGCATTTCTTTTGGTGCGTTCCTTTAGGTACAGGACTTGGGATAGAGGTGTGCGTAGCGACAATGCAAACTGGTTGGACAGCCGAACAGTGTTTGAGCCTGCATGTCAGCGCACTAGGGCGCTCTTTGGTGCGGGTAGCATCGGCACGATGGTCGTGTGTCTTTAGCTCAATCGGAGGGCGCGAATCGAGCCGCGTTGGGGAGAGATTTGAGGGTTGAACGTACATAGGAAGACGCCGCGTTGGCGCGTGGCCAAGGAGCGACGTGATTCTGGAATCCTGCCCCGTACGGTGTAGTGTCTGACAGCCTGCATGACTTCGTCCTCGGCGAAGTCAGATACGAATAGCTAGGATGGAGATGTTGCCTGTTCCAGCAGGAAACGAGAGGCGCGTGGGGTAGACGGTCGGCAGCATTAGCTCGCTCCAGGGCCGTGGATGGCATGCTTGCGAGCCTGTCGGGAGTCTTTGTCTTGCTCGAGCCGCACACGTACGAGGCGAACTTTTTGCCTCCCTCGGGTGAGACGGGACAAACTCTACCTGGGAGGCGCACAGACGCAGGCTTCGATACGGGCGTCTGAAAGAGAGCACGCGAGCCAACGATGGCCCAGCGCAAACAACGGCTGAAGTCGGCCATTCTGATTGACGAGGTTACACTGAATATCCGGTAGATGACGAGCAGTCCGAATGGGGTGTGAGGGAGATTGTTGGAGAGCAACCGCGCCGCAATCAGAAAAGAGTCGCCCTCCTGCGAGCCGGACACGAGGCCAAGGCGACGGTTGGCCGATGGGGCTGCGCGATGCGGGAAGGGGCTATCGTGGATGAGGAAGGTGCAGGCCAGCGCCGGGGGAAGGGGTTCACGTGATGCTCGCCAGACTGCTGGAAAAGGCTCCTCCAACCACGCATCGCAGCATCACGGCTCTGTCTGTACAGTAGCGTCGGGCAGCCCGCAGCCCGCAGATAAGACGCATCCCCGTACTGCAATTACTCACGCAAACCCACCACCTCCCCGTTCAGGCAGCTCGCAAGCCCGCCTCTGCCACCAAGCTTTGCTCCGCTGGAGCCGCGCCGGCCAAGCTCCTCTCGCAGCGCGACATCGCCTTCTGGAAGAGATGAGATGGCGCGCCTTGAGCGTCCCCCCAACTTCTTATCACGCATCGCGCCTTGCCCGCCTCCGCTCCACCAACCGGGTCTGCCCACAGCATGTGCGCCAAGCTCCCCGCCGCCGCCTGCCAATACGCGCAAGAGCCCGCGACAGGGAGGTCCAAGAGCCGCCGTGCCGCTAGCAGCGCCGGCTGCCTTAAACCGGCCTTGGACTGCTGCTGCTATCACACGGCGCACACCCATTTGCCGTCGCTCCCCCCTATCCGCCAACCAGCGCCGGCCCTCCACTCTACATGGCGCACGGTCGCATCCATCGCAACGCCCATCAGACGAACTGCCAAGCCGTCGCCCATGTGCACTGTCAATCAGGATCCAGACGGCCATGCTACCCTGTCGGCCGCGCCGACCTCCCCCCAGGGATATATTGTGTCCCCCTCCGCTGATCATGGCCTGCATTAAAAAGGGTGCCCGTCTCCCTGGGTTTTGGACCTCCGTTACTCTACCCTCGCTGTTCTGCCCAGCTCACTTCCCACCACCATGGCTCCTCTGGCATCAGACGCCGTCAACTTCGAGGCCGACGAGAAGGGCGTTGCGGCCGCGCCCACCTACGGCAGCCAGGACCATGACGAAACCGGGCGAGAGAGCGACTTCATGACGCGCAATGGCCTGAACCTGAGGTCCTTCCAGCGCCGTCCCGCAGGCGAGAAGGTCGTCGAGCTCGACAGGTCCATGAAGCCGCGCCATCTGCACATGATTGCCATTGGCGGCTCCATCGGCGCTGGTTTCTTCGTCGGCTCTGGCAGTGCTCTCAGCACCGGTGTAAGTATGCACCAACGGATCGCTTGTCGCACGCGCTCACTGCCCGCAGGGTCCCGCTTCGCTTCTCCTGGACTTCATGATCATCGGTATCATGATCTTCAACGTCGGTAAGTGGCTTCGCGCCGTCCTTGGCTTGCGTATGTGGAGCTCACAGTGCTGCAGTCTACGCCCTCGGTGAACTTGCTGTAATGTATCCCATCTCGGGTGGTTTCTACACGTATTCGACCCGCTTCATCGATCCTTCCTGGGGCTTTGCTATGGGATGGAACTACGTCTTCCAATGGGCCATCGTCTTGCCGCTCGAGCTGACTGTCGCCGGCATTACCGTCACGTATTGGCCCGGGGGAGCTAAAGTCCCCGTCGCCGTCTGGATCACTGTCTTCTGGCTCTTCATCTGTTTCATCAATATTTGGGGGACTTTGGGATATGCCGAGGAAGAGTTCTGGTCATCCCTGCTGAAGCTCTCGGCAACCGTCATTTTCATGATCATTGCCCTCATCTTCGTGTGCGGCGGTGGTCCCAGCAGCGGCATCTACGACGAGTACTGGGGCGCCCGCTTATGGTATGACCCTGGAGCGTTCCGAAACGGCTTCAAGGGTTTCTGCGCTGTCTTCGTCACCGCAGCCTTCGCCTTCTCCGGCACTGAGCTTGTCGGTTTGGCCGCGGCCGAGACAAAGAACCCGCTCAAGTCCCTCCCTGGCGCCGTTCGCCAGGTCTTCTGGCGAATCACTCTGTAAGTTTTGCGCCACTCGCTTAACACGGCAATAAGTCATGCGACAGCGCCACTGACAACTCTACACAGCTTCTATGTGTTGGGTCTCATGTTCATCGGTCTGCTCGTCCGATCCGACGACGAGAGACTGCTGGGCTCCGGCTCTAGTGATGTCAAATCCTCCCCATTCGTCATTGCTTCCAAGGATGGCGGTCTCATCGGATTCGACAGCTTCATGAACGTCGTCATCATGGTCTCCGTTGTCTCCATCGGTATGTCGGGTGTCTACGGTGGCTCGCGTACCCTCACCGCCCTTGGGGAACAAGGTTACGCGCCTAAAATCTTCACCTACATCGACCGCTCTGGTCGGCCGCTCTTCTCTGTCGCCGCCATTCTCTTGATGGGTGCGCTTGCCTATATGAATCTGGCCGCCAGCGGTGAGACAGTTTTCGGCTGGCTCCTTCAGCTGTCCGGTCTCGCCGCCCTTTTCACCTGGGGCTCCATCTGCTTGGCCCACATCCGCTTCCGCAAGGCATGGGCTTACCACGGTCACACCCTCGACGAGATCCCCTTCAAGGCCGTTGGTGGCGTCTATGGCTCCTGGCTCGGTCTCATTCTTATCTTCCTCGTCCTGGTGGCAACCGTACGATCTTCCCCCCCTTTAATTCATCGAAGCAACGCTAACTTGTGCAGTTCTACACCGCTATCTCGCCCGTTGGCACAGATCTTGGCACCGCCGAAGACTTTTTCTACTCGTACCTTGCCCTCTTCGTCGTGGGCCTCTTCTGGATTTGCGGATACTTCTGGAAGCGCGCTGGATGGCTCCGCACGCACCAAATCGACGTCGACAGTGGCAGGAGGGAGCTCGACTGGGACTACATCAACAAGCAGCGTGAAGAATTCGCTTCTTGGCCCGCTTGGAGGCGTGTCTTGTCTCACATATTCTAGGGCACGCGTTGGGAGTGCTGTGTGTCGAGTCGTCGAGTCGTCGAGTATCAAGTAGAGGAGGTAGGGAATACGAGTTGGATAAACCCATCGTTTACTGTACAATGTAATTTATCATTGAAGACACTTGGTGTACAGTCTTTGACGTGGCCGGCCAACATGGCGGTTTGCTCTTGGTGCTACAAGCGTGTTGCAGGCCGTGCATTCGGAAACGCTGCCGAGACGTACCCCGCCGCGACAAGATTACCCCGAACGCAATCACACCGCGGTCACCTTGCGGCTCGCTGCAGCCGCTGGCCATCTGGTATGTGAGCTGAACCTGTTTCGGCTAGAAGATGCACAACCGGCATTGCCATGTCGTGCAGGCGCTGACGTGGAAGCTTCGCTCTCTAAGCGCAGACCCGTAAGACAGCAACGACAACTCACGTTTCAGCGTCTTCTCGCCTACACCATTTTACTATGGCCTCCTCGGAAGATGTCTTTCCCACTGAGCTGCCAGATTGGAACAATCTGAACGTGCTTCACAAGAGCACGCTTACCCCTCGCGCCTACTTTCACAACTATATCTCCGAAGCCGACGCTCTCTCGTACGACGTGAACAAATCGAAAACCCACAGCTTAAGCGGCACCTGGAAGTTTCAGCTTTCGAATTCGCCCTTCGAAGCTGCAGCGGGGTTCGAGGCTCCCTCGTTCGACTGCTCATCATGGGATGACATCGCCATCCCGGGCATGTGGCAGCTGCAAGGCTTTGGAAAAGGTCCGCAGTACACGAACGTAAAATATCCAATCCCCGTAGACCCTCCTAACGTCCCCTTCACGGACAATGAGACCGGCTCTTACGTGAAGAAGTTTAAGATTCCGGAGAGCTTGAAGGGCGATCAGATCAGGTTGAGATTCGAGGGCGTCGATTCTTCATATCATGTCTGGGTGAATGGGAAGGAGGTGGGATACTCTCAGGGCAGCAGAAACCCCGATGAATTCGATATCACCGAGTTCGTGCACCAGGATGGCGGGAACACTCTCGCAGTGAGAGTGTATCAGTGGTGCGACGGGACTTATATTGAGGATCAGGTAAGCATTCATTGTGCATAAAATGCAGGGCCTAACCAAGATGCAGGACCAGTGGTGGCTAAGTGGCATGCAAGTGTACATCAACCCGGAAGACGCAAAGAGCTAATCTGAGCAGCTTTCGTGATGTGTTTCTTGTGGGTTTCCCTCCTCTTTCGCGCGTTGAAAACCTCCACGTGCAGACTTTCCTGGATCCGTTCTACGTCAATGCGGAGCTCCAGATCAAGGTTGACACAACCGGCTCCGGAACCATCGGTGTCAAGCTTCTGGACCCGCAGCAGAAGGAAATCGCGCATCTGACCACGGAAGTAACCGAAAACCGTGTTAAAATGTGGATCCCCGTTGAAAACCCACTGAAGTGGACGGCCGAGTCGCCGCATCTGTACCACTTGCTCGTCACACTCAACTCGGAACAACACATTAGCCACCGCATCGGCTTTCGCCAAGTCGAAATAAAAGACGGCCTGCTCAAAGTGAATGGCAAGCGCATCGTCTTCCGCGGCGTGAATAGGCACGAACACCACCCCAAGTACGGTCGCACAGTACCACTCGAGTTCCTCAAGCAAGATCTGCTGCTCATGAAATGCCACAACATCAACGCCATCCGGACATCGCACCAACCGAACGATCCGCGCCTGTACGATCTCGCAGACGAAATGGGTTTTTGGGTCATGGATGAAGCGGATCTGGAATGCCACGGCTTCGACACTATCGCTAGTGCTGCGCTTTCGGACGAGGATCGCAAATTGCCGTTCCGCGAACGTCAACTGCAGACTAGGTACAGAGCGGCAGAGTGGACGACCAACAACCCCGAGTGGTGTGATGCGTACGTGGACCGAGCTAAGCACCTCGTCAAGCGCGATCAGCTTCATCCTTCCGTCATCGTGTGGAGCCTAGGGAACGAGGCGTTCTTCGGGCGGAACTTCAAGGCAATGTATGAGTGGATCAAGGGGTATGATGATAGTAGGCCGATTCATTACGAGGCCGATATTTTTGCGGAGACGATGGATATGTATTCAAGGATGTACCCCCCACTCGAGGAGGTTATAAAGTTTGGAGAGGATGATAGTAAGACAAAGCCGTTGGTGCTTTGCGAATTTGTAAGTGCGGATGCTCTTGTGGTGATGAAGCCCTGACGCACGTTAGGTGCACGCCATGGGCAATGGGCCCGGAAACATCCAAGAATACATCGACGCGTTTTATCAGTATCCAAAACTACAAGGCGGTTTCGCCTGGGAGTGGGCGAACCATGGCCTCCTCACTAGAGATAAGCAGACCGGAGAAGAGTTCTACGGATATGGCGGAGATTTTGGCGAAGAGGTGCACGACGGCACTTTCGTGATGGACGGCCTCGTCAACTCCGACCACATGCCCAATTCAGGGTTGATTGAATACAAGAAGGCGATTGAACCGGTTCGGCTCATGCAGGCTAGCAAGTCTAAGGCCACATTCATCAACCGCTACGACTTTGTCACGTTGGACCATCTCACATGCCAATACTCCCTGAGCACGGAGCTCGGCTTGGACGGCCCATTAGGCTTGCTTGACATGCCTTCAAACGTCGGCCCCGGTCAAACATTCGACCTAGAACTGCCCGATATACCATCTTCCGACCACGAAACTCATCTAAACCTCTCCTTCCAACTCAAAACTGGTACCTCATACCTAGAAAAAGGTTTCGAAATCGCAACCGCGCAGATCCCTATCAGCACACCCACCCGTCTTCACAAACCCTCGCCCTCCACAAAACATCTAGCCATCCTGCCAATAACCACGCATCTCCTCCACATCCAGGGCGGGGAATCTGTCTGGAGTTTCTACAGCCTAGATGGAAGGGTCAGCTGGCTCGCGAACGACACCAAGATCCTCACTTCGCCTCCGCAACTCACTTTCTTCCGCGCCCCAACCGACAACGACATCCCACAAGACGGTCGCGACTGGAAAGAAAAACTCCTTCACCTGGCCAAACCCTCCACCCGGGCCGTTGAATTCTCGCGGCCAAGCCTGAATGAGTACCTCATCACGGTCCACCAGCGCATCGCTCCACCGGTCCTCTCGTGGTCCATCGATTGCGTGCTGACGTACAAATTTGCGAATGACGGGTCGCTCCGGATCCACGTCACCGGTACGCCGAGGGGCGAGAATCCTCCCAAGACACTTCCGCGAATTGGTCTCGTCATGGGTCTCCCGAACGAATGGCAGCGCGTGGAGTGGTTCGGCCGCGGGCCAGGGGAATCGTACCGCGATAGCAAAAACGCGCAACTCGTTGGACTCCACACTGTGCCCCATGTTGAGCAGCTTTGGACGGACTACGAGGTCCCGCAGGAGAGTTCGAATCGCACTGATACACGCTGGCTGAAACTGCGCAACGGCTCCGCTACCCTCCTAGTGCAGTTGATAGAAAAAGGCGCAGAGGAGAGACGGCTGTTCGATTTCCAGGCGAGCCATTATCGAATGGAAGATGTAGCGGGCGCTAAACATCCCCATGAGCTGAGGAGAAAGAAGAAAGAAGAAGTGATACTGAGGTTAGATGCGCAGCACCATGGACTAGGGAGTGGGAGTTGCGGGCCAAAGACGCTGGCTCAGTATGCGTTGCAGACCGCGCCCTTTGAGTTTGAGGTGCTGCTGCAGTGCTATTAGGTGGAGTGTGCCCGACGCTTGTCCCTCCTATCTTGCAGCTCGCTGTCTTTTCTGAAGGTTTAAGTCCACACTCGTAGTCGTTTTGCTTGCCCTCCGGATCCAGCGACCAGTCCTACGCCGTCTCTGTTCAACATATCCGCTCCGCCTCCACCAGCCCGTTCGGCCCCGTCATCTACACCCTTCTTCGTACCGCCATCAGTGTAATCTGCCGTGTGGCGCTCTGGGTGTTCCTTTCGTTCCAGCTGTGGGTTGCTTCGTTGAGCTGTGGTGGTGGTGGAATATGTGGCACTCGCTTTGCGTGGGCTTGTAGAATGCGGCTGGGGGCCCAAACGCGTGGCCGCGAATCAATTTAGCGATGCGTGGGATGAGACAGATGGGAGGAGACAGTTAAGAGAAGGAGGAAGAGGAGCGTGGAATGAACGGAGAAATATGGGAGGAATGCTATCTCGCAGCGTCGATGGAGTCTATTACACATTATGCTCTACTCCATGGTGGATCCAGCTCCAAAACGTTTATTCCGAGCAGATATAGTCGCGTGACATTAGGGCTCGCCCCTAATTTTCTTTGTCCGTCCAGCGTCCGGATTCAGCGACCGTCTACACCACCCCACTCTACACTACCCGTCTCCCTTTCCAAACCAGCCAACACTATTATAATTTTCCTCCCACGGAATACGCTCGCAATCGTCCTATCGTCATGTACCATATCACCCCACCGCTCTCTACCTCTAGCCCCACAACCCTTGACCCACTCCACCTCCTCGAATCCATCCTCCTACTTGCCGGCTTCATCCTGCTCTTGTCATTCTTTACCCGCGTCCTTCTTTCGAATATTCTTGCTCTGCCGCTGTGGATATGCTTCATCGCGCTGCGGTGGTTCCACTTGGTATATGGGGTCGGGGTGGCCCTGTGGGACGCTGCGGGCGGGACGGGGATGTGGCCGAGGATTGAGCTGGTGGTTGTAGATGGAACGAGGACGAGGAGGAGGAGTTGGGAGGAGAGAATTGAGATTGGGAGGATGGAGAGAAGGAGGAGGAGGGAGGTGGATTGAAGAAAAAGCGGTTGAGTGCGCATTCCAATAAGAGCGGTCTGGAATGCTGCTAGCGTCTCCTCTGCAGCGACATTACGCCGCCTCATCGCCAACCTCTCATCGCACTCCCTAGCTCACTCACCCGCTCCTCCTTCTTTAGTGCGCCAGTCTCCACCGCCTCGGTCATCGGCCTTGAACCACCATTTCCACCGCCCGATACGGCACCAGCCCTATTCCCCGTAGCCGGACTCTGCACCCTACTCTCTGTCGTCTCGATAATTTCTCGCCCGCGTCGTCGCCGCCAATACACGATCCACATGGCGATTACTGCGATAGCGAGGACGGCGATGCCGACGCCGAGACCAACGCCTAGGGCGATGTCGTTGTCGCTGGAAGGTGTTGCACGAGCCGGAGAGGACGAGGGCGTGGAAGGCATTGTCGATGTGACTGGAGAGAGTGGTGAAGAGGGAGGCCCCACTGGGTGTTCACGTCCACGGGTGCGCCAACTCTCTAGAAGTCTCTACCTAGGTAGCAATCAAACTATAACAGTCTCCCAGATATACGCACGTCTTTATATCCTCCACCTCCCAGCTCCAAAACCCCGGAAACGCTCACTCGAACGAAGCGTCGTAACTCCATTTGGTGACTTTTATTGGGGGCGTCCTGGCTTCCCGGGGTGAAGCATTTCGCCTAAATGCATATTTTGCGGGGTGCAGCACCCACAGCCCCAGCTATGGCAAGAGCCGTGCCACAACAGGAAGCTGCCAGCAAGGAAATCAGGGTTTCGCTACCACGGCCAGGGCTCGGTTGCTGCCGAGCTGAAATGCATGGCCAGCGGTGAACAAAGCGGGGGCATGTTGGTGGGCTGGCAGAGTGTATGCAGGTCACCTAGACATACTGGGGCACTTTTCGGCATAGTCTGGATAGAACGAGGAGGCCGGGTGGACTGAACGAAGTAATAACGGGGTATCAATTGATCCGAATCTATTTCCTCTACTGAAGACTAGCCCGGGCCTGAGCCAGGCTCTGTTGGTCCCGGGACCTGAGACACAACCTCATTGCCCAACAAACCGCCCAAATCGCTCCAGGTCCAATCCTGGATATTGTTCAGCGTAAAGTCCATGAATGACATCTGCGTGTTTCGGTCAAACCTGGTGTTCGGATACTCTACCCCATTCCCCAAGCTGGCCATGTCCGGGAAGTAGCGGCCTGTAATATTATCGACAAATACGTAGGAGCCGCTATTCGTCGTAGATTGATGGAAGCCGAAGGGAGCTATCTGCGGAGGCGCCGGTGAAGGGGGCTGCGGTGAGGGCTGCAGAGGATCGTGAGCCGGGGCCGAGCCGGGCTGCGCTTCCGGTTTCGCTATTGGCGTAGCGTTCATGGAGTTCGCCATGGAATGCAGTTCGGGGACCATGGAGGCGAATTTCTTCAGTGTGCCGGGTATGTGGGGATTTTGTAGGTGCCGGTGCGTTAAGTCTGCAAGCTGTGAGAGGAGAAGGCGGGAATAAGACACATGGTTGCCGGTCCTCTTCTTCGTGCAGACGAGATCGAGGAGGAGCATTGTGGCGGATTGCAGCGCATACCAGCAGTCGAACCAGGTGATGGGGTCGAATTTGCCGATAGCATCGAGCTGCAGCAGGATGCTTGCGAGGGCCTGCCCGGACTCAATACACGCATCTGCCATGCTCGTGAGAGCTGTATTCGTTGAGTCCTTGCCGCTCTTGGACAGAGCGGTAGCACGCGCAAGCAGAGCGGTGCGGCATAGCACGGTAACAGTGTAGTGATACAGGGCGTGGAGGAGGAGAAGAGGCCGCCGAAAGGCAGGCGGGGAGGAGTCGAGTGCCTCCAGGCGCAAGGATTGCGGAAGGTCTCCTTTCCACCGCTCCAGGTCCCTGAGGACGCCGGCTGCGGGCGAGAGCGGGCTCACATACGCCTCCTCAATCGCACTCGTTCCCGCATGCTTTGGCGCACGACAGGCGGCGGCTAAGTGCACCACCAGGCGGTTGAAGCATTTGCTGTAATCGGGCGGACAGAAATGGTCCGCTCCGAGGATCTGTTCGTTGGGGCAATCAACTCTCGGCGCAGGATGCTCTATCGCGCTTGGGCGGTCGTACGAGGACAGCTGCATCTGCTCGAAAGCGTACAGCGTCCACCACAGGCGCTTCCGAAGCTCCGTCGTCGGCTGGTTCTGCGTCGCGTTGACATTGTCCTGGTGGAGGCCGATGGCGAATGCGATGCGGATTGCGGTGCCGGTAAGATTCCAGCAGGCGTCCCGATGGTTTGTATTGTGCAGATGCAGGGCTGCGAGCACAAGCGCCTGGACTGCGTGGACGCTGGAGGTGAATGCCACGACGGGCAGGAGCGTCTGCGTGCGCCGCCACCAGAGCCGCTCTTCGTCCTCGGGCACGGGCAGGCGGGCAACGCGGCGCGAGAGCAGCAGGACGCACAGGAAGCCGCACAGCCACGCAGGGTCGGCCTTGCCCGGGTCGACTATCCACCGCTCGTAGGCGTCGCGGAACGAGGCTTCGTGGAGGACGGGAAAGTCGCGGTGGACGTGGGCAAAGTAGGCGGCGAGCAGCGCCTCGAAGGTCGGCGTTGCAGGCGCGGTCGCACGCGGGCCGCCGGGCGAGCTGCCGTCGATGCTCGAGACGCCGCTCTTCCCGTGCATGAGCTCTTGGTCGGCGGCGTTCCGTCCAAACAGAACGGACTGGCGGATGGTGCTCTGGCCCAGCAGCGCGCGCAGCTTGAGGTGGAACGAGAAGGAGCTCGCCGGGCCAATGTACTGCACCTGGCCCTGCTGGTCGGGCAGCAGCGAGAGCGCCTCCTCCTTCTTCGCGTCGCCGCCGGGGGGGCCGTCGAGCGCGCGGTCGGGGAGCTGGATGCCCAGCGAGACGGCCAGCTGGCGCAGCTCGTCCACGCTGGACAGGTCGGCCTCGGGGAGCAGGCCCTTCACCAGCGCCTCCAGCAGCGCCAGCCGGTTGCCCAGGCCCTCGACGCTGCCGTACAGCCGCTTCTTGCGCGGCTGCGTCGTCTGGCACGCGATGCCGTTGACCATGCAGTAGCGGCAGGCATCCTGGCCGGGCTCCTTCCTGCACTTCTGCTTGCGCGACTTGCACTTGTCGCAGCTGGTCTCGGTGCGCTTCCGTTTGTCGAGCGGGACGCGGCGCGAGGCGGTCGAGGGCGTGGACGACGAGGTGGACGCGGGCAGGGGCGGGTTCATGGCGGCCGGTCAGCGGAGGGCATGGCTCATGGCGATGGAGGCATGCCGGGCGGCGCGCGAGGGCATTGGAGGTGCGGAGGAGAGGATGCGGGAGTGCAAGGACGCGACGGCGGAGTCGTAGCCTCCATGTTGAAGAGCTAGCTAGTCAAGCCGGACGTCGAGGCTGGAACGCCAAGCGGCGATTCAGGCCAGACCCCATGCATTGCGCACCACCTGGCGGACGAGTACGGGTGGGCACGCTAAATACAGCATACATATTCTCCTACTGGCCTTGAGACTCCCGAACGCGGGGTGCTAACGATATTGCTATACTTAGATATGTGGGGAGACATGGCCTGCTTATCACCTCGGATCGTCCCGCAACAGCCCTCTCAACCTGTCTTTGTGAGCGCCTTTTCGACCCTCACATTCCGTCGACGCGCTCATACACTGTGTACCGTGGAGAGGAAGGATTGTAGCGCCGGACAACATGTCAGGAGAGAACGCCGCTCGAGTCCCGCAGCCGCATCTGGTGTATAGTCTCCCCACCCAGCATCCTCTTCGCAGCGATACGATGTTCCTACTGTCAGGCTGAGTCCAGGCGAACACAGGAATACGTGCTGAGTTTGGTCAGTGGCCACTTTTCTTTTGTTCGTTTCCACTGCTTGTCGCTCCTTTCCTCCCGCCGTAGTTGCTGTTCTTTAGACTTCTCCCAATATGTGGGATGCTCTACGATTGATCAACCCTTTCCAGGGGAACGGCTATACGCCCCTTGGAAACTACTCCCTACCATCTAGCCACCGAATAGGAACATACTTAAAAATAACTACCGCTGTCTCTATCGTCGTACTCCTCGCCTTCCTCCTCCATCCTCTGTCCGCGGCAGAGAGTTATGGCCTACTACTCTACCATCACCGGAACGCAATACCCAGCATAGTACACTATGTCTACATCAAGAAGGAGCAAGACTCGGTAATCGACTTCCCCTTCGCCCACTTTCTTACACTATACGCATCGGTTCTGTACATATGGCCGTCCCGCATCTTCATCCACAGCGACTACAACGCCTCCGAGATCGCCGAAGCCGCCGCCACTGGCAGCCCCTGGACCCGCAAAGTCCTCAACTTCTCAGACATCGTACAATGGAATCACGTCCAAGCACCCGAGTTCGCGGGTCCGAACGAGAACACTCGCATTAGCGCAATCCAACATAAATCCGACTTCATCCGCTGGGAACAAATCGTCAAGACGGGGGGCATCTACATGGACTGGGATGTTGTGCCACTACGCCCACTGACGCCGCTGCTGAATGCTGGATTTGCCTTCATCGCCGGAAGGCAGTACGGCGGCAAAGACGAAGGTGGTCAAATAAACGGCACCATCAACAATGGAGCATTCATGACGCGCCCTAACAGCGCTATGGCACGTATCATGCTGCGCGAGCAAACCGCTGGCTTCAACGGTGCCTGGGAATACAATCTCCAATTCCTGACTTCCCTTGCCGAACGCCTCGTCAGCATTCCTGGAGAAGTCTTGATATGTGACCGGAACGCCTTCGCGCCCACGCACTGGTTCTTTGAATCCAAAGACGCCCTCTTCTTGCCCAACGATGGCCTACCCTCGCCCGAGCCTAAGCGCATTAATAGCACGAATCCCCTGGTGTTGTACGACAATATGGTGGCGAACAGAAGGAATCGGAGGGGCTGGGAAATGGATTTTAGCGCGACGTATATGCTGCATGCTTTTGGGCAGGGGCAGTATAATGAGTGGATTACTCCGAAAAAGATTCTCGAAAGGAAGAGCAATTATGGGATTGCGACATGGGCGATTGTGAAGAGGATGGTGGAGGAGGGTGTCGTGACTGGGGAGGAGGATGACTAGTGAGAAGGCAGGGTTTAGAGACAAACAGGCGTCCTCCCCGACGATATGCCCTACCTGGCCAACGATCCAACCCGCCGTACATCAACCAATAACAACCTCCCCGCAGCCTCCAAGCTAGTCTCGCCATCCTCCAATCTAGGCCCACCCATGCTCTATTCAGCTCTACCACCGTCTTCCTGCGGAGGCGATGGAGGGTTCCTCCACGTCATCCTCCCCACTATCTCATACGTCCCGGAAAAACCTCTGCGGTAATCCCTCAGTGCCTTCTCAGCCAAACGCTCAACAAGCTGCTCCGTCCTGCCGTACGTCGCCAGCCCGTTCACCTCACAGTCGTGCCTCAGATCTCCATCTTTCTTTCCGGTGTACAGCTGCCGGAACCGCCCAAAAAGGTGCCAATTTTCCTCGGCTTCGTGTGCGGGCTCGGCGACTTGGTCGGACGGCAAAACAGGATAGCCTTCTTCATTTGTGCGGAATTTGAAGGTTGTCGAAGGATGATTGTGAGAGAGAGGAGTAGATTGCTGAATGATGCGGTCGGAAGGGTCGGTCTGACTGGCTTGCGTTGAATAGTCAGGTGCTCGATCATGGGCGCGCCGCTGTGAGTGGTTTGTGTGATGAGCTACTTCACCACTATCGGCCTCGCTTCGTTGCGAGACATGCTCTATCGGGCCGTGCTGTTTGCGAGACGTTCCATTGTTGGCATGCTCCATATCCGACTTTTTCGCCGTTCACCTCGAATGAGTTGACCGCGCGTTTTTCCAGAGTTCCTGGAGCTCTTTTATAGTCCTTGAATTTTCCTCAGTTTGCTCCCCCAAGGAATCAGCTGATACATGACATTGACTTCACTACGTCACGAGCGTCGGACGCTTCCAGGAAGGTCATCCTGCACGTCAACATGGCAGTATTGGCGGTGTGGAAACCTTGGAAGATATCCCATTGTTATCTCTCACGAGAAAGGCAAGAAAGCCCTTTCTAACTTCCGAGAACCGTTATAGAAATAGTGGTAATGTTCCGGATGCCATTTTGGAAAGGGCGTCGCGCGAAAGAGCCGCCCGAGAGGACGGTCCCGATGGTCTCTCCGAACACTCAAAAACTCACTGCTATCTGATCTTAGGAAAGCTGAGGATTGCTGGATCTCGACTATGTTTCTCCGCGAAGCCTCACTTGCGAATTCTGTACCACGACAGCGCAACCCTAACCCGAGCGCTTGACGTCCCAAACCTAGCAAACGTCACTGTCGCGAACCGACATGGCCGCACTCGAGGAGTTTGAAGAGCGGAAAGCAAGAGCTTACACTCGATCCCGAAGAACTATCCATGGCCCATTCAGACTTTCCTCTTCCGCTCAAGACGCCATTGTCGATCCGGTGTGGTCCATACGAACTGGGCGATGATCAGGGCTAATATATACTCTGTCAACTTCCACCGCTACTTCAAGCCATAACATTATCGGCCGGTTACCCATTCCGCACTCCAGCCTCGGCGGTCGCCCAAAGAACAGATACGACCTGGCTTCCAAACGCCGCAATTCAGGAACTTGAGAAAGATGCACAGCGACAATGGATAGAGAACGAGCGAGGACTTTTTCTGATTGCCTACATTGACCACATCCAAGAGGCAATCTCAGCTGTTTTTGAAGATGTATTTAGCTCCAGCGGTGTGCCGGCTGATGTAGCAGCCGCTCTGATGGACTACGACTGGAAAGTAACTCGAAAGCAGCTCGAAAACTAAACACCTACGTGCGGCATTTGTCTAGAGCTAAAAAGAGTTCGAGATGTCACCCCATGGATTGCTGCCAGGCCGTGTTCTCTTCAGCTTGCCTACAGCATTACTACATCAGTTGTATCGACCAAGAGCGGATCCATCCGGTTCAGTGTATGAACCGGAATTGTGTGAACAAAGTCGAGAGCGATGGCGAAATATCTCGGAGTACATACCGTGTCCTGATGCCGAGGAACTCCTCGGCGTTCCATTAGAGTCCGCCACTCTCCAAAGTTCATAGACGCTAAGCGGCAGAAGGATCTCCAAGCTGACCCCCCGACGGTCTGGTGTCCAGCGCGCTTGGTGCAATGGTGCTGTGAGAAGCGCGAAGGACCCGAAGATGGCTGTCCCGCAGGCTGGCCAAATAGAGACCGAAGTTGGACCTGCGGAACGACTGGGGACGCAAAAGCGCTCCAAGGAATACACAGATACTCTATAAGAGGTCACCAAGCAGTGTCAAACGGGTACTGAAAAGCGCACAGCCCAGCTCTACAGACAACTGCCCTGATTGTGGCTTCGCGTTCTGCGCAGTCTGCCACAGATTCCGAGATGGCCCTGCGGAGTCTTGCGAATCATGGGCGATTCGTAAGAACAAGGGTAAGCTGTCGAAGGCGTACGTCGAGGAGACGGCTCCATCCCCGACATGCATGGCGTGGTGTCGCAAGACCGGCGATTGCGCTTACATAAATTTGCGCCGTGTGCGGACAGCGCTTGCCTATGGTTGCGGGCGAAAACTGCAAGATTGTCGCCGTCGAGGGGAGTGCAAGAGGCCACAGCTTTAGAACATTGCGGGAGAGAATGACGAGAATGGAGCGCAGAGAATGTAGTAGAGGTGAGCAAGGAGGAATGACGTCAGATTGCTCAACATACCAGTGCTTGTTCCCATCAACCCCAACTTCAACGTTCATGCTCAGGTGTGCCAGCCTTGTGGTCAAAAAGTGCAGCTCGTCTTCGATGCGTTCCGATAGCCTGCTATTCTTCTTGAATCATCTCTCTTCTTTCGCGTCATTTGCAAACTTGAAGAAGTGCATAGAAGCCTTCTTTTTTCCTGTCATGCTTCCTGGCTTTGAAACAGGGAAACATTCCAAATCTTGGAGCCTGGCTTTGACTTCAGCGCTCAGCAAGGAATGCGCGCCATCGCCGGCGCAGCTTCGTCCTGCACCATGCTCTTCAGATTGGGGACCCTCTATCGAGACAACCTACCTGAGCTTTTCAGGTATGTACGGTGGCCCATCGAACCCACCCGGATCGTGGGTTCGCCCTAACGAGTACCGAGACCGAACCGGCAATCGGCATTGTCTCCAGAGCCGACGGATTGGCTCGCTTCGGGGCATATTTCTCGTCGTGGCTACCTGCCGGTGCTCCTGCCACTAAGCGGACCTTGCCGCCCGTGGCGGACGCGTGTCAGTCGTGCGCGCTGCTCTGCGAACCATTGCAAAACGTCCGTGCCGAGAAAAGAACATCAAAAACAATTTCGAAATTCCTTCGAAAATGCAACAAATTTCCGGATCTGCGCGGCTCGTCGTCTAATGTCGAAAGCGGCGCCGGTGCAATGGAGGTGAATGGCAACCTCACGTGCTCTAGCGCCCTTCGTCTATTCAGCGTCGCTATTGCCTTTGATGAAAGTAAAGTTTGCCTATTTCTTCTTTGGTTCTGCTGCAGAAGAAGCTATTTTTCTGACATGATCAGGGAGTGCATTCTGCATGCCCCAGCTCGCGCACCTGGAGAAGGCTGGCCTTGAAGGACCCTGCAGAGTCGGCATGATTGCGGCGTGAGAAAACGCCCTTCGAATCTTAGCAGAGTGAGCGAACTCGGCGTGCCTATTTCTGGGAACATCCTCTCTTCTCTTCTCCACAACCGGCAGCCTTGGGTCCCGGACTGCAGCTCAGCTGTGAATTGCGTGCAGGTGCCGACCCAGAACCAAGGCTACGATACCATCTTGAGCTGTCTGCCCCGCACCGAAGGGCCGTCCCGAGTCAGAGGACCTCTAGAATATCACAGCTACCCACCTGCATCATGGCGTTTATTGAATGTGCGAGTCGACGGCATTAGCATCCATCGCTTAACCCAGCAACCGCCTCCCCGGTGGACTCTGACAGCAAGTCTGCAGGACAGCTAAACTTGATGGTTGTCAAGCGCGAACAGGACGAACCCAAGTGCCGGGCCTAGAAGACCGGGAACCGCTTCCATACTAGCCCAGTTCGGCGGCGCCCTGCAGCATCCTTGTATGGACGCGGGAGGCGGCGCGGAGCACGTGCGATAAACAGGGCTTGCCTCCGCGAGCACCTTTTCTCACCGCTGCGGCCATCGTCTATGCAGAGGCATTCGAGTACAAAAGGCGTCCAATGTGCCGGTAGCCGATCTAGTTCCATCTGCATACCTTCTTCCAGCCCAGCCCAAAGAGTATCCTGCTGTCACCTTCCAAATATGTCCAGCATCGGCACCTGGACGTTTACGCCTCTCATCACATCATTCCCCTCTACGGTTCTCCCCAACCTTGGCTTCTGGAGCGCGTCCAATGGCTCGTGGGAATACCAAGTCGAGGTCGCATGGCCCTTGAATTGGACGTCAATGGAAGAAGATAGCACCGTCGAAACTATGTAAGTGCGCCGTCGTCCCACCACAACGGGTTTCCTTCCGTGCTTTAATTCTACGCGAAGAGTCAATTTCCACCAAAACACCACGATTGTGGCTCACACAGATGGCAGGTATGTCCTTGACGGCAATGCGCTCGGGATGACCGCCACGGAAGCCTGGCGTCGCCGCCGCCCTGTGGAGTTCAACCAGCCCGACAGCATCGTTGTCAGTCTTGGATATCCGAACCTCATTGAGGATTCGCCGTACAGCACTGGACGAAGCTACGACTATCAGCCGCCTGTTTGTGCAAACTGCACTCCGCCTGCTGCTCCCGGTGTTCCCTCTAACGCTGACAACTTTATCACCTTCATCGACGACGTCTTGAAGCCTTGGGTGCACTCACTCTTCCCGAACGCCAACTTCGACCGCGACGCACTGTACGGGCATTCTTTCGGTGGACTATTTGTTCTCTACGCGCTCATTGTGCGGCCCGACCTATTCGATACGTTCCTCTCTGCCTCGCCCGCGCTCTTCTGGAACGACGGGTACATGTTCAACCAACTTGGGCCTCTAAAGGCACCCGCAAACGTGACATCGCCCAAGCCTGCGTTCCAAATCAGCTATGGTCACCTCGAGCAGTTTCCGCAGCGAAGGCGGACTGAGACGGAAGAGGAGTTTGAGTATAGGAAGAGCGTTCTCTCGTTCTCGATGATGACGACGAATTGCAATCGGTTGTACAATGAGCTAAAGAATAGCACAAGGCTCAGGGACGTGGAGCTACACGAGTACCCGTTTAGCGACCATGCAGCTGTTGGCGGGGCGGCGATTTCAGATGGAATTGACTACTTCCTGGATTGGCCGTGAGATGAGGCGCCAACGTTGCTGTCCGAAAGCCGCGAATGCGAGGCTTGTAAATAGCGCAAAGAATTGACGAAAATCAAATGCTGTCTCCGCCTTCTATGCCGCTTGCTCAGCGCATTCCACGTCGCACGGTCCGTGTACCCGCCGTCCTCTGAAGACACCCTTCCCGAAGAAGCAAGTCACGTGATGCACTGACCCGATGACCGCGGAATCGGTTGTGGATGGGATCCGCCAAAGTCTTCGCGGCGTTACTCGGCAGGGCAAGCAAAGAGCAAATTTCTCCATCGTGTCGGAGGAATTCATTCCCACTCCCAAGACCCAGATCGTGGTGGCGTTACCGTGGGCTGGTGGGACCACCTCAGCCTTACGATCTCGAGATGTCCCAAAACGGAAGATTTAAAAGGAATCGGAAAAGACAGAATAGAAACTCACAAATCCCTATTTTCGTCCTATGATTGATCACAAATGGAGACAATCTCTTCAACAACGCTCAAACTTCATTCACCCCTCCCGACCCACCGCTTGGCCGGCCGGGTCGCCCTCATCACGGGCGGCGCCGGAAAAATCGGCATCGAAACCGCGGGCCGCTTCCTGCGCGAAGGTGCCAACGTCGTGCTCGTGGACAACAATGCCTCCGCGCTAGAAGCAGCCCTTAATGTTCTCCGAGAAGCCGTGTTCTCGGGTGAGCTGGTGTGCTCGCGGCTTCTGACGATCAAAGCGGAGGTCACGGACGAAACGCAGGTAGAGGAGTGCGTGAAAGAGTCGGTGAAGCAGTTCAAGAGACTGGATGTCGCGTTTCTGAATGCGGGAACGGGAACGGTGGTGGGAAGTGAGGAAAGTGCGTGTTGGGAGACGGGGTTGGAGGAGTTTGAGAGGGTGATGAGGGGCAACGTTAGGAGTGGTAAGTATAGGCTAGACTTCCTTCTTCCCTTCCAAGCCTCATATTATCGAATTATCGAATGCTGACCAAACTGTAGCATTTCTCTGTTTGAAGCATGTCGCAGCTGCAATGCGAGACCTCGGCAACGGCGGGTCCATAATCCTCACTTCTTCCGTCGCCGGCTTACATGGTAGCCCGGGCCATATCGCCTACTCCGCATCCAAATTCGCATTACGCGGGCTCGCACTGACGGCGGCGGAAGAGCTGGGTCCTTACGGGATAAGGGTAAACACTATCCACCCTAGTCGAGTAGAGACGCCGATGTTTCGCAATTCGTGCAGCCGCGAGAAGATGGAGGAGTTGCGGGCAGCGATACCATTGGGAAGGTGCGCACAGGTGGATGATGTGGCAAGCGTGGTCGACTTTTTGGCGAGCGAGGATTCTAAATTCATGACGGGTGGTTTTTTGAAGATTGATGGGGGCAGCGTACCTTTCTGAAGAGTGGGTTGGAGGATGGGGACGTAATGGGCAGAGATTTCTACAGCAGTAGACACAACGGATGTGGACCTAGGATTTACTGGTTAGAAACAGGCGTTTGGCTTGGATGCACAAATAGAATGGGGTATCCTCGGGTGGAATTTTGTGGTATGCATTCAGTTCACGAATTTGCGATTGCTCAGATCGCTTTTTCTGCTGTTCCGTTGGTCAAGGAGATGGACAAGAGGGCTTTCAAAAGACGCCCATTAACAATAGCCAGGGTACCTTAGCTTGCAACAAAAAACAATCGATGCAATGGCATACCCATTGCAACCATTACTGGTTGAAGCATGCAGACATGGACGCAAGGAAGGCAGTCAAAGTCGGCGTCTAGGGTATCGTGGTCAGCAACCACGGCGGCCGACAGCAAGACGGAGGGAACAGCAGCCTGGGCATGCTACCGCACATCGTAGATGCCGTGGGTGACAAACTGACGATATTCTTCGATAGTGGGGTGCGATGCGGCGCAGACATTGCTAAGGCGCTTGCATTCGGCGCAGATTGTGTATTGATTGGAAGGCCGTATGTATATGGCCTGGTGTTAGGAGGTGAGGGCGGAGTGAGTCATGTATTGAAGAGTTTGATAGGTGATCTAGAGCTCACCTTGCATATTGCGGGGATTTCGAGTGTGAAGAAGAAGGATCTGAATCGGGGGGCGTTGGTGAGTGAGGAGTATCTATTTAATGGCGTGAAGGGAATTAGCATTCATTGGGGGCCGCGGTATGGCGTCGAGGCAAGTATCAACAGTGCGTAATAATGGCTAGATCCTCACTCACTTGACAAGCCAGCAGCATTTTATTTCCCCTTTACCTCTAGCCATACTTCAACTGTTATCGCATCCACAAACCGTATCATCATTCTTTCCTCCACAAGTTTCGACTAGTGGGATGCTTCCCAACTTCAGCGCTCCAATGTCCATCTGCCTCTCTATCACCCCGGATATGGCATCTCGGCAGACACCTGCGGAACGCCTAGCTCCAGCAGCAACGGACTGGAAACCGGATACGAAGAAGGTGAAGCTCGACGATCGACTGCAACACGTAGGCGCATTGGGTCCCTCTTTAAATACAGAAAACTGACCATCGACAGACCGAAGACTTACTTGCGAGACACCGGCCGTACGCCTCGCTTTCCATCCAGCAAAGAGCTTTCCCAAGGAAAAGAAGCTGGCGAAAACTAGGGAGGAACTCAACACTGAAGCAACAGCGCACTTTGACCTCCAATATCAAAGACGAGAAGACATTGACGAGTACCTGGCCCTTGATGACGAGCTCGAGGAATGCAAGAGCGTCCTAAAAAGGGAGAAAGAGGCGCATCGGTCCACCGTAGAGTGGCTCAAGTGGCAGATACAAATTATTCGAATTCTCCACGAGGAAAAGGAGCACAAAGAGCATTAGGTCCGTGAGCTTCTAGAGGCGGGAAGGAAGTTGACGGATGAGAAGATGACGTGGAAGAAGCGGCGCAAGTCCCTTTACGGAACGCTAGCGCAGGAGGTCGAGGATAGGCACTGGGGCAATCGAGATGTACTGGACGAAATCCAGGGGTGTCTTCACGAGACGTTTGGTGTTCACCTGGAGGATGGTCATAAGCAAAACGGACATGGAACATAGGACTACGACCGGTAAAAGACTCGAATGATAGATATTACCTGAACGAATAGAGGGCCTAGTGAACGAGATACCGGTACGATATTGTGATCCAAGACTAGTGGCGCAAGTTCCTTGGTTTCTAACTCAACAGGGTTGTCAGTAAATGGTAGTGCAAAGTAGTACTGCGTCGCCGTGCCGAGTGGCAAACCAATGGCCCTCCATATACCTTCACGCGCCTACTCCCTCTCCCTACTCGGGTCTCTCCGCATCCATACATAAAGAACCGCCTTCAATAAGTGAAGTAACTCGTCGCATAACCCACGCGGATATCGGAAGGCGCCACCTCTTGGCCTGCCGATCCCGATGCCGTCCTCCAGGTTCCAGCAACCTGGGCGAACGGTGTCCGGCCGCACGGCAAGAACGATCTTGCTCGTATGACGGGCTTGTTTGGCGATGAACGCAGAACCAAGCAATTGGCAGGTGAGAAGCGAGGTTGGTGGCATTGGGAGGAAAGACGATGACGTACCATGTGCTTGAACGACTGCTTGGCACGTGCTGGGCGTACTGAGGAATGAAGTGTGCCATGCAAACCGCTATGGCTGTGCTGCAGAGTGACGACGGGGCAGATGCGTACTTAAATAATGGGTTTTGCTCGGATAGATTGGGATATTTCCTGGTTGTACGGGTTGACTGACTCCTAGCCTACTTTGGAAAGGGCTTGTAAAAATGGGCCTCGGAAAAGTGTACGTTCGGCAGGAATATCTGTCGCAAACGCTACTGACGAAGAATAGATCTGTTCGCATCAATGGCGCCGACTGCGGTATAGAAGCCATCATGCTCGGGGTCGTCACCTCGATCGGAGGCTTCTTGTTCGGATATGACACTGTACGTATCCCATTCTTCCAAAAACTGCAACAAAAATTGCGCTGAAGATCATGTCAGGGGCAAATTTCGGGGATGTTACTTTTCACGGACTTTAGAAGGCGATTCGGCACGCTACAACCAAATGGAGAGTATAACCTGGATACCATTACATCCTCTCTCCTCGTCTCTCTCATGTCCATTGGCACGCTCATTGGCGCGCTTTCCGGCGCATACACCGCGGATTGGTGGGGACGACGCCGCAGTCTGAGTTTCGGAGTCCTGGTCTTCATTATCGGGAATGTTATCCAGATCACCGCCATGGACTCGTGGGTGCACATGATGATGGGTCGCTTCACGGCTGGCCTTGGGGTTGGCAATCTCTCTGTCGGCGTGCCCATGTTTCAATCCGAATGCTGTCCGCGCGAGATCCGTGGTGCTGTTGTTGCGTCCTACCAGCTCATGATCACAATTGGTATTCTGGTCTCGAACGCGATTAACTTCGGCGTCCGCGAAATCCAAGACACGTCAGCGTCTTGGAGAATCGTTGTAGGCCTCGGTATCGCGTTTTCGCTCCCTCTGGGAATTGGCATTCTATTCTCTCCTGAGTCTCCCAGGTGGCTGGCTGGCCGTGGACGATGGGAGGACTCGCATATGTCGCTAGCGCGTCTGCGAGGCATGAAAGACGATCCAGCTAATGAACTCGTGGTCGACGACTTCAAAGAGATGCAGGAGTCTATCCTCGAGCAGAGGAAAGCTGGTCAGGGGACTTGGCTAGAATGCTTTACCGGAAAACCATCCGGCATCCCACGACTGGCGTATCGCACGTTGCTCGGTATGGCTATACACTTCTTGCAGCAGTGGACTGGCGTCAACTACTTCTTCTATGTTAGTGCATCCCCGTAGTACCTTCTGCAGCCGGCTAACAGCGCGGTAGTATGGGGCGACTATATTCGACTCAGCCGGTATCGACGATCCAATCTTGGTCCAGCTTATTCTCGGCGCAGTAAATGTGGCAATGACGTTCCCGGGGCTGTACATTGTCGAAAGGGTAGGCCGCCGCATTCCAATGACCATTGGTGCTATCTGGCAGGCTTGCTGGCTCCTCATATTCGCTTCCGTCGGTACTGCAAAGCCGCCAACGGAAAATACGAGCTCCGGCATCGTCATGATCGTGTCGGCGTGCATGTTCATCGCATCTTTCGCAATGACGTGGGGTCCGTTTGCATGGGTGGTCATCGGCGAGACGTTCCCACTCCGCACTCGCGCGAAGCAAGCATCCCTAGCAACTGCTGGAAACTGGCTCGGTAAGGAGGTTTTCTGCACTCAATATTCATAGGTGGGCAACTGATGATGCCTTCAGGGAACTTTCTCATCGGTTTCCTCACTCCCTTTGCCAACGACGGCATCAGTTATGCTTACGGCTACGTCTTCTTCGGCTGCAACTTGGCGGCAGCAGTCATCGTTTACTTCTTCCTGTACGAGACGAAGTCGTTGTCCCTTGAGAACGTCGACGCCATGTACTCGGAGCGCTCGCTCAAGCCGTGGAAGAGCGACAAGTGGGTTCCTCCAGGATACTTCGACAGGAAGACTCGCGACCTTGCCTACTGGAAGCGTAGGACGTCTATCACGGACGGTCCGAGCAGGAGGGGCGAAAAGAGCGTTGATGAGGAGGATAGGTCGTCTTTATCACCTTTTGGACCTGAATCCACGGCACATCGCGAAAGGACTGGGAATGACAGGCGAGTGTAAAAAGCGGCCGTCTTTGAATCGGCTTTCGATGTTCATGTCTGTTTCTTCTTCGGTGGGCTCTGCTTCGGCGTAATCCTCGGGCGTCTGCATTACGCGCTATCCGGGCATTGCGCAGTGCATGGGTTGGCGTGGCCCCCCGAGGTCCATCGACACTTTCTCGGTCGGTCAAAAAAGTGATGCTACATGGAAAGGCTGGGCTTGAATCGGGGCTTTGTATTATGCTGCCTGTACAACAACACTTGAGAGCAAAATTGAAAAGAAAAAAGAAAGGCGAGGAGTTTCAGGCGAGGAGCTGATCCAAGAACGCTAAGCCACCGAGCCACCGAAACACGCTAATTTTAGCACTGCATGCGCCACAACGCGTCATCTGTCAACTGATCGCCAGGGTGAGCATAAACAGCCTTCAAACACTCAGACTTCGCACCCTCCATCCCGTATCTACACTCGCTTTTCACCAATTCATCCAAGCCGACATTATGGCACCGGTAATACCGCCCTCAGATCGCAAGACCCTCGCGAAGCTCGCAAGGCACGCTCTGGTGACAGCCGGACCAGCGCTGGCGCAGCCGCACCTGCACCACCTTTCGCGGAGAGGCCTTTCGGTGAATCACACACAGGGTGTAACGTTGGGGGTTATAGCGGCGTATGTCGTAATTATCGCACTACTATGGAATATACCCTACGTCCGATGGGTGCTCTGGCCGTTTAAGGTTCGTTTCTTCCTCGCTCTTGAACGAAGTGATATTTCTCGGCAGTCAGCTGATGAACATTCCAGATGCTCGTCATCGCCTTTCACGAATTCGGGCACGCAATAACAGCATGCTGCACGGGTGGACGCGTAGAATCCATTTCTCTCGATCCGCATGAAGGCGGCGTCACGCACATGCGCGGTGGCAAGCAGGCCATCACCCTCCCGGCCGGCTACCTTGGATCCAGCCTCATTGGGGCCCTGCTCACCTTCTGTGGCTTCAACATCGTAGCTAGCAAAATTGCCAGTATCGTGTTGGGTGTTTGCTTTTTGCTAACGCTATGGTGGGCGCGGAAAGATTGGCTTACGATTGTGACGATTCTTCTTGCTGTGGGATTGTTGGTTGGTTGCTGGTTTATTAAGCATGCGGAGCCGTTGCGATTCGTTGTGGTACGTACTTTTTCCCTCTTTTCCTCCCAAAGCTCTTGCGCTAATTTAGGTGTAGCTGTTCATCGGCGTCATGTCCTCGCTTTATAGTGTCTGGGATATTTGCGACGATCTCATCTTACGAAAAGTAAACTCATCTGACGCCAGCGTATTCGCCAAACGGTACGGTGGTTCCTCACACTGTTGGGGAATCATCTGGTCCCTAATCAGCTTGTTCTTCATGATTTGCGGCATTCTCGCGGGGCTCGCGGCGTTCAAGCAGAGTTTCGCACAGCAGGAGGACGACTCCAAGGACTTCATTCCGACTGTGAGGATGCTGTTCAAGGTCTAAGGACGGAATCTCCGTGTAAAAGGGGATTGGTATCAGGTCAAGGTGTTCGGAACGGGTTTGACTTGGACTTGGGATACCCTATTCCTATTGTCTTACTCGTAACTAATCTTTATACGACGGTCCATCTCCAAATGGTCAACCACCCAGTCTCTGAGTGGAACTCATAGGCTGACTCGATCCGCTCATACACGTTCTCCTCAGCACACTAGATTCCGCGGTGTAGGTCAACATCACCGGGTATCTTCACCCGCAGCCAAGCGACTAGCGACCTCGACGCACTGTACCTCATTGATTCTACTTGTACGCTTCAACCTCCCATCTCCATTGAATAACGGCGTTTGAAGCCCACATAAACATGTCGCGAACACTAAAAGCCATGGATAAACACCCCTTCACTTTCTCCGAACTCCACCCCTCCTCCACCTCCACCAAGCAACCCTACACTCGCTTCCTCATCTTCATCAAAAAGCGGCGAGACGTATCGCAAGAAACGTTCCACGCGTGGTGGCGAAGCGTGCATGCCGACCTCGCCGTATCTGTTGCTGGATTTGGTGGGCATTGCTCACGCTACGTTCAGGTACTTGGCCCCTTTTCGCTCAACATTAAGATATGGATGGGCTTGAGTCATTGTGATAGGGGATATAGGATACGGGATGGGAAACGCGATGCTGATGCAGGCGTAGATGCACACGACGCCCGAGTACAAAGACGAGTTAAAGAAGCACGGGATGGAGCCGATGCAGTGGGACGGCATGGGCGAAATGCATGTCAAGAGTATAGAAGACTGGGTTAAGTTCCAGGGCTCGCCGGCTTTTGAGAAGCTTGTTCGTGAGTCTGTCCCGTCTAAGCTCCTCATATCCGAGAGACTGAGTCCGTGTCAGATGACGGCGGGAACTTCATGGACGGGCCCATTCAAGTTATGGCTGGGTACGATCATTTGATCTATGGAAGTAGAATTGAGACGAGCGGGGGGAGGGATGGCATCTTGCCAGGTGATGAAAGATTGAAATCGGCCCTGAAGGGCGATTCGAAGTTGTAGTACATTGAGCTCTTGTTCCCCTTCTTCAAGCTAGCCAACCACTTCCCGCCAGTCTGTTTGCCACTGTCCCCTGGACTTGAGGCCATTTTTAAGCCGCGCACCTTTCGATGTAAAGAGCGGTGATGCTCTCTTTTCATATCCCCACGCGAACGGACACGCATCGGACGCTTGTCTCTAGATTTCAAGCATATCGCGGGGGCATTCATGAGCAAGATCCAGGGAGCTCTGAGCAAGCACAGAAGCCATATATGGAAGATATGTGTAAAATATTGACTGATGGCGGTTCCGGAAAAGACGGAAGGTTGCTGCCAGAGAAGAACACTTGCTTGACTCCACTCTCACCCGTGGCCCCAAAGTCGGGAAGCTTGACTCACGTGACCGAGCTCGCGGAGGTGACAATGCTCCCATCATGGAGAGAGCAGGCAGCATAAACGGAGAGATATCCACAGCATAGGAGAGTGACGCTGACAAATGCATGCGGTCCGGACTAATGCACTCTGTTCATAAAACCACGCGACCGACGGGGAAACACCTGGGCAGTGACCGTTTCGCTTGCGGCACCTCTGCTTCTCTCCCCACACCTCAGCCATCATCGCTCCGCGGCGGCGAAAATCATCACGAGCAGCATACGGCGCCTGGTCCGCTGTGGATGCGCGACGCTCGTCGCGTCTACCTAATTCTATTCGTCGACAGGGTGCGTGTCCGCAACGAAGCAATGTCCACGCAGCTCATGACCATGGCAGCAGATGCAGACGACAACAAAGTATCGATTCTCAAATGAAGCCAAGAGTAATTGGGCCGCAGCCGTCTATGACACGCCAACAGCCTGTGTGCGACGTTATCGATGCTCGAAGGCCGCTGGCCGCTTCTGCAGGAATGCTGCAACGCCCTCGCCGAAGTCAGCAAGCGAGAAGGCGCTGTAGTACAGCGCCCGCTCCATTTCCAACCCCGCATTCAATGCTGTGGCCTCAGCTTCTTCGTATCAGCTCCTGCATGTGCTCCGGGCCAGGTGCAGAGAGAAGCGCTTACCGGCTCTAATTGCTTGCTTCGCCAGTCCAATCGCGGGTGCTGAGAAAGCGGCGACTGTTTCTGCCATTTTCAACGCCTCATCGACAACGTCCTGCTCTACAGAAACCACCCTGTTCACGATGCCATATCGTTCCAACTCGGTCGCCGTCATGGACGTGCCGGTTAAAATGAGTTCCATGGCCTAACAAAGTCAGTGCAGCACCTACCAGCGCCGCAGACCAAAACCTCGAATTTGGAATTAGAGGACGAACCTTATGCTTCCCGAGCGCTTGAGTTAACCGCTGCGTACCTCCAGCGCCGGGGATGGTACCTAACTTGATCTCCGGAAAAGCGAACCGAGCGTCCGCAGAGGCTATGATGAGATCACACTGCCCGTCATGGATGATTACTGCTCGTTCGAAATCCTAAAAAAATTCTGGGATACTCGCTACATTCCATGAGCGCAATTTCGAAGCCGCCTGCGAACTATTCAACTCGATTAGTCCCGCATAAATGAAAGCCAACGGCCGAGAAGCGCGAATCCGGATATGCCCTCCTGCCGGGATCCAGAGCTCTATTTTTTCTGTCGAGCTGACAAGGGTATCAAGTGGTCTGGACTGGTGTAGAGACGAGATTGTCACTTCGACCCGAAGCAAACGCACCGCGAAACCTCGTACGGCCGCCACAATTGGTTTACGGAACGTCGAGAAGCTGGTCTCTACATCCTTCAACCAGCCGGTCCGATACGACCCGGCTGTGGCCATTTTCGCCAGCTCGTTCAGGTCCGCTCCGGCTGTGTTCCATACGTCAACGCTGTCTGCCATCATTCCTCTTTTGCCACTTACCACAGAAAGGAGACAGCCCAACGCTGGTGAGGACGATAGTGCGCACCGTGGTGTCTTAATCGAGAAGGCGCAGAGCCCCTGTCAGTTGGTCTATCAGATCCTGCGACATGGCGTTTCGTTTGAGCGGGCGATTCAACGAGATGACTGCCACACCCGCTTCCCTGATCGACAGCATAACGGTCGAAAGCTCTGGAGCGTGTGAGCCCATGCTTGTTCTTTTGCTCCTAGACTGGAGATCAATAGCGAACTTTACTGTCCATGGAATTAGATAACCCATTGTTGAACCATTCCTTCCTCTTATAGTCGGCCCGCGTTTTGCAGCAAGGGATGGCGACATCAACGCCACCGTTTGCAAGTTCGACGTTCTCGTTTCTGCGCGTCGTAGCGTTCCGGTAAAAAAAACACGTCTATGCGCGGGCTCCCCAACTTTCCCGGCTGATCAGTCCTTCCTGGCCTTGTCGCACTCTTCGTACAATCAACGACCGTTCCTCCGCTAGCGGACTTCGAGAGTATCGTGATCCTTCAACAATCGATACTGTGCGTGGGGTGCCCGGCACCTTGTCGTCTGTCCTTCGTTTCCATGGGCAGCTCGTTTGCTTTACATCCTTCCGCTTACGGAAGTTAGTTGTATATTGCCTAAGATGAACACCTGACCCTGGTCGCCCCGGGCCCCTGCCATCTACTATCTCTCGCATTTCCCTGATATTACCCAACGTCCAATCACTTCATCTCCGTCTTCATCCACCATCGATTTCAAAGCATCGTGTCAGCTAATTCGGCGAGAGCTGCTCTACTCGCGGGGTAAGCTGCCCCGGTGGTTACGGGTAGCCTTAAGCAATTAATATAACTTTACCCCACATCCTATTTATCACGGCAAGCCTGTTTTCCTGGGGTACCAATATGTTGCTCCTGCACAAGATGGCTCTCTGCTTTCACGCGCTTTGTTCGCATGCCCTCGTGCCTGGACTCCAAGCCACGCTGCAACAGCGTTGTAGCCAAGCTATCAGGTTAGGTACTTGACAAGTACATAAAGGAGGTGTGGCGATCGGCATCTAGGATCAGCTCTGGACGTTTGAGATTGGCGCTGTGTTTCTCCGACTTGGACGCGCAGCATGGCTTCTTCCCATCTTTTCCATGGCCTATCTGGACTCTCGCCGGACGAGCAGGAATTCGTCTCTCGTTTTGGACGAGGTCCATCCGTTCCAGTACCTCACTCTACGGTGCATGGAGCATTCGAGAACGTCGTCGACTCGCACCCTTCAGCAATTGCAGCCACGTTTGGGGGAAAGAGAATCACCTATGGAGAATTAGACGCTGCTGCGAATCGACTAGCGACTCATCTCATCGATTCCGGCTTAAGACCGAAGGAGCGAGTATGCATCGTGGTAGAGCGATCGATCGAGATGCTGGTAGGGATTTTTGCGGTGCTGAAGGCCGGATGTCAGTATGTCCCTGTGGATGGCAGCATCTGCTCGGAACGAGCTTTGCACCACACTCTGAGGGATACCGGCTCCCGATTCGCATTATGCCTGCCGAAGTTTGAGGAGCAGGTCAGACGCCTCTCCGAGCAGGAAGTTTCTGTCGTCGCCTTAGGCACGGGTGTTGAGGACTTCTGCTCCAAGGAAAGGCCAGGGGCGCCTGTGTCATCTTCAGACGGGGTGTACGCCATCTACATATCGGGTATTCTCACCTCCAAAAGGTGTATTTCGTACGCTGATTGGTTTCAAGGCACCACTGGCCAGCCGAAAGGCGTTGATGTCTCGCATGAGAATGTGACGAATGCATTGTTGCTCCAGCCAGGAAATCTCGGGATCAAAGTGGGCACGAAGGTGGCGCACGTGATGAATGTTGCATTTGATATGGGTGAGTCACTTCTTCTCCAGCAGGGGTAATTCTGACCAAATTCAGGCGCCTGGGAAATTCTCGCTTGTCTCGTCAATGGCGGCACCCTGTGCCTCAGAGGAACGGACTGGACGGAAACACTAAGGGAGGTCCGTGATTGCTTCGCATCTAAGGCAAGGCTTCTCGCTCACCTTCGCTGCAGGTTGATGTATTTATATCTACACCTTCTATTCTGTCTAAGTATCAGCGAAATCAGTTTCCAAATATCAAAACCGTAGTAACGGGCGGTGAGCCGTGTCCGCAGTCGCAAGTCTCTTACCTCAATCCTTATTCAGGAGTGGCACTGACACCATGCCAGATTGGCGGACGAGTGGGCGGACAACACTGTCTATTATAACATCTGTGGTCCGACAGAGATCACAATCCTAAACTCGGCGCACAAACATATGCCAGGGGAACCACTTACCATTGGGAGACCGCTACCAAACACGACTGTCTACATTTTGGACGAAGATGAGTTTCCAGTTCCAGTTGGGTCCAAAGGCACCATGTGGGTTGGTGGCGCTGGCGTATCACGGGGATATATCAATCTTCCGGAGCTCACCGCGACGCGGTTCAAGCGAGACAGATTCCTCGACGATGGGTGAGTGCTGGAAGACTCTCTATACGACGAAGTTTTTCTCATACCCCGGCAGCTCCGTGATGTTCAAGACTGGCGACATCGTCCAGTGGCGGGAAGATGGTTCCTTGGAAAAGTTCGGCCGATTGGATGACCAAGTCAAGATACAGGGATTCCGGGTCGAACTTGATGGTGTCACAGCAGTCGTTGAGGTACGTACCGGCACACCGCCGCGTGTTTATATGCTAACAGGTCGTAGAAATTCCCGGGCATAACCAGGGCGTGTTCCTCACTCATCGACGGCGTACTGCACAGTTTTTACAGCACGACGACATTCATTGATGAGCACGACCTAGAATCGTTTGTTAGGCATCATCTCCCATACTACTCGGTACCCGAAAAGTGGGTCTACGTTGCTGTTATACCCTTGACACCCCACGGTAAGGTAGACAAACCACAGCTTGCCAGATCAGCTCTACGTGCTGCTCGTACTTTTTCTACCAGGCGCATTTCCACGTTCACAACAAAAGACCTCTACCGGCCCGCCCGGATCATCACACATATGGTGCAAGATCCCGAGAAAGGAGGACCCAGTATCAGTCCAGTCCTCGTATCAAGCAATCTTTCGGACTTCAACGTATCGACAGCGAGCATCGCGGAGAAGGCGGAGGTGGAGACCTTGCCAGCGAAAAATGGTTTCCGTGGACAACGATGGCTTCGACATCGCGCCTTCATCCTCTACAGGAGGTTCTTCTCTGTAGTGGTCATTGCCAACCTAGCCGTTGCGTGCTTCATCCTCTACCGAAGGATCAAGTCAGACAGGTACATGATGGCGGACCTCGCCACCGCAACTGCAGCTAACCTCGCAGCGGCGGTACTGGTGCGCTCGGAGCCGGTGATCAACCTCCTCTTCAGTGTCTTGTGCTCGGTGCCCACATCCTTCCCTCTCGCAATACGTCGTCATTGCGCTAGAGTCTTTCACGTGGGTGGGATCCACAGCGGCTGCGCCTGCGCGACTGTGATGTGGCTTTCATTCTTCACAATTGGGGCTACACTCGAACAGTTGAAACCGGAGTGGATCCGATGCGTGGGTCTGGCTACAACAGTGATGGCCTACCTCATTTGGCCTATCCTAATTCTCATCGCATCGACGTCCTACCCTAGCTTCCGAGCTAAGCATCACGATGCCTGGGAAATGACCCATCGATTTGGCGGCTGGACAGCGCTTCTCCTCCTCTGGGTTCTAACCTTCCTCGCTACGAAAGACCTCGCCTTCGGCATCCCTGCCTCAGAGGCGTTCCTCCACTCTCCCCCCGTCTGGCTTGTCGCCGTCACCATTGCAGCCGTCATCTTCCCCTGGCTCTTCCTCCGCAGAGTGCCCGTCCGCTCCGAAGTCCTCTCCAGCCACGCCATCCGCCTCTGGTTCGACCACGCGACCCCTGTCGTCGGCACCTCGGTGCGCCTGGCTGACCGCCCCCTCGTCGACTGGCACGGCTTCGCCACCATCACCAACACCAACGGCAAGGGCTTCTCCCTCGTCGTCAGCAACGCCGGCGACTTCACCGCACGCACCATCGAGCGCGCGCCAACCTCTATTTGGATCCGCGGCATTCCCGCCTGCGGTATCCTCCGCATCGCCACGCTCTTCAAATCCATCGTGCTCGTTGCGACTGGCGCTGGCATTGGCCCCTGTCTCGCCGTCATTCTAGCCAAGAAGACGCCCTGCCGGATCCTCTGGACGGCGCCGAACCCAGAAGAGACGTTTGGACAGGGCATCGTGAACGCGGTGCTGGACACGGATCCGAAGGCCATTATTCATGATACGCGCACGATGGGGAAGCCGGATATGAGCTTGTTGGCGTATCGGTTGTATAAGGAGAGTGGGGCGGAGGCTGTTTGTGTTATTAGTAATAAAGGCTTTACGACGAGGATCGTGTATGCGATGGAGTGTAGGGGGATTCCAGCGTATGGCGCGATATTTGACTCATGAGTGGCTACATGGCCCTGAGACGGGAGGCTGTGAAGTGGGGTTCGGAACTTGGAGCATGCGGAAGAGTGGAGGTGGAGGAGTAAAGAATGTGCTTATGATCCGGATGATATTCGGCCATTGTTCCAATATTGCATATATCTGTCTTGCAAGCACGAGCATAATGTCATTATCAACTCACTTTACTTACATTCCTTCTCGAAGTGCATTCGTCTCATCACGCCTTAAGTGCATTATGTCCCCAATTCTTCGGACTCTTATAACTCTTGCTATCCGTATCCTGCTTGGCCATTTCCTCCTGCGCGAGATGTCGCTTGCAATACGCGACAACGTTCCGCATATGATCCATGTCGTCCTGGTCATACGGCTCTGCATCTTTCTTTGGGTTCTTATTCAGAATGTTGATGATTGTGCGACCGCTGTCCTTGCCGATTGTTTCGCCGCTGCCGTCGTCTTTGGACCTGAAGGGATAAGGTTGGTTCGGGAGGTGAGAGGTGGAAGACGGTGGGGAAAGACAAGGGGGAGGTACCATCCCGATCCCGTGGATTCTTCGTTGCTAAGCCATTTCGAGCTCAGAGGCGCTCATGTTGAAATCTCATTCTCTCAGCGATGGGCGGCGTCGTGGAGGAGAGGGAGGCGGACAGTGGAGGAGCTTGGAGGAGGAGCCTCGGCTTGTGTTAGCGTGCCCCGCAGACGCCACACCTCAAGGGCTCCGTCCTCCACACCAGCCATCCACTACCTCGATCTCTGCATCGCATTTCAGAGCATCTCTTACGCTACTTCTCAAGCCCATCCACACCGTGTGCGCAGCAGGCTTTTGTGCACATTCTCCGTCCCAGAGGATGCCGGGCGCGACGCGCACCACCGGTCCGATGATGGTCCGAATGCGACGGCTGTCACCCCGCCCCAGAACCCTGGAGGTTACATTCTATCGTGGCCGCCGCGGGACGATCATTAGATAGCATACAGCCCTTTGCCGCATGCAAGTCGAAGCCCGCAGTCCGGTTCCTCCGGAGAATGGCCGCTTGGAAAACATGGGACGCAGCCAGACTGCCACCGCCCCTCTTCATTAGACGTACTTCGCACCATGTTGTCCGTCCTCCAGCTGAGCGTCAGTCTTCTCCTGACTGCGGTTCATGGTATGCTTCGCACTCCCATTCCGTCTTAGGGACCTCCCGATCGCTGACATGAGCAGGCCGATCATTGGGAATCCCGACGCTGCCTTTTTCGTCTGGAGGTGGCCAGTTGCGGTTGAGCGACATTCAAACCGTAATCGTCGATGCCAACTATGCGGACTCGGTCGATAACCGTGGCGACACTCTTATTCCCCCCTCGCTGACGGACTTCTCCGAGACCTTTGTCCAGGACATGAAGACGCTAGGCGTGGAACTAGCTCTAGAAGACGCGGGAGAAAGTCGCCCAGGATCCATCTTTCTCACGCTCGGAGATCCCACTGATTACCTCGATGCTGCTGGTCGCGAATCTTCGGAAGGCTATACCATCTCCGTGGCTTCGTCCAACATCACGATTGCCGGGTCGAGTTCCCTGGGGGTCTGGTGGGGTACTCGTACAATCCTTCAGCAAGCCATTCTTAACAACGGCTCCATTCCCCGTGGCACCGTTACCGACACCCCAGGATGGGGAACGCGAGGGATGATGCTAGATGCCGCTCGACACTACTACCCGCCCGGCTTTCTAGTTGAAATGTGCGCGTACATGTCTTTTTTCAAGCAGAACACCTTTCACCTGCACCTAAGCGACAATCTGTACAACAACGTAGACATCTACAACCGGGAACGGTCACTAGAACTCTACGCCCGGTTTCGACTGTGGTCTGATGCCGAAGAAGTGGCTGGGCTGAACAAGCATAAGAACGAATCGTACACAAGGAAGCAGTTCGACCACATCCAGTCCGCATGCGCTGCGCGAGGAGTGACCGTGGTCCCAGAGATCGAAGCCCCAGGTCACGCCCTCGTCTTAGTGCAGTGGAAGCCAGAGTTGGGCTTTGAAGATGACCTCAGCTTGTTGAACATCTCGAACCCGGATACGATCCCAACGATGAAGTCCGTCTGGAGTGTCTTCCTTCCCTGGTTCCATTCAAAGACCGTTCACATCGGCGCAGATGAATACACGGCAGGAGCCAACGACTATAACGCATTTGTGAACGCTATGGCTGACCACATCCACACTGCATCCAATAAGTCAGTGAGGATTTGGGGCACTTTTCCACCCAACTACACGCAACCTGACTACATCAACATCTACCCAAACGTTTCGGTCCAGCACTGGGAATTCTTCGAGGACAATCCGCTGTATGATTATATCCTGAACAATTACACGGTTCTGAACTCCGACGATACATTCTACGTAGTAAATAAGTGGTCAGGGAGCTACCCTCAGAAGGTGAATGTCTCGGCGACTTTTATCGGCAATCCAAACACGGGTGGCAGTCTTTGGTACCCGTACGTGTTCGACACAAAAAACAGCTCTAATAACCCATTGCGCGACGAGTCTCTTGTACTCGGAGAAATAGCCGCCCTGTGGAATGATTACGGTCCAAACTCCAGTGTCTATTCTGAGGCCTACTATGCCTGGCGGGAAGGCATCCCAGCTCTTGCCGACAAGCAATGGGGCGGCAATCTTACGCAATCGGAATTCCCCAACGTCCTGCAGACGCTCCTTCCCTTCATACCCGGGCAAGACCTGGAGCGAAGGATTCCCTCCAAGACCTCGACTATTCTGGAGTACACGTTCGGCCGCGATACCGCCTCCCAGCGAAGCATTTCAGACAGTTCAGGCAATGTATACGATGGGTACACCGACTGTTCGACAACCGGCAGTGGCTCAATCGCCATCGGCTCCTGCTCAGTCACGACGCCTCTGTCCTCAAAGGGGAGAAACTACACGCTCACGCTCTCCTTTCAAATTTCCTCTCTTGAAGCCCCGACTAATGCGACGCTCATAGCAGGTGGTGACTCAGCACTGATGCTGACGCCAAACACCACATTCTTTGCTGGAGGAAACTACTATCGACTGAACTCATCACTGCCTCTAGATCGCAGACTACATCTAGATATTATCGGCCGCGGAAATCATACCTTCGCCAAGGTCAATGATGGCAGGGAAGAGGAATTTCTCACCCAAATCGGCGTCAATGGCGAGCGATTCGAGTGGGGACCTATGGCATTCGAGGCGCCTCTGCACCAGATCGGAGGCGAAGGTGCTGGCTGGACCGGCCAACTCTATGGTCTGAAATTGTCGAGCCTAGCGTAGAGGAAGGATTGCCCCATTGTTCCAAAATCAACAATTTCATCGCCGCCATCATCACATTGTCCACTGATCATACGCAATTTTATCAATTCGTGCGGAGTTCATCGTCAGGGATCCGAATATGCGGTCACACGGACAATGAGATTCACTTCTAGGAGATCGTCATCCTAAGCTTTCCGGTATAGTCAGTTCAAATATAACACTCCCTTGTACCACCACTCTCCAGCACGCATTGCACATCGCCTTGAGTGGCCCTTCCCCGTAGCAGCGTACTTTCCTTACAATGCATCCATTGTCTATCCGCAATCAGTTCCTCCATATCGTTCAGCTACAATACTCTGGTCCCCATCTTCACAGCCCATTGTGTACCAACACTGTCATGTCCTCCTGTGCTACAACAGCATTTCGAGCCATTCCAGTGGAACTCCGTATTCCCAATCCCCCGTTCCTATCGCATCCTACGCCGTATCCATAATGTCGGACAACACAAGCTCGAACAACAACAACACGGCTTCCAGCAACACCAACGCCAATCGAAACTCTAGTCTCGATATTGGTGAACTCATGTCCGCACTCTCCATACATGTGCCCCAGCCATATAACCCTCCTCCCCGCGCACGCACGCCTCCAACTCCGATTCGGGAACCTCCTCATGACTTAAACCGGATAGATAGGCCATATATGGAAGAATACCGCGAGCTCGCTCTCCTAGAATATGACACTCCTCAACCCTCACGTCGCACTCGCGCCCCACATACTCCTCGCACGGGCGATTTCTTCTTTTCAGACACCGCGCTGTCCGCCTTTAACCGCACTATCCGATCCGTCATCTCCCCCGACGCCAGCCGTGTCGAAATAGCCCTCCACGCCCGCTACAGCACATTGTATCGCGACCACATGGCGCGCTTCCGACAAGAGTTGGACGCTCTCTTAGAGTTCCCTATCAGCCAGGCTGTTGTCGATATAGCCCGGCGCTCGATGGTGTGGCGGGATTACTGGGCGGGGGAGTATATCACCGCGCTGGATTTGCTGTGGGCGGAGGAGGATTTGAGTCAGGCGCGGTCGCGCAGGGAGCGTAGGGATGCCATGAGGGGCGCTGTTCGAGAGCTGCTGACTCACTATGACGCTCAGCAAGAGGTACACGAGGGGGAGCAGTGGGAGGTTGATATGCATGGGAACTATGTGTTGGATGAGCAGGGGCAACGTGTACCGTTCCGCCTTCTGCGTCAAGACACGCTCGGTCCAGACGCAGCTTACATCCCACAGCCACTACAGCGCCGCGATGCTTTTTCGTTCCCGACTGAACTATCGCCACTTGAGCTACCACCGTTGATGCCGTTCCTCGACGTTCCACGCGTACCTGTTGGCTCTCGCATTCCCACACGCAATTACACCCTTCCCGTCTCCGTCCCTGCAGAGGATGCTGAGTGCGGCATCTGCCTCGAAACCCCCACCGTAACACAGGGCTTCGTGCGCCCGCGTTCATGCGCTCATATATTCCATCTAGACTGCCTAGACGAGTGGATAAACACGGGAGCTCCGAACTCGATTCGCTGTCCGCTGTGTAGGGAGCAAATCTGCAACCAGCGCAGGGAGATGCGGGCAGATGCGAATGAGCTGGCGGGTCGTGTGAGTACGAATAGGGCGTAGATGCATGGAAACGGGCCGGGTAGATAGTGCTAGCGCGCGGTGTTAAAAGGGAATGGTAGGTTAAGGGGGGTTGAAGGAACTCGGGCTCTTGTTCTTTCCCCAGCCCCTTGAGGATATGAGTGTGGTCCTCCGAGGACTACACTATAGTAAGTATAATAAGAGTGTTACTTGTATTTGCATGAATGGTATTTCACGTATTCTTGCAGTTTGTGATTGAGTGAACCTTGAACGTACCTTGATGCTTGAACAGAGTGCGGCGAGGATATCAACCGATTTCCTTCCTGAGGGTGATAATGGCTATGAGAATAAAAACGCCATTTGCACGTACAAGGGTCGGTAGCATTGCGGGATTCCCTAGGTATGTTTCTGTCAATGACTTCTAACTAAAGCGACATGTACTATACTCTGCAGTGCTAACTCTCGCCTCCACCGCTAATTCGCACCCCACGCTTTGCCTTCCCGGCCTGATTGGACACCACACCCCTCAGGCGCCCACTCGCAGGGCTGTAAGTAAGCAGCAGAAGTTGTTCGTGTACCAGCGAATCAGGACTGTGAACAACCGAGCGCGGAGAGAACCCACCCTTGCCAAAGCTCGCAATAAAAGCTCGCAAGATGGCGACACTCAGCGTAATACTGAAGACTGAGTCCAGTGGTGGCTGCGATGATGGCGAGACTATTAACGGGTCTTATTTGGCAACTCAGAGGTGGGCGATCGCTTTATTATTCCCGCAGTGTGCATCTGTCTGCTGGGTATCCTGCTCGTATATCACATCGCCATGGACTCTGAATAGACTGCTGTTACCGCAGCATATTCCGCCTTAACATACCCCTGGATAACTGCATGATTCCTGAGGATAGAAACTATGGAGCGCGCCGAACACGTCCAAATGCACAAGAACCAAGTCCGCAACCCCAACGCCGCCAACGGCAGTCGGATCCGCTCAATCGACGCCCTCATCGTCGGCGGCGGCTTCAGCGGCATCTACCAGCTCCACAAGCTGCGCAGCCTGGGCTACAAAGTCCTCCTCGTCGACGCGGGCTCGAATTACGGAGGAGTGTGGCATTCGCACCAATACCCTGGCCTGCGCGTCGACACTGAAACGCCGCTCTATCAGTTCTCGGATCCGGATTTGTGGCAGGATTGGACGTGGAGACAGCGCTTCCCGAATGGGGCGGAGATTCGCGCGTACTTCGACTATGTGGCGGAGAAATGGGACTTAAGGAGGGACACGGAGTTTAATGCTTTTGTACAGGCGGCTGCTTGGGACGAGGAAGAGGGGAAGTGGACTGTGAGCACGAGAGATGGTAGGAGGTATAAGACTAGGTACTTCCTACCGTGCTTGGGTCACTCGGCGAAGCGCTATATCCCGGACTGGAAGGGCATCGATAGCTTCAAAGGCGCCCTGCTACACCCGTCAGACTGGCGGCAGACGCAGCCCGACCTCAGCGGCAAGAACATCGCCATCATCGGCACAGCGGCCACCGGCGTGCAGCTCGCCCAGGCCCTCAGCAAGACAGCCAGCCACCTCACCATCTTCCAGCGGACGCCCAACACCGCGCTCCCCCTCCCAAACGTCGACTACGAATCCCCCAGCAAGCGGCCCTCCTCAGCCGCGACCAGGCACGCCCTCGCCGCGCGGCTCGACTCCTTCGGCGGCCTGAACCACAACGCCCTCCCCCGCGCGACCTTCGACGACCCACCCGAGATTCGTCTCGCAACCTACGAGCAGCTCTGGGGGCCCGACTTCCTGCTCGCGCCGTACCGCGACCTGTTCTCCAACGAGGACGCCAACCGCGAAGCCTACACTTTCTGGCGCGACAAGACGCGCGCCAGGATCAAGGATCCAAAGACTGCAGACGTACTCGCGCCGATGGCGCAGCCGTACGCCTTTGGCTGCAAGCGCATCGCGCTCGAGAGCGACTACTTCGACCTGTTCAACGAGCCGCACGTGAAGCTCGTCGATCTGAAGGCCACGCCTATCGAAGAGATCACGGAGAGGGGAATTCGAACTGCGGCGGAGGAGATGGATTTCGACGTCGTCGTCTGCGCTACGGGATACGACTCCGTCACCGGCGGGCTCTCGCAGATCGACATCACAGGCGCCAACGGCGGTACAACACTGAAGGAGCACTGGAAAGACGGCGTGAAAACCTATCTCGGCATGTGCGTCTCCGGCTTCCCGAACATGCTCTTCACATACGGGCCCCAAGCCCCGACTGCATTCTGCAACGGGCCGACGTGCGCGGAGCTGCAGGGCGATTGGGTCGTGAACCTGCTCGAGTTCATGCGAGAAAATAGCTTAACGAGACTCCAGGCCAAGGGAGAAAGTGAGGATGAGTGGAAGGAGAAAATCTGGAGCCTTGCTAATGCGACGCTGCTCCCGAAGGTGCGGTCGTGGTGGATGGGCGATAATATTCCGGGGAAGCCGCGGGAGCCGTTGATCTATCTGGGCGGCGTGCCTGCGTATTATAAGACGCTTAACGAGGTTGCTGCGGATGGGTATTGTGGGTTTGAACTTTCTTGAGCGCTCTAAGTGCTGAAGTATTTCCACGCTGTCAATAGCTATGTTGGGGCGCCGCTTTGTGATCTGGCGAATAGATATGGGACGGGACGGTAGACGGTGCATGCATTCGACGCTGCGGCCTGCAGGGTGATTATCGATACTTAGGAGTGATAACGTGGTACTCGTAGAATTAAGGGGGACGTGGAACGGGAGACTGCCCTTTCAAAACGGCCTACGTCCTGTCATGTGAAGGCCCTTCACGCAGCGCAAACCCCCTAAACCTCACCTCTTACTCTTTTAGAACGTATATCCGCTCTACGAAATCCATCTCTGCTAGGTGGACGGTGGTTGATGCTGATTGTCACACATCGTTCGACACAGGAAAAGAGACGTGAGATCGCGGATGCATGCTGTGCGGCGCTGTATAGGTCCATCTTGAAACATTATCCGCTTCCTTCAAAAACATGTGACCAAATGGGGTAGCACTCCACCACACCAAAAAGGTATCTGACGCTGCTTATGCAAAACCACGCAAAGCGGAAGGCAATACTGATTCTCTCCCCTCGCAATCCTCCTCTTCCTGCAACCTCTCTTACACGACCCTTCTTCATTCATCTCCCCTCTACCTCATGCGTCCTGCCCCTAATATCTTTCGTCTCAATCCTCCCCACATCCTTGTACATATCATGTCGATCAATCAGACTATTCGCCGTATCCGCATGCGTCAACTGGTCTACCTGGGCATTGCCGCCATCTTTACTTTCGTCATGCATGGGTACACTGGCCAGGGTCGGATCTACCTGCACGGTCGCGCCGTCCTTGCTCTCATCGTGCGTAGGCACGGTCTGCAGCCTCGAATCCAGGTTAAACGGCGCAGGCGCATCTGGAATCGCAGATAGCGATTTTGACCGGATCGGTTCAAGCCCGTTTTCTTCAGTAGCCGTCTTCGAGATGTCTTCAGACAGCGAGCGCTGCGGATCCTGATCGTCCACCGACGAAGGCGACGCGATACTCTTGGACCTCGACTTCTGGCTCTTGCCCCACGAGGGGAACCGCAAGTTCGAAAACAAGCTGGGCCGCGGGCTCTTCACAGGCTGCTCCGTAGCTTTCGGCTTCGGCTTCTCCTCGCTCTTCCGTCTCCCCATCGGCGGCACGTATGCCGCCCTCAAGCCCGCAATCTTCGCATCCCTCAACTCCTCACTGATATACTTGAGCGCCCGGTCCGTAACCTCGACATACTCGGGATAATCCTCCATAACGGCCTCCCTGATTAGTCTCAACTTCTCCCAATCCTGGCGTACCACCGGGCCGGAGAGATCAGGATGCCAGGCCATGGCCTTGATATCCGTCCGCATGCCGCGATCTATCTGCTCTTTGACGTCGAGCAGAGCGATCAGGCCGTCGACTTCGGTCTTGACGGTTTTGACAAAGGCGTCGAATTTGAGCACGTCGCGGACGGTCCAGTGCGACATGGTCATGCTCGCTCGAGCTCGCACGGCTGTCCTTACGCCGGTCTGGCGTGCCAGGTCCTGCAAGAGTGCGTACTTCTCGCGGAAGGCCTCGAGGCGGTTTGTGTCTAGCGCGGGATATTCGATTTTCGCGAAGTGCTTCGGCGTCTTGAGGCCGTACTTTTCCATTAATTCCTCCCGCGAGAGATGAGACGGACGACCGGCGATCTCTTCCAACGCTGCGCGCACCTTCTGGTTGACAGCATCGTCATCGAGGTGCGGGTCCCTGATGCCGAAATTGACAGGCAGGTGTGGATCTGGATTCGTGGCACCAGGATGGCTAGGAATCATGTGGCGCGCGATGGTCGCGGGCGGTGATGAGATGCCTACCGCATCGCCGAAGATGAGGAGGCGGCCTTGCTGGATGCCGAGCTTGGCCAGGGCGACCTTCTGCGCGCGGTCTGAGTCCTTGTGCGGGTGGATGAGGTTGAAGGCTTCGACACAGGTGCTGAACTGCTGTGCGAGGGAGAGCACGTTGGCCAGCATCTGGGCCTTGCTGGGGCCTGGCAGAGTGCCTGAGGCAGTGGCGGGGGACGCGCCTTCCTCATTGGCCGATGCCATTGCGGGGTAGCGCGATGGGAGTGCACACCGTCTCCTCCACGACGGATAAGACAGCCAGCGAGAAGATTCTCGTTGGAGCAGTATTCACCAAGGCATGTTCTCGAGAGGGAGGACAGCAAGGGGAGGACTATGGCGGGCGCCTAGAAACGCCTATATTGCTGTTCATGTGCTCATGACGTGTGAGGGATCGCTTGCGGTGCAGCTGTGGCGCCCTCCCAAGCCGCGAACGTGCGGGGCTCAAGCCGCTTCGTGATTCGCGAATCGCGCTGGACATGCCTCTCGTCAGCGTGCAGTTAGGCCGCCATAGCAGACGCCCTACGCTGTGGCGACCATCATCGCCCATCATTAAGCGCGAACGGGGATGACGAAAAAAGGAATACGGGTCAGAAGATATCTCGCTCCGCTTCATCCAATCAGGAGACCTATGTACTGATGCCGCAACACTTTGTCTGCCCGCCCCCCTTTCAAACCTCCTTTGACGTCTCCTGCTTCTTGCCCGTGTGCTGGAGCCTGCGGTCCACCCTGTTCGTGAAGTGGCTGTTGAACTCCTGGCAGCAGAAGGCGCAGATGACGGCGATACCTCCAAATGCGAGACTGGAGTAGAACACCATATGGTACGAGTTGACGTTGCCATCTCGGATAGCGACAACGTACGCCGCAAGTCTGTCCGCAGAGATGCCGGGGATCTTGGCCAGTGTTGCCGTAGCTCCCTGGAGCCCTGCCTTGACTAGTGCCGTAATGGAAGTCTGGGGGAGACCATCTTGCTCAGCGAGCGCCATCAGTCTGGGCGGTATCTCCTTGCCCTTCTGTGTTGTAAGAACACTGGAGAAGATAGCTGTCGCAACTGATCCAAGCGTAGAACGCATCGATCCGAGCAGGCCACTCGCAAGACCCAGGTCTTCTGGTGCTACGGTGAAAGGGACGGCAACGATCCCGACAACCTCCACGATGCCAACCGCGAACGCCCCGAGGGCACACATGACGACGGCCAATGTCCGTGTTGAAGCATCAGTAGCGGCCATGGCTCCGATGAAGGCGCACATGGCGACGGCTGAGGCTCGCAGTTGCCAGTGACCCCATCCGAGTTTAATCGATCCTCCACCAAAGACTTGACCGAACGCGATCGCTACCAAGGTCAGCATCCGACCATTGTCGCGAGGAGTATCCGCAGGAATACCTACAGCCACCAAGGGTACCAGACATCAACCCGATCATGATGGTGTCCTTGTCGTAAAGCGCCGTGATCATCTGGGGCCAGATGACTGTCAAGCTGTAGTAGAACATCTAGATTTGCGTTAGCGGCTTGATCTGCACCTGGAAGATGGGCTACGTACGCTTGCGACCGAAGCCACGCCACAAAGGGCCATGAAGGGACCGTTCAAGAAGAGAGCCATCGGGATCAGTGGATACTTGAGAGGCATATAGACCTCTGTCACGAGTCAGTATCGAGCTCCTTCCAACAATGACAGAACGACCTACCGTAGAAGGCGAACGCCACTAGGACGAAGAAGCCAAGGATAAGTGGGACCAATACGTGATACGATGCCCAAGGATACAGGCCGCCGCCCCACGAGAGAGCCAGAATGAAGGATGTGAGACCTCCAGAGTACAGCACAATGCCGCCCCAGTCGAGGTCTCTCAAGTCTTGTCGGATGCTCCGGCCTTCGTGCAGTTGCCCATGGCTGGGTGGATAGTAGCAGATAACAAAGAGAATGACCGCGATGGCATTGGTGATCAGGTTGAGGTGGTAGTTCAACCGCCATCCAATAGTCGTGTAGGCGGCAATGCATCGAGCGATGAGCGGACCGAAGGCAGCAAGAGGGCAAGTCGTCAGGAACAGGAAGCCCGTAAGGACGGCTCGATGCTTATTCGCGACGAGTTCCATGAGTATGAAGCTACTATTGGTCAGCTTCTAAAGCCCCATATATCGCTAGCCCACTGACCTGAAGGAGACTTGAACCGCACCAGCGAGGCCGATGAAGACGGTACCTCCAAGGATTGTGTCGATGTTCTTCGCTGTGGCGCATATGATAGAACCAATGATACCAAGGACTCCGCCGCTGATCATAAACCACCGTCGCCTGCATGCAAGGTTAGCACGTGGGTTTGTCCAGATTGCTCACGGCGAACTCGGCTTACCCGAAGATATCGCTGAGTCTCCCAACCATGATGAGACCAACGCCACCGCACAGTGTCTTAACGATAGGAATAAGGGCGTAGTTGGGGTCTGGTCCAAGATCCGCATTGATGATTGTGATGGTATTTGCCGGTAAGATATACCCTAATCCAATAATGTCAGACACGTTTCCGAGGTTTCTCTCGAGCTCACATACCTAGATACAGGCCTTGAGCCATGAATGCAACTGCCACGACGGATCCAATGAAGCGCCAGTTCCTGTAGTAACCCGCTGGCATCTCGCTGAGGTCGCCGCCCTTCGCCTCTTCAGCGACCTCATCATGAGATGGAGGGTTCGACGCATTCTCAATGTGGAGGTCGCGAGATTCCGTTTGGATATCTTTCTCGTCTCGGGCCATGACTGCAGTAGTAGGGAGAGAAGAGTGCTGGACTGGTGGAGGGCAGATCCAGGTTCTGGGGATGATCGACAAATATATACTGTGGAACCCCACCCGGCTGCCACAACGAGCACTTTGCAGCTAGAGATGCTTGCAGGCGACTCAGAGGGATTGATAGAAAGAACGTTGCTTCCAGCGCATCGGTAGACGTTCCCCAGAGTACGCCATGGTTTCTCACCCCGCACGATGGATCCGCCTAGGGCCCACCGCGCGCACAGTCTTGTTCTACAACCGTATTTTTGTCGGCGTCCACTTCATTGGTTGCCCCAAGCACCATGGGCCTGGATCCTGCGAGACGAATCAGGATGGCGTTGCAGTAGCGGGCTTGAACGTCCATAACGGGCCTTGCGCATCGGGGAATGAGACCACCGGTGCAGACTATGGGGCGGAAAAGAACTCGCAAGCGATAGTTCTCGAGGAGGGAGGTCGCAGCGCACGACTCGTTCCAAGAAAGCCCAAGGCCAGCTAATTAATCAGTGCCAAGGGGCATGAATCAGTGCCAAGTGGAACGTTCCTGACACCACTTACAATGGGACTTGAAATACCATTTAGAGCTCTTAGACGCGCAACCGAACACCATGTCGAGTGGCGCAGAGTCGAATCGTTCAGACGGACCCGGAGAGGCGGGATGGATAAGGGAACCCCGCACTCCTGAGCGGGACGGGAGACGGTCATTCCTTCGCGACATGCGGGGCAGGATGATGAGATCCGTACGCCTAGTCAGACGCCGTTCTTGGATGAGCACTGGGGTGGAAACCTCCGACTTTGCGGATGGACAAGCCTCGGACCAGGGTCATTACTGTGCACCCATGTCCGCTCACGGTCTCCCAGACGAGAAGAGCAAGAACATGAGCAGAGAAGCGATGTTATCTCTTGATTAATATTCAGGATGGTATATCCCCACTCTTTCGGAAGCGCGCGAGTCGAGGCAGGCACGGCCCTTACCTCTAAAAGTGTAAGCTAGAAAGGTACACAGCTCGATCTGCTCTGTAGTTACGCAAGGGATAGTGAACTGCGCGGGCAAACGTAGACAGAGTCTCACGACTGTCGTCCGCTTCTTCATCCCTTTAAGTTCCGATCGACAGTTTTCCCCTATCCTGCCAGTTAAGCTTCCTCCACAAACAGCTCAGACATACTGCGACCAGCGTACGACATACCTTCAACATCGTCGCCTCCTTTTCGAGCGCAATCAATAGTCCTAGACTCGATCCTTACGTTCACCGTCCTCATAGTCCTTGGCCCTGTTTAGCGCACCGTCCGGCCAATCCCACAGCGCGCCCGTGTCCCGGCGATAATCCTTTCAGGGTCCCACAGGCTGTGCCGCTGCCTGTAATTGGGCATTGGAGATTCGCCGTTCATCCTCTTGGATGTGGATACGGGAAGTTCGGCATTGAGGAAGGTATGAGGAAGGCTGAACTCCTTTGGCAGCCAGTACGTAAGGGTTTCGCCGTTCCTACAACAGCCCGCAAAAAGGCGAGGCTGCATCGTCTGTCGACTGCCGAATCCGTGGCAGAGTCGTCCCTTGTCAGCTCAAACTGCAGTCGTAGGGCTGACTTGGCCGGCAGTATCGCAACTGAGCGTGATAGTCATAGTAGCCTCGATAAAATGATCGAGCCTCGTCCGAAAGTTCACCCAATATTGTGCTTATCCTGCAACCTCGTCAGTACATATCATCAGTAATGGTCGTGGAGCGAGAACCTACCATTTCCTCATCAATCCAACTCCTCCGATGCGCCCTATACCTCCTCTTCCTCTTCTCACCCTCGCCGTCCTCGTCCCACCCTCTATCCACCCCTCCAATACTCGCCTCCGCATGCGTAACGTCGCAGCTAACCCTCCTCGGATCCACAAAATCCGGCCAAGCCTGCGCTCTTGCACTCCGCACTCGCCCACTCCCCTCGCTGTCGCTCTTCTCCAAGCTCAGCCCCGTAGCCGTTCCCCTACGCTCATCGCTCCCATGCCCATTGCTGTTATGCGACTTCGTATGCACGATCTGCACCAGCTTCCCCAGAACTGCGAACTCAAGCTTGAGTTTGATGGAGTACACCGCACCCTTCAGCGTCGTCTCGATGAGATACAGATTCGCAAACTCGACCGCCAAAAGTGCGATATCCATAGCAATAATTATCGCGTTTATCGCGATAAGCTGATACATAGTCTTCCTCACCTGCCCTTCACCGACTGCACCCCCATCAGTCACACTTGTAATATCATCCTGCACGCTCTGCGAGAGCTTGAGCAAGCGCAGCGTTTCCTTGATATAGATGACGCTAATGATGAGTTCTTGGAGGAAGAAGCCGACCATTTGAATCTTCTCCATGATGTTGTAGCCGTGAACGAAGCGGCCGAGCGCGTCGTAGGAGAGGGAGTTCGAGTTGGATCCGAAGGTCAGAACAGTGGTGGGGACGTGCAGGATGACGGCGTCGACGATGATCATGTAGAGTGTGTAGCGGAGGACGCGACGTGAGTTGGTGACGAGATGGAGACGCGACCAGAGGACGACGGATTGGCCTGATTGTGTTCCGTCAGAGTATCTCTTTCAGGAAGTAGATAGAGGCGTGGAAGCTGGAGCTTACCCGTGACCATCATCCACCACCCGACCGTCAACAACACAACAGCCACATAGCACACATTCTTCCCTGGATCCAGCAACTGAAAGAACTTGATTAAGAACCCCAAACTATATGGCATAACGCCGAACCCGGCGACAACCAACGACCAGAAGTAGGTCCCATGGTACTTTTGAAACGTGACTAAGATTAGGACAATGAGCTCGATTGCATTGTACAGCGCAAGGCCGATCAGGAAGGCGATGATGATTCTCAGACTGAGAGAGTTGCCGGTGTACCCTCCTGTGATGCCTGCGCCGGCCGAGTCGAGCGAGCCTTGAGCGGGTGTAGATTGTGTAGCAAGAACGGAAGAAGTCGCATTCGCAATGAGACTAACAGTCGAAGAAGGCAATGCCATCGTGAAGCGGGAAGTCGGTTTCGTCCGATGTTAATGCCCAAAAGCTGTGGTTCATGGCCCTCAAATGATTCCTACTCGCTGCGCAATGTGTTCCCCAACGTCTTCGGCGACCTCGACACCCTTTTGGAGGACACCGCACTCGCGGTGCAGTCGCCGGCGCCCGATGCGCACTCAAACGTGAAGAGAGGGGAAAGGGTCCAGCGGTGTGTTTGCGACAGTCGGTCAGCAGGTGGAGAATTTTCAAGCTTAAACATGACGGCGCAACCATCCGAGCCGCTAGACGAGGACCGGGCACCAAGGCGCCGGAAAATCAATTGCTGGTTCAGGAGTCGTTTCGCGGTGCGACCATGACGTTGCGCTGCTCCACTTCTCGCTTTGGTAATCCGGGGTAGCGCAGAGCCACTCATCGTGCTACGGCGCGGCAAAATGTTTGCCGCCTTGCTATATTAAGAATATCGTACACGTGCTCATAATCGACCATGATGATCTTATTGTACACCGCAACGCCGAAAGAAAGAAGCTGAAAAGGAGAGGACTCCGTAATTTAGAGGTCAATAGGAACGACACCGACGACATCCCAGCTCGTCCCGTCAAAGCTCACTTCCCGCAGGGCCAGCCCGGTCTGAAAATAGCACCGAGCGAGTTCGGTGCCGGCCGGCAAGGGGTAATTAGAGAAAGTAAGGCCGGTCAAACATGTCAATGCGGTGTTGGTTTCGGCGCCGGCGAAGGCGGGATGCGTGATTGGTCCCTTCCAGCCCCCGCCGTTGTCCGTCCAGCTTACTTGGATCGTGCCGTTGCTGTCTTGCCAGAGCAGATATGTTTTTAGGCCCGAGTCGCCGGGGTCTTCAGAGCGCGTCGTCGAGAAGGCCGCAACGGACGATGCTGGCGGAATGTCGTGTGGAAAGGCACCTGGTCTGTATGAGCGTGATTCTTACGCGACCACTCTTGCCAGGAGAACTTACCATTCGTCCAGAGTTCCGAATATCCATCGCTGTCTTCTTTGTAATTGATATATTTGCCGTCTTCTTCTTGATAGAAAAGCCCTAGCGAAGAGAGATTGTTTCCCATTGGCGCCGCGACCAGCTGAGTGCTATTCATAGCAGTAGTGGTGCTCAGGACCCTCTCATGCCAGCATTCATTCTCCCGATGGCACTCATAGTGTGCTTCACGGATCTCACCAGACATTCCCTGATAAACTATGCGCGGCCAATATGAGGCTACCTTAGTTTCATTGAGAGCCATGTATTTCTGCCCCGTTAGCGGTCCGGGCTGGCCGACTTCAGGACCGTTGTCCGGGAAGATCCACTCAGTGAGATAGTCTGTAGGCGGTTAGGGAAGATCTGTATGACATGTGAAAGCCACTTACTCCTACCATCAAGGTAGATGACTCCTGCTTGATATTGCATGCCGCCGGGAAAGCTGTAATTCTGCGGCGTATCGTGAGCTAGTTGATCCCAACGGAATAGGTTTCAACCTACCTCTTGACCTGAATACCATTCCGCATTGAGCGAGCTAGCAGCAAACGGAGTGCTCTTCTTCGCTTCGGCAAAGCTGGAGACTCGTGTCCAGTTTCCGGTGCTCGAATTGAATGCTGCTCGAGACAGATATCCTTGACTATTTTGCCAGAACAACCACACGGAGAAGTATCCCATGGATCCTGGCACGCTCCAGCCAGTCACCGCGACAGACGCAATATGTGGGGTAGGTGCAGGTGTCTGAGAATCACCAGTGCCACTTGGGAGATTCGTAGGGGTAGGAGTCGTACCCGCGGGTATCTCTGTGATCGAAGGCTGCGGACCAGAGTGACCAGGATTCACAAATGTTCCTAAGACTGCTCCCAGGATGATGGCCAAGGCGAGTACGATGACAAGAACGAGTACTAGCCAGATCATCATCCTAGAATGGCGAGGCTGCTCCTCTTTGGCGGGAGTCGAAGCACCAGACCTGCCCCCTGACCTCTGGCTATCTGACCGATGAAAGCCAGGGCCTCCCGTCTCTTTCGCCAACGCATCCTTCTCAAGAATTGGCGTCTGGCTGTCCTTGCGCACATGTGCGCGTTTCGGGATTATTGGGACTGGGACGTGCAGTCTGGACCGATGTGAGCTTTTGATGTTCTCCCATCTTGGTAAGGCCGTCAGATAGGAGCTGCGCGTTGACGATCGCTCCTCGTCGATATCCTGCAGAAGCGACTTCAGTATACTTCCTCTCCCAGACATAATAGTGTGGGGTAGCACTCACACTCATCCTTTGTGAACGCGTTTGCGAGTGCCCATCAGACTCAATGATGGTGTACAGATTAGATATGGAAAAGAATGACATTGGGTCCGGAGTCCCGGCCCTTCTTGTGCTCCTTTCAGACATGTTGATATCGGAGAATTATGTCGGTAAGCCGGAAAGGCTGTGTAACATTAATCGCTTCGTACATTAAGGCCCTATGGATATGGGATCTACAATATACATGTGAGTCTGTGCTTCGCGATAGATGAGTACATATATGCACGTACCTGATAATCTCTTGACAGCAACGTAAGTCAGTGTTGAAATCCAGAAAATGGGCCCGATTGCTGTCAAAAGCTCCAGAAGATGGCTTTAAAAATCCGTCGAAGAGAAAATCAGAAAGGCAAATGCGACCACGCTGTGGCAAGCTTTTCTCTTAGGTTCGTCTTGCAGGGCTGCTTGCATCTCTTGATTAAATGAACCATGGGTCCAAGCCAAAGACGGGCCAGAATTGTTCAGTCGCCTCTAAGGTCCGAGGGAAATCCAGAATCCTGGAAAAATGAAGGTGTGGGGAAGCTTGGTCGCCCTGGCTGTGAAGTGCTCCGATTGGGCTGTATACCGGCTAATGTAGATACTCAAGCCTCTGCGTCACCTGCATCAGGACTATCCAGCGACCGAGCGGGATACATCCGCAGATCCTGGCGTAAGATGCAGGTCGTTACCAACTCGATCGAAGGAGAGCTGGTAAGGTAGGTGTGGTTCCTTCCCTCGAAAAGTAAATACTCCGCGATGTTAACCATGGATGATGGCGTACTCCCGCGCTTGCCAGCAGCCTCATAGTGGTCGCTAAGCGACGCATACGTCTAGGAGCATCAAGAGATGCAGGAAAGTAATATACGCCACCCGCCTCGCACCTCGGCGTTTCATGTTTCTGAAGCCACCTAGCAGACGTGAAACACAGACGTGTTCTCGAACATCTGGCAGAACGTCGTAGGCCATTTCTGATAAGGCTAGGCGGTTAACTAATTAGTGCTTCTAAAGACGGCGTGTGTAAACTTTGTCGGCAGCTTGCTGGGAAGGAAACCCAACCGTCTTTCCTGAGCGGGCCGGAGGGTGGTGGGTGATCGACGCAGGAAACGTGGCCATGATGAACTGACGATCAGAAACGGAGATCCAATACCGAAAGAAGGCATGGAGAAGAGCGGTATGCACAAGCTTCCAGGGTAAAGCTTGGCTTGGATTTGACAGAGCCGGTGGCGACCCCGAGGCACGAGCAAACATTCCGTCAGGAACAAGGGGTCTTCTGGACAGGGGCAGATCATGGCGATCTAGGATCGTCTTGGGGTTCTCGTGGCCATCTTTTCCTCGGAGACCCGGCGTCAGCGGCGATTAGGTCTACGTTAGATGTCTTTGATCAAAGGAGATAAATGAAGCAAGGATGACAGAGGAGGCGCAGCGAAACGAAAAACTAGACGGGAAGCCTGGCAAGCGACGAGAAAGCGGAAGAAGAAAAGCTCCGATAACAGGCCGGCGGAAGCATTGAGAGAGGAGTTGGCTGTCCCTGGGCGAAGCTGTTATCAATTTACCCCACACCACAAAGCCACGAGGGCCTGACGCAAGCTGCTTGGCAGCACATACCAATGGCGCAGCTCCTTGCAAGAAGAGAACAACACTGTTGATCGATAAAATATGGACGAGCATGTGGATGGCGATGAGCGGTGGATCGAAGCGGGGGTTGAGGAAAACGGATGGAGCTGAGAGGTTGGAGAAAAGGCAGGAGCGCTCTGGGGTCCCAACCCTGCCATCATCTGGTCGATTATCGATAAGCATCAACTCAACCGCGACGCGACTATAGGGTCGAGTGCCCAGACGTGAAAACTGCTGAAACGCTCTTAGAATTCCAAAAAGCCGTAGGCGTGTATGAACTGGGCTGGTATGAGGAGCGTCTCCTACACCACACATTAGCCGTAGTGCAGAAAGGCAAGCCATGCCTGGGTATCTCCTTTTTCATTTAGGCGTCTATTCGGCCCATCCTACAATGCCCGAGCTGTCATCTCTATCTCCTTCTCTTCTTTATCTAGCCCTCTCCCATCCATCTCCCTCGGATCCCCATTAGCCGGTAACTCAATTGCCCTATGCCCTTCCAACTCGTAGAGTACTCCAGAACCCCTCCCGTACGGATGATCATTCTTTCCCGCATCTGTCCCTCTACTGTCAACCCGCTCAAAGGGATCCACCGCTTCGTCTCCTGTCTCTCCGGACATTACGCCTCGTTGCCGGCGCTTCTTGCGCTGCATGTACCAGCATGCTCCGAACACCGTGAGGAACAGAAGTACTCCTATGCCTACTCCCACTCCCACGCTGATTGCAATCGTGCTGTTGGCACCGCGGTGGAGCGCTTCGCCGGTTATGGTTTGCGTGGCTGTTGCTGCAGGCGCAGGGGATGACGCGGAGGGGGAAATGGTGCGATCGATTGCGAGGGTAACGGTTACGAGCCCGGTAGAGCCTGTCAGAGTAACGACGGCGCCTGATGCTGATGGGCTTGGGATTCCCGTCGTTGTGCCATAGCCCGACGAGGGAGAATTGGAAGAGGGCGGGCCTGGAGCCTGCGGCTCTTGTTGCTGGGTTTGCTGCTGCTCGGATGCTGGCATACTCGTAGGCTGCGGCGTGTCTTGTTGTTGCACGCTCGTCACTCCCATATTGCTAGTACTCTCGCCTGCGATGGCTACCACCTGGGGTTCCCCCAGATCCACCTTCTCCACGCTGCTATCGGTACAGCAATCTTCTGAGCCACCGCAGCAGTACTTCCCGCTTCCACAGTATTGTACTGTCCCGTCGCCTTGGGGCCAAGCTGTTATCTATTAGCTCTTTAATCTACAACGCCGTACTCAGGCAGTAAAGGTAGAACTCACTGTCAGCACACACTGAGGGACAACCCGACCCCCAGCTCTGGTCGGTACACCCTCCTCTTAAGACCCGACCCCAGTTCTCGTATCTCGAGTCCGCACACAGTCCATTGCTAAGGCACTGAAAGCCCTCCGCGCAGCAAATGCTTATCCCGCTAGAACTGCAAGGAAAATGACTGGAATCTGAGTCGCCGTTCGGATAATAACAGGTTGCGCCCACCTGGCTGATAAAGATTGTCAAGACCGCGAAGCGTGCGGTCGAGGATAGAGGCACCATTTACAACATCTCAAAGTCGCGGAATAAATCGGACTGTAGAGAAAGGCGGCAATCAATGTGGACGCAAGAGGAGCAAGAGGAGCAAAAGAGACTAGGGACAGCAGATGTACGGGTATAACATTGCCCCCACCATCTCCCGTAGCTCGAAATCAAGCTTATTTTGCGCTTGTTCTGACCATGTTGTCCAATACCGATCCTAATCTCCTTTCGTCGCGCTCGGTCTTGGATTTCAACGAAGGATTCATCGTGTCGCTAGGGTCGTATGTAAACGAGACCACACGCACCCCTGTAACTCACGCTGAGTCCGCGGACCGAGCATCCAGTCTCCTCAAATGGTTAGTTGGAGCTGGGATCGCCGTTGGTCGAAATGTTAAATAACTCTATGGAGGATTCAATATTCGGCCATTCACGCGGAGTATTAATGGGTTGAATCTCCCGAGGTCGCTATCGTGGAGTTTTGAAACAATCGAGTGAGTCGTGGCTGCTTACGGTGTTATCGTAACCAGGAGCAGTCACAGCTCTATCTCAGCGGGATGCTCAGAGTCAAATCGCAAAGCTAGTGTGACTAGTGTATGAAGGATGCTGGAATCAATATCTCTCGGTCCCCGGTTAATCATGAGTTCGGCGGTAGGGCCAGTATATGCTGCGCAGAAGCCGAACTCTAGCGCTAGAATACCAGATACCACCCGTCTATGATGCATGCGCTCTCTTTCCGATACTCCTCGCTCGCTCAAAACCCGGTCGAAACATCCTCCCCATGAATTTGGCATTAAGAACCGGAGTGCTGGGGAACTTCCGTTGTTGTCTCCTCCTCAACCTCAGGTGGGAAATCCGTCGGCAGTATCCCAAAGATGCCCGCATCGCTCCTGCCCATCCCGCCCCCCTTTCCCTCGGTTTCTTTCCATTCCTTTAGCAAATACATCCCATCTCCGTTCACGCCCTCGCCCCTCTTCTTGCTCTGCTTCATCTTCTCTTCGTCGAAATCGAATACCCTCCAATCCGCGTTGAAGAAGCGCCTATTGCAAATGGCCGTGCGCATGAACCCTGAGTGCGAGACCACAGCGATAACCTTCTCGGGGCGGGAGTAGAGTGCTTTCAAGCACGTTTGGCCGCGGGCGACAATGGCTCTTCGGGTGAACGCGTAGGGATTCGCGCTTAGATTCGTCGTCTTGTCAGGATAGAGCGGATCTACCACAGAGAAGTCGAAGTTAGGAAATTCCTTGGACATGACTTCGATGGGTGATCCGGTGTCGCAGGGCTTGTCAGCATTTTCTGATCGTATCGTTAGCTATATATTGAAGTACGAACAGGGCCCTCAACAAGGAAAGTTATATGCCAGCATTCCGAGCAACGTGGGAAAGTAGGTAAACTGTGACCGAACGTAGGTTTTCCAGACGAAAAACGAGGGATTAGACGGCATACCCTGCCAGCCCGCATCAGGAAGGACCGTCACGTTCTTTTCTTTAATCAGCCAATCCAGCCCTAAGCTTGCAGTCTGGAGTGCCCTCCTCATAGCAGACGCAACAATGAGATCAACTTCATTTCCAATTCTGCTCGTCTTCAGGCTCTCGTGCAATTCGGCGCATTGCTGTTCGCCGAGTTCGGAGAGCGGAGGATCGCGAATGGACCAGTCATCAGCGACGTTGTGCAACGCTTGCGCGTGGCGGATGAGCAGCAATGTTGGAGGCATGCTCGTCAGTGGGAAATGATCGTTGGAGTTGCTTGAGAAACGGGGGTTTGTCTAGTGGAATTATAGGCAGAGCCCGGGACTCTGTTGATGTTGCTAAACTGAATTACGCGCCGAGTGGGGCGAACGTTTGGGAAGGTACCTGTGATACGTCACGATGCGGTGTCTCTATGTTCCTAGGTCCACGCAATAGACACAAACCTTACAGGAACCCGCAACGCGGAAGCCTATGTGTTCTTCATTCACTGAAGCGCTTCGCGCCTCTCTAAGAACAGCCGAATCAGCTCTCGATATCTGGTGAAATTCAATTAATCACTCGATATCTAATTGGGGGTGATCTCGAGACCAGACCATCGCGTCGTCAATCTTAAAGTGGCCGATTTCAGATCGCGCGTCGCTGGTGAACTGCCTAGGTGGCTTCCGAAATCGATGGTTACCATGCATGACCGTCTATGCTGCGCCCGCACCTAGTATAGTACATTCGGCCAATTACTCCTGCATCTTTTCCTCCTCCTCGTCCTCATCATCGCCCTCCAGCGCCTTCTTCGCCAGCTTCTCTGCCTCCTCCCGCAGCTCCTTTGGCACCTCCTCGTGCCTGCCCTTGGTTGGTCCGTCTAGGGAGCTGATCCAGGTCATCTCTAGCTCGAACTCCTTGTCTTTGTTGTCATCGTGTGCGATATGGATGATACGGGCGGCCTCCTTCACGCCATCTTCGAGCGATAGCTCGCCTTCCGAAAGGTTCAGCTTCTCCAGCTCTGACTTGGCAATTTGTCGGCCTTTGCCTGTAGCCGCACCGTAGTAGCCCTGTAACCTTTATTAGCCTTCACACTTTATTGAAATACTGTTCCATGGCATACCCAGTACAGGCCGCTCGGCTCGATCATGTATAGATGCGGGCCGCCATGTGTCGCGCCGTCCTTCTTGCCTCCAGAGCCGGCCTTTGGCCCCGAACCAACCTGGCCGTCCACCGGGAGCTCGGCCTCAGAGTCCCAACCCGCTATGATGGCTGTCACACCGAAGGGTCGTACGCTGGAGTAGAGGGTATACGCCTGGACGTAGCTTCCCATGCGGTCGGCGAGGGAGGATGTGGGGATGGGTGCCTTATAGAGGTTACGCCATGAGGCGGCCTCGTCGCGGGCGCGTGATACGAAGTGGCGGCCGTCCGGAAGAAGACCCGAAGACACCTGGATTGGCCAATGTTAAATTATGCCCACGGAGGCTTCAGCGTGCTGTTTAGTGAGTCGCAAGCTTACAATGCCCACATTCCGGTCCACCGTCACTATTCGCTTGTTCGCCCCAGGCTTGAGCAGTTTGCTAGTGATGAGCTTTTCTAGAGCCAGCACAACACCGTCCTTGCACCGTATTCCGATGGCTGTGCCTCCGTTCTCCACCGCCTTCACCGCATATTCGACCTGGCTGCGTGAGCATACGTTGGCAGTGGGTCAGAAATACTGTACGCACTTGGAAGTTCCGGCCATCGGGGGAGAAGACAGAGTTGGACAGGTCATAGCCCGTGCCTATTGACGTCTACGAGCAGCTGTCAGTTCGAAGCTTCGGAAAACGCGGCGCCACGAGGCTCACCATGGTGGTTGCGGGAGGGGGAGAATCGGTTTAGAGATTACGCGGACGGTAGCAGGGTTAGAGATGCGTGGAAGAGAAGTTGGGTAGCTGGGGCCTGGGATTTGCCCGTGTTTGATGGAGTTTACCTCGCAGACTCAACGCGCAAGTCGCAACTGCCTGCCCAGCGTTGGAGCTCGATTCTCTTTTGGGCTAGCGCAGATCTAATCTCTTGGCGCTTTGGAATCCACACCTCGATTCTCAGGCAGCCATTTCACCACCATTCCGCACTCGACAATTTGTCCCTCACGATCTTGCGACGTGCCGGGGTCGCTTTCTCGCCATTGGGACATGTTGTTGCTTTCTTTGCAGATGATCTAGCTGCGCTCCTGTCATTGAGCCCGCGTTCTCCCGACATTAGACGCTCCAATCGTCAACGGCCGCTGTTCGAGGGCGCATCCGCCAATACAGGTTGATGAGCTGGCGACCATATTTTGCGGAAGTCACAGGGCCTCAGCAAGGCTTATTGGCTCCTCTGGTGCTAGCGGGACAATTTATGTTTCAAGTTTCGAATGACTGGTCGGCCGGCCACATCATCCCGCTTTTTTCTTCCTCAACCCCCCAGCAGGCGCATGACCCGATCCATCACCTGAAATACTTAAAAGAACCAGCGCTGCCACAACGCCTTTGTGACCGCAACAACCACCTTCTCGCCTGCTTTGTTGGCTCTCCTTTATTCACAGCTCTCTCTTCCTAATCCGGCCACGTTGCCGGCGTCCGCATAAAGAGCCCTGGTAGGCGTCAGCGCCCAAACGCGACGCGCCGAGGATACGCGTCTATCAATAAGAACTCCGGACTCAAAGGCTTCCTACACGAGCTGGTCCGGCTACACCATCGCATATGCTTTGAGCAGTACTTACTTCTCCGACTGATATACAGCTGATCTCTCTACCTCTACGTTCCGGAGCATACAGTACCTGTTGATACCTGGGAGCCTCTGATGCAGCCACTCTTGGTGAATTTCTGCACCATCTGCACTTACAACACTCCTGTGCCCTTCACAGCTTCCGTCTTCTCTCAGAATAACTCCTGCTCACACGTAAGCTCCTGTCCTGTCATCATCTCGATATACTGACGATTGACGTCATAGTGCGGTGCGATATCAACGGGCATCAACGTCCGGGGCAAGCAAGAAGAGAACGCAAACATGCAGCAAGAAGAGCTCGCCCGGCTGTTCTCAGCCCACATGAACCTCTCCCAAGCCCCGCCCCAACAAATTCCCCAAGCGCAGCTGCAGGTGCCTGAAGAGCAATTAGTGCAGCAACAAGGAGAAGAACAGGTATCCAAGCCGATCACCTACGTCTCCCAGCACTACACGCACAGCCACCATGTCGTTCCCATTCGTCACATCCCGCAGGAACCGGCGAAGACGCAGATAGATGTGTCCGAGCTCGAAGCGATCCTTCTGCGTAACAGCATCGACCCCTCTCTACTCTTCCCCTCCCAGATTGACCTGTTCCAGAACGCAGACGATGACCAACGTCTCCGTCTTCTTGAGCTTTGGCGAATCTCACCTCCACAGGGTAGACAGGGCTATCCGGCGAACGTGGACTACAATACCTCGAGGCAGCTGTATGACTGGCCGCCTACGAGTTTGGCGCAAGAGGAGGCAATGGCAAAGCTGAGATACGACAAGATGTTAGAGGAACGGGCGCAGCAGGACGAGATTCAGAAGCACCAACAACAGCTGGACCAGAGCATGGACGGGGCAATGGACTCTGCAGCCGTGCACGCGACGCGACATATCCTCGCGTCATCTCCTGACACGCCGAACGCCGAACCATATATTGTCTCGGGTTACGATATGTTGGCGAGAAGGGAGTATGACGAGTCGGCGAAAGCTGCGGTCAATCACCTCAAAGAGTCGACAAGGTACAATCAAGCAACAGATCCCGTGTACAACGGTGGACTGTGGGAGAAGAACGTTGGCAGCATCCTGGACATGGAGAATCAGTACGGTGCTTTTGCAAACGCGCGAGAGCATGAGGCTCATTCCATCTACGCGGATGAGGAAATGGTCATGTGAATACCTAAGGTATGAAGAAGAAGATGGATCCCCTGTCTATGCTAATGGGTGGAAGATGGTGTGCATCATGGAGGACGGATGAATGTCGCTCCACCGGAAGTTGTTGTACCAGCAGTGACATGGGAATTTCATTGCATGTTGATACAGGTGCATATACACCGCTCTTTTGTTGGTGGTTCGAATATTTCAGGATGGTGGAAGGAGTGCATGCCGCCGCGGCGGCATTGTACTCGGAACAGCGTGTCGGAGGAGGAAGTTCAGTCTGCATACCCCGTCGGATACCCTGGTTACACTCAGCATCAATCACCACTCGGTTATAGACCAATATGAGCTCGTCGAGCACTCCATTAGCCCAGGTGCGAAATGCAAGTGGTATTCCTTTGTATGATACAGAGCGGATTTGCTCGATGCCGATACATAGATGGCGAAATGCTCTTCCTTCCTTTCCGTACGCATAGAATATACACAAGTCTCTGAATCTCACAAGCAACCTGAGACCAGAGCACATCAGCCGCTTCACAATATCCCCACATCCCTCCGTCACGACTTCTTTGCCTTCCCGCTCGGCCACTTTTTCCACCCTCTTCCATGACCTTTCTGCATGAATATTAGCCGTGGATTCTCTTCTCTCACACTGCCACACGAAAATGTCACTCACCTGTTTCCATTCCTGGATCAATTGCGGCATTCCTAGCATAGCCTGCCGCCTCATCTCCAGCCGGCCCTTGAGTGTCCTCTCCCACAGCTTGCCCTTCACCTTCTCGCCGACTCCCGTCCCCTTGACCTGCAAACCCCTTTCTATCCGCCTCTTCTCCTTCTCGCCGGGCTTCTTGATCGTCCAGGGGAGGAGGTCCAACACGCCATGCGTTTGGGCTAGCTTGACGAGCTCAGCCTGTTTTCGTAGGCCATAGGCGGGACCGTACCACCGGCCGGTGGTGTAGTTCTTGCGGGGCAAGAAGGGGTTGTGGTAGGGAAGTTCGCTAGAGGAGGACGGTGGTGCCTCGGAGGAAAGTTCTGGGGTCGAGCTTTCTATCGCGGGCGCATTCGGATCGGTGGGTGAAGTCGTGGGTGCAGTTCCTGCGGAGCGCAGAGCGGGCGCCGCAGTGTTTTGGAGGAGAGCTGGCGGCGGGAAGCGCTCGAAGAAGCGTATAAGACGCGGCGGTAGCGACTTTGCTAACTGTATCTGCTGCTGTGTACTCATTGTGGTTTGGTGATTTGAATTGAGATCGGAGCTGGATTTCGGACGCGAATGAAATTCTGCATCACGTGCAAGGGTGGCCCGAGCTCAGCGCTGGACGTAGCTTCCGCCGCGTAGCTGTTGCTACCTACGTGCAACATCACCAGCAGCTTCATCACCACCGCCTCTTGCCCTTTCCTCCTTAACTTAGTCCCTCCGGTCCCTCGAAATACAGCTGCTGAACTAATCACACGCGTTCCCACGCACATCCATAGCCATGGTGAGCTTCAAACTCCGACCAACATGCTGTATACAGCTAACGGAAGCAGTCTTCCCCGTTCTCAATAAGTACGATATGCTTCCAACGGTCCCTAGTTTCCCAATCTCTAACAATATCACAGACGGCGGCGCCTGCGTGGCCATGGTTGGCAAAGACTGCGTCGCGATAGCCTGCGATCTCCGCCTCGGAATGCAAGCCCTTACCGTCTCCAACAACTTCCCCAAGATATTCCAATACAGCGACGTATACCTCGGTCTAACAGGCCTCGCCACCGACGTGTCCACCGTCTCCGACCTCTTCCGCTACAAAGTGAACATGTACCGGCTACGCGAGGAGCGCAATATCTCGCCGCAGACCATGGCCAACCTCGTCAGCTCGAGCCTGTACGAGCGGCGGTTCGGACCGTATTTCGTGTCCCCAGTGATTGCGGGCATCAACCAGACAACGGGGAAGCCGTTTATCTGCGGCTTCGATAGCATTGGGTGCATTGACTTTGCGAAGGATTTCATCGTCAGTGGGACCGCGAGTGATCAGCTATTTGGTACTTGTGAGGGGCTGTGGGAGCCGGATCTGGTAAGATATTCTGATGGTCGGCAGAAGGAGGTGCGACCGGTAGCGCTAATTGTTGGTACAGGGCCCGGAAGACCTCTTCGAGACGGTCTCGCAGGCACTGCTCAACGCCGTCGACCGAGACGCACTATCAGGCTGGGGCGCACACGTATACATCATCGAGAAGGACAAGGTGACGAAGCGGTTACTGAAGGGAAGGCAGGACTGAGGTGGTCGTTGGCATACAGGGCTGCTGGTTGAACGGACACAACATAGTTTTGGAGTCATGGAAGGATATGGACGCTGCCTAAAAGGCTTCGACATGGCAATGATCGAGGGATCATAGACGAAGGCATAGGTATCATTTAGACGGGAGCCTTCTCGAGGGTAGGCGGACCGCATAGCTCCAATGTAGCCTTCAGCCGTTGCTCTCAACGTTTCTGGTCGTTCCAAGTTGTTTGATAGGCTAGTTACCAGTTGCCTGCCATTCTGGGTCAGTACACAATAGCTATCAGCCCAGTTAGCCCTGCGACCAATCTAGGATACGCGTTAGGCGCGGTCCACGGCAAGAATCGTCACTTCTAGTCTTCAAATCTCTCTACTACGGCACGCCGTAGCCATGACCACATCAACCACGGAATAAGTATACCAAATCCAGATGTCCACGGGTCCCCGGGCCTCGAAGGCAGAAATGGGCACGTGACTTGGTGTCCGTCGTCGCAGGTCTTGGCATCGCCGCTAGTCTCTCATTGCGCGCCCGCGGACCTCATCACAACCTGCAACACCGTGCTTTACAGGCTCCAAATTTCTCGAACCTGGCTCGGCGTCAGAGGTATCTACCGGGTATTGCTCCAACCTACTGAAGGCCCTCAAGAAGCCCTTCCACCATGTCGATGATTCCGCCTCCGCCGCCGCCGCCGAGCTCTGATCCTGTTCCTCCTCCGCCTCCACCTCCACCTCCACCTGAAGAAGAACTAGGCCCTGCCTTAGCTAAAAAGCAGAAGAAAGGATGGGCATCTCAAAAGAAGCAGCCTCCGAGCATTGACGATATTTTGAAGGCGAAGCGGGAAAAGGAAGCGGCGGCCGCAAAGCCCAAGTTCCTCACGAAAGCGCAGCGCGAGCAGCTTGCTTTGGAAAAGCGGCAGAAAGAAGTCGAGGATGCGCGCAAGAAGCAACAGACATCGAACAGAACAAATGGCACATCGCAGAACGGAGCTTCAAATAAAGTCGCAAATGGCGTGCCTTCAGTCCCTACGGGTCCACGTGCGATGCGCCCGGATATTCCCACTGGGCCAGCCTCGATGCGGCAGAAGAATGATATGCCGCCACCCCCAGTCCCTAAGCCCGGCGAGAAGCGGCCAGGAAAGCGCCCGGCGCCGGAAGATGCAGAAGCAGCCTTGATTAGGCAGAGATACATGGGCGCGGAACAGAACCAGTCGACCTTTTCGGCGAAGAAGAAGAGGAGGCGGACTACTGAAAAGAAGTTCAACTTCGAGTGGAATGACGAGGAGGACACGAGCGTCGACTACAACCCAATATACTCGCAGAGGGCAGAGGCCAATTTCTTCGGCCGTGGCAGACTAGGCGGCTTCACAGAGGAAATTGCCGAACATGGCACACAAAAGTTCATTGAAGCTATGATCGAGCGAGATCCCGAGAACGGCAGAGAGCGGGCAGAGGCTATACTAGAGATGGAGCGTCGGCGGAAAGAGGAGGGAAGTCGAGCGCAGCTCGACAAGCACTGGAGTGAAAAGAAGCTGGAGCATATGCGCGAGCGCGACTGGCGCATCTTCAAGGAAGACTTCAATATCAGTACGAAGGGCGGCTCGATACCCAATCCCATGCGCAACTGGAACGAATCTGGCCTTCCAGACAAACTCCTCCGCATTATCGATCAGGTCGGCTATACTGACCCCTCGGCCGTCCAGCGCGCTGCTATTCCTATTGCCCTACAATCTCGCGATCTCATCGGAGTAGCCGTCACCGGTTCCGGTAAGACGGCTGCTTTTCTGCTGCCGCTGCTAGTCTATATATCGCAGCTCCCTCCGCTAAATGCTACAAACCGAAATGACGGACCGTATGCCCTTATCCTCGCACCAACTCGTGAATTGGCCCAACAGATCGAGGTAGAAGCCAGGAAGTTTGCAAGTCCTCTAGGCTTCAACACTGCCGTAATCGTCGGTGGCCATTCGATTGAGGAGCAGTCGTTCCAGCTCCGCGATGGCGCCGAGATCATCATTGCCACACCTGGCCGACTTCTAGACTGTATCGAGCGCCGCGTTTTGGTGCTCAGTCAGTGCTGCTACGTCGTCATGGACGAAGCTGATCGAATGATCGACTTTGGATTTGAAGAGCCTGTCAATAAGATTCTGGAAGCCCTTCCAGTGGGCAATGAGAAACCCGATTCTGACGCTGCAGAGGACGCGGTCGCCATGTCCAGGGGCCTGTATAGGCAGACGATGATGTACACGGCTACTATGCCGTCTGCGGTAGAGCGAATAGCGCGGAAATATCTGCGGAGGCCAGCCATCGTAACCATCGGCAACGTCGGCGAAGCCGTCGAGACCGTCGAACAACGTGTCGAGTTCATCCAGGGCGAGGAAAAGAGAAAGAAGAGATTGCAGGAAATCCTCTCGTCGGGCGAGTTCGCGCCACCCATCATCGTCTTCGTCAATATCAAGCGCAATTGCGATGCCGTCGCCCGCGATATCAAGCACATGGGCTTCAACTCCGTCACACTCCATGGATCGAAAACGCAGGAACAGCGTGAAGCTGCCTTGGCAAGCTTACGTGAGGGCCGTTCAGATGTGCTGGTTGCTACTGATCTCGCCGGCCGCGGTATCGATGTGTTGGACGTTAGCCTCGTCGTTAACTTCAATATGGCTAACTCGATCGAGAGTTATACCCATCGTATCGGTCGTACGGGTCGTGCGGGCAAGAGTGGTGTGGCTATTACATTCTGGGGTAACGAGGATGCTGATGTGCTTTATGACCTTAAGCAGATGCTAGCCAAGAGCCAGATCAGCAAGGTGCCGGATGACCTTCGCAAGCATGAGGCGGCGCAGCAGAAGGGTGGGAAGAAGAAAGGCGGTGGTGATAAGGGAGGATTACTCGGTTAGTAAATAGGTCTTTCTGGAGGCTCTCAGAGGACTATGTAGTTAAGAAAATTTGAATTGGCATTTGGCCTACTCTGAGGTGCTGGAAAGTAGGTTCGCTGTTTTCGGTGTAATATTATGAAGTGCGCTAGGTGGAGTCGGAGCGGGTTTGGCTTTAAAGGTGCAGTTCTCAAGTCAAAAACTAAGTATGACTCGCATTCCGATCTAGCAAATTACGAAGACTAACATATTCGTTCTCCATGATATAACTATAGAAAAGATGCAAAGTACCCAGTCTCCGTAACGCGACAACCAAGCCAGCGGAAGCAACGCAAACATGGAGACTCCACACCCCATCACCCACCATATCTAGTCCTTCCTCCTCACTGCTGCTGCGGCCACTGCGCGGGCCACGCCGCGGCCAACGCATTCCAAAGCCCGATCAGCATGAACGCAGATTTCGAAACCGTCGGTGAAAACCTGCTGGCTCAGAGCGGCGTCGTCGGCCTTCTCAGTAAGCATGGGCAGTAGTAATAACGACGCAGACGAGCAATCTGGGAGGACGGCGCTCGTGTATTCGAAAACAGCGGAAGACGCTGCAGTAATGGCATCGGCCCAGATTGAGGCGAATATCTCCACCGTACCGGCGTTCCATGAGGCTTCGGAGGACCACCTGGGTGCTTTCTTGGTGTTGCTAGTGTGTCCCGTCTTCTTAGAAGCTGGTGCGCTGGCCGTGAGCGCCGACGTCGAGAACATCGAGGAGGCCGTGTCTTGTGCACTGGAAAGGCACGCTTGGAGCGCTTGTGTGTTGCTATGAGCAGCAGCTACGAGGACGGCGTAAGCCATTCAGACAACGGCAGCGACTTCCTTGTCGACTATATCTTCGCCTTTGAAAGTACCAGAATGAGGGTCTCCAGGAGACTTCGCAGATTCCCTGGAGTAACCAACTGTCAGGACAGCTTCGCCCAGACGCTCGAGCTTGGATAGCGCATCCTGGACGCGTTTAGCACCATGTACACCGTTGGATGCTAAAGGAGAAGGGAAAGCTGTGACAGTGACAGTCTCTACACTCGTTTTCGTAACCGTGAAGCTCTTCGTGGGGCGTGCCGGGAGAATCCATGTCATCGTGGGCGTGGCTACCGTGACCGTGACCCAAAGCGTCGAAACCGTGGCATTTGTCTTCGGAACCGAAGCGAGCTTGAAGAAGGGACCGGCCTGGAAATCGGCCACAAGCCTGATGAAAGCAAGAAGAGCGAGGGGCACAAGAAACAGAGCGGCACCCGAGAGGAATCGAAGCAGGTTTTCGATGCGCTCGAGAAGGTCCCTAAACGTATTTAGGAGCAGGGCGAGGCCGGGAAAGGGGGAATCCGCAGGCTCGGGCGCTTCAGGATAAGAGGCGTCCTTCGCGGATGGTTAGTGTTTGCTGCAGGGATTTTGGAGTGCTTCAATACCTCAAGGTCAGGGAGGTCATCATCAGAGGCGATGTCCTTCACATATGGTCAGCATCTGCATGGCGTATCCAGAAGTCCTTTAGTACCTCGACGTAATATTGGGTCTCATCTTCAGAGACCATATCCTTCACCCATGTCAGCATATGCATCACATATCCTGAAATGATTCCTTACCTCATCGAGATGCTGATTCTCGTCTTCGGACTCCACGTCGAAGTGCTCAGGGACCGTGGTCCACTCTTCACACGACGACGAAGCAGACATTGCGCGAATGAGGATATTCATTCGAACTGTGAATATTTATCCAAAAAAAGTATTTTAGTGGGGAATCGAAGGAAGGAGTGAAGGGCCGGAATATATATGCAAGGCATCTTTCCTCCCGCAGCTTTTAAGACAAAATGTGCATTGAAGCCATGGGACTCAAATGTTGAAAGTCTTCAGGAAGAGCAAAAATTCGTATGCGAAGAGAAATTCTATGGAACTGGCAGTGGTTGAGTGAAACTAAGCGGGTCAGGCGCCATCGATTTGGTCCATGGGAAGTCATGCTGGAAAGGCCGGTATGACGGCCCAAACCATATCATTCGATAAATCAGGCTCTAGCCTCTCATCGACAATACAAAATCAAGAACTAGTGAGCTACTTCGCGATATATTACACACAAACCTATCAGAGGTTCAAGCCTTCGGCTCAACCCCATCCGCCACGCTCTCATCTCCATCCATCCCCTACATCCCCCTCGCGTTCCTCCAAACCCTTTCTCACTTTTGACCCTACTCGCAGCCCCCATCTCAACCACCTTCCTAAAACACACCCCCTTCCCTAATACGCGCGCACAGACTGTTCTGACTTCAGGACCTCGGGCGGTGCCTCTGCGAAGAGTGCGTCCAGGATTGTCCACAACGATTTGAAAAAGAACTATCCGCCCACGATATGACGACCATCAGAACGAGAAGCACGTAGCACCGCGACTCATCCTCTGTAGAGGCAAGAGTCTTCTCATTCGACTCTTCCGAAGCCTGGGCCTCGAGATCGATTCCGTGGGTGGCATGGTCATCGGATTGGTGGGAGACCTAGTTGTTATTCACTGCGAACATTCCAGTGTTCGCTTCGCGGACAACCCTCTATACGATGCGCGTTTCTTAGATTCGATTCGCTCGTGCAGTTGCCGCCGTGAGGCGTGCAGGGGAGGTTTAGTACGCGCTAAATGGAGGACTCGAGTGCAACCGTCTGGTCAACCATAGAATCGTGCTGGCGGCCCGGTTTCCTCTAATGCGGCCTTATCCGGCAACACATTACGATTTCGTGCAAACCACAAGCACAAGGGCTAGCTTGACCATGGAAAGACGCATCATGATCCATGGAACAAACAGCTGGTTGAAAAAAAAAAGGTCGATCGTGGTACAGCCCGAACTACATGAGAATTACTGGTTTTGGGTAGTTGCCGTGCCAGAAATTCTCGAGCGGAACTCATCTGGAAATATCACACTTAGAAGCGGGCCTTCTTTTAGCAGAATGAATAGACTATCTCAAGCATCTTTCGAAACACGGCCTTGGGGGATCGAAGGGTAAGTAGGACATGGTGGTCGGTACCGGAATAGCCGCAGGAGTTGAAATGATACAAATGCGATAAATCAATTACTGCCGTATATCCTCGGTCTCCACTCGAATCTCCGAAGTCTTGAATATCGCTCTGTCAGAATTCTCGTCCTCACTCTTCCCACCTAGAGACTCTTTATCCACACCCCGGCCAACCTGCGTATACGGTCCCGCTAAACCGAATTCATTCGTATTCTTCCTCAACGCCACGCTCCCCACCGTCCCCCTCTTAAACTTCGAGCTCAACTCGATACTGCCGCCATGCTGCCCAGCATTCCCAAGTGTCCTCGTCCGGCTGTAAAGACTTGATCCCAGCAGTTTTGGCAGAAGCTTCGATACCAAAGGTTTAATACCCGGCGCGGAAGCGCATATTAAGCTGACATAGATCTCCATGGATGACCAGATAGACACATCGTACATATCCCAAGTGGGATCGAAGTCCGGTCGAACGATTGTGGTACCCACGCGCACCATGCGGATAATAGCGGCGATGACGGCGAAGGAACCGAGCGAAATTATTCCTATCAGGGCCCATTTTTGCCGCTTGTTGATGTGGAGTTCGAGGATGCGGGGCAGGACGATGGCCATGAGGGCTATGTCGAGGGCGGCGTTTAGGCTGCCGTTTATGTAGAGCGCGGCTGTGTCATGGAGGCATTTGGATGACGGGCGTCCTTCCGTCCAGTATACGTAGATGGGTTTGCATTGGAAAATGTTCTCGATGAAGAAGGGAAATACCTGTATAATGAGAATGGCCATCACGACCTGGATCATCCGGCGTCCTTGGACGTCGGAGTAGAAGATGCGAAGATAGGACAGACAGATGCTGAGCTTAGGGAGCATCAGAGCGGGAATGATGAGCAGTTGCGCGGCGTAAGCCCATTTTTGTGCTTCGATCGGGTCGGACGGATTACGCATGGCGACGGCGGCGATGTGGTGCCCAGAGCCGTGTTCAATTTGGGCATATTGGCATATACTGTACGCGGTCGCGAGCATCTAGTGATTGTATTTAGCAAGGAAGAAGGTGAAGGTGCGATCCGTAGGGTCGGACGCACCCAAGCGAATATGAGAACATAGTCTTCCACCTTCGTCGCATGATTGATAAGAAGGCGAGAGTAGACTCTTGCGAAAAAGACGACTGTTCCCATGGTCTGCACTATTACGTTTCCTGCTATAATCTGAGGCACCCTAGACTCATCGAAGAAGCCCTGGGTGGACTGTCGTGAAGTTAGCATTTCCATTCTGGCGACGACTGCCGCAAGCATCGACCAAAATTGCTGGCGCAGACTCACCTGGCGTGTGCCCTGAGATATACTCTGCCGGGGATAGAAGAAGGTTTGGTGGGGCGGCATTGCTGTGTAAAAGGGCCGAATGGCCCAAAAACGAGGGAATGAAGACTTGTGGTTGATAGGGCAGAATTTGGTACCCAAAGACCATGCCCATGTGTGCCAAAAAAGTGTCGTAGACAAGGTGGATGCTGGAGCTGGTTTCATAACACCAGCCCGCCGGTGGGATGAGAGCTTGCGTGGACATTACTGTCCACAGATTCGTAGGGCGTTCTAGCGTCTGAATAGACTTTGGATCGTGCCGGATGATAAAAAGCGGATGTATGCATTGTAAAGCGACAATAATATATGTTATGCGGCCAAAACCGCAGGAACAGGTAAGCGCTAGGGCTTCAAATGCAGGTGTTCTTCCGCGTCTCCTGAAATGCGCATTTGTCTGGCCATACAATCGACCCTGTGATGGGATTTCGCGATTCAGATTCGGCGCTATGGAGCACGTAGTGACTGACGGCTGGTCGCCCGAAGTATAGTAGCGGTTGAACATGTCGACATACCGGTAACTCGGACCTTACGGAAACCCGCCTGAAACGTTCTCGAAAACCTTGGGTGGATTCTTTGTAGTGTCTTTTTATATCTGAAACTCCTCGCTGCTGAGATGCTCCGAACCACATCGCACCGGAAAAGGACCGTATGGTGAAGATAAGCTTTGGGGATACGAGATCGCGACGATAGCCTTGCGGGGACAGGCGCGGAGACGGAAAGTCGCATCATGGTGGAGATTCTCCTAGGGAGCATCTCTGTGGGGTGTTGACACCTGCGACCTCGCTGCACTTACCTTTCAAATACCGGCCCCACATCGCCGTCCACCTGCTTTCATCATGCTCGACGCTCCAGCGAAACCGAAACCGAGAGCAACCTTGATAATCTCGATCGTCGTCGCACGATGGGTTTTCGAGGACCGGGGTCGGCGTCCAGAAAAGCGCTTTGCTTTTCCACGCGAGCGGCACGCTTTCGCGGGACAGATCCCGAACAGGGCGTAGATAGCAGTGCCCATCGCTCTGCCTTCGTTCAAGCGCGATGAGTTGTCATGCGGAAGGATGCATGCAAGAATCTCAGAATGGCGGGCGCGAGTTCTCATGATTCGCATCCGCGAGCCACGGCCCGACCTTTCTCCGCCAGTCGAAGCCTATCCCAGCTACCTCTGATGGTACTTCAGCACTCCCCCCTTCTGCATGCCATTGCGCCTCCCACAATGCATCGATGCCCGCCAAACCTACGTCCCGCCTCCTGACGCTTCCGCTCGAGCTCCGCCTACTCATCTACGAGCTTCTTTGGGTGCCTTTGGCGTCCAAGATCCACCCAAAGACCTCCACTGTCCATTCGCACAATGTCACCTCTTCGGCCTCAAGCTCGCTCGAGCTGTTGCTCGTCTGCCGCCAAATCTACGCCGAAGCGCACCAGACGGCCTACACGCGGCACACCTTCGCTCTATCGCGCTGCTTCGACACCTCGCCCCTGCATGACCTGCCGCGCTCGTACCCGTACAACCTCGTTACCTCCCTCTTGATCCCTGGTTACCGCCCGCCATATTCGTGTCCCACAGCGTATCCGGTGCGGTGCTACACGTTTAAAGAGCTCTGCTCGCTTGTGCGGCGGTTCAGGAACCTGAAGAGCATTGTAGTAGTTGCAGATACGGCCGGTTCGGATGGGATACGGAGGTCTATATTAAGCCGCAAGGCGCATGTCGAGTTCCGGATGCGGAAGGCAAGACGGCTGCAGGACGAGGGGTTTGTGCCGAGCTATGATATAACGTGTTTGAAGCGGGGCTGCGGGTGGAGGCTGAATGTTACCGTCGGAGAGGGCGTTATTAAGACGGCGGATCTGCTGCTCTGTGTGCTGCAGGATGAAGGGTAAGAGACGAGGGAGGTGCGATTTGATGCCGTTCGCAACGAACCTTCACGGCCTTGACGATATACGAATTATGACTTGCATGTGGGACGGGGTATTGATGCCATATTTGCAGTTTTGTCTACTGAACCTACGACCCCCTGTACCCATCGGCCCACCTGTAAAGAAATCGGATGAATAGAAGGTCAACATTTTTCTGAAACGAAAGCGGTCATCGGCCCTCAGAAGGAAAGATTGACGTCGCATGAAGCAACCTACGCGATGCCATTGCAGGCTCGGAGCCTCTGTGACTTCTGGCTCTCCCATTCCCCATGCACTACTCACTTTTCCGCGCCGTCCTGTCAAGCTCCCGCATCTACCAGATCACCACCCCGTTTTGTAGAACCTCAAGTAGTGCTTCCACTGCTCGTACTTGCCCTCCCATGCCTCCTTGAACTCAGCCATGGCCTCCTCCTCGCTCGCCCCTAGAATAGCTCGGCCGATCGCTTTAGCGAAAAGGTGATGTAGGTCGAGAGACGCATCGGCGAGATTGGGATTGTTGCACAACCCGCAGCAGTCAGACCAATACGTTCGAAAGTGTATCTTGGCGGCCTTCAATGACTTGGGCACCTTGTGATCTTCCGAAGCGAAACTAGTAGTGGTGTCCGCAACCGACATTGATTTTCGTGTCCGCGCCAGCCTACGAAACTGCAGAAGTGGTTGCACCCACTCTTGGCGGAGGTCGAAGTAGAGCGTACTGTCGTTGACTCGCATCCATATCTCGAGCTCCTGCAGGTTGATGAGCTTCTTCGCGGCCGCTTTGCATGCACGGGTCCAACTGGCGACGTGCTTCTTTTTCCAGATCTGATCTGCGAGGAATGATGGATGCCCATATGTCCCATAATGGAGATGCAATTTGGTAACGTAGCTGAGATTCTTCGTCGGGACCGCATCGAGAAAATTGGTGATCCGATTCGGGGCGTTGAAAACGAATGTCGTGGTATGGTAGAGGAATACGATGGCTTCGCGGTGTATCTGCTTGCAGACCAGCATCAGAGCGCAGAGTGAGTTAAACCAGCTGGTCTTGAGTCCGTCGATGTGTTTGCAATTGCCCAGAGGCCTGGAGATCCGGAGTGTTGTCGGCGAAGCCGGCTTCGCCTTCTCTTTGTATCTCCAGGCTGGACCATCCGGATTGACGATTCCCACGCAGAGCTTCATCAGCTTCGGCTCACGATAGGTGAAATCGCATCCCTTGGCGGCTATCTCGCACCTGAATTCCTCTAGGAAGTAGTATCGGTAGACGAGATTTCGCAGTTCTCCTGGCAGGGAGAGGAAACCGCGAATCTTCTTGGGAGTGCGTTTGGCGGGCCTGATTCGAGAGAAGAGACTTCCTCCACCCTCCATGATAGCTGATGCAGTCGGAGAACGGTGATTGTGTTGATAGCCGCCCGATATGCTTCCGAATGGGTCGCGTTCTATGACTGACAGTACGGCAGCGGATACGCCACGGTTGGGGAATCGTAATTAGTTTGCGGGGAGAAGAGAAAAGATCGGGAGGAGCGGACGTAGACAAGGAACAGCCGACAAACAGCAGAAACCGACGTCAAAGTGAGGAAAGAGTCTTGCAAAATACTAACCTTTGTAGGCAGATGTCGGCTCGTAATAGAGCGGGTGAACTTTGGCGGACCGGCCGGTTAGTCAGTCGCTATGAGTTAACGGCCAGATCTTCGTATGTTGAAGCTGCGGTCCCGAGAGGCTACTGAGGATCTCAGGTTCGCTCTTGCGGAAGATTGCGAGTTGTAGCAGGCAGCGTCGCCGAAGTTGTCGAGTTCCTCAATCGCACCTCACCTCCAGAGCTTGCACCCCACGCTAAACCCACCTAGCTAGCGCCAAGCACAAAAGCCGCCTGCATAACGACGTCGGCCACATCGTCATACCGCCAGAAACCCTCATTATGTCTCACGTCCTCCCCAAAGTCGCGCAACGCAGCACCCCCCTCCTCCGTTCCTCCATCCGCCAGTTTCACGCCTCCTCCAAGCTATCCTCGCGGCTGCGCCAGCCAGGCGAACCAACCGGCCCCAACGAACCGCCCCGACACACCGCATCTCCAGAATCGAAGTCCCCACTCAAGGTCTGGCCATTTGTCCTCATCTTTGGGACGGGCAGCTTCTTATTCAAGAAGATAGTTGATCAAAGGAAGGGCGAATATCAGGCCAAGGGACCGGTTGCTGGACACTCGCCTAGTCGACCATAAACAACACCCCGCTTGACTCCGCTCCACGATCTCCACCGTCCGTCGTGATGCCAGCAATTGCAGACCTCGGCGCCACCAAGCGCACCTCTCCTATCTGGTCCCCCGACGATGTTACTGTAATCTTCGTGCTCGGCGGCCCCGGCGCAGGAAAAGGCACACAATGCAGCAAACTAGTCGCCGACTACGGCTTCAAGCATCTGAGCGCAGGCGATCTCTTGAGAGAGGAGCAGGACAGACCCGGCAGCGAATTCGGCGAGATGATCAAGACGTACATCAAGGAGGGCACCATTGTGCCGATGGAGGTCACGGTTCAATTGCTGGAGAATGCTATGAAGTTGGCCATGGAGAAGGAGAAGAAGACCATGTTCTTGATTGACGGTAAGCCTCCACCGTCCATCGCTCTCCATTACCGCTTCTTCCAAAACAGATGCTAATATGGAACGCCCGCAGGCTTCCCTCGCAAGCTCGACCAAGCCCATGCCTTCGAGCGCTCCGTCGTCCCCTCCAAATTCACCCTCTTCTTCGACTGCCCGGAAGACGTAATGGAAGAGCGTCTTATCAACCGCGGCAAGACGTCTGGCCGCGCAGATGACAACCCGGAGTCCATCCGAAAGCGCTTCAGGACCTTCGTCGAGACGAGTATGCCTGTCGTTCACGAGTTCGAGAGCCAGGGCAAGGTAGTCAAGGTCGAAGCGACGAAAGGGCCCGATGACGTGTACGATGAGGTCAAAGCGCAGCTCAAGGAGAGGGGCGTTGAGCCGATTACGCTGAAGTTCGTGCAGACATAACCAAATTCTGGCGGGGATGACATCTGAGTGGTGGAGGTTCGTGGTTTGGGCGAAGAAGCTAGATATTTTAGACTATTCGGATATTTCACTTTTTGGTAAACACACTTTGGTGTATCTTCGCATTTTCTATCATGCAGCGCAAGGGCTGCGCTACCCAGCCCATTGACCCGGAAAGCCTCCGAAATGCATTCGCTGCCAACCCTACTTCGTTTTGGCGAAGAGAACAAGGAAATCAGCCGCCTCTAGTCCATATCATCATCAATCATAGCCCTGGGTTTACCCTTGCCTCCTCCCCGTCCCTGGCCCCTCGTCGCCTGCTCGAGCTTCTGCTCCACCCTGTTGGCCTCCTCTTCCTTGTCCTGCATAAACCTCCCCTTCTCCTGCTGGATAACCTGCAGCACGCCGACCAAGCTATTCCGCCACATATCCAAGCGCGACGCAACTTCTCTCCACTGGTTCTCTCCAAAGACACGGTAAGTTGAACGGTGGATGAGGAAGGTCTGGTTCAGTTGGCTAAGCTTGCCTTCGACGAGGCCCGCGCGGATCACGTCGATAACCCACATTTCGACGTCCTCGGGCGGGATCTGGAGCGCCTTCGCGATGTGTGCATATGGCAGAGATCGTGTCTGGCCTGTTGACGCTGCTATTGAGGCGAGAGTCAGTAACCGCATTTTCCGGTTCAGTGCAACGCCGTCTAGCCCTACTTCCTCGATCCAGCCTTCGTGCTCATCCTTGAAATCGTTGAAGTCGTCTAGCAGATCCGAATTGAAGATCTCAAGGAGCTGGAAGTATATCGGATCGGAGTTGCGGAGGGCCTGGATCGAGTCCAGGTCTGTGAGGTCCTGGAAATCGTAGTGGCTGGGGTGTGTGAAAGCGGACTTAAGTGCCCGCAGTGACAGTTCTCGTGCTTCGGGTGACGACACCTCTTCTGAAGCGAATGTTCGAAGAGCACGGAGCAGATATATGTATGCCTGTTCATCCTCCCCTGCATCGGCCGCAACGTCGCTCACTGCGAGGTACAGTTTGCGATCCTCGACCTCGTCCATCTCCCACTCCTCTAGCCATTTGTCCAGCTGCTTCAATTGCGGTCGCAGAGTCTCGAAGTTTGACGTCGCTCGGATGACGCGCAGGATCGCGAGAAGGATGTGGTACCGCATCTCGAGGTGGTCCTTGGGTAGCGTGTTGAAGACCGTCCCGAGGATTGAGAGGGCCAGGCCGCCTCCGTTGGCCGGCGATGACGATATGGGGGCGCTGAGGTGGGCGCATATTTTAGGGAGGAACATAGGAAGGTTGGGCGACTGCCGTACGAGGTGGATGAGGAGGTTGTATGCCGCTATGAACTCTGTAGCCCAGACCGTTAGCCCGCGCATCCTTCAGTGGCTGCTTGCCTGCATACCCTTCTCCGGCGCCTGGTTGAGGGCCTGGCCGCCCATGACGAGCTTCTTAAGCACTTCATCCTTCTTGTTCTCCTTCAAAAGTGTCGCGCACTCTCCCTGGATATCCGAGCTCTCGTCGCCCTGAGATTTTTTGAGATTATCGATGTATTGTGCGAGCTCGTCGGCAAGCTCCTCGAAGCTGCCCTCGATCAGAAGGGTAGTCGTTGGGCCCGGCATATTGGTCTTGCCGCGGAGAAATATGCCTATAGGAGAGGTAGGGTGTGGAGCGTGGGCACGGTGATGTGGTGGGCTCTGTCGAGGAGTCGCAGTTGCTGTGGTGGGATGCCAAGATTTCTAAAATTCCTATCGATAAATGCACGTGACGGGCTAATTCTGACCCATCCCCATCAATCTCAGCATCATCATAACCACTCCCTCTCATCTCAATCTCATCAGTACCATTGCTCTTTGGCTTTGAGCTAGTTCTCTGATTGACGAGCTGAAGAAATCACGAAAGTTCCCCACGGTTCTAAGTCTTCATCACCAGTTCACGTATCTCGCCCAATCTCGACACATTCCAATATTTCGACATTTTCAACTGTCATATCATCACACAATACGCTATCGAAATGGCGCTTGAAGGGCGTCTCACAGGATATTTACATTGAAGCTGATGGCAGTCTATCTAGCTTTTGTCCAGTCCCCATGCCAAATTCTCTTTCATCCCTAGGTGGACTTCACGATGTTAATCGTAATTGGGGTGATGTTTTGGGTAGTGTTGCTAGCACCTATGGGTCGATCAGCACAAGCTCGGAATGTTTCCAATCGTGGAACGAGGATACTTACCGTCATAAAGCGCAAGTCCATATCCATTGTCGCTTCCCTTGACAGCAACGAAAGTGCGGTTGGTCAGGGTGCTGCCGTCTTTGACGCCCAAGACATTGTTGTCCATGGTGAAGGTCGCCCATTCCATCAGCTGGCCCTTGGGAATGTTGTCGGAACTGGGGTTTGTCGCATCTATGAGATATAAGAGCACGCCGTCGGTACCCTGCAACGCAATCTGGCGAGTGTCGTCCGCATTGTGGATGGCGTACGTGCTCGTCGCATCGTACTTGTTGGTGAAGAACTTGGTCGCCGAAGTTTGGGCACTGGCAAGGACGTACGAGGTCGAGCCGCTCTTGAGCGATACCCACTGACCGGACACTGCTGTGGTGGCCCTAGTAGCTTAAGTCAGCTTTGAAACTTCTTGAAGAGTTGGACGGGACCTACGATTTGGTTTGAAGCTGGTAGAACTGGGTGCCAGCCGGTGGGGGCGCCAGTATCTTCCAAGGGGCAAACGGAAAGGCAGAAGCAACACTGCAAAGGGCAGCTGCGGCGACGAAGAAAGTCTTCATGCTGGGGTGTGCTTCGAGTGGTCGACTATCTTACGGAACGGCCTTGGACGGAGAAGAGACAAACAAACCACCACAGGGGAAACACGGCCTCTTTATACTTCCATCACTCGAAATTTCTCAGCAAATATCGGCACCACGCGTTCACCACTTTTCTTCGAGTCCCGTCCCTGCATACGCCTCGTCTACGGAAGCCGGTGCCGTTCTCGGAGAAATGCCATTATCCCAGACTTTATAATCCATATTAACTTCTAGAAGGCCATTATATGGAAAGCAATGTTCGCTACTTGAGGCGGATAGCGGAGTTGTCAAAGTGAGGTTGCAGAAGGGTAGGGATGCTCAGGTACCATTCGCTTATTCGGCAGCTATACGAGGGGAAGACCCTCCCTCATTCCTCACTCTCATCCCTGCATAGGTACAGACAATGCCTTCTGGAACGTTCCGACTACAAAACCCGATACAAACAGGTTGCATGGCAGGAGAGGGGAACAGGAGGGGTGGCAGCAGACGCGCGTTGCTTCAATAACACAGTAAGTGAAGGATATGATGGACATGGCTGCAACGAGGGATTTTGACGAAAGTCGGACTAATCAACCACAGCGTCGGCGTTACTGTACCCTAAAGCCCAGCATGATCGCTGTTCTTGGTAATTCCATAGTAATAGGCTGATATCTCTCTCAATTGGGAACTTGTTGATCATTGTTGTCATAGGTCATCGCGTGTCAGAGATAGAGATACCGGCTCATATACGAACGTACCACTATGTCGATCGTTCATCATCTCCACATGCGCTCGCTACGATCTCTCCGAAACGTCCCCGGATTGCTGTCGGGTTTGTTGAGGACTGCGCAGAAACGGCATAGGAAATATCAGGCTCCTGGCAATGCTTCCGCTAACACTCCAGGGCCCTGCGTGTCAAATGTCTCTGCCAATACTTCACGAGATGAACAAGTCTATGTACGTTTTGATAGGCGGCTCTGACACTAGTTATTGAAAGCAAGGAGAACGCTTCCACGCAGGAGAAAGTTTCGGCGTCCCCCAAGCACCTGGTTCCATCTGTACACTAACTTCTACCAGACCGCTCCCATCGCCCCCTCCTTTCTTCCTCTCTTCGTCTTCTACGCCACAAACATCTTCGTATTATCCCCCGACTGTACTTGCAGATAGACTCCCGCAATCGGGTCCTCCAATCCCGCATCCGTCATAAACTTAGGCCAATTAATGCCCATTCTGCTCTGCACCACTTGTCTCTGAGAAGACGGAACCGCAAAACTCGCAGGTTGCTCGTGCAGCAAGAAAATGTAGTTGTGGGGGTGCTTGGGCGTCTCGGCGGGGGGCGCAGGTCCGAAGTAGGATGCTGGGCCCGTGGCTGAAGTAGTGAGGATCGAGCTACCGTTCTGCGTCTGTCCAGTGGGAGCCCAGTCCTGCAGGAGGGCATGGAGCACGGTAGTGCGGGCACTGCCTGATGGGCTATATACGGAGATTAGTAGGCTGTCTCGGTGAGGTGGAGGCAGACGTACACATCGATGTCTGACGACGGGTTAGTCGATATTCAGCAGCTTTGATGTTCGTTGGAGGGCCTACCAATCATTGCCAATAGGTACTTGCCCGAGAGCTCCATCCCCGTTACTCCGATTGTCGGCTTGCTCTGCACGCCTGCTCGTAGTTAGAACCCGTCCGATTTGTCAAGCCCTACACCAACTTACTCGACTTCTTCATCATCAGTCCCGGCGAAATGTACGTAGATCCATAGTACACATCCAGCGTCTTGTTCACCGAAGGCGTAAACCCAGCCGGCGTCTGCGCAAACGCAGCGCCCGCAAGCAACCCCAACGAACTGACAATCTTGAACAGCATGTTCACGTGAAATTCCGTTTTCGACAAGTAAAACGACGATCACCGAGCCTCAACGATGGAGCAATCGCATCAGCACAAAATGCCCGTCTAACGCATATTATACCAACTCCCGGGATGCCGAGCCTTCGGGAGAGGTAGCGGGCCGCCGGGCCCAGGCGCATCATCTATAACCTTCCATGACGGCCTTTAGGTGTAATCGTTGGACCTGGAGACGTGGGCCAAGATGTTTGATGGGGGTTGGAGATGAGGCTCTGTATGGGAGAAAGGAGTAATATATGTGCGACCCTGGTCTACCCCGCAACGCCGGGGTAGGTTTGCTCGGCTTTATATATTCTAAGCCGGCACTTGAATGGGTGGGAAAGGGTTCGGGGGCATCTTTGATGTTGGGCGTGGTTTCGAGGGGCTGAGGTTGAGGAGTTTGCAGGTCAAAACATACTTTCCAAGCGGTGTTAAGGCAACGAAGCGCCTTTGCGTAGAATATACCCCTGAACTGTGATACCAACCGGTTTTGCGAGAATTTTGAGTAAACGATGTTCGTTAGCTAAAGCACACGGATTTCTGTGGCATGAGTGGGAATGGCGAAACTGTAATATTGCTAAGCGCGCGACACGTGAAGCCTAATCCCTCCATCCTACTCTTGCTCAATACTAACGATCAGCCCCTGAGCGGAAGGACATGCTGCACAAGACAGCTTTGCCTACAAAGCGGACACTCGGGCTTCTCCCTCGCCCAGTCGCTGATACACACCCAGCAAAACACATGCCCGCACGTCGTCACGCTCGGATCTCTCATCCCCTCCAGACACAATGTACACTTCCTATTCCCGCCTCCAATCCAAGTCATGGTCTCCTCATCACTAAGCTCGTACCTTGGTTTATCAGTCACCGGGGTATTCGTCCACTTCTGCAGCTCCGATGGAGGCGATGCAGGATGCCCGGGGGTATCGAAAAGCAGCGCATTGTTTGCGCTGTACGCATTTGGGTCGAGCGAGACTTCTACGCCGCCGCCTACCATTGCTGTAGTGCCCATGCCGGCGCCGAGCGCGGCGGTGTGGACCGTATCGCGGGACATGGTGTTGTGGAGGTGGAGGTATGTTTGTACGGCCATTTGAAGGACCAGCAGGACGCCGAGGACTTCGTATCCTACGCGCTGATCGCTTTCTTGGACGTGGCGTGTGAAGATATAGCGGAGGTTCCAGATCCGTTTTGAGAGGTGGTAGTAGCTGCCGGCGAAGTAGAAGGTCGCGAGTGACAGAGCGTAGATGGGTGATGGCGAGGTGATTGTGTCGAGATTTTGGAGGATGTAGTTTTGGATGCGCGCCCCTAGCGGTGTTGATATGTCCTTCTTGCTCCCACTCTCTTTCGCTTGGTGTTGGGCTTTGGCTCGCAATCGTGCGTACCGTCTGATGTTCGATTCCAGCTTCGCCCGTATCCTCTTCCTAAAAGCCGGTAATATCCTCCCCAGCAGATACGGCCCCAATATACAACTGAGGATATATCCTGCTCTTCTCCCCAATGCGGGCAACCTTCCATTCTCGCCTTCCACTTGAACGATGTCGCAGTACTCTTCCCCCAATGTTCGGTTGCCAATCAGCGTCGTGAGCCCGAGATAAAGAAGTTCGCTGAAGACACGGGCTTCGGACGTGTATGTGTGGGCGAAGCGCGCGCCTTTTACTTTGCGGAGGAGGGTTGAGAGCTGTTCGAGGAGGGCGCCGCTGAAGTACGCGTCTTTTTGGTGCGAGCGGATGATGTCGGGGGAGGCGGCGAATGGGTACGTGTATGGTAGAGACGGCGACATCGTGAAGGAAGAGGTCAAGGAACAAGAGACAATGAGAGGGTATGGTCGGGAAGTTTGCCGTCGCGATGGTTGTCGACTATCTGCCAAGACATTTCTTGACCTCGGCTTGCGATAGCAGGAGCTTGGACCACGGCAGTCCCGGCATCCCAACTTCTTGCTTCTGGCTTTCCACAAATTGAACATATTGATGCTTATAACTGAAGCGCGGGATAGCCCTTTTCCCCATTGACGTTCTCGCTGATTTTGTCTCGGCCTGCTCAGAATCCCACTTTTCTCTCTCAGGGCCTTGTCTTGACCGATAATTCTGGCACCGGTGAGCTTGTAGCCATGGTATCATGCGGGAACGAAGTCGCTGTACTTCATTCGCTGCGCTTGGTCGTACAGATGGGATTGTCTTGAAAATGCGCCCTGCCACGTAACGCGAGGCTTTGCCCAGGCCGTCAGGCTGAGTCCGAGAGCTGAGAACTGAGGGAAACTCCCCACCACTCCCCTCTCATAGCCTTAACACTGAGTGTATAACCTACCTCATCTTACCTTCGCACTAGGGCAGCACTCGTTTACGCTGTCCTGTCGACATTTCCTGGCGAGAGACGTCAATAACCCCTGCAGTCTGGCTCGCGCGTTCCCCGAGCGTCCAACGACAGTTCTTATCGCCGCCGACAACTGAGAGTGTGAGCACGGGCTTGACCGCTTGTCTACACGTTGCGCAGGAGTATCGCCGGGTCTGAGCTCTTCCACGGTAACATGGAGGTGGTTGGCGCTGCCGCAAGCGCGGTCACATTGCTCGGAGCGGCTGTAAAAGGCACCGAGGCTGTCTACCAGATCATCTCCAGCTTCAAACAGGCATCGTCGCATGCAAAATCTCTCGAATCGGCGATCAACAGCCTGAAAACAGTCTTGACTCAGCTCCAGAACGACAAAGTGTTAGCTAAAGACAACCCATATCTCGAAGACTTAAAGAAATTCCTGAAAGGCTACCATGCAGACATTCAACGCTACGAAAAGGACCTGAAGAAGACTCAAATAGATTCGAAGGACTCGAAAAGAGAACGTATCTCGAAGAAGGTGAAGGGAGCAATCCAGGGAGAAAAGGATCTCTTGCGAATCCTCGGAGAGGTGACGCAGCGCTGCGCAACACTTGGGACCCAGCTGAATCTCTTTCAATGGTAAGGAAGCCTTGACCACATGTACCAAGACGCCTAATCTTTGGTAGCCACGCCACTGTGACAGCGAGAGACACGGTTCTGGAGCTAAACGCAGCCTCATCAGCACGAGCGAACCACGATGCAAATCAGTCAACGCTATTGCTCCAACAAAGCACAAGCCTGTCGACTATCGACGAAAAGATGGGAAACGTTCAAACTTCATTGGGTCGAATCCAAGATACTGTCATAACAACGTCCGAAATGTTAGCGCAGAGCCCAGGGGTGTCCCGAGCGGACCACAATGCAAATCAGTCAACTCTCTTGGTGCAACAAAGCGCAACCTTGTCAGCCATCGACGGAAGAGTCGGGAATGTGCAAACTTCACTGGATCATGTTCAAGATGCCCTCTCAACCATGACCGAAAAGATGGAACAAATTCCTCGCGTCTCACACACGCAGAGTGAAGACATCCGCACTCTTCTTCTTGCCCTCCAAAGCCAGATATCTGGGCTCTCGAATCGATCCACCGGGGTGCAGAGTGGCTCTCAATCACAGTCGATTCCAACCACAGAGAGCGGCGACAAGGTCGAGAAGGAAGCCGAGCTGGCAGAAAGTATCGGAAGACTACGAACCTTAGCCTCGCAAAGAGAAGGCAGCGTGCGAAACGAGGAAGCGGAATCATTCATAGACGACCTTGAATGCATTCTGCATACAATAATAGCGTTACCAGACACTCGCCATGCAACCACCCCATCTAAACGCAAGCTCGAGGCAATGAGTGGAGCAGAGGACATCAGTCCACGCGAATTGAAACGTCTATGCAGAATCGCGGCCTCGTCTCACAGCATTGACCTCAACTTCGGAGGTAAATTCCCCCTTGTTCTTCCATCAGCGTAGTCAGTTCTAACATGGCCCAGCACCTCGATTTAAGCCCGGGGCGAAGGGGAAGATTTCCCAGAGGCATAGAGCCAAGGCGATTGTAGCACAAAATTACGAGATAACAGTCGCACTCAACGAAAGGCGCTTCTCAGATCCTCCCGCTGACGACAATCAACTCAACCATCACCAATCCCACATCGTGGAGACCTTGGCACGAGTCAAAATCTTCCAACGCTCTGCATACCCAACGATGCTGGTAGCCTACCTCCGTCAAGTCCAAATGCAGAACGGGTTTTCCATCCTGAACCCTGTGATTTCTATTGGCAGAATACTTCCCGATGACTCTCCTCTCTTCAGTATTGTACAAGGTGGCCACCTTGATCAACTGAAACGCTTACTAATGTTGTGCCAATGCACTCTCAGAGATAGGGACTCATGGGGTACACCATTATTGCATGTAAGGAGCTCCAAATAGGCGTAGATATACCATGCTTACCAAATCTTGCTAGTACGCCATGGACCAGCCGGAGATGTGCAGGTTTCTTGTCGAGAACGGCGCGGATGTTGACGAAATAGCGACTAGGGTAGACGATAAAGAGTTCCAGAAGTATGACAGCTATTATTCCCACTTCTTTATTTCAATAAAAGCCGTAAGGACCCTTCATTAACTGTTTCCATATTTAGCCCACCGATACTCCAGCATCTAAACGATCTGGAAGAGCGTAATGAAAAGAAGTTGCAGGCCATTCTAGAATGTAGACGTGTTGTATTGCAGGCGGGCGCAGATCCTACTATAAATTCAAGTGAATGGTCCAACTCTGTCTTCGAAAATGTATCATCGGGCACTGTCGTGGGTTCATTCCGATGTAACTTTTAGTCAGTTCCTGCTAATCGTAATAGGATTCCGTAAAAGTCATACTGGATCATGGCGAGCCTTTTTTCAACCTAGAAGAAAGGAATATAGACGGTAACACTCCTTTGTTGCATCTGGCGCACAACTACTCGTTAGGCTATGATGCCATGAGATTCAAGCTCCTTCTAGATCGAGGTGCCAATATACACGCTCGGGATAATAGAGGGATGACCTGCCTTCACATTGCAGTTCAGTCAGCGAGGCCTAGAAATCACTTGAATACAAGAGTGGAAGAAGACATGGAAGCGATTACTCTGCTTACTCAACGCGGCGCAGATATCTTCACCACCGACTATTCCGGTCGTTCGATCTTCGATGATGCCTATGTATGCGACCACGAGAAGGAATATCCTCGTGGCAGCTATCGTGGCGATCTCTGGGACGCTGCGCTGTTCCGATGTGGTCACGGTGAGCATATTCAAAGGCCGGAAGAAAGGATGTGCCACTATACTCAGTGGTACACTGAGGAAGAGTTCGCAAGACTTTGGGAGGGGATGGCACAGGATTGCCCTTATATCTCTACCCCTTCAGCGATATGCCCGGATCGCGATGAGGTGAATCGACGCGCTGAGGAGTACAATCGGCGCCGTGAAGAGTACATTCGGCACTATGAAGCGAACTATCGAAGGGCTGAAGATTCGGTCTCTGAGGAAGAGGAGGAAGATTCGGCAGATTCAAACATAGGAGACGAGATGTATCTCACGGATTCCGAGCAAGACGGGTCCGAGATTGGGTACAGGGGTGGAATCGTACTTGGAGAAGTTGATGATCTTGACGGGGATGATGCAGGGTAGCTGCATGAGGGAGAGTCAACATGAGGATCTATTGGATGTTACCAGTCGCTTTTGGATGCAGTCACAGGAGCCAAGATGACACGAGGAATCTTGGGGCGTTCGGCGTCATGGAGGGGGCATAAGTTTCCCGATCTTTCGACTATTCTCTAGGGGAGTACTATCTGTCGCGCGGAGCTGCCACTACAGTACACTTCTCCATATCAACCATCTTCTTCTAGTCATACCTCCCCCCAAGCTGCCGAAGCGTAGGGACCCAATACCCAGCCCGCTCCCTCCTCTCCTTCCATAACTCGTAAAACTTAAAGCGGCTCTTGCTCTCCACCATCTTCGCCTCATCAAAACGTTCCTCGTAATCATATCCCTCCCACATCATCGCTTCCAGCAGTCGCGGCTGGTGGGTGTATAGACGTCGGGCACGCGGATCCGCCTCTTCGTCCTCATCCCATTGCTCATTCTCATTCTCATTCTCATCCTCGTTCTCCTCTTCCTCCTTCTTCTTGCCCTGCTTGGCTTCAAGGACCTCCCAGTTTACGTCGTCGCAGTACCAAGGCCAACTGTCCTCTGTGTACCCCATGAATTCGTCGTCGTCGTAGCTTAGCTTGGATTTTGCAGTTGGCCGCGTGGGTCGCGCGGTCGCCGGTTCGCGCATGCAGCAGCAGCAGTGGTATTGCATTGCGTCGTCGAGGATGGTGAGCACGGAGAAGAGGTCTGCAGTTGGGTAGAAGCGTGTGGGCGGGCATATTTCCTCTGGATGAGCGCCCGAATCCTCCTGTAGTTCATTTCCGTCCTTGTCACCATTCCCCTCGGCGCTTAAAGGCACCTCTTGCCGGCCATTAATCTCCGGCTCCAGCGAGCTCAGATACCGGAACAAGAAATGGTTAAACGGCGCGCATCCCCTGAGCCACGGCTTCGTCCGGAAATGCGACTCGTACTCCTTCCCAAACCGTCCTCGTCCGCCCTCGTTCTCCTCTTCGATCCGGCGGAACCGCTTCATGCCATCCCCCACATCCACACGAATCGCCGCCTCGGAAAACTTCCTGTCGCCTTTGCCGAAGGCAATGTACACCAAGGCGCCGTGATTGGACTGATGCGGATCGTCATATTCCGAATACGCGTCTTTAATCGGGATCAGTACCACTTGCACAAACTTGAACTGCGCGAGCCCGATGCTCTGGATCCAATGGCCCAGGACCCCTATCGGACTGTTGCGAGAGCTGGGGCGCTCGTACGTGCACAGGTACATGTCGAGAACGGAGATTCGGCGTGCGGCTTCGCATGTGTAGACTGCTTGGCGGAGCCGGAAGCTGTTCTCAGAGTAGTACATCGATATGGCTTCCTGCCGCATCTGTCGACAGACACGGGTGACGGCTGGGGGCGGGACGGGGTCGAAGCTTGTGCATTTTATGATAGCGGCGCTAATGACGAGGTCTTCGTAGATGGCGTTGCGCAGTTCGCTGGGTAGGTTGAAGAATGTCGGCATACTTTGTGTTAGGCCTGCGGAGGGAGACAGTGAACTTCGATACTGGAGTGATCAAAAGGGAGTTGCGAAGCAGGGGCGATTGCGAGATAAAAGAATTGTTTGGGGGTTGCGGGCGAGGATTTATACGCGCAAAGCGCTAGATGGGTGGGTCATGTGTCGGTGTGAATGCAATAGAAGAGTGACAAAGCAATCGAACAGGAGGTTTAGTATCCACTTGGGAATAGAGCTATGAAACACGTGGGTGAATGTCTTGCCCATTTCTCGCCCAGGGCAGCTCAGAGAACCTGTGCATGTGGAAGAGAACAATACTAAGTTCTCTTAGCCAATGCTGCCAAATCCGCGAGTGGGGCCTGATTGAGCAGGAAGTCCAGGCACGCGAGCCTCCAGAGTTGCCGGAAAAAGAGGTATAGATTCTCCAAGACAGGTCATACTGAATGCACCCTAATATATACCGAACTAAGGGCTGCAGGGACGTCTGGACCACGGTAAGTGTTGAAAAATTATACATTCCGGGTCAATGTTCGGAGTTTCGGAATGACATTTTCAGCTAAGAGATCGGTGATTGAAGGCACGTCCACTAGAAACTGTTCGATCAAATTCCTTGTGCCCCGAGGAAGATCTCAGGCCCGCCTGAGCGACAGACAGTGTTGCGCCGTGCCCAATTTAACATACGCTCTGGAAGCTCTCTCTGACACTAACTCTTGCAGATCCGCGTGAGTGTTGAAGTTGGGGAACCCCCACGGGCTTGAATAAATCCTCGAAAGATTGACAAAGTGGGAGTTACGCTGAAGCAGATGAACACCCATAAGACTTGTAGAAAGGAGAGTGCACCACCCCGTCCTTAACTGGAAGACGATTGCGGGCTAGGAAATCACCTTACATCCGAAAGCAATGAAGAAATCGGCGCCCGATCCCTCTGCCACCGCTCAAACTCGACGGAATCAACACCACCCTTTTCAACTGTTAAATCGCTCGTCCAAGTCCTATCGAACCTTTTCCTCTCTGCACTCTCTTCCCTCTCCTTATACTCCAAATGCTGCTCCTGTATCTCCGCCGCTTCGGATCGTAGGCTCCATTTCCGCAAATCAGTGTCAATGCAACACTGCACGGTGTACGTCAAATACAGCGTGATCTGCGGCCCCTCTTCCAAGTCAAGAATCGACAGACCGAACGATGCAACCCTCTCATGGCGAAGAAAAGACTCCGTGATGTCGTAGATGACGCCCATGGTCACGCCACCGGATTTGGAGCCCTTGAAAGGGACTTTAGCTTCATTGCAGAAGTCTCCCATCATCGCATGGCAGAACTTCACAACCGAGAGTGAAGTGGGCGGCGGCTGGATGAGGAGCATTCTTCGCCAGCTGGCTTCGGGCCGCAGGAATGCTTGCCTTCCGGATTCATCGTCTAGTCCGTCCAGCAGTTCAATGCTCTCGTAGGTCGGCATCGCCCAGCGGTTGCTGGGACGGACGAACCATGGTACCAAAACTTCCCGCAGGAGAGGATTGAGAGTCCATTGGCGGTCCTCCTTAAAAGGGGAAGCATGGAAGAAGAGCAATTGTTGGAGACTTGGAGACAATGTTATTGCTTTTCGGAAGTGGCGTGAGAGGCGTTGGGCGAAGAGCAGGTCGCGGGTGGGGAGTTGAGCTAGGATGTGCTCGAGGAGTTCCGGAGTGGACAGGACGCGGTCTTGAGCAGATGCCATGGCCACCGATGTTGAATGTAGGAAAGATGGAGTGGAGTGGAGTAGGAAGAGGCCGCCTGAACATTCACAGCCACTGGATTGGCGTAGAGGCTAACCGGATGCGGTTAACCACTTTGCGGGGTCTGGACGTCTAGGCACTCTGCACGCTCTTTGCCTGTCTTCATCGTCATCAACATCCTGATCCAACGCTCAGCTATCAATGGCTATGCTTCCATATGGCGACGATGCCGGGGGCTAGCAATGCGTTACGCTCGTCTACCTAGTTCACTCGCGTTGTTCATTTGTCCGCATTTGACGTGCCTCTCTGCCAGGACAGCGGTGAGAGGGTACGTGGGCCGCATCAGTTTATAGAGAAGTAATCGTAGCTCTCTCACTGCGTGTAGTTTGTTTCTTTGGCTTGAATGTTGTACCTGGGGTGGGGCACTTGGATAGTGCACTCAACCTCCATCCCTTACTCGTGCAGGATCCGGGTTGTCCAGCTTTTGTACTGCATATAGAGAGATCAATGTGTGCCAAAACTCGAGCCGACAAAATCACTAGTATCATTCCTTACGAGAATTTCTCACCTTAAAGAGGCAAGACGGAGAGAAGGTGGCTTACCTCGCACTTCTCCAACAGCCGCATCCTCGACTTCCGCTCTCTAGGCAACTCACTTCTGGATATGCCCATACTCTTTCCCCAGGCCCGATACGTAATTGCGCCTGCCTTTTCCAACGGATCATCCATTTCTTTGAATTCGCCACCGCTGCGAAGACGGAAGGCACGACTGCGGCCGCGGGCCCTCTGCGAAGCCCGCCTTTCACTCGAACACCGCTTCAGCGCCACAACAAAAGGTGACTGAGGATTCGGCCGCAACACACCGCCCCGCATCATGTTGTCGTTGCTGTTGACACAACAAGCCCCAGGTCTTGGCATTGGTATATCTCGACCTCACCTCCACGACCGCCCTCCACTCCGCCACCTCCACGCACTCCACCTTCGTTGACCTGTCGGAAGTCGGTCAACTGTTTGTCTTCGGTGTTGTTATCGTCGCAAAGACTGTCAGAACAAACTCGGACGGTGTACGAGGAAGCCATGTCTTCCAAGGTGAGCAATCCAATTGCTTTGCGCGCCTCCAATTGTTTATTTGCGACCGCCGTTCATGACCCAGCAGGTGTATCCGCAGAGCAAGCTCAGTAACACATCCCACGCCATGTCTGGGTACAGCGGTGGCCCAGTTCGCGACGCAGGCGGGCGCGCGGTTCAGTTCAAGACGAGCAACCCGTTTGAAGCCCTTTCAGTTGCCGTTCAGTCCTCTGCATCATCAGGAAGCGGAGGATCTGCGGAGTCGCCCCCCTCCCCTCAAGGTTCGGTGTCCTCGACCGACACGGTCACTGGCAAGACTTCGGTTGGAGGCGTTGCGATAATTTCCAGCACTTCGACTCCAGGACCAGGTCATACGCGGGAGCAAGCAGCTCACCATGTGAGTTCTGCAAAATCTGACGTTGACTCGTATATATACTGACGGGGCAATTCGGAAGGGGTTCTTTCCTATGTCGCCAGAGATGGTTTCTCGCAAGTCAACTACGACCCCAAACATCCCGAGCTCCTTCAGCTCCCCCGTGCGTAAGCATGTGCAGGAGCCCCAGAGTAGCGGCTTCGGACCCAGCGCCCGCCGTGGATCGACCCTCAGCCAGGGCGGTCCTCTCTACACACCGCCGCCGCTACGCCGTGACTCGATGGATAGTCAGAACTCTACCCTCTACACGCCGCCACAGCTGCGCCGTGACTCGATGGTGAGTCAGGGCCCAGCAGGGTCGTATGCGTCTCCGGCACGTCGCTTGACTGGTTCGAGTATTCAACCTCCGATGATGCACCCTTCTATCGGAGTGCGTCAAACCATGAATGGTATCTCGGAGGCTGTCGCAGTTGAAGAGTTCGCGTTCCGCCGTGGACAGCAAGATCGTGGCAGCGTTCGGACTCGCATCCCCAAGAATCCTTTCCACCCTGTTCATAATCAGGCCTGGGAACTTAACTATCTGCGAGGCAAGCAATCGAAGACCCCTGCCGTGGTCTCCCGGTCAAATGCGGCTTCACCGTCGGGCAAGAACTACGCTTGGCCGATCCTAATCAACCCGTACACGCAAAACCAGGAGCACCCGAACGGCTCCTTCGACGCAGAGTGGGCTCAGGATATGATCATCCGTGCTCTTGACAGCATGGCAGCAATTATCTCCATGATCCTCAAGCGCGGCAAGCAGGGTGAGTGGCAGCGCGCTGTCTGTGACGTTCCAGCACCCGTTGCCGAAGCGTTGTCGGACTACCCGCACCTCATGGGACGTTACGAGAAGCTGAAGCGCGATGCCCAAGAGGCCATCGCCGGGGGCCGACCACAAGGATACACTCAAGATGACTGAAACACCCCTCCATATTCGAAGTGGTGTCGAAGGAGTTGTTACGTCGTCGATGCGGCCCAATGTGTCGTAACTAGCGTCGACTGTTCGATGAGGACGGTTCATGAAGAGGACCTTCTAGGTACGTGGTGTGCGAATATGCTTTCATGATTTCCCTTTCCGGAGTTCGGGTGGAATAATGTGGCTTGTCGTATTCGATGGGCGAGATTGATAATGGGGGTTGCTTTTTTTCGACGGATGATACGGCCTGATTTCATGGACGATGTTTTCCTCAGATGCGTGTACAATATCGACTGCGGGATACGGACGGAAAGGCGTGCAACTGTATGATACTTTCTGAAAACGACCGGACATAGCTTCTTAACGACCGGCTGCTTTCTTCCACACAGCTTATTCCTCAAAGTTTCACGGTGTCTTGTTCGGGACTGTATACTTTGAGAAGTACGTTCTTTGGTTTCAATTGTTGCAGCAACATTTTTGACAAAGTCAGTCCAAGATGTGAGCGTTGATGAAGGAATTGAAGTTCGATTTGCAAATAACAAGGATGAAAAAGTAAAAAGCCGACAAGTTTATACAGGAATCGCTCACAAAACGCCGCTAAATGCTGATGCTCAGACAATGCTCCTGGTACTCTAACACGCCTAATCCTCCTCCTCGTACTTATTCGACATATCTCCGAGTAGAATATCGTCAGGCGCAGGGCCGCGGTGGTTGCGCACTGCTTCAAGTTAGCCATCTTTTTCTGTATCCAGTGGGAAATCGTTTGACGGCACTCACCCCACTCGCACTCGACGCGAAAGAAAATCCAGATCCACCTTCGCAACACCTCCAACGCCTCCATCAGGAAGATGCCACCCTCCAAATCATTAAAGTGGTCTAGATGCGGACTCAGCTTGAAACTCCACGTGCACCGCAACATGGCGTCCACCGCGATCGCTACGTAGTAGAATTCGTTTGCATGGAACCATCGATGCCGTCGCAGGCCGTACGGATACTCGGGGTTCTCGCGCTCCTTTTTGGACGAGAAGAGCGTGAGGTCCCAATCGCGAGCTACGTCCCAGTAGAATGAGTATGCGGAGTTGACGAACACGGCCGCGAGCCACAGACGGAACAGCGTTGCTTCCGACATGCCGTATTTCGAGGGTTCGGGGCTGCGTTGTAGTGCGGAGAGGATGATGACGGGGAAGGCGGTGCTGTATTTGAGCGCGTTGGCGAGGTGCTGGCCACCCCAGCCCGTGGAGGGGCTGATCTGCCCGGTCTGCTTGTTCGCCTTTTGCACGCGAGAGTATTCTGTCAAGCATTGCCGGAGGCGGATGATTGAGGGGACGGATATCACGAATGGAACCCAGAATGCACCGCCGCAGTTGCGGTTCGGCGGCCCGGTCGAGGAGTGTTTGGAGGAGAAGAACATGCAGAGCGAGATGAACAGGTCGCCGAGGACTTTGGCGTAGCTGGTCAACGCATCAGCCAATAAAATATCCCCGAATTTCCCGTCCTGTGCTTCTGCTATTCCACCAATCGATATGCGCTTCAGCGTCGCGAGGGTCCGGTGTCGTCCATTACGGCTCACAAACGGTATGGGTGCCACGAAACCAACTACCAGTACAAGCAGGTATAAGTTTGGCAGTATCTCCCAAGCTGCAACGTCCTTCGGGCTGCCATTTGTGAGGGTCCAGAAGAGGAGCAGGGACAGGATGAGCGGGATCGAGAGGAAGGTCGCGACGCGGTAGCAGGACAGGTGGTGCGGCGGATGGTGGGGAGACGTTCGCGAGGGGTAGCGGACTAGCGACGGGACGTCGATTTTGATCAGGGCGAGGTAGTGGAGGTTGGTGCCCCATGCCCAGATGCCTGTTCGATCCGATTAGCTTCCAGCACGTTGTTGAGAGGGCGCGCGCGGCGGAGAAGCCTACCCAGAACAATGATCAGGGCCACGCGGTACGGCAGCGGCAACAGGCGACTGAAGCCATCAAGCTCAGGGTCGACGGCCGGATCTCCGTCCATCTCTTAATCGTGTCGCGGATCCCCTATATTCGCACCCCGGTTCCCTTCTCTTGATCTGTCATCCAGCGGCGTTCAACGAGCGACTGCGGTAAGTGACCTCCTCTTCCCTTTGTTCAAGGACTCATTCCCATCGGCGTAAGGGGCGCGAAGAGAGTAGCGTGTCCACTTTCCCTTCGCACGAGGTTGCGCAAAAGGAGCGCCACACACGGCTGACGTAACGTCGTTTCAGCCGCATGCTTGCCAAAAGCGGGAAGGAGCAGTTCAGCCCTGCCAAGCCTGTCGGAAGGAAGGGACCTCCGAATCGAGCCTTCCCCAAAGGACGTCGCCATGACGTTCCCCATCGAGCAGCAACAGAATCAAAGATATCCGAAAAGCCGCCATTGGGCAGAGCGTGCCCGACTGCACATGAGACACACCTGTGCCTAAAGCTATCTGAACCTCACACTTCGCTCATTCCTCCGTCACCCAACGCAATTGCTCACATCGAACGAGCTTCCAAGTGAAGCTAGCAAAACCGTGCAGTTTTCCGACCGACCGAATTCCATTGAAACATACAAACGCAACAATGTCCCCCCTCACCATCCCCAAGATCTTCATGGCCGGCGGCGCTGTCGGCTTCGGCTACTACCTCCTCATGCGACAATACTGGTTCCCGAACCCATACAAGACACGAGAAGTGCAGAACATCGAGGACCGCTTCTCAGCGGGCGGAGGGACTCCACATCACACACCCGGCGTGGCTACCATGAGAGGTATGCTATACTACTCTGAAGGCTTGTTGGTGGAATATGAATGGGACGGCATTTGCTGATCGCGGAGAGGAACAGGAGACGCTTCGAACGTCGAATCAAGACAAGTCGGCGAGCACAAAGGCCCGCAGTCTGAGTTCCACAAGAAGAACATTACAGACCAGCAAGCTAACGTACGAACATCTCCCTGATTTCCCCTCATAGTGAGATAGTAGCTGATGATGTCCGTGCAGGCGCCCGTCTTCCCCGAGAAGTTCTACGAACAACAGTACAACAATCCGAAGGGCAAATGAGCGTATCGACCGTCCGTCCGTCCCGACCGAGCGAGTATACAAAATTGGGAGAACCCACCGGTGTTGGTTGGCAAGCTTTGATGCATCATATTATGGCGTTCTCGACTCACTCATCAGGCTCCTCCACTGTAAAATCATTGTGTATATACGAGAAGCTCTCCCCTCGGGAGGCTTGCAGGAGGAAGCAAATGCAATTGGTCCAAGTTCAATCCAGTCCCCCTGGACTTGGTCTCGCGTAGTATTGGAGTGTTGTTGTAGCCCTGACGCCATTGTCTAATGCGAGGAATCCAGCGAACAGAAGTGAACCTCCTGTTGAAGTTACTAAAGGTACGTATCAACGCCGAGGGATTTGTCGCTATAAATCCATATATGCGGTAGAAGCTACCTAGCAATTCTCGATTAATTAAATCTCTACAGGTATCCCTTACTATTTAATTATACTGATTCAATACCTTCCTTGATCGACTACCTCTTCCCGATTACATCAGCGCTGAAGCCGTTACTTTCTAGCTGTGTGACCTCCCCCAAGCCCAGTTTCTATCTACCCGCTCCCAAGTCTCTCCATTCCTCTCGCACCTCATTTTATGACATTCTGTCTTTGACGACGAACCCCGAGGACGCCTACTACACCCGACAACAATAAGATCTAGATGGTTTGAGTGGAGCACTCGAATATAGAGCGAGTAACACGGACAATACTATTGCCTCCGTTAGAATACGCAAAGTACGTCTTTATTCTTCCACATAGCCGCGATATAGACTAGCTTGACTCTCCACAGGCGGAAGGGAGTATGAGTGGGGACTGGGAACATTCACAGACCTAATACAGTATGCACAGGCGCTTAAATTATCCCTTACCATCGACGTTGTGCCGCTATGTTATTGCCTCTACCTTAGGATGAGCTCCAAGCTAATGCGTTTTCAGACGTGCAAATATTGACGCGTTTACTTCGCATTGTCTATTAGCCTCCAGTCCTGTACTGCACTCAAGTCGTCCTTTCTATCTCGTTCCTCTTCTCATATAGTATCCGATTTGGAAGGCGCACTCGACACGGGCAGCTGCCCCACCTTCACAGCTCACCCTCTCGATTTTCCGGATAGAACGACGTGCGTAGCAACTACCCTGGAGGCCTTCGCGGGTGCGTACAACGTCGAGGTCGCGCAATCCAAGCGACTCTGCGCCGACCGAGAGCTAACAGTGCATAGGCCTGAGCCTCAGGTCCAGATCATCCTGCCGGACTCGACGGATCAGCTTTGTGAACAGGCTCCGGGACGTACTCCAGTGTCCAATCTCTGCAGCTCGATTGACCATGCCTCGGTATCCCCTCTGAATCTGAGTATAGAACGCGGTGCGCTTTATCAGCAGACATCGAATGGTCCAGTAACGACGAAAGTTCTGTCCGAGGGCGTAAGTTTGAGTCTCTCAGAGGGTCTACTGGGGAACGAAACCGAGCTCGACATTAACGAACAGCTCTGCATGGCCATCGTCTTGTCATTTGCCCTGCTGGATTTCTGTGGAGAGCCGTGGTTTCCCAGCGGTTGGACAAGAAATGGGATCTACCTTCTGCAGCATGGCTAGCATCTCTCCTTACGACCGGCACTAATTGCATGTGTAAGACCAACCTCCGCAAACACTGGTGCATCAAGGATTTCTCCCGATCTGAAGTTGCTTTTCCACCGCATTCTGCTTATGGAAATTTTCTGGCAAGAAACTCTGCCAATCGACCTAGGTCCTGGCAAAGACATGAACGTCTCAGAACTGAGGGATTTAGCGCTGAAAGAGTTCGAGGCGATGAAGATGAAATGGAGTGTCTCTGAGAGGTATAGGCAGTCCGTCGAAGCCTGCCTCGAAGGCATCGAAGATGAAGATGCTTTGGGTGATGGAGAGTCATTCACCAGGGCCTTTTGTCAGAGAATCATCAGCCCGCTAGAGACCGACTACACATCGCTGTGGGGAAATCGCGATCCCGATGACGTTATTTCGGAGCTCAAGCTGTCCAGCGTGAAGCGGAAAAGGCCACCACCAGGAGCACCCAAGCCAGCACACTTTCAGGTAAGTCCGCAGTTACGATTGCAGGTTGCAGCTAACTCTCTATAGACTTTTAAGGCAAAGCATGGTGGGGTCACAAAGTTTCCTCGGTTCCCTCCGCCGCCCCTCAAGTTCTTTGACACTGTCGACAGTCCAGAGCCGAAACAGTAGGTGGAACCTTAGGCTTTCACGAAATGGTCTTTCTGCTGACTTCTCCCCGTGAAGAATCGAAGGGGCTGAGCGATGGTTCAGTCTTTTCGACCAAGACGACGTTAAAGCGCAACCGCCCAAGAGAGCGAGGGACATAACCAATCGAATAAAGATCGCGATAATAGACACCGGTATCAACATGAATGATCCCTAGATCCAACAGAAAGCGGGAATAATTAAGTGCTGGCCGAACATCGAATCTTGTGAAGATACCGACGGCCGTGGAACCCAGGTTGCGTATCTCCTACTTAGGCTAGCGCCCCACGTACAACTCCGAATCGCGAAGGTTGCCAAATCGCAGTTGCTGAAGGACGCCGACGTCGAAGATATTGCGAAGGTGAGCGCCGAATCTTCGAATTCCTCAATGACGACATTGCAATGCTGACACTTGATCAGTCTATACGACACTTCTCCTCCGACCCCTACAACCGCGTCGACATCATCAACCTCTCGTTCGGATTCCCGCGATTTCACGAGAAACTCCGTCCGATCCTCGACGCCATCCGCGAAGCTCGACAAAACAACGTTCTCATATTCGCTGCTGCCGGTAACGAGGGCGGTAACCAGGGCATTTTTTGGCCCGCGAAACTCCACGAAACAGGCGATGTGGTCTGTATCAACGCATCCGATAGCGACGGCGACGCCTCCAGTTTCAATCCTACCACCGGCTCCAGCAACCGCATCTGCACCCTAGGCGAAGCCCTCCCGTCATGCGAAAAGGATGCACAGAATAACACCATGCACCGAAGTGTCACGTCATTCGCGACGCCGATCGCAGTAGCGATTGCATCAATTGTGCTAGGCGTTGCAGGCAACGTCGACATCAAAGCAGAAGATGCTCCACCGAACTTCGAATGGCTCAGGGGGCGACTGAAAACCAAGTCTGGCATGGAGAGGATCTTGCATGAGATGTGCGTGGAGCAAGAGCAAGAGAGAAGGGCTGGGTACTCCTATATCACACCGTGGTTCTTTCTCGGTGTCGGAGAGAGGTCGCGCGTGCATGTTATGGCGAATGAACTAAGAGGCATTCCGGAGTGAGATACGCAGCCGGGTACTATGAGCCAGGAGGCCCAGTGTTGAAGGCGCCATTCTCTAGGAGCACTGCTCAGCTTGGGGTCCTTCGACCGCTAATCCACGGGCGCGTCGCAATCATCAACCCCCGCCCTGATGTCCTTCGACCGCCGATCCACGAACGAACTCACAGCGTCTCCACCTATCGGAACTCAGCTAGCAACCCAAATCTCGGAAATCACAAAGACCGGAAACAGTCCAGTTCGCGTCACTGATATATCCGTAAAGTCTGTCGCAGCGGACGGATCAGAGCGAAGCTTCATTTTGAACCGCGGATTTTGGGAGCGCACTTTGCTGAAAGATGCCCACAATATCGACTTTGAAAAGTTTTGGATACAACAAGAAGCCGGATGTGTCCGTGTGAAGCGTCCCGTACCGCGCCGGGGCGGGTTCTCTTTAATAATAAGATATTTTTTCTTTAAATTTTAAGGAACTCTCTGTTCTATATTAAAGAATGATCCTTTAAATTTTAAAGAGAATCTAAGGGGTAGTGTTTTGTGCATCCTTTATAAAGAGAGTTTCTTTATTCCTTTGAATTTCTCTTTAACACTTTGAAGGATTTTCTTCAAAATTTCAAGAACTCTTCTATATAACTTGAAGAACTCATCTTCAAAATTTGAAGGAAAAAAATTAAAGTTTGAAGAAGTTGATTTTTCACGGCGCGCGCAAAATCGTGAGGAAGCCGCCAACATTTCCACGGATTTATGCATACAATAGATCGGTGACTCAAAAATACGAGCTCCTTCGTAGGCACCACCGCTAAGTGCCAAGATTTCTACACATTATTGCATACGTTAGATAAGGCACCACCGCTCAGCCTAATCAGTTGAATTTCTCTACCTCAACGCCCGCAAAGCCTATTCTTCATGGGCACCTCCTACAACTGGCCACAATGTCCTTCGCTCTGTCTGGCGCGGGTAACAATGACATCTTAGTCGCGGCTACCGCCCGGAGAGCTCGCGAGCTTCTCCTATCTTGTCGAGAAACGCTAACGGAAGACCGAGACGTGCGCCGTATGGCAGCTAATCAACTCAGCAGATTCGATATTTGGGCATCGAATATCGGAGTGTTCTCCTCGAGACATTGGTCCCTCGATTACCAACTCCGCACGGCACCAGTTGCACAAGCCGCCATTGATGGCAACATTGAGATCCTATGCAAACATCTCCTGGGTGGTAAGGCGTTCCCCACGCTATTGCGGCCTATTTAAAGATGACTCGAACCGCTTACATTGAACAGCTCTTGCCGGACGTGTCTCCTTCACCGACGACGAGCTCGTTGCTTTCGCCGATACGGACTTACGGGACGTCTTTACCTTCGGTTCCAAGCTCCACGAATCTTCCGCGTCAATAAAAGACACTCGCGATGTGCGCATATCTTCGCTGGAATTGGCGGAGGCAACCATCGATATGCTTCATGAGCTGTCGCTCGCAATTCGACATGCAAGTAATCGGCATTCGCTGGTTCGGGTTCCAAAGCTTGTTGCCAATGACCAAGGATACTCTTGGGGCAAGACCCATGAGGAGCTGCTCTCTAAGTCCGGCGTCACCGTTGAGCCGATGAGGTTCGAAGTTACTGCAGCATTTGGAGACTTCGTTCGCCGAGTGCTTCAGTCACGATGGCTTAATACAGACGTAGATGTGGCTCTAGATGACCACCAGAAGCGCTATAGGGAAGCCATGTTTCGACGCTGTATCACTGTCATCTCGGCACGCAGACGCCAATTGACCTTCTTCCAAAGCCACCAGGCCAAATTGGCGAGAACCGGGCCAGAAGAAATCCTGAAAAAGCCGCAGCCTACAATAAATCCGAATCCACAAGCGGCTCAGAAACCAAGCACCTTGCAGCATAATCTGTTAGCTCCAGCAGTCAGAAGCTCCGCGTCTGGTGAGCCTCGAAAGACCCTCACCATTACTCCCAGCGAAACGACCCCTTCCGAGTTCAACATTGCTTCATTCTGTTCGCCGCCATCTACGTCAGCACCACCATCTACGGAGACTGGCTCTTCTGCCGGTGGCTTGGGAGCTACGGGCCCATTTGAAGTTCCTCCAGCGCCAGAGCTAGCCAGCGATGAGAAAGAGAAGATGTGCCCTTACTGCTGTTTTGTTTACCCCGCGAAGACGTTCTCAGCCAATAGAAGATCTCGGCGGTGGAGAAAACATTTGATTGAGGATCTCCAGTCGTATATCTGCCTGTTTGAGAATTGCGACCAGGCAGGCAAGGCGTATCGAACTTTCAAAGAGTGGCAGGCGCATCTCAGTCAACGACATGTACAACAATGGGTGTGCCCTCTGAAGCACAAAGACCACGACATTACGGAAAGCGAAGATCTGGTCTACGACACAGCCGAGCGATTCGAGGAGCACCTAGACCTCTCCCATTCGGAACTAGAACCATACAGGCTACACAGTGTCCTCCACGCGGCGAGTCAGCGAGCGAAGCTGCCACGATGGTGCTTTGTTTGCCTGGCGGAGCAAAGCAGTGATGTCGCACTTCAGCAGCACCTGGCAAAGCACCTAGAAACCGCCTTCATCCTCGCGTTACCGGCTAGAGACGATATAAAAGACTCCGATGCAGCCTCGAGCGGCCGACCCTCAGGCCGAACAGCCAGAAGTGACGGCGAACTCTCCGGCGAGGCGGGCCTTTCCGATATCAGGGACCCGTATTCAGATAATGCCAATGTAAAGGAAGATGGAGAACTACAGTCTCTAATGGCAAAGGAATTCAACGCCTGTCTAGACGGAATCGAGATTGCTAGAGAGTTGCTGGAGAGTCCTTATCAATCTACCTGCAGAGGGGCGTTAGACGAAAGAGGATGCAAGCGCGAGAGCAGTTGTTGAGACGAAGGGCTTTGTGACGGCTGGCGGCATCGAGGTGGTGGCGAATTGTCTTTGCTGCCACAAAGATGCTGTCTCTGCTCGTCCGCGTGCGAAAATGGCGAAAAGGGCGAGAAGCGCGCGTTAGAAAGCGCTGGAGAACTGCTCTCGCCTATGCTGCATTCAGAGCTCAGCAAAAAATAGCTACGCGACCAAGGAGCAGTGGTCCGCCTCCGTTGGGCCCTGCGCGCCCAAGCAATATCAGCCACTATCCACCTCTAGAGGATCTTCGACGCAGATCTGTAGTATCTTACATATAGAGTCTTTATACATAGTATATAGGTATAAGTTAATAGTATATTACTACCTAAGTTTAGTGAAGCGAAGGGAACGCGGGCGGGGACAACACACGTGAATCCTAAGACCTTGGGGTACATTGTAATGCAATACCAAGAACCGTTTCCTGCCGCTTCCTGCCTGTTAGCCCCCAATTCCCGTGCGCATCTTAACCCCGTCATGAACATAACGTCCTGAAGCACTTCAAGCTACCACTTACTTACTTACCCCACCCACTCACCCCTAGTCAAACAACGTGCTAGATACGATGAGGGATAGGCACTGAAGAGATCAGGGGAGCAGTGAGTGCGCTAGATACCTACCCACCTAAGCTCTTACGAAGTCAACATGATCTTCATCTATGCACTATGTAGTGTAGCCTTCCCACAGCTGCTCTTCCACACCTCTGCTCTTCATCCCAATAACGATAGAACAACGCCCGTAGCCGTGCCAGACACAAAACAAGACGCAGGGTATTCGCGCTGCGATTGTCTCACTCATTCATCCATTACGCTACCCGGCGCCCTAGCCAGTCACTCAACGACTCCACAAATAACATACGCATACACATTCAGCATTCCGCCCTATGCTAGGCTACACTACCGGCCCAGCCCCAGCCCTCATCCCCCATTGCGCTCCCGGACCTCCAATCCAGGGACCCTCGCGCTGCGCTCGCTCGCTCTACCCCGAGATAAATATGGTTGAAAATGATACACTAATCTAACACCAGGCCCAATGCAGGAACAAGGGCCAACAAATGCGACCGACCGACCGACCTCTGTATGAGATGAAGAAAAGACGCCTCCCCACTCCCGCCTTTTAGCGCACGAGAAGAATGCTCATCCAGGCCTGACCCCCGAATGAAGCGCTCAAAGCAAAGGAAAGATGAAGAATAGTACAAAAGGACGAACGCCCATGTATGCAAGGCGGACTCACCTGTCATTTAGAGAAGCCTTTTCGCGATAAAGGGTGTTGAAACAGTGCCCAAAGTGGGAGTTCTCGTCTGGTTGAAGACGTGTGAAAGGAGAGACGATTGGCGGGTGGAGGGATATCGCAGGCTTAGTTGAGGAAGCCTTTGCAGCCGACGGAACCGCAGAGACAGGGAATGCGGTCTGTGGCGTCGATTTCGCGCTCGAATTTGTAGTCGTACGTGAGTTCCTCGTCTGCGGTACGTTAGCCTGCTTGTTAGCGGTATTATTGGCACGAGTGTCTTACCTTGAGCAATATCCCGTAGCGCGTAGATGACAATTCGTTTCGTGCCGTCGACGCGGATGATCTTGGCCGTGCAGTTTGGCGTGCAGCTATGGTTGATGAAGCGCGCAATACCGCCCATCTTCGTCGCATCGATCACCGTGTCCTCATCTATACGGAAGAGGTAGCTGGAACCAACGCCTTGCAAGTCGTACTTCTTCTCGCGCAGATCGGCGACACGCTGTCGAACCTTCTCCCCAACGTATTCGATGATCATGTCATTGGCGGCAATGTTCTCTTGAGCGTAGAGACCCCAATTGTGGATAGCGGAACGGTCGAACTTGACGAGCTTCTTCCGCTTCTTAAGCTGGTTGAAGCGCAGGGCGTCTCCTTCTGCGCCGGTCATGTTCTTCGAGATGCTGATGTCATTCACCAAGCGACGATTGTTGGCACGGTTGGCGCGAGAGTTAGCGGTGGTGCTCTGCTTGACGCCGGATCCAGTCTGGAACTTGAAGCCTTCGACAACCGTCATTGTGCGCTCTTCCTGCTTGGCTCGGCGTTGGCGTTCTTCTCGCTCTTTCTGAACCTTGATACGATGTGGCAGATACTTGGATTTCTCGGACTCCCGTATCTTCCCCACGCCCTCCGTCCTCGCACTGCCTGTTCCGTTCGGCACGTAGTAGCCTTCAATCTTGGTTTCAGTGCGGGATACGCCCTCTTCGCCGGGTCGATTTAGGTGTTTGATGGACTTCTGCTTCCAAGCCCATGATTGCGCGTCTCCAATGTTCGCGGGAGCTATCGACAGCATTGCGGCTTTCAGGTGAATTAGGTCTTCGTCGTCCTTGAGCAGATGCTGCCAGCCGTCAATGTCCATAACAACGCTGAGATCATCTTCCACAGTCCGGCGAGGCTCGATGGCCGAGACACCCCAATGGACTGAAGCGCGCTCATCCTCTTCTGGGGTTTCTTCAGCGGGGGGTACCTGAGTAACGGGCTTCGGCCTTGCAACCTCAATAACCTCTTCTTCCGCGGGAGTGATTTCCTCCACCGTGATCTGAGCAGCCTTGGCTTCTTCCTCAAGCTGTTTCTTGGTCTTCTTCTTGGGCTTCGCGGTGCTTTTCTTCTTGGATAGAGTCTTGACTGGTTCGGCGATTTCAGTTGTTTCGATCGGTTTGGCGGCATCTTCATCTTCTTGGGTAACAATGACTTCTGGCTCAAGTTTGTCAACCGGGCTTGTTTCCACACCAAATATGGCATCCGCTTCCTGCTCAATCTTCCGCAATCTCCGAAAACCTTTAAGCGCTTTGTCCGCTTTCTTCCAGATTGGCGAAGAACGTGGAAGAATCGCAAGCACTTGCTCCAGCTCTTTCTCAGCCATATTTTCTGGGTCCTTGTGGATGCAGTGCGCAAGCAAGCTCCTCGCATGCGAGTCGTCCATGACCTCGTCGTCACTGTCTTCGCCCCAGCCTGCTTCGAGGCGCCGCCGCTTGGCTCGGTGTGCACGTGAAGACTCCTCTTCATCCTCTTCAAGATCCGTAGAATGCGCGCGGCTGATGGGACGACTCTCTTGTTCCTCGGTGTCGCGTGTGAAAGAGCTCCGACCTTCGTCGTCCGATTCTTCATCTTCCATGAGATCGAGCATTCTCCGATACAGACTCTGTGCAGGACGCTTCGGTGCTGCTTTCCGCCGCTCATCCGCGAACGCATTGACAACTTTGAGCGGCTTCTTTCCCCGAATGCGATTGTGGTCGTAGGGACCTAGCGCCTTCCGCCCAAGGCGTCCGCTGAAACCGGCAGCGCGGGATTTAGGTGTCGCAACACCTAGCTCCATACCGGAAGTGAAGATGGAAGGAGGGCGAATATCTTCTTCTTTGCTGCGGGGATCCGGAATGTTCAGCTTTCGTCGCTTCGCGACATGGCGTTCAGGGGACATGAGCTTGACCAGCGCAGGCCCTGCTATCCGACTTTTGATGTCCCCAACAAGCTTCTCCTGGAGCTCCTGCTTCAGGATCTCCAGCGCGGCAACAACGGGATCTAGCGCCTCTGCCCTCTGCTTCTTTTCGTATTCCAGATCCTCAGCCTCCTCGCGCGCTATACGCTCTTCCTCATCCTGCTGCTGCTTTTGCGCCATCATGCGCTCGGGGCTCGGGCTGCGCTCATAGTCCGGGTCGCCGAATTGGTTGCATTCCATATTCATCACATACGTGAACAAAGCAGCCATATGGCAGTCTTTGTAACACCTGACCGTCTCATCCTCGCCGCGTTTCGATTCCTCGAAGACCACGAAATAGCCTGTCTGGTCGCACCGAACTTCTTTCCAGTAATACGTCTTTAACCGTTTCTTCAAATGCTCTATCGTCGTGCTAAGAACGGGGACATATTGGTGGGCGATGAATAGATATGGTTTGCGCTTCATCTTCGGCTTAATCGGATCCTTCTCGATGAGATAGGACAATTGGACCTTCTTCGACAGGACTGCTCGGGGTATAGGCGGAGGCGCACCCTTTCCCGACGGCCCCTTAGGCACGTTTGCGGGTAGGTCGAATGTTCCTGGCGTTGTGGGAGTCGCAGATTTCGCCGCAAGCTTGGCCCTCAGCTTCTCCTCTTCTTTGCGACTCTGTGCTACAGACATTGCGACCAGCTTGCTACATCTTCGACCCTCGCGATCAAGATGGACCTTCACCGTTTGTAACCCCAGGCGCTGGTTCGTACCTTCCCGCTCGGCCCTCTTCGCCGAGGTCGACGCCTTGACGGCCGCGACACCTCGCGAGGCGGGAGTGTCTCGAAACTTCACGAGACAGATTCCGAGCGGACTTCCATTTTCGGGATGGACCTGATTCCTCACGGATTCCACCTCTCCATAAGCGGTGAAAAAAGCTCGAATCTGCGAATCGGCCGTCAAAGGGTCAAAACCGGTGACAACGACCTGCGTAGCAGGCCCCGGGCCGCAGGAGATGCGGGGATCGAAAGAATAAGGCTTGGCGACATACGGGGCTACCCGTAGCTTGGATTTCGGAGCAGCTGGACCCACAGTCTTAATCGCGTAATTCCCAGTGGTATAGCCAGCAATGGCTAAACGGGGATCGGGAGGAGAAGATGGGTCGCCCTGCAACACAAGTCAAATTAGCCTTAGCGTCGCAGGACGACCACATCTCCAGAGAAGAATTTGTGCCTTCACGTACCTTGTCCAGTATCGGCTTGTATGTCGGCCCTCTGCTATGCTTAGCCTTCTTGTCGAGCTTGCTGTCCATCATGGGGTCGTAGTTCAGGCGCTGGCCCAGCTTCCCGTCTGCAGGCCATATCGATATTCGCGCTTCTGGCGGCGTATGCACGGGCGTGATTGTGTCGGTGGCATTTTTGACGGGCGCGCCGGGCGGCGCACTGTGTGAAGAAGCGGTGGTCGCGTGCATCGTCTCATGCGAAGGATTCGCGGACCGCGGGCTGGGCAGCTTGCCCGGCGGGGATGAGTCTGTGCTGGTCAAGGGGGTCAGGGCGTGCAATGATGCGTTGTGTCCAGGATACGACATTGTGATGGCGGTGGAGAAGACCGACGACGCAGAGCTGGGAACCGAGCTGTCTGAGCCAGCGCCGTTCAGCAAGTCACCAGCGCGCCGGCCATAGTCGTCTGGTGAAAGTATAGTGCTCTTATCCTCGGTTGTCTTGTGTTCACTGAAAGCAGCCGACGCCACGCCTGCTGACCGGGCACGCGAATTGACGGACGAGTCCGCGTAGTGCGAACCTGCCCGCCGTGATGAGCTGCCTCCTCTTGCGGCGCGTCTGTCGTCGAGTATCGAACGTGTATCTGTGCTGGCGCCAGGGATTTTCGCCGCGGAGGCGCGCGACATAACCTAGTGACTGTCTCAGCAAAGCTGCGCGCGCCCCATCACTGTGCTGCTGCGAGATGGGCCGTCGTCGGGCAGGAGGGCGCCGCTGTGTGGGACTCGGTGCTGCGAGCGGCAGACAGGATGCGGAGAACGCGCAGTAAACGCGGTGAAGCGTGTCAGGCGCTGGGCGGCGGCGACGGGGGGCGGCAGAGCGCAGACAAAAAGGATAAAGGAAGAGGGCAACACGGCGATGCAATCGGCGGCAGACTGCACGCGCGGATGGGGTGGTGGGCAGAGATGGCTGCGGTTTGGAATGCTGGAAGGAACAGATGAGGTTGATGGCGCGCCAAGCCTTTTGAAAGAGAAAGGGGAGAGGAGACACGAGGCGCCGTCACCAACCAGTTCCTCGCCAGCGCAGCCCTCGCTCTGTAACAAACGATCCAGGCCCGTTAATGCCGTCGCGCAACACCTGCATACACCCTGCCGCGTCGCTCGCCCTTCAGCGCGCAGCGCATCGCTCCTATTCAGCGCCAGAGTCAGCCTGCACGCCCGTCGCCGGTCTGCCAGCCGCAGCGTCATCGCGTCGCCTCCCGCCTCCCAAATATATAACCCCCGGCCGCCCAGTCACACGGCGACAGCGTCTGGCCACACTCATTGGAATACATGCGCAAGCGACGACGGCCACTCATATTCACGATTGACATCTGAGGTTTGCTCACTGCTCACGTGAGCGTAGGGTACGGCGATGAAGCGGCACACGACAGCCGAGCATGAATCGAACCTGGTCGCAATGCCCTGAGTCGATCCCAAATGGCATATAACGCGCGATAGAGAAGCCTTGGATGTACTTCTCAGCGAGCGCAGTCGCGTCAAACTCCTGCGATGACGACATGAGAGCCCTTCGCTCGGTCCGTACACCGCCTTTCCGCTTCCGACAGAACAGCCACTCGTACCAAGTTGATCAAAAAGTGCATAAGCGGGGGAATTGCGCAGAAGAGCTTTAGCCCACGATACCTAGTCGGCTATACCGGCGGATGTGGAAAGACTGTAAAATACCCCGCTCTCCGCCGTGGGAGATGTCGTTGCATACAAGGCTGCAATTCCAACTTGGCATGTAAGGAATTGTTGCTGCGGCAGCCGCGCTCTGGTCCACGATGCACACAGGTGGGCAAGAGGGGCCGCCGGCGAGGGGACAGATCGCAGAGGGGAGCGAAGAAAATGTCTGCGGATGGAATCCTACAGACCGGCCTACAGCATGTGCCTTGCGTCCGTAGTCGCACAATAGCTTCCCTTGATATCCCGAATTTTCGTGGTATCCCAGATCCCATACTCCGTCGACAAAGTGTCTGCCTCCACCCAGGTGTCTAGTCAATTATCTTCCCCTCAACCCACCCCTTCCGCTTAGCCCCCAACTCCACCGCCGCACTTCCCCAATCACTCCCATGATTATGTCCCTCATTCTTCCCCTGCCCAGCAATCCCCGCCCGCTGCAATCCCTGCTCCTCGTTCAACAGCGTCAGCAGGCCAAACACTACCGGCACATTGCCCTCTAGCTGTATCCTCATCAACCCGTGGCTCACCGCGTCCGCTATGTACTCGAAGTGCATCGTCTCGCCCTTGATGAGCACGCCGATAGCGATAATGGCGTCGAAGGGGGTCTTGAGCAGTGAATCCTTAGGTTGCGAGCTGCTCGCGAACTGAGTGAGGTCGGACGCGGAGCCTAGGAGGTCGGCGGCAGCACCCACGACGCCGGTCGAGGAGGACTGGACTTGCGAGGCGGAGTACATTCTGGAGGGGTGAAGTCAGCTCATGCCAGACAGCCGGCCAATTGCTTGCGCGGAGGGCTTTCCGGAGGACAGCAGTCGGCTTTGGGAGGGTTCTGACGTACTGCTTCACGGCGTAGGGCAGCTCGTAGCTTCCGGGCACGCTCTGGATGACAATGTTCTCCTCCCTCACGCCCGCGTCGGCAAGCGCCTTCTTCGCGCCGTCGAGCAGCGCATCGATAATTGTAGAGTTCCACCGCGCGTGAACGATGCCGATTCGCAGTCCGGATCCTATACGCAACCGTTAGAGAAGGCTATGGAAGCAGTTGTAGCTCTCAAGCAGCTACCAATGTCTGCCCGGGTAGGGTCGCTAAGCTGGCGGGGTCTTACCGTCGTAGCTCTTGGGCGCGCCTGGTCCTTTGAGAGTAGCCATTGCGTCCGACTCGTGGGCTGGGGGTAGTATAAGAAGGCTTTGGGTGTCTCGTGGAAGAGTGCGAGTGGGTGTTTAGTTGCGGAGGCAGAGGCACAAGAATGCAGGAACGAAACAGCCCACCAAGCGCCGTCCCGCATGATGTCGCAATGCAGGGATCCCTGTCTGCCAAGCTCAGGAACACGACTCGGGTCTCAAAAGTAGAAAGCATGAGGAACAGGTAGATTCATGAACAGATTTCATTCAAGCTGGCATTAGACCTGAGCAACCCTGCCACATAGGCCCTTCCTTTATTTCGCATTCCATCATCTGTCAAATCAAAGACATTTGCAGTACCTTTTGGTCCCAATTCAAAGCTTCTAAACACCGATCCAATCCATACATAGCCGGCCCAGTGTGCAACCTCTAAAGACGCCGATCCAAAGAGCCAAACGTTTCCTCTACTCCACAGTGACCGACTTGGCAAGGTTGCGAGGCATGTCGACGTTCAAACCCTCAGCAACGGCCATCCAGTAGGCCATGAGCTGCAGAGGGATGACGTTAACCAGACCCTGCAGGCAGTCGACGTTCGAGGGCACCTCAATCCTGTCGGTCTTCTCCGGCGGGAACTCGGGGTCATCCTTGTTGCAGATGATGATGGGTCGTCCGCTACGGGCAATAACCTGCTGGTAGGCGTTCAACGACTTCTTGAAGATGTCATCCCGGGTAAGGATCATAACGATAGGAAGGTTCTCGTCGACCAAGGCGAGCACGCCGTGCTTGAGCTCTCCAGACATGACGGCCTCGCAGTGGAGATAGGAAATTTCCTTAATCTTCAGGGCGCCCTCAAGGGCAGTGGCGTGCTGCGAGCCACGTCCGAGGAGCAGCAAGCTCTTCTGGTCCTTGAACCTCTCGCAGAGCTTCTTAATAGGCTGGTCGAGCTTAAGCACCTCCCGGAACTGATCCGAGACCTTGGTGAGGCCTTCGATGATCTCCTCTCGCCTCTTCTGCTTGGACGCGCGGTCCTCACTGAGCGAAAGGGCAAACATGACCATGCAGACAAACTGCGAGGTGTAGGCCTTAGTGGAGGCGACACCGATCTCGGGACCAGCGTTGATGTGGACACCGCAGTGGGTGAGCAGCGAGATGGAGGAGCCGACAACGTTGACGATACCAACGGTAAGGGCACCGCGCTCCAAGCAGTAGCGCAGAGCCATGAGCGAATCTGCAGTCTCGCCGGACTGAGAGACGAAGACACAGGTGTCGTCACGGAAGACAGGCGCTTGGCGATCCAAGAAGTCAGAGGCCAGCTCAACCGCAATGGGGATCTCAGTCAGCTCCTCAAAGATACCACGGACCGCCATGCAGGAGTGGAACGAGGTACCGCAGGCGATGAAGATGATCCTTCGGCATCGCCTAATGGTGGTGATGTACTGGCGGAGACCTCCCAGGGTGACAGACTTGTTGACCGGGTCGAGACGTCCACGCATGGCGTTGACGACGGACTCGGGCTGCTCGAAGATTTCCTTCTGCATAAAGTGGTCGAACTGGCCCTTCATGATCTCCTGGAGCTCGATCTCCAGAGTTTGAATGGCACGGACGTTGGACGCGCCGTCGTCCTTCTGCAGGCGGTGGATGTTCAGCGAACCCTCGTGGATGTGGGCAATATCGTCATCCTCCAAGTACAAAACCTTCTTGGTGTGCTCGACAATGGAGGAAGGATCGGAGGAGAGGAAGAACTCGGTTGGCATCGGGACGCCATCGTCGGAGAGGAAAGCGCGGGACTGCGAACGGTGGAGGAGCGACTTGTCGGGAGGAGCGAGGAGGTTGTTTGTCTTCTTCAGGGCAACGTTCTGCGACGCCCTCTCGGCAGGAAGGGCAGTGGTCTCGTCAGTGTACTCAACGTCGACAAAGTCAACCTTCATCTTCTTCTGCGTTCGCACGCCAATGACGAGCGGCGAACCCTTGCGGGCCGCAACGACCTCGTGGGGGTAGTGGACAGACTTCAGGAGGAGACCGAAGGCGCCCTGGAGCTCCTTGATGACCGTCTTCGCAAGGGCCACAAAGCTGAGGTCCGGGTGCTCATCGTAGATGTACTTGCAGAGCTTCGCAATGGCCTCGGTGTCGGTCTCAGTTTCGAACCTGAAGCCCTTGCCCTCGAGCAGCATCTTCAGCTCCTTGTAGTTCGTGATGATGCCATTGTGGACGACGGCGAACTCCCAGTTGGGGTCGGACCTGGAAAGTGCGAGTTAGCCCCGCACACAGCTGAAGATCAAAATTGGGTGACACCGGGGCGTCCGACGGCGGGGACCAGCCGTTTCAGCCTGCTGACGGCTGTCCGAGGGGATAGCTGGCAGCGCTTACCTGTGCGGGTGGCAGTTTACGCGCGACGGCGGGCCGTGGGTGGCCCATCGAGTGTGAGCAATGCCGGCGTGCGAGTCGAACACCTTGGTCTCGTCGAAGCTGGCCTCCTCGACGAGCTTCTTCAGCGCGGCGACCTTGCCGACCTCCTTGACCGCGAACACCTCATTCTTCTTGTCTCCGTCGATGGCCAGGCCGGCCGAGTCGTAGCCACGGTACTCTAGACGCGAAAGGCCTGAAAGACAGGCGATGTTAGCCTCAGGCTCGAGCTATGCAGCTTGCGGCAGGCGCAGACAGGGCACTTGCCATTGATGAGCGTGTTCAGAATGTACTTCCTGTCCTTCTCCACCAGGTAGTTGATGTAGCCGAAAATTCCGCTGCAAAGAGGGCGTCGTCAGCTTTCATTGTTCTGCAGCTGGCGGAGCTGCGTCGGAGAGCGGGGCAGCTGGAGGGGGACCTACCACATAGCGAGACCAGGAACGGATTGTGTAGCACGGTAAACAGGAGCGGTCGTGGGGTCGTAGGCTGCAATTGAGGTGTCGGTGCTAGACTTGACGGGTGACGCAGAAGACAGTGGGAGAGGAGAGGAGCAAAAGAGCGGTGTTGTTGTTTGGCTTTATATCTGGACCTGAGGGCCAAGCATGGGCATTCTCCACATAACGCACATAACGCACATAGATTCAGCTGCTAGGCTCGCGTCTGCAGCCTCTGCGGACGCGCCCCTGCACCGGTGGCGTAGCCCTCAAACTAATCGGCCATCCTTCAATACGCTCCTTTTTCGTGCCCGCTGCACCCCTCCTCGCACAGCGCCATGTCAGCGCATCCGTTCCTCTTCCTTCTCCTATTTCGTCATATCTCGGGAGGAGGCCCTGCGATCGGAGCCCCATGCTGGCCTGGCCAATGACGCGCGCCCCAGTACCTGATCGGCCACTATTGTTTCTCAGGGACCTCGGGGCGCAGCAGCTCCAAAATAGCAACACTAGCCTTTGTCGGACCTCCTGCTTCGAATTCTTTCAGACCAGCGACTATTTTCTCTCGACAATGGCAGTCTGCGGCGGCTGGGCGCGCCCTGCTGGCGGCCGGCGCCGCATTGCTGTGGCTAGTAGGTACCGTACTTGCCCGCTTCGTAACCGCTTAGCAAATCTGCTTCTAATTCTGCACGCGGACAGCGCTCAACACCACGGACGGAGACGTCAGCACGGCATCCTGTGCGGGAATGCACGTCGAACCTGGTCGGCATCGCCGCCAATCAATAAAGCGCACCGGCTGCTTGGATCCCGTTGACGTCCTCACGAAGCCTTGGAGGGGGCTGCTGCTCGTACCCGGGCTCCACATGCTGTGGCTGCTATCAGACGGTGAGGAACGACTCGCCCGTCCACGCCCTTCCTGCACGCCCTGATCTCACGCAAGTAGCGGTGCGGTAGTTCTCTGTCGACCCAGGGTGGCTTGCGGTGAGCCACCTATGGCGAAAAGCGAACGCTGAACGTGAGTTGGGCTGAGACATCAGGGTACACTTACCACGCTGCAATTGGCAGAGAAGGGCGGTTGCTTTCTCCAGCTCTGCAGCTACTGCACCCTCGGACGTTGGCCAAAAGCTTAGTGCTCCGCTACCAAGAAGGCACTTCAGCTCACCGACAGCCTCAACTTTTGTTGCTTTTGCCTGACCGCTTTCCAGCGTATCTAGAATCATTCTCAGAACGACTTTGAGGCCGTCCACCACTCACGCCGCCAACATTCCATCCGTTCTGCCTTGACTGACCTGTATCCCCGCTGTGCGAAACCTCCGCCAACCATGGTCTTATCGCGGGGAGTGCTGAGCGGCGGGTGCGGCTCACATGCAGTCTTCAGCTGCAGCCCACCTGGGCAGCCTTATTAATGGAAGACATCATTCATGCCCGTTTGCGGCCATGCATGGTACGCTTGAACTCCAAGCGAACCGTGGCGTGTTCTCGTACGAAGGTAGGACTTACGAACTCAGAATTGGGAAAATTCTCGGAGAGCTCTTCACCGACTGTCCACGCGCATAGCTGTGGCGCATAGGGTGGGTGGCGATTCTCGTGGGGTGGCAGGCCAGGGGATTATGAATGGGTATGAAGAATGCTCGCCACATTGCCTCCTGCTCATGCCCTCTTCACCGATCTGGCGGATGCCTTGTTCGAACACGGTTACATTATAGCACCTTGGAAATACTTTTTTGAGGTTGTTTCATCATGGCGTGAGCCTTGCTGTGCTGTACTTATATCTCGTTCTACAATCTTTACATGGCTTCTAAATGCGCAAAATCAAAACACCGCACAAGCTCAACAATATCCAACAACTCGCCGGACATATGCTACATCTCTTCAGCAGAGATAACCTAAGGAAAGGGAATAGCTAGGCTAGTAGACGATGCTTCCCCAGGCCGACGCTGAATGCTGGCAGTAATACATGAAAGAAATCGGATGTATCGACATAAGGGCTGATCAGCAAAGGATCATCAGGTATCACAGTACCCTCGTGATTTAGGTGCCCCGCCGTTTATCCAGCTAGACACAGTAAGGACGGTGGTATAGGCCATGCCTACGAAGCCGAGGATGCAGACAGCGACGTCTACGCCACGAGCCAGGGAGGTGCGCGCAATAGCCTTGTAGTGGAGCATGGGCTGTTACGAGTTAGCAAGAGAGGTGTCGAGTACGTCCTTCCAAGGAGTCTTACCGGATAGATATACACCAGCGGAATGCAAGCAAAACTTCCGACAAGCGCGACGAACTTGTCCAAGTCGTTCGCGCCCACCCATGCCAGCAGAGCACATATCGCTACCATTAAAAAGCGGAAAAAGTTCTTTTTCCACTTGACGTAGGGGTTGTACTTGCCCGTTCTGCTGAACAACTGCTGGCTTGTGATTTCGATGGCTGGATAGATCTGCAGCGGTGTCGATAGAAGGATAGCGACCGAGTAGATGAACTGCACGCCGTTGACGAACTTATTGTCCTGTGGCATGTTCAAGATGATCACCGTCTTGGTCTCCGATCCGAAGGCCGCGTAAGAAAGAGCGCCCATACTGACGAAGACGACCGTGATGATGATCATGACAAATCCAAGGACACCGGGAAACTTCCGGGGGTTCTTCATGCCGGTCTGAATCGGGATGATAAGACCGATGCCTTCAAAGGTGAAAATGGCGGTTCCGATGAACAGAGTCCAGTCATTCTTGTTAAAGTAGGCGATATCCGAGACACCGCCTTGACCGACGATGGTTAGAATGTCGTAGTAGTACAGATAGACCAGGCCAGCGAGAATGAAAACGTCGGCGACAAGAGCAAGCTTCTGGATGTTGTTGATGTTCCGGTAGAGAGAAAGCGGGAGAAATACGACCATTTGCATCAAGATCATGAGTCCAATCGGGATGTGCGTCTTACAGTCCGATACGGCCAGGACGAAGGCTTGCATGTTTTCGGAGACGAAGACAATGTATGCGGAGGAGAAGCCAATTTGGGATATGACGAGCGAGAAGTTGATCATGTTGCGCATCCACTTGCCGTAAATATGGGCTCCCATATCGCCAAAAGAGTGCTCGACCTTGAGTCGAGTGGTAACAAGCAGAACGAAGCAAAAGTAAGATAGACCGGCTACGCCCAGAAGGACGAGGTTCGAGAAGAGCATGCCGCCGTTGAGAAAGGCGCGAGGCAGGAAGAGGACGCCGGTGCCGACGAATGACTTGAGTAGCAGCAGTGCAGCACCCGTGGGGCTGCCTTTGCCTGCCAGCTTCGCTTTCCGCTTCCTCCGCTTGCCGGGAGTTAACAGAGCGCTAGACTCGCCATATTCGTGTCCCTCTTCGTCAGTGTGTTCGCCAGAGTCTAGTGCATCCGAAGAAAAGTACTCGTCTGGACCAAGGTCCTCGTCGTCCTCTTCGAGTGATTCACCGGCGAAGTGGCCATATAGTGTCAGGAATTCTAGGAAGTTGTTCGTGAAGACAGTAGGCTGCGATCGTGGCTGGTTCACGGTGCCATAAGTGGAGGGGCCGGGGGCGGGAGATGGACTGCCGGCGGCTCTGCGTATGAAGTTTCGTCGGAAGCCTCCCGGCTGTTTTATCCTTTCGATATCCAGCGCATGGTCGTCCGGCCGAGGGCGGGAGGACGAGAAGCTCTTGCTCCGTTTCGTCTTCTGGCGCTCCTCTGCTTCCTGCTGTTCGGTCCACCTGTATATCTGGCGTGTAATATCTCCACCCTGCAACTGCAAGCTGGAGAAGTCCTCTTCCGAGCTCGATGACCCAGACCTCCCGCGAGGGTACTCCTCCGCCTCTTCTATGATGCCGCGCTGGGATCTGCTTGGCGAGCCATACTGGGTAGACAGGTTCGAGTACGACGGTTTCTGTGGGCCAGCCAAATGGCGACGAACGACCTCGGGGTCTTCGTAAGGAACGGCGGGGGAGCTTCTTCGCGCATCGAAGGAGCCATAATTGCTCGGCGGACCGCGGCCGGAAGGGGCGTCGGGCGCGGGAGACAATGCTCGTACAGGAGGCGTCCCGAATCGAGGCGGGCTTCTCCCAAAAGACTCTCTCAACGCTGATGACAAAGCTGACTCGCCCGGGCCGGGTAGTGAAGACTGCGGATCCGCGCGACCTGGAAGCGGCGTCTGTGATGTCGATGGCTCTTCAGACGCCAGCTGGCCTGGCGTAGGTATCTGCCGTACGGCTGGGGAGCCTCCTTGGACAGAAGGCACCGGAGAGCCCAGCCGTGCTGTCGAGTGTGCGCGGGGAATAGAAGCGGAACCTGCTGCAGAGCTTTGACGAGAGTCTCTCGATGTCGAACGCACCGCACGGGGTTTCGACGGTTCGGGGCGGTCGTTCGCCATCTTCGCATACGAGTAGGGATTTTACGGTTGGCCTTCTGTCGCTGTTGAGCTTTTGCTGGCACCAAGAGAGAAGCTTCAGTAATCTTCGTGTAACAGCGGGAGAGAACAAGAGAGAACCCGGAGAGAATTGCTAGTTCCGACGGGCGTTTTCGAGGTATTCGGAGAGCCTCAGAGTCAAGTCGGACGGGAAGGAACGAGTGCAAGCTCCTGTGCAGGCGCGAAGAGAGTGCAGAGCCGGCAGCAGGTTGACTGAAGAGTGTGCGGAAGCGGCTTGAGGTCATTCGCCGTGTTGTCGAGACGAGCAGGGACCGAGGCGTGGGGCGCGTGGGGTGGCCGGGTCACACGCGGGACCCTGCGAGGATCAAACGTCAGGCTAAGCCGCTAGAGAGCCACTCCACCAAAACTTTCCCTGGGTGCATTCCTCGCCTCCTTCCTCGCCTCGTTCTGTCTATGCGAATGTCTCGCGCGCAGCTCTGGCTCCGTCCATGTCTCCGTCGGCCGGTCTGATTGCATGAAACCTGTCCTGACCGAACAACCGACCCTAGCACCAATTCGTCGAACAGCCTCCGCACGGACAGCCGCAGCACCACCTCGTGACCGGACGTAGTGGCCCGAGGGTCAAGAACATGACCGACCATGACGGTGGGCTGCAGGCACGCAGGCGGATGCCGCCGAGGACCCATTCGAACTTTGCTACACGCGTTGCGAGGGACGACGCTGAACAGCTGAATCGGCGAGGTTCAATACTTGCATCGCCTTCGCCGAATGAGGATACTCCGCTTCTAAATCTGGCGGACCGTCCCAACCACCATGGCTCAACTGAAGAACGCACTCAAGAGAGGGATCACGGAATCGACTCCATGCGAGAATGGTTCACAAGAACTTTCCGCACGTCAAGGTCAAAGTCGCCGAGACATCCAGCTAGAGTACCCGAGGGTAAAAGGGGGTCAACGAGCGACGTTGTCAGACCCAGACCTGGTGCCTTTCCTAGGCCTGTCGGTGGCACTGATAAGCTTGGAACCTTTGCTGGCGTCTTCGTGCCAGTAACGCTCAATGTGCTGAGCATTCTCATGTTCCTGCGCTTTGGCTTCATCCTCGGTCAGACCGGTGTGGTGGGAATGATGGGTGAGTGGGCACCCTCACAGCGAAGAGTAGGAAGTTAACCGCAGGTAGGTCTACTCGTTGCTTGCTACGCCATCAATCTCTTGACTACCATGTCCATTTCTGCCATCGCCACCAACGGGACTGTTCGTGGTGGCGGTGCCTACTATCTCATTTCCCGAAGTCTGGGCCCTGAGTTTGGCGGCTCCATCGGTATCGTCTTCTACCTGGGTATGGTATTCAACACCAGTATGAATGCCGTTGGCCTTATTGACTGCTTTATTGAGAGTTTCGGCAGCGAAACGGGCAATTGGTCCAACTGGATGCAACAAGGTTTTTGGTGGCAATTCCTCTGGGCCACCATCGTGCTGTTGATCTGTACAGCCATCTGCTTGGCTGGCAGTGGTATCTTCGCGCGATGTAGTAACGGCCTGCTCGTCATTCTACTTCTTGCTACCTTCAGCATTCCGTTATCGGCCCTGATCAAGGGTCCCTTCTACGACAAGACGAAGGGCATCAGCTTTACCGGCCTAAGCCTGACCACATTTCGGGAGAACCTCATGCCGCACTTCACGAGAGGCGCAGCGGGAAGCCAGCACAAGCATCGCGAGACTTTTCAGGATATGTTTGGCATTCTCTTCCCCGCTACGGGGGGTATTTTTGCGTAAGTGGAGCAACCTAGTCTAATAAGCCAGCAATTGTTAACTTCTCAAAGTGGTGCTAGCATGTCAGGTGACCTCAAGCATCCATCCAAAGCGATACCCAAGGGCACTTTATACGGCCTTGGGCTGACATTCGCACTGTATTCAATCGTTATTCTCGCCATGGCAGCAACCATCACTCGCGATTCATTCTACAATAACACGAATGTTATTCAACTGGTGAGTTGTCGTCATCCACTTTCCATTGCGAGAATAATGGGCCGCCGCATGTGCTGGTTACGGTGGGTCGCGACAGCCCTGAGCGGAGATGAAGCACGGTTCATACACAGTCCTCCCCGTGCAAACAACCTTATCCCGGACATTGGGGGATGTAGATTTAACATCTGCAAGTGCTAACGTCCCTACAGACGAATATATCTGGTGTCGTTATTCTTCTAGGAGAATTTGCGACCTCAGCGTTTTCCGTGCTCATGGGCGTCATTGGCTCGGCGAAGCTACTTCAGGCACTCGCCCGAGACCATCTACTTCCCGGTCTCTCAGTTTTTGGTCAAGGCACGGAGAAGGCTGACGATCCCACGCTCGCCATCGTAGTCACATACATCCTCTCCCAACTTACAATGCTTTCTGATATCAATCAGATTGCATCGTTCATCACCATGACTGTAAGAATCGCGTCCTATGCTATGCAGCAAAGCTAATGAGAAACGCAGTATCTAATGACGTTCTTGGTCACGAATCTCGCCTGCTTCCTTCTAAAGATTGGGTCCGCTCCCAACTTCCGACCGTCGTTTCACTTCTTCAACTGGCAGACTGCTGCCATCGGTGCAATCGTCTCCGGAGCTACCATGTTCTTTGTGGATGGCGTCTACGCTTCAGCCTGCGTTGCCCTGCTCATAGTCATTTTCTTACTTATCCACTATACGACGCCGCCAAAGCCATGGGGTGATGTCAGTCAGAGCTTGATTGTAAGTTAATCTCCTAGGGGCGTAACTGCTTCCAAAGGCTTTTAGGCCACTCAGTGTTCAAGATTAATTGTTTGCCAGTACCACCAAGTCCGAAAGTACCTGCTGCGCCTACGCCAAGAGCATGTCAAGTTTTGGAGACCGCAGATCCTTCTTTTAGTCAATGATCCCCGTCGCCAGTACAGGCTCATTCAATTCTGCAACTCCCTCAAGAAAGGCGCGCTATTTGTTCTGGGCCACGTCATCGTCTCTCAGGATTTTGGTTCCGCAGTGCCAGAGGCACGTCGGCAGCAACAGTCGTGGACAAAGTATATCGATTTCTCGAAGATCAAAGCTTTTGTTAACATTGCGATCTCGCCGGCTGTCGAGTGGGGTGCTAGAAACATCGTGCTCGGTGCGGGTCTTGGAGGCATGAGACCTAATATTGTTGTCATGGGCTTCTATAACCTTGGCGAATTGAGAGACTCGAAACCGCTTATCGATATCCCATCACCACAACCCTCTCGACCGACAAGCAAAGCTGCACATCATCCAATTTCTAGAAAGGCAATTCAAGCTGCAGCAAAGCGAAGGCAGACAGATACACTCTCAGGTATCTTACCGACCGATGCCATGAGACCAGAAACTGCGATCGGCATTCAAAACTACGTCACAATCCTAGAGGATCTCATAATGCGGCTTCAGATTAACGTTGCAATTGCAAAGGGCTTTCAAGAGCTAGAGGTCCCCTCGTCGAAACCTACGACAAAGCAAAAAATGATGAAGCTCTTTGGGCTGAGGGATACGGAAGAGGAGCCAAGCAAGAAGTATATCGACCTGTGGCCAATCCAGATGTCCGCAGAGATTGCCACTGCCGGCGAAGATTCCTCCAAGAAAAACATCCTTACAACTAATTTCGACACGTATACTCTCATCCTTCAGCTTGGTTGCATCCTGCACACTGTGCCATCATGGAAGCGGACATATAAGCTAAGGGTGGCCGTTTTTGTCGAGTATGAGAGCGACGTCGAGGAAGAGAGAGGACGCGTTACTACGTTGCTAAAGAATCTACGCATCGAGGCAGAGGTACTAGTGTTCTGGTTAGCGAGCGGTGATCTGACGATGTATCAAGTGATCATCAATGGGAGGCAAGATGGAGTCTTTGCTCAAGCCGTCGAGGACGTCAACGATGCCTTGGAAGATGAAGAATGGTGGGCGGATATTCAGAAGCTAAGACGCCCTGGAGATATGAGTGCTAGCCAGGAGCTTGCTCAAGCGACTGACCTCCTAGAAGCAGTCAGGCAGTGGCCCACTGCATCATTCCAGCACGGCAGAAGAGAGTCCAGGTCCAAAAGGTTTGCTGGTCTCCGTAAGATGCTGCGACGGACTAAACGCAAGGCTTCGGTGGGTGATCTGGGTGGGATCGTTGCTAATATTGGGATGCGCACGCAGCGACTGCCTGCGGATCTCCTCTCTCAGAGTGACAGCGAGACCTCGTCTAGTGAAGACGACGAGCCGACAGCCAGCGATGAGGAAGCCATCACTACCGAGAGCGAGGTCGCGGCGAGCGAAAACGACCTCGAAGAATACGACCTAGATGCATCCGACGAGGAGAGTGACGAACGCCCGATCACGCCGCTCCGGAGAGCCAATACCACGAGTAGTCCCATGAGCATCCCGTTGTTTGCGAAGAGACTTGGACTGCGCCAGGCAATCTGGAAAGGCTCACCCAAGGAGGAGCGACCAACAACTGACTCCGTCACCCCGTTGAAGCCCCATCCTGATGCGACAACATCCGATACCGCTCTTCTCACAACGAAAGGGAAAGCCCTGAGCATAGCAAGCTCATCAGGCAGCCAGTCTTCGCTGAGGACAAAGCCTGTGCGGCCCCCTCAGATCCGACACCAGTCCCTCCCAAAGTTCACGTCCAAGCCCACGCCACGCACCGCAGTCGCTCCACAAGAGACTCAAGGTCCCTCAATCATGTTCGTGGACACGCCATCCCCGACCGCCGCCCGCAAGAAAGACCCGGTTTCCACCTCAGCGTCGCCATCCCAACTGGCGGCGACCGCATCCGCCGGCTCCACCGCACGGTCCCCGCTCTCTTCCACCAGCATCGCTCCAAACCCCCAAGCATCTGGCTATCCCATCCAACAAGCAATCCCCCTCTCCTTCAACGACCTGCCCTGCCGCGCACAGCATTTGATCCTCAACGAGCTCATTAGGCAGACCTCGGATGATACCGCGGTAGTGTTTACGACGCTGCCGAGCCCCGTCGAAGGGACGAGTGAGAGCGAAGTTGAAAGCGTCAAGTATATTAGCGACTTGGAGGTGCTGTGTGAAGGACTGCCGCCGACGTTGCTGGTACATAGTAATAGTATGACTGTGACGATGAATTTGTGAGGGGACAGGATGGGCATTGGGAGGTGTTTGGGCTTGGTGCGCTTTGAGGCATTAGATTGCGAAGCAAGCATACATGAATACAAATAACAGACAGTTGCATGATCTTAATGGTGTGTGGAGATCCTATGCATGTGGTATATCTATTAGGGCATCGACTCGCTATCATCCTCACTTCCCGATTCCTCGCTCTCCTCCGCCTGCTGCTCTTCCTCGTCGACTTCTTCGGGTTTACCCGTCATGATGAATGACTTCAGACAGGTGATGCGCGTCCCTGTTGAGTATGTCCCAAGCAACCTGCCTACCTCCTTCGCCGTGAATCCCGTTCCCTTCTCTGAGTCCGCGCCATCCTTGAGATCCTGCGCGTTTAGGCTCCAGATACGCACAGTGCCGTCACTGCTCCCCGTGATGATGATAAAGGCAGTAGATTCGGTGTTGGGTAGTGGCAGGATCTCAAAGTCCTTTACCCGGCCTGTGATACCGGCTCCGGGGCCGCCTATCTGGGCTACCAGGGTGCTTGAGGGAATGTCATCTGCTTTGTCGGTATCAGGAGGAGACGTGATCGAGCTAGTGTCGTAAAGCATGATGCGGCCGTCCTCTGTCGAGACTAACAGCGTGTTCCGGGAGTCTCCTGGTAGGTAGTGCATCTGATGCACCTTCGTCCTCGGCGTCGGCAGGATCGTCGCCTTGGGTTTGCAATCGATTCCAAAAATCACCACGCCCCGCTCAAACGCAACGGCGAACTCCTCGCCCTCCCTATCCCAGACGACTCTTCGGCCCTCTCCGCTGCCGAACCGGCCTTCTCCGACTGACGCCAGTATCTCTCGCCCGAAGTTGAGCACGCCTGCTTTCTTCCCAATGACGAGGTTCCAGAGACGCATGCATTTTTCTCCCTTGCCCACGCTGACCATGAGCTTCATGCTGGGATGGACGGCGAAGTCGTTGACGCCTGCGGGGACTTCGCCGGGTGCTGCGGTGTCGCCGCTGGGTCGGCCTTGCGGCTTGGGGATCGGCGCTTTGATCGTGGAGAGGGGCGTCCAGTCGCGGGTCCGCGTAATAGCTATCGTGCTGTCCTCTGCTGAACTTAGGAGCTTACTCCGCGTGGGGAAGCACAGCGCCGTGATGCTGGATGAGTGGTGAAGCAAAGAGCCGAGCTCCTTGTTCTTGGAGTTCTCGGTGATGGAGGTGCCATTGAGGGTGGGGAGTTGAGGGTTTGATTTTGACTTTGAGGGTGCGGATGGGGAGGTGGAGAGAGAGTAGAGGTTGATGCGCTCGTCGGTGCTGCCGGTTGCGAGAATGACTTTGGAGGATTCGTCCGATGGTGGGGAAAGGGCGAGGCAGCGGATTGCGGAGGAGTGGGCATTGAAGAGGAAGGTGTCAGAGAAGTTGATAGTGGGAGGGTCGTCCGCTGGGATGTCGTCGTGACCAGTCACGAGGGTCTGGGGAATCGTTGCGGTGAAGCCGTGCAGAACCCTCTCGTAGGAACCCGTGATGATCTGGAACGTGGTGGTCTCTGAATCTCCTTCCCTTGCTGTCGAGGTAACGGGTGCCTTGCTCTCTGCTTCTGTCACTGCCTGTCCGTTTGCAGCGCCTTCCTTGCTCTTCCTCGCCGGAGACTCTTTCCGTATGGGCTGCTTTGACGTGGACACAGCATCTTCCTTCCGGCTCTTCAGCGCCTTCGCAGGCCCCACCTCGTCGGTGAATTCGCTCTTCCGTTTTGCCATAATCGCGCCTGGATGCGACTGTTGTGGTGAGGAATCGCAGCAGCAACACGAAATTTTGAGGAAATTCTGCCGCCCCGCTAACCGGTTGCGGCTAGGCAGGAGCTTATCACGGGCGGGCGGTGACCAGGGCGCGAGCGGCCCTCCTTCTCTCACGACTCTTGCGACCCCAAGTCGTCCCCCATCAGTCTGTGTATTGCCTACCACATTTCCATCAACGACATCGCGCCCGACACGCTTTAATCCATCACATTGGCGGCACTCGTGGAAAACGGATGTCGGCCACCGATCGTCGGTCCTCATATGTCCCTCGACGGCCTTCGTGATGCGTATTCCAGGGAGAAAAAGAATGAGATCGCGTAAGTAACTCGCCGATTTTTTGTCGCACCGCGATTCATTTGAATCTACTGCTCGATGCGACACGGGAAAATCGCTTCTTTTGGTTTATTTGGACGTTGTGGTGCTGATATCGGGGTGTGCAGGACTTGCGAGCTCTCGCGCAAGCGCAAGTTGCGCGAGCTCTACAACTACACGGCGCTGCTGAACGCAGGGCACCCGCCGCAGGCGCACGACTGGCTCATCAGCGACGAGCCGGCTGAGAATGAGGCCCGCTTCCTCGACGAAAATGACATCACGAAGTAAGATAAAGATAGATTATTATTCTTCTCCTTCTTTATATCTTTTGCACCCTGTTATCCGGCTTCCACATCGTCGCGGTCGCATGTTGTCGTCGCATTCCACTGACGGCTGCCTGCAGAGGTCGACGCTTCAACGATGCAACTCTTCCATTCCCCAACACCACCCAGCTTCCATCATTGCCGCCTACTCTCCCATTCCAGGCGCTGGCGAAGCCCAACTTTCCCACAATTACGAAGTCGTCGCCCGCTTCTGTCGTCGATACCAGCCTCGAAGAACAGCTTCGCGCCGCATCGGCCTCGCCGTCTGTCGCGACCCAGCCACTACCGCCTGTCGAAGCGCCCGTGCCAAAGGATAGCGTTCCAATCGTCAAACATCCCTCGACTCCTCCCCACGTAGAACCTCCGTCGCATGACGCAGCACCCGTCGAAGAGCAGGCAGCCGACCAGGCTCCTGTTGAGGCACAGCAGCCAACTCCAGCGGCACCACCAGAAGCTCCCGTTATTCAAGACGCAAGACAAGAGGAAGTTATTCCGGATGGACCATCAGTTGAGCCAGAGGATGCTATTCCACCGACGGCAGAGGACAGTGCCTCGCTGGTAGATAGTTCATTACCAAGTAAGAGCGAGGACAAACCTAGAGCACCACAGGTAGTCCATCTGCCCCCGAAAGAGGTACAGGAAGCACGATTGCAAGAGACGGAACGGAAGCTAGAGAAAATCGCCGAGAGGGAACGAAAAGAAGATGAGAAGCTCGCACTACCGCACGCGAATGCGCCGACCGATCTTGCCTCGTCCCCGTCTTCCACTGTTGGTCCATACTCGCAAGCGACTCCTCATGCTCCGCACCACTCGCCCGATACAAGCCCGGATACGGAATCATTCCGTGAACGCATCCCGCCCCAGCCCCGAGATACCGTCCTACTGGATCCTGCAGCGCAACAGGCCAAGGATGACCATGAGCGCGTCTTACAGCAGCAGTTGCGCGAAGCTCGGGAGAAAGCTCGCGCCGAAACCCCACCAACGGACGATGTTGAAAGACAGATCGAAGATGAACAAGCAATTCGTCTTGCGAGAGACGGGAAGAGTCGGCTGGGTGAATCGCAGGCAGCTCCTGCTGCCGGACCGGAAGCATTGGTAGAACACGCTGAAGATATCGCGCGTGAAATCCGACCCGAGGTCGCAGATACTGTTGATCAGAAGGCTACACAAGAACCAGCAGCAGATTCATTACCTACCCCAACCACGACTGCTCCCGAGTCGTCGACGGTGGAATCCGAGGTGGCCGAGAGCGCTCCCGCGAAGCCTCACCAGCTGGCGCCAGTCGAACATCCCACCCCACCTGCCGATGTCGATGTTGAAATGGATGACGCCCCACTTCCGGTCAACGAACAGCAAGTGGCTCCACCTCAGCCTCAACCTACCCGCCCAGAACGCATGACAACCCGAGTTTCATCAGGAGCGATTCGACAAAAGTCTGTTTCCGAGATCATTGGCGAGAAGGGAGACAAGGCTGCGCCCGAGCCAGTCTTGACACCTCGTTCGAGGAATCTCTCAATCTCCGCCAGTCCTGTGCGCCCTCAATCCCGGGAGCAAAAGCAAAAAGGAGTCTCGACCGTCATCTTCGCGAAGCCGGACACCCACCGCACTGCGAAAGCGCTGCAACTCTATAACGAGGACTATGCATCGCTTCAAGGGGCATCGCAGGATTCAGGTAGGGATTATCTCCAGGGCTTGTTCCAATATCAGGCACACCATCCGCCACGATCGGCACCTCTACAAGAGCTAGTGGCGTCTGCAAGGAAGACACTATCGACTGCCGGCACGCTTGCCATGATCAGGGAGCAACAGGATTATAAGATCCTCAAGAGGGTGTATCAGCTGCAAAATGCCAACCGGTGGTCCCTGCGCCAGCTACAGAAATCCCACGAACCCGAACGCCCGACCACGCATTTGGACCACCTCCTCGCCGAGATGAAGTGGATGCAAACTGACTTCAAGGAAGAAAGGAAATGGAAGAAAGCTCTTGCTGCTACCTTTGCAGAGTGGTGCGCCGAGTATGTCAACAGCGGACCCGAAGAGCGAGCGTCCTTGCGCGTAAGGGCCCGTATTCCCAAGCCAGCTCGACGCGATGGCAATGCCGACGAGGATATGAACGATGCTCCCACACCAGACCTCATTCATTCGGGTGCAAATGAGACAGAAAGTGAGTCCTTCGCAGACGACGAAGAGCCCCTTTCTCCGTTTGGCACCAACCCCCCTGCTGGTCTTTTCTCGCTAGGGTTCAACGACGTCGTTATGAAGATCGATCGAACGCCTGCCAGCGAAGCTATGCTACGAGAGCTCCCGATGTACGAGCCGATAGTTGAAGGATCGAACGATGTGACCCCCTTGTCGTTCGTCGAACCACCTATCCTTCCTGTCTCCAAGTTTGTCACGGGAAAGCTTGTTTCGCAAGTAAGGGGCCCTCCAAGGAAGCGCAGCCGATACGAGTACGATTCCGAAGACGAGCCGTCGACGCCACCTAGCCGATCTGGGACTTCTGCCGAACACTCAATGCCCTCTACACCTGGCCGGAGACTTTTCCATCGCAACGATCTACCGCCGGAGATGACGGACGTTGCTCTATTCAACCCAGAGAATAGGCATGTTCGCGACCGGCTACAGGCCGCGCATCAATTCCGACCTCCAACGGAATATCCGATGCCTTCGGTGGCGTTCTTCGAAAATCGGAATTCCTCGCAGTGGCTCTGGGAAGAAGATCAGAAGTTACGGGCGTTGGTCAAGGAGTACACGTTCAATTGGTCTCTTGTTTCACAGCAGCTTTCGCTGCCGTCCTTGTTCGTTTCGGGATCCGGCCGACGCACGCCTTGGGAATGCTTCGAGCGCTGGGTACAGCTGGAGGGCTTGCCTGCCGAGATGTCAAAAACTCAGTACTTCCGCACATATCAGAGTCGACTTGAGCAAGCTGCAAGGACCGTTCTCGCACAGCATCAAGCTCAACAGCAGTTGCTGCAACAGCAAGCGCAAAACGGCCAGAGTATTTCAGGGCAACCACGACGGCGCACCACACAGCCTATTCGTGTTGAGAGGCGGAGAGAGAACAGACACCTCGCCATCATCGACGGAATGCGGAAGTTAGCGCGGAAACGCGAGTCGATCGCGCATAAGCAGGCGGAGTCACAGAAAGCCGCCGCGCTAAGGAAGGCGCATGAGCAGACCCCACTGAAAAATACCGTTCAGACTCCTCAAGAAATGAGTCGCATCAAGTGGGAACGAGAGGAAAAGGCGAAGCAAAGGATGCTCATGCAGCAGGAGATGGCCACGAGAGTAAGTGGCACATTACTGTTAAACGTCGTTGGGGCTGACATGGTGCAGCAAGTGGCAGCGCAGCGTCAAGCGCAAATGCAAGCCCAAGCTGCCGGTATGGCTAACGGTGCCAACCAACAACAGCGCAATGGAACGCCCGGAAATAATCCAAATGGTCCTACGCCGATGGCTACTTCCAATTCTCAACAAGGGCATAGCGCTGCTGCTACCAATGCGGCTATGGCCGCTCGAGCGCAACAAGCTCAGCATGCGATGCAAGCGAACTTTCCCAACGGAAACATGTCTGGATTGGCTATGGGTTCCTCGGGCGTCCCACAAGCTCAGATGCAGCCCAATATGCAGAGCTCCCAGCGAATGCCTCCACCGGATCAAGGACGAATGCTGATACAACAAAGGGGCCAGTATTCGAACACTAACCAGCATCAATTCCAGCTGCAGCAACAGCAACAGCAGATCAACCTGGCCAGCAACCTTGCCCAAGGCATAACAATGAACGGGATGACCAACGCCAATATGATGGCCGCCATGGTTGGACAGAACATGAACGGAAACATGAGCACGACAATGAATGGAATGACCAACAACGCTGGGTCTCCTCGGATGAACCAGGCCAACTCCAATATGCAGAGCCCAGCGCGCCCCTTGTCTAGCGGCCACATGCCTCAGCTGTTACAAATTCAAAATAATCTAAAGGTACAACATCCGGAATGGACCCAAGAACAAGTCCAAAAGGTTGCTTCTGATCATCTCACTCGGTTCCTGGCTAAACAACGCGCACAGGCAATAAACGCAGCCGCTGGCTCCTCTGGCATACCCAATTCCCCGCAGATCGGTAACAACGTATATCTTCAAAACGGCGTCATGGCCAACAGCCCTTCTCCGAGTGCGGTCCAGAACTATCAGCAGCAGCTCGTTCAACAGCAACGGTTGATGAGCCAACAGCGCGCCCAGCAAGCAGGCAGTCCGGGCATGAATGCAAGGCCACCGAGCAGGAGCGCGACACCGCAGAATCCACAATTGCAGCAGAGCCCGGGTCTGCAACAAGCTCAGATCAATCGGAACTAGGAGTCCACGCCCGAAGGGAAGCCGATTGAGCAGCAAAGCGCTACCGAAGAGGACCGCGAGAGCCAGGAGTCCACGCGCGAAAGCAAGCCGATGAAGCACGAGCGCACGACTGAAGAGGACCCTACTTTTGGAGCAGCTCTAGAGGGTCCGCGACCTTTCGCCCCCTGAACTGTATATATCTTTTTAATGACCCGTCATTTCATTCATTTCGTCATGAGCGCATGAAGAGCAATGGAGGCGCTCATCGGATATCGGGGATCCCGCAAATGAGGAGTCCCCAATGAAAGCATGGTGTTCTGGGCGTTCTAGCGTGTTGCGATTCGTTTCGGGAGGCTGGTGGGCATGGGCGGTGTGTCATCACCTTTGGGCAGGCTTCTTAGCCCCGTTGGGCTGGTAGAGCTCATTCTGAATATCATGGTTGCTCGATGAAGGTCGAGTCGACGAAGCAGCGTCGCGCAGATTGATTTGTCTCCATCGTCTGCCGTCTATGTCGTGAACGGTGAAGCATGAATGATTTCTGCCAGAGACGTTCGCGTTCAATGGCTTCACCAAAGTCATGCCGATTACGAATCAACAATGGCTATAGGGCTGAATGGAAACTGGCAACGGAATGTCGGCGTCACAGATATCCAGACAAAAGGTCATGGTGGGCTAACCTCCAGTAATTCGTCATACTCTTCCTATCGTAGGATCGGCGGAAACCCGCGGTGGGGATTAGAGCACCATTCTCACCTTCAACTTATCCTCCTCGAGAATTTCATCCTTCATACTCTCCAGCTTGTCGACGTCCCACGTTGCGCTCACATATCTCCCCGCAAGCCATGTCCGCGCGGCAGCGGTCAGCCAGACGCAAAATCCACCGCAGAGTTCCGGACTGTCTTTCAGAACTACAAATCGCACAGGTTAGCCATACATCCGTCCGCGTACTTCCAGATCATCTCGCACAGAGCGACTCACAAGGTCTTATCTGCTCGATCCCAAGCCCCATATCCGTCGGCACGCCTCCAGGATGCACGGCCACAGCGTTCACGCCCTGCGCGGCATACTCGACGTCCACGAACTCGGTGAGGCGGAGCACGGCTAGCTTGCTGAGCTGGTATGCGGACGCGCCCGTGAAGACGGTGTGCGCGCCGATGCTGCAGATGTTCACGACGTCCACCGTCTTCGCGGTTTCTTTCGCCGTGGAAACCAGCAGCGGCAGGAAGGCGTGCAGCATGAGATACGGCCCTTTGAGATTGACTTCGACCGTCTGCCACCAGCTGCTCGGGTCCGTTTCTGCGAGCGGAACCCACGGCGCTGTAATCCCTGCGTTGTTCACTAGAATGTCTAGTCTGGCTGACTGGCTCTTGACGCGCTCCGCGCACTGGCGCACTTCCTCGTCTTGAGTGACGTCGATGGCGAAGCGGAGCACTCGTATGCTGGCGTTGATCTTCTTGATCTCGGCTTCGAGCGTGGTCAGTTGCAAGCCGTTGCGGGCGCACAGGATGAGGCAGGATACGCTGGCGTGGGCGTACTGCAGGGCGATGGCGCGCCCGATGCCGCGGCTTGCGCCGGTGACGAGGACGGTTTTTCCAGGCTGGACGAGGGAGGGAGTAGAGCAGGTGGAGATGGATGGGTAGATGTCGGCGTGGAGGTTGGAGGGGCCGGGGAAGAAGTAGCCGGTGGAAGGGGGTGGGGTTGCCATGGCTCGAGGCTGGGACTCAAGGTTGGGAGTGAGAATCAAGGGTCGGATGAAAGGGGGATCAGACAAGGGAGAGGTTGCAAGATTGTATACGAGAAAGGTGTTGTGAGATGTCACTAGAGCAGATCATGGGCTTTTATATCGAAGTGGTTGCGGGCCACCGTCCGGTAGAGCTCCGCAGCTGTCAGGTTACATGATGCTCTCCTCGTAATCGTCCGTCCGCTTCTGCAAGCAAATCCCATACTCCGGGTCATGGAAATTCGGTCCAAGGAGGTTAAGTCCGTCATTTTGTAATGAGGCCTCTCTATCTTAAGTCCGGATGTTCTCTTGGCGGGCGTAAACTTGTATATGGCGTATACTCATGTGGAACGGTTTGCAGGGACGAATCCCTTGCATCCACCAATAAGCTCTTCTGATGTATTGGTTGAGTATATTGAAGACGCATCTCGTTTCAAGCAGCGGAGATAGGTGGTTTGGGAGGCTGAGGGCGGTGGGTGAGGGCATGCGGAGAGGTTCGTGAAGTTATCCCGATTTCTAAGACGAGATCAGATAATCGGGTTATTTAGCCAATGAAGCTCACAGAACCTTGGAAGCACGGAGGCATGCTCTGTACGAAAACATAGCCGAGCACACGTAGCGCAGTTTAAAGAGAATAGCCTAGTCTTGAAAGGGATAACAATCTCGTCCACGATGAAGGGCGGTCTTCACACCAACTATGCAAGTGACAGAACAATCCTGGAAGGGTGGCGTCGACGAGTATGCAGCTGACAATGGTGGAGCGCATTCCTCAAAATGATAGTGCAGTTTCGCAAGCCGATGAGGCCCTTCCGGAATGTCTGTCTTTCAAACTTTCTTAGCATTGTTGTCGCGAACGGGTTCAAAGCGGGAGCATGTCCGCGCCAAGCCCTGGGAAGCTTCAAGGGATACCCCACCATGACCCGCATCAACGCCCTCATCTCCAGCACCCTCCTCTTCCCCTACCACCGCCTGCTCGCACTCCTCTCCAGCCGCCTAGGAAAGCATCTCGCGACTCCGAAACCCATGCCGAAATACTACCACGACGACCCCGCGTGGTCCGACATCGATCCGCTCCCACAGGATGACGGCACGCTGCATCCGCTGGCTGCGATTGCGTACACGGAGGAGTATAGCGAGGCCATGGGATATTTGAGGGCGGTTATGGCGAAGAATGAGTTTAGTGAGAGGGTGTTGGGGCTTACGGAGCACATTATCTCCATGAATCCGGCGCATTATACGGTTTGGTAGGTACCTCCCATTCCGCCAGCGAAAGGCGAGCAGCAATGGCCCCGCTGCTGTCTAGAACAGATAGATGATTACGATACTGACTGTCGCAGGCTCTACCGCGCCAAAACCCTCTCCCAGATCAACGCGTCTCTCCGCGACGAAATCGCCTGGCTCAACCCGACCGCGCTCAAACACCTCAAAAACTATCAGATCTGGCACCACCGCCAGACCATCATCGACGCGCTCGACTCCCCCGACGGCGAAGCGGACTTCATCGCGACCATGCTCGAACAAGATGCAAAGAACTACCATGTGTGGAGCTACCGGCAGTGGCTGGTCAAGCGGTTTGGGTTGTTTGATGATGAGGAGGAGTTGAGGTGGACGGAGAGCATGATTGAGAGTGACGTGCGGAATAACTCGGCGTGGAACCATCGTTGGTTTTTAGTTGTAGGGGGCCGAGATGGACAGGCCATTGGAGAGGATGTCGTGGCTAGGGAGATTGAGTATGTGGTCCGCTTCTATGAAGAGTTATAGCTAACTGTGATACAGCTATGCCAAACGAGCGGTTCGGAAAGCGCCACAGAACCAATGCCCTTGGAACTATCTCAAAGGCATCGTTCGACACGCCCAGCTCCCGATCTCTACACTGAAAGACTTCGCCCTCGAATTCGCGGATATGCGGCGACCGGATGATATCTACTCTAGCCATGCACTGGACTTGCTGGCTGATATCTACGCTGAACAAGAGAGCAAGGAGGAAGCGGAGCGCGCGTTGCATCTCTTGGCGACCAGGTTCGACCCGATCCGGGCTCATTACTGGAACTACAGGAAGAGTTTGCTGGAGCAGGCTGGGACAGCGGCGTAATGCGTAAGAGAAGGTGCGGAAAAGTGGCCCACTGTGCATTGATACCCGGCTGGCGTTGTGTGATTTTTCCAAAAGGCTTTCGGAGGCTCAGTCGGCTCATGCGAAGTATCTTGATTTGAAGCTTTTATGCTTAACTAACCTCAATACTATGCCGATGACACTGGAGGTCTTCCACATGCGATAGCAGTGCATCCCGGATGGTCTCGCACTATGACTCTTCCATCTCTTCTAGGTAACTACTAGCAAATAGCCACTGTTGTATGTTTTTGCCCTTCTTTTTCGTGAATGCAGGCTTCACGTGACTTGCTTTGACCTGCTTCTAATAATATCTCCCGCCGTAGTTCTCCCGCTGTAGGGCTCTAATCAGAAGTGATCCCCTTGCTCGCTCTATCTTTCGCGCCCTGCGCTCTGTACCCTGGTGCATCAATACTAGGGCGCGCCGAGCACGATAACGAAGGCGGGAACTCCTGGCAGAAATGTACCAGATAGCGCCGACCGTCAATAGCCGAGCTTGGTAACCCAAACCACATCCAGCCCTTGGACGCGAGCGGAGCCAACGCGTGCTGTTGTCATGCTGGAGTAATTGCTGGATTGGCCATCCGTTATCAGCTATCTATAGGGTAATTCACGGGAAGTATAGGGTAATCGATACTACCGTACCCCTCCCTGTCGCGATTTTGCGGAGCGGACCTTTCGGGAGGTATATATTCCCCACAGGGCGAACTTCTCTGTCTCATCGACCTCACTCTCCGAATCGAATCAACTCGGCCCCGGAATTTCTACAAGCGTTCAAAGTCAGGGCAGAATGACGGTCAAAGAGAGCTTAATCTCCTCGCAGGAGCAGCAGAAGCCTTGGGTCGAGACTCCACTGAAGGAGTCGTATGCGCTGTCGCAGGCGGCGGGATGGTACGGTCATACTCCTTCGCTCCTCTGCCTTTGTCTCCACCTATCACTTCTTTTTGTTGCGCTTTCAGAGTTGCCAGATTAGGGAATTCTAAATCGTAGAAGCAGAATCTTCCTCAAGCTCGAGAATGTCCAGCCTTCTGGTTCGTTCAAGTCACGGTAAGTACCCAATCCCCGCCCTCTCACTAGCCATATGGGTAGGTACTGATGTTGTAGGGGCATTGGATACTACATCCTGCGCCGCCTCGAGGAACTTCCAGTGGGCACCACGAACCCACATATCTTCTCTTCTAGTGGCGGGAATGCCGGGCTCGCTGCCGTCCATGCGTCGCGCACATTGGGCGTCCCGTGCACGGTGGTCGTCCCGCTATCCACCAAGCCCCTCATGATCGCGAAGATCAAGGAAGCTGGTGCACATGAGGTCGTTCAGCATGGCCCAACATGGCAGGATGCGGATATGTATATGCGGGAGGAACTCATGACAAAGGTAAGCCTACACGTCCCACGACTCCCGTGCCACCCACTGATGGAGTATTCCAGGCTGGCGCAGCAGCCATCTACGCCCCGCCCTTCGACCACCCCGATATCTGGACCGGCAACTCAACCGTCATGCACGAAATCGCATCGCAGATCCCCGGCGGCGCACCAGATGCCGTCATCTGCTCTGTTGGCGGCGGCGGCCTCCTAAATGGCGTGGCGCAGGCTCTCGACGATCTCAACCTCTCCGACACCACGACTGTTGTCGCTGTGGAAACCTCCGGCGCTGCATCTCTCAACGCCGCCGTGCACGCTGGCGAACTCGTCAGCCTCAAGAGCATCACTTCCCAGGCCACTAGTCTCGGTGCCTTGCGCGTAACAAAGCAATCCCTCGACTACGCGCAGCGGCCGAACGTACGCTCTGTCGTGCTTCCGGATGCCGAGGCCGCGATGGGGTGCTGGCGACTTGCGGACGACGAGCGGATCATGGTGGAGATGGCGTGTGGTGTCAACGTGGCGCTATGTTACGATGGGAGGCTGGAGCACGCGCTGGGAAGAAAAGTGAGACCGTCTGACAAGGTCGTCATTGTGTTGTGCGGTGGGAGCAATGTTACGGTCGACATGTTGGCGCAGTGGAGGGGCCAGTTCGGGTATGTTGAGGAGGGGCTCCAGATTGTGCATGGGGTTGTGCCGAGTGATCTCACGGCGCCGAATAGACAGTGAGGGGTTTCTGGGCTATGGGGAGTATGGGGAGTATGGTTCATTTAGGATCTAGGTTTATCTAATTGTTTCTTTGGACGTCAAGACGCCGTGAGCCAATCGAGTTGCCCACCTTCAAAGATTCGCAAACCCTAAAAATGCATTACTAACACCGAGCAGGCCTGACGAGGATAACGCCCCAAGACTACACTCAATTTCAGAAGGCGTACCTAGGTAGGTATATTCAAACCAACAAAAACAACCAACACCGCCGCATACCCCGCCACCGACGCAATAATATCCTTCGGTTCCGCCGTGTCCATAAAAACCGCCAACCCCACCGCGACCGCGATAACGAACACGCAAGTCACCACCAAGCTCTTCGTCTGCGTCGGATGCAACACCATAATCAGCATCGGCACAATCAAAGCCAGCCCGCCACCAAGCGCCATCGCAAGCCTCCCATAAAGTCCTCTCTTCGCCGTCTTCTCCATCTCCTCGCTTACGCCAGCCTCGTGCTCGGGTAGGATGTTGTCGGCGTAGTACCGGTACAGCGACGCTTCTGCGAGCTGCAGCTGCAGCTGTCGCGACGCTGGCTTTGCTTCTGCTTCATCGGCGCCGACGAGCCCTTGACCTTCCTCCTCCTCCACCTTCTGTGTCTCGAGATACGACAGATACTCTCCGACTTGCATGAGCACCTCATTATCCTTGAACAAGACCGTGGACGAGACGCGAAAAGCGCGGAACTCCTCCACTGCTTCGGCTGCGCCCATAGTTGTCAGCCCCTTCGTTCGTGTCTTCCACCACACACACACGGCGTTAAGCAAAAACAGCGAAAGGCTTACGTACTATAGTTCCGTATAGCCTCGCGTATACTATCAATTACCCCCGGACTTGCATAGTCCATGGACACGCTTCTGCGGACGCAGTGTTTAAACAGCGTGGCGCGGGCCCAGAGGACGTTGTTCCGGTACAGGATCTCGATGCCTTTGAAGCCTTCTCTTATGCGGGGGGTTTGCGCGTAGCATGCTTTGAATTGGTCGAAGGATAGGATTTGAGGGGTCTGGGTGGGGGAGAGGGGGGCTTGCTCTTTTTGGTCTGCGGGAGGGAGGAGGCGCGCGTTGGGGGTGTTTGGGTGAGAAGTGACGAGTTGGAGCGGGGTTGTGGATGTGGAGTTTGACATGGCGGGCTGTTTTATTCTGTGTGTGTGACTGTCTGATAAAGAGACGTGGAGAGCTGCTGGGGGAAAAAGTGGGGATGAGCGAGGTTGAAAGGGCTTCGTGAATACAAGCAATGGAGGCGCTATTTGCAGACAGCCAGCCAGCCCTGTATACAGAAGAATTTCAAAATATCTTGTGGACATAATTAGCACAAAAACTCAGGGTGTTTCACACAGTCGGGCCGCCATTGTTTCTGTTTCGAATCCCGATCTCGAAGTGACCGAGTTGGTGGAATTTCCTCCGAGGTACCACCTAGTTTTGTTTCATGCTCCCCTACATATTTGACGATGCTAGATCCTAACTAGGTACGTCGAAGAGCTTGGCTGGGCGTTCAGACTGCCAATTACACCGATATAAGTACACAGTACATCCGCCTTCCCCGACCAAAAGATCAGACATCACGGAAGCCTATATAGCAGGCGTTAGCTATAGCGCGAAAGCGGTGCATATCCTTTAATGCGCCCAGCGGCTAAGTTGCTTTATATACCGATCTAGGTATGCTGGGAAGAACCAATGGCTATGATAGGAGGATCTACAGCTTGAAAAATGCGGTTAGTAGCTGCGGACGGTGGCCCGAACCGAAGAACGTGTGGGCCTACAGATTAATGCTAGGCCTCAACAAGATGCGCCATCTATTATCCCGTCTCAACGATGAATCGGGCATGGCTAGCTGGAGACTAAAATATTTACCTTGCTTTCCCTACTCCGTTCCCGCTAAACGCTAAGAGCGTGCTAGACCTCTTGCAGTGAGAGGCTCTATCAGTGTAGGGTTGCACATGCGGAGCATTGCTTCTTGGGGCCAGTGTCCGCATCCGGAACGGCGCCGGGGAATTGCGCCAACATCTTGCGAGTGAGCTAATTCGATAGGCTCCGATATGCCATGGCGTCCAGCGAAAAGCGCTCTGGCTTGGGAGCGAACCAACGTCTGCCCAGGTGGTATGCGGTTATACATGAGTCGGCGAGTGGATCGGTCATACGTCGGTGACTATTGTAGCTGAGGGAAGACGCATAAACGGTAAGAGCATTGAAAATAGCTATATTAAACTTAGGAGAGGAGGGAGGAGGAGAAACTGCGAGAATGAGTGTGAGAAAAATAAGCCCCTGAGTTGTGTAATTGACTTCACATCTCACCATGCTTTAAAATAATTGAAGAATTAGGGCGAGGGGTTTTCAATGGAACTCCGCCATCCTCGGACCACAGCACTCGCCGTCTGCCAACGTGAGCATCCTACATAGCGTGCGCTCACATTCTTCGTTAATTACGTTATTACCCCACCAATCGATGCCGACGTGCTGCATCTAGAGGGCAAAGAAGATTACCAAAGTCCCTGGGACGAAGAGAAGACCCCAGCTCCCGAAACATACGCCGCATCTTGGTGTAGTGGAGGCCTAAAAGAGACCAAAAAAGGCGTTGTAGGATAGTGCGGAATTAGTGCCATGGCAGATCGTATTCGAGAGGATCTATGTACAGGTACTATGGCTTAGCCAGGTTTGTGAGGTTTTGGTACTTTCTGCTTGCAGTCGAGACCCTCCCAGCCGGGGAAGTTCGCCACTTTCTTGATGGCTGCCTGGAGCCGCTTTTCAGAGAAAACGGTAGTGCTGCCCCTAGCTTTCCATTCGCTTCCGTCATCGTCAAGCTTGTAGTCAAAATGCCAAGCAGTAATACCGAGGCCGTGACCTCGCAACTCGTCGTGGAGCTCCTTTCCAAAGCTGGAGCCCAGCCAGGAGGCACCCCAGATCCTGAACTGGTCGTGCGCCACCTTGTACTCGATGGTGCAACCACCCACAGGTCCATCACTTGGCGGCTGACGAACTGCTAGGGGAGTAATCCGATAGGTGGTTTCTCCGCCGCGGCCGACGATGAGCTGGCCCCCTCCTTTCCAGTTGTATCCTTTGCTGTTGGTGTCACATCCGTCTATGATCTCGTGCAGGTACTTCTCGCATGTAGGCCCGTTAGGTTGGTGTCCAGATTTCCACTCGACGCTAATCTCGACTGTCTCCATGGTGTCCCGCCCGTATGTATCCTTCCAGACCAGCTCGTTCGCCTTGAACGGGTTCGTTGCTCCTAGGCAGAAATGGTTAACGACTAGGTCGGACAATGTATTTCGGGCGATGTATTTCTTGTCCTCGATCCCGTAACACTTCTTGATCGGGTGATAACCATTGCAGACTCCCCGCTTGTAGCCACACCAGTTTGCGAGAGCACCCTTATGAGCGTCCTCGTTGGCGCCATTCCAGATGATGTTGACCGGAGGGTTCTGGTCCTTCTTTCGCTCCCAGCTGGAAGCTGTCGACGTGATGTATCGCTTGATCTCCTTCACCCGGTCAAGGCCGTTCTTGCTGTCGTCCCAGGGCATATCGGGGTATCGGGACATGTAGTTTGCAATGATGCCTGCAACGGCCGATGCAGCTAATCATCTCTGTCAGCGGAACTAGTGCCTGCAAAGGAACCATCCTTAGGGAGGCTACGGATATACGCACCAAACGCTGTACCGGACTTCAGACGAGGACGTGAATCGTCCTTATACTGCACAAGCACGTCGACAGCCGGTGCGTAGATTGTCAGCTGGTCTCCACCCTGGCTGCTCTCCCACCGACTTCCGTCGTAGTCCGCACCGCCCACATTGATAATGGGCATGTCTGGACCTTCCAATACCATAGGCAACATGTCAATGTCTTTGCGACCTTCCGACTGTGCCATGTCACCACTCCCAAGAACCACAGGTACTCCTTGGTTCAATAGCCAGCTGATGTGTGAGCGGGTGGCGTTTCCAACAGAGAGAGTTTTGGCTGTCTCCAGCGTCAGAGCGGCATCCGCTGCTATGCCCATCAGAACCACACTGTTTCGTTTCCGATTGTTACCCATAATGTCGGCCATGACCAGTCCAAGCGCATGGACGACGTCGACGAACGATTCAAGGTCTGCCATGACAGAGACCACCCTCGCATTTTTGGCGATGCCGTATTTCCGACCTGCAGCTTTGGAAGCCACCGCGGTGCCGTGAGAATGAGGATCCGAATCGGCATCGAGTGTGTGTTTTGAACGAGCCAGTTCGGTCTGGAGGCGTTCTGTTCTGTGGCCAAACTCCAGTTGGTCATCCTTATTCGGCTCGTTCTAGGATAAGATCAGCACAGGTCTCTCCGCCATGTGAGTTTGTTGCAAGCGGAAAATGCAGCCGCTTAGTGTTAGGTGAGCTGTACTTACATTAAGCGCGTCTCCGTTTACGCCATGGTCTACGACGTAAATGTAAACGGTTTCGCCAGCCTTCTCTTCGTAGACAAAGTCGTTGAGGTTACCCAAAGATACGCCGCTGGTAGAAGAGGTCAATCAATGAGCTGTAATATAGAGGTGAATAGGTACTCACGGAGGTTGGCTGTCCATTAATAGGTCCTGTGGAGCACCCGTCTGCTTCTTCCAGGTGACCGCTCGCTTGACTTTCTTAGACATCTTCTTCGCAGTCTTCATGGCCCATCCGGAACCCGTGTCCTTCGAGTCAGACGCTGGGCGGTCAATAATGTCAACGAACTGCCGTTGGTCTCCTTCCACCCGGGCAACACCTGGGTGGTTCTGAACTTTCTTCAATCCGTCGTTGTCCAAATGCAGAGGGCCCCACAGTAGAAGCTCTCCATTGGGAGTCGTAACCTCACCAATGCTTCTTGATTCCCCATCCATATCTTTGAGAAAGTCACGGGTCTTATCGTTTTGTTCCTTGTGCCAACCATTCTTGGGCGCGGCCACGTAGCGGTAGTACTTTTTCCCCTCTCGGGTGTCGAAAGAGGGACTCCGGGCTTGGACTCGCTGATTGGGTGTTGCGCCTTCTGCCTCGACTTTGCGGACGCCGGGTAGCTTTTCAATGTACTCTGCTTTCGCGTCGTCCTTGAGTGACAGCGTCCATGAGACAAATTTGCCGGATCGCTCATTTTCGTGGATATCCCCGCTAGTGAGAGACTTGAGTTGCTCTCCTATGTCTTTGACGACTGGTCCATCATCTGGGTCGTCCGGAAAGACGACAGAGTGGGACGCATCTCGGAGGGAGAAGAGGCGCCGAGCCAGAGAAGAAGGCCACGAGCTGCACAAGAGAGCTTGCGCGAGGATGAGAAGGAGAATGAGCAAGCGCATGGTTGGGTCGATTGAATGGGTTCGTTGAGCGGACAAGGCTGAGGCTGGGGTGGGTGGGCGAGGTGGAGGAGTGTAACGAGTGCGGGGGGTAAAAGAATGGCCTCGTACCTAAGTAGACGGACCGTTGAGCTGTTCGAAAACTTTTACTTGTATTGGCTCTCGCCCGGACGCCTTTCATCCCCCGTTCCGCCGGTGAACCGCAGCTCGTCGGTGAGAGTGGAAGAAGTAATCTTGTCGAGCTCTTGGGAAGAAGTGAAGTGAACCTACTCAACCCCTACACAGCAACCGCGTAACTTGTCCCTTCCCAAAAGACAATCTCGCCCGTCCACATCCTAAACGCAAAGAAAAACATATCGATCCCCAACGGCACTAGAATCCACACGGCGACCAACTCGTCCACCTTGGCGGGGCAAAACATCTCGCCCTCGATCGTCAAATACATGCCAAAAAACACCCAATTGCCCACATTAATGATAAAGCTCGCGAACACAAACAGCACATACATAACACGAAAGCGCCGACTCTCCGTCGTGAGCGGCTCTTCCCACTTCGAGCGCGCACGCTGCATGACGCCGGTCCAGCTGCTGTCTTCCGAGTCGGCGAAGGTCGGATTATTGTTGCGGTCCTTGCGGCGCTTGATATGGTTCCGGATTGTTATTATGGTGGAGGCGAGCATTTCGATGATGGCGATGAGGGGGAGGGCGCAGATGAAGAGGCCGATGAGGAGGAGCTGCATAGCCCAGATACACAGGCCTGCGACTAGCCAGGCCCATCCGTCACCGTCCTTCTTCTTGCGGCGGCTGCTGGAGCTATCGTCGGCAACTGCGGCATAGCCCATGGATATGAGGAAGGTGATTGCGAGGACGGTGAATGCGGGTATGCACATCATTATCGCGCCGACCGCTAAGGTCTTCAGGTCGCCAGCCGGCGCTGCGGGATCCGCAGGCGGCTTGTTCACGAGGTGCCAGAAGCGAGACGCCACGTTTGTGCCGGCGCCGAAAGACAGGATGCCGTCGACGACGAGCTCGGCGAGCGCTTTTTGGCTCCAGGGAACGAAGAAGCCGAGGATGCCGTAGAAGGGAGCGGGCCGCGGGCGGATTAGATAGAAAGACACTTCTTCGCCGAAGGAGGCACCGCGGAAGACTTTGGACTGGTCGAGTACGAGGAAGGTAAGGTAGGCGGTGAGAAGCTCGCGGCCCATGGTTTGGAGCATGCGGGTCGCCTTCAATGTGTAACGCTTTTCGCGAGTCCAGGGGGAGATGGGAGTGCCCTCTGGTACATCGTTAACGTTAACGCCACGCTCGGTTACGTGAGCCTCGCCCTTCGTAGGATCGCCGTGGTGGGCCATTTCGAAGCCTGGTGTTTGGCGGCTTCTCTTGCGAGAAGACCATTTTTGGAACGTCGACCGGATGACGACGGGGAGAAGTAGGACGCTTAGAAGGGAGCCGATGATATGGCGTAGGTTATGCAGGACTTGAATGACGAGGTAGAGGATAATTCGTGTGCAGGATTTGGCGCCGGTGTAGGTTTGTAGTTGATCGAGCCAATCGACTTTAACAGCGTTTCGGGAGACGCAGTTCTCGACTTCGTCGGCGTCTTTCTGCAGCGTGCACCGGACGTATTGGATTGCCCTGCGGTGCCGTGTCAGCGGTGGCCCTGCGGTGTTTTATAGAAAATAGAGGGTCTGACTTACGCATGCTGCTGGCACGCCGTGTAGTCGAAGCGCTCTGAGAGTCCGCTGGTCGTCGCGTTGCAGGTGTCGTCAAAATGGTCCAGATCGAATGCGCACGTCTTCTGGAGAATCTACTTCGAATTAGTAAAGGCCGGCAGATACCATCTATCCTATTTCAGTGACTTACAGGGAGGAAGTCAGGATACGCGCACTCGGGATCCTTCTCAACTGTAACTGGCGCCAGATTGAAGGACGTGTTCTGAGTCGACGTATTCAATCCGTTGCTTGCCCAGCCTTGATCCCATCTGTTGTAGAGCGAGCAATTGATTAGCGAAAACTACTCGAGGGCTTATGCGAGCAACGTACATCGAATGCATGCACAGAGAGACCTGGCTCGCTGCCTCGAGGCGAACAGCCGGAGTAACATCCTTCGTAGGGCATACTTGAAGGGGCTTGATGTAGCGGCCGCAGATATCGCTAGCACTCTGGTGGTAGATCAGCCTGAATCTCCCTTGTCTGCTATGTAGCGCGTACCTCAATGAACAGATCGGTGCTGTAGGTACAGCGGGGCGTTGCCGTTGTATTCGTTACACCATAATAGGCCATCTCGACCGCTACTCAGGACTAACACGCGAACTATGTGATCGAAAGTATCAGCAGCACATCCCTTTAAATGATCGCATTCTTCACAAACCCCTTCGACCTGCAGCACTCCAGCGGTTAGAATCCCATAAGTAACTCATGGCTGCAGCCCACCTTGACAGCTGAATGTCGATCGGCCGTATCTCGTATCGTGCGTGCCGCAAATTAGCGAGCACCAATAATAGGTGCACACGGGCTGGTTTCGATACGCCCGCGACGAGTATCACGATACGAACGTGCATGACCGCTATCCACGGCCAAGATGGGGCTTAATACGGCTGCCTCAACTTTGCGACTGAGTACCGTCAGGCGTCAGTTCAATATGCGACTTTGACGGCTAGAAAAGGAGAGTGCAGCGCCGCGGCTCAAAAGCTCTTTATGAGAAGTGTTAAGACTGAGGCTATTGTTGGTGGTTGATGTTCGAACGTGTTAAGTATTTAACAAGGGGGCCGAGATGAGGTTCGGGACGGGCCGCCCAGAACTAATTTCCACAATTCCCGCCGCGCGGTACACAAAATCGGTCCGAACTAAATCTGGGGGCTGAAGGTCGAGACGTAGTCTCAATGATATGAACTACGTTCGTAATCGTGAGTGGTAAGATTTTGTATGTTGCCCTGATGAGGTGGAATATGATATCCTGACTCCTTTCGTCATCTCGCTTACCTGCAGAGGATGACTAGCTCTCTCATCTCCTCATTTCCTCCAGCACCTTTTCCAACTCTTTATCTGCGCTCAGCTCCTTCTCCGCGCCCTCGAGAACGGCTCTCAAGCCCCTGGCACAAGCTTCCAGCTCAGTCTGCTCTTCTTCATTCAACTGCACCGGCATCTTCCTTATAATGCCTCGACGGCCGATGACTGCCGGCATGGAAAGACAACACCCGAGCTCAGGCTGGTAGAAAGAGAGGGGACGGACGGTGTGCGCGTCGAAGAGTATGTACTTGCAGATGCTGGCTGCGACATTGCCGATGCCGTACGCGGTGCAGCCCTTGGCTGCGATGATAGCGCCGGCGGCACCACGCGTGTGAGTGGCAATTTCGGCTTTGAACTCCGGAGTCAGACAGACGGGCAGAGCGAGGTGGAGGGGGGTTGTTCCAATGGAGGCGTTGGACCAGGCGATCTACCTACGGTCAGTCTTTCGAAAGCCGCTGCGAAAATACTATGAATACGTACAAACTGGCTATCGCCATGCTCACCAAGCACATACGCATCGATACTGTTTGGTGCTACTTCCGCTTTCTCCGCGAGTATGCCTCGCAGTCGCGCGGAATCAAGCGTAGTGCCGGTACCCAGGACCTGCGACTCGGGTAATCCAGAGAGCTTCCGGGCAAAGTAGGTCAAGATATCGACAGGGTTGGCCACCAGGAGCAGGATTGTAGTCGGCGAAATAGGTTGCATATTTTTGAAGATGGAGGACATGATGTGCAGGTTGCGGCTAAGGAGGGAGAGCCGGGATTCGCCTGGATGCATATCAGCAAATGGCCCATCATGGACATGTCGAATCTTCGCTATGACAAGCGACTACGTCCAACGGAAGAGGAAATGAGGGGTTATGTTGGTAGCAGAATAACGTACCAGGCTTCTGCTTAGCTCCCGCAGTGATGACCACGACATCAGCCTGTCCAGCATCCTTGTGCGTCCCAGCTCTTACCTTCGTCCCGGAGCGACCGCCATACGTCGCATCGCTCAGATCTCGGACTTGCGCTTCCAGCAGCGCTTTCTTCGGGTCGACCATGATGATCTCGCCGCATATCGGGTTGAGGACCAATGTGTATGCTAGCGTGGAGCCGACCTCGCCGCAACCGAGAATGGCGATGCTAGTTTTGAGTTTATGCTCTGCCATGTTGTTGTTCTTGTGATATCTGGAGATATCTGAGGGTCGAGGTGTATAGTAGGAGGGAGGATGAAGCCAGACAGTCGGTTGCAAGTATTTGTTTGAGGTTAAACGTGGATGAGGCTTGGGTTGTCTTGGGAGGGTTCTTGGGGAAGGAAAGACGGAAGCGGGATTGGGAGGCGCGATCGACTGGCAAGTAAGGGAAAATGCGACACTCGAACTCCGTTGGATTCTGACAATTATCCAACATGTGATAATCGACTCACATAGCGTGTCTCTCAAGAGGTTGTGTCGTCTGCCAAGGCCTGGGCGTCCTGTTATCTTGCGACGCTCAGCCACATGCTAGGCTGCTGTGCCCCGCCACTGCTTACCGCATCGCGCCCTTTCGATGCCTGGTGCAAAAGAGAAACATCTATATCGAACTGCAGCCTTCCATGTTGTAGGAACCGTCTTTCAATGTCATAGGCGCCATAGATGTTGCGTCGGATGTGCTTAATCCGCGCCCTGCCGGTACGAGTAGCTGGGGGCGTGCCGCCGAAGGAAATTCGCATTCCATCACTCTGGCTTCTCTCGAAGTCGTTACCACCTCACGTCGACCAGTGATTTTGCACATCATCTTCAAGCGGGTCCATCTGCATCTGGAGCCTCGCAGCTACTTCGTCTGCCTCCTTCCACACCCTCAACACGTTCCAGCCGATGATCTTCCCGACCTCCGCGTCGCCGATACCTTGACGGAGCAGCTCGGCCACCAAATCGGGGAACTTCGAGACATCTTCCAATCCTTTCGGCGTCGACTCAATGCCATCATAGTCGGTGCCAATACCCACGTGGTCATATCCGATGAGCTCTCCAATATGCTTAATGTGGCGGACAACCTGATGCATGGTCGCATTTTGCGGATACGTCTCCGGCAGATCAGAAGGCGTGTCGCCGGGCACACAGGAGATGAAACCCGGGCTGAAGTTTATCATGACGACAGAGTTGCGCTTCTTGACGAGCTGAAGGATATCGTCGGGGACGTTGCGTGGATGCGGGCATATAGCGTAGGCAGAGCTATGGCTGAAGATGGGTGGAGCGAGGCTGCCACTCCACCCGCTCCCACCGCTCCCGACGAGAACATCTCTCATTGTGTCGGCGCTGACGTGGGCTAGGTCGACGAGCATACCGAGGCGGTTCATCTCCTTGACTAGATCGCGGCCTGCGGGGCTGAGCCCCTTCCAGTACGGGGTAGCGACCCGGGCCTCAAAGTTCGGACCAGATTCGAGGGCGGCATCGGCATATTTGTTGTGGCAGTTCCAGGTGAGCGTGGCGTATCGAACGCCTAATTGATGGTATAACCGTAGGTTGGCGAGCGAGTTCCCAATTTGGTGGAGACCTTCGATGATTACGGGGGAGATGAGACGGCCCTCATTGAATGCCTTTATAGCTTCGGAGCTGTCTGATGCTGGCGTAAAGTACTTTGGATACGCTTGACCTAGCCGCTTGAACAGGTCCAGCTGGTCGAGTGTCGCACGTACAACTGAGCGCTCAGCATCAAGTTCTCGGATCGTATGAAAGGTTGCTTACTCGGCGCATATCTCTCATCCGAAAAGTCGGTCCCATTTCCTGGAGGGCACGGCATGAATGCGCTCCAGAAGGCCCCGCCTTGCTGCCCGGCGTCCAATCGAGGCAGGTCCACATGCCGAGGAAAGCCGCCATTCTCAAACTTGTCGGTGAAATCGGCACCGTAGATGTGGTTTTTGTACTGCACACGAATGGTGATCATCAGATCATTGTGCCCGTCTTCGCCATGTTAGCGGCTGTGCGACGGCGCTGTCAAAGGTGTGCTAACCGATTAGGGGATTCTCCCTCAAGATCTTCTGAGCCCGCTCTTCAAACGTGAGCTGTTGCGAACAGCCGTTACGGCGGGGTCTGAAAAACAGGTCTACAAAATGTTGAGACAGGAAGCTCGTGCTTTGAAGGAGGAAGACGAGGACAACGGCGATAACGGCATAGTGGACTATGGAACGTCGCCGGGGTGGAGGCGGATTGTGATGGTCAGATGGGGCAATTGTATGCCTTTCATCAACGCATAGTTCAGATGGCTTCTCCATTGCTTTCCATGGATGAAGGAAAGACGGACGAGATGGAAACTGTGGTTCATGGTGCCTTAGAAATCAAGAAGCTCTCCTGAACCCTGAACCCTGCAATCTCCGGCTTGGCTAGCATTTGCGGCGTCGAGCTCTCCTCCGAGCGCACGACAACACTGGACTGAAATTCGGCACGAGGGTTTTTTTATTGCCAATTGCGCCCCGCTACACTTTTTGACTGCTTCATTGCAATCACCATCATGGCCATCGTCTCTGCATATACAATCATCCGGACCCTGTCGCTGTTCCACATCACCCTCGCCGCGCTCATCCTCAAGGATCCGAAGCTCGTCGCGGACCAAAACATCGTCTTCCTGCTAGGACAATCAATGCAGCTGGTGAGTGCGCGAATACAAGGACCAATAACAAGCGCAAGAATCCAGCAGCAGCATACTGACTCCCTGCAGCCGACTCCGCGCGAATTCTCCAAGCCCTCCGCAACCACGGCCTTCATCGCCGTGCTCCTAGCCTTCCTCGGGCTCAGCGACCTCACCTCCCTCTCCCTCTCGGATGAACTGGCCGAGTCGTACTGGGGCACGCAGACGCCCGTCCGCTTAGCCTTCCTTTTCGTCGTCACCGGCTATACATACACCTTCAAGGAGGGCGGCATGTTGTCGAGCAAGGGACACGCCTATGCGCCCGGTGCGGGCGATCACTTGAAGAACAGTATCGTCTTCACGTGGGGCTTCTTGGAGCTTGCCGCGTGGTTTTGGGTGCGTACCCTTGGGACAAACCGTCAAAGGAGCTAGGGCTAACCGTTGACAGGTATTCATCACGCTGCGCGATGAACGGCGACAGAGGGCTATGCGCCTCATTGAGCAGCGCAAAGCTGAGCATGATAGACTGTGATTTATACAAGAGCATACACGCAAAGCCTTTGCAAGATACCCGCGTCGCTGGTTCAGAAAATCCATGTTTTTCGCTTCGTATAAAGTTTCCTCGAATGTATTAACGTTTGAAGCTCTCCAGGTAGCGAGTCCCAAAGATATTTTTGTTGGTATTTAAAGCGTCGACAGGATCACTCCATCACTCCTGCACAGAGCGCAGCAAAACGGCACTGAGAAAGAATGATGCACATGGAGCAGACATTTCAAGAAGTGTCGCAATTTCCAGACACATTGCCGCGACGACTGAGGAACTGCGCCTCGATCCACAGCCACAGCCCACGTCCACTCGATATGAACCTCACGATGCGACAGATGCCGGCCCGGGAGAGTTCACAACTTCGGTATACGGCTCCAGCGCACACCGGATATCCTACACAGTACATGGCCCCGGAACACAGCAAACATGTCACACAGTATACTGCCCCAGATCACACTGCACATCCTGCGCTACACACCAATCCGGATGAATTTAACTCCATGGCTCTCGATTTTGCCTACCCGGACAGTCGTTTCCAGAGCACGCTCCAATCTGCGCCGCCTAGTCTCTACAATGTGGCGGCGCAACAGTATACACAGGATTACCACGCCGGTCCGGTTACTGTTGACGGTTTTCACTCTTCCTTTAACAATCTCCCGGTACCGTCCGGTTCTAACACCACATCACAAGCAAAGAGCTTGCAGCCTACGCCCGATTTCGATCCTTTCTTTCCCATTTCCCCCGTCTCCCAGGGGACACCGACGTCTCTCACTGGCGAACCACAAGCTGGGCATTTCCAGCGCCCTTTTAATAGCGTTCCTGGACTCGCGGACAATCTCCAGCCTGCTTCGAACTCTTTCTCTGCCCCGCCGCAAACGTGTAGTCCGAACGTCGGATCACACGCCGGGGGCCTTCAGCCTTCCTTTAACGATGTTCCTGCGTTCACGGCCACTGTGGAAGGTAGTCGGGTTGGGAACGCGTCTCGAACTCAGTCCCATGACACTATGTTCCCTACGTTCTCATCGAATTCTTCCCTCTTCGCGCCTCCACTACCAGCTGCTCGGAACGTCGGGTCGCAGACTGGATACCTTCAATCTACCTTTGACGACACTCCTAGGTTCACGCTCAACGCGAAAGGCAACCAGTTTGGTAATATCCCTCATCAGCCGCACCAGCACACCATGGGCCCTTTCGTCCCATCTAGCTCTTCCTCTGCGGGGTTTTCCTCCTCGCCGCTGCCGCCATTGCCCCAACACCACAAGCGCCCCGACGGTGCCACCACTTGTAGCATACACGGTCATACCTGTGACGCCTTTCTTCATGAGAATATGGCGGGTATGGCTAAGTGGCTAGACGACCAAAATCTCTGGCGAAACCCAAAGCACCGCGCCTATGCGCGTCCGGCGATGGACTTCCTGCTTGGCAGGACCGGGCTTGACAGGGAGGCATGGCTGAAGAAGCGTGCAGACGAACTCTATCAGCTCTTCAACCCAGAGTCAGAACACTGGACCCCTCTGGCGAGCATGGCGGAGAGGCAATTTCCTCGAGAACAATTCCGAGAGGAGTGGTTAAAGAAGCGCGAAGAAGAACTCTACAACCTGGGTACCAGAAAGATGTATCGAATCAGTAAACAATTGGATTCACGCAAGCCTGGAATCGACTACGATTCCGAAAGCAAAGGTAGCCATAGCAGTCGTTCCTCTCGCTCCGGTAAAGGTCGTGGCCGCGGCGGTTCTCGCAAACCACCGAAAACATGAAGCTCAGAACGTCAAAGATATCGTGTGTCGCTGCTCACCGCCCACCCAAGTATTTGTGTGAGCAGCATCCACGTTTCAGGAGCATTCGTCGTAGGAGCGCCGTCCCAAAATGGTCTAACGTACGCTATCGGTTCCCCAACCTTTGCCGAAACCGACCAAACCCCGGACCCCATACTGCGCAAAGTCAGCCCTAAGACCATCGGACCGACGCCCTCGAACCATCGTACACATGGATCATCGGATATCCGACAATTGGCGACCTTACAATATATGTTGCTGCAGCTGCGTCGCGAGTATCTCCGCCCCGTAGTACCAACTCGCTCCTGCCCCAACCCCAACCAACCACACACCACAATGATCGCCCCAAACACAACTCCACAACCACTAAACATCATCATTCTCGGCGGAGGCATAGCGGGCCTGACCACCGCGCTTGCACTCACAAAATATGCGCCTTCCACACATCCACCCCCCAGCATCACCATCTACGAAATCCGCCCACAACCCGCAACCATCGGCGGCGCTGTAAACCTAACCCCCAACGCTCTCCGCCTGCTCTCCCACCTCGGCGCGCTCGACGAAATCCGCGCGCGCCACTACGGGAAAGAATGCCTCGCCGTCGAAGTCTTCGATCTATACTCCAACGCCAAACTCGCCGAATCCAGTTTCCGCGGCCCGGACGGCAAAGGCCTAGGCAACCCGCCCTTCACCGCGCTCAGAATCACGCGCGGAGAAAGCTTGAAAGGCGTGCTCGCCGCGATCGAAAAACATCCTAACATCCGCCTCGTCTGCGGCAAGAAGACCGTGGACATCAAGGAGGACGAGCGCGGTGTCGACATCACCTTCGAAGACGGCGAGTCCGCCAGCGCAGACATCCTCATCGGCTGCGACGGCATCCACTCCGTCACGCGACTCAAGCACGTCGAGCCCGGCCGCAAGAGCGTGTACTCCGGCATCTGCAACGCGTTCGGCTTTGCCCCGCGGCGAAAAACCTCCTCCTCTCCCGACGCACCCTTCGAGCCAACCCACTTCGAAACCACCGCCATGAACTTCGCCCGCCGCGGCATCCTGCTCACCTCCTTCCACAACGAAGCCCAGGACTCCATCTACGTCGGCGGCCTGATGCAAGTGCCCAGCATCGCCTCGCGCGACGGCTGGAAGGCCGCGGGCGCCGACGCCGAAAACACGCGCAACGACATGCTCGAGCGCTTCGCCGCCGGCGCCGCTAACTCGCTGATCCGCACCGTCATCCAAGACGCGCAGGACCTGTACCTGTGGCCCATCTTCACGCTCAGCAAGGCGGGCAAATGGGCCACCGACCGCGTGGTCCTGATCGGCGACGCCGCGCACGCGATGCCGCCGCAGGGCGAGAGCACGGGCATCGTGTTCGAGGACGGCGTGCTGTTTGCGCGGTGCCTGGCGCGCTGGATGGAGAAGGGCGGGGAGAAGATGGCGCCTGTGAAGGAGGCGTTTGATGCGTATGAGAAGCTGCGCAGGGCGAGGATCGAGACGGCGTATGATGAGAGCCAGAGCGTGGTCAAGACGGTGCTGGATGCCGGGTGGCTGGGGCATAAGATTAAGCTTAATGTTATCCCTTGGTATCTGTGGTGGACGCGGGGGTATCGGGAGGCGCATTTTATTGAGGATGTTACGAGCTGTGAGTTGGGGTATTGAGGGGGAGGGAGGGGCCGTTTTGCATGGGTGGAATTTTGGTGCGTTGCGTTGCGTTGTGCTGTGTAAGTTGCGGCGCATTTAAGAGCGAGTTCGCTGGAAGATAGGTTTCGGGAGACGAACAGATTTATATAATATAATCCCACATGAATATCAGTCTGCCATGTACATGCTTCAACCCAATACCATTCCTTCTCGGCCGATTCGATCTAGCAAGGCAGTCAAGGAAGTCCCTAATTTCCCAGCTAGCAACATTACATCACAAATGGAAAAGACATGTATGCAGATGCAGACGCAGAGGGATAACTCTAATTTTGACACTATTCAAGTACCAGGGCTATGCTACCTACCTCATAAGCCGGAGCGGTTTTTACGTCTACGGCGGATAAGTTGACGAGAAGGCCTTCAGCGGGGTATCGAAGCTCAGTCCTTCGCCGCATCGACAGCCTCTGACGCACCATCCACTCCGAACACGCTGCTCTGGGGGCGAGACAATCCCTCATCTTCGGAGACAACCCCGCTGTTAGCGCCACTGGCCTTCTCCTTCTCTTCCTCGATTTCCTCCGCCGCTTCCCAATCCTCTACCACCTCTGCAGGCTTCTCCTTCTTCTTCCTGGTGCTGCTCAGGCTCAAGACAGCAAACCCGCCCTTATGGCCGACCGGGGCGCTCTTTTCGACATGGCGCACCGGAGCTCCTTTGGCGGCTACCTGGCTCCAGCCGGCCCCTAAGGAGTCCGACTCCTTACGCAAGACGTTCAAGGAGGAGTCAAGTCTAGCAAGCTGAAGCTTGCCGATCTTATGTGAAGATATTGCCTGGGATAAGGCGGGCTTGATGGACTCCAGCATAGCTTGTACCTCGCGTTCAGGCAGGTTGACCCGCGCAGCAATCGGGGGTTTAAGAGCCACCTCCTCCGTGGGTAGGAAATTAATTTCAAGCTCTAGTGGACATGAAGTCTTCGGTAGGACGCTCTTGAGGATAGAGCTCACGTCTTCGACGGTTAGGGCAAAACGGGGGTTGGTGATTAGGAAAGCGTTGTATGGATCTCCGGCGATGTTGCTTGGTCTCGGACGCGACATGAGCATTGTAGCGGCTGCTGGTGCTGCTGTAGCTCGCTGAACCTGTCGGATCCTCACGCACTCAGCCAGCGTTTTCATCGGCGCCATCACGAATCGGGGAGTCTTGAATATTGCAACGTGTCGATGAGGTTCGGGGTCCATGCTCTCGGAGTCAAAACCGAAGTCTTCTGCAATGGAATGTAGGAAAGCTCGTTGGTGCCGCGGCATCGGCTTGAAGCGTAAGCGCTTTTCCTCGGGTTTGGCTGCGAACAGTCTCAGCTCCTTCTCTTGAGCCGCCGCCCAGGTAGAGTTTTGTTGATACATGTTGAGCGTGTCGGCGCCGTATGGGACATGGTCGCTCTGATGCTCAGGGTCAACGTTAAGCGCCAATGCGAGTTTGCGGTTCCTCTCAAGGCGGGCACACTCGTCGTCGCATTTCAGTGTCTTCTTGAGGTTACCTTCACCGTTCTTTGATGCAAGACACCTCGCTTCTTGCTTGATCCTCTGGCAGTCACAGGTAACGAGGATTTTGTGCTGGCAAGGCTTGTCTTCCTTGCAAGGTACCGGAGAATGGCACGGAGCCATGCACGGGTGGCCACAGACACTCAAGTCCTTCCCACAGGGCTGCCTACACGGCTCAGCGCACTCGCCAGGGCGATGACACTGCTTCTGACAATAATGTGCACCACATTTTAGTCTACGGCCGCAAGTTTCTGCGCATCGGACTTCTGTTAGCCAGCATGGCTGATTCTTGAGCGTATTCTTGCCGCACAGACAAGATTTAGTCGTTAGGAACGGGCATTTCGGGCAGTCTTCGTCGTCTCCATGGCAGGTGTGGGCAACCTGAGGGTGACCACAATCCTTTGGTCGCTCGCACTGGAAACGGCATGGTGGAGGTTTCGTACCACAGGGTAGTGGGGGTTGGAGAACGGTCCGTCCACAATGACAGCTGATCTCCTCGAAGATGGCGTCCCGACATGTTCCACAGGGACCCTTGTGGCACAATTCCTGACAGCGGTGACCGGGGTTACCGCACCTGCAAATATACATTAGCGAACATTTCTAACCGAGAGAGGTACATTAAACTCCCAGCTTGCCTGATCCGCCGAAGGCTTCCAGGAGTGGTTTTTCAGACTAAGACATACGTACCTAAGCTGGCGACCACATGGCCGCGTACAGATGTGCTCGGCTTCGAAACCTTCTTCGGGCTGGTGTCGGGCAGAGTCGAGCGGTCGGGGTTTACGTCGCTGCGATTGCCGCTCCGCTGCCTTCCGCTCGCCAGGGCAACAGCGCTCGCCACATTCATGTCGGCCACAATTGAGAGAGACACGGCATATCCGCATACACTGTAGTAATACATATTAGCGACTGAATTGTACCAAGGATAGAAGTAAAACATTTCAGCGTTCTCGGGAGTTTACTTGTGGGAGGTCTCCAGGGGGGACTTTCCACAGTCGAGCGAAACCGAGACAGGGGGGCATGCATGTCACAAATTACGTACCTGAGGAGGTTCTTCTGTTCCCTGATGACAAACGGTTGTAGACGTAGTGCGCCCGCATCGACATGCAATAGATACAATGCGCAAGCAAGGCGGACAATCGCCCTGGTGGCATGGCTGCTGACACTCATGGCCGCAGTCAAGCAGTTTTCTGCAAGCTTTCGAACAATTCGGAATGGGATCCTCGCAGGTAAACCGGACGGCATTCGAGATCTCATTCAAGGGAGTCTTCCCGCACGGACAGTGGGAGACAACATCGGGGGATCGGGGACAGTGAGCTGGCTTGGCATCTTGTGGGTGACATTGGTTTTTGCAAGCGTGTATTCCGCAGTCAAATTTCCGTGCACAAGCGTTAGGGCATTGGAAAAGGCCTGTCCAGTGTTCAACGGTGGTAGAGCCGTCTTCCGCAATGTGTGACTGGCTGCTGCTGCGCTCGTCCCCTCGATCGCAGCATAATATGTCCTTGTCCACCTGGCCACAGTAGCATCGAGCCGGTATACGGACCTCACAGGCTCCGCACAGTCCTTCGTGGCATGGACGGGGGCAGCAGTGCTCTCCGCAAGGCATGGTGTGGCCACAGATGTCGCCACAACTCCAACCGTGCTCATAGTCTGTATCCACACACCGGCGAGTGACGACTTTCTTTCCACAGAAGCAATGCTGAGTAGGGCCCATCTGGGTACAGGGCGGACAGGGGCCGGCATGGCAGGTCACCGGGCAGGGGTGGGGGCATTTCTTGGGTAGAGTTCGTGGCCGAGCGCATGTCTGTCCGCATGAGAAAGGGGGAAGGCCTGGAAGTGACTTGGGTTCGAGCTCCTTCTCGCACCAGCAGGCGAAGGATTTCGGCAATTCGTCCTTGGGCAGATTGCATCCGGGACAGCGCCATTGCCGCGGTGGCGGCAGCTCGCCATCGGGCGCTTGTTGCCGAGCAGCTGCCGAACCCTCATTAGTCGACCACTTCTTGATACAGCCCAGGTGGAAGACGGTCCAGCAAGTCCTGCAGGACCAGACCCCTCTAGATGTTCTCCTGACTTCTTCTGTGCAAATAGCACACTCGTAGTGGCCATTATCGATGTCTTCATGAGTCCTCGTGGCTATGTCAGGGGCAGTGGATTTCGGGACTTGGGGCTTCTTTTGTCGGGGCGGTCTTGATTGTCGAGGAAGGATCGGTCGGCCAGGTTGAAATTCGGGGGCATCGGCCTGCAAGTGGGACTGCAAACTTTTATTAGCACATTGCTCAGCCTGAATTCCTCCGGAGTGATGTGAAATGAGGGATCTATCATTGTTCCCAGCCAAACATGAACGTACCTCTGGAGCGGATGTCGACGCCGCATCTTCAACACTCAACTGCCCACCGAACTGTCTGCCGCCAGCTGTCCGCTGTGGAAACCTCAGCTGATTGTGGGCACCCCCTCGTCCTCTCCGCGGCTGCGCCGGGGGAGCTGAAGTAACTCCCGCTCCATTATCCACAGCGCGGCTTGGTGCTTGCCCGCGAGCTCGTCCTCGCCCACTCCGGCCGCCTCGCTGCGGTGGTGGCTGCTCCGACGGAGTCTGCTCCTGCTCGTGCTCCTGACTTGCGTGTCCTTGCCGATTCCTATGCCTGGGGCGGCGACGCCTCTGGCCGTCTCTCGACGGGTCGGTGCTCTGCTCCGGAAGGGGAGCGGTGGTAGCCGACATAGTGGCGCAACGGGTTGGTCTCGAGTCCAGTATTCCAAGGTCGGGTGTCTCGAGAGCTTCACGTAGGGTTGCGAAGGCGGGCTCGAAAGGGCGTGTCGCCTGCAGACCGACCTGTAATGTAGGCGAGAAGATCAAGCTGTGGTGTGGTGGTCAAGGTGAGAGGTTAGTTGCGAGCACATATATTCACTGCCTGAGGCTAGTGTGGCCGGATGGATGACTCAAAGTCGGTGCTACACACCGGCCATTTACGAGCCGAAGTGGCGGAGCAATCACTCCATCGCTTGCCCCGAGCAAAGCTGGAACGTTCCTGCGGTGACTGTTCGACTTCAGATGGAATTTCGGGTAAGCGCGTCATAGCGTCTCGGCAGAACCCCGGCAGAACTCCACGCAGTCCCATTGCTTTGCCCGGGAGCTGCTATCGCCAGCATCACTACCACCCCGAATCCATCACAGCCATGGCGACGACATTGCTCGGCGCTTTGGCGCTGGCCTCGGTGCCGTCAGCACTCGCCTTCCGCAACACCTCGCCCTTCTTCCTGTTCTCTACCGCCAAGTATGTGTCGTAGCTCGTCCCAGCTCCCCAGGCTAACGCCCGCAGCTTGAACATCAACGCCAACGATGTCGAGATCGCCCGGTCGACCCAGGTCCTTGCCCAGGTCACCAACGCGCTAGAAAGCTGCCCTTCCAGGACGTATGTTGTCGTGCGGCAAGAGGGCGTCTCTTCCGCCGACTATCGCAATGACGACGGACTCTCGTGGCTGGGCCGGTACATGAGCGGATACAACAGCGAAGTGAAGAGCACATTGGCTGTGCCAGAAATGCTGGAGAGCGCGGATGCAAGCGTGGGCGTGACGGAATATCTGCAGAACAAGTGCGGTGTCCAGGTTCTCGAGGTGAAGGGCGCCGAGATATCCACCACAGAGGCGCCAGCTAGAACCGCATCTCCGCTGCTCATCTACGTTTCTATGGCAGCGCCGCCTTCGGGCTCCCTACGACCATTCAACCTCAATGCGCTTGGTAAGACCATGGTGTCCCCATGGGCTCTGCTCCGGCTAATGGTTACTAGACGCGCAACTAAAGACCGTCGTCGAGAACTGGGCCGACTCGCAAGACTACACAGTCATCTATACCACCACACCTCCGGCCAGCGAGCAAACCAAAACTGCCGTCGAAAATCACCACGCATACGAAATGGAGGACCCCTTCGGTGAGGCGGTCCAAATGGAGCTAAAGCGCGATCTCTCGGCACACAAGCGAGCTGCCTCGAAGCAAGGCGGCCTTTTCGAGAAGTACCAGTACTTCACGCCAGGCCTGTTCATGGGCCTCGCCGCCATCGCCCCGCTTTTCCTTATTATCTTCGTCGGGACTCAAGCCCTATCGAGCTTAGAGGTGTCTTACTTCGCTTTCAGCAAAGAGATGGGACCCACTGCTCAGAAGAGGCAGTGATTGCTCTTCGGTAGGGCAAGATTAGTGTAGATCCTGTAACTTATGTAGAGCATGGGCACCTGGCGTTTGTTGGGAATTCCGGACCTTAGCCGAATGTGGTATAAGGATTATTCGAGTCATTTCTAGCTTCCATTTTCTTTCACGGAATCATTTTCTCAGCTTTCCTACGTCAATTCACCAGAGCCTCGACTCATCGACCAACTCAGCGGTCGTAACGGCCTCTCGAATCTGTGCCGAGCCTTGTGACTCAAGTGGTCCGTGCGATGGCTGCTTCTGATGCGAGTATCCCTCACTTTTAGAGCACCCTCTTGATTTTCTGTCCTACCCCATTGCTCAAGTTCCTTCGCAGTTGTTGCCTACCGGCCTAGTTGAGTCATGGGTCGACAAGTGCTAATTCTTCGTGTCCCATCACATCTTCGAGAGAGTCGACAAGCGCCAACTCTACATGTTCCATCACATCTTCCTCGCGAGATATTCGACCTCATCATCTCTACGCTTATCTCGCTCTACGACCAGGATCCAGGCTATCAATGGAGCCACCTCCGCTACATAACACGCTTTCACAAACGACAACTGGAATCCCACTTCCTGCATTTCTGGCTCCCTAGAACAATCCTCACCGTCTACTCCGACCGGGTCGGTGTTAGTGTTGACTACCGTGCATTTGGCGTAGACAAGAAAACAGGCCTGATTGCGCGATTCAAAGCACGCGAAGGCTGGGCGAGGCTGCAGAGGGATTCGATGCTGGAACACGAAAAGTGGAGTTGGTGGGAATATATTATGCGGTCGACGGATCCCTTCGACGAGAACACATGGTGGAGCCAGAGGCGAGTCGTTCTGAGAATGGGAGAAGGCGTGCTAAACGAAGGCTATGCGGGTGGTGGGATATTGAGCAACATGGTCATTCCTGGGCTGCAACCGGATGATGAGGGGGGAAATCTGTGGTTCGAGTGGAAGACACTCTTCTCGAACTTGTTCAAAGAGGAGGAATGCATGCGCATGCTGCGCAACGACCTGCTGAAAAAGCACATGCCGCAGATTCTCACAAAGAAACTACCAGAGCGCCGATCTATGATCCGAAAAGTCCTCAGCCAGTATAAAGCCTCGGCTCGCGAGGCTCTGTACTTCTATCGCCATCACCTTCACTCCGGCGGCACACTTGCCAACTTTGATTGCGGACATTATAAAAACTGGTACGGATATACGCAATACGACGAAACAGACTATCCGACCATCCTCGAAATTATCGGCAAAGAAGAGAGCGTGGTATTTCAGATGGAGGGGTGGAGGGAGTGGGGTGTCCGAGAGGTTGCCAGATTGAGGGGGGAAGAGGATATGAAGGACTATAACTATTGGGAGTCGCAGCCGGCGCAATTGCAAACGCGGGCGAGGGTTTGGCTAGCAGCGTGCAGAGAAAGGTGTGTTGAGAAGGATGTGAATGAGGAGCAGTTAGAGAAAGGGCTGAGGTTGCGTAGGAGGTTGGAGGATTTCTGGTTGTGAGCGGTGGCTTTCGAGCGGATTGGACGATTTCTTCTATGGAAGGAAAGCTTTAAGCTTCCAACCCCTCCTAACTCTAAGCCTTATCTGAAAGGGCTTCCGGCGTTACACCGATGCTTCGAAGATATAGAAGCGTGCGCCATAACTGTTCCTCTGCGCACGACCCCTTCAGCTGAATTTCTACGTCCACGGCATGCTTGATGCCATTCCACACGCGACCAAGTTGACCGGACAGGCTATCAATCTGGCCGACGGATCCTCAGACCTCCACCAAAGCAGACCCCGATTAGTCATTAGGCCGACCACAGGCGCTCCCCAAAGACTAAGGCCAGTCTTCGACGCATTTACCTATTATTGGCCCAAGTCTGCCTATGTCTTTTCATTGGATCAAGACCTCATACGTCTTGCACACGGAAGGCGCAATTCCTCACAGATCCGGAGATAACCCCGGGGCTCGTCCGACTACGAGCATCACGTGAAGAGGCCCTGCAGCAGAATGTCAGAAAGTTAGTCATTCGGTGTCAGAATTGCACCTTTGAAAATCATATATAAAATCCGAATCTAGATGATATAGAAAGGAACAAGTGCAGCTTACGAGCATCATGTCCAAGCAAAAAGTCCTCCTTCTCGGCGCAACAGGCGAGACCGGCGGTGATATCTTGGAGGGATTGCTCGAGGATGGGAGTTTCGTACGTCCCCACTTAGACCGGCCCCCGAATCGACAATATTCCATTATATCCCAAGCTGCTGACTACTACTGTAACCACGTAGGAAGTCGCCTGCCTCGTCCAGCCCTCCTCTGCCCAAAAACCAGCAGTCAAAAAGCTCGAGACTCGCAACCTGAAAATCGTCGTCGGCGATCTATCCGGCGACGTTAACGACCTCGCAACAGCAATCACCGGCTACGACACCATCATAAGCAGTATTTCGGCGCCGCATCAGCTCGCGCAGCTCAGCCTTGTAGATGCCGCGGCGAAAGCGGGGACGGTGAAGAGGTTTGTGCCGTGCGGGTTTATGACAGTGTGCCCACCCGGCGGGGTCATGCATCTGCGTGACGACAAAGAGGTCGTGTATCAGCGCATCTGGTGCCATCATTTACCGTATACGATTGTAGATGTGGGGTACTGGCATCAGTTGAGCTGGTTTCGGGTGCCGAGCGGTAGGTTTGATTATGCGGTTTTGTTGGAGAGGAATGAGGTGCGTATGCCGCGATAAACTATAAACATTCCCCCTAGATTTATAATAGCAGCTCATGGCTGTAGGTGTATGCGGGAGGCGACGCGAAGACGCTGTTGACGGATAAGAGGGACATCGGGCGTTTCGTCGCGCGTATTATCAAAGATGAACGAACGCTGAACCAGAAGGTGTTCACGTACTCGGACTTCATCTCGCAGAACGAAATCGCGCGGATGATAGAGCAGAAGACTGGCGAAAAATTGGAACTCACGCATGTACGCTCCTCCAACCAGCCAGACGAAATGATAACTCTCACTAACCCATCTTCTCTCTCTTCTAGATCTCTGAGCAAGACCTCCTCACCACGCGTGCCAATGCACGCGCTGCTTGCGAACCGGAGCCGCGAAACATGATGGTGCGTTTGGTGCGCTCGCAGGCTGAATACAATGCCTCGAAATACATCCGCCGGGACAATACGCCGGCGATGGGGAAGTACCTGGGATATTTGGACGCAAGGGAACTGTATCCGGATTTTGAGCCGATCTCCTTTGAGAGGTTTGTGGATGAGTTGGTGGAGGGGAAGGGGGAGAGACCGTATGAGGAGATGTATGCTGCATTGAAGGATATGCAGGGTGGAGAGAAGGCGGAAGGGGAGTAGGGGACGAAGGGGTCAAGATAGCGGGGGTCGTGGATAATGCGCTTCCTTCTCTTTCTTAGCCATGCAATCGCTTGAGTTCTTCCTTTGCCGTGCGTATGGCTGCTCGATTGTTTGGTAAACCATTGTACGGAGCCACGCATTTGTCCTCGTAGACAAGGAACACAGCCTTAGAGGTCTCGCACTTCGTCGCTTCAGCTTGAAATTCGCGTTTTCGTTTATCGAAACGACGATTGAAGTGTAGAACGTGCGTGAAAGAATCGAATCACCTGGGATGAAAAGGCCCCACGTTGACAGAAACTATTCTGTATTCGGCTAGCCCCGACGGAAGGTAGTAGGTCGTCACTCAGACAACCGGTCGACAAATGTCGGATTGCGGCGTCTTTGACTTCTCCCACATTACGGTATTCTAGCTAGAAATCTGTCGCTGCATCATTTCGCTTACCGTAACATCTGCCGAAGTCGTCCATACCCGCCAAAGCCTCCACGACCCTCGACTAGACAACAATCAGCTTTAACTTGCCAATGCGCGATCCATCCCTACCCCTATCCGAAGCCCTGAGGCGTGGAGATGGTAGTGAACTGGGCCGTTCAACCACCAGACCCCTAGAAAGAGACTCATCCGCGAAGACCAGCGTCTCAGAATCCGAACCGATCGCGGACCGGATAACAAGAGTCCAATGGGACCTGAGCAACCTCGAATCTTTCTACAAAATTCCCTTCTCTCCCACAGGCTATGATAGATTGCAAAAGTTCTTCGACGACGAGCTCAAAGCCCTGGAACATGCACCCTTCGAGGAATACGACCAGAACGGTAAGGTCGACTATCTGCTGCTGAAGAACTACCTACGCCACGGGCTTCTTCAGTTGCAAGATGATGCAGAGAAAGACCAGCAGGTGTTGGCCTTCCTAGGTGGATTCTTCCCGGTTCGTCTAGCGCGGATGATCGAAGCGAGGCGGAAGGTGGCAGATCCGGACGGCAAGCAAGCAGCAGCTGCGCTCACCGAGCTGATGGGCCATATATCGATGGTTAAGGATCGGGTTGTTAATAAGAAAGAGACTGCTACGCCGCCAATTGCACGTCGAGCGACCAAACTTCTCGCTGAACTGCAGGCGCTCCTCCAGGAATGGTATGCGTTCTACAAGGACTATGATCCGCTGTTCACCTGGTGGATCTCGGACCCTTACCCAAAAATCGACACTGCGCTTGCAGATCTAAGCGACACGGTAAAGAAGATCGTTCTCGGATTGGAGTCGTCTGATCAGGATACCATCATAGGAGAGCCCATCGGACGGGTCGGAATCCTCGACGCGCTGGAATATGAGATGATCCCCTACACCCCCGAACAGCTCATCGACATCGGCCAAAAAGAATACGCATGGTGCGAAACCGAAATGCAAAAAGCCGCCTCAGAACTCGGCTTCCAGCATTGGCGCGCCGCCCTCGAACACGTCAAGAACCAATACGTCCCTCCGGGCCAACAACCGCTGCTCGTCCGCGCCCTCACGCAAGAAGCGACCTCATACGTAAAGACGCACGATCTCGCCACCGTCCCGCCCGTCTGCGAAGAAACAATCCAGACCTTCATGATGAGCCCGCAGGACCAGAAAATGAACCCCTTCTTCCTTGGCGGCAACTCCATCATCGTATCCTACCCTACGTCCACTATGAGCCACGAGGATAAGCTGATGAGCATGCGCGGCAATAACAAACACTTTGCCCGCGCGACCGTGTTTCATGAAATGATCCCAGGCCACCATCTCCACATGCACTATATGAGTCGCGTGCGCCCGTACCGCCAAATGTTCATGACGCCCTTCTGCATCGAGGGCTGGGCGTTTTACTGGGAGATGCTGCTCTGGGACAAGCCGTCGTGGGAGAAGACGAGCGAGAACCGCATCGGCATGCTATTTTGGCGGATGCACCGCTGCGCGCGCATCGTCTTCTCGTTGCGATATCACCTTGGCGAGATGAGCGCGCAAGAATGCGTCGAGTTGCTTGTGAACTGGGTGGGGCACGAGCGGGCGACTGCTGAGGGGGAAGTGAGGAGGAGTGTGATGGGCGAGTACGGGCCGTTGTATCAGGCGGGGTATATGCTTGGGGGACTGCAACTGTATGCGCTTAGGAAGAAGGTTGTTGATGGCTTGGGGGTAAAAGAGAAGGACTTCCACGATGCGTTTCTCAATGCGAATCAGATGCCCGTCGAACTATTTCGCGCTTTGGTTTCGGGTCAGCCGCTTAGCGGGGACTTCAAGACGCAGTGGAAGTTCTACGAAGAGATTGGACGATAAAGCGCCTTCATCATACAAGATAAACAAGTCTATGGTTTTGCTGTCCACAAAATAACCAATTCCATCAGAAGGACCGTGAAAAGTCCAGCGTAAAGTATTTACAAGAAGGTAAAGCGGCCTCTCAAAGACCTTTGTCGTGCTTCTCCAACCCACTCCACGCCGCCTAGTGCGCAAAGCTCTGCTGCGTATTCATCTTCGCAAACTCCCTGTTCTCCTTCTGCCACTGATTCGCATAGCGAACACCGAATCCATGCGCAAATACTTCTCGCACCGCCTCCAGCGGCATGCCCTTGACCTCGGGATAGCAGAAGACGATGAAAAACCATCCAAAGAAGCAAATCCCGCAGTAGAAGCCGAACGCACCGGACGGAGTGATTCCTTTCATCATGGACAGGAACGTAGACGCGATAATGATGTTGGTCGACCAGCAGGTGACGGTGTTCAGCATAGTGCCGACAGCGCGGACTTCCATGGGGATCAGCTCAGTCCCAATCCAGGCTATGGTGGCAACACCGGCGCTGAAGAAGCCGACGAAAAGGATGATGATGGCGATGAGGAGATAGCCTGGCCAGCCGATCTCGTCGGATTGCACTTCGAGCGTGTGCGTATCGATCGGGATGTAGTGGAATGCGACGGCGGCGATGAGCAGGCACGAGGTCATGCCGAAGACGGTGACAAGCAGGATGATGCGACGGCCGAACTTATCTACAATGACCAAGTTGACGATACTGAAGACGAAATTCGTAGCGGAAACGGTGATGGCGACAGCGGTTGCGTTGTTGAAACCGACGATCTTGAACAGGGTGGCGGAGTAGTACATCAGCGTGTTGAAACCGGAAAGTTGCGAGACGGCCATGATGACGCAGGCAGTTGCGACCGCGCGGAAGGTACTGGGGGTAGTGAAGATGCGAGTGACGGTCTTCCAGATGGAATCCTCAACCATGGTCTGTGTGGCTTCGTGGATGCTCATTTCGACACTGGCAATCTTTGCGCGGCGCTGCTCCTCAGTGGAGGTCGGGTAGATGCGTAGCAGAACCCTGCTAGCTTCGTCGGCCTTGTCGTGCGCTATAAGCTGGCGAGGCGACTCGGGGCAGAAGAAGAGTAGAATGGCGAGCAGAATGGCGGGTGCTCCACCAATCCCGACAGTGGCGCGCCAGGCTTGAGTGGACTTGGCCTGTGCAAAAGCAGCTCCGAGCGCGGAGGCGAAGAGTTGACCGAAGGTTACCGACATGTTGTTGAAGGCGATCATGCGTCCGCGGTATTTCGCTGGAGCGAGTTCGGAGATGTACAGGGGGCAAACCATGGCGGCGCTGCCAACCCCCAAACCAACGACGAAGCGGCCGATTGCGAACTGCGGCACGTGGAAGGCGGCGGTTTGAAGAAGGGTGCCGATGCAGAAGACGACACAGGCGGACCAGATGGGCATCTTACGACCAAATCTGTCAGCAGTAAGACCAGCGCCCACGGCTCCGATGAGCGCGCCTCCGGAGGTGAGCGACGTGACGAGTTCTTGTTCCGACGAGGTGAGTTCATGGCCGAGCGAGGTCCCAATCGTGACGAGAACCGAAGAGATATAGCCAGTGTCATAACCTATTCGCGGAGTATTAGCCTCTGGTTCGACTGTTGGAGTATGAGGGCTAGCATGCCGAAAAGGAGACCTCCGAGCGAGACAACCATGGAAATGAGCCATGCCGCCTTGGACGCGGCGGTAGCCTCGATGCCAAAGAGTTCGGTGAGCTGGTCGGCGTGATCCCGCGCTGTGTCGATTTTATCGATCTTCTCGGAAGACGTCTCGTCGAACTTGATGTTCTTCTCGTCTGCGCCATGGTACGCCATCGTGTCGTAATACGTGTTCGAACAGCTGGTGGACCTCAAAAACGAGCCTATCCGGGAAGCAGTGAAGCAGATCCAAAAGATGCTGGTCTTCGATGCCAGTGAAGGCTGAGCTGATAACAAAACGTCAAGTGGAGAACAGCGGCCTATTTATGCTTCCAAGCTTCGTAGTCGGCCGGCCTACTCCGCGGTGATGAACCGTCTGCCCAGGCTCATGAGAGGATTCTCAAAATTGCCACGTTAGGACCGTCCAGGGCAAGCCCACAAGGAGGCCCTGCGCCGAATGTTTCTCCGCAAACCTGGCATCGGAGGCTAGGATGCTTGGACTGGGGAATGCATACGCGGGGTGGCGGGGCCCCAGAGTGGAATCCCTAGCTCTTGGGTCAGAATCGGTCGTCATCAGTCGCTACCGGTCACAGAGCCGAACGCCTCAGGGCTGGCTGGATCAGCGGCAATGCGGTGGGTGGCATTGGCTGAGAGACTCGAAGGTGTTCGAGACGATGCCATGTGGGGGGCGGGTGGATGGGAATTGTCTGGTTTGCGGGATTCACTGCCATATTGTGTGATGACGCTTGGGTCGAGCCGAGGTCCTTGCGCGTTACGCAAGGGGAAAGATTTCCTTCGCATTAATTCCGCACTGCCTCTGGACCTGATTCAACACCAAAACATTCGGCCCTTTGGATGTCAGGTCTCGCTGGCGTCAGGAGAGGAGGTTTCAAGGCTCGCAGTGCGCTGTTTCTCTACCTGACCTTACCCGAAGCTGACAACGCCGGGCTTTAGGCAGCCTTGCGGCAGAAGAATCATGAGATGAAGGATGAATATTTACCGTAGTGGTGTCGATTTAGCGGTGGATAGTGGGGAGATAGTATCGAGAGCAGGTGATGGGAGCTTGACAGTGGATCGACTTCAGCAGATACATTGGGCGGGCCTTGGTGTAACAGCCGACAATGTTGCGACTTTGTCCACGTACAAACACATGGGTCCATGCATGTGGATTTGCGCTGAACTGGAAGGGCGTATATTCGAAGACGGGGATCTATGTCTATGCCGATACCCTCAACGGTGACCGTCACCGAGCTCTACCCCCACACATCTGCCTTCCACTTCCCACGCTTCTTCAACCCATCGGTCCAAGCCTTCACCTCAGTCTCTCCCAGCCCCTTCACCGTCGCAGCAGCCTCCTCGATCTTCCCATCCACCTCCCTTGCCATACTCGCTTTGCCGCATACATACAGATTCGCACCGGCATCAAGCATCTCGAGTATCTCCCCCGCATACTCCTCTACTCGATCCTGAACGTACACCTTCTTATCACCGTCTCTCGAGAACGCTGTTACAATTTCAAGCTTGTCCCCAAGGCTGTTCTGCATCTTCTCGAGCTCTTCGCGGTATATGAAGTCCGAGTGCGCGCTGCGACACCCGAAGAACAAGAGGATCTTGCCAACGGGCTTGCCGATAGCGTGGAGTTTAGTGCGCTCGGCAAGAAAGGCGCGGAAGGGTGCGAAGCCGGTGCCTGCGCTGATAAGAATGAGTGGTGTGGATGAAGTGATGGGAAGTTTGAATTTAGATTTGCGGACGTGGGCGAAGACTCTGCCGCTTTCCATGTTGTCGTAAGCTGTGTGCTGGAAGGAAGGGGTAGGGATTGAGGCATTAGATGGGAGCTTGGAAGCCGAGAGGATGTAGTTCGACGTTAGACCCTGGATGGTGCTTCCCGTTTTACCCGGCAGGGCCTTGTTGACTACGAGAGCTGTGATGGCGATCCTTCGGGGCGAGATGACGGAGCTTGAGGAGATTGAGTAGTAGCGCGGTTGCAATGGCAGAACGTTCTCGATGACGAAGGAGAGAGGGAGAGAAGTCCATGGGGCTGTGGGACTGGCGAGTTGCAGCAGCCGGGCGAGAGTTACGTGCGTGGTCGAGATGAGCTGTGCGTAGCGTTCGCGATCCTCACCAATCTCCAAGATCATCGTTTTCGCTTCGGGAGTAGGAGCGAATTGAGCAAGGTCCAAGGCCGTCTTGCGCGAGACCAGGGAACATATCTCAAGGTGGTGACGCAGTGCTGCTTCAAGTGTAGTCAAAGACGGCACCTTCGGTTTTGCCGAGCCATCTAGAGGAGAAACTTCGAGCGCATCACTCCTGCGCGCCTCAAGACCAAGGGCATGCAGCAGGCGCTGAACTTCTTCGTCGGGATTACAAGGCCAAATCCCGATATGGTCACCAGTCTTGTAGACAATATCATTGTTTCCAAGATCGAGCTCCATGTGAATGCAGTTCCGATCGCCGGCAGTGAAGAGCTCTCGAGCGTTCTTTACAGGGAGAGGAAGGATAGCAGAATTGGTGCTCGACTGCTGGTGGTGCACAGAGATCTGGTGTGCAACGTCGTTCTGGGGGTCGGGCGCGGCTCTCAGTTCAACTTTTACGGTAGGTTGGTATTCCACACTCTTCTCCTCATAGCCCATACGACGGAAGAGGGCAAACACGTCGTCCTTCCACGACTGGAAATCTTCCTCGGTTGCTCCCCGAGCATCGTCTGCTCTCCTTGAGGGCACAAGCGTCGTTGCTCCAGCCGCGTCGAGAACTTGCACTACAGCGTCGAGAACGCGGTTGTAGTACTTATAGTTGCTATTGCCGAGGCCAAGAGCTAGGTATCGAAGGCTGTCGAGCTTCGTGTTCTCTTCCTTAACACGCTTGATCCAGTCCCAGAGACCAGCAGCATTGTCGCTGGGGTCGCCTTCGCCATAGGTGCTCAGAATGAAAATGGCGAAGTGCGTCCCCCGAATAGCTGCAATACTCTCCGCGTCGTAGTCAGATAGGTCTGCGGCCAGTGCGCGGATGCCAAAATGTATTAAGCACTCGCGGGCAAGTATCTCAGCGAAGCGCTCGGATGTGCCAGACTGCGAGCCCCAGAATATGACAGCCTGGTAGCTCCCATCTTCGAGACATTGTGCGATGTTGCGTGTTGCGGCTGTCTTGCTGCTCGACTCGCCATCTACCAGCTGTGGTCGCTCGAAGTAGATCTTGTAGTTCGGGTCCGGTCTGTCCCAGACGCGGCCGCGCGTGAGGTATCCGAGAGCGGAGAGGAGGAAGAGGAGCACAGCCACACTATCTGCAGTTGTAGAGGGCTTCAGTGTATCGATAATTGGTGAACTTTTGATGGTTTGGAGGAGCGGATGAAGGGTGGATTGGAGGCCGGAAACGTCGATTGGAAAATTGAGAGTCTCCATGACGAGGGTAAGCAGACGAGGAATGCTTAGAGACTCATACTTGAAGAGGCTTTGATATATGAAGGTTCCTTTTCAAAATATCAAGAGGCATTGAAAGGACGTCGGAGCTCACTTCCAACCGCGGACCAGCGATGCGGATATCACATGCTTCTTTCGGGGCTCAGATGGGTAACGCTCTTCTTCGCCAATGAAATCGGAGCAGGACCTAGTTAGAAATCTGGGGAAAACGGTTGAGCCCTCGTGCGCTCTAGGAGACGCTGTCGCCTTCCGATGCTTGCGAGACGTCTCCCGAACTCCGCTTCGAACCGCAACCGCTACAGAAGGGCTAACGCAAGTCTGGGTCTGAAAGATGGAGCCTCGGCACGCTCTATCTGGCAAGGCGTTATTGATGGTCTGGCCCTCGACCCCGCGATCGCTCCCCGCTGTCCTCCACGTATGAGTGTTGCTCGGCCCGTTTAGCGATCCAAGCCGATGTGGAAGGGTTCTCCGCGTACTTCCACATGTGGTATGCTCCCGCCCTTCGAAAAATATGGAGATGAGAATCGTTTGCTGGCACTTCTGTGGGCACTCTCCAAGGAGGCTTTTAAGACGCTTCCGCAACCCCCTTTAAGATCTCGGACTATCTTTCGACTTTGTCAGAAGCTCAAACCAGAAGTTCTTCTTGTACTCACACCTTTGTCGGAATGACTGTATCAATCGTCTCGTCACCGTACGCGGCCGCCTTGGGTGTCTGCTTGTTTGCGTATTTTGTCATATACCCTGTTGTTGTTTACTTTCGCGACAGAAATGGTCCGTTCGATCGACCCTCCACAGAACCAAATATGACTGACCTCTTCAGGACTTCGTCGATATCCGAATATGCACCCGCTGTCGGGCATATCCGCGATCCCGTTCATGGTACTTGCGCACGGTGGCGCGCGATCAACGTATCTTGCGAAACTACACCAGAAGTACCCAGTGATTCGAACCGGCCCGAATTCCCTCTCTTATGGTGACCTTCGGGCCATCAAGGACATCTACGGCCACAACACACCCTGCACAAAGGACGGATCCTACGTCATCACTTCTGGCTCCCACTACCATCTGGCCGATGTCATCGATAAGCACGACCACGCCCGCAAGAGGAAGCTCTTAAGTTCCGCCTATGCCATCAAGAACCTCGAGGGTTGGGAGCACAAAGTAGCCGACAAGACCGTAAAGCTGATGGCACACCTCGATCAATGCTGCACGGCGCCATTGGCTCCAGGCGAAACCCCGAAGCCGGAAGACCTGAATGTGGATTACCGAAAGTGGACCAACTTTTTCACCCTCGATGCCATCGCAGACATCGGTCTCTCCGAGAAGCTGGGTTTCCTTGACCGCGGTCACGATCGTGTTGTCGGACGCAAGACTAACGGAACGACTTATGAATGCGACTTCCGAGATAGCTTGTACCAGAACGCTCGCAAGCAGTCTCTCCTCATCTGGCCGTACGAGTGGTATCCCTTCATCAACAAGATCTCGAACGTCATTCCCTTCTATGGCCGCATGGGGAAATTCGCGCAGGACTGGGAGGGTATTCCGGTCGAGCTGGCGCATCGGCGTCTGCGGAGGTATCGTGCGGGCGAAAAGCTTGATGACTTTTTCCAAGCGCTCATGGAGGATAAGAACGGGCATCCGAACAATCTTGAATGGGGCGAGATTGTTGCCGAAGTCAGTATCATGATGAATGCTGGCTCCGCGACGACTGCTATCGCCATGACAAACGTCCTCTTCCAACTCATCAAGAACCCACCCATCATGAAGACGCTTGTTGAGGAGATCGATGCAGCGCTCGAGGACGACGACGAAGATGATGAGAGTGGCGTCATCGCGTATGACAAGGTGAAACACCTCCCTTATCTGCGCGCCTGCCTTGATGAATCACTCCGTCTCTTCCCACCTACACCACAGGGCCTGCCCCGAGAGACGCCCCCTGATGGAATCAATGTTCTCGGCGACTACATTCCCGGCGGCGTTTCATTATCCATATCCGCCTTTGTCGCGCATCGCAACGAATCAATCTTCCCGCAAGCCGACAAGTACATTCCGGAACGATGGCTCGGTGAAGAAGGCAAAACGCTTCAGCCCTATTTCCTTGCGTTCTCCGCGGGAGCGCGAGGCTGCATCGGGCGCAACATTTCGTACTTAGAGCAGACGGTGGTGCTAGCCAGCGTGCTGAGGAGATACGGATTCGCGTTAAGCAATCCAGATTGGCAGATTGAGAGACTGGAGACGATGAACTGGATTCTCGGAGAGATGCCGGTCAAGGTGTGGAGAAGAGAGCGAAAAGGCGTGCTAAGCGGTTGAGGAAGCGGGTTATGTCATCGGTTTCAGACGAGAATTGGGGCATTTTGCTGCTTCCTTCAGTTCTTCGGTAGCGGTTTTAGTATTCACATAATGAAGACTGCGTCCAAACCAACAGTGAATGTGTCACTGGTGTCACTTTCGACACAGAGTATTTCTAATCACGTGTGCTCTCATATACGCTAGCCTGATGGAGCTACCTCGGTCCCCGCACTCCCCGGCCATCCACGGATCACTCACGAGTCATGTAGCGGCCGCCTCCACGAAAGATTAGTAGTCATCTAGTTGACGTCTCCTTTCCCCAAAACCAGCCCCTATGCGGTTCATGGGCGTTAACAACTTCGCATGGCCCAAGCCGCGCCTCAAGAACAGGCGCCGGCCACTCCAGGTAATGAGCCTCCACCGGCTCCTCGTCCCGCGCGATCAAAGAACGGCTGCAATGCTTGCCGGTAAGTCCTATGTGCAATCGAGCATGGCAGGGCTAACGTGTTACAGACGAAGGAAGGTCAGATGCAACGAGCGGCGACCGCGATGCGGTCATTGTGAACGATTGAACCTGGATTGTACTTGGAATCGGCCACCGCCAATGCGCAACAGCACGCCTGGTTCATCCCAGTCGCAGGCTACAGAAAGCTCGCAAACGCCAATCACGCCGCAATTCAACCCTGGATTGCCGTCCCTTGACGGCTTCGGTCTCAATGGGAATGCGTTCTTCGATTTCTCGGGCCCGTTAGGCATTGGCACTTGGGACGAGGCAATGCTCCTGAGCCCTAACTCATGGCCATCGGATCCTGCGATGGCAGGCTCAAGTGCTCCGTTAGACATCGTACCTCCGCCAATCCATCAGCTGCCCTTCGGACACCAGTCGTCTGGCCCGCATCCGCCGCCTGCGAGAGGACCTGGTGGCAGCATCAACTCGATCCCAGAACGAACCGCGCATCAGCCGGATCCGAACTCAACATCGCCATTCTCTACCGAGGGCCAGCCGCATGTCTCAGGTGATGATGACTTCCTCATCAATACGTTCCTGCAGATGCTCATGCCACCCATCCTAACTCCGGTCGAGATCGGGCCGAAGTGGGCCTCGACGCGAGCCTTTTTCGGCACCATGGCTACGGAATCATCTATTGTAAAGTCTGCGATCATGGCTTTTGCAGCGATGCAGATGCGAAGAAGTGGGTTGGGCGATGAGACAAGACGGGATTGGCGGCCGCTCTACGATACCGCGGCCAGGCAGCTATCAAGTGCTCTAGCAAAAAGGAGGAAAGGGGAAGATCAAGGGAAGGATGCACTCAAGTATATCCTAGCCTCTATATTCTTGCTCACGTATACGGATCTGCTTACGGAGACCCTTCCGAGGGCCCACGCAAACTTACGAGAAGCCTATAATCTCATACAGAATGCTGACAAAGACTCTTTCTCTGTCCCCGAAAGGCGTTTAATATCCTGGCTACGTCTTCTGGATGCTCGTGCTGTGTCGACTGCTGGAGGCGAAGGCCTCTTCCTCGCCGACCCAGACGAAACACTCTTCGATGCATCCCCAGCCGCAAACCCTACTTCGGAACCCGAAACCCTCGACACCGAAATCGAAGAGATCCTTTTCGACGTGCTGTACCACCCGGGCATCGTTTTCTACCAAAAGGTTCAATCCTTCGTCGGCCGCATCACGCGCATCGATCCGTGGCACCGCAGCCGTGGAACAGTCCAGGATGAGACTGAGGTCATGGCACTCGCAGCGCAAATATCAATCGACCTGCATGCCCTCTACGGCCAACGCCCCGCACTCATGGACCACGCTGTGGCCGGAAACCTCACCGAAAAGCACCTCGCGAAGAACCTCGCCGCAGCCCTAACCCGCAGCTTCCGGACCTACCTTGCAAACTACTACGCCTCCTTCCTACACCTCCACCGCGTCGCTTACGTGCAGTACCCAAAAACAAAAGACGTCAACTCCGCAATCGCGAACATTAAGCGGCTCGCACACCTCATGGCGCAGACGGACGAAAGCTTACCGGTGAACTTGCTCTGGCCGCTACTGATGTGGGGTTGTGAAGAGGATGATTTGGGGGAGAGGAGGTGGATTATTGAAAGTATCAGAGGGCTCGAGAGTATTGCCACGAATGCGAAAGCGACAGCGGATTTGCTCGAGGAAGTACAGAGACGGCAGGACGAAGGAAAGAGGAGAGTTGACGTGAGAAGTGTGAGTCAGGAGTATTTTGCCAGTCATCATTTCGCGATTGTCTGAGCAGGTAGGGAAGGCTTTCGTTCAGCCTAGCTAAGAGCAGGATCTCAAAACGACGTGAAGGAAGAGATCGACTTCTTCAACCCGACCACTGCTCTCTCAAATCCGCCAACACCTTATCCGTCCTCCACCCAATCAACCGCTGCACGCTCTCCAAATACTCTACACACGCATCCTGCTCTCTCCTATCCACGATGTACGCTCCACACGCACTCAAAATATGACTGCCCTGAAACATCGCATTCGCGCAGTGGCTATTACTAATGCCATATCCAATCGTCATCCGAATATGTTTCCGTATCGCCGCATCCGTCGCCTTCCGTGCGCGAACACCAGCCAGACCGACGAGCGAGGCGTGCGGCGAGTAGATGGTGAGCAGGATCTTGCACAGATGGTAGTACTGCAAGCCGACGGCCACGACACCTTGCGCGGTGGGCAGATCAGGCCAACTGCCTGCGAAGGACGTCCCGGCTTCGGGATCGGGGTAGAGAGGCGAAAAGGTCCAGGGTTTTGTGCGCTGCCACTCCTCTGCATCGGCGTCGAGCTCAGCCCATTTCTCGCGTGTGAGCGAGTTCGCGCCGTCGACGTCGTCAAAGACGTACTGCAGGACCGTTGCAAATTGGAATATTATCCGGTTCGCCCACGACTCGTCGTCATATTCGCGGAACACTGAGGAGTGCCGGTAATTCTCTAGGCTGAGATTGAGCGGTTGTTGGGTGGTGAGGGAGACGTAGATGTGCTGCCGGAGTGAGACCCAGCTAGCGGACTCGCGCAGGCCGCCGTCGGCTGCGAAGGAAGAGATAGAGTTCAGGATGCGTGCTGTGCCGAAGTGATGGCATTGCTCGTCTGCGTCGCCCATTTCTTCATGCAGGCGCAAGAGGATGACGGCGACGAGGAAGTTCTCATCCCAGTGCGCGAGGGGATCTTCGAGGGCTACGATGAGCGCTTGAAGACATTGGTCTACGTATGTCTGGGAGTGGTCTTCTTCGACTTTGCCCATGAGCCATAGGTGTCGTGCTGAAAGGCCGAGGATGCCATTGAGGATGACTGGGAACTGTGCTGCGCGTTTTGGCACTTCTTTTTCAAAGTGTCGACGCGGGTCGCAGACATCGATCCAGTTGGTACAATGCACGATGAAGTGGTGCAGGAGGCGGGCTTCGTATGGATTACTGACTGGCCAGCGTGGATTGAGCGATGATGCTGCCGAGAATGCCGAATTGGAGAACGGGGAGGTTTGGTTGATGTCGAACGGACTCTTCTTCGTCAATGAGGGCGAGTTACCCTTGTTGGAAATCGCTGCTAGTACGTCCGGCGTGTTTCCCTGTCCTGTATCATGCGATGCATCGGCGTGGACTGTATCTTTCTCCGCCGATGATTGGGAATTGAGTACGTCGTGGATAGGTGGTAGAAGAGGTAGACTCGCAGAGTAATCGATGTATGTGCGAAGGCCATGTGATTCATGGGACTCCGTTCCGTGAAGCGCCCGGGGCGAGCCCCGTCCCGTGAAAGCGAATATCGTCCCGGAGTCGTCGACGGGATCCGCGGTCTCGAAAGTCTCATCAATTGTCTGCTGGAGCGCCAAACCCGAATCTTCAGATGCCTCAGGGCCCGGCTCCAGGATTTCATCATCGTCCTCGGTATTCGGTGGTATGAAGCGCACTATTCAGCACAGGGGTCAGTTGCATGCAGTGAGCTTAACGGCGGGTTGGACCCACACGACGCCGGAATGTTCACCCACGTCTGGCCCCCCTTAAACTCCAACGACTGCTCCGCAGACCCCACGTCCTCTCCCGCGTTGAACTTGACCGCCGTCACGGGGCGAAAGCGGAATGCGTTTCCCCTGATGCAAGCCCTTTTCCGCTCAGTGCAATACTTGCACTTCTCCGAATCGCGAAGTTTCACGCCTAGCAAAGTCCCTCAGCTCTGCCGCGAAAGACAAATCCCCATCCATCCCATCACCCAGCGGATAGGCACCTGGGACTCGCTCGGAATTGCATACATTTGATATGACGTTCGCGACAGGCCTTACTATGGAGAAGAGAATTAGCCGCTATGTTAGGGCTCCGTGGGTGGGCCTGAGCAATCTCACCAGCCGCTCCTTTGGCGCATATTTTTTACAATATATTTCGCACGACGAGACTGAATGAGTGGAGTGAGGGATTGATCGATTGCTACGTTTGAGCGCGGGATTCCGAACTGTTTTTGCATGACGACGCCGGGGAGCCGGTGACCCCGCATTTCTGGGGTTCGATATCCGGGGCATGACCACGTTCGGGGCGGGAGTGCATGGCGTCGGGTAGTGATCGCTTTCTCTGTGGGGTAGTTTTCCGAACGAGGATATACCTAAACGTAGTAAGTCGTTCCGCAGTGCCAGATCTGAGGGCCAGGTTTCTGCGCTAGCCCCAAAATAGCAAGCTCGGTGAACTGCCGAACCGATGTCAGCTTCCCGAAGTTCCGACGCTTCCTTCGTCTCGCAACGCGCTCGAGACTGGTATGTCCAACAAAATGGCATTTGCAATGCTTGCTGGAGATAACATTCATCTCGACCCTGAAGACTGACTGGCTGTACCTCCTCGAGCGCTCCGTGTTCGTCTCAACGTAGAACCCGGCTGACATAGCCACGCGTACCATGGAACAGAAAAGAGCTATCGATACGCGGAAACCTTCCTCGCAATGCAGACCGCTGTGGGTCCCTTCATGCAGCTTCTCCAACGCGTGACATGCACTTCCGTACGAGCAAAAACCTCCTCCGGCGTGCGAAAACCTCCTCCGAGATAAAAGCACCAACGACCTCCCCGCCCGCGCGCACATTACAACAGCAAAAACCTCCTGCGAGCCTAGCTGCCTCGCATAATGCACCATCCGCAGCTGATCTGATCGCCCAGCACGCGAACAGCGGCAGAAACCTCCTCCGAAGCCCACCGTTCGCCAATGAGATTGTTCAAAAGACATGGAGGACACTGCGAAAATCTCCCCCGAAGGCGTAGAAAAACCTGCATAGCGCATCGCACAGAAATATAAAAATGCCCTCCTCGCTCGCTCCCCACGCCGCATTCCCAGTCCCTCTCCGCTTCTCTCCATCCGCTCCTCACAACCCTTCGAAATTTCCAGACTTCTTCCACTCTCCAAAATGGCGCCCCGTAAGCTCCGCGTCGCAGTCGCAGGCCTCGGCCGCATGGGCGCCCGCCACGCCATAAACTTCCTGGACAGGACTCCCCGCGCCCACCTCGTCGCCGCCTTCTCCCCCGACGCCAAAGAACTCCAGTGGGGAAAAGAGCACCTCGAACCGTACGGCGTGACTCTCTACGACGACTACGATAAGATGATCCTGCACGAGGGGCTGGAGGCTGTGGTGATCGGGACTGCGACGAGTGTGCACGCTGAGGAGGCGATCAAGGCTATGGAGAAGGATCTGCACGTGCTGTGTGAGAAGCCGCTGAGCACGAGTGTCGACGTGGTATGTCTGCGCATCCAGGGGGGGTGGTGGGATGGGATGCGTGCTGACAAGTGCGTGCGTGAGGCGTAGTGCAAGCAAGTAGTCGAGGAGGCAAAGAAACGGCCGCATCTCACGGTTATGTGCGGCTTCAGTCGCCGGTTTGATGACAGCTACCGCGACGCTTATGCTAAAGTAGAGAAGGGCCTCATCGGCCGCCCGACTATTCTCCGCTCCCAGACATGTGATGTGCATGATCCCTCCGGTGAGTATCTTACCTATTGATCGCCCTCCCTTCGTTTCTACCGTTGTAACTAACAAAACGCCACAGGCTTCTTCGTCGACTACGCCGCCTGGTCCGGCGGCGTCTTCGTCGACATGTCCGTCCACGACATAGGTACGCACACACTCCCAACCCTAAACCTATCACGTGCACTAACCATCCACGCTTAGATCTCACACTCCTATTCTTCGGCCCCTCCATCATCCCCAAACGCATATCCGCGCACGGCCTCATCGCCGTGCAACCCGGCCTCGCCCAGCACAGCGACGTCGACAACGCGATCGGCATCGTGGAATTCCACTCCGGCCAAATCGCGTACTACTACTGCTCGCGGATGATGGCGCACGGGCAGGAAGACGTGACAGAGGTAATCGGCACCTTGGGCAAAGTGAGCGTGAACCTAAATCCGCAGGACTCGCTGGTGAACTTGTACCACGAGGGGGGCGTTACGCGGGGCGTGCCGCGGGACTACTATGGCCGGTTTGAGGGCGCGTTTGTGCGGGAGGCGAATGAGTTTACGCGGGCGTGCTTGGAGGGCGGGGAGGTGCGCGGGGCGAGTGAGTTGCGGAATGCGGTGACGGCGGTGCAGATTGGGGCGTGGTTGCAGGAGGCGATGCGGACGGGGAGGCAGATTTGCTTTGATGAGGAGGGGCGGAGGGTGGAGAGGGCGGGGTTGTAGTGGAGTAGCTAGGGGGACTGGAGTGTGGGTGTGGGAAGAAAGGTCTATATTGGCGGTTTGGAATGCAACGTGTCGGTCTATAAAGCCCTGCGCCGGAGAAATGCTATGTCGATATGAGAATCCTCTCCATACGTAGCTCGTTCTTTCTCACAACGATGCTTCGATCTCGTCTAGCCCGGAAACCTGGTTCACGATCCACTTCCTCTTCTCCGTATCCGTATACCTCGGGTACGGCCTCCTGCAGTCGGCACTCGTCTCTGGATACCCCCTCTTCTTTGCAACGACCCACTTCGTGCCGTTGATGCCGCCCTTGCCGAATCCCCATTCCGTGACGGAGAGCTTGATTTGCAGGGCGGACGCTTCGGCGAGCTTGCCGGCTTGGTAGAGGTTGTACATCTCGACGCAAGTCTGATTGGAGTTAGTATATCAAATCAACAGGTTGTAATAAGAAGAAGAAGGCTTACCTTCGGATACAAATTCGCAACACCAGTAATCGTCCCCACACCGCCGACACTCAATGCTGGAATCAACCAATCACTCTGTCCCGCTAGTGCAACGAACTCGCTCTTCTTGAAAGCCGCAGATATCCTCGAGACCTTGGCGATGCCACCACACGTAAGCTTCACCGCCACGATGTTGGGGTGCTTTCCGAGCACTTCTAGCATCTCAGAATTGACATCCAAACCAGCAACCACACCTGGGAAGTTGTAGATAACGATAGGGATGGGTGAGCCGTCTGCCAGCTCCTGGAAGAATGCTATAATGGCGGCTTGGTCCATGGCGAAGTGGAAGTACGATGGTACGAGAGCGAGGTATGCATTTGCTCCTGCATCTCTGGCTTCGACAGTTTGTTGGATAGCGTCCTGCGTGCAACCTGCTACGCCACCAAGCGTAATGGGCAGGTCTCCTCTCCCGAGTCGTTGGGCAGTATTCCTCGCTTTCTGGACGAGCCGCATCTTCTCGTCAGATGTGAGCGTCGCCGCTTCGCCGTTCGTTCCAGCGATGACGATGCCATGGAGGCCGTTTGAGACTAGGAAGTCGAAGTGCTTCTCCTGAGTCTCCCAATCTATCTCTTGCTGGTCATCGTTCTTGAAGAATGTCAAAGACGGAACGTGGATGCCTGGCGGGAATGCATATTGAATGGAAGCTGTGCTATTGGTGCCGTTGGAGAAAGTTTCATTGGAAGGCATTTTGGAAGAAGTCATGCGAAGGCTTGCAGTCCTTGGGGGTATTTCCGGAAGTGGGAGCACCGTTCGTTTTGACCTTCTCCATTTCTTCCGCCATGCGTTCCGACCGCATTCCGAGCCCGCCGATGCGTGGGGTGTTGAAGTTTGCCGACCCGCGGCATTAGCTGTTGGGTGAATGTTATCTTTAGCGTATGCGACGAGCGAAGCTGATGCGATGCAATCATCGTGCTCCGTTGCCTCTGCTCGGATGCGTTATACTCCCTCGGGCTAAGCTCTACCGAGCAGATTCTTTCTCCTGACTCGCCTCGAGCGCTTGCACTCCACAAACATCCCACCATCCGAGGGCCTTACGCTCCATGTGGAGGATCGCGCTACCTGGGGTCCCCATCTGATTTCTCCATGGACAATTGCGCACGCGTCGCGTTCTGAGGAGGTCGGGATGGCGTTGGGTGGCGAGAAACGTCCTTTCTCGGTTGGGCTAGCCTGACTCGTATTCCCCGCTTCGATTGACGCGCGCTCGGCTCCCATGAGTCTCTTCTTGTTCTTACGTCCGTCTGGTCGGGATGATGCGATGGTTTAAAGGACCACCGTCCCGACTCTGGGGAACCCGCATCGTGGGTTCTGCAGGCCCCCAGATTTGGAAGCGACCTTGAACTCATTCGCAGCCTCGTCCGCCAATATGACCGGTTTCGCTCGCGCGAAGGAGGATAGGCCGACGCCTTCGGAAGTTGTGAGTAGTACCGTCTTCTCAATGACGTGTTAAGCTAGAGTTGACATATCCGTAGTACAACTGGAGGGTCTATGCCTCTGCCTTGGTCATCTCCATGGGCGTGCTCGCCTATGGCTACGACTCTGCCTTCATCGGAACCACGATCACTCAGAAGAGCTTCAAGCGCGACTTTGGGATGGATAAGATGAGCACGAAGGAGCAGAACGATGTGTCGAGCAACCTTACATCTATATGTAAGCCTGTGACGCGTACAAATGTGATTCGCTTGTACTTACAAACTTTAGACTCTGCCGGCGGCTTTTTCGGCGCGCTCTTCATGTTCTTCTCCCTGGAACTCCTCGGCCGTCGCATGGCCGTCATCATCTCCGATATCATCTTCATCGTCGGCGCTATCCTGTGCACTATCGGCACCGCGCCCTCTCACTCTCTTGGCCTCATCTACGCCGGACGTCTGCTCACCGGCCTCGGTGTCGGCGGCATCGCAGCAGTTTCGCCAATTTACATCGCTGAAATCTCGCCACCAGCTATCCGTGGTCGTCTCACAGGTTTCTTTGAATCCTTCTATCAGACTGGTGCTGTGATTGGCTTTTGGATCAACTACGGCATTGTCCATAATATCGATCCAACGAAAACGATTGCATGGAGAATTCCAATGGCAGTCCAGCTGATCCCAGCTGGGCTTCTTGCGCTGATGATTCCGGTCCTGAAGGAGAGCCCCACGTGGCTGCTCAAGCGTGGCCGGGACGACGAGGCGTATAAGGTGTACAGCTACATCCGGATGCTTCCAGAGAACCACCCATACATCGCCGAAGACGTGAAATTCATCAAGGACCAGATCGCCAAAGAGCGGGCTGCGCTCACCGGCAACGAACAGGCGACGCTAGGGCAGATCATGAAGGGCGCGGCGAGGGAGAGTATGCTGAAAGGGATGCGCAATCGCTTCGTGCTCGTCTTCCTCATGTTTATGTGGCAAGCGTGGTCCGGTGCTGCCGCCATCAACTACTACTCTCCGACGATCTTCAAGTCCATCGGCCTGACGGATGTCACTTTCTGGACCGGCATATACGGCCTCATCAAGGCTATCGGCTCCATCATCTTCTTCACTTTCTTCATCGACAAGTTCGGGCGGAAGTGGCCATGGATTGTTTCCTCGCTCGCGTGCGCCTTCTGTCAATATTACCTGGCTGTATACATCGCTGTGGGCAAACCTAGCACCGATGCCTCACAATCCGCCTCCACTGTCGCCGGAGGTAAGGGCGCGACGGCTATGATCATGATATTCGGCGCGACCTGGTCCTTTGGCGCGAACGGTCTCCCTTGGATCATCTCAGCTGAGATCTTCCCGTCTTCGCTTCGTTCGATTTCAGGTCCTTTTGCTGGCATGAGTGTCTGGCTTTGGACTTATGTCGTTACGCGAGCATTGCCGAGTATGTACACGAGCATGGAATGGGGCGTGTACGTGTTCTTCGCATCGTGTCTGATTTGCGCAAGTATATATGCGTACTTCTTCATCCACGAGACGAAAGGGCTGCGTATCGACCAGATGGACCATTTGTTTGGATTTGAGAGGCAGTCGCCGCTGGCTGTTCCGGACGGCAAGGCGGATGACGTCAGTGAGCACGAGAAAGAGGCGCATGTTGAGGTGGATAGGAGGGAGGTTGCGTAGTGGCTGATATTCGTACTCTGAAGGATGTAAGAGAAGCTACCTAGGCATAATGTTTAAGAAAGCAGTGTTGCTAAGCAATGGTAGCGGGATGCTTGAGGAAATCGCTCAGAGTCGCTCCTTCCCGTTTTGCTCCCCGTCTTTAGTCTTTAACCTCCACTTCACCTTCACCACCCATCGAGGTAGTAGCCAAGCCCCACCCGAACTTTGTTCCCCGTACCATACGCAAACATCTCTGCAACTTCTCAGCCACCCCACCTTCGCACCGCCAGCGTGCCATCTGCCCGAACGAGTTGGTTTCTTTCTAGAAACCTCAGCTCGCCCACCACATCACTAACAATGCGATACTCTCTGCGGCATCGCGGCGAGCTAAGCGGCGAGGACAACGCCACCGAACTCGCGAGCGCGATCGGCATCAAACGCGAACCTCCGCATGACAGCGACCAACCTGAGCCAAAGCGTGTGGCTGTTGACAACGCTCAAGCAGAGAGCGCCTCACCTAAAACCGAGCCGGGTGCGGCGGACGAGTTAGCATCCACTATTTCCCCGAGCGTTATTAAGCTCGAAATCATCGAACCTATCAGCCTCGTCACACCCGAGCCTGACTTCGTTACAAGCCTCCCACTGCAAGCCGCCTCAACACCCGACCAGCGGAATGCGTCAGAAGATACTGCTATCATTAACGCTACGTCCCTCGTGAAGAGCGAAAAGCGTAGAAGCAGTGTCAGCTCAGTCCATCAACAGGTGCGACTTCCGAGCGCAACTTCGCCTACGCAAGATGCACTTACAACAGCAGCCAGCCAGGCACCTGAGAAGCACCGCACAGTTGGCGTGGCTGAGAGTAAGGTGTTGAAGGATAAGATTGCGGAAGTCGAGGCACAACTGAAGGAAAGAGAGAAGGATAAAGCGCGTGCCACAGCACTGTGGACAGAGGAGAGGGCAGAGAAAGAGAAGAGTGACATGCAGGGACGTATTGCCGAGCTTGAGGACGCACTCAGGAAGAAGGAAGAAATCTACAGTGCGAACGAAGAGGGCATGCGGGAGCAGGTCAACCTCCTTACTCAGGAAGCCGGGCTACTTCGAGAAGACATCGATGAACTCAAGGCAGAGAGAACGAAGCATCAGCACAACACTAAGACCCAAGAAGATGAGATCCGCAAACTGAATGCAGAAGTATTAGACCTCGTCCGGGACATCTACGAGCAAAAAAAGCTAACCAAAATCACCGAGCTCGAGAAACAAGGGCTAGAATACCGAATCAAGTTCGATCGGAAGAACTTCGACAAAGCCATGGAAGACGCTGCACTGAAGCAGAAGGGTATTGACGACCTGAAACGAAGCCACCGACGTACTGTCCGCGAGAAGGACGCCGAGCTCAAGGCGCAGGTGTACCAGCAAAAGGAAATGCGAAAACAAATCAAGAAGGCGCTGACACGGAAGATCGAAAAGCTGGAGCGCGTTGTATCCGGCATGCACTTCTCCTACTCTGACCTTTACGAGAAGAATACGGTTCTGTGGGACAAGGTCGAGGCTATCGCGGAGGCGGGGTCCTTTGGTGGCATAAGCGATATGTATCGCATGATGCTCGACAAGCTGAAGGGAAAGCCGCTGATGGTAGTGATAAAAGAGATGGAGAAAACAGCGAAGGAGGATTAGTGGGTTAGAAGTGGATCGCGTATAAGGAAACTGACGCTTTGGAATGAGGCAACGCTCCTTTTCGCTATGCGTTGGTGAGAAGACACTAGGACTGTGTGCCGTAGATTAACATGGCGTGCTAAAAGCATCTGGGTTTTGGGCCTCCTAGATGATACCAGCATCAGCATCAGAGTTGAATAAAAGTCTCAAGGGAGAAAAAGGCGCCAGATACTTACCTATATGTTTCCGCCTGTTACTTCCCTATCTTCTTTTCCCTTACTTTGTCACCCCTTTCCCTGCTTCATTCTAATCTTTTCCATACCATCCCATCTACTCCAACTGTCTCCAACACAACCTCTCTACCTCTCCCCCGCCCTAATCCTTCTCCAACCATCGCCAACCCCCTCGCTTAACCCTCCGAGTCTCGCAAATCCCAAACACCCCGAGTCGTTGCCGCGACTACCTCTCTTTCCCTCCGCGACGATGTCACAACATCACACGACAACGCGCGGGCCACTCCACTCCCTTCCCAATATTCAGACTACAATTTTCCAGCCGCACCGCTGCACCATATCGCAGTCCAGTCTGCCTAGCTATTAACGGTAAGGAAGTCTCCCGAGTATCATTGACAGCATTTCTGACACAAACTGCCGAAGTGTCGGACGGATACACCGGCCAGTGCTCAAGATGGCCAGACCGGTGCCTGAGGAGCTGGAGCGTAAACAGCAAGGACACGAACCGGCGCAGGCTGTTGGAGACGCTGCGTTCGGAATGATCAATCGAAATATCGGCAGTGTGTCGGCGGAGACCGCGAATGTTGTTCGAGCATCGGGCAGTGCCCAAGTCGGTCGTACCTTCCCCGGAGTGGTCAACAACGCGGGTGCGACGACGCGTCTAGATGGAACAGTGGGTACGCGTAGCGGCAGCGCCAACTTCAACAGCAACAACAGCGGTGGTGCAGCGACGCACACCGGTGACACTGCCAGCGCATTTAGCGGTGTCTACGGTAGTCGTCCCTCCCAGGACACTCTCAGCATCCACACCACGGCGCACAACATCGCGAGTATCGGCAACCCCAACCCGAACGTCAGCAGCCGTCCCTCCGCGCGCGCCGGTGATGCTGGTCAAGCAGCGAGAAGCGCTCCCGGCAATAATCGACGAACCAGCACCGGAGGTCAAGGACAAGCGCAGCCGACGCCTCAAGACATCATCATCTTGAGCAGTGACAACGGGGGCAGCGAAGCAGCGGACTCGGATGACGGCACTGACGAAAATGTCTTCAAGACACCATATCCCAAGGTCTCCGGGCCTTCGCAGGCAGACAAGCAGACACCCTCCAGCTCTTCCAGGTGGCCTACTTCCAGCGCCCATTCTGGCGGTCCAGTGTCCAGCTATGCATCCACGAGCGCTCCAGCGCCTGTCGGTGCACCCTCCAGGGCGCCAGAGTCCAGCGGACTGGCTCCTACGTCCAATCCAGCGGGAGCTAGCGACTCGACACAGACTTCGACCTCAATGGGCTGGCCCAGCCCAGGACAGACCTTCTTCTTAGTCGAAGAAGGTATGCCCGGTCAACCGACGCCCAAGTCTAAGCCAGCAAATCTCGAGGATGGCGCCAACAAGCGGAAACAAGATGACAGGACATCGCCATTGACGGTGCCGGAACGTTTCCATCCTGATCCTTTCGCACGCGCGGGCTTAGCATCAAGGGGTAGGGGCCATGCTGGTGCATCGCGTCCAGCGCCACACGCACGGTCAGTATCGGACAGCAGTATACTAGGCTCGGGAGCGCCATTGCAGGCTGAGATAGATAGTATAAATGCCGGGTGGCAGGCTCTGAGGGAAGCAGAGAGGCGTCGTGGGTCTTCAGGAACATCTGCGCAGACCGAAGCGCAGCGTCCAGCCGAGCCCGAGTGGCCAGCCATAACCGGTGGGATAATCGACCCATACGACATATTGAGGGCAGAGCTGGCGAGGAAAGAAGCCGAGAAGGAGGCGGCCAGAGAAGCGGCTCAACGTCTTCCGCCGCGCGGCACATTTTCACTCCCTGCACCACTGCCACTGCGTCAAGTCTCAGATCAGCGTTCAGCATCCGCCTCCCGACTGTCGTCATCGTCTACCCAGCAAGTAGACGCCTCACCAGCCCGCGGTAGACTGGATCCACGCGCGCTAGTGCAGACTGATCTGGAGACGAGACAAGCCAGAAGCCAGGCTGCGAGGGCAGCGGGTCGTCAGCCGCCATCACGAGGGACATTCTCCCAGACTGGGGCACTGCGGAAACCGCCTCCCGCGGTGCCTGCTCAACGCTCAGTCTCCGCCTCCCGTCTAATGTCATATTCCGGACAGCAGACCGTCATCGCACCGACAAACACGCCTCAGGACGCACCTCAGTCCTTACCCAGCTCCTCCGCCGTGTCTGCACTACACCAGGGAATGACAGCGAGCCAGGCAACCCTGATGATGCATCTGCGAAGCCTTTTCACTACGACGAATGGGCGCCAGCCGGACGATACAGAGCTGGCTTGGGCGCGAATCCAATTGCGCGGCGGGCACCTGTCGACCTGGTTCAATAATCCTGAGGTCGAAGCGCAATGGATTCAGAGGGTGAACGAAGAGTTCCCTCTCACCGATGTACGACAGCCAGCGAGGGGTCGTCCGATGACGCAGGCAGGACAGGGCGCGGTTCAAGGAGGCCACCAAGCTCGAGCACGCGCAGCATCGGTGCCATCGCAGCCTCAGCCTGGGCTGGCAAACACGCCGCAATCCGGCGTCTCCCAGCAGAGTGCCCATGTGCAGCGGGCGGTTCCAGGTACAGTATATGGAGCATCGGCCTCACAGCCTCAGCGTTTGTTGGCAAGCATGGCGCAGTCTGGTATCTCGCAGCAGCATGCCCACGTGCAGCAGACGCTACCAGGCACAGTATATGGAGCATCTACCTCGGGTCAGACTGCAGCATATCGACCTCAGGAGTCAAACGCCGCCACAAACATTAACCCTACTGCTGGAGATCCGTCGAACAACCAAGTCCGTTCCGCTTATAATCCGCTCCGGGCCTACTATGGCAATAGATACCCTACCGCTAGATCTGCTCTAGGAGCCTCGATAGGCTCGTGGATCGCACGGTTACAGAGGGAGGTACAGGCGGCCCGCGTCCAAGAGCAGCCATTGCCGCAAAATGGGTTGTCCCAGAATGTTGGATATGGACGGTTCCCTTCGCCAGCAGCTCTTCCAAACCCGGCCCAACAGCAGCTCCAACAAGCCTCTCGCAGCCAGCAGGCGAACTCGTCTGTCGATCCGGTCCATCAGCCGACGGGCTATACCGTGCAGGCTTTTGGCAACCAGTCAGGCCTGGCCAATCAGCAGCCTGCATCTTTTCGTTCCTCTAGCGAGGATTACGTCCCTCAATGGCTCCTTCGCGCGTGTGTAGCAGGATTTCACGATCGGATCCAAGACCTGCAGCGGAAGGAGCAAGAGCTTAAGGACAAGCATGACAAGGAGACGCAGCAACTCAATGATAAGATCAGCGAGCTGGAGGGTAAAGTGACCACCGCATACCGAGAGTTGAGGGAGCGACAGGAGAGGGAGCTGCAGCAGCTTCGGGACCAGGCTAGGAGCGAGATTGAGGCTGCTGCGGACGGAGAGGAGAGGGTGAAGGAGGAGGATAATGATGGTGAGAATGGTGGCTGGAAGGGGGCTGACGACAACGATAAGGATGATATGGATGTGGCGGGTTCGATGTGATTAGACGCTCTGTTGTATCCTCAGGGTTCGCATTGCGATCTAGTCTTGGGAAACTGTGAGAGGGCGACGAGAGAGGCTATGTATATACGTAGCCTATAATAAAAAGTACGTTGTTAGAACGTAACTATGCGACCATAGAAAACGAGGCGAGAAAGCTGAGACGCAAGAAAAGTCCGCTGACCTATCAAGCCGCCCTCACTGCCGTACCCACACTACCCGTCTCGAAAAGCTCCACCAACCCCGCACCCACGCACTCCTCCAAAATCCACTCGAACCGCAGGCCATGGAACTGTTTCCACTTCTTCGTCCGCCCAGGAAGAATCCCCGCAAACTCGCCTCTAGCCTTCTTCCTCTCGGCGACGTCGTCCTTCCCCACGACGCCGCCGTCCCACCGCTCGCGCAGGACATCAAGGGGCGCTTCCTTGTACATTGATTTCTTGAGCAAGCCGATGAGATGCGTGCGGGCTTCGATGAGGAGCTTGATGTGCGACCCGGTATTTGGTAGTGAGAAGTTGTAGTAAGCAGCAGCTGCGGTTGTTCGTTGGCCTGGTAGGCCGCCGGGAATGTGGTGCGAGGCTGAGGCGCCGCCGACGGCGCCTAGGGAGCCTGCTGCGTGGCGCGATCCAGCGGTTGAGAGAGATGAAAGACTTCCGGCGCCTGGAGCGGCGAAGAGTGAGGAACGCGTGTCCAGGGCTGTTGTTGTGGTTAGGAATCCGGCGGCTGTGAGTGCGGAGATCTCTGGAGGTGTGAAGGCGGTGTTGGGTACTGTTGTGGATGTTGGGTTCGCGTTCATGACCAGTATGTATTTGGCTATTGTCTTGCATTAGACCACCAGGAATTGCCACTCAGCGATGGCATACTCACACTGCAAGTCCTCAGCGAGGCCCGGGTGAGACCGGACCAGTCTATGCCATTCCTGCACAGAAGCAAGACCGTCGCCAACGGCGGCGGCGCCAACGCCTCGGTGCGGTATCGTCACTCTGCGCAAAATGCCTGCCTGCGCGAGCTCCACGATCTCGCGCTCCGTCCTGGTCGGCGAGACACTCAAAGCATCGATATGCGCTATGGTAACTATGGGCGGGAGAGACTTCCGGAAATTCAAGACTTCGGCAATCCGCGTCGAGTTCATGCCAGCGGCTTTCTCAGGGATGTCGCTGAACATCTTGTTACGGATGTATTCCATGTACTGCGGCACATCACGGAAATTGAGGTCGGCGGCGAGAGAGGCTATTACGCCCGTATCATCCAGCTTCTCGTCCTTGTCAAAGTCGGGGGGTTTTGCGGATTGTAGAGACTTTTTTCGGGGACTGGCTGACGATGGCGAGGACGTGACACGCCGTAGACCCATGGCGGCCGCGGCACTTAGTTTTCTTGTCTTCTTGATCCGAGATGAGCGAGCGGCTGTGGCTTGGAACGACATCTTGTAGCAGCACCTCCCCTACTCTTTCGTTGTATTCGGCCGGTTGAAGCCCAGGGAGTTGGCTGGTATATCAAGCACGACGGCGGGAATGAGTCGACACCAAGGCAGCAACGGGTCAGCCGGGCGGGAGAGAGGACTCGAAACGTGACAGGATATACACAAGGAGTGGAGTCATCGCATCGATGCGGATGTGCTCTGGAAGTAGCGAATGACCATAGAGTGCGTGGTGTTGAAGTGTGGCGATGAGGCGTGGAAAGGTGCGGTCTTTGACGGGAAACTGCCTCGGCTCACCAGCCACCTGCGCCACACACGCTAGACCAGATTCGAACGATGTCAATCTTGATTGCTCACCAGCACTGCGAATATACATGTGAATATCGGGTCCAGAGGAGCGAATAACCATGGAACTGTCTCTTTGAAGCATAACCGCTCGGGGACCCGAATGCGGTGCCCATGATGTTGAGGTCACGGCTTCCGGCCACGGCGACCGACAAGACGTCATCCCCGTCTCGCGCAGAAGCTTGGGCAAGCTCAACCGTGCACCACCTCCCCCAACAAAATAACGCGATGACCCGGTCGGTATAGCATCCTCGCCCTCACTCTTACAATCTTCGCCATCGCCGTCTATCGCTCGCCATGTCGCTCAACGCAGAGCCCTCGCAGCCCGACGAGCGCGCCGCACAGGACCTCCCGCCCAAGTCGTATGCCGCTGCGGCCGAACAAGCCGTCGAGGAGCAATCGCATGAAAGTCAGGCAGATAGCACCAAGGAGCGCGTTTCGAAGAATGTGCAGAATATGAAGGCCAATGGCAAGATCAGGATACCCTCAGAGGAAGACAAAGAGCTGTACGAGGGCGAGGGCGTAGACAGCAGTCCCAAGAGCCCTGCGCGAGCCCATCGCCGGAAAACGTCGCTCAAGTCGAATGGGTCCATTGGCAAGAAGCATGGTGAGCGCGTCCAGAGCGACGTGTACGAGAAGCACGCCGACAGCAATGGCCAGCCCTTGACGAGCGTGAAGCCCTCGGACGACTACGAGAAGGACATCCGGACAGATCGAAAGCCGATGCGCAGGAACTCGGAGCTCAAGTCTGGGCGACAGGCGGGCGCGGGTTGGCATAGGAGCAAGTACGTAGAGCCTTTAGGGCCTCCGGCAGAGATTCAGGACCTCTTTTGGCAGTTGACGTCTCGCGGCACCGCCAAAATCCAAGGGTAGGAAGACAGCCTACCTGTCGCCTACCCCACATGCTCTCTGCTGGCCGAAAGCCTATGAGAATGCTGGCTAACACTACTGCAGAATCCGATACGCGCCTCTCAATGTCCCTCTACAGCGCCGGCTCCAGACCCTCGCCGTTCTCATGCATACGCTCAGCATCGCCGGTCTCGTCTCCATCTTCTTCTTCCTGTGCACCATACCTATACTCTGGCCGATCTTGCTCCCATATACCCTCTACGTCCTCTTCTCGAATGCCGGCACTTCCGGCGAGCTCTCCTTCCGCAGCGAGTGGTGCCGGAGATCCAAAGTCTGGTCGCTGTTCGCGTCCTACTTCCCTGCACGCCTCCACCGTTCACAGGAGCTAGAACCTACGCGAAAATACATCTTCGGTTACCACCCGCATGGCATCATTTCTCACGGAGCCTTCGCTGCGTTCGCGACCGAAGCTTTGGGTTTCTCGCAGCTGTTTCCGGGTATCACAAATACACTCTTGACATTGGACGGCAACTTCAAGTTACCTCTGTACCGCGAGTATGCGCTTCGCATGGGCCTCGCGTCTGTCTCGCGCGACTCATGCGAGAATATCCTGTCGAAAGGTGGAAAGAACGGGGAGGGAATGGGCCGCGCTATCACCATCGTCGTCGGCGGTGCCCGCGAATCGCTCGACGCCCAGCCCGGCACCATGCGCCTCGTGGTCCGCCGTCGACAAGGCTTCGTTAAACTAGCCATACGCATGGGGGCCGACCTTGTGCCCGTCCTCGGCTTCGGCGAAAATGAAATCTACGAGCAGCTCAACCCGCGTGCGCACCCCTACATCCACAAGTTGCAATTGTTCGTGAAGAAGATGGCGGGCTGGACAATTCCTCTTTTCCACGCGCGAGGCATCTTCAACTACGACGTCGGCATGATGCCCTATCGTCGACCCATGAACATCGTCGTTGGCCGACCCATTCGCGTCATCCAGAACAAGCATCCCGACAAGGATTATGTTCAGCAGGTGCATGAGGAGTACATCAAGGAGCTCTTGCGCTTATGGAATGATTTCAAGGATACCTTCGCCAAGCAGAGAACGGAGGAGCTGAAGATTATTGAGTGATCGAAGCTGGTTTGCCGTTGCACGTCTGGGGGGCTTTTGTACGCTATTGTTATGCTTTTGTACTTGTTAACGGTTTTTTGTTACGTACGGTCTGGTGGGAACGGGTCGGGTACAAATGGTTGGTCTAGGTGGTTGGCTCACGTATAGCTCCCACTGAAAATACTGGGATTATTGGAGCATAGCATGGGTTTTAAGGGAAATAGGAATTGCATTACTGGCTGAAAGTACTCGCTGACTCTGCTCGTGATTCGTTTCCATTGTCTTGGGTTCCGCAATGCGTACTGCTGGCGAACTCAGAACCTGACACCTTTTCCCGCCGCTCCTGGGAAAAGCATCGCGGAGAGCCTATATGTACAGGAAAAGAGAGTGGGGGTGCGGGGGTGGAGTCGAAGCCTTCTATGAAGGTGCATAAATTAAGCAAGAGTGGTAGTATTTACAAACGTGTAGATCCCAAGGATCTCTAGTGCACCAGAAACAGCGATGCCGTCTCTCAATACGAGACAGGGAGTTCTTTGGTGGGGCTTTTTTTCTGTCATTTCATCACTCCCCCATGGCTGGTGGGTAGATAGCCCTCGACCCATAGCCCGTCAGCACAAAAGCCGCCCAATATCTCTCCTCCGCCAGCTCCCTCACATCCAGCTTCCGCAGCTGCTCAATCCAGTAACTAGGATTAATCACAAAACTCCCCACGCCAACATCATCCGCAACGTCCTCCAGCTCATCAATAAGCTCCAGCAAGTCCGCCTCCGTCAAGCTCCTCATTCTCCGCTGCGCCTCGAACAGCGCCTCCGCAGCCGGCAGCGGCTTCCGCATCGCCTCGTAGAACATGACCATCAGCAGCAGCGTCGCCGCATCGTCCACGGGCCACAGACTGCCCATGAACGCCCTGGTCCCCGTGCCGAGCAGCGTGTGCGCAAAGCCGATCGTGCTGCCGGAGTCGTACGCCTTGGAGATGCCGGACAGGCACGAGCTGAAGACGACGAGGTCGGCTTTGATGGACAGCGCGCGCCAGTCGGCCATGGTGAGCGGCTTGCGGAAGAGCTGGATCGACGAGCTCATCGGCGAGTCCGGGTCGAAGGTGCTGTGCGCGCACAGGTGCAGGATCTGGGTGCCGTTCGCCGCGGCTTCGAAGGCTTCGCGGTCGTTGTCGTCCGCGATGAAGGGCCATTGCGCGTGCAGTCTCGCGATGTAGAGGGCTTCGATGCGCGAGTAGGGGATGTCGCGCAGGGCGGGGAGGTTCTTCTTCACGCGCTCTTTGTCTTGCGGCGCGTTGCTAACGACGGAGACGCGCGGGTCTTGGTATGTGGTGGCGTTTGCTTGATTCTGTAGACGACTCCATATGTTCAGGCTCGGGACGACGGTAATGGGCCGGTCGAAAAAGATGTTCCATGGGACGTGGGCTAGGTCGCCGGAAGGAATGATGATTAGCTTCTTCTTTCCTCGCAGATGAGGTTCCACGGGGCTGACGACGGCATCGCGCAGAAGTTTGTTCAAGTGCTCCTGAAAGACGGCGGAGCGCTTCCGTTCAGGGCCGGCTGGTCTCGGGGCTGGTCTAGGTGGACTGGGACTGGGTAGGGCAATCGCTCTGGTGGACTCCCGCATTCTGGTTGGCGACGACTGCATTGATGCGCGCAGATCGGCAATGCACTGCTGTATCTCGACGGCGTTTATTTTTTTCCACTCGGCTGCTCTTACGCCGTCTGATGCAACGACTATGGTCATTACGCCGCAAGGTGCCGCTGAGGCCAGTGCGTACTCCACAACGATGGTATCCGAAGGTATACTTGGTAATAGCTCCTCAATCTCACTGGGTAAGACGGCACCGATGGTGGGATTCTTCGTGAGTGCGTAGAGGAGAGCTTTCCGCCACCTTATCTGAATTTTCATGTTGGCGAGAAGCTCCGCTTCAGTGGCATGAGGGGCCAGCCCGGAGGCTGGGGAGGCTGTGAAGGAGCTAGTGGAGGTTCCCACTATGTTTGACGTCTCTACGGATAGCAATGGGGTGCCATCCTTTGCAAAAGGCGGTTTTTGGGGTCTTCGGGAGCACCCGGACATGGTCCCTTCCTGCTCAGCTACACAAGGTAGGCGTTGATGCTTGGCGGCTGGATCGGAATCATCTCTTGGTGGCGTTGGCGCTGGCGTGGGAACCGATGATTCCCTCTTCTTTATCGATCTGACGGCAGCATCGGCAATGGAGGCCATGTCGTTCCTGGCCAGGTCTTTTCTGACCATTCTCTGAAGGAGTCTCCGCTGCCTATCCGTGACGGCCGTTCCGCGACTGATAGAATCCAGTAAGGCTCGCGATCGGCCTTGTTCAAGGAAGTACAGCGCTTGGCGTCTCCAGTCACGTCCAGTGAGCGTGGGTCGGAACTGCGGTGGCATTACGGGTTTGCCTTTTTCGTCAAGTAAGCCTTCTTTGTCGAAATAGGTGCAGATTCTAGCAGCAGAGAAGAATATGTTCGCACCCTCTGAACGATCGAAAAGCCAGAGATTAGCTCCATGGGGATCCAAGAACTCATCGTAAAGTTCAGGAGCACGGCAACCGTGGTTATAGATCTCCAGGGCGCCGGAGAGGAGTCTGCCTCTCCAGTTCGGCTTCTTGGTTTGCTCCGCATCAATTTCATGAAGTAAGCCCAAATGGAGAACTCGTCGTATTTTATCGAAGCCGGCAACGGGATGATTCAGGTCGAAGTAGGTTGGATCAATTTCGTATAGGGTTCCAGCACTTGCGAGTGCCTTGTCCCAAGCTTCCGCGCGTCGAAATAGATCCAAATCGTCAATATTCTGCGCGATATTCCGCAGCTCTTGGTAGTGGTCATCCGGTCCGATGCGTTGGTGTTCAAGGCTTGCTTCTGGCCGTGCGGTCTGCGTACCTCGAACCTGGGCCGGGCATTTCGATAGTAGGTCTCGGGCTTCCTCCTTGCGGCCTTGATCAATCAGCAGCTCTGCTATGGATTTCTTCCAAGGAGTCGTATCCACGTGGTCATCGTCTTTGTACTCTTCCAACTTCCTCAAGCCTTCATCGAGGGCTTGACGAGCCTCTTCATCTTTCCCTAGTCGAACGCAGTTTTGATATCGGTCGCGGGCATCCTCAACGATTTTACGAGGAACGCAATTGTCCAAAGCTTCAATATCCGAACGAGTCGTCTGCGGATTGCTTTTAACATGTTGGTAGAGGTCTCTCAGCGAAGTGGAAGAGAACTCGGGGTCCTGGTCGCGGGATCCAACTTTCTCTAGTTGCGTTTGTGTAAAGCCTTCGTTGGGCCTTGTGTCCAATTTGGGCTGTTCGGTTGTGTCGTGTCGGCGATCCGAGTCTTGTCGTACGACCTCCCATAACTCGTCGAACTGCTTCGCATCAAGCGAGGGGCTGGTGGGACCTTCTTTCTCGGGGTATCGATCCCCAACTCTCACAGTCGGGGTCAGTTTCATAGGCGGCATATCCACCGCGGAAGGCCATTGGCTGTGACGTTTCGTCATTCTTTCGACTTGGGTTTTAGTTTGGGAAGGCTGCGGGAAGCTAGTCCTAGAGTCCTTCAACCCATTTAGTTTACGCGGCGGAGGGTCGTGAGAGGGCTCTTCTATCGATGTGAGCACTGCGCAAGCGACACGACCAGGACTGCTTACCTGGAATGAAGGCTAGGTTCCATGGAAGGTCCGACCAAAGGCCCAACTCCACGAGATAGTTTCCTGATTGGGATCAGGTTGTCAGAAGTCAAGCGTGTGTACACTGGCAACCCCCGAAAAATCTCAATTGGGGGAGCGAAGCCTGAAATTGAAGGTATCGAGGCGCAAAGCTGAAATACAAGGCTCGATGGGAATCCCGAACAGAAAGGCCCACGAGGAAAGGCTCGAGGCAGCCGCAACATGTGGTATATAGTGCGAGGCGGCTTAGACTGGCATGTAACGAGTATGAGGCTCTTGTGGAGGTTTCAGGCGCCCAGGCTTGCCGTCGGGGGTGGCTGTGGACGGCGCACCTGACAAGGATGCCTGAGGATGCATTTCAGCTTCAAGCCACCAATGCACATGACATTGGCTAGCCTTCTCGCTAAGGGGGCTGTCCACCATGGGGGCTTGCACAATAATATATTCGTGCAGATGAGTTGTCGAGAGTCGGGATGAATGGAGGAGTGATCGCTTGCGGGCGGGTGGGCTTAGGCGAATATATTACGTCATTGGGGCCAGAACACCAGTCAGTTCGACAAGGCATTTGCAGCGAACTTGAGAGCTGAAGACAGCCCCTGTAAAAGGCTGCACAAGGGGCGCTTTGCGGGTGCCTAGTTTCCGTGGCGAAGCTTTTCGCTTGACTCGTCACCAGACTGTACCTAGGTATGCACAGCCTTGGTTGGCGCCCCTTGTGAGCAGCGATGATGAATCCCATTAAAAGCCCACGCGTCTCGAGTCCTCGCTTCCGGGTCATCATTAAAGCACAGTCCTGATATTTCGCTCTTTCAGCGTTGCCTTTTGCGCATTTTCGTGCTCTTCATCGCCTCGCAACTATGCAGCTACGCGGGCAGCAGAAGAGAACATTTCTACCATACGAGAGAGGAATTCCTCCGGAGGCTTTGAGGCTGGGAAACCTCTATATAAACCCATTGGAACCAACGGATGGACTGGCGTCGCATCGCTTCGAGTATCGCAGAGAGTGAGTCCGCAGCAGTTCCTACTACACATAAATCAGCGAATGCTAACACTATGCAGTATCATCGACCAGAAGGGGTATGAAGCGCACATCACGCAATGGACATGGAGAGAAGAGAAAGATCAACCCTTCGCGATCCAATTTGAAAGATCCCAGGGTGGGTCTATAGGTGTGGGCTTCACAGACTGGATCGGCATCAGAGGAGAACGCGACAAGGGAACGCTAGTGACTTTGCAGGGCGCTTCTGGACGCCGCATGAAGATCCGAGACCCTGAAGAATTCCTCGAAGAAGTCATGCACCAGCAAGGCCTGGAAAAGCGCATCCGAAAACACGCCTCCATAACCCACAAATCCAAAAACGGACGGCATCGCTGGAAAGCCCCAGAACTCTGGATGGTGACAGGCGTGCAGTACGTAACAGGCGGTGATCTCCACTTCGAAAACCATACGTCGAGCAAGATATCTGGAGAAGCTGGCGGCGACCTGGGCCTAGCGGTCGGTGCGCCTCCAGGCGTCCTTAAAGCCAAAGCGGAAGCCAGCCGGGAGAAGTCGAACGGCGCGCAGAATGACTTCTCCCACGAAGACGAGCGGGTTTGGGCTGCGCAATTCATGCCTGTGAAGATCGAGTTTGGGCCTCAGGAAGACCCGGAGCTCAGCAATAACGGGAAGGAGATGCATCCAAAAACGATACTGCAGTTCCAGTTGGAGGATGTCCCGGACTTGACGCCCCAGGGGTTCCGAGTGAGCCAGGAGGAGCAGGCCGAGGAACCAGTCAGCGATCCACCGGAACTAGTTGGCCGTATCACAATCCGACAGCCACCTGCGAAACCCGATGGTTTGAATGATGCCAATGCCAAAGATCCGGAAGGTTTGATAATCGATGACATGCCATACGTGGCGGCGATACAGACCGCAAATTGGGAAATGTATGACGAATGCTCGAAGTATCTTACGAGCGCGGAAAGAAGCCGCAATCTGCTCGAGCGGGAGCAGAATGGCGGACTGACGAGCGAGCCCGTGAGATAATGGTCAAGAAGGTGGGGTTAGATACGTATTTCAATTCTTTTGCTTGGATGATCTACATATTTCCTGACTTGTCTATGCTTCATCTTTTTCGTTCAATAATGTGCTGCCGTCATCGTTTCTTCGTGTGCAGAGGTAGAATTACGTCAAGGAGCATTGCCCGCCTCGGTAGTCTTCTTCTCCTTCTTTAGTCCAGTGACAGTTTCCGTGTGCTCGGTCCCAAGATGCGCCTTCTCGATAAAGATACTCGCCACTACCCCCAGAAATGCTACCACCGTATACGTAATCCACATATTCCGCATTGCGTAAGAAAAGGCCTTCTTTGCCGCTAATTTCCAGACCGGATTGTCCAGTCTACTCGGTAGCATGACGTTCGCCATCGCACTCTCGCCGGAGAGCTCGTCCAGGAGGTGTTGCGGCAAGCCGGCTGCGCGTAGGAAAGAAGCACGGCCATTCATCGAGTTCTGGAAGATCGAGCCTCCGATAACGACGGATATGGTGAGAGCCATGTTTCGGACGAATGATAGTGTCGAGGTGGCGGTCGCTACGTCCTCTTGCTTCACCTGACTCTGGACGGCGATGAGTGGAGGCTCGAACAAGATGCCACTTCCTAAGCCTGCGACCATTTGAAAGCCGACGGCTTGCGCGACAGTCGTATGCGCATTGAACGCGATAAAGAGGCCGAAGCCAGTACAGAGGAGGAATGTGCCAATCCACATGAGTGGTCGGAAATGCCCGGTGCGGTGGATTATTATGCCGCCGAATACCCCTGCTATCGCGCCCGTGACGATGAAGGGAAGGAGAAATAGGCCGGATTTTAGAGGCGTAGCGGAGAGGACGGATTGCAAGAAAAGAGGCATGTAGTACTCCGCCGAGATGAAAACGAATCCATGGAAGAACGCGACACACAGCGCGGCGACATTCGTCCTCTTTCTGAACAGATTCAGCGGTATGAGCGGGTATTTCGCGACCCGTGCCTCGCTGTACACGAACACGAAGATCATCACGCCGCCTACAACGAGGAGCGCGATAACTTTGGCAGAGTCCCAGGGGAAGATGGCGCCACCGAAATCGAGCCCAAGCAGTACCATGAGGGTGAAGCCCAGGAAGCTGAAGATCCCGGTCCAGTCGATGGCACGGACGCCAGACAGGAAAGAAGTGTGCTCATGCTGGATGTCGAGGAAGAAGAGGATGAGGATGGCGGCGATACCGCTGATGGGAAGATTGATGTAGAAGCACCAGCGCCAGGAAACGAGAGATGCGAATACGCCACCTAGGATGGGACCGATGCCGCCGGCGATAGCCCAGATGCCTTCTGTGAGACCCATGAGAAGACTGCGCTGCCTACGATCACATTTTAGCCCAGGTTCATCAACTTGTGAACTAGCTCACCTCAAGCTGAACAGATCACTAATACACACATGCACCAGCAGAATCAGCCCTCCACCCGCGGTGCCCTGAAAACTCCTCCCGATAATTAGCACCTCCATTGTCTTCGCCGTAGCACAAACAGCGCTGCTCGCAAAGAAGCATGCTAGGGCTAGGAGGATGATCAATTTCCTCCCCCAGATGTCGGAGAGTTTGGCCCAAATAGGACCCGCCGCCGCATTGGCAAGGAGATAAGCGGCGCCGATCCAAGTGTAGCCGGCTGCCGAAGCCAGATCGGCCGAGATAGTGGGGGCAGCGGTTGCTACAATGGTGGCGTCGAGAGCGGCGACGAAGAGAGAAAGCTGTTGAAGGGGGAAGTCAGTGATGATGCAGGAGAGGGACGGAGCACGTGACTTTTCAGCTCTCGGATCTCTGGATGAATGGGAACGTACAAAAAGCGCAAGCACGATAGCAGAAAGGCGCCATCTACTTCTCCGTTTTCCGTCGCTCGCACCTGTTATCTGCCGTTCCAGTTGCTCTTCGATTTGCTCGGTCTCGACAGCTTCATTAGACTTTTCCGGCGTTAGCGCGGTTTGGCTGGTAGGGCTAGTAGGATCAAAGTCCGCCAATTCGATTTCTCGCTCCATGCTGTCCAAAAAAAACAAAAGCACACAAAGCAGCGTCAAGGATTCTGTACAGGGTAATGAGATGTAAGTGAGATTTAACAATCTTGTGGGGAAATCCGAGTCTTTATGATCTTGGGTTCAGCTCCTCTTGACTCATACACGCTAACGCAGACCAATCGCATCTAGAGCACTGTGGAGCTCGCCGCCTGGTGAGTAATAGAATTTACTTAACCGGGCAGGTGCTCCGCCCTTTTGCAAGGGCGCAGCGGCATAGCAATTGGCTATTTTCGAGGTTTTCTTGTTCAGCAATCAAGAGCAGGCACAATAGTTGGACGATACTATGTACTCTTGCTCATGGCTGCCCTAATTCACTTGTAAACGTTCATTGAATGATTCTGGTTTCGACCGGTGTTTATCCTCCGAAGCGGAGCTAGGAACGGTATTTGATCCGCATGGTAGCTGTGGTGAATGTTCCGTCACGTGACGCGATTGAAGATACAACTAGGCCCCGCTCTCTCTGCAAAACAATCCCTCGCTACTAACCCGACTGAAACGTCTTTCAAAGTGAGACTTCAAAGTATGCCACCACGTGGTCGACGCGTGGCCCGGGGGAGATCCCAGTTCCTTCCTTCCTCGGTTCGAACTACCCCGCGATTGTTATTGCTTTTTCTCAATATCGCGCCATCTCCTCCGACCCACTTCCGCATCTTTGAACTCTCTACTTAATCACCCCTTCATTCTCCCTCCATCTACCTGTTCACGTCGTATATCATTTGTCGAACCTTCGATGCCTGCTGTTTAAGCTATCGGCGATCTCTGATTAGCCCGAGATGGCCACGGAAACCATCACACAACTTGTGCAGCCAGCTACAATTCCTCTTCAGACTAGTCGGGCCTCAAAAGGTCGCGATGTAGCGACAACGCTCAATTACTATAGAAACCCTGGTGATGGTTCACCTCCAACGCCCGTTTACGTAGGAGGGTAGGCCCTCACTATCCCCTGGCTTGCGAAGAAACCTACCAAGTTAACAGTCGCGTAGAAACACTGTGACAAATGAACGTCCGACGGCTCCAACGAAGGTGATCATTCATGATATGACCGGAGAAGAGAAGAAGTATAGCTTGGATTCGTACGGCTTCGAAATTGTGAAGCACGAGAGCAAAGAGAAGGACTTTGATGATGAAGAGCGGCTAAAGAGAGACTACTACCCAGATTGCGAGAACCTGTACAAGGCAGTGTAAGCGAATCTATTCCCTGGTGTCAATATCTTCTAAAATGTTTTCCTGGCCACCGTAGCACTGGCGCTTCTGAAGCTCACTTGTTCGGGCACCTAGTCCGCCGCGGCCCAACTCACTGGCACTCCCTCGGCGCCGGAAATGCCGCAAAGAAAGGTCCACTCCACCGCGTGCACATAGACCAATCCTATTCGGGCGCTGAGCTCATCCTACGCAAAAACCTCCCATCTCAAGCTGACGCTATCCTCGGAAGCGGCCGCCGCTGGCAGATCATCAACCTCTGGCGCCCCATTCGCACCATCTATAAGGACCCACTCGCCGTCGCAGCCGCACACTCCATCCCTGAAGGAGATCTAATCGAGGCAAAAGTTATCTATACGAAGCAGCCACCGCCGCTGAATGAGAATCGGACGTGGACAATCCTGCCGAATGAGAAGCATGAGTGGTACTATAAGAATGAGCAGAAGAGTGATGAGGTACTGTTGATCAAGTGCTTTGATAGTAAGGTGGAGGAGGGATTGGCAAGACGGGCGCCGCATTGTGCGTTCAAGGATCCGGAAAGAGAGGGAAACGAGTTTGCGGATCGGGAGAGTGTGGAGATTAGGGCTGTGTTGGTGTATGACAAGTGATGGAAAGTACGCAAAAGCCTACGTTGAGAAATTCCCGCCCCGGTTAACCTTCGAACAGAAATACAAATACCGGTCATACCTCATAAGATCCGCAATTCCTCTATCAACCATTATCCGCTTCCGTTTCCGTCCCTCGCCTCAGCAGGCGGCGTGGTCAAAGTCTTAGCCCTCAACTCGTACTCATCCTTTCCTTTCAATCCCGTTGCTTTACCTCTTCGCCACATGAAGAACGCAATCATCCCAATGAGCGCTAGCCCACCGATTATAGAGCCGACCGCTATCCCGGCTTTCGCTCCAGAGGATAGTCCACCAGAGCTACCTGAAGCACTTGAAGTAGACGGAGTTGCTGCCAGTCCAGTAGCAGAAGCAGCTGGAAGGCCAGTAGACGACGCGGTTGAACTTGGCGCGTTGAAGTCGTCGCTAGTGACGTTGAAGCAAGGGACTTGGGCGGTGAAGTCTTCTGTCCTGATGAAGGTCTAGGAGTAGTGGGACCGGTCAGTCATCAAGATCTTCAGGGTGTATGGGAGTGCTACTGACCACGTCGGCACAAGCGAAAAACGACTGGTTGTTCCCATTGTTTTCGCCTTCGTATTCCGCCCAATACTCTAGCTGGATCGTGGCATTTGTTCCAGCTTCGATGCTTTCGAGTTGATTAAGCTTGTAGCACTGGTGTCCGGGATCAATATCTGATATGTTGTTTACGACTTGGTCATCAAACTCGGCTTGCGTTGTCGGATCTAGATGGTCAGTTCAGTCAGCTTGACCCGGATAAGATGGGATGGAAGCTTACCGTTCGACACTGCAAGTCGAAAAGCAACCTTCCAGGCATCATCCGCAATGCTTAAAGCTACGGATCCTTGGGAGAGTGGGAATAGGGTTCGATTTGACGGTCCTTCGGAGCTTCCACAAGGAGGAGTGTTGTCACTTGTCGCACTCCAAGCTCGGTCCGGCGGCCAGAGGAAGGCTACCGGGCCCATGCTGCTTCCCTCCTCACCTTCGCCATGTGTGGGCGTCTCATCCTGGGCCACCACAAAAGAGAAGAGCAGAGCAAAAATCGAGGTTACGAAAAGCCGCATTGTACAAAGATCGTAGAACAGAGTACAAGCCGGTCGGTGTTTGCTCGAAGTGGGGTTCTTCAGGAGCACAGCTCTTCGCACCAGACTAATATGTGCTCGCAGAATCGATCAGCTACTTCCATGCACCCATTGCCTGACAAACAAGATAAGTGGCACGGATAAGGTCCTCCCTGCCACGAATCGCACGTTGCATTGCCAAGGTGGAGAAGTATTGAGTACCCAGCCCACTTCCACCACGACAAGACCTAAAATACCGAGAGCGAGGACTCTGGAACAGGCCATGCAACGCCAAAGAGACCATCCACAACACCCTATTGGAAGGTGCTACCGTTAACGCTCTGCAGAGTCTGCGTTCGCCAATACGAGCTCGGTCTTCGGCCATGGATTTAAGTTATCTGATGGCGCTAGTTCTGCACCCAAGTCTTCGCCCAGCCGTTAGCCGGCTTACGCACCAATCGCTTGCCTCGGGCTAAGTCTGCTGACCCACCACATTCACCCAAACTGGTATCAATCGATCAGATAACAGGCTTCCATCTCCGATTCTCGGCCGGCAGGTCTGGTTCCGCTGTCAGACCACACTTCCAACGCGCCTGCGCGCTAGTAACATATGAAAGTGGTACGAGAGACAGGCCAATATGTTTGCGGTTCGTGGACGCGAGATGGCTCCCTAGCAGGCTAGGCCCGAGCGCGAGGAGTTCCTCGCATTTAACGCTGCGCGTCTCCGCCGTTGGGGTACGTTCCTGCGTTCCCAACGGCATTTGTGATTTCTGCTATACACTCCGAAAACGTCGCTCGCTTTTCCAGCATCTTACCTATCGTACATTCGTTTTCAAGCGCTCTGGTCATAATGGTTGCTTCTCGCTTCATCGCCATTGCGTTCATCACTGCTGCCAGTGCCTCTTTGGTCGCCGAAAGCGATGTCTTTACAGCTTTGTTAAAGCGACAGGAGCCTGGCACGCCTGCGTATAACTGCCACGACAACTGCGGTTCGTTCTCCCCTCCTGTCCGCCTTCCGCTTTGTCACTGACTGCTCTCGCAGGCACTGCAATCACCGTCTCCAGAGAAGGCGGCGACGTCTGCACCAACGAGATCTTCCTCTACGACTACCAGAACTGCCTTCAATGCGCTGGCCCAGATAACTACAATATCTGGCGTTACTACGGCGCTACTTTGAGCACTGTTGCTGAGGGATGCGGTCTCGATACTGAGCCGCTTTCTGGAGAGCAGGCTGATGTCCCCGAGGCAATGCATCCTGGGGATAGCGCGAGCTCTTCGACTCCTGCTCCTTCGTCCAGCACGCCGACGCCGACTGGGGAAAGTTCGGCTCCTGTCTCTGAGACTCCTGCTCCCACTTCGGAGGTTCCTGAATCTACGGCTGAGGTTACGCCGAGCGTCACTGTCTCTGGTGAGTTCTGCATATTGGTTGATCGCATTTATGATGAAGCTGATCTTTCTGCCTTCAGGTTCGCCAACCCCCAGCGGGAACGGAACGGCCACTTTCACTTCGGTAAGAGAGCTCGAGAAAATGCAAAGGAAACTTCCTGACTTCGCTTTCCTAGTCCGCTCCACCTCAGCAGTCTGTAAATGCTGCCGCCAATTTCGGCGCCGTCGACAATGCGCTCGTCATGCTTGGAGCCGCAGTTGCGGGAGCAATGTATGGTTTTGGAAACTGATCTGTGGAATTTTTTCCCCTAAACATAGCCGAAGGATCTCAGTATGTAGAGAGGTAATGGAGCTCTGTATATAAGCTTTTAGTTGAGGAAAAAGTGCGTAATGGAATCGAGAAAGAATCGTCGTTTACACCCCTTCACGTGAGCAACTATTTTCACGCATCCACGGACTAAATCCTTCTCAAGGCCCCAGCATCGTATTTGAGCCACATATGCCTTCAGGATGCATACGCGTTGCGAACTCGGAGCGCGTCCGCGGAATGTCCGACCCTGGGGCCGAATAAGCCGGACGAAGGCCGTGCATAAGACACGACGCGACTGCAAGCTAGGCAACCCCGTCCATAAATCTTCTTGCTTTCCCAAGCCACAAAGCCAAGTACACCATCCAATACATTTCTCAATATGGCTCCAGATATGATCCGACTGCTCGTAAACATCGTCTCCTTCCTCCCTTCGTACACCCTCACGCTCCTCCGCCAACGCGTTTCAGCCTTCTTCCACAAGCGCTCATACAAGCCACTGCCGGACGCGCAGCTCAAAAATGTCGTTGTCGTTGGTGGTTCGTTCGCTGGGTTTTTGACGGCGAAACGACTCACCGAGACGCTGCCGACTGGATACCGCGTCGTCCTGGTCGAGAGGAGCTCGCACCTGAACTACCTCTTCGCGTTTCCAAGATTCAGCGTAGCGAAAGGGTATGAGAAATATGGGTTTATTCCGTACTCTGGGATCGCGAAGAATGCACCGCAGGGTATCTTCGAGCACGTTCAAGATACAGCCGTTGATGTGACAGAGAAAGCTGTCGTGCTGAAGAGCGGGGCGGAGCTAGAGTATGAGTGCTTGCTCCTAGCGACGGGGACGTCTTCCACGCTTCCGAGTAAAGTCGCATCGACAGAGCGGGGAGGCGCGCTGCAAGAGTTGCGAGGCATGCAGGAGCGCATTGGGCAGGCGAAGCGTATCGCAGTGGTGGGTGGCGGCGCCGTGGGCGTCGAGCTTGCGAGCGACATCAAGGATTTCTTTCCGGAGAAGGAGGTTGCGCTTATTCATTCGCGAGCGCAGCTGTTGCCGACATTTGGGAAGAGACTGCATGAGTATGTGATGGGGAGGATGAAAGAGCTGGGTGTCGCGGTGCGGCTGAATGAGAGGCCTGAGATCCCGAGCGAAGGAAACACGTTGAAATTTCGTAACGGCGAGGAGGAAACGTTCGGTCTCATCGTGAGTATTGTTGGGCCGGTTCACTTGTCTGAGTGCTCGCTCATATCGTGTGCAGATCCCTTGCACTGGCCAACGCCCCAATTCCTCCATTCTAACCACCCTCTCGCCATCCTCCATCTCTAATGAAACATCACACATCCTCGTCAAACCAACGCTCCAGCTGCAGGACGACCGCTTGTCTCACGTCTTCGCAATCGGCGACGTCGCAGCCACCGGGGGACCGAAAATGGCTAGGGCAGCGCAATTCCAAGGAGACGTTGTGGTTCACAACATTCTGTCCCTCATGCATGACAAGAAATCGCTCCAGAGTTACAAGCCGAAAATAGTGGTGGAGGGGGCGATTAAGTTGACGTTAGGCAAGGTAAGCTGCGGATCCGAAAGAATAAGCACTGAAATGTAGGGAAATAAGCTAACGATGATCAGGCAAGAGTGGTGATATACGCGATGGAAGAAAGCGGAAAAGACATGCTGATAGCTTCGAATTCTGGGAAGGTGGATATGGACGTCAAGAGGCAATGGAGGTTCTTTGGAGCTGATACCAAGGCAATGGAAGTGGAGAGTGGGAAGGTGTAAGGTTGATATAGGGGGATAGTGGAGGACTTAATAGCTTTTCCTCTTTCTCGAGTTGTAGCACCGGAACGACATCCGAATCCGCACAACGCGGAGCTTTTGTACCGTAGTTAATAGCATACCACCTCCACCCTTACTGGTCCATCCTGGATCTCCTAATATCCTCCATCCATATCCGGCAACTAGAGCAATTATACTTGCGTACACTGCCTTTCCGGAGTACTGTTTCTAAGCACAGAGTTCGAAACTGATGCCCACACGGATCGATTCGGTGCATGATCGACATGTCATGTTCTTCAAGGCAGACATTGCAATGTACGTACATGGCGGCGATGTGCTGACGAGGATGCTCCATGGTATCTGCATCATCGCTACCTATTCTGGGCTGCTGCTTCTTTAAGACTGTCGGAGCTCGGGTTGACGCGTCATTGGTGGCGGGCGGAGCGTGCTCGTGATCTGTGGGCTGCAGGTTGTCTTTATCCATTTGGACTTGCTCTTGCGCAGCGTTTCGGAAGTCTTCGGGTGCATGCATGCATTCCGTAAATGGGTCGGATTCGAAATCCTTCTGCGGTGATGCAGTGTGGTCCGACTCCACCGACTCCTCCGCCATCTCCTCGACACCCATCTCTCCCTCTTCCACCCCTTCTTCTACCCCAAAGCCAATCACACAACTAGGGTCATGAATCTCACAATACCTGCGCCCCGTCTCTTCATCCACAACAGTCCCCAACTCAGGACACTGCATACCGGATCCCTGGAACTCAAAGAAAGCTTGACATCGTTGCTTCGCATACCGATCATGAAAACTACAGTACCAGGCGCCGAAAAGGGGCTGGCACATCTTTCCTGCTCTGACGCATTCGTACTTCGGATTCCGTGGCATCTTGAAGGCGCAGCGGGGAGTGGCAGAGCGTGGCATATTGTTTAGGAGACGATGCGCAGAAGGGCGTGGGTTGAGAAGGGGCGATTCTTGGATGAGATAGGGAGGAATAGATCGAGAACAAATGCGACGAGGCAAATAATGTGAAATGGTCATCCAACAGCCTGCGAAGTCTTTGTGCGTTAACAAAGGCCGATGAGGGGTGCGCATACTTAGGAACGGGGTGCGCAGATGTCAGCATGATATGCCTCCCTTTGCTCGGTTTCCTTCCTCCACAGCGCGCTCTATTCCCCTACTCTATCTCGAAGGTGTCGTAAATCCGTATCCACCCCCTTCTAACCCTCTAAATTGCGATGAAGCACCAGCACCGTCGGCCCAAAGTCCTGTTCCAGCAGCGTATCGCAATTCAAACCCATCCTCACCTTCGGCACCTGCAGCTCCTCCGCACTCGCAAACCGATACGAACGGCTCTCGCAAAGGTTGAAGCGCCTGCCCTTCACCAAGTACGCGATCAAGCCCCGATGCGTGACAATAATGATATCCTTATAGCTACCAGATAGTTCCTTCACCCGGCGTCGCACTGCTTCCGCTCTTTCGGTAGCTCCTTCGATAGTATGCGCTGGGTAATCCCAATCCACTCGGCATTCAGAGAAGTCGAATTGCGGGAACTTGGCCTGCAGTTCTGCGCGTGGGAGGCCTTTGTTGCAGAAGGCGTCGTTTGCTTCGCGGAGTTCGGGCCAGATTTGTACGGGGATGGGGAACGGGCCTAGGTCTTGGAGGAATGGGAACAAGATCATGGCGGTCTGGATAGTTCTTGTCATTGGCGAGATGAGGATGAGATCTGGGGTAGCTGCGAGCTTGACGTTGTTTGCTGCATTTTGTCCGGCTTCGGTTAGGGGCGGATCGCGGTGGGGATGTTCGCGTTCGACGTTGTGGAGAGCCTCGCCGTGGCGGAGGATATGGATCAGAGGTATTTTTGGGGATGGGGTGGAGTCCATTGGGGAGGTTGATGAGCGAGCCCGCGATGTTCATGGCGAAGGGTATGGATCTTGGGGAAATGCAGCTACGGTAAAGTGCGATAAAGCCTTCAACAGCCGAGAGTAAGCGAGACGTTTATACTGGCTTAATTTTAAGTGCATGCTGTTCGTTCACGCTTGTTTTGGAAATATAGAAATTTAGAATTCATGCGCTACACTCGTGCTTGGCCCGGGGCTCATTTTGACTTCCTCATTGCCTTCCTTTACATGCACGACTTCCCACCACACGACGACAGCGTATGCACATACCGAATCTTCCCACCCTCAATCCTAAACTCATGGCTATCCGGCAGTCCACCGGCACCGCCAAAGTCCATCTGAATGTCTACCGTGCCGTACGCCTCATCGATAACGTACTGACGATTGATCAGCTTCACTCCGCTCGGGATACCGACATCGCATCGATCGCTCGCCTGGCCCTTGCCGGTGTACGAGCCTCCCTCCAAGCGCGCGCATGGCGAGCCCCACGGAACCTTGACGTTTTTATCGTTGAAGATGTCGCAGTAAGCGTCAGCGGCGGCCTGGATGACGGCGCGGGAGTCGCGCTTGTCGGCGGGGATCTCGTCCCATTTCTCGCGCGAGGCCCAGTACATAGTTCCCTTCCAGCGATCAGTTTACGCTCTAGCAATGCGGGGACAGTGGTTGAGTGTGGCTCACCGTGACGTTGAACAGCCAGTCGCCCTTCGTCGTGAGAATGGTGTCGATCTGGCTAACCTTATACGTCGTGTTATCGAGACGCATCTGCGTCGCAATCACATAAGGCTTCGCGGAGTTGGTAACGATGAACTCGCTGAAAGCGGCGCATTGAGTGACGTCGTGCTGACTGCGGTTGTGGTCGATCTTGAGGGCCTGAGACAGAATGCCCTTGGTGATGTCGGTCGTCTTTCGGTTCTCCATGTACTTGATGGTATCGGCAAAGGAGGCAGCCTGTGTGTTGCCCGCCGTTTGCGCAGTGAAAAGGTCGTTCGTAGCGGTCATCAGCACATCGAGCGTGCATTCGGCAGAGGCTCGAGCGGCGAGGGCTCCGACGAGGGCGAGGGCGTAGTTCCGCATGTTGATCTGGTTTCGAATTGAAATGCAGCTATTCTGTCATGGTTCCAGAAGCCCGCCGTGCTTGTTTAAGTACTCCTCGCTCTTCCCCGGAACGAGCAACCACGCGAAGCGACATTGTTGTATAGCTGCCATAGCCGCCTATATCAACAACAATTCATCCTCTTCCAATCGCAGCATCGCATGCTGTCTGAAACAATTTTCGGCATTGGAGATCGCCGGGATCGTCTTAAATACCGGCGGATGTGGGGCAGCTTTGTACTACCGAATTACGGTGTTCGACAGGGATGGCATTGTTAGCGCAATGTAAATGGAAATGAAGAAGGCGGCGCTGCAAGGGGCTCGAAGAAGTTTAATCAACATAAGCCCTGGATTTAAATGAGGGAGTGCGGGGAAAGTATGAATGGCATGGGCACATGAAAAGGCAGCTCGGACGAACCGCAGGCGCTGGAATGTCAGAGGGTCTAATGTTCCAAAAAGCGTGACCTGGAAGCGAGCAGATTTTCGATAGGGTGTACTATTACTCATAATTTAGCAGTCAGCTCTCACTGAACTATGTTAGCCTTTGCTGGGAGCGACTTGGTCTGATCGCCATAGCCAATCTATGGGTGCAAAGATACGGCTCTTAGCTTCAAGGCTTACACATCGTCCCACCCATCGTACTCCGGACCTGGAATATACTGAATCAAGCTACGATCCATAGGACAGCGAAGCCGCCACTCGCCGTCGCTAGTGACATGGCTCTGAAGGCATTCAGAGCAGTATTTGTGTCCGCAGTCATATAACTGCCGCATCGGCGACTTGTTCTCCTGGCAGATAGGGCAATCACTAGCCTCATTCACAAGGGCAGAGATGTCGTCCAAGTCCTGAACCATGTGAAGCGTAGTATCGGTCGATGACGACAACGAGCGATTGGAGATGTTCTCCGTCTGAAGAGCGTATCCACTACCAAATAGGCCCAAGTGATTGCGGGGAGAGGGAGGATAGCCGAAAGGCCAACCCCCGCCGTCAGAAGAGTCGCCCCGATCTGAAGAATCCGGAATTGTGCGATCTAGAGGGGTCTCATCCCGGGGAATGCTGGCGGGCCGCGGAATGAATTGTCGATGACTGGCTGTTGGACGTTGGATATTACGTGAACGACGCGGAGTAGGTTGAGCGCCTCTACCGACGTTTCCAATCGAGAGCACCGATTCACCATCCGAATTCGGGGCCCTGGAATCAGACACGGTTTCGTCCGCGTCGCTCCAGGAGCTGCTGTCCAAAGGATCCTCGTCAACTAAGCGATCGCTGAAGCTGTCACCCATATCCTCATCATCCGAACCGATCTGGACCGAATCATTGTACACCCAATCCTTTATCTCAATCTTTAGAATACGATCACCGTGCCTGGATGCTGTGAGCGAGGTCACCTCCATGCCTTGCATCCGCATCGTAGTCCATCGCAGATTTCGTCGGATCAACCTGTAATGCAAATGGCAGAACGTGGAATCGCGGCGAGATGGTACAAGGCATTGCTCGGCTGAAGTCGCGTAGCGGGATGACACAAGCGCCTGGCACTGGGGTCGGTCTGAATGGGGTAGGTTGCGGGAGCGGAGTGGCATGTTTGATTGCGCGTACAGGGTTGGTTGGTGGTGTCAGGGGAAAGGGGAGAAAGGGTGCGAGATATAAGCTAGTTTCAGAGGCTGGCGTTGTATGCGAACATAGTGGGGTAAGTGGTATTCATTACTGGAATGCCGTGACTTTATGCTTTTACAATGCGCGTTGAATGCCCTTGGCCGCCGTGAACGCTTCGAGCAGAGGGGAAGAAGGTATGTGTAGGAACAAGGTAGGAAAGGGTCGATAATTTCTAGAGACTGGTAAAGAGCGACGGAAGTGTATGAGGGAGTTTTCAAAAAGACGAGGAGAAACAATACCAGGTCGTAGCCATCACCCCGCGCGTATGACAGGAGGGGTTCTGTCATCGCCGGAGCGGGGCGATGGGACGAATGATCTGAAGCATTAGCAGCTGTCATCTGCCTCACCTTCCTTTCGACTCCTCAAGGATTTCAATGCAGTTGGGCTCGGTGGTCACGGAGGGAGAGGTTGGTGCGACGATGCGAAAGGGCGAAGGTGCGGTCAAAAGCAACCTGAGACGTGGCTGATCTAAGCCTATTTCGGCATGGCCTGGTTGCTCCTTCGGGCTTCGGTCTGCAGAATCGCCGGCTGATCAACGACGCCCCAGCCATCACACGCATCATAATCCGCTCTTTGCGGAAGCTCGTGCGATAGCATTGGCGAGATTCCTTGATGGCACCTGTACCTAAGGCTTCGTACATATGCTGGACCAATAAGAGCTTCGCATCTTACGCCAGCGCTGCCGCTGACCCTGTTGTGAGACAAGCCAAGGGCCGTTATGGGTCGCACCGCTTCCAATCATGGCTGGCTTAGCAGGCGGCCCGCTGCGGGTAGTTCGCATGTCTTTCTTAAGCTTACGTCTAGTGCGCAAGTATATCTTAGATAATGGTTGCCTTACGGCGGGGTAACGGTGCTGGTAAGCTTATTCCTCTACCTTATCTTTGCAGCGACACCTTTCGTCCACGGCTTCTGAGCATCCTTTCCAATCTTGCAGTCGCGTATCCATCGTATTCTAGCTACGTGAGCTCCCCTCTTAGTTCGGCCACCAACAAAAGCAAAATGCCTTCCGTCACCGAACAGCCCAAAGCGCCCGGCCAAGCAAGTCACATCGTCTATACCATTCCGCGCACAGCCTCGCACCTGTTCATGCAACTCCTCAATCTCCCAGCACAGCCCTCCGTTTTGCGCCGCGAAGACGGCATCGATGGCTACCACTTCCTCGAGACTCTCGTGCACCGCTTCAAGAACGGCCTGGCGGGCAAGCCTCTGAAGGACTGGACTGCTGAAGAGCAGAAGCTGATGAGAGATGCCTTTCAAGCCGGCTTCGAAGACTGGCTGAGGCTGATGAAATCAGCCGAAGGCATGGGCAAGCGGACATTCACGAAGGAGCACGTGAATTGGCTCGTGGATCCCATTGCCGAAGGCAGAGCTTCCGGGGAGATGCGCCAGGGCATTGAGAGCTTCGCCGCTTCTTTCCCCGAAGGAAGCGAGCACTCGCAGACGCATACCAAGGCGAATCCGCTCGTCATGCCCGATGAATTCGTGCTCAAAATGCTAAAGCCGACGTTCCTGATCCGACACCCAGCCCTCGCGTTTGCCAGCCTCTTTCGCGCCGCAGTTGGAGGCGAAGGCTCGGATGACCTCCGTCTCGAGGAGGTCCTGGACGGCGAAGAGAAGCACAAGTGGGAGTGCACGTACCACTGGAGCATCGCCGTCTATAACTTCTACATCCAGCATCCCGAATTCGACCGCAAGACTTGCGTGGACGGCATCCAGTATCCCATCGTGATAGATGCTGGGGACCTGAATAACGAGCCGCTGATAAAGAAATATGCGAAGGCGGTGGGCTTGGATGAGGACTTGGTCCGCTTCGAGTGGCAGCCAACGCCAGACGAAGAGATTGAAAAGGTTCCTGTGCTGCAGAGGAAGATGAAGAAGACGATTTTGGAAAGCAAAGGCGTGGAAACGGGGCGGTTGGGCAAGGATGGAGGACCTGATATGGAGAAGCTGAAGGAAGGGTGGAGGAAGGAGTTTGGTGATGCTGTGAGTGCGCGGCTGGAGAAGTTGGTTGAGGACAATCTGGGAATGTATGAAGAGCTGAGGAGCAAGCGATTGACCGTCTAGCATACGGTAAGATCCCCTGCTGCATGAACCCAAATGTAACGCAGTCAATATAGTAGTTGTCGACTTAGAGTCCGTCGCAGCGTCTTCGCACGACACTAAAATGCTCAGTAAGCTCCTAACGTCATAGATCGCCGCTTATGCGCCCTAGACTAGGTAACTGATAGTTTTAAATCTCCGAGGCGGCTGTGGCGCTGCAAGCTTCCTGTGGTACAGCATGACGGCTGCGAATACGAGACTTAACTATTGCCAAGGCCGTGTATCCGACGCTGGGTGACGCTAACTATGAAACATTCCCTTTAGGAAGTGGACACTGAGATATTGAAAGAATAGGTGTAGTGTGGAAGATGTCGGCGGCCGTAACGAAGAGCGCGAGAGTATTTCAGATCTGCATTTCGTCCCTCGCTTTACTGTCCATTTTCATCAGTAGACCAGTGGGCGCGTTGTTAAGGGAAAAAACGAAGCTATTTGTTAGGCACTGTTTGCTTGTGGCTATGATACATAGGCGCGGTGCGTTCCTCCAGCTGGAACGTAGTGTGGAATCCATTATGGGGCAAGCCATGCGGAGGGAAGACATGGCATCGAAGCTGCACTAGCAAAATGTAGCGTGGCGTTCGCAAGAAGCCGAAGTGAAAAGAGATCCAATAACCGTCCATCATGCCATCCTATGTCCTTGAACAGTCCCAAAGGCCCTCAGCCCGGGCTGTACTATGCCTCTCCCACTCTATTCCTCACTTCACTCGCCAACTTCTCCCTAAGCTCCCTCTCCAATCCCTTCCTCCCCACAAGCTTTTTCTTCTCTGCGCAATCCCTGCCCTCCAGCACCCGCCTCTCCGCCTCTTCTTTCTCCAGCCTCTTTCTCTCGTCCCTTAATACTCCCTCCTTCCTCACGTTCTCTACGCCAAAGGCCTTTATGCGCGCCTTTTCCTCCCGCTCCACCTCCTCCTCGCTCTCAATCGTCACGTTCTCCTCCCTCTTGAGCTGCTTCGTCTCCTCCTTGTACACCTTTTTCGCCGTCTCTAGCCACCATCCCGGCCTCGGCTTCTTCGGTATATGCCCATAAGCCTTGAGCTCGACCTTCTTTTCTGCGACGTCTTTCTTCAAGCGAGCGACGAGGGGATTCGCGGCGGCTTCGGCGCCCCGACGGGCCCGGCGTTGGGCTTTAGTTTCTCCGCGGGCGGTGAAGAGCGCAGCGATAGAGGCTGCCTGGGATTCCTCCATTTTGTCTTCTTGCTTGATATAGGGTAGGCGCGGGTGGACGCTTGGCTTGGTAGTGCGGACGGCCCCACGCTGATATAGCATCTCCTTACGGGCGGCTGGCGGTGGTGGCTCGAATTCTTGGTCTTCTCGCTTGATATGGGGGAGGCGCGGGTGGACGCTTGGCTTGGTAGTGCGGACGGCCCCACGCTGATATAGCATCTCCTTACGGGCGGCTGGCGGTGGTGGCTCGAATTCTTGGTCTTCTCGCTTGATATGGGGGAGGCGCGGGTGGACGCTTGGCTTCGTAGCGCGGACGCCTACGTGTTGGCGTATCATCTCCCTATGGAGGGCTGCTGGCGACGGCTTGACTTCGTCTTTGTCTTCTTGCTTGATGTTCACGCGCGTGGATGAGGTTGTGTTGGCTGCGTCCGCGGACCAGACTCCTTGGGGTTCGTGAGTCATTGTGGGAAGGTGACGGTCTTGCGGGGGTTTAGGCTTTCGAAGACGCTCGACGTGAGGGCTTGGGTACAATAGAGACGAAGTGATGGGACGTCCTCGGGGCGGCTTTTGGTTTGTTGCTGGTGAGGTGAAGTGAGGTGAACTGGAAGGGCAGGAGCTCGGCTTGGCGCACGTGGTTCGGCATCGAAGGCCGCCGGCGCATGACCTGGGGCCCTCAGACGGTAAACGTTGAAAGGGAGAAAAAGCCAGTGACAAGAAGAGAATAAACAAATGCGCAGAGAGCATATGAAACGAGATAACTCAGCCATCATGGCCTCACCTCACCCCGTCATTTCCCTTCTCCTCTCTAGTCAATACCCCCATCATCCGTACCCCTGTGCTTCTCCGTCCACGCCTTCAACGCCCGCCAATCCACACAAACATGCTCTGTGCCCCATCCATCTACTCTTGCCAGCAACTTCTCTCCACTCGTCTCCAGGTTCTCGAGCGTAACATCCGCATTACACATCAGAACTTGCCTCAAGTAGTCAAAGCAGTGGCGCCAGTGGTGTTCGATCTGGGGAACCATATAGCGGAACTTCTCCGGCTCGCCGACGGACGCGTAGAGTGATTTGCGCAACATATTCTGTGAGGATTAGATAGACGAGAGGGAGTGGGGAGGAGGGAGTAGGCTTACAAGGCAATGGATTTGATGGAACGCGGATACGACCTTTGTGTTGTGGAGGTTGCTCGTGGATCCGGCGTGCGGGATGAACTCGCCGTTCGGTGTGACCTGTACGAAGCCCCGTCCCACTGCCCATGGTTAGCTTTTCGAGACTCTCACGCATGAATTTACGTACATGGCATTAAAGCTTCCCATACAGCGTCAGCCTCCGGACCCGGCGTTGCGTACGCAAACGTATCATTAGGCTGGAACGTCACCTTGACGCTCGGTTCTAAACATCGTCAGTCGAACGTCGCTCCGGCGCGGTAGCAGCAATGAGCATAGTTGAAGCTTACCAAAGGGTGCAACCAAGCTTTTGCCATGCCCATGAGACATCTGTGGGGTCGACGTTGATATGCGGTGGAACAGCGCCCCCAGCGCAAATCCAGCGACAAGACACAGGATCCCCGTACCCCACAGCCTCCAAGACACACGCCCGCCGTGCTCCTGCTTTCTTAGCCACTTATCATCCAGGAGGCCCATCTCGTCCTCGCGCTCGTCATTGCTTGTCTGCATTGTGGGAGTGCCCAGTCGGAAGTCGGAAGGTGTGAATGTGGCACCACGAAAGATTTTCAATGCGGAGAAAAGATTAACTCGCTGGGCGTTGGGATATTGCATCGCACGGTACGCTTGGCTTCTCTATCCGCGCTAGACTGGTCTTTCGTGGCTCTTTTTCTCAATAGTGATAACTGTTCCTTTCTACTCTGTATCGTGCCTTGTGGATGGCTTCAAGGACGTAAGCGGAAGCGATGGGCGAACCCTTCAGCTCGCGAGTGTTGACCTCGGGGTCAAGCAACACTGGGGATAAACGGCGGCTAAGATCCTTGGGTGGTGTGCAATATATGAAAATAGATTAATCGTGGCATACCCACCCGGGCTACCGCGAACATGATAATGGGACCGTAAGTGCAACATCAGTTCAGCAGAAAACAGTGAGCGCATCTGAAAGAGAGTAGTCATGATAACCGGAAAGGAATGTTTGCAGTTGAATTTGACGATCAGAATGAGAAGACCGGGAGGGCAAACCAATCCAAACCGGAACGTTCATCGATCTTTGACCTTGAAGGGATCGAGATCTACCTGAAGTATTGCCCGCGCGATGTTGGAGCAATGTTAGAGAGCTAAGAAGAGCTATCAAGCGAGGTGGAGAAATAGGAAGACTTTGGAAACGGAATGCCAGGAGCAAGCAGTACAACCGCATAGCAAGCGCCATCTGGGGCTACTCATCGTTCAACAACGGCTTCACCCACTCCTTGGAGACCCTTTCGGAGGAATTTTTCATGTCTCAAGTGCGCTCAAGTCGATGGGATGCGCTCAGTCTAAGAGAATAGGACCGACACCCGTAGCGCTTGGTGAACACGACTCAGTGCTCGCAGAAGTTGAACTGGCACGACCGCACACTGTTGTCGACCTCATCATCCAGCTGGGTCCTCTCAGCCATCAGCTGCTCTCGAATCCTCTTAGCCTCTTCCATTCCAATAGGGAAGTCCTCGACCTCGTCAGCGATCATATCCATTACCTCAGCAGGGAGCTCTCCTAGTCTTGTCGCGCCCGTAACAAGCTCTCTACGCCACCAATCGCGCTGCTGCGGGGGCACATTGGAAGTCGACAAGATCGGCGTGTCCGGAGCCACGAGAAACAGCGCGAGGATCTTGCGATGACCGGGCTGTGTCGGATCCGCGAGCTTGAATTCGCCGACACAGTGCTGGAAGCCGTTCGGAAAAACGATCAGTCGGTCTTCACGCGTGAGAATGGAACCGACGTCCTGTATGAAACTGTCGTAGTTATCGATACCAAACGCGCGGCTGATACCGTCGAAGTCGACTTGCTCGGACTTGATACCGTCTTGCTTCACATCCCGCTCATCTAAGCCGTCGGGGTCGACTTTTGTGCGGAAGGACAGATAGGAGTCGGTGATGTTGTGGTTGTCGTAGTAGTAGATTGCGGAGGCGACGATGTGTTCATTCAATTGACCTTCTACGTGCCATGTGCCGCCGTTGTATTCTGGCTTCTCTGGGGTGAGGTGGATGTTGGCGAGCTTGACGATAACCTACGAAGGCACATACATGTTAGCATGTCTAAAATAGGCCAGATATATGAGCGGGTAGGGAGCCGCATCTCCCAGACCAGCTCCTGTCGATTGCAGACGCCATCTTGAGAGGCGCCAGCACGTGTGCCGTTGACTGGGTACGTACCTGAATCTTTCTTTCACCGTCGCCGAGGAAAGTAAACTTATCTTCGATATCTTCCCCTCTAAGGAAGAGGGGTTCATATTCACGGGGCGATGGTCTCTGCCCATCATGCTTCTCAGAACTCGCCTCGGATAATGCATCTTCATCCGGCTCCAAACCGCTTCCATCTGGCTTGATCGCTTCTTCGGAGTCAGAATAATGTGTCGCAGAGTGAATATCTCCGTCTACATCCATGTGACTGGAGTGGTGGGTCTCGGAATGAGCATCTTGATCAGTGTCCGAATCGTCTGCCTCGGAACCGTCCCCGTAGGACCAACGTACGTAAAACATCAGCGAATCACATATCCTAGTTTCCCTCCGCAGGCGGCCCTTCTTAAAAGTTGAGTCCCAACACTGACAGACGATGTTCCAGAACGGAATGGCCTTGGTAATGATCTTCTCAATGACCATGTATATGTCTCTGTGGTCGACTGGATGAAGGTTGTTGATGTACGACTCGATCTTCGCATTAGTGCCGTCTTGGAAAGAGACATCGCAAGGGAGCCACTGGAAGCGATCTGACCAGTGGTAGTCCCTTGACCAATACGGTTTGCCCTTGCTAGGTGGTGGAATGATGCGCCCCTTGCCAATCGTCCTGACACAGTTGTCCAGGCCGGCAGTAGAATTTGGCAGAACGCGAGAGCGACCGTGGACAAGGGGATAGAGTGATGGATGTACCAAGTCGAGCACTTTACCATCTGAGCCGGGGTGCCAGTCCTTATGCTGTTCGGGGAGGGCTTCTAAAGCAGCGACTGCGTTTTTGAGCTCATTCTTGAGTTGCACAGGGATAGCCGTGTCCGACTTCAAAACGCAGGAGCAGGAGTCCAGCACTGGAATCATGCCATAGTTGTCGTAAAGCACACCCTTGTCTCGCAGCTCGGCAATGCACTGTTGGTGCTTAAGTACAAGTCGTTAGCAAGCGTGCGTCGACTCACATAGTCAAGCATCTCTTCCGTCATATCTCCGTCATAAAACCCTGCGCGCCACCACTCCATGTCCATTGCTTCCTTCCTCCACTTCGCTACAATTGACTCGTCGTGGACTTTCCTGGTCCACTCCGGCTTGTCAGTGATATGGTTGACAAAGGCCAGCATGCATAGCTCGCGAATAGTGAGGGCATCGTGATTCCAGTTGCCCACGGCGGAAACACGGCGCGTCAGACGGCCCCAGTAGTTGTATCGAATGCCAAACCCAGGGAGCTGGTGATGTTAGTAGACCATCCTGAGTCATAAAACTAGGCGCGGACAAGACCAACCTTGACCCTAGAGCCATCATGACCAGTGCTGAAGGCTTTCCCAGGCTTATGCTCCTTCTCAACGGAGTCGGAATACGTGTCGTCGTCGGAATACGTGTCGTCGTCGGAATACATGCCCCCAGAAGAAATACCAGTGGAAGATTCATTGTCGCAGGCTAGGTCATCGGGAGGCATTTCGCCGAAAGCCGCCTGTGACATTGTATCTGCAGCCATATCGTCAGAACTTAGTATTCAGAAAGTCCGCAGAAGATTTCTCACCACTTTCGAACCGCTAAAGCAGATGAATGATTTTGTTCACCCGCGCAGACACTTTAATACATCGCAAGCATAGGCCGTGCGCAAAGGCGTGCGGCGTAGAATAGGCCGCAGGCTTATGCCAAGATAAAGCATTGTTCAGCCATTTGTCGGTGATGCGGCGTCGCTAGGCCGCGGCCGAGGTCTGGCAAGTTGGTTTCGATGAAAAATACACACGTCGTGGTCCTCGAGACCCGTGGTTGGGCAGAGGTTTTGGAAATCAGACAGGTTGCATGGCTCCCTCAGCCAAGGCATCCACCGCGACGACGAGATTTTGGTGCTCCGCATTCCAATGTGTTGAACTGAATGACAGGAGAGTGGTTGTTGAACTGGTTCAGACGGCGGAACGTTTCAGACTTAGGGAATTGGCTGAGACAGCTTACTAGGCAACCCAGTCACATGCTGATAAGGTATTGATAAGCCAACGCCAGAACACACTCCGGCGAGGTGAAAGAGCTTTTTCGCAGACAAACAGCTTTGCTTCGGCGCTGTCATGTCACCAAGATTTCTTCCTCAAGCCTTGCCTAGCAGACAAGGACTCAATGAAAAAAAAAGTGTGTGGTATAGATGCGGCTATACCAGCCTGGTAAAGCACACGTTTTTGCTCCTGGCACTCGTAGGTGAATACGAGAGAATCCAGGTAGCCGTGCGAAAGATCTCAACTCTCGCAGCCGTCGAAAGCGCTCTGTCCAGATGACCTGCTCTGGGAACGGAATCAACAGCCCATTGTCACTCTCTCTGTGCCTTGGTACATGCGCGTGCTGTGCCAGGTTCGTACGGAGAGGTACAAGTCCACAGTCCGCCGAAGCGGCCAGGGCGAGTACATCGCACAAACTCATATAGCGACATGAGAGAATGGCGGCAAGGCGATATGGAGAGACCAAAGGAGCCCAGTGATGCTCACCGAGTGGCGCTGTACTAGCAATGCAGCCCCGATGCAACTTGCAGTTGAACTTCGCCGTAGATAAAAAGAACCCATTGCAGTGACCTGCTGTTGGGAGTTGCCGAGAGCAGTTGTCGTGAGTTGTCGTGAGTTGCCGCCGTAAACTGCTGTGGTGGGTTGCTGTCCATGTTTGGTGAGGAAGGAAAAGAACAGCAGAAGTGGGAGCGGCAGGTTTATATACCCAGAAGGCGGGGCGGCTGCCTGCGCACGTGCCAGCGTTAGTCAGCTCGCGTATATTGGTCCGTGCATTCACTTCCGACTTCACCATCGCGGGCATCCCGCGCCCTGTACGGCAGGGCCAATCGAGCTATAATTGTTGGCTCATTTGCATGTTAACCAAATGAGCGGGCTTCTATAACGTAGAGTTGGTGCCAGCATTGACATAGCCCTCAGATTCTAAGTCCTTCCCCTTCAGTTTGCTCAGTGTCTGAAATAGGTGCATCCGGAAAGTAAAAGCAGACCATTCTTGGTTTAAGGCCTTGGCAGTAGTCCCTCTCCCTGGCGGGGTCCCTCACACCCTCTGAACCTGTACTCTCTCGCCAGCCTGCTCCTTCGACCATCTTTTCCAGTCTAGCCACACACCGACCTTTCCACACGACATCTCACACAGCTCAGCATGGCAGGCCACGCATCCAACATCGCCCCGGCGCATGATTTCGACAACGCTGACGACATCGAGCTAAACGCACGGCTACGAGTTCTCGGGGAAGACAGTCTGCGTCGCGCGTTCGCCCAGCTTGAGAAGGAGAACAAGCGCTTGAAGATCGACAAGTACTACCTCACCAAGGAGAACGGCGAGGGTATCATTGATAGGCGTGCGAGAAAGGACGCCGAGAAGAAGAACAAGCAATTGACCGCTCAGAATAGGGCTCTCAGGAGGGAGAATGAGTCGCTCATTGCCTGGGGGAAGGCGCAGATGAGGGCGGAGGAGAAAGACCTGCTAGCTGCAGCGGACGCGAACGACGGCCCGGGTGAGCCCCCACGGTATCCATACGTTGGGAAACAAAGACCAGTGAGAGGCCTCGACTGCGACATCCGCACAACGCTCGACGTTGCTCAGAATGGGCCCGAGAATTGCATTAAGAAAGGTCAACTCGATGACGACTTGAAGGCCGAGCTAGGCTCAATCAATGAGAATAAGAAAAGGACTCTTGAGCCGATCGAGGAGTAAGTACTGCCAATCCAGCGAGCTCTCAATCCAGACTGATACAGATTAGTCCTTCTCCGCGCCCGATCTCCACACCCCCGACGAAGAAGCGGAAGCTCGACACATCAACGGATACACCACCGGCACAGAAACCTCTCGTCAGATGCTCGCAATGCTACACCCACGGCTTCGAATGCGATCACGGAACTCCCTGCAAAAGCTGCGCGGACCGCGGAGTGCGTTGCAAGCGCAAGCAATGCAAGACATATGATAAGGGGCCCGGTACATGCAAGCGCAGGAATTGCCCGTTCGCTCATCCAGAGGACGGTTATCCGGCAATGGTGAAGATGGGGAGGCTAGTCAAGAGCGATGGACTGTTCCAGCAGCCGAGGATGAAGAAGAAGAATAAGACGGGCAAGAAATAGGGAACTCAGCATGTTGAACAATGAGGGACATATAGAGATATTTCTGAGTTTTCAAATGTCATGCATACATTCATTCATTGAAGGCTATATAAGCGCCTCCCAGTTTCCAAGCCCATTGTCCATCGCCATGATCCATCATCGGGGCCTTCGGCATCCTAAGAAGCATGAAAAACCGATCCGGATGACACCTTGAAGGCCCTCAGGCCACCCTATCCTCCGCCTGCGAACCTCGAGCCCGGAGCGCACGCACTCGCACAAGAGCCTGTTCCTCGGACTCCCAGGCCGCATGGTGGTACGGGCACAGCGGCTCATTGTGATGATCCGATCTGACACATGCAGAGATGACTGGTCGGATAGGCAACTGCATCGTAACCGGTGCTTGGGGAGCGGCGGTGGTCCGGGACGGTCCTTCTCGGTGCGCTTCGTCCCAGCTACGCACTATCGCTTGAACATGGGGTAGAGGATCAATCTTGAGCCTGTCGCATTCATTGCACTTCGCCTCGACGACCTGCATCATAGCCTTGCGCCGCTGGAGAGCCTTGTCCTTCTCGTAGTCCTGCAATCGTTAGTACCAAATCATTCTCTACTTCGTTTGATCGGTCGAAGACCTTCAGGAGGGGCTTTCCCGAATCAAAAGAAATGGACATCTGATTCGCAAGTTACATACCTCAGCAGCCTCGTTCAAGAACTCCTTCAGAACCGAACTCTCGAAGTAGCCTCTGTTGAAGTCGCCGACAGCGGTCATCTGTCGGCTCTCAAAATCCCGCGGGCCTTTGCCGTTCTTTGCGCACATATTAGCATACATCCTAATTCCTGAATAAAGCAGAAGGGGGTTGTAAGCACGCCTCGGTCTTGTCTCTGTCTGTTGGAGGCCTCCAGGAGGGACTTTCCGGAGCCAAACCTCAGGCATGCTCACAAGCGCATTGTATACCCAGGGCAGACATACCTCGAACTCGGTCGCCATCCTAAAGAGATGAAAATAAGGGACGGTATTCCTCATGTGCGGAAGGACAGAATCGAGGTCCATTTTGGTAGGGAAAGGTTGTAGATTTGGGATGCAGAGAAGGAAAGTGGATGACTGGTCGTGGAGTTGGCGTAGGAGTCGATGATGTTGACTGGGTCTGGAGCGCGAGAGAAATGGGAGCGAGCTCGATGGCTTATATACCCCCGTGCGCGTGCGAAGTGTCTCGGGGAAACTTGTCCCCGCCGCAGGCAGCAATAAGGCGCGTGATATCGCGGTGTGGTAGTGAAGGCGGTGGCGGTGAGAGGAACTCGGCGGTCTGTGCCGGGACCCCGTGCCAACGAGATTTGAGCAATTTCCCTTCTGCTGCCTACCCTAGCTCGCGACCCTGCCTGTTCTGGAACACTCGATGGCGCCAAAGCCGTATTGCAACAAGTTTCAGAAGGGTGTATGCAAGGCGGAGCCCTGCCTTTTCCTCCACGAGCCTTCACCGCAAACGCTCGCGAAAAGTGGGGGGCGCAAGGCGGAAGACGGGGAAAGACCAGACAAACGAGACCGCGTTATCGTCGGTGGAAGCCTGCCTTCCGTGCCCACGGGACTGAATTGTGGCTCGAGCGTCAAGGCGGAGGGGGGTTCTCAGGAAAGGGAAAGGTCGGCTCACCGAAGCAATGGTTCGATTTCAATATTTTGCCACTGGCTAACGCGTGCAATTTAGTGCTTCCATCACACGTTCGAGCGTCACCATGGCGCGAGAGACATGCCTGAACTGGCTGAGGGGACTTCGTTGCAAAGAAGAGAACTGCATATTCCTCCACGCGTTTGCAGGCCCAACGACCACATTAAAGCAAGATCATTCAGAGTGAGATGTCCCTCATTCCCTCAAATGGCATCTATCGCTAATTTGGAAGGCCTTCTCCGACATCGAAGCATGCCCTTCACCCGAAAGCACCGAAACGACCCCGACTTTGTCCAAAGCAAGAAGAAGGCAAGCGCTGCAGTGGTCGTACATGCCCGTACGATCATTCTAGAGGCCGTAGGAAACCATTCCGCTTAATGAGGGAGAAGAGAGACGTCGGACACGTTGGCAAAGATGACTCTGACGACGACGCGCCGGACACACATCGAGGGAAGCCTCCAGATAAAAGGATCGGACTCTAGAACAGTCGAAAAGTTCTACTCCTCTCTCCTATCTTCAAAGCTACCTGGCCACAATCTCCGTCACATCATTATGGAAGCGTCTGAGAGGTCTATGAATGAGGGAAAATGAAGGAAGGGAAGTCTTTGAGAGTAGTGGTACGGGTGGGGGAGATAGCGTGTTCCCTTCAGATTCGTTTCTGCACCCATCGCCGAACGAAACTCACAATGAGATACTACCCCACCCTCCTCTTCGTGCTCTCTAACATCCTCCTGGTGCTCTCCCTCGCCCTTTCCAACTCCGACTTCGACTCAGCCAATTCTCTCACTCTTGGAGAATGTTGCGAACACTGCCTCTCACACTACGATATCTGCATCGAAAGTGCCCCCAGCACGACCAGCATGACGAGTGTGCCCGGCGCTATATGTAGGAAGCGGAGAGGGGTTGGGAAGGGCAGATGGATGCGAGGCGTAGAATGCGTGCTTCGGTGGGTGCCGTTTTTGCGTGGGTAGGCCGCGCTTTGGTGTGAGGTGCTAGAGGGGTGGGTGGTGATTGAGGAGTGATTGGGGGCAAGGAAGCGAAGGGAAGATGTTGGAATGCATTGTTTGCGAGCTGGGAGGGGATGGATATTTTGAGTCGGATTGCCAAGGGCATTGAGATGGCGATGTGTTGACAAACGCGGTGGCAGGAGGCGCTAATGAACTCTCTTTCTACACTAGGTGGTATATCTATCTGGGGATAGCGGGAGTGATAATGTGTGATCACCGGTTCTTTTCCCTGCCTCTCGGTGCGTACGCGCTGCGAAGATGCCGATACGGAAATGTAGGGATAGTCTAGGGTGGTCTGCGACTCGCCTCCGTCTCTTGTATATCCGCACAAGCGCTACACGCTCCTCGTCCCTGTATGCCGCAGGTTCATGCCCCCCATCTGGAGAATCATCTCGAATCCTCTCTTCCAACCCCCCTCTCAAGTCTCCAGCAGCTCGCCCCAAAGCACCTTCTGCTCCCTAAACGTCTCATCCTCCAGCACGCCCCTAAACACAACCCCCGCCTCCAGCAACCCCACCCCACCCTCCTCATCCCCCTCGCCATCACCATCCTCACTCCCACTATCATCCCCATCCAACGCATCAAGCACCCTCTCCCCCGCACTCTCCAACTCCTCAATCCTCTCACTAGCCAGCGCCAGCGCCTCCAACAACGCCTCCTCCCTCCCCCTGCCCCCACACTGATGGCTCCTAATCGTAGCCTTTAGTCTCAAGTTCCGCTGCTGCACTTTCCCCTTCGCCCTATCGCTCTTCTTCAGGCGGAGCACCGCGCGATTCGCTTCGTGGAGCTGGTCGACTAGCGCGTCGTGCTTGGATACCACGTCTTTGAAGCGCGTGAGGAGGTTCTTGCCTGCAGCTAGGGCGTCGCCGAGATGGGCGGCGAGGTCCGCGTTGAGGCTCGTCAGGGTGCGGATAGTGCGGGATTGCGATGCTAGGCGCTGGGAGGTGCTGGTGAGAGGGGAGGCTTGCTGTGGGGAGAGGGCGCGCTGGTTGTTGCGGAGGATGGGGGCTGGGGATTGAGCGGGGGAGAGTTCGGATAGCGGGTCGATGTTTGATGTCGAGGTCACGTGGGACGAGTGCGGAGGAGGAGGAGAGAGGGCGTTTCTGAGGCTCTCACTGAGTTCTGAGGACTGTGGAGGGACAGCTTCGGTCGCGGAATCGGAGACGCGGCGTTGGAGTGGCTTCAGGAGGCGGTATTTGATATTGGTGGAGGAGTAACTGCGGCGAAGGGGTCGGGCGCTCGGTGGCACTGCCATTTTGCTGCTTGGGAAAGAATAGGCAACGGACTTTGCGAATAATGGATGTGTAGTGCGTGAGTTGTTCGGCCAGCGAAGAAACAAGGACGTGGTGTTGAGGAGAAAGTAGGTGAGACAAAGAAGGTTGGGTGAACAATGCCTAGTCGCAAGGTACGTCACTGAGTCAAATGCAAGCCGAGCAGGGAATGGGCGGTGTGACCGCGTCGCGCAAAGTCACTTGGAAGGGGAAGCTGGTGAAAGAGATGTAGAGAGAATGCAGGGGCTCAGAGGAACAATGTAACAGCTCCGAATAGAGTGAATGAGGGAGTATTCCCACTACCATCGAACTGCTTTTGCGCTCTATACTCGAAACGGAAAAGGGCCATAAGAATGAATGAGCTTGCCTTATGATGTCATTGGCTCTTCGTGTTTGAAGTAGAGTACTCCACGAACCTCAGCAGGGAGTCGTCATTCACAGCGCCAGTGTCGCGAAGAAGAGGCCAGCCGCGCGCCACCCATCAGCGCCATAACATTGGTGGCAAGAGCCCAGTGCTTTACCCAGATGCTGTCGCAGAAGCTCAGCTAGAAGCAACTCCTCCGGACCCAGTCTTTTGTGGTATAACAGGAAACTCGTACAGCTAGCCATACGTGCCATTGTAACTACCTGCGAAGGCCACCAGCGTGGCTGTTACGTGGGTCGCTTTATCCGGAAAACTCTACATTGTGAGAGCCAGAATTGGTGACCAGGTTGGTGGTTGCGAAAACTGAAAGCTCGGTAATGAGTTCGCTCGAGTTCAACGTCCCTGTAGTGATGTCCTCGCTAATGCCAACACTCCCGCTTTCGGTCATAGTGCACATAAGGCTAGCCATCGTGGAATCACCGCTCCATTTGCAGTCCGCGTCGGCAGTCCAGACAACCGGATTGGGATCGGTGAGGTAGACCTCCCATGTCGAAGCGCCCTGAATGATAGTATATAGTTCGCAGAACGTGTCTTTATCTTCGCTAGTATCCTGGCGGCACAAACGTGCCCTCCAGTGGTATAACCGTGATGGGCGTGAGCTCCAAGTCCCCGCTACTGAGCAATGAGGCACCTGTCGCAGTTAGTGTTGAAGAAGCAATGGGTGATGGGTGAAAACGGCCATCATATAAAGATCTTGTAGGCATGGGTTGACAACTGCTGCCGATGCCCTTTTCTCGTGTTTCTTGCGGATGACGAGCATTATTCGTGCTCTAAATGGCACGAGTGAGGTATAATGATTGGAAGTTAAGAATATCGACTTGTTGTGAACGTCCGCCCCTGGCTAGCCTAAAGCGGACAAGCGCAGTTGCACTCGAAGTCCGGTCATCAGCACCAGAATTTCTCGAACGACGCAACTTTGCAGTTGATGCGAACGGAGAGGGCCGGTACGATACGAGCTGCGCGTTTCCTGTGTTTTGCATCTGATGAGCGTGGGGCACCGATGTTCGAGAGCCGTTGTTGAGCGTTCTCTCGGGAGGGAGGAGTGAATTTCGCGGGCGCCACAAGCACACCGAAGTCCAATTCATCAAAGGGTGAGGCACAGTATGCGGACTTTCATGATGTGCGGTGAAAGGGTGATGATTGTGTGCTGTGCTGTGAGCGACCGCTTCGGAGTGCCGCGGCTCGGCCTTTCGCCCCGCGCCCGACACCGGGAACCCCGACTTTCCACCTTTCACATCCACATCAACACGTCAACATCGTTCCCTTCCACCATCAGTCCATCAACATCAGGCATGGTATGCGTGGAAGCGCACTGCCACCAACCCTTCAGCGCGACGTGATCTTCATTCGCACGACTACAGCGCTTCTGAGCCATAAGTGGTCCTGCGACATGCTTTCTCCCATGTGCGATACCACTTTTGGAGTCACCCGGGGCCGCTTACCCCAATCTCCGCACCTGCGACAAGAGCTACTATCATCATGCTCAGTACCTGCGTTTCGCCGATCTTCTCGTGCTGCTGACCTCGGAGTGAGATAACCGCCCGCCGCCGGACCTCCGTCGTCATCTACGCCCTCGCCCAAGCTGGCCACCCGCACGTGATTACGGACTTCCGTGGCTTACATCCCCGCAAATACGCGTTTCAACTGTCCTGGATTTAGCCCACATACCAAAGTCTCGTCTTCATCAGCGGTCGCGGAATCCTACACGACTTGAACAAGCAATGCAGTGATCACTCAGGGACAGGATCATACCTTGCGCAGATCCACATAATACCACTTTTGGCAGAAGGCAACTTGGCACCTACACTCCGCTCAGCTCTATTGTCGCATTCCGCGTGCATTGGCAGCCGTTTCCATCTGATCTCACTCGCAACCACGACAGCGATACTGTCCCTCTGTGGCCTGCGCGGCAGACCGATCGAGGCACAGCGAATAATGATGCTGGAATCCGGCCGGTCAGCCGGTGCGGAGGGGCCGTGGAGTTCAGGTACAAAAGACGGATGGTTGCCGTCTCCAAGCTCTCCATCAAACGATCAATTCCCCGTCATCTTTTCTTTTGGCAGCTTAGCTTGCCGTCCTTTCTTTTCATTCATTCTTTACATAGCCTAAACCGGCTTCCACATTCATTTCATCCTCACGCTCGTTTTGATTGTCTTAAAAATCTAGGCCCATCATGTTTTTCAACCCTCGTAGCCTCTTCAAAGCAGCTCTCGTTTCTTTCTTCGCCCTCGAAACGTGTGCTTTGGTCCTCCAGCCTATCCCACCCACGGCCACTCCTGGTCCAGCAGTAAAACGGAACAATGCGCCGCCTTCAGTTGATTTGTCCCCAATAGAAGACCCTTGGGTTATGACCCATGGACACGCTTTGAAGCGTGAGGTGGGGGTCGACGTGTCCTTCGATCCCTCTAGCCAAAGCAGTTTCTTCTGGGGCGCATATGGTAAGCTATGCCTTGTACGTTGTAAGGAGAGTCGCTGAGACCCCGTTAGCTGGCGATCACATTTATACAGCAAACTTCACAATGTCAGCACCGGGAGATGACGAGTTCATCTTGCCTGTACAGAACTTTGCGAAGCACCTCAAGTCGTTCAGCTGTGGAAAGCCAGGAGCGCCCATGGTTCTAACGTTCATCAACCAAGCGGCTTTTACGTATGCCCAGAAGCAATGGAAGTGGGTGGACGATCAGGACATCAATCACTTCATTCTAGTTACGGAGGCGAACCAGTGCTACCAGGGCAACGATCGGTCTCCTTGGCTCGTCAGCAGCGTGAAGTTCGATCAACAGAAGCTCATGGCCACCGTAACGGCGCAGGAGAAGGAGTGGCACGAGGTCGCGCGGAACTTCCATCTGCACCTCGGCCATGAATACGTCGACCCAGCGACCGCCAATGTCACACATCCCCATCTGAAACGCTCCGACGGCTCGTCCACCATGGACCTCACCATGTCCGTCAAGCAGAAGCTGTTCGACTTCGCGAAAGACTCTAGCGACACAAAAGGGATGGCTCTGCGTGCTGACGGCGAGATTTCGACCGGAGGCCTTTTGATCGCGGACTTCGATATGGAGACCAGCTGGGGAATCCCACAGGACGTCAATATCAATATTCACCCACAGGGCGCCTGGGGCCAGATTCTGCTCAACATTGACGCTGATGGAACTCTCGGCAAGGCGCTGGACTGGGCCCTTACTCCCGAGATCGAGATCCCTGTTGGTGCCCTCAACATTAAGGGGTTGCTCCAAATTGGCCCCTTTGTGACTTTCGGCGTACACTTCGGATCCTCCGCCCTCCAGGGAACCGGTACCATCACCACGGGTGCAAAGGGCACGCTCAAGGACTCCGCCGAGGTGAAGGTGCAGCTCAAGCACCCCGACCAGAACAGCATCAAGGACTGGGATCCCACCTTCGAGAAGATTGATCCCGCTTTCAGTGCTGAAATTGGAGGAAATTTGAGGACCTGGGGTGAGCTCGGTGTCCAGATCAAAGTTGAGGCTCTTGGACGTAAGTCATCCCTTCGACGTTTCCTGCGAGCGTGTGCTAATTTTCACTAGACTGGGGCTACCAAGCCAGTGTAGATGCCGAACTTCCCTATTTGGAAGCCACCATGGCCGGCAAATTTGACCAGCTCGGCGTCTGCGGCACCCAGAAGACTAAAGGCGTCGACCTCGGCACAAACGTTGGCATCAACGTGAACCTCAACGCCGGTCCCGCCAACGGTTCGCCAGACTTCCGAAAGGATCTCTACGAAACATCGTGGCCGCTCTACACAACCTGCATCGGTGTTGGTGCTGATGATGCAAAGACGCCTGAGCCTACCCCGACTGAAGAGCCGACGCCGACGGATGAGCCGATTGAGACGCCGATTTCTACGGATGCGGGCGAGATCACGACCGACCCAGCTATGCCATTGACGACTGCACCGCCGATGGCGACGGGTACAGGATTGATGGGGACGGCGACGGGGAGCGCGGGATGGCCAGTCACAGCCAATTCGACGTTTTTGAGGATGGCGCAGAGGCGGCCTACTGCGCTGTACTTTTAAGGGGCACGAAGCGTTGTCTTTATGACTGCGTGCGGATATATCAGCTTCCCAGGACATTCAGCTAAGCTGCCGGCAGATTTATCTTCTTCTCGGACTTCGGGCAGGGTTCCATTTGAGGTTGGCGTCTGGTGCAGGTTTTTCATCGCACTTTTGTAATACTCTTCCCGATACTCATCTTCTCTTCGCTATATTGGCTTTTCTATACTTCCTTCGATGAGCGAGCTCATCGCGTTTGTCAATTCGTCTTTTCATTGCTGTCTCTTACATGATGTTATCGTTGACCTCCTTCCAAGACGTTCCAAAGGCTATAAAACTAAGTCCTCCAGATCTCGAACTAGGCTAGACCGGTCACTCCACCCGAAAATACCTGCGCTACCAGCTTTTAGAGATTGAAACACAATCCACATTCCCGCCGATCCCGCGCCTACCTTCAGAAAACATCGTCCCCACCCAGCGCCGCCAAGCTCCCGAACGGGTAAATGGGACAAACAGCCTCAACCCCCCGCTCCGCAAGACCGGCAGGACGGAGAACCCGGGAACTACATCTCGCATCGCGAGGACCCTAATCGAAATCTAATATCGCGCTATTGTTTCAGAGCAATGCGCATATTAGAAAATCGGTCTCGCCAAGCAGCGGCTCATCTGCTTAGATGCTGCGCGTGGCGTCGAGAATACCCGTGGTATATGGCGGGCGTACACGCAGTACTTTGGATCGTGGGTGCGAGGACATGTCAAGACGGTTATTTGGGGGCGCGGCGATGGTCCTGGAATATGGGCGAGCCGAAACCTGGGTACGGTGGAGTGAGGGGTCTGGATCGTGGGTTGGGATATATAGAGATCAGCGGTCGTTTCGTTCGTCCTACGTCGAGTTTCCCAGCATTACTCCCTCGATACCAATTGCCCTAGGGAACAAGAGTAGGAAGCTTCAGGATGCTGTTCAGCTCGCTCGCCACCGCTCTGGCCCTTGCCAGCAGCGCCACTGCAATCCCCACCTTCGCACTCGAAGTGCGTCAAGCCACCACGCTCAACGCCGCCATGGTCGCGCGCGGCCGCGGCTACATCGGGACCTCGCTAACCATCCGCTCCGACAACAGTGAGCAAAACCTCATCAAGGGCGCTGAGTTCGGCTCCATCACGCCGGAAAATGCGATGAAATGGGACGCGACGGAGCCGAATCGCGGCTCGTTCAGCTGGAGTGGCGCCGACCAGATCGCGAACTTCGCAACGCAGAACGGGAAGCAGATGCGGTGTCACACGCTGGTGTGGTACAGCCAATTGCCGAGCTGGGTGAACCAGATCAATAATAACGCGACGTTGATGAGCGTTATGACGAATCATATTCAGCAGGTTATGGGGCGGTACAAAGGGAAATGCACGCATTGGGATGTTGTGAATGAGGGTAAGAAGGCACTAGATACCTCTGCGTCTCTTAAAAGTAGAGGGGAAGTAGAAGGGAACGAAGTGCTGATGCTCGGGCAGCGTTAAACGAAGACGGTACCTACAGAGACAACGTCTTCCTGCGCGTAATCGGCGAGCAATACCTCCCCATCTCCTTCCGCATCGCGGCAGCCGCCGACCCCGCCGCAAAGCTGTACTACAACGACTACAACCTCGAGTACGGCGACGCCAAGCACCAGGGCGCCCTCCGCATCGTCAAGCTGGTGCAGTCGTGGGGCGTCAAGATCGACGGCGTCGGTCTGCAGGGCCACCTGGTCACGGAGAAGACGGGCACGCAGTCCACGCCGACGCCGTCCGTCGACGTGCTCACCAAGGTGCTGCAGGACTATGCGGACCTGGGCGTCGATTCGGCGTACACCGAGGTCGATATCCGGATGAACACGCCGTCGACGGCCGACAAGCTGAAGGTCCAGGCTGCGGCGTATGCGCGCGTTGCGCAGAGCTGCATGAATGTGGCGCGGTGCGTCGGGATTACGCTATGGGTACGTTTTTCGCACTGCGCTCTTCCTTCCGTTGGTTTTGAACACCGTGACTGACTGACTTCCGCGTAGGGCGTGTCCGACAAGTACTCGTGGGTTCCGCAGACCTTCTCCGGCGAGGGCGCGGCGCTGCTCTGGGATAACAACTATGCGAAGAAGCCGGCGTATCAGTCTTTCCTGGATGTCCTGAACGGGAAGAACGCCACTATGACCTAGGCGGCGCCGAAAACTGTTAGGTAGCCTTCAAACTGTACATATAAAATGGGATGCACGTGATTGCTCGCCCAGCGTTCTGACTCTATTTCGTAGTACAATCTGCGACATGCCAATCTCGGGTTCTCCCATCAGAACCTCGATCCTTACATGCATCTCGTCCGGAGATGGGAATTTTTCCCTAGTGCATGACCCTGAGGCTACTAGCTCAGCATAGATTTTAGCTGTTTCGACCGCGATTCCGGAAGAAATCGGGCGTAGTATCCGAGCTTCGGTATGCCGCGAAAGGGCTGAAAGCAGGTGTGGACAGTAGCCTGGAAATGATCGTCGATAGCCGATAGCGCAGTGAGGGTAGGCGAGAGCGGTCCGTCCACATTTTGTGGGGATTCGGCATACCGAATGGCTCCCGGAATTGACTTCCCTCAAGGTCGAACTGCGCGTATATATCCAGCATGTGCGACACCGCGAGCTAGAATTCAAGTCCGAGGAGCGCCGGACGCACCAGTGTGTTAGTGGCCTTATCGTAACGAGAATCTGCACGAGCAGGGCTTCGACGAAGACGGTAGAGGCGAAGAAGACATCAACCGCCACTCTACCTTACTTCCGATTAAGATGATTGTAGCCTTCAGCTTCAGTCCTATGTACCTAGAAATGCTGGTTGCCCTCCATGGGATATGTGAAAGGGCGTCCAGCCTCCAAGAAGAGGGGCATTGGATTGGGAAGACCTGAGATTTGTCAATGGGATTTACGAATCCAGTACAATGCATTAGGCAGCATCAAGGCCGCATACCCATCTCGCTAGTACAATTTGCGTACCCATAAAGCATTAGCAGCTCACCTTGGGGATACGTCGGCATCGGGAGTGGGCCGATTTGGTTGCTAATTCAAGACCGCAGCTATGGGGCTTCTTGATGCATGCAATGCAGATCATGTAAAGGCAGTGGTAGAGTTTCCCCGGCCCTTCCGGGCTTGTAGGCGCCCGCGGACCCAACCGGGATGAGTGACACAACCGCAGGGATCGGATGTAAACGACGCCGCGCCCAAGCCGGCAGTGCTTTCGTGGGGCGTACAGCATGAGAAGAAGGACGAAAGGCAACAGGGCGCAGCGCAAGGGACATCGGATGTCCCAGCCGATCGCCCCATCAATCGACATGAGCGCCTTCAATGTGGTACAGAGGACCGGCTTCGGGAGGTCGGTACTAGAAGGTCGGGGGTCGATCGAGAAAGAGGAAGCTATTGGTACAACAATGCTGTTCAAGTGGCGAAATACTACCCATGTGATCTACCTTTCGAGCATTGTGAGGGACGATGAACGGCTTAGGGTGAGCGGATATCTACCTAGGATGCGGTGTCACATCCCCAGGGCCCGAGATTGCAAGGTGGCCTCGCAGCTCGCGATGCTCTCAGAAACACGAGATGTGCGAGCACCTGATTTAGAGCCGTCGATGGGCCTGAATTTGGTTTGATGAAAAGTGTGACGTGTTGACGGAGAGGGCGGAGTTGGGGGTGGAGAACTGCTTTCGACCTTAAGCTGAACTGAGCTAAGACGGAAATGGCAACTCGCACGTGACTATGTACCGTCCAATAAACCACCTATTGGCCTAGACAATGCCAGTTACAACGTCCTTGGCGATTTGAAGTGCCTTATGTCATTGCTTTCAGCGTCATCTGGATTCCGAAGTAATTGCTATGGACTCTTTCGAAAATTGCAGCGCGTTCCGAAATTCCAACACACAACCCGCACTCCCAAATCCCACACTTACACTCCCATCACCTCATAACTACGCTTCCAGAAAGGAACATCCCTCTCCCCAACCACCACATGACCGCCCCGCCCGTCCGTGATAGGCCGACTCGCTTCAAACCGTTGGATGTCTCTTGTCAATCCCCCTTTGGGAAAGTCAATAAGCGCGCTTCATGGATGAACCTTCAAACGGCACAGCGATCGATAGCAACACACAAAACCTGCTTCAAAGGGAATATTTCCCACGTGAAGACGATGCTTTCGGACGAAAGTGAGTAGAAGCTTTGGTCTAGATAGGAAACGGAGGTTGGTAATTTGAGGTTGGGCAGCCGGGCAGGCAGTGCGGTGGGGCACGTTTGGAGGATGATAAGAGAGGCGGTGGAACGGTGAGCGTGGGGCGAGGGCGGTGCGCAGTTTATTTCTTTTGTGATTGAGATTTTGGAAGACTGGAGAAATGCTTTAGAGTCGTGCTTCGACAATTTCGTGGAGAGCGCAATGTTGGTGGGCCTCCCGTCTGACGTCCTCCTTGGCCTGAGGTGGGGAGCCGACATACACCGAAAGCGACCATTCAGCAATGTATGATAGACCGCAGGCTCCGGTAACTTTTTCGTCTGCGCTATCGTTTAGAAGCCGAGTCAGATTGACTTCACCAAGCGCTCATCGTCGCGTGCCCGCTTTTTGTAGGATTGTCTGGGCGTATTGCGAGTACCTAAGGGAGCTCTCCGAGTGATGAAAACGTGGGAAAATCGAACGCCGCGACCCAACAGCAACCCGGCCACGACCCGCCTACGACCCGCCTTTGCAACGTTCATCAGCCGGTCTGTGCTGAGGCTGCAAAAATTGGATATCTCTTTTGTCTCGGATCGCTCCCATCTTCCCTATCACGGAGTCCACACCCTCGATAACCTCTTCTACAAGACCAGTACTGCCGCATCAGGGCCGGCTCCCAATCAAGTGCGGATGGTGGGCGAAGGGGAATCCGGAACACGAGGAAGAGTGGAGGGTAGTCCAGCGTGTTGACAGGAGTGCGTAGGTGCAACGGGCGAAGAAGGGGAGACTGGCGTCAACCGGCCAAAGACCTGTTCCGTGCACCGACTGGGGGATCAGAACGCCGCGACGGCAGTGCTGCAAACGACAAACCCAGAAGCTCGCACCGCACCCTAGCCATGCCTTTACCCGTCAGCGACTGCGCTTCTCTTCCCCTCTGTCTTCCCGCCGAGCGTGGTGGTGCGCGTTCCCTCCCACACCCCCCGTTGCACGATCCCTCACCCCTCATGTTCGCGCACCGTGCGCAACTTTCCGCATCAGGCAAGTCCAATCAGGCGTCGATCGCTGGAACCACTGCGAACAATGGATAGTGCAGGGATTATACATTGGCGTGCGGTCACGTGTGTTACAGGAGCGCATCGAGGGGTCTTTTTATTGGGTGCTGGGGGCGTGTCGGAGATGAGCGGTGGTGCACGGATCGTGTGGCCCGCCATGCGGCCCGCTGGGCGAGCGGGGTAGCAGGAGAGGGTGTTATGGTTCACACGAACTTTAAGACGCGGCGGGAGGAGGGCTGGGGAAAATAAGAGTGATTATGTTGGCGGCTGACAGGAGCGATGGGGAGAATTGCGCAGGGAATGAGAGAATGACCCCCGCTTTACGTTGCGGGTTGGAGATGACGTGGTTGTTTCACAGGAGTTGGGGATGGGGGCCGAATAAGCAACGACACTGGCCGCACGTTCATGCAGACACGAAGAATAACGTGTCCCACTCCTGCGAACTCTCTACTTCCCTATCCACTAATGCAGCGACCTCGAGGACAATATACATTATCCATAGCCTCTCCAGCGGTGAATCATGGCCATCTCACCCAAACCCCAAATGCTCTGTCCTCTAACTTGAACACATCGAACCAACTTCATCCGTCGCCGGCCGCCCAGTGACCGTCTACCTGAGTATTTTGGCGTGTCCTTCCAGTGGTTCGACTTAGGCCGCCGAGGGACTTTGCCCCGGCTCTATGAGCCCTTCGCAGGGTACGAGATACTCGAAACGCCACAGCCGACCAGCTGCTTGAGAGGGGACCTCTTCGATGGCATCCCCGGCCGTATTGATTTGCGCGACCGTGGTGATATCCTCTAAGGAGATGGGCAAGTATCCTTGCTCTTGAAAGAAGCATGCGAGATCTTGGATAAGTCTTCCAGGTGCATGTATCCTGGCGTTAGGTATTTTCGACTTATCGTTCAGGCTGCATACAATATGATGACTCGAGGTACTTCCTGAGCCATTAAGTAGCTTGCGATTCGGCGATCGATGCATTCGAGCACGGTGAGAGCCTGTGTTCTTGGAACTGATACCAGAGGAACTGACAGCGAACTGCAGCCTCGTCGATATCTGGAAGGAGACGCGGGCGATGTATCTTGTCCATCTCGTCCAAGAGCGGAGAGCAGGTATACTGTCGCCTCGCGAAAGCATTTGGATCGAAGAGTTGCAATTATTTGTGCTTAGCAGTCGAGTGCAAGTCGACAGTACGCAAATTCATCGCGGAGCAGGGGAAGCGCTCAGCCTTCGCCACACTTAGTGTCGTGTCGCAGGCACAGCCATTAGGACCGCTCCTGTGCGAATTAATAATGAGCAAGAAGGGACCGGAGAAAAGTGCTGCAACGCTCGATTTGGGCTTCTGAGGTGTCGCAGTGGGTTGACGGTGCAGAGACACGACATGGAACAAGTGGTACCGCCCCACCAGGTGTCGCAATAATTCGTGTCCGCTTACCTCAGCCACCCCACCATCAACAAACCGTCAAAACATGAACAACAATTATTCGCGATAATACTACTCCACCAAACCAGCCCCGATTTACACGATTATGGCGTCAAACGAAAGCCCTCGAACTCCTGAACAATCCAAAACTCAACCTGAGTACGATACCGGCCACCGTTCGGCGTATTTCTGGCGGCGCGATCATATGAAGGATGGCGAGAAGGTTTCAGATGTTGCAGAAGAGCTGGGCATCCCCGATCGTACTGGAAGAAGATGGATGAGGGAGAGGAAATTAATGGGTACACCAACTGCTAAACGCCGTGTACGAAAGAACAAAGCAGCTTCAAAAGGGAGCAAGCTTGGGAGGCCTTGGTTAATACCCCAGGAAGTACTTGACGAGATGGTAGGCGGCGTGTACGCTCTGCGCTCTAGTAACTTGGCGATTCTGTAACTACAACACTAAGAAAACAGCTTGTATAGACTTTTGTATACATCTCTACAGCCTTACGTACGATAATCATAAGTTTCCTAGCGAAAAACCATGAAAAAACCTTCGTTGTGTGTGGATTTGTATGGGGCGAAGGTTTTGTGTTGGTATGCTGAGGTAAGCGGACACGAATTATTGCGACACCTGGTGGCCCTGGGCCGAAGCTGACATAAGCTGGCTCATCCAATCAAACGTAGGGCAGCTCCGTCCCAACCTCCCAAGAATTTCCCCACCACAACCCCTCTGCCTAACGGCATTTGCACTCATGTCAAAGAAATAATAGAAGCTTGTAGCGGATGACACAGGACTCTAGTCACGCCTTCGACGTCGAACCCCGTCCAACGACGCGTCGCGACACATCCAACAAGACAGCAGCCCAAACAGACCCCCTATAAAATGGCCACGTTCTAGTCTCTCCGCAGCTCCGAGTTCTCCTGAAGATCTCAACACGATGTTTCGGCTTCCACCCTGCCAATGTTCGCGTCGATATGACCCGCAATATGGATACACCCCGGTTACCCCACAGAAACACCATGCAGGCCCATTTACGTAACATCGCAATTCTCGCAGAATATATTTAAGCGTCTTGGTCCCCAATCAACCCTACCTCGAAAGATGATGGCGTTACTTTCCACGTGCTCGCGGCTTTTCATCCACGGGTTTTTGAGTGCCGAGCAGTTCAACCCCTCGAGCAGGATATTGGGTTTCATCTCTTGACAGCTTTTAACGGGCTCCCGATGAGCACGTTAAGACGGAAAGGCTGTTTCTGGTAATTGATTGCTGGATCGAGCAGATATGCTGCCAGTTACGTTCATCTCCCATCTGCCGCTGGCCTCGCAAGCTTTTCTGCTATATTTTTGGCTGACCCCACAGGGCCATTGATGAAATTGGCCGACAATCAAGGCTCTATATAGCAAGCTAGGCCCACTAGAAAGATCGGAGGAGAGCTTCAGGAAGTTTACTAACAATAGGGCCATCGGTCGGTGTACATCATGGCTTGCTCTCGTTTCGTAGACTTCTTAGTCCTTCTTTTCTTTTCGAGCTTTGCGGTCGCGTCATACTTCCCTCACGTCAAACGCCATGTTTCCGAACTTGCCTCGCATTACGACTATATCATCGCCGGTGGCGGCACGTCCGGCCTCACGGTAGCGGACCGCTTGACCGCAGCCTTCCCGGGGCGCTCCGTTCTCGTCGTCGAATATGGCCAGCTTATCAACAGTACCGATGTCCTGCGCCCCGCAGCTACGGTTATGAACCAGCAATATACTTTCCAAATCATCTCCCAGTCAGAACCCGGGTTGAACAACAGGAGCTTTTCAGTGACGGTGGGCAAGATTGTGGGAGGATGTTCTGCGATCAATGCGCAGATGTTTGATCGAGGAAGTGCCGCGGATTATGATGCTTGGGGCGATGTGACGGGGAGCGAGTTCAGGGAGGCGGGATGGACGTGGGATGGGCTGCTGCCGTATTTTAAGAAGGTGAGGAGACTCATATCCGCAGGGCGACATAGAACGCTGAAGAGAATAGAGCGTGACCTTTACGCCCCCGCCAGCAAGCGATGTCGAGAAATACGGGTATACGTACGATGTCGAGGCCGCGTACGGCGGGAACGGCAGTGTCCAAGCGATCTACCCACCATTCCAGTGGCCGAGCGAAAGTACGACGTCTCATGTCACAACTAAAGCTAATTTTCTAACGAGTCATAGAGGTTATGAGAACCGCCTGGGCGGAGCTGGGAGCCACGCCGCAAAAAGAAGCCGCTGGTGGGAAGGCGTACGGTGTCTTCTGGCTGCCCAGCTCGCAAGATCCGAAAACGCAGACGCGCTCATATGCACGAACGGCACACTACGATCCCGTAGCAAGCCGTGGGAATTATCATCTTCTCGTAGGCCACAAGGTCACTGAACTCATATTGGCAGAGACGGACAACGAAGAGAGAGGATTCGAAGCGCAGGGCGTCAAGATCCAACCCGTCGATGGAAAGAATGTGACTACCGTCAGTGTCTTAAGCGATCAGGAAGTCATTCTGGCTGCTGGTGCTATCCATTCTCCGGGTATACTACAGAGGAGCGGCATTGGACCCAAAGACGTTTTGAGTGCTGCCAATATTTCCCTCAAGGTCGAACTGCCGGGTGTAGGCCAGAATTTCCAGGATCATGCGACGACAAGTCTGTTCTACGATAGTGAGTCGACCATTCGTACATATCGGCGTTAGGATGTACTCTGACCTAATTATTAGTGACGAGCGATCTCCCTGGGCCGATGGACATGTTCATGAACCAGACGCTCTATCAGGAAGCTCTACGGCAATACGAGCAGGAACAGAAAGGTATGCCAAGATTCCGCAATTCCCATTCTTCCCTAACATCATCCAAGGTCCTCTAACCCTCAGCGGTGGGAATAGCGGCGCCTTCCTCCCGCTCTCGCTCATCACAAACTCCTCACAAACCATTCTCTCGGCAATCAACTCGCAAGACCCATCTGCCTACCGCCCCAAAGACACTCATCCAACTGTTCTAGAAGGCTACGCAAACCAGCTCGACTCGCTTAAGAAACTACTCTCCTCCAAGGAAGCCGCCGTTTTCGAGTACCCAATTAGTGTCGGCGCGATGATCGCCTTCCTCAAGCCGCTGTCCCGTGGCAGCGTCAACATCGACCCTCTGAACCCGCTCGCCGAGCCTCTCGTCAGCTACCGTACTCTGACGCATCCGGCCGACCTCGCGATGTTTATCCAAGGCATCAAAGTCTTCCGACGTTTGTATACTATGCCCTCGGCGAAAACCCTTGGTCCTGTGGAGCTCTTCCCCGGGCAAATGGTGCAGACGGACGACGACTGGGCCAAGTGGCTGAAGACGAGCATCACGCCGAGCTTCTACCATCCGGTCGGAACAGCGAGCTTGGGTCCGAAGAGCAAGGGAGGTGTCGTGGGGCCGGATTTACGGGTTCACGGCGTGACGAGCTTGAGGGTTGTAGATGCGAGTGTTATGCCGTTGATTCCGGGGACGCATACGAGCTCCACTGTATATGCGGTTGCGGAGAAGGCGGCGGATCTGATTATCAAAGACGGGCAGTGAGGGGCGGATGAGGGGGATAGCGAGTAAGTCGATGATGGAATGAGGTAAGGACCTAGCGCGTGTGCTGTAAGCTTTTCATGTCTGCGAGCGAAAACAGTATAGCCATTTATTTCTCACCTTACATCCCCCACTTCCTTCCGACCACAGGACGCTATGTCTTCTTCCTCAAGCCCCATCCCACGGACGAGTACTCAATGAAAAAAAAATATGGTTGGTATGGATACGGCCATACCGCCTGGTAGAACACATGTTACGCTTCCAGCACTCACCGCCACAGGCGGCGAGAAAATCCAGATAGCCGTGCGAAAGATCTCAACTCTCTTCCCGTCAAAAGCGTTTGACCCCAGTAGTCTTGCGGCTCTGGGAACGGAATCGACAGGCCATTGCCAGTCTCTCTGCGCCTTGGCACATGCGTAAGGGCTGTGCCGCGTTCGTGCGGAGAGGTACCAGTCCGCGCAGGCTGGTACATCACACGAACGCGTTTAGCGCATGGGAGATGACGGAGTGCAGATTTGGAGAGATCGAAAGAGCCCAGTGATGCTCACCGGGTGGCGCCGGATACCAGATACCTGGAGGCAACTTGTAGTTGAACCTCCCATAGGGAGAAAATGAATAGGAAGGAAGGACGGAAGGAGGCTGATGGGTTTAAATACAGGTGCTGGGCCGTGCCCGGTGCAGCTCGCGGTGGGGCCGTGCATTTCACTTTCTTCCGAGGTCGGCATTGCGGCGCAGTTTAACTGACGTAAAGCACAGACATCATGACCAAGGCAGCAGCCGTTCAAAGCCGCTCATTCACCGCGGACCGCGTGGGGTAAATTTTTGGCGCACCGACGCGAAGTTTTGGGAGCGCCAGAAAGTGAATGACTACGTGTACCACGACTGCAAAAATTTCGACCGCTAGGTGTCGCATCCGCAACGCGAGAAGCGATTCCAGGAAATGTGAGAGCAGAAAGCTCTTGGAGTCTTATACTGGGCTAACAGATGGCTGATGACATTGTAGCCAGAGAATGCCTATGAGGGAGTAGACCTACTCATCCTGGCCGTAATGGATTAGCACAAAAGTTTAGCTTCTTCCTCGAAAAGCACCCTACGGGCAACCATTCAATGAAAAAGAGGTGACCAATGGCCCAGACACGAGTTGTGCCCAGTGCATGACATACGGGCATGCACTCCCTAGCTTGAAACGGAATTCCTCCTTGATACGCAGTGCCATCGCAAGTGAACTTGCGCCCGAAGCCATCCATAGAGTGGACGGACGTCTGTCTCGAGGGCCCAGATCCTGACGGTGTGGCGACCTGTCCAAGGGAGGCACCGACTCGCAACAGAGCTCTGGCCATGGCCCACACTGTGAGCTCAACCAGAGGGCTGTGCGGAGGGGGGCGAGCCGAGAGACTCGCCCAAAAGTGATAAAGGCCAGAGGACAAAAGAAAGCAAGAAAGGGGAAAGAAAAAGGAGACTGGCATTGTGGAGGGTCGGGATTGATTGCACACTGTGCTCGGAGTCGAAGGCGGTTGCTGTGAGGTGGTGGTGGGGCTGTGGAGATTAAGAGAGAGGAGGCAGCGGCAGGTTTATATAGGATAGGTGCGCAGACGCTAGTTAGTGAGGTGACCCCGCTCGGACCCTCGTAATCTCTGTTATACCGAAGTTTAGAAAGCGTGGTGAAAGTGACACCACGTGCCAAGATCTTCAGCCAAGATCTTCAGGAACTTCTCCCGGACTGATTCCGTGCGCCCCGGCCGCTCAAGATATAGCTCATCGGATGCTTGGAGGGACATTGCAACTGTAATGGCAGCACCAGTCAGAAATTCAGCATCCGAGGACCGATGGATTGCCACGAAGCTAGACCAGCTCGCTCGACAACCCGACGGTCGCGATACCCGCGACGGCTATCTGGCAATTATCCGCTATGTACAGGCCTCTAACGCACATCTTTATGCCAATATAAGCAGTAACCAACTGGAAATAGCCCAATTGAAGGATACTGTGCGTGGGCAGACACAAACTATTACGGACATGGAAAAACAGCACCAATACACGCTCTCCAAAGTCCACGAGGGGTATTGGAACAAGCTTTGCTACCTCAACAACCATAACGCCGCTTTCGGCATCGAACTTTCAGAAGCCAACCAACAGAATGCCGAATTAAGCCAGAGGAAGAAAGACCTGGAAGTTGAGGCGCAAATGGTTTATCGCTACGGCCTAGAGCACCGAGAGCAAATGGAGAGCTTGATTCGGAAACCATATAAGTCCGGTGCTCGGTGAGTAAGCTACACTCTGGTCATGAATCTACTAACATGTGTAGCGCTTTACACGATGTGTCTCGCTCCGAATCTCCGCCCTCGAAGAAGCGAAAGGTGACGACACTCTCTTCTAAACTCCCTCGCAACCCTGTTCTCTGCACGCAATGCTATGCTCATGGCTACGAATGCGACCATGACAACCGCTGCAAGTCATGCACCGAGAACAAGACTCGCTGCATTCGAATGCAGTGCAGCACCTATGACGCTGGCGCATGTCAATGCAGCAGACAAAATTGCCCATTTGCGCATCCGGAAGATGGTTATACAAATACGGTCAAGGCGGGGCGCGCAGCGAAGAGAGACAAACACCTTCCGCGGGCGGCCAGCAATGTTAGGTGTTGAGTGGAATATGCGGAGACCGCCGATATTCATCACAACTGGGAGGAATCATTCCTCAGATGGGAGTTATGCTGCTTTTCCAATCGTATCTTCGTCTTTCGCTTGCTCGTCCTGCCACTGCATAATCGGCGCCGCCTCATTATCCCCCTGATATATACGGAATGCATGGAATAGTGTTGGTTATATACCTAATATCCAGGAATAGCACGATACGTTCGTATTTTGCTGTTCTTACAAATAGCCCAAATCTTCCACGCTAATAATGCCAGAGATGACGTTTGCCTTCATCTCCACCTTCACCCTCACCATAACTACTGTTGGAGTTCAATCGCCCAGCTATTCCTAATCGGGCACTAGCGCCACAGAGATTTCTGAGATTTCTCGGAGCTATATACACTCAATACAATACACCTCACCCCAATATGCTGTATTCCTCAATTTCCTACTTCAACAACTACCTCGTGTCTTTACTAGCCACAGTTCCCACGATCTCGACGCCAGAGCAACTTGTGGAATATCTCTCTGCCCTTCTGCATTCCGCGAGCCGAATATCCCATTTCGTTGCACAGGGACGTACGTTACTTCCAGCTAAGGATTCGTGCTCGTGGGGGACTTAGGTTAGGTCAGACTATGCCAACCTTCTTTGTCTCTATCCATTAAACGCCTCCAGGATAGCCTATCCGTGCAAGCTTAGATGAAAAAGTTACCAAGGACCATCTCATTAAGCGCCCAACCGCTCAAATCCCGCCATATCCATACTCTATCTACCCATCCGTTAGTACATCCCCACCACTAACTCCGCACGTGCAAAATATCTCCATACCCGCCCGCTACCTACTTACCTACCTGATTACACAACCTCCCTAGTAACCGTCTTAGTAACCATAATGCCCTCCATCCCCGGCCCCCAGCCCGTCCCACTCGTACTCCTGCCCCTTGTGCCCTCTGCACTCCTCCTGCCCTCCAGCTCCCCACTCGCCATGCGCCGCCCGCCAAAGGCCACATCGCCAAAACTTCTCGGCGGCGGCGTCGCCGGACTCGTCGCCCTCGCCCTCCCCCTTTCGTTCTTCAAGCGCTGCTGCTGCATCAAGCCCTCCCATCGATCCGCGCCGGCTGTCGCTTCGACGGCTGTGCGAAAGTCGAGTGGAGACTTAGATCGTACATGCGCGTCCAGCGGGAGCGCCGTCCCCCCCACTCTAGACTGCTCAGATGTAACCCCGAGTTCGAGTTCGATATCCGGCGTCTGCACCACCCCCTTATGCTTCAGAATCTTCTCCGCGCTCTCACCGCTCATACTCGTCTCGCTCCTGCCACTGCCGCCCTTGCACTCCCACTTCATGCCGCGAGCGGCTTCGGCGGCGGACCGCCCTTTTCTGCTGCGGCTCTTGCTGCGGCTACGCGACCAGGCGCGCCCGCGGCCGATGTCGATGTTGTTGCCGTAATGCAGCGAGTTCCCGCGCTCGGACTTGGCGGACGAGGACGAGAAGTATGACGTTATGCCGCGGCCGAGGAAGCGGAACAGCGGGCGCCAGGTGGGCATGCAGGCGGCGAGGATGCCGGCGCTGGCTTCGATGGTGCTGATGGTGGAGATGGGGACGTAGTCCCCTAGTCATGTGGGTCAGCGTCTCTAATTCGAAAAGCTTGACGAAAAAGGGAGGGTAAGGTGGAGGAGGGACTTACACGTCGGATCGACGGTTTCTACGTTTTTGGCGTAGATGAGGCGCACGATGCTGATGATGCAGACGAAGCCGCCGATCAGGAAGAGCGAGCAGATGGAGAAGCGAGTGCGCTTGTCGAGATGCAAGCCCTGAACAACAGGGATGGGGAGGGCGAGGATCCACCAGTCGGTTACAATATTAATGACTCCGAATACAATGATCGCTACGAAGGTCAGTCTCCTTCAGACTCTTCTTTCCGCGATGGTGGAAGCCATCGCCAAGAACAGATCGAATGAAGGAAGGAGATCTTACCAGCCTTGAAATTTATACAAACAACCTTCGACCCCGGCCCAAGTTCCGTCCACAAGCTTTCAATCGGCACGCATTGAAAAATATATACAAAAATCTGCGGAATCGTAAAGAGGAACACAAACAGCGCCGATAGCCACAGCGTTGGCGTGAACCAGCCCGTCGTGCGGTGGAAGATGCGCTTGTAGAGACAGAGGATGGACAGCTTGATGAAGGGGATGGTAAGGTTGTAGAAGGTTTGCGCCGTGAGTGTGACCTGTTGGTCCAATTGTTAGCGAAGAGGATGCATTGTAAGGGTTTATTCGCGTGTGAACTTACCAAGACGAACGTTTTCGGGTTATCCATGAATATGATATGACGCCCGAAACCGTGTTTGGCAGCGACGAGCAGACATGATACGTGCCCGGTTACGCAGACCTACTCCGTCAGAATCAGCTTCTGCCTGCCTTTACTAAGGAAAGTCGAGGCGGCAATTCTATGGTGCCCAAAGGAGAATCGTCCCATCTGCGACCGCTTAATCCGCGATACCAACAAATGCTCTCCGCGATCGCTCTCCTCACACCCACTCTCCTCCCTACGAACGAGACACAACTCACCGCAGCCCCACAAATCAACCAGTCATCCAGCCCCAAATGCGTCCCAATCTTCAACCTACTCATGAACCTCAACCCGACGGACACATACGCAACTACTAAGCAAGCAACATTCGCGCCCACGAGCCATGTCCTCCTATCGTCGTCCGCGTGTGCTTGCATCCACGACAGTTGTTCAGGGCTTGGGTGCGTCATTTTTGTGAGACGTGGTGGGCGTACCGCCCTCTCGTGATGGCAGCGGGGGAAATTCGTGGACGGTGGGAGGTGCGGGTGGCGTAGCCGTGAGGGGCGAGGCGTAGTGAACTATGGCGGTCGACCGATCGGTGGAGGAGATTATGGTCCGCTGCTGGAGTCCGATAGATAATGAGCGAGCGTGATGAAGATTTCCGTCTTCGAATGGGCAGGCTGCGCCAGCGCCGTTGCCGTACTAGAGATTATTCAATCGTGATGTCTATCCTCATTCATACCATCGCATGTGCAAAGACCGCTTTCGAGGAGGGAAAAAGAGAGCGAAAAGAGAGGAAGTTAGAACACCGGGATTCGCTAGGTGTCAGTCTGCCAACCATCGGGACATTACAACCAACAAGGCCATCTGGCGGGATTCAAATTACCAGACGGAGCCTTGCAATCCCGGAGGATTCGCCCAGCGCAGCATATTGCACCGTCGCTCCCTCATTCCTCTCTTCCTGTCAGCTCGAGTAGGAGCCTGCATGTGTCCAGAAAGTCCGGTTGTACAAAGTCACTGAAATTCAAGATAAAATGTAGGGATCGGGACCAATTGCAAGGCTGCGAAGGAGCCTGATGAAGCATCATGATTGGTGATCTCGTGTCAGATTGTGGGTCTGTTCACAAACGTCTCGCTTGAGACCGGGGAACACGTGGAGACAGTCTGTGCGCTGATCGAATATGGTTAGGCATTTGCCCGGTCGGGCCTAGCGTTCGGACTTCAGATCCCTGCACCTGCACATAATCGGGGACTTAATAACCATGTTAAAGCCGACTCTGACGGCGAAACCGATTGCGTCGACTGAGTGTGGGAGAAGTAGTCCAGTGGAGGTGTGCGAAAAGGATTCTGAGCTTGCAGTGAAAAGACGGAGGCGACGCTGAATGTAACAGACGAAAGAATGTAGACCCCTCATGAAGCGCAAGGGGTTCGGAACTGGCACTGAGATAATGAAGGCTGCGCAAGGCGGGTGCAATGAATGGTAAAGGTGCAGCAACAGAACGAAAAAGACGAAGACCTGAAAACCGTACCTCCAACAACAGACTAGTACGGTCGTCCACTCCCCATCGTAGTCCAGAGAATGCCCAGCACTACGCCGCACTCGGGTGGCACGTCCCGGCCCGAGGAATTTTTTCAGGAAAAATCAGCAATGCTTTTTACCGCATCGAGCCGTCCCTCAGTGCATGCGGCGAGGGCTGGCGTTTACAGGGATTGTCAGAAAATGGGGTCGGAAGGTACGGAACGCACCGCCTCAGAATGAAACAATATCCGTTTCTATTGCGCGGCTGCAGATGCGAGTGACCTAGAACACCATACGGTAGTGCAGGCCTTTGGCCGGAAGAAAGAAAGGCGAAAGCGGGCACTGTTACACTACGTGGAGATCTTCAGGTAGGGGTACGGCTGCAGCCGGCGAGGCGTCAGAGTTGCTCACGTGCCGATGCCACCAGATTCCTCTTCGAAGCTACCACGGCCATTTCAGGTCGCACGACGGGTTAAAGGCGCGCGAGCTCGGTATTGCTATGCAGCATTCCGGGCCTTGGCAATGCTACACTCTACAGGAGCATCGAGTGCTGACTGGCGGGGAAAGCTTAGGGAAGCGAGTTCCTAAGCCACTTGGGTTAGATCCAGCCTCCTCGTAACTAGGAAATACGCCCTTACGAGCCGTCCAAATCTCGAATGCTCGCGTATTCGCAAGTAGTATGGAAGAACTGCGAACGGAAAGCGTCCTGGCCGACTGGACTCCTCGAGCTCTGGGTAGAGGGCCATGACTCGTCAGTCCGACTGAGAACAATCGGACGGAGAAAGGCGCACAGGTAGGGACATGGGCTGAGGATAGGAGTCACCCCGTACGGCTACGAGCGGGCGACTTGACTTTGTACTACTGTCAAGCCTGGGATGAACGAAGATGCCATGTTCATCACCCAAGTGTACGACCTGGGTGGCAAGACGATTGGATGGTCGAAGATCTGAATGAATACCGCTCTATTGGGAGAATTAGAAGTCGATAATGGGGCGCAGCAGAACGGGATCAAAGAGTTCATCGCTACAAACCGAAATGGGCAATACGTCCGAGTGAGGATAATTAAGTTTCGAACAGTTGCACAACATTAATGGTTGACGAATGGATGCAGAAAGACGATGACACTGCGGCAGGGAGAGCGTTATAGTCATCTGGATTTCCATAGGACGGCTGCGACATTACGCAGCCGAGCTTGCAGGTATCCGACCTCGCCGTATGGTGAAGCTCGTTGATTCGCATGATGGAGGCTCACCGGGCACTGGCGCACCCGCGCAACGTCGGCGTACCCTACTTTGGCAACTCATAAAGGGTCGATCGCCCATGCATGAAAAGACGGCTCGCGACATCAATATGAATCCGGGAGCGGGGCTTGGCCAACGTGCAGCGTGCCAGTAACTTGCCGAGAACGTGAGTGCGGTATTTGCTAGAGACGAAGACTGCTCAATATAGTACAGTAGTGGTGAGAGGATCAATAAACCAGAAGATCCGGAGGAGCAATGGACAGTAGACCAGACTTAAGGTACGAGTTGCTGAATGAAGCGGTCCGGAACACTGCGTCTATTGCGAGACACGGTCTTGAGGTCCAGGCGCATAGGTCGCAAAGGAGTGAGACGTATAGACGTACCATAGCCCCATTCGGCGACTAGGGCGTCTGCGCAGAGGTTCTTGGGACTTGACTCGCGAGCAGTCAGAGCCTCATGCACGCATATGCCGGCTAAAGAACCCATCCCTTCTTAGTCGCAGGCAGAAGCCCGATAAGCGAGGATGCGGCGACCATGCAATCCATCTACGGCATCTAGGGTATGGTGCGCTTTGAGTAGCAGCAAGGATGGCGGAGAGAAGGTCGAAGGAGGAAGGCAGGGGACCATTATGACTTGAATGCTGAAAGTCATACACGGGCGAAGAAGCTGAGGGTGTCAAACGCCATTTTTGTCTGCAGCTCAGGCATACCCTGGGCAACTCCGCTAAGCGTTCTAGGCACATGCTAATAGAAGCCACGACTGCCCAATATCACAACACCGCCGCCGAGAGGGTATGTGTTGGGTTTGATTTGGGCCCGGAGGCATTGTCGAGGATGTGAAGGGCCTGGTCAGGGCAGGAGGCGAAGGCGACCACTTTTGCGGTCGAAAAGTTCAGTTACTGATGGCATTACCGGTGGCGGGGCGCCTCGTATGCAATGTGATGGATGTTCTTGTGTCACCAAAAGCAATGCTCGATGATATGTACAGTGCCACGCCGCGCGGCATAGGTAAGTGGGACTCGATTCGCGGGGCTAGTCCCGGGCCGTGAGCATGAGGCAGGCGGTATCCCGCAGGATCTGATCGAGGGACGGGAGGAATTGGAGCTCTGGGAGCCTGAGTAGAGCCCACCCGAAACTCTGCACCCGCTTCAAACGAGGCAGCCGCTCTGATCTTCGCCAAACCTACTCTTGCTCTGACCCCGTGGCGGACGTGTTCTCGCATTCCCGACAGTATAATTTGGTTGAATGCTCAGGTATACCAAGTATTCTGTGTTGACAGGTAGCAAAAATTTTTTCCCCTCAGAGATGTGTCACCATGCAGACAGCCACAAACGGTGATGAGGGACCATTCTCGCGCGGGGCGCTGGAAAAGAAAACATGACGGATTCAACCCCACGGCGGGCGCGAGCGGGCTGCCGAGTCAGGGCCGCATGCCCGTCACTAGGGCGGCGACGCGCCGGTTGCAGACTGGTAGGATTGCATTGGCGGTTTGTCGATGTTGCCGGGTCCGCAAGCTGAATGCTGTGATCGGTCAAGGAAGCCAGGAGCGACGGACGGCGAATGGAATGCTGGTCGGCAAACCGAAACCGGACAGGCAGGCGCTGCCGGCTCGCGGAAGGTGGTCCTATTCGGTCCGGCGCTGGAACAGCACGTCGTCAGATTAGCCATCGGTGAGGGTCGAGGCACTGGCCCCAGGGGTTCAGCCCTTTTCGAGCCAAGAGCGCACGTCACACTGGCCAGCACACCTCGTCGCGCCACAGGGCTGTCTCCAGACGCGGACGGTGGACGTCCTGAGTCGTTTCGGGTTCTGGAAGGCCTACAGAGGGCGTGGAGGGTGGCGATGGCCGGGGAAGGGCGAATCACACTCGGCGTCGCGCGCAGCACAGGCGGATGCAGCACAGAATGGGACGTGATAGTTTGAGCGCAGCTGGGTGCGGCATGGCGTGGGTTGCGCCGGGCACGTCGTCGAGAGCGCGAGCGGTGGTGTTGCGGAGGGCGGTGTGCGCAGGAGGACGGACGGGACGGGCGCCGTCTGGCTCAGCAGGCGTTAGCAGCGTCAGAGAGGAAGCGGATTGTCCTGGTCTGTCCCTCAGGGCGCGCGAGGGAGGCACCGCGTCCTGCAACGTGCAGAGGGAGGCTCAACAATATGGATGGCGACTGCCGGGGGCGCAGGCGGGTGCGGTGGAGAGAGCCGCGTCGAGCAGGAGCAGGCGCAGGCCAGGCGCGGCTTCCACAACCAGGCCGTGGCCAGCCTCAGGGGGCAGGCGCGCGCTCACAGCTGCAGGCGCGCCCCGCGTCGCTGCCGTTGTCGTTGCCTGCGCGGCGACAGCGTTGCGTTCGGCGCGCGCAACGTCCTGGCAGGCCCCGCGGCGCACCCCTTCCACGCCCTCCACGGCGGCGTCGCAGCGGGCCGGGCGCGGCGGCTGCGGGCGGTGAGCGCTGGCCCGCGGTGCTGCGGTGCTGCGGTGCTGCGCTGTGCAGTCGCGCGTCGCCGGCCATGCGTTCGACGCGGTGGTTGCGCAGCGCGAGGGCAGTTCGCTCGACGAGTCGTGTCCGCCAGATCAGCCTCCGCCCGGGCCGAAGCCGCCTGGTCCGAGTGCGTCCCCACCTGGCCACCCCCATCCCACCCAATTTCAGCTTTCTGCCCAACCTGTCCCTGCCCCCGCCGCCGCGCTGCCCCGCTAGGCCGCCTCGGGCGTAGGCCCCTCCCATGGCTCAGTCCCGCCGTCTCCCCGGATGCCTTGCATGTCACACGGGGCGCACACGGCATGCAAGATGACATCCCCGCAAATCAAACCCCCCCGACGGCGCCTCTTTCACCGCTAGCGAGACGACACGGAGGGGCCCATGTCGGCCTCCTTGTCTGGTGCCTCTTGTGCACCTCGACGCATCCTTCCTTCGTCCACGCCGCAATTGCGGAGTCGACCGCCCGCGGCATGAGCTCGCCCACGCTCCACCGCGAGACCTCCTCCTTCACCACTCCTGTGCCACCGCACGCTGCCACGCCGCAGCGCTGCCTGCCGCTGCGAATTGCTTCATAATCCGCCCCGGGCCCGCTCGATCGCTGAAGCCTCGCACCCGTTGCCGCCATCGTGAGCATGACGGGCCAGTTGCCCCCTCTCCAGCAACCCTCGCCCACGCCCCTCTCGCAGCCCGACAGCAACAATAGCATGCCGCTGCCCAGTCTTGCACACCTATTCTCGTCGCCCCCATCCACATTCGACTTCGAATATCCACCTGCCACCCAGCCGACCGGCGCTCCGTGTGATTCCGTGCGGCAAGCTCCTAGCGACCGTCCCGATTCCAGTTCCACATCGCTCGCCGCCTTCCACCACCAGCGCGGCGCTTCTGGCGCGCCGTCCAGCTCAGGGCCGTCGTGGACAGCTATCAACCGTCCAACCGACAATTCCAGGTATGTGTACTCCGAGTCTCGACGAAACATGTTCTGAGAGCGCCGTGTTAGCTTGGCGCCGCCTCTGACCAACGGTGACCGCATTGGACCGGCGACACATGATCTCTACCAGCACGCCTCCTCGCCATCAATTGCATCGCCTTCGGCCAATATTGGTAAGGAACAGCAATCCGGTCGAAATTCGCCTCCGCAACATTTGAACAGCGATCCGCTGCACGCGAAAAGATCGGCAAGCGACCGGCGCCAAGACTCGGCCGTTTCCGAATCCGCCGACCATCCCAGGTCGATGATATCGCAAAATCCGACCATTTCTTCAAACGCACAATTTTCCCCCTTCGCTAGCAGCCCAGAGTCCCTTCCTAATCCTTCGCCATCTCGTAGTGCAGCCGGTTATCCGAAGACTCCCCCGTCGCCTGCGCCTTCACCGGTACTATTCTCTGGCTTGGGTGCATCTCGCCCCGCCCCAGCTCGCGCACATTCGACAGGTCGTAGGCAGTGGCTCTCGCCATCTTCTTCCGGTCAACAGCGTCACCTCTCTAAGGCGGAGTCCGGCGCTAATAACCGATACGGCACATCCCGGGAACGAGCCTATTCGGATTCCAGGACCACATCCTCAGCCCTTTCGAATGCGTCGCCGTCAAGCCCCAGGCGAGTAAGATTTGACGACCATTCTGCTGCAGGGATAATGCCGCCCCCTCGAGTCACTTCACACAGTGCGAATGCTCAAACAGTTGTCACCGAGCCCGTTCTCCATTCCTTTACCTCAATCTCACGTCCGGACGTCGCTGTTCCCAACCTTCGTATGAACAATCCGTTTGAGGCAATGAACCGGGACGTAAGTCAAGCTGCGAGCGGGTCATCCGCCATAGCTGCTGCGTCCTCATATCCCATGCCCGACCCTCCATCGGATACAACAGGCACAGACACCTCTCCTGAGCAACATCCCTCTCCTCTACGATGCTCGTACTGCCATGAAGTCTGGACATGCCCACTACCGGATACTAGCTCGATGCCAGGTAGACCTTCTGCAACACTCCAGGAATTCGAAGACGGCATGGAGAATATAAGGAAGAGTCTGGAACACTACCAAGCCCAGCAAGCCTCCAGCTACCAGGATTGGCTGACACGCCATCGCGTCAAACCGAGAGACCCTACGATTATACCGCCCTGCGTCGCTGCACAGCCGGACGCCAGCAAACGCAAGTCTGATATTCCCGCCGACGACGCCGACATGACGTCGAAATTCCGCAAGCTGACGTATGATTCTCCCTCCCCGAAAGCCCACCTATCTACGCCGCCACCCGACATTCCGTCGATTCCTCCGCCGCAAGCATCCTCCGGCTCGCACGCAAAGTATCGGTATGAGACCAGCGAGTACGTATCCGTTCTTATACCTCATCTTTATTAATAAGAGGCTTTTACTAACGGAACTAGTGGTTCTTCCATTCTGGTGAATGAACAGCTGGCTACCATCATGCGCATGTGTGAAAGGCCTCGATACAACTCGCCCCCGAACGATTCTACCAATATGTGGTTCGAGCCGGGGCAAAAGGATAAAAGTAACACTCGAGAAGGAGAGCGGCATGAAAAGCCGAAATCGGAATCTCCACATGAAGGGTCGGAGGAGCCGGGGGCAGAACAGCAGCCGCCGAGACCGTCAGGAGAAGAGACGAAGCCGCAGCAGCCAATATAATATTGACAGTTCTACGAGGGTATCCTTCAATCCTCCATTACTCTAATAGAGAGGCTCTCTTACCCTCATTTTCCCGTTCCAAAGGAAGCCCTAGCGTTTCGATCCCGGCGTCGCGGTCTACAACAGCATATCATATACCCCTTCTCTACCTTCCCCCAAGTATATCGTCTCTGTACTTTTCTATCCACCCATCATCCTGCATATCTATCCGGAGCGACACGGTTTGGGGAAACAGGGGCATCGTAGAAGGAAGGTCTTGCCATCATCTTTTGCACTTCCATCTCCCGCTATCATTATTACCATCACATCCCCGTTTACATCCCGCGTATCACACTGTAACGGTACGAGCCACGCCGAAAATTCGGCTTCTCTATATACCCTAATGCAATCTAATGACATTCACTCTCGATTGCGCATCGATACTATCCTCCCTATGCTCGGCGTGCATTGGTGAAGTCTGTTCTCCATTATCTGCGGGACATGGTCCTATCCCTCACACAGAGCTTATGTCAGCACTCACTGAGCTTCATCACTCGCTCAGGGCATCATGCAGTACGTTGTTCAGTGGGCACGAGGCGCGCGCCCCCTCGAGCGCGCTAATTCATCCCCTGCCCCCCTGCCCCCTGGGCAACAAAAGCCACACTCTCCTTACAGAACGCCCCAGCCTCGCGTTCAAGACATCTACCTGCAGGCGGGCGAGTACCACACTGCACCACACAGCACAACGCAGCACAACGCATGGCAAACACTATCTATCACCACAGATCGCACACCTGCACTATGCGACGGGCTGGATTGGGAAACTAGAAGGAGGGGGGTGCTACGCCACTCACTCTTGACGGTCGAGAGTCGACGCCCGTATATTCAACGAAGGGAAAAAGGGAAGAAGGCAAGGGGAGAAGCCACATGCACGGATCGGATATCAGGGAGAACATGATTGACCCTTCATTGTGCTGTAGGTAGGAGAGAAAAGGCGCCAAGCTAGATAAATCGAAGGAGAGAGATTTCGCCAGCCAGCCACGGTGCTCTGATGGGATGAGATGGGATGGGGGCGTTGGAGGTAACCCACATACCTACCTACCTGTCTGGAAGGAAGAGCATGGCTGGCTGGCTGGCTGACTGGCTGAAGGCAGGAGTGTATATCGTAGTATTTAGCGATGGAGGTAGAGAGGACGGACTCTCCAGGGCTCCATCGAGAGCGCGGGTGCCTAACTCTCGCCCCTGATTGATCGCCAGCATCGTCAGAGTCACATCCTCGATATCTATCCGCGCAGAGCAGAGTCAAGCGAATGGTGACATCCCGCTTCGCCGCCACCATCACCACCACCACCACCACCACCACCACCACCACCACCGCGGCGGGAGAGGGGTGCCTCTGTGTGATGTGCTTGATTGGCGCAGGTGCATGTTGAGGTTTGTATGAAGGCAGGCACCTCGTCACGGAGGAGAGTCCACTAACCTACCTACCTGCTTGCTCCCCGTCTACTCTATTCAGCAACAGCGTCAGATACGTCGGAATGAAATGAAATCAGATGACTTGTCTCGGACCAACCTGACCCTCGGGGCGTGTCAGGACTCTTCCTCCGAAGGCAACTAGCTGCGATTCGATAGCTTCCAGTACCGGTAGTCCGTCTCTCCCGTCTCCGCGGAGACGCATGCATACATATCGAAATAACAAGTCGTACTCTCCGTTCGCGGCGTATCAGGACTCACTCCGAAAGCATGGTGCTGCTCAGTCAGTCAGCCCCGACGTTGTTTGCCTTCGCACCTCGCAAATGAAGGAAAGAAAGAAAGACTTAGCGAATCTCCGGTCGTCGCTCCACCAACCACAGGGCCAAACGACACCTTTCTCAAGCCCATCGTCCCTCATTGCGCCCCTAAAAGCAGCCACGCACATGAAAACCGATCCTGCACCTCTACCTAGCGCGCCCATGACCCGATCCGTGCCGCCACAGCACAGCCAGCCAACCCCAGCGGTCATCCGTCATCCGCAAACCGCGCCTCCGCAGGTTCGCCCGGCTCCCCTTCCGCGCGCTCGCGCATACCGCGATCGCCCATGTGACGGACTCCGGCATCTGCACGAAAAGCCGGGATAGGAAACTTGCGAGGCAGGAGTGCGGCACAAACAGCTGTCAGGTCACGCAGGGGTGAGCGATATGCATGTCAGCGGATAGGATTGGTAGGGCAGGATGGATATTCCATGTGGTGATTCCTCGGGAAAGGGAAGGGAAGGAAAGTAAGCTGAAAACTTCATGGGCGGGCGGGCTCAGCTCAGCACGCGTTTCTGCGTGGGTGAGTGACCCACCCAAGCTGGCGATCGGTGAGCGGATGTCAGAATCCCGCATGGCGTGGCATGGCATGGAATACAAGCAGGATTGTCGCGACGTTGCTGCAGCCAATGGGCATGCTGGGGCGTTACTGCCGATTTTGGAGGATCAGGAAATGCGGGTTGGAAGCGGCCGGAAATGTTGGATGGATGGAGCAAGACACTTGTGCGCCCATGGGACGTTCACAGGGAAGGTGCGCTAGCCTGCCGTTGTTCTCGCTTGCGTAGTGTATTGCCGAAAAAGTCCTTTTGCATGCATGGCCCCGGGGCATGAATTCGACTGGAGTTTTCGCGGAGAACGCCGCATCAGCGCGACGCGTGACGGACGAGGTCACCTAGAAGCTGATGCGGATACCGAGCAATGCAGGCTCCATTCGGGAACTGCGGCAGATGGCTTGCCAATGACGGCTTGATGGTGGGGGAGCTGTACGCGGCGGCTTGTCGAGAGATTGGTCGCGATGGTTATCTCTGATGCAAGCGCCTAGGTAGAATTTCCGTAGCCGACCCGCGTTTGAGGCGAGCATACCGCGAAGGCGAGGCCCAGTACCGTGCCAGCGCTTGGGAATGTGGACTCCTAGAGGCCTAGAGCCCTGGCAATGAAGGATTGACTCGGCTTGAGGGTAGCTGCGGCAACGGTGCATGAACTTGACGCGCTAGAGATATTGTCGTTCGCTTTGACGGTGGCGATTGGGCACTGGGCTGTGATATGGATGTACCCTTGCGTGAGAAGGAAGCGTACCGTTCGTGTGAGCTATTCGCGGTTTCTAGGCATATACGTACCGATCGGTCGGTTTCCAGTACGGCACGGCTGCTTGCTGGACTTCAAGCTCCTGTCATTTGGCTGATGAAGTCGGCCTAGCTGGAATCGCTGATGCACAGCATTAGTAGTAGCAGAGAGATGAATTCACGGAGTTGTCGCTCCAAACCCTGGCGTATTCGCCCACCCGAAAGAGCCTAGTGCAATCGAGTTATTGTTCGTGTACGGGCCGCTCCATGGGAGTGCCCGATGGCGGCACGACGTTCGAGGCTGGACGTAAAGTCGGGACAGCCCAAGGTCTCCAGTCAACCAGCGAGTGAGAAAAAAAAGCAAGAAAGCAGCCATGCCCTGCTGCGCCGCATGAATTCGGCCCGTCGAGTGCGCCTTCCAATCTCCTTGCTTGCAGATCAGCCCGATAGTTTCCCTAAGGTCTGAGGTGCATACTCACTTCAGTGGAAATTTATGGGACCCATTCGAGGTGCCTAATGCATAAAGAGGACGAGTTCCGCCTTCCCCAAATGAACAGGCCAGCATTGTGCGCTTGACGTCGACCATAGCCCCGGCGAAAGCATGCAGGTGGCCGTGACAGTTCTGACAGCAGAGCCCTCTGACCACGTTGCAATATACTCAATGCGAGATGCACGTCGTTTAGGCAACTTCATCATCCGTGCGTATCGCGAGCTGTTCGATCCCGCTTCCCCATCTTGGCGATTGACGATTATTCGTGAGCGGCTCGGGCCAACGTTGACGACATATAACGGCGGGGGTAATGCATATTGAGCCTCCAGTCGTTACCCCGCATCTGTCCGACCTCGAGTCGAGAGAATGCCGGCGATGAGCAGGCATCAAGTCCTACTGCCGGGCCCTAGATTGGATACTCGGGAACGCTGCTCGCCGAGATATCCCCTCATGAGCCAAGGGATCCCCAGGAAATCGCCCTTGACAGTCCGCAAAGAGTAATATCCGCGGGCTATCAGCCCAGGGCTTAGATGCGTGTTAGCGAGATCGGCTAAGGAAAGTGGCGGTGATTGGAGGATTGCCAAAAGCAATATTCGGCAGCGAAAATACGAACAAATTCTCCACCCAGTGCATCTGCATTGGAAGCTCGTTATCCAAAGAGCTGCAGGTCGAGTAGAGCATACCTAGGCACCCAGGTAGCCCAGCGTTCACTCGTCGAGCAGTGAATTTCGACGGAGAAGCGCGTGTTGCATCCATGGGCTAGCCAACCAGAGTTAAACAAAGCCATCAACCGCAGGCAATGATGGGCGACTTGTGGCGTATGCCGGTATATGCGAATTTGCCAGTCTCTTTGCCGACTTCAGGAGAAGCTAGGTTAGGAAGCAGGTCGAAGCCCCTGCTTTGGCTTAGAACCTTGGAAGCTCGATGTACTGCTACTTGGGGCTGACGAAGCGAAGGAGCGGATTGAATACGGCCTCAAGAAGCAAATCCACATCTGCATGCACGTTGACCGCGCTACGATCGGGTAAAACGAAGACTGCCAACTCCTGATACTGAGTGGTAGTGCTGCTGCAGCCCTCCACTTGACAAGCAAGGGTATCCTGGACGAGCACTGCCATACATGCAGGGCAAGCTGCCAAAGCTCCAGAACCATCCGAAGTACCCATTGCACTGGGTCGCACAACTGCACGAGGTATGATTACTGCGGAAGGAGGCCTTAGAGGCAAACTCGATGTGCCCGAGGCGGTGTAGGACTAGGATATACTTTCCAACCGAGGGGCGAACAATCGATATCCTGGTGTAAGACCAGACGCAAGGAATGCCTTCCAGGAGATGGAAGAATTCCAGAAAGCAAACCGCCAATGGAAAGCTGAACTGCAGGTGCGCCAGTGAACCTTGGTGATCTCCCCTGGAATCACCGAGCCAGACGGGTAGTGTCGTGCTGATGCATCGGCGTCATGTCGGACTTGATATCTGCCTTGCATCCTGCTCAGCAGTCGGGACGCGAAGAGGACATGTGCCGAAATAGGCATGTCTCTCCCGGCGCATCTTCCAACGTGTCCAGCCCTTCGCTTTCGCTATCAAGATTAGGTTTCAAGATTCACACCTGCGATGGAACGGGAGCCTGGGACCATGCCAGATCGTGGAGGGTATCCCGTGCGTGTAAGGGATTTGATTCGCTCAGCTTAGCGCAACGTTTGACGCTTTACCAGATGAGAGTAATGTATGCAGCGCTTACGATCCCGTCACCGAGAAATCTGTGTGTTCCTCGGGTTGGCGTCTGGCTCTAGAGCGCCATTAGCATGCGGCGTGATTCGGGCTGCTTCACCTACTTTCATATTATGTGCAGCCTGCACGTCAGTCTTGGGGGATATTTTCTTAGCGCCTCACGCCTGCGGCTTGGCCGTCTTGCAACCCAACGTCTTCTCGCCCGTCAATGAAAATATACACGGATCAAGTGCTCTCGCATGAGAGTGCAACTCAGAAAGAGTGTACTCCGCCAGAGCCACGAAGCGGAGGCCTAGCGATATCGACGTATGATGACTCTATCGGACGTGGGAGCTCGTCGGGACGCCGGTGTCAAAGGGACGAAGATCTCTAGAAAGAATTTCATGAATATTATGAATGAGTGCTCAGTCAATTCACATCAAAAGAGTGGCAAGAAGGGTGAGTGGGAAGAAGACAGACGACCGCGACGCGTTGAGGGGTACTTGTGGGCTCTAATCCCGAAATGGAATAGCCGAAACGCGCTTGTCACGCTGTCAGGTGAGCTCAATTTTCCAACGGTTTCAAGATTTCTATCGACATCCCTTTCTTTGCGCACTGTATAAGTGAAACACCCGTCTGCTCCTCAGGTATCAATAAGGCCTTCGAATCATCTGGGGAAGCGGCGAAACGATCTAGAAACACCCCAAAACCTATCTTTTCATGAGACAGTGCATCGTCGAAACCGAGAGAGATGTGCCTGCGGACTCAAACAAGACACGACATCAAGACCTGAAAGATTGATGCTTCAAAACTGTAATCTTCCATGGGCGGGCGACGTAGGTATATATAAGACCCCCTTCGCCCTTCGTACCTCAGCACCAAAGTCCCCTACTTGTACACATCCAACTTCGCAACCTTCCCGAAACACACACGCATCCGACATTGGAGAACTCATCTGATCGTCAAGATGCAGCCCAGCAACCCCAATACAACCAACCGCCAGACTCCATCAACACCTTCCCAACACTCCATCCTCTTCCCGCCCCAAGATCCATCCTGGAGGCTTCTTCTGCGGCTTCGAATGCTGCAATGATGGCTCCATCTCAATGAACGAATACTGTCCTTCCTGCGGACATAATATGGCGAAGTGCGCTGATTGCAAGCTCGCGTGGGTCTAGGAGTCTGCGAGACTCTAAAGACCGGGGGGAGGAGGAATGGTAAGATGGCAAGAACACAGACAGACAGACGCGGATAGTAAGTTCTATGAAATGAAATACAGAGATACGTAGGTATGAGATAAAACATACGGGTTAGAAGACCCTGCCTTCCCAGTTTCCTACCGCCCAAATCCTCGCCTCTCTTTCCCCTTCATCCCCCTTTCACGCATCCCTCTCAACCCATCACATAACCCCACACCCCAACCCCGCCGCCAGCGGCGCCACGCCCTCATACCTCTCCGCCGTAGCCTCCTCCTCCTTCCGCTGCTCACTCACCGCATACCCGCGCCCATCATACCCCGTGCGCCGCATCAACTCCTCCTCGGAGACATACCGCACGCTGTTTTTCTTGCGCTGCTCGTTCTCCTGTTTGAGCTTCTGCCAGCGGGAGGGTTTCTTGGGCTGGGTCTGTGTGGAGCCTGTGGCTGGAGCTGGAGCTGGAGCTGGTTGGTGGTTAGTAGGTGCGCGGAATTGTTTGCGTGGGGGAAGATGGGCTGGGGGAGGGACCTTTTGCCAGCGGCGGGTGGGATGTGGATGGTGGGTTTGCGGGTTCTGCTGTTCGGCTTGGAGTGCCTGCGTGGGTGTTTCGGGTGGGCTGGGAATATGGTTCGGGGTCCATTCTCAGTAACGGTGGTAGTGATGGGGATTCGTGAGTGGGGTCAGGCATCCCGGCAAGCAAAGGTCTTTATCTAGTATTTAATTGATTGAATGTCTTGGGAGGAGGTGCTGCGCGCTGCGCCACAATCCTTCTCGGATAATGCCCGATGCAGAAAGATGTGTGTGACGCCTCTGGTATAAGTAGGGAAAGATGCGCGAGGGCGTTGGCATGGTGGTGTGTTGTATTTAGAATGGGTCGGGAGGATTTACATGGTGTTTGTAAGCAGTTCGGGGGTGCGGTGGTGCAGCTTGCATGTACGTGCCAGGTGTGTATGCCTGGACGTGGAACTCAGTTTGGTTTCAATGGATGAAATGATCCACATGTTGTAAAACGCGTTCTTGCACCTCTCCTTCCCAATTCCATACTGTCGTACTGCAAATTTCTTCCCACTATCCGTCCCACCACACAAGTCCACCCTTCCATCCCTCCATCGCTCGCTCTCCCCAAAGCTTTCCCCTCCCTCCTACTCTCTCTCCCCGATCGCAAACCCACATGAACCTCCCCAGCCCCCTCGTCATCCTACTTACTTTCTCCACTCCTCCCAGTCCCCTCTGAATCCTAGCCACCTTACCCGTAGCTGAAAAAGCCCCACGTGCTGTTCACATATCAGGGAGACTATCTCGACTGCTTTATCCTCTGCGCGACTGGGGGTAGAGGAAACGTGGGTGGATGTGAGCGAGATGTATGAATGTGCGAGGCAGGTGGTGTGTTTGGAGGTTGATGTAGAAAGGGAAGGAACTAGGGCTGATGTGGGAGTTAAGAATGGTGCTTGGATATTGTGCGGAGTGTTGAGCGGGTAGGGATGAGCGATTGGGCGTTGGGTGGATTCGCATGCAGATAGAGTATAGGGGGAAAGCTGGAATATAGAAATAGGAAAAAAGGAAGCCGAGAGGGGATGGGATGATACGAGCTGTGGGGAAAATGGGTATCGACTCGAAATTCAATGCTTCCACCATTGAACCTAGTGGAGCGAAGGTAGAGAAATCCTTTTACACCTCCACAGGAGAGAATTTGACACCATCTCCTCGTCTAGCATCACAGCCCCTCTATGCCTCCACAGCCGCCCAAAACGCCATCCCCTCACTCCCCTGCCTCACCTTCGCAACCTCCAAACTCGCCGCATCCTCCTGCTGCGCAACATACTTCTGCGCCACCCTAATCCACATCGCCTTCTCCTGCCTACTCGCATCCCTACCCTCCCACACCCATATACTCTTCCCCGCATCCAGCACAAACACATCGCCCCCATCCAAGTCTCCACTCCCAATGCCCCTCCCCTCCTTCACAAGCTCAAACGACAAGCCGCCCTCCGCATCGCTCAGCCTAAACAGCTTCTTCATCTCGCGCTCCGAGGCCGCAGCAACAGGCCGCGGCGCCTTGAACTGCGTCTCCAGTGGATTAACATCCGCGCCGCCCAGGTAGTCGACGAAGACTTTCGACCGCGCTTCAGACTGCGACAGCACCTCGACATCGACATGCTTCGCGACCGTCAAGTCATTGACGACCTGCGCCGCCTTCAGCTTCTCCATCGGCGCACACCGCTTCCCCTGCCAGACAAATATCTTATCCCCCTTATCCAGCACAAACACATCGTCTTCATCCAAGCTCTTCCACGTGGGCTCGACCTCGTGCACGAGAATCGCGTCGCGGCCGCCGGCGGGGCTCTTGAAGATGCGCAGCAGCGTGTCAATGTGCTCGGGTTTCTCGTTCGGCTCGACGTGCGTGAAGCCGGAGCGCACGCCGCCGCGCAGGATGCTGAGGCGCGGGAAGAGCGCGGCGAAGGCGGGCGAGGGCGCGGTCTGCAGCTCGCGGTGCTGGGTCGCGGTGCCGTGCAGGAACTCGTCGAGCTCGACTGTCTTGTATGCCGCTGTGCCTGCCTCGTCCTGCGTCGTGTGCCGGCCTAGCCAGAAGAAGATGTCGTGCACCATCTTGTCTTTCTCTGCGTCGCTGTCGGCTTCGCCATCGCCTTTTTGTTTGCTCTTCACTTTCTCGCTGTGTAGTATGATGTATGAATCCCCTTCGTGGAAGCTGCCGTATTTCTCCTTCGGCCAGGGCACGACTTCGAAGTCTTCAATCCGCCATATGTAGAGCCCCGGCTCTGCGCCGATGACGCCGTTGTTCCACGCTGGCTCGGTAGCCGCCGATTGGTATTTTACTTTGTGATCTATGTCCGAGTTGACCAATTCGACATTCGAATCGCGCCAGTCGTATTCGGTGGGGTGGACGAGGCCTTCGTGAGGTGGCATCGTCGGCGTTCGGTCTGTAGGGGTAGCGGTGCGCGAGGGGCGGGATTGGTAATCCGTCGGTTCTCTAATGATGCGGATCGCTAAGAATATATCGATAAAGATAACGAAAGAGCAATCGGCAGGAGTACACGCTGTAGAGGACGGCTCGGAAGCTTGAAGCTTCGAGCTGAGTGAGCTTGCCTTGCGCCAGGGTCCAGGGCGATCGGCGGGGCACGCCGCCCTGAAACGCCCCGCGTTTGGCCTACGTCACTGCTATTTTTGTCTCCGCTGCAGGCCACGACTGCTTAGAAACGAGCGGAGGTAAACATGTAGCTCCGTTCTACGTGGTGTGTGTGCATTGCAGGACTTTGAAGATGAGATGAGAGGAAGGTCTAAGTTTGAACATATACTAATACACGCGTATCACGCCCTACGCCCAGGTCAGACGCAACCGACGAGGTACGTTGGGCTCCGATAGCAGGGCCGGAGCAAGCCAGGCAGCGCGATACGTAGCTAAGATACGGTAAGTATTATCCTTCGAAGCACCTCTGGGATTCGTACACCAGAATGCCGTCCAATGCGTCGCCAGTCAACCTTTGGGATCCAGCCTTCAACGACGATTCCCCCTGTACACGAAGTGACAGCCGAGCCAGTTTCCATCGAACAGTCATTGCTCAGTAGACGTAGAAGATGGTAGGCTCGTCATCCAACTCGCGAATCACCCTATTCCTCTTCTTCATGATAATCTTCGCCACCCACGCCAGCGCCGCCGTAGCCATGGAGAACCCGGCCGAAGAACCCAGCGCAATCGCATATCGCGGCTCATCAGACTTTGGCCAGAGATACGGCGTCCTGTTTCCTCCGTTAGCTCACCAAACCGCCCGCTTCAAAGCTCCGCTAGAGAACGATAGACGACTCACCAGACGAACGACGCATTCATCACCGTCGTCACAATCCCAATAGCCACAGCCTTCTTCTCCTTCGTCTGCCCGCACGTACTCCCGCACCACCCCAGAACAAGCGAATTCACGCCATATGTACCAACAGTGAAGACCACCATGGATACATAGCGGCCCGCTAGGTCCATGGTTGCGCATGCAGCTACAAACCCCGCCGTAGCCACTGCCTTTGAAATAGTGATATGCCACGTGCGTTCATTGAACCTGCCGCTTGACCACGACACTGCGATCGTGGCAGCTCCCGCAATGAGATACGGCGGGCACGTCAAGACCAGCGTAACCGTCTCGCTAAATCCAAGCGTCTCTACGACGGTAGGAAAAAAGTTCTTGAACCCGTTGGCCGCGAGGTGCATGTGCGCCATCAGCGCGAAGATCCAGACCATGGGGTCCTTGGACGCCTGCTGGAACCCCTTCCACGTCGATGTTTCGCCTCTGTTCTGCACCGTGTCGAGCTCCATGCGGTTCGTCGCGAGCGCGCGCTCATCCTCGCTCAACCACTTCGTGTCGTGCGGAAAGTCAGGAAGGATGAAGAAACCGATGATGGCGACGAGGAAGGTCGTGCCGCCTTGCAGTATGAAAAGCCAACGCCAGCCAGACAGGCCGCCTACATCGTCGAGCCCGAGGAATATGCCTGCGGCGATGAGCCCGGCGAAGGCGGTGGCGAGGATGTTGCCCGTGTAGAGGATGGCGATGCGGGTTGCGACTTCCTTGCGGGTGTAGAAGATGGACAGCAGGTAGACTGCGCCGGGGTAGTAGGGTGCTTCCGTCACGCCGAGGAAGAAGCGCGTGAGTAGGAGGCCTGTGAAGTTTGTTGAGACAGCGGATAAGGCGCTGACGGTTGCCCAGAGCATCATTGCGCACGCCATATATCGACCTGGGAGGATTCTTAGATAGCGAAGGATATCGCCGGCTCATTGAAGTGGCAAACATACTAGGTCGTGTGCGTGTCAAAAACATATTGGAGGGAATCTGGCCGAGCAAGTAACCCACAAAGAGAATCGAAACACACGTCTGATACTGTGTGCTGCTGAGATTGAGATCCTCTTCGAGCTCGTTCAGCCGAGCCAGCGCGATGGCGTTTCGGTCGAGGTAGTTGAGCCAGTACATGCTCCAGAGCATGGGCTACGAACTGTTAGCCGAGCAGACTGGTTTGAGGCTTGATCATGCACTAACCATGATCCACCAGTCCAGCTTCTTCACCAAGGCAATCTCGCGAGAATCGATTTTCTAGACTGCATTAGAAGGCTTGGAGGAAGGAGAATGGGTAGGACGAGCCTCATGAGCACCCGAGTAGTCTCGCCTCTCCACCACCGGGATGGGCTTTCTGATGTCGTTCGTAGGGTGCCTCTCAATCACGAGGACTTCCCGCTTTGTGTCGGCAAATGCCATTGGGCAAGGAGCAAAATTGAGACGAGATTCGGGTAAGGGAGGAAGGGGTTTCATGGGTCGGTAGCCAAAGACCTGGTTCCCTGGGGAGCAGCATTGAGATGAAGCCGGTACGCATTTATATCTTCTTCTCCTTACTCTGTACGACGTGTAGGGCCGCCAACGTTGAGTTGGTACCCCATCCAAAAAGGAAGGTGTCGCCAGCAAAAGGGTCGACGGCATACCAACAGCAGACCCAAGAGTACACAAGACAGCACGTCAGGACGCTTCTCCCGGCCGCGCTGAAGAACTGAGGCACTTATAAGGAGGAGGAATCGCTCTTGATCGAATAAAGTCGGGTCCTTGAAGTGACGCTGCCTTCACCCCCCACAAATGCGGCCTACCACAGAGCATTATTCCGCCTCTGGGCAGGTACTAGTGCGGATGTAGCCTTCGAAACTGTATACCTCCAGAGCTTGGTGTCAGGGGCGTTCAACTAATGGTCATCGAAATTGTGGACTGGTTCTTAGCGGCCTGCCACACTAGTAACGACCCCTCACTGTCTAAGAAAATTAAGTGGTGGTATTTCCTGCGTTCCGATGCTGTGCTACTCTTGCCCTCACTCAACACCATTTCCCGCACTCGCACCCTCACTCACTTTTCATGGCTATGCGCGAAAGGCGAAGAAGGCGGTGAACAAGTCATATCTCTTATCATCCCAGTGTCGAGCTTCCCAAGCACCCAGAAATCTTCAGATGTTCCAGGCTCAAGGCGATCTGCATGTGGGGAAACCTTGGGACCTGGGGTTGTTGCAGTTCCGCGGGGAACTCATATATTTCGAGCTTCGGTAAGCCGTCTCATTTTCGTCGGGACGGGCTCCGCGGCAAGCCGTGTCGGTTGGCTAGACTTTGCGCGACTTATCATGTGCCGGTCTCTTACCTAGCGTTGAGCCAACAATGTTGGCTGTTCTGGCGCTTCCCCGGTGCCTAGTCTTGAGGTTGAGTTAAAGGTCTGATAGGTGGTTGCGTACCCAATTATTAACGTTGGCGATCCAAAGCTTAAACGGGCCGTTTCTTGGACTCGGCCGCTGGTCACGCCCATGACAACGTCCAAGGCGCCGAAACCGTAGAACTACGAAGATAAACACGTACTTGATGAACCTGGAGCCATTGTTAGTAGAGTTGTCTTTTGCGAGTCCCTCATGGTGGTCATTTGAATGTTGCGCGTTGGCTGGCCCCGTCCAAGCCTTCGAACCATCTCCTACCTTTGCAACAATGAATATGAACCGCAATATCGCGGACCAGAACTAGTGCTGGAAGCCGGTACTATGGTTGATTCTCGAAACCTGGAGTGCATCAGACATCGGCTTTTCCTCGAGGCAATGCGGACCTCGGGCGATGACTGCAAGGTGGGCGCGTGCAGCAGTGCCACACCCCTCGTGCTCTGTCGCCAGTATAGCCACTGAAAGGATTTGTGATGTGGCGTGTGTAGGTCTCGGCCGGCTGAGCGTAATGTTGTATGAATTTGGTAGCCGGGTGAGGGTCTATGAGGATGCGGCGAGGCGAAGATGGAGCATGGTATGAGGATTATTAACCTATTAGGTTATGGACTTCTCCAAAGCGATACAGCCATTCGTTGAGCTCCTTCTGCAGGCACGAACTGATGAGCTTGATAGTCATTAGTTAGTCAATGAGGGGCATAGTTCGAGTGCGTAGCTCGTGCATTATGCCTTAGGCGAGCATCTGTTCGCTGGGATGAAGGATGACGGGCTGCAAGTGTGGCCGGTAGAACACGTTGTGGCGCAGCTTGCTTCCCTGGCACCCTGACGATATAGGTCAGCGGTCGCATGGAGGACATGAGACGAACGCGAAGGTTGTATCTGTACAGAATAAGGCATCCAACAGCGTCGGAGGAATAGTTTGTTGGATTATCCGGATCGGACCAGTCGTTTCGCCTGCGTTTCCCCGATCTGACTAGTCGTTGGTGCATCTATGCGGCACTGCCGACGCCACAGCGTTGTAAGGCTCGAGCTTCATCGGTGAGCCTGCCCAGTGCATGGGACGCACCCCGCTCCTATCCAGAGTCCTCGTCTCGAAAGAGCGGCGTATCATATAGGGAAGGCTGATTTTGCGGCCGCAGAGCATCATACCAAGCTTTCTGCACGGAATCCAGCTGGAAGGAACACCGACGCCGACCGTGTGAGGCTCTGCACGATCCGCCTGATGTCAGATCTGTCGCTTCGGCCGTATGCGTGCTTGGGGTGAGAAACAACCGTCGACTGCTAGCTCGAAAACCGCGATCGCGATCCATGCAGCTATAGCGACTCGATAGCAGCGTAGAAAAATTGGTGTAGCGAGGGGAGTAGTTGGATAATCGGGGGCGAATTTGCGTCCAATCTCTTCTCTCAGACTCGCGGAATGGCTTTGTTGGTTTTTGTTGGCAATGTTGCGCAGAAGCAACGAGAGTGCTCATGCGACGGGTCAAGCTCCGGCGCTACGCATCGCTTTCCGTATCGGGGCTATCGCAATACCGTCACACGCTGTAGGTCGCTCTGTCGCTCTTTGCGCAGCCAATTGGAAACAACGCGCTTTCAAAAGGGGTGGCGGAGGCCACGGCATCTTATGGCGTGTTCAAGGTTGCGGAAGGGTAGAGTGGACCCAAGGCTAAATTCTGTGCCGCATTGTTGCAGCGGCCCAGCATGCCTTCGGTGTCCGCAAGGGGTGGCCAGCAGCGGGTCACTCTACGCCTGTAGCGCCCAGAGTTTCGAAGAGAAGCATCCGAGAAGTCCCCGTCCGCATAGCGGGGCGTAGACTAATGAATCGTTGCAGGCTGCTGATAGCAGCGCAGAGAGGACGTGGCGGCGGGACAGTGCCCGTGGGGCTGAGTCGAAAGAGAAGACGGCGGAGAAGGGCAGGAGCGTAGGTCTGAGTGGCTCGGCTGTCCCAAAGGCAGCGCGTCGTGCATGATGGAGATGGATTCCGAGCGGTTGGCGATGGAAATCGGTCCCAGGGTGGATGAGATGGATGGGTGCGAGCCTGAGGGACAGCCTTGCGGGCGGCGCTATCCCCTTTCGGGCCGGCCCACACCCAGCGTCCGTTGCACCTTCCTTTCCCCAACCTTAACCTTAATCAAACCTCCTCTGAGCGTCCGACACGTCCACCTGTCATCGCCGTCGCCATCGCCCAGCTTCGTTCACCGCCTCCGACCGACTCGTTGCTGCGTCTGAGATGCGGTGGACCGGACGCTCTCGCCCGGCTCCGCATGATTGCCGAGCCGCAGCGGAGCTACCGACCGACCGCACCAGTGCCGTCGCATTTCGTCCAGCTGAGGGTCGATGACGTTGTCGGCTTGCGATGGACGTTCTCTATGAGGGCTTACCTATCAGCCTTGGCCGCCTAAACTCAACCCGGATGCGCAGTAATGAGGTGATTGCGTTCAGGTCGAGGACATTATGTGCCGTTCCGGCTGCGGACCAGCACAACCTCCCGTCCTCACCAGTTCTCCCTAGGCGGGGATCATGTCTCCAAGTCCACATGTCATCAAGGCTTATGCCTTTGACTCAGACGAGCGACATGGGCGTAAATCGGACGTGGTTCTCCCCCCGGAGGCGAATCTCGACCGACTAGAGCCTAGAAAGTCTGCCTCAGTCTATTTGTCCAGCTCGAAATCTTTGCCGGGTCGCATTTCGAATCAGTCGCCCAATCTAGCAGGGCATGTTCTATAACAGTACCTGCTTAGTTAAGGCTCATTCGTCAGGAGAGCCAAGGCCCAAATTACTCGGCAGAATGGCGACTTTGGGGTCCAAGCAAGCTTGGGGACACACCGTTATTTTTTTTCTCGCTACGAGCAGATTGCCGGTTCCAACAAGCTCTCTCTGGCGATCGTGGTCTCCCACGCTTAGCTGTACCACACAGTGGGGATAACATCCTCGCCCACAGCAGATCGATTTAGCTGGACGCTCGTCCGGCCGACAACTTTGTCCGACTCCATATCCGTACGCCGTTTGCGCGTTACCTCGTTTTGTGAAGAGCTATAAGGCGAGCTTGCAGAATGCTCATTCAACATGACATCAACAACGGCTTTGAAAGTAAGGCTGAATTCGCGGTGTTCGGAAAGACGTGCGAGTGATAGCGACTTTGGTCCGGGCACTCTTACACGGCTGGTAAGTGCGCGTTTTTTTCCGGACTAGCCTAGTCGACTGATCTAGTTGCTTGTGCTTTGTTACGCGAAAGTGTTGGGCTTATACCTAAAATAGTGGATCTTGCTGCCGGGCGTAACTCAGCCTGACCGCGGGCGCTTCAGTCACGTGAACCCCGTTTCAGCGTCCCTCATTCGCACGAGAATTGGTCGACGAATACCTGTTGCATGTCCACTCAGCATACATCAACGTACAAATTTCTTTCGTAATTCGCGCGAGTTACACAGTCGACAGTCCTGAACCGCACTACTTTCCATTTTGGAAAGCCACCATTGGCCTCACATCCTTCTACTAGCAAGAACGATACCACTAAGGACAACACCATGGCATCAAGATACGACGGCCGAGGAGATGCCCCGACCATTACTCGTCGCCGACACGTGTTAGCCTGTGCGAGATGCAGAGCGAGGCGTGTCAAATGCGATCGCGCTCAGCCGACATGTTCAAACTGCGCTAAAGTCGGTGCCTTGTGCCAGCCGGTCCAGCAATCGACGCCACCCCATGCTCTTATACCGTCCCGTACGAGCAGCCGCGAACCGATCGAGCAGAACCGTCTCTCTAAACTGGAGGAAGAAGTTGCACGAATATCTCGAGAAGTTGAAAGCAAGTCGCCATCTCGCGAACCCTCCCTCACCCCTTCCCCAGTTGAGGCCAGTGAAAGCAGGGCCCATATTGCTCAAGGGAGGTTGCTGAAGGGTCCGGTCACGAGTTATCTTAGTCCTTTTTCATGGGCGGCGGCGGCCGAAGAGGTGGGTGAAGGACCCGAATCGTTCCATAGCCGAAACCGACTTACCTACAATAGGTCCTCGATCTCGATGCAATGCTTGCGGATGATTCCTCCGTGGTCAGTGAATTGGAGTCCACTATTCCGGATATTGCAGTGGGCGAAGGCCTGTTGACAGTCGTGGACGAACCACTACACGAGATGCTTCTTGGTATCTTCAGTCACCGAGTGGACCCCCTGGTCCGTATCATGCACTGGCCTTCCTTTCTGAGGCGATGCCGCGCCCTTTGGCAGACTAGGCACCGGCAAATTCAGAGGAATCCTAGGTCCCATCACACGAGTCCTTACCTCTCGGCCAGGGCCTTCGACCCATCCCACCAAAGGTCATATGTCGACCCTTCTCTCGTGGCCTCTCAAGTTCACGGGCTATCCGCGGATTACAAAAGAGATGATTCTGCCTTTCTGGCCCTTCTTTGTTCCGTATACTATGCTGCTGTAATCTCCGTCATCAACAGCCCAAACCCGCCAAACCTGGGTCCTAACGTCAACATCGTTGATCTTCTGGGAACTCTACGCACAGAAGTCTCTGGGAGGGTCATGTCAGTAGAAGCGCAGCTTCCGCGGTCAGAGTCGCTAGAGATGCTCCAAGCAATGATCCTATATCTGGTGCGTTCTGCCACACTTGGACCCAACCCTTATTCCTGACTAACGCAACCTCGAAGTCTGTAGACAGCATCGCTTCTGACCCACATCTCAAGTGGGTGCAGGTCGGTGTGGCTATTCGGATGGCTAAAGGGCTGGGTGTTCATCGCGATGGCTCACACTTCGCCCTTCGGCCCATTGAGATCGAGACACGACGTCGCTTATGGGCACATCTCTGCATACTCGATGTTAGAATCGCTGAGCAGCTATGCCGCGAACCTACGATTACCCCAGACTCCTACGACACCGCTTTGCCTTTGAGCATCAGCGATCAGGACTTGGCCGACATCGACCAGCAGAGCAACACATCCGGGAACGATGGTGAAAGGAACTTTAAAAGCCTGCAGGAGGTTGAGCAAGCGCAAGAGCACCACACACCATTCTCGCCGCTAACACTTCTATTGATCGAAAGCGAGATTGCAAAACTACAGCAGCAACTCCTTTGTTTCCACTATCGCTCTGGAGATATACATTTTCGACAAGATCCGCCCGGCGCGTCAAACCGACTAGCCAGTCTCATATCCTCCGCTGACAGGGCACTGGCTCAGTGGCCCGACCGGCTCGAATCGCGGTTTGAATCGAAGTACAACATAAGCGATCTAGAAATTTCCGATCCTATACAGTATCTGGCCTCAGAATTATGCCATATCAATGTCGCAAAAGCGAAGTTTGTTGCAAAATTAACGCAGTGGAAAGATATATCAGGTAGCACACCGGACCCCACGAAGGGCTCCGAGATTGTCAGGTATGTTTGTTTCACCTTGGCATTTGAGCCTTCAGGCCTTCTGCCTCAACGATGTTGCTTGGCCGTGGCCTGTTTAGGAGCACGTATTTAAAATAGATGGAGAGTTCCACTAACTTTCTCAGGACCTTCCACGAGGCGCTCTTCTTGTCCACTCGTTGCACCGCTCTTACGCACCAATACTCGGGTTCTATCTACGGTTGGTTCACGAATCGCATACGGGAAATTTACTCTTCTTCATTCCTTGTCCTGGTTCTTGCCTCCGGCCAGCTCTTAAGTCAAGAGGATACGAATGCTGCTTGGGCAGTTCTAGACCAGCTCTTTCCGGTGGATGCCACTGGCCAGTTGATGGAACATGGATTATCGCACACCTTATTCGGCAGAGTGTTTCCACGAGCTAGAATGAAGAGGGGGCTACAAGTATATGCCCCTCGCACCCATCAACTTAGGGATCAAGCCATGCATGCCGCTGCCGGAGAGGGATTTCCGACCAACCTGGCTGCGCATACTCCAGTGACCTCAACTACGAACCTTGGAAACACCGGCGCCTTTCAGTCCTCCGGCAACCTCTTTGAGGATCTGGATGCACTCATGCAAGATCCCATGTGGCCTAGTGGGCTAGGGGGAATCGACCATAACTATTGGGTATGAATTCTCTTGCTTTTTGCGCTGAATATCATCCGTTCTTGCAGTCTATCTTCTCTTGTCAATTCATTCTTCCTCTTCTCTGTATTTCTGGTGCTGGCTAGTAACCTTGTTCCCAAAAACAGCATGGCGAATGATCTGCCGGTCGCAGGAAGGCACCGGCATGATCACATGTACTCATCTTCCTTGCTTCCACCTTGTTCCTTTTCACCTCTCGGGCGATCTTCTTATGCTTTGCAGAACGCTGCCTAATTAACCAGTCGTCAGTCCAGTCCGTCGATACCGCATTCTGTACACAACCTCCCCTCGCGTTCTCACTCGCAGCCATTTGAACCGTCACTGCCCTATCACCGTCAGATACCGCAACACAAGCATTCGAACGTTCCGCAATCGTTTACGAACAGTCCGCAACTTCGTAACTCTGCATCCGCAAGTCCGGCTCTGGACCCAAACAAATTGGAGCATCAAGTCTCACCGCACATAGTCCCAGCGACAGCGATGAACCCAAGGACACTACACACACAGAGTTTGTTTTCAAGTAGCGTCTCGCACACAAACCACAACAGACAAGCCACAAGTCCATTCTTGCAGAGTCCGCAGACGCCCTCCACGAGAACGTGGCCGGTACAGCAGGATCGTCTACAGGTCCCACCCCGGCACACTCGACACCGGTCCGCATCCCAGCCGCTACAAGAGAGTTTTTCAAGGCCCGGATCTGGGGGTGGTATGAAGAGGAGATCAACGTCCAACATTAGCTGGGGTGGAGAATGCATGTAACAGTTAGTAACTGATAACGATATCGTACAGAGCGACACTCTCGGGGTGTCCTCCACATTATAGCATTTGAACCACGCCTGTGGTGGCTCACCGAGCTGTAACGATACGCGCCTCTCGAAGGCAGAAGACCAACTTCTTGGCTAGATATATGCTACAAGAAGTCACATCTCGCTAGCATGTACAGGAGTCACAGGGATGGTGCTCAGCTGGAGGGTCCGAAGCAGTGAGAATTCGTGTTCGGCCTTGGACTTGCTGCGGAAAGGCCAACATCATGCATATGCAGCGAAGGGAAGAAACAGAAATGAGCATAGTTCCGAATTGCTTTGTAAATCTCATTGGAGCCGAACAACATCTCCAATAATGCCCGCTGCACCGCCGCATTACGCTACACTACCTTCTCCACCTGACTCGCACACAGTCTCTTAGACCTTCTGCTCCACAACGCTCTCCTCAGCCTTCACGCTTCCCTCTCCCTCGCTAGGGCTCAAGCTGCCACTGCCGACCGCTAACTTCTCATTGTAGAGCTCGTTCATATGCTCCAGGCTACGACCTCGGCTCTCGCGCAGGAAGAAGTAGACATACGGAAAGCCGATGACGTTGAAGACGGCAAACCAGATCCAGATTTTCCAACCCACGTTCGCGAAGCCGATTGGGCCGGCATACACTGTTAGGAAGGCCATGAGCCATTGTGCCGACATACCGAGGCCAACACCCGTGTGGCGGTGGCGGAGAGGCATGGTCTCAGAGATGTAGATGTACTGCGCAGGTCAGTCAGATTGCACTTGAAAGAGTCAAGGCATGAGGTGTACTTACCGGCTGAGGAGCCCAAGTAGGACTGAAGACTAGGATCCATCCGAAAAGCATTGCCGCAGCGGCGGAGCTCGTCGCCTTAGTGCCGGCCGCTAAAAGTCCAACAAAGGCGATCATGAAGACAGATTGCAGAGCGGAGCCCCAAAGAAGCCATTTCCTCCGTCCACCCTTCTCGCAGAAGATGGAACCGACGAAGGCGCCGATAGCCAAAAGCGTAGTCGCTGCACCAGAGCACACGGAAGCCGTAGTTGCCGGCAACCCGATGTACACCTGGAAGATGGTCGTCATATAGTAGAAGATCATGTTGATTCCCATGAGGTACGCGACCCCAACAAGTACAACACCATCCCTAATCCTTGTCGCAGCCTTGGTCTCTGACCGATCATAGAAGAAGTCGGTAAACCGCAACGTCTCACCAACCTCCTGCTTCAGCTCCGTCTGGATCTCGTTCGCCACCTTGTCCGCAAGCGTGTTGTCCTCGTAGATCTGCTGCAGCACAATCTTGCCCTCGTCAGGCCGGTTCTGGAGGAAGTACCAGCGCGGCGAGTCTGCGTTGGGAAAGCACAAGATGATGCAGAGAAGGGACCAGATGATTTGCATGGCGACGGGGAGGCGCCAGACGACTTGGCCCGTGGCGTATGTAAAACCGAAATCGATCCAGTAGGCGCAGGCGGTGCCGACGCAGGCGAAGCCCATCAGGATGCCCACGAGGGGACCGCGTTGCTTGACGGTACCAGTGGTTTCAGCGACGTAGACTGGGCCAGTGGAGACGACGAAGCCATTTCCGACACCGATGAGGACACGGCCGGCAATGAGTTGGCCAACCGAGTAGGAGGATGCTGAGATGATTGTGCCGATAATTTGAACAGCAGCTCCCGCCATAACCCAGATTCGGCGACCGACGCGATCACTCCAGGGTGAGGCTGCGGTTACACATCCGAGCCATGATGCAAGGAGGAAGGACGCTACGATCATGGCGGTTGTGGTTGCATCCGGTGCCTGAGGTTACAGTCAGCTGACTTCATCGCGTTGAGGTATCAGAGGGACCGAAGTACCTTCATGGCGGACTGAAAGGACTTCGTAAGAAGCACACCTCCCAGAACACCGGCGTCCCATCCGTAGGACATGAAGCCCATGCGGACGCCCCAAAGGACGAGCGTAGGATTCAGCTTCATCGGCATATTGAACAGAGACCCTCAGGCTGAGCTGCTCCGGTGGTACAAGGTGAAGGCGGGTAAACCAAACGGTGATACAGTCCCAGCAGGCAGGACAAGACGCAAGATCTTCTGCAACAGGAGTCACACAAGTCCCCGACCCGACAGAAGTAAAGTAAAGCAAGAAGCCGATGCGGAGAAGACCACAAACAGACCTCGGGAACCTGTTGTCTCGATGAAACAGTTGGGATGCAGAAGCCCTGGGAGAAGGAACGCAGGGAACGGCGCAACAACGTGGGAATTTAAGCAAGATGAAAGGACTGGATGCCCTCCTCAACAACCGTCTCCAGGGGGCTTCCCATGGCTAGACGGCTCGCATGTGCATGGCTGCACGGGGCTTGGGTCTGGTATCCCAATCTCCTCTTCGAGCATGCTGAGCTATGACGGATTCGTGCGTGGCGAGGGAAATCTCATATCGGCTCACCGACCTGAGAGACGGGAGCCCTCGTTCTCCGAGTCAGGGTTGCGATGAACCAATCCGTGAATAAGAGATATGCAAACAGGAGAATCAGCACCGAGAGGAGATACGACAGAGATTTTGCTATGCTAGCGCACAGGCATGGTGTTGAACAACGCTAGTGGCTGGTTCAGGCGTCCTGGATCAGCTCCTCGCATTCTCTTTGCAGTCTGACACATGCAACCCTTTCTTTTTCTCCAGACTTGGCTGGTCCCCAGCGACGCTCCACACGCCCATGGCGGGACCCTGTCTCTCTCTGTCCGACCAGTCGTGGTCTTGGTGGTCGAGCATTATTCCCTTTCCGACTTAGCGGTGCCATGCCAAGGCAACCATGCGGGATACATGAGCAGGGGCATGGGACGGTCCGTGTATCTCTCCGTACCCGACCGTTTGGAACCGACGGGGGAGGACGACTTTATCCGGATTCCCCGTAAAGGTTCCCGCAAGCTGATTGCTTGAATTCGCGCACGTTGGTGTCGCTCCCTGACCAATTCCTTCACCGCCATAGGCGCTGGTGCCGATCTCACACACTTTGGGATGACAGCGCCCAGGCCTGCAGCGGCCGGCAGCTGAGGCGCTCGTGTTTGTCGTTGACAGGAAAATCCAAGGGAGGCCATGCGAATGGCGGCCTCATCCTGGTGGAGCTTGCTGCAAAAGCGGAGCTTGAGGAGCGTTCATCCCACTCATTTGGGCGGCAGTAGTGAGGACGAGCTTGGAGCTACCCCTCCTCAAGAGCTCCCTCAGGAGACACCATGGATGCGCTAAGGGTCCGCTGCTCATAGGGTAGTTGCACGCAACGGGTGCTAGCATGCATTTCCCGGAGGCGTCCGCGGAAAGAGGGGTTGCACTGATAAACGCTCTTCTCGTTCGAACAGCCTCGTGTCCCCAATATCGTTTGCTTTTCCTTAATTCTGCGTTTCTTCAGCGGGCCTGTTGAGAGTGTTCAGTCATTTTTATCATCAATTTCGGTTTTTGTGCGTCTCAAGATGGGCCTTTTGAGCTCCCTCAATCTCGAGGCGTCGCCTGCAAACGTGGGCCTCGCGATCCTGGGGACGGTTTTCGCGGCACTCCTTTCGAGAATCTTTTACTGCCAGTATCTCCATCCTCTGTCCAAGTTCCCGGGACCATGGTACGCGACTTCGTTCTCTGTCACCGGCGCTATCATCTCCGTCAAGCAGAAGGAGCCCGAGTTCTTCATGTACTTGGTGAAGAAATATGGCAGTAAGTTCATTCTCCTCGTCCCTCGACGCTTCCTCAAACCCCTCATTCCCAACAAAATCCACCATTCCATCATCCCAACGCCCCGTTACGCCCTACATATATTTGCTGTTGTGTAACAACTGCATGGGGGAAGATGAGCGCTAACGCAGCCCAGCTGACCGACCAATCCGCATCTCGCCCACCATGCTCATGTTCCCCCGCCCGTCAGCACTGAAAGACATCTACTGGGACCCGAAGTGCAACCTCAAGAGCGGATTGTACGGTACCGGTGCTTTGGGCCCGCCACATCTGTTCACTACGCTTGATGGCGAGCAACATAAGCATCTTCGCAAGGCACTGTCGAATGCTCCATGGACGATTGGCCAGCTGAAGAACACGTGGGAGAGCCGCTTCGATGACCAGGTCAATCTGTTCGTGCAGAAGATGAGGGAGCATGCTGCTGCGAAGAGAGTCGTTTGCTTATCTGACAAGGTCGCGGAGTTTGCCGCTGATATCATGAGCATGATCTCTTTCACGAATGCTTTTGGGTGCGTCAAGAACCAGCGCGATGAGAAGGACATCCTCAGCAACTGGCGCAAGGGGCTCGACTTCTTCGGCTTCGTAGGCCGCTTCCGCTTTTTCAGGGAACGCATCATCAAGCTCCCGGTTGTTGGCTTGTGGTTCCTCCCTTCTATGTCGAATGACTCAGGCATGGGCTGGTTGATGTGCGAAGCTGATCGTCAGGTCTCGACGCGCGAGAAGCAGAACGAGGAGAAGCCGTTCGAGGGCAAGCCCGACTTCATGCAGTAGTAAGTTTACCTTCAACATTTCTTCAAGAAGGGGACATTAACTAGGAGAAGCTGCCTCGATGCCCGCTACTCCGACGGCACGCCCCTAACTCCCGTCCAAAAGCGTGCCCACGTCACTCTCCTCATCCAAGCCGGCGCCGACACCACCGGCACAGCCCTCGGCTCCATCCTGCGCTTCCTCGTAACCAATAAGTCCGCCTTCGCACGCGCTCAAGCCGAAATCGACGCCGCAGCCAAGGCCGGCCGCCTCTCCAACCCAATCCAGTACGAAGAAACGCGCCAACACCTCCCTTACTTCGTAGCCTGTATCAAAGAAGGTCTGCGTCTGAATCCGCCTGCCACCAATCTCTTCGCAAGAGTCGCGCCCAAGGGCGGAAAGGTGATCGATGGCGTGTATGTGCCCGAGGGTGCGGAGATCACGAGCCATGCGTATGCGATGCAGCGCGATAAGGGGCTTTATGGGGAGGATGCGGAGGCGTTCCGCCCTGAGAGGTGGTTGGAGAGCGAGAAGAAGAGTTTCGAGTTTGAGGCTGCGCAGTTTACCTTCGGCGTGGGCCCGCGGGTTTGCTTGGGCAAGGATATTGCGATTATGGAGCTGTATAAGTTGTTGCCTGAGGTGAGTTTGCGAAGTGATCATGGCGGTTGTAGTTGGAGCTAATTTTTGACAGATCGTTCGCCGCTTCGATATCGAGCTTGTGCAGCCGGGGAAGTATGTGGTCGCCGGTGGAGTTGCCTACAATCAGGACTTCCTGGGTCGGTTCATTGCCAGGGACACGGCGAATGGGCACGTTAATGGCAATGCTTGAGGTGGAGGTGTACATGGGAACTTGTGCTTGTACTGCGCGTCTCTGCAGCTTGATCGCCGTTCGCTTGGGAGGTGGAGTTGATATCCAGCACTCTCTAACTTCCACACATGTAGATGCTCTCTTCTCACAAATGAGACCTTGGACCAGTTCATCATACACACTTCTCGCTGCATAAGTGAACTATTGCCGAGGAGCAGCTGTGCCCTGAATGCACCACATTGGCGTAGGTACAACTTCGAGGCTTGCTTCTTATCTCGATGCTCAACGCCTACTTCCTCGTACATCTTACTTCTTATAGCTACGCTGCGCAAATCGTACGATATCGCATTCGCGTTCAACCCGCTTCCCCTCAGCCGGAGAACTCCTCAGATACGCTGCTTGGTCTCGGAGAGATGGCGCGGGATGGTAGCCCCGGGGGAGCGGTCGTGCCATTCCTTCGCCGTTTCATGGCGACGCGGCCTTGGCCCGGCTTGATTGTTGGGGGACGGCTCGTGAACGGCGGTGACGAGGCTGCAGGAAGAGCGCTCGGCGGTGATGGGGAATTCGCCGTCTGGAGTTCGCGATAGGCTCGGCCCCAACGCAGCTGCGTTCGTGTTCGTTGATACGATAATTGCTGTCTCAACACCCGTGTCGTTCCTTTTCGATACGGATGCTTAAAGGTGAGTGTCGAGAAGACTTGTGCAAGCCCATCGCATCCCTTGAGGGAGGAAATGTTCGCAGTGCACCACGACTCAAGTAATGAAAGCCACATTGCTTATGCAAGACTTCCAACTCGCACGCCATCCCATATACCATTCCATTATCAATCGGAAGCCTAACACTCGGAGCACCGCACTGCCGGCACTTGATGGCTGGCAGGTCCAAGCGCACCGTTACCGGGGACGGGAAATTTGCACCACCGCCTCGTATTGCAGCTGCGTGGCGTTCTTAAAAGAGCACTAAAGAACAGACGGCTTGGGTTTCAAGAGAGCGGTGAGTCTGGGAATGGTATTTGATCAACTTCGGGTTCTAGAATTCGCTGGTTGAGGCGGTTTGCGGTGATTGGATAGGATACCCTGGCCTGTCTGTCGGACCCCCACAACTTGACTGGGGCCAGTGTGGAGGATTCTTGCAGATCTTGTGTAAACTTGGACGAGGGATTCGGAAGATTGAGATGGCGGGTTTGATAATGGAAATCATGCTGTTGGTGCCTGTGGAGGGGAGATGGCGATTGAGCGATGGTGTTGCTGAAGTCGCATTTCAGCTCCTCCACTTGCTCTCTCGCTCGCTTGGAAAGCTTCCCCGTCCGAAGCCTCTTTCAACACCACACGAACACTGGGCCGGACCGCGCAAAAGCAAAGAAAGCCCTCTTCCGCATTCACCGCGTCCAGTAACAAAGTTTTCGAATAAAAAAGCAAAACTTGGTAGTGGCCCCTGTCAGGCATCCCGTCCGCTATGACCTTGGGAACCCGATGGGATGGTTCTCACAACGACCAAGGCAATGGCTGCAGCCGTCGGCTCTCAACACCAAAACGGCCCTTCTCCTCACCCGCTAGGGTACGGGGCTCCGGCACTCACGCAGCCATGTCTGTCGATCTGCAGGACAAGATTCCGGCGGGACCAACCGGCGACGGCGTATGGGTGGAAGGGCGGAGCAAGAGGCGGCGCCCGCGCACTAAACGAAGGCGTTTGCGGCGGTAGTACTAAAACGGCCCGCCCCAGGCTAATACGTTTTAAGATCGTACACGAGGAACTCTTGGCTGTGAAATTAAGCTGAAGCATGTAACTAGACTGGATTGGTAGCAGATGCACATGCGCTGGGAGGTATCCGTTTCGCGAGAAATTGAGCTTCAGGCACGAGATACCGAGGGGATGGGCGAAGACCCCCTTCAGCGTCTGGAACCTGTGCTTTTGCTGCAGGAGAAGCTGCAGAAAACGGCTGCGGTGCGACGGATCGTTGCTGGAATCGGCGCGTTGGGAGGTTGCCGGGTCAAACGGCGCGGTGAACTGGGGGGCGAAGGGAACCCCCGTGGAGGGCCCAATGTCAGCAGGGAAGGGCCGCAAAAGGGTAGCAGGAGGCTCGTGAGTGATCAACGGCCGGGGATGCGGGCGAAGAAGCAAAGGCGTTGTCGTTTTCAGAGCGTTTGCAGGGCGAGGGATCTCTGATTGACGATTCGACCCCAGGTAGGTAGTGCTGGATGCTACCTTTATTTGAGCGTCGGACCTCCTCTCCGCTGGCGATTCAGAGGTCTTGAATGTCTTAGTGGTTACTCTGCTTTGCTTCTCGAAGAGCCGGCGTTCAGGAGTCATTGTTGTCCTTCGCTCGCACTGAACACTATTTGTCTCATCGCCCCTACTGTCAACGCCATTGTAACTCGCCACCATGGACATCCCAACAGAGCGTCCTGCCAACGCCGACGAGACTCAGACGACTGCTGAGATAGCCGTCGTCACAGCGGCGTCTGTTCTCGTCTTTGCTACCACTGTCCTGCGTTACATGGGTCGATGGGTCTTGCAAAAGCGGTTGGAGGCAGGCAAAGGGCGCAGCGGCGACAAGATCTGGGGCTTGGATGACTGTAAGTCAATGATCTCGCAATGTCCCCATATGGCCCCCTCACCGATGTCTAACGCGAGACAGTGTTCAACGTGCTGGCCGTTTTGTCCTTCTTTGGACTCGTCGTGGCGGTCGCTATCGCTATCGAACGAGGAATGGGCACCCACGTTACTCTGATCTTGTACGAACGCGGCATTCAAGGACTGATCGACTATAACCAGGTAAGCCGCGTTCTGGTGTCCTCCAGCACCCCAGATGTGATCGCCTTCATCGACTCAGTATGCTGACGCAGGTAAGGCCATCTATGTATCCGCCGTCTTCTACAACACCGTTCTCGGCATGGTCAAGCTCAGTGTCCTTTGCTTGTACATGCGAATTCTACGCGGTGTACAATCGCAAGCCCTGCGTACTCTTGTCTGGGCCGTCTTCGCCATAGTCGCCGCCAACACGCTAGCCAACGTGACCGTTGCGATCTTCCAGTGCTGGCCAATTAAGGCTGCCTGGGACGTTACGATAACTGCCGATCAAAAACGGTGCGTCCACTTCTACGAACGAAGTCGTGCAATGCTGATCATTTTAGATGTGTCCAAATCAACGCCTTCTACCTTGGCAACGCGATTACGGGCGTGACCACGGATGCGATGGTTTATCTGCTCTCGATTCCCATCGTCAAGCCTTTGCAGATGGACAGGAAGACCAAGTTGCAGCTCTTGGCTACGATGCTCGTTGGTGGATTGTAAGTTTTCATCTCTGAGATCGTGAGCAAGTCTTTCGGACCTCATAATCTTCTCCACACCTTGATGTGATCTAGCTAACCAGGTGCGTAGCGCTGTGGTTACCTCAGCCGTTCGCTTGGGCTTCATCCCCGCCCTTCTGAAGGATCCCGATGTCTCCATGGCCATGGGTGTCCCAATGAACTGGAGCGTCGCCGAACCTGCTGTAGGTATCCTCGTGTCCAGCGGTCCCGCCATCCGCGCGCTTCGCTTCCTCTTCCGCAAGCCAGGCGAGGACTCCTACGGCTCCGGCGCAGCCCAGTCCACCCTCCGCAGCCGAAATGGTCACATCCAACTCTACGACATGAAGACCGATGCGAAAGACGTGGAGAGCCAGAAGACGAGGGATCCTGATAACGACAGCGAGGAGTATCTCGTGGTTGGCAATCCTGGAATGAAGAGCCACGGACAGATTTCCAGGACTACCGAGCTAGAGGTCTCGTACTCCACGAAGTAGATGCGGCTCATGAGGGGTGTGTTGAAGAAGGGTAATGTAGATGCCGACGTCGTGAGGACATGTATTTACGGCCGACGTAACCCACTGTTGAACGAGCGCTGGCGCATCGAGACTCGTCCCGTCGACTCTGGACTCGTGGTCATTGTTGATGTATCAATTACCTTCTCGTCGCTCGTTCAACTTTTGATAGGGAAATATATCTAAACCTGGTTAGCGAAGATGATCTCGATCCTCAGAAGCACTGCCAAGACGCAGGGCCGTGAATGGCCAGATCCTGTGATCTGAGCGGGAGAAAGCCAAGAGGTATCCCCATCATCGCATCATTGCATCCTGAGCCATTCGTACAGTGCTCGTGGAAATGAGATTAGAGCTTGTTGTCGTCATCGAAACCCGGGAAGCTTGAGACGGTCTCAAGTGGGGTTGTGCTGACTAAGCAGCCCAGAGATCATCAGCAACAAACACCGTAAACCGTGGGGTCTCCCATCTCGCCCAAGATCGTTCCATCTCGCTGCTGCCACGGATTAACCGCTGGATGATTTCCCGCAAAGGCCCATCTCCCGCGAAGCTGCTCTTTGCATGGTGCGCGATTGGCTTACTCGTTGACGCCATGTCAGAAGGAAGGCGGGGCATGTACTACCACCTCGGGAGCTGAGTGGTCATCGAGCACCAATGCAGACGAAGATGCTAGCCGCGTTTGTGCTGTACTCTTCGCCTCATAGCGACAACGATACTTCTTTCACTGAGATTTGAGATCGCCTCAAACCATTACCCGGATACCGACATGACGCACGACATCTTCAAGCCACATTGGTCCCGCTACCTCCACCCCAACGCCCCGGATCCACATAGAAGCAAGTATGAGCCTCACAGTAGGGACGTATTCGAATCTCCATACGGCCCGTTTCCGCAGACGCCACCAGATCTCAATATCCATGAGTTCTGCTTCCCGCCAAACAATCTCCTCCCTCCGGACTACCCACTCTTCGTCGACGCGGTAGCAGAAGAGACGGTCACTCTTCATCAGTTCTACGCCCGCGCTTGTGGGCTAGCTCGAGTGTTCAGGTACGATGGCGCGAATCCACTGAACCTAAAAAGGAGCCCGGTAGATGATAAGGAAGATGGCGAGATTCTGGGCATGTTCTCTCGTAACCACTTACACTATCCCATGGTAGCTCATGCGTGCTTCCGAGCTGAGCTTGTGTTCGGCGGTATCAGTCCAGCTTCAACGTCGTACGAGCTGTGGTGGGTGCTACGCAAAATGCAAATTACAAGCATGATGTGCCACGAGTCACTGCTACCGGTGCTGCGTGAAGCGCTGAAGCTAGGAACTGGTGAGAACGATAAGGCGTCATCTTTGCGACTTGTGCTCGACCCAAAGAAGATCATAGTTCTCAGCGAAAATACAACCTTGGATACCGTCTCCGGCCATCGTACTATCGAATCCCTGGCCCGCTTAAGCCTCGCCCTCCCAGAGGTCCCTCGCAAACTGCTGGGAGGAGATAGGATGGCATATCTTTTCCAATCCTCGGGAACCTCAGGCCTGCCGAAAGCGATGATGATAACTCACAAGAATGGTCTCCATTCCGGTCTCCAAGGCATGATCAATGCGACTCAAAACGCTCGCTTCGCCGGTGTGGAACCGCTCAACCCTCAACGCGTATCGGGCGTTATCCCTATGTACCATTCCTACGGCATGATCCTTTGGATTCTGCGCGTCAACCTCCTGCAGCTTACAAACGTACTTCTCCCAAAGTGGGATATCGAGCTCGCTCTGAGAACGATCGAGAAGTACAAACTTACGGCTCTTCCACTGGTACCTCCTCTCGTACGTCAGCTAGCGCAGAGCCCGCTAACCGAAAAATACGATCTGGGTTCTGTGGTCGGAGCCGCAAGTGGAGCAGCATATCTCCCTCCAGACGTCGTATATCAGCTTGCAAAGAAGCTTCTTCAGGGCGCAAACATGCCTATTCCTAGTGGCTACGGTCTTAGCGAAGCGGCCAGCATCGCATCCCCAGCAGCGCCCGGAATCTTCGGACTAGAGCCAGCACTGCCGGGAACAATCGGGTACCTCCTTCCCGGAATGGAAGCAAGAGTCGTAGACCCGGACACACTGAAAGACGTACGGAAGGGCCAACAAGGCGAGCTATGGGCAAGAGGGAACGTGGTCACCCCGGGATACTTCAAAGATGCGAAGGCGACCGCTGATCTCTTCGCCGAGCCAGGGTGGCTGCGGACTGGCGATCTAGTCATGCGTGATGAGAAAGACCGGATACACTACCTAGACCGGCTAAAGGAGATGATCAAAGTGAAGGGCTTGCAGGTCGCTGCGACGGAGGTCGAAGACACGCTACTCGATCATCCGGAAGGTCTCGTGAGAGATGCGTGCGTAGCTGGTGTCGACAACGGGCGAGGTGATGGTTCGCTGTTCGTCCGAGCGTGGGTAGTGCTCACTATGGAGGGAGCAAAGCAGGGAGAAGCAACAGTTGGGAGCAAGTTAGAGGAGTGGGTCAAGTCGAGGTTGAGCAGGCATAAGTGGCTCACTGGCGGGGTTGAGGCTGTGGATTCGGTACGCAATACGCCTTGTATAAGCTGTTTTATTCGCTGACGACACTAGATTCCGCGCACACCATCTGGGAAGATGCTTAGAAGGGAAATGCGGGATCGATATCACGCGAGGCTGAAGGCCGAAGGGAGAAGCAAGTTGTGAAAGACACTCCGGCCTCCTTAACATTACGTCGAGTCCGCCCGTCAGTGTCAGACTCAAAGCCGTGATCTCCGTACACCGCGACGCCCCATAGTCTAATAGAAAACGTATATTGCGACTAAGGTGATCTGACATGGCTTCAAGTATCCGAGCTGGATACAGGTTTTCCTGGCTTTATTTTTTGTTCGAGAAGAATCTCTCAATGCTCTCATTTTCAGCATCGCTGCGAAACCATGATGTGGCGCTGTTGGCTCTAGCGTAGGGAGGTACGAGAGGACTGCCGCCTAATCGGGAAATACTGAGCACGTGAGGTCGCACCACCATCGCGGGGCTTCAAGAAGCTTCAACCAGCTTCCTCACTTCGCAACGTCACCCATCGAAAGCACATGCACACAAGTCTACATCACTGGTGCAGCTATTTTTCTTAACCGTTTGTCGACAGTACAATATAAAGAGAACCACACCCGGCCATTTTCCGTTCGTCACATTAGTCAGCCTACCGCTCTATCCTACCACACCACCGCGATGCCAACTCAGCCAAAGCCTCGCCGCGGCCACGCCGGCATCCGCGCAATACTGGGTGATATGCATGCAGTTCTTCCTCCGGAGCGTCCCAACAATCCTTCATACCGTGGATGTCGCACCACCTTCGGCCTCATGCAGCAATGCATCACCAACGCAGAGAACTCCGAGCATCCCAATGTGCAGTACCGAGAACTTCAAAAGCTCGAACAGACGCTGCGCCAACGCCTCCATGCCCTGGACGCCAAGAAAGGAATCCCAGAGAAGATGACGAGCTGCCTGGACGAGCTTCGCGATGCGGTCCAGGAGGCCTTCGAGGAGGGCATCGATACGGACTTCATCCTCAAGGGGTTCGAGCAGATGATTGAAGAGGACGAGCCGACGCTTGAAGAGAGGGACGCCAAGAAGCTGCGGAAGATGGTGCCGGAGGAGAGGCTCAAGAAGGTGTGGGAGCAGCTCAAGGAAGCGCGCGAGAAGAACAGGAAGCTGACGAACGAGAATAACGACTTGGCAATGCGCTTGAAGAGGGTGCAGGCGGAGCGTGACCAGCTGTTGAGGGAAGCTGGTAGGAGCCCGGGAGGTGCGAGCGGTCACGAGCACGTTCTGGGCTGGCAGGACGGGTAACGTCTTTCTTCCTGGCGCTGCTCACTTATCTAAGGGACAGCATTAATGAACGGGCTTAATTACTGGATACGTGTTCTGTGAGAGAGGTGGGCAAGTAGCCCTCTTGGCGGAAAGTGGGTGGAGGTGCTGGCATTGTCTTCACACGATGATGGCCCTTGACGAACATTGTTAATCGACGACAACCACATATTTCCTCAAATTCACAAAGGCTACTACTGTCATCAAGTACGTGCATCCTCTGAATTTCGATATAGACCTTAAGTCACTATGTTCAAAGCCATCCTCGCTGTCTTCTATCCAGAAGACAGTGGTGGAAACTCTCGCTTTGGCATCCACTCGGCTATACTAACTATGCGCAAGCTCCTACCCTTCTCAAAACACACGGACAAAAAAGAAGACATCGAGCTCCAGAAGCTCGGGCCTTCGGTCGCTCAGCGCCTGAAGTTCCTCACTTCGTCCACTCCTACATCTAGGGAAGTGTCTGAGTGCATGGATGCGCTATGGGCTTCATTCACCTCCATGCATGACTCCGATCAAAATGATACAGCTAGAACCGAGCGAGCGCAAGCCAATGAGATTGAGATGGTGAACGCACCAGGATTAAGTTCGTGAAACAAGTCTTTCGGTGTGAGACATCCACAAGCATCGTAGTTCAAGACAGTGCCGGCAAACTGAATAGTGTCTTGTGGATCACGTCTTGAAAGGAGACACTGTCTTTATCTACATGGCTATGCCGACATGCGAAGAACATTTAAACCAGTTGAAGTATCGCATTACATGCAGATCTCATCATCATCACCACCTCCAACAACAACAATATTGCCACAATACACTCGATTTCGAACGCCTTTGATCCTCCCTTCCTCCCACCAAGAACAGTTCAAGATGCAACTCATTCATCTTCTTCTCCTCCTACTCTCTCTGATTGCTTCCAACCACGCCACCCATCCCGGAGACTCGCTCCAGCATCCAGGAAACTGCCACCTCATCACCAGCGCAGAGCTGTACCTCCTATCGTTCAGCGACGGCCAACATGCACCCACGTACGCAAAGATGCTAAGGAACGACACCATCCTTGCGGTTCCAGCAGCGCCAGCAAAGACCTCCAACCCCTCCTCTCGCGCCAGGAACTCTCAATACTCCAATCCCCATCTCAACTACATCGCTGAGCTGTGCAGCGAAATTCACAACTTCGACACCGCGGTCGATCTCTGCATCTCCGGCCACCCCGACTGCGACCGCGCTGCCGTCGTCTCCCAGGGCGACGCTACCCTCGCGAAATTGGGGGATCTCATCGACATGAGACGGGATCGTCGGAGCACCATGATCAACGCTCAGACGGAAGCCTTGGAATTGGACGATAAATGCATCAGCCTATTGCAAGGCAGTAGTCTCGCGTCCGCTTCCGATCCAGAGCTGAGCGAATGTGCGACGAACATCCAGAAGTTTGTCGCTCAGGAAGCTTATCTTTGTGGCCTGTCGCAGTCCACCCACACACTCGAGTCAGAAAACGAAAGGATCAACTCTGAACTGAGCAGCTTCTACGACAAAGAGAAGAAGGCGGCGGATGAGCGGAGCGGGAAGTCACGCGAGGAGGAGAAGGGAGTGAGGCAAAGCTTCACGATACTTTGGGAAGCTGCTCAGGGGCTTTGGCAGGAGCTTGTGGGACGGGTCTTGCGATGCTGGAGGTGCTTCAGGGTCTGAGAGGCGGTTCGGGATGCTTCGCGGTATCTGCTTGTGGATGGAGTCTGCTATTATGCAGGCAAGAGCGTTAGGGGAAGGTGTTGTGCGAGCTCTTTTGTTCTTTGCTTTGGCTTGGATTGCTGTTTCTCTGGAATCTTGGTTTGGATTGAGTAATAATGTAGCCCTTCCTTGTGTTGTGGGCCGAATACTTAGTAGAATATGAATGAAATTATCGTATGAACGCAGCCACTCCCTTGAGAACGTGAGGACGTTTCATCTCCTTTTCACGCCGCCGTTGGAACCAGTGTGCAGGACTTCTAGGACCATGGAATCGGAAGCGTATCGCACTCTGGTAGCAAATTCCAACGAACCGAAATAAGATAGCCGACTCAACCTCACGACGCCCTCCTTCTCCCTCCCCTACATCGCATACCCCGCCGCCACGCCACTCTGCCCCACTCTCCTCTCCTCCACCCCTTCCCCTCCGCGCTTCCCCGTCTCCTCAAACACAAGACACAAAAAGAACGCCAAAATCTTACTGCACCCCGTAACGGCAAAGCCCAGCCCGACCCAGCAAATCAACTCCACAACCGTAACGGCCATGATGCTCGTGAAGATAAGGGTTCCAGCTATGTAATAAATACCCCAGGCCATTTGTACCGGCCAGTCCTCGTCTGCACCTTGCACGGCGGAAATGATCTTCTTCTTGCGCTCTGCGTCCTCTTCTCTAGGACTGGCTTGCACGTCGACTTGGAAGCCCTGCTTCACCGTCGGCGTCGCCAAGCCAGTCTGCTGCCTCCGAAGCTGCCTCCGCGCGTGCCTCCTACGCCTCAGCATCGCAAAGCACGCGTGAATAGCAGCCGGCACAAGCGCCACCACATACCAGGTCGCCACGAAAACCGGGAACGGACATCCAAGCGCACTCCTCTTCGAGTAAATCTCCATAAACACCAGCCCCGCATAACTCGCCACCAATCCCACAAACGCCACAAAGATCCACAGCACCACGCCGCCCCTGCCCAGCCCCCACGCCTTCTTCGCAATCATATTGTTCTCCCTGCTCTTCCGCTTCGTCTCTGCTGCGTTGTCGGTCTCTAGCGGCACGAGGCCCAGCGCGAGGACTAGGATTTCCACAGCCCAGTTCAGGCTCTTGGTTACGTGGATCAATCTGCGCTCCGGCCACGCGATATCCTTCAGCGTGAGCGGAATGAGGCCCATGACGAGCGCTGTGGCGGCGAATTGTTGCTTTCGCGATTCGCCCGCGGCTTCGAACAGGCAGTCGGCCGCGACCCAGCACTTTTGCACGTCGCCGTGCCACCAGGTGAAGTATGGCTTGAAGGGCGAGTAGACCATGGTGGCTTCTGTGTTGTTTGGACATTGCCCGGAGTCGATGCGGTTGCCGCCTGTTTCGCCTTGGGCCGAGACTAGGATGGGGAGGATGGCGAGGATGAGTAGGGCGGGAGGGAGGATGGTGGTGGTGGGGGAGCGGAGCGCCATGTTGAAGCTGGCGCTTTGGAAGCGTTGGAGTGCCGCTGTGGTGATAGGAAAGAAGTGTCTACCGGAGCCACTGAGTCTTGAGAATCTTAGACGTGGATACGCTAGGATCTTGACAGGTCGCAGTTGCAATAGCCCCGAATCGTGGAGGAGCAGCCGCTTAAATAGCAAGTGACCAGTTTTATGCGTTGCGCTGTCTTCATGTTTCCGCCCCCAAAGGAACCTGCTGGGTGCGAATCCTTCTGGTTGGGGCGAAGCGACATGGCGGGCGCCACTATCCCCAAAATAGTAACTTTACTAATACAGATCTTGGGATTTTGGGGCCGAGGTCGGGATTGAAAAGACTGATAGGAGGAACGACCACCGTGGCTTTATTGAAAGGAGGTTACGGTCACGACGGAAACTGACCCAGAGGAGTCTTGGGTGACTGACTGAAACATAAGAACATGAGGGAGCTGCACATGAGGTATGCTCCAACGGTGAAGAATACGCACTTCCTGATAGGGAACTTAGACGAGGATTTACTGGGCATTTACTGGATAGGGCTGAGTGCGTCGGCGGTTCTGCGAGGCTGAAAGCGATGGTGGAGCACACCTGAAACGATGACGAGGCAGCGCTAGCTAGATAGGAACCGAAAGGCGAGGAAAGTTCAAGATCTGTGGTATGAAGAAACACGAATTATGATGTCCAGAGTGACCGATAAGAGATATGAGATACCTACCATATCCATCAAGGACCCGACGTAGGATCATAGACTCCACTAAAAAGACGACAGTGCTCGAGATAACGCAGGCGCAACCAATGCCGGGAAGATAGCCAATCATCTCCATCGAAAGGAAAGACGCCAACACTCTCGTGGAGTGAGAGCAACCTTAGTGAGTCATCGCTTGTTGGAATGTGCCCAAGCCCAGCAACACGTAGCATGACCAGCCAAGAGCGGCCCCAACAACGCAGCGCACTCACTACTCGCGTCCGCCACCGTCGTATTTGGCGAACAGCCTCTTTCCCTCCTCTTCAAGCTCGTCCTTTTGCTCCACCCACGGCGTAGCCTTCTCATGCACGCCGATGAACTCCATATCCGCCTTCTTGCCCTCCACTTCCTCGGTAGCCTTACCCCGCAGCAACAGGTTTAAGTCAGCGCGCATCTGCAGATAGCCATTGCCCAAGAATACCACATCCATCTTGTAGCCCTCGGCGACGGTCTCGATGGTCGTAGAGCGAAAGGAGGCATGTGGCGGACTGGTAAATGCCCGTATCGAAATCGGCATCGAGCGCGGCGGAATATGAAGGCGAGCCGTGTAAGTGTTCGTGTCTTTAAAGCCTGCAATAGAGGAGATAATCAACGTGCGCTGGCCGAAACCGTACTTGTCGAAATGGGTCTCGGAGTACTTAGGACAATAGAGGGTCCAGAGTCCTTCGAGACGACCGATGGGGACGGGCACGCGCGCATGCACCGCCATCATCAGGAAATTCTCCGCATTTTGTGCATGCAGGTCGGCTTCCATCAACGCATTCGAATCGCCTCCTCCGTAGTCCAGGTGTCCAAGTATACTCATAGACATATTTTCTTCTTTACCGAGACGGAGAATCTCTTCTTTCTTCAGATTGCAGCCGGTCACGCTGCCCAAGCACGGCAAGCGAACAGCTTCATGGTCATTAGCCCAGACCAAGTACTCCTCAAGATACCCTCGCTCTTCGGTGAAGTTGACGGCTTTCTGCAAGTCGTGGAATATGCCATTGAAGACATTCACCGGTGCCTCCTCATGCGTCTCCCGAGTCTTCTTCTTGGCCTTGGTCGCGATGAAAGGATACACTTCGGCTCCAGAGCGCACATACGGCTTAGGCACGCGGGCGAACATTTCATCAATGCTCATTGACGACGTCGTTGAGTCCGGCAAGGAGGTCCCGGCGGAAGATCCACCCTTTGCGCGCGGCCTCGGCTTAGGTGCGTCATTCAACGGCTGGGTGAATTGCTCCAAGTTCGCATCTGTCAGAGCGTTGGGAATACTGGGTGTCGGGACGCTCTGCTTTGGCTTAGCCAGTGGAGCCGGCGCTGAGCCTGTTGAAGTTGGAGTAGAGAAGAGGGCAGTCAAACGCTCTTTCTTTGGTGGCTTACGCCCCGCAGTCTGATTGCCGGTTGGATGCGATAGTGGGAAGGGGATGGGCGTCATCCGATCTGCGTGAGCCTTCTTTATGGACCTAGACGGCGGTGTTTCTGGAACCAGTACGTTGGGTTCGCGGTCGCGGATTTCGGAGGGCGGTTGTTGAAGATGGTGGGTAGCACTCGAAACGGGGACCCGGGATACCTGCGGCAGGGGGACCGGTGTCTTCTTGGGAGTCGACTGCGCAGCGGGCGCGGGGGCGTTAGGCGTGGTCTCACCGTTCTTCTGACCTACACCGCCGTCGCTCTTTCCTTTGTGCTTCTTCGACTTAAGCTTCTCCGGTGTCTTCGTTGGTCCGTTTTGAACTGCACCACTTACCTCCAGCTGTTCTTGCCTTTCCACGTCCTTACTCTTTTTGCTTGCCTTCTTCTTCTTAGAAGGCTGCTCCACTTGTGGGGCTTCGGTTCCTACCACTCGCGAAGTATGACCGTTCAACGAAGCCTCCACATCCTTGACCAGGTTCTCGCCGATAACGAAACGGCCATTGGCTGTGTCTTTAGCTGTCGGCGTGTCCACAGAAACCTCGCTCTCCCTCTTGCGCTTCTTCTTTGACGAGTGGTGTTCCTGAATCTCTTCTCCCTTCTTCTTGTCCCTCTTCCGCTTAATCTTGGAATCTTTGACCTCTGGCGTCACCCCAATGACCTTAGCGCCATCTTCGTTCTTCTTGTCACCAAGCGAATCCCTGTTCTTCTTGCGGGACTTCTTCTCGCCCTCTTGGTGAGGCTTCACCGCTCCGCCTGGTTGTACTGGACCGCCGCTGGTCGGCTCGACCTGGGCGCCGTCTTTCTTCTTCTTTTCACCAAGAGAGTCCTTTTCCTTCTTGCGGGGTTTCTTCTCGTCCTTTCGCTGACGCTCCGCCGCTCCGTCTAGCTGAGCCGGAGCGGCGTCCTCAAAGTCTTTCGAGTTGAACGTTGTGCGGCGTGCCATTTGTCCGCCGTAGAGGTGGTGCCGCGGAATCGAATACAAGCCCTTTGGTGGCATGTTTGTAGACTCCAAGGTATCCCGGGTTGATGTTGCTTGCTCCGGTCAGATGACCGCCGTCGCGATTTCCGGTCTACGTGCGCAGCGGATCGCCAAGTTCCGGCAGGTACAGCGACGCTGACCACGCTACGTATCAAGATAGGCGAAGCTAGAGACGAGGAAAAAGAAGGCGGGCGTTCGAAAGAAGGACTCAGAGCTTCAGCGTCGAGCGACGAGCGATGCAACGGCCGCCTTTGAGACGGTGACTCGTTATCGCAGGGGGGCAAATAAGATTGAAGAAGTAGGAGCAAGTTGGACGGTAAGAAATATCAAAACAAACGCCACCGTCGCGACGGTCATTCACCGCGACATCGACGGCCGGCTCCCTCACTCACTCAACCCGCCACGGTGAACCCGGATCGGTACTCTCCTGGCGACCTGAGCTCGCTTGAGGATATGCAGCAGCCTGCGAAAGCTCTTGTGAACAAGGTATTGAGCCCTGGCGCCATCTTCGAGCCACTCTCGAGCATTGTGTCCCATCGCCATAATGCATTGAGATGGGGCCCGATGAAAGTGATGCGAGAGTCGTGGTGACGGTGAGCGCTCATCGCGAAGAGAAAGCGACAGGTCACCGAGCACGGACCACCGCGTGGAAACTGTGGTGACTGTTCAAACTTCCCATCACGCTTCTCGACCGCACCTCTTCCATGAGCAAGTACTCCACATCTGTGTAACCGTAGAACCATGAAATCAGACTCACAAAACGTCGAACACCTGATCGTTGCAGCTAGTCAGTCATGAAAGTCCACGGCCAGCGCGACTCGTGCGAGAGCGCGGCTTCTGGGCCAGCCCCCTCAGTCTTCTCCGATATCTTCAGCCAGATTTTATTTTCGATACATCCTGTCATTCTAAAGGTCTTGATCGCGCTGCCTACTATACATTCAACGAGATAATAGACAAGGGTTTCTCATTTAGCTTCGACACGGACAACTTTCCTACGCCCTTGGAACGAGGAATAGCCACGTGTCTGTCTATGGGCATCCTACGAGATTCCGATGTCCACTATGCACCGCAACTCCGGGCGCGCAGCATCCAGCTCAAATAGACATGCCGGACAAATTCCCGGAGCCCTAAGAGGCTCGCTGATTGACTCTGCGGCACAGCGACAGGTAGGTAGGTAAGCACTAACGATCTTCCAAAAAGACCCTCAAGCTCGCGCACCTCGCACCCGCCACGAACCCACATCAACATGGCCCCCTCTCTTTCCAAACCGTCCTTCGATGTCCTCGTCATAGGCGCCGGTACCTTGTTCCCCACCCTACTCTCCCCCATCCCCGCACTGACTAACACCACCCCATCAGGACTAGCGGGCCTTATCTCAGCCCAGCGCTACCTCGACGCGCATCCCACTTCCAACGTCGCTCTTCTCGAAAAAGAAGCCAGCGTGGGCGGCGTCTTCAGCAAACGCCGTCTGTACCCGGGTTTCTACACGCAATGGACGATCGGCATGAGCGAGTTCGGCGACGCGCCGATGAAGCCGCCGCCGGAGGAGGACCGCATTGGGGACTGCTACAAGGCGAAGTATACGATGGAGTATCTCGAGAACTACGCGGAGACGAAGATGCACGCCGGTCGATCGTTGAAGGAGAGGATCGCATTCGGGATGGACGTTAAGAGCGTGGAGAAAGTCGGTGGGGAATGGCATGTCACGTGCACTGACGCGGACGAAGAGACGGCGCTGTTCAAGGCGGAGAGGATAATGGTCGCAGCGGGCGAGTACTCAAAGCCCAACATTCCCGCGTTCCGGCAAAGCAACTTCGACGCGCCTATCATCCACCACGCGGACTTCGGCTGCTCGGACATCCTCTCCGCTCCAAACATCACACACGTCACCGTCCTCGGCGCTGGAAAGTCCTCGGCTGATATGCTGTACGTCGCCGTCAAAGCTGGCAAGAAAGTCACGTGGATCATCCGCGTGTCCGGCGCGGGACCGGGTTTCTTCGCGCCCATAGATCTACCCACACCCTATCAGAACGGCCTCGAGGCGGCGCAGACCCGGATTATGGGGGCGCTGCAGCCAAACATGCTGCACAAGAACGGGTGGTGGGTGTGGTTCCTGCACCAGACGTGGATCGGAATCGCCATTGTGACGTGGATCTTCGGACTGATAGACAAGGAGGCGAAGAAGCGGGCGAATTACAGGGGACGACCGCACGTGAAGAACTTCGAGAAGCTGGAGTATGACCCCGGGTATGTCATGTCTGTCTGAAAATGCGTTGGCTTTATAGCAACGAGAGCGAGTAGTTCTACTGACACAAGCGGAAGCATCTTCTGGCAGAACAACACCGGCGGCGCCCAGCACCACGCCGACTTCTGGGACCTCGTCGCCGCGCACGTAGCCATCCACCGCGCGGACGTGCACTCTCTCTCGCACAACACCATCCACCTCCACGACGGCACCCGCGTGCCCTGCGACTTACTACTACTCGGCACCGGCTGGAAATCCAGCCTCGATTTCTTCTCGCCAGACCTTTCAGCCTCCCTAGGACTTCCGCACGATCCCTCTCTCGACGCCCCGGAAACGCGCAAAAAATGGGAGAGCCTAGAATCCGCCGCCGACGCAGCGGTCACCACGCGCTTCCCTATGCTAGCTTCCCCCCCACCACACCCGAGCAAACGCGCCCGCACTACCCCCTACCGCCTCTACAACAACATAGCGCCCCTTTCCGACAGCAGCATCGTCTTCGTAAACCACATGATCGCCGGGAACATGCTGACCAACGCCGAAGCGCAGGCCATGTGGGCGGTGGCCTACTTCGACGGCAACGTCGCCCTCCCGTCCGAGGCGGAAAGGGAAAAGGACGTCGCGACGTGGGTCGCGTATTGCAGACGGCGGTATTTGTCCAGCGGGAGGCTGGGGAATTTTTGTGTTTTTGACTTTGTGGCGTATGTGGATAAGCTGATGGGGGAGATGCGGTTGGGGAGCTGGTGGAAGGGCTGGGGGAGGGATGCGTGGGAGGTTAATCGGCCGGGGGATTTGGGGAGGGCGTGGCGGGAGTATTTGGAGAGGTTAAAGTCCACGAGCGGGATAGAGAAGAGGTGAATTGTTTGTGGCTAAGAAATGGTATCATGGCTATCCTCCCGCAGTTCTCCAGGGTGCCATCCACCCGGCTAAAGATGCCCACCGCAGCGAGAAGGCTACCAAACAGCCATGAAATGTTTGCTTATATTTGTTTAGTATTCTCATTCGTCCACGCACAGCTGCCAATGACGGAGACGCGGCGGAAAGGTGCAATAGTGATCCAAAGGTGGGGCCAAGGCCAACACTAGGCAACGGCACCGAAAGGATACTTCGAGCATAGCCTTGGACATATAAGCGCTAAAGCATATTGCTAGAAGCGGTGGCAACAAACGTGTTGCAAACTCGTAACGTGGGCGTAGGACCTGACATCGCTTTTCCAGCAGTGGTGTTGGCCCACTTACGTACCCACATGATGCAATATCCCGCCTGGGTGTTTCGAGACGATCCTGAGGCAGTGAACAAGACTCAATCATCAGGCGTAAATCTCGACATGGATAATAAGAGTGCGGCTGACGGACGTGTGTCCCGGGAACGAGGCAGTAGGTGAGATGATTAGAATGGTAATGAAAACAGGGAGGAGCAATGGGGGTCAGAATTCTCAGTCATACCTTCTCCTCCCGCTCGTCTAGCCGTCTCGGTCTGCGTGGGAGCTTTCCATTCGCACGAATGTCCTCGGCCAGCGAGGGAGGTCAGCAGTTGTCCAACCAACACCCTTCGGGCGGTGAAGATAGGAAGCAGTCGGAAGAAGGGTAATACTAATACTAATGGTAGCTTCAGAAAAGCTATTAGTAGCTGTTTCGTCATCTTATGCGGATGGAAGGAGCACCTGGGCCGAAACGGAAGGTGGTACAGGTGAGGAAGGCGCGCTCAGAGACTTACTCGGCAAGACTCGCCGGCTCGTGATCGGCCAAATGGTGAGGTTATATAGCTATGGGGCTTGATAGGTACGAGTAGGAGCGAGTGGGGGGGTGGTGAAGGGGATACTTATTGGACTTCTCCCGTCAGAGCTCACGCCCAGTCTGACGAATTGCGAAATATGTCAGCGAACAGTCATCAGCAGCAATCCTTCAATCTGCTCAGCCCTGACACGGCGTAGAAAGGATTCCACCAGTTCGGGCCAAGGTGCGCCGCCAGTTCCCGCTTGGCCACATGCGAGCGTAGGGCGATCTCATCTCACTCGAGCTCGTGGCTGGCCGTGGAAGCCAGCGGCAACCTTATCTGGACGACGCGTATTCGACCGGCACCGCGCGCTTGCCGACGTCAGGCTCCTTCGACATGGTCATGCTGCAGACCCGGCCTGAAGCAGCAGGCCGTGTCAGATTCGGCTGCGGATATGCCGACATGAGCGAACTCCGGCGGCGCGGTTCGCGGCTGCGCTGCGCATGACCTTTGCTGGAGGAGGGCGTAAGCTGAGCTCACTTGTCAGAGACAGAGGGGTGGATCTGGAGCCTATAAATCGCGGATTCGGGCCGAGACGAGGCCTGGTCGGCAGGTGTGGAGGCTGCCATCCGGGCCGAATCCGGTGTATGAGCTGGCGAGACGGCGGCCAGAGCCCGGTCCCAAGGCCCGTATAGACGCTCCAGAATCCCGACGGCCTGGGATAGGATTGCTGATATGCAGCATGCTGCGGAGAAGGGCGCTTTGATGCTCGAGCTGCCGCATCCCTCGTCGCGCGGACGGTGTCTGGAGCGTGGGTCGGACGGGGCATTCTGCTGTGTCTCCGCGGAGGAGGCGCTGATTGGCGTGCCTTGGGGAGCCTGAGGGGAGCGTTTGGGGAGGAGACAGCGTGGCGGGCCCGCCTGCAGGAGGCGCCTGCAGCGCGCGTTCGCGGAGGAGCTCAGGATCGGGGGGCCGGTCGCGCTGGGCATGTGCAGGGCCACGTCCCTCGCAGCTCTGGCCGCCGCGCCCGGTCAATAGCAGCGCGCCGTTCGCTCCAGCGGTGCTGCGGGCGATGATTAACCGCTGGAGGTCGCGTCGATGGCGAGAGACGTCGGGGGCTCTCGCAGCGCTTCGCCTGTGCGTGCCGGCGCCGCCTGATTCGTCGGGGAAGGCGCAGCGCAGGCCGATGGCAAGCACCACCACGCCGCCAAGGCGCGACGCCTGCCCTCGAAGGTGCAAAATCTCGACGTCCCTCCGCCGCGCATGCACCGTCTTTCTGTCTCTCTCCCCTCCCAATGTGAGCCTTCCCTATGCATGTCTTGGGTTCTGATGCTTGACGGCCGCCATTACGACTAAACGGCCGAATACACGCACACACCGCGCCCTGCACGCGCACCAGCAGCCGAGCGAACGCGAGCCGAGCTGCACCTTCCCCTCACGACAGCCTCGCCTTCAACCGCGTCCATCCAGCGTCCCTCACCGTCGCCCTCCCTGCGACTACGCCACACAGGCCCGGGGCCCCTCCAATGGCCGCGCTGAAGGGCGACCCAAGCCGCCGCGACGCGAAACACGACGATACGGACGCTTCCCCCCTGGCCCGGGTAATGCGCGAGTTCAAAGAGCTGGTCCTGAGCTTCGAGACGGGCCTGCTGCGCTCGCTGGAGGACGCGGACGCGGGAAGTGCGCCAGGCCGGAAGGGCTGGAGGAGGGAGGACATTCGGCACGAGGCCTGTCGGCTGGCAATTGCCGAACTGGGCTCCAAGTACACGCGCAAGCAGATTCGACGCTCGCTGAATGTCGCCGAGTCGCAAGGAAAGCTTGTCGAGGAGCAGCTGCACGCGACTGTGGATAACGTGGCCGTCACCGACGACGAGGAGCTCCGGAGCATACACAATGGCTACTTCAGGCTGTACTCGACCGAGCTCTTTGACATGCTCGGCCAGCCCACCGATCTGCGTTTCGGCACGCTGCGTTTCCACCGGCATTCGTCAGACCCTGTACCGGCCAGTTGCGACCTGGGATACATATCCGCGCGCGAACAGCAGCCGGCCTGGATATCCGTTGAGCTGGCGCTCAATTCGTCCTTCTTCGTTGCCGACTCGCTGGAGACGCTGCCGTACCACACCTTCAAGATGCCCCAAGCGCCTTCATTGCAGAATCGGGGTATCCTGAGCAGGAAACCGGAGGACAACGGCGCCTTCCCGGAGTACGATTCCTGGCTACTGTTCACCTTCCTCGGAAACGGCTGCTTGAAGCTCGAAGTTCCGATCGAGATGTGCGCCGACGTCTACGGGGGACCACTAATAGGGCGAGAGAATGAAGAGGTCCTGTTCTGGGGAGTCTTCGTGGAAGACGATGGCCCGTAACGCGTCGAATCTTTGCTTTTGAGTTCGGAGTTGCGCTTTGCGGTAGACGGGGCTTGCTTTTGGAGTTGGGCGCACGGGAATGCGCAGGCTGGATGGTTCTGGACGCCAGCCTGATCGCGGACAAGAGTGCTGGGACAAGGCACTTACGACTCACGAATTTCCTTCCTTCCTCATCTTTCGGACACGAGCATACCGGTTCGGTCCGTACCTTGACTCATACACGTTTGGCCTGGAGTCCCTATCCAGGATTCGCGGTCGCTTTCTTCTCTATCGTGTTATTGGCGGCATTCTGCATAGCATCTCTTTGATATTAGTTAAAAGGCGGGAGAGAAGGGTAGACGCGTTAAGAGCAGGTAGACGAAAAGCGCAGCAGACGCGCGAGTTTCGGTTACGTCTCTTATTCACTGTACAGACATTGTGGTAGACGAGCGAATGCACAGATTTAGGTTCTGAAGGTACGTGCCCCGTGCGGCTACGTGGACGTAGCGCAACGGGCTGCTCTTCCCTTATTTTTCGCGCAAGGTTTCGGTTCGACTTTTACTTCATTATTTCAACCGCGCGCCGAGCTTTGACCTCCGTCCTTCAACCTCGACCCCGCCATAATATATCAACCAACCCACTACAGATACCGCAATGAGCGACGTCGATATGGACTCCGAAATGGCACCGGGACAGTCCTCCATTGTGGTGCCGATCATGACGCACGCGGGAGAAAAGCAAAATTCTTTGGCGAGAGATGACCGCGAAGAGCAACCAGGTCGCACGAGGGCCAAGCGAGGAAAGGGTCGTCGCCGTGGTGGCAGAGCTGAACGGAAGGCCCTTGACCCCTTATCAGGAAAGGCTGTCCACAATCAGCGCAAAACAACCGACAAGATCACCAAGGCGCAACACAGGCAGGCCCACCGCGAGCGCTTCTTTGCGCAGCGGAGAGAGCAACGGAAATTGGACGCTATGATCACGGGCCTGGGAGATCTAGGCCTGGAGAAGAAAGAAGGTACGTTGGAGGATGTTGTGAGATGGCATCGTTGTCGACAATGAGCCTAGGAATGGGTGACTTCGTGTACTGCGCAGTGCTGACAGTATTGCTAGGTACGGAGACAGCCGAGGCCGCCAAGGCGGTCGAAGGTGTCGACTCTGGTATTCGTCGTCGAGGTGGTCCAAGGAAAGCAAAGGCCGAAGCCAAGAAGGATATCCGAGGTACGTTGACAGTCGCTTCTTGTATCAGATCCCATTAGACGACCCGCTTGCCTCAGAGAGGCAAGCCATTGCCATGGTGGGACACGCGCTAATATGTGTCGCAGATGAGGTGAATGCTCAACAGGAAGAGGCCCAGGCTTACGAAGAGTTCTGCAAGAGGGACGAGCAAGTCCAGCTCGCCGAGTCCCAATCATACATAGAGTTCCGCAAGAAGGAGGAGCAAGAGAAACCTGCCAAGGGCAAGGCATACAAAGCGTTGCGCAAGAAGCAAGAGCAAGAGAGGATACTCAATCTGCATAAAGCGAAAGCCGCGAGGAAGGGCATCACGTTGGAACAGTTTTACCAACAAGGAAAAGAGAAGGCAGAGCGGAGGAAAGAGAGACGCCAGCAGAAGAGGCAGCAAGAGCGGAATGCGATGATCGATGGTCAGGAGCAAGAACCCGTTCTACCTGTAGGTCCGGCGTCCACACCCTCGACTTCGGATGCTATGCTTGGAAGTATGGGCCAGGTGGATTTCGGAGCGGACATGGAGTTGTAGATGGGAGGTAGGAGGTATGGGGTCAACATCTGCTGGATGGGCCATGTGGCGTGTATGTGGCGGACTCCGTGCGTTTTACCGTGTCCAGGTGGTCTCTGGGATCCCTCAGGACCATTCCGGCGGACGAAAGAGAGATAAATGGCAGCCATCTCATCGCCTTCACCTTAGATGTTGACTAGTCCTTGCGAGCATTGAATCCACACCAACGAGGCGATCAGCGTATCTGATAGCCTGGAAGCACTTCACCGGATAACGCAGCTTCGCTCTCTATTCTAGATTTACACAGCTGGGGGCCCCTTCAGATGCTTGTCAATGCGGGAAACTCTTCGACTCCCTCCGTTGTTTACGTCCTCGCACAACTCCGCTTAGTCGAGTCATCTACTTCACCCCGACAGCAGAGAGCAGACAGCAGACAGCAGGCAGCGGACAATTCACATTCCCTATGGCGGACATGAGGACGGAACCGGAGCTGGGTGACTGGCCTCTAGCAGCTATCATACCACCAACCCTTCCCTGGCGCCACTATGACGGCGGATACAACGAGGGACTTCCTGACTGGACCCCCGGCAGCTATCTCCGCATCCATACCGTGTCCTGCATTTAGAAAGCAAGTCTTGGACTTGGTCTCACTGGCATTCATCACGGATGGCACACACCTCTCCGCTGTTCCGGGCAATACCTGGGTCCAAAACTTCACTACCTGCACGCAGACTGGAGTTGCTGAGTTGTTCAAGATTCAGCTCCACCAGGCTGTTCCGAAGTGCACGCCGCCGCCACCGATGGACACTACGGTGGACTTTGCGGGAGTCCTCATGGGCGCGGCTGAGTGACTTGCGAGTATGTGTTACCCGTCTGAGGGTGCTTCGCGACGCGGTGCTAACTGATGGTATTGTTGGATGCTGCTCTGAACGCCTCTAGGTCCCTTTGCGAACCTTGATTCGTCGCACTGGTCTCTCACTATCGCGGATGACGATCGAGGCTAGGAAAGGATACTTCACTTGCTCCGCCTGGAGGGGCATCTTGGGGCTTGATATGTTATCGCAAGGTAAGAGAACGGCAGCTACGGCTAGTTCACCACAATAATCCCGAGACTCGAGCTCTCGGAATACCTGCCCAGACCGCGCCATTAACGATATGGTGGCGACAGTTTCCCCACCGACGAAGCGGTGTGGACGCGGGAGAGCGTGCCCAGGTGAAAGAGCCCACACTTAACGTCACGTTACCCCCACGACGGGCGGGACCTTAATCTTATATAGCAACAGAAACCTAGTTACTCTCGCTCTTCGCGCAAGCAACAACACTCAACTTCCGCTTGCGCCTAACCGCGCACAATTCTTGCTCGTCGCCGTCAAGCTTGTTCCCCTGCAGTTCAACTCACTAACCTTTCTCTGCAGTGCGCTATACGCAAGCAGTCGCCTGTACGGTACTCAGCCTCGTAGCTGCAACCATGCAGTTCAACGCGCACCCCTTCGGCCCGCAAGGCCCTCAGCAATTCGGGCCGCAGTTCGCCTACCCACCTCACCCGACCGACCAGCAGCCTCCGAACAGCTATCAAGGCTTCGATCGCAACGGCAGCCGTGGCACCTGGCGCGGCGGGAGGAACAGGCGCGGTAGCGGCAGGTTCAACGGCAATGGCACGCCCTACGGCGGCTACGGCGGCGGCGGCGGCAGCAGCAGCAATGGCTTCGATCACCCCAACTTCGCGAACATGCGCGCGCCGTACAACAACTGGGCCATCATGCCTTCAGCGACTGGTCCGTTCGGTGGCAATATGAACACTCCGCCGTTCAACCCATTCATGGTCAACGGATTCGGGATGGGCATGCCCGGCATCATGCCGCCACAAGGCCTTCCTGTCAATGCTCCGTTTCCTAATATGTCTAGGGCTAGCAACTACGCTGGCGGGATGCCGTCTGCCCATGGTACTCCGGCTCTGTATGCGCCGGCTCCGCAGCGTGTGGCGCACTTCGTGCCGGGACCCTCCTTCACCCAGACGCCTGAGGCCGCTACTCCACCCAAGACGCTGAGTGCCGTGCCCACCGGCACCGGGAGGCCCAACACTCTGAAGGTCGTGAAGCAGCGCACTGCTCCCTCAACGCGCGCCGCTTCCGCCGGACCCTCCGCATCCGCGACCGGCAGCAGCAGCCTTCGCTCAAAGAAAGGGAAAGGCAAGGCGAAAGAAGAGCAGCAGCCAGGCCCCTCCACCGACGTCAAAAACTCCACCGCCATCCAGCACATCGAGGCTCTGCAGTCCAGCGCGCTCCCCTCCGTCCGTGTCCGCATCGACGCCCGCTTCACCAGGCACAACGCCGAGAAAGCGAACTTCATCCAGAACCGCGAGAACTTGCTCAGCAGGCTCGACGGGGCGCTCACGCAGGTGCGCGCCGAGGAGAAAGAGATGGTCGGCTGGCAGGACCGCGCCATCGCCAGCCTGACGGTGGCGACGACGCGCACGGGCGGCGACAAGGACAAGGCGCTCAAGAACGCGGCCGAGTGCATGAAGAAGGCGAGCTACCACTCCGAGGAGGCGCGGCGCAAGTGCGATGTCGCGAATGCGTATCGCGCGGCATTGGACGATCTGGGGTTTAGGGCGATGACGGGGCTGGAGCGCTTCTATCGCGGCGTGTTTCAGGAGGTGCGGACCCCGTCTGGGGCGGCGGCGAGGATGAGTGAGCAGGAGGAGAAGGAGGTGAGGGCGTTCTCGGAGTGGCGTCTGGCGGAGAAAGACGAGGAGGATGGAGAGCGGGCTCAGGGCACGGAGGACGTCCAGAAGACGGAGCAGGCTGGCGTGAGCAAGAACAAGACCGGCGATGGAGCGAAGGAGATGCAGGCCGGAGCAAAGAAAGATGAGGGCGAGAAAGGACCAAAGATGACCACCGAGCATAAGGGCAAGACTGTTGCCACCGGCGCAGACATCAAGAAAGCGGACGGAGCAACCAACAAGGACGAGCAGAAGTTCACCGACAAAGCCACCGCCACCCAGAAGGGCCGGAAGGAGGACAAGAACGACGAGAAGCAGGACAAGAACCAGCAGGGAGACGGCGGCCCCAAGAAGAAGAACAAGTCCAAGAACAAAGGCAGCATGAAGAACAAGGACAACGTCGACTCCGGTGCCTCGTCAACTGCTCCCAAGGCCGACGGCGCCAAGGACATCAAGACCTCTTCGGCCACCGCAAAGGGCGACACCATCATGGACTGGAGCCAGATTGGCAGATTCTGAGAACTGGCGCAGTCCCCCCGGACAGCATCTACCCTGGGCAACAGCGTCTAGCGTGGGTGCTGAGGGGTGTTCACGGCGAGGGTCTATTACCGTTCCGACGTTAACGCATCTTCCTGGATGATGTCGCAGAGCATAGCCATAGTCTGTTGACGGTATACCGGCGCTAGATATGGTGAAACCGATGCTTGGTTATACGTCGGGTCATATAGAGATTGCCCCTATAGGAATAATTAAGAGATTCCTCATATACCTCCCGTCTACACCGTGACAAGTCAGCATTCAAACCCTCATTCCCGCACTTACTTACCACCCACATCACCCCCCCAGCCCCCTACTCTCACGTATACCACTCCCCCTCATCCCCATCCCCATGCCCCCTCTCCTTCTCCTCCAGCAACTCCCGCACCGTCCACGCCCGAAACCTAAACCCAGGCACCGCATTCGTATTCTCAAAGGGCGCGCCTTCGCGGATGTGCTTCACGCCCTTCTCATAGTTCGCATACGTGTACTCCTCCACGTCGAAATTCACCAGCCAGCTGCCCAGGAACTTTGCGCTTTCTTGGGGCTGCGCACCCCGCGCCTTGTCGGAGCTGGAGAAGGCGGCGCCGTTCTTGAAGCCGACTTTCTGCGCGCAGCAGACGCGCTCGTAGCGCAGGAGGGTGTGGATGCGGGCGGCGAGCTGAGGGGGTGGGAGGTGGTGTTAGCGCGTGGGAGGGGGAGAGGAGGGGAAGGGGAGAGGGGTGGATTGTTGGGGACCTGCACAGTTGGGAAAGGGGGTGCAAACAGAAGATGTTTGGCTGAGGACCGCAACAAACGTACCTGGATGTTCTGCTTGCCCGCGAGCTGCAGGCACGCTGCCAGAGAACAGCCGTCTTCCAGTGCAATACCGGCCCCTGTGCCGGAAGTCGGCAGGAAAGGGTGCGCCGCGTCGCCGATCTGCACGACGCGGCCGCATGGGGAAGAGTAGTTGGGCTGGGGATCGCGATACATGAGGCGCCAGAGGAGCACCTTGTTTTCCGGCACGGCTTTGACTATTTCGCGGTAGAAGGGCGCCCAGTCCGCCATGTATCGGAGGGTGGAATCCGTGGAAACGGTGTTGCCCCAGCTTTCATCTGTGCCAGGCTCGTCCTGTCATTGTCAATACAAATATAGGCTTGTGCTTTTACAAGGGACTGGCGGCTCACCTTGTGGACGAGGACCCAGGTGATGGACTCGTCTGACTTCCCAATGACAAGGTGAGCATCGGGCCCGAGGCTGAACCAGACTCCGGTCTGAAAGTCGCCGTATCCGTCACGGATGACGGTGTTCTTGAGGGCGATTTCGGCCGGGTAGGTCGCTAGGTGGCATGCATAGCCGCTGCTGATTGCTGCTTGCTTTTCGCCCAGAATTAGAATAGATGAGTCGGAGCCCACGCCATCGGCTGCAACGACAACGTCGGCTGTCTCTTGCGTGCCGTCGTCGTACTCAACGCCACCGTGGTGTTCGTCCTCGAAGTACTTCTTCACTGATCGGCCTGCGAGCATTGTGGCTGACATTAGCAAATATGTCGATTAAGAAAGGGCACAAGCGGGACACTGGCAGATGAGCCTTCCCTGACTCCTCGGGAGGGCCTCCACGAGTGGCTTTCAGTCGTCAAGGACTACGACACACTGGTCTATGCGCCGCGAAAGACGTACCCAGTTCAAAGGGAATGCCCAGCTCTTGCACATAACTCAACAGGAGCTTGTGCAGCGCCGGACGACTCGTAGGCCACGATGGCTTCTGAACATTGGCGAAGGGGAAGTCTCCAATGCGCGCCATATCGCTCTTCATAATGCGGGCGACTGGCTTCATCGTGTGCGGCATCAAGCGCTCTATGAAGCCCGGCCATCGTTGGACGATGGTCTGCGCCGCGCCTGGGACTGCGATGAGACCGCCTGTGCTTTGTCAGTTAACATGTTGTGTAAAGCGTGCTCCATGTTCGACGGAAGCATATCGATCGCGTATCGTGAGCTGAAGCTAGTCAGGCTTCGCAACCCGCGCTTAGACTGACTTACCTCGGTCGTAGAAGTCCAGTCGCCTCTCGACGATCCGAACGTCGTGGCCTTTGCGGTATGCCTCGATGCCGAAGCCCAATCCGCCAATACCTCCGCCGACGACGAGGATGGATATCCCACTGGATGGCTCTCTGATTGCGTCCATTGCTTCCTTAGCCATGACGATGGGTTGAATGTAATCCAGTAAAGACGGCTGTGTAGCAAAGGTGCAAGCGGTGCTGCTTCTTCTTTCCAGGCTTCATTAGGATTTTTATATTTCCACTTGCTCGACTCTTGGGAATATATTGCCCAAAGCCGTATGCACAGCTTCAGGCTTCAGGCGAACGTCAGCGCCGGTGGCCTGGTCTGCTCCGAGCATTGTTTGGATGATTACCACTATGCCCCTCTTCTCGCGCCTGAAATGACAATCGTTTAGGTCCGTCTGATTCGCCAAGCGATGGAGGTTGAACGCATCTCGATCATAATAGGAAATGGCTTCGCGCTCGCCGAATCGATCTGCCACACACTGATACTCGGTTCCGGGAAGGGATGTATCCCTTGGAATCTTCGAGGGAGCCGTGTTAATAGCAATAAGATGACATCGTTGTCGACGGAACGTATGGAGGTCGTCTGTCGGCGGGCGCGATTACCTCAGCCCGATCGCGAGAATAGCACCGCGAAGTCCCGATTTCGCGCTGCGCTTCCATTACCGCACTCATCGAGCTATGAGAAGACTCATGGAGATCTTGATGGCGTCCTTGGGGATGGCTGTCCCTGAAGCTGAGCAGCCCGAGTTGGAGATGTGACCCCACATCTCCGCATTGTGGGGAAGCTCGCCAACCTCACCCCATACGCCTCGACTCGCGTCGCGTCTAGATTTAGACTCGATGTGGGCCATGAATCTCTCCAGATACATATCCAGTCCCTGGGCCATGCAGGGACTGGCTTTACCAACGACCGAAGACCCTTCCGCATCGTAATCGGCCGCCATGCCCTCCCCTGCCTACATCAACGCCGAGTACCAATCGACGCACTACAACCTCTTCAAGGACTCCATTACCGTTCCGCTCAAGCCTGTGCTCCCGCCAGGCGTCACGCGATATGCCTTCGATGCGGCCATCATGCAGTACATGGCCGCGGTAGGCCACGAGCAGGTGCTGCAGGGCGACGCGTTGACCGAATACATCGATCCGTACGAGCTATGGGAAGCGGAGGGGAAGCGCAGAATGCCTAGCGCAGCTGTGCGACCGAAGAACACTGAGGAATTGCGGAAAGTGCTGAAGGTGTCGAACGAGTACAACATCCCGGTGTGGTACTTCTCGAGAGGGAAGAATCTCGGGTAAGCTCGTTTGCTTCATCACGAATCTCCTCCATAGAACAGCGATGGGGTGCTAACGAGATATGCCACAGATATGGAGGTCCAGCTCCACGCGTCAACGGGTGCGTAGCGCTCGACCTGCACCGGATGAACAAGATCATCGAAGTCAACGCCGAATACGCCTACGCCGTCGTCGAGCCCGGCGTCACCTTCACCGAACTGTACGAATACTGCGTCGCGCACAAGCTCAAGGTATGGCCTTCGGTGCCGTCCTTGGGATGGGGTTCGGTTGTGGGGAATACACTGGATCGCGGTACGGGCTTCACGCCCACGGCAACGCATCACCAGCACATTTGCGGCGTGGAGGCCATGCTCGCCGATGGCGAACTAGTGCGAACAGGGCAATTCGCCGTGTCGGGATCGCCGTCGTCGCATCTGTCCAAGTTTACCTTCGGCCCCAGTATCGAGGGACTCTTCCTCCAGTCGAATCTTGGCATTGTCACCAAGCTTGGTATATGGCTTACGCCGGCTCCGCAGGCATTCATGTCCTGTTCCTTCAACATGCCAGACTTTGAGGATGTGGAGACGATAGTCGATGTCTTCGGGCCGCTGCGCCGCGACGGCCTCCTGCCCAACACTGTCTACGTGTCCAATCTCGTAGAGTGGCTGGGTATGCTGGGAAAGCGCGAAGAGCTGTGGCCCGAACCCGGAGCGATACCTGAGTGGCGCCTGAAAGAGCTACAGAAGCAGCTTGGCATTGGATACTGGAATGCGAAGTTCGGACTGTACGGCGCAAAGGAGGTGGTGCAGGCGCACTTCAACGAGCTCAAGAAGATCGTGGCAAAGAAGGCTCCCAAGGGGAAACTCACGGGCGAGATCTTCTCCGCTGAAGATGGCGAGACGCTGGACCCATCATCTGTCCCCGAGCCGCATGGTGGCTTCTTTGTAGGCGTTCCGAGTCTGTGGAGTCTGCCCATGGTGAAGTTCCGGCTACCCAAGAAAGGCGGCGGCATTGGTGCGCACTACGACTACAGCCCGATAATACCGTCAAGCGGGAAGACGGTGCTGGAGTGGGTGAAGACTGCGAAGAAGTACGTTGCTTGTACTCCACTCCGAGCTCGGCGACTAACGCGTCTACAGGGTGTGCGAAGCCGAATCCTTCGACCTCTTCTGCGACTTCTTCATGCACGAGCGCCACGTCATCTTCGTCAACATGATGACCTTTGACAAGACCAACCCCGCCCACAAGCACTCCGTCGAAACCATCTTCTCGAACCTGTTCAAGGAAGGGCGGAAGCGTGGCTTCAGCAAATACCGGAGTCACGTCAACACCATGGGTAAGGCGCCAGTCCTTCGATAGTATTGCATCCAGCGCTAATTTATTAGATCTCGTTGCTTCCCTTTACGACTTCAACGATCATGCCTATCGCCGCTTCGTAGAGAAGATAAAAGACGCGCTCGATCCGAACGGCATTCTCTCGCCTGGAAAGCAGGGCATATGGCCGAAGCGCTTCCGCGAGAATGAGAAGCTAAAGGCGCACTTGTAGATGCATGTTGCGTTTGTAAAACACTGCTAGTAAGACTAGAATTTCATCAGTTTCTTCTCTTTTGAGACTCCTTGATCTCTTCCTATGATACAATCATACTCTCCCTTAGCAAGGTAAGTAGAGGACGTCCGCGCCAGGAGGTCGCAAAGAATAATCAAAGGAAGAAACGGTGAAACATTAGATCTCAGCCTCAAGCCCGCGAATATTCCGCATCTAACCGGAGTATCCTGCTATTATCTGTTTTACTCACACCGACTTTCCCGAGCAACCGCTGTAGCGTTATCATTATCAGAGCCGTCACTCCGCCGGTTGGTAGCGCATAGACCGCAAAAGCTCGAAGACCATCCCCACAACTCGCGCGCGCACCTCACCCGCTTTGTTTATCCCTAGCATTAGGTAGCATGGCTCCGATACCCAACAATCCTCGCTCGTCGGACTCTAACGTGGATCTCGAGCACGCGGCGACAATGAAGGAGCTAGGCGAATTGATGCTGGCGGAGAGGGTAAGATCAACATACTCTACCTGGTTCCGCGACAACCATGCTGAGTATTTCAACAGGAGTATGAAAGCCCACAGGAGCTGGCAGCCTCTATGCTCGTCTTCCCCGGGCGGCGGTCCCAACCGGTCTCGATTGCCAGCTCGCGGACGTCGCGCAGCAACTCTCGGGTATCGCAGAGGAGTGAGGAGAAGATTGTCGTATTCAAAGATGAGGTAGGTTCCATTATACCTACCCTACTGGTATCGTATTGGGCAGCCTGACGGACTTTGTAGAACGATGGACGGCCGGTACAGAGGGCCAATCAAGCTCCAATCGGGCCCTCGGTGTCGTCGTCGAGATCTACGATGGAGAAAAAGCTAGAGGCTTTGCATGCCCACTCGCAGTCAAACTCCGATTCTTCAGCATACCGAATGCGGCCTGCCAATGTCGTCGCTCAGCATGTTAGCAAGGCGCATCCGCACCTTCAAGCTGCTACCACCTCTCCCGATGCCCAGAGTCTCGTCGAACACCTACACAGCATCGCCGAAGAGCGAGCACAGCTTCTCCGCAGACTGACTACCCTCAACGAGGCGGAGAACGAAATCTTAGCACGCCTCGCACACTCGATCCCTCCCTCAGCATCTGGACACTCGCGCACCCTGAGCAACGAAAACGCCGTTCTGCCTGCATCAGCGCCGCGCACAGTACCTGCCGAACGTCCTGTTCTCCCCGCACCCTCAGAGAAGCTCCCGCCACTGCAGCCGTCGAAAACAGCCCGCACACAGCCGCGGCTTCCCCGCCCAGTCTCAGCGCCACCGAAATCGACGCCCTCTGGCTCACAGCACCGTACACCGAGCACGTCCAAGCGCATTCCACTCGGCGACAAGACGGACGCATCTCTCGCGCCGTTCGACTCCGCACCGGCGTACACCATGGAGCAACACATCGCCTCTCCGGGGCGGAAGTCTCCAGACCGGGCCCCTGCCCCAGGCGAAGCCTCCTATCACCCGACCGAAGAAGCCACGCCCGCTCGGCCCGGGCGCCCAGTCCAGGTGCCGACAAAGTTCGGCGACGACGAAGAAGAAGAAGAAGAAGCATTGGAAGCCCACGGACAAAAGCGCGGCAGGCCAGGGACGCCAGCCCGCGTGTCGAGGTCCTATGACGTGCCTCCTACCGTGGCGCGGAAGCGCTGGGCTTTCTGAGGGGTGCGGGGGTGCTGGCTACGTGCGCGCGTCTTTGTGTTTAGCGGTTGGAGGCCGACGCGCGGGGGTAGAGTTAGGCTAGATGCGATGGAAACGTTATGGCGGCATCAATTGTACTATGAGGTTTCTCACACGGTTGCGCGGAAGAGCTGGGGCTTTCTAGCATAGATGCGTGAGCGTGTGGAGCTTCGGTCGCGTTGGACGTGGACGAACGGCTTCGTCTTCGTGCTTTGAAGGCCGACGCGCGGAGCTATGCGGGATTCGATGGAACTGTAACTGTCACCGTAACGGAACTGCAATGCAGGTATTAGTATGCAGTTAGTACTATGACCTCCCTCCTACGCTTGCGCGCAAGAGCATAGATGCGTGAGCGTGTGGAGCTTTAGTTGCCTTAGTTAAGGACAAACGGCTTCGTCTTCGTGCGCTGAAGGCCGACGCGCTGAGCTATGCGAGCTGCGACGGGGAAGACGCGGCGGGGCGTAGTAGCGACTAAGAAGAAAGAACAAGGACACCTGCTCGACGTCGTTGCGCCGCCGTTTCGTCCGGTGAGCTGGAGTCTTGCGAGGGTTTCGGTGTCCCGTGCACGTGGGTGCTGACTGCGGATAAGACAGTGGCATGGGTGGGTGCTGGATGGGTGGTTGAGGAAGAGCTCGAGGAGATTTGCGACCTTACTACAAAAGACCGAGCATCTCAATGATTAAGGTGACTCTCTCAGCCAAGGCGTTTTTGCATTCGGAGAGATAGCGCGGAGATCTTATGCTACGGGATTCCTTCCTTACTAGTAGTACACACACCGGCAGGCATATCCACGCCAGTGTTTTTCAAGCTGGCGCGCAGAGAGTACGTACGTACGTACGCTCGTCAAAATAGGTATCGTGGTCATTTCAGTCATTTCAGACATCCATTCAATCGTTCATTCAGGCATCCAGCCTCGCCCCCATCCATCAGCCGGCTCTCCACCTCACCTCACTGACTCACTGATCCGGAATCGGCAGCTCCCCCTGCGTCCACTGCCCGCCCTTAATATCCCTAATAAACATACTCAAATCGTCGCCGCGCGTCTGATAAAACACATACAAGCTGGTGCCGCCGCTCTGGTCCTCGACCGCCGTGACGCTCATATGCGTGCCCTTGAGGCCGGGCACGGGGCCCTGCGCGCTGCCGACCGTAAATTCGTTATCGGCGACGCCCGTGGTGTTCTCCGCGGCCCATTGGATGTCGTGGCCCATGATGGTGCCGTCGGGCATCTGGGCGTAGAAGTACTCGGTGAAGCCGAGCGAGGTGCTGGGATAGACGTCCGGGATGGCGTAGTGCGTGGCGTTCTTCCAGTCGTTGATGGGGTGCGCGGAGGTCGAGGTCAGGTTGTCGTTTGTGTCTTTCCACCAGATTGTTGCGGTGTCTTGCGTGTCGACCATCATCGCGTAGGTGACGCTGCCCGGGCCCCAGCTGTAGCAGCCGACGCCGGCGTGCACGTTCATGTCCGTCCAGGTGGTTTGCTCCTCCCACTGCTCTTGCCCCTCGTACCAGCCGTATTGCATGAATGTCGAGTCGTCGGAGGGGTACCATAGGTGCATGCCGGCGGTTGATGAGTTGAAGGGGATCGTGTTGTTGTTTCCGTCGCGGGTCGGGAACTTGGATGCATCAGAGTCGCCGTAGTAGTTGCCGTACCAGCACGCTTGGAGGCCGACGTTGGGCGCATCATAGGCGGTGAGGTTGAGTTCGGTGAGTGGCCCGTCCTGCCAGATGTTGGTGCTGTTGCTGTTCTGCTTTTGCTTGACGACGTTGTCTTCGGAGACGTAGAAGATGTGCCACTGTGCGGTCGAACGTCAGCATCCCGCGAAGGAGATATGCTAGTGGACAATAGCTTACGACTGAGGTGTCATTCAAGGAGTATGAGACTGCGGATATGGGCGTGGCGTTCTTCGCGTCACTCGCAATGACTTCGCTTTTCGTCCCGCCGATCCATTCGCCCTTGGGCGTCAGTTGAATCCATCTGATCTCGCCCGACCAATGCTGAAAGTAGACCGTCATGATCTTGCGCTCCTCGTTGTTCCAGAACTCTGTCGCTAGCGCGATACCGGAGCCGTTGAACGTGCCATTGCTCGTATAGTACGAAGTGCCGAGCGCGCCGCCAATGCAATACTCTGGATTCGCAGCACAGTATGGGTCAACCAGGCCGGGACCGCTGGCCTGCAGTCAGCGATAGCTTCTCGAGAGCCCTTCTCGGTCACTTACGATGACTTATGATCCTTTTTCAGTCCAAGTCCAAGCCCCAGACCAAGCCCCAGAGCGAGGAGAACGACGAACACCAAAATGATCACTCCCAACAGATAACGCCTGGGGATACCGCATCTCTTATCGTCGCCCTTCTCTGAAGGCAGTTCCGAGACTCGTCGCGGGACGGGTTCGCCCTTCTCGTTGAACTCCAGCGGTTGAAAGCCAGACACGACGGTTCCATCCTCCGAGAACGGGGAATTCGGTCTCTGTTGGCTCGCCAGCCACGGTTCAACTACTTCTGGCGCATCGTGCAGGACTTCTTTCGACGACGCTGGCCTGCGGAATCATCAGCGATCCGACCGTTCACGCCATGGGGGAGCCGCACTCACTCGGGATTGTGTGGGAAGAGCTTCTCCGGCGCCTGATCGCGAGGAGAATCATTCTGGAGGGGCGGGCTCACTGGAGACGTGCCCTCCGGTGGGTGAGCGATCTTGTAGGTGGTGTCCACCTTGGTCTCTGGGGACGTCGACTCCATGCTGGGCAATGCAACGTTCCATCGACGGCGACTGTCCAGCGGCAGCGACCGAGCAACCGGCGCGTCAGCTGGGGCCGGACATATATATTATCTGCACCCATTCCACGCTGTCCCGCTCTTCTAAGCGGGGCCCGCGCAGCTGGGTGTGCAGCGAATCTGGAGCTCCCCCTCAAGGACCCTGGGCCCAATGCGGTGAGATTGTACGCAGTAGGCGGCGACATGCTTGCCGCGCTACCGCATGCGGCTAAAGTGCCCTTCGTAGGGCAGAGCGGGAGGAGGCCGTTGATCGATGCCGGATCGGGTCCTTCGCTGGACCGGCCACCACTCGCCGTGAAGTAGACGCAGGTAAGCACACCAACAAGTGGTGAGAGATGAGTCCTCTTAACCGCCGACAGTCTGACCGGGTAAAGCTCCAGTGATTGACATGGAGAGCAGTGGGGCGCAATGGCCTGGGATTGTGTTCCATCGCTCCAACGTTTATTACTGCTGTGGTTCAGCGAACGCTCGCGTGCGACGAGGCCAGTTTTCTTGTGTGTGGTCGCCAGACGCGCTCAGTGGTGGAGGTCAGCGAGCACGCCTAACTGCGCCGGGCGACTGCTGATTATTCGCCGCCGGATACAGCAAAGGCTGCGCTCACCCCATGCTGGATCGGCGTGAGAATTGCAGCGAAGCAGCTGCCGGACGAACCCCGCCATGCATGTGTTTTCCCTCCATACCGCTCAATTCGCCGGGCCTCACAGTGTCTCGGGCTTGCCAGCGACGGCTTCGCCTTGATGCGCTTGCCACAAAGGCGTCTTGATATTGCAATGGCTGACTGTGTCGCCGGACAGTTCGTTCGGTCGATGTGGGTGAGCGCCACTTCGAGTATGGTGATGACATAAGCAGTGGCTGTTCTGCGGGTGGCTTCCGCTTCCCGAACGGGATGGATGCGGGGCTGAAGGTCGGCGACCACTCAAGCTTCTGCCAGCGCAAGGCGCATTTCTTATCTCCTCCCTTCATCTTCTCCGCTCATGAAATTATTGGCCCCTTGTCGTCGCGACCGGCCTGGCCGTTTCGAGCGAGTGAGCGAGCTCGCTGTATGCTAGGCTGGCGTGCGCCTGCATCCGGACAGGGGAGCATTCACATGACTAACATCTCTCCACTAAGCTTGGATGGGGTTGCAGGCAATCATTTGCCTTGGAAAAGTGCAGAGATACGCAAAATTGAGGCCTTGTAACAGTTGGTCCCGAATTGTGGCGTCCCCGTGTTTGCGCGGCTCGCCCGTCATGGAAAAGTAGAAGAACAGGATTATATGTGCGCAAACGCCGGGCTGGCTGATGACATTCGACTGGGGCATACCTAGAGGAGCGGTTATGTGGTCCAAAATGCCGGTGCCGGCCCCAGTAGCCTCAGTTTGACGCAAAAAATCAGCCCGGCTATACCCCCATCTCGAATCCGGGAACGTGGCCATATCCGCTCTATCGGTACCTTTGCCGCCTGCCACTCCTCCCTCACTGAGTGCCATGAGCCCTCCGAAACTCCAGCTCGATCTGGGCACCGTGGAGGCAGGACGCAAGCGCCATTGATTATAATAATGGTCCATTGGAACGCCATTGCCTCCCCACTCCCCAAACCAAATGCCTCCAGTCCAAATGCCTCCAGTCCAGATGCCTCCAGAATGAAACCTCCAGACCGGAACCTCCAACCAAACCACCGAACGCCATCTCCTAATCGAAGCCCGAACAACATCCCCATCATACCTCTATCCTTCTTCGAGGCAGATTCCTGCCCCTGCTCTCCACCCGCCGCATGATCTCCACCGATCCAAGGCGATGCCAGACTTCGCCCTCCGAGCACGCCAGCCTTGCCTATTTCCGTCGGAAGCCCCTAGCTGCTAGATCACTTGTCAGTCGACGAGCAAACTTACCTTGACCTTGTTACAGTGTCATACACCCTACCGTAGGTCCCGGCGACTAGGCATGTGCCGGAATGCGTTCTCCGAGAAGATCGCCTCCTGAATGAGGCCATGATACTCGTCGCTCTGGGGAAAGTTGGACATGGACCGACTAACGCAACGAAGGAGCTTCTTCTGCTGTAGGGCGAACTGGTCGTCAGGAAGCCGAAGCATTCCTGCAAGTGTCAAGTCCGACTGCAGCATCCACTCGTCGATGCCAGTCTGCATGAATTCTCGGGCCACGAAGAGGATTTTGAACGGAAGCCCGACCAGCCCATCTAGGCTAGCGAACCCTAGGAACAGCTCTTTCTGGGCCCCGAACTTGTTCGCCTCGGGGTAGCCCTGAACGTAGCGGGTGAAGTAGTGCCTCGTCTCCATAGAGGCGTGGTCGATGCCACACGCCGGTGCATTTGGATGAAGGGTCCAGGATCTGCCTTGCAGCGAGCAGTCGAACCGAAGGACAATCTCAGAGCTGGATGCGAATTGAGAATCCCATACTCGGGCGCTCTGTGAGGCGAAGACCGCTTTGGGCGGGATGCTCATGCGAACCTTGATTTCTTCGACCCTGGAGACGGGCGTGCCTGAGAAAGTGATTACCGATCAACCTTAACGCACAAGGGTTGCCCACTACCTTTCAACAGCTGTGCGACGAAATCGTGGAGATAGGCGACGGCTTGTTCACCCCGGCCGAGACCAAGGACCGCAGTCTTGGCTTCGCCGTCCGGGAGTAGTCGGGACGGGAAGTCGAAGAGCGCACGGCCAGTTGCTGCGACATTGTTTGCCATCTCATGTACGATGATGGTATTCCCCATCGTGACAATGTTTTGGACATTGATCTCGAAGGCCTTCTCCGAAAACACCTGGAAGACCTTCTGGACGGTATCTCCAATGCGGTCGATAAGCTTCTTGACGAGGTTTCCGCAATGACCTTTGTGTCGAGACAAGGCCGCCTTCTCGCAATACTTGTCGCAGTAGCTCACCATAGTGCACGCAACACAGCGGAAGGTGGCGCCGCTCCGACCGCAGTTGGCGCAATTCTCCTGGAGGGTGGGGCTCATGATGTCGAACTTGAACTGTGGGCCACTTTATGTTATGGCACGCGGGAAGTCTAAGCAGAGACTTGAACGCCGCCCCCTCGGACTCCATGTTGAGCCAGAGGAATGCCACCCACAGTGGTATGTGAACTTACCTGGATTTCCTTACCCGATGATGGCTTGTCGATATTTCGCCGCAGTGACCTAGCTTGATACGGCCGAGCTCAGACGATTTGCATGGATAAAGAACAGCAGATTGGAGTGGAACATCATGTTGTACTGACCTCTTTCTTTTCCAGTAGCTGAGACGCCGACGAGAGGACAATCCAGAGCCGACCGATCGAGCGTTTGTGGGTCGAAGAAAGAAGAGTAAAGAATCCGGTAGTAGAGCCTAAAGAGCCGTGGCTTAAGGTCTTGGGTGTGGTGAGCGGGAAGGAGGAAGGGTGTGAGTTGAAAAGAGTAAGAATATATATCGAGTCTCAGGGTCGGTGGGAGAACTGAGTAGTGGGAGCGTGGACGCAGTCGAGCTCGAGAGACACGTCTCTCACGTGAGATGAGAGATGAGAGGTAAGAGATGACGCTAGAAGTGTTGATGCGGGTCACGAGATGACGCTTGAACGCGATAGCCAACGATAATGTCCCTGGTGAGAGAAGAGTGCGTGGAGTGTGAACGGACGCGTGAGGCCCGGCCTGCGTCACTGATGCAGAATATCTTCTCATCTCCATTGCTGCTCTCATCTCTCTCACTCGTTTGCACATAGCATCACCAAGTACTACCGCAGTGGTCTCGGTGTAAAATACCGCTGGGTCGCAAACATGGCGACATCGGAAGGTGAAGGCGCTCGCATCAAGGAATTCATTAATCCGGACCGCGGTCGGCACATCCTCGACATTCTCATCACAATCCCATCTGAAGCGTCGGGAAACTTCTCTGCCGTTCATTACTTGTTGCTCTATCCGCTGATCTCGGGCCGTCGTCGGGTCCACTCGTGGACATTCTTCTCACGTGTTTCAGCAACGACAACAAGGTTTCGACAAGCCTAGTCAAGACAGTGGCTTGTTTCATACGTCAACTATCCCGAAGCTTCTTCGGTTTTGATTTGCGCCTAGTGCTCGGTGGAACGTCCGGCTGCTGCCCAATTCCGACGGGTGTCGCTCGTAGCATGCCCACCCCCTCCACAGCGATCCGTTTAGACTGCCTTTCAGGGCACAAAACGGATGCAATGGAAGCCGAAACATTCCCCCACACAAAGCTATTTGCGGTCTCAATTTGGAAGCACTAGATACAGCCGTTGAGTGTTTTCCAACTTCGATGTTTATCATAGTCCGGCTGCCCGTTTCGATCATCGCTGGGGAGCTTGCTTGAGTGATCAACGTTTTACAGCCCACATATTCCTGACATGGCTATACGAAGACGTGGATACATGTACGCCAGCGCGAGGAAGCGTCAAGAGGAGGAAGATGAAGATGAGAACGAACCCGACGAGGTGGAGCCACAAGAACCGGACGAGGACGAAGACGACGATGATGATGATGACGAACAACCACCAGCAGCGAATGGAAAAGGGAAAGGGACTGCGCCTACTCCCCCTCCGCCTCCTCCGCCTCCTCCACCCCCATCCACCATATCACCACCGGAGTCTACATCCTCAGTCGCTCCACCTCCCGTTTCACAGCCTACGATAGTCTTCACCGCGCCGCCTACAACAGCCACAAAGTCGGGCTTCTCCTTTGACCCGATTACCTTTACGCAAACATCGTTCATCACAATTACACAGTCAGCAAAAGGAAAAGGAGAAGCTGACCAGTCGTCCGAAGCGACATCGCCTTCCACCGCGCCTCCAACGGTGGTCGTGACTGCTCCACCAGAAGTAGTAACAGTGACCTCACTGCAGACTGCGGAAGTTGCCTTCCCATCCGCAACCACGGGAAGTCCCACCTTCGGGGTAACACCTCAGACGCCTACTGCACCTCCACGCGCCCAGGTAGTAGATCACAGCATATCTCCAGTGGCGCGAAATTTCCTCATTGCGCTGGGAGTAATGGGTAAGTGCCTCTAGGAGGAAAATTCGACAGGCTGAGCTGACCCATAATAGGCACAGTTTCCCTTCTACTCGCCGGTGGCATCGTTCTGACGCGGCGATTCACGAAGACAAAGAGACGGCGAACTCTCGCGGGGTTGGAGGATCCCGTCCAGAGTAACAATCCCTTCGACAGCCCGGATAGCGACCCCAACAATATGCTCGGAGTTACGACACGCATCACAGCCAACGATCCTCCGCCTCAGAATCCGTTCATTGCAGCCCAGGAAAAAGCGCCGGAGCCGGTATGGGAAGAGGTCAAGCTGGATACTGCACCAACCGAGAATGTATGTTTGATCGCCAATGCTTAACCAATGGCGCACCGGCTAACTTCTTTTCCCCCAGAATAACGCCGCAATGTCGCCGCAAAGCCGCAGCTCTCTTAGTGATGCGATCTACTCTTTCTATGCGAAAACTCGGAGGTTGTCGTACAAGATATCACCTTGACCCGTATATCTCGTCCTGCTGTGCAGGACCGTCATTACCGTATATATTTTAATGCATTTACCCTTTTTTAAAGAAATGTTCATAGAATTGCCGGTGCCTCGGCAGAGCAGATCTGTTTGTCTCGCATGAAGCAGGATGATGTGACGTTGGGGTGTCGGCCACCCTCATGCCCGAGATCGCTTCAAACACGCATCGTTTCGCATGCAGCATCCCGCTCTCCCCACAACACTGATCACCCCCAATCCACGACCTTGCTTCTTCATACTGTTCCAGCCCTGACAGATATGACATATCTTGGCTCTGTAGCAGGATTTGAAAGCCGTGCTGCGGCTCCCGGAATGCCTAAGTACCTCAGGTTCCCAGCACACAGCACTTCGGTTCGTCCTCCACAATCGCTTGGACGATGTCGCTCTACGAACCCTCGGTGCGGAGTAGCACTTGGTCGCTCATTTCAAGGCGCGTCTCGCAGCGCTTCACCACGTTGGAAGGATGGCGCGAAATCGGGCTGGGCGTGTTTACCATGGGCCATAATATTCGCATGTTCTCGATCAGACACCAATTCGACCCTGAGAGCTTTCGGAAAGAGGAGTTTACGTTTACCACGCCTCGAGATGCGCCGCCGGTGCCGAGCATCGCTTCTATCGAGAAGTACCAGGACTCCGCTGGAGGCACGATTGGGAAGGCGGTGGGCTCGGTGAAGGATCCGAAGGGGCGCCGGTCGCAGTCGAAGTCAAGGTCGCGGTCGCAGCGGCCACGCCTACGGGTACCGGAGCCATACCACGTATTTACGTACGGAGAGAAATGGCCGCTGGTGCTCATCGTCGGAGCTGCTGCAATCTTTCCTGGTCTGACAGCGACTATCTACCTGCCGGCGTTGGATAGGATCGCACGGGTAAGAATCCAAACTCCCCCCACAAGCTCCAATCTAACCTAGTATAGGACTTCAATGTCTCTCTCGAAACAATAAACCTCACCGTCACCTCCTTCCTCCTCGTCCAAGGAATCGCGCCGCTCTTCTGGGGCCCACTCTCAGACACGCTCGGCCGACGCTCCGTCCTGGTCTACTCTTTCCTAATCTACGTCGCTTCCAGTCTGACCCTCAGCTTCTCCCCAAACTTGCCCGTCCTTTTCGTCTTCCGGAGCCTGCAGGGCGTCGCCATCGCCTCGACCATATCTGTCGGGTGCGCCGTCATCCAGGACATCTCGCCGCCGCCAGAGCGAGACCACTACTACAGCTTCTACTGGGGCGCCAAAAGCAGCAGCCTCGTCCTGGCGCCGATCATAGGCGGCCTGTTCTCCAACTTCCTCAGCTTCCGCTCCATCTTCGTGTTTCTGTTCGGCATGTCAGTCGCCGTCTTCATATTCATCCTGCTCTTCCTGCCGGAAACGCTGCGGAGCGTCGCGGGCAACGGCACCTTGCCGCTCGCTGGGATGGATCGGCCGCTGATCTGGAGGCTGAAGGTTTTCGGCAAGCCGGCACATGAGAAAGAGGAGCTGCTGCCTGGTGTCCGGCCGAAGTTGGCGCTCAGGAAGTTTGTGGAGCCGTTCCGTCCGCTGAAGGAGAAGGATATCATCGTCAGCCTCGTCTTCAGCGGCGTTATATTCGCCATCTGGATGGTGGTTACCGTGAGCACGGTGGGGCTGTTCAAGGAGACGTTTGGATTGAACGAGGCATTCCTGGGCCTGGTCTTCCTCCCGAACGGTACGTACATCCAACGCGACCCCTGTCAATGCCCTCCCTCTTTTCAGAACCAAAGTACTAACGCTATGCAACCAGCTCTCGGAACGATCGTCGGCTCCACAGTCATCGGAAACATTCTAGCCCAAGACTTCCAAACCGCCTGCTCAGCCTACAAAGCAGCCCACTCTCTCCCCCCGTCGGCCGTCGTCTCCCGCCACCCATTGCCAGCGGACTTCCCGCTGGAACACACGCGGCTCGTCCGCCTCCCCGGACTCACAGTGATCTTCGTCATCGCGCTCTCCTTCTACGGCTTCACGCTGTACTACCCCTCATTATACTCGCTCGGCGGCTGGATCGTGCTCCCGCTCCTCCTGCAATTCCTCATTTCGGTAATGGCGCACGCCATCTGCGGCATTCACCAGACGCTAATCCTGGACCTGTGGCCGACGGACAGCAGCGCCGCGGGCGCGCTCAGCAACCTCTCGCGATGCGTGCTCGCTGGCGTCGGAGTGGCGGTGGTGCAGAAGATGCTGGACTGGATCGAGGTGGCGCCGACGTTCCTGGCTTTGGCGATGGCGGTCATGGTGCTGGTCCCGCTGCCGGTGGTGCAGTGGTACTGGGGCGGAGACTGGAGGAGGGCGCGGGACGCACGGGCTTCCGCTGACGCTGTAGAGCAGCTTGAAAAAGTCTAATATGACAATCTTAGACATAATAGTAATTTATTAAGTTTGAGTAGGAATAGATACCTTGTCGAAATCTGCGTGCTCACACAATAACACTCGAAGGCGTGAGGATGGCAAGGAACATTCCATCACAGCCCCCGTACACTCCATCCCACTCCTCAGCATCGCGCCGGCAGCGGCTGTTCTACGCTTTCCCTAGCGCCCTGCTAACACGAGACAGTCTCGCGTGCGTCCAAGCTTCGCGCGGCGTGTAAACGGCTATCTAGAATTGCGCTTCACGCTCTACCGTCTTTGGCTAGTGGAGCCTAGTGCAGTCTTCCACACTTTCCCAATGCCGCAAGTTTCAGCCTTGCTACGCCGGGATCGCGCATATGGTCGGGGTTCTTGGAACTTATCGTTATTATTTGGTCCGGGGGATGGCGTGATGCGATTCTGTTCTAGGGGGGGCGTGCCGCTGTCGGACTTCATGCTGTGCGAGGCGAGATATGGAACTGCTGGCGTCTGCGGAAAAGAGATAGTGGCTGGAGCTCCTATTGGGTGTGCGGGTGGGGAGGACTTGCAGACTCCGGTCCTCGTTCGCGGGAAGGCGGCGTCAGAACATGCGCTCTGGAGTAAGAGCACGACGGACGCGAAGCAACACCACCCGGCGACCACGGGTCTGTTGGGATGATTTTCATTCTTACATGATGTGTTTGGTGCCGGAGACGTATTACACTCTACACAACCTCCCATTTTGCGTCTGCGTCCCCTGGTCTCCGTCTCTCACCTCCCACTCCTCACTCCCAACCGCTGTGGTGGCATAAAACACACTCTTAGGATCCCACTTCTTCTTCAGCTCCAACAGCCGCGGATACTGCGTGCCGTAAAAGCTCTCCTGCCACCTCGGTTCCATAACATTCGCCTCGTTCAAATAGCTCCCGCCGAACTCGCTCTCGGGCGCAACCTCGCGCCACGGCCCCAACACATCGTACGTGAGCGAATCAGTGGCCTTTTGCAGCTCAGCAGCCGTCGCGTTCTCCGCGCCTTCGACGATAGCAGCACCAATGAGGAAGCTGATGACATGCCGGAAGGCGGAGGATACGGCGTTGTCGACGTTCATCCTGTTGCGCGGCGCTTGGTGATAGCCGCCCATAGACTTTCCACTCAAACTCTGATTTCTGAGAACTGCGAACATTTTTTTGAACTTCTCGGGGTCTTCCCAGTTGCCGCGCGGGAAGAGGCGATTCCCGGGGAGGGCGGTGAGGCCTGCAACAGTGTCGTTGCCCCAGTTTTCGTTGTACGCCGGGTAGAAGGAGTCGTATAGGGTTGTTTTAGGCGTGAATTGGATACCGAGCTCGTGCAGGCGGTCGAACCACGGCTTCACAAGCGCGTTGAAGGAGTCGATGGTGTGGTTCGGTGCAAAGAACGGGACCATCTGGAATTGGAGACCGTCGTTCTGAGCCCAGATCCAGAAGTAGGAATACGTGTGTGCGTCCGTGAAGGGGATGAACATCTCGAAGTACTTCCTGATGCCTTCCCAGAGTAACTCTTTCGTGACGTTACCACCAGTTCCGATAGTGAAAGATGAGGTAACGATCGGCACCTTGGGATGGACGCGGATGATGACCGAGGTTACCACGCCGAACGTGCTCCCTCCGCCCCCTCGCAGGGCCCAATACAGATCTGGGTTCGAAGTATTGGATGCTGTTACGAACCGCCCATCAGCTGTTACGACTTCAAGCGCTTCCACGTTGTCTGCGGCCATGCCATAGTATCCGCTCATCGGCGTGTGGCCGCCGCCAGCAATGTAGCCGCCCGCATATCCCACACTTTCGCAGATTCCTCCGAGTGCCGTGACCTCGTACTTATGCGCTGCTTGGTACACCTCCCTTACTGTGACACCAGCGGCTATTTTCATCGCCTTGCCCTCGTAACCGGAATCGCTCTTGTAGTTTTCGATGAACTGGATATCCTTGAGATTGTGCGTCCAGATGCTCAGGGCGCCGGCTCCAAGGGACTTGCCGAGGTAGTCGTGGCCGGTGTTCTTGATGACAAGCCGCATGTTATTGTTTCGAGCGAAGTTCAGCGCCAGCTGGATATGCGCAACAGTCGACACATTCACTGCATACGACGGGAAAGAGCCCAGCGTGCAGGTACCATTTGGCCGGTCGTATGGAAGGCATGTCCGTCCTTGGAAAATGGGCCACATGTTAGACGTTGGATCCGCTTCGCTGGCAAACAATCAGTCTAGAGCCACGACATCTCGGTAGGATACTCATACTGAAGATACGGATTTGTGAAATTCTTCGAGATCTCCGCGCATTTCCTGGCGTCATAGAGTCCCCAGTTCTTGTAGCACGGAGCCGCAAGAGGAATGGTAGGAATCAACGCCCCGTCGGCTAACGCATCGAACCTATCCCAGGTCTCTTTCGAGGGCCACTCTTCGTCTCCCGGGAAGATCTTGCATTCTCCGCTCCTTCTGAAGAGACCCGAATTGACAGCGCTATTGTCGAAGCCGAACAGCTTCTGGTCTCTGGTAGACAGACTTGCGATGACATCGTCAGTGAGCTGTGTGGTCTCAAAGTCGAACAAAGGGGCGTCGGTGACTGTCGAATTCACTGGCACAATCGTCAACGCCGGATCCGCGATGACTACTCGTGCAAATAGCACAAGGAGAGCGCCGAGATGAAACAAAAAGTCGATTGGAGCCATTGGACTGGTAAATCTGGCTCTGATCTACCGAGTTCGTAGCGAAAATCGCCGGTCAACCAAGCTACTTATTCCCCTCGTCCTCCCATGCCGTGCATGGGGGAAGAGCCCCACATCGGAGCGTGATTCAGCGGCGAGTTGTTCGAGGTTAGAACGCTGCTTATTGTGGAATCAGATCCGTCCGAGTTCATCTAATTGCCATGAGGAGACTAGAAGAGGCACTGGAGCGCAATTTAGGAAGGGCTCGGCTGCACACCCGTGCGGGTGAGGATCCAATCGACAGGAACGGCCCGGTGGTTGCAAGATGCCGTTGTTGATGTTATTCCGAGTTGCCGCTGCTAGTGCGCTCAGCCCTATTTCCCCATCAAGCATGAGCTATGCGCGATGAGCTACGTCCACCGGCCTGCCGTATTGCTTTCCTTGGAGTTCAAGCTGTGCGACAAAGTAAAACCGAGGCCATCCAGTTGATCAGGTGAACTGCTGGACGGCATGTACAAGGAGCTCCATAGTAGGGCGAAATGCGCGTTGAAGGGATGCGAGATGCTCCATGCGCGGCAATCCTACAAAGCAGGGTTGACCAATCAGATGCACCGGTTAATTCACAAACGGTCCAAGCTCTTGCATGTCAAAGTGTCGGGATTACCGGCTTCTCACCGCCCGCAGCTAATTCGAACGCTGGACACTTGATCCAAGACTTCCTCATCCTGCAGATACGACGGGATTCTCTACAGGATGGTTTCGGGATCCAACGTATTTTGCAGGAGGAAAGGTGAGTACCTAGGTATCCCTAGATTCAGTGACAGAGCATGGCGATTGACGAGCAATCACCTCGCCAGCAATTGGCGCCTGGCGCCTAGGAAGTGTAAAAGGATCGCTATGCCAGCCAAGCCATCAATTCTACCATCCAATCACCACAGCGCCATGCAACCGTGGGGTCTTGGAATCTTGGGTCTTTGGGCGATCTCTTCGGTCGTACCTCCTCTTCCTGTACAGGGGGTCTTGCGCAAGGCTTTTGGTTAACCCCTCCATCTCCATAACGTCACATTAATTGTGTGCAGTCCGATCGTAGATGAGATGCGCATGGTCCCGTTGGCGGTCCGACCTGATTGGCGGGCCGCTGGGGAACGTCGCCGACGCCAGGTGTTACTCGCGGCATTCTCTTTACAATTTAGCTCGATATCTCTCGAACCCGTGGAGAATCGGATTCTGTGAATTGTTTTTCCTTTTCGTCACCCCTCCGGTTTGGAGGCATGGCGCCTCGAACGCTTCAACCTTCGGCTCTCGCGCTTGTTACCGTTCCGGCTGTGGTATCGACGGTGATTGTGGGGTTGAGGTTATGGCGGAGGACCGTTACGAGCAAGTTTGCCATTGAGGATGTGCTCCTCCTCATCGCCCAGGCCTTGGTCATCGCGTTGACGTATACGACATGGCAGTGTCAGTCCTCCTGACTTGAGTATATCGCTGTGTCGAGGCCCTACTGACGCTGCTTCAGCATTCAAGAAGTCATGGTATGGTTACCATTACTACGACATCCCTCCGGGCGCGGTCGATCCGACGGAATACCAAAAATGGGGCTTCGCCAACGCGGTGGTTTATAATCCCATCCTTGGTCTGATAAAAGCTTCCTTCGTAATCACGCTTCTTAAGCTGCGCTCTCCGAACCGCCGCATCAACATCGCACTGTGGAGCATCTTCAGCGCCAATGCGTTGTTCACTATCGCTGCGCCCCTAGTATGCGCCTTCCAATGTCGACCCGTGTCTAAGTTCTGGGACAAGACGCAGCCGGGAACCTGTATCGACCCGGCGAATTACACGTATGGTACGATTTCTGTCGTACTCATCACCGACGTCGCGGTGGTCGCAATGCCGACCTGGATACTGCACAATCTGCGCATGCCATTCCGGAAGAAAGCGATGTATATCTCGTTCCTGAGTTTTGGTCTTGCGGTTACGGGCATCGGCGCTTACAGACTGTACGTCTTTGTGAACTTGTTCACGAACCGGATTCATGACCCCGATGCCAGCTATGGCGTTAGGCAGGGCCTCTCGAATGTGGAAGTGAGCCTGGCATCCATAGGCGCGTGCGGTGGCACGGTGAAATGGTTACTGGGGCGCTGCATTCCGGTTTTCAGGGATGAGGAGACACCGCGGTTAAGCAAGTATAACGGAGCTAGGAGCTCTGGCCACGGGAATGGAACGACAGGGGGAGCAATTGATCGCAATGGGAATTGGAGTTGGCGGAGTTGGGGTAGGGGAACGGTGAGCAGTACGCTGGCCTCGCGGGGAGACCTAGTTACACCTCCCGTTGTTTGGAAGAGAATCGAAACCCGAAAGCGCGAAAGAGACGCCAGGGAGGTGCAATCGGGAGCAATCAGCGACGATGGGCCTCAGGGGGAAGCTCGTGAAGATGTGCGAGATGAGCAGCAACCACGCGTACGCACAAGCGCGACCCAGGTGTCATCGAGCAAAAAGGTGAGGCCTCCGGATAGGCTACAAAAGGCCAGGATAGCATCATAATGGCTTTCAGAGGACAATGAATTCTGTTCCTTGTGAGCGTACGCTACAGTAGCGGTGTAGTTCATACCAGGAGTCTTGCTTTGTGACACCAGCCCGTCTCCACTCGCAGGCGACGCCGGAGGAGAGGAATTAGTCTTCTGCCCGCCACACATGATCGCCCTGACGGCAGCGCAAGGGGAATAATAGAAACGATGTATGTGGGTAATCTGGAGCGGAGCGTTGCGAATGGAGGCTGGACGGAGAAACTTTTCACTAGGCTATAGGCGGTTAGCGCGCACATTCAGCTGCGGGGGAATCTTGGAACGTCCCGTGGTCAGAAGATTGCTAGGACGACGACGAGAAGATCTATTGACCTCTGCCGCATCATTGAAATTCACCGGTTGTGCATTACTTGGCCTGGCTACCTCCGGGTCATAGAACAAGGGCGGTTCGTCATTTGCTGATCTGCCACAGGAGACTTTCACTAGCCCGGCTGGCTAACCTGCAGGCTGACATGTGGTCGGCATATCCTAGGACTCGTTATCGCGTAACGGCCGAGGCCATCACCTGCTACATCGTGGAGTCGAGGAAATGAGATCTAACAGTTGTGCCAAGGTCCTTGTCCGGCAGCCTCCATATGAGGCCTTCCTCGGCATGCAGACTCGTAAACCACGTATTCGCATCGTCTACCCTGTCAAACAGTCAAATATGCCCTCTTTTGCTGATCGCACAAGGAAATCTCACTATACCAGTCTGCCTTTAGCGCAAATTCCAAATCCCAATCAGCATCGAAGAACGCCCCAATAATGTCGGATAAACAAGGCTGGAAGGCCTCAATGTACATAGCACGACAGCTAACCCCGCAGAATGGAGGGTCCACAAAAGGTCCATCCACAGCAGCGTGAGCTGAAAGCTCCGTGGCCATATCGAATCGGCTTCTGTTCTTCGCTATGTTCGGACTATACCTCCTAACGGGGTTTGCGCTCGCTGCAGTGGCTTCTCAATTGACTGCAAACCAGACTTACGACTATATAATCGTAGGAGGCGGTCTCACTGGGTTAGTCGTGGCGAATCGACTCTCCGAAGATGGCACAAGTCCGTCGTCACATCTCTCTAGCGCCGCTTCCCTAACTCTGCTGCAGAATCCGTCCTCGTCATCGAGAATGGACATGTCGATGACAGTCCACTGCCCAGGATACCATACTTAGCAGCCACAATCAATACCGCTTCAATGTATCCCTCGTTGATCAGCGCGCCAATTGCGCAGCTCGCGAATCGCACTTGGCCAGTCAGAGTCGGTAACGTAGTAGGCGGCGGCTCAGTCGTCAATGGCATGATGTTTGATCGCGGATCAAATGCCGACTACGATGCGTGGGAGGATCTCGGAAACGTAGGCTGGGGCTGGAAGGGGCTCGCGCCTTACTTCAAGAAAGCGTTCACCTTCACTCCCCCTTCTGAAACCACGATCAAAGAGATCGGAATTACGTATGACGAGAGCACGTATGGGGATGGTCCGGTCCAGGTGTCGATTCCAAGCTATCAGTATCCGGACTACAAGTGGATGTTCGGTTCTTGGAGAAACGAGAGCGTGCCGATGCCGAAGGAAGGCTTCGCAAATCCAATTGGTGCTTTTTGGGCGCCTAATACGATCGACAACTCGACGGCGGAAAGGTGCCATGCAAAGAAAGCGTACTATGATCCGGCCCAGTCTCGCCCAAATCTGAAGCTCGTCACGGGGACCCACGTTGACGAGATCCTCTTCAGCACCAGAAATGGTACTGTCACAGCAACAGGTGTGAGGATGACTTCACGGAGCGATCCAACAGCTTCCGAAGCTTTCGCCTCAAGGGAGGTAATCCTCGCAGCTGGTGCCATTTTCACACCACACCTCCTAATGATCTCCGGTATCGGACCCGCAGACGTTTTAAGCTCCGCAAACATCACCCTGAAGGCCTCGAATCCAGGCGTAGGCTCCAACTTCCAAGACCACACAACCGCATATATGAACTACAACATATCCAATCTCGCATTCCCCAACTACAACACCCTCGCCACAAACGCCTCCTTCAACGCCTCGGCCGCCGCCCAATACGAAAAAGACCGATCCGGCCCGTGGAGCGGAAGCCGCGGAAACGCCCTCGCGATGCTCACGCTGCGGAACTTCTCTACCAAGTATCAAGACCTCGCCCTCGAGACCGAGTCGCAGGAGCCAGTAGACTTCCTCCCGGAGCGGTACGCCCAGAATGCCGCGCTGTACGCCGGCTTCATCCGTCAACGCGACATCCTGCTGAACCAGTACCGGGGCCTCCCGGGATATGACGCAGCGGTTGGAGAGATGCCGATCCAGCCCAACAATCGAGCAACGGCGGTGCATCAAAAGCCACTCTCACGGGGAACTATCACCCTCAATACTACGCATCCGCATGCGTACCCCATCGTGCAGTACAATTCGCTCCAGAATCCGGTTGATAAGGCGATACTCTGCGAACTTATCCGCTGGAACCGCAAGCACTGGGCTTCTCCTGCGCTGTCGCGCTACCAGCCGATTGAAAACGCGCCGGGGGCTGAATACGTCGAGGACGATGAGATCATCGCCGCGCTGTTGAGGAAGAACGCTATTGATCCGAGCTTCTCGCATCCTAGTGGCAGCTGCGCTATGATGCCGAAGGTGTTGGGAGGGTGTGTGAGTGATCAGTTGCTGGTGTATGGTGTGGAGAAGTTGAGCGTGGTAGATGCGAGTATCATTCCGATGATACCCGCGGCGCATTTGCAAGCTACTATGTACGCAGTGGCGGAGAAGGCGGCGGATATTATCAAGGCTAGGTCATGAGTGTGATAGCTGATGTGTTTCAAGGCCTCTCGCAAAGATAATCTGGCTAGACATGAATGCTATCGTAGGTTGCTCACACGGTTGCGCGGAAAAGGTAGGCATTTTGAGGATGCGTGATCGTGGGAAACCTGAACTGGGTTAGACGATTACGAGCGTCTTTGTCTCTTATCCACCGAAGGCCTCAAGGGAAGCCTGTGCAAGCTTAAACGGAAGAGTTGTGGCGGTATCTATCTGTTCCCTCCCCTCCATCATGTCGATGCCTCTATCCAGAAGCCCTATACAGAGTCCTGCTGTTAAACAGTTTCACTCTCACCTGCTCCGCCTCCCAGTCGGAAAAGTATGGATGCGCCCGCTCGTACTGTTCGGTCTCCAAGATGTCCCTGCTGTAGTCTGCCTGGGCTGCGAACCGCACGAGCGCACTCTGAATTGCCTCCAGCACCTCTTCTCGGTGTCGCTCAAACGTCCCTTCCGGTTGGCGGAGCAGTTCCGGCAATCGAAGCCCAGAGTTCCTCTCCCACTTCTGCACAGCGTCCTCGACCGCCTTCACTCCATCCCACTCAATGCGCGCCACAATCGCACAATTGCCTTTCAATTCAGCGAACCCCTGGTATAGCAGCTTGTCAGTGCCTGGTTTCATCGCGCAGAACACTTTCTCCACGTAGCGATCTTGGTACGTTTGCTCGTCCAAACAGGCTGCGAACATGCTGTACTGCGCGCCTGCAGGATCGATAATCCAGCTCCTAGAGGCATCCAAGGTAATAACTCGGATTACGCCGTGCGTCCTCCAGTCACCCCGAAGCTCGCCGCGAACCGGAATAGCGCGCGTCCTCTTGGCTGGCTTCTTGACCTTCACGGTAACTTCCTCGATACGAGTGCGAGTGCCTGGGTGAGCTTAGTATGACAATGCCGCTAGCGTCTTTGAGACACAACGTCCACTCACCCTTCAGCATCTGGATGAACAGATCATGGAAGTATCCGATGGGCTCGTGGCACACTAAGGTGCTCAGCACCATTTTCTTCTCCTTCTCGTCGCGGACCAGATGGTGGGGGAAGGGAATGAGGGTCCCGGGCTTACGCGGGCGATCACGAAGGAAGAGGGTGTCGCCGGTGTCCTCGATGCTCTCGATCGACTCGTCGAACAGCTGCTCCCGGAAGAGGAAAAAGACGTCTTGGAGTAGCTGGCCAGCTCGATGGATTGTGCGGTCTAAGTCGGCTTCCTTGCATGCAGGCTTATGCTCGCTCCAGTGAGCCTTCTGGCAGCTGACGTCGCAGTACCAAGAGGCTTTGCAGTGACCGCACTTCAGACTTGCTGTCTTGCCGCAGTGCGAGCAGCGCTTGTCTGCCGTTCCGTCCATCGCTCTCGCAGGGACGAGCGCTGTGGGTTGTCCTGGTTTGTGGTGCTGTTGCTAAGTGGAGGTTGCGCGAGGCGAGTGAAGTAAACTGGCAGGCCATGCACTAGCTTTAGCAGGCGGTGAAAGGGCGGGCAAGTAGTCCAGCCCCTCTCACCTGGAGACAGGCATAGGAGGACTACGGATTCTGGACCAACAGTTGTCCTATCACTAGGTACTTTCCTTCACCCTCTAGGATCTGCCAGGCTACGTAGATACCACCCTGTCCAACGGGTACAAGATCGGAGTAGTACCCGGAAGTACGGGGTCTGTCCAGTGGCGAACCCCATGGCATTTTCGAACGCTCGGTGCGACGTAAATTGAAGATTGAGAAGATCTCATAGACTCATTCATGGATAAGACAGTCGCACGGAGCGCGTACCTAGACGTGGTGAATCCGATAGCCTGGGGTGCTCTAGGGCAGCTCCAGCCAGCCGTGTGTGAGTATCGATGCTAGTTTAAACACCGGAAATAATGACGACGACGATGATGATGATGATGACGATGATGAGCTGCGGAAGGAGGATAAAGCTGGCGTACTCCAATACGCTGGGCAACTGTAAAGACAGGTTGAAATTGTGCGTCAGTAGGCGGCGCAATTCGGCGGCGATCACCATTGGCTCGTATCCAGCGCGTCGACCAGCTGAAACATTTCCTTATAACCCCCAGACCCGTATCTTTATATACCACGGCTCCCGTATCTGGCTGCGGTTGTGGCTGCGCAGCTTCGATGCGTTGAGCGGATTCATATCCCAGGCTAAATCGCCTTCACAGCTTCTCGGTTAGCTAAGCTTGCGCATAATTGGAGTTAAAAGTCCGAAAAGCAATCATTAACATAGATTATTATTTACCTTTTCAATCATGCAATCACCATGCTCACCACGCGTTCTCACTGTATGCGTTGCTATTCTCAGCCATGTCCAATCTGGAAGAACCCGGCGTAAGTACCGATCCCAGACCCGTTGAGGCGGGGCGCTAGGAACGAGGAGCCTCAGATCAGACGGGAAGTCCCTTGCAATCCTTCGCTCCTTGCGGTTTCTTGCAGAGGTGGGTCCGAGTACGTGGGTCCGTGAATAAATACATCTTCCCCTGCGTCGCCAATGCGTTCTGGAAATCGGGTCATTCCACCAACTCAATGCCTCCGTTCTTCTCGCTACTTCTTTTCGTGCTGTGCGCAGGAATCGCGACGGCGATACCTGCAGCAAATCCGGTAGCAGTACCCGCCGCATCTGCAACAAGACCACCCACAGGAGCTGCTACGATAAGCAAAGTCGCCGTCGACACCGAAGGCAGCGGCTGTAGGAGCGGCACAGTCGCCGTAGCCTTCGCACCGGACAATTCGGCCCTGACGCTAATTCTGGACGGATTTCATGCTGGAATCGGGCCAGGTTACGAGGATTTCGGGACACGTGCGTTCTGTCGGGTCAATGTGACCATGAGTTCGCCCGGATGGGCGTTTGATGTGCAATCGGTGGATTTCCGGTCGTATGTGAATATCCAGAAAGGGGTTGAGGTGAGCCTTGTGAGCAGGTGGAAGTGGATCGATACCAAAGGAGTCGATATGAAAGGAAAGGTAGGCCTGTGGTTTTTTGTGATCAGATGTCAGGAAGCGGTACTGACGATTCACAGGGTAATGTGAAGAAGGTCCTCACCGGGCCGTTCGAAGACGACTATCTGCTTCACAAGGATGACGAATTATCGGATAGCGAGCAGTCTGTGTGTTCAAAAGTATCGGCCATGTTCCAGCTCAGTCTGTCGGCCACTCTGTCGGCTACCAGTCCAACGGTGACAGGAAAGGTGGACGGAGACTCGGCAGATGCTCGGTTTGGAGAGATTCTTAATCTGTCATGGAGGAGGTGTTGAAAGACCGGGAAGGGGATATGATTATACCGACTCGCCGTATAGGTCTCGCGCGTTCTAGTACATTGAAAGCGATGCCAACAGCACTGAATGATTCTTCGTACTTTTCCACCATATGATGGTCAGGTTCTTTGAAGAGGTGGAGCTCCAGAGTAATCCTCTCAAGCGAAGGAAATCTGTTCTGAATTTCGTGGATCAACAAGCCGCCGTCCCACTTGAGCATCGTACTAGTGTCTCTAGCGTCCATTTCAACGTATCGGAGCGAGAGGTGACGAAGCGTAGGTGGCAGCTTAGCAGAGCCGATTGCTTCCATGGCAGACATGTCGCGCCTCGGCCCGAATAGAGTGGTGAAGTCGATTTGAAGGTACTCTAGCTTCGACGATTGGATAGTGTCCAGCACTCCAGTTTTATCTTCCCGATGACGATTGACGATTGGCCGACGGTGCGCCCCTTGCAGTCGTCCATCGCACAGCTCTAGTCGCCGCAAGGACCCACGAAGCTGGCTTTCAAAGATCCCAGCAATACAAAGAAATGCTTTTGGGTTGAGCGTGCTGCCAAAGTGCTCGATCCGTAAGGATTCTAGGCGAGGCATGCTGCGGGCTAGTGCTTGGAGCTGGTGCGACCTCAGGCCAAGGGGCATCGAATAAGGCCCCTGCCGGATTATCGGGCGAAGTATCAAATGCTTGATGGAGTCAGAGGTCCATCCCCAGTCGTTCGGCGAGCCTTCGTCTTCAGCACCGTTGTCAAACACTTCGCATGCACTAAGATAAATCGTTTCTAGCCGAGGTAGACGAAGAATGTTGTTATATCGAAATACACAAGTGGATGCGACTAGCTCAAGCGTTTTGAGGTTGCGCATGTCGGCTGGGATACCCATCGAATATCCGTTGCCTTGCTTGTAAAGCTCGGACTCGACCAAGGTCGTGGTCCCGAAATGATGATCGGTTTTAAATGTCGCGAGATTCTCCAATAGTGGTAGCAGGTCTGGCAGGAACTGGCGAAGCTGATACCTCCAGGCGATAGTAAGAGCAGTCGGAGCTCCCTGGCCGAACTCAACGGACAGCTCCTGGGTAGATCGGGAGAGATCGGGTCTTGCCTTCGCTGCGTTCAGTAAGCGCATTGGACTTTCGGATCCGACCTTAAGTTCGACTGTCCTGAATAGGTACGGCTGTGCCATTCGACGAAAACCCCGTGAGACGAGGCATAGGTTTGAAAGACTTCTAGCATCGTGTCTTCGCGTCCCATCCTCGGAACTAGTGAAGTGCACGAGGATGTTATCGACAAGTTCAGCGCATAAGTGCTCCAGTCTGAGCAATCGAGGGGGTAAGTCGTCCATCTCAACTATGGAGCTCTGGTGGCATGTACTCCTTGATGGTAGAGATGGAGATTGATGATGACAATGATGTGGTTAAGGTTGACGGATTGAGTCATAATGAGGGGTGACACAGTCGGTTAACCAAATGCGGCATAACGCGAGTCACATTGGTCCGTGCCCACCCCTAGTCAGATTGCCACTTAAGCCCTACCCCATGAAGTATATAATTACACCATGCTACGTTCTCAAATATAACTGCAACCCATGGCATTGCCCAAGCGCAGTAGAAGTGCCCCTACTTCCTGAAGCAGGCCCCGAAGCCAAAGAATCGCCTGCTCACGTCAATAACGTAGACTGCTGAGCTGTCCTCAAAGGCGCCCCGAACTCCTTCATTTCTTGACCCACGCCCAAGCCTCCTTCGCGATTGCGACGCTCGGCAGATCCACTATACGATAGAAGACCTCTGAAGCCAGTCCCACCAACGGCACGCAAGTGACGAAGCATGCAAAAGTAGCCAGGCCGCGATTCGTACCCGAAGCATGCAGATGCATGAAGAGCTTGATGCCGGCGGTATAAATAAGGAGAGGCTTGACGAGAAAGATGCCTACCGCTTTCATCAGCATGTACCGCATTTGGGAAAGGATAGATGAACTTACTGAAGCTCCGCTTTCCCATCTCGACCAGGATCTTTTTCCGAAGCAGTTTTTGCGGTAGCTCATACGTCTCGATTAAGAGCATGATACCGAGGATGATGAGGTAGTTGTCATCCCTCGCCTGCGGCTGATCCAGATCCACGCCCGTATTCAAGGATCCGGCTGTGTAAAGACCAGTGTGCCCCTGCAACTCCGCGTTCCGATACTCGGGCCTCCACGCAATGAACAGATACTGCAGCAGCACACCCCCAACTACCATCAGCGCATAAAGTGGCCACACTGGTACCTTGACCCTTCCAATATTGAAACCGGTCTGCGACTTGAACTGGAAGTTCATGTTGCACACCGCGTCTGCGAGTAGGAGGCCAGTGATGCTATACCACGCCCAGCTCTGGACCCACCACGCGGTGAGGATGAATACAAGAAGTGCTTTTACGCGCCAGGAAGTGCGGGTGTAGGGTACAATGACCATAGTCATGTAGACCGTGTAGCTTTGCTGGAAGAGCAGCGATACGATCCAAAGGGTACCGGAGGGGAATGCCTGGTTTGCGGCTTGCGACGAGTAGCCTTTGGAAAGCCAGAAGATGTCGAAGAGCGAGTTGAAGTAGACAAGGAAGTTGCGGAAGCGCTTCGGCACTGCGGTGCTGACATTCCCCGTAGCTTCTAGGAAGTCGAAGATGTATTGCGTAGAGGTCGTGCTAAATGCTGCCGCCGAAAGCGAGAATATGATGAACGTGGGAAGGAAGAGTCGGATCCCGCGGCGAAAGATAGCGGACGAGCAGACGGCACGCGTGGTGCTGTTGAGGAAAGGGAGGCATATCGTGCGGGCCGAGAGTAGGATGATGAAGGAGTAGATAAGGGATTCGTTCCAAAGGAGGACAGAGACGCTCTTACGGAGGACGACTTGATACAGTGGCCCTACGGTGTTCTTCGAATCCGCTACAGCGGCTGGGAGGAATGTTTGAAAGAAGACGAAAAGGAAGGACTGCACTACGAGGATACCCCGGAGGCCGATGAGGTAATCCTGTGAAGCAATACGTTCAGAATTCAGAGGAGTAGATACGGATGAGGAAAAGAAGGTGGTGAAACGAGTGGACCGTAGTTGGGACTTCATGGTGGTGAGGCTGCCCGTGTTCGATCTTGATGCGAGAAACAGAAGACGAGCCCACATTGAAGACATCCGCAAGAAGGCAGAAAAAGACACTATGGGCGCCATTCGTTGTCGAAAACACGTGCCTCACGTGTCCGACGTAGCACCTGGGCACGTAACCTCGCATCTCCGTGGGGGAGCCGAAGCAGACGCAACATGCCCCCGAAAGCATCTGCTGTGTCCCTTGCCGATCGTAGATGCTCATTCCCTGTCATCACGACATTCGGTACAGCAGGGGTCGCACTCAGCTCCTGCAAACTTCCGGTCGAAGTTGAAGATAACGCGCCAAGGCTAAGCACACTCCATGGCGGGACCACTGGCGCCTTTCTCGTTTTCGTTGGTGCCGCGCCACAACCGTAGTCTAAGTCGGCAACAGCCATTCACGCCACGTCCGTAGTGTCCGTTATCTAGGTCAACCGCACATCCTCATTTTGACGTTCTGCTTTCGGAGGCCATATCGTGCGCATTTGCGTGATCGAGTCGGTGCCCATGGAAGTGGAAAGCCACCTGTTATCAAAGTGTCAGAACTCAGTTTTAGAGAGGACCAGGGAAGGCGAGGACGTGTCGTTTCTTCGCCCGCAGCTTTCCGCAGGATGAACTTCAGCAGCAAATGAATCCCTTTCGTTTCCTTATTCTCGATTCCCCGCGCAACGTGATGGGAACTACGCGTGCAAAAGCAACTCTCGGGCACCCTGCCGAGGCGCAGCAGCCTGCGGTTTTCAGGGGCGCAACAGCCAACCGCGCCCCAATGCACGCCAAACTGACTCTGCTTGGTTCCGTGCGGATGACCCCGCCGACGAATGGAAGATCGGGCCGCAAAACATGCCAGCCTATGGGTTCCGAGTGGACATCCACGATATGCCCCCACGCGTTTCACGATTCTAGCGCGGATTGAGGCTCAGCCCTGAGCCTGTCGACGATCTTTCGATATCTGCGCTGTTGATCATGGCGAGTTTTGGAAGAAAATCAATGATTGTCGATCGATTTTGGCATGCCCGCGCCTCTGTAAAAGGATTTTCATAGGGTCCAAGATTTCCACAGGGTCCTGGCGATACCCGCTAGGAGCTCGGCGAGGACAGCCTCCGATCCAATGCTGATCGACATTGCTGTGATAATGTACGGAAGGTGGAAGTTTGAGGACTGAGTTTTCATGCGCACCGCGAAATGCAGCCGCGCAGAATAATTTTCTCTTGAGAGACGCTAATTACGCAAACGGCGGGAGGAAAGGGGCATGCAGATGTTGTACGCCGCATCTTCGGGTACACGACGCAGGAGTCGGTGAAGAAGATGCAGTACAGATGCATTACATTAGGATGTTTTGAATTAGATTATGTATGTTGCCTCGCATGTGCTGTGCGACAATGTCCTTCGTGGATTTCCCGGAGGAAAAAAGAAAATGAAGATTTCAAATATGGACAAGACGAAAGAAAAGTTTTTGCCAGAGGTTGCGTATGACGCAGTTGAGTTACTTTCGCGCCGTTGGGTTCCACGAGCTATACCTGACGATTTGCCTCGCGTGTCCGTAAAGGCCAATCGTGGCCATGAGAACAAGGTAGAAGGGGTATTGGATCGAAAAGATGATAATCATCCTCCTCGACACGAACTCGGATTTGACCTGGTGAGTGATCCACAATGTCGCTACTAGGCAGATAATGCTGTTGCACCGCTTCGTTAGTGATGCGCTGAAACGTGGAATTGGTACACAAACCTTATAAGGAAAAGCCATTGTGACACCGGGTACTGGAAGTACACGAACTTCCACAACTCCTCACCCGAAGTGGGGAACTTTGTAATGACGAAGCTGAGGACTAGACACGTGTACTGTGTGACAAGATAATAGGACGCCTCGCGAATGAGCAGGAGCGAGAGGACACCGAAGCGAGCTGTGAAGCTGCGGTTATAGTCGGAGTGGAGGGGATCCTGAGGTTTGTTGTAGACCATCTTGAGGTGTTTCAGACTGGCCTGCGCCCAACCTTGCGCCCATCGTAGCCGTTGCTTCCAGAATGCCGGGAACGTGGTGGGAGCGAGCTCATAGGATGTAACGTTCAGGTCGTGGACCGTTTTCGAGCCACGCGAGAATGCGCGAAGAGCGGAGTCGATGTCCTCAGTAAGCATGTCGCCATCCATCTTGAGCTCGCGGAGCAGCGAGCTTCTCCAGTAGCCATTCGAGCCGCAGAACAGCCCAAAGCCCCACATGGTAGCGCGTCCGGGATGCGAGACGGCATAGATCTTGTCGAACTCGACCGCAATCATGCTCGTCAAGAAGCTGTCCTCGGTATTGAAGACCACACAGCGGCCTTGCACGATGTCGATTTCTTCGTCGGCCATGAAACGTTCCACTGCCCACCTAGGACCATTCGGATGGGGATAGTGATCGCAGTCGTAGATAGCAATGAGGTCTGAGCCGGTGTTCAGTGTGAGGAAGTAGTTGAGATTGTCCGCCTTTGAAGTCGAGTTCGGCACTTTGATCACTCTTGCGTGTGGATATTTTAGAGGAAGCTGATGAAGCTCTGTCTCTAGGGGCTCGATCGCTTTCGGTGTGTTGTAGAGGATGTTGATGCGGATCTTGTCCCTTGGATAGTCGATCTGCTCCAGAGCGTAGAGGGCGCGGTCCATAATGATGTCCTGCTCGTTTGGAAGGTACGCGACAATCAGGAGATCCAGCACAAGCAGTTTGTCGTGCGCGGTCGGGAAGAGCCATCCTTTTTCCTCGGCCTGGGTCACTATCTTCCTGGCTTCACGGCAGGGCGTGATGCTCATGAATGCCTCCAGGACAGTCGCTCCGGCAATGTAGAAATTGGTGCACATGTAGATGAACCAGAACACAGCGATCAAGCCCTCGCTGCAATACGTGTAGAGGCAGGTCGAGAAGATGAAGTAGGAAGCCACGAGACCGAAAGGTGTCCAGTCTGAGATGAAGCTGGATATCCTTTCGAGGGGGTTCTCCGACAGCCAGTGCTTCTTCGCTGCTTCCTTCTCGTTTGTCGAACAGGGAGGCATCTCCCCAATGTCGATGGTGAAGTCGTTGGAGTTGGACATGATGTAGCGAGTGAATGTGCCCAGAGGCAAAGAATCTGCATGAAAGAAAGTTGAACGAAGGACGAAATCAGTCAGAACGAGTGATGACTGCTGCTTGGTGAGAACGACCCAGAAGAGCGAGGGGAAGCAGATGAAAGATAGCAATCCTCGTGCAACGCCGGAACGTTGCGCACGCCTCAGCACGTTTTGGGACAAACGAGGATAGGGGAATAAGAATTGTCCGCGGGCGCACGAAGCCGGGCCGGTGAATGAAGCGTGTGCCTTCCCGACGACATGGCATACCGGTAATGGAAAGATCATTGAGCGGACTGGCACTGTAGGATCGGCATCAATATCATGACACCCGAAATGGAAGCATCAAAATGAGTGGGTCTGAGATTGAGGCTTCAAAAGGGTCACCCTGGTATGTGCAATGGGACAATGATCGCCGTCCCAGCTGATGGGTTATCAGCGTGGCTTCGCTGGAGATGAGCAAGCATCCTTGACGCGTATCTTGGCTGGCGACATCCTTGACCTTGGAGAATGCGAATCGCCGGGGAGCTTCCGCCCACTACTATCCCCGTTCCTGGATTCTGGTGATTTGCATGAAGAGCTGATGTCGACCCTCTCTGTGGGACCATGGGAACGCGCGTCGCGGGTGCTTTCCACGCCCACAGGTGGTCAGAAATGAAGCATGATGCTGTGCGATCGAACGTGCATAGGCCTGTAACAGCGGGCCGTTCGTTATCAATTAGGTGGTGTAGATCGCGAATGGTGGTGAGCAAAAGGGAGGTGCTGCGGCTCGGCCCAACAGAAACGGGACGCTGGTCTGTGCCCTCCACCGCCAGCGGGCCTTCCTCGGAAGCGTGCCTGGCGCTAGCACTGTGGCGGCCACTAGCCTCCGACCTCGACCCCAAGCCGTGACGAGAACGCCATCTCTCCTCCCACACGCTCCAAGCATCCCACCAGTCGCCGGCGTCGTGCTGTGGTAGCATGCATGGCGTTGCCAAGGAGTCCCGCAGACGCCCTTCGCCGAGCCCCGTTTGCGCCTGCTGCAGCGGCTTGGGGGAATTTCCCGGCGCCGTCTGCAGTGCATCAAGACGATAAGTGCATTTGCTTTCACAGGACGCTTGCGTTTACATTATGACTCGACAGGGTTCTACGGCTCCTCCCAGTCCGCTGAGAGCCCCGAAATCGCCTTTGCAGATCGGCAGCCCTCTCGTCATCTCGCAACCTAGGAGTTTCATCCAGTTGTCTGCATCAGTCACCACCTAGAATGCATGCAAAAGCATCTGAAGCCTGAGTGTGGAGCGTCGTGTCTCCCGTTCTTTCCCAGCATTTTTCACGCTCGTTCAGCATCATGTTCCTCAAGTCTCTCGTTTTCGTCCTTCTTTCCTCGTCTCTTTCTTTAGCCGATGTTCGAAGCGGCGACAAGACCTGCTCCTGTGGTTTCTACGATGATCAGACGAAAGAGCTCTTCACAGATTCGATTATTGTCTACTTCAACGAAACTACGAGTCTTCCCGACGACTTTGTCGCTGAAGACTACGAGAAAAAGTATGAGAAAGACTGGAATGCCATTTACCGTCAGGGAGCAAACCCCTCCAATCTGCACCTCAACAAGTCCGACTCTCTTCAATTGATCGTTTCCCCAGCTACCGACATTCACCTTGTTGACGGAGCCGGCATCCGGACAGCACGACACGATATTCAACATGGCTCTTTTCGCACCTTCATCAAGTCGCCCGGAAACACGTCTCGGGGCAGCGCTATGTCCATGATGTGGCAGTACAACGAGACCGAGACCACCGAGCTCAGCGTGATGAACACGGATGACCCTTCGGAAGCATGGGTGGGAACGTTCGTCAATGGCGAGTTCACCACCCGCAGTCTGGGCGTCAACTTCAGCACTCTTCTCGATGACCCAGTGGCGAACCGTAATTACACAACGCTGGGAGGGACGCTTGGGAACGGCAGCGTGAATCCATGGGACTACGTCGAGTATCGCATAGACTGGACGGAGGACTTCATCAATTTCTACATTGGCGGCAACCTGACGCGGTCGGTACTGCACAAGGACAACAAAGGCATGCCTTCAGTGCCGTCACCTTTCTTCTTCAAGCACTGGTCGACAGGGAACCGGTTCACGATGGAGGGTCCACCAAAGAAGCCTTCCGAGGCGAACATTGGGTGGATCCGCATGTTCTTCAACTCCTCTACAATGAACGAAGAGGCGCGAGAGGACTTCGTCGTTCGATGTCCCCTCACCGAAGCCTGCTCCATGGACGATATCGCTCTCCGCGGATCTACGCCGCACGCGGATAGTTCGACCGTGAAATGGAAGCAAGACGGCGGCAAGAACATCAAACGCATGCCGGCGTTGTGGATATCAGTCATTTGCATATCCTTCTCGACATTATTGCTTCTACATGCATTCATCCGTCGCGCCCCATGGCGAACGCAACCAAAGACCGCTGGTCACGAGCATGCGCCAGCACCGGCAGCGCCGTCTACAAACCAAAATCCTTTTGAAAATTCAGACTACAATCTCCCAGCGCAGAACCAAAACCCTTTCGAGAACAGAGAGTACACGCTAGCCTCGCGCAATAACTCTCTGCCATCGTCCCCTATTTTTGCAACCCGCCCCCCATCTTCCAATGACGGGTACGAATCAAAGGACGAACTCGCCATCGAAAAGGCTGACACCAGCCCTCATACCTCAGTCTGGGGCGGATCGACTAACGGCGGGCCTTCGCGGCCCAACTCCCTTCGGTTCGACAGCCGTGGAACAACGCCTGGCGTCCTGTCTCCAACTGCCAGCCATTTTGACATTCCGAGAGAGGAGTTTCACCCGGCTCTCAGGAGCCAACTCCGTGTGAACAAAGACGGCAAGACGATGTCTCGCAATAATTCGGAGAGAACTATCGCGGTTGCGGCTGTTCCGGGCCCAGGCGACAAGATCCCCATGGAGACAGTGACCGAGTCGGCACTACCTGCGCCTCGCATGAGGCCCCAACCGCCTCCTCCACGACAGAGAGTCGACTACCTCGCCGGCTTGGTTGCTATGTGCGCCATCTTGGTCACCGTAATGCACTTCGGCCTTAGCTTCGTGCCTGCCATGGTCATTCCAGGGGCTCCAAGGCATTATCAATCTGAATACTGGGTCCAGCAGCTCATCGCACCCTTCATTCTCAACCAAATGTGGCTAGGTGTGTTCTTCACCACCTCTGTTCGCTTCTTGGTCGCCAGCTATCTCAAGAAAGGCAACATGCAAGACATCGCGAAGGCTGCCGTACGCCGGACTCCACGTCTTATGATCCCTGTGGCTTCGATTGCTCTTCTGCAATACTTCGTCATCGACTGCGGGGCGACCATGTACCTCCGTTACATCCCTTCCATAACCTGGTCGACTTGGCCGTACGTCACGCGCTACCCTACATTCGGCCATTACGTATCCGAGGTCCTCGAACTCGTTTATCTGATCCCCAACGCTGTCCCACAAATCACATACAACTACTGCACGGGCGTTCTTTGGACCATCGCAGTGCAGCTCCAGGGCTCATGGCTCGTGCTGCTGGGGTGTATCGTTGTATACGAAATCAAGACGCCCTGGAAGCGCATGAGCTACTACGTCTTCTGCCTCTTCAACCACTGGTATGCGCAATCCTGGGGCTCATATCTCTGGCTGGGCTTGCTCCTCACCGACCTCGATATCACGTACACATACAAGAAGTGGCTCTATGACCGCCCTGGTGTGTACTACCCTTTGATTAGCTTCTGCTGGATCTGCGTCGCCGCCGGCTTCTCCGCCAACTTGATTCCCAACTGGGTGAACTTCAACTTCGCGACCTACGAACACAACATCCACCCGGACCCCAACACTGGCGAGCCAATGTGGAACACAGACAGCGCAGGCTATCCACCGTACTACGTCCCGCGCCTCAACGGTCTCCTCTTCGCAGGCGGTATGCAAGCAATCGTCGAGCTCTCGCCCGCCGTCCAATGGTTTCTCTCGCTCCCCTTTCTGCTCGTGCTCTTCCCGCACATCTTCACCATCTACCTGATGCACGGACTCGTCTTCTGGAGCTACGGATCCTGGCTTATGGTCTTCTTGGCCGAGCGCGGGTTCGGCTACGGCGTCAATGTCGCTGTTGTCGGTGTGACATCCTATTTCCTGCTCTTCGCTATCTTGCCTATTGTCACTCCAATTATTGAGGCGTTGGGTAAGGATATCACGGCGTTGGTGTGGATGTCGGCTGTGGAGAAGAGCCCGCCCAGGCGCAGGACTTTGTTTCCCTTTCCGGATGACTTGTTTGTAAGGAGGGAGAAGAACGATGTTGAAGCGATGGGGAGCGTCGATGGTTCGGGAAGGACGTCGCCGAGTGAGAAGGGGAAGATGAAGGAGAAGGAGGAGGTCAGGGAGATCAGTCAGTTCGACTATTAAGAGCAAAGTGAGGTGAGCCGCTGCACATGAAGCGATACGCCTGCTTCGCCGATGGTGGGCAAGGTAGGTAAGAGGGCGTGGAATTGGCTAGATGTATTCGACCGAGGGATGGCTCAGACAGATAGATCTGGGAGCAGAAGCATGGGTGTTCTAATAGAAGTAGGTAATAATCCTGGGCTTGTCTATTCTTATTACATATTACATAACATGGAGATGGTTTGGATATCACAACGTAGATTCAATCCTCCGCAATTCAATGCTACGTCCTAGTCGGACGACGCGTTCGTCCCGGTATTTTTATTTTGATTCAGCGCGCTATCAACGATATAATCTGGGCCATTTGGCAAGTTGCTCCGCCGCTAAACAATCGCCACTGATGGCTACCTCGATTGGGATCTGATAGGCTTCGCTTCCTAGGGTCATACTGGTTATCCGACAGTTTCGACGCCGAGAAAGTGGAGGAGAAACCTGACGAATTCGCAGTCTTTGGCTGCGGTACTGGAGCTGGCTCTAAGCCCGCCGTGTTTAGCGTGAGGGCGTCCTCGATCATCCTATCCGCTTTCCCCCTCTCCGACTCCATTATCAACGTGTCATTCACTTCCACCTCGCCAGCACCGCCCGTCAGCAGCGTCCGATCCGCCCTCACCTTCCACGGCCTAGGATCCGGAACTTCCACTCCGCAGCACATGAGATACTCTCTCGCAGCCCCAAACTCCGCCCAAAAAGCCGGGACATCACAACCCTCCTTAATTCTCGCCACCCGCGCGCCCGCCACCGCTTCTGCTGGTGCGTCAACACCGCGACTGGAGCTAGATCCCTCAGCTTCTCGTCTCTAACCTGCGCTGCTCTCGTCGCCTCAGTGCCGACTCGTAGACCATATGCGTGAACGCCGTAAGATGCGCAGGTGTGAATTCGTGCTGCAAGAGGAAGAGCTGGACTAACTTAACCCAAGGGCAATTTTTCAGCGCCATGTGGAATTCGAAATTCTCCATTTTGCGGAGAGCGAAGGAGGCGGGGGCGTACGCTGCGGCGTTGCTGCTGGCGTAGTGTAGATCAAGAGCCCTGCCGATGCCTTTGTCGAGCTTGTAGATGCCGAGATGGGTGAACTCGATGAGGCGGCGTGCTAGTAGGGGGTGGAAGTGGCCTGTGAAGTCGATGGGCGATGGGCGGTTGGGGGACGCGAGCTACGTCGTCTGGAGTTTGTAAAGGTGTTGGATTGAGAGACGTTAGAAGCGGAAGGGCTTTCACCGCTAGGAAACAGACGGTCCTGGAGCTGTTTCGCGCCGCCTATGCACAGCTGCGAATGTGCATGCCACTCCACGCCATCAGCGGAGACGGTGAGGTCGCTTTCGACGCGGTTCTTGAGCATCCAGAGTGCATGCTTTTATGATAGGTCAGTGCTAGCTTTATACTTAACTGGTGGACTGGAATGAGAGAACATCTTACTTTTTGAGCGACTGTTCTACAATGGGCATTGTTCTCCTTCCTTTGAAGAACGTGGTGTCGAGGAACTTCTCTTTGGAGCTCCAGTCCGCAGGGGGCGGATACGGCGCCATGATTTGGGCCAAGGGTGGAGGTAGTGGCCGGCGATGAGTGCGATGTAGTAGCGGGTGTGGTGGGGCGCGGGTTCAAAGGAGCATTTACGCAGGAGCTCATCGGACTTAGTAGAATACATGTTAAACATGAGGGGAATGGATGACTTGGACCTAGTGCGTATTCTCCATCCTGAATAGAGGCACTGCGCTGCGACGGGAGAAATCTGACTTGGTATAAGTCACTGAAGGCCTCCCCGACTCCCTGAGGCTCACGAGGAAATCGTGACATCAGCCACGGGTGATATGCGCACGGTTTGGCTAGCATTTTGATTGTCAGCGATGTTCCGGTCCATGATGGCAGTCGACGGTGCGGAATAGTGTCGGTGGAATGGAGGAAGGACGGACGATGATATGCAAGGTGTTCGTCCGCGACCCGCAATCCCAACCGCATGTATGTGAACATACCCCCAGCAAACGACTATAGCATTGTATATATATCAAGTAGTTCAACAAATTCGGTATTGTAACCTGCCTCATCATTGCAAGTTTGGGTGGTCGAGTGGTAGAACCCTCATCTGTAGGCTAACTACATCTGCATACAGCTACGGTTAAGGTGAGATAATATGCTACGTCCATAGCAATGAGTACGGTTTCGGTTACGTTTTTTGCTCTTTTTTTTTGCTCTTTGGTTTGAACCCCACGGCTATCTGTTCCCTTTGACTTTTTTTGTGCGCGTGACGTTGGTTCCGGGGTCTATCTTGTCTTTCACTTTGCTCGACGCGACGCGACCTTGGAGTGGATTAAGTTCCATCCCGGAGCTCTCTACCTTCTTCTCACTCTTTTTCTCTTTGACCCACTGCCTCAACCGCCTCACACCTTCAACAATGGATGAGTGGAAGACCCAGCGTAACCTCATAGAGCTAGCCTTCAAGGGTAACAACAAGAAGGTCCCGACGCCGGACATGACACGTTTGGAGTAAGTCTCCATGCCTTTTATGAATGCAAGGTTGCTAATACATCAAAGACACGCGCGCCAGGTCCTCAAGGAGCGTATCGGCTGCGATTTCACCATCATATCGGTCGGCAATGAGCATGGCCTGGGTGGAGTCGAATGGGCGGTTCATTCTGCCTGGATACTTGGAACTTCCCAGGCACTCCAGAAGGGGCTCTTCATCGACGGGGTGAGTCCACCATACCATAGGCGGAAGTCGCCTAACCTAGCCACAGGTCAAGAATCCAACAGCTCCAGCTCATATCCGACTCGAATTTTCCCCCGTTATCCTTGACCGCATCGTAGAGCATATTTACTTGGGAACGTACCATCTGGACAAGGGTGGCCGTCTCCTCGAACTTCACCAGGCCACAAAAGTCCCCACGCACGATCGATCGATCCACGCTCTTCAAGATATGCCGTCTTACAAGGTTCATCTCCAGATGTACCTGATGGGTGAAGCATTCGAATACCCGGCTTTGATGGCGACGGCCTACGCTAAGATGACGGAGCTGTGCATTGTGAGGCGCAGGCTTCCTCCGAGCACAATCAAGACGCTGGTGGATCTGACATATGGGCCGCCGGGTACCAGGATCTGCGAGGATAAGGATGGGCTGCTCCAGCATCTCGTCGTAACCGCAGCTATCGTCCATGGCAAGAAGGATTACACTGAGGAACAGGTAAACGAGCTTACGCACCTGACGAAGCACGACGTTGCGTTCTGCGCGGATGCAAAGCAGGCCTTGGAGGAGCACTACAACTTGATTGCTCTTCCAAATGACCGCAAGGAGCAGGAGAGGCAGAAGAAGAGAAAGCGGAAGGCGTAATCTTTGGGAATTGAGCGGCGCGTGTGCGTGGGAATGAAGCGGCTCGATGGCGTCATTAGTCTCCGGCGTTCCCACCTCCGAGTCAATGAACAGGACTGGTCTCAAGGTCTCTAGTCAATAGTCGTTAGCGTTCAGACCACACTGAGAGGGAAGGGATGCTTACCTCTTATCTGCCCCACACGTGCAAGATACGTAAACACCACGGGCTCGAATCAAATGAATCTTCACACACCATCACATTTCAAATCATTCCTCATATATTCCTACACTCATGATATCGTAACTCCAAGCCGCACCCATGATCAAAAAGTACGCCTCGTCCTCTCCCCCTTCCACAATCCCATAACCTCTCCCGTCTCGCCCACCCACTCTCTAACCCCATTAACCATCGCCTTCGCCATGCCCGCATTCGTCCCACTCCTTTGTCTCCTCCTTCCCTCCATACCTCCTCCCACACCTGCCGCTCCGCTCCCATATCCGCCCGCCGGCTCTTTTCCGGGGCTTATAAAACTGCTCCCTTCTCCCGTCGCGTACTCGGAGCCCATCGACGGGAGCACGTTCTCCCCGGCGGATAGCGAGACGAACAGAGCGAACGGGACCAGCCACACGCAGAGTCCGAAGTAGGAGGCGATTTCGGTGAAGGTTGGGATGGACGGGTCGCGCGAGTAGGGGTAGTGCGAGGAGGAGTGGTGCGGGGGCGTGGCGCTGAAGTGGCGGAACCAGAGGTAGTGGTTTAGGATGACGAGACCTGGCAACGCGTTAGTGGTAAGCTTCGATTACGCTTGCAAAAGGATGGTGGCGACGGTGCATACCGCAGGATATCAGGAACAATGGGTCCGTGAGTTTGACAATCGGAAACCGTCGTAGGTTCTGCGCGTATAAGATGTGGGACGCGACACTCAGCATGCTCAGTCCGAAGGGGAATCCATCGACGAGGAGAAGCATGAGTTGGATCCCAATCACGCCGTATATCAAATTCGTGAGAAGCTTCTTCGCAAGCACTGTATGCTCTTCGACAAGCTCGGAAAGATAGTACAATCCCGAAGCTACATAGGTATTAGCACTCCTGGGTCTTCCAACATGGCTCTGTCGAAGTACCTATGGCGAGCGTAAGAAAGGCAAACCCCAGCACAACTCCCAAGTATCCGAGCAGAGGTAATATCCACATAGCGACAGCTTTGAAGTGTGAGTTGGTCGACAGCTCTCAAGGAATGAGGTCAGAGGGCAGCTTAGGTGGTCTTCGGAGAAACGTTTCGGCGGCCCCCGCTAGTTGTGGGGCAGGTGCGGAATGGAACCCAACACCAAAAAGATATCCTAGCTCGAAATCTTGGCGCACTCACCGAACGACGCAATTGCGTTCAAAAAGACGTTTCGTCTCCGCTACTGCATCCCTCACCCAAGGACCTCCGAAAGCAAAATACTCTGAATCTACAATCACAAACCAACCGCCACAATGTCGCGCCCAGAAGACATCCTCCCGCCCGACCTCTTCTACAACGACACCGAATCACGCAAATACACCACCTCCAGCCGCATCCAACGCATCCAATCGGAGATGACGCACCGCGCGCTCTCCCTCCTGTCCCTCACAACGCCCTCGCTCATCCTGGACATCGGCTGCGGCTCCGGCCTGTCGGGCGAAATCCTCTCTCAAACGCCGCTCGAAGGCACACCCGGCGGCCCGCATACCTGGATCGGCATGGACATAAGCAGCAGCATGCTGTCGGTCGCGTTGGAGAAGGAGGTCGAGGGCGACTTGATGCTCGCGGATGCGGGGCAGGGCGTGCCGTTTCGCGCGGGCACGTTCGATGCTGCGATCAGTATCAGCGCAGTGCAGTGGCTGTGCAATGCTGAGTCGTCGGAGGAATCGCCTGCGGGGCGGCTATCTCGCTTTTTCAACGGGCTTTATGCATCGCTCCGACGAGGCGGACGCGCTGTGTGTCAATTTTACCCCAAGAACGACGAGCAGAAGAAGATGGTGAGTCAGGCGGCGATAAAAGCGGGTTTTGGGGCGGGACTGTTGGAGGATGATCCAGGGACCAAGAATGCGAAGACGTATTTGGTGTTGACTGTGGGCGGCGGCGAATTGGATGGCGATATTACGGGCGTTGTGGGAGGCATGGAGGGCGTGGATGTCATGGATACGCGGAGGAGAGGGAGAGGGATGAAGAGAGGCAAGGAGGTAAAAGGGAGTAAGGCGTGGATCATGCGGAAGAAGGAACAGATGGAGCGGAAAGGGAGGGTCGTGAAGGCGAACTCGAAGTACACGGGCCGCAAGAGAAGGATCCAGTGGTAAGGCCGACACTGCTCCAGCAGCACGACTCCATGAGATATGCATTAGCGCGGCGTTGGGGGTATTGAATCGATCATGCATGCTAGCTATATACCACTAAAAGTACAGCTCTATTCACACCGGCTACCTACTTGTACACGTCCACGTTGCCGCATCCAATCGTAAAATCAAATCTGACGCTGAGATCTAAGCCTGGGGTTTGTCCAATTCATGTGCGCGCGGTAGGTGGGACCGTCTTCGCGCTAGATCGGGGTTTAGCCAAATGGAAAACATCTTGTTCGCCTCATGCCTTCTCCATCTGATCCAAGATGGCGCGGGTGAATTCGTGCGTCGTAGCACTGCCTCCCATATCCCGCGTCCGTACTTTGCTACGAGATGTTAGCCATAGTTCGATAGTAGCCTCCTGATCACCTACCCATTCTCGATAACCTTATATACAGATTGCGAGATACGGTTGGCGTGCTCGTCCAGGCCGATGTGTCGCAGAAGCATGGCAGCTGAAAGGATCAAAGCGGTTGGGTTAGCCTGGTCCTTGCCCTTAATGTCGAGACCGACGTGACGGCACCCGGGCTCGAACACGGCGACATTGCGGCCCATGTTGCATCCTGGGACGATACCAGGCCCACCAACCAGACCAGCACCGATGTTGGATAAGATGCCTCCGTACAGGTTAGGCATCACCATGACGTCGAACTGCTGTGGCCGCGAGACACACTGCATCGAGGCGTTGTCGACGATCATGTCGCTGTATTCTATGGTCGGATAGTCCTCTGAAACCTTCTTGCATGTGTTACGGAAGAGACCGTCGGCGAGTTTCATGATGTTGGCCTTGTGAATGCAGGTGACCTTTTTCCTGTTGTTGGCCAGCGCGAAGGCAAAGGCAAACTTGGCGATGCGCTCTGACTTTGCGCGCGTGATGATCTTGAGCGACTCGACGACGCCGGCAACTGACTGGTGCTCCAGCCCAGAGTATTCGCCCTCAGTATTCTCGCGGATAATGCAGAGGTCGACATTCTTGTGGCGCGTCTCGTAGCCGGGGATGTTCTTGATGAGGACGATCGAAGCGTAGATGTCGAGCTCTTGACGAAGGGCAACGTTGAACGACTGGTGGCCGGAGCGCTCGACGGGCGTGTGCAGGATGCCCTTCAGACCAAGCTTGTTGCGCTTGAGCGAGGCAATGGACTCGCGGAAGAGCTCCTCGGAGTGCTTGTCGCCGGTTTCCACGCCCGACACGTTGACCTGCTCCCACTCGACGGGCACGTTGTCTGCCTTGAAGATCTGCTTGACCGACTCAGACACCTCCGCGCCGATACCGTCACCTGCGCACGTTCAATATATGTCTTCTGGGGACTGGAGGCGCTTATCGCTGCGTACCAGGAATCAGGGTAACGGTGTATTTGCCGCCGAACTTGGTGGGCTTGAAGATATCCTGGCCGACCGTAGCCATTGCTGCAGCGCGTCAGCACTCACCCACCCTGAAGCCTGAGTGTAGGTCGCATACTTCGGGCGGTCAAGGAGGGTCCGGCTACGCATTGTGATGCAGGCCTTGCGCCCCGCAGGAGCGTCTGTCGCGGCGCGGTTAGCTGGTGGAATGCTCTCTTTGGGGCCCAATTGAGTGGGCAGGAGATAGTGCATACCTGCGCCGTCTTCTGGGAGGTCCTCGACAGCATGGCGGTGGTTGCGGAGGAGCGGAGCGATGGTTGTGAGGGATTTGAAGCAGAAACAAGCTGGAGCTCTGGCGGCCGAAAAAGCAAGGACGCCTTGGCGCACCATGACATACTAACACTACGCCAATCTCGTCTTCCCGCGGCGAAGCATCTTAATCTTGGGAGCAAATTTTTCTTCAATTTTCTTCAATACACGCAGCGCCGCACGTCCGTCTCTTTCAACCCTTCATCGAACAATCTATACGCTCATAAGCGGCTTTGTAGCTCTGACTGTTCGCATCGCCTTTCGCAATCTTTAATTTCTGTGCGACGCGTCTTCTACGCATTGGCACGTGAAACAACAGTGCACCGGTCTTTGTGCTATGGCGGGCATGCGGATTGGACTCTTCGCCTATGCGGACTCTACAAGGCACTGCTGCTTGACAGCAGCGGAATCCTTCCTTGTGTAGATTGACTCAGGGATCGGAATGCTTCTCAATGTTTCGTCATTCTGACCTATCGTGAATTCAGCCCTACCGACCGAGCCCTACTTGCTTTCCGCTTTAGTCGCACCCTGTGTATACTACTGATTCATCTTCCTCTGGTCTTCCTTCCTCCTCCTCAGACTTAACGTCCAGCTACATCTCCACTTGGGCAAGGCCCCATCTGCCCTCCATCGGCACTTGATAGACCGTGGGGTAGAGCGGAATTGCTCCGCCGAGACCGACTAGTATAACATCAGGCTACCAAACGCCCTCCTCCGTTGATTGACACACGACCACACGAGCCGCAATGGAAGAGTTCAACATTGGATGGATTGGCCTCGGCAACGCCGGTTACCCCATGGCCGCGTGCCTCGCGAAGAAGGGCCACCGGCTTCTTGTTCGCGACGCAGACCCAGCCCGCGGTATCAATTTCGTCGAAGAATATCCGAAGTGCAGGGCCGCCTCGTCTGATCCGAACGTTTTCCAGAGCTGCGAGGTTGTGGTTACGATGCTGCCGAATGGAAAGGTGGTGATGGATGCGCTACTGGGAGAACGGGGCATTGCGCCGCATCTAAAGCCAGGCATGGCTGCCTTCTGCAGCTACAGAGCAACCGCTGACTCTGATAAGGATCCGTTGTCATCGACACAAGCTCATCATCGCCATATGATACCCAGGCACTTGGAAAGGAACTGAGCAAGCTAAACGTGGATCTAGTGGATTCCCCCATCACGCAGGAAAGGCTTCATCAGATCGACGAAGGAGGCGCGACATTGATGGTCGGTGCCGACAAGCCCGAAGCGTTAGAAAATGTTATGCCGATCCTGAAAGATATGAGCGCTCACGTCTTTCCTATGGGTGGCCTGGGTACCGGCCACATAATGAAGACGCTCAACAACTACACCAGCGTGGGCAGCATCATCGCGCTGTGCGATTCTCTGGTCAGCAATCCACAGAAAGTGCGACACAAGCCGCTAACAACACTAGGTCGCCGGTCAGAAGCTCGGTTTGGACCCCCAGACTATGATCGACGTGATGAATGTCGGCACCGGCGTCAACTTTTCAACCAAATACTCTATGAAGAACCTCAAGTCCTACGACACAGGCTATCAGCTCGAGCTCCTTGTCAAGGACGTCAGAATCGCCAAGGACGTGATTGAGAAGTCTGGATTCCAGTCAGATCTGCCAGCGCTGGCTTTGAAGTACCTGGAAGATTCGATGAAGTGCGTGGAGAAGGGCGCAGATCACTCCGAATGTCTGAAGAGCTGGGAACAGAGAGCCGGAGTGGAGATCAAAATGACTGAGAGACGGGTGAATGGAAAAGAGGAGTAAAGACAGTCGGACCAGTTCTCAGAAGGAGCCGGTGTTGCATCTCATGTGATTTCTTTGGTCAGGTTTATTTTCTCACTGCGTAAATGCCCTGAGTTTGCTCTTTCTTAGGGTCATAGGGCACCAATCGTGTCATCTGGTATGGATTGATTATTGCCTCGTTCAGATGAAACGCTAAGCAGCGGTCACTTTTGAAGACTTCCTCTGTTAATTGCCACAGCCTTCGTTGACCTGCCCCGAATACCTCCAAGAGTGGAATTCCAGCAGCAGCCGAAATGTCCCATTTCCCGACGACGGTTTATCGACATGTCCGCTTTCAATAAACGAATCGTGTATGGGGGTGAGAATAGCAATCTCTCGCCGCATCCAGCTCAGTTCGTAACCGCCACGGGCTGTCTATTTAGCGACAAGACTAGAGAGCAAGGGGAAATGGAATGGGATGTATAACGGAGCGGCTACATTAGTTCCCTCTCGAGTAAGTTTTTCAGTGCAGCCGCCTAGTAGTCTCGTCTAATCAGACCTTCGGAGTAACGAGCTAGAGCCTATTGACCGGCAAGGGCTTGAGCATGGTACATGTCCACGTACGTACTACATAGGCGCGGCTAAAGATTGTTTTCTCTTACCTTGCCGTCTGCTCCGACGTCACACCGCAAGCTTCAGAAATCAATACTTGACGGGCCCGCCTTACTTTTTCCTCCACCTCTCCGCCAGAAAAGAATCTCACTTCACCAGCTATTGCGACTTACAGCCTGCTGTCACTATTCCTCCAAGTATATCTTCCAGGGACTCCTACTTCTTTATGCTCCCGAGTTCGTCACCCGGACACGCCATTCTTGATCCGAGCAGCTACCATTACGCATTTGCGAAGAACCTGCGAGTATTGCCCCCTCAGTATAAGCCCTCTGCGCCAGGACGAACCAGTGCACCCTCACTTCTTCATTCAGCGACAGCTTCTACCCAGTCCGGCAACACGCTTTGCTCCCCGCCTTCGACGTCTGCAGCCAGTCCCACCTCAATTGGTCAATTCGAACCCTTTGCGCAGAGCCAGTAACTGCGGACCTCCCCACAATGAAGGTCTTCGAGAAGGAAACCGACCGCAAGGCAAATGCCCATATATTTGCGTTAGGTAGGGTCAAAGAGCTGGAAGAGTACGGTCAGTACGTAGATCCGGTCGACAAGGCCCTTTGCTGCTATGTCCCAGTTGAGGAGGGCATGGTAGTCAAGGTTGGAGGGCGGTTCACAGGAACGGTGAGTAGCTTCATTGAGAGTTGACCGCACCTACTGACATTGGGTATCACAGACGCTCAACCTGGGGTACGACGTGGTGGTTGACGGGGTCTACCGGCACTCACACACCTACCTTGGCAGGTCCGTCTCCTTGCAGAAGAACAAGAAGCTCGACTTCGAGACTTTCCTGTACCAGACTTCTGACGGGGTCATCGACACTGAGATGAAGGTCGCTCCATTTACACCGATCATGACAACACCAGTAAAACAAGCACCGGAGACCATCGGCACTCTTGAGTTGCGCATCTACGTGCTCCGGAGCTTCGGCGATGAGCACACTCTCGGAGACGTGCAAACTTACTACAAGATCAATGATGATGCTGAGGACGAGTCTGAGGAGTTCCCGACCTACAGGGTGATCGCCCCCGATTTCCGCATGACCTTCGAGACGAATTGCGCTGCTCTCGACAAGCCCAGGGCGACCCGGGAGAAGAAGAAGATGGACTCGAAGCGCCCCGGAAAGGAGCCATGGGCGATCCTTCGTTTCCATTACCGTAGCAAGGGCGAGTATCTCTAATTGCTACGACCCAAACAGAGAATACTGACAAGATGGCAGAGTCGATTGAAGCCAAGAAGCTGGAGATGACGCACGAACCCGGCTCAAAGGCAAAGACTGAACATCACCATCTCGAGCTTGAACCAGTTCCGCCGCTCCGGGTAGGCGCCATACCTGCCAAAGCAGAGGATGCAGATTGCTCCTCGCGGTCATCAACTCCTGCACCTACACTCCCCTCCACGCCGGCCAAGAGTGCTAAGGAGCGCTCCAATGTCAGCGTAAGTGGACGCACCCTTCCTTTACCTTTGGGGACCGCAAATTTCCTACTTCACCTCTACTTCTCGCTTGAAGTAAAAGATGTGTGAGCGTGGCGACTAATCCCTACTTATAGGCCGCGGTCCGCTTCAAAAAGCAGCAGCAGAAGGTCCCAACTCCAACTCCGACCCAGAAAGATCGTCGTGCTCCCCCAGAGCGCACACCAAGCCCCGACCTTTGCATTCCAGCAGGAGAAGACGACGACTGTCTACGAGCTCGGATCTTCCCAAAGACAACACTTAGTCTAGCCCCTAAGCAGACTTCCAACACTATGGCTACTTCTCCTGCCTCAGAGAGCACCGTCAATGACGTCACCCAGGACGTGACTGCAGTGGGAGAGAAGGAGCAGCCTACTGTCGACGTCACCGCCGCTGCGGCCGACTCCGAGGTGACCACCAAGGGCCCGACTGAGGATAAGGCTCTGAAGGCCTCCAGGCTGACCAAAGAGAACGCCGAACTTGCCAACGGCACCGAGGCTCTTATCCCTACCCAGTCCACCGGAAACGCTCAAGAGCCAGCTCAGCCTACGGTCTCACCTCTCGAGAAGCCTATCGAGGTTCCTGCGCCGGCCGCCACTCAAGTCCCCATCGCTCATATGGTCCCAGCCACGCCAGCCAAACGCCCCTCCGACCTCAAGATCCCCAGCTCTCCCGAGCCAAAGCGCGCCAAAGTCTCCCCAATTCCCGCTCCAGTTCCCGCCTCCCCCACGACGTCTACCGCTTGTCCCGGACCGAAGAAGCTCAGCCTAGCCGTCAAGAAGCGCAAAGAGATCGAAAACCTCAAGAAGGGGCGCGAGGACATTGCACGAAAGCGCGCGATTCGGGACGCAAAATATTCCGCGGAAAAGCAGCAGATGAAGGAGGAGATGGAGCGCCTTGATCGCGAGTTTGAGGAGGAGAAGCGGGCGCTGGCCGAGGAGAAGGCGCAGTATGAGGAGGAGGAGGCTATGCTGCAGGAGTTTCTGAGTGAGAGGAACGGCGATTGAGGTGAGGCGGCTTTCCTTATTTCAAGGCAATTCCGAGGAAACAATTGCATGAGAATAGCACAAAAGGTGGGATAGGGGTTCGATTAGGATTTGGAGTCTGGAATGGGGTGCCTGATGGCTTCAGTGGGGTTTTGCGGATTGGGTTGCTGGGCAAAAAGATCGGTTGAGCCTCCCTCAAACTCTCCTCTCAGGACTGCTATTGGGAACGATACGGCAGGTTGGCGCTCCGGAGCTGTCCTATTACTTGGCTTTGATTTCGGGGACGGCGGATTTGGCGCCGCGACCAGAAGGTGGTCACTCATTGCGAGCTGATCTCTGATCTCCTCGCGATTCGAGTTGGCAGCTCTACTTTCCTTTAGTCTCCTCTTTCTGGATAATCCCTCAAAATTATTGTTTCATCGACACGATACCCCTCTCTATCTTATTAGAATTGCGCTTGAGATTAACCGTCCCCACAACCTGTGATTATAGCATGGAATAAGGGGGTATCAATTGAATTTCGTATCAAACTCTCCTCTAGCCCCGAACGGCACCCAATCTAGAACGAAAAGACTCTGTAAAAACTAGCCTGGAGACTTTCAGTCAACTATCGAATGCCCAATCAGTTTCGCGGAGTCCTCATGTTAGCCTTAACACGCTCTAAGAGCTCTGCAGTCGTGGCTAGCGGCGATGGGTGTAGATTGCGCTATGTAGACAATTAGCTCACGTAGCTTAGCGAAGCGAAGAGAGTAGAGCAATATGAGGCATGGAGGGTGTAGTGCTAGAGGAAGTGTGGTAGGTATGAGTAGGGGGAAGGAAATGGAAGGCTGGTGGCGACTTACTTTCTTCAGCCAGGTGACGCATTCATCGTGGGTCCAGGTTTCGGGATCTAGGATGCAGATGTTAGCCATCAATGAACATTCGATAACAAGCAATTCGAGCCTGGTGAAGAAGACAGCTGATACAGCATTCGAAAGACCGGTGGCAAATGCAACATCTAAGAAAGGACGAGCGAAGACTGGTACAAGAAGGCATTGCAGGACGCGCGTCCAAGACGCTCATAGTATTACTACCTCGCTTTTGGAGACTTCGCACGCCCGAGCACCACCAAAGGGAGAAGGCAGGCGCCGATGAGGAAAAGAAGCAGCAGCATACCACCCTGGGGATCTTGACTCGGAAAAAGATCCTGGCCCCAAATACTCCACGCTGCAACGCCGGTGACGATGGCTGCAAAGGCGAAGAAGGGAGTCTGTGTTCCTGTCAGTAACGGGTCGGACGAGGGTACAGGAGGAAGGGGTTGCATTACACGTGAGCTCGTGGCGCGGTCGAGGGGTGTCGGCATGGTGGTGTGGCGAGATGTGGAGGTTGTTCTTTGGTCGCGGGATAGAGGCTATGTGTTGCGTAGTCGACTTGAGAGACGACAAGACACGGTGACGAAGGGTGTCTCAGGAATATAGAAAGCGGATATCGTAGGCAGCCGTCCAAGAAGCGTCGTGTTCTCTCGGACTCTCGCGCCACACACGTCGCGTCGTCAGTTCCCAGATTCCAAGCTATGCCTAATCCAACTTAGTCCCTCTACCGCCCCTTCGTGGCCCGTGCACCACAAGCGAATTTCCCTCCACAACATTTTGACGCACGCCGTTCACGATCTCTGAAGACGCACCGAGTCGATTCCGCAACTACCGCCACAATGCCGTCCGAAGTCTCCGATATCAAGCAGTTCATCGAGATCTGCAGGCGCAAGGATGCTAAGTGTACGTCCTTCAATCTCCGCGTAATCGTACATGCCCCTCCGGCGCTCCCGCATGAAGACGATGAGGTGAAGGAAGCGCAATTGAAGGGGAGAGGCAGTGCAGACGAAAAGAGGAGATGGGCATTGAGGAATAAGGATGAGCTGACAGTGTTGCAGCCGCCCGCATAAAGAAGAACAAGAAGGCGAACAACATCAAGTTCAAGGTCCGATGCCACCGCTTCATCTACACGCTCGTCCTCAAGGACACGGATAAGGCCGAGAAGCTGAAGCAGAGTCTGCCGCCAGGTACGGTACCGCCCTGATACATCACATACACAGCAGATGGAGGTTCAGAGCACAATTGGAATGGGATGGTTAAATTGAGTGGACTGGAGCTAACGGGGCGTTCTGCAGGGCTCACCATCACCGACGTCGGCAAGAAGAACCCCAAGGGCAAGCGATCGACTTAAGCGGTGGGTGAAGGATGGATGGGATTGTGGTGGAACAAGGCATTGGGAGAGGAGGAAGCGCAACACTGCATGAAGGATGACGGGACAGGCGGACGGGCGTCTCTTCGGAAATCTGTTCTCAAAGGCATAAGGAACCCTCAGTCTCGGGATCCGACAGGAATGAAAAACGTCAAAACTTCACGTTATTGGTTAGATCAATATGTGGATTGTGGCAGCGAAGCAAGCGTGCGTGAGCAGACAATGCTACTAGAGCTAACCAGCTATAGCGATGACCACTACTGCACCGTCCTTGCGGGCTGCAGGCTATGCCGGACCTTGAAGTTATACTGGTCTTTTCGATCCAAATAGACGATCTTATCACTCAATCCCGCGTCCTTCACGGCCTTCTTGAAGTCGGACAACGGTGACATGAAGACATCGTAGTCATCGAAGTGAATCGGGATCGTGACATCCGGATTGATGAGCTGCATGAGCTGCACTCCCTGATTTGCATCCATAGTCACCATCAGCAACGGCATCTTTGGACTGGGAATCGTCGTTCCGCCCAGATGGATCAACATCAGGTCGATTCCCCGGCCCTTATATCGCTCCGGAATCTCCTTCAGCTCGTCGACCATGAGCGTATCCCCAGAAATGTAGATGCGGTACCCGTTGTCGAACTTTATCCTGGTCACTCGTGGAAGAGTAGCCAAGCTCAACCATCTAGCCATTCGTTGGCGGCACAGCGGAGAGGATATCGTTGGCAACGGAAAGCGGTCCTGGCGGAATATGCTTCCCGGGCATTCCTGTTATTTTAACGCTGGGCTTCTGGCCGGCTTGGATTTTGTTCGTTTTCACGTCGGCGGTCAACGACTGAAAGAAATCCAGGGCATGGACCGCCGTGAACGAGTCGTCTCCCTTCGACGTGAGGCAGTTCTTCGCGTGCGGCGTCGTTATGATGGGTATCGAGCGCTTTAATTTGTCCCCGACCACCTTGTCGAAGTGATCTTCATGGTAGTGGGACAAAAGGATGGCGTCTATCCGGGGGAGCTCTTCGAGGTTTATGGCCGGATCTGTGAGTCGTGTGGCATTCACCCCAGGCCCCAGGTGCACATGATCGCCCGCATGCAGAAAATTTGGATCCGTGAGAATGCGCATGCCCTCCCATTCTAGAATTGTAGTCGCGGTTCCGACGAACATGAGTTTAGCATTGGTGTCTTCCTCGGCATTCGAAGGATGAACTTTTGTAGTGGCTGCTTCTGGCATCTCCGTCGGAACATAGGTGTGTTCTTTCGTTGGAGGACCTGAGGTCCCTGGATCGATCGTGAGGCGCTTCATGATTGCGGCTGGTGTAACTCTTTCTCGGGCTGTTGAGCTTCAAGGTCCCGGTTATGCAGCGGTTCGGTGGAGCTTGATTTGGCGATGCTAGGTTTTCGATTGGGCGTAAAGCGGTGGTACAAGGGAAAGCAGGAGAAGATAGAAAAGAATAGGAATCGTACTTCATCCATTGCGTAGGCCATGACGACACGACGTGGTAATGGTGATGATTGGTAGTACGAATAGTACGAATGCAGGGTCTTGTCGATCGTGAACGTGCGAGGATGGAGTAGACGTTCAAGAGCTCGAGAGCTCTTGCTGCGTTTATACCTACCATGCTCCAGGTCTTCCATGGGCTGACCATCAGCTGAACGCGTAACCTCCGTGATGCTTACCGTTGGTGTTGATCCGAGGGCTGTACCTTCCGCAAAGTCCGGGGACACGGGCAGCCACGATGTGGCTTGAAAGAAGCCACAGCTCGCGAGAGCTACATCCCTGTCGAGGCCAAGTATCCAATCAGGAAAAAGGCTTCGCCGTCAAGTGAGAACACCTGGCAATCTACAGCGCGACGATTATCGTGATTTTCTCTTTCTTTTGGCCTTTGAGGGGAGCGGAGTCAAATCTCTAATGTTTTGAGAGGGTCCGAGGTTCGACCTTTTTAATATCTATCCGCCGTGCCGCCGGGCGATGTACTCGCGCGACCCGTTCAACCTCCGCAAAACACCCGCCTCCGCCTTGACTCTCCTGCAGACCGCCGCGGCTAAAACGCTCGAGACCTCCTCCGCCGCGGTCCACGCGACCAAGCAGACGCTCGAAGACGCAGACATGTCCTTCGCCATTCCGCGCAACGTCCCCGACTTCAACGACGCGCAGCGCCGCTTCGAGGATAACGTATGGAGCAAGTTCAGTGGCAATGAGAAGGGGCTCCCGATGTATAAGGATAAGCCGGCTTATTATGGGGGCCGGAGAGGGGTGAAGCGGTGGTGTAGAGGGAAGAGAGGGGTGGGCTTGGTTGTGCTGGTGGTGTTTGGGGTGTTGTATTGGCTTGGGTGGTTGAGTGGGGGGAAGAGAGTTGGAGACGGGGTGGAGAAGAAGGAGGGCTGGGGGAGTATATTGGGAAGTGGTGGTGCGGGGAAGAAGGGAGTGGATTGGGAGAAGAGGAGGGAAAGTGTGAGGGACGCTTTCTTGCTTAGTTGGAACGCGTATGAGGAGCATGGATGGGGTAGGTCATATTATTCTCCTGCGCGGTGGCAACTATGCTTGCAGGAATACAGATGAGAGTGCTGACTCTACTAGGATACGACGAATACCACCCCGTCTCGAGAAATGGCAGATATATGGCAGAGCCGAACGGTCTAGGCTGGATCATCGTCGACGCGCTGGATACCCTGATGCTAATGAATCTCACGAAAGAGCTGAAGCACGCGAGGGAGTGGATATCGACAACATTGAACTATGATAAGGATCAGGACGTTAATACCTTCGAGACTACGATACGGATGCTGGGCGGACTGCTGTCGGCGCATTACCTGCAAGAGGCGCTTCCCGGGATGAAACCCGAGAACGCGAATGAGGAGGATCTATTCCTGGAGAAGGCTACAGACCTTGCGGACAGGTTGATGGGAGCTTATGAGTCGCCATCTGGCGTACCATGGGCGAGCGTCATTCTCAAGACTGGGCAAGGAAAAGGATCACACACAGATGGAGGAGCCTCGTCCACCGCTGAAGCAACCAGTCTGCAGCTCGAGATGAAATACCTGGCCTACTTAACCGGTGAAGCACACTATTGGGAGAAAGCGGAGAAAGTCATGGAAGTGGTGGACAACAATGGAGCGAAAGACGGCCTAGTGCCCATCTTTATCTACGCCGACAAGGGCACGTTCCGCGGCAATGAGATCCGACTCGGGAGTCGCGGCGATTCGTACTACGAATATCTCATTAAGCAGTACTATCAAACGCAGAAGCAAGAGCCAGTTTACCTAGAGATGTGGAACGAAGCCCTAGCGGGCGTCAAGAAGCATCTCCTTACCTACTCAAAAGACAGCCACTTTACCGTCCTAGCAGAGAGACCGGCTGGCCTGGATGGTTATCTCCACCCGAAAATGGATCACCTTGTGTGCTTCATGCCCGGCACAATCGCTCTATCCGCAACCGGCGGTCTCACTCTCGCCGAAGCCCGCAAACTACGCTCGTGGGGCAAGCAGCAAGAGGAGGACATTCTCCTCGCCCGCGAACTCACCAAGACCTGCATGGGCATGTACCGCGTCACCCCGACCGGGCTCGCCCCGGAAATTGCACACTTTGAGCTCTCGGATCCACCCAAGATGTACCGCCAGGAGATCCTGGAGTCCAAGTCCGACCTGGAGGCGGCCGAGGACGCGGACTGGAAGAAAGACTACATCGTCAAGCCCGCCGATGCGCATAACCTGCAGCGACCCGAGACGGTGGAGAGTCTGTTCTACATGTGGCGCATTACCGGCGACGATCTGTATAGGGAGTGGGGCTGGCAGATGTTCGAGAGCTTTGTCGAGCACACGATTGTAGAGAATGGGGGAGGGTTTACCAGTGTGGGGAATGTGATGGTTGTTCCGCCGCCGAGTCGGGATAATATGGAGAGCTTTTGGCTAGTAAGTCCTCGGCCCCTTCCCTAGCTTTTTTCGACAATGTGCATATCCTGATTGGTCTCTAGGCAGAAACCCTCAAGTACTTCTACCTCCTCTTCGGACCCAACGACGTTCTCCCCCTCGACCAGATCGTGCTTAATACGGAAGCGCATCCTTTCCCGGTGTTTGATGCGAGCAAGAAGAGATTTAAGACGGGGTGGAAGAGGGTCCCCAGGGATCAGGATGGGAATCTGGTTAGGGGGAAGCCGGAGATGAAGGATACGCATCCTGGAAGATGATAGAGTGCTGGAGCAGGTTGGTGTGTATACTAAAAGATTCCCCTGTATAGGTCATTGCATCATCGGCGCAACTTGGGATTCAATAATGAGTCCTAATCAAAATAGGATCAACGGTTTGATTGGGTATTCTTACTTCGAGGGTGGGCTCTACCGCAGAGAACGGATGAGGCAGCATAGCTTCAGCAATTGACCAGACGGTAGGTGTGCGCGCGGTTCCTTCTGGGGCCACGTATGGCGAGCATTGACGGCGAGATGCCGTTGCAGGTTCAGCCTCCAGGAGCGGAGTGCCCTTTTGCTAGGCTGGGAGTCGGCACTCAAACATAAAGGCCAGCCGTTCCCCTCACCCCTTCCACACGCGTTTCTTTCGTCTCTCCCTCATTTCTCGCGCACATCTGCCTCACATTCGTCTACACATTCCATTTCCGACTCACCGCTCCTCCGCGCCTCCTTCGTCCTTCAGTTCCAGCTCGACCAATCCCATCTCGGGAATCTCAGCCTCCTCGTTGCCCTTTTCGCCAAGGATATACCTACAGCCAACCATGTCCGACAACGTCGACTCCGACCTGCAGCTCGCCCCGTTCGAAGAGGACCTGGCTTCGCCCGATTGGGCCACTCTCGTGGAGCAGGTCATGCAAGAGCCTTGGATGGACGACCTTGATTGGACGGGATGTCAAGCTGCTGACCAGGGCGCTGAGGCGCTGCCTGGTGGCAGGTGAGTTTAAAAAAAAAGACATGCGCTAACAAAAGGGCAAGAGAGATGCTCAACACACGTCCCGCAGACCCCCATTCACACAGTTTGTCAACTGAAGTAGGGGATATCGCTTCCGATCCCACCCATGCCATCCCATGCATGTCTAATCCTTTCGGCCTACAAGGACATACCGCGCCGTTTTCAGCCCCTTTGGCGCCTCATGCTTTCCGGCTGGCTACGGTGGTTGAAGCCCAGGCACCTGAGGCGTGTCAGCCGCATATCAACCTCGTCGATGATCGACAACAATCTTCGACCAATACCCCGCCCCAGACTATACATGCCGAATCTCAAGCATCCTTCATTTGCAACATTGAGGGCTGTACATCGAAGCCGTTCAAACGTTGCGCCGAGCTGCAGCGCCATCAGCGGAAACATGATCCCAACGCAAAGAAGTATTCGTGCCCAGCACAGGGTTGCAATCGCACCGGGAATCGAGGGTTCCCACGACGGGACAAGCTCAAGGACCATATGCTGGCAGGTCATGATGATGACACCATGTTCCGGTGTCCAGCGTGCCGAGCTAGGCCATTGACTAGAGATCTAATGGCCCTGCACTGCAGATGTCACAGCTATCCAAACCGTTTCGAAGATCCTGTCAAATCTGAAGTGAGCGCAATTTATCATTCAAAAGAGTGTCGGAAATGCCCCATCCCTAGATGCCCTTTCCGTGTGTTCATGAGATATTATGCGATGGCCGAAGATTTGGATCCTCTGATCAGCCACCTCGTCGAGCAGCACGATATCAAAGGACGGGCTAACTTTTCCGGTCGCATCTTGGAGCGAGGCTACGATCCCACAACCGGGGACGTTCTGTGTCCCATCTGTCCGGATAAGCCTCGCTTCCAACGGCACGCCATGTTCTACCGACACTTCGCCGAGACGCACGTCCATTCTGAAGATCTTCGCCATTGGGATGGTGTAGATTTTGAGGAGATACAGGTTTGGGAAATGCAGCAGGCCCTGTGGCGGTGCACACATATTCCTGACGAAGTTCGCGAGCATCGACGGACTTTTTTGAGTCTCTGGCCGGCCTTCGACGACTACCCTGTCTGGGGCGACATCGAGGCTGTTTCCTAGTTTGTGTTTTCCGGGACGGAATTGGTCGTGACGGGCCATTGCTCGGTGGTATTGCTGCTACAGTGCTCAGTTACTCCCCTTTTCTTCTTTATTCGGTTCATAAATCTTTTCTTTGTCTCCTTTTGTCGTGATAATGAGGACCGGACTGTATTTCCTTGTCTTATTCTGTGACGATGATGAGGACTGAACTATATTTCTTTCTCTCCTTTCGTGACGATCATGAGGACCGGACTGTATTTCCTTATATAGAAAGAATCCAACTTCGTACGCTCCTTAAGCCCTCCCTTTTGGTTCTCCATTCGCCCTTATTAGCTTCTGATACCAGTCTCCCACCCCCAAGCAACCCCCTACCCAACCCTCGTCGCCCTTACCGTCCACACCAAACGATCCTCCTCATCCAGCCTAACCACCTCATTCACCTCCCCAACCCCACCCACCATCACCACCGCCACCCTCTCAACCTCCTCCCGAAACACCCTCTTCACCTCCTCAGCCTCCACATCCTCCGTCGAAAACAGCAGCCCCGTCTCAATCTCCACGGTCTCAAACCCCGTCAGCATCTCCAGCGCCGAAAAGTCGATCGGCCGCTCCTCGCGAAGTTCCTCAAACAATGTCATGACGACAGAGAAATTCGACACCCTGAGGTGCTTCGGCCTGTCGCCCGCGCCGATGTCGGCGGCTAGCTCGCGTAAGTGCGCCGTGCTTGAGGTGCGGAAAGAGACGTGCACGGGCGAGCGGAACGGGCCGACGCCTTGCTCGTCTACCTAAGTGAACGGCGAGCGGTAGCTGTGCTCTAGCGTGAGGAGCTTGGCGTTCTTCGGAGATAGCGGGATGGTCTTGTGTAAGGTGGGGTTCGTCAGCTTCGTGGGCAGCTTCGCCCAGGGTGCCCAGTCGCCTTTGCGTTGCAGCTGCTCGAGGCTTTCGGCGAGGAGTTGCTTGTTGGTGAGGAGCCATGGTGCGCGGAAGGGCGGAGCGGGGGCGGTAAAGGTGGCGATGCGAGGATGGGGGTGCTCCGGGTCGAGGAGGGGGGTTGGGGAAGGGGTGTATTGAATGTGGTAGTGGAAGGACTTGTGGCTGAGGGGGAGGGGTGCGGATGTGGTCCATAGCTCGTGCTGGGGTGTGTGTTAGTGTTTCTTCTCTAAGCACTGGGTTTGTAGTGTGCAAAGGGGGAGTAGGTGGAGAGCTAATTAGGAGGATCTTCGAGGAATAAGACGGGGTGGAGACTTACGTATATCTGATCTCTGATTTCGCGAGGGAGGTCGAAGAAACGGGATGTTGAGGACGGTAGATCAGGATAGGATGTATGAGAGGTCTTCTTCCGCTTCGGAGTCTTGATAGGCGAAACGCCGGCGTCTTCTCCATCGTCGGGCCGCTTTCGCTTGCTGCGGCTTCTGGTGATGGGCCCAGTGTATCGTCGGGCTGGTTTCTTGTTGGAAAAATGCGAGCCTTTGAGGCGCTTAGCGGGTACGACAGCGGACGAAGTTGTTTGCTCGCGCTTGGGCTGGATTCGGGTTATGGGGGCTGTGGTCTGCTCGATATCGGCCTGCGATTGAGGAGCCATGATGAGAAATGCAATGGGGTCGTTCGGTGGTAGGAGCGATAAGAGATCAGAGAACTTGATGTTGCGATCAAGATTGACGATTGAGGAAGTAGGAAACGAATTGAGATATATGATTTCAGAAAGTTAGAATCGTAGCTGAGGTTGACGAACGGAGAAGTAGACGGAAAATGCAAGATAGACGGTAGGAGAATGAGGGATAGATATGTATTCAGACACAATAGGAAGCTTTCCTCTCAAGCGTGGGTGGCCAAGGTGTTTGAGCGTATCGTAGGCATATTCAGTGAAAACAAGAAAAGCGGGTGGCTGGACGAGTGAGAGCGCCAAAAATCAGGTGGGTGACTCAACAATATCTCCAGTCTATGTTTCACGTTGGCGATTGACGCACGAATCTGTGTGGTTTTGCAGATGGTTGAATGTTACACACACCATTTGTTACCCGAAAACGGTCGATAAGATCCGACTCCTCAACCCATCCCCAAGTGTCAGCTCTCAGTCACAATTGATGAGATTGAATGTGGTAGGTTGCGGTCAAGTAGGAGACAAGTCGCCGCTATTCACAAGCGCGAGATGTGGCGCATGGCAGTAGGCACCACTGAGTAAATTCACCGAGGACGATTTCGAGAGCTCCATCAAGCCTTATGACATCGATTCACAGATGCAGATCTAGCGAAACCGGGACGGCTCGGTGCTGATTTATTGGATGCGCACGACTGTAGGAGACATGACTGCCGCATCTCGCTTTTGTTATCTGCCTTTTTCATGTGCGATGCTGTGGAAGCCTTTTCCATATCCTCTCGATTAAAACGAGATGTTGTAGAGCTCTTGTACAGTAGTGACGAGCATTATTTTGGATCATGGCTGTCAGCCTGGCAGGATATCGAGTTGTAATGGGGGAATTCAATGGAATTTAGCAAGTATGGAGAACCCGAAATGATCTGATCTCTCCAGATGTCTCTGTGTGACCACCGCAGTCGGTCCAGATGACCCAAGCTAAAGTATTCTACGTTTCCGGCCATGCATTTTCCGACTCTACTAAGCCATTGCCTTAACCCGCACCATTTTTCCGGCACCCTTCGTGTCGCCGGACCGTCTCCGACGTTGATCCAATATTAGGCGGTGAAACCCGCATATACGATGCACCGAAATCCCATGCAGTGCTTCCATAAGAGTGAGGAACGATCGGCCCATCAGTTCTGCTCAAAAGCAAACCGCCATCGGAATCCGCGGGCATCGAGTCGCGGTTCAGTGATAGGGGTCTTCTGGACGGTTGATAAGACTCCTTTCCCCATGACCTTGCGACCCAGCCTCATGACCTCCTCGACTAGCGGCTTCTCCAAACACTGGCGAGGAATAAAGAGGTCAACGAATTCCATGACAACGATCTCAAAGGCCGTGAGATGACTGAATCCCTTTTTAAGGCCATCCAGGACGGAGAGATCCACTTTGATTCGACAGAAATAAGGGGATAGTTGGCTTTTCTCTATGTCTGGATAGCACAGGTAAACCTGTAGCGCCAGTTTCTCGATGGTGGTGGAGGCGCTGAAGTATTCCGACAGACGGTCGATGCTGTGCTCGTCACATAGGTGGCCTGAGAACGTGGCTGTCCGGAAGCCGGGATTGTAGTTCTTAGTATATTTCAAGATACCGTAGGTGATGCCTAGCTCCCGAAAGTGGGATGAACGCATGGACGACTGAATACGAGGAAGCGGATCGCCACTTCCGATATGGACATACCACAGCCCATTGCGTCGAAACTGCTCCAGGGATTCTTTCAACATGGACTTGCAAGCCAGTAGTCCTAGTGGAAGTTTTGTAGCTGGAGTCTCGAGAGAAACGTTGTCGCCGCCCTCATTCGTGGATATCCTATAGAATGCGGTCACCAGACTTCCGCGGACGTCAATGGCAGGCGTTTGCTTCCACAGTTCATGATAAACCATGTCTCGGATCTCGCGCGGAAGCTGGAAGAAACCCGCCTTCTCACGACGGTCCCTTCGCCTCGGGGATTTTGTGCGGTGGTTGCGCTTCGAGCGTTTCAATGGAGAGTGCACGCGTTGCTGCTTTCGCAGCCCCTCTGGTGTCCGGTTTGCAACCTTTCGTTTCATGACGAGCTTGAGGGGCTTGAAGGGCAGTCGCTCAGCCTTTTTGGCTTTTCGCGGCGCCATAGCTGCGAAAACTGATCAGTGTGATTGCTCTAGACGAAGCTCAAGCCGACACTTGTGAAACGCATGGCAACTTACTCTTTCTGGAGGCGTCGCGCCTTAGGTGGGTAGTTGCTGACGGAGGTAGAGAATGAGAAAAGAAGTATGAGCGCAGATGAGAAAGAGTGATTGGCGGTGGGGCAACATAGCGGTGAAAGTGCGCGGAGCGTCGGCGGTGAAAGCGAGAGGTGAACGAAGGACCATGACATCACGCACAATTTAACGGAACTTGTGGCGCCACCGAGCATTCTGCCACAGGTAGATTGCGTCGCAGAGCTAGCTATACAGGGAGAGCTGAGCTCTGTTGCCAATACAGTGATCTCCTTCCTTTTTCCTCACACTTCTGAGTGACTTCTGCCAAGCTCTCCCTTTCCTCCACAGATTGGAATTAAAGAAATGGGAAGAACATACCGATGTGTTAAGCGCCGAAAGGCGAGCTTTTGTATAGACCGTATGCGTGCAAGGCTTTCGTCGATCCGGCCCCGTGCTTGAATGCTGAGCATACTGGAGGGTGGTCTCCCGAACCCGATATCCTGCTGTCGCGATACAATCTCGGAAGACTCTGTCGTCATCGGAAGCTATGATGCACGCCGCTCAAGCCGGTGGAGCCACCACTCGTGCTGCTTTGCTCTCATAGACGACCCCTCAACCTTCGTTTTCGTAACTGCCACCTTGTCGCCCCAAAACGCCTGAGCCAAGTCCAGGATGGCCTGTTGTTGAATACTTCTCAACAACTCCCTCGAGTCGGGATTCCAATCAACTAGATAATCACCGATAACGACCTCCAGCGTATGGAGTTGTTCCAAGGCCGTAGCCAAGGGGTACAGAGGGCTCAGGTCAAGCTCGATGTCTTGAGGAAGGACAGGGTGAGAGCTTCTGGAGAGGGAAAAGCGCGCCTGGAACCGCAGTTTCTTGAGATTCTTCGCTAAGCAAGGAAGACGCGAGAGTTGAAGAAGCCATGCGGCGTCGGCGGGAAAAAGCGTGAATTGATTCTTGCTCTGCGTTGGCATGACCTGCCGCAGCGCCACGTCTTCGATAGTCAGCGCGGTCGTAGGAAAGAGCGGTAAACCCCTGGGTCGAGCGAATGCAAACTCTCTCGAGAAGAGGAAGTCCAGGTGCCAGTATCCTTTTAGTCGAAGTTGCGCAACGCCCTCGTCCAGGAAGGCCTTGCTTGTGCGCAGCCACAGTGGGAGCGTCCATCCTCCACGAACTGACGACCAGCTGAAGCCGCCTTCTTCTCTCGACGCGCCGTCATATATCAAATATGCGACCGTGCGGTCCCGGCGAACAGAGGGATTGGAGTCAACGCGGATTCGAGGCGTAGCCTGCCAAAGCTCGTGATAGACCATATTTCTCAGCTCAAGGGGAAGTTTGAAGAACGGGGATTGATCGAGCGGGTCAGCCGGAGTAGATTGATGTAGAGCTCCTTCGCTGGTCTTCTGGCGCTTCGGCTTATTGTCTTCGTCAATCCCATGCGAGGTTGCTTTGTCGGCTTTGCGCTTCTTCGCCTTGGCGTTCCGGCGTCGCGAAGAGGGCATTGTGGGATCTCGTTTGGTGTAGAAAGCCGGAGAGAAGTCGATGGGTTCAGGAGAGAGTAGAGGGAGCGGGAGAGCTTGTGTGAAATGGGACGGGCGTAGTTTGGAGCGCCGAGATCCAGCTAAAGAAGCTAGCCTTTTTGGGCAACGCTAGTGAAATGGTACCTTGGAAACCATCTGACTCAGAGAGGACAACGATACGTTAGTTCGCACTTATTCCGCGGTATTGAAATAGCTCTAGCATACCTCCCAGCCCGACATTGTCTAATGCATAGCATCGGTACACTGAAGTGCTCCGGGACGCGGATCCTACGAAGGACGCTGATACCTACGACACAAGAAGTGCAAGATCTTAGCAGCGTATTTTCATATACCTGCGCATCTAGCCGGTATAAATGACTAATAAGAAGGGACATTACCTCCACACAACTCCTCTCTCCAACAGCCCCTAACCAACTAAGACACCATCTCTATCTACCTCCCAAACCCCATCTTCCGCATCGCCCAATCCCAAAGCCTAACAAAAGGCTCCGCAATCGCGTCCGTAAGCATAAAGAAGATGTTATGCCGATAGAAGAACGAGCGGCTCTTCTTGCCAAACACATCTACCCCTCGCAGATTAGCTTTAATCCTACCTACTAGACAGACAGGCGAGGGAAGAAGACTTACACATAGGAATTGTAAGCAAACAAATGCCCACCTGCACGCTCGCGATTGCCATGAAGACGGGCTTGATGCGTGCTGAGACGATCCAGTCGAAGCCTTTGAAGGTGAGGCCGAAGGAGAAGAGGTTCTTGAAGACGAGCAGGCAGGTGAAGCCTTCGACGGACATGTCGCCTATACCTTGTCAGAACCCATACCCATTTCAGCCGTACAGGGGGAGAAGAGAAAACTTACGATGCGCGTCAACAATATATAAAGCGCTCGCCACCGCGCCACACACCATGCCCGCGACCTCGACCGCGAAAAAGAAGTCCGGCCAAAACCAGCCATACCGCACCGCATCCGCGCTAGTCCATCCGAACCCATATAAGCCCGCACAGCCCAGAATGAGCTGCGGGATCACTAGTATCATTCTGAACTCGGGCTCGTACACACCGTGATTGAGCCGCGTGAGGAACTTGGCAGACCAGTCGGAGATGAGACCGCACAGGATGAAGCCAAGGAGCGCGCCCACAAAAGCGCCCGTGTACATGTACCCGGTTTCCACTTCGCCAAACCAGAGCGGCGGACCGAGCATGACGGCCGCGAGGACGACGCCGATGAGGACGGTCCAGCCAATGAGGGTGCCTTGGATGAGGCAGGCCTGCTCGTATCAGCCACTGACTCACTCACTTCCTCTCCATCTCCAACGGAAGATAGGATGAATACATACCCACAGGATGCCCGGATGAAAGAACAGCGGAAACGGCCTCAACAGCAACTTCAAATACCGCTCATCCGTCTTCCTGCCATTAAACGGCATCAAGCTCTGCTTCCACGTCGCCTTCGGCGGCTGCGTCACACCCCTCTCCGCACTATTAACCTGGCCCTCGCTCTTCTCCGCCCCGTTCCCGTTCGCGTCCCCATTTGCAGCTCTTTCCATCTCGCCCGACGTCTCCGCGCTATTGCCCACGCCCTGCTGCGTCTCGCTATACTTCGGCGGCAGAGAACCCTGCGCGACCGGCGTAATCAAGTTCCCCATGGTATCAATATCAAAGCGCTGCTCGCGTCGATACGTCGTCTCAGGGCAGAAAAACACCACAAGCGGCAACATCGCCGCGGCGAAAATAGCAACGAAGTAAAACGTCCACTCATACCCCATGGTATTCGCAATCTTGCCGACCAGCACCGGGGTGAAAAACGCGCCGCCAAACAGCGCGAGATTGCTCAACGCCATGCGAAGGCCGCGCTCATGCACGCAGTACAAGTCGCCGACGCTGGCATTGACCAGGGCCTCGAACGGCGCGAGGCCAATGCCCTGGAAGATGCGGGCCCAGAGGAGGGACTTGTAGTTTGTGCCGCCGCCGCCGCCGCCCCAGGCGCTGCTGATTATGATGATGAGCGTGCCGAGGAGGTACAGGTGGCGCTTTCCCCAGATGCGGGCGGAGGGCACGAAGAGGAAGCCGGCGAGGCCGACGCCGAGGAGGTGGTAGCCGGTTAGTAGGGCCATTTCGGTGAACGTGCGCTGGAAGTAGATGGCGAGGGAGACGGTGTCGGCGGCGAGGAGGGGGGAGAGGGTGGCGGCGATGACGGAGAGTAGGGAGAGGATGGCGACGATGAGGTCGCGCTTCCATAGTGGCCAGTTCTGCAGGCCGTATTAGCTGGATTTTAGAAGTAGAGAGTGTGGAGGCGCATACAAGAGGATCATTAGGATCGTCCGAAGGCTGTGGGACAAGCAGTATCTTGCCCGTCTTATCGTACTTCAGACTCGCATCTCTCGCGACGGCATGCTCTACCTGCCTCCTGCTCACATCCTCGAGCACATTTGCCGTCCCTATAGTCCTCGTCAGTCACTCCACGCAACACTCGCCCAATTACTCCCCGCGCATACCAGGGACGTGCTCAAGCTTGTGGTCGTCGAGAATCCCAAGTCCCATTGTCGCAAATAGACATTAAGATACCGGATAAGAAAGAGTAAAGAGAACACGACGCAAAAAAGCCTCTCACGTCGTGAACAGGAGAAGGCCTGCCATCACGTTATTTGGGCCAGGAGAGTGCGCGGTCGTGGAGAGATTTGTGCACGGGTCCCGCCGTTACGGTTGTAAATCCGGGGCGGAGCCAGGATGATCACGAACCGCCAGACCGGCCAATGAGATGGCACAGGGGTAAACAGCACATCTCTTGACACCAGGAACAGCGCCTGTCGACGCTTGTAATTGCCGAATGACCTTCTCATTTCGCTATGCACATCCAATGCGCTCCCCTCAACACTCTCCGAAGAAGACAAAGATCAGCCTCCAATATCACTCAGTCGATCATGTGTCACCGCACCCCTCACCACTACCGAGCCTCTCCAAGTGCTTCATTCAGAATATTGCGATGTATTGGTTCTCCTGTGCCGTAGGTATATTCCACATCCACCCACTCCTATCATCATCCAACTGCGCTCCCCTTCCAATGTGTCATTCTAACCAGTTGGTATCCCAATCCAAGCCAATCCAAAAAGGTGATAGCGATGCCACCAACACCCAATAATAAGAGCAATCCCAAGCCTGCAAAAACGCCGAGGCAAATGTACCGGCCATCCAACGCTCTGATAGCCTACAAAGAGTGATGATGATAGGGAGCCCAAACGCCGGCCAAAGCTTGCTTGTAATCCCATCGCATGCTCTAATGGCCGCGCTATAGTCCACAGGAGATCTGGTATCATGTGCTGGTAATCAATCAGCCCTAGACCCCTGGCGCCCCCAACCAGAAGTAGTGATTGATGGAAACGTGTATCCAGGTACAGGAGAGAGGAAACGAAACAAATACTAGAGTATGTCAAATAGACCCAAACACAAATAAGAGAAGGGGAGAGGCCGAACGCCCCTCCTCACCGAACGCCGTGATATGCAATGCTGTGGTTGCGGATGCTGATGCTGTAGTGTCCCCACCTAGCGGGACTTTTGATCGCTTGGATCGGTCATTGCTACCTCGCAGTGCCTTGGGACGAAGGCGAGCTACGAGTGGCCGGATGTGGAGCCGGAGCGCTTGTGATGGAGGCTCGCTTTTGGGCTTTCTGCAGTTCCATCTTCTTCTTGAGAGCTCGATGTCGCCCTTTCATGCTCTCTAAGACTACATCTTGTTAGCATAATTCTTCGAAAGCAAGGATCACGGTCGGGCTTACGCTTCTGAATGGATTGGCGATCTTCGGTTTCCAATCCATTAATTTCTTCGCCGTCGAGCTTGCGACTGGAAGTCTCATCTTCCTCCTCAAGAATCGCTTCCAGCATCAGAATGGCGGTCCAGTAATTCAAGTCGCATCCGGGTAGATCACTTCCCACAAGTTCGTTCACTGCAGCTGTCCTGCTCATTTCAAGAGCACGCTCATACATCAGTTTCTCTGCGGTCACCCCAGTGGTAAGAAGGATATTGTCGGCGGAGCCAACAGTCGTAGCGGAGCCGGAAGCTGCAGAGTGATTCTGGGGATGGCTTGGATGGTCCAAAGGCAGCTGCACCTGAGCTTGCTTCAATTTGCGCGCCACAATCTCCGACTTAACGCAGCACTCATTGAAGCGTTCGCGCACCCAAGACACGACTCGATTGAGGCGTTCTATGTTCGCTGCTGCTCGACTTGCGCCTTCGGGAGATGGGCTGCGACGGTGGCGGTTCCAGTAGTTTCCCGTGATGTCCATGGCCTTGTTGAGCATCGCCAGAGACTTGACGTAGAGAACCAAAGCTTCCTCGGAGATAATCAGGACCGTATCGGGCGTCAGATCGTCGTCCTCGTCATCTTCTAGTGTCTCCTGGCCGGGCTTTCTGACACCAGTGGGACCTATTCCGAGGCCTTGATCACTAGGCGCTAGCGGAACTAGCTGCTTGTATTTGACTTCTGCGAAGCCATAGACCACGTGGCTCAGCTGCGCAAGCTCTTCAATCTTCTTCACGATCGCCGCGTCCTCGTCTCTGCTTGTCGTCTTGCCGCCATCGCCAACAAGTAGGAGACTGCTTTGAGCGGTGGGATAGACTGGAAACGCAGCGTACCCCTGAGGCGGAGATACCCCTTTCATCATCGGCGGAGAAAGTCCAAGACCGCGGATGTTGACCATATTCATGGCTTTTGACAACGCGGACGTTGCACTCTCGAAGCTTGGGCGATATCGGCGCTCGTAGGAGCCCGTCCGTTGGTGCATCGGTGTCTGCTTTTGTTGGATCTGAATAGCCCTGGAAGGAACGGTTGCGCCTGTGATGGATGTCGGCGACCCTTGCGTTGTGGCTCGGCGCTTCATAGTAGCTTCTCGGGTTGACATGCGGTCCCTAGCTGTCTGTGGGCTAGCAGCTATCTCGTCCGCTAGTGCATCAATCTCCACGCGACGCTTCTCCACGAAGACGAACCCGTCGTCGAGCGCAATGTCTTGTGCGGCTCGTTCTGCCGCTTCTCTCATTGCATTGACTTCTGACCGTTGCGGGATGCGCTCGCGATCGAGATGTTCCTTGAGGCCAGACGCTGGAGGCAGATGCTCATCCCGAATAGAACGGCGTCTCGACCCTGCTGATGCAGGCTCTGGATTTGGATCCTGAAGAGTTGTTGGTCGGACAGGTGCAGTAACAGCACCTAGCAAGCTGGGGCGCCGCTCCCGCTGAGACGGATGTTGTTCGATCGAAGATAGCGGGGTATTGCTCATCCGTCGTCCTGATGCAGGCCGGGGCGGAGTTCCAGAGTACTGTCCGGATGTAGGCCGAGAAGTTGGTCGCGACGGCGGGGTCGTTCCAAATGGGGTCTTTTCTCGTGGGGATTGCGAGTAGGGGCTTTCTGAGGTACGTCGATCTATCTCGGCTGGCATCTTTTGCATTCGCTTAGATTGAGCGATAGGCTCCGGTTCCGAAGCTTGCGGGAGATCTTCATCGACGAGGCCAGGGATGTCATCGCGAACGACGGGATCAGAGAAGAAGTTCTCGTAGGACATGCGTTCCGTCGGCTTTCGCTTAAGCAGGGCGCGGATAAGGTTCTTCATTGCCCTACTAGCGACAATGCCTTCTGTAAACCTAATGTGGTCTTTCCGGTCTTCGATCTTGCGGAGGAGCTCAACATGATTATTCGCTCTGAACGGAGGTCGAGCACACATCATTTCGAATAGCACGGTTCCCACAGACCACAGATCAGCCTTTGCATCGTATTTCTCATATCGCAGGATTTCCGGAGCCATGTACAGAGGAGAGCCGCACAGGGTTTCAGCCAGGGAGGTGGTTGGCAAGATTCTAGCAAACCCGAAATCAGCAATCTTGAGCATGGGGAGAGACTCGACGCCGGTGGCGGGAATTAGCGAGTTGGCATCGGCGGCTAGAGGCATACGCTCGAGAGTTCCGCTCTGCGAGTAGTATAGCGATGACGGATTCAGTAGCAGGTTCTGGGGCTTGAGATCGCGGTGGATATAGTTCTTGGACCGCAGAAACTCTAGGGCGCTAGCCATTTGCTTTGCGAAATGGCGGACAATCACTTCGTTTAATCCGCCGACGGCCGGATTAGGGTATTTCTCGATCATGCGCTGGGTTTGCGGGTGGTTCACGAGATCGCCACGCTTCTTGATGAACGACGACAGATCACCAAGCTCGCAGAACTCCATTATGATGTGCATGCGTGCCGGCGTTTCCTGGCAATCGATGAGCGCGACGATGTGCGGATGATGCAGACTGCGCAGGATGGTGATTTCGGACACGAGGTTGTCTTTGAGTTTCTTATTGAGCTTGCTCATGTTGACGGACTTGATGGCGACCGAAGCGCGCTTTTCCTGTTGAACGGGACGAGTCAGCATTCGTTCCGTCTCGAGCGGCTTGACACTGGCTTGTGCCGCCCCTGCAGGCACGCAATGAAACGAGCAACCTACAATGTGAATGCCGCGGTAGACCTCCGCAAAGCTGCCCTTCCCGATGTGATCCATGCGCTTGAACTGGCCGATGATCTGTTCGCCGGTGCTGGTCGACTGGCTCGAGGACGCTGACCTGCGCGGCCTGAGGGCGGTGGACGACGGGGTTGCCATGGTGGCGGCGCTGGAAGACCAGCCTGGCCGTGTCCTCCTCTCTCGGTGTGTGTCCGGGGTGTTCAGCTACCAACGGAGATGCGGATAGAGCGAGGGTGTGAGGGCGTTGCACATGGGCTGGCGTGGGCGCGATGAAAGAGCGTGGAAGGGTGGGACGTTTGAACGATGCTGTGCTGGCGGAGTGGACTAGGCACGGCGACGGAGGGCAAGGGTGCGGGTCCGGCTATAAGTCCAGGTGTTAATTAGACCAGTGGATAGGCAGACGGCAGCGTCGTTGTTCGGGAAGACGGGTAGGGAAACGAAGAGGCTGAATGCGCTGTTGCTGAGGGGCCTTCGAGGCTCGTTTGATAGGTAGCTAGGTAGTGGAGTGAACGAATGAGGGTGGCAGGCAGCCGGCGAAGGAGCTGCGGGGCCAGGAGAGGAACACAAAGGGAAAAGATTAACAGGCGCAAGCGTGAGGGAAAGAATAGAAACAGTAAGGGGCGGGAAGTCGAGCAGTAGAAGGAGAAGAAGAGAAGACAAGCAGCTGTTGGGGTGGGTGCAGAGTCACACACAGCTTGCGAGAGCTGGTCGGGCGGGCCTTAGCGCAGGCACTAGTCGCTTATCGGGCGGGCGATAAGACGCGAGTGCCGGTTGTGGGTTGCAGACGTCGAGGTAACGGCGCGGTCTGCCGTTAAAAGAGGAGGGTACTTCCGCCTCTGCTCTCGTCTACCTATACCGTACTCTTGCTCTGCCGTCGCCGTCGCCGTCGCCGTACCTCTGGCGCATCGCGTGCCGGTGTCGCTCATGCTGTCCGCACCCCGCCTCGCGCCATGTCATCTGATGCGCTCAGGTCGAATAATGACGAGCCCGCTCTGCTCTGGCCCGGGCGCGCGCGTCCTGTGCCACTTTGCCCACTCGTCAGACTCCAGACAGCCATCAAAAGACCCCCGGGGCCTCTCCCCACGGCCCTGCGCCCTCCAGCGGGCAAGCACACTTATCTCCATGTGGCCGCCGCAGCCGACTCCTCCCCAAGCTGCCCGCTGGCCTGCTGTTTCGAGACAGCTCCCACAGCTTGCCTGCAGCGCCCTCGGCTTCCTCGATGCAGCAGCGCGAAGGGCGGCCAGCCAATCACGCTAATTCCCGCCGATGCTCTGCAGCCAGCAGATTGCTACCCGGCTCGCCCTGCAGCATCCTCCTCGCGCCTATCGATAACGATGTCCGGAGTAATATCCTCACTGCTCGACCGACCCCGTTGATAGGCCCAGCTCGCCGACCAGAGCAGTGAAAAGCATGCATCTCTCTCCCCACACTTCACTTCTCCTCAACATCAATCCGGTAAGTCGTGCTGGCACACGAGCCTTGGTATGGCATGTATGCAGCAGCATCGTGCGGTGCTTGGAAATCGCCATATTGCGTCATTCTGCGCACGCCTCCCAAGCACCTGCTTCGGCCAGGAAACCCGACGGTGGCAACCTTGGAATAACGGCAACAGCCTTGGAAACGTGACAAGAGTCGAACCGAAGGGGGAACGTAATCGAGTCTCACTGAGCCTCGCGCCAAGCGGCGGGTGAGCTTGTCACTCGAACCTGGGTATTGGGACCGGATGACAGGTTGAACGTAATCAGGACGACGTCTTACGCTGCGGGTGCTGAGGTACCGTGGTCATGGATGCCGTCATTTCGTTTGCGGTTGACGTTTGCAATTGGAATTGGGATGGCGCTGTGAAGTGCACATAAAGTTCCATGTGAAGGACGGCCATCTGATGCTTGGGGATCCTTCCTCTCTCTTCGAGCAGCACATAGCATCAGGTCTCCACACCTGACAAACCTGTATCGGTTACTATATTATGCCTCCGAAGCGGCCTGAGAGCCGCAATGCAACTCTAATCCCGTTCCTGGCTGCCTGTCTCAGTGCTGATGATCCTCAGCAGCCCACGTGCCCTCACCCCGTGCCCATATCTTACAAGCGCCCACAAGCCTAAATATCAAAAGAGATTATCAGCCATTCCGACCCTTCCGTCTATGCTGTTAAAGGGCCCGATCGAAACCTGCTGCGCCGCCGCCATGAGTCAAACGCAAATACAGACCCAAAACTGACGCCTTGTACCCCCGTTTCTGACTGACCGCAGACGAGGCTGACCCGCCTCGAATCGCGATATTAAAGCCTGACACCTCTCACAAACACCCACAGCACCACCGGTACAATCACATTATCGTTCCCGCCCGTCAGCACCGCCTCCTCCAAGCTCGCGCCCGCAGCACATAGGGCTGCCTTCGCCACCATAATGACTCCTTCAGTCACCCACTCCAGGAGGCTCCTCTGCATTGCATCACCCCATCCAATGATGAGCCATATCTTGCCGAAGACGAGGCCCAACGTGACGGCAGCTGCGAAAGCGAGCGAGCCTTCGAGAGACTTGCCACCTGCCCAAGGCCATTTCCGCCGTCCGTAACGGCGGCCGATGAGAGAGGCTGCGGCATCGCCCATGCCGACGCAGACCACGCCTGCGACCATACTGACGTCGCGGGTCTTCACTTCCCAACCTTGCCAAGGTTCCTCGCCAACTCTTTCGACACCTGCAAGGGAGAGCCAGAGCGGGATTGCGCATCCAATGAGGAGGAAGATGTGAGATACAACAACCGGACCTCGGAGATCCCGGCCGTCGACGTATGGCGTGAGAAAGCTAGCGATAGGTCCGGAGAGGGGTGGAAGTTGCGATGCGCGGATAAGGTCGAGGAGAAGGAAGACAGCCAAGACTAGAGCGAGGGCGAGGGAGATAAAGCACGGGTCGATAAAGACCGTAGGTAGGAGCATGGCGACCATCATGCCATGGAAGACCTTGCGCCGGGTATCCACTTCTACTACAGAGGAGAGCTGGAAGACCACAAGAAGGCCGGCTGCCACAATACCGGCGAAGTATGCACAAAGGAGCAGGCGCACGTTCGCTTCTCCGACTACGACACGTCGGAGATGTTCGGCAATACTAAGCTGCTGAGCCCATTCCATGTTCTCCTTGTCCTGCATTGGCGGAAGGGCAACCCACCAGCCTAGATCCCAATTGAAGACTTCAAAGCGAAGGGGCTGAAAATTACCGAATAGATAGCCGATTGCCCAGCCAAAGGGCTCGTGGTGGCGGAGAGCGTATTTTCCAATAACGTAGCGGATAGGTCCAAGAATCATCGCTACTACTACTAGGTAAAAGTATCCAGCGTAGACCCATTTCCTGATAGCCGCCTGCGTAGGCGTAAGAGAGAGGAAAGACTGAGCTATTGACTTAGCGCGTCGCCGGTGTGAATGATGCTGGTGAGCGACGTGGTCTTCTGAAGGGAAACTTGGAAGAGTGTTGCGTCTTTTGGGTCCTGCCGCTGCGTCTGCCGTGTGCTCGGTTTCTTCGAACCCTGTCTTCTTCGGTTCAATCGCTGACCGTGATTCCGCTCCGTTCGCCATAATTGGGTTGTGCTGTATCGACTCCATGATATTGAGCTTCAAGGTCTTAGACTTCTTCAACGGCTGCTTGATGAGGTAGTCGTCTTCGTCTGCATCGCTGTCAGAGATAGCTCTGGCAGCGCTACGCGATCTGGGCGGCTTTAAGCTGTCATTCAGGATCTGCAAGAATGATTGCCGTGCTTTGATGATCTGGCCGGCCCGTCGGAATCTCCAACGCGGAATGCGTGCTAGCGCCACTCCCCACTTCAATACCTTTCCGCAAAGCGCGAAGAGGCCTACTCCGCCGAGCCAAAGAACAGTCTCAAGAATTCCTCCTTGCGGCGATTCTGCAAATAGAAGAAGGTTGACCAAACCTATGGAGAGGAGATGGAGCTCTGCAGGGAGCAGGCTCGTAGTGGTCAGGTAGTGGAGTGGTGGAAGGAGTGCCTGATGGAGGGGAAAGAGGCTAGCTAGCATTTCAGGATGCAGTCCCTTGTCCGACGGCGGTGGCTTGAGCTTGTACGGCGTCGGTGCCAATACTTTTGAGGGTGGATCCGTATTCTCGGACGCAATTAATGGTAGTATGGAAATAAGCCAATGAATCGTCGAATGGCCGAGGGGCGAGTTCCCGTAAGGGACCAATCCAGATGGTAATGCGGCCAATCCAAGAAGTATATTAGGCAGCAAAGGCTTTTGAAAGGTCGCGAAAAGAGAAATGGAAATTAGTACAGGTATGACGGCCGGGTACAATATTGGTGCTGGGTCGAATGCTGCTGGTATCCGTAGCCGTTGCCTGAATCGGAGGTTTGATGGAGGCTCTCTGCTCCAAGAGTAGTAGAGAAGCCTCAGGGGATATAAGCCCAGCACTCCGATCATGATACAGGCATGCGCGAGCAATTCTGCTGAGAGCCCATTAGTGTGCTGTTAACTCCGCAGATGTGTCCTAACACACCTCTATGCCATTGTAGTAGCATCTCCCAGCAACCGCACCCACAAATAGCCAGTATACTTATTGCTGCGAGCAATGCCGTCTCGGTCGTCCTTCTAATCAACTCATTGCGCCGTCTCTTCAAGTACTTCTGCCTAGCCGCTTTAGCCTCCTCGTCCGTTGGCGATGGTTCTCCGCTGCGGGAGCCTTCTTTCCTCACTCGGAAGTATCCCGCGGCAAACTTGCGCCCTTCTTCGTCTACCTGGGAAGGCGTCAGAAGGGGGCTCGTTTCGCCATTCAATCCCGTGCCCCTTACGTCACGCAGTCCTTTGTGCGGCCGGAGGGGAGGCGCAGGGAGGGCCTTCACGAAGCTATATCCCTCATCATCGGCTTCGGTGCCGCTTTCGCTAGGTGACGGGGTCACTTTTCTGCGCTTCCTGCCATCTTCATCTGATATTGTGCGGTTCGAGGGCTGCAGTCTCGTTCGGGAGAAATCGTTGCTGGAGGATTCGGTGGACGCCTGAAGGTTGCGCAAGTCGTGCTGTCGGCGATGATAGGGATGCGGAGAGCGACGGAATAGTTCGAGCGTCTCTATTTCAGAGGGAGCTGGCGCATCGGGTTGCGCGTCTGGCGGTTCAGGGTCGGGCGCCATGTTGGGCGACGAAATGTTGAGGACAGGTACGAGGGTCTCTCGCGGTGTGGAATTCTCCGGAGATGACGACGCGCGGAACAGGCACCCTGGGAGTCTTCGCAGGTGCGTACAATGGTGCGTATAGTTAGCTGTCCGAGTAATCTGGATTTGTATGGCGAGCCTTTAAATCGGGAGTACGGAGAACTCCCCACAGCTAAAGGAGGATTCAATTCCAAGGACGCGAACGGAGGGTGTAACGAGCGGTGGAATGAGGCTCCGGGTTGCTTAAATGCCACATGGCCGAAGGTAGCATTGAGTGTAGGATCGCAAAATACGAAGCTCGACTGGAGACTCTCACATGTTCGGGCTGCCTCGCGGCCGTTGAGGCGGCTGACGTTGCGGTTGAGCGATCTGCGCCGGGTGACTTGCAGGGAGATACTTGCACTCTTCGAACGCCATTCCAGTAGTGCTTCCACGCTTTCAACTGAGGAACAAGAGAATTAACTACTGGGGGTCGCCTTCGGGCCTCTTATGCTAGGTATTGCTCGGCTGAAGTCATCGTAGCATAGTGCCAGACCCGACGGGATCTCAGCGTTCACATGGGAGGCGCTTGGGTACCTTATCGATAAGCCGCCAAGACGCTCTACTGCGCCTGCGACAGCAGTCAGACTAGATATCGAACGGCAGAAATTTGATTGCCAGGTTGATGTATCCGGCTCTGATATATTTTGGCTCCTATCTTACATACACCTACATGGCATCCCAGTAATGGGGACAATGCAACGGGTATCACCTCCGCCCACTGGCATATATCTATCGAATCAAGTCGAGCAACAGTCGCATATCTGCTTACTGCAGATACTTGTTCTTCTTCAACCAAGTCTTGACGTCCTCTGAATCGCGTTCAATCCAGGCCGCCTTCGCGCTGATGGCATCAATGCTCTGGGCCAGCGCCTTGTCGAAGCCCTTGGTGCTCTTGCTCGCGAAGAAGCTCTCAATGTCCTTGATATGTTCTCTCTTCGTGAAGCTGGAAGTGGTGATGGAGACGACGGAGCTAAGCATGCTCAAGCTTGGAGGGAGCCGTTTTTCCAACTCACTCCAGTTCTCCTTGACGAAAGCCCAAAGAGCTTCGATACCCTCAGGATGAGTTCGGAGGGAAGAGATCGGCAAGTAGATATCCTGCGCCTTCACGTCGTCGCTGACAGCGAGCGCAAGAGTGCGCTGTATAAGTTCGGGGGACTTGGCACGCCCTAACGCCCGCATAGCGGTATTGCGCTCGTCGCTGGTCTTCGCGTTGATAGCCTGGTCGACTACGACGTCGTACTATACCACGTTAGCATCACCCACCCTTGCAAGGGGTTTGCTCCTTACCTCTTCCTTACCACCGCTGCTCAGTACGATGGCATACACGCTGCTGCGAAGATTGGGATGGATGGCCGAGCTGTCACCACTCTTGAACTTGTTGAACATGTCAAACGCCGCCTTGAGGATGGTCTCGTCCTTGGCGATACCGGCAGTGCCAAACATCATGGCCTTGAACTGCTGCTCGATATGTCCATCCTTGTCAGTGAAGGACCATCCAAGCTCATGAGCCTTGTCCTTGGTAAGGTCGAGTTGGAAATGCTTCAGCGCGTCTTTCACAGCCTGATCTTCGAACATCCAGGCGGAACGAAGCACACTGATTCGGCTGCTGATTTCCTGCCACACGACAAATTCCGACTCGCTTTTGAAGCTGTCAAGGAGGGAGAGGATTCCAGACGTCTTTTGATAACCGGAAGCAGCCAAAGCCTCAGCGTCGGCAATCATGCCAGCCCTGTCTTCAACGGTGAGGAGTCCATCCTTGGCAGCAAGCCCAAGCTTTCGCAGCCGTTCGGGTGTGTACGAAGTGCGGTAGAGGCCGGAGTGATCAGCGTTGAGCTTGAAGAAGTCCATATCCTGGAGTTTGAAGTCCGCCTCACGTGAGGAGAGGGCTAAATCTTTGTCGACGCCATCCTTGGTGCGAAGACTAAGAAAAACCGGGAAAATAGTCTCATCCTCTTCTGGCTTCACGTCAGCTGTGCGAAGGAAGCGATTCTGCTTGACGTGGATGGAATTAGAGCCCTCGGTAACAGAGACGACGGGAAAGCCAACTTTCTTCGTCCAAATGTCCATCACCTTTTCGACGTCCTTGCCACTTGCATCACTCAATGCGGCCCAGAGGTCTCCAGTCTGAGTGTTGCCATACGCGTGCTTCTTGAGGTATCGACGGATACCTTCCATGAAGACATCTTCGCCAAGGTACTTGGAAATCATGCGCAAGACGCACGATCCTTTGGAGTACGAGATAGCATCGAAGATTTGGTTGATCTCGTCGGCCCGCTTGACTGGAACCTCAATTGGGTGGCTGCTGCGGAGGGAGTCGAGCGAGAGGGCGCTGGCGAGGTTGTCGGTAACATACCCCTCCCAGACCTTCCAATCGGGATAGAAGACGTTGCACGAGTACCAAGACATCCATGTCGCGAAACCTTCGTTAAGCCATAGGCCGTCCCAGAAATCCATGGTGACTAGATTGCCGAACCACTGATGCGCAAGTTCATGTTGCACAGTTTCGGCTACCCGCTGCTTCACAGACGCCCCGCTAACCTTCTCATCAATGAGCACGTCGACGACACGGTACGTGACAAGGCCCCAGTTCTCCATTGCTCCAGCGCTGAAGTCAGGGATGGCGATCATGTCCATCTTAGGCAGCGGGAACGGGCTGTCGAATGTCTTTTCGTAGAAGTCCAGTGTCTTTGCTGCAAGCTCGAGAGAAAAGCGTCCATGCTCAATATCCCTGTCCTTGGGGGCATACACGCGCACCGGTATGCGGAAGCTGTTGGTCTCAATGTAATTGAGCTCGCCGACAATAAACGCCAAGAGATAGGTCGACATGGGCGGTGTCTTGTTGAAGGTGACCGCTTTCCGCTTCCCGCCCGTGACCTTGGAATCCACCGTTGTCTCCGACACTACGTCCATATTGCTCAAACACGTCATCTTGTCGTCCGCAACTAGCGTTACCGCGAAGGTTGACTTCAGCGCAGGCTCGTCGAAGCAAGGGAACGCACGCCGAGCGTCTGTCGGCTCCATCTGCGAAGTAGCCATCCACGTGGTCGAGCCGTCCTCGGCCTTGAACGACGAGCGGTAGAAGCCCGCCATGTTGTCGTTCAAGGTGCCCGTAAAGGTCATTGTGAGTGAGGCTTTGGCCCCGCCGGGGATTGTCTGATCGAAGCTGACCTTGGTTGTCTGCCCGTCTTCGTCGTGGGCAAGCGCGGGGGAGCTTGATATGACATTTTGGCCAGAGGTGACCTTCGCGGAGTGGACCTTGAGCTCGAGCGTGTTCAGGGTAATCGAGGTAGTGTCTTCGATGACATCTAAGCTGCGGGCCGGTCAGCACACGCAAATACATTGTGCCACGCAATTGCGTACTCAACGACCACCTTCCCCTCGAAGGTGAACTTGTCGAAGTCGGGCTCGAGGGTCAGGTCGTAGTGGACGGGCTTCACGTTGGTGGGCAGCACCTCGCGTGCCTGCGTGATGTCCATGGACGAGGGATTGTCTGCGCCGAAATGCCTGCACATGTTTCTGCGGTGGGAGCAGTGTCGGATGGGGACGGTGGTGGGTGGGCGAGGGGTGAAGGTCCGGCGAGGGGTTGAATTTTGGCGCGGAGTGCTTGCAGTGGTGGGGTATAATATGGGCGTCGCGGGGCCGGAGAGGGTCAGGAAAGAGCGGCGTGGGTCCAGGAACGGGTTGCGGGAAGGAGCGGTGATGGGCGACAAAGGCGCTACTGGCATTATTGCTGGCCGCCCGAAGGCAGAGCGGCCTGCCCTCTGCAGAGTGCCATTCTGCCTGAAGCAGCGCATCGACACTGCGTCCCTTCCGCGGTGAGCGCCGGGCAATTGGTCGGTGAGGAAGTTTTGCAGCTGTGCAGCTGCTGCCCCTGCGGCCAAGATCGCTCATGCGTCACGCACAAGCCACGCCCTCGGCTAGCAGAAAAGCTCATCCCACGCAGCCGCACCCGTCCTCTGCAACACCGCAAGGAGTCCTCCCAGCCCTCTACCCTCTCCCCGCAGGGACGCTGGCGTTTCTAGCGACCTACTCGTTAGACCTTGCCAGACCAATTTGCACACGTTTGAGCCATTCCACGATTACCAAATGGGGTGGAAAGGTATAGGTGTTGCTGCTACATGTAAATACTGGAACGCAATTGTGTGAGTATTCAGGAGCTTGATGGCCTAGGGCTCCCTCTCCTCCTCCAATTCGTGCACCGAACCAGTCTGTTCATAATGTTTTCTTCTAAACAGAGATCGCGGGTCCTGCGTTGAGCCAGGCATTCGGAAGCCACATGACTGTGGAAGATGCTTGAAGCTAAGGCGCGTTCGTTCGCATGTCACAGTCGTACAAAGCGCCCCGAGACAGCTTCTCCATGAACCTCACGGTAATTCTGCTTAGAGATGTCTTCTATTCATCAGCTGGACTTCCTGGCCTGACCAGCTGATGGATTCAACTCGGGATTCCTTACATCTCACGCCGCTAGTCGAATGATGCTCACCGAAACTCCAGAGGCTCGGAGAAGGATGGTCGTTCAGAACACCGCTTCATCTTTCGGTCAGCAGGCCTTTCTCACATTTGCCAATGTTTCAGTCGCCGTGTCGGGGGCAATACGCTTGCTGAGTACCCATCGGCTCCCTCAACCCCTCTGAAGACCAATAGCCCAGGATAATACGATCACGCGTCGCCGGGGAGACTATTCATTCAACGCGCCGTGAACGCTTCCGCCTTTTTGGCCGACCTCTCCAGGATAGCAATCTCACATCCAGCCAGGCAGCTCGGGATAAGCATAAATCGTCATGGGCTACCACTTTCAGGAGCAGCTGCTATAGGAAGATGATAATGTAGAAAGAGGTCCAGAGTCAAGCTGTGGTGACTATCTCTCGCCTCCATGGGCCGATAGTTAATGGCAGGTGGTACGGCAAAGCATCGCTCACGCATGATCTTTGGACGGCAATAAGTTTAGACCATTCAGCAAATTTTCCAGACCGCCAAACTTCAGGGTTAACGGCCCTTGCTAACATCTTGAAGAATAGCGGTGGAGCGAATGTGTCAAACGGGAGCGCCCGCTCCATGTCTAGACACCGCTACTCTGATGCCCACTTGCGCTGGTTAAATGCTATGTATCTTGCTGAACAAATGCAAGCTTTGTCCATGCGGATCGGCGGATGAACAGGCATTTTCGAGGTGAATTCCCCTCTTTTACTACAGTAACCTACCAATACGATCTTCGGTAAAGGTATGCTTTGGTCCAACTGCCGAATCACGCTCATTTAACCATGCCGTCCGTTCTGTCTATCTACCACGGGATGGTAAGTATGCCCGCCGATTTCTGGTATAGGATTCGCTCCATCAAAGACTCCTCGCGTTTGCTTTGACATCACCCTCACCACCTAGATAGGACTTCAATCATGCAAGGAGACGAGGGCTATCACGCGCGGCAGGCGAACATACGTAGAATGGGCACAGCGGTATAGAAGAACTATGGAATAGTGCTGCACCTAGACCACAGTATCAGTCTGTGTGAAAAGCCTCAAAATAACGCTTGGCTGAGTTCACGTGGAGCAGTGCAGGCAGGCATACGTGACAATTTATAAATTTATAACCTAGCAGAGCTCGTGCCCTTGCGGTCACTGGGCGGCATGAAGGGTCTGGAAATGATAGGCCCGTCTGCCCTTGTGCTCGTGGTTATTCCCAACGTTGGTGTGGGAGTGACTACTAAAGATGAAGTTTAGACCAGCGGAGAACACAACTGCCAGTCAGCTATTGAATATTCAAAGGCTCTTTTACTTCAAAGACAATTGCTTGAATACGGCGTTTCTGTGTTTGTTTTCACTTAACTTCTAACTCAAGCTGGATGCTCCGCGACGTTATTGGCTGGTGATCCCTGCGCGTTAGCTCAGCCCTGCAGCACGTCCAGACGTCTAACAAACTGTCCTCAACGTGTGTGAGCGCTGCTGCCTCCTGTCTTCAATCGCAGCAACACCTCCTACTATGATCCAGGCCTTCCTCCAGGTCAGTCGCCGCCATGCTTCCTGAGCTTGAGCTTTAACTAATAAAACACAGCGCCTGGCCCGCTGGCTCGACCGGCCGTTCTTTCCGTGGAAGAAGCTCGTCTTCGGCTTCTCCCTCGCAGAGTTCGCGCTCGAGAACTGGCTCCTCTTCCGCCAATACCGCGTTCTCCAACGCAAGAATGTCCCGGAAGCTCTGGAGAAGGAAATTGACAAGTCCACCTTCGACAAGTCCCAGGTTTGTAAATTGCGGATGCGCAACCCCTCTAAGCTAACGCGCAGCACAGGCATACGGTCGCGCAAAGGCCAAGTTCAGCTTCGTCTCCGGTCTCTTCAACCAGGCCAAATCCCTCGCCGTTCTCTACTTCAATGCCTACCCGATCGTGTGGGGCGTCGCCGGCTCCATTCTCGCCCGCTATGCTCCGGCTCGGTTCTCTGGCGAAATCTCGCAATCGCTCCTTTTCGTATACCTCTTCGGCTTGATCGACATGGTGCTTGGCCTTCCGTTCGCATACTATCACAACTTTGTGCTCGAGGAAAAGTTCGGATTCAACAAGATGACTATAAAGCTCTGGATCACGGACATGCTCAAGGGCCAGGCGCTCGCAATCGCCTTCGGTATTCCCATTGGTAGTGCATTCTTGGCTATCATCAAGAAGACCGGTCAGAGTTTCTTCTACTACCTGTGGATGTTCATGCTGGTCGTCCAAATATCGGCCATGACAATCTATCCGATCCTTATCGTCCCGCTTTTCAACAAGCTCGAACCGCTCAAGCCCGGAAAGCTCAAGGAAGACGTCGAGGCTCTCGCGTCCAAGCTCAAGTTCCCCCTCAGCGAACTACAGGTCATCGACGGAAGCAAGCGCAGCAACCACAGCAATGCCTACTTCACTGGGCTGCCGTGGATCGGTAAGAAGAAGATCGTCATCTACGACACGCTACTGGAGAAGAGCTCGGAAAAGGAGGTGGAAGCTGTCCTGGCCCATGAGCTCGGCCACTGGAAGATGAACCATACGTCCAGGCTCCTGTTTATTAGCCAGGGTCATCTGTTCTACATCTTCGCCCTTTTTTCCGTCTTCATCAACAACCAGTCGCTCTATGCCGACTTTGGCTTCCACAGAGAGCAACCTGTGATGATTGGCTTCCTCCTGTTCAACGAGATCCTCTCGCCCACAGACGCGATATTAAAGCTGTTGATGAACATCTGGACTCGAAGCATGGAGTATGAAGCAGGTATGTTTTCCACATCGCTATCAATCGAGCTATGCTGATCCGGCTTAGATGCCTTCGCCGTGAATCTTGGCTATGCGACTGAACTAGGAGCTTCCCTGATCAAGCTACAGATTCAGAACCTGTCCAGCATGGATGCTGACTGGTTTTACTCTAGCTTTCACCACTCCCATCCTATTCTGACAGAGCGTCTGAAGGCTATGGGCTGGGCAGGCGACAAGAAGGTTACCCAGGACAAGACGGCGGACGAAGAAAAGCCAGTGAAGGCAGCTGACAGGGAGCTCTAAGTGCAGGGTATGGTGACATAGTGTACATGGGGCCCGTTGAGACACGTCTCATATATTAAAACTATCCCCTGGGGACAGGCAGAGGGAAGACGGAGTCAAGGCAGTCGCATAGATTTGCAACTACTGCAGCGGACATGTGGTGGCTTCTCGAGCTTGACGAGAAAGCTCGCCAGCTTCCTCGGTCTGTACCACGGGAAGAAAAAGATAGCATTAGTACATCTACAGAAACTACCAGAGTGTGGTAGCACCCAAGGACAATGAAGCAGTTCCGCGCTCACAAAATCAATCACATCATCTATGCTTGGTGGTGTGCTGGACGACCAATCAAAGAGCGTATGATAATGCACTTGGCGCGCTAACCGCATCGGTATCGCGCCAAAGACCTTTTGCCAGGTGCAGCAGCCTCTGGCCCGAACTCCTGCACCACCATCATCACGGCCGGCACTCCAATTGACCCTCTCCTCTCCCCCTAGCCCGCGAGCCAGCTTCACATTGCCATGTTGGCTCGGTCGGCTCTGCGTTCGGCGCGCTCTGTCGGCGCCGCAGCCCGCAATGCTGCCAGCAAAACAGCTTCGGTACGACGCCGGTCATCCCATCGCAGCCCACAGCTCCGGCGAGCTCCTCCGACTCCATTCCAGAAATCTCCATATCGCTATAAAGTGCTCTTGTGTCAATTGGTATGAATGCTGACGAATTGGGTGGCACAGCGCTCTGCCTCGACGTCCAGCTCAACAGCCGAGGGAGCCGCCTCATCCTGGAAGACGAACGCTCTGCCGGCAGGCGCCACGGCTTTCGCGGTCGGAACGGTTGCCTGGTACTGTCATCTCTATGGACGCAATGTCGATGCCATGACGCCGGCGGAAGAGGGGTGAGTGATACCTGGATCGCATGATGGTTGAGGGACATTTCGCCATGGAGGCATTGGCGGTGATTTGGCACTGACAGATTGGGATTACAGTCTGCATCCGACCCAGTATCCCTGGGAGCATGCGAAATGGTACAAGACGTTCGATCATCAATCGTGAGTACCCCTCGGGCCGAGTATGTACGGCCAGGTCTAAACCGCATAATACAGCCTCCGCCGTGGCTTCCAGGTCTACCGCGAAGTCTGCGCATCCTGCCACTCCCTCGCCCGTGTTCCGTACCGCACGCTCGTCGGTACCATTATGACGGTCGATGAGGCCAAGGCCCTTGCCGAGGAGAACGAATACGACACCGAGCCCAACGACGAGGGCGAGATTGAGAAGCGCCCCGGGAAACTGTCCGACTATCTTCCATCGCCGTACAAGAACGACGAGGCCGCCCGCGCCGCAAACAACGGTGCTCTGCCCCCGGATCTATCGCTCATAGTCAAGGCGCGACACGGTGGCTGCGATTACATCTTCAGCTTGTTGACGGGTTATCCAGAGGAGCCGCCAGCAGGTGCAGTCGTGCAGGAAGGCCTGAACTTCAATCCCTACTTTCCCGGCACCGGAATCGCCATGGCCCGCGTCCTTTACGATGACCTTGTCGAGTATGAGGACGGAACAAAGGCGACGAGCTCTCAGATGGCCAAGGACGTTGTGGAGTTCCTGAACTGGGCTGCTGAGCCGGAGATGGATGACCGGAAGCTGATGGGCTGGAAGGTGCTGGCTGTCACGAGCGTGCTGTTTGCGATCAGCGTGTGGGTGAAGAGGTGAGAACCGCAGTTGTTGTTGTCTATACCGAGAGCTAACAATCCATTCAGGTACAAATGGGCTCCGATCAAGTCGAGAAAGGTCGTCTACAACCCGCCAATCCAGAGTAGCAACATTCTTAGCAAGCTACCAAAGCCAGACAAGAAGTCATAAGCGAGGGGAACCCTGCATTGGGAGGTTTGGGCAATAGCGGGGTGTGTTTTATACTTGTACAGTGTCAGCTACTTGATCAAAACGAGACTTAAGATTTCCTTGACATGTGAAGCTGGTATAGATGTTTTCCTTTCCGTGCGTGTCTCCTGCTGATGTAGTGTATCGTCAATGCAGTTTTCGCTGTTTTTCCTCTTTCACAGCAGCACGTATATCTTTCATCCTCCTTTTCTGTTTCAAGTGCCCTTCTCGCAGATGATAAGTTCATATGTAGGTACGCGTCTCACACCTGGCATCTATCAGAGCTATGATTCCTCGCTGACGTAGATGATTAGACCGCATCGCCGAAGGCCTCAAGATGGGCACATCCGTCGGTGAACACGGTGCTTGGACGGGCGAGTCTAGCGTCATCCTCTTTGCTTGACCCATACGATCGCCCGGGTGAAATAACATCGCCACCCTTCAGCCTCTGTGCTTGTTGCTATAAAGCGCTCGCTCTCCCGCCCCTCCCCTTCCAGAGCATCTCAACTCCAACCCCACCCGAGAAGATAAGCCATCAACAGCTTTGCGCGCTATCACGCATAGTTGAGACGACGGCCAGTTGCAATTACGAAATCCTGCCGCTTTCTGTCGAGGCCGATTCAGCATGGCGTTACAGACTTTGAGGAAGTCAACCCGTGGGATCACCTCAGCCAGCCAGCCGTCGAATAGGTTGCCTGGACGCAAACCTAGGAGCAATGTTGCCCCTCAGAGGACGGGGAACAAGCGGCGCAAAATCGCTCCTTCCGGTCCGCCTCGGCGGAGCGCACGATTGAACAAGAATATATGAACCCGGATGCCGATAGGCGTTACCAATGATGTGATTGACTTGACCGGCGGGGACGATGGCGAGGACGATGGAGAGAGCGTTAGTAAGCATGTGATTGACTTGACCGGCGACGAGGGTGGCGAGGACGATGAAGCACCCTTCTGCTTCATGGATCTTCCGCGTGAGCTCCGTCTACCACGAGCTATGGATGGCCACTTCGCGCATTGTGGCCCACTTCCCCCTACCACATCTCCATGATCATGAGAACGGGCAAGACTACAGCGACGTCAAGATCGGATTCTACTCCAAGGGGTTCTCCTCCCTCACGCAGACTTTCGAGCGCGAATACTTGGAGAATAAGGACGCAGAATGGGAGAGCGACGGTGAACAGGACTCTAGGGCGACTCCTCCTAGCGACGAATCCCCTCTTCGGCCTGAAGTGCAGTACAACGGCTACGCTGCAGACAAGAACGCAGAGCTGAGTGGCCTTCCTAGGTGGCTTCTTACGTGCAAAGCTATCCTCAACGAAGGTCTCGAGCAATTCCGTCTCAAAGCCCAACATTGAGTTACAGGTGCTGGAGAGGCGACAACGCTTAAGAGTCCCGACTTCGCTGAGGAACGTCTCCGTAACGAGACGCCGCTGCTCAAGCCCTCATCAGCAACCACACTCACCTTCAAATGCCGATTTCTCCAGATGCACGAAAAGGACCCTCCTCAGCTAGCAATTTGGCACCTGAACCCTTGGCAGGATAGACAGCTTGCGATAGTTGTGGAGTGTTTCAGTCGGCTCAAGCATCTGCGGCTTCGCTTTGCTATAGCTCTAGCTCCAGACAACATGTTTGGCTATCTTTGGAAGCTCGACCTCTCACGGCTTGAAGACGGCAAGCTGCAGTTGAGCAAGCTCGAGATCGTCATCTCAAAAGGCGTAGAATATCTCGGTCCTGAACGTAATGCCATCTTCCAGGCTTTCGAGCGAGAGGTGTGCCGAGTGGGGAGGGCTGTTGTGAAGGGGGAGAGAGAGGCTCGTTTGGATTTTCGGGAGGAGAAGGTCAAGATTGAACCTCCTCAGCTCAAATCCCACCGAAGGTACTTTTATTACCCGGGTTATCACAATATTCCCGCCACTCAGAATGTTCAGCTATCTATCCATGGGGAGGCTCGGGACGCGTTGAGCTGGTGGTTTGAGTTCACTAAAGCAGGTGAGATGGCCAAGGTTAGATGTTCAAAAGAGGAGTAGGGTTTGATGGACAATGCCTTATCTCTCTAGAGGGCTAGTTGATAGCGTGGGGAACGCTTTCCTAGGTGTACTGGGCGAGGTAGTCCAATAGTCATTTTCGAGTCCTTGAGAACCCTCGGCCTAGTACCTACGAGCATGGGGAAATTCCTAGAGTCTCATGAGCTAAGCATCCTGCCATTAGATATTAGCACTCCGATAGCCGGCAGAGTACGCAAACACATACTTTCCTGTCTACATCTGAAGTACTTGGATAAGCTCTGCGTTTTTTTCCCTAGCGACTATCCCTTATCTGTCCATAGCTTTTGATCGTCAAGGCTCGATATGCGAGGCGGAAAGCGGAGCGGGAGATAAAAGAGACTAGCGCTGTCGATTCACTCATGGTGTACCTACTGAATGATAGATACACTAAGGCCGAACCTAACTTTATGTCTGGATGACTGGGTCGCATGAGCGCTGCGATGAGGAGAAAGTGATCTCGCCGCTCCTCCATCATCCTTCCTCTACACATGCGTTGATATTCAAGGGCCGCTTCCTGTAACTACGCTGCCGTGAGCCACCGAGTGCCGCTATGTATCGTTTCAATCCCGGGCAGGACAAGGGGCTCGCTGTCATTGTGGAGAACTTCAATTCTCTCAAGCATTTGCGTCTGCGGGTCGCCTTTGACGGCTCTCCGGATACGCACACCCTGCACTGTCGTCCGTTCAAAGTAGACTTTCGCGTCTTGAGGATGGGAATTTGCAGCTTGAGAAACGAGAATCGTTATACCTAAGGGCGTTGAAGAGTTGGGTAGATGGCACGAGGTTGTCCGACGGGCATTCGAAAATGAAGTGACTAAGGTTGGGGGAGCTGTGGTACGAGGGAAGGGGGAGGGGGGGAGGGTTAGGTGGGAAGAGCAGGCTGTCAAGGCTGGATTGATTGATTGATTTTTCTCGTTTTAAGTCACCAACCTATAGAGGTTATGCTGACTAACAGCAAAGCAGAGCTTCTGCGTACGCACAAAAGGACTCAAAAGACGCCAAAATTAAGAGAAGGGAACATGGTCAAGGCTGGATGCTGGCGCGCTCGTACGACGTGGAGCAGCGTCCTGGATACGAGACGAATCGGATTTGAAGGGAGAGGAATGCCGTGGGCTGGAGTTTCGAGTTCGTCAAAGGCGGCCAATAGGCATGTGAGTGCCGGACGGACACGGGTCTGGGCGGCTTATAATCCGGGCGGTTAGCTTCGTAATTGGGTTGCGAATCCTGTTCCAACGGCAGGAGTTAGGGAGCACCCCCCTACAAGGTAGGGAGCACCCCCATAAGCCTTCCGCGCCCAATCCCCCCTAATCCTAGGCTCCGCCTCCCTTATCCTAGGGCTCGGCCCACCGCTGCGCGGCATTTAATACATCTAAAAGCCCTTACCCCTCTAACCCTTACCCTTCTAACCCTTACCCAAAGATCGCGCGCGGAAGGCTTATGGGGGTGCTCCCTAACTCCTGGAACAGGCAACTCTTTCCTCTTAAGCGCTTCATGGTCCGAATGCGCCACAGATACTCCCAGGTCCGTACAAATACCTCTTATGATTGCCCTCCAGATTCGGAATATCAGTCCCGTAGTTCACGGTCATGGTTTCGAAACCTTTGATATCGCAGTTTATGTCGACTGGCGGGTAGCCTTCGCTTGTCCACTAGATCTCCAGGTCGCCGAGCCCTTGGATGATCTTGGGGGTTCCGGCTGTAAGGCGCACGGCGATTCCTGCGCTGGCAGTCTCGGCCACAACGTTGGCGGCCACGCCTCCCTGCACCTTTCCGAAATCCATCGTTATATTTCCATACTTCGTACTCCATGGCAGATGCTCCCTCAATTCTAGCAGGCTCCCCAGCGCCTCAACCAGACCATCGTTCGCAGACACGCCGAGCCAGGGATGCCCTTGTGCCCACACACCAGCTTTGCCTGTCGGTTAGCCGAAGATTACGACTTCGTAGTTCTGTGATCGCCTTGGGCGTTCGCGCAGGCCCTGTACCGCGATTATTTGCGCTGCCACGCTGCCCTTCGCATCGACCGATCCTCTCCCTCCAATGATGTCCGACATCATATTATAATAGTATGGCCAGAACGGTGGGACGGTATCGATGTGTGAGGAGACTAGTATCGTCGTTGCGCGCTTCTTTCCGTAGGCCAGCAGGTTGTACCGCTTCTCTGAGACCTCTTGCATCTCTACTGTGAAGTTTTTGTCGCGCAGATATGAGGCTAGCCATTTCCTGACACCTTCTTTGTTTTCTGTTATCGACGATTTCGTGCGATCCCCCATACCGTACCGCGTCCTTGCGCCGACCACCTAGTTCGGTGACTCAACTCCATCTTCATCCGAAGTATCACAAGACTGCCCATTGTACATATGGCTGGATCGGGGTATTGCAAATACATATGTACTTGCTTTCGTCCCGTCGTTCACCTCTTCGTTATTTACACTCCGCACATTCAGAGTAACTTCTTCCACTACTTCCATCCAGATCTTCTGGTCAAAGTCGTTATACCGTCTACGGGTTTGGAGACGCTGAAGTCACTGATACACGGCGTCGACGATGGTAAGCCTCTGAATCTTGCTCTTAAACGCATCGCAAATAAGAACTTGGCAACTAAACGAAAAACAGGCGAAGAAGCACACCTACGTTTGGCAATGTGTGAGTTGGTCGCCACGCTCGCTATGTATTACTAATCCGCCTCAGTGCCAGTGTGGACAGCCAGGCATGCCCGAAGAGAGTGGATCTTGCCCCAGCTGTTCCCATCCGCGCTGTGCATATTGCCAGGTCAAGAAAGTGCAGGTCAAGCAGGGGAACAGTTCAAATGGGGCATGATGTGGTATTTACGAGAATTTGAGGCTTGTATCGGGTCGGTTGAGTTGGTGCCAGTAGAAGGAGTGGCATTTCTGTGAGTGCTAGGAGGATACGAATCTCGCATCTTAAAAGCAATCTTCCCTATTCCATGCGATGTGTGGAATCGCGTCATTCTTCTCCGTGTTCACCATCAGTGACCTCTCTGACCACCCAACCTGGCCATCTAGCATTCATATCAGAGTGCAGAATTGCATTCCTCATGCCTTCCTCCGGTTGGGGACTGAGCTCAACTGCTGCTGTTCTTTGCTGGTGCCTCCATCCCTGTAATATTCCAACGTATGCTTGCTAAATCCCCGTCGTTTGAGCCTGGTTCTGAGGAAGGCAAGAAGCCTCACAGAGATGATCATGCCGATGATCACTCCTATAACATTTTTGGGGTTCCGTTCTAGACGGAGGGAATGGCTTGTACTTCCGAAATATGCGAGCGCTAGCGCGATCGACGTTATGACCTAGATGTCCCGAGGTCAGCATCGATCTCACCGAACATGAAATGCTATATCCTTACCATATTGAGGTCAGTGCTTTCCGCAGTCTCGTTGCTATCCAGTGCCAAGCAATTGTTATCGAAGTTTATGCGAAGACCAAGCTGATAGAGTTAGCAGCGAATACAGAGAGCAAGGGAAGTGTTCGAACAAAGTCAGCCTCTTTGATACAGTTCTCTTCTAGCCGGCGCACTCTTCGGTTCAGGGCCTTCAGTTCCTCGAATGATGATTTGGTGGCGATGAGCGACCGTCGAACGTGGCCTCGTGTGGGATCGGGGTAAGTTGAACACAGGTCCGAGAAGTAGCTGATGTCGCCCTCTGCAGCACTGAAAGTGTCCCAAACGAGTATCGTCTCGGTGAGGCGGTCGTTCAATTTACGCAGTAATTTTATTGTGCATATTATCCAATTCATGACGGCCTCGGTCCCGCCGCGTTTCTCCTTCGTACTCGGAAATGAACGGTCGTTGAACTGCGAGAAGTTATGCGCAAGGCAGTGGAAGACTAGCTCGGGGATCATACCTTTGATGCAATGGTTCTCTCAATAGTCTGGACTAGGTATCTCCATTCTTTAAGGACCTGTCTCACTCGGCTCTCAACAATTGCCAGAAAGTATTCTCGCGCGTCACAGAGCGGACGGTTTGCATCAGTGCTACCGTTGTTGATGAGTGGGTCCTCGCAAAACCCGTGATCGCCACACAGGGACGCATCATCTTCCGGTCGGTCTTCGGCTTCCCAAATGTTGTCAACAAAGGCGTACGCGATCCATTGCTGACTGCTGGAGCCACATATAACAACTGATATCTGCGCCTCCTGGATGCTATTACGCGGCGCTCTTTCACCCTTCTCTTCGCTGACGTTCAAAAAAGAGATGTCCGTCCATGTCCTACTGAGGCGTCCTCTCTTCTCTTCTCCGTTGCGGTGCGGGTGATCATGCCACAGAGATGTCGATCGCAGAGCGAAATAAGGAACGTGAAATTCCAGTTCGAAAATGAGATAACCTCTGGACTGCGTTAGATTGAAATAGGATCAGTAAATGCTCGCAACGTGAGAACGACCTCTTACCGGAAGCTTTACTCCAAGGGAAGATTGTAAAGCCAAGTGCTTCCACACTGCACTTCTTAAAGATTCAACTTGATGATAGCCCACGGTGGCGATGAGGGCGAGAACGTAATAGGGGTCCAGATCTGAGATGTATCTGCTGAGGTGTTACATATGGCACTTAACCAAAGAGCACCCATACACCTACATCAAACGTCTGTCCGCGTCAGGTAGTCCATCAAGACCGAATCGCTACACAATGGCGTTTAGCTATGCTAGCAATCCTCGAGAAGCAAAACATACCTGGCGCTTCAAGCGTGCATAGAGCTGCACAGCGGACAGTCGGTATGGATATTCCCTACAAGCACCACTTGCCGTTTCCCTATCGTCCAACCAAGCGCCTCGATGTCCATGCGGTGCCTTATAAAGGCTCCTGCCATGGCAGAAGGCCGCAATATCCTCGGCCTCGTGGGACGGAACAGGGCCCTGGTCCTCTCGAAGAAAGATGTCCACATCCGAGCCTTCCGCGTCGACGCTTCGAGCAAACTCAACAAAAGGTCTATCCTCCGGCGGCCACCTCTGCATTGAGAATTCCGGATCCCATATCTTCCTGAAACAGTCAAAGGAATCGGCGCTTCCGGTACTCTCCTTCGTATCGAAAGCGGCCGTGCTCGTTGGCATATCGGTGCCCATCGCGCAGCGTGTCGGATGCACTACCCGAAAGCTGGTCCACGTTTTGTACTTGACGTCCGGAGGCCAAGAGTAATCAGTAGTGTCTCCACTTCCCATTCAGTACCTCGACTAGCCCAAGGGCACAGGAAAGAGGCGCGGTTCAGCGAGCGCGCGGCTCAGCGATATCGTTGCGTTAGAGACCGAGTGTTTTCCTACTTAAGGCCCGCACACTTATTGCGTGCGGTTGACCGGTGTGGTCCGCTCCGGTGGAATGTGTCGTGACAACAGGCGAGTTGAATCCCAGCCTTGCACCGTGCCCAGGTGCCACGCAAGGAGGGGCAGAAAAATGTACGACCGAGTTATTCTATTGGGTACTAAATTTTCATTTTCGCTATGCCTATAGGAACGCCAGGCGATACTTTTACACCCCACAACAATGAGCTTCAAGCTGATTCAGTACCAGTTCGCTCGCCAATGGGTCAACAGATGCACTGCGGACCTGCACTCTCGTTGTTTTGCAATACTCGCATCGTTTGACGCCACAACTAGGACACGTGTTATGCCGTATTTGGATGGACGAACATCCACATGCGCACTACAGAAGCAAATCAGCCTGTTCCTCTGTCAAAACGGTTCGCTGTGTCCACGTACGCATTGCCAGCAATAGGCGTATTTTTTCTTGTTCGCCTAATTCAATTTAGCGAGGTATATAATGCCACGTCAGGTTGGGCGCTTACAAGCTCCACGGGTGTTCCGTTGGGCACCGTAAGAAGTGAGGCATCATCCTCGGGCTCGGAGGCGTCGACGTCCAGCGTCAACGCGGTCGACGTGATTCTAACTGATTCGTTCGAGTCGACCGCCTCCCGAAAACATCGTGATCCATAACGTGGAAATGGGATATGCGGCGTCCGTTCGATTCTTCTATGAAACCCCGTCGCGGTACGCTTGAATTTCGAGCAGCTCGCAGATAGCCGGTTGTCCATGTTGTACCGCTGGTTCAGATTCGAAGGAACGGCAAGATCATCGCGGATAGCATGGAAGTCCTGGGAGTCTGAGACACGTGAGGATCCAAACCCACAGAATCGTGTGAGGCTCGCTCGTACCAGGGTGATGTGCTTTGCGCAAGGAGGAGTGGTGCAACGAGAATCGTGAATCCGGTGGTTGTTGCCAGCTTTCAGCCCGCAAGGCGTATTCGAGGAATGAACGTGGGAATCAGTGGTGCGGTCTTCAGGAAGGACAAGGATGGACTATGAGTTCGAACGAAAGGGAACCTGCGCAGCGATTGTTTCTCCAAGAGCTGGCTACTGTGATATACAAATATTCACGTTGGCCGAGCCTCACAGAGATGGGGTGGAGTAAGGGCATCTTTCGAGCTCATCACTGGGCCGTTGTCGCGACGTTATGGCCAGCCGCCACGACGTCCGGCAGCTCCAGGCATGTGTGATGTCCGCATTGGCCGCACCTCTCCTGCGACATCGCATCTTCTCGTGCAATCAGATGCAATCTTGCAAGCCCTTGGGAACACCAGTTGGTTCCAGAGAGAATCTCCAGGGACCAGGGTTGAGGCTGGTAGAGGATCCGCCTGGCGACCTCTGGTCAGCTTTGCGAAGAATGTCATGGGAGAGAGTGTGAATGCGGGCGTGACGAAAACCAAGGCGAGGGGCTGTCTACGAGAGCGATACAATGAGGAACAGTAGGCACGTTGACGCCGCTCTAATATGTGTGCGAGACTTAGCAAACGAGCTTCGGTGGTGCCCGAGACTTATCAAATGAGCTTCGGTGGTGCCCGAGGTACGGTCCGCCGTAGGTCTTCACGGATAGTCTCCGAACGCGTCGGGGCACCCAGAAGCGCAGAAGGAGCTTCATCGGCAGACTAGAGGCTAGGTAAACGACGTGTAAGCACCACGTATACAGTTGAGAGTTGAGGGTGCGACGCCAGTCCTAGGTAACGGTGAGCCGGGCCGAGCAGCGCGGCAGCCGCCTAAAGCTGCTGGGACTGCACAATATATGTGCGTGTAATTTCTCCGCGACCGTTTTAGAGGCAGGGAACGGCTGGAGCGACTGTCTGATTGAGAGGTAAAGAGGGCCGAAATGCGGCCTGTCGATATTGCGTGCAGCGTACATTCCAAGGCTCCCCAGTGTCGCGTGTAGCAGTATGTACTCCGGAGCGAATGACGTGGGTGCCGAGCGCGCTTCTCGAGGGACGCCCACGGATCGTGAAACGCTCCTTGGGTTGCGCAGGACGGTAGCGAGCGCACTAGCTTGTGATCGTTCACCGGTCAAGCGGGGGGAAGGGGAGGGCAATATGTTCTTTGGACTCCCACTCCTCCCCTCCCCTCTCCTCAAGGCTTAAATTGTCTCCCGCCCGATTCCAGGCGCTTTGCAGAGAATTCGAACGACCTCCTAGGACCTTTCGCGCGGAATCTCCTGTCCACCGCTATGCCGTCGCCAAAGTTACACCCTCCATGGCTCCCGCCCCCGAGTAACCAACATTGCTCAATGTCACAAGAAGAACACAGAAGAGACGGCGTTTCGTGCTTGGACGACATCTTGGAGGGCTCCATCGCTAGTTCCCGAACAGAAGAAGTAATCCTGCTGTCGTGGGGGGTGAAGCGGGACCACCACCGTCTTCCGGTCATGTCGTGGAAGCCGTGGCTACCTTAACTACCTGCCAGGCCAGACGAGGCAATGTAGTAAGCGCCATGGAGAGCCCACAGCCGGTTTCGATCCTCCCATGCTCCTCCAGACTATTCTGCGTGACGGACATAAGAGTCAAGCCTGCTCCACTCGGGGCTTTTAGCGAGGGAGCTAGGGCCAATGTTCTCAGCAAATTTCCTCTGCAGCTTAGAAACCCCGAGGCTCACTTCTCCTTGACCGTCGAAAAGCATCTTCGCGCTCGCAGAGTATCCATGAATTGGCGTTACCAGGGTGCGACACAGGAATTGGTTGTAGTTGTTGTGGGCTGGAAGTCGTTGGAAGTCGTTGGGAGTCGTTGGAAGATTTGCGACGAGCAGCTGGAGGAATTGTTTGGCGTATGTTTCGAGAAGAATAGAGGAAAAAGCCCCGTCGTGTTTCTAATGTGCCTGATAGTAGATCGGTCCGAGTTAATCCGCGTTGCCGTCGCATTGCCGTCGCATTGCTGGTTTTCCGCAGCTCTCCTCCACGATTTCCACGAGAACCAACCGGCGACCATCCCTTTCCTCCGCACAGATCGATCACGCGACGCGAATACCACTAGTGGAGGATTCCTTCTGACAAAGAAGTGCTCTGATCGGGGATACGCATTTCGCTTCATGCCTTGGCTTGAAGCGCAGGATCCAGGATATAAATTGGTACTTGCATGCAAATGCATTCTCCGCGCAGCGGCACTTGTAATGCACCCCATTGCGACACTCCTCTCAATGGATGGGCGGGTGCTCTTTACAGCGTTGGCGATGCAAACGACGCACCTGTTGCCCATTGCCCTTTTTTTGATGTTGCCAATTTACCTACTTCGGCGCTGGTTCCTATACAAACTTTGGTGAGGCGTTCGACTTCATCTAATGACCGCTCAGTCTCCTGCTAGACGGCGAATGCTAACGTATTGTTAGGGAAAGAAGAAGTATACATACCACTGGACTTGTGTGAGTGCTGCTGCCTCGTGAATCTGAGGTGGACTTATTCTAAATACTTTAGTGCACCTGCGGCAGTTCTTCCATCCCGCATCGCAATACCACGTGCCCGTCCTGTGGGACTCCCCGTTGTGGCACGTGCCAATTCACAAAAGTTCAAGTTAAATGAAAGGGAAAGAACGAATTATTCCGCGGCATCGAGACGTCTGGAGGCAGGCGTGGATGCGTTACCATTCGCCCGCATTCCTCTCTCCCCCGTTACAGCGTATCCGCTGGCCGAACAAGGAGTTACTGGGTACAGGCGAAGGTTGAAGTCCGGAGGATGGCATCTGATGGCCTTTGTTTGTCGCCACGGATCTTGATGGGGTTGGCTGTAGCCAGTCTCTTGAGCATTACGGCAGACTTGGCCGCGATACAAGCAACCACTTTAAAACCATCCATCTAAACATACCCTTCATCCTGAGGCTCGAGCTTAACGAATGCCCCATGTGCGCGGATACCTCGCCAATCCGCACGACAAGTTCATGATCCAACGCGTCCACCTCCCCTAGTAAGGCGCATGCGCTGTTTTAATCACACAACCAAGGTAAGCAGGCATCAAGCGCCGGAAACCTCGGGTGCACATAAGATGTCTGGGAATAGTTGGTAGGATACTGCGGTAACAGTTCGTATCTCCACTTCGATCCAGCTCAGAGCTTTGGGCTGAAGTAACCAGCACCCGTTTCTAGCTTCCGGTGAGGGTCTTGCTCGGCATATCATTGCAACCGCCGTACGGCAGACCTGGGAGTAAAACCTAGACTACGGTGGATGCGACCACGAGACCTGGTGAGCGCGGCTTCATGCAATTGGTCTTATTAAACGACGAAGCTTCGGTTGCTGCCCTGCATTTCTCAGGTCCTCCATGGACCACGTGACTCGGTTTGCGGAGCCCATCTCTTTAGGCCGCAAAAAGATTTTACAAGGACTTGCACCCCAACGAGGGTCTACGGTAACATCAGTCCAAAGACTAGGGCACGCTTCTAAGCTACTAGGGCCATACGAGACGCTGGTCTCAACGACGCTCTGATAAGTGCCTCATCAAATGCATCACCGCTGATTGATGCATTATGAGCTGGCAGTCCTTCACGCAACACCCACGAATTTATGCATATAGGCCCAACGCCCAGACAAGGCTGAGCCATGCCCCGTCTGTCAGAAATTGTTATTGCTTTATTGACATCCCATTGGTGAGCCGCCCGCCTCACATTTCGCGTAGCGAATAACGAGGATGCTGACCGCGACCGTCTGGGCATGGATCCGCACATGCGATGGCGGGAGTTAATCTGAGTAGCAGTAGCGCTGGCGCAGCGACCACTGCAAAAGGCGCCCCGTGAAACGCCTAGACGCCATCAAGGGCATACAAATCACACTGGACATTGCCCGTACGCCTGCTACAAGGCAATACGACCTCATGAGGGCGTCTGTGCTACGGGCTATGCACAGAATGCTAGCATACACTCAAGGAAATCTTCCTAGAAGTCTTACGAAAGGCGTTGCAAAGTGACTACCACGCAGAGCCTTTGGATCACGCGCAACTTTCCTACGGCCTCTGCGAGTCCCGCTATTGTCCGATAATATCCTCAACGTCTGCTCCTGTCTTTGGGAAGGCAGTTACGACCGTTTTGTCGGATTGCTCACAAGCTTTCACGGTCATTGCCCGATGGGCGGATAGGACGAGTATGAAGCACGTGTACCAAGCCAATCAACAAGAACGTAGTACGCCCCGTATAGCTACTCGAAAACGAAACGCTTACCGTTGTGGAAGACCCTCCGCCTGAGAGACGCTTCCCCCATCCTTGACAGTTATCGATTCCTTTTCGAACGACCTTGGGAAATACCAGTGCCCACTTCGGATTAGTCGACCGATAATCGTCCTTGTGCAAAGAAAACAACAACGCAAGCCAATCTCACCAGCTTCATTACACCATAATGAAATCCGACGACCCAAGCTTCGAAGAGACGAAAAGCCGACGCCGGCTGCCACCTCTTGACGCAAATGCCAAAGAGTGGGATCAATTGTTCTCGGCAGGCCGCGATTTTCATGAAGATGATTCTTCTTATGTCGAAACTCTGAAGAAGGAGTTCAACGTCCTTAGCAGTGATCTTGAGATCTTCTTACGAGACTGTGAGGGGCCGGTACCACTGAGCGGGCTAGAGGAAGTGAGAGAGCTCTGCGAAACTCCATTATCCCGCACCGATGATACCCAAGATGGGGAAGCCCGTTCTGACCCGGGAAAAGCATGGCTCGACGATAGGGAAGCATCCACAGGACATGTCAGAGAGTATCCAAATCGACTCAACGCGGACCAGCTTTTCATGTGCTTGGCGAAGAAGAGATATGGACTGGAGAATCTTCCAAATGCAGATCGACGACTCGTTTACGTAGCAGATCTCGATCCGGACTATATCCTCGCCATCGCAAGAACAGCTCCCTGGTACCAGGTAGGGACGCTGAGAGATGCCATTTGGAAACATGTCGCCCTCCAGACTTCAATTAGGGTTAAGATTCTGCCTTTTAGGTTTCCTATCTTCCGGCTGCAGTTCCAACTTCCGTATTTGGCTTTAAGGCCAATCTATTTGCCTGCATGCCCCATGGACTCCCACAGAGACTTGATAGACGTGTCTTTCTTGGACATTAGGTTGCCCGAGAGACAGAAGAATCGCAAGTTTGGAATCAGAGAGGCGGAAATCTCCTTGGTGATATGCGGTTCTGGTAACAAAAGTTGGACCGCATACGCCTTTGTGGACACCAGGCTCGAAGATAGCGGCAGCCTTCAGGACGAAGATGGGGCCGAGGACGATGATAGCGACGATGACGATGCCATTGATGAGGGCCCTCCTGTCAACCTAGATCCATTTGGCGACGCTGGCGTGGACGAGATTATTGACGCCAACTATCCAACGTGGGATGCGAGAGCTTACTTCCTCCGTGTCGTCAATATCCGGATGCGCCAGGTCCTTGAAGAGTGGCGGTTCCTCGTTCGGCAGACAGAAAAGAGCGTGAAGCGATATGTATGATTTTGGTCTTCCGACATTCCTGTTCTTTCCAATGGCGACAGCTAATCAGAGTACTAGGGGAGGAATCACCGTTTTATCCTTGTGCAAGAACCTTCCGCAGAGAACCCCCGGGACATCAAAATGGCTTTGAATTGGACTGTGCAAGCTTTGGAGGTTTTAAACCGACTCCGATCGCGCCTTTCAATGACCATGAAAGCTTGGGACCGATTTCAATCTCCCGGCGGCGACATCTGCTATTTCTCGGAAATACCCGGTCACTCCAAAAGGTCACTTGAGAGTATCAAAGAGACTTTCCAGGATTTGGAAGATCTTGAACAAACTCTAATACATCTGGATGAGTTTTGTGAGAAATCTAGTAGAATAGTGAGTAACCTCTAGCTTCTAACGTCATGCATGTTTAGGTGGCACACTAACATTGCGCAGCTTCAACTCCAGATGGGTGCCGAGGGCAATCGTCTGAACTTCGAAAGCAACCGTTTGAACTTCGAGAGCCATCAGTTGCACTGCCAAACACATCACCTCAACTTACAGACAAGTGTGCTCAGCCGGGATAATCATCGCCTGAACCTGGAAACCAGCAAGATCGCCTTAGCGAATCATGAAGCGGCTCAGATGACGAGTCGAACCACCCTCTTGAGCCTTGAGGTTTGTATGAGGTCAAAATTAATGCCACTCAAAATGCTGACGAGCAACAGATCAACCAGGTCATGGCCCCAGTTGCCCTGGTGCTTGCATACTTCGGCACCCAGCGAGACATCTTTTCCTTTGAAAGGAATTCAAAGACTTTCGTAATTTGCACCGTCATCATGGTGGTTGCAGTGAGACTCCTTGCTTTCGTCATCAACGGAGTGGGTTCTGCGAAGAGGATCTGCGGCTGGTTGTGGATAGCTCGTGCAAGGCGGACTAGAGCTACTGCTCAGCCTAGCGGTAAGCGTTATCCCTTCACTGATCCAGAGCTGTACCTAGATATTAATGCCTATAGGCGACTCTGACTCTGGTGTTATTGAGCTATCTTCGCGACCGAATGCCGTCGTCTGAGGCTACAGCACACTCGACGCCTGAGGATCGCACTACGATATGCGCAGACGGCCTTCCCTTCCATTGAAAACCCAACTATTAATGCCACTATATCATGACGGCTTACGACGACCTACGATTTCCACGACCTATGATTTCCACGACCTACGACTTATGAGATATGTCCAGCATGAATGCATCTTACGCATGTTGCATTGGTATGGATTTGTTTGGGTATTCTTGCGGAAGCCGCGCTTTTGAGTGGTTATCACTTAGCGATTGCTTGAGCTACCCCATAGTAACGTCTCGTGCGCATGTTGACGAAAGAAGAGATGGTGGATGGAACGGAGCGAGCTTCGATATGCCCATTTACCCCATGCCGTTAAGCAGTTGTGGAGTGCTTCCGCCAAAATTGAGATTATATGCAGCTTTCAACCACCATTGGGTTCCATATGCTCAAGCCCAATTGCGCCTTCATGGCCAACACACTCTTTAGGGGTGTATCATTAGATTCATCGATGACCTTGTTGAGGCTTCGCTGACGTAATTTGTAAATGGCCTTTCAAGCATAGCGCACGTTGACATGTGTACTTTCTGCTCCGATTGATTGTGCCGAACATCTGCAGCCGGCATCATACTTGCTTTGCAACAATGTCCTTGACCAAAGAGTGGACGTTGATTGCGCCTCTGCTCGGTCTGCACTGAATCTAACAAATCGGCGAGAGGAACTCGACGCAGAGAAATAGCCGTTTCGTCTTCATCACGACAGGATTCGAAGGCAGTGCCGAGATACCACAGCTACAGCAATGGCATGCATCTGCAAGTGTCGCTGTAGCCAATACGAGAGCAACACGAAGGCAGACGCCTGACCGACGTGGCGCCCACCCCGCAACGAGGCTGAACGTCAAGATTGGAGGGAAGGCTAAAGACTCTTCAGCCAGGCTGCTGATCTGGTACTATCATTCACACTAATTTGAACAGTGAAGCGGCAGTGTTTCCGACCTCCATGTTCGAGCGCCCTATTTCGTATAGTACTTCTGCGGTCGCGACAACGCACAAGGCTACCGCGGGGCTCGAGAACCCATGGCGACACTTTGCCTTCCGGATCTAGAGCGGGCTCTCAATGCTCTTTCATTAGGCGGCCCCGTTCCTTCGTTCGCCGAAGCGGACGTCTTAGGGAATCCTCTCGATGTCTGTCGCTCATACCTTGCCGGGCTTCTCTGCGACCTCATCGACTGTGATCCCAAAGTCGCTTACAATTCAATACAATGGCCAAACAATATCGATGCTGGAGATTTGGCTATCATCCTCCCGAAGCTCTACCCCGGGGTAAAGCCAGATGAGGCTGCAATCGATCTGATGGCCAAGGTTCGCATCCCCTCTAAGTGTACATGGAGAGGCTTTAGGGCTGATGCGCAGCATAGTTCCCAAAAGAACATCCGCTGTTTCCTCTTCCAGTTCACGAAAGCGTCCATCTACGGTTCTTCCTCAAAACCGAGACGTTCGCCCGTTTGCTGCTCCCATACATACTCGACCGCAAGAGCTCATACGGTACCGATCCTGCGCTTGGGATGCGAGATGCTTCCTCTCCAGAAGGGGCTCGCAAGAAGCTGGTCGTCGAATTCTCTTCCCCAAATATCACGAGCGAACTGCAGGGAAAACACCTTCGGAGTACCGTCCTCGGGGCATTCGTGAGCAGGCTATACGAAAACATGGGATGGGGTGTCACTAGAATCAATTACCTAGGTGACTGGGGGAAGCCTATTGCGCTACTCCAAGTCGGCTTCAACAAATATGGAGATGAAGAAGCCTATCGAGCCGATCCGGTTGGCCACCTCCTCCACGTATACCATCAGATTGAGGAGGAGTTCTTGCCACTGCAGGCCGCCAGTAGGAAAGCTCGCGACGAAGCTGCCAAGACAGGGCAAGACGAAGGAGAGGCACAACTGGAGATAGAGAGTCATGGATTGTTTGCTGAGCGGAACGCGGCCTTCAAGAAGCTGGAGGAGGGAGACGAGGAAGCCGTTGCTTTCTGGAAGCGCGCCCGCGATGCCAACATCGAAAGCTACACCGACTTCTATGCCCGGCTTGGCATAAAGTTCGATAAGTATACTGGCGAATCCCAAGTCAGCCCGGACACCATGACTGAGGTCGAGCAGATGCTGAAGGACAAGGGGATTTGTGAGGAGAGTGGAGGAGCTTGGATCATTCATATGCAGAAGTGTGGACTTAGGGCGGGCACAGCGATCATCCGAGACCGTACTGGAGCAAGCACATACCTACTCCGCGACCTTGCCGCTGTTTTCGAACGTTCGAGGGAGTTCGAATTCGATAAAATGATATACGTCGTCGCGAACGATAACAATAGCAACCACTTCACACAGCTCTTCAAGATCCTGGAAGCTATCGGTATGAAGGAGCTCGCAGAGAAACTTCACCAAGCCAAATTCAGCGACGTCTCCAAGATGGCCGAGAAGCTGGGCAAAGGATATAAGCCTCAAGCGATACTTAACCACTGTGAGGAAGCCATGCTGAATGCGCTGAAGGCGGACGAGGAGAAGGCAACGCCGTTTGGAGTGCCGGGCGAGGCTGCAAAAGCCCTCAGTGTCTCCGCGCTCCTGGGCCAGGAACTCTCTACCCGATCGGTAACCGCGCATGCCTTCGACACCACCACGATGACCCTCTTTAAACCTGGAACGACCCTCGATCTCCAGTACTGGTACGCTAAGCTGTGCTCACTGCTTAAGGAACAGCCTGGTACGGTCGAACTCTCCGAGGACGATTATGACGCTATTCTGCTAGATGAACCAAACAAAGATGAACCAACCAACCTTCTGCGCATCCTAGCCCAGTATCCGGAGGTCACGCATGTCACCTACCACTCGCTAGAGCCTGCTGCCATCATGACATATCTCGCCAGTGTTGTCCAGCAACTGGAAGATTGCGTTGATGACAACGAAGGAGACAAGGAAGAGGGGGATGCGGAGGAAGCAAAACCGGAGAAGCCAGATGCCAGCATCACGCTGGCCCATGCGGTTCTGTATGAGGCAGCCCGCATCGTACTAGAGAACGGGATGAAGCTACTCGGGCTCACTCCCTTCGCAAAGTACGAGCCAGATCGTGCGGATACACCGGTTGCGGAGTGATCGCTCCGAAATATGGGACAATCGCGATCTCCCCACCACATGAAGTTTATCTCTTTGGTCCGTTCAGTTCTTACGCTCGTTCTTCCCGCCCTTTGCGGCAGGACATTTTCAGCTCATGGCTTGGTTCTCGTCCTGTAATTTTCATTCGAGATCGTCTCTATGATATCTTGAATCAGATTGATACATACATCGCTGCAATTTCTTTGATGCTTTAGGAGCAAGGCATGATCTTCACGGATCTGTGGTGCAATAATAATGTCCAATGACTTTTTGTGCCCTCACGAGCTCTTCGGTGTTGTAGGGGGTTGCATGGAGTATAATTCTAATTTTGAAAAGAATGCCTTAGGAAGTTACAAAGAGCTGTTCAATGTAGTTCCATGTAGTTCTCCCGCTCCGAAATCGGACGAAGTGGTGTGTCCAGCCTACCAAGATTCTATGACCAAGGCACATCCCTGCACCCACAAGGCCCAGTTCCAATCTCCGGCATTTGATGCTCATGAAAATATTCTTGAGCTCCTTCCATAATTTCTGGCTTCCATGATGCCGCTCCTGACCTTTCACACTGACCTAATCCTACCGCATTGAAACTTTGAAAAGCTATCCTCATCCTTCATGCACGCATAGAGTATACGCTGAGTGGAACCAAGTCTTCAGATCAACGAATAACACGCAGAGCCCGCTCACGCGACATGTATACAGCGCCCCGATTGGTAGGCCTGGGGTTCCAAGGCTGTTTTCTCCAGGGCTGAGCCTTACGCACGTGCCCGACGAAACAAGTGGTTCGCATAGCACACGAATGACGTGCATTACTCGCGGTGTGTACCCACAGCGCGCGTTGTGCAACGGGGCCACCAGCTTAGTTGTGACACAGATATGTCAAGTACGAAGAGGACGGGAGTCGACGCAAGTTCCTTATTCCTACATAGACATTTAAGGAGTATTGATTTATTTTCAACTCATTCCCATCCAATATCTATTAATGTTATCGCTATCGCCATCGCACTCATCTTTGGACACATCACGTGGTACGCAACGCACACTGCAAACCAAAAAAGAACCGTGGGGCTGCACAAATCAACGCCGGGAGAAGGGCGGCATCGTCGCATGCAGCGCCTGACGCTCCCAGTTGTGGAGATGGTAAGCCTCGCTGTGTCCCGTACTATGTTCTAATCCGCTGACTCCAAAGCAGGCTAAGAAGAAGCATATTTACGTGTGGACATGCGTGCGTTGCCCTCATGGAGGAGCAAGAGGCAGATGTCTCAGATCCAGTTAACTGATTCGGCTAGTGCGCCTGCGGATGTCCATCGATCAATATTCATGTCAATTCCTGCCCACGATGCGACATATCCCGATGCGCTTACTGCAATACGACGCGAGTCCAAGTCCGGAGCGCTGGTTACACGTTCGGTTCGACGGACACTAGTGTCATCGGGCGCCGGGACCACATGGAAAGCGGGCTGGTCCCAGAATACTGTTCAACGACGTCAGATCCTGACAAACACTACGGTTCTCTTACCCCCTATTTTAGGGACATCCCCCTAAGATAGGGCTCTGCAGAGCCCAGATAGGGGCCTCTCTGCTCCGTAGTAATCGATCACGTGAATTTACTCCGTATTCACTGCCAAGCTTCTTCTTCGCTACCCACGCCATATATCAGCCCTCAACATCACCTATTCAGCTCTAGTATATTCAGGGGTAAATCTATTTCCCCGCGTAATAACCCCCTAGAGACGCCCCCAAAGAAGCCCTCAAAGCTTACAATTCACCCTCCTACTACTAGCCCCCCCTCCCTCTACCCTAGCTCCCCCTGCTCTAGCTCTCCTCTACCTAAGGAGGACCTCCGCTAAGCTCCCCACTCTACCCCCTAAAATCTACTAGTAAGGTTCAGGAAAGCTACGTAATTAGGGCCCTCAGCTTTCCCCCTGAATTAGGGGGGAGTAGAACCGTAGTGGTCCCATGCACATGCTACCCGTCCATACTTTTAAGCAACAGCACCTGTCCTCAGTGTGGCCATTCCAGGTGCGATGACTGCCGGACCTGCAAAGTACAGGTCAATATAGACAACAACGCCCCGAAGGGCACGCTCGGAGAGGATGGTGTAGATGGTTGGCGGCTACACCTGGGGCTTGCTCGATGGAGACTTTGTCACCGTCGCCGCAGCAAGCGTAGGTTCGAATCCTGCTCCTCTCAACTTTCGCCTTCAACGCTGCAGAATGTTCGTTGCTGGACAAGGATCCTTCTTCAAAAAGGCAAAGATGGACATGCAGATCAACATAATGAGGGGTACGAGCCTCAGGCACGAAGTCTCCATACCGTCATACTGTTGTCTCTTCCAGACATGGCTAGCATACGCCTCCACTCTATCAGCGCGCCGCTTCCTAGAACATAGAAGAACGGTGTGAGAGGCTTGCACATTACCACATATACGCGTGCCTCTTTCTCGCCTAGGTATCTTAACCACTATTCTCAACGCTGTCTTTAGAAGTATGAGGTGTTGTAGGCGAACTTACCAGAGTGTATATAGACATGTTCGAATCCCTGGCGGCCGCCGACGCGGGTTCAGGCGGGGAGAGGGCTGCTTCCGGACGCGGTCTCCCACATGGTATGTTCTTATGCCCAAAACGATCGTCTTTGAAATTTGTCGAGGCCGTGAATATCTTGAACAGCTGCCGGCGTAACTAAAGCCTATCGATAAGGTAAGCTGCAGGATGAAATACCTTTCGGAATGACCGTGCCTACGTGTCAGAGAACAACAACATCGACTTGTCAGCCTCGCTGAGGAATGGAAGCCCCGCGTGCATGCATCAAGGGGCTGAGTATTAGATATGTGATAGATAGTATAAGAACATGAGCTGTCCAGGTGGTTTCAATAGCCGACTGTGCACCAAGCTGGCCACAAATTTTCCTCTGTATTACACTGATTCTGCGGTGACGGAAGGCTTAACTTCTGTCGTTGCTCAACTTTTGCTGTATTCTTTTCAATTGCGTCTAAGATAAAGCCAGGAACAGGAGTATTACACCACAAGGTGAGTTGGGGGCCTGTTGTGCACTATACTACCTTATTCTCACAGACTTGATCCTGCTATTGCAAAAGAGGCCTCATGATACCCTCTAGACTGCGCTGAATGAAAGACAGAAAAGAAGAGGATACACACTAAGCTTATAGCCTTAGATTGGATGAATGATCAAGAGGAACGAACGGAAGAACTGCCATTAGGTGCATGATGCAAATCCCAATCCGGCATAACGAATAAGGTGGCACATATACTTCGGAGGCGATGAAGACTTGGCAACCTCAGCGCCGTGGCTATCCGACATTCTAAGGTTCGCACGCATTAGCTTGCATACAGGAGAGCGATGTCAATGCAGAAGTGTGCTCACATGTACCATATTCGGGCATATCCACAATGTAGGTAAGGTTCGATCGATCCCCTGACATCAACCAACAGATTTGGTAGATCGCGATTATCGAACCTGGACCTTGGTGATTTGACAGCTGTCGCACCTTCCACAACCGCATTGAGGGCATCTCCCATTCTTATATGGTATAGAAGGGCAACCGCATGTGCACTAGTCTACGTTAGTGGATGGCAGATTTTTGGAGGAAGTACGGTATGTACACATTGCCATACGTAGGCATGTCTTTTCTTCGACTGTTTCCTTTGACCTTAGTATTCTTCGTGGTATACCCATAACGAACGACGGGAGCATCCGAGCGAGGCTTACCAGTGTTTGCATAGGCACATACAGATCATCGGTGAACGTAGATTTAGGTGGAGGCGAGGTAGATCCACTGATGGCGTCGCGAGGCGCACATGGTTCGTCGAAGGGAACACCCTGATGCTCCAAATGCATTTGCGTGCGACCGAGAACGTTCTTCAACTGAGCTTCGATACCAACCCTTAAAAACATCGATGCTCCCGGCTCAATCATCCACACCTTGTGCTGTAGGCTTTTCAAAAGAGGTCTTGGATTGTTCTACACACTGCAGTGTAATTCCTTCGCCCACCGCACCCTTTGAAGGAGTGCGCGAGAGTACCGTCTGACGCAGTGCTTGGGGGCTCGGGGTCGCTGCTGAGAAGAATTATGCGAAGAACAGATATCAAGGGAGCGGCGAAATCTAGTTCGGACAGCGAAACTACGCGCGGAACTAGTCTTCGTTAAAGAGAATCTTGGGACTGGCTATGGGTGTTCCTTACATCGATATAGTGCGCGTTCGGCCTCGGGATCGTGATGAGACAAGACGCCTGGTAAGCTCACTACCTGAATGAGCACTGAGGGTCCAGTGACAACAGTAGTCCGGGTGGAGGAGTGGATCGAAATAAGAATAATGTCCGATCGGAAAGGTCGACTGCGACGCGTTAACTGCGAGCGATTGAAATGTGAAGGGCCAATTAGGTGGGATAGGTTCGAGAACGATTGCACTTGGGCCAGCTGAGAGTGCGAGGGCGTTTTATGACGGTACAAGCGAGTGTATGTTGTGGAGGAAAATCCTGAGCTAAACTTACCAGGTTGGCTTGGCGGGCCCCGGATTCCGCGCAGGGAGTTTGATAATGAACTAATGAGTCGGCGTCATCTCTATCTTATAGGATGAAATGCCCTAGGCGAGTGTCTGAAGTAAACACATACTGCTGTTCGTACTGTTTGCTTCCATGTCCTCGGCCTGGCTCCAACGATGGCATGGCCGCTATAGACTCCTCTTGTTCTCTATTGAATGTGTCGAAATAACATATTGAAGCTAGAGAAATTGCATCACAGTTGATGCCCGGGTGTGCTTCAGCCTTCTCCAGACCTGTCCGGTAACTGGCTTGCCAGGTGGAAACGAGAACTCGCTCGCCGGTACGACCGCTAGAATGTGCTTATCCAAGGCTAGCGAGGATGTGTGATTGCGATCGAGCACTTCACAATTGTTCTCCCCATGGCGAACGCTTTATCAGCTGGGAACTTTGTGACCCTCGCGAAGGCGATTGACGCGTCAGGGCGTAGATGGCACGGGCGGGAACGGCAACGAACATCAAAGACTTGCGGTAGCAGTCAGGGTCAGCTATGCTCGGGAGGTTTACACGGTATAATCGAGACGAAGAGTATTGGATCGATGGGCGATGTTCGAGAAGTATTTAACGTTTCACGGACACGTACGGTGTGGGGCCGCGTGCTGAACCTATATATAGAGGGGGGACCGAAGCTTCGCTATGCCAATCTAAGCGTAGTACTTCGCTTGTGCCTGCGGCGCGGTCTCGGATCTTCGAACAAGCGACAAAATGCATTCCAAGAATTGCTGTGCTAGTATGGTGATTCCGAGTAGCAACGGGATCAATATATACTATAGACAGGATTCTTAGCGATGCGCTAGGTGATGAACATGCGCTTCCTAGCGTTAAACTGGTAAACTGTTTGCAATTAGAGGTACGGATCCTGCTGTTGCCCTCACCGCACCTTCCTTCGCCGTGTCGAACAGCCTGGGCAGCCACGCGGTCAAATTTCGGATGCTTCGGGATCGATGACAAGCATCAGCTAGTCTGCAGCTCCGATAGCAATAATAAACTATGCCCAAAGTAGGGTCATTGGATGAGCCTCTCAGCGTCCTCTAATCCAGTCACTCCTTTGATCTATGCGGTGGACCAGGTCCCAGCAGCGCGCGGTCGCCTCACTTTCCAGTTCTCATTTCCCGAGTACTACACATTTGGTGCCTTAGCCCATGTAATAGTTCTTCTCTTGATCCGTTCTATTCCAGCTTGAGCTCTGGCTTCGCCGAATATCGCCGGTACCTGTCCAACCTTTACCTATACACCTTGACGGGCGCCTCATACACCGGCTGCCCCCACTGGTTAACCCCAGGATGACGATAAGAGCTATCAATCTCCACCGCTCCGTGCTGAGGAGGCTGATACGCCGGCGGCGGCATGGGCGAGTGTAGCGGAGCGGGAACTTCGACCGGTCTGGGCGACTTATCCGGCAGCTTCTGGAAGCCGTCGCCGGACATGGGGTATGACTGTGGGTTTGACCCTGCGGCGAGTTTCTTGCGGTAGCGGCGGCGGACGAAGAACCAGACGAGCGCAATGGCGATAATGAGGACGGCGACGCCTGCTGCGGCGCAGGCTATGATGACGGTTTTGGAGGTGCCGCTTGAGCCGGACGCGGGCTTTTCGGTGCTGGCTTCGGCTTCTGCGGTGGATGTAGCTGTTGTCGCTGTTGTCCCTGTTTTTGTGGACCTTGTCTTCGAACCTGCGAAGGTATACTTAGGGCTTGCTCCGTTTGGGGGAGAGAGAATGCTGTCTTCCTACCTGATCCTGCCGTCGCCGTCGGCTGCTCAATGGGAAGCGAGTATGAAGTCGTGCTGGAAAGGTCCTTGATGACGGATGCAGATTCGACGGTGAAGACCTTGGTGTCGTCGTTGCAGCACGTACTCCCATCAGAGTAGCAGCAGTAGCGGTCTTCGCCACAATGAACGAGTTGGTCCCAGGAACTGGAGGAGTAGTCGTCTACCTTTGTTAATTTCGTGGTCGAAGCAGGATGAGGAAGAAATTACCTAGTGTGCCTTTGCAGTGCTGAAAGCAGTTTTCGCTGTTCCATGTCTTGTCGGTGCATGCTCCTCGGAACATGTACCCTGCGGCCTGGGAGTAGCAGAGGCCTGAAAGTCCATGTTAGCGCTCCGCCAAGCGGCTATGATGAAGAAGTCCCGTACCATTTGAAAGACATTGATCTCCCTCGGTCAAGATACAACAAGATGTGAATTCGTCTCCCGAACAAGCCGTATACACATAGTCGTCCGGAAACGTTCCATCAGGATAAAAACTGCCATACGTCAATAACCGCCGGAATTCTGCTCCAGATGCAAGCGACCTACCATGAAGCGTCAACCCTCCAAACCCAGAAACCACCTAACAACGCGCAAGAGAATGACAAGAGTTGGGAGCGCATTATTTCATTAAGTAAAGAGCGACGTGATGATCAAAAGAATGACGAAAGGCGCGCCGGCAAGGAGAGAAGAGAAAAGAAGAGGAAGAGGGGAGACGTCAAAAGTACCCCTCGGGTCTGCATATCTCCCAGGACGACGCCTCAGCGCCAATTCGCTTCCTCACGTTGGTGTACTGCCACTGCCTAGCCATGATTAAATTTGCGCGCCGTACAAAAGGAATTCTCCGCTCACAGGTATCAACACGAGGCTAATCCACGTGGTTGAAGAAAAGGACCGGACGAATCGGAGTGCTTGCAAGTGGAGATAAAGCTATCAAATACGGTAACCGTTGGCGAAATAGGAAATTTGCCAAGGCGAGCATTGCAGAAAGGGTGGTTACGGTTACGGAATACGAAATACGTGCGGCTGGAGAGCGTTCATGTTTGATGGAGCCCCTGCAGGATACGAGAATAAGGCCGGAGACTTTGACGCCGACTGAGAGCGGCGAAAGGAGAGGAAATAATAAAGCATGAGAGGAGACTTAGATTGTTCTGAAGGAAATGTCTATGTATACCTTAACCGTGATCCATCCAGGAGAGCCGAAAGCCTCTGAATCCGACACCGTCCCTGCGAACGCAAGCACATTTGCCTGCGCAGAGCAAAGAAGAAGGTCACCTCCCTTATTATGCAACCGGAATAGTGCTGCGGTTGAACCCCATGCTGGAACGCGTGTCGCAGACTCTGTACCAGTTCCAATCCCATCCTATGCCCGGATCGATCCTACTCGGACAGATCGCACAGCTCGCTTCGGAATCGACACCTAGTCGACCTCGTGCGGCTCGTCTTGCGTGCCGGCGCCATTGCGGTTGACCTCAGCGATGGCCTTCTCCTTGGCCTCCATGTACTGCAGCCGAACGCGGGCGGCCTTCAACTCGGCCTCCGCGACATCCAACTCGGCCTGGAGCTTCTGGACTGCCAACGGCTCATTGGAGTTGTCGATGCTGTGGTGCGAGTAATTGTGAGCTGGGACCGGACGAGGAGAAGCAGTGAACGGTGGAGTGAAAGCTGGAAGTACTGACATCACGCTCGTGGAGTCGTAAGAGCCCTCGCGCTCAGACTTGATGGCGATGCTGGGACGTCGAACGGAAAGGCGGCTGGCGTCCGGAATGCGGCGCTCCGTGGAGTATCGACCCTTGCCAGGGCGACCGCGCTTCTCGGGGCGCTCCCAACCCTCGCTGTCACGACGAAGTCGGGAGGAGGAAGTTCTATCTGAACGATCATTAGTTGCGCATATAAAGTAGTTGGGTATAGTAAAACTAACGCTTGTGGTGCTTGGACTTCTCCTGAACGCGAGCCTCGTACGCCTCGTGGTTGCGACGACGCTTCTTGCCCTTGGGGACCTCCTGCTCGACTAGTTCCTCTAAGTAAGAATCCGTTGAGGAAGGCTCGTCCGAAGCATATTCGTCTTGGGAGTGGTTGTCCTCACTGGCACGATCCGGGTTCACATATTTCGCCTTGAGCTCCTTGATGTCCGCAAGCCTACACCACGGGTGCTTCGGCTCGTGCTTCTCGACTTTGGCCCTCAGGTCGGCTTGGAACTCGGTGAGATTTCCTTCCTTGAGACGTCCGATGGTCATGAGGTCCCGTAGGAACTGGACACCCCAGTTGCGCGGGTCATCCTCGGTCTTGTCCTTGATGTGGTCGCGCCTGTCACAATCCCAAGCACGCATGCGGATGTCCTCGGGGATGATGTCAACGACGTTGTCGACCTTGAAAGCGGTGGCGATTGCTGGAAGCATCGCGAGGACAAGGTCCTTAGTCTCGGAATTGAGGGTTGCGAATCGACCCATGGCGGCTTGGGGTTCGAGATGTCCTTATGTCGGTGTCTGTGCTTGTAAGCTTCTCGTGGATGAGAAATTGGAGGTAAAAGTGGGCGCAGTCAAGGTGCTGTGTCGCACCTGGCATCCTGCCATCAATTTGGGAGCTGCGGCACGAAGAGCGCCGCTTTCCGGAAGAGAAGAGGGCAAGACTTACTGTCAGCAATTGCTGGAAGGAAATGTTCTTGTTCGCGGAAGCAGGGGTGTACTTGGGTGGCGGAAAGAAGTTTCTGCGTGGAGGTACCGGAATTTATATCGCGCGCTGCGAGCCTGCCGAGCTCGGGTTTGCTCACTAGGCTAAGAGAGCGGCGAGGTGGGGTACAAAGATCACGCTTCGAAGAAATGTCTTGAGATCTTGGTGATTTGGGTGACCGGGCAAGGGCGCAGTGGAAATTCCGGAAGGGGGATTATGCAAGCCGGGTATGGTATGGCGAGCTGCTGCGAAGGGTGAGAAAGGAAAGAGAGCAATACAAATTCGGTAGTTTGATAATCCAAAGGAGCGCGGAAGCGTTCTTTAAGAAATATGAGAAGAAGGCCGAGGAGGATTCCTGCTCTTGGTGGAGACTGAACTGGTTGGGGAAACTGCTAGGTGAGAGAAGCGTGACAGGGCTATCGCCTTACCTGAGCACTCGATTCGCATCGTATATCCGTATTGCTCCCTCCCGATCCTCCTCTGTCGTCTGCATACCCTCTGAGGGCATACCACCATAAAGGAACTATATTGCTGAGGCGGCCGCCCCCGTTCGTCTGAACTCAAGACGGGCAGGCGAAAAGGTTCTGCTTCAGGGAAGGAAACATGCTGCTTTATGGACAGCTTTCGCTTCCGGGATGCCTAAGACTCTACAGAAGAATAAGTGACGATAGTGATGTTGCGGCGATGGGGAAGAGGATTTGGAGACGAGACATGACATCGGCACGACCTCCCTTACGAAACCGACGCACGTGGCACGTCTCGCTTCGGCTTGCTGTCAACTCTCCAACCCACAGCCTCTACCCACCTTTCTCCACCCTTCCACCACCAGAGATGGCTCTCAAGCGGGAGCGTTCAGACTCCCCGACCCTTCCTTCGGACATTTACCGTTCATCGTCCGTTAAAGAGAAAGATTCCGTCTTCGTTGCCGCCTTCTCCCCAACTCTTTCCGTAAAAGCACTACAAAGTCTGCCAGAATTCAAAACAGCACATCACCGTATCGCAGCATGGAGAAAGGAGTCGAGACAGAGAACTCTGATGCCAAGAACGGAGAAGATTTATGATTTGGGCCATCACGACGATGGGGAGAAGTGGGCTGGCAGCAGACTGCAGCACGTGCTTGGCGACACCCAAGCCGAGGGTGTGGTGGTAGTCGCGAGATGGTTCGGAGGGGAACTACTCGGCCCGCTGAGATTTACACTGATCGAAAATTGCGCGAAAGAAGCAATCTGGAACTGGAAGGAAGCGGATCAAGCTGCGCAAAAAGAGACAGCAGCCAAGAAGCGGAAATTAGAAGAAGAGAAGGCCCGGAAAGGGTTGGAAGAGAATCTAAGAGAGAGGGATCTAAATATCTTCGTGCTCAGGAAACTGCTCGCAGATAAGAACGCGAAGCTGAACGACTCTGAGCCCGCTCCTCCAACGCCTCAGAAGCCGGTCGACTACGGCAAGATGTCCATGGAAGCATTGCAGAGGGTGGACAAGGCACGTGATGCGACTATTACTTTCATCTTGAAGGAGATCGACAAGGTGGATGAGCAGTTGAAACTCGTTGAAGCATTCGACGACTCTACCCAAGATTCCTGGAAGGACGCAGAAGAGCACCAAAGACCTACAGACAGAGAATCAGAACCCACGAAGGAGGATAGTTGAAGTTAACACGGGAGTTCAGACCGTTACCATCTATGATGCAACTACGACATGTAAACGCTATCGGGAACTAAACCACGGATAGACACGCAAAACACGGGTTCTCATTTCGGCGACACTGTATACTAAAGTAATCGAACGTCATCCACTCCGAAGCATACCCGTGCACAACCGAATGGGCATCGCATCTATGCTGCTGGCGCGTGGACCGGGTCGTTGCCACTAGCCGATATCACCTCGTCCACATTTTTTGCCGCATTCCTCACAGCATCGCCCAGATCGACTCCCTTACCCGGCTCCTCACCGAACATCATCGCCGACATGCCACTCGTATCCGTAATCATCCTATGCAGCCTAGAAACAGTCAGCACCTGTGCCCCTTCAACGACCTGCCATTTCCTTGGGGCTCACATCAAACACCGTCCCACAGCATCCTCCTTCAGCTCCTTCACCTTCCCCTTGTCCATACTCGCAACCGGCTCATTTGGAATGCTGTCCCTCGTCGCGGGAGTATACGGCGGCGGATACCCCTGCAGAATAGACTCGATGGTCGCGTTGGTGCGCCGCGCAAAGTCCCACATGAAATATATTTTGCCTTTGCCTTGAGCTTGCTGGACGGCGAAGGAGGGGTGCGCTTCGAAGGCTGCGATGAGCTGGCCGTTGGCGGCGCGGATTTCGGGGAGGCGCGATGTTGCGCCTGGGGGAATGGGGAGAGACATAGTGTATGTGTATGGGCAGGTGTGGCTTTGGCGTGGGAATGGATATGAAGATGGACGAGGAGCGGAGGAGAACGTGGGGTGGCAGGTGGAGATAATGCATCATGCAGGTCCGTGCGAGACAGTGATATGCGATTTCCTCATACGAGCATGACGTAGCAGCGCTGCGGCTTCTCGCATTCTCATCCTGGAGAGAACTCAATTGAGGTACTACGGTGGTATATGTGTTTCAGATTTGCTGTGATTGTCGAATCAGGAGACCCGGGGAATCGCTTCCACATGCCCGAAACTCAAAACGGGGGTTGGCACGTAGAATGAAGCTGGCGTTGCATTGCTTGATGCATGACTGGCGTGATTGATGAACTGTTGGGCTTCAACAAGAATATCGCCTTGCAGGGCTGCACGCTAGGACGCGGCATCACGTGTGCGCAGTAGAACCTCCAGGGCTTGAAAGGTGAATGGATCCCTGGAGCTCGGGCGGCTTATGGTCGGAGGAAAGTGGCTCGATGGTCGCGCATGAATAGGGGAATATTGCATCTTGCTGATTATACAGGGAGATTCGATCATTGTATGCTTTGACGGTACAATAGAGATACATATGTCTTACAGCGGTAGCCCTACAACTCATCTTTAACCATCCAACATGCGGAACTCTCCTCTGGATGACAAACGCTGCAGAGTCCATGCCGTGCGGCCAACCATATCCCAATCTACTGACTTAGTCTCTCCAAACCCATTGTATCCGCCACCGCGTATGCACAGTCGCTCCCTCTTCGGACATCCTCGCGCCGACCACCTTCACGTAACCCAATGCTTAATGGCTCAGATTCCACCTGCCCTTCTTCAACCTCCTCATGATGAGCTTCCTCCCCTTCTTCGTCCTTATCCTGCTCAAGAAACCATGCCTCCTCTTCCGTACAAGATGACTTGGGTTATACGTGTCGCGCGGACCGCATCTGATCTGGATCGAGCCCAAAGCTGGATGTGACGATATCTTGGAGACGAGGTCAAGCGCATCCGCTGAGGGGATTGCGGGCGCGGTCGCTGAGCCCGGGGTAGGCAGGGCAGATGGCGTGGACGAGACTGGCAAGACGGGTCGTCGTGGGGCTAGGAGAGATATTGACCGCATTGGAGGGGGAAGCGATGAACTATGCAATTGTCAATTGAGAGCCCGATCAGCTGAGTTTGATATATGTACCATTGCGGTGATGCTATCCGTCCAACTGATGGTCTAACGAGTGTCCTTGCACTCGCGGACGGTCGCGCCACAACCCTTAAGCAACGAAAGGCATTCATGATGCCAATTCGGGTTAATTGCCACCTGAAAAGGGGTGGAGTCGCGAGAAGTGCAGCAATGAGTGTGATGGTTAGAACAACATCGGAGGTAGCTCGTCGGCGGAAAATCCGTGGTTGCGGTCCGTGCGCAAAAAGTTCGGCTTCGAAAATCCGTCAACTTCGTTTCTACGTTACCTCACGACCATCTCACGACCGCGCCAAAACTCTAATTGCCGGCTTTCGGCGCATATACGAGAAGAGATCTCATTATACGTACGACCCTATCTCACAATTGGACCCCGACCACCTCAAAGTCTATTTCTTTCCTTCCACCATCGCAAAATGCACGCCGAAACGCTCCCGCCGTACCGGCACGTCTCCTCGCGGCCAATCACGCTCGCCGGTGCCTCAAATATGCTCTCTACATATCTCACGAACTCGGAATCGCACCCACACCTGCACCCTGATGCGCTCATAACGCCTAGCGGGGTCAATTTCAGTTCACATGGCGGTTTCAAGGGCGGCGTAGTCATGCACAACTTGCGGCGAGTCGCGGCAGGACTACGAGGCGAATATCTGGAACCGGAGGGGACACCTGAGCCAGAAGATCAGGAACAGGGCAACGCTAGCGGAGCAAACGGGAAGACCAAGCAACGCAAGAGGAGAGACGCAGAACCCGGGGCCAGCGATGGAGAGGAATGGCAGAACATGTCTGAGTGGGAGAGGGAAGAGGGGGAAGTCGAGGTTGGCGAGGTCGGAGATCGAACTAATGTCGTGCAAGAGGGTGGGGAGGCGCCGGAGATTGAGGACACCGGTAGGACAGAAGTAGACAAGGGCAGCAAGAAGAAGAGGAAGAAGAACGGAGAGGAAAAGCTGGATAAGAACGCGAGGAAGAAGGCAAAAAAGCAGAGAAATAAGGAGCGTAAGGCTCAGAAGGAGAAGGAGAGAGCCAAGGGGTCGGATTAGAGGTGTCTCGAAACCATTGATGCACCACACCACGATTCGGGGACGTCTCCCGTCAGAGGCTCACCTTCGGTCACGTCTCGAAATCTGCGCGCTTTACTATGAGGGGCTTGGAGGGCGTACGGCTATCTTAGTGGGGCAAAATCGTCGTAATAAACCCACGGCAACGCTTCTACCGTGCCATGCGCATCGACTCGGCCATAAGCTTCTATACTGTCCATCGCCGAGCGGTTACCGAACTTGTACCCAAAAACACGGCCTGCTTCGAATATGCGACCGAACCGCCTTCAACGATAAGAGTCGAACTTCGAGCATTTCGAGTTAGTGTGGCTGAGCGTCGAACACTGCACACGCGTCTACGGCGATCACAGGGTTGGGGGCTAGTTTCAAGAATAGCGGGCTCGCGGTGTACAATAGGTTACACAGCAGAAACATTGAGGCGTCATGCAGACGACGGCGAGGGTGCTGAATGCCTACAGCTCACAGAACGCACATCAGCTCGCCACAACTCCCGAAAGCCTGTCATCTTCTAGGCTGAGAAATGAGTTGAGAGTTTGGCGGTCGACGCAGGTTATGGTTTGGCAGCTCTCTGTGGCGGAATGATTTGGAGGGCCAGGCTTTTTCCGGCCAATTTTGCAAACCGGGCCGCCGTTATGAAAGACCGTTGGGGTGGAAAAGCTTAGCCACCGACAGAAAGGGGCGCAGCTTGTTATTGTTGCGCCAGTCTCGATCAAATTAATTTGTTTCAAACACTCACATCGAGTCGAAGTCCGACGATGGTGCAGAGTGATGTATTTGTTTGAGTGAATGTCTTGGTAACTGGCAGGCCGCCATAGGGCGCTTTCTAGAAAACCAGGGTTGTGGGCTGCCGTTCCTGCAGCTGGGGCTGGGCGTGGCAGGCGGTGATCAAGGCACTAGTTCCGCGCCATTCGGAATTTAGCAGACCATCGCAAGGCCGTCATTTGGGGACGAGCGAGCACAGCACACCTCCTGACGACGCTCTCTCCACACAGCCAGCCTCTGTGTCTGCCCAGCTCTTATCGGCGACCGACATGGCGGCTAACGGCAGCGTGCGCAGGAAGCTGCATGATGCGTCTGGTAAGCCCTGCATCTCGCCCCTCCTCCCGCTTGCACTTATCTGACCTCGACCCAAAGCAAGTCTGAAGCCGCACACCACCACGTCGCATGGTACTCAGACTCCTGAACAATCGCCCATAGACAGCATGCCTGCGCAATTGCTCCCAAACATGCCAGCGAATGGCACCTCGCACACGAACGGCGCGCCGCCTATGCTGCGCAAGCAGTCCTCGCCCATGATGCCACCCTTCATGGTCTCCGCCCCAGGGAAGGTTATCGTGTATGGAGAGCACGCTGTGGTGCACGGCAAGGTAGGATACGGAATGCACACTGTCTATCTGCAGACTAACAAGTGCTAGCCCGCAATTGCCGCCGCCATCTCCCTCCGATCGTACCTCCTCGTCTCCTTCCTCTCCAAGTCGCATCGCACCGTCACCGTACGCTTCCCAGATATAGAGTTGGAACACACATGGGATATCGACGAGTTACCGTGGGGCGCCTTCTCTGCGCCGGGCAAGAAGAAGTACTACTACGATCTGGTGACATCCCTCGACCCAGATCTCCTCGCCACCATACAACCGTTCATCGAGGAGGTTTCTCCCAAGGTCCCCGAATCGATACGCAAGATACACCACTCGTCCGCCTGCTCGTTCCTATACCTCTTCCTGTCGTTAGCGTCACGGAAGACACCACCGTGCGTGTATACCCTACGCTCGACAATCCCCTTGAGAGCCGGACTCGGTAGCAGCGCAAGTATCTCAGTCTGCTTGAGTGCTGCGCTGCTGCTACAGATACGCGCATTGAGCGGCCCACACCAGGATCAGCCGCCCAAGGAGTGCGAGCTCCAAATCGAACGAATCAACCGCTGGGCATTCGTAGGCGAAATGTGCATACATGGCGACCCCTCTGGCGTCGATAACACTGTCGCCTCGGGAGGCAAAGCCGTCCTCTTCCAGCGAACAGCCGGTCCGCCGCGAGTCATCCCGCTCCACAGCTTCCCCGAGCTCCCCCTCCTCCTCGTAAACACACGCCAATCTCGCAGCACCTCCGTCGAAGTCGCCAAAGTCTCCACCCTCAAAACGAACCATCCCGCCCTCACCGAGAACATCCTCGATGCAATCGGTCTCGTCACTGAATCCGCATACAAACTCCTCACATCTCCCGACTTCGATCCGACCTCCCACACCGCATTAAAACATCTCGGTGACCTGATAACGATAAATCATGGCCTTCTTGTTTCGCTGGGTGTTTCGCACCCCAAACTCGAACGCATCCGCGAACTCATCGACCACACCGGCATCGGCTGGACAAAGCTCACGGGCGCCGGAGGCGGCGGCTGCGCCATCACGATCCTCAAACCGCAACCCCCCTCTCTCCACAACGGCAACGGCGCCCATCACCATGACTCCTCCGACTCCTCCGACTCCGAAACCGAATCTCGCTGCGCCGCATCTATAATCTCCTCCGGCACGAAGCTCAAGCACAAGATCCTCGACAGCCTTGAAGTTAAGCTCGAAAACGAGGGATTTGAGAAGTTCGAGACGACACTAGCGGGTGATGGAGTGGGTGTGCTCTGGCCCGCGGTCCTGCATAATGGGAATGAGGAGGAAGGAGGCGAGGAGATTGACCAAGACAAGTTTCTGAGGGCTGAGGGCACGGAGGGGATTGAGAGGTTGGTTGGCGTGGCGAGTGCGCGGGCAAGGAAGGTGGAGAGGGACGTTAGGGAGGGTTGGAAGTTTTGGCGGCCGTGGGAGACGGCCTAGTAAAGCCAACTGCCTTGGGTGAGGTATGGTAATTGTGGTAATGTTTCGTTCTTGTGGGACCTTTAGGTTTGCTTCGTTTCAAAAGCGCTTTTCTTCGTATACTGCTTCGCTGGGATTTGTACGATATTGGAGGGGTTTGAAAAGATCTGGGACGCGAGTCTTTCTGCGTTTTGAAGAGGGACGACAACGGCTCGGGCGGGTCTTGGGTTGTAGATAGTCTAGGAATTCCGACTATATGAGAATAAGCTAATAGAGTAATAATGCACTATCAAGTACTTGAACGTGCGATCTAATTTATATTATCGAGCGTCTTCGCCATGTCAATTATGTACTCTTCGTACAGGTAACAGACAAGTTCGTGCTCAATCTAGGTCTATAATAGAACTCTAAATGAAGTGATATAAACGCCTCGCTATGCATTTAAAACCGCGAGCGCACAGCGCGCTAGGAAGGGGTCTTGATCATGAAAATCTGGAATACATTAGCACTGGTGTCTATGGTGGGAGTAACAATAGACGTACCTCTTTCAGGGCTTGCGGATCTATACTCGCCATCTTCTTCTGGCGAATGAATCTTTGCCTCACTGCGTGCCGTCCACAAGCGGTGAAAGAAAGCCCAGAAACGGAAGTCAAAGGGGTCGACGTGCCGGTGGTAGGCACTGAGCTCGTGGGCGTCGAGGTAACCGTCGTGCTATCTTCTTCGCTCTCGGAACTGGGAGCATCGACTGTGGGATTCGATCGTGCGGCTTCTTTTGCAGCTTTCTTCAGCGCTCTCTTGAGCTTCTTTTCTTCTTTCCGGGCGCGTTTCTCGGCTTTCTGGCGGGCTTTGTCCGAGAGTGGTTCGTCTGGTATTGGAGCGGGGGAGTCGGTGGTGGAAGTGGTTGAGGAGGGATCCGAGGACGATTTCTTCGACTTCTTGTCTTTCTTTTCCTTCCTCTCCTTTTTTGGTTTTGACTCGAAGGCCTCTTCAGCTGTCGCAGTCCTAGCAGCTTCCTCGCGGAGGTTCATGCTCTTCTTCTTCCGCTTGAGCTTCGGCTGCTCCTCTTTCACCTCTTCCTTGATCTCCTCTTCCTCGCTCGATCGCTTCCTCTTCTTCGACTTCTTCTCCTTCACATCACTTTCCGATGATTCCAGTTCTGACTTCATCTCCACCTTAACCTCCTCCCCCCTCTTTATACCCCTCTCAATCCTATCCCCAACCAAAAAGCCCCCACTAACAAAGTTCATAAACCCAAACTTCCGATACACATACGCCCTCTGCTGCACCTTCTCCCTCCTCTCCTCCTCTTTCTTGACCTCCTCTTCCTTCCCATTCAGCCTCCCCAGCACGCTCTCCAGCCCCGCGAGTCCAAAGTTCTCAGCTCGCTCGCTGCCGCGCTTAGCTCCGAGCCCCAGGTTATCGTCCTTGAGAAGGACGCGGATGTGCGAGTGCGAGGCGGCGGTGTAGTGCGCGGAATGGGCGGCATCTTGTGCGCCGAGGGATGCGCCGGGCTTCCAGCCTTGCTGGGTGAGAATGCGGTGCCCGAAGCGGGTGGTGTTGTTGGCCCAGGTGGTGTTTTGCGGGTCGTTGCCAATGCGGCTACGACTGGAGGATGGGTTAGCAATCTCGAAGTGTATCTGATGACGGCGGATTGGTATACTTCTTGGGCGCCGCGAGACCCATGGTGACGAGCAAGCTCTTGGATTGGAAGAATGCTGGAGGTGGATGATTCGGAGTCGAGAGGCCAAAATTTTGGTGGCATGCGCATGGGCCACCGAAATCTTGGCGGCATTGTGGGGGAAGGAACGCACCTCACTGTCGCAACTACTTCTCTCTCACAAACGCTCGTCTGCCTTTAGATGTCAGAGGCGAGCAATTGATCGCGAAATAATCGTCCGACTAACTCTCAGCACTAATCCTTTAATTCACCGCAACAGCAGCCATGGCCCCGCCGCATGCAACCAGGAAACCCAGCAACAGCACCTCACGGGTCAGCACGCGCGGCGGTCACTGCGAATCCCGCAGGCGCATCGCCGAGCAAGTCGAAGACGAAATGGACGAGGCCAACGAGGAAGCCGAAGAGATGGACATCGACGAGGTGGAAGCCGAAGCAGTCGAGCCAGAAGACTCGCAGGGTGCAGGGGACAGCAAGCTGCAGCAATTGATGGTCGATATGGTCGATGCTGTATGTTGTTGAAAAAGATGCACAGCCAGCATGCCATGGAATGAAGACATACATGGCACTGTCTAACTTTGAATAGCAACGCAGACGCCATCAAGTCCGCAAACAGGGCGTCTACAAGTCGTACACCAGATGCCACACCGACGCACAAGAAGCTATCACCTCGCTGTTCGACGAGCATGAGAAGAAAGCGTAAGTACTCATCCCCCTTTATCATACCTATCAGGCAAGCTAATTTGGCTGCAGTGCACAAGCTTACGACGCCCAAATCTCCCGCCTCCAGTCGCTCCTCAAACAGAAAGCCGCGATCGAAGCCGCCATGTCCGAGAAGCTCGTCAATCTGCGAAAGGACTACATACAACAGTCCAAGGCCCTAGAGAAAGTCGTCGAGTACCGCATCAGGGAGCTGCGCTGAAGAGGCACTCAGCCATAGGCAGCATGTCTCAACATGCAATGGAAAGCTGGCGGGGTATTCAGATACCCAAATGTGACCGTGGTCGGGCTGTATGTGTATGATTGAATGCATGCATGGAAGGTGAGATGCCGAGGGATGAATCTTGTGGGATATTAAGATACTGGCACAGGCTTCGAAAGGAGTCTGTGCAATTCGTTCGAAGCTGGCTTTATTCCCCAAACTAGGTATCATACTCTGGAACGCGTACTTTTCCCTTGCGTATAATGGCATTCATCGAATGCTCGTCAGGCCCTTCAACGTCTCCTTACAGTGCCATCATGCTGAACCATCTAACTCCAAATCATTACAATAGAACGTTAACATGGATGTCATGATATCCCAGCCTCTAGTCGCGACGCCACCTGTCGATCCATCACCCAAACAAAGAAAAAGGTGTCGTCCGCCATGCGGCCGCCCCTAATGTCACCTCTCGTACACAGGCAAAGCCTCACTGGTTCTCCTGCCGCTCTGCTGTCTACTGGTACCTGGTCGTACTGCGTCAACGAGACCTTCATCGTCCTCGTCCAAGACGGGTGCCGAAGGAGCTAATGCCATGTTCTGCACGGCTGACGTGGGCGGCACAGAAGGACCTTGTGATGGATGGTCTTCCGTGTCATCGCCACCCGGCGGCGCACTTGTCTCCATCTCCAACCTTCGCCTCTGTAGTTCTTGCTTGTCGTCTGTGGGCTGGACGTGCGATGACGAGGAGGGAAAGTAGTCTGGCGCAGGAGCGGACGAATGCGTAGGCAACGCTGGACGAGGCCTTGATCTGCTTCGCTCGCCGCCGTTGTGGGCGGGTGATTGCCGTGGGTTTGCATTGATGGTCGCCGAGGAGCCGGTAGTGGTAGTCCGCGTGTCGTCGTCGGTCGTGCGTCGCTGTAATGATCGCGCTCTTTCTGGGTGCGAGAAAGATGCTGTTGCTGTCGTGTGGAAAGGCGGTGGGGGGTGTGATGCTGAAGATGAAGGGCCGGACGCGAAATAAGTAGGATTTGGGTCGTCGTCTTCCGGCAAGATCGGTGCGGAAGGAGGTATGCCCTGGGGCGCTTCAAGGGGTGGCGAGTGTCCGGCGTCGCCAGGAGGCTGTGATGGTAGCAAACGCGCTTCCGCTCTTCTCATTCGTTCCTTTTCTGATAATCCTTCTTCATTCTCCTGTTCCGGCGGTGGAACGAACGGAGGATGTGAAGCGTTACCATCGTGATAATCCGGAGCGTCATAGTATGCGTTATCATAGCCGTATTGGTCATAATATTGGCCGTCCTGGTCATAGTCGAGATATCCCTGATCATGTTGTTCCGATCCGTAGACGTCGTTGTTGGACGATAGCGGGACCTCGTGGACGCCAAGCTGGGCGTCGAGACTCGGTTCTTCAGGTTGTCTTCGCTTGCCGTTCCTTTCACTGTCCTTAGTACCAATGACGACTTCGAATAGGCATGAGACGACGCCTTTCTCGCGCCGTATGGCATCTGTATCCGCAAACGTCCCTCCCCATGTTGAGAACATGCTGCCCGCGGAATCCTCTGCCCGACCCATGCCCGGGGCGCTTCCGTATCCCGTGGGGACAGTAACTAGCCCAGAATTGGGGAACATACGATCCAGACCGGAGAGCTTGCCCTGTATGTCCACAACAACTTCGACAAAGTACTTGAAGCTGATCATAGCTCCCGGAACATTCGATATAGTAGGAAAAGCTTCATCAGGCACCCGTACGGCGCACTTCATGTCTGCGGTCAGAGTCCTCGGATCAACAAACAGTGGTGCGAAAGACTGGGAAAGATCCTTCCGGAAGAGGTGACTGGACCCTGCTGAGGAGAGAGACAGTCCACCGAGGCCTGTCCTGGACTTGGGGTAGTAGTCCTCCGACTTCGTCTTGTCACCTTTGCTATTCGGAACAACGGGTAAGGCGGGATGCATATCTACCCTGGCTTGCCGATAGAGTGTGATGATGATTCCCTTCAAGCTCCGCACGTGCTTCGTATGCTGGACTGAAATCCGTACCGGTATCTGGTCGCCTCGCAGGAAACCGCCCTTGGCCACCTCAATAGTCGCCGTTATGGTCTTTCCTTTCAACGTCGTTCGGCTACTGTGCAAGGAAGTGCTCTCCATGGCTGTATGGACAGAGCGAATGCCGTATTCGGTTCCGGAAGCATTACCGCTGCTAATGTGACTTTCAAAGCTGGTATCGCTTGGAGCGGGACTGCCGGGGCCATCGCTCTCTTCAGTGACGCTGTTTAGCTCCGACACTCGTCCATTGCGCGTCGGCTCTTGGTTCTCGGATGCCTGCTGGCCCGCGTCTGGAGCTTGAGGCCGCTTACGTGGAGCCTTCGCGCGTGCTCTCCGGGAGATGGGCTCGAGGGAGATGACTCTAGGCTTGGGATCAGGTACAGGAGCGACGTCGATTACATCCATAAGATGGACTTTTGTGTCGCATGATGCAGTCGGTGAGATAGTCGTTGGTCGCGTCAATGTAGACGTCAACATGTAAGAAATGGTACCACGCTCGAACTAGCACTTGCTGTCAGCCAAATGTTGTGGGCCAACTGGCATCAACCGACTTACGTCTATACTGCTAGGTAGACCTTTCGAGGGGAACTCCAGCTCGAAATTGAAGTGGTATACGCCTTCTCCCAGTCTGCCTTCCCCGCAGAGTACTACCTCGTCCTCGAACAGCGAAACAAATCCATTGCCGAAGTAGCTCCCAGACTTCTTGCCCTTGCCAGACCCGACGGTTGCACTGTAGTTCTTGTACGCATCTCCCGGCGAATTGGGATTCTTGAAGACCTGTGCATATCCATGCAGTGATATGACCAGGTGTGTTATCCTCAGCGGCTTGAGGACCTTTATTACCACGCTTCCGCTGATGACGTCCCCGGGCGCGTACTGGCGATGCGGATCGTCGGGCTGGATGTAGAAGTCGGTGAAGTTGCGGGTCTTGGACTGTAGGGGCGATCGGAGTCTCGACAGGAGCGACTTGCTGGACGAGGAGGACGAGGTAACGGTACCGCGCGCCGAACTGGAAGTCATGCTCTGTGTCCCGCAAACATCATGCGGCTATCCGCGCCTAGTCTCCGGAGGGGACCCCACGTACGCCAAAGGCTGGGGTGAGCGAAGTCGTTCGTATATCTAGGAGCCTAGCAAGAGCAGCGCAAAGCCCGAGTTTGTACGAAGAAGTACAGCTTGGGTAGGGGTCGGTCGTCGCGCTGCCAGCTGGACAGACGGCAGACGCGGGGCCTAATGCGGAAGAGGCGCGCCCTGGTCGATTTCGGGGGTGCAGGTGGAAACGGTGCGGGATATTTGCGCTGCGATAGGACGGCTTGCCGTGGTGGACAGCCCTATGGTGGTGTTGGGCCAGCAAAAGCTGGATGTTTGATGCGCTGCGAGGGGCCCGTTGAGCGTGACGCGCAACCGTCTCAGGTCGGCTAGGGGCTGCGCCGAAGGAAACAGCCAGCGACCACGCACAAAATCTGAATTGCGCAAAGACACAGTCAGCATTGCGAGGCACCGTCGAGGTGATTGAGGGGATCCCGCATCGGACCCACGCGGAGCGGAGCGATTGCCGGTCGAGTGGCTGTGTTAGCTGGCTTCGGCGTGGGAGTGATGGTCCATCCCGTGTGCACGACGCCCGGGCAGCAACACTCGGAGAGATGTGGTGCGCAGCGCAGCGAGGACTACTCGTAGAGTGCGGGGACGAAGAAGAGTGCAGAAACGTACCCGTTGACGGCGGGAGGGTGAACAAGGCTGCCCAGCAAAGATCGGCCGCTCTTGGCTGCGCCAAGTCAAGGAGTCGAGGCCTGGGGTTCAAGGCGACTTCCTACGGGAGGCGCTTGGTGGGACTGCAGAGATACAAACGGGAGGGCCGTTTGAGCAGCAATTTGGGGTATCAGTCGATAGGTACCGCGCTTGTGCGTGGGCTTCTCATCAAGGACGGAAGAGCATGCGAAGGACATCAAGAGCGGAGGGGAAGGGATGGAGGGCGAGTGCACGACAGCAGAACCTGACCTCCCGCTGGAAATAGGCGCGCCAAAGAGCAGTGTGTGGGCTATCCTCATGGAGGAAGCGTGGAAGCAGCCCTTGAGCGTCCATGCATCCGGGGCTGTCCACTCACGTTACAAAAGCCCACTCTTCCCGAAGCGCCGGCGACCTGGGAAGACAGCGGCGAAACAAGCTCGTCCCCACCTCCTCGAGGCACATCCGCCTGAGGGACGACTTGGCTCGCGCATCCCACAATCTGGCCTCAATAATCAGCCCTCACTCCTAGTTGACAGCGTCTGCAGTCTCTGGTGCGGACCCGACAAACTGACTGCACCACAACCAACGTCGACGTGTCCCGGTGATTACTCTACCAGAGCACCGATCCGACGCGGTCTCGACCCACATCGCCGAGCGAGCCGTTTGGCAGGCAACAAATAGAGTTGCGCCATGACACAAGCCCAAGCCCGCAGTCAAGCATTCGCCAAGCAGGCTTACAATGCTTGTCTCTGCTTCCTCTCCCCGCACCGTAACCGATCTTGTAGCGCGGCTGGCACGACATCTGACACCATGCGTGCCCAGGTGGTCCATGGAATGCCCCATAGTCCCCCCCAGAGGTGAGGCATCATCGAAGCTACCTGTGTGAGCTGAACACCGCCATTGCTCCTCCGAGGCGTTGTTTTATTCACGAGACCTCTTTCAGACATCATGCTGCCATGGTCGGCCGTAGAAGCCGTACGACAGCCAAGGGTAGATGTCTATGCAGCGCGGAATAAGGGCGAGTCGGCATAGCCGCGTCAGTCCGCTATCATTCTAGGCGGCAGGGTTCGACACAACGGTTCTAGTCAAAGAACAGAGCGCGAGATTTGCGAGCAAGAGCAATAATCGGGGTGTGACTCCATTGTATCTGATCGGATAAGAGCGACGTTGAGTGGCAAGCCAGGGAGCAGACGGAAAATCAAATACATGCCCTACATAGTTTTGCCGTACCGTAGCATCGAACTGCCACTACATCGATCCAGACATTATAAGCGCTGGCAGAGCAGCAGTCGAACCCAATATTTTCATAATCATTCAGCAGCCTTAGCATTTTCTCTGACCTCTTGCATGAGCCGCTCGATCTCCTCATCGTCCATATCTGACTCTTCCTCGTCTCCGCCCTGTTGATCTGCCCTGTCCTGGCTCACTTTGGTTCGCGTTTGCGGAGCATCGCACTTTTTTCTGTCGCCAGTCTCTTCCCGCACGACGTTTCCAAGAGTTTCGAGATACTCGCGCAAGTCACACGGCAGATTGGCGGTATACTTGAAGAGCGCCAGAGTCACAAGTCCTCGTAGGTTCCGGGCAGAGAAGCCTCTACCTAAGCCTGCGATGCGCTCCAATTCCGAGGCAGCTGTCACGGTTCCAGCGGGCCAATGGAAAGTCGCCCACGTCATAGGCGGAATATGTAACACGTGCTGCGAATCGGGTGGGTCGCCCCCTGATGTCTGACCTGGAAGCGGCCTGATCGGCACTTGTGGGATTGTGGTGGGCGCTCCTTCGCTAAAGATTTCGGCTCCCCATAGAGCCTCACTGCTTTGACGGCCGTGGTTAGGGGCTTCGCCAAATATGAGAGTGCCAGCAGAGATGAGCCCGTTGTCGATGTACTCATTGATCTGTGAGCGCAGAATCTCGTACCCCGCTTCAACTAATGGGGCTCCGACAAATTGCTTATAGCGACATCGATCCACGAAAGCAGGATCCACATTAGTGATGAAGTTCGTTGTGGCAATGAAGACCACGTTCGTTCGCTTCTGCATTTGATCGAGGCCTTGCAGAAGTTCGTTCACTGACTGAAGCCATGTTAACCACAAAGCCACGCAGAAGTGTCTACCAATGGCATTTCCTGCTTGTGGAAAATAGTACTCACCCGCACGGCGTCGCCGACATCCTTGCTGGACGCATTCTCACGAGAACACGCCAGAGACTCCACTTCATCGAAGATGACGATGATCAGTTGCGAATCATCAGAAGAACGATCCAGAATAGATTCGAAAAGCTTCCCAACTTGCTTGCCGCTCTCGCCAAAGTACCGACTGAGCAGCGCATGAGAATTGATATGGAGTAGATTCGATGTGTCGTAGACGTGGGATAGTCTGATCGAGAGCTTTTGAGCCAGTGCTTCAGCAAGGCTCGTCTTACCGGATCCGGGCGGACCAAAAAGTAGAAGACTGTTCTGCCATGCTTGAAACGCTTGCTGCAGGTGGACTTCCTTGCGCAGTAAAATCACTCGGGAAATCGTACGAAGGGCGTATTCTCCGATTGGCTCCTGGTATACAAGCGCCTCCCAGAGGCCTTGGAAAGATTCGTGGGGGAGTCGGGTGACGCTGAACTGCTGAGAGGCATCGTCTCCTTCATCAAGCGTGGGGCGCTCTTCACCGTGACCTGAATGCAGAGCGTATAAGGAAATTTCCAGGTCGTTATGCGCAAGAAGGTGGGAAATACAATCTCTAGATGTAGCCGGCGTTGAATGGCCTGTAACTTGTAGGCTCTGAATCAATCTTGCGCACTTGAAAGTCCCTATGTAGCCATGAGTTCCGAGAGCAACGATGAGAGTGGTAATAATATTTTGTCAGGTCAGTGAACGCACGCAGATCCAGCTGCTGTCCGACTTCCAGCTGAGCAAAATGCCGTCGGATCCACTGCTCCAACATCATTCTGAGTTGGTCTTTTTTGGAGGTGAATAACTCGTTAGTTAGCTGCGCTTCCATGAAGATCGACGGCTTCTTTAGGAGCGCAGGGGCCTTTCGGATTCCTTGGCCGGTATCCTGCGCCATGCAGAGAGGGTAATTTTTGTGGCTGTTGAACCGGTGCGGATGAACGTTGGAAGGTTAATGTGGTGCGGATGGAGGCACCCCGGCCTGCAATTTCTCCGGCGCTAGCGCGTGCTTAGTCAGAGGCACATCGATCCGTGAGCAGCTCATCGCCATTCTCCTCCACATGTGTTATACAGTATCTTGCGACGTCTGATGAAGCCGCTACTACTCAGCGATGAAAGATGATAACAGAACCTGCAAAGCGGGCCAAGGCGATCTCTGGGGCACTTCGAACCCCAGAGACACCCGGATCCAGATCTATATTTCTGCCGCGCTCGGCCTCATCGCTCTCCTGGCCTTCTGCGTCCGTCCCTCTGCACCTACGAGTAGCGTAGCCTGCTGACAGCCTCGCAGTTCCTCCGTCCGCGATGGAAAGGCCTGTATGCCGCGCGCAAGAAGCAAAGCAGCCGAGCGACCGCACTGCCAGAGCTCCCCGACAGCTTCCTCGGCTGGATCATTCCCCTATGGCGCATAACGGAGGAGCAGGTGCTGGCGTCGGCGGGCTTGGATGCATATGTAGTATGTCTATCTTCTGGAATGTCTCCTACATGCATGACGCACGCTGACCGCTGACCAGTACCTGGCCTTCTACAAAATGGCTATCAAATTCCTCCTCATAGCGCTCTTCTTCTCCCTCGCGGTCATCAAGCCAGTGCACGACACCCATAAAGAGAAAGATGGAAAAATTATCGATCCCGACAATCCCGACAATCCCGACGGTTCCTCCATTGCACCTCGCTCGACGTGGGCGACCATGACCGCCGACTACGAATACTACACCGATTATCTTTGGATGTACCTGGTGTTCGCCTATCTATTCACAGCACTAGTGCTATACTTGATCGTGTCTCAGACACGGAAGATCATAGAGGTCCGGCAGGAATACCTAGGCAGTCAAACTACAATTACCGATCGCACCATCCGGCTCTCTGGCATCCCGTTGGAGCTGAGGTCTGAAGAGAAGATCAAGGAGATCATCGAGGGCCTCCAGATCGGCAAGGTAGAAAGCGTGACGCTGTGTAAGAACTGGAAAGAGTTGGATGACCGTCTGGCACAGCGAGAGGCTGTGCTGCGAAAGCTCGAGGAGGCATGGACGGTTTACCTGGGCAAGAGAAAGGTAGAGCGAAGTCTGGAAACATTGCCGGTAGTCCAGCCCCGGCCGCCCGGACCAGAAGTGCGATACGATGACGAAGAGGGAGAATCCAGTCAACTCCTCAACGACACCGACCGAGACCCGGACTACGTCCTTCCGTATGCCCAGCAGCGACCTATGGCCAAGCTATGGCATGGTCGCTTTAAGCTTCGATTCAAAAATGTGGACGCCATCAATTACTACGAGGAGAAGCTGCGGAGACTCGACAATGACATCAAACTTCTACGGAAGAAAGACTTCGAGCCGACACCATTAGCATTCGTGACAATGGATAGCGTTGCAACGGCACAGATGGCAATTCAGGCTGTATTGGATCCTTCGCCGCTGCAACTTCTAGCAAACAGCAGCCCAGCGCCACCCGATGTTGTTTGGTCGAACACCTACCTTCCACGTGGCAAGAGGATGTTACGAGCTTGGTCCATCACCGCCTTCATCGGGGTCCTTAGCGTCTTCTGGACATTCTTATTGGTACCGATCGCTGGGGCCTTGAACACATGCGCTATTCATGAGGTGTTTCCCGGACTGGCCGACACATTGGACTCTCACGAAGTCTTACAATCTCTCGTGAACACTCAGCTGCCCACGCTCGCTATAACGTTGCTCAATGTTTTGGTGCCCTTCTTCTATGATTGTAAGCGCTGTGGATGCTTTATAGGTCCTAGCTAATAAATACGCCAGGGCTAGCCAATCAGCAAGGCATGATATCACAAGGCGACGTGGAGCTCTCATTGATCTCCAAAAACTTCTTCTTTACCTTCTTCAACTTCTTTTTCGTCTTCACCATCCTCGGAACCGGGTCTGGGCTCTTGGCCACCATTGAACGGTTTGGAGAGCAGTTTACGGATGCTTCGACGATCGCATATACCCTCGCCAAGTCGCTAGCAAAGCTGCTAGGCTTTTACACAAACTTCATCATCTTGCAAGGCTTTGGTCTGTTTCCACTTCGCCTCATGGAAATTGGCGCTCTCACATTGTACCTCATTAATTTGATTGGAGCCAAGACTCCCAGAGGTATATTCGGCCCAGCAGATTCTTTGGAAATGGCTAACACGAGCGTATAGATTATGCGGAACTGGTCCAACCTCCTGTTTTCAGCTATGGATTCTTTCTGCCGCAGACTCTCCTCATCTTCATCATCTGTCTCGTCTACAGCGTACTGCGCGATTCCTGGCAGGTTTTGCTTAGCGGTCTTGCGTATTTCATGATCGGTCACTTCGTCCACAAATACCAACTGCTGTTCGCAATGGAACACCGTCAGCATTCCACAGGCAAGGGTTGGATGATGATGTGCGATCGGGTCATCGTTGGCACGGTGCTTTTCCAAATCACACTCGCCGGTCAGCTAGCCCTCAGGAAGGCCTTCAAGCGAGCTGTTCTCATAGCGCCCCTTGTGATTTGCACGTTATGGTTTGCCTATGTCTATGGGCGGACCTATCGGCCGCTTATGAAGTTCATTGCCTTAAGGAGTCTTCGACGTTCGGATCACTCAGATCTTGGCCGGGATATTCAGGAAGAGGCATTCACCCTTGATCACCCGGATGGAAATGGAAGCCTTGGACGGCAGACGCTGGATGAAGCCCGAGAGAGCGGTCTGCGTTTTGAGAATCCCAGCCTAATAATGCCGTAAGCACCCAACTCCCATCATTATCCGCCAACAACTAACGATTGGACTAAAGTCTGGATGATATCTGGGTCATCAATAAGCGCACTAGATCCGAAAACATCGTAGAACGGGTGCTGAACGTCATGTAAAGCACCAAGGAGAAGCCGTCAATTGGCGCCTTCCCTTGTTACATAATCTACAAAGCTCCTTCTTGTGTATCTTTTCGAGCTGTGCCTTCTTGTGTTTCGTAGTGGTACCTCCTTTTAGTTTAACTCGCTCTATACCCATCCGGCGATATTGTATTTACCTTTTCCCTTTTTCATGGCGAGCTGCTGCATGCGTTCCTCTGTACATCTTTTTCTTTCAATACTACTCCGCCAACAGTACTAGTCCGCGCAAACTTCATCTTATCTCCACGGTCCTTCAACTGCATACCAAGGCTGGTCGAGTCGCTTCGACGTCACGTCGCCTTGCTCCACTCGTTCTTCCAGAAAGCTATCATTTTCTCCCATTGCACCTCCGACCGGGGGCGTCGCAACAACGTCTTCCCAGATCTACCTCTCTCGGGGAGTAGCAGGGACGCAATCTGCACCAGCTCTTCCTTTGCTTGACCGCCAGCTCCCGCCGGTCACATCGTACTTTGAGTCACCGCACCACCATTCACTATCCCTAGGCCCATCAACAACCCGGTCTGTCGTCGAAAGAATGTCGTACGCTTCCGAACCATCAACTCGGGCGGACATGGCTTCCACGTGCCCCAATAATGCGCCCGCAGAAGCCAGACCCTTTACATCCAGATCCAGTGCTCCATCAGGCAGCGTAGTGGTGAGTCCCGCAGCTTCGACCAAAAGATCTGAAGTCCTCCGTCACGTCTTCCCCCTCCAGTCACGCGGTACATCTACAAGCCGAAAATCCACGCCCCGCGAGATGAGCCCCGAGCCCCGCAGATATCTACTGTCGTCGACCCGACTATCAAAGCGCGTTGCTTTCCACAGGGCCATTACTTCGTTCTTCAACAATAGCCCAGCGCGAACATCACACACAGAGAGCCGCAAAGGACGATCAAGTGCATCCAGTATTCTCTCTAGGGCAAATTCAAGCTCCATCTACGGCTCGCGGCCGAGCTTGGAAGTCGTATCGCCTGGCGCGTTTCTGTTCAGTGGCCCAAGCTTAAGATCACACTCCGGTTCTATGAGCAACTCTACCTCACAGCTACCGAGTCCCACGGAGAACGGCAGTGAGGGTTACTCGCTTCGCCGGGTACATTCAGACTCCTTTTCTTTCGATAATGACAGTTTTCTGGAAGATGGGATCCTAGAGCCTCTCATCGGGCACGGCATCGTCCGAAGTATGTCTGACGTCTTGCTCGGTATCAGCACGCCAATCGAAGAACTGCACTCTCCCCTACTTAGGGATGTCCCAGAGGATGTCATTTCGTTGCTAGAAGACCCGCCGCAGCCCAAGCCCAAGCCCCCTTTCCTCGACGCCAATCTCGCCGTTAGTCTTGTGCCATACTTAGACTTCCACTCGTGGAAAGCGCTGAGACTCACATCTCAATCATGGCGTTCGGCGGTTGACAGCGTCGCACCTCTGAGACTGCCTCCTTCTTACCGAGTACCTAACGAGATCCTCCAGCAAATCTTTTACTACCTCGGCCCGAAGGATTTCAACGCCGTTCGGCATACATGCCGAAATTGGATGCGAGCCAGCTTGAATAAAAGCTTGCTTGCAGCCATGCTAGAGAGAGGTGGATGGTGGAGTAGTGCGGAGCGAGACCTACGACAAAGGGAGCATGGGTCGATTGACGATCCATCCACCAATATTGCGAGCGATGAGTGGTTCCTTAGCCGCCGCCTATCGCGAGAGTGTGCGTTATCCTTCGCTTCGACTAGCAATGGTAGAGCTCACAAGGCGATCGTGGAGGTTTCGGACACGGACTTCACCGACCTAGCTAATGGTCATTCCGAATCGAATGGCGCACGCAGCGGCGGCCTCATATTCACGACAAGCATCTGTGGGCAATACACGCTCGTTGCCCGCGATACGCTGATCTACATTTACGACCTCCGAGGCGGAGCTCTAGAGCCCGTGACCAGTGTCACCTGTCCTAGAAGAGTCTTGTCGGTGAGTATGGACGCCTCCTCGGGTAGACACGCGGTTGCCGCTCTTCTCGAAGGCAGAATGGGTATGGTGTGCGAACTCCGGTACGGGCGCCGATTAGGAAGTGACAGTCCGGTCGAAATACACGTTGAGACTCACGGGGTCCCGCACCGAACCACGACAAGGACCTCTATTATTACAAGCGGTGCGAGCGATTTTGAGGCTGGTGTAAATGTTGCAGATCACCGAACGCCATTACGATATCACGGCCAATCAGTCCCTGAAGCGCTAGACCAGACCGCGTTCGAATCGGTTGATGTTCAATCCAATTACCAGGCCGTCCGTTTACGAGATGTCAACAATGAGCGTACGCATATGCGGAACCACATTAACCCGACTTGGAATCTTAGCCTTCGAGGAATACGTCAATGCTGTGCGTCAACGGCCGACTCACATCCTGCCGGATCCTGTGGTGGCAGCATCCCGGTCGAGAGCGGCACCTCCACCTTCTATCGCCACCTATGCTCTGAGGACGATCCCCCACGCAGTGTTTCGATATGTCCTCAACGTCGTTGCGTCGCTTTTGGCTGCTCAGCGGGTATCGAACTGCACTGGATTGATGCTCTCACGGGCCAGAGCTTGAGTCGCTGGTTTCCGCTTACAGCACCGTCGGATTATCTGTTCTTCTTGTCTCCTCGTCCAGGTTTCGAATCTGCGAAAAAGTTACGTCTCATCTCTAGCGCTGCGCATCCTGACGATCGGCCCGCGCTTTGCCGCAAGTTCTTTCTCGGTCGACCGACCATCAGCTCGTTCTGGGGTTCTTTCGGTTTCGAGAACAATTCGCGACGGGGCGGATTATCGACCTGCGATCATTACCGCGCAGTCCCTCTCAGTGATGGCCACCATGTCCTTTTCATCGATCCTCGGACGGGAAGGCTTTTCATGGGCTGCGATGCGCCCCTTGGTGGACCTACAAAGCTTCTACGCAAAATTATGTTCGTCCCACCTCCGGAAGGTAGCCAAGTACCACGCCTATACACTGCTGCCTTTGATATGACGTGGGGTGCACGAGTCGCCGTAGCCTTTGGCGACACGATTATGCTCTACAGTGTACCACCCGACGTCTGCAACCTATCAAGAATGGTACGTAGGAGACACTCCATGTCTTAGCTTTCAACTGCGGAAAGCTCCTCCTGAAGGCCCTCAGCGGATAGAGACCTAAGACACGCTAACCTCCGCAGGAACAAAAGGCCGAGACATAGGACGTCTACAGTGCGCCGCCATTCTGCAACGAAGGTCGCACCAAGGACCACTGGCTGAACTGGTGGGACGAGCCTTATTCCTACAACCGATGGGGAGACAATCCCGTCTGGCCGATCGCGCTTCGCGGAACTGAGGTCGATATGCTTCACGGACTCTGCGAATTGGCTGTTCACACCAGGCCTGACATCACCATTTGGGCCTTCACGCTTAATTCCCGGTGCAAGACATGGCAATTGCGTAACCACGCGGATCCCCTGCATCGATCCCGGCGCTACGTCTGCCGCAGCGGTTTAGTCCACGATGCATATACAGTCGATGAAGATGGGGACGTCATGATGGCCGATGCTCCACCGCCGTCGCCTCCCCTGAAGTCCCCCCCGCTGAGCGATGACGAGGAGGAATTCCAGGAGGAGCCGGAGCGCTCAGTGGGCTTTGACGGCCACTCCTCGCAGCTTCTAGTAAATCGAATTCCGAGGGCACTCAGCATTGAGAATGACGAATGGGTGGACTTCCTAGACGTGAGAGGCTGCGATGCGTATTACGATGGGAATGGGGACGTGCTGCTGTTCCCTCTGGATGCTGATGGGGTGGAGTGGGAGGTTGAGTTTGTGGAAGAGGCGGCTGCTGGAGCATTCATGGGCGTGTGAATGGTGGAGTGATACATGATACCTGTTGCCCTTTGCTATTCCTATTACCCTGTTTTGCGTAGTTATCCTCTTCTGCTCTGTCTAGGACCTCGTTCTCCAGATCAAGACATCAGACTAGAAGACAGATCGTATCTTCGCTCACACTTCTCTACGCACTACCTTCAGCTCACAAGCAGATATTGAAATTGTTCTTACATTGCGAATACCTTCTGCAGTGTGAAGTATGAATTCTGCTAGCGAAACGCGTGGTCACGTGAACAAAATGCACGGGCCGCGAACCATCGCCTTGGCATTTCGCTCTTGATGTTGGAGCTCCGACGGTGACCTTAAAGCTTCGGCAGCCGCTCTCTGACGCGCACCCACAACAACCGGAAAGCCTGCGACTTTTCCACAACGAAATGGACGCCAAAAAGCCAACCGATGCTGGTAATGTTGAGACTGGTATGCCTGCCGACCTCTCCAGCTTCAACACCGCGGACCTCATAAAGACACCGCACAACAGCCGCCTCTACCAGGAGAACCAAAATCTAAAGAAGCACGTCAACGACCTCATCGACTACCAACTTGCGCACCCGAGAAATCCGAAGCCGGTCACGCGTGAGGAAATTGACAATGACAAGAAAGTTAAACTTGAGATCCACAAGAGGGAGAAGCTCATTCGATCGCAACTGTCCGTCATCAAGACGCTATATCGCCAGAGTGTCCTGAAGGTTCGAGAGGAGAAGGCAAAAACGGCTGATGATAGGGCTGTCAACGACGCTCTGATCCTTGGGCTTCACAATCTCAAGTATGAGGAGCAGTCGCTGCGATCAGAGATTGCGGCTGCGGAGAACTACGAGTGGGTACTTCCTTAAGGATCGCTTTGCTCTACTAACACTGCGCGCAGCCACAAATATACCAAACTCCCTCTCATCCCCGTCGAAGATTTCCTCGAGCAGTTTCCCGAACACGAAGACGCTTCCGACCACGACCTCATGATCGCCCGCATCGAGCACGAACACCGCGAGCGCGTTAAGCTCGAAGATCGCCGCCAAGAGAAACTCAAACAGAAACAGAAGCTTATTTCTGAGGTGAAAAAGGGCAAAGACGAGCTTACCAAGCTTGACAGCATGGTGGAGAAGTTCGTTGAGGCGGCCGAGCCAATTAAGAAGATGCTTGCGACTGAGTAGGAGTCTGGTCTTGCCCTTTCTATCATTCTCCATGTCACCTTTTAGAGAACAAGGTTGTGGGTCTGATGGACTAAAGCAGGAAATCTCGAAAAGAGGACGCCGCGGAAGAAAACGAAAAGGGCGAAGATGAACCCTGCGGAGAAGGATTCGATAGCTATCCAATCGGAGGCGACCATCAACGGGGCATCCAAATGACTGTGGGCGACATTTACGCCTTCTGGGTCTAGTTACCGTTGGCGAGGCTAACGAGGGTCAATACCAGGCTGTCTAGTGGCAGAGAGAAAGTGAGTGCTGGATTCTGCGAGTGCATTCAGCGATATCTCAAGGGACACGGGCGAGCGAACAAGGCTGCAGGAGGAGTTCGCGACTTGATCAAGTTGCTGGACGAGTAGCATAGGGGTACTTTAGTAGTGCTCTATTAGTGCTTGATTCTCAAGACGCCAAATTCCGGAATGATCTCACTGTGCCCCTGAGTGACTCATGTGAGACCAGACCCCAGGATGGAAGTCTACGTCGCAACGCAGAGATCAAGTCAAGGATTCGGAAGGACAATTGCATATGAGCGATCTCACTCATACTTCTCGAGGATTGGACACAGAGTATTATGATATTTTGGGTTGTAGACCATGGTTCCTTCGGTTCTGCCCACCCCATCAACATCGCGATGATGTACCCTTGTGTTGTAGAGACAACCTCGAACCTTGGAAACTAGTCTACCACGAGTGATGCCAGCTGCCTGCGGCGGGGCACGCTAGTGAGCTTATCGCCCAATCTTAGCGCCTTGGCGGTGCCATCAGACTTCCGCGTCGCGGAACGCCTCCATCCAACTTCTTTACACTTTCCTCCCACCACCGCGCACGCCATGGCAGCGATTTCCGGGGCCGCAGACATAGTTACCGCTTACGCTCGCGGCTCTGGGGCCCCAAGGCAGCCCGCCGGCTCTTCGACGACTTTGGAGGACGCCCTGAAGCTTTTCGGAACCGATGCTACAGAGGGGAACACATCGGGAGGGGCGCAAAAAAAGCGAAAGCTGAATAATGGCCGTCGCCTGGAATTACAGCCTGTAGGAGTGTTTGACGAGGAGCAGAGTGTTGTTCTTGTGACTATACAGCTAGATCTCGTAAGTGCTTCCTCCAAGTAGATTACGCCGCTCTGACTGACGCCTCGAAGAAGCTCCCTGTAGATCAAGGCGCGCCGCCGAGCGTACCGGACGAGTCGCGTAAGTCTCTACTACTGTCGCTAGAATCGTTTTCTCGAAACCGCGCAAATCAATTCACCATCTCTGTATGGGATACCGCTTCCACGACCGGATTAGACACCGTTGCCACCTGCACTCCCAAGTTACTTGACTCGATCGCACCACACCTTGAGATTGCTGCAACGCTTTCTACAACAAAGGAAGGGAAGAAGAGGTCTAACAAATCTCGGGTTCCCTTCAGCCGGTGCGTTCTTACACCACCGGCAGTCGGTCTGCACACCTTTCGGGTAGCGGTTGAGATTCGGTGGCTCGTAGGAGTGTCAGTGGTGGAGCGACAGGGTCTTAGGAGTGCTATCAGAAATGACCTGGACCTCCTCGCAAAGTATCTTCCGGACGATTCGAGAGAAGCCAGGACACCATGGGCGCTCTCCGACTTCTACGACGCCGTTCATATGCCCGGAACCAATTCTACCGTTTCGCCCCGCATTCAACATAGCCTAATGGAGACCGCACTATACCCCTTCCAACAGAGAGCCGTAGACTGGTTATTGCGGCGTGAGGGAGTTGCATTTTCAGGATCTGGAGAACTCATTCCAGTCCCAGATTTCTCGTCAGTCTCTGCGCCCGTATCATTCAGGCCTACGCAGGACGCTGCAGGCAAGCCTTGTTATGTCAGCCACTTACGCGGCATGGTCATCTCTGATCTGAGAAAAGTTGGCGATGCATCGGGATTGCCCCGAGGAGGCATATTAGCTGAGGAGATGGGCCTAGGGAAAACGGTAGAACTGATCGCACTCATATGTCACCACAAACGGAAAATTCCTGCTGGCGATATTTACGATACGTATACGGGAGCCTCTGTCACGCCTTCCGGTGCCACACTCATCATCAGCCCTCCGTCGATCCTCGAGCAGTGGAAGAACGAAATCAACACCCATGCGCCAGAGCTGAAGGTGTTGCATTATAAGGGGCTGCCTCCGCCGTCTGCCCCCAAGAAAGAACATGCAGAGACTACCCTCGAGAATTTGTTGCAGTTCGACGTTGTGCTGACAACGTACAATGTCCTATCCAAAGAGATCCACTTCGCTACACCCCCTCCTGATCGCGCCCTGCGTAACGAAAGGCAATACGAGCGTCGTAAAAGCCCGCTGGTCGAAATTTCATGGTGGAGAGTGTGTCTTGATGAAGCACAGATGGTGGAAAGTGGTGTGAGCCAGGCCGCTACTGTTGCCCGCATTATACCCCGCTGTAATGCTTGGGCTGTATCCGGTACACCACTGCGAAAGGATGTACAAGATCTGCGCGGTCTTCTCATATTTTTGCGCTACGAACCCTTTGCTGGATCCAAATCGGTATGGGATCGTCTCGATAAGCCTTCGTTCCGAACCATCTTCAATCGCATCGCTCTGCGCCATACCAAGGATAAGATTCGCGAAGAGCTACGCCTCCCCCCGCAGAAGCGTGTCGTCATCACCGTTCCGTTCACTGCTATTGAAGAGCAAAACTATTCAGAAATGATCCGCCAAATGTGCGATGCTTGCTGGCTTTCCACTGAAGGAGTCCCTCTTCGCGACGACAGAGAAGCCGATCACCCCGAAGTCATTGAGCGAATGCGCGAATGGCTCATTAGGCTGCGCCAGACGTGTCTGCATGCGCACGTAGGCAAGCGAAACAGGAAGGCTTTGGGTGCGAAAAATGGTCCCCTCCGCACTGTGCACGAAGTGCTCGAAGTCATGATTGACCAGAACGATACGCTTCTGAAGTCCGAAGCGCGAGAGATCATCCTCCTTCGCACCAAACTTGGTCATATTAAGGCCAACGCCAAGGACGTTGAAAACAGAAGCGAGACTGCTCTTCCCGACTATCAAAAAGCTCTTGAAGAAGCTCAAAGCTATGTTAAGAGCTGTAGGGAGGAGCTGTCCCTTGAGAAAGAGAAGGCTGGCGCGACATCTGCAACTCCTGCTGCTCTTACTGAGCGCGACGGGCAGGATTCCGCCGACGAAGACGACAGAGAAGGTGATAACGTGGGCCAAGTATCTGTTGCTCGCAAAACTCTTCGCTCGTTCCTAGAGCTGGAACATGCATGCTATTTCTTCATCGGGACGGTTCACTTTCAGTTGAAGTCGAATGAGAACCTGACGAAACCGGACTCGGAGGATTTCCATCGGCTAGAGAAACTCGAGGTTGAATGGTACGACAAGGCCAAGCAAATCCGTCGAGAGCTTCTCAAAGAATCCCAAAACCGGGCCCAACGCCAGATGAAGAAGATCAGTCAGAAGAAGCCGTTCCATCAACTTCCTCACATAGACGAGCTTCCGGATCTTGGTGGTATTGAGAGTCGAAAGATTTTGGAGATGATGGACAATATTACCGAAGTTCTTAATGCACAGACAGAGCAGCTCCAAAAATGGCGCTCTAAGATCGTGGACATCCTGCTCGCCCCGCTTGTCGATGAAGATGAAGAGAAAGAGACCACTGGCGATGAATACGAAGATTCCACCAAGGCACAAGACGAGCTTTACATCTACATCATGGCTCTTCGAACGCTAGTGGCGAACCGAAATGCTGCCGTGAACGGGCTAGAGGACGTTCTCGTTGAGCATGAGCTGAAAGAAGCAGAAAAGAATGCGCGAGAACAAAAAGGACATGCGCCGGAGCTGGTGCTCGACGTCGTACAAACCTGTAAGAAGCTCAAGCCGAACGCCGGACACGGATCACTGAAAGGGGTCGTCTCGGGTGCACGTTCTCTGATCACCCGGCTTCAATGGGCGGCTGATGGAGGAGACACGCGAAGTGCAACCGAGCTAGCTATCGCCGAGAAACACTCCGCACGCATACAAGCAATTGCTTCCGAACAAGCTAAGGCTTTCTTGGAGTTGGAGAAGGAGCAGGAAATGTTCCGCGCCACGATGAACCAACGTTTGGAGTTCTACCGCCAGCTTCAGCATATTTCCGATACTGTGGCTCCATGGAGGGAGGAGCTAGATGACGTTCTCGACTTTGTCGAGTATGAACGGCATATGATCTCCATGGAGCTTAAGGAGAAGGCATTGGCGAGTTTGAGGACAAAGCACGCGTATCTGACAAACCTTCGGCGCGAAACCCAGCAAGAGGACTTGAAGCACGAATGTATAATATGCCAGGACGAGTTCGAAATCGGCGTCTTGACTTCGTGTGGGCACAAGGTAGGTTCTCATCGAACTACTGTTTCCGTCTTCAGCTGACCATCTTTCAAGTACTGCAAGCACTGCATCAATCAATGGTGGCACGCGCATCGCACATGCCCGCTATGCAAACAGAAGTTGTCCCACCGCGATTTCAAAGATATCAGTTTCCGACCGGTTGCAATTGCAACGGAAGAAGAGACGCCTGGCATAGCAAGTCCATCTCAGCCTTCGACTCCGTCTTCGGCCAATACGTCCATCTATTCCGACATCAGCGATACGACGATGAAAGAGATCAAAATGATTGACCTTGACGGCTCGTACGGTACCAAGGTCGACATGATCGCGCGACATCTACTCTGGATTCGGAATAACGACCCTGGTGCTAAGTCAATCATCTTTTCTCAGTTCGGCGATTTCCTCGAAGTGCTGCGAGAAGCGTTTAGAAAGTGGAAGATCGGCGCCAGCGCTATCCGAGATAAGGATGGGATCCATAAGTTCAGGACCGACCCTGCAGTGGAGTGCTTCTTATTGGACGCAAAGTCAGATTCTTCCGGTCTCAACTTGGTCAACGCGACCTACGTCTTCCTTTGCGAGCCACTTATCAACCCCGCTATCGAACTGCAGGCCATTGCTCGAGTGCACCGAATCGGTCAGCAGCGTCCGACGGCCGTGTTCATGTATCTAGTTAGCGATACGGTGGAGGAGGCGATCTACGACATTTCAGTGTCCCGTCGTCTGGAGCACATCGGGCGCGGCTTGCGGTCTGGTTCCGCGACGCCTGCGTTGCAAGAGAAGACGCTCGATGCAGCGAATTCGATGGAGATGGAAGCGGCACCGCTCAAGCAGCTTCTACGGAAGAAGGGAGAGGGAGAGATCGTGCCGGTGGACGACCTGTGGAGCTGTCTGTTTGGTAAGGCACGGAAGCAGCAGAGGGCGGTGTTGGACCAAGAAGTTGGGAGACACCTGCGTGCAGAGGCAGCAGAGAGGAGGATTATTGAGGCTGCGTCTGGTTGATGAGTATTGGGGGCAACGGTCGGCGTTGATATGAGGGCCCATATGTGATTGTGCTTTGGCAGACTGGTTATTGGACGTTATGGCTTGCGTATACCCCTGGGGATGTTTAATTAGACGCCAGATAGACCGAACTGGTACATGTACTGTGTAGCCCAAGCTGAACCGGATTCCCGCCTTAGGCGAGGTTCGGAATTACCACCCAGCTCTCTGACGTGAAAAAAACTCAGAAGCCATGTGCCAAACGCCTCACACGGGGTTCCCTTTTGGCTGAGTCACCACGTGTCGTCGGGCGCTTGTGGACGTTGGTTAGATGCTAACGATGCTTCTGGAAGCTCTTTGCGGTAGGTGGCTTGGAACTGTGCGCAAGATCACGGCGGAGGAGTGGTGATGTAATGATGCAGTCCAGCAATCATATATACAATTTTCCAGGAAATACGATAGTTGCCACGTTGGACTTTGGCTCGTCAGTCTTCTTCTTGTTGTTATTGTTGTTTTTTTCGCTGCTCGGAATTCGGTGGTCGGATGCCTTTCTGTCTCCGACCCGACGAGTACGAGATGCCAAGCAGCACCATTCACGCCCTGGTTCCTTTCCAAGCTTCGTCGCACCAGGCAGCATAAATCGAAAGATCAGATACAGTGTCAGGCGTTTGACGTGCATAATGAAAAACACGCCGCGCGGCGCGACTCCTACGGACGAAATGTCTGTCGCAGGTAAAATCCTTAACGGCGGGCTAACTGCAGCCGACACGAGGGCCAGGGACACAAGATCCAGACCGCCCCGGCTTTGTGGTGATCTCTGCGGGTGGGCGCCGCCGAGCGTTTGGGAGCACGAATGATTGACCGCTTGATTATGGCCATCCACACACATGGAAACTTTTGTAAAAGGGTGCAACATGTCGCCGTCCGGTCACTGCTTGTAGATGCTCGGGCAGTGTCAGCTGCATGCGGTACGACGCGCCAGTGACGCGCACAAGATGGAAGAGTCATCGGCCATCATCTGAACTCAGACATGCGAGGTGACCGCCAGGCAACCATGCGCCAGAAAAGCGTCCTCGGGCTTCTTGGCCTTCCACGGACGAAATGTGCAGCCGAGCTGTAGCCCGCAAGAGGCAAGGCGCCGCCCGTCAAGCGCACCCTTGCGGGCTCTTGCGTTTCTCGGGAAGCGGATGGCTTTAGTTACCGAAAGGCCGATATCAAACAAAGCGTGCAGACCGCTCCTAATTCAACCGATGATGCCTGGACTAGAAGGTGCGGCGCCTCAGCCCTGCCTCCGTGTCCGTCAAAAAGCGGACTCCACAAGCTTGGGCGGACCACCGTATATGTAGCGGCCTTGCCCTCCCCTGAGGCTGTTCGCTGCTAGGTATTTTTGTTCCTTCACCCTCATACAGCCTTGCTTTTTCGATAGCGTTCGCTCCGCTCTTTCTCTCGACACCATTGTCCCTTCCCTTCACGACCTCGCCAAAGAACTCCTCCATGAGCGAACAGAAAGAAATGAGCCTGCGCCCGGTCAGCATGGCAGACTCAGAATCCACCGTTGCCCACAGCAAAGAACCATCCTTCCTCGAGAAGAAAGAACCGGCCGAAAGCGTCATGCCCTCTACAGCGCCGTCAATGCGCGAACCATCCGCCGAACCGTCAGCACTAGAAGAGAAAGAAGCGAAGGTCCAACCGGACGACAAAGCCGCAGAGCAGAAATCCACAGCCAGCGCATCCGACGACGACGATGACGACGATGATTTCGAATACCCCAAGGCGTGGAGGCTCGCAGTCATCACGCTTGCGCTGTGTCTGTCCGTCTTCTGCATGGCGTTGGTGCGTCGATCCCTTGTGGTGTCGGTGTCTCACACCGACAATTCGCAAGCATGGATATCTAATTACTAAAACAGGACAACACCATCATCGCTACTGCCATCCCCCGCATAACAGATCAATTCAAAGCCCTAAACGACGTCGGCTGGTACGGATCCAGCTACCTCCTCACCACCTGTGCGACCCAGCTTATCTACGGCAAATTCTACACCTTCTACTCCATCAAATGGGTCTACATATCCGCGCTCTTCATCTTCGAGATCGGATCGCTGGTCTGCGGTGTCGCGCCGAACTCTACAGCTCTGATCATTGGACGAGCTGTGGCGGGTGTAGGAGCGGCGGGTATCTTCAGCGGAGCGATTCTCATTGTTGCGAGCTCGGTACCGCTGAGACAACGCCCGACGTACATGGGTGTGATTGGCGGCATGTACGGCATCGCGAGTGTGGCCGGCCCGCTGTAAGCACCTAATTTTTGTTTCCCACGCTTAAGTTATTCCCGCGCGAACGTATGCTGACGGTGTTTCATAGCATGGGTGGCGCCTTCACAGACCACTTGAGCTGGAGGTGGTGCTTCTACATCAACTTGCCCTTTGGAGCTGTTACCGCCGCTTTCATCATTCCGTTCTTCGAGGTCAAGCGCCGTGGTGTTAAGTTGGATCTTCCGTGGAAGCAGCAGGTTGCGAAGTTCGATCTGCACGGGACGGCGCTCTTCCTGCCGGCTATCGTCTGCTTGCTTCTTGCGCTTCAGTGGGGAGGCAGCAAGTATGAGTGGAAGAGTGGCCGCATCATCGCCCTTCTCGTCATTTTTGCCGTACTTGCCACCGGCTTCGTTGTCATTCAGTGGTGGAAGCAGGAGGATGCTACCGTTCCTCCCCGTGTCTTCGCCAACCGGAATGTCTGGGGCTCTGCTTGGTTCGGTGCCATGCTCGGAGCCTCTTTCTTCGTTCTCGTCTACTATCTCCGTAAGTTCCCCTTTCCCCGCAGAGCCAGATTAGACATCTAACACTACGAAGCTATCTGGTTCCAAGCCATCAAAGGCGTCTCCGCCACAAAATCCGGGATAATGAACCTCCCGGCTATCTTGGGCCTGGTCATCATCTCCATGCTCTGTGGCGGTCTCGTGACCGCCATCGGCTACTACACGCCCTTCATGCTGATCTCCTCGGTCCTCATGGCCATCGGTGCCGGCCTGCTCTCGACCTTCGAAACCGACACCAACCACTCCAAATGGATCGGATACCAGTTCATCTTCGGCGCTGGCGTTGGCTTCGGCATGCAACAAACGCTTGTTGCCGTGCAAACCGCGCTGCCCAAGGCCGACGTTGCCATCGGAACCGCTATAATGATGTTCAGCCAGACCCTCGGCGGTGCGCTGTTCATCTCCGTCGGTCAGAACGTGTTTACGAATCAGCTGATCAAGAACTTGCAAACGGTGGTGCCCGGTCTGAATCCCGCCATCGTGCTCCAGGTCGGCGCGACGGAGCTCAAGAACCAGATTGAGGAGAGATTTCTGAGCGGCGTGCTGGTTGCGTACAATCAGACGCTGACGCAGACGTTTTATGTTAGTGTGGCCGCGGCCGCGATGTCAATCCTTGGCGCCGTGTTCGTTGAGTGGAAGTCGATGAAGGGGAAGCAGATACAGATGGCTGCTGCTTGAGCACGACATTCATCTCTACCCGACACTCATTGCTGCTTCGACTCACCCAAGCTTTTGCGACTACTCGATTTTTGGATACCCATCACGGCCACGTTCTGCTTCCGAGCCGAATTTCTGGATTTTTCTTTGCTATATTATACGGTATTTTAATACGCATCTGCAGCATACTAGCGCGGCGTTGTCGACTCGGAGGATACATTTCATTTTGCTTTCGCACATAGAAGAATTGATAGACAGCCTGCTCTTAGGCGGGCCCTCGGCAGGGTTGTAGGATATGTACATACACGCGCGGACGCTTTGCATGGCGTAGCGAATCTTCTCTCTAAAAGGTTGGTGGTTATTATTCGATGAGGGATAGGGAAGTTGTTGGATGAATGAGGATACGTTGAACGGTGGATGATTGTGTTCTCTATTGGTCGAATTGTGGTGTGGTCCAAATATGTCCTTTTATCGACCTTCACTGCGAAAATCTCGACATCCTCCTAGTTCTATACTCGCCGATGGACTGCCGTTGCAGAGCAGACGCTTGAACCACAGTCTACACACCCTTCGGATCCAACAATTGCACTTCACCCGCTTTTCACTAGAATACTATGCGAAGGCATGCGTTGCTCCATCAGTGTCTGTCCGTATCCAAAGTACCGCAAGTGCATCCCAAGATAATCTGACCGTCAGATCGCCAGCGGACAACAGGCGGACCAGTATCTTCGACCCTTGACGTAAACATTACGTGACAGGATACCGGTAGGGAGGAAGATTTGATGGAGTGAGTTGGGCAGAATTCGTAGACCCGGACGAAATGCTGCGGCAACGGTCTTTTGGCGCTTGAGACGGCGTAGCGGGTTGGGCGAGACGCCGCTTTCCGTGAACCCCTGGCGTCTGTAAGGGCATACAATGTCTATCTAGCTATGCACTTGCGAGTGGATCTTGGATAAGTCAGTGTACTAGGTATGGTTTGGGAGCTGTGGTAGAGTTGTCACAACGACCTGGCCTTAGTGGGACTCACCTATCTACGAGTCTCGGAGCTGTATAGCAGATGCAGGGTCGAGCTTCGGGAAGTTTAACGCTCAACTACTGTGTATGCTGTTCGATATCCATGCTTTATACGTTAGAGCCCCAGTCCTCAAGCCTACTCTCCTCAAGCCTCCAACATTCATCCCAGCACCACCTCTTTCTCCACCGGCTCCGCCTCCATAAACGCAGCAACATGCACCCTTCCCACAGCCACGCGGTACGCAATCCCCCCAACCCACTCAACCATCAACACATTAAACAAACCCCACGGCGTAACCGCATCATACAAGCGCTCATCAAACCCCGCTTTCTCATTAACATGCTGCTCCTGCTCCTGCTCCGTATCCCCATCTCCATGTGCACGCCACTGCTGCTCATCCCTCATCATATACGCCATCGAGTACACATGTCCTAGCTCCCAAATAGGCGTCGAGTGCAGCAGCTCCCTGCCCACCCGCGGATCCGCATTCGTGCTCGCGCGCGAGACGACAATGAATTCCTTCCTGCCCTCTAGATAGCGCTCTTTGAAGCGCGGATCCAGCGTCGTCGCAGGGTCCGGCACGTACACGTACCCGGCGGCGAAGCCGCGGGCGTCGAGCAGCCGCACCTGCAGCACGTCGTGCAGGTAGTCGTGCTTTTCTTTGCGCTTGCGGAGGCGCCCTTCGAGGCGGAAGTGCGCGGAGAGCGTGTGCAGGTGCAGCAGGTGAGAATCGGCGGCGCAGAGGGCGTAGCTGCGGCCGTGGAGCCCGGGGTCCAGGACGGGATGGAGCCACCGGTGCGCTTCGGATTGCTCGTCGATGTAGCTCCATCCATCCTCGGGGTCGAGACGCCATCTGCTGCTGAGACAGAGATGTAGATTCGCGAACTGCGGGCCGCCCATGCGGTAGGTTTCGCCTGTGAACCACAGGTCATCGTCTTCATCGGAGGAGACGTCCACGGCCATATCCTTAAAAAGCAGGGGAGAGCCCCATTCAGACATGGGAAACGAGCGCTCAATGAGCCACGGATACGCCGCCTGACCGACCCAGCCGAGCCAGCTCCAGCTGGGAAACAAGGGCCTCCGCGTCTCTAGATCCACTCTCCTCTTACTGCTCCCAAGCGGAACCCAAAGCAATCCCGCACACAGCTCCGTATCCGGAATCCCCCACAAGAAGCTGCCTCGAAACAAGCCATCAATCTCGTTAAACACGCCCGTGATGGCCTTCTCAGCATCCGTCTGCATCGTCAGATCGCGCGCCGTGTAGTCAGCGACAATAAACGCATAGATATCCATATTGGAGTTGCGCGCAATCTTAGAAACAAGCAGCTCGTGCTCCGTCTTGAAGAAATACATGCCGCGGTGCGGCGTGCCCGGCTTCCAGCCCACGTGCCGGCAGTTCTCGTCCTCGGACGTGATGGTGTGCCAGCACCACCAGCGCACGCACGAGTCGGTGACTAGTAGCTTGCGCTGCGAGAGCACTTTCTCCTGCAGCGTCCAGCCGCGCGTGCTCCATTTGGACGTGTCCGTGGACTCGCTGTCCGGCAGGATGTTCCCGAGGACGAGATCGCCGACGATTTCGGCCGCTTGCCGCGTGGTGCGGGTTCCTGGGTCGATGCCGGGGAGGCCGTAGGAGGCGTCGGTGCCGCAGCATGCGCAGATGGTCAGGATGCTGTGGCGGTAGATGTTGCCCATCTCCGCGATCTGGGCGCCTTTGTCCGTGGCGTCGTCTTGCAGGATGCAGAGTGCGTCGACCCAGAGATAGCGCTCGCCTATACTCCGCACGAGCTTGATGGAGTCGCGGATGGTCCTCGGAATCCGGGTGAGGAGCGCGCGGAGGCCGCCTGGGGTGCGAAACTGCGGTTCTAGTGGGCGCTGTAGAAGTAGCTGGTTGGTTTTTCCCCAAGTATAGCTGAGCGTCACATAGCGCACTCCGTCGTCCAGATCGACGATGCACATCTGGTCGACGTCGATGGCCCGTACGGTGATATTGTGCTGATACGATGTCTTCCCCCTATCCCTCTCGTCGCAGAGCTGCATCGTCGCACGAATCCACTCGAAGTCAATCTGCTCCGGCGACCTCAAAATGCGCCCAAGATTCGGTTCCGAGCGGTGCAGCGGCCTGAAAGCCATGCTCTGTCGCGGCCTCAGCACAGAAGACCGCTGCTGTTCCAAATCATTAATGTCTTTCGCCGAGCAGATGTACAAAGCAGGATTGTTGAACGTAGTCTCGAAGCGAACAGGGCAGAGGTAGTACATGTCGTTGAGGAGCTCCAAAAACCTCTCTCTCTGCGCCTCCAATCTTTCTTCATCAGAGAGTGTGCGCGGCAGATCCTCGACGGCATCCAGTGCAATAATGCGTGCGACGAGCTTGCAGAAACCGCAGCCGCGGCTGATGAGGGTGCGGAGCGGGCCAAGGACGACGTAGTCTCGTAGAGTTGGCAGGACACTCGTTTCCCGTTGCTTGAAGAGAGCCAGGAAATCGATATGGCGGCAGGTTGCACAGAGATAATGCCGTGAGTCTTCAGGTTGGACAATTGGGCTCTGGATGTACCAGAGGGGCACCATAGATTCGGGTAGATAATCGCATCTACGGTTCATGTTGATCTCGCTGGGTTGGGGAGTTTGCGGTTTCGGGAAAATTGAGCCACAAGCTGGATTGGATTTCGCCAAAGCTATTTCACCCAGTTTGATCAGCCTGAACCTAGAATGTGTATTCAGGGCTTTTACCTGGTGTTCTTGCATTCAATCCATCCTGGGATCGTTCAACTCGGACAAATTTCTGAGGAGCGCCGAGATAAGGACCATCCGACCTTGGTGCCTCGAAAGGGTCACCCGAAATGGGTACTAAGCGTGGAGAGCATCTATCACAAGGATCTTGGTATCGAGTCGTTGCAGGTGGTAATGCATATCTTGGAGCTGACTGTCCATTTCCAGCTGTGTGAGGTCTTGGCTGGCCTTGGTGCGGCTGGAGTGAGAGGTCCTCGAACCTATTGGGAGGAATTCTTCCAGGAGCTGGAAATACAATAATGCGCTGTGGGCCTTCTGAAGTCGGCGGCCTATAGGAGACAACCTGTACTGGCGCTCCTTGCGGAAGGGGGAACCGCGCGGGATGAGGCGATGCAAATGCAGGTGGTGAGTCGCGAGTCTGACCAAATGGCTGGGTTCGCATAGTAATCGGTTGACCTGGATATGCAGTCTGTACTGGAATTCCGGAATCCTGTCTTCCCATTATCGCGAACCCCTGGTGTTGAGGGGGTCTTTGTTGAAGCCTAGCTGGACCCGTAGGTGTTAGCCGGTACTCCATTCTCCCGTCCCCAACCTGATTGATAGTTTCTTCCTTCTGCTTTGAAAACAATCCTCGAAACTTTTGACGTAGCGAGCGCCCATGTGGGGCCTCTGTTTCTGGAGACATCTGGTGACACAGAGTACAATGAACGATCTGGAAGACGGCGAATGTATGGGATAGAAGAGGATGTCCTCCCGGAGTGTATCTGTATGCAAGGCAATGGTGGCGGGGAGCGCCATAATGTAGGACTTACCAGGCCCCCAAAAGCCCCTAGCACAACCTCCCGACCGATCCAAATCAGCGAACGTGCATCGCGAATGTAGAAAACGGCGCCAATCGCAGGACCTAGACCTCGAGCCAGACTTCTAGATCGTCTGTTGCCTTCTGTTGCCTGATCGTCGCCGCACTGCGATCCAATTGGGGTTGCCGCATACGCTGCAAGTTCGTGTGCCACTCTCCTTGGCTGCATCAGGGCTGAAACTAGTGAGATATTGATTTTTCCAATGGATAGGGGGCACCTACGAGTTTATTAGGTAGAGGCTTGAAAGGTGTAGAAAACGTTCGGCGTCCCCGGTAATGGTAGCTCGTCCAAAGCGTCTACTGCAGGTGAAATGCTCAGCGCACAAATTCTGGGTTGCGGCCCATCATCCACCACTCGGACACCAAACGAGTTCACACTGTGCAATTAGCGCGTTCAGCTGATTCGGAATAAAGAACTGGGCAAACGCATGAATGGATGGTTGTATGCTTACTCTGAAAAGTCTGCTACCTAGTCGGCTGATGGGTATTTGCTGCTCCAGGCCACTGCTGCAATACTGGATACTCTCTGCGAGGTGCATCACACATGTAGCATCCTCCGCCGTCGCAGTCTCAATCCACGACGCCTGAGGCGGCCCCGGAAGAGACGCAGGAACGAGCACCGAGCCATATCTCCCTTAAGCCTTGGGCTCAATCAACTCCGGAATATCCTCCGGCCTGACATTCTTCTCCAGGATATTATACACTGCGGTGAACAGCGGGAACTCCTGCTCCAGACCCTGGCTCTTCAAGAAGGTATTCACTTCATACGCCGTACTCGTGCCCTGCAGCTTCTGCCCATTAAGCACCTTCTGCTCGATCTCGAATATGCTCTCCCCACGCTCGATGGCCATCTTGGCGCAGCGGAAGTTACGGCCACCCATACAAGAGGTTACGACGTCGGCGACGCCGCAAGATTCCTCGGTGAAGGTGCTCGTGTGCACGCTGTCCGGGAAGAATTCTTTGCCGAACCTGACCATCTCGAGGATGCCGACGCGCATCACGGCCGCTTTAGCGTTGTCGCCCCAGCCGAGACCGTCAACAAAACCGGCTGCGAGGGCAATGATGTTCTTCAGGGCACCGCCCAGGGATACACCGGCGACGTCGGAGACCATGCGGACGTGGAAGTATGGGCGGTGGAACAGCTTGCGGACGTTCTCGTGAGACAGAGGAGGATACTCGTTTGGAAGCGCCTTGAGACGTGCGGATCGGGCGCTCGGAACGGGCTTGCTTGGGGAGATGAGGTCAACCTGGGAGGCGGTTGGCGAGCCCTTTGGTGTCGGCGCGCGAGAATCCATTGGCGGTGGGTCATATGCTACGGTCGTCTCGGAGTACTTCTCCTGAGCAATTTCGGAAGCAATGTTTGCCCCGGACAGTGCGCCGCAGTAGATGCTCAGAGACATGCCAATGGCCTCGGACATGAGCCTGATACCCTTCTCGCTAACATCCACACCCTTTGTGCAGCATATCGCTCGCGCAAACGGCATGATCTTGCCCACCAACTGATCGCATACTCTCGGAATGAATTGATGCGGCAGCACGAAGATGAGGATTGTAGAGTCCTTGCAAGAATCGACAAGATCAGGGTTGCCAACGACGTTTGACGGAACCGTGATGTTCGGCAGATACTTGACGTTCTCGTGGACGCGGTTGAAGACCTCGGAAAGCTTCTGCGGCTTGTCGTTGCTGGGATCGTAGTGACGGGAGTCCTTCGGAATCGTGACTTCCTCCTCGTATACCCACATCTGCACCGTCTGGTCGAAGAGGTTCGGGTTGGCCTTGACGTTCTCGGCGACGAGCTTCGACATGGTGGTGCCCCTGTGCATCTGTTAGGCCGGGCTCCACCCAACGCATTCGGCAGCTAGAGGCGATGGACGACGTACCAGTTGCCAGAGCCCACAACCGTCACCTTGTGCTTACGCTGAGCCCCCAAGGTCGCCATGGTTCCCCCGCAATTCTGTCTCCGTAAAGTTGTGTATGTCGTGTGTGCAGTGACGTTCGATGATGTCGGACGAGCAAGGGCAGGAACAAGCTGGCGGTGACACGCTCTGAAGCCGGGTGACAGGCGGAGCAGCTGCCGCAGTGCGCCGTGAACAGCCACTTTATATGGTCGCTCGGAATTGTACCTGATGACAGTCAGAAATGTCGGTTTTTGAGCCACGCCGAGGCTGGCAGCTGCAGCATACCTGTATGCGGAAGGCGTGAGAGGGCCGAGGCTTCCCGTGATGCGGCGAGCCCGATGCTTCCAATTGTTGATGGGCGCGGTCGGTGTGAGTCGTGGATGCCTTCGCAGACAGGTGGAAGGCGCAAAGGGAGGGCAGAGGCGGGCACGCGGACAGCAGACAGCAGAATGTTGAGCAGGATAGCTCAACACCACAGAAAATGCGTTCACACGCAAGGGTCTGGCGGGAATGCGCTTATCGATAATGCAATTTGTCGGACCCCGGGGCAGCTGATCAACGCCGCAGCGCGCGAATTGGCCAATAATGGCACAGCTACATCACCGATGCACTAGGCTGAGGCACAGCTGGGCATGTGATATGACGACGCTACTCCAACATTAAAGAAAATCTCATGAGATTGGGCGGATGGGTTGGCGCAAGGGACGTGGACGCACAGGCTGTTAGCGCGTGGTGCATGTTGGGACGGTAGCTGCAGATGAAGAATTGGACAAGGTTGTTTGGGTGTCGGATATATAGCTAGCCCTCATAACCTCGTATTAAGCTCCGCATACCCGTCGTGCAGAAAACATACAATTGACGCCAAAAGTGACCTCGTTAACTCCATTGCTCGAGAACGCTGGAGAAGCTATGCCAGTTTGTAGCGCTATGCGTAGCCATATCTCATCTCATTACCGCCCATCCCCCATGGATCCGGTCCATTGCTCCCATCCAGCATGTCCCGCTTACAGAGCAAAGCCGAAGAGGGCGATCAAGCCACCGGCGAGGACCGGAGTGCCGAATTCGCGGGCGACGTCCAAGACAGCGGCAGCACCAGTGCTCTGGCTGGCGCCAGTGCCAGTAGCCGTTGACGAAGCAGAGGAGCCTCCGGTTCCCGTTGGTGAAGACGTGGCTCCGCCCGAGGCGGTGGACGAAGCTTCCCCCTCGGCCGTGGTCAGGTTGCCACACCGCTCGTTCCTGGTGGTATCGCACAGGAACTGCTGGTCTGCGTTGCCGACGGTGGCGTTGGTGCACAGGCTGTACCAGAAGCGACACATCTGGCCCGGAACAGACTGCTCGTAGGCGGACATGTCGGGCGACGTGCCGTTTTTGCACTCGCACGTGAAGGTGAGGGTGTCCTAATTGCAATTGCATTAGCGATGCGGTCCTAGCCCTGGCGGCGCATTCTACCTACGTCATTGCAGTCGTTGCCGCCGCTGGCAACCTGGCCCTGTCCACCGCAGATCTGAGGGCAAGTGTTCCTCTCGGCGCGGCACCAGTCGGTCTTCTGGTCATCGGGAATGGCGTCGGCGGAGACGTTGCAGCAGGGTTGAACCGGCAGGGTTGTGTTCTGTGCAAGCGCGAAGTCGAAGACGGCGGCAGCCGCGACGAGGACGGTGGTGTACAGCATAGTGGGTGGCGCTGGAAGTATCAATGTCTGCGCGGGCGGGCGGTGTTAGCGGACAATTGGTGGCGAGAGGAAGGTCGGGCGTGGAGCGCGAGCGCAATTGAAGGGCAATGGGTGCACGGATGGCGGGCGGGGCGCGAGACTTACAGCGTGATGGGATGCTGGTGTTGTGGTTGCGGATGGAGACGAGGAGGAGGTTGGGCGGGCGACGCACGGCTTTAATAGCTGTTTGAGCTCGACCCGGAAGCTGCGTCCTGCCTGCGCCGCTACCGCCTGCACTGGTGAGCCACTGCGCAATGGCAGGCGCCCGATCCGGCCTAGCGCTATTGCAGCTATCTATCACAGACCACCCGCCAGCGCGCCGACACCACCGCCCGTCTGCAATCGCGCCCGCTCCAACACCATAAGATTGCCGCAATTTCGTCTCTGCCCGCGCGCCGTCGAGCCTCTGCCCTTTCTGCCATTTCTGCCGGCCGCTTCTGCCCTGGAATGCGCGCTGCATCGCGCATCTCACGACATGGTGCGTGGAATTGTTTCAGAGCGCCTCTCAAACCCGCCACGCAACGGGTAGACCGGCCAACCCCCGCATTGCCGGCCATGATGCGCCGTCGCAAATGCTCATTTAGCCCTGCCGACTGTCCCATTGCGTCCACTCTCGGCTGCCGGCCTAGCAATCGATATGCGCTTGTCCCAAGTGGACGCGTACTCGTCCGAGTTGGCTACGCATTCCACCGCTGCCCCCGCACCCCGCTCGCCACAGGCCGGCCAAGGACGCGCAAGATGCTCACGATGCTCTTCCCGCGGGCCTCTCAGATAGCAGTCGCATGCACGAGCTGTGGCTTTGCGTTTGCCATGGAAACCCAAGCTAGTTGAAACGCATGGGCGTGGGAGCGCCCAATCCCAGCTAAGCGTTTAACGGGCCGAGGAGCCTGCATCATCCCACTTGCATCATTGCTGTCCCGCGGCGATAGCGGGGCGCAGCCCCTCAGACAAGGCCGTGGCGGGAATACTGATGTACAGTTGAACGTCACGATGGTTACATCTAGACAAAAAATTTACACAGCTGTTGGGGTGCGAGGTGCAACAGTGTCTCGCCCGGTCCCACGGCGGCTTCGCGGTCCTACCCGGGCATGGAGTGTTGACAATTTCCCGAATCATTTCGAGTTTGGACAGCTCGTTGCCGTATTCGGACTAGTCGGTATACATATGCATATGCACAACGCTGCACTCCGCAATGCGCCTCGTCGAAATCCCGCAATCCTCACCACAGCGCTCCGTTGAAGAAGCGTTCAACTTTGTCCTCGTCGAGATGATTATATTTACGGTGATGCCCAGGCGCGGGGAACTACAAACAACCAGTTCGCATGCACCTCGTATATGCAGCTAGGATTGCGAAGGAACGCGCGATCCTTGAAGGAGGCGATGAAACAAAAACCCTAGAAAGTTCCATTCAAATACGTCGTACCACATTACAGGACACAGGAGACGCCGAACAAGCACCCATTTGACCATTAGTCGATTGAAGCTCTCCAACATGTGGGCGATTCGTATGCTTCTTCTTTTACTTCCCCTCTCACTGTGAAGGAGGCATTTGCCAACAGGGTCCTTGGAAATTGGGGTTTTTGAAGCTGTTGTCAAGAGTACCTAGGTAGAAAGTGACGATAATAGAGGCGAACTACACACTAAGAAAACATGAGCTAAAGCATCCTGCTGCGGTAGGGAATTCTCCGGATGTAAGAGCTCGCCGTACATGCTTTAGCATTGTACGCATCTGCCGTTATACCCGTCGTCATACCCAGAGAATTACACCATCTGTGCCAACGTCCGTGCGCCCTAGTACCTCGGCCCCAAACCCACAACCCTCCCCTTAGCCATACGTCCACAGCTGTCACGATTCTCGATATATCATGGCTGGGCTTTCCTATCATGATGGCTTGGTCAATTCCACGGTCGAATGGCGGCGGCGAGGTTTACGTCCAGCCTTTAGAGCCTGAATAATGATGTTAAGACTTATTACAGCCTTTCAGCGGTTCCGCCAAAGGACAGTCCCAATCCTTGCTCTCTCTCCTTGCTGGCCTCTAGTTACTCGATTCTGTTCATTCCTTTATGACCCTTTCCCATTCTCTGGCCCCTGATGGATACCAACTACTTCGTCTGCACCCTCGGTGAAGCGGCCACGCTTAACGACGGATCAAAGCCATACCGGACAATCAGCGAATTCCTGTCCCATCAATCCAAAGCTTGCGGATCTAATCCAGCGGTTGCATTTCCTATACCGCGCCGGAAGGGCGAATGGGATCCCCAGGTCATCTCCTTCCATGATGTCGACCTAGGAACGCAAATTTTCGCGGAGAGGTTATCAAGTTTCTTCGGTGTTGCACCTGGCAGTTCGCAGTCGGTCGCCCTCCTCTGTCATAGCTCACCGGAGTTTTTGTTCACATGGCTTGCGTTAATACGACTGGGCTACTCGGTTCTGCTTCTCGCACCGCAATGTGAACCGGCCGCGATTCTCTATCTGTGCAGGTCATGCAACGTTTCCTTACTTCTTTACGATACATCCCACTCGAACTGCGCGAGACAAGTTGAGAAACTTCGAGGAGAGCGCCATGCTACAGACTTTATGAGCCGCCTCATTCCCCTATATGACGGCGAGGATGTTTTTCAGCTTATTCAGAAACCGCCCGTTTCAAATCTAGAATATCCTGAAGCCGATGACACAGCGGTTGCGTAGGATGGCCTTATATGGTAAGCTTGCGTACCCATATGATGGCAACCTTTGAGTACTGACAACCCCAAGGCGAAGAAAACCCGGGACGATGGGTCATTTGCAACAGCCGATCTATTCGCGAAACATGCGAATATCAAGAATGCTTGGTTGTATCATTCAAGGGCCGACTCCCAACTAACGCTAATCACGGGCAAGAAGTTCGACCCCGCTCCGCTTGAAACTACAATTGCGGCCTCAGGTCATCTTGACGATGTATTGATCTTTGGCAACGGTCGCCCATATCCGGGTGCGCTGCTTCTCCGTTCAGAAAAGTCGAAGAAACTTCCGATGGCGAGCTCCTAGAAGCAATCTCACCAGCAATCGAGAAGGTGAACAGAGGAAGCCAAGATCATGCTCGAATATCGTGGGATATGCTCATTACTGTACCCCATCAGACCGAAGCGCTAGAAAAGAGCAGCAAAGGTACCATCATCAGGCGAGCCGTAGAAACTAGGTTCGAAGCTTACATCGACTCGGTGTATGGTTCAAGAGAGGAAGAACAGGAAGAGAGCGTCCAAGACGAAATGTTACCGCAACATCTCATCGGCCTTGTTCAGTCAATAGCGCCGAATCCTGTCCCGCTGAAAGAAGATGCCGATATATTCTCATATGGCGTCGATTCTATTGCCTGCATGCGGCTGCGCGACTGCCTTCGACGGCTCACTCCGAAGTACAACCAAGAACTTCCGCTGAGTGTCGTAGAAGATTGCGGCACTGTCAGAGGCTTAAGTGAATACATCATACGGAAGCGTCGTGGGAATCCTGACATCCACGCTGAAGATGAAGAGCGGCTGATGTTAGACTTGGTGAAGCAGTTCAGCTTGTTCGGTGAGCAGGAGTCAGGACCGCAGAACCCGACAGACGGGCATCACACCAAAGGCGAACCAGCTGAAGTCGTGGTATTCCCCGGTGCCACAGGTGCGCTAGGAGCGCATATCCTAGAGTTGCTCCGGAAATCGAACACGGTCGCTGCTGTCTATTGCCTCGTCCGAGGAGCAGATGAGGGCGCGGCCAAAGGGCGAGTCAGTAAAGCCCTAGAACAGAGAGGGCTTGACGGCCTTGGTCGAGGCAGCAGGATGAACTATAAGATCCACGAGTCCAAGCACAACTCGGCGAACCTGGACTAGGTCTTCCAGAAGCACTGTACAACTACTTGGCTACGCGAGCCACTCTCATTATGCATATTGCGTGGACTGTCAACTTTCGTCTCAAACTACCGAGTTTCGCAAAGAATAATCTCCCAGGCGTCAAAACTCTGCTCGATCTAGCTGTAGCGGCTCCACGGGCTCGATGTCCCCGTTTCGTTTATTGCTCTTCCACTGCATCGATCATCAGTGCCACAGCGGACCAACCCGGAGGCCTTCCAGAACATGTAACCGAGGGCCCTTCATTTGCATCCCCGCTTGGTTATGCACGCTCCAAGTGGGTTGCTGAGCAGATTTGCTTAGAAGCTCATCGTCAAACTGCCCTCAAAGGCCGCATCGCGGTGGTTCGTGTCGGGCAGCTTTCTGGTGACTCCGAGACAGGCATTTGGAACACGAAAGAGGCATGGCCGATGATGCTAAGCACGGCGAGGTTAATCGGCTGCCTGCCCGACTTGGGGGACGAGCCTCTCGATTGGTTGCCTGTTGACATTGCTGCTAAAGCCTTCCTCGAAGCGGCTAAGGACCAACACGAACGACGATGAAATGTATGTTTATCATGTCCTGAATCCGCATCAACAGCCGATGTGGCATGCCATGCTACAGTGGCTCAAGAAGAAAGAAGACTTCGACATCGTTTCTCCGCAAGAGTGGGTCAACAGTCTGGAGAATTCGGGCCTCACTGAACACTCAGCCATGAAGCTTCTTGGCCTTTGGAAGGAGACCTATTGTGATGCGACTCAGGAGAAGAAGCCTAGGCCACAGTTCTCGATGGTGGAGACCGTCAAGCCAGTTCGTGCCTTAAGGGACATTCCGCCTGTGGGCGGGGCCTGCATGGGCAAGATTTGGGATTGGGTGCAAGCAAATGTGCACTAATTGGATCTTCATCAATTGCTGGGAATGGCAAGTTGCCGTCTGTATACATGGCGATTAGCACATGCCTCGAAAGAGTACCGATCTCCAGTCCGCTGTCCAACTCCCGCAATCGTTCCGGTAGTCAGGGTCAATGAGCACTAGAATCTCGTGCGTCAACGCATGCGTCCGGGTTCCATCCAACCAGGCTCGCGGTACTTGGGTTCTTTGACGCCACGCGACGAACATGTGTTTGCGTCACGTTTGCTTTGCGGGGTCGAGCCTCTCAGCAGTGAGAACAAACGAGAGGTTCTGGTAGGTTGGATGTGTAGTGATCCGGGTACCACTCGAGGAGCCGTCGACGGGTATAGCGGATTGTGAACCGAGGTTCTCCACGGCCGCCACCCAAAGTCTGTACATTCCTTGGCGACGGAAAATTAGCCACTTCAACCGCAGCTTCCCCGCAGGATGGTAGATATATATCCATGTTCGGGAAGGCGTTGGGGCATCATCGCACCGAGGAACGCTGTCAACGCCAGGGTCCACCTGCAGGCCAATGACGACAATGCATCTCAAGGTAATAATATAAGATGAGGCTCTCGTCCGCGAAAATGTTGCCTAGAGAGCTTGTGCATTACAAGGCCACCCTTCTGCATCACCGCCAAGCATCGGAGCATTAGTTCTCTACACTCGCGCGAGTCATGGCATCCCTGCAACACCTCCTCCTCACGATCGCGCTTTCCAACGTCGTCTCTTCCTCACCGCAATATACGTTCGTCAATCCCGACCCTTCAGGGACCCTGTACACAAGGCCCTCAGATTTCAACCCCGTCGCTGTGCCCAATGTGAGCACTGCTGGAGAAGCTGTTCTGGCCAGTTTTGTCAGCTACTCGATTGAGTTTGCTTTCTTCCCGGATTTCGCGGGAAATAAGAGTGCGCCGAATGACTTCTCGGATAATTTGCTCGAGAATTTGAAGGGGTTTCAGGGGAGTAAGCCGGATATTAGGGTTGGAGGGAATACGCAGTAAGCTCTTCGTTCAGCGATCTCAATTGTGGGGAAGGATGATGGAAGCTGATGGGATGCAAGGGACTATGCGCTGTTTAATGAGAGTCTGAAGACTGCGACATATGGCGTCTACACCAACGTCTCCAGCGACTACCCACGTATCCTCACCATCGGCCCCTCGTACTTCGAATCATACGAAACATGGCCCGACGTCAAATTCACGCACGGCTTCAACCTCGCCAAAAATGATACTACCGCTGCAGCCAGCATCAACAACTCCGTACCATATGCCTGCAAGGCGCTAAGTAGCGGGAACTTCTGGTACTGGGAGATGGGAAATGAGCCGGATTTGTTTAAGACGAGTGCGCAGGGAATTATGAGGCCGAGCAGTTGGAACGAGAGCGATTATGTGGCCGAATGGGAGCAGAAGGTGGGGTGGGTGAGGGGTGTGCTAGGTAGCAGTTGTGGGGAGGAGTGGACGAGTGAGGAGAGGTTCAAGTGGATGGCGCCGAGTTTTGCAGGGACGAATAATAGTTTGAAAACGCTTAAGACGTGGGACGTGGGGTTGAAAAATGACGAAGGAATTATCGGGAGGTTTTCGTCGCATAAGTATGATATACTCGTTCTATTCTCCGCGTTTCCTAAATAGTCCAAATGAGATACTGACGCGGAATAGCTACATCGGCGGCGCCACCCAACCCGGTGTGACCCTCCGAGGAACGCTCATGAACCACACAAAGACAGTATCCAGCATCGCCGCGCACAACGCCGAGCAAGCTGCCCTCACCGCCGCCGGCATGTCCCTCGACTACATTCTTGGCGAAACCAACTCGCTCTACAACCAAGGCGCCCCCGGCCTCTCCAACTCCTTCGGTGCTGCTCTCTGGGGCATCGATTTCAACCTCATGTGCGCAGCGACCAACATCAAGCAAGTCTTCATGCACCAAGGCACGGACTATAGGTACGCCAGCTGGCAGCCAGTCGACACAAACAAGACCAGCAAAGGAACGAAGGCGCCGTATTACGGCAATGTAGCCGTGGCCGCGGCGTTGGGCGATATCACTACGAGCTCTGTGAGAGTCGCCAACATACCCCTCGCGAACGAAACGTCCGCTGCGTACGCCATCTACGCCAACAGCACGCTCGCTCGCCTCATGCTCATCAACATGAACCAGTACAACTACAGCGTGCCCTCGCCGTCCGCACGTTCTAGCACCGCGTACAACTTCACCCTGCCAAGCTCCTGTGCGGGGACGGGTGTCGTGCAGAGACTCATGGCGAATGGGAGCGACGCGATTACGGGGATCACGTTTAACGGCCTGAGTTATAACTATGAGGTGGATAACGGGAGACCGAAGCTGTTGGGGAATGCGACGAAGGATGAGACGGTGTTTGTAGGGGGCGATGGGGGTGTGAGTGTCAGCGTGCCGGATAGTAGTGCGACGCTGGTGCAGCTGAGGTGCTGAAAATGCAGCTCAGGAGAATGTAGGGGCAATGTTAGAGTCTCGTGAGAGATCTGGAAGCCCTTGAACTACGTGCTCACTACCCAATCACCATGGCGAACGTGGATAAAGCTATTAGAGATCGTCGACGCCTACTGCCCCCCTGCATTCTGTCCCTTGCCACATACTCTCAGCTCTCGCAATTCGAGTCTCGCATCTCGAACTACGTGTAGAGGGGTGTGAGAAAACACTGGTGGAACCACTACCCATGCAACTAAGTCTGGAACTATGTAGCCACGACGCTATGTTTGAAAAGAGTGTGCATTTGAAGCGAAGATAAAACTACAACATTACAAAGGTTCGGTGTCTAACGAGCGGCAGTGCCTGGTATCATAGTTGTGTGCGTTGTGTCCCCCCATCCCCCCTGAAAGAAAGCCACGAATCATCACTGGAAACTCCGGAACCCGAATGCAAGATGCGTAACGCCAGCGCTAAGGAATGTTGAGATTGGAAGGAATGGACGGATAACGAAAAGGAGAAAAAAAGAGAAACAACCGAAAGAGCGTACCCATCCCAAACTCCCCCAATTATGCACCATCCGCAATCTGAAAGAGCGTAACTGTACCTATAACCCCGCTCTGAACTCCAGAAACATGCATAAGTAAAAACTCAGAAGAGTGTTGTTGTCGAGCAATCTACCTCCTCGCGGGCGTCCCGTCGAAATTCCTCACTGTGTCCCTATCGTTGTCTCCGTATCCCGCCCTCTCCATCAACTTCGTAAACGTGGTATTCCCGCTATCCTGCGTCAAGCGATGCTCTCGCATGCCCGGTGCTTTTGGCGGCTCCAGGAAACTCGGTGCGGGCATCAGCACATCGATAGTCTCTGTGCTAGTACTTCTACCGGTGAGTGGCCGTTTCGCCTTAGTGGCGCGCCGCGAAGATGCGCGTCTCGAAGTTGCAGGGGGCGTGGTGTAAGGGTCGTTGTGGTGGCCGGCGCGCACGGCGGGTGCAGGAGGTGCTGGGTTTGAAGGAAGGCCGGACCAGCCGTTGAAGGTGAGTTTGGGCGTGCGGTCCCACATGGACTTTATTTTGGGGGTGAGGCCGCTGGCACCGCCGCCGCCAGCTGCTTGAGTGCCGATGTTCTTTTGCACGCTGGGAGAGGACGTAGCGGACTGAGAGCCACGGCGGATGAAGTCCGTCCGAGTGGCCGAGAGTTGCGGGTTATAGATCGGGTCGCTGATGGTGCGTGCCACGTGGCCGAAGTCGCCTGAGTAGCGGTTCTTTTCGGATTCGCGGCGTTTCTTGATGATCCAGATCAGGCCGAGGGTACCCAGCGCGCCGATTACGATGCCGGGAAAGAAGCCGGCGGCGAAGGATTTGCCGTCGAAGCTTGGTGATGTTTGTTGGGTGACTGGGGCCGCGGCACAGTCTGAGGTCTGCGAGGCCGAGGCTGGATCGGTGGGTGAAGGCGTGGGAGAGGTTGTGGATGTAGGGGAAGAGTCTTTGCTGGCGGAGCACATGCCGCCGTTGCAAGTATACCCTAAGGGGCAGCACGTGCTCCCACATTTGGGGAGCTCGATGCCATCCGTGTTGGAGATGTGGATTTGGTTGTCTGGATGGAGGGTTGCGTTGTATTGGCTGACATCGCAGGGGACGGGCTGGATGAAGGAGCAGTCCAGCCCTTTAGGGCAGCAGATGACGGATTGGACGTCGGTGGTGTTGACGGGCATGCAGGTTGCGTCTTTACCGCAGCAGAATTCGGAGGGGAAGCCGTTTCCGCATTGCTGAAGATCTTGATTTCCTCCACATGTTTGTGCTTGCCGAACGAAGAGGTGAGATGCTTGAGTCGTAGGGAGTATGGTCGAGATTAGGAGCAGGAGCGATAGTCGAGAGAGCTTGGGTAGCACCGCCAGCGGACCCATTGTGAGACGGAAAAGGTACGAAGGTACAACGCAAGCAGTCAGCAGTGGCGAAGCTCCTCCTCTTGATATAATATAAGAAAGCAGGACACGAATGACTCTACTTCTGAGTGAAACAAATTCACTAAGACAGTGGCATTATCGCCCCGGGACTCGGAAACAACCAGACGGTGAAACAAACAGATTGGCAGAACGAGATCTAAAAAGGCAGCGGGCTCGAGACGCAACCCGCCCCCAGTATATACCTACATTTAGACAAGCCTACGGCCATCCGATCGAAACCGAACGTGACGTTGTTCATCCGTCTTTCGAACTATGGAGCCCAATAAGTCGCACGCCTATGTTCTGGAAATTGGCCTGGACAGAGCCGCCGACTGGATGGCGCACGCTGAATGGACTCGCTCGCAGCGTAGCAGCCGCGTAGCAGTGGCATATGACTCCGCAAAACGTGTGGCTATGCTCTCGTGGAAAATAGGCTCGATGAAACATTCGCCAGCGAGCGCTTGCAGGGCGTCTGGAGTTGTGGGCGAGGCCAGCCCCCAGCGCGTCGTGATTGGCCAGCAGCAAGACGTGCAGGGCGGCAGCGACGCTAGCGCCCTTTCTGGTCGCCCTGCGCGGAGAAAAAGATGGACGCCCGAACTGCGAACCGGCATCCCAATTGCGAACCACCCACATCCACACAGACATGATAATACGCTCGCTGGCCCGGCGGCGGCCAAATGCCACGCTCCAGTGCCTAGCTTCTGCTCCTGCGGTATGCGCGCCTCCCTCCCCCGACCATGGTCCCATCCACGTTCGACGGGTCGACTGATGCGTGTTTTAGAAATGCAGAGCGACGACGCCCATTTCGACGTCTTTTGCGCGGAGATTGCATGACGCCCCGACGCTGCAGAACCATGTGGAGCTGGAGAAGAACGGGGTTCCGGGGCTATTCACGCCAGAGGCGTTCGATATTGCGTATACGCAGTATCAGCGGCACATCCTCAAAGAGTTGAATGCTTCGACGGCTGGTACGCTCAATTGCCCACCATTGCACTCGCGACACCCAGGTTATTGTAAAAGACGGACGTAGGCTGATAGAGGCTTCTAGGCTCGCCCTGGCAGGACCGTGAGACACAAGCCCTCGTCATCGAATTCGCACGCGACCCCATGAGAGCCTACCTCTTCAACCTCGCGTCCATGGCCTTCAACAACCACTTCTTCTTCAAAGGCATCAACAGCGACCCCAACGTCACCTCCTCCCCATCTTCCGACCTCGTCGCCGAAATCAATAGACACTTCACCTCTCTCTCGACGCTGCGCGCAACCTTCCTCGCGACCGCAGAGGCAATGTTCGGCCCGGGCTTTGTGTGGCTGGTGCAGCTGGATGATACCAACGCGCGCCCGTTCAGGATTTTGACGACGTATCTTGCCGGCAGCCCGCTGAGCGCCGCTCATTACAGACAACAGAGCCAGGATCTGAATACGCACAACCCGGATTCCTATCCGGCTGTGAATCCGGTCGGCGCGTTCGGCGCAGCTGCGAAACAGCCACCGAAGCCCGCCAAGCCGTTGGGAGGCATAGACGTCATCCCACTGCTGTGCGTCAACACATGGGAGCACGCATGGCTGCACGACTACGGCGTGGGGGGGAAGCGGCGGTATCTGGCGGCGTGGTGGGACAAGATTAATTGGGATCTGGTCCGGGATGGAGCTAAACTATCGCCGAGGTCGCAGAGAGGTGAATTCCGTTATTGATGATGAGAATGGCGTGTATATTGCTCTGTAGAAATAAATGTACAAAAGAGGATGAATAAGATGACGTTCGCACATAGACGTTGGTACGTTTAGGCACTTTAGCGCCTGGGCTACCTAGGTGCTTGTGACGCAGAGGACGTGGTGGGACTTGTTCATATTGCGGCCTCAGATTCCACTCAGGATGCGTCTGCACATTATTCACTGTCTCGAGTTGCATCTGGGCTATTTCCATCTTGCTACCGAAACCGAGCCATGCCTCAGGAATCTCACTGGAGCTGATAAGGTGACGGGGCTCGGGTTCATTTTGCACTTGAATGGTTCGTGATGGGAAAGGACTTTGCGCTTAAACTGATTCCACTGCATAGTCTGCGTCGACGCTGACTGGAGAGATTGTGTTGGATTTGGGCGGAGAGTATGATGGTTGGATACTGTTGGGACGCTGTAGTTCTGAAGCTAGCGTAGAAGGTATGATAGTCCGTGGAGAGACAAGGTTGGACGTCAAATATCGAGAGCACCGTACATTCCCGGGGCAGAGGGTTTTAGCGTAGGTAGTAGGTACTCGCACTGAAATGGCTGCTGAAGGAGGACATGTGAAGTATAGCATCTGTCTTCCTCCAAGAACCGTCTGCCCCTAATTGTGTCGTCCCCGTATGTCTCGCCCTCACAATCTCGCCGCATGTGTCAAATCATGTATTAACCGGCCGCTGCGCCGAAGATAGGAAACTGACGGCGATATACAGATCGGAGACCCCGGTAGCTTCTATCCACAACGCATCCGCCCGTCGAGGCTGATTGTGGGCAGACCTGCGAGAAGCAGGTAGGTTGCCTCAGCGCAAGGCCCTTATCTTGCAGATGCATTTTGATGGCGAGGTGCATTCCACGAAGCGACACCGATATCGCTGGCTAGCGGGTCCGTCGATCGTGGTGATCGAATAAACAACATGCACAAGCCTTGGGCGCGGAATTGGTGGGAAAGGCCGCACGAAGCCGACGTCTGATGGTCCGAGAATGGCAATCATAGACTTTCTTGAGCATGAAGTATCGCAGGAGCTGCTCAGGCGCCTACAGCCATCCAAAGAGATACCGTTACTCGGAACACACTGGAAGACACCCCTCTCCACGTAGTCGCGTGTCTGGGATACTTCTTGGGTTTGATGGCGAAGATAGTGTGATGTCGCTTCAATAAGCCCCGCAAGCCCGAGAAAGATTTCGGCGCATCGTGCCAGTTGCTCCTCGACATCTTTCTTCATGGAAGATACGGTCGCAGAGACCCGGAAGCCACGCGTTGGAAATCTCGTATGCATTCGAATTCAGCGGTCCATGATGTTGCATGGGTTTAATCTAGGACATTCGCCGACCAAATGTTGCTCTGGGCATTGGTGCTCTCGGATTTGCTGCTCGGGGTAGAAATAGCTGGTCTCGATGTTGTTGCTTAGGGAGTCGTCGATGCTGTACGATATTGCATTCAGGGATACCCTTTGAACGTCGTTTGTTAACCGTTGCATTTCGCAGTTCAAGGGGCTTGGAAGCCTCGTAGCTGCCATAACATGGCGTCCGGGACCATATGGGATCGTTGGGTGAAAGAAGACGTGCTGGATTTAGATTCCTGAAGAGGTGAGGTGAAACGCAGCCGAACTCGGGAGCTTATAATTGCCGACGAGAAGCGACGTTGTATCGCTCAGGTGAGGCTTGGGCTCTGATACGAGATAGGAAGATAGTGCAGCTGCACCGAGGACGATTGCAGCTGCATTACAGCCGGCCGCTGTTGCATACCGGCAAATAAAGCACCAGCACGATCGGTGTCACGCACCCATCCCGGGGAAGTATCTTATCGTATGCGCGGTCCAACAGGAGCCTGCGCGATGATCCCGGACTACTCTCTTTCCATTTGTAGTGTTGTATAGCGGTGACATTGTATATGATCCCCCGAACGCCGTACCGTATGCAGAGCGGAGACTTCGATCCGGGGCTTCTGCATTGGCCCTTACCCAAACCACGACGACTTCTTTCTAGCCTCTTTCCGTGCGTTTGTCTGGAGCGATATGCAGGGTCAGCGATCGGGTTGATGCTAAGGGCGGTGTGGTGCCGGGCTTGCAAGATAAGGAGGCTAGGCGGGGCACGCCGTTGGATAGTACGTACCCATTGCTCCTTGCAGTCTCGATAAGCCCTATTATCGATGCAAAGGTATCAGCATGTGAATATATGAAGATGCTCTTGAGGATGATGGACCCATTGGGAAGAATCGGATGGAGGACTCGTACTGGAAAAAGTCGGTGCACATCTCCCTATCGCCGCCGTTCCGGTGCAGACATCGGATGCTCTTCTGCGCCGCTTCCTGGCATGGGTCGAAGTACTCGCTGTATGCTTTGCTGGACGTGATGTGGTCAGGTCGGCGTTCAAAGAACGGATGAAGAAAGAGCGCACTTTTCGAACCTGTCGGCAGTCGGGCCGCTCCAGGCCGCATCGGTCGAGCTAGCGTCCTTCTCGCCCATGGTGAGTTGCGGTCGGCTGCGAGGGGGAGCTGTCACTTGTCAAGGTGCATGCAGCTGCATCGGCTGAGGTTGAACGAATTTCGGACAAACTTTTCGCGGCAAGCCGAGGCACGTGGCTAGCGCTTGTTATCGATAATGCACCGGAACTAAGCGAAAGACAATTGCACGCGAGATCTGCATTACGAACAGTCGCACGAGCCACCCGCGACGGAACGTCTGGTATTGAGCTGGGAACAGCGACCCGGGTAACCTCCCGAGGGGCGCGCCGAGAAAGCAGCTAAGGAGCTCGCTGGAACAGCACATGGCCCTCACCGTCTTAATCGTGGGACGTAGAGGAGTTGGTGAATAATCGCACGGGTTTCCCCCGCATCGTGCCTCGTCTCTGGTCATGCGGTGGATTGACGTGGATTCGATAAAAAGAAAGTTATTGCTATTGGTTGAGTCCAACGTGAGGCTCCATCTGCAGCCACTCGACGTCTTCGACATGTCAGAATTAGAACACGGCCGAGTACCGTTCATGCCTCACTGCGCGCTACTGCATTAATGCCTTATGTTGTGAACAGAGTCTAGACGCTCCCTCAGATGGCACCATGCGGGCGGGGGGATCTGCCGTCGTGGGAATAGGCAAGACAAATGTTATGTGGACTCAAGCGTCTGCTAAGGAGGGGCATCACGGTCCAAACAGCACCTCGTTTTAGCGAATAGGCTCCGTTAACGGACGTACGAGACTGGTCCGGCATGCATCTGCAGCGTTCTATGATCCATCCTCTGCTAAACTTGCAGCGGAAGTGATCAGGAGCATATGCAGGCGCAGGCAGACCCAACATTGCTGGAAGATCGCAGGTAGAGTCATCTATCGCTCGGCGACTGTGGCTGACAATGATCGATACGCTGTCCCAGAAGTGCAAGGCCACAATTGGAGGGGCTACGCTTCCCCAATTCAAGGCATAGAATCCATTCTAGCCGGGTATCCCAGACAACATCATGACTCCACTTAGATAACTTCATGTCATGGCACTTCGCTAGCCCTCCACACCTTTCGAGTTGTGCATCCACTTGGCTGTGTGTGTCTGTTGTTGCATCATGAGCCAATCCTCGTCGGCGAGACTAGTAATGAACTCATCATTGCTTCAAACCGATACGCTCGCAGCGGGGGCCACGAAGGCATGAGGCCGTGTTGAGTCTGTCCACTCGACGATATGGACGTGAGTCTGCCGTCGCGAGGGTAGGGCCTAGCCGATGTGCATGGTAATGCGCTTTGTTAGAAAGCTGCAACAAAGCAGGCAGGGACCCAGAATCTCAGGTGATGTACCGCGTGGATCTCGGGTTTCCGTGAACAGTATGCGGTTCCATTCGGGACAAAGTCGCGTTGAAAGCTCCTCCCCGCCATGGCAAGGCCTCGAGGGTCTTCGGGCTGCCCTATCCGCAAGCAGGGGCAGCGACAACTCGGCTGAAGGTAGGTGCAAGTAGTCGCAGGCCCTTTCTAGGAATTTGACAGTTGACACCGTTGTGCTCGCAGAGAATCTCGCGCAATGGTTTTGAAAGAGGACCATTTCGATTCGCACGTTGCCCGCATGCTGGCATGCCAACGGTGATTGAGTGGGTGAGGCGGGCCGAGGAGCGTCGATAAGGGGCGATAAGGCGAGGCGCTCCGACAACGGTAAGATGCAACGGGCGACATATCCTTCGATGTTCATCCAGTGAGTTCGTAAGACAAGATCAGCCTGGGGTATATGAACCAATGACGACCTGGTTCTGACGTGGAGAGAATCCGACGATGGACGTTGTGGCCAATGCGCCGCACTGTCGGATCAGAGCCGACTCAATCCGGGACATGCGCTCGCTCCCATCAGCTGCGATGCCACGCAATTGACAAGCACTAGATGGTCGACGGCACACTATAAAAGAGTGAGGGGCTCGACGCGATGCCGCCATCTTCTAATATCAATATTGCTGACGAGCGGTTGACATTACCATCGCCCTACTCGAATTGTTAGCTTTCGTCACTCCCTCTCTGAGACCGTACCTTCACCATACCACGTCCACCGCCTCCTATCGCAAAATCCTTATCTGCTCCACCTCCAAATATACCTTCATCGTCGGTTCAACGAGGTGAGCTTGCCCCGGCCGTTATCGGCTATCTCAGAAAACTCGCTCCAACATGCTCGTTCTTTCCTACTTCACCACCGTTGTGGCGAAAATTTGCCTCCGCGGAACCTCACTGGGTAGGAGCGGCGGACTTTGCGTTCACGGGACTTTCACAATAGACCCGGGCTCACTCTTGCCCACTCTTCTATAGAAAGAGGTCACTCGCTCTCCGAATTTTCTTCCGCAACGCACACTCCACACTCGCTTCCTAACTCTTCCTCACCACGCTCGCTTCCTAACTCTTCCTCATCACACTCGCTTCTTACTACACTCGTTTCTCATCCCCAGTATTCGACCATCTCTTGCTTCCAGCAGTACTCTTTCTTCCAACAGTACAATGGCTCTCCTAACCCCCCCAGCCGATCGGGAAGATCCAATGAACGCCGTCTTCACCCAGCGCGTTACGGGGTTCCCACGCCCGCACTTCAAGCTCAGCATCGAGAAGACTCTCCAGAAGCCGACTGAGGATGTGGTCACCTTCGATCCGAAGAAGCATCTGGCTTACCAGCCGCCGTCGAAGGTGATCATGATGAAGGACATCGGCTACCCGGACGATGTTGGCGTTTCTCCCGTTGCTGTGTCTCAGCCCTTCCAGCTCTTTTCGCCCGAGGCCATCCAGGCAATGCGAGCGGAGATCTTCAAGCCCGAGGTCCGAGAGAAGTGTGGCTTCAGCAGCAACATTGCTGCTTGCCAATTGCGTGGCTACGCCAAAGAGTAACTAGATAAACCCCTTCTTCGTAATGATGTCATAAACCAACACATCCTAGCTATGCTCCCTTCGCGTATGACGCGTGGAATCACCCCGAGACTCTCGCCCTCATCTCGAACATCGCCGGTGTCGAGCTCGTCCCGGAAATCGACTACGAAATCGGACACATCAACCTCTCTGTGAAGTCAGATGAGGAGACCAAGGAGGAGTTGAACATCATCAACAAGCAGAAGCGCTTCTATGCCGAGGACGAGGGCATCGGTGGCTGTCCATGGGAAGATGACAAGCCCATCGTGGGCTGGCATACCGACAGCTACCCGTTCGTCTGCGTCCTCATGATGAGCGATTGCACTGACATGGTTGGTGGCGAGACCGCCCTTCGTACTGGGAATGGCCAAGTGATCCGAGTCCGTGGCCCGACAGAGGTATGTTCTTTCTTTCCCTCGAACATTGTTGAAGATAATTTTACTAATTCATGTGTTAGGGTTGCGCAGTCATTCTGCAGGGGCGATACATCACTCATCAGGCTCTCCGCGCCCTCGGTACTAAGGAGCGCATCACCTCGGTGACAAGCTTCCGCCCGAAGTCTCCCTTCCTGAAGGATGATTCCGAGTTGCGAACTGTGCGCCCGATCTCAGACCTCTCGGAGCTGTACTACGACTTTGCCGAATATCGCCTGGAGATCATGGAGGAGCGCACTCGTCGGGAGCGCAAGGAGCTCATGAAGCGCCAGAAGACTCACAAGAAGTTCGACACTCGCGGACACAAGCGCTTCCTCGAGGAGTCGATTGCGTTCATGGAGCACACGGACCACGAGATTGTTGAGGAGAGCAAGGTCAAGAAGGGCTACATCGAGAAGGTCGACTTCCCGGATGTCGTCGTTGGCTCCGCTGGAGAAGGCCGCCCGGCGAAGCGTTCTCGAACCGAGTAGGCAGTTGTATCCCGGGTCTGTCGCTTCAGTAGCGTCGCTCGAGGCAATGGCTCAAGTGCGTGCTGGAGAACGGCGCCTTAGCGCCATTTGAGATAGACGGCTCAGGTGTTCATGGGATTTCCAAGGTCATCTTTTCAAGTAATATGGGAGTCGATTTAGATTGCATTCCAATAGGTAGTTACGGTAGATGCGGCGAGCTCGCCGTGGACAATCTGCGTGGCATGGGAAGAGTCGATATAGTTCCGAGTATGTAATTTAACGGTACGTGTGTGCCGCGCATGGGCTATCGCTTTGGCCAGCTGTGGTTGCTTCGTCTCGATAGGATTGTCGCAATTGGAGCTGGTCGTCGGTGCCCACCATAACAATCAAAGGTTTCACATATTGCCCACGGAACATGCAAATGTGATCTAATGGGTAGCTAGAAAGAGATGAGTGTATTTGAATAGGAGGAGATATGTAGATGGAGCAGCTCAAAGAAATGCTCGAGCAACCATCCTGGTCTTTACCTTTTGAGGCGCCCCGTTCCATGTCAGCTGCCCGAGAGTGAGGCCCTTTGAATTGCATTAGCGGTGAATGTGGCGTGGGGAGTATATACGCACGAGCTGGGCTGAACGAACAGAGGCTCGTCACCTAGGTCGTTGGCTGGCCCCAGAGCGTGAGCAGTGCTCCTACGCTGGGAGCTAACCCTTAACGACTGCTGTCTTGGTTCTACTGCCTACGACGGAGCATCAGCAGAGTGACACAGCACAAGTGCGTCGTGCTTCATCATCCATGCTCGCCAGGCGTAGCGAGGAATCACGCAGCCCAATTAGACATGAGAGTAGCTGCGCGCGGAAATCGGCGGCGCTTCCTCTCATGAGCTTCGACGCTCATACAAAACCCAGAGCGTCTTGGAGTCGTCGTGCCATTGGCATCGTATGCACTATCAGATGGAAGACCGGCGATGTTGCAGCGAAGCGGGGGGCGATGGAGCTACGCTCGGCGAATGTAGGCAAATTGGGCCAGAAGATGGCATAGGATAACCGTTGGCGGAACGGTGATAGTCGTGGGTTGAATAGGCGCTGCACGGGCGACAAGAGAGGACAGAGGGAGAGAGGGATTGGCGGGTGGAGGGTGCGGGACAGCGTCTATTTGTGGGCGAGGCGGAAAATCGTCGGGCGCGGGTAGGGCACAAGCACCACGCCTAATCGACTCAAGCCCGGGTCACGTCTGCATACTTACCCACCAGAGCGTCAAGTGCGGCACCGCGTGCTGTATCCGGATGTGGCCTTGCAGTACGGCCGTCTGCTCTGCTGGTCTTTCCGCTCCCTAGCTGCATTTGTCTCTGTTTCTCTGCCACCGGTGGCACCTGCCCGCCATGAACACACGAGCGCCTTCCCCGCCTACGCCTGCGCCTGCGTCGTCGGCCCGCCCCAAGAACTCGACGTCGACCATCACGTCCGCACATGCAGCCAGCAGCTCGCAGCAGCCCCAGACCATGCCCTCCAGCAGCTCCAAGGCCCGGGCGGCCACGCCGGCCGCCAGCCGGGCCGCCGTGAAGGGCGCTGAGAACGACCGGCCAGGCTCGCGGCCCGCCAGCAAGGACAGCCTCAAGCAGAAGATGGTGAAGAAGGCAGAGGAAGCTCCCCGGCCGAGCAAGTCGGACGAGGTACGCTGCAGCAGACGCACAATGGGACAAAGAAGCGGCCGACTAACCCTGCACAGCAACTGAGGGCGCTGCGGTCCGAGTTCGACAGCCTGCGAGCACACCTCACCTGCAAAATCTGCGATCGACTGCTCTACCAGCCCTACATCATATCGTGCGGGCACACCTACTGCTACAGCGTGAGGCCCCAATTCGTGCCCGTGCCGTTCCCGTTTCCCTTGCTAATGCGTCGTAGTGCCTGTGCACCTGGTTCGTGAACAACAAGAGCCGCAAGACATGTCCGGACTGTCGAACGGTGGTGACGCAGCCGCCCGCTCCCGCTTATGTTGTGAGTACCGCAACGGCAGTAATCCTCTCGACCCCTCTGATGCCCTGCAGATCCGCGAGATGGCCGCCGTCGTCATCAGCCGAGCCGAACTGTTGCCCTCCGGCGAGACGACAGAGCAGCACGCGAAATGGCAGAAGGAGGAGGCCGATGCAGTCCAGCAAGACAAAGACAACACGGATCCTCGTACCGGCGGCCTCTTCAAGGGCTGCTTCAGAACCCCCCACGCACGCGGACCTTCGCTCCAAGTCATCCGCGATCAGGAAGACGGCGTCGAGCGGTGTCCGGTCTGCTCCTGGGAGCTCGAGGACGGTGAATGCGTCCAGTGCGGGCTGTTCTTCGACGACAATGGCGAGTTGACGTGGGGCGATAGCTTCAACGGCTTCAGCGACATGGACGAAATGTCCGAGCGTGACTTGTCCGGCGAAGACCTCGATGCCGAGATGGACATGGAAGATGGAGACTTCGACGGCTATGGCGGACCGCCAGACGGCTGGCAGGACTACTTCCCTGGTGAAGACAACTACATGATGCAGCGGTTCCTCGAGCACGGCATCCCTCAGCAAGCTGCCTTCGCGCGTCGCCGACCAATGACCCATAGCGAGGCTGGTAGTCGGCGTTCATACTCCCAGAGCATCGTCTCGGACATGTACACCGACGAGATGGACACCGTTGAAGAAGAAGACGAGGAAGGCCTCGATGAGGACTCTTCCATGAACGACTTCATTGACGACGGAGGGTCCGAGTCGGCGAGCGCATCGTCCACCGCTAGCCAGACTCCGCAGCCCTCAAGTGCCCGAGCTAGGCTTCAGGGGCGGCCTCGCCGGATTGTTGAATCTGAAACCTCTTCTACTATTTCCAGCGTCATCGAAGAAGAAGACGAGGAAGATCAAGGACCCATCCGAAGAGGCCAGAGGAATCGTGCACAGGCGCGGATTCTGAATCGCGCCAACGGCTCTAGGGAAGCAAGCGGGCCACCATCATCGACTTCCACCGATGTATCTACAGACGAGCTCGACGAGGATACGCAGGCATTGCTGCGGTCGGAGGGTTGGATGCTCCAGCATGACGAGCCTGATAACGGGATGGGCGATGATGATAGCGATGGAGGGCGAACGACTGTTGGGTGGGACGAGCCTGCGATTTCCAATGACAGACTCCGAATGGGCGGTTCTCTGACACCTACTGCAGATCGACCGCGACCTAATGCTACGATCCGCCCGCCCTCCCGAGTAGGCAACCCCCTCCGACGACAAGCCTCCATACTCTCTACCTCCACAGTCAGCTACGAGGATGGAGAGGCCGACGATGACGACTCCGATATAGATCACGACGGAGACATCACTATGGCAATGAATTCCTTACGAAACCGCCGTTCTCGAGCGCAAATGCGCAACGCCGCAGCTTTCAGCAACTTCAATGGCCGATTCGCTACTCGCGGGCTATCCCAAGGTGACCCGATCGATTTGGATGCTGATGACAACTCAGACACATCGCAACCCGGAAATGGGCGTCCGCCGGGGCATCAAGGGTATAATCCGCGTATCAGTAGGCTTTTCGCAGATCACCAGCGCACGCTTCAAGAGCTCCAGGGGGGAAGAGGTCTCATGGATTTGGAGCCCCGTTCAACCACGCCAATTGCGCGTCCGAGGACGGCAAACCGCAATCGACCAAGCCCAGCTCAGGCCTTCTCTCCATTCATGCCCCCGCCGACCCGATTGCGAACGCCGCAGATGAATGGTTCCTCAAACCCTGTGAACGCTACGCGTACACCAACTTCTCCGCCTAGAAGAGCGATCCACACGCAAAATCGGTCTGAAGTAACAGGCGCAGATGCCGCTACCAGCATTCACCGTCCCTCTTCTATTTCTTCAAGCAGCAACGTTTCCGCTGTTTTGACACCCGGAACCTCTTCTCCCGCCTTGCAACAATCTGTCAACTCAATCGCCGAGGCCCAAGCAGCGGCCGCCATGGATGCCGTAGACCGTCCGCCCAGCCGAGTAAGCGCCCGCCCTCCTTCCGCAGCGGGCCGACGAAATCCAGCAGCGTTTTCTCCAGTGTATCCCGTCTTTCCCCATAACAATGTTGGCTTGAACATTCAGGGCCGCATTTTCCCAAATCAGGCGGGGAACCCCTGGGGTGCCTTTGTGCAGCCAAGGGGTATTAGGAACCGGAACTCGCGTCAAGTACTGAGAGACCAGTCTTCAACGGCCACGCTGAGGGCTGCTAACTCCCGAGCCAATATTCGTGAAGGAGTGAGCTCGCCGCAAGGAATCAGGCCACAGGCGTCCCGGGTGGAGTTGCGACCTCAGCCGTCCCGCCGTCGTCTAAACAACCAAGCTTCTACACGCACTCTTCGGGCAAGCGAACCTGCTCGGCCACCTCAGTCACCCATAGCAAATACCGCGGCTACTGCGCAACCTGCCGCCCGCGCGACTAGACTTACACCGGACGAACGCGATAGTCTCGCCCGAGCGCTTATCAACGACAGAATGCGCGCTCTGGGGCAGCCTGGAGCGGCTCCTGCACGCGCGAACAATCCGTTTGCCCCAGGATTTAGGCGTTCCAGTAATCCATCGGAAATTTCAATGGCGACGGCGTCCGCTCCCGCCCCGCAGCACACACGAACCAACTCCAATGAATCCATCAACTCGACCACCTCATCACACACCGTTCAGATTGCGCCTTCATCACCAGGTCTCACTCGACGGCGCAGCAACCGGCATATCGCGGCGACCCCACCCGGAGTGCTTGCTCCTGCCCAGGGGGCTTACTCGTCCCCCGCGACTGCGTACACCAACAACTATTTCCGAGGACGGCAGAACTCATTTGGTGGAGGCAACCCCGCTTTTGACTCGCCATTGGATGTCAACGCTAGAGGGATGAGTCCGATGATGGCAGGCCCGCTCATTTAGACACCGGAGGAAGAAGTATCGAAACAGTCAGCAGCGGACGGCCGCTCTCTGGTATGCCTCGGTAACCTGTTTTCTAGTTTCATTTGTTCTGGTTGGCTCGGGGGTTAGGGTTACTTCTGGGCGGATTTGCATCAGGCATTCACGAGCGTATATGATTATGAGCCCGCGTCCACGCATGGCAGCAAAATGGTTGGGTTCTTGGGCATTTTCAGTGGCGTCCTTCTTTTTGACACCTATACCAGTGGGCATGGAGCATTCGGCATATTTAGTGTAGTCAAGTCCATCTTAGCGGGCGTTTGGGAATACCAAGCTTGTTTTTAGGGACTCCTAGTTTCTGTATATGTGTTTTGCCCGGCGTGAGAGCTTCAGCGACCTTTCCTCACATTGAAATCTTGAAGTGTCAAAAGATCCGTGAAGGACTGACTCCAGGCCGAGGGATACGTAGTAAGAATGATGGGAAGCATTCCAAAGGGGCGGATAATTCATTACCTAGCGTGGAGACCTCCAGCGAGCTTTCCATAGAGCGACAGTGCGAGCTGTTTATAGTGACGTAGCCCCTCAGGCATACTGCGCTAACGGTGTTAACCTCAAGGAAAGCCAAAGCAGATTTTCGTTTCATTGCAACATTGGCTTACTTTCTGGTGCCGAATATTCAACAACCAAAGATGCAATTAAAATTTTTATGCGGGCAACCAGCCATTCTCTTATAAAAAAAACCTTCGCATTCCCCATTCTTGTTACCTCCATTTCCCATCCTAAGTATCACTAAAACCCACGCCGTCACCTCCAAATCACACACCTTCTATCTTCAAAAAATGCCCGGCCTAGCTTCCTCAAAGTGGGCTCTCCCGACCATCGAAGACTTCTTCTCCCTCCACGTCCAAACACTCGATCTCCCCTCCCTCGACGAAGACAATTCCTGCTGCCACATCTGCCAGCGCGACTTCTCCTCGCTTGCCGAAGGAATCGACCCTGCGACCGCACTGTCGCTGCACTACTTCGACGAATTGCCCTTCGCGCAGCTGAAGAAAACCGATGTCGATGAACCGCTTCGTCTTCCATGCGGTCATGCCTTGGGCTCGTCTTGCTTGCAAGAGTGGTTTTCTGCGAGCGGGAGCAACCAGTGTCCGTTCTGCAAGCGGGAGCTTTTCGCGAAGAGCAGCGTCATCGCAGCGAATCCAGATCACGAATACGGACGGAGATACCACGAGATCAAAAACCTTCTACTCCGCGCGCTACTTACGTCCTCGTGGAGCGAAGAAGGGAGCTTGGTCTTTCTACCTGCGGACGTCTCGAGTATTGTGGCGAGATTGCCACGCGTTATCTTCAGGGTGGCTGCGCGGGTGCAGCAACCGCGGATTGAAGGAACGTTGGTTTTCCCGGGTCACGAGTCGAAGCTTTCTCTGGACGACGGGTCGAATTTCCATGGTTTCGTTGAGGGTTACCTTGGGAATTTTGAGGATTACGTTAGGGTGCTACCTTGTGCGAAGATGCTGTTGGGAGATGAGGCGAAAGCGGTGTTTGCGAGGATTTGTAACGGGTTTAGGGGATCAGCGGGGCAGGAGTTGCCGGCGCGGGTGTTGTATGCTGAGGTTCTTCGGGCTGTGGGATGTATGGGGGATGTGGAATTGGCGAAGGTGATGGTGTTGGCGGTGAGGGCGATGGTGGATTATGAGCAGCGGATGAGCGATTTGGACTCGCTTTGTGGGGAGTGGTATTAGATTTGAATGATTTTCATACTACTACTTGAAGCAGTCTAGGTCTAGCTTCCCACACCCCATGCTATAATGTGCGAAATGCTTCAAGTCAGCTCTTAAACACTATAATGTAGACCACTGAGGAACCACCGACTCTACCTAAAATCGCCACGCCTCAAACTTCTCCCCAAGCGCAAGAACGACACCATACAGAAACTGTCCAATAAGGAACACGACAGCAACAATGCTAATTGCAGTCGAAGTCTTTTGCTTTTCCTTAGCAAGCCCGAAATACAGCGCCGCTAGAACAAATGCGACAAATGCAATGAATAGCTCGCACGTCAAGATAAATTTGATGTCGAAGCATTCTCGAAATTCGAGTGCATAGCCCTTTGGAAAGCCGCTGTTTGGCGTGTACGTCAGCTTACCCTTGCGCTTCGGAGATCGGTCGTAGCATTGCTGGTCGTATATTGGGCCCTCCTCGCCGGCATGTATAGAGCACGCAGGGTTATGATACGTGCGGGTCAGTTGGTCTTCATGTAGAAGCGGTGGATCCGGAACGGGAGATGCGGGCTGGTAGCTGAAGGTGTACTCCCGAGGACGGTTGCAGATGTCGGGCATCGTAGACGGAAGGTCTTTGGGGTCGTAAAAGGTGCGAACGTTGGTCCTGTTGAATAGTTCGTACTTGGTAGGGCGTAGTGCTCTCACCATGAAAAGCGCTCTCCAGGGGCCTCGATGTTGGCGGTAGATACGGTTCAGTTCGATGAACAAGTGGTAGTCGGTCGACAGGTGCGTTACCCTGACGGGAACTTGCTTCTTGGCAGCGAAGCCGTCCGGCAGAATAACGTGCAGATATAGATCTGCCGCTTCGAGGTCAAAATCATCATCGTGATGGTCATCTCCGCCATCATCTTCACTGTTCCCCTCGTCACCTTCGCCGTTCCTGTCGTTGCCTTCACCATGGGAGGTGTGATCATCATCCCCGTCACCTCCGTCTCTGTCGCCATCTCCGCCCGAAGCATCCCCGGAGGAATCATTTTCACGTTCAACTCCACCCCGATTGGCACGCTGCCCAAGGGGAATGCCGGCTTCGACGTTGGGGGCATAATTGTCTTGATACGAATGTGTTATCGGGTCATTGACGGCGCTACTTCGAGGGCTAAACCAGCGCTGTATGCGTGCGAATTGGCCTTGATCCGACGACTATTTAAGCCGTCAGCGCTTTCTTTCCCAACGCAAAACATGCGCTACTTACGTCGGAGTTGACCCCATCTACTGGCGACACGACGGAAGACGGTTCTTCTTTCAACCAGGGTATGATAAAAGAGAGGAACGTGCGCCAGCCCGTATGAGTCCTCCTTACTATCGGGACAATGACCCGGAGGTAGGAATCGAAAGCGGTGTGATTGGCTGCTGAGGAGTGGCTCTTCATCCCGTAGGCCACTAGAACAGGGCGGATCCGAACGGGATCTTTCATCGCCGCCATGTATTTGTAGTAGCCAAATGTGGTCGCGATTGACAAGGCGGAGAGGGACAGAAACAGCCATGCGAGTAGTTCCACGGACGGACCGAGCATCAATAACACTCCGAGGTTCAAGGTCACGTAACCGGTTGCTATTAGAAGGATCCTTGGCCAGTTGAATCCTTCAACGAAAGCGATGCCCCATCCTCTACTCGATTGATCCATACGGTTCACATGATCTGCAAGACTCTCAAGTCTAGATCCCCAGAATAGCTCGCTGGACTGGGTAGAGTCGACCAACTTCGGTAGAGTACGGAAAATAAGGTTTTGGGATGTGTTGGCGTGTGTATGACGGAAATAGTGTGTGAGTAACTGTGAAGGCAGAGGCGGCGTGAACATCGCTGGCCGTGGGTGATATTCATAGTCTGTGCGGTCGGCGGGAGGAATATCCGGGTCTTTCGATACCTTGATACCGCTTTGTCTCTTCTCAAACTATGGAACTGTAAGCAAGCATTCTCTGAGTGGAGCGTGGTTTCAGAGAATAGGGCTCACCTGCACATAGTGAATGCCTTTAACTGTTATGAGCGACGTAGTCCAGCCTCTGTTACGTTTGTACAAGTATCGTAGAGCCTCGAACAGTGCGGCATCGTTCTCGAACCCCTTGAGCTGTAGGACCGCTAAGGAGGATCGATCCGTCCCTGGTGCATTCAAGCATATCATCAAGTCGCCGGGGTTCGAGCTTGGAGACTCAATCGTTGGTTTGTCACCTTTGATGCCGTGGAATGCTCCCAGATCGGGAGGGCGGAAAGTACGAGGCGCCTGAGTAGAAACCACTTGCTCCTCATCATCTTTTCCAAGACTTCGCGGACGCGAGGATGTGGCAGACTTTCTGTATTCTCCATGGTGCGAGTGCAAAGGTATACCCAGGAAAATTGGCTTGTAACGACGTTGGAAAGGCTCAACCGGGTTGGGTGACTTTTCTTCCGAAGAACGTGGAGTACCTGTGGCGGCGCTGCGAGTCTTGTAAGTAGACGCCTCCCTATTGGAATCGTCACTTACGCAATTGAAGGAACTTTGTCTCGCTTTCTGGCCAAAGAGAAGGGATGAGCAAGTCGCGCTGTGGATGTCGAGACAGACGAGGCGGTAGAATCGATTGAGAGAAGAGACAGCAGAGCAATGGCAGCGGACCCACCAGCCTCGCTCGCCATGATCAGCGGCTAACCGCAGTATATCGGGTCCAAAGATGACCTCAGGAATTGAGATTCAAGGGTTTAAGAGTTTTTAACAGTGGGGAAATAAAGGTTTAAAGCTCCATAGGTATGAGCCATAGTCTCAGAAGGTGGCAGGGTGGGAGCGGGATAAAAGAGCTGTGCTCTTCTGCATCGCCCTAGCAGCGTCTTTTCCAGACATAATGGGTGGCGGTGGCTGCTGTCTCCTCCAACCATATCCGCATTTCACAGCCATGACCGGTGAAGGCTGCCTTGGAGGGGCGGGGCGGTGCTCCTTGCGATCTGCATGTCGAATGAGAGTAGACCGGAGGCATGAGCGATTTCTTCTAACAAATTGGAGCATATGAGAAGGCTGTTTCGGTGAGCTAATGTCCAGCTGAGTAAGAATCTCTTGGTGTCGCTAGTGGTGTCTTCTTGGGATGAAGCTCTGATCGCCCGCTATACCTTTTTAGGTTGACCAATCAGGTGTACTGGGATACGCCCCGAGGCGCAAAAGCCCAGGAAAGGAAAGGAAGGCTTTTTGATTCTGCTCTGCGTAGTACAAAGCCTTCTATATCATACTATGCTTTAGGTAAAATACCTGTGGTCGAGCTCGTGGGCACGAAACTGAGCAGTGCTCGGATGGCTGTTGAGGGGTTCAAGGGACGATACTTGGTTGATTGAAATAATGCCTTGCGTACTATTGTTACAGATCCTCGATATATACTTGATTATTCAGGTGGCAATTAGCTTTTTTGTCATTTCAACAACTATCACTTGAAGCACCCCCCAGATTCATTGTGACCGCCCATTCAATCAGAAGGCTTCTTCAACCCCTTCGCAACCTCAACATATGAGCCCGTAGCAATCTCATCCAAAATACCCTTCTCCGCCCGCACCTCCCATCCCAACTCCTCCTTCGCCTTCTTATTGCTCGCTCGATTCTCCGCACTCAAGAATGTAGCGAAGAAAGGACCCATCGTGGCCTCCAAGTCCGCTTTGGGCATCGAGGGGCAAGCAAGACCCAGTTGCTTCGCAATTGCCTCCGCAATCTGGCGCTGCGTAACGTCCGTCTCGAACGTCGCGTTGTACGCCTCGCCAGCGCGTCCCTTCTGCGCAACGAGGAGATAGAGACGCGCTGCATCCTCAACATGAACGGTCGTGGTGCGCGCAGAGCCTTCATCGACGTAGAACGCTCCGCCAGTCGCAGCAAACCTCTTCATGAACAGTGCCACACCGCTTCCGCCGCGACCGTACACATACGGCGCTAGACGTACACTACACACACGAATGCCCTGCTCCATGTACTCCAGATTGCGTCCGTCCATGAGCTCCTTGAACTGCCTGAAGGGGCCGGTCGGCCAAGGCGGAGAGGTCTCGTCCGTTTCCTTGCCCTCTGGGTCCGGCGCGACGATGAGGGAGCCGCTGGTGAGAACGAGCGGTTTGCCGTTGCCCTTCATTCCTTCAGCTAGAGCGCCAACGGCCGCATTGTTGATGGCAAAGCGCTGCTCTTGCGGCATGCTGTAGTCGCCAGCGAGCGCATCAGCGACATTGATGACGATGTCGGCTTTGGCGGCCTCACGGGTGAGGACGTCGTGGGTTGCGAGGTCGCCACGGACAGGCATAGCGCCGAGTTTCTTCAACTTCTCATCGCTGCTCTTAGTTCGGGAGAGTGCGGTGATCTTGTAGCCTTCAGTGATGGCTTTTTCGATGATGGTGGAGCCGATGTATCCGCTGCCACCAGTGATGAAGATGGTTTGGCCGGACATGTTGATCAGAGATGAAGGATGGACTTTGTGAATTGGAAGGTGGTGAGAAAGACAGAAGAATTGTCACATGAACTGAGTGGATAAGGATGTTGCGAGATGCTGACTGTGACTGCTCTGGATGCCCTATCTTTCTCTCGAGAACTCGGAGCTTCTTATACTCAATGACATGAAGGCCGTATATCCATTGATCTCGGTGCTACCGGACTTAGCGTATTGACTTCGAAAAGAAACACGACATCACACAGGAGAAACATAGTGGTCTACCAGAGAGGCTGTAGCATGATTGCCGGTTTCGGAAGTGGAGATGCGAACTGAGGCTGCTGCCTTACACATTGTATAGGGCCGCTAGCCTTAATCAGACGAAGGCTAACCCGCCGTCGTATTTAGAAACACGCGCCATATGAGAGGAGATCGGCGTGGGGAGAGGAGCAAGATCGCTATTGGGTCATCGGGAGAATGCAGCTCGCTATCGGTTTTTGGGTCGTTGAGCGCGGAAATAACCCGCGGAGTTATGGCCTCCAACCTTCCCAGCCACACCACTTCGCTCGATTCCTCTTGCGCTGCATCGACATCAGCTCAAAGACTGGCAGATGTCTCGCTCAGGTTCCTGCTTGGTGAACTCAAACCTCCACATCTTCTCCGGCGAGCCATTGATTCCGAGCCTACCCAAGGTAGCCCTCGTCTCTTCGCGCACCCGTCCGATGGATTCCTCATGTTCGTACCAGTCGTCATCAACCACCACGACCCTCTCCTCTACATGATCCCCGACCATAAGTCGCCCAATACGTGCGATCTCCATCTTGAGGTTCGATTGGAGAGTATGGTGCCATGCAATCTTTCTATCTCCCTGCAGCTTAGGACAATACACCGTGACTATCCATTTATCGAACAATCGGTCGAAAGGATCCAGGAGCGAGAAGTCGACGTTTTTTGGCCAGATCTGTCTGAACGCCTTGGTCCAAATCATGATGTCGAGTCGCAATGTCTTGAGCTCGATGCTCTTGCGGAAAATCTCCTCCAAGTCTGCAAAGTCATACGAGTGCTTCGGTTCCAGGCTGATTGTCCCGGACAATCTATCCTTTGGCCCTAGCAGGATCAGGGCCTCTGCTTCAACCCTCATTGTTATTTCCTTTGCCTGGATGGGAATGAGTAAAGGCGAACGTAAACTCGGGTATTTCGCCCTGGTATAGCTCCAGGACCATGTCGCCCTGAAGAGAAGTTGTTGGACTCCTTCTTTCAGGATGGAGGTGTTGGTAAGCAGCCACATTGGGAGGGTGGCCCTCTTCTCGAACCACGGATAGTCTTCGTAGCTGACGCTCAGGTCCGCCATCTTGTGGGGAACCACGATCCCGGGTGTTGCCTTCCACAGGAGATGATATACCATGTCACGAAGCTCACGAGAAAGATCCATGAAGCCGGGGTGTCCGGTGGTAATCTCGCCTTCTCCGGGAAGCAATTGACTCGATGCCGCGGGTCGACGATGAAGTTCTTCCGCCAGGCCCATTTGGATTCGCTTGATGCGACGGTGGTTGTTTGCGGCCTCGTAATCCTCTCCGGCGCCCTTGTCTTCGTTACTCATTGTTTTCGACCGGAACAGACTTGTTGCAGCCGGTAAATGTCCCCAACCACAAGCGTTAAGGACCGGAGCGTGGTAAGCCGCCGTGTTCGAAATACCTGTTGCGTCGGGATCGAGTCTCTATGGTGGTGGTAGAGCTCTCGTGGTTGTTCGATGGCCAAACTCTGGCGTGGGCGTCGCTGTTTTATATGTCAAGAATAGGTTGGAAGTTTCGCGGTGACTGCATAAAGATATGCTGCGCTTGGCGATGGAGGTGAAGGTGCGCCTCGATGATGACAACGCAAGACCCCGCCTGGCCTCTCCAAAAGTAGGTACCATGGTAACGCTGCCTTCTCTCCCCTAACGTTGACTCCGGACGTTGGCACTGTTCGTCTGGCACGGACGTGCCCTCTGAAGAGAAAGGGGCGGACTTGAATCATGGAGTAATAATGCCTGACTCTCTGCTAACGGAAGTAAAGTAACACTCACAGTCTGGTTGTTACATAGATGAAGAACCATACCCGCGCCTCATTCACTGATCAACAATGCAGGCCGCCATTAACAATGGAGTCATATAGAACAAATCCTCGTACTGTCACCCCTCACACCAAACTCACGCCACCTAGTCCGTATCGAGTAGCGTCGCCCCTGGGAACATCCTCCATTGACTCTTCCCATTGAGCTATACTACTCCCGGAGATGCTTAGCTTGTTCTCGTCCAACCTCTACTTTTAAGCTGCCAGCTACTTCGACTGTTAGCTGTCACAGTCCTTTGTGAACTAGAACTGCCAGCTCACTGCATCCGGCTGGCCACGAATTCGAGGTGGACCAGTCCTACAGGCTAGCTGTTCGGATTTCCATACGTAGAGCGCGAACCCAGGTCCAAAGCTTAACAGGCTGAGCCGCTGGGGCGAGTAGAGCCTGGGACTTTGTACGGGAAGAGGTGCAGGGAGGAGGTGGTAGCTACTTCCTTCACTGAGAAGGGTACGCTAGCGGAGGCAGTCGGCCAGGTATTGAGCCGGCCGCAGCATCCCAACATGGTCCCTGCTTCGTCACCGGGCTTTTTGAAGCGGATACAAAAGAATTCACGTTCCTATTAACCTCTTCGAGCCGAGAAATACCTAAACTACGCCGGGCTGCTGCAAACGAGCGATGGATGACGTGATATTCTGCCTAACGGATGGTAAAACTAACTTACAGAAACTGCCACCAGATCGAGTAGGAAAGAAAGATACAATGCCTGAATACAGTGATGTACAACAGAAGAGATGGACAGGAAAAACCAAACAGAACACACGTCGTTCATCAGTGTCGAGGCCGTCTGGTCGTATCATCGATTATCACCCGTCAACATGCTCGTCTTCATCGTCATCATCAGGCGTACATAATCCCATCTCGGGAAACGAGAGGCAAACAAAAGACCAACTGCGCCGGGAGACAGGCCGGAAATAATATAGCAGATTCGAAAAAGGAAGAACAACTGGAGAGATGCAAAAGCTGTTCTACCCAAGCTTGCTGAATGCTAGGGCACGCAAGATGCACCGGCATCCGAGAAAACATCTGGAAGGAGAATCTCATGTCTTCATGACCAGAAGGCGTGCAACAAGTCTATCAAAGAAGAACCCCATGTCTTCATCGACCCGCTTCTCTTCACTTGCCTTTCTGTCCAGGTAACCACCGGGACTGGCTCGTTTCGCGGCCTCGCGGACGTTCTCCACGAATCTGTCTTCCGGGTTCATGGTGGAGGCATTCAAGCTGCTTGAATGCGAGCTAGACTCACCCTGCCATTCAGGATTTAGGCGAGCGTGGCAGCCTGGGTAGCAAGCGGAGTAGAACTTCAGAAGCGACTCCACACCCTCATCATCAACCTGACTGTCTTGCTCAAGCTTTGAACGCGATACGCCAGAACCGTAGACGTCGTGGTAGGGGCGTTTGGCGGCATGGTATTGGATTGACTCGACAGTCATCAACACGACGATGAGGGTTGCGAGCGCGAAGGGCCATTCATGGCATTCCCGGTTGAGAACGAGCTGTTCCAGGGATAAGAGGACTTCTTTCATGAGACGGAGGGCGAGCAAAGGCATGACGGAACCAAATTGCGCGCGGATAAAGCAGGGCGTCGGAGTTATGGCGTCAGAGATGGTCATCATCGTGCGGACTAGCTGAGCGAGGTTCAGGTCAGTGGAAGGTGGAGGAAGTGTAAGATCGCCGCCGATATGTACGAGAACGAGGAGCTTGAGCGCTTGTTGCAGAAGGTGCGAATACGGCGTATTGACAGGGAGGGAGCGGAAGAAGATGTAAACATGGTTGAGTATCCGGAGTGGCGAGCGGAAGAGTGGAAACGAACGGAAGTGGGCATCATGCTTGACCAGAAGCAATAAGTGGGCGTCCAAAGTATCCTGCAAGTTGGATTCAGCTTCGTGCGTGAGGACGGCGGGAAGGACGGCGTGCGTATGCATCTCCTCCGAGGAAGAGCTCGGTGGCCAAGAGTATATGACATGCTCGTGGCATAGAGCATCTGCGTCCTCGACCTGGAGCGCATGAACCGGCAAGCGAAGCTCTGGTCCGAAGCCAAAGTTTAACGGGAGAGTATAGCTGAAGCCAGTCAGGACGTGATAGCTGTCGGCGGCGATGAATGAGTTGACTGCTCGAGCAGTAGGATGCCAGCCCAAGCGCTCAGCGAGAAATGTGCCAGAGAGGTCGGATAAAAGCTGGTCGCGGCACGGATGGTTGATGAGGTCGCCCTTGTAATAATTAAGGCAGGATTTGCATGGGATGCCCTCATCACATCTCTCTTTACGCCTCTTGCAATTAGAGCAAGAGCCGAATTTTCTCATGTAAGCAGCGTGGGTGCGTTGTTCGGCTCTTAGGGGTCCGACCCGGCCCCTTGGACGCCTTCCCCGATTGCCTTCCGCTCCGGATGCCACCAGTCTATTGGTCTGAAGGTTTGGTTGATATGACACCCATCCGAGGGCCTTCGTCGTCGGAGATGGTGTACCCATTTTATTCCTACTGCGCCGTGGCTCACTTTTCGAAATGCTCCTGGAAAGAGGGGCGCTTCTGGGAGGACGCGTTGCAACTGGAGACACGGAGAGCATTGGAGGCACCTGGTGAGTCTGTTGCTGAGACGCCATCGCAGGAACATGACGGTTAGACTGTGGAATCGTGATTGCTCGGGGACGAACTTGTTGCTGTGGCATTTCTGAGGACCATGGACGAGACGAAAAGGTATTGCTGAAGCTCTGCGAGCCGGCTTGTGGTATGGGTATGGGCACAGCGCCCCCATGGTCAAGCTCCGGAATCGGCTCGATGGGTGTCTCTACCCAGGTACCGACATTGGAGAAAGCCTGAGAAGCAGAAACATCGAGGTTGCTGAAGGCATGCGGAGAGCTGGCGATATGAGGATTAAATAAAGAAGCCGACGCCGTGTGGTATGAGCTATGCGAACCTAAACTGCCGAAAAAGGGTGACGATGTGGTCGTCCTTTGAGGAGACAGGTTATCCTCGCAGAGACTGAAAGGGCCCTGGAACGCACTCGGATCCCGGCCTACTAGCGGGGATGTCGCAGTTGTTGATGGAGATCCATTCAGCCACGAGTGCCCCTGACCGAGCGGCGAAGGGTCGCCCACAACGGAGGGCGCGGCTGAAAGAACATAATCAAAGGAAGAAAGTCCATCAGCTATAGATGTTGCCGATGAAGGCTCGCACTGCTGCTCTGATGTAACGCTTTGCGCATAACCGTTCGAAGTGAAGCTCTCGTCGTACCCGGCCGATGTGCTGGCAAAGCTGGCGTCGCCTTGGAAGAACTCATCATACAATTCTCCGTTGCCGTCCCAGGCGACAAATTCTTGCCAATCCTCTGTTGCCAGCCCCTGGCTGAGGGCAGACATAGGGACCGGCATGGTGACCATACGGCAGGTTGCTAGCTCTGATAGACTGCCTAGGGTCAGCTACTAGTTATTGACCTAATGGCTCGATTGGGCCTACTTACTTGAAAGATCTGTCAGGCTGGGAGTGCGCCACTAATGAGGAAAAGCAACGGTACGGCGGAATGCACCAGCTAAACAAGGCTGCTGAAAGTTGATAGAAACAGGCCGCCACCCTGTAGGTGCTGGCGTCAAAGAGAAAGGCTGATAGAAGACAAAACGAATCAAACAAACGGCCGCCAGGAACCAAGGGAAAGTATAGAAAGGCAGCAGTGCGAGATGGCGTGGCACAGGCTGCAAGAGTCGAGAAGATATACGTGCCCAAACGCGGCACTGGGGACGCGGAGGATACTCGCGGCTGAGAAACGAAATGTCTGCCTTGCCGAAGGCCTGACGAGTCGCCGCTCAGGAGCTTATCACGTTTTGTGCATTACCTCGAGGATGACAGAATACGATCTGGTAAATCTACCAGGCTGTGCGGTGCCGCGACTCATCATAGGAGCCGAGCGATGGGCGCGGCGAGGGTAGTGTTCGTGCGGTTGGTGCGCAGCTGACCTGCCAGCGCCCTTACCGGTCACCGGTGAGAGGCGGATCCAGGATCCAGCTTCCCCGCTGCCGTAGCACATTCGCCGGCAAATCATCGACGGGAAGAGGGAGCGTGTGCAACATGGCAGCCGTAGGGCCGGCGAGATGGATGAAGGATGGGATGCGGGATATTTCGAAGCCTTCTCGAAGGCCTTGCGCCCCGCTCCTTCCACCTCGCTTGTGGCGCAGACCCCGGCCGGCGGGGGTCACGGTGCCAGACCACAGGCTGGATCGTCGACTTGGGGACGATCAAGCAGTTCCGGAGCGTATAAACATATCACGGCCTGATATAACTCTGCCTGTGAGAGAAGTCGTGCGAAATTCATGATTCCCAAGGCGCCTGAGTATTTCATATACAGAAACCAACTCCATCGTACCTCGTCCCCCTACACGCAGCCCCATTCCCACACGCCCTCGCCCAGCTTCGCAGTTTTGTTCCGCGCTAGCGGGGCGAACGAGTGAATAATAGGGCTGAGAACCGAAGAACCATTCTGGACGAATCGGCTCGTCGGATCCGCACCCTCTGACGAAGCAGCCTTGCCGAGCGGCTGCGAACTGCCTTGCAGCCTCATGTTTTCGAGCAGTGGCATCATCTCGTCGTATGCAGCAGAAATTCCCTCATAAGCACCAAGGGTTGCCCCTGCGCTGGGAGCTGCATCAGTGACAGTCTCGCCTTCGCTTCCCATCTCGCTACGCAGGATCTTGACCTGCGCTTTGAAGGCGCGCCAGAACTCGTATTTATCGAGTGGGTCCTCATCATCCGGATCGTCTTCAGAGAGCTCTTCGTCACCGTCTCCGTGGCTCCTAGCAAGCTCCAATAGAGTTGCCACAAACGCTTCCTTGAGGTAAGCAAAGCTGAAATCGTCTGTGATGTCTGCGATGGCGTCGCACAGCTTGCCAGGGAACTCGATGCTCTTCTTGCTCTTCAGCTTGTTACGCCAGTATTGCGCGTACAAAGCGCGTTCGGCCTTGTCAGGCAGTGGAAACAGGTACTTGCGGTCGAAGCGGCTCGGACGCTTGCTGAGCCCTGGATCCAGCTGGTCTAGGTGATTCGTCGTGGCAATCATGAGGATCCCATCGTTATTCTCGAGACCATCCACCTCGTTGAAGAAGTAGCTTCGAGTGCTCTGCGTCACAATCGTGTCGATATCTTCGAGGACCAGCATGCATGGGGTCATTGCACGAGCCATCTGGAAAACCTGACGGATATTGAAGGGATACGGAGCCGATTTGACGTAAAGCGTCACCACCGGCTGGTCTCGCTCCTGAAGGGTGTGCATCAACGCCTTGAGGGAGATGGTTTTCCCGTTCCCCTAAAGTGGCGGTATAATCAGCATATGTTTCAGGTTAGTGTTCGAACGACGAGGTTGGCTTACAACTGGTCCATGAAATATCAGGCCTCGCTTCCACGGCACTCCATACTCGTCGTAGATATCTTTGGAATCGAAGAATTTAGAAGCGACCTCGGTCAAGGCCTTCTTCTGCTTCGGGTCCAGGATTACGTCGCTCCACTTCGCCTTCCTCACCTCCTCCCACAACTTCGTGCTCCGGGTCCAGTAGCCGTCGTAGACGTATATCGCTGGCTCTTCCTTGATTAGCCACGCCCCGATGGTAGCTAGAAGCTGGTCGACCACCGACGAGTGCGACATCGTGGTCTCGTTACCACGAGGCTCCTTGAGGATAAACTGCATCGAGCCATATCCCAGAACGATGGTGTACAAGATAAAGTTCTCGTTGCTCCAGGTGTACTTATACCTGTGAACGTGGGGTTGAAAATTAGCCAATGTCTCTGGTCGAAAGGTTTTTAGGAATGGCTTTTCCGTGCCATGTACGTACCTTGCGAAGAAGATACTATCAGCCAGGTATCCGGAGCCGCCTCTATGTGAGGGTCCAATGAAGCCACGCCAGCGAAGAACAGGCTCGGTATCATCGTCTAGCTCGGCTTGGGCAAATCCAGCAGCAGCGAATTGGAGAAGATTGACGTTGGACCCGGGAACAGAAGTAACGATCATTTCTGGATGCTTCTGGCGAAGGGCAGTGACAAGCGGGACTTCTATATCGGTCTGTACGCCGGAATTGAGTTTGCGGAAATCCTCGAAGAGCTGTGGCGGCTTGCGCCCTTGGGCGTCGTTCTCGACGAAGGTGAATGCATCGTCGGAAGCCATGAGGAGATGAGCACGTGGGAGACGGCGACGCAGAGAAATAGGGAGTAGGGAAGTGAGGAGGTCGATTGGGTTCAGCAATTGGCGATATAGTAAGCTTGCAAAGTCACCCGAAGCTCTTCAGACCACCGTGTCATGGGAGGAACGGCGACTTAAGTAGATTGCGCCGTGATCTGCTACCGAATCCTACACTCGACAGCCTGGGCTTGTTGCCGAATAGCAGAGGTAATGATTGGCTTATGCGATGGATGGCTGGGCTGCGAAGGATTGAGTTCGTGGGAATGACGTCGGATGTTTCACGCTGGAACAGAGCCGGCGTCTGCGGAATGGTTGCCTGGCGGATGGAACGGGACACAACAAGGGACTTGGGAGACGCGAGCTCAATGTATGATGACAGTAGCAGTGTGGGGAGGGGGCGTTTCTCCCGCTGCATGTACGAGAATGCGGAGAAGCAATATCGCAGGTAGTACCTTCCATGATTGGCAGCAGTACGGGTTGCCTCTTTCAACTCCAACCTTCGAGGACACTGTACTTCGTATGTGGTGTATGCTAACTTTGTCCTGGCGGTGGCCGAAACAAATGGCTTGGATAGGTCCCTATATTATCGTCTCTGGTAGCCTCCAACGGTACATGGCGATGGCGTGCATATGTTGAGAACCACTTGCTGACACTCTCGTCCCAGAGGCTTGCTTTCACATGCAAGAAACAAGCACAGGCATGTGCTCAACCCTTTTCTTTTCTTGGCTCTGCATATCATAAATGCCCCCTCATCCCATGCTCTCGCGACTCGTCGCATTCCAATTTCCAAGCATTAGTGTTCACGAGGTACGTACGCCTTCTCCGGTATTGGGCCTGAAGGCGCCAAGCCCCAGGATGAAGAGTCCACGTGCTGACCCAGGGTGTAGATTTTCGACCTACCTTCCCTTCGAGAAACTGCAACAATTCAGGGCGCGGAGGGGTGCGTCGCGCATGACTCCTCCATCCTTCTTCTCTTCCCTTCGTTTTCCATCCTTCTAAAGCTACATGTGTTGTAATTGAAGAGTATTTGGGACACATCGCGGAGCCTCGGGATTAGGCTCAATTAGCACGCTGGGGAAGGAGCGACCGACCATGGCAGACGACCCTTTCGTAACATCCAGCGCGACACAGCAACCCCACATCTACCGCCCTATACCGCGACGGAACTTCTCCGCGAACACAGACTCGACCGACTCGCCCAGCGATCCGTTTGCGCCGTCTACTCCTCCTCTACACGATTCGAACAACCGCTCGTCGGACTTCCTCACCCAGCTCAACGCGAGGCTACTACGGACATACAATGCGCGCAATGGGAGTATACAAGAGAGCAGCTCCGTGGAGGGAGGACAGCCTCCGCCACGCAATAAGAGCTTTCTAGATATGACGAGAAGCACGCTATTTGGGATATACGACGAGGAAAGTGGCACAACAGGGGACAGGAGCGTTGCGGAGACGCCATGGGGCACGGGCGCCGAGACACCAGGACGAAGCTCTTGCGACGCCGGCATGTGGGGTAATGGGATGGGGAGTCCGGACGCAGGTCTCGCAATGAAGAGCCGCTCGCGGCAACCAACGATGAACGGCCGCGGACCTCGATCGTCGACGGCGATGCAATCACCGAAACCGGCGAGACAAGGAGCGTGGAAATACACGGTAATGATGGGGAAGCTGGCTGCGCTGTTCCTGTTCGGAGTAATCTATGGCGTTATTGTGAGCCATCTACACGACACGAGAGAGCTGGCGGCCGTCAGGGTCGGCGGTGTAGATCGCGAGAGCTGGATATACCTCGCCAGTTGGGGGCTTGCGGGCGTCATGCTTGGGAGTCTACTACCCTACGTCGATCTCGTGTGGGACGGGCACAGATCAGACAGCCAGCGGAAACAGGCTCAGACGGAGAAAGAGAACCCACCAAGCCTCAGCGAGCACTGGAACGATGTGGTCCGGAGTGTGGGCGCTTTTGTAGGGATTGCGTTCGCGATCGTAAGTGGACCACCCACTCAGACCCTTGACACGTCTGCTAACGATCATTCACAGCGCCGCCTACCTTGGCAATCCACCCTCCAGCTCACCGTCACCCTCGCGCTCGTCAATCCCGCTCTCTGGTATATCCTGGATCGCAGCAAGCCCGGCCTATCCTTCTCGCTCATCGTAACCTCCATCCTGACCTCATTCATCTTCCTCTCCAACCCCGACGTCCTCCCTTCACCCTCATTACCAGCCACCACCAATGCCACCCACTCACCCTCCCCCAACACACAAACACCGGTAGATGCGGAATTGTTCGCAGGCATGGTCAGCTATGAGACCCTGGCCATTGTGACATGGGTAGGCAGTGTGTTATTCTGCAGTTGTGTATGCTTCGGGAGTATTGGGCGGCGGTTGGCGGTCTGGGAGAGGTGATGTTATACTATTGGTTTGGATAAACCTTTTACTCTCTTTATGTGGCATTATGAGCGGCCTCGAAGAGGCTTAGCGTGTATTTTGTGCTGTACCGGTCAGGGCAAAAAAAAAAGGTTCTGGGTTCTAAAATGTGACCTTGACGCGGGTTCAGCGCATGGGCTTCCCTTGCGGACTGCATTTCTAGAGCTTTTTAATGCACGAGCACATTGTTCTTCTTTTCTAGTTCGCTACTCATTTCTCTCTCTGAAGTGCTTATAATCGTTGTTCTTCCGGCTAATTCCATAATTCGATGCTGTTGCTCTAGGGGAGCTCCTTCCTCGCCTTTGCCCTGTTAATGAAGCACACACCTGCACCTTCCTCTTCCCCTGTCCCTTTGCATCCTCCTTCTCGACTTCCCTCCTACACAGATACGCAAAAATCCTCTACTTCGTTTCCATCCCCAATTTCTCTCCGCCTAAGAATAGCAGTATACATACCGCATAACTCTGCAGTTCTTCCAGGAAAGTAACTCAATGTAACAAACCATCGTTTCGTTCACTGCGACGACTCCCACACTAGGCGCGAACCCTTTCCTTTTGCCTCTTTTTATTGCATTAAGAGAATGACTGTTGGGTCAAACGATAGTCGAAACCTGGCTTTGGGGTGTCGAATCTGGCTGTAGGTGTCTGCCTTTGTCCGATGCTTCTTTTAAGGGCTTAGGAAGGAGCGAGGCGAATATGAAGGGAGGACGCAGGAGCTCGAGCAAGAGAAGTTCGGGAGGCATGAGCTGCCATACTGACATAGAGCTCCGTTCTCACAGCGCCGCACGGAGCTGGGAGAGAACCCGACCGACGGCAAGACGTGTTGAAGAACTTCGTTTCATTCTGCATCTCATCTGATCCTAGATCCATGCGTGCGGTCATATCTACAGTTACATCGACGTCGTGACTATCCATCCATTCATCCAATCCATCCCATCCATCCACGGCTATTCATAAAAAGATAAAAATTATCTGCAAGGCTGCGCAATGCGGTCTCTATCGCGCATGCCGCCTGGTGTCGAAAGGCAGTGACACCCACTAACAAAGAGGATATATAGCTAAATCCAAGGAGAGCAACGCCGCAATGCTAACAAAAGGAAAGGAGAGAGAAAGAGAGTGAGCAACTTAGCAGAAGAACTTGTATATCTTCTTCCACCTGGGCCACTGCTTCCTCTCTTCCCGCTCCTCCTCGATGAGCGCTTCAAGATTCAGCTCGCGGATACCCGTATGGAGATCCATGTTATGGGATCGAACTACCGAGGTCCGGTAGTAGAATTTGTACGGGAAGTAGAAGACCAGCGTGACCGGCAAAGCCAGGTACACTTGAAAGAAATCCTGCAGGCGCATCGAGATGGCTTTCTCAGCGTATCCGATCGGCGCAATAGCGACCCAAAACTGGGCCACGAGCACGAGCATATTGAATACGAAGCCCACCCAGGAGCCAATCACGCCGGGCTGCGACTTGAACGCGAGCTCCTTGAGAGTGTGACCTTGTAGCTGCCAACCTTTGCGGAAGCGAATGTGAGCGAGGCAGATGGAGGCCCAGGTAAAGATGGCTGAGAGTGCGGACAAGGCGAGCATCCAGTTAAATGCGGCCTCCTGTACGTCTTTCTTTACACCGGCTAGGAAGGCAAGGAGTCCGAGACTAGAGGCAATGGCGATAGAGACGAGAGGACGTCCTTGACGATCGATGTAGGCGAGGATTCTGGGGGCTTGATGTTGCTCTGCAAGCGCTGCGAGCGTTCGGCTGGAGCCGTAGATGGACGAGTTGCCGACTGAAAGGACAGCAATCATGATGACGGCATTGAATACAGAGGGCAACCCGTCGATACCGGCGTTTACAATTGCAATGACGAAGGGTGAGGCCACAGCGTCGGCGTTGTTTGATTTGTGAAGGAGGCGCGGATCGTTGTAAGGAACTAGTAGACCGACCAGCAAAAGCGAAACGACGTAGAAGAGCGAGATACGCCAGAAGACCTGTTTGACGGCGGTAGGGAGAGATTTTCGGGGATTAGCTGTTTCGGCTGCAGCCAGTCCAACGAGCTCCGTTCCGGAAAAAGCAAACGCGGCATTCACGAAGGTGCTGCAGAGGCCTTTAAAGCCGTTGTTGAAGGCGCCAGGGTCCCTCCAGAGCTTGCCCCCGATATAGCTGCCATTAGGTCCTCCGCCAATGTTAATAACGATTCCGAGGATGATGAATCCAATGACTGCAGCAACTTTGATAATAGCAAAGACGAACTCGGCTTCACCGTAGCCTTTGACGCCGAACAAGTTGATCACTACGATGAGGACGAGAAAGATGGCGACCCAGGCGTTGTTGTTCACACTGCCGTGATTCCAGTATTCGATGGTGTAGGTTGCAGCGACGATCTCGAGCGGTAGCACAACGAGCCATTGCAGGGCATAGCTGCATGAGTTAGTCAGGTGTCAATGCAAGAACCCGAGCGAGTGGTCGCTCACTTCCAGCCCATTGCAAATCCCCAGGCGGGATCTAGAAACCTAGTCGAGTATGCCGAGAAAGAACCGGCGACGGGGAATAGGACGGCCATTTCGCCGAGCGCATGGACGGTGCAGTAGAGCATGATGCCGACTAGACAGTATGCTATGACGAGCGATGCCGGCCCGCCTTGGGAAAGCGCTTGTCCTGAGCCCACGAACAAGCCCGTACCTACAGGAGCTCAGCACGGAAATTCAATGTAGGCATAGGCGACATACCTATTGAGCCTCCAATGGCAATCATCTGCAAATGCCGGCCCTTCAGTCTTCTCGCGAGTGGTGAACTGGCTGTATTTGCTGCGGCACTCTCGACATCGAACACCTTGCCGTCGGCGCCCATGCTGCCCTTGGGCGTCATCGCCATACTCGGATCCCGCTTGAAGCTGTCCAACATCCTCCTCCCGAGCCCGTCTCTATGCACTGATGACTCGCCATAATAGCCCGAATTTTGCGAGTCCCTCCCGAAACTCTTCTCGGTGCCGTAGCCGTCGTCGTCGACGACCATTTTGGCGGGCGGAAAGCGCGAACGGTGCAGAGGCGCAAAAGAAGCGCGGCGGGCGCTGCAAGCTCAGGTGTCGCTGCAGTGCTGCTACCGGAGTGTCGCGTGGGACGTCGAGGTCGCGGGTGAGAGACGACGGTGCTGTGGTGCTGCGGTGGTGGGCCGGGGTGGTTGGTGCAGGGTCTTTAATAATAAGACGGGCAGGCTGAGCGAGGGCAGTGGGCGAAGCCAGGGTGCCAGGGTGGAGGACAGGGTGGGCGCCGGGCTAGTGTGCTGCCAGGTGTGGCGGGAACGGGGGTCCGTTCGGGGCTTGCAGACGGCATGGCGCTGAGAGATAATGTACCTAGGCAATGTATAGGCAATGTATGGCGGAGTGGTGGTGCGATTGTCACTGCGGGCCACCGATGAATTGCGACATTCAGCCAATGCCGGGCGGCGCTGGGGCCGCTCCACCACGACCCTTCGACCCGGAACCCCAATCACGGCGCCCTCCGATGCGCGCCATGGGTGTCAACCTGTCATCCCAGGCCATGAGAACGCTTGGTCAGGCCGCGTCCCTCGCGCGTCCGGTGCGGGCGACGGCTTGGGCCCTCACACGGCCCCGATATCAGGGCCATGCCCGCCGCCGTTCTTGCCTCGGGGTCGAGTCCAGTGGCGCTCTTGGCCTTTCTAGAAGACGGCAGGACGGCAGCCCGCGCACAGACGCCGCGTCTTATCAATCCCGATACGTACCTTCTCCCCACAGCCGCCGTTGTCCAGCGCTCCACGCTGCCCATCACCACCATCTACACGATTCTCACATATAGTCGGCCCTGTCCGCCTCTCGAATGAGGCCCTCGAGGCTTTACTGGACCCGACGCTGCGGATCACATCTCACAGTCACAGTCATCCGTCCTGCAGCACCCCCATTGGCCCATACACCACTCCGCTCCAGTTTAGGCAATTCACGCCTCCGCTCCAATACCATTTTGTGTCTCCATCATCAGAGCTATTCGCACGCTTCAACGGCTCCATTGCCCCTCGAAGGCCTGCGCGCGGCGGTCAGCTCACCGTGCCGCACAGCTGCGCTTCACTGCGTATCGAACCCGTCTCCTGAATCTCTCGAGGCGCTCGCGATTATCCTGGCGAAGGGGCACACGCGTCAGTAAGACGGTGTTTCTAATTACACCCACGCGTCTCGACTCGCTTCCAGCCCAACAATATATGAAGCTGTACGGCCAGGGAGGTCTTCATCAGCGGTTACCTTCTCGAGAGGCCTGCATGAATCAACGAGGCTCGCCTAGCAGCATCTGTCAGGCACGGAACGCTCCCCAGGTCGCCTCGAATTACATGCAGCACCAGGCATCTTCAAATTACCCCTTCGCCCAACATACACCGGCCGCTTTGCTTCGTGCTTTCCTTCCTCCTCAGCGGAGCCTACTCTACTGCTACAGTCCATAACTCCGATGCCGCAACCCCTGGTCTCGCGGCTTCGATAAGGTGCACGCGACTGCATCTGGTTGAGTTTCCAACACAGGCGGAAACCAGACTGGCCATCGATGCTGGAACGCGCGGCAGAATGATGCTACGCCGCAAATCGACATCTCGACTCCCGTAGACTCGGCCCGTTGCTTCCTGTCCTACAATAGCTGTACTTGAGCGAACACAAGCTCCCCCGATTCCGACCGCCTTGTGCAGCCAATACCATTACCCGAGGACGGAAATCAAATCCGTCAAGTCAAGCCAAAAGCAGCGGTGAGTATCACCATCACATCTCACGAAGAAAAACTACCTTATCCGCCTCACACAAGACCAATACGTTCCCATACCCAATATCACACTCCCTGCATCTCTAACGTTGTTACTAACATCCGCGCGGGATGTTCGGACGTATCGGAACATTGCAAAGACACCTATCCGCCTTCCTCTTCCGGTTGGAGTGAGGACGATGGGACGCCACCACCAACATCGCGCATGTTTTCGACGATGCGGATTCGATGGTAGGCAAGCCTCTTCCGTGGCATGTAACGTCGAGCGATTTATTAGCGTTCAGGAAGGCGAACGCCAGCAGAGAAAGATGACCGTCGGCTTCCGCTATGGATGCACGAGCATGAATACTCCGAGGTAGGCTGCAGATAAGGCCACATGGTCGCACAGAGCATGTGCAAGCCAATCTGCCTTGCGCTGCATTACTTTCACCTCTTTTTGACTCTCTACGTCAGCCACGCTTTCATTGGCATGTCATTCTCGCATGTGGCTTATTGGGGACGGCCATTGCCGTGCCCGTCTACCTGCAGCACACATCCGCCTTTCCGACATCTAAGACATTGCCTCCCCATCGAAAGATTCTTTCATTTACCCCATCTACCGCATCAACTCCAAACACTCTGCCGGTTGAAGTTTCAACACCTCTCTCGCTTCAGTCTCACGATATGTCTTCCCCCTCGTATTCTTGGCCTCGCACCTACAGGACCCTGTGTATCTGAAACTCGAACGCCCGTCCCCTGTCCTCATATCGTGTTCGCAACCATCCCTCTTCTCAATCCTTCATCCATGCGCTTTGCTTTCGCACGTATTGACGCCACATCCCGCGTCTCTGGCCACCGGTGTCGCTTTCACGTGGCTAGTAATTTTGACAGCGGGCTCTTGCGCAAGTGACATACATGTTGCGCGCTCAGACCTCGCTCAGACCTCGCCCAGACAATGGTTTTCCGGAACGGGAAGGTGCCGTGAACACCCTCCGAGGATAAGTCGGACCCCAGAGATCGTTCGCGAAGGATTCGCAGAATGTGGAGGGGGGATGACGAACGGTCAGAGCGGCTGATGCGGGTGGTAATCGATCCTTTGGCAGGAGCCGCAAGCCGACAACCGGTCAACAGGGCACGTTCAGCTGGTGCACCCTGAGGCTGGTAGCCTTAGGCCTGGAGCTCTCGTAAGGACGTCGTGTATCGTGGCACCGCTTCGGGCGACTTTCCAGTATATGCAGCGGGCGGTCCGGAGCGTGGGCTGAAGTACTGTTGTGTAGCTGGTTGTTTTGAGGGGCTTACTATTAGGCGCTCCAGTCCTGTAAGCATTTTAGATACGTGTCTCTCATCCACCGTCGAGACACGGAACCGCCCCTCAAATCGTACCATCGCGCTACTCGTGTAGCTCTGCGCTTTGCGACACAACACATTCCTTACCTCGGCCTCTTAGGCTAGGACGACGCGATAGCGAGTAGTGCTTTGCTCGGGATAATAGCCCAGTGTATTAGAAGGGTACGTAAGTAATTAGTTCCTGTGGAATCCACGTATTTTGGCTGGAGACGCGAAAACTCCAGCTGATTCAGAGGCGCTGCTCATATGGCTACTTACTAGCCTTGTCCTTTTTAATTTAACCATCATACCAGTAGTATTACACAGCGCCTTTTTTCCCCCCTTAGCTGGAGAATCCGGTCCAGGCGTAGAATAAACAGCATGACCGCCAACAGAATGCACATCTTCCCTCTCATCTCTAGAACGCAAGCAGACACCAAAACCCCCCAACTTATCCAACACCCCTTTCTTTCTCCTAACACATTCCCCAACATGCATATCACACTCACAGACACGCAGCATCGTCAAATCGCACTCAACAACAACAACTCCTCTCTGACACGAACGTCTTTTCTTTACCCGCTATGTACTCGCACAACTACATCATCATCGTGCCCTGAACACTCTCTCATACAAACCAACTTTTTCCGCATTCCATTCCATCTCATTCCCATATCCTACAAAACTCCGCCAAAAAGATCAAATGAAAAATAGAAAAAGTAGTAATCGTATGCACAAGAAACTCGTAGAGTCATTACGAATTAAGAAGAAAAATTCCCAAAAAGGAGAGCGGTATGAAAGGTAGTATCCAAAACTCAGCCGGTCAACGCAAGGCGAAAACGATCCAAACGGCTTATCGAAACGACATCTATGAAGAAGAGAAAAAGGTGGTAGGTGGGTGAGTCATAAGAAGAGAAAAAAGAGAAAAAGCAAACTCCGCGCTCTACTATGCCCAGATCTGGAAAACGTTGCACTTCTTCTCTTGCCATAGATTCAAAAACGTACAACCATCATGTCTCGACCTTAATTCTTGATCTCTTTCTCCGGCGGCGCCGGCGGAGGCGGACTCTCTTTCTCCGGCACCACGGGTTTCTCCTCCCCGATTCCTTTCTCTTTTCCTTCTGCCCCGGCGGTGGTCTCCTCCACGACCTCGACACATTCCGCCGGGCCCCCAATAACGGGACTGAACTCCTCCACCTCCTCAATATCATCTTCGTCTTCCTCCTCTATGCCCGTGATCTCGCCGCTTCTTCTTCCCTGGACACTCGTACCCCTGCTGCCTGTGCCCTCACCTAGCCCTCGGCCCCGACTGGCAGGCGAGCTAGTGCTGAGGGATAGCATGGGGCCTTTGAAGGGGCTGCGTTTCCGTTTCGCGAAAATGAGACCCGGGGAAGGTGGAGGAGCAGTGCCGAAAGCAGCACCGCCCTCACTGATGGGTGCGCGCACGACGCGGATATTGGAAGGGAAGGAGGAACTTGTTGGTGTTGCGGGAAGGACTTTTACGGAAGAATGCGGGGATTTCGTTTTGTGGCCTGAGACGGAGACTGCGGGGGAGGCGAGCGAGGCAGAGGATGTGGACGAGGCTTTGGAGTGCGAGTGGTGGTGGTGCGGCATGGAGCGGATGGAGGATATGGATGATGATGTAGATTTTCGGCCGCGAAGGCCGCCGGAGGAGCGTCGGTAGGAGGAGCGTGGTGTTAGCGGTGCGGGAGACACTGAGGGTCGTTTTCCAGAACCGTGTGTTGATACTCTGGGACGAGCCGCCACATGTGTGGAGGGCGTAGCGTTGGAAGGATGGGCATGAACGTTGTTGGGATTGCGACCGGCATTACTTAGGCGTCGTTTTGAATCCGGAGATTTGCTTTGAGGCAGGGTGGGAGATTTCCCGCTGCTAGCCTTGGAGCCTGGTGATCTTGCTCGTTTGGAGGTCTCCTTTATCCAATTTCGGAGCGACGCGAGGTGATTCATGAATGGCGGTTGGTATTTCCGGCGGCGTTTCGGCATAAAGCCGTTGGGATGGAGGAGGTCGGGGTTGCTGGATGCGATTTGCAACATGCTACTTCTTGATCTCCGCCGGTCTAGTTCTTTGGGCGGAGGCGGAGGACGCGAGGAGGAATTGGAGTTCCGACGGACATCGTCCTTTGCTATGGGTGGAGGAGGCCTCTCGGAGTCGGGCTCAGGGGTAAGTCCTGATTCTAGTAGCTGTGGTAGCTCTGGGGCACCTAGAGTCTATCAGCGAAAGTCATCCAATCTGTATCATCTTTTACGTACCATGTACGCTCGTCCGCTTCAGAGCCCTCCCACGGCTCTTCGGTGGATCCCCAATTAACGGCGAATGCAGTCCTTCCTCATCTGTTTCCCTTATGGTAGGTGCAAGCTTGTCCAGACGGCTACTCGCAGCGCTCAGCCGTCGCAAGCTTTTCGCTTCAGCCTCCCTCTCTCTACGTTTGCGCTCCCGTCTCCTTGCTTTCCGCTCCTCTTTCTCGAGCAACAGCGCCCACCAGCCAGCCAGGGCATCGCACCGTTGCGCGAGCACATTTTCAATAACCATATCAATATCCACCCCAGCAGCGCGCATCCTCTGCAGCACCTCCTTCTCCAAGTCTGTCGAAAATGGCGCTGGCTGCTGTAACTTTAAGATCTCCTGCTGCCGCGGCGCATGCTCCGCCAACCAAGGATTTTGCAGAATATCCGCAAGCGTAGGTCTTAGAATCGGCCGTTTGGAAAGCAAGCTCTGGCACAACTCCTTCGCCTGCGGTGGAAAATTCCCCGGGTAATTCGGCTCCTCTTTCAAAATCTTCCTTTTCGTGACTGTTTCGTCGTCATCGTCAAAGGGTAGCTCGCCCACCAGAAGCGCATAAAGAATGATTCCCAAACTCCATACGTCTACTTTTTCGCCTGCATATTTTTCGCCCTTGAGCATCTCCGGCGCGCTGTAGCACACGGTGCCGCACCATGTTTGTAGGTAGTTCGATTTCCCCTCATATTCACGCGTAAATCCAAAATCAACTAGCTTGACGTTCTCGTGCTTGTCCAGAAGAATGTTTTCGAGCTTGAGGTCGCGGTGCACGCAGGACTTGTTGTGCACGTAGGATACGGCGCCGACGAGCTGGGTGAAGATCTTCTGGACCTTTTCGGGGGGAAGGGCGCCCTTCTCGAGGAGGTAGTTGTAGAGCTCATCGCCTGTCTCTCAAATCAGATATGTCATGTGTTTCCAAACATAGCTTCCTACCAGGGCAGTACTCGAGAACTAGCCAGACCAGGGACTCTGTGACTATGACTTCGTATAGCCTCGCAATGTGCGGGTGTATGAATTGGCGGTGGTGGTGGATCTCGCGGGCAAGGTTCGCATCGTCCTTCTTCGCCGACTTGAGCACTACCTGTTGCCTGTCAATTCCATTCCTCATGCCTTTGTTTCCCTTCGCACCTTGGAGCCATTGGTGAGCTTGTGCGACGCCAAATATACCTTCCCAAAGCTGCCCTTCCCAATAAGTCTGCCTAGAGTATAATTTCCCACGGTCTTCAAGTCCGGTGCCGAGAAGTCACTGCGGAGCGCGCATTAGTATTGCGAGGAGTACGTTTACAGCGCGGCGGCGGTCTTACTCGAGGAGCTGCTTGTAGGAATTCGCGAGCTGGTTCTAGAATTAGCATTGCTTTCTTCGAACAGGCTTGTCGGAGTGGGCGCGCACCTTCTTCCTCTGGGCCTGTAATTCAGCCTGAGCCCTGAGATTCGACTGCATGGATATGCGCCGCTGCGACGAGGAGGAGGAGACGCGGACCGGCGAAGCGTCATCTATAGATGTAACCTATTGGCGAGGCCTTTCGTTGACAAGGCGATGGGGCGCGCACAAGCCACGGGCTAGCAGCGCGCGCAAATTGTGCTGATAAGGAAGAATGAAAAGACGGGTAAGCTCTGAGAGGAGAAGGGAAAAGGGCGCGGAGAAAGAATATGGGGCATCTATGCGTGCCACGCGCGGAGGGAAGTATATGCGAGGCTCTCCTGACGGGAGAGTTGGAGAGCTTTCGTCCCGAAGAATCCCAGTGCCGATCCCTCCCAGGCTTTCGGATTCTTGGTGCGCAAACGCCGTGAGCACACGATGATGACCCTGCCAGACTGAATGCAGTAATTAACAGGCTACATTATACATTTGCCCCCGGAAAACGCTACAAAGCAATCGCCGTAGAACATTACCACGAGAATCGTTGTTCTGCTTCTGGCATTGCAAACTTTTGAATGCAGCCCCAGTGACTCGGCCCCGGTTACACGAAATATGTGGTACCCGGAGATGACGCCAGATGCTATGACTCTTCTGGGCGACATACATGAAAGTAATGCAATAGCGTCAGCAAAGACGCGGACTTAGTCCATCTACCTACAGCTTGCTGCTCGGTGCAGAAAGGTACGTCTGGCCTAGTTTCAACATATCAACCGCCCCCTGCACCATTTCGTCCACGATCTGCTTCGCAGGCTTGATCTCTGTAATAACGCCAGACACCTGTCCCATCAGGAACGGGATATCGACATCCTTCCCGTCATCCATGTCCTTTGCCAACGGCACAACGCCGCTTTCAGTCAGCTTCTTGATTTCCTCCAGCCGCGAGTGCCAGTCTTTGATATAGTCGTTCAGCTTGACCCGCAGCGGCCGTCCACTGACAACCAGCGTCCGGTCAGTATCAGAGAACGTAGCGGACACCACGTTCTCCTTGTGCATCTGTGAGCACCCGGCCTCTGTGCTAGCCACGAACCGCGTGCCCACCCAGACGCCTTGGGCGCCCTGCATCAGGCTGCTCGCCAGACTTCGACCATTGTAAATTCCTCCCGCCGCAACCACCATTGCCGTCTCCCCTGTCAACGGGCTCTTATATCTCCGTGCTACGTCTACGACCGAGGGAATGAGGATCGAATTCGCAATGTCGCCAGTATGTCCGCCACCTTCGCCGCCCTGCGCGCACACAATATCGACGCCAGCCTCCAATGCCTTGACCGCATGCTTGGGATGCCCAACCATATTCATAATCAGTATACCGGCCTCATGGAGCCGCTTGATCGTCCTAGCCGGCGGTACACCGACCGCGCTGACAAACAGCTTCGCGCCATTCTTGATCGTAACCTCGATGAGCTCGTCCAATTGGCCGTGAGTGTAATCGTGGTTCGTTTTGCGTGCTGAGCCGCCGACTTGGGGAAGAGCGAGGTCAACGCCGAATGGGAGGGACTTGTCGTCCAGATTGGCTTTCAGTTCGTCGATGATCGATTGGAGCTGTTGCGGTGTGTATCCCAGTCCTCCGATAACACCGAGACCGCCCGCATTCGATACAGCTGCGGCAAGCGGCCCACCTGATGTGCGCGCCATGCCGGCCAGGATAATGGGATATCGGATCCCTAGCAGCTTGGAGAGTGGCGTCTGGAGAGCGGGCGGCGCCATTATGGAGGATATCTGAGCTTATGCCGGGTGGAGAAATGAAGAGCGAAGGACGGGTAATGGCTCAGAAGCTGAACGGAGTCACCAATGGAGGCCATGGCCAGTCTGGCGAAGTTGATGTTAAATAGCGGCACAAGTCAGCCCTGCGCGAACAAGGGCTCCGACTGAGATGTGGGGAACAGAAACCGAGCCTCGGTTCGCTCTCGTTCGAAGTCGACTCGACTAGGATCACCTGACATCAGCCTTACTTTCCAGGCTGGAATCAGGACGGCGTTAACGTCTAGTACAACCATGAAGAATCAAGAGGGTAGACTTTTCAAAAGTGGATATCAGACGAATAATAATAGCCGGATGTCATTGCCTTGCAGAAGTAATATACACGCGCTCGAGTCGAGCAAGCCTTTCGAAACGTTCCAGGGGCTTCCCTAGAAGATTTAAAAGGACGTATCATGCACACACTCTTCGAGCGAACACTCCAGATGCGGAAAGGGTCCTCCGTCTCCATAGATCTCGGCCTGCAAACAGTTCTCGAAGAGCATGGCTCGCCGCGGGCCCAACGATACGGCGATCCTCAGAGAAGGATTGGGACGACCTAGCAATCAGACTATAAGCGCTTTACTCCATTGACTTGTCCATTTGCCTGCCTGTGGCCATTGATCTTTGCATTCGCGAGGTCCTGTGGCGGCGGTGGGGGTGGAGGCACGGGGCCAAACGGTCGGCGTTCAGTCACTGGCTCTAGGGCATCCTCTTCAGTGTCGTCGTCATAGTCGGCGCTACCCTCTTCATCTTCGTCTTCGTAATCGTACTCACTCTCCGTTATCTCTTCATCCTCTTCCAGCTCGTTCATGGGAACCTGACCGCGACCCTGCGCTTGCATGCCTCGGCATAATGTTTCCAACCGTGCGATCTTCTTGCGCTGGTCTTCTACCTCTTTGGTCTTTCTAGCGAGCTCATCCTGCATCTTCTGCCGTTCCTCGACCATTTCGGCGATGTTGCGGTTGGTGACTTCCTTGTTCCTCTGAAGGTTCTGGTTCTCCTTCTCAAGGCGCTTAGTCTTCTTAGACATCTCCTCCATTTCCTTGCGGAACGTGAGGAACAGATCGTTGGAATTGTTTAACGTCTCTTCAACCTGCATCTGGTCAGTATTAACCAAGATGCTATTAGCTAATCCATTATCATCACGGAAGCCGTACCTGCTTGAACTTCTCGACGTAGATGTTCAGCTGCGTGCGGAGCTCTGTTTCTGTTTGCGAAAAGGTAGACACTTGTCTCGTCAGTTGGTGAGACTTGGATGATTCCGCCTCTTGCTGTTTGCGCTGTTGTTCGAGTCGGGCCATCTGGTACTGTATTTCAAGTTCCTTGGTCCGGAGCAGGGAGTGGAACTGCAGCTCGCGCAGCTCGTATTGGTCGATAAATGATTTGAACTTTTGACGGAACCTGCAGGCCCGTAAGGATGTGCAAGAGGACGGAGTGCTAGGTACTCACAGCTCGTCTAACTCGACTTCGGCCTGATTCTGTGGTTCCGGCTGGTTCTGGACAGTAATGCATTTGTCGACGTCCGCGACCATTCTGTCGAGGCGGTGGTGGAGCTCCTCCCTGGCTGCGGATTCGCTTGTCTCAAGCTTGTTGAGTTCGTCCTTCAGCTTTTTGTTTTCCTTGGCGAAGTCCCGGGAGAGCTTGTCCAGTTTATCCTTCATTGTAGTGACCTTATTCAGCTCTGATCTTTGCGCATCCTTCTCTTTCTGGAGCTGGTCGCCGCGCTTCTTTGCCTTCTGATGCTCGCGTTCGGTGCGTTTCATATCTGCGAGGAGCTCGGTGTACCGCTTCTGGACCACTTCCAGTCGAGTGAGGGGCCCGTCCATATTGTTGAGGAGCGAAGAGAGCTCCCGATTCGCCTTTTTTACCTCGCGCTCTGTATTGGCCAAAGTCAGCTCTGTTCCCGGAATTATATTCTCGGCGCGCCGGGGACGACGCATTCCAGCTGCAAGTGTGTCCGACTCCAAACAGCATGCCACCTTTGGCGCCTCCACAGATCCAAGGGGTCAAACCCACCGATTTCGAGCTCCTGCTCCTTGTCCCCAGCAGCATCCTGCTCCAGTTGCGCAATCTTTGCCTGTATCTGCTTCTGTTGCTCCGAAGGATCGGTCGCTTTCTTCCCCTTGCCCTTCTTCGCGGGCGCGGGCGCGTGCTGCGCGGGAGCCATGGATGCAGAAGTCGACGCAGATGTACTGCGGCTTCCTTCCATGCTACGGGGAGTCGGTCGAGACTGGGTCGCGGCCGGGTAGTGCTGGTGGGCAACGGTTGCCATGAATGTGCTCTGCTCGTCGAAGCGCTTTGGGCTCCCTCGTGACGTCTTGCAGGGCGTGCCAGGACGTCCAACGCAGCGCGGGCAATGCACCTAGGTCCGTGTTCGCCGGTTTACATAGGTATATTGCGCGAATGCGACTGCGGCAAGATCCCAGGGTGCAGCCGTCGTCGAGGGTACGTTCGCTGATGTTTCGGAGGTGCTGCGCTCGGAAGATCGGGGTACGGGCTTCAGGCGCGGGCGGGTCGACTGATGGATGTCCTGAAGTGCTCCTTGGTATGGGGAGCGGCGCAGGATCGGCTCAGACTAGGACGGAGAGCGTGTGGTGAAGCGTGGGCAGCAGATGGCGTGTTGGGAACGTTGGAAGGTGCGCAGAGACTGGTGCGTCGTCAATGTCGGCAACGCTGGGAAGGACGACGGCACGCCAGCTGGGCACTCACCGCCGCACACGAGCTCCAATATGCGACACACACACGTCTTCGAGGCTTCAATGACCAGAATATGCACGAATATGCTCCGCAAGGCAACATTGGCCACTGGCGCCGCATGCTTCGCATCCTCGATTATGACTAATGGCGCCTAGCACGGGCACCACTGGACACCCCTCGGCGGGCCAATCGGCGCAGCAGGCGTCATTAAATACATTTTCGTCGCCATCTTTGCGACCTGTGTTGCGGCTGCCTTCGTCTTCCCTCTCCCGTACCAGTCATGCTGCGCTCCGCTCGGTGGCAGCTTCGGAATCCCCGGAGTGCTCCTCTCAACCATATACCATCACGAAATGTCTTCCGCAGAGGATACGCCGCGATTACCGATCTGTCAAGCTTCCCCAAACCTGGGGAGCAACTCCATGGCTTCACTCTCAAGCGCATCAAGCAGGTTCCGGAGCTCGAGCTGACCGCGCTGCAACTCCAGCACGACAAGACCGGCGCCGACTATATCCATATTGCGCGGGACGACACGAATAATGTCTTCTCCATTGGATTCAAGACCAATCCACCAGATGACACCGGAGTGCCGCACATTTTGGAGCACACAACGCTATGCGGCAGCGAGAAGTAAGTTCTTCCCATCCTGCCGTTTGAGCGGCGGCTCATAGCGTCTAGGTATCCCGTTCGCGACCCATTCTTCAAGATGCTCCCGCGGTCCCTCTCCAACTTCATGAATGCGTTTACCTCGTCGGACCACACAACCTACCCGTTCGCTACTACGAATGCGCAAGACTTCAAGAACCTCATGTCCGTATACCTCGACGCGACGCTGCATCCTTTGCTGAAAGCCGAGGATTTCACGCAAGAGGGATGGAGGATAGGACCGGCGAATCCTTTGGCTGTGCAAGCGGAAGGCGGAGAAGATGCGAAGCGACTGGTCTTCAAAGGTGTGGTCTACAACGAGATGAAGGGCCAGATGTCGGACGCAAGCTACCTCTTCTACATCAGGTTTCAGGACCACATGTTCCCGGCGATCAACAACTCCGGAGGCGATCCCCAGAAAATTACGGACCTTACTTGGGAGCAACTGAGGAAATTCCATGGCGACCACTACCATCCCAGCAATGCGAAGCTCTTGACATACGGAAACATGCCATTGAGCGAGCATCTAAAAGAGATCGATGCTCGCTTGAGCCGCTTCGACAAGATTTGCGTCGACCACGACATCAAGGGACCAATCGAACTAGATGAGCCCAAGCACATCACGGTTCCAGGTCCCTTGGATCCCCTTGTTCCTCCGGATAGGCAATACAAAACCTCCGTCACCTGGTTGATGGGCGACACAGCAGACATCGTCGAGAACTTTTCCCTTGGCGTCTTGAGTAATCTTCTAATGGACGGATATGGTTCGCCACTATACCGAAACCTCATCGAATCTGGACTAGGCGCGGACTTTAGCCCAAACACTGGTTATGATAGCGCTGGGAAGCGAGGAGTATTCTCGGTCGGCCTGAATGCAGTCAGGGAAGAGGACGTGCCGAAGGTCCGAGAGGCAATTGCTAAGACGTTCCTCGAAGCTCGTCAGAACGGCTTCGACAAGATCAAGGTCGACGGTATCCTCCACCAACTAGAGCTCTCGCTGAAGCACAAGACCGCGCATTTCGGGATGAACATTATGCAGAGACTAAAGCCCGGTTGGTTCAACGGCGTGGATCCGATGGATGCGCTCGCATGGCAGGACACCGTGGACGCCTTCCAAGAAAGATACGCCAAAGGCGGTTACCTAGAAAGTCTGCTGGACAAATACCTCCTAAACGACAAGACGTTGACGTTTACGATGACGCCATCCGAGACTTTTAGTCAGGAATTGACGGATGAAGAGAACAAGCGACTAGCAGAGAAGATTCTAGAGACAACCAAACAGTTCCCAAGTGAACAGGAGGCGCAAAAGTACTTGGAGCAACGAGAGCTTGAGCTTCTGGAGGTGCAAGAGAAGGCAAGAAACCAAGACTTAAGCTGTTTGCCTACTGTCCATGTCAAAGACATCCCGCGAGAGAAGGAGAGGAAACCCCTTCGCCACAGCGACATCGGAGATGTGAGCCTTCAATGGCGGGAGGCTCCTACAAATGGCTTGACCTACTTTCGCGCTATTCACAGGCTCCAGGATCTACCCGACGAATTAAGAGAGATGATCCCGCTGTTCACGAGTGCCGTAATGCGCCTCGGCACTCGGAACAAGACTATGGAACAACTCGAAGAACTCATCAAGCTCAAGACAGGCGGTATCTCAGTCGGTTATCACGCGTCGCCTTCCCCCCTCTCCATCAGCTCGTTCGAAGAGGGTCTTTCTTTTACGGGCTACGCTCTGGATCGAAACATACCGGATATGTACGAGCTTCTTAGGATGGTCATCATGGAGACCAACTTCGATGGCCCCGAAGCTGAGAAAAACATTCGAGAGCTGCTGCAAAGTTCAGCAAGTGGCGCCATCAATTCCATAGCCGAATCTGGACACGCTTTTGCCCGCACATTTGCGGAGGCCGGCCTAACACCGGTTGGCAGGCTGAACGAGCAAACTGGAGGCCTGTCCCAAGTCAGGCTTACAACACGCCTTGCATCGCGTACTTCCTCAGAGTCACTGAGCGATGTCATTCAGAAACTGAAGACTATCCAGTCTTTTGCCATCGCGAACAGCAGTCAGCTTCGCGTCGCCCTCAACTGCGGACATGAAAGCTCTACGCCGAACCAGGAAGCACTGCGCCGCTTTCTTGACAGCCTACCAAAGAAGGTAGCTGGTCTAGCAACTTCCCCGCAAAGCCAATATCCCCGCAACTCAAAGTCCTTCTTCCCGTTGCCGTACCAGGTCTACTACTCTGCAAGGGCTGTTCCGACGGTCCCATACGTCGATGCCTCGGGCGCTCCTCTGGAGATCCTAGCCCAGCTGTTGACGCACAAGCACCTTCATCACGAGATCCGAGAAAAGGGCGGTGCGTACGGAGGCGGAGCATACTCTCGCGCTCTTGGTGGGCTGTTCGGTATGTACAGCTACCGCGATCCAAACCCTCAGAATACCATGAAGATTATGGTTGAGGCTGGTCAATGGGCTCAAGACCACAAGTGGACAGCCCGGGACCTCGAAGAGGCTAAGCTTAGCGTCTTCCAAGGCTATGACGCCCCGCAAAGCGTCAGTCAGGAAGGCATGAGGCTGTTCTTGTCTGGTATAACAGACGACATGCTCCAGACGAGGAGAGAACGCTTGCTAGACGTCACCGCAGAGCAAGTCCAGGACATTGCGGACAAGTTCCTGGTTCAGCGCGCTTCGGAAAGCAGCGTTGCTATTTTGGGCGAGAAGAGAGATTGGGTGAGCGCAACCAACGGTTGGGAGATCCGCGACTTGGGCATGGCCGAGAAGATCGAGAAGATGGCGCAACAAATGCCTGAGGAGGCAGTTGCTGCGGCCTAATGTTCTTCGTATGTATGATCCTGTACGCCTTTGTAATTTTGTATATCGCTTGTACACTACCCAACTCTAGCATCATTGGCGCAGGCAGGCAACCTTGGTAAATGAGGAAGCATCTCACACACGTATCACGTGTTCAATTCCTTCGCTACGCTTCTCCCTCCCACTATCCCTCATCCCCTACCAACTCTCCGACGCAGTATTGCTCTTTCCTCTTTCACCTCGCTTCGGCCCGACAATTTTCCGACCCTCTCACCACGTATAAAGCGCCCGCCCCGTTCTCTTCGACTTCTCTTCGTCCCTAGCGCAGTCGAACAGATCCCCAGACGTGCAATTTTGCCTCGCACTTCCATGGCTTGCATGGTCTGGCCCTTTTTGGGGGGTTTTGCGCGAGAGCGATCTGGTTCTTGTCTTAACCCAGTGAGCCGAGAGGCGAGACTTGGGTAGAGGCACCAGAGCACCTGATTTCAGAACCGCTTGCTATGAGCGAGACCTTTCTCCTAGCGGACTAAATTCGGGGGTACATACTATGCAGGAAGGGGTTGTGAGAATGAGTGAGGTTTTCGGGGTGATGCTGATGGCTGGACCATCGAGCTCAGCATTTTGAGAATGGCTTTGCATCGTAATTGTGGTATTCGTCACTCACCCTTGAGTCTGGTCTGGTTCCCTCTTTTGCTCAACGATTCCCGAGCGCGCGCTTCCCTGACCGGCACCCGTCTACGTCATGCCTAGCATATACCAGCATGATGTTCACGCCTCGTTACTTCCGTAAAACCCTCCCTCACCAATTCTTTAAATGCGGCTTGCGTACGGCTGTCACTGCATACGCTTCATCAGTTATTTAGCTGTCCTTCCCTCGAGTAAGAACTCGCTGTGCTAATGCGAATACTTTTAACTTCCTCAACGGTGACAACCCCAAACCAGCCTGTCAGGAGAGCATTCACCAGAGACCTACCGACTAAGGAGGAATAGACGCGATTCACCTTTGGTGACCCCGAAATGTGGACCCTAGCTGCAACGCTCCAGTTACAAAAGTACTGCAGCAGACCCCTAGGTCGCAACAAACAGCAGTCCCACTACAACTGCCATTATCATAACGCCGATTGAACGCAAATCAACGGTTGACAATGGACACACTTAACTCGGACACGATGGAGTCGACTCGAAGCAATAGCTACGAAGACGTTAGCGACCCCATCAAGCCCATTCGCCCTGTCAAGCCCATTTGCCCCTTCAAGCTGGTCAAGATGAACCCCGGAGTCACTCCGTTCCGCTTCATGGATTTGCCTCGCGAGCTGCGCAACTTGGTTTATGATGCCCTCTGGAGACAGAGCCCACTTATTGCCACTACATACGTCCTCAAGAGTGCCCAAGAAACAAACAGCGGCTTCTATATCCGGAGGGGGTTGGACAAGTCTTTCACGGATGAATGCGAGGACTTCTATCTAAAGAACATCGACGATAATTCGGAGGGTGACGGTGAATACGAGCTTCGCACCCAGTACAAGAACGATACTGCTCAGGAGGAGTATATCCGGCACCGTGATCATCCTATGCGACTCGAAGTCCAATACGACGACGCAGCAGATAAGAACACGGAAGTTTCAGGATTGCCTGACTGGCTCCTGGCTAACAACATTATCCTGGACGAAGGTCTCGACCAATTCCGTCTCAAAGCTCAACACTGGGTCATAGGCCGGCCTCTCCCTGGATCCGCGTTGCATAAAGGGTCATCAAAATCTTCACTTCTGAGCCCTTCAGGTGCAGAGAAGCTCACATTCGAAGGACGTTCTCTCCAAAAGCGCGACACCGATCCTGAAATCCACCCTAGTCGTTCTGTACATCGCCTGAACCGCTCGGCCGATCGAGCACTAGCCATCATTGTCGGGAGTTTCAAAGACCTAAAGCACCTCCGACTTCGACTTTGGATACCTGCAAAACTCCTCACCTCCGGATATTCTCCCCTGGGGTGGAAGGTGGATCTCTCGTGCTTGCAGCACGGCAACCTACGGCTTGACAAGCTCGAAGTTGTCATTTCAGGAGGGCTTGTATATATCAAGAATCCTTTTGATACGGCGAAATACAACCAAGTTCTGAGTGCTTTCAAGGACGAGATCTTCCGAGTCGGCGAGGCAGTTGTGCAGGGGCAAGGGGAAGGACAGCTCACGTTTCGGGAGGATGTCAAGGTTCCGAAGCCAGTTAACTACGGCTCCGGAGGGCACGGCCTTTCGCAGGTAGCACTCCCCCTTATCAATCGTGGCCTACATGCACCATTCCAGCCGAGGGATGCATTGAGTTGGCGGTTCGAGTTCACTAAAGCTAGTGTCAGTGAGAAGCACAAATAGACCGAGGCAAGAGCTAGAGCTTCTATAGGATGAACGGCAATCCTGTACAGAGTTAGAAACTTACAAGTAAGATCTAGATTGCAATTGGCGAAGTAGACTAGCCAGCTTTAAAGAGCCTCAGTGCTCTATTGGTTGCTCAGCAATAAGAACGTCACTTTGCCCAGTTGGATCATATAGAGGAGAATACTGGAGATGCGTGAGGCAGTGCCTAATGAATGATGCGCCTGACCTGCAGGGTGCTTCTGCTTTGCATGTATACCTGAAATATCTATATCAGGTCTTTGATACTGAAAGAGCTCTGTTTATGATTCTATTATTGTTATCTATGAGAGACGATGAATCTAAGTCCGTGAGAACTTCCATACCAAACGCCTTGCTATGATATATCGTGCTCACATGCTCACATGCTCATATGCCGCTCTGAAGTGCATTGCTAAGGATAACGAGATCACCCCGTGCTACCTCTTTATTTTGCTCCCCTCTAGATCCCCCAATGAAGCCGTCCCCATAGCCGGGTTGCCATTCAACAGCGATGTCACCCGCTCTTCGAACGCCTTGATCATGGCGTCCGCTACCTTTGGCGCTGCGCCCGCGCTAAGCGTCGTGTATAGCGGGTTCGCAAACACAAATTCCAGGGCCAAAGTAACTTCCGTCTTGTCTTTCCCAAGTGCCTCAATCGTCCAGCGACTCCGCAGATGGGTCATTAGACCGTCGCTGGCTCCCTTTGCGCTCTTGTCTGAATCATTCAAGTGATGTGATATCTCGCCCTTCGGTATTTCCGTCTCTGTACTCCCACCGATGCTTTCCACTATCCTTCCAGGGACGCAGAAGACGCGCGATGTGAACGACTCTGTGAGATTGCCCCAACCAACAATGAGTCTAGCTTCCGAGGGCCAGCGCCGTTGGTATGTAGGATCAGGTGTGGACCACTTCGTGACAGCGGAGGATTGGCAGTATGGGAGGAAGGACGAGTAGCTGGAGACGTCGGAGACGATGGAGTAGATTGGATGGGAGGGATATGGCAGTGTTCGTCTCGCGGTGAGTGTTTGTGGTTGCGCCGATGAATTAAGCGGATTGATGGAGGAGCTGAAGGGATTTGGGAGGAAGGTTCGCCGTTGTGAGAGGCTGGGAGGTTTGATGTATATGGGCCCGCGGAGGAGAGGTCGGACGGTTTTCGGGGTTGCCATCGTGAGTCGAAGGGATACGTTTGTGTAACTGGAATCGTGACGGAGTGTCGATTGAGGAACTGTCACCTTAGAGGCATGGTTTAGAGTGAATGGCAGAGGGAGCTCTCAGCAGTTCAAGCGATCGTGGTGACGGGAGCTAAGCTTTGCGGCTCTAGCGAACCTTGCCAGGGGCGGGTGGGCTAGTGTATATAAGGTATGGCGTACTCACTTATCGATACCCAATTTTTGAGGCCTTGACTCCGACCCTTCTTCTCCACATCGACGTTTCTCGACCACCACATTGGATTTCCTGGGTCGACTCTGCTTGTATTTTACAACATGGAGGCGGCCACAGATCCAGCAGCGGACCCCAGGTTCCAAACCAACAACTCCATAACCACCAAACAGCAGCCGAAACAGCAACTCTCAAAAGCCATGGAGCACATGCGCTTCGCCGTAACTGTCGATCCAATTCCACGCTCCTCCTCAGCACCAACACCTCCTGTCTCCGACCTCCCCACCCCGACACCAGAACCGCATCCCGAATCCGACGCCTACGGGGTTCCCGCCTCCTTCGCACCCGTCCGCCAACCCGCCCACCGCTCGCACTCACCCTCCAACAACCAAAAACGCAGTGACCCCTTCGCATTCGGCTCACGGTACCTGGAAGAAGGCGACGACATCTTCGAATTCAACGCGTGGGATCACGTCGAAGTCGACCCCACCTACCACGAATTCTCCGAACAGCAGTACGAAAAGCAAAGGCAAGATCCCGTAAATGACTTTGACCGCAAGCGCTTCAACGATAACCCCGAGAAGTGGTGGAATATGTTCTACAAGAACAACAAGACCAATTTCTTCAAGAATAGGAAGTGGCTGGCGCAGGAATTCCCTGTGCTAGATGAGGTTACGAAGGAGGATTCGGCTCCCGCGTTAGTGCTAGAGGTGGGCGCGGGAGCGGGGAACAGCGCTTTTCCAATATTACAGAAGAGGCAGAATAAGGGGTTGAAAATTCACGCGTGTGATTTTTCGAAGAAGGCGGTCGAACTAATCCGTGGTCATGAGCTGTATGACCCGCAATATATACAGGCAGACGTGTGGGACGTTGCCGCATCGCCGGAGTCAGAGAATGCGGGACTACCGCCAGGGATAGAAGAGGGAAGCGTAGACGTCGTGCTGATGATATTTATCTTCTCAGCGCTAAATCCGCGGCAATGGGACCAGGCGGTACGAAATGTCTGGAGGGTACTGAAGCCGGGTGGTCAAGTACTGTTCCGCGATTACGGGCGAGGTGATTTGGCGCAGGTGAGGTTTAAGAAGGGGAGGTATATGGAGGAGAACTTCTACGTCCGCGGTGATGGGACGCGGGTGTACTTCTTCGAGAAGGAGCAGCTTGAGGAAATATGGGGAGGGCAGAAGCGCCAGTCCGAAGCCAGCGAGGAGACTCAGCCGAGTGGGCCCGCCGACACATCTATTGAAGACAAAGTAGAGGAGCTGAACCTCGACGGCTCGAACGGAGTGCTTGAACCACGCCCAGCGTTCGAGGTGGTGCACTTCGGGGTCGACAGACGAATGCTTGTCAACCGGCAACGGAGACTGAAAATGTACCGTTGCTGGATGCAAGCAGTATTTCGAAAACCTGGCGATCAGAGTGAGGTTCCCACTAGCACGATACGGCAGGATAAAGGGCCTGCTACGGCTGAAGTTGAGGAAGCATCGTGAGCTCCCTCCATGGACACGTATATGTGGACAGTTATAATGCATATGACGGAGGTGCCGACATTCAGAGAATACCATATTTGCGCAAGCTGTGCGCGATAGTCGCGAATCAAGATCTCAGGGCTTTGCCACGATGTCTTCAGAGCAGTCCGTCGGCGGTGGTTCCAATGCCTTGATTGAGCGTCTTTCTAGATGCTATCATATACTAACCCGCCAAAGAGCGTTGACTTGTAACTTTTCTATCCAGTATGCCTGTGGACAATGCTAATCCATGTGCTTTTAAACGCCCGCACCCAATGCTGTCAAGGAGAACTACCTCTGGCCCTTAGCTCTTGCCTTACGCTTCCTCGTCTCTCCGTTCACGTTTTGTGCGGTAGCGGATTGTAGCGCGGCTTCATCTTCGGGAAGGTCTGAAGTTTCGAGAAGCGGTTCTTCGACGGCTTGAGTGTCACCGAGAACACGACCGACAGACTGGCGGTAGAAGAACTTGGGTAGTTTGAATAGAAGGGTGTCGTAGATGGTCGGCTTGGGCTCCTCATCGGGCTGTTTGTTGTTAGCCTGTATAGGATAGTCTGGCAGAGATAACTTACGTCGAGCAAGAACTCCTGCTTCACGCCGTCCTCGGTCTCCTCTTCCAAAAAGACATTGCCTGACGAGTCCACAACGAGAACCTTGCCATTCTCCGCTACGATTCGCTTCTTCGCGCCCTGCGGACCTGACGTGATTTGTGCCTCAACAGGCGTGCTTACGCCAGAGCTCCGTGCTTTCTTTGCGGCCTGAGCTTTCTTATCCTTGCGGTTCTCCTTCTCCATCATGCGCTTCTCGCGGCGGTTTCTTGGGGCATTCTCGTCCGGAGTCTCTTCCCATTCCTGGTTGTTGATGACCGGAGCTGGTGGGGCGTCGACCCCGGGAATGCCCTGGATGCCGGTGTCGTCACCCCAGGCAGTTCTGCGTGCATGCCGGATGTACCTCTCTACAAACTCGCGGCGCCGCTTCCAGCCCATGAGCAAGGCAAAGTAATGCATGCCGCCGCCCATAACTACCAGGAGACCGAGCAGCACCGAACCTAGACCCGGACGGAAACGCGCATAGTAGTATCCAGTGCCCTTCCACTTCGGGAACCCGTTCTTCAAGAAGTGGTCGTATCTCTCGCGCTCCGGCCCCTTCAAGATGTTCGCAACGACGGACAATCGCTGGTATGCGGCCGTCACATCCTTCATGTGCGCATCGATTTCGCGCTTCGACGGCTGCTTGCTGACCTTGACGCCAGGCGTCTTTCCCTTCTTCTTGTGCCTGAGCGCATAGGTCGAGATGAAGTTCTGGCGGGCTTTGTCGGGGTGGATCTGGCGCGACTTCTTGCGGTAGGCCTTGTTCAATTGGTCTTGCGACGCCGTGGGCTTGACGCCGAGCAGGTCGTAGAAGGTAACGTTTGCGCCATCGTGAGCGATTACTTCGTCGCGTAGCCGGAAGATTTCATGGTCTACAAAGAAAATGCCGGTCAGTCTGCAGCTCTAGCTGAACGCATCCATGTGGGGAGCATGCAGCGTGGGAAGAAAAATGCGGAATTCCGAAAGCAGAAAATTGGATGCAATTGGAAGCGGAAGTTGCGCACCCTCTTTTGTCCATGCTGCAGCAAGCGCGGCAAACAAGCAGAGCACCAGGGCGAGCAGCGTCTGGCGCTTCATGGCGGAGTCGGAGTCGTGGTGGTGCCTGGTGGAGTCGATGCGGTGCTGGTCGGGGATCGTGTGGCTGCGGATGATAGGGACGGGTCTGCTGCAGCACTTTGTGCGTCCGCAGTGCACCAAATCGTGACACTTAACGTGGCCCAATCAGCGCGCCCGGCCGCCGTCGACGGGTAGCGTGCCGCCAGGCGAGCAGGTATAGAGAGCGCAAGATGCCCGCAGTCGCCCTCTCGGTCCTCCTTCACGATCTGTCCTTTTGCGCGAGCGATGCTGCTTCCGTGGCCTGAAGCACCCTTGGATGCGCCGATGCGGAATGCGGAGCCCAGCATGTGATCGGGCTTCCCGCTAGCCCTCTTTCTATTTTAGTAAGGGGATCTTGCAGGTGCGGCAGTCGCAGCAGGGGCCACCTTATTCAAAAGATTACCTCTGCTCTCCTCAGCCTCCAGCTGCACACGTACTGTTCCTCGCAACGCCCTCCCCTACGTCCGTATTCTCGCCAGACGCGTCAGCGACACCGTATTCTTGCGACTCTTCACCACACCTGTAAGGCACCCATTTTACTTAAATATTGCCATCTTTTCCTCGTTCAACAGGCCACATTTCCCCAGACTCCACCCCGGCATTCAGCACGATAGCTAACAATGGCCCCTAATTCAGACCTCGAAGCCCAGCAGCAGAACCTGCTCGATCTCGACGACCCTCAGCCAGCGCCTCCTCCCACCTCGCACTTCTTCCCAATCATGTCACGACTGAGCATTCCTCTGGACGCCCTGACGTCCAGATTCTCCGGGCGCTTCGATGGCCTGCGGTCGCAGTCGCTCTCCTCGCGCTTCGCGAACCTGCGCCCCATTTCCGAGTTCCTCGATGTGAAGCGCCTCTCGAAGCCCGCCAATTTCAGCGAAGTGCAGAGCAGGATCAACTACAACTTGGGCTACTTCTCGAGCAACTATGCGGCTGTCTTTGTCATGCTCAGCATCTACAGCCTGCTCACCAACATGATGCTGCTCTTCGTCATCTGCCTCGTGGTTGGCGGCATGTACGGTATTGGCAAGCTCCAAGGCAACGACCTTGAGCTCGGCAGCTGGCGCGCCACCACCTCCCAGCTCTACACCACGCTGCTTGTCATCGCTATCCCACTCGGCTTCTGGGCTTCTCCCTTCGCCACCGTTCTTTGGCTCATCGGAGCCTCGGGCGTCACTATTCTGGGCCATGCCGCATTCATGGACAAACCAATCGAGTCAGCTTTTTCCGAGGAGGCGGTCTAGGTGGTCGGCCGCGAGCTCCTTACACTATGCCCCCATGGGGAAGACCGCCAGGGGGACGAGGGGCAGATGTAGGGAGATATTTGCAGGAGGTGGAGGACGTGTATAGATTTCAAGAAGTGGACAGCGATGACGAGAAGAATGGCGTTATGTCAGATCCGGCTCATCAAAGGGTTTCCATCAGCAAGCAATATTTCAATCCGGATGAGCTTTATTTCAATGACATGGATATAAGAGCATGGGAGAGGAGAGCACAAGAATTGGACGCGCTGGCTTATGGGGAGGACTATGGATATCTGGAAGACGAAGGCTACTATGACGACGCGGGCGATGTTACCATGTCCGCGGCCGAATACGAGGAACTTCTCTTTCAACGCGTATTAGACAAGATTCGACTAGCCAGGGCGACTGGCGAGTCCGATGTACAGATCACTCCAGAAGAGCTTGATGCATACCAAGCAAGGCTTTTGGGGCGCCCAAGGGTGCCTGCAGCGCGCCCGCAAGTACCCAGAGCCAGGCCTGTAAGCGCACCTGTTCTCAACGGTAACGTTAGTACCGCGGGGGTTACTACATCAGGCAACGCTGCCGCATCGGGTTCGAGCAGCACACGGTCAAAGAAGAGTCAGCGACGGACATCCATTTTCGGATCCCGTCCAAAGAAGGAGAAATCCCGCAGCCGTACACGGGCCACCTCGAATGCATCGAACACGACCAGCCAACAACCTCCGCCTGTCTTCATTGTGCCAGGGCCAAATGGTCAGCCGGTATATGCTCCAATCAACGCCTATCAAGGTCGTATGCCTCGAGATCACCCCGTCCGCCCTTCTGGGTCGCCCTCAAGGCAAAGCTCTCGCTCTGCCTCCATCAGCAGCGACAGAGTCCCAGTGAGCGGCGGCAACAATACCGGAGATCTGGGAAGAGGATTGCGACAAGCGCAGACCCCTCCGCGAGTCAGCCCACCCCGAGATGTACCAGGAGCGTTCCCGTCGGGATCACCTCAAAGATCGCGGGACCCAACTCCACCGCATTCGGGGCGTCCTGCTTCCTCCTCGTCGCGCCAATCTACGCAGGATAGTATTGATTCTCAACTTGCCGATGGCACTGCTCGTCGGTCGTCTGTCCAGCAGACAGCGAGGCTTGTTCCCTTCCCTGTTACCGAGTACAAGCACTACACTGCGGAGCCCTATCATTACCAAGTAGCAGGTCAGGTTGCTACATCTCAGCCCTCATCATCTCAACCCCAGTTCGCTCGGAGAGTAGTCTCAGGGCCTGCCGGGAGCAATTACATGACAATGCCGCGCCGCGTTCCGGTCCCGGATCAGCGCGCAGCTGCGCCCATGTTGAGTGCTCAAGGTAGCCACTCTGATCCTGCACTTGTTCAGCGGGCCTCTGGGTCAAGGGCTGAGGTGAGTGATGAAGAGGACGGCCAAGGCGCCATTCTAGTCGATGTCGTACCTCAAGCTGACGACAAAAGTTACAAGGTGCAAACCGTCAAGACGTCTACAAAAGAAGGGTCGAGTGGTGGAAGCAACAAGGATAGCGAGCGACGGAGGAGAAGCGGGCGTAGCCGGAGGAAGTATTAATGCTCACCACTATCCATGCTCTTGTAATTCATGTCATGTCTGGGAGGCTTCTATTACTTTCGGTTCTTGTGTTATTCCTTGCATAACATCTTTTAATGCTTGGTTTCTGTTGTTTCTTTGGATGGTGCTGGAGGTTATTGAGCATTGCGCCGGGTACATTGGCGCGCAGGGTGGTTTTAGGTTTTCATATGCAGGTGCACCGATGGTGCTCAGGGTGCTACTTTTGGGAATGCATTTGCTTAAAGCTCGAATTCTACCTCCCTACGTCGCTGGGACTGGTGCGCCCTATGTGTCGATGTCCGCCCACCAAGCAGGGTGTCCATAGAGCTTCACGGTTTCAGGCTTGACCTATATTCTCTACCACCTAAATGCACTAATTGACAGGTTCGAGTGGTGTGCAAATGCCCAGGTGAAGGGTCTCTCATGTGTCGGATGACGAGCCACAGTGGCTGAAACCCGATCCAGGTCCAGAAGCGGACAGCTACGTCATCTCCCGAACTTTAGTAGACAAACCACACTTCGCGCCCTTGGAGCGCTCTACTTACCTACCAGCTTTGGCCAGATATCCCTTACCATACTAGGTCCCCGTCCTTTCGTCTTCTCTCTGCGCCCTAAAAACTCCTAGATACCTCATCATGTCTAGTAAGCATCCTGCCATCACACCTTGACGAGCTCCAGGCTGACTTTCGCAGCTCCATCAGTAGACTACTGTAAGCTCCCAACTCCCCAGTAATACGTACAGACACTCATGCTTACTAGATGCCACTCTCGAAATTGACTCCAAAGCATCCCAGCAACAAATTCGCGATGCCTACAAGAAGTATGCGCTCCAACAGGTACTTCCTCTACGTGCTCAGCCTAACCCACCTCCAGAGCCGCTCTAAAACACCACCCCGACCGCGTCCCCTCCGACTCCCCAGAGCGCACCGCCCGCACCAAGAAATTCCAACAGATAAACGACGCCTACTATACGCTCTCAGACCCAACCCGCCGCCGCGAGTACGACGCCGCGCGTAGCTACAACTTCAACTTCACAGGCACAACCGCCACCCCCGACTCCGAATATGAAGAAGAAGTCCCACGCGCCAACACCGCCGGCGGCGGCTTCCCTTGGTCCGCTTTCGGCTTCGGCAGCGCACCTGCCGGCGACAACGAGGAAAGCCACAACCGCTTCTCGAACGAGCAGTTCGGCGGCATGTTCGAGGAGATGCTGAGGGAGGAAGGTATGGCGGAGGGAGATCAGGCGAGCCCAACGGGCAAGTTCTGGAGCGTTATTGGTGGGCTGAGTGGAGGGACTATGGGGTTTATAGTGGCGAACTTCCCGGGCATGGTTGCTGGCGCTGTGGCTGGCAATAGGCTGGGGGCAATTCGAGACGCGAAGGGCAAAAGTGTGTATTCGGTGTTCCAGGAGTTGCCGCAGGCGGATAAGGCGAGGCTGTTGAGTGACCTGGCGGCGAAGGTGTTTGCGCATGCGGTGGGCTCATAAGGGAGATGCGTGCAAATACCTGAGCAGTGTGATTGCTTGAGCCTCTTTGTTATGGGAGTAATGGTCGGGTAGGGATTGGTAATGATATCCTGAGGTTTTGGGTCTTTGGTCATCTGATTTAGATAGGAGGAATACACATGGTGCATTGGATCTTTCTTCTTCCCCTCGAACGCAGTTCACTATGCTATTCTTTACTCAGTCGGTGTGTTGGAAGTGCAAACTCAGTCAGAGTATACAATCACTATGATAGATAAGCATGGAATTATGTTGGAAACCAAAATCTACCCAATCCTTTGTGACCTGGCACAGTGAAGTGAAGCCTGTCTCTCAACTCCTGAACTCCCAAGCATTGCCGCTTGAAGAGACACAGGATGGATATATCTAAAGCCAGAGAACGTGGAAAGCAACTCATGAAATCCAAAAATCCTCCAATATAATCACACTCTACCATCCCCTCCTCATACACAAGCATAGCCAAGCACATCATCCTTCTCACCTCATTCCTTCGATCCAGCCTCTCTTCGAGCACTTCGGTAATCAAACGTTGAACATTATCTTCGTAAATCATGACCACCTCCCGCTTTCCATAGATTAAAGGAAGGATCAGCTCTTTCCCTACCCCCCTACATAAACGTCTGCGCCATCTTCGCCAAACTCGCCAACCCCCCAATCCCACTCGCCATACTCTGCAAATTCATCCCACCACCACCCCTCTCGTCCCTCCCATATCCCTCACTCCCATAATACCCACCAGCATGTCCACTCCCCGCATACCCTCCCCTCGCCCCCTTTCCACCCATCTCAGGCAGGTTAACGCCAAACTGCCGCGCCAGCTTGTGCAGTACGCCGCCGCTGACCAGCGGCATTATCACCATGAAGAACACTTTGAACGGGTGGCGCTGCGCGTACGACCACAGCTGGTGCAGCAGGTGGCGGAATTTGTGGTATAGGTATTTGATGTAGCCGTCGCGGGGCGAGCGTTTGTAGCGCGAGGTGGAGCTGTGGTGGCGCGAGGACGAGGAGTAGGAGGAGCCGGCGTATGAGCGTGCGTAGCCGGGGCGCGAGGAGGAGTGGTGGCGCGAGGAGGAGCTCGAGAACCAGCCCATCGTGGAAATCTCGACTTGTGTTTGGGATTGCGGGTGTGAGATAAAGGTGGGGCTTTTCGGGTATCGTTCGAATCGAATCGAGGTGGGAGGTGCGCGAGGCTTGAGATCTGGAGTGAGCTCGGGAATATATGAAGCTCAGTGCATTCGAGATATGCGGTCTTTGGTGTCGCAATGACTCTTCCTGTATCGGGCAGCCACGTAAACGTCCAGACTCTTCTTTCGCAGCCCCTCCGGTCAAAGTGGAGCCTTGTAAATTGGGCTGCAATCCCTCTCTTCTCTCAATCGCAAGCTCTCGCTCTCACTCGCTGAGCTCCGGACAGATCCACAAAGCGCGGGGCCGCCTGCGTCAAAAGCTCACAACTTCGTCCAAACTCGCCGATATCGATACAACGCCCGGGAAAAGCGTGGGACAAGTGATGTCGCTTCGAGCGGGAGATTCTCCTCATAAAAGGGTTGCAGGAACTTGTGGAGTTCCGGGGACGATCCTCGCGAAGCTAACAGACCGCTTTTTGCGTGGTTGGCTTGATCCCTGCAGGAGTTGGACCCCAACCTCCTCTTGCCAAGCAGCCCGAGCACATGCACGGTGTTTTGCGTGAACCGGCGTGCGAGGTTGTGATTGGCTGGGGTGGAGAGGGGCATGGTACAGCGAGGGACGTGTGGATTTGTGTACATGTTGAAGAGTCTTACGGAGGAGCCGCAAAGGGGACATGGTGTTTACATTGGATAGAGGCGTGGGGTTTGCTCCGAAAGGGGACTGTGCACAGAAGGACGAGTGAGTGGCAGTGGAACCGGAAGCTCTCCCCAATGCTTGGAAATACGTAGGCTCTTGTTGCCCTTCAGAGCGAGAACAGTGACTGACCAGAAATGACAGAATTGTAAGCATTAAAAGTGCGCTATCGAGATGCCCCATATCCAAAAGTAATAGGTAATCTTACATACAACATCCGCATGGCATATCCCATATCCAATACCCTAACCCCCTGTTCAAAAAGGTGCTATGAACGAAGAAGTATCCAACATCAAACTATGCGAATATGCACAAAAATGCAAAATATCGTAAATGATCACCGTCTGAAGCTCGAACTCAATCCAGAAAAGGCGTCGGGAGAATGTCGTCCACCCATCAAGCCCGCAAAATCCACGCTCTCGTTGCTTACGTGCCGGACGCCCTGCTGCTGTGCTGAGAATGACGTGGGTTGCTGTTGGGCCGTCTGAGGCGCTTGGGCTGAGGCGAAAGGATTCAGGTGGCCTGGTGTAGGAGCAGCGGGTGCAACTGCTTGGGCTGGTGCCGGAGGAGTTTGAGACTGCTCTGACCGCTGAGGTGCCAACTGCGGATAGTTGTACAGAGCAAGTATAGAGTTCTTGTCAAAGCCTGCTTGCGATTGTTGGTAGCTCGGTTGCTGGTAGCCGGTTTGCTGACTCTGAAAAGGATTTGACGCCTGAGCAAACGGTGTCTGAGTGTTTTGTTGCTGCTGCATCATGAACGGATTCTGACCCTGTTGCGGTTGCTGAGGCTGAGGTTGTGGTTGAGCTGGTGGCTGGCCAAAAGGATTCGAATTGAGAGTATTTGTCGGCGTGAACATCTGACTTCGTGTGGACTTCAAAAACGGATTTCCAGGGCTCGTAGGAGAAGACATCGACGGGTATTGCTGTTGCTGAGGCTGATAAAATGAACTGTACTGCTGCGGTAGTTGGGGCATAGGTGGCGGCGTAAATGACTGATGAAATGGGTTTGTTTGTGGGTATTGCGGTGACTGATGCTGACCATATCCTCCAGTTCTGTTTGGAAACAAAGGTTGCTGTGGCTGTTGATGTGATAACTGAAGGCCTTGGAATGACTGCTCTAAACTATGCGGTTGCTGGACAAATGGATTCTGCTGTTGTGCGAGATACTGCTGTTGCTGGGGAAAGCCATGTTGGAATTGGCCTCCCTGAGCTTGCGACAAGAATGGATTGTAGGGATTGGATGGCGATGTTGGCTGAGCTGATGGACCTCCAAAGGGCGGCTGCTGAGTCTGAATCGGCGCGGGCTGGAGTTGTTGCTGCGGTAAGGGGGCTACGGCGTCTAGGGCATCAAACGGATTGGCCGACGTGGTGGCCGCGGGCATAGTGTGGCTCTTCTCTATCATTAGCCCGTTCAAGTTTACCCCACCCTTTGCAGGCGGAGTAGGCGTACTGCCTCTTGACTTGGTGGGATTTTGTTCGCCCAATCTGATCAACGCTTCCACGGCTCTGTCCAGGTTGCCGTTGAGGCCCCTCAGCACCGTCGAATTACGTTTTTCGTCCGGAAACCCCATATCTCTTAAGGTGGCCAGCTTTGACTCCAACCCGTCACCAGAAGTGTTTACGTTGGATCCAAATACCCTAGACGGCTTATTCACCCTTGGTGGAGATGTATCCTGCCCGCTGAAGCCGCTTAGTCCAGGCGATACCGGGGGTGTGACATTCTTAGGGAATGTTGAAGCCTTTTGCAATCCAAACCCAAAACGCTTCGTCGGTTTCGGAGGGAGGGGTGGAGGTCTATCTTCTACCGAGCTCGAGCTTCCGGTGTTCGATCGCGTGCCAGGCCGTGAGTCGTTCATGAAAGTTCGCTGCTCATACTTCTGCCGAATGAATCTTTCCATTGCGCTATCCACCTCGTCGATGTCGATCGGTATCTGCGGCTTTATGTTGCGAGGATTGTAGGCTTTGTTGGATTCGACGTTGCCAATGCGCTTCATGTTCTAGAAACCGTCAATCTTCCCCCTGGCATAGGCATGCGCGGGTTCTTACATCCACCTGCGCGTTGTCCCACTTGTCCATGCTCAGGGACTTGACTTTGGAGATGTGCGTGCCCAGCTTGCGGTGGAGGGCGGCGCACCGCATGCACAGGAAGATACCCAGCTGGAGCGGTGTTAGCAACGGGCGCAAGGCGCATTCAGGAAAGGAGACGATTGTTTGGCGGTGTGTTCATCGCGTCGTGCTTGAAAGGGGCCACTCACACTCCAGCTTGCCCATCCTACGCATCGTCAGCCGATTGTAAGCCGGTCCGGGTCTGCGAATTCACTCACCTGGATTGCGCGCGCCGCAGTCCGCACATACGCCATTTCCAGGGACAGTCTTAATAAGCTCTTGCAGCGTGCGCTCGTTGCGCGCTTGCTGGCGCTTGTTCAGAGCGGATGCCATGGCCTGTGTTGCGGGAGGAGCAGAGGCTCGCGCGACCCAGCGAAGGACGGAGCGCAGACGTGCACGAGGACAACACGCGGGGATGTCAGGAGCTCGTGGCGGGCGAACGGGCGGTCGCTTCAAACAGCAACGCAGTTTATCGACGTTGGTAAGGTTCCATGGCCGGAGGGGAGTAGAGGAAGAAGAAAAGGGAGCTCGAGGACCGTTCCGCTAATCGGGACGGGGATGATGGAAGCGAAGGGCCGCCTCAGCACTCAGCAACGTGGGAGGCTTGCAACCTTGCAACCTTGCAACGCAGCGCAACCCAAAGGCCTGGATCCGGCCTCTGGTCAATCCTTGGTTGCGACCCCTATGAAGTCTCTTACGTTTGGTTCTGCCTCAGAGCCCGCATCTATGTGATAAACATGGCTACAGAGCAGTCCAAACGTTGGCGACGACTGAATCAGCAAGATGAAGTGGCTTTCACGCACAAAAGCCACTCCCATGCCACTGCCAGAATGCCATGCCATCCAACCACGAGGCTGCCGAAACTCAACGTCCCGTCTTTCAAGGCCTTGATCCCTACTTAAACAACAAGACGTTCGCGCTTGATAGCTGTGAAGAGGTAGTCTATCTGTTCTTCGGATTAACTCCTGATTGATGAATTCCCGGATACTTTGCGTCCTCAGGGGTAGGCCGGCCTGAGGAGCCAGACCTCTCCCTCTTCGGTCCAATTCCAGCATCTGTTAGTCCTACACCAAGCTTTAGCACGAAAGGCACCGTCAGCTGAGTTCGAAGAGGAACGCTGCTGTCCGCCATCATCTCGTGCGAAAGCTGAGATGTCTGAGACCGCAGGTGCACCTCCGTTCCATTGCACAGGTACAGAAGCCTAAAAGGTCCAGTTCACTCTAGTACGCCAATATGACAGACCATTCTATGGGGAAAGAAGTGGCAGTTGATTATGCGTTCATGTTTTATGAATGTGTGATGAAGAGACGCAGCTCGACGCCTGAGCGAAATTTCATCGGCTGGAGTGCCAAGACCCAATCGCGGGCCGTCGATTTTCCGAGACCTGAATTTTCTTTGAGTTCCGCCCACCGCCTTCCGATCCCTCATCCAATGCACACATGGCACCAATGTACTCGCATTACTTCGATAGGAATAGGAACGTTGCTCATGTGGCATTGATCAGTGTTCAGTCATGCCCAGGCAGGGCAACGCTTTACGTTCGAATTATACCCCACAATTACCTGCTTCCTGGATCAGCTATCCATGGCCTGGGAGCTTTAAGGTTCTCGTTCAGTGGGAGATGGACATAGGTTCTTAGCAGACACCGTGTCTTTCCCACCCTGCTCGTTGCGATCTCCACGGACGAGCGGGACTATGAAAGACATACATCTTACCGTTCCGCAAGCTGATGAGGATTACAATACAGCTTGCTGCATGCTGAAGAGCAGGAGGTGGACCCCGACTGTGCAGTATCGGGTTGATCCCGTCTAGTTGCCACCAGTGTCGGCAGCGCGTCATGCAGCTAAATAGCTGCGAAGGGGACGACGCGTCATTCGGGGAGTTGGGTCGCGCACCCAAGCCTCCCGCTTGAACCTGGGACCTCTACACCGTTGTTCAAAGCCCGGCGGAACACCTCGATTCTAGATCGCAGGCACCACCCGCATGGATGTTTCCTCTTTCCTCAAGCTTCGTATTTGTTCTAGCGGACCTAGAAGCCATCTCCTGCGGACGGCCATGCATGTTGGAAGGACTGTATAGGCCACCACGGTACTCGGCCTGGCGAGGCTTCCAGCTCGATTCCATTTTTGGATCAAGAGGAGCGCACAAGTGTGCACGGCCGCTCTATGTGCCATGCTCCACAGTGTCTCCTCCCAAGTGGTGGCTGGGGGCACCTCTACTCTTCAGTGGCTCATATGTGATACGAAAGTCTACCGTTCGGATCTCTAAAGGCTCGGATGGAGTTACCCGTAGCCTAATTGGCTTCAAGTCGCGATACCTGATCGAGGAGTCGTATCTGGGCTCGAGCACGGCCACGAAGGCTATCCCGCTTAGATACCTCCAAGTCTTCCGGCATAGCTCAGGGCTTTAGTGAGGCTTGATCCATATGCTTTTCTTAGATGCGAGATATGGCGCTGGCTTTGTTTTGCTCTACCCTCTGAAGAACGCCATGCTCGGCAATGTCTCTTACAAAAAGGGTAGAGAGCCCTACGTGCCTCTACCCGGCAAAGGCCCATCCACAATACGAATGCTTAAACGTTGGAATCCCACGCGGCTCGGGTGGACGAACTCAAATAAGGTGCTTACTCTTCGTCAATCACACGGTCAGCCGCACTTTTATCAATTCAGATGCCGTTGTGGCTGTGCTTCTCAAAATAACTTGTCAAGCTGAGTACCTCTCCTACATCCCGGAAAGATGACTCGGTCAGATAGGTAAAAGAGAAGGGTCGCGGTCGCTCGATCCGAGAGTGGCGCATGCGGCGTCACTGGTGCCGAAGGCGTCGCCGAAGTGCAGCGAAGGGCTTCTTTCCTGTGCCGCGGTCGTGGTTATTTTAAACACCCATGATAAAGCTTAAACATACCAATAGGGAATTTTTCCATCGCTGTGGAATCCGTTGTTGTGGCTGGGTGAGGCACGGGATTAATACGTATAGTTAAGCCCATATTACGGAGGAGAATCAGGCCGAGCTTACGTCTTCTCCCCAGATGTGCCCAAGGCACCGATCAGCCGTTCGACGTCACCACGGTGATGGCAGAGCATGCTCTGGAGTGAGACCGGCATGAGATGTTGCCGGTAATCTGATTTCGCTATGGCGAAGTTGGGCGTCTTCAACAATGCCTAGAACTCTGCGACGACGGGGACATTTGTGCTGTGGTTTCGTCGGCAGCACTAGAAGGGAGGAGGTCTCCGGGATTACTTCGATAGAGAATTGCAATCGAGAGGGGCGCCTGCGGACGACGCCGATGCGTGTATGGTTCCCGATGCACGATGCCTTCACCCCTGAGCAGTCTTCACGGACCCACACGAGGGGGTGAAAGGGGACGATCTGCCCCCATTGCTGTTAGGTCTGAGATTATACGGAGTGGAATCCTGGAGAACCCAATTCAGCGCGGACATGGAAGGTTCAGTGTCAATCTTTACTGAGCTGAACCTTGGAGCAACCGTAAATCTTTCCCTCAACATCAGTAGATACATACTTGGGGATCTGCCAGCTGAATGCAGCTGAAATGCCGCAGTGTCTTGCGCAATTTCTCAACCACTTTGTCGATATTAGAGAAACTCAGACGGTTGGAAGGAGCATCAAGAATTTGAAAACCTTCTCGAAAGACGTGCAGAGAGTGGTGCGAGGAATACGCGGAGCTTCTGCCCTCGGTGGGTCCGACCACTCTTGAGTCTGCATCACCACGCCTTGACGCTGCCGAGGGTGAAAGCAACGAGCTTTTTGGCGACCGGTGAACTGACCGCACGCTTTATGAAGAATAGCTCCTCTGTGACTTTTACCGCTTCTTCTGTGCCGAGGTGGGGTGTCCACGTCGGATCACATCTCGTCTCCTGCATGGAGCCGGCATCGATGCACCTTGCTAGGGCCGCGAGAGTGGGACTGACCACGCTGTTCCTCTATTCCACCCAGTAGGGAGGCGTGATTTGAGAATAAGTGCCATATTTACCCGGGACACCGGGACTGGGCTCTGTTGCTTCTAGTATCTGCGATCGTGAAGGTCGAGAAAAGACGGTCAGGGAGGAGATTGAGGCATTTAGCGCCCAAGGCGGACTCGTGGTAGCATGCTTCTCGAAGCGCATTCCCTACATGTGCCTGCTTCGTTCCATAGTCTCCGCATACAGTGCAGTGATGATGCAAAACATCGTGAGGTTGGAGTCGGTCTGTCGTGCCTGCACCGCCACACACAAATGGAAGCTACGACCCACACCTGAGGCGATGATTGGTCCGTCCCAGACGCCACGGCGGATGCAGCCAATCAGTTGCGCACGCCGGCTCGCTCCTCACGAACTTGCATGTCGACCTGACCGCCTCGACTTCCCTTCTGCATCACGGCTCTTGAAAGGCTTCCGCCCGCCAAACCAAGCGTCTCAACGTCGCACACCGATAGAGGCTGCCTTGCGCGCCTGCTACATCACCCTTCTCGCCTGTCTCTCCGCTCGTCGCTTCGGCGAAGACCGCCCGGCTTTTCTGACTGTCGAAATCCAGTAGCGTCCCCCGGCCTCGCAGAGTCAGAAACTGGCATGCCTCCGCTTGCAGGACGGCTGAAGCTCCATCTTAGCGATGCGCTGTGCTTTATTCACGCCCTTCACGCAAGGGTCATGCAGCTCGATGCTAGTTCGACTCACAGCCGGTCGGAGGTTGAATGATGTCAAGGCAGCGGGCTGCAAAAAGGCAGCAACAACCGGAGGCTGAAGCACTGCCACGTCTTGATTTAGGTTCTGAGAAGAGGTGCTCCCGGTACCTCTCTCTTCACGAGAGACCTCTAGGCCAATAACATTGCTGCCTCAGCGTTCTGGGTCCCATGCGCGCCGGGCTGAACAGTAGCCTTGTCGACGGGGCCAGGACAATGCGGCCCTCCCGAGAAATCTTGCCAATCTAACGGTAACGAGCGATGCAGGTACTTGAAGCGGGACCCAATTGCTTCCTCTGGGTACGGAATGGCGTCGTCCTCGCTCAAACCAGGCCAATCGCTGGCTTCCTCTGCGTGGTCTCGGCCGCTTGTGCGAAGGGCCCTACAGGGCTGGCATGTGGGACTACCGCGCTTTGGTCCCGTTGCGGGCCCCTGACCGGTGAATTTAGCAAGGTTCAGTAAGACGTCATGGTTCGAAGCTCACGCGGCCGTAGCTTTACGGGAGAGCCGAGCTGGCTTACCGGGTTACGGCAGCCCTGCTTCCTACAGAAGCCTCCATATCTCGCGTCGATGCCTAATCCCATTTTCGACTTGGAGGCTTTATCCATTCGTGTTCTAGTCTACCTAGGTACTCATATAGGCGGCGGCGATGTTCGCCAATCAAGAACCCCGTAGCACGGAAGCCTCACGTCCCCCAACGGTTTGAGTCAAGGGTATCGACTCCTCGGTCGTCTATCCCCGATCCCAAGAAGTCTCCCGTCATCTACTCACGCCAGCCCGTTGGCCCTGGACACATCACACGACGGTATGAATACCTCTAGGAGCTCTCCAGCTTAGAGTCATTTCTGACACGCGACGTTCGTTCACTCTTTCTTTCATTTCGTTGGTCCTATTGCGTCTGCTTTAACACGTTAACCCCCCGCCTACCAGATCCAAGCTTTGACCACCTAAACGTGGACGACCTCGTTTTCGTTTCGCAGCCTTCAGTCACACTCGAGTGTCTTAATCTATACTTGGCCCGGCGCCAGGTCTGCCACCTAGCGATGAGACAGTGGTGAAATCCACCAGCATACCCTATATCCCCGAGTCAACTGCGTACCCTCCGATGGGATCTAATCCGTGCTGGCGACCACTCTCCCTCTGCCCAACACCATCCCCAAACTCCAGTGCTTGCTCTAGACCATATCGCGACGCAGCCCTTCACACAGTCTTGAACGGAGACCGCATCAAAGGCAGCAATGTCTCAGAATCAGAACGCCAGCGGCCAACAATCAAGGTCATCGCGGGGCGGATCTTCGACGCCAGGAAGAGAGCCATCCAGGTCGAAGGCGGACGAATGGAGTGAAGTCAAGGACCCAAATGAGCGCAGGAAGATCCAGAACAAGTTGGCTCAGCGGCGGTTCCGTAAGTGTAACAACACGCAGGGCAACCTGAAGACCCTCACTGACGCAGTTTTAGGCGACAAAGTCAGAGAACAGAAGGAAGAGGCCGAGCGCGATGTAGAGAATCAACGACGAGCAGGAAGCTCTTACGCTTCTCCGGACCCTGGCGACATTGATCAAGGCAGAGACCTCTCAGGTCTGCCATGGGGCGGGATCTCGATGCGGCATATTGTCGAGGCGGGAAAGACCAAAGAACAGAATTCCCAGCGTAGCTCACGGGAGAGCTCAGTGTATGCCGCCGCTTCAAGAACAGGGGGAAGCAGCAGGTGAGATATCCCAGGTGTGAGTCGGTCTTCCGTTTCAGTCTGAGGATTTTGACTGACGCCGCCGCAGAGTTGGGCTACGCCTTACGGATCAATTTGCACGAGGCTATCCAGCTTGGAGATACTTTCCTTATCGCCAACCAGGATGGGGAGCGAGTTGATGTAGCGTGAGAGCTCACGGAATAGCCGCCGAGGTCCTTCACGCCGCCGGTGACCACTTATCCCTTTGGCCCGTCGGTCCCCCTCTTTCCGGTTCTTACTGTGGCACATCAGTATTTTGGTTGCGTTTTCGATTCCATTGCAAGACACATGTCTTGGGGCTCAGGCAGCCTTATAACTAAATATCTTGGGATCATACATCGGAGGTGTCATGAGGGAGCTACGAGTTACGCCTTGACGATTACGGCGGTCTCCTTTGGGTAAAGGGGAGTCGAGCATGCCGTGCAGCTCGAATTTCTTTCGTTACCGTGCCCTGTTTACTTTCTCATCAGCCACCTCGTCCCGTCAGCTTCTTTTAGTAGTCATTCCAAATCTAAGCACATCAACTTATACAACGCGGTCGTACTGTACACAGTTCCATTTTGTCAGAGCACACATTCATATTTTTAGGTTCCAACGCTGAGAGGTCGAAGAGAGCCTTAGCGCTTGAGGTGTCTGCCGTGTCACCTTGTCAAGTTCCCGAAACCGATGGGGCCGTCTGGCGTAAACGGCGGCACTGACCAGGATGAGATAGAAGGGCCCGAAGACGCCGGAGCGTTGGACAAAACCACGCAAAATGAGATCCCACTTTCATGAAGAGCGAATCGGAATACACGAGGCTGAAGAGATTCAGAGCCCCATTAGCTGGCGGAGTGAGTGGCTTGACCCTGCACAAGTACGGCGTAGCCCAACACTCCCTTACACACGCGGTGCAATGAGGCAACAGTCGTTCACGCTTATCGCCTACCGCCGAAGTGTCGTCGAAAACAAGCTGAAGTCGGCCTCAGCCAGATTCTCTGTCCTATCCATTAGCAGTATTAACAACCAGCTGCCTGCATTTTGGCTTCCTCGCATCGCATTTTTGCTACACGCTTCTGATGGCGCACCAACAATGGTTTATGAGGATATTCGTCGTGACAAGCGTGCATGATCTCGGAAGCTTAACTGAGGGGCTATCGTCCCTGGTCCCAGAGTCCGCCTCGCATCGTTTTAAAGATATGCGAGGAGGTCGTGAACGACTGGTGGTTGCTGGGATCATACGCTTAAAGCTTGCGTGGCGAGGCTGAGCGCACAGCCCATGTGGCTTGAGAGCCGTTGCTCGCTTGCTTTGCCGAACCTTCACATCTTCATCACATTCCACCGTTCTCTTCCGCCGCGTCCACCGCGTCCACCACTCAAAAACGCCATCACCGGCCCCTCCATCCAGATATTCGGGATGTGGCGTCTGTCTGGCACACCACAACCTGGTCAAGAGCGCGGAAGTAGCGATAGTCGAACCTCGCCGCCGCGGCGGTGACGATTGATGCCTGCCTGCAGTGCTTCCTCCAGACCCCGAAGGGAACCATGAGACCATTTCACGATCTCAATGAGTCGGAATGCCCTAGTAGCCTGTTCAGCACCATCGTAATTGCGGCAAAGCACTGCAACATGGTCAGAAACGGAAAACGGAAATTGCCAGCTTGACGTCAAACCGGCCCTCACCGTGCTGTGCGCCCCTCTCGCCGTAGCCCCAGATGCTAGGCATTAGCCCCATCGGCACCGCTTATTGGTGTGCGGGGCGGGTTACAACATGGATGAGTCAATTTTCTTGACGTCTTCATCTCAGCCTTGAGCTTCTTCGCCGAATTGAGGGTGGAAGCGTATAGCAGCTCTGGTTAGTCCGAATGCTACTCTCCCTCTGCCATTGGCCCGTGGCTGCGCCTGGCCTTCGACAGTCCAGCTGATGCAGGAGATTGGAGCTCGGAGCTCCTCGATCTTGGTCCCGCTTCTGTTTTCCTCCAGGCTACATCTCACCGCACGCCACAACGCTCTTGCGGCGTCTAAGGCCAACTTGTTAAGCGCTTTCTTGAGGCTAGAAACATGCCCTGCGGAGTTCAGCAATGGATCCTCTAGGTTTGCGGCGTAGATTGCCCTGATATATATTCTTTTAGCTGGACATGGAAACATCAAGGAAGAACGGATTGGACGATCTCCATGTCTGTCGAAGAACTTTCCAAGCTATCGCTGGCGGAGACTATGGTAACCACTCGAGCTGGTGCAGCTAGAGCACGAGCGGCACCCTCCCAGGATACTCAGCAATCCGCATCCTCCAGCGAAGCGTCTTCGCCGACCCCTTCTCTCATCGTTTCGACCAATGGCCTTCAGTACGATGTCTCCGAGTTCGATGGGGACCTCCGCAAACGAGCTAAGAGAGGGCTGATATATGAGGACAATGACATCGAAATGAAGTTTTGCGAAGCGACTGAGGATGACCCCAAGAAGTACCTATTTCACCTGGCCGACGACATTACCGTGGCCATGAATGGGGGTAATACGCCGAAGTGTAGCTGTGGAGCAAACGAAGACGGGAGGGCATGTAAAGTGAGTGCCACAGATTTTCGCACTACCTAGTATTGCACTGACCTCCGCCGCAGCACATTTTTTGGATGCTGGGGCAGTTGACCTCCCAGGTGCAGAAAACGCAACCCCTTCAGTTGGCAAAAGATGGATCGACTGTACGAGACACGCGTCCGGCCGAGTTGATAAAGAAATATGGTTTCGAGACCATTGCAGGACATCTTGACTGGCCCTTGCTAGAAGAAGAGCTGCCAGAGGAGGAAGATATGGTTGACGAGATCGCCAATATGTTGTCTGTTTTCGAACCCACCGACGACCTCCCAGCGGATTTCAAAAGCGATGAGACGAGAGATCTTTCCTCCCGGAAGTACCAGGAATTCAAGGACCTCATTGCCGATCACGCCAAGAAAAACAATGGGCTGTACATCCAGCTTCAGGGGATTATTGATCGAGCCTTCCGAGCACGTGTCTTCTTCGCGAAGATTGACCACCGTATCGATCGAGCCTTCGACGCCTTTCAAGAATACATAGCCAAAGGCCCCACCCGTACCAACGCAGCACAAGTCGACGTCAAGAACTGCGCCAACAGACTGAAGGGCCTGGTTCAGACTATTGCGGAATACTACCATGAGCAAATCGAAGAGCATCCCGACCCGGAGGATCTAGCGACTAGGGCGGGAAAGGCACTGCTTGACATCCTCGACGGCGTCGCTGACCGCGACTTTGACGCATACGAAAACATTACGTGGAGTAGCGAGCATCCTACGGACCCAAAAGATCGCAATCTATTTGTGTTCTTGATCTATGCCCGTCCAGAAGACGAAGGGCTGTTCGTCTTGGACACGCTTCAGGGTCTCCCACAAGACGGCGTCATTCGACATCACTGGGCGCTAATTCAAGGGATCCTCGAGAAACTCAACCGTTCCAATCTCTGGACGCCGCAGGAATACATGGATGCCTTCCGCACGCTCTACCCGGAGACCAGAAAGAGGGCTGCTTCCGAGACTGGTGGAAGTAGCGCGAAGAGACCCATGCAATAGGGAGACAAATCCACGTCTATCAGTATTCACGGTTGGCCTCTGGTAGGCAGCCTATGTTTGGGTATTGTTTTGGATACTTCTGTCCTTCTCGGAAGGTTTGTCTGCGCGTTCACCTTTGTTGCTACTCCTACTCCTGTCGGACTTCCTTTCTCATGTCTGCACCCTTCGGGGATGCTTCTTTTGGCTCAAGAGTCCAGTCATTATTCCTTGTTTTCAACAACTGTCTTTTAATTGTCTTCACAGTACCCTTCTTACACTCGCTCACCATTATCCCTCAGCGGTGCTGGGGTTATGGGTTGGATTTGAGCACCACTTCATCGCTTACATTTCTCTGGAATTGAGTTCATTGCTTCGCACTTTACATCCTTGTCTCTCACTTCAGAAAATTGGTGCCAGTATGTGGCTGCATTGAAAGTACTTTGCGCTTAGTAGGCGACGAGCATTCGCACTTCTAATCTACTCTTTCTCTATGCTCGGACGCATCGCATTCAATCCACACTGGATGTGCCATCTTCCGAATCCGGCAATGGATCATGAACAGAACACGCCACATGCTCCATAGGGTGTCCAGCTGATGTGCTTCAACACGCAGTGGGGTAGTCAAGTCCATAGGGCCGGGTGCCCGCCAAGAGGCATGCAAAGCTCTGTTCTCATAAAGCAGATAGTAAAGTTCCGAGACGCCGGAGTAAGACTGGGAGCAATCTGGCGTGATATAAGTGGAACCGAGATGCAGATGCGGTCGGCCCGTTGCATGAGGGGCACGGATGCTTGTACGAGTACTGTTCCATTGGGTTGTGGTTTGATGTCCCATATGGCCCCTCACCGAGACGCGAGGGTAGAGGGTGGATGTCCGGTATACGCGGATTGTTAGCTCCGTTCATGTGAGACGAAGCGGACACGCACGTATGACAGAAATGGCAGAACCAAGCGTGAGCTGGCGTTGCACAGCACAGCAGCAGCATGGTACTGTGGTAGCAGGACCTAGATGTCACGGAACGGGCGGATTGATTAGCGGCAGCGTCTATGCAAGCAGCATGTCGCATGCATGCAAGTTTTGTCCGGCAAGAGTTGCAGAGGTCGGGGGCGCGTCAAATGCGAATTGTCGCGTTCGGTGACCGTCAAGCGCTCCGCATCCGCGCCTCAACTCCGCGGCCTCTAGAAGATGTCGCGTATTGGGCGGGCACGCGGTCCAGCGCCAAAGACAGTGCACTGTGGTGGCTTGCATAACAAGAGCGGCACACCCTGGCCAGCTTAACGCATGCGTAGTAAGTGGTGACGATGCGAATGCCGCGAAAAGCAACGTGTTGATATGCAGGCTGCGGGCTCTCATAGGTCTTTCTGGATGGATAAGCAGGGCAGTGGAGCATCTTGTGCCCTGCTTGACGGCGCTGACTGCCGGTCGAAAAGCAGCCACGATATCCCACCGCATCCAGCTATGCAAGCAGAGCCGACAATATGCCATGACTAAGGCGCGCCCTGGGTGGCGAACATGTGCCCAAGACGCCAGGGGGTCCGGCGCTCGGTGGATGGCACTGGGCAGGCCAGCTTGTGGGCGCCGCGCAGTAGCTCTGCGCCAGCTATACGATGGCGGTGATCTGATTTGGCGCGCGAGTGCGAGAGCTAACTGTAGACTATCGCAATCCACATGGAGCTCTTTGTTCCTTCCGTGGCAGAATGCGGGGAAAGCGCGCCTTGCCCAACGCGCCCTAGCCCGCCAATCAGGACGCGGTCCACGTCGCTGGTGCTGCCCTCTGCTCGGCCTGCGCCTTCGCACACATATTACACAGCAGTGCATCCCCCCTTCTCCCTCGCTCCCAGCATTCCTCGTTAATCTGTTGTGATTAGAGCCCTCGTCCCACAGGCACGCCGCTGCGAAACCCGCTCGCGCGACCTCTCACGCTACCGTCTGCCCACCGACCTGTGACGTATCACCACCGACCGACACTTGGTAAGTTCCGAGCATCGGTGGCCCGTGCGCAGTCACTATACTTCTACACCACGCCCCCGCCTCCTTTCACCCCAACGCACACCACGCTCCCCCTTACGTCTTCGCGATAGCCGCAATTGACCGCACGCCAGAACAGCCACCAACACCACTACCACTGCCCCGCCGCCACACCACCGCCATGTCCAACAGCCCCCCTCGCTCCCCCGGCGCTCGGCGGCGCGCCTCCGTCACCGGCGAGACGTTCCAGGGCCTCTTCGGCGGTCGCCAGAACAGCGTAGGAGGCCAGGGCGGCGCCCAGCCGTACCCGGGTCCGATCACGTCTGCAGCTGTCAACGCTCAGCGACGGCGCCTGTCCCTCACCACGCTTGGTCTGTCAGGCTCCCCGAGCCAGACGTCGCCCTTCCAGAGCGCTCGCCCACGCACAGAGAGCCTGTCCAGCGCCAACTCGGGCTCCGTCGACGAGAGTCCCTTTGAAGATGATCCGGCGCCATCCGCCTCCAGCTCCAGCAGCAACCCCGCCACACCTTTCGCTCGCCGACTGAGCTTCGGCGCACGCGCACTACGGGATGTCAGGCAGAGCAACGGGAGCGTTGGGAATCCCAATGGTAGACCCTCCATCCATAAAGCCTCCTCTCCCCCGACTACTAGAGGTCGAGGTCTGTCTTCATCCTCGCCCTCCTTCCCTTCGCCTCTGCCGATTCTTGTCCCGCCTGCGTCTCCTTCGTCTTTGCACTCTGAGCGTTCCGCCTCCCTGCCCTCGTCTGATTTATCGCACGTCCTTGCAGAGTACTACAAGCGACACCCAGACCAAGCTTTCGGAGAACACGAGCTGACTACCATGCTCTCGCATACAGGCGAAGGCTACAATTTCGCAGAGAACCTCCGCTCCCGCGCCGAGCGTACCTCCATGTCTAGTGCACACCCGATCCATAGCCCGCAGGCTCCACCACACCAGCGCGCCAAGAGCGTTGCCATCATGGAGCCTCCCGCTCGGGAGATGCCCAAGCAACCGAAGGTGCCCGACGCCATGCAGGAGCGCATTCTCAAGGGCGACTTTTACATGGACTAGCGAGGAGCGTGATGCTACGTTGGCATCTGCTTCGTTTCAAGTCATGTGTGATTAGCCCTTCGCCTACGTCTTTCCTAGCGATCAATTTCCGCACGTCAGCAATGTTTTCATCATCCAGGATCTTCGGAGGGGATGGTTTTCTTACCTAGTATCAAGATGGGGCGCAAAATATCCCAATGTATTGCTTGTTGGAGATTTTCGAGACGGTTTTAAGGAGCGAGAACGGAACGAACGCTATGATTGTGTTACTGGACTCTATACCGGACTCTTATCGACTTTCCCGACACGAGCCCCGCGAAACTGAGGCTACGACTACGGCAACCTAACGGCAGCATTTTCCTTCAGTATTCGGCTTTGCGCGGACGCCAAAGAATGACGCTTTTCACCGCGCCGGCTTTGGATTTAAACACTTTCTTTAAGCCTTTCGGCATATCGGTTTCTTCGGCGAGGAATGCAGCTGCTCTCTGCCTTTATGCTTATCACGGAGTAACCCCGCCGCTGAGGCACGGCGAGCGGGTATCGGCGTTTCAGCACGGGTGGCTTTATTGCGAGACTTTCCTTTCTATGGTCCCTGGGTCTATGTACCAGAAGAATGTACTTTTCTTCAGCGGGTGCCTCGGAATGGGTTGGCATTTCTTTCACGGCCTCAAGGCTTTTAAATGAGCAGAAACTGGCGAGCCGCTGCTTATGAGGGTGTACGGAACTGATATGGCTCGGGATGAACGCATCACGGATAGCATACAGACTGGACCTAGGACGGCTGCTGTGGATACGTAGCTCGATCTGAGGATGTTCAGAAACTGAATGAAAGGGTCTGGGAAACTCACCCTCACTCCCCCAAGTGCCGAATCTGCATTGCATCCCCTCGTAATGTCTTTCTCAGCCCCGCCTTCATCGTGCCATTATGGAACAATTCATATCGGCCTCAAAGACTGATGATGGCATGAGAGCAGTGTGATCTGGTACCAGTACCATGGACCCTTGTGGAGCCCTGTATCCACCCTTATCGTTTCTAGACCATATCTTCGTCACGCAACACCACCTTCCGAAACTCGTACTACGTTTTGCAATGCCCGCCCTTGCCGCTCCGCTCTTTTCGTTGACTCTTTTTTTTTTCTCTGGTGGGAACGGCATGCCAACGAGACGTCGACGTCATCGGTGCGGGTGGTATGCGTTTCAGATGGGGAGATCTGCGCGTTTTGGTGCAGATCTTAATATGGAAAGAGAGGGAGGAGCGGGGGTTGGTTGGTTGGTTGGTTGGGTTGGACTGGATTTTGGATTGGATGAGGTACCGAGTGTGGGGTGTAGATCGTAGGAACGTCTAAGGGGTTCGAGATGCATAAAAAGTGTCATGGTCTTCAATAAGAAGACGGAACTTTTATACTTTGGGACTTGCTGTAGGTAGCTCGATATACTACTCGTTGAACTTACCGTGCTGCGCGAAAGCTGAGCGATTTTGGTTGCTGGTTAAGTGTAGAAGGCAGTGATTTCACGCTGTCGTTGTTGTATTCGGCAGGCTGGAGGAGAAATGCGTGTCGTAAAAAGGGAGCGGTGGCACCAACTCATATATGCTACGGCGGCGACTTTGCTAACATGTAATAGTAACAATAAGTGATTACATTCGAAAATTCTCTCCATTTGATCCTATGCCATAGATATACATTATCCCAGCAGCTTCCGGTCTAGCGTAGAAAGAAATGACCACAAACACTGCAATCCGTAGGTGAGAATTAGGAAGGGTAGGACGATGCAAAACTGCGGACTGTTTTGCGTCCGAAGGTGTGCGAAGTCGCGAACGGTAGTGCAAAGGACTTTGATGGCTTGTCCTGCTCTGAGCTCGGTGGAGCGATTGAGGAGCGATTGAGGAGCTAACTCCTCCTGCCGTTTGAAGGTGTTATCCATATGTATCGCAACGGTTGCGGGACAGCATGGACTGAGGAGGGTCGAGGGTGTTTAGTGAGTATTTATGACTTCGGTTGCGGTAGGCAGTGCCGGAGCAGAAACTGATGTAGCTTGGGATCTAACTCGGCTGCAAGTCTCAGAGACTCGGCGTCGGGGGTGACGTTGGTTTTTATAAAGAGAAACTCCACCGTCGGCCACGACGGGGGTGTCCACCTGTCATAGTTGATTGCGTGCCACAGCGGTGTATGTCCCTTCAAGTCTTGTGCTTCCACACTAGCGTGATACTTCCTGTGCAGATGGTCCATCATGTTTACTTCACCATGCGATGCTGCAACCACGAGCGGCGTTCGACCCTTGTTATCGGGTTGGTTCGGGTCGGCGCCGTGCTCCATAACAAGGTCGAACATGCTCACATCGCCCTGATATGCTGCATGCGAACATAGTGTTTTTCCCCTCTTGAGTTGGCCCCGCGGATTCGCGCCGTGTTCTGCGAGGAGGAGCTTAACCGTCTCTGTATGTCCACCAATGGCTGCGAAGAAAATTGGTGTAAGCCCGTGGTGGTCTTCGAGGTGAGGATCCGCTCCGTATTCATTGATGAGCCGGTTCACGACGCTGGTAAGCCCCGTTCTCGCAGCAAAAGATAAAGCCGTGCGACCCATATCGTCCATAACATCGACATCGCTGTTATCTCTTTCCAGTAACATTCTGGCCATCTCTTCATGCCCTCCATCCGCCGCCTTCATCAATGCTGTACGACCCTGAGCAGAGTCCTTATGATGGATATTGATCCCTTCTTTTGCAAGCAAGAGCCTCATTATTCCCTTGTGGCCTTTCGAGGCAGCTGCCGTTAAAGCCGTGTCTCCGGATTTATTGAGTGCGTTCACCGTCACTCGAACGTCGTCCAGTAGCAACTTCACAATCTCTCTCTAAAACCACCTACATTTGGGTCAATGCGCGGATCTGCTAGAAGTGCTTTAACGACGTTCGCAGATTGTCTCTCGGTGGCAAGACATAGAACCGGCTCGTCCGTTCCACATGAGCGGTTTGGGTCGACTTGGTATTTGCGTAGTAGAAGATCGACGATCTCAACACGGTCGTTGCAAACCGCATACCACAATGGCCTTCGGCCACCACCGTCCTCTGACTCTGGGGATTGCCCGGCCGCAATCATGTCTTCCAATATCTGTGGGAATTTGAGAAGAGCGGCTAGGTGAACGCCTCTGACAGAGCGGAAAGATCCAATATCTATCCATGGGTCCAGTCTCCGTATGAAGAACTGTGCACATGCTGACAGATTTTCTGAAGGTGTCTGCAGGAAAGCCAATGAGAAACCCGGAAACTTCTCAGCCATGTTTGCGTGATATACCCAGTTTACCGTTGCGTAGGAGTAAAGTGGGTATTGTTCCAAGCAACGGAAATACTCATAAATGTCTTTGCATGCCCCTGCAGAGAAATGGTCCAGGGACATGTATGCTAAGCATGCGTCCGTGATGAACGCGTGGGCCTCCGGAAAATGCAAACGCCAATTTTGCGTGAAATACTCCTCTGTTGTTTTATGAACCAGACGTAACGTCTTCGAATGCTCATCAAAGGTCGTCAAGCCCGCACATACAGAGACAATGCTTTCAACAGGGGGGCAAAAGTCGCGGTCTATTTCCACAGTTCCCGGTTCAATAGCAAGGGAATCCAAAAGAGCTTCCAGAGGGAGTGCGAGTTGGGCATGAACAAGCCAACTGAGGACCTTCATGGCGAGCTCCTTGGAGTCGCAAGGTTGCGAATGGATTCTACTCATGGCCTGGTCGTAAAGTTTCTCCAGACCTGCGTCTCCGCATGGTAGGTTTTGTAAAGCTCTCTTAAGGTTGCCTGGAGTGAGCTTCTCGTTCAGGGAGTTCATCAAAAGCTTCAGCATGAAGAAACTTAGGTATACGTTAGCGTGAACGGCCATAATCCTCTCACTTGCGCAAGTGGCTTTTTCAGTTTTCAAGGTCCCAGGGGAGTAAGCAAAGACCATTCTAGATGACTTCAATGGGCTGAGTTCAGCCTGGCCTCGGATACATGGATTATCACCAAACATAGTAAGAAGCGACGTGACTCACATTCCATCAGCAGCGGTGAAGACTTTGTTATTTACCAAGTCTTGCAGGTCAGGATAATTCGCGATCCGGTTTCGAAGCAAGCTGGGCGACCGACTCTCGATATACATCCTTAGATCGTCATCGTTGGCTCGAATCCACTGGCGTAAGCTTCCTTGGAAACGGGACGTGATATCTGGAAGGGGACGCGAAGTCGCCAAGAGACTTAAGGAAGACTCTTTTTGAATGTGGAGGAGCGTCGAGAGAAAGCCCTCGAGTTCTGAGGGAGAGGAAGAGTAATATTCGTCCAGCGCGTCCACGACGATGAAGACTCTCGAGCGAGCTGCCACCGCAGCCTTCAGCGCCTTCGACAAATCTGCTATTGAGGGGAGTGATTTGCGTCGATCATGGTGGTCGAACAGCGTTTGAATATCGCCAGGAACGGATTCAGAGCACCGAATCAGCTGCCGTACGATACAACCGAGGTCTCGAATCGTCTGACGCTGCTGAGGCTGGTAGCTGAGATATAGGAATGCGAAGGTCATGTTGTCATCAGCGCGACATAACTCCTGAACGGACTCAATCACCAGGGAAGCAATGATTGTTTTGCCTACCCCGGGGTTTCCTGTGCACAAGATAACCTTTCCAGGCTCGGTGATCCATTGCTGGTAGTTGGGTGAATTCAAGAACCACTTTCCTGTTCCCTCTGCGAATGCGACGGTATGTATTAGCCAATGTCTTATATTAAAGAGGGAAGAAGACACCGCGCATATCATGAGTTGGTTCTACCCATTGAACGCCTTCGCGATTGGCTTTCCAGTGATACTGGGATGAGCGGATATGTGTATCGCGACCTACGCACCTTGTCTTCGAAATATGAAGTCGGCTTGTTGAGTGGAAAAGTCAACGATCGAAAACCAGGTAGCCAGACGTTCGTTGTATTGGCGCCGCTCCTGAGCCTCTCCGCGAGATTGTATGTCATCTATGTTGACTTTCAGCTGCCCGATTGTGCCACTGATTTACATTAGCTGCGAACTCAATATGTCTTGAAGCCTCGACATGACAGGAGGCTGCTGCACCTACGTATTCAAATGGGTGAGGAATGTAGAAAGTATGTCCACGTGCAATCCAAGACGCTGGCGAAAATCGCCGATTTTGTCCTTATCCCATCGAACTCTCTTCCACCACGTGCGGACCCTGCTACTATCCTGGTCGTTTACGTTGCTCTTGTCCAACAGCCCATTCAGCTCGTCGAACACACTTCGGCAGCCTCCGACTATGCTTATTAGGCTCTGTTCCTGTGACGGCGTCGTGTCGTGGTCCGGTAGTTTCTGGTAGGTCTCTTGCAGAAGGACGCGTAGAGAGTCTAGGTCTTTTGCGATGTCACTGAACTGTTGCGGAACCTCCCTGAACCGCCGGTGGAGATCCTTGGCGATGCGAATAATGGTGATAAAGTCTCCAATGCTGTAGCCAAAACTCATTTCGTCCAGACCTGCGCTTCACGTACAGTAGATGAGCTGGTAGAAGAAAGTATTTCTCAGGATGGTGGTAGTAAGGCAACGCTCGATGCTGTAGGCAACTCGTGAGCGAAGCGTGACTACCTAGTGAAAAGCGGCTCCTCCCCTCTCAGCCTTGTGGCACCCATTTTTGGTATTGACCGTGATGGCAGACGTCGACTGAATCAAGGGATGGAAATACTCATGAGGCATGCGATGAAGGGCTGTGTCAAGCGGAAGAGGTGGAGATGGGACGAGAGAAGAAGAGGCAAGCGTGACCCGCAACTACAGTCACATGACGTCACTTCCACTTCCAGTCCAGCCTTCTGCTGCCCCGGGTATAACTACAGCAGAGAGCCAAGCTATACTCATGGTCACTGGCAACCCCTTGTGTTAACTTTCCTTTACATTTAGCTAAGCAAAAGACGAATCTGCCACTAGTGTAGTGCCGTCCCTTCCAAGGTTGCTATTCGTCCAGCTCCTGGGATTCCTCCGTTCTAGTTATACGCATAACGACTGTGGTAGGTAAGCCTTGCCAGCAAGCGCATTTCATTTTTTTTTTGCGCATAGCTACATAGATAGAAACGCCTACTCTTCAATGGCCCTTGTTTCGACAAATCTCCAATGCGGTTCAAAAACCTCCCAAGTGCTCCAACATTTCGCAACCTACACTAGCACATAAGTCACATTTCTCTTGCATAAAGTATAACTGAACTACTATTACTACCTCTCCTTTTGAAGGCCCGCATACAAAACCCTCAACAGCTATCGCTGTATATACAATTGCCCCATCAGAAGACACGCCAACGCAGTATGCACAACAGCAAGGTAAAAAAAAATAGACCTATTCCCATCCAACCGCATCGCCATGCTATAGAACACTAGACGCCTTCCCATGAGTCAAAAATAGTAGAATGGAAAGAAGACTAAGATCCGCTGCGAGTGCGGTCGTACGCTGACAATACTCACCGACCTTGGCCTCCTTCGGAATAGGAGTGTTCAAGAATGGCGAAGACAAGTCGTCTCTAGAGGAGCCGCCCGACTATGCGTTGGTGATACAACGTCAATCGACGAAAACGCTGCATATAACTTTGTAGCAGGAAGTACCACAAAGTCGCTGCAAGTATCCCGAACGTCACTAGTGGAACCCAGCGCAGACGCCAGATAAACACCTTGCTTGCCCCGAAACATGCGAATAAACGCCTTCGATCGGCAAATCCATAAATCTCTCAAACAAGCAATACGGCGCCCGACTTGCTTCGGCTCAGCAAGCCCACAATGCTCCACGCTCTTTTCTTTACAGGCGGTGGTTTCTCTGGCTCATCAAAGTCCTTCTAGAACCTTTCCCTCGGTCCATTGCCGTGGTTCTCGAACAAATCTTCCAGATACGCGCTCGGTGCTCGTCCCCCCGTTACGCTCGAACCACCTGGCACGTTCAGAGAAAGTTGGCTGGGATTCCCATGCTCATGTCCGTATATGCCCCTGCCATTCGCTGGTGTACCGAGCGTCGCTACGCTGTTCCGGTTGTAGAGCGAGATACCATCTCGAGATGGCGGTGGCCGATCATATCCGCGCGAAGGTGGAAGAGAAGGCGAGCCGGGAGGAGAGATACCGGACCGTGTGCTGAAGCGGTTTCCAGGGATGTGGAGAGAATGCATGGATTGATGTGATGCATGGCCTCCGACGTGTGTCATGGGTGATCCTGATGCGGCTTGCGCATTGCCAGATGCGTAATAACCTGCAGGTAGGTAATTTGAAGAGCGGTTGACGGAGTCTCGAAGGCCTCCAGCGCCGCCTGCTGTTGGCGAGAAGAAAAGCGAAGAAGTCGACTTGGGGGGAGTGCCGGTCGTGGTCGAGGCAAAAGGTTTTGGAGGCTTGGATGTACCCGTGGGAGCAGCAGAGAGACGATCCAGCGACATGTTGGAGCTTGCGCCGACGACGTTGTAAAGACCCCGCTTCTTGCCTGGAACAGCTGACATAGCCTTCAGATCTGCCAGGTTCTGAGCCATCGCGGCGCGTTTAACGGAGCGATGCAACGACCACGCGACGAGACCCCGCCAGGCGAGTACTGCCGCACCGAGGAACGCTAGCACAGCGCCCACGCATATGAAAACGGTTCCGTCTGGCAGATTCGACTTCTGCATGAACGGCGCACCCGCTGTGTCTGGCACTTTCATATCTGGGATACCAACACCGGCGATCGTCGGGAGACCGGTAAGGCGGAAGGCATTTGGTGAAGTCGCTGATCCGGATTCAGACTGAGTGGCGTCTGCGCTCGACGATGCTGGAGCGCTCGTGGCTTCAGCTGTCGAAGTTTCTTCTGCTGCTGTGGACGAAGGCTCGTCCGACTTTGCCGTCGACTCTGGTGCCGCGGTTGTGGTCTTCCCGTCTCCGTCGGACTGCGTAACAGTGCTCAGTTCCGGCAGGTCATCGAGAGTTTGCGAGAGAACGGTTGGCGCGACGAGCAAAAGCAGGCCCACGAGGCCTATCGAGGGCCGCATGGTGAAGAGGAATTTGTAAACGCTGGTATACGAGGCAGCGGTGGTCGTGAGGTCGACTGCAAGGCAGTGCAAACTTAGGGGAGTGATGCGGCTAAACGGTGTCTTTCGGTCGTGTTGCCGCGTCTCAGGCGATGGGTGGCTAAAAGGCTGAGGTGAAAAAAGCGAAAGGTAAACGTCTAGCAGGCGATGGGGGCGCGTAGGATAGATGAAACGAGTGACAGAATAACGACAGGTGGAGAGGCCTTGTTTGGGCTGGTTGCTGGAAGACTGCACGAGGGACGGTGATGGGGCCGTTTCGCTGCAGGGGAATCGAGGATCGCGCGGCCTAGCCGGATTTGAGTTTCGCGCGCTGGGGTTGTCTGGGCAGCGCAGGAATGGGATGCTCCTTGGAGCGATGGAGGAATAGCGAGCTGAATCGATGCCGTAGCGATCTCGACAGAAAGAAAAAAGCGATAGCGTTGCACGTTCCGTGACGCAGGTTCCCAGGGCGCACAGAGGTACCGTGGAAGAGACGCTGCAGTCCCCTGTGCACGGGTCTGTTGTCTGTCACGTGCGGCTGCACTGCCGGGACCCTCGTCCGGAAATAGCAGCGATGCAGGACGGCCGGGCCGACAATTTGGCCGGGCAGCTTTGCCCCACCGAAAAGTATCAACGAGAGACTGCACTCTCAATATCTACCACGCTGCAATCATGGGTGTCGCGAAGAAGACGCGAAAATTCGCGCAGATGAAACGAGTTATTGGTATATGCAGATCACGGTCGTACGGTTGATTTGTAGCTGACTATTGCAGGTCAACGAGATTCGCGACTGTATGCACGCCGCTTCCTTGTCCGAAGCCCCCCCTCGCTGATAGACCCGATACAGAAAGAAGAATCAAATGACTGGCGCGGTAGAAGCCCAAAAGAAGGCCCAGGCCGAGGCTCCAAAGCGGGAAATGTACGTTTTCGATACGCGCTTCCATACATTCTCCACTCTCGCTCCAGAAGCGCATGTGGACGAACGAAGCTCCAGCTAACTCTTTTCTCCAGCCCTCAAGCACCGAGCTCGATGTTCTTCATGGCAAATCAAGCCCTCGGCCCGCCCTACTCCGTCCTCATAGGCAAGCATCCGCATCCCGTTTCCAACCTTCCATTCGACCTCTAATTCCCCGCAAGACACGAACTTCCTCTCGCACACCGTCCGCGCCAAACTCGATCTCCAGACCGCACTCATGAATCTGCTATACGCGAAGGCGACGCCTATAATCACATCCTGCGTCATGGTATGCGACACACCGGGAATAACAAGGATATAGCTAACACTCGCGGAAAGGCTGAATTGGAAAAGCTGGGGCCCAAGTACCGCATCGCGCTTCGCATTGCGCGAGACGAGCGCTGGGAACGGCTCAAGTGCGACCATACCGGAACGTACGCCGACGACTGCATTGTCGACCGTGTGATGAAGCACAGAATCTATCTTGGTATGCAATGCTTCCCTCCACGCGCAGCCATCTCCTAATGCTTTCAGTTGGCACAAACGACCGCGACCTAAAACGGCGAATACGAAAGATTCCAGGCGTCCCCATCGTGAGCGTAGCGAGGGGCAAGTATGTTATTGAGCGGCTGCCGGACGTGCCTGATAGTCGATGAACGAGGCGATAAAACTAGGAAGGACGTGGTTTATATGCATAGCGAGGTGTTCTGGTTAATGGGTTTTAAAACAATAGAACGGGACTTTGAGAGTCGAGGCATGTAGGCATTTAGGGTTCACACAGCGTGAAGCCGAGGTTCAAGATACCGAACAATCTGATTGCATTCCATCGTATCATGACCGTGCGTGTCGTGGGTATATCTCCGTCCCATCCCCCATCATTTAATACCGCTGTCATTCTCCCCAGGCCCTGCACCTTTGCCCATTCCCTTTCGTCCTTTTTGTAAATCCCAAAACGCCAACTCCAACCTGGAAAAACGACCCTATATGTATCAAAACAACCTTGGAATCGAAAATAGACCCGAGCCTCGTAATCGAAACATCATCACCGACATCAACTCGTCATGGTCATCAACTGATCTCATCAAACACTTCGGAAAAAAAATCAAACGCCGACTAAGCCATCTAAAAGGGCCGTCAACCCCGCTACCCCCATCAACGCCTTCGTCGCTCCACTATGCTCATGCCCCTTCTTCTTATGCCCATCACCGCGATCACTGCGTCTCCGACTGCTACTCCGACGCTTCCTCTCTCGCGCCGCGCTGTCCGAGTCCGATGTTAGCGAACTAGACGAGTAATAATCGTGGTGCGAGCCAGAGCCTTGCCGCGAATGCGACTGGGAATGGCGGAGCGGTGACTGAGGGTAGGCGCCTTGTTGAAGATGGCGCGTGTCCAGAGGTGGTTGATAGTTGGTGAAAGAAGTGCTGAAGAGTGCGGGATTGGGCGGGTAGAGGGTTTGTGGGGAGGCGAAAAGTGGGTTCTGCGGCAAGAATGGAGGCCCCACGGCTTGAGGTGAGTAGGGGGGTACGCCAGGGGAATACGGGGGTGGTTGAGGAGAGTAGTGCGGAGGTTGGGGTGGGTAGGCGGTGGTTTGCGACGAGCTGATGGGTGATATAGGGAGGTGCAGGCTTGTAGAGCGAGGGTTGGGCGGATATGTGGGTACTTGACCGGGCATGGAATTCGAGCGATCCAGGGGAGGGTGGGACGGTGGTGGAATGGAAGTAATTGCCCGCTCGAGAGGTGGATGCTGCGGTTTCTTCGCTAGCGGCGTGCGGTCGCGATCATGAGACGACGGTATGGGAGCGTTGGCTGAAGAGCGGCGTTCGAAGGATGCGCGGCGATGATCAACTTGCGGTGGTGGAGACCGTGGCTGCGTCTTGCGATATAGTTCCACCGTCCTTTCGACGAGCCGATGTACTTGGTCGAAAGTCAAGGGCAACTGGATGCAGAAACAAGTCTCGAACTTGGTTCGTCTGCCATCGCGCCGCTCCTTCTGCACCTGGGTGAACTGGTAGCCAGCCTCCTGGATTGCCTCCTTGCACACCCATGATGCAAGAATTTCCGTCCAACTATGGCGGTCTGAGAATGCTGTTGAGGATGGCGCATCGGTATTGGAGTCGGCAACTTTTCCATCTATGTACTTCCAATAGTGGCGGCGAGTGCACAGGGTCCAAGGGATTTCCAGGTCAACGTCATCGTCTTTGTCTTTTGCCTCCACAGCTGCAGCGGCTTCTACTGGGAGCGTGGTAATGCTCGACCGAGGAGATGCGTTCGTCGAACCAGGCTGCATCGGAATCGGCAGGTTACTGCCGGAAGACCTTGGAGATACTCCGTACGACGATGCAGGCGATAGCGGTGGATGAGGTCCGAACGTCTTGGACTCCGGAACTGGTATTGGTAAAGTGCCAGTCTCTGTGAACAGCGGTTGGACGCTGTCTGGCCGACGAGGCGTTGGTGTAGACAGCCTCACACCACTACCCGCAAATCTTGGTAGCGAGTGGACCTCGTCCTCGTTGTCTGATTCGACAGATGGTTGCAGTGTCTCCCTCCGTTTGGTCTCGGCTTTCCGTTCAGCATCCCGGAGGTCCTCCTCAAATTGAGGCAAACGCGTCCATCTATCCAATAAACGGTCGAGCTGCGTTTTAGCGACTCCGCATACTGCGTTAAGCCACTCTTCTTCGTATGAGTTCGAAGGATCGAGACTTGCGATGTACTTGTCCTGATACTTGAAAAGATCTCCCGGATTTGGCGGACCACCGTGTACTGCGACCAAGCTCTGCGAGCTATCCGTCTCCGTGAGTAGCCGCGCATCTGGGCTGGACGGATCATACAGTCTATATGCCGACAGTATGGACATCTGTTGCTCGATAATCAGTATCTCCAACTGACTCTTCTCGTTCGCTACAGCTCTGGAAGCCTGCTGTGGCGACACACTCGGTCGAACTCTGCAATGTATGGTCAGACTTCCGATGACGCGTTTCGTAATAGTATTGCTTACCTAGCCCACATGATGCCCTGAGCGGCGTATAGGGTCTGTAACATGACGGAAAGAGTCGCCTTCAGTGAGTCTAAGTGGGCCACGAGGTAGTCCAGCCTCGCCACCACCGCGGAGCCGAGTCGGAGTCCTCGAGGCGGATCTGGATGTCCGCCACTGCGCACATGCGCGTTCTGCTCTTCCTGCTGAGACTGCGGAAGGATAGACTCGATCTCATTCAATATTGCTGTGCATTGATCGATAATGTCCTCGAGTGTTTCGATAGCCTTGCGAAGCATGTCAGGATTTGCGATCAAGCAGTTGACATGGAGTGACCTACCTCAGAGGAAGGCATCCGATCATCTTCTTTGATAATGGTTCCGACTTGCTTGATAATAAGAGCGAGATTGCTTATTGACCTTGCGGTCCTTATAAGATGCTTCGCCGCATCCGGCTCCGAGCCAGCCAGTCGGTAGAGTTCGAGGGCAAGTGCGGAGCTCCGCGAGACGACGGGGAGAATAGCCGCGAGCGCTGCCATCGGATCGATCTCTCAGATACCGCTATGGAGTGCATAAACAGTACTGAGCCGTGAAGGCATCTGTGGAGTGACTGCCTGCAGTTATAGACGCCTTCAAAAGTGTGTTGTGGCTGTCCTTTTAGCGTGATATCATCGCACAGGGCAAGGGTCTCTAAACGGTGACCTCGATTGGACTAGCGAGCCAAAGAGGCAACGAACTGCGCCGGCGCGAACCTGCAACAGACCGAACTGCAGTCTTGGCGAGAACTGTTGGCGACTATCGTTAGCGTTTATAGGTTACGCGTCCCGTCTCGAAATGAAGCTCGAAGCAAACTTGGGGAGTGCTACGAAGCTAGCAATCGCGCACATGACCCCATAAATCCAGTGGTTCCACATAATAAGACGGCCACCTGACCAGAACTCAGTGAGGCTCAAAACTGCCCCAGCTGACAAATTTAGCGCGTTAGCGTATGGTCCAGCCTTACGATGACTTTTGCGAACCCTACGAGCTGGGTTGCGAGCTCTAGTTTCCGGTGAGCGCGGTACTTCGGGACATAATAAGCGACGCGGACAGGCGGACCATCACCAAAGCCGTGTCTCAGTCGTATCCTGCGCGGATAGGCCATTCTGGCCGACTGACACGATAATGATGTAGCCTACGTGCTGAAGATGCCAGGATGAGCGACCCCTCACCGGACATGGTAGAGCGTAGACGTGGTCCCGTAGGGGCCCCGTAGAAGCTGTGGAAGTGGCATCCTAGATCATGAAATAGCGAATCGGAATCCTTCTTCTCGAAGGGCTGCAGCACCTATTGGCTGTTAAACTGCTTCAGCCCTGTACCAATGCATAGCGGGCTATACCCGCAGATCGAATGCTTATCGTAGTCCTGGTGTGGGGTGCTCCGGTCAAAGTTCTGCGGACAGCGCAATGTAGTTTTGCGTGCATTACACGCTGTCCATAGTTGGGCATAGACAGAGGTATGTTTCTATTAGAGATATGCCGGCAGATTCTCGATCGGCAAGATCCTGGGCCAGGACAAGCACGTGTACGCTTACTTGTGGACTGCGAACACTCCCCCCAAAGAAAGCCACGCTCCGGCGCGACAGCGAAGGCAGGTAGAGCTCAGTTATTTCTTCTTGGCCCAATGCGACAATCGCTCCTCAGCGCGAGGACTCCTGTCCGACGGACATCCGATGGAATGTGTGCACGGACCCACTTGGGATGCCTACTGCGGTACTCCTTCTCTCTTCATGGTGAATAATTGGGGAGCTGACACCACCGCAGCGTGGGAAGGAGGGAAAGCGAGAAACCGGAGAATAAAAGACCATTCGTAGAGAGAGAGAGCAAGACTCCGTAGTGGGTGGGGTTTCAGCTAATCGCAAGACGGGGACTAACGTAAGAAGCGCTCTGAAAAGGCCAACACCCTCGAACACTAAGTCGATTCCGCCTTCTCCTTTCTCGTGTTGTGGGATGGAGTAAAGTCCGTCCAGCTAACGAACGGTTGGCGCTTCTGATGCTGCTCGATACGTGATGCTTTTCGAGGGCCATTCGGGATGAGAACTGCGAAGGCGAAATCCCAGACTTTTGGACCATCAGAAGTCAAAGTTATGCTTCTTTGCTAACCTTATTCTGCGCGTATAGGAGACGTGCTGAGAGTCGAAGCCAGGGAATCCGCTCGACAAACAAAGCCTTACTCCGCAAAGATGAGGTCCGCCGGATATGGAATCGAACCCTGCCCCAACGGAGATTGACTCCATTGTGGCTCACGAGGCTGAGCGAACAAAGAAAGTGTGGCTGCTTGTTTCTATTGCCAGAAGCAAAAGTAAGACGGATGTTTCGAGGAGGAAGAGCAGGCCGTCGACGGACCTTCGCCGCCAAGCTTTCACATGCGCAGGGGTGGGCCGGCGCCGTGGAAATTTTGCCGCTCCGCTACAGAGGGCAATGACGGCTTTGGGAGGAAGTGAACTAACCATACTTCCCACCCGGCACCTCCACGTGCGTCATTTAATCTGCTTCACTCCCCTCCCTTTCCCTCAATTCGGTCCCTACGGCCCCACGAATTGTTGCTTTCGCTCACTCCTTGTACATATCTTTGCACTTGTGGCCTGTCCAATAACGCCGCTTTCGGCGTGCACGCCCTGTACCACCATACTGCTATTCGCAAAGAGACCACCCCACCGGCGTATATACCCTCCGCTCACCTTTGATCTCGCCCCTCTGGAGTTTGTTTTATATACAGCAGCGCCTCATGCCTCGCGCCAAAGCCCGCAACGGGCAGAGCACGTCCGTCATGGTCAGTCAGGAGGAACCTATTCAACGCTCGAACCGAGGCTATGGCACCTTTACAAGAAAGGAGCACCAACGACGGCATTCCTCGCATCAGGTCCGCCACCAGCGACCATGTGTGGACTCGGAAAACTTCCAAGCGCTTGTACGTCTAATGACATCCAGTCGCCACAATTTGCGCGTTGGCTAACCCGAAGAACAGCTTGGAAATTTCCTCACCGAGCTCAATTGTAGACTAGACTTCCTAGAATCGTACGGAACCTTCAAAGTTGACGCCGGTGTTGAATACGCATACTCTACCCTTCTCGCCGTTCGCGAATCGTGCTCCAAGATCTCAGATGGCGCCATTGAAGTGGGGCGACGGCAAGCAGCCGTCTTCGTGGAAACACTGGAGAGCCGATACCATGAAGCATTGGAAACAAAGGAAACATTGGCAGAGAAAGTGTTGGAAGGTATACTGTTAATGGAAGATTGGGTATCCGACCTCGAGACCCGCGCATACGCAATCCGAGATGCAGGAATCGAGACCGCGCACCACGAGCTGGAGCGCGCGAGGGCAGTCGTAGACGCAGGCCTCTACAAAGCGCACCGCGCGCGACAATCTATTGAACTCAGGATCGACTTCGCAGTCGAGCGCGCCCTCGCCCGCGCAAAAGAGCATGGCCTGATCAAGTTCGAAGACCTCCCGGAACCATGGCAAGTCAACCCGCACATCCTGCACGGCTATCGCTTCTGCGAGGGCCACTGGGCCTGCATCCGCTCCATCGGTGGCATCCACAACGAATCCACAAACATCTGGACGCACCTGCTCGGCCTCTTCGTCGTCCTCGGTGTAGCCTTCTACTTCTACCCCGCGCATGTAAATTTCCACATCTCGACAACCGCCGACGTCTTCATCGCGGGCCTGTTCTTCTTCGCGGCCTGCAAATGCTTGATCTGCAGCTGCATAATGCACACCATGAACAGCATATCGCACCCCGGCCTCCTGGAGCGCTACGCCTGCGTCGACTACACTGGCATTTCTTTACTAGTCGGCGCCTCCATCATGACCCTCGAATACACAGCCTTCTACTGCGAACCCGCCTCCCGCTGGTCCTATATGACACTCACCGCCGTCCTCGGCATCGGGGGCGTCTACCTCCCCTGGAACCCGACCTTCAACCGCAAAGACCTCGCCTGGGTGCGCGTCCTCTTCTACGTCACGCTCGCCATGACGTCCTTCTTCCCCTTTGGGCAGCTCGCTGCGACGCGCGGCCTCGACTGGGCGCAGTACTTCTACGCGCCCGTCACCAAGAGCATGCTGGTCTACCTCGTCGGCGCGATCATCTACGCGAGTAAAGTGCCCGAGCGCTGGTTTCCTGGACGTTTTGACTACCTGGGAACAAGTCACAACATCTGGCATGTTGCCGTGTTGGGTGGTATCGTCACGCATTACTTCGCGATGCAGGAGATGTTTTCTCAGGCTCTGATGAGGGCTGAGATGCATTGTCCTGTCGTTCACTAACTCTTTCCTTGCTTTTGACTCTCCTCCTTCCTTTCTATATGCCTTCCCTTACAATAATCGTAGTTCCTCCCCTTTGTTTTTAGCAACGCATTAGGGCATTGAGGTTTTGGTTGCATCGTGGGCGTTGTTGGGCGGTGCATCTAGATCCTAGATCTTGGATAGAATGCGCGTTGAGTTGCTCCGCGCGGTGCTTGGGTTGGGAGGCTATCATGGTCATGCGTTGGGTGACAAGTTGTACGATATTACCTGGAAGCTCACATACCATGAATCTTACCTACATCGCGTTCATCAAATCCACACTCATGCCGACATAGTCCTAGAGGCATAGAATTATCTATTCTTAATTTGAGCACAGGTCGATGCACACGCGAAGCTAGGAGACCTTCAGGCGCACTCTGGTGCAATATAGAGTAATCAATCTCATTCAACGCCGCTCGATACTCCCACTGCGCCGCTTGCTATGCTACCGACTACAATGATACGATATCAACCGTTCAGATCCTTCACAGACGAATGCCGCTAGCGTCGCCAGCCCTAGCCCTTTATCTCCTCAAAATACTTTCTAAACCTCGGCTCCCCTTGCAGTTCGCAGTGCATCACACAATCATAGCAGCTTATTAGCAGCTTCGGAAACTTCGTCGTCCAATATCTCAGATACCCATGCGGAAGCGGGCCAACCTTAGCCTTCACGCTCTCGTCCATATCCTCATAATGGTTCTTCTTGTTCCTCAACGCACGAAGAAGATCTAACATGCGGTCTCCCGTGTACTTGCGCTGCTTGCCCAGAGAAGCAATGAAGCCGTGGTCGAGTTTGGCGAGGAAGTTTCGTTTCTTATCCAGGACGACGTAGCTGTAATTTTCGAGGATGGAGAGATGGTCTGAGGGAGGATCGCGTGGCTCGCGTTCCCAGTGGTCGGAACAATCGCAGAGAAAACTAAGGCGTTTGTCTGCTGCCCAGAAGAAAGGATGATTCATCACTTGGGCGGCTGTTGGGCGCTCCTCGGGTCGATTCGCCAACATCCAGGAGATCAGGTGGATCGGCTCCTCAGAATCGTCGCCAAGGCTAAGCTGCTTGAAATTGGCCTTGTTCTTCTTGATGTTGAGTTCGCGAATTTGCATCCAGCCTTCGTCGTCATCAAAAGGATGTGATCCATTGGTGAGGACGTAGAAGAACACACAGCCCAGTGAGAAAATGTCAACGGCTCGCTTAACACCCTGTGCCACTGGATCGCTTGAGCTTGAGGAATCGCGCGAATGACCAGTTGAACTGCCTCTGTCCATGTCCTTCGGTTGAAGAATGAGCTCCGGCGCCTTCCAGCCGACGGTGCCGGCGTTCCCAGTAGTTCCGATGAGTGTGCTCATGTTGTCGGGAAGTGTCTTACACAGCCCAAAATCGGAAATAACCAGACGAGGTCCGTTCTTCTGGTTCCGCTGTGGGTACGCGATGAGAATGTTCTGTGGCTTAATGTCCCGATGAATAATCCTCAAGCTGTGTAGATGATTGACACCTTCGGCGAGCTGATGTAGAGCTCGAGGGACATCGCTATTGATCTCGTTGACCAGACGCAGCTGGATCTCCGTCATATCGTCGCATGGTCGGCCATCCCGATAGAGGTCGAAAAGGCTGGCTTGACAAAGTTCAACCGCAATGTAAAGGAAGTTCTCATCCTTCTCATCATCAAAGTATCGGATGACATTGGGGTGGAGATCGCTCTCTTGGAGGAGCTTCACCTCTTGCTCCGCGAGACCAAAGTATTGGGGCAGCATCCGCTTCACGGCAACGTCGCGATCCTGGGTGGATAATTAGAAGTCGTCGATACCAAAAAGGAGCGAATTACTTACGTTCCACTTGCCCTCAAAGACAAAGGTACCACCACTGCCATTCCCAAGTACGTGGTCAAAGTCAATGGTGAGCTTGCCAATTCGCTTGATATTGGAAACATCCTGCATGTCATCGCCATTGATAGTCATCTCGTCAGGATGAAGTGTAGGCGCCTGATTTAGCTGCTTAGCAGCATCCACGATCTGGTCAACCTCATCACTATCCTTTGGCTTCTTGTTCTTGCCTTTTTGTCCGCCGCGCTTTCCTCTATGTGTCTTTTTCTTCTTGGTTGGAGCAGCTGATGCCATCGTCGAGTCTTGAGGGACACCTTCGACGCTATTGACACCCGGTGCTGTGTCTTCCACTGCCATGGACGTGCCATTGGTCTCTTCATTTTCGAGGGGTGATGCCTCTTCCGTGGTGGTTGTCCTGGAAAGCGGCACGAAGTCGTCTTCCTCTTCTTCGTCATCTGGGATATCAAATGTCACTTTCTTCTCTTTCGGCTCCGGTACGATAGATTGCTCCTCTTGTATTTTCTCAGGAGGATCCCCGGCAGCCTTAGCTTCGTGCGCAAGTGGTTCAGCGGGCTCAACAAGTTCCGCGGGTTCTACAAGTTTCTCTTCCACCAGCGAACGGTCCGGCTCAGAAGCAGCAGAAACGGCATTCATAGGCGCCTCCAATCTCCGCGGTTTGGTGAAACCCGAAACAAAGTTTGTCGCCGAACTAAGTTGAGGCGGGGGTCCAAACTTGACGCCGGCGGAGATGGTAACGGCGAGAAACACAGTGAGTAATAGATACCACCAATTCATTTGGCGTGGTGGCTCCATTACTGTCAATGGTGGCTCGCCAAGCCGTTCTTTCGGAGGGAGCTCTGGAGGAATAGGGACCACGTTGTCGGCGTTGTTGCTGTACGTCGGTGCAGCGATTGCCCGAAAGGATGGAGGAGGCTCCATCCTACGGTCAAGCACATGCACTCCAACCAGTCCCTGGCGGGGTGGAAGGTGATGCGGTCCGTCCCAGCTAACGATCTCATGGTGCGTGTAGCATGGCGCCTGAGGCGCGCTGTCGGTCACGATAGGATAGTTGACCTCAGATAACGCATACCAACTCCCCGTGTCCGTAGTGTTCAGCCAAACGTTCTTCGCCTTGTCTTCGAGGAAGGCAGGCCCGGGAGGCTGCGGAAGAAGAACGAGAGCGGGCTCTGGATTGTCGTCGTCACGCGTCCTCGCAACGTCAAATACTCGTGCCACCGGGTAGGACAACTTCCTTTCGAATACGGGTCGTTTCGACCACTTCGGCCGCTTGTGATCGTAGGCAATTGCGTGGCCATCGTACCTGCTATATATGTATTGGTTGTCCATGGGTGCCAGGTACTGAGCCTGCAGATCGCGGTCCCGATTGTTGGGTGTCCATTCAGAATACTTGATGGTGCATATGAGTTCGCTGGTGACCTTGTTGTGGATGCTGATGGTATACTCAGTCTGGCCCAGGTTGATTATTCCCTTGCATTCGCGCTCGAGAGGGTGGAAGAAATCAGCGGGGTGTGTCACGCAGCTCTCGGCGGAGTCGATGCTCATGGAGCCGCTGGGACTGAAGCTCTTTGTGATTTTGCCAGACTTGGCATCCACGACAAGTAAGAGGTTCCTCTTCTCCGCCGTGTAGACGATGGGCGTGTCGTCGCTTGAGTAGGGTGACAGCTCTTCGGCCAGCTGCTTGACGGTCATGCCAAGGCTCTGAAGGACGGGATACGGCCCTGGAGTGAGTATGTACAGGGCTCCGTCCTCTTTCGGCTCTACAATCCAGATGAAGGGCTTGTTCTGCATATTGTAGTTGTCGCCCTCCGAGTCGTTCTTGCTGTTGTAGCTGGTCTCTAACATGGGCTTGCCAATGTCAAGCTCCCAGATCTCGTCCCCATTGTATCTGTCTCGTGCGTGGATGCGGCCGTCGACGGTCGCCAGGAGAACAAAGTCCTCAACTTCCCAATCCTGGAGGGACCGCGCACTCGGCCGCGTGAGGCCATCGGTAGTGGAGGCAGCGTTCCTGACAGGAGGGGCTCTGACAGCGGAGACCGCTGGAGCAGAGGAGACTGTTGTTGCTACGGCGCGCTCGTTCTGGGCGAGGATCGGCTTGTACGGGTCACGCTGTGCGGCGTGTTCCAGCCTTCCATAACTAGGCTTTCCATGCTTCGGTGGGATGATGGTGTTGGTGTCGGCGTGGGCCTCCGCGCGGGGAGACCCGCTTTCCGGCGGTTGCTGCTGCTGAGCGGCCGCGGAGATCCATGGTAGGACCAGAAGTATGGCAATGAGGGTGGTGCTCAAGCCGGGGCCAGCGCCAGGCGGCCGGCGACGCGGCATTGTGTGTTGTGGGAGGCGTCTATGATGGAGGCGTGAGCCTGTAGGGCAGGCTGGAGACGGGGAGGAGATGGAGCATGGGCGGGAGCGATGGTGAAGAGACGGCGAGACGGCGGCAGGGCGGGTGAGGTGAGACTGACACGAATATTAATTCGGGCGCGGCACGATGGCGGGGAGCGAGCTGAGGGTGCGCCCCTGGAGCGCCGATGGCAGGGTCTGGTGATTGGCCGTCAGCCGGCAGCTCCCGCAACGCTCGACTGTTTCCCTATTCCAGGCCCGGGCTTGGCGCGATCATAAGGCTGGTCAATGGTCGCGCTGGGGGATAAAAGACTGTGAATGGTGGTTGTGGTGGAGAACGAGTGCTCTGAAGGACGTTGATCAGGATGGCGGAGGGCCCTGGGAGGTGTTCAATACGGTGACACAGCGCCGCGTCCGCTCCAACAAGGACGCTACACAAAGGCACCACAACGTAAAGGGCGCGGAAGATATCCAGGACTAGTAATGCGGCGTGTGTGTCTGTTGGCTTCGCCCAGTCGTAGTCGCCGTGCTGCATCTCAGTATGGGGCCGGTGCCCGGCGCCTTTCTTTCATGCTGTCCCGAGACATCCTCCATCCTCTCGAACAAATTTCCATCGTCGAGAGCATATCAGTGGAGCTTAATATAATTCCCAGCCTATTGCTACGCTGCTCGGCTGGCCTCTTCAATACTCGTGACCCAATGTATACAGGCAAAATGGCCCGCCACCCCATAGGCCCAGCCATCCTCCTCGTGTTCCACATGGTGACGGCCGAGTAATCTACAAGTCCCGTTGGGCACTCTGGTCCTCGTCGGCTTTGGAACGTCGAGGGAAAGATTTTCCCAGACCGATATGCCAGGAGATGAAACGCCCAACCGGCAGATCTCCAGGCCAGAACGCCTTGCGAAACCAATAATCGCCGTGCAGCTCCTCACCAACGCCGCTGCATGCAGCATCCCTCGCGGCACGGCACCTCGACCCTTTTTACCTGGTCTGCAGAAGCGTCTGACATCAGCCTCGACTGCTCAAGAGCAGGCTAGGTTATCACTCGGGATTCCCATTACACTGGCTTGCCGCATTGATATTCATTCATAGTATACACTCTATCTAGAGCCGAACTCGTTGCAGCATCATGCCTGCACGCATCGGGGCATCATGCCCTTACATGCGTTCCCTCCTCCGTGGAGCAGAGCGTATGATATTGTCTACCCGAAGCAGTAACTGTGGGGAATTAGTACGCGTTCCAACATAAACTAGCGAATGGGATCGACCTACCTCTGCAGCCTCCGAGGCCGAAGAAACGACCGCACGCTTCAGCTTGTAGCTCTCGATGACGCCTAGCTGCCTCATGTCGGCAATGCCCCCGCCAGGTGTCAAGAGATCCAGTCCGGAGCTTGTCAAGCCTGAATACACGGCTTTTCGCAGCCGCGTAACGAGATCGCTGGAATCCAATCCCGCGTTATCGGCAAGGATAGTAGGAAGCTGTTGCAGGGCCTTCGAGAAGGACTCCACTGCAATGGCCTTCTTGCCGGCGACGTTCTGTGCTGCCTCCGCGACCGCCTTGGCCATGACCATCTCTGCGCATCCGCCGCCCAGCGTCGTCTTGGGCTCCTTGACCGTTTGTGAAAGGACAGCCAAAGCATCGTGAAGTGACCGCTCTGCTTCGTCGAGGAGCTGCTCGGTTGCCCCGCGGAGCACGACAGTGCATGCTCTACCTGCTGCAACACCCGAAAATTTGATCAGCGTATCCTCGCCAATGATCACCTCCTCAATCAAATCGCAATGACCGAGCTTGACGTTCTCTGGGTGGTCAAATGTCGACGTGATTTCTCCTCCGGTCACTAATGCCAATCGCTCGACGCCATCAAAGTCTGCGTGCTCGATTGAGCAGATGCCCGCATCCGCGAAGAGCTGCTCCGGCCAGTTGTAGATTAATTGGCGGTTGACGAAGCAGTTGATGCCGTGTGCCTTGATCCGCTCGACCTTAGCCTTCATCTTCTCGCGCTCCGCCTTCTCCAACTCGGCGAGCTTTCCGGTTGAGTCGACCTTGACCCTCGCGCCAAAGATCTTGATCTTGTCCGTGTCCATTGCCGTGTTCGCGACCAGAATCTTGGCATTTTCTATCCGCTTGGGCTGGTTGACACCGAACTTCTTGTCGAGGATGAACCCTTCGTCCAGGTATGAGTCCTTGAGCTTTCCTCCAGCTTTCTTGATGATCTGGATATGCGTGAGGTCGGTAGATCCCTTCATCCGCAGTACGGCGTCGGTGGCAAGCTTCGCAAAATGCGTCCGGTCCTGGCTGAGCACTTTAGAGCTCAGAGTTGTTCGGGCGATAGCCTCGAGATCTCGCCTGAAGGCCTTCTCATCGTGGCTGTTGTCCACCGCCGTCTTCTCCAGCGCTTGCAGGGCTGCATGACTTGCTATCCTGTAGCCCTCGATGATGGTTTGCGGATGTATCTTCTGGTCCACGAGCCTCTCGGCCTCTCGTAGCAGCTCCGCAGCCAGCACGGTGACCGATGTTGTTCCGTCTCCCACCTCGTCGTCCTGGACCTTTGATATGTTGACGAGCACTTTTGCGGCGGCGTTGTCGAGCGCGATCGCTTTCAGGATGGTAGCTCCGTCGTTCGTGACCATGATCTCGCCCGTTGAACTGTAGCAACCTATAAGCACGGCCCCATAACGAGCATTCGACCCATTTACGCGGACTGTAATATCTTGTCCATGCCCTTCGGCCCCAGGGTACTCTTTACGAGGTCACCGACAGCAATAGCTCCCACGAACGCGGACAGACGCGCATTCTCGCCCTTCTCCTCCGTAACATCCTCTGCAAATATCTGAGTGGGATTGTTATACGACTGGGGGACTGTTGTTAGCAGGGCATAATACTGCGGCGAGCTCAGACTGGGCATACCATTTTGCGAATGGGAAGAAACGTAAAGGGTATCAACAAAAGGCTGGTGTTGCTCTGTGGTGCCTGGAGGACTTCAAATGTTTTTCGGTTGCCCGCGATGGAGCTGGCGCGCATGGTTGGCACGGGCCACACTAGCGCCATCACCGTTCTGCTGCCTTCAACTTTTCTTCAACCATGCACGACGTCCGCGATTGGTGAGGAATCGCCTTGACACGAATTCTCCAAACGTATACGCCCGCGAAGCCATATACGCCGGACCCAAAAACACCATGTCCAAGCGCCAGGCTCTCGAGCCTCTGGAAGATGTCCTGGACGCACCCTCGCCAGCTTCAAAACGAGCGCGCGTCGACGACGAGGAAATGCAAACGCCCGAGTCGCTGAACGGCCCGCCTAACAATGGGCATCTCATGTCTCCCCGGTTGGAGGATCGCGAGAGGATCGACATACTTGGGGCGGATAGGGAAGAGCATGAGGAGCTGGAAGAAGCTGGAGCTCTGGAAGAGGATGTTGATGAGGACGACGAGCCCGCGTTGGCGCAGCCAACGCGACAAAAAGCACCAGAGGCCGGATACACAGATCTTTACCTAGATACGATAGATCGAAAGGTCCTCGACTTCGACTTCGAGAAGCTCTGCTCCGTCACTCTGTCCAACATAAACGTCTACGCCTGTCTAGTCTGTGGGAAATACTTTCAAGGCCGGGGTCCGAAATCACAGGCCTACTTCCACGCGCTTGACGAAAATCACCACGTCTACGTCAACATGGAGACGAAGAAGGTGTACGTACTTCCAGAAGGCTATGAGGTTACGTCCAAGTCATTGGACGACATAAAATTCGTTGTTGATCCGCGGCTGAGCAAAACTGAAGTCGCGCGATTAGACAAGGAGCCGAAGGTTTCTTGGGACCTCTCGAATAGGGAATACATTCCAGGCTTCGTGGGCATGAACAACATCAAAGCGAACGACTACTTCAACGTAGTGATTCAGGCACTTGCGCATGTCGCCCCTCTGCGCAACTACTTCATGCTGGAGGATCTATCGAGCCGGCCACAGCTCGCTCAGCGTTTCAGCACACTAGTCCGCAAGATATGGAACCCGCGGGCATTTAAGACCCATGTCTCGCCGCATGAGCTCCTTCAGGAAATCGCGCTACGATCGTCCAAGCGATTTACCCTCACAGATCAGTCCGACCCCGTGGACTTCCTGTCTTGGTTCCTCAATAACCTGCATCTAGCAGTGGGAGGCTCGAAGACGAAACCGGGCTCCAGCATCGTACAAAAGGTCTTCCAGGGTACGCTCAAGATCGAGTCGCAGGAAATAACAGCGCGTGCGGATGCCGGTGATCGCCTACGCTTCGAAGATGCGGCGGTGAAAACCGACATCATGAGGTTCATGATCCTCACCCTGGATTTGCCGCCTGCACCGCTATTCCAGGATGCTCTGGAGAAGAATATCATCCCACAAGTGCCCCTCACCACCATTCTCAACAAGTACGACGGTGTGCGACCACAGGAGAAGATGAAGAACCGCGTGCGGTATCGCCTCCTCCACCCTCTCCCCCCTTACCTACTCTTCCACATCAAGCGTTTCAGCAAGAACAAGTTTGTGTCTGAGCGTAACCCGACCATCGTCACCTTCCCAGTCCAATCCCTCGACATGTCCCCTTACGTGGAACCAAACCCGAGGGAGTACCCGCCTGGGGAGCCCATCTGGTACGACCTGGCCGCCAATATTACACATGAGGCTGTCAAGCGGAAAGACGATAGCGTGGAAGGCGAGCAGGAGATGAAGGTTTGGAGGGTGCAGCTGAAGGATCGCAGTCGTGATGAGTGGTATGGGATTCAGGATTTGTTTGTGGAAAAGGAGCGCGGGGAGACGCTTTTTACGAAAGAGAGCTATGTGCAGGTTTGGGAGAGGAGGAAGGGGATGCCGAATGGGAGTGCGAATGCGAAGGGCAAAGGCAGAGCGTAGTTGAGATACCCTAGAACCCAGTGGAGCGCGGGCTCCGGTACATTTTCCTGCGTGTATAGGGCGGTGGGCCTCGCGATATTCAAACAAAAAGCTATTATCGGCGCAGGATAGGCAACCTACGAGAATCGATTCTCACATCGAAAAGCGGTAGTTGAAGGGATATCTCGACCGTCAGAAATTAGTGATCACTCATCATGTCTCTTCAGCCGGTGCGGAGATGCCTCGGTTCGGCTATTGCTTGCTGATGATCTCAACTTCAACACCAACGTCCGTGAGCTTGACTCTGTCAACACAACAACGAATTCTAATCATCTGTTTACTCTCGTGATATTTATACAGAATGACGAAACCAAAGGTTACCCTCTTCGTCGACATCGTCAGTCCCTTTGCCTATCTGGGGTTCTACGCGCTGCAGGTAAGTCGGCTTTCATGCATTGATTCGTCACTAGAGTGTTTCGTCGTTTGATCGGTGGATCGGCCAATCCAAAGGCGGTTTGAAATTTGCGTATTATATTGAAAGAGCCTGGGGAGTGGCTTAGGCACGGAGAGGTGTTCTCAGAACGTAATGGGCTATTATGCTGAGAGGGTAGGAAAGCTGACTGTGAATAGAACTTCTCTGTCTTCAAGCAATGCGAGATTACATATATCCCGGTTTTCTTGGGCGGCTTGATGAAAGCTTGTGGAAATACACCGCCGCTTGCCATTAAGAGTAAGCCGTCTTTATTCTTCCCATTCGAGGCTCTCCCATTTTCTACTAGTAGATTCCAGACTACCAATCTGCTTCTTTCCTTTCAGGAGCCGCTTAGTATCCTTCGTCACGGGTCTTGGGTGCATGGCATCAACCAGCCAATTCCATTCTCCCCCAACTCCGATCGACATCACCGAGTGCAAGTATATAGAAGAAGCGGATCTAGGCCACCCCTTTCAGCTTCGTGCAAAAGCTGCTTCCTTGTTTACCGTAAAGGAGTCAGACCCGACATTAACATCTCCCGCAGACAAAGACAAATGGATAAACACCGAACGCCTCCGTTGGGCGAAATACTTCAACATCCCCGTCTCCAAAGACGCACCCCCCGGCTTCCCCATCAACACCATCTCCATCCAGCGCGCCCTAACCGCCATTTCGCGCTCACACCCACAATGCCTCCCTAGCGCAATTTCCCTCTTCTACCAGAATTTCTGGGTACACTACGCCGAGCCCACGAAGCCTGAAAATCTCTTAGCTATCGTGCGCACTGTGGTAGGCTCGGATGAGGAAGCTAAGAAGGTGGTGGAGGCCAGTAAGAGTGATGAAGTGAAGAAGGCGCTGACCGGGAATACGGATAGGGCTTTTGAGGAGGGGGCTTTTGGGTTGCCTTGGTTTGTCGGTGAGTCCTCTATCTTGTTTTATCGCTGTGGAGCGTCTGCTGATAGTTGCTAGCTACGAATGCAAAAGGAGAGACGGAGGGTTATTGGGGAATTGATCATATGGGCCAGATAGTGGACCACTTAGGTCTCGAAAGGCCAAACGAGAAGGGCCGGAGAGCTCTTCTATAAGCCATACAGCGGTAAGAGAGTAGCCAAGGTTTGGCATCAACCATGTGCTCCGAGTTATCACAGTCTAGACATTACGATTACTTAGAAGTTATCCGAATGATAAAGGAAAGGCCACCTCCACTCGTCATCTCGAAGCTCTTTCGGCTTCCACCCATTCCTCAGTCTCAAGGCCGCGTAGTCTCCGCTCCATAACCCTGATTACTCCCATTCGCGTACCCGCCATAACCTCCTTCTCTAGCGGGCCTCGTCGGCGACTCCGGATAAAGCGGATTACTAGTCTGGGTAGTGTTCCCATACCCTCCGGAAGTAGGCGGGGCGGGGATCCCCGCTCCATGGTTACCAGCACCGTTCGTCGTAGCCTCGTAAGGAATTGACTGCATTTGGTGCTCCTCAGGCGCACCCGCAGTTCCAGTCGTCCCAGGAGCCGTCCCGGTTGCAGCGCCCATCTCAGCAGCAGCAGGGCCTTCGGCCTTTTGCTGCGTGATACCCGGTGCATGTACACCTGCTAGATGGCAGTGGAAGTAGTATACGAAGGCGAGCGTGGTGAAGCAGAACAGCAAACTATACATCTCATCAGCATCCCATACTCCAGTCCAGCATAAAGCGATGCACTTACAATTCAATAGCCGCAAACACTGTCGCCGCCACCCCAGACCTCCACGCCCTCCGACACTTGAAGCAGTTATCGAAGATGAACGTCACGACCTCACTGTCGCGTCCGTATTCCGAATAGATGTCCTGGTACGAAGCTAGTGATGCAAAAGCAGCTAGCCAGAACAACGCCGCGAAGCCATCGAGTAGTAGGGCGATCCGCGGATCGTAAAATTTTCGTTGGGCGAGATGAAGCGGAGTGGTAAGAATCAGAATCGGGATGATGGTAAGACAAGCGATTACTATGGTAGCGATTAGTGGGGGTTGGAGCTGTACTACGGTTAGTAGAAGCCAAGTGCATGTAGGAGAGAGAAACATGCCGGCCCACCGCTGCGGATCGAGAGCGGGTACGCGGTTGTGGCGATCGTTACCGCGGCGAAGAAGAGCTGGAATGCGCGGAAGATGAGGATCCAGCGCGGGATTGGCACAGCGCCACCCTTGAGCATGTACATCTTGGCTGAACGAGTAGATGTAAACAAAGAGAGTGAGTGACTTGTGTCTCAGTGTTTGAGTTTGAGAAGAAACATGTCGATGGAGTTTTTCCCTAAAGATATTAAGACGGGGAACAAAGGCGTTGCTCGAAGTGACGTTTGCGGGTTCAAGGAATGATGCACGCGAGGACTGCGGAATGCGACTGTTCTGTTTCGGGACGCAACAAAGAGTAGACAAACCATGTGCGAAGTCTCATCAACCGAGTCGATGTCAGGCTATAGGCGGACATAGACTTTCAAAACTTGGCAGATTCCCTTTGGAGGAAGGCGGCTAGGTACCGACTTCGTTTATCTACCTAAGTCAAAAAGCGGAAAGTTCGCAGATGGGATAAACCAGTGGGGCCCCGGGGCATTCAAACTACCGCGGATGCGGTCAAGTTCGTCGGCCTTTACTCGACGGCACGCGCCTGCCTTCCTATGCCCGCTTTCAGCTCACATAAACGAGTTTCCCTATCCCTCTTATGACCGGGGCCAAAAATCCCTAAGTGCTCCGGCACAAAACCATCCCACGTCTCAGGACTCTCTCCCAAGCATCTCCCTCCAGCCAAACTCCTCCTTAAACCCTGTCATGTCTTTGATCTTCGTGTTCGAAACTGGCGCTTCCCTGGGCCCCATTTCCCTCGTGAACGGCGTGTTCGGACAGATACTCTTCAAGAACCGTTCCGTCGTCCGATGGGCCACGTTCGTAATCTCATCATTCACCGCGTTGAATACTTGAAACCCCAGCCCGTCCTTCGCCAAACAGCACTGGATCATGCTCCCCAAGTCGCGGGCATCAGTGTATGACCACGCATGTGGTTTCCACTTCTCTGGCTCTTCGATGTATGACTTAAGCTTCTCCTCAAATCTGTCGGGCTCGATGACGCCGCCGATGCGGAGGGCGTAGATATCGACTCCTTTAAACCTCCTTGCGAAGCTCTCGGCTACTCTCTCCATGCAGAGTTTGCTCGTAGCATAGACGTCCATAGGCTGGGTCGGTGATTCTTCGGTGAGTGGGAAGTGAGGAAAGTCGACATCGCCTTCAGCATACGTTACGCCGTACGTGGTAATGCTAGAAGCGAGGATGATTTTCTTGATTCCGAGTTTGCAAGCGGCTTCGATGATGTTGTACGAGCTCATAGTGTTGATGCGGAAAAGCTCATTGTCCGGGACGCGCATTGGCTGCGGGATGCCTGAAATATATCAACATCCTATCACATCTTACAGCATACGGATATGAAGTAGAAGTACCTGCGAAATGTATGACTGCATCAGGAGTTTGAACGGGCTCCATGAAAGGTTCGGACACTTGGAAGTGACATGAAAGGCTGTTGAAAGCTTGAGCGCCATCGGTAAGGTCCGCTTTCAGGGTGTAAACATCTGGGTTATCGAGAGACGTTGTGTCTACATTCAAAATCTTGTGGCCGTATGATAGGAGCTTAGCGACGACGTGACGACCTGCTACACCTGAGCCGCCGGTGAAGACTATGCGTTTTGCGAGGTTCGAAGGTTCTGCCATGGCAAAATGACAGTAGTATTGCGCGAATAGTCGATCCGTAACGGCTTTAGTAAGTTCTGAGGGGAAAGGGCACAAAAGGCACGTATTTTATACAAGCTTTCTAGAAGAGGTGGGGCTTGCCCGCACAAGCTACTTTTACTTATACCACAGTACGTTGTGTCGGGCGCACTATAATTGGCGTGTTGCCACGCCTTCAAGTCGAGTCATAGAATCAAGATGCTTACGAATGATGAATTTCCAATCCGCAGATATAACGTTGTGGCATAGTACATTCATGTCTAACGTTCAGCTTGCGGGCTCCAGACTGCCGTGTCGCTGACATATTCGCCATTTCTCAACTCGCCTTGAGCAGCCTCTAGCTTACGCCGTCTGCGTGCCATAGCCCCTAATCTGCTCTGCGAACGCCCAGCTCTGGTTCTCCAGCTTCAGATCCTCGTTCAACTCTACGCCCTCCTTCGTGATGGTGGCGAGAGAGTACTTGTCCATACTCCTAGCATCCCTATAGAAGAGCACCTTCATGCACTCCTTGACCAGCTTCACCGCCTCCTCCTTGCTGACATTCTGCACCGAAGCCTCATCCGGGATAGCCCTCCTCAATATCGGCTGGGCGAGATGCGCTCCGAATCCAGTTGCGAGCGTTGGTGATGAGAAAGTGGTACCCAGCAGATCCGCGCTCGCCAGGAATGGTTTCGCCTGGCCGTCTAGACCGGCGATGAGAAGGTGATTCCACAGCGGGTTGAAGTCCGATCGACGCTTATACATGACCTTCGAGAGATATGTGTGCAGGTTCTTCGCATTCAGGGGATCTTCGGTAGTCGAGTAGTTCTCGCGGATTTCGAGCGAGTTGAGCAGGCGGTCAAGGTACTGCATGTCCGAGACGTCGCCGCCGAAACCGACTACCACTGTGTCGTTGAATTTCCGCAGACGCTTGACATCGGTGAAGCGGGCGAGCGAGCCATATGAAGCTATAACATCTCGTCAGCCAATGTATGCCTTTGATTGTTGGCGACGCCCAGTTGTTCGTACCCAGGTTGTCTGCTGCAATGACCACGCCATCCTTGTACTTCGCTGCAACGACTGAGGTACCCGTCACAATAGGGCTCTGGGTATGCTGGTTTGGGCCGGCAGTCTGGAAGTGTGAGTGGTCGTAGGAACCGTAGACGTCGTCCCTTGGCTGTAGTCCGTTAGCATCGGTGTTGTTATTGACGAATTAGTCCGCTTACACGGCCCCAGGCTTGCGGAAGATGGTTCATGATGGCTGAAAGGATTCGAATGGTCTTCGGGAAGAGAGAGAACGGTTTTTGAAATTATGGGAGAGAGACGAAGATAATCTGAGAGGTGAAGGTAGAGTTACGCCAGGCAGCTTGAACGCGAAGCTGCGGCTATGCCAAGATATCATCTGGCCCAAGCTCCCGATTTAGCTCATTCCAGCAGGACCGACCTTCCCAACCGATATTCACAATATGCTGGGAATCAACTACGAAAGCAGTGATGAGGAAGAGACGTCGCCGTTGACGACAGCACCGCAAGCACAAGCTCAGGTGAGCCACGCAAATACGTTCAGCGAGGGCGCGATAGCTACTAATATCGAGTTGTCCAAACTTCCAACAGCTGCTCCGGCTCCAGTCGTAGAGCCCTCAGTACCGCCTGGTCCAGTCAATGGTCCCGCTCAAGGGCCGACCGTTTCTCCCCCCCCTGCTGATGAACGACCAACGGACGATGTCCCTCCAGGTTCTCCCTACACTTCGAATCGCTTGATGGTCCAGAACCTTACGCTTCCTCCCGTTCCGAACTTGGATATACCTTCCTCACCACCTGGGTCGCCACCACAAAGAGCAACGAAAAAATTCGCGCAGTTCCTCGAGCTGAAGAAGAAAGGGCAGCATTTCAATCAGCGGCTGGAGAATTCGTCCGTTCTGCGGGATCCGAGCCACCTGCGGAAGTTGATGGACTTTGCAGGCATCAGTGAGGAGGACCAATATGCTTCGACACTACCTGAAGGCGTTGCCGTACCCACAGTTTGGCCACAGTGGGCATATGGAGAGGAGTTGAATGCCTCGCAGAAGAGGATGTCCCACGCAAAGGAGGAGGAAAAGAAGAGCAATCCGAACCGATTAGTCGACTTCGTACCGGCTGCCAAATCTAGTACTTCTAGTGCGACAGGCACGCCTTCTGGCAAGGGATCACGACAGAGTGCAGCTGAAAGGGTCATGTCGGGTTTGGACAGAGAACAGTCTAGTCGTTCGTCGTCGCAAAGCACGAGTAAACGGAAAGAGCTGGAGCATAGAGGAGTAAGGGGTGATCCTTCTTCCAGAAGCAGGTGTCGGAGTAGATCGAGGTCACCGAAACGGCGGCGCTCGCGGTCAAGGGACAGGAGGTGACTACCTCCAAGTCGAGGTCGTTCACGGAATCATCGTCGTCTTTCCATATCATAGTAGCTTTTAATCAAGCTGTCTGCTGAAAGATTCCAAATTACTAAGCCTAGCTGCCGCGTTATCCCATACACCTGCGCACACTTGGGCACATCGGTAAACGGTCCGCTCACGTGATGATTGAGAGCTTGGACCCGTCTTGGCACTCGCAGGCAGCTCAAGCTCCGCGTCAACTCCAACTCATCAGCAATAAACTCCATCGCCGTTGTACCTCGGATTCCTCACCCACGCCTTTAGTAATCTCCTCTTCTTGGACTAAACCCATCATCGAAACTCTCAAATACATCCGCAATGGCTGCAATCTTCTCCGGAGCACCTCCGCAAAGCGGTCCCGGCTACTCGTTCAAGCAGACCCCCACAGCAGCTCCGTCGGGCGAGCGACAGCACGGCTTCTACCCGTGAGAGAACATTCCTGGTCTGAGATTCTGAGTGGGCTAACAGTTTCCAGCTATACCGACAACGGCGGTTCCACACTTGGAATCTCCGGCGCCGACTTCACCATCCTCGCCGGCGATACTCGCTCAACGCACGGCTACAACATCAACACGCGGTACGCACCGAAGCTCTTCAAGATTGGCGGTGAGGGACCAGACAACAAGGGTGCACGGATAGTACTCTCAGTGGTCGGCTTCGCAGCCGACGGCGATGCGCTGAAGGAGCGTCTGGACACTATCGTCAAGATGTATAAATACCAGCACGGAAAGCCCATGTCGGTCGCCGCCTGCGCACAGCGGCTGAGCCATATTCTCTACAACAAGCGATTCTTCCCGTACTACGTGCATGCTATCCTTGGTGGTCTGGATGAGGAGGGCAAGGGCGCGCTATACTCGTATGACCCGGTCGGCAGCTACGAGAGAGAGCAGTGTAGGGCGGCTGGTGCGGCGGCGTCACTCATCATGCCGTTCTTGGATAACCAGGTCAACTTCAAGAATCAGTATATGCCAGGCAGCGGGTCCGGACACGAGCTTCAGGCGAAGGAGGCAGCGCCGCTGCCGCAGAATCATGTCGAGGACCTTGTGAGGGATGCGTTCACAAGTGCGGTGGAGAGGCATATCGAGGTTGGTGACGGGCTGCAGATGATGATCATTACGCGGGACGGCATACAAGAGACGTTCACACCGCTGAAGAAGGATTAGAGCGATTGCTGGGTCGAGGCATTATGGTGACCAACGATTGGGGATACAGAGAAGATGGATCTGTACGAATAGCATAATATGGTGCTAAGGGTTGGAAGCAATAACATGGTCTCGGTCCACTGACACCGATGCATTGACCACGAAGTGTGTGTCCTTCCCGGTGGTATCCATGGAAAGATGGCGTCCACGAAAGCCAACGGACAAAGTATACATTCTTCTCTGCTCTCACCCTCCACTTATAATGTCATCTTGCCGACCTTTCCATCTCGTCTTCCACTTTTGCACGTCCTCCTACACCGCTCGATCAGCGCCTTACAGCAATTCGTTCACAGTTAGTAGTCTATACCAATGATTCGAAGGCTTCTCTTAGACGCTCTAAGGGATATGCGGGTAAAAAAGCCCTACATTTTCTCACTGCACTACCCTATGAGTTTAACTCTTCTTGCACGGAGCGGACAACCGGCCTCGTCACCCACCCGTCCCCGCTATCGACGCTTCTGTACCTCTACAACTCGACGCTCGACAAGCTCTAGCAGGGACTGGAGAACTCTGTCTAACGCCAATCAACGGAAGCGATCACGAAGCACCGCCTGCAAAACATCAGCCAAGCCAAGCCGCCGGTTAGGACGAATGGCAGCAGAAGATACCCGTGCAGGTCACCAATTACCGGGAGATTTCCGCATCATAGAGGCTTCAGGAGGTCTGAACGTTATTGCTCCTAATGTCTACGAAGTGAATTTCAGGATAGAGGCTGCTGAGGGGTATGGCGACATCTAGGCCGCTTTTCCAGAACGTGTTCGCTCGGAACAGGAGCGACGACCGTTTGTAGACAAGATGAAGGGCGACAAGGACTACATGCTAGAGAGAGCCGTTTTAACTGTCAAGATCAACCCAGAGCCTCAATATACCGCGGACATGTATATACCCCGGCGTAAAAGCATTTTGGACGTCGGCTGACTAGCCTAGTATATCCGAATTGGAAAGCAGAATCGACGCTGCCCTAATCGAGGAGGTCATCCAAGTAGCTGAAGGCGAGCACAAGCTTGTGGATAAAATGGTGAAGGCAAGAATGTGAGCCTCCATTTGCCCCTAACCTTCCCATGGCCGCATTACGTTGACCAGCTTTCACATAGCTGGGAAGATCTCGAAGAGCAGGCTCCGAGGGGTAATGGTCGTCCTTTGAGCGCAGTTTGGGCACCCATAGTGCAACGCAGAAGTCATTATCCGGTGCATGAGCATCTGTATATACGGACAGGGAGCACTGCACGGACTACGGTATGGTCCATTGCCTTGATTCCTTTCCAAGACCCCGTCGGAGCTATGAGCGACCCGAGGGTTCCGATTGTGAATTCCCATAATGCTGTTTTGTCCAACGTACGTCTTTTCTCCACCAAGCAACCCGCGACTGCCAATTGCGGGTTAGTGGCGTTCAACGCAACAGGGTTCGGGACTTGGCTCAGCAGGTCAGCCGCTCCAGGCAGGCAACCCACTCACGTATATAGGCTCAGCCTTTCGTCTAGGCTGCCAAAGATCCTGAAACCATTTTATCACTTCCCGCGTCCTTATTTACTACATTTCCCTTCCCGTCTCTGCACAGCAGAAGAGTCGTTCCTAAGACAACCGCCGCTATGCCAAAGGCCAAACCTAAAGCCGTCGCGAAACCCAAATCCGGGGGCAAAGCCGATTCTGAAGCGAGAACTCGGCCCAGGAGAAACGCCAAAGAAAAGGCGAAAGATGCAACCAGTACTGGAAGTGACACCAGGTCAGCGGTCGCAACCGACGAGACGCCACTCTTCTTCTGGAAAGAGACGGAGCAAGAGGCAGGCTTTCTCTCGCCGTGGTTCGAATGTCCGTTTGAAGCCGACGACGGCAAAATGTACGAGTCGGTTGGTCATAAAATCATGGCCGAGAAAGCGCGGTTGTTCAATGACAGCGTATTTGCCTTTCAACTGCCCAAGCACTGAAGTGTGGTCCCTGATGCATTGCAGAACGCGCTCCGACGAATCCTCGCTACAAAGTCTGCCGACGAGCAAAAGGCTTTAGGCAGAAGTATCAGGAAATTCAATGAACAGATTTGGCAAGACAGTACGTTCTTAGCTGTGCGTTGCCCACATAGTTGCGCAGTCCCCTTTTACCTGTATCTCCGGGTCGTTTCAATTCACTAATCAAAAATCAGATGGCCCGATGATATGCAAACGAGCAAATTATACGAAATTCCTCAGGAGTGCGAGAAGAAATGATCTCCAGAAGTGGCTTCTAGATACAGGGGAGCGTGAGCTCGTTTTTGCTTCTCCGTCCGATAGATTTTGGGGTATTGGGCTTGGCGCTGCTGAAGCGGAACAAACGAGCAGAGAGGAGTGGGGACAGAACGTATTGGGCAAGGACCTCATGGAAGTAAGGGAGAAGGTCATTCAATTGAATGACCCGAGTTTTGGCGAAGCGTTCGACAAGTTCGGCGGCCGGTCAAATGTATATTGGTAGGCTAGCTACTTAACTGCATGCAATACTACCGAACGAATTCAAACTCGAAAGCATAGTGCCGCCTAATGTCCCCATTCTCATTACTCACCAGTCGCAGTACACGGCCGCATAGAAATCCATCGAGAATGCCACCGCCGGACAATCGACCACGGTCGGATCAGTATCACTCGCGCCCTTGCAAGTTATGCCGGACCTGTCGGGACAGTCAAGCGTTCCAGGGCCACTTCCGTCGCTACCGTAGACACAGTCATCTGCCCCCCCACGTGTCACTGTCCACTCGCCCTCTAGCCACGGCGGTTGCTCCAAGTCCCCATCTGGTGCCCTCCGGCAATTTACATCGCTATCCGGACATATAACGGCGTTCTCGGTATCACAGACGTCCCAGCTGTCTCCATCTTGAATGTTGAAAAACTGCCACTCGTAGTAAAAGTTGACTTCGTCAACGTATTCCACGTAGAAGACCCAGAATCGCTGCGTTGTCGGCGGTGGACTTGGAGTTTGGCTTGGGGTTGTAGGCTGAGTCGAAGTGGGACTAGGCTGATCATCGTCGTCTCCTGGCGTGTTCCCGTCCTCCTCGCTCATACCAGGGTACATGGTGTAATGGAGATCGGGCACTTCGTCTGGACCGAGTTCTCGCGGATTCACGGCAGGCAACGATGGGAGGGGTCCGAACGGGCAAGATACCTCGCCGTCATCATCATCATCGTCGTCGTCGTCGTCGTCATCGTCATCATCGTCATCGTTGTCTTTGTCCGGGTCCTCAGGATCCTGGAAATCAGAGCCTCTGGGACAGTTTATCAAAGGTATGCAAGGCCCGTTGCCACCACAGGACCCGCCTACGCATGGAGAGCCGCAGCCTCCAGAGCAGATGGGACCCGGCGGCCCAACGTCGATGGTGATGCTTGGATACGGACCGCCGTAGTCGTCATCGTCGTCATCGTCATCATCGTCGTCTGAATTTCTCTCTGTTGGATACGGGGACGGAGTTATGGTTCGCGTGACTGTGGGGTTGGGGTCGTTGGTGATAGTAGTAAGCGGCGGAACAATTCGCGGAATGGGACTGAATGTAAAAGGATCGCCTTCAGGGAAAGTTTGTGTCCAGAATGAGATTGTTTGCGTGGTTATCGGCGGCAGGGTGATGGTAGTTGTTTGGAAAGATCGGGTCGTTTGGCCGTTGCTTGTCCAAACAACTTCAAGGTCGGTAGTGTAGGGCGGCAACGTGATGGTGGTCGGCGTGGGCAAGACCGTTGGAGGAAGGATAAAATTGCATGGTGGTGAGCAGGTTATATGAGGATTAGTCTCAGTCCAGATGCCCGGGTCAATGTAGACATCACCGCTACCCTCGCCGCCATCGCCGCCATCTCCTCCGCCTCCTCCGCCTCCTCCAGATCCACCCCCTGGCTCTCCGGGCTGACCAGTGCCATCACCTCCGTTTCCGGGCGTTCCCCATCCGCAATCGGGTACCTCTGCAGTCGGACATTCTGACAAAACAGGCGCAATGTCTTCCGAGCCCATAACGCAGTCGGATTTTCCAGACTCGAGATTTCCGTTCGTTGCTGTGACACAGAACTCGTAATTCCAAACACCTGGGAAGAGAAAAGTAATGCCGATGCAAGGTGAATTGACGACAGTATTGTCGGAGTGTAAAACATCTGAAGCATTGTTGACGTTTCGAACCCATGCTCGATAGTTGGCTGCTCCTTCGCTCCCAGTGAACGTCATTACAACCGTAACGCCGTCTTGGGTCTCGACATCCAAGCCTTGAGGGGGGGCCGGCATTCCAGCCCCAGGCATGACCGACCAAGGTACTGTTGGGAACCCAGGGCCTAGATCGGTCCAAGTGCTTATCGCGACGATGTGCCTGTGACCTGGCGTCAAGGCGTTTACCGTGATGGAATTCCCCTTGATTCCTCTGGAGAGCAGGAAGACACAGGGCTCGTCAATATCGTACGAGAATACCTCGTACAAATCGATGTTGTAGCCGCCGTCTGGCGGGTCCCACCTGGCGCTGAATCCATTCGCGGTCGGGTTGACGACGACATTCTTTGGGCCGGGCGCAACAGTTTGGCTCACAACAGCAGATACTACTTCCGAATAATCTGACTTCGTCGCGTCGCCACAGTCGGTTCGGATTTGGTATTCCCAAGTTTCGCCTTCGAGAACCCAGATCTGGTTATAGCGGTTTGTCGAAATTGCATAGAAAGTCTCGGTCCAGTCACCAAAACTGCTTCTCTTGCTCTTGATTCTGTACCCACGGGAGCCGTACACTTTGTCCCAAGTGACGGCGACCCCATAAGGAGCGGTTGTGGCTTTGACGTTTGTAGGAGCAGGACATGGCTTGGCTGGCAGGTTCGCCGGGACATCAAGTGCGCTTGATCCAAATCCATACTCACTATTGAGGACACGCGAAAACGCTTGCGCAATCTGGTATTCTCCAAACTGGTTTGGGTGCAATCCGTCGATTCCAGCTGGACAGTTATCAAGTTCGCCTGCGAAAGTTAGCCAATAATCTTCCTAAGCCAGCCCGGTCACTGAGGGAGCCAGAACGCCAAGGTTACAGATGAGGTCAGATTCGCGTCAGGACTTACAGCTATAGTTTTCCCGGAACAGAACCAACTTAATCGGAGAATTTGAGGTGCTCCAGGATGGGATGGCTGAATCCAACATGGAGTTGTACTCGTCAGTGATGATAGGCAAATCTTCTCGACCACCGATCCGAGTGCGGTAAGGAACATTGGCAACAGCGAATTTGATGTTGCCTTTTGCGCCCCGAGCGTTGTCGATCAAGGTCTTCATGTCCGACAGTAACCCGTCCGGCCCGCTGATGAACCACCCGAGGTCGTTGAAGCCGAGCTCAACAAGGACATAGTCCGGTTGATACGTGGCGACCTGGGCAGCAATGGTATTCTTCATTTGAGCCGCTTGACGACCAGAGTGACAGAAATGGTCCTTGTCGAAAGCAGGGTCGACGTCCAACGCATAACCTCCGCTCACGTGGTCAGGCGTAGGAGGTGCGACCTCTCCCTGAAGTAAAGGAGGTTGTGGTGGGAGCGGCTCTGGAGGTTCGAAGGTCCCAGTCCAGGGGCCTACGAAATCAAAAGCGACGTTGCTCGCGCGGAGCCATTGCCAAAGTCGATATCGCCAGGTGTAATCGCCCTCAGAGCCATGGGAAATGGAATCTCCCACAATCATAATCTTGACGCCATTCTGGCGGACAACTACCGTGGAAGCAACTGAGGGATGTAGAAAGTAACACACGACAGTCACCACTGCCGCAATCCTAGTAAGAAAAGACATGGATCAAGCAGTGACAGGCGTGGAGAAATTTCAAATCAAAACAAGAAGTTATTCTTGCATTTCCCAGTGGCTCACGCTTCATGAATATACCTCGACGAAGTGCTTTGAGCTGTCCCGTCCTCTCTATCCTTCGCTTAGCCGGGCGTATAGAGGACTTACCACGTACTGTGGTTGCAGGGGGAAGTCTTGTCAACTTGGCAATTACACGCTGAGGCCAAAAAAAGGTGACGTAAAAGGTCTAATTGGCCGAACCAGCCCTCACTAGCTCTTTTGAGGCCTGTAACTTTCTACGCCGCAATGCCAAGTTGACAATACTTCCCCCCGCAACCACAGTAGGGACAGCAGCTTGAGCAACCTTGTCCGCTTCAAGCTTCGTTTCCGTACGACTAGCTTGGCATTGTAGGATTTAGCCCCATACCGCGCCACCGTCGGTTCGAACGGCCAAATGCTCGAAGGATTTGACCGCTCGGGTAATGTTTTCTAGCCCCTAGTTGCTGAATCGGTCCTTGTTCCCGAAGTTGGTGATCCTTTGCGGTTTTCCACACGGAGGATTACCTAGGTACTTTGACTCCTGATCGTGCTCGTCTAGGTCTCCTATTAAGCCAACGATCCGACAAGCGATCCGCAGTTACCCTGGAACTAATGTTAGAGGGTTTAAGGGCCCATTAGTCCGTGAATATGGCCTTAATGGATAGCTTTTCGACCGTGGGTTGACAGGCCTTAATTGCCATATTCCAGGTCAATCCAGAGCCTAGTCCTTTCCGAGTAGAGACCGAGTCGGGAGCGGTGTGACTTCCCAGTTTGGCCGATCATGCAACCATGTCTCTGGCTCGGCCGACTTTCAAAGGCCACTTCGGCTGTCCAGCTGCCTGTGCCTCAATTTGAACTCTTTAGAAATATTGGTGGCGTTTGTTAGTGTAGGGGTGAAGGAACCGTAGGCGAACGGGTTTAGCGATTACCGGGGCGGGAGCGGGAGCGGCCCCTTGCATTCCACGTGCTTACTTCGAAGAGCATTTATTTATGGAGAGTTATCATTCCTCAAATCCAAGCGTGCGATCTGAAAGCGCGAACGAAATTTTGAGTTTCGCACCAAGCTCATAATACTTCCCGAGGTCCCTTCGCAAAGATCGATTAGAAACTCGCTCTGAAAAGTAAGGAACATTACGGATGTTCGGCAATCCTAGAGAGGTGCAAACCGACAACTCGCGCGAGAGACACATTCTGATACTTGTTGGTGGCGTTTGCTTGTAGCATTTTCAAAGTCACGCCCCGCGAAGAACTGTGCATTCGACGGATTTCGGCCCGTTTTCGAATCTGAGTGCATGAAATTGTCCAACACGCCCCGTACTATTGTCTTCGCACGACGGCTCGTATCCACGGGAGAATGTCCGGATATGGAAAGAAAGGTTTAGCCCTTTGCTGGGCAAAACGAGTACCACCCGCGATATCATCTTCAGGATAAAGAAAGGGAGACGAACCCACTTGGATGCGTCACCTCGTCTCCGCTGATTGAGAACCACTGGTTCTCACAACCTCAAGTCATGCTCGCTCAGGCAAATTTCTCCTATATCTTTCTCGTCTTCCTGCTCGGCTTCTGCTCCATCGCCGCCACCGAAGAAGTCGAGCTACCCCAGGGCGACAAAATCTCCATCGACATACTCCAGAAGCTGCAAGCCGCACACGAAGTTGCGGTGAACCAGAAAGTCCAAGAAGACCTTTTCATCAGCCTTCCTTTGGTAGCACCCAATCAATCGGACTCGGTCACTGTCGCCAACTCTACAAAGACTATTTCGTCTCCAAGAAAACTCCGGCATCGGAAAATTGATTCAAATGCTACGCTTGGAGTGGACAACGTCAAACGGCAGCTTGAATGTGATGCAGAGTTGTGGTACGAAGGACAAGATCCATGTGAAGGGCTAGAGGAGGAAGCTGGCTTCGTGCCCTGTGACCCTCCTTGCCAATTTGATCTAAATGTAAGTCAAGGGTGGAAGGGTCGAGTTTGGATGGATCTAATCATTTTTGATAGTATTTCATGCAGCAAGTAGTCAACCCACCGCGAATTGACGAGTGCCTGTTTTATACGGCTGGCTTGTCGACAACGGCGCAAGATTACAGAAGACGGCATAACGCGGGAAATCCGCAGACCCTGGTCACTACCATTTGGGTACGTAAGAAGGATTTATTTGAGTGACTTCCATCAAACATATGCACGCATTCTTTCGCCGCAGCACTGACATGGGTATGTACCGGAATAGGATATTTGGCCTGGTTGGATGTACGTCGGAGACCAGGTTATCACAAACCGCATGCGCTGCATCATCCAGGACAACGTGTTCGAGGGGCGGATAAATCAGGTTCGGACCGGCTACTTTCAAAGAATGTCCGATAGCATGGCATACATGTGCGGCGGCACCGCAGCTGTCATGGACAGAAACATGCGACGCGGTAGGACTGGAAGAGTGAAACAAGCAGGGATATGGTTCAGGGTAGAGTTTCCACGACTGAAAATGGCCGGGGCTGATAAGTGGACGGACCCGGCGGGCGTGAACAGAGTCGTGAACAGAGTCGATGCGATTGGGGAAAATCTCCCGAATGAGCCTGACACGCAAATTTTTTGGAGAAGTTGGTGGGTGAGGGGTGGTCCGGACTGGCCGAGCCAGGCTTCGCAGCCGCTCAAGAGGAGAGATGTGAATGAGACTTATGACGCCACCTTGGTGGAAGAGCGCAGTCTACATAAGAGAGAGATCGATTCGTCAGTGTTTGATGAAGGAGGTAGATGGGAGGTAGTCTGGTAGCAGGGACTACCTGCTACAGCGAGTTAGATGTAACTGTAGGATCAATTCCAATTCGGGTCGGGCAAAATGTCGATCAACATCTCCGGCAATGGCGATAGCAACGGAGAATTATGTGCGGGCGCCGCCGGAGGATGTTGATCACGGCACAAGCGTAGGCTTGTGGCGTCTGCCACGGGCACGCACTCGCAATTCGCACCACGTGGTGCATTGCACATGCAAGATGCAGGCGTAGTGAGACTGGTTGTCCACTCAGTTGGCGTCTAATGGGATCGGAAACCAGAGACTCCGATGCAGCGAGATTAGCAGATCGACTGTCACCTATCAGGTCTCGGTACGGATTGATATAATGATGGTCCATTCGATGTCAAGGACGAAAGTGAGTTCCTGTGTGAGAGAGAGAAAGCGTGCCCGCACGGACATCCGTCTAGATCGTATGGGGAAAGCAGGGATCCTGAACGCGTCTATCGACCTGGCACAACGTCCCTCCACCGCTGTCGTGCCGCTAACACTCAGTTGCGTCAAAAAGGAGCTAATGTCGTGGCAAGTGGCGCTCCGAATTGATTCACATGTTCCTCAATAGGGCGATCAATGCAGCTTTCGTCTCAGTCACCATCAGCCAAATCCCAACGCAACTCGCATGGCGCACGCATGCGATTCTCGCTTTGCCGTCTGCGATGATCGACCAATGAAAGATATACATAGGAAGATCCGGCCGGCCTACAGCATCTGGTCAACCGTTGGGCATCTCCGGTCTCTCTTCTTCAGACGCAGGTTCCTCAAGAGCGGGGAATGCATACAGTGCACCCTCCACGCCGCGACTAGATAGCTTTCTCCTTCGCTAAAGCTACCGTTGATTGGCAATGGTCGTTCACAAGCGGTGATGGATGGTCGCTAGCTCAGTCGAGTCGGAGAAAGGTTCGATTAGTGGAGCATGATGACGAGCGGAGCGCCGTCAAATGCTACACGAAAGAAAGATCCGTGCGATTTGCTTTCGCCTTCGTCCCATATCAGCGCAAGCTAAAAATGTAGAGAAAGGCTAGGCGGCTGCAATAGAAAGTTCGCATGTCTCGTACTATCTGCATTGCTTCTTCGGATATACGCTCCCACTCCTCGAAGCCGGTGGCTTGTGAATCGCAACCGCTTCGTTGTTTCCTGTTCCCCAAAGACGCCATCGCATCTCAAATTTCGTCACCGTATCCTCGATCGGTTCAGAGTCCTTGAAGATGTCAACCGAGCACACAGAGTATCTTCATCCTGCCGATTCGCTCCAAGAGCAATTGAACGCTCATCGCGAAGCAATGGAGTCTGCTGTCGCTGTGCAACAGCATCCGTATCGGCACCGAAAGAAGTTTGTCCTCTGTTTCGATGGAACGGGCAACAAGTTCTCTGGTACCGATGCCGACTCGAACATCCTCAAGATCTACCGTATGCTCGATCGTAACGGAGACGACCAGTTTCATTACTATCAACCCGGCATTGGCACGTATGTTGTCGCGAACTCGACGGAAGCTGGTTCACACACGGGCCGTATCGATAGGATCAAGTCCTGGTATCAAAAAGCGAAGGACAGCGCCGTGGGTGCGTCTGCCAGCCAGCCGCTGCGAACCAGCTCCGCTGACATCCATAGGCACGTCTTTCGATGCCCACGTCATGGGGGGCTACAAGTTCTTGATGCGGTACTACCGCCCGGGAGATGACATCTACTTCTTTGGCTTTTCAAGAGGTGCGTATACGGCGCGCTTTTTAGCAGAAATGTTAGATCATGTTGGCCTGCTTTCCGTAAGTAGTACTCCGGAACATTTTCAGATGCACTGCCTTACTTTATTAGGCTGGCAATGAAGAGATGTGCCACTTTGCATGGAAGTAAGTCATTGACACTTAAAGCATGCTAGAAGATAGGCAGCTTACCGAGTCCGCAGGACATTCCAGCGCTGGCAATGCCGACAAGGAAACAATTCCGAGGAGAAACAGCAGAAGAAATATCTACTGGAATTTATGTGCGCTTTCCGCGAGACTTTCAGTCGTCCGGTCAAACCCATTCGGTTTCTGGGGCTCTTCGACACTGTGAACAGCGTGCCTAGGTTCGAAAACGCATGGATGCAGAGGAGCAAGTTCCCGTATACCGCGCGGAGCTCAGCAAGGGTGATTCGCCATGCCGTCTCGATCGATGAACGACGAGCCAAGTTCAGGCAGGACTTGATATCGCAAGAGAAGCCGAACAGGGCACATCACTACAAACGTCGGCATAAGCACTCGCATCCCCATAATGCATTGGAAGGCGCGGTTCGCCAGAGTGGCAATCAGGAGCCATCTAGAGGCCGTAAGCCCTCGGTGCCGAATGGTCGTCGCGATACGCTGGCAGTACCCGAGCGATATCGCAATCACTCAGAGACATCAGGAGTGCGCAATCTCAGTCCCAGCTACTCTGTGTCAGACCGGACAGGGGCCAACTCCCCCGCTTCTTCGATTTCCGATATGTCTATGGACGCCATTCAGCATTATGAGGGTCCGGACTCTGAGGATGAGGGTGAACAGGATATTCAAGAAGTATGGTTTGCGGGATGTCATGCAGTATGATCCCACACTACTCAATACCTTTCAAATGTTAACATGTATAGGACATTGGAGGAGGTTGGCCATTACATCCTGGTGAGGATGCTGCTTTGAGCCACGTACCCCTCGTGTGGATGGTTCGTGAGGCACAGAAGACTGGTTTGCAGTTCGATGAAACTAAGCTCCGCGCCTTGCACTGCACGCACGAAGAAGCGGTGTTGGCTGAGCCCCTAGAGCCACGCCGCCATACCATGAATCTTGTTCCAACGATCGAAATCGATCCTGCGTCTCCCGCGCCCGTGACTGACCACGAGAACTCGCCGCTCGAACACCGGGATGAAGAAGGGAAGAGAGGTATTAGCAGGGACTCAAGTCCTTCTCTTAGCGACCTGCACCACCACCACCGCCATACGAAATTCTTCAGGCATCTCCATTCCGCATCAACCCGCGGCAAGATTCACGATGTCCTGCAATTCAACAATGGAGCTTCCCGCCTCAGCGTCGTCTCCTGGAACATGATGGAATACCTGCCCTTCCGGCGCATGGACCTCCAAGAAGACGGGTCATGGAAAGCGATCGTCTGGCCTCTACCCAAGGGCGAAGTGCGCGACATCCCCGACAATGCTATCATCCACTGCAGCGTTATCAAGCGGATGGAAGTAGACCCGAACTACCGGCCCGGAAATCTTATAGTGGGTGGGGGAGGACGAGGAGTCCGGAGAGCACCGGCGGAGATGGGGATGGGGAAATGGAAAGTGTTCCATGAGGAAGGACATCCGGTAGGAGAATGCTACGTCAGGAGGGAGAAGCCGGAAAGTAGGAAGACGGAAGAGGTTGCTAGGTCGTTTGCTACGACGCCTAACGGGCCGCAGGGTATGTTTCTTTCGGGGCGTTAGAAGTATCGTATCGTGATTGCAGATGCGAGCTGAGAGGCATGGGGTGGAGCGCGGCAGGAGCGTTGGAATTATGCACGTGGGAGATTAGCTTGTAGTTTCAATTCACTCCCTCCTATCCTCATAGCTTCCCATGGCATACGTACCGCTGTTTGAACAATGCCCCTCAATATGCCAAATTAGGCAATTTTCAGTCGCCGTCGATCATAGTAAAACTATTCCGACTTTAAAATCTTTTCCATAGGAAAACCATTGCGGCCTCACAACGGTGTCGCTCGCGAAACCGTTGCGCAACCGTTTCGACAACGGAAACCATTACACATCCAAACGCACACCCATTAAAACGGATCCTATCTAGAAAGCAATTTCATCGCAAAATAAATGTTGACCTTAAAAATGATGTTGGAGTGGAAACGATGTCGGGCGACAAGATCATGTCAGACGCCGAAATGCTGTCGAGCGCCAACACGATTTCCGCGGTGAAATCGTCTCATGGCGGAAAATTGCCCTCGGCAATCGACACTTTTTACCGTTCTTGCCTAATGTGGAAATAAGGGCATAGATGTAGAGAAATTTGGGAAAATAAGGGCATAGGATTGCTGGCGGGCGCGGGAATAGTGGATTGGCATGGAAATTGAAGTCGTCGGCTGTTGTGGGTAGCCTTTTCTATGGAGGTTTGAGCGCTCTATTCGTTAGAACCCTTGCCGGCTCAAAGCTCCAAATACTAGCCTCTGATTGGTTCAAAGTAAAGTGCGCAGCGATCAACACTTTTTCCACAATCCTACCCTTTCGAGTAATATACCCCATCTCGCCGTATTATTCCATCGTGATTTTAACAACGAAGGGCGCCTGAGAATCTTTTTCCTAAGCTCGCGAGACACTTATGTGTTTGCTTCTCTACGCGTGTAAAATATCGGATTTTGGGTTGGTGTGTCTGTCGGTAGTGGTGGGGGGAGGGGGTACACCCTCAAACTGCCTATTTGGGTAATTTTCGGGAAAGTGTGGATTGCAGGTGTGAGATGGCCGGTCACTGGCGCTTATACGTTCACGACACGACAACGCAACAACGCTTTCTTCGTCACAGCCACCAGGGCTACGATAGCGGGATAACTGCGATGCCATTTTATGGATCTGCTCATGCGCTACTATTCTCGCTTTTCTCCTAGTGTGCAGCGCAAGCATATGGGCTTGTGGGTAGTGGTGTAGGAGGGGAGGGTCGACTGCGCACAGTCCTTCACCCCCTTACCCGACCGTAGCAACCGAAAGGCATCGCACAGGTGGGCTTTCCAACACTCTAGTGCTTTACCGGGTTCGAACTATACCTACTGTTCTCCATCGCCGGCTTATCAAAGTCACCGCGTCTCTACATCGACCTCAACCTCAACCTCACCTCAACAGGGCGCTTCTCCACAAGCAGAAACGTCCTCAGCTCCTCCCACTTCACCTTCTTCCCCTCAATCACCTCGACGTCAAACGTCCACACCAACTTCGCTAACACGAGCCTCATCTCCGCCTAGGCGAGGTGTTGCCCCATGCAGGCGCGCGGACCGACACTGAATGGCTGCATAGCCTGGCGCTGGTCGTCATAGAAAGGCGACTTGGGGTCGTTGCTCGCTTCCGGGAGCCAGCGCTCTGGCAGAAATTCTGAGGCAGAGTGGAAGTAGGTTGCGTCGCGATTGAGAGTATAGGCTTGAATGGAGACGGGTGTCTGCTAGGTGTGTAAGGTTCATAGTCAAAATTGGGGACTGGAAGAGCACTCACGCCGGCAGGTAGCCACATACCACAAACAGTGTCACCGCCCACGGGGACTCGCCTAGGGAGTATCCAGGGGATCGGGGGGCAGAGCCGCAGACCCTCATTCAGAACGGCGTTGAGGTACGGCAGGCTTTTTAGCGCCTCGCGCGTCATCTTATCCGTACTTTCGAAGGTCGTCCGCACTTCTTTCGCAAGGAGGGAGAGCTTATCTGTGCAGTTCACGAGATAGTTCAACGTACCAACCAAAACGGTCGCCGTCGTTTCGCTCCCGGCAGTCGTCAGCACCATGAATGTCGAGTTTATTTCCCCGAATGGGACCGCTTGCTCGCCCGTCTCTTTGATGACATACGAAATGATATCCGGACGCTCGAGCTCCCAATTCAGCCGACGCTGCACTTTATCTACGATCTGCTGGTAGTGGTCGTTCCGCATCTTCTCGAGAGAAGGAGGTATACACTTCATGAGTAACCACTCCACCAATGGATAAAACCGCGCCGCGGCAACGAAAGAAGCCGCCTTGACACTGTTGAAAAGTAATGCGATCCAGGGATGATATCGTGAGTGCTGGAGGCAGTCGAACGACTCTCCAAAGCCCAAGTCTCCGAAGATGTCGAATGTCGTGTAGTGGAACCATGGCGCAATGTCTAGCTCAGCGCCTTTCCCATTTCCAGCCTCGCTGGCGCGCTCACGCAGCCGCTCGATCAGCAAGTTGGTGTACCTTTGCAGGATGTTTTCTTGAGCCCGCAGTGCGCGGGGCGTGAATGCCGGTGCGAGAAGCCTGCGTAGGCGGGCATGCGGCTCGGGCTTGATGGCATTGATGATGGAATCTGGCATACCAGGCTGTGCTGACCACCACGTAGGATCTTTAAGGAACTGCTGGTGGCCTGGCCGACCCTGAAAGATGTCGGTCCACGCTTCGGCCTTCGCAAAGGTAACCTCGTCCGGGGCGATTCGCAAGACGGGTCCATATTTCCGATGCAGCCTTTCGACGTCATGCACGATCGTACCCCTGAGCAAAGCCCATACGAATGGTAGGCGAGAGGCTGACCAGCTCTTGGGGCCGGGAATGTGCGCGAGCGGGTGGAGAAAGAGGTTATAGATAACATTAAATAGGGGATACTGGATGCCATCAGCCTCGCAAATGGAGATACCAGGGGCCCTTGACGGATCTTTAGGGCTTCCATACAGCTAGCAGCAGCAACACGGCCACGGCCATCGGGTGGCTGATGGCGAGGCCATCGTTCGACATCATTACAACGCTTAGTCGGACCGGATATTAGATGCTAGTTTGCATTCATCAGTGGGATTTAGCAATGCAATGGCAAATAAGAAGAAAGAAGGAGTATGGAGCTGCCGCGGCGTCTGTTGGCCTGAAAAAGGCTAATATGATGCGGGCGTATCATGGTGGGGTAAGATGAGGCGCAGCCGGGCAGCACTGCAGGCGTATACAGAAAGCATAGACAGCGAAGACGGTGTGTTCCAAGGTTGCCAGGCGGTGGGAATGAAACCCTCTGCACTAATGCTGGATTTCAATGGCGTTAGCAAAGTTGCCCTTATTTAATGGGTCTTAGGCAAGTAATCCCGCTAACGCATCGACCGTCCACCCCTCCTCCCAAGCTCTCAGAAACTTGCGCTATGCTTGTAAAACGATTGCAATATATCACCAAATCACTCACAGTACAGTCAAAATTTTGATACCGGAATCCCCATGGTTGCGCAACCCAAGTTAAAGGACCGACCCGCCTGGGTGCGCCATCTGGAGAACTCATCCATTCGAAGCCCTAAACAAAAGCTATGACACTCGCACCCAGTGGCTTCATCTTCCAAGTTGCCATGGGATCTATTGTATGGGGCGGACCTCCTGGCACATCCCCTTCGCACGTTCAGTAGACAATAGGTCTGTAGTAGGACGCATACATTAGCTAACTACACAAGATGGCGTCTGCCGGTAGGACGCCAAACGCCTTTCAAGGTTATGAGCCTACTAGCCGAGGATCTGACCTCGCACACCTCTACCCCGTTTTTTCTATGGGCCGTCTAGTCTTGATTCCCATCGCTGTCTCTAACCCGAGTTCGGTACTACTCTATGAGAAAGAAAATGGTACAACCCACTCACTCACTCCCCCTTAGACCGTGTACCTAAAGAAGCCGGCATAGTCCCCATTCCCACTCTCAGCCTGCATATCACTCGTTGACCAGCCCCCAACCCTTCCATTAGCATGATCAACCGCATCCCTCCTCTTATTCTCCTTCTTACACCACCACCGCATGAACAAGCAAAGAAGCGTGCTCGTTGACAACAAGCCAATACAAATGGAATGGCCTATGTGGTACAGCGGCGCATCCCTCTCGAGATACGTGAAGCCGGAGAGCACGCCGCCCAAGTTACCGAAGCCGACCTGCATCGCGATGCCGACGGAGCGCTTGGTCGAGCCGCCGATGTTGTTCCCGTTCCAGGCGACGATCTGCGGGACGTTGGGGTAGATGCCGGCGGCTGCGAAGAAGGTCCCGAGGTACTTGTGTTTGGCGTGGGTGGTGGCGAGTTGAATGGTGAAGCCTATGATTCTGTGATATGTTAGTAATAGTGTTCGTGCAATAGGGAGTGATGCATCCAAGAAATTGGAAAATATTGGTATCGAGTGAGCGTCAGACACAGTCAGGTAGCGCTTTCTAATGAGAGGGGAAAATAGCGTGAAGGCATCATAGAGCCCATACGCTCTCTAAAGACGTAGGCAGAAGTGATAGTAACACGAAACATCTGAGATAGAAGAGCGGTGAGATGTGGAACGTGGGGGATGTGACAGGCGTGAGATGACATGATGTGCAGCCCTGTGTTTAGCTCGCGCTAGAGGAGGCCGAAAGGAGTACATGAGGGGAACATGAAAACGGCGCTGAACTTACGCCAATAGATTGCAGGAGATCAAGTAGATCCCCCGCTGGCCGTGCTTATCTGCCATCCAACCGGCCGCGATGCAGAAAAAGCAGGCCGCGATATAAGGAGGCACGGTCATCAATTGGGCCGTCTTGTCCTTGTGTCCCAGGGCACTGATAATAGTCGGCAGGAAGAGGGAGAACGAGTAAAGAGGAGAGAAGATGCCGATGGTAATGAGCATGTGTACCCAGATCTTCCAGTCCTTGGCTGCATCCTTGAAGTACTTCAGGTTAAACTTGTCGTCCAGGAACGATTGGTCGGTTTCGAGACGTCGCCCCACCTCGCGTCTCTCTGCATCCGTCAGGAACCTCGCCGTCTTCGGGTAGTCATGCATGAGGAAATATGCCGACAGTGCTACATACCCCGTGGTGTCAGCCTGATGTCGTGCAGCAGCGTACCGAGCGTGCCATTGCAGCAACTGGCGGCTACACAGAAAGGCCACGCGATGTACGAACGTTGAGCAACTCACCAATTGCGACAGTTATTGCGCCCTCGATGATGAAGATCCATGACCAGGCATTGAGTCCGCGTGCGCCTTTGAGCTCCATGATTGCTCGGGCGAGCAGGCCGCCAAACGCACCTGCAGCAGTGGCAGCCGAGAAGAAGATAGCCATCCGGAAGCCGCATTCATGACGTTGGTACCACTGCGTAATACTGTAAAACGTCAGACCGCAGTTCGAGGGTTTTCAATGCACATGGGAATAAAGGGTTGCGCAAACAGACGTACTAAAAAGTGATTCCAGGGAAGAGTCCACCCTCAGCTAGACCAAGAGCCGCGCGAATGGCAAGCAGTCCAGCATAGTTGTGCACCACACCCATTAGACAGCACATAACGCCCCATGCAACCATGATGCTGGGGATCCAGATTGATGGACGGAAGCGCTTCATCATCAGATTGGACGGGATCTCGGCAAAGACGTAAAAGGGAAAAAAGATGGCGACCGCACACTGCGCAAGTGGTTAGTCCGCAGTCCTAGAAGAATCGTGATTTCTCACCCACATTGAAGTCAAGCCCCTTCAGCCCCAGATCCCCCGGTAGCCCAGCCAAACGAGCATTGCCGACGTTGCTGCGGTCGAGAAAGCTCATCCTGCCATGTCTCAGCACTCGTTAACAGTACGCTTCTTTTTCCGAGTGCGTACAGGTATAGAAGGGAGAGGAAGGGAATCAGGAAGAAGTCGATCTTGCGGACGAGGCGGCGAGTGGACTTCGCGTCGAATCCGGCAGACTCCACGCTCCCGGCTTCGTCGGTAGTAGAGGTTGGCTCACAAGAGGTGTGAAGCGAGTCCCTCGCGACATCTTTTTCGGTTGCGGTGGCCATAACTTCGTCAGAGGCGTACGAGTGGAGGCAGGCACAGCGGAGAAAATGGAGGTAGAGAAGAAGAGGTTGGTGAAAGGTTTCTCGTGAACGCCAGTCTTATCTTTTATGGCAAGACGTGGCCGCACGGATATTGATTGGTCATCCCGCCAACTGAACGCTTCGTCCGACCCACCATACAGGAATCCCCAGTAAGGAGGCAGTTTGCATCGGCCCGTGGGGCCTTCAATGAGCCCTCGGGTAGACGCAGCTTCCCCTCGTCCTTATTCACTTCCGCTGTCACAGGTACATCTGCAGCTGCGGTTTGCGCTATCTTCTCGGAGAATGGGCCGATGTCGCTTTCAACCCGGCGTCGGACGTGTCGATCTAATTGTGACGGCGAGATCCTCATGAATAAAGCAGGGCGTAGCATCCCTGTGGCGGTGCGACACGAGCTTGTCAAGGTGTGACGCAGCCAACCCAGTCTTGGCCACCGTCTGTTGGGCAATACTGGTGAAGCATCCATTAAGAGTACGTGGATCCGTTCTGGGCCTTGAACAGTGATCGAACCTGCCGTTCATGGTGACCAAGTCCATTGAAGTAGGACGCCAGTAGCAGCAAGCGCCATAAGGGTTGACGAGCCTCTTGCGCGCGTACCAAGAACATTTGTGTCCCACGCGACGAACCAACAAGCCTCGCGGTATGTTTGCGCAATGAGACGATCGGATCTAGCCGACACGCCCCGCCTCCTCGTGGTTCGTATATGCTGGGCTACTCAGGTATTGCAACACGGATTGTTACCACAGAGTACCTCTTTCGAGCGCTCGCAAGCAGTTTGCAGCATGACATACATGCCGAATAGCCGAGAGACAACGGCCAACTACCGCGGATGCACTGACATCTGCAGACCGGTGGGCCCGGGAAACACAGCTATACCTGAAGTATAGCTATACAGATGACACGGTCGCACCTTGCGTCGCCGTGGCTGCTCGCGGTGTTTCTGTGCAACGCTGTGGCCAGTACTGCCCCTTTGTTTCCAGCGACCGGGTCCCCAGGCAGGTGGTACAGAGGATACATCCCTCGTCGCTGAGAATCACGAGATTTGAAAATACAGGGGAGGAGAAGATGGATGGATGGTCGTTATCTAGCTGTGGAATGAGGGAACCTGAGATGCAAGGCGTATGAAGCTAAAATAGTTCGAAGCAACAGAGAAAGTTGCTCAAACACAAAGAGAGTAGGTGGAACCAGGGAACGACATCTGTGTAGTGCGAAAACTAGAAGGGAATGTGAAAGACAGGACTGGTTCGACTGGTCCATGCTATGTCTCGGCTTGTTCAAGATGCCGCGCCATGGGTGGTGCTGGACTCGGCGTCGGAAATAGCGACTGTGTAACTTAATGCAACGGCATTTGACAATCTCTGACGCCATCCTGCGAGGCATAATGGATCTGAGAAGTCGAGCGAAGCAATGCCTAGTCTTTACTCGTGACCACCGCGGAAAATCCCGAAGCGCCTCATCGTAGCGGCGTCTGTGCCCTGAACGACCATGGATCCGAAGAATAATTTCCAACCCCCGGTTTACACCCAGTTCGGGATCTCTACGGATGGCTTTGGCGTTCCAATCCTAACCACCTTAGTGTAATATTCGAGTAGCGAATCCAACTCAGGCGCGGGCCTCATGTACACCTCCTTCAACATTTTCCTGCCGCCCAGACACTTCTCTTCGCCACCGAACAACAGCCTCTTCCTCATCTGCCTCCGATACTCAAATGCATGTCTGACCTCTCTCCTCTCTACCCTCTTCGCTATAATGGCTATGTAGCCAAATAGGTTTAGCCAGATAGCTAGATCGAGAAAGGATTCTACGGCCGGGCCGCGTGGGAAGTCCATGACGGGGAGGTCTTTGTGGCTCCTGATGACATGGGCGACCTCCTCGAGGTAAGTGAGGCGAACTTTTTTGTCGGCATCTTCAAGCCGTAGAGCATATTCTACGCAATCTGCTACGTGGTCCCAGATCGGCATGTTATCTTCCTTAGGTGGAAGGGTCTTAAGCGTCCAGAGGGTTGCGTTTGCCCAATGCTCGTCGGTATTGAAGGACTCGAAACCTATGGCTTGTCGCGTTAGGCTTTGGCTAGACTTGGATCGCATGAAATCTCTGATGCAACGGTGCTTATAGTTGACCTTGAAGTTCGTGAGATTCGCAGCGTCGGATGAAGCTTCATCCGGAGGCACGGCTTCAAACATTGTGAGGAAGCCTTTGCATTTAAATTTGAGCAAGTTCCGCAATGACTCGATCCTCGGGAGCAGCTCAGAGTGATTTAGTGGCCGCACCTCCACTGTAAGGCTGGACTTTGTGTCGGTGTCGTTTGCAAAGCAGAGTGGCAAGAGGCCCGGGTATCCATGTGCATCGACAAGCCGGAAAAGATGCGAAGATTGCTCGCGGTCTCTCATCTCCAGACTGTCGAGGATATGAGACAGCAATGCTTCGAGATCGGATGGCAGAGCATCTACTCGCATTCGGATCAACGAAACATCGTCCAATTCGGACGTACTCTGGACTAAAAAGTCTGTGGCCAAGGTCACCCACAGAAATACACCCGAGGATTTGTCGACAATGGTATTGACAATTGCCCTTTCGGCGGTCCCGTCGGATTCTTCGCTAGCCATGTTGAACATTGTGTCATTCTCGTCGAAGGTGCGCAAGACGTATGATAGTGTCGCCTTCCTCGTCCACTCTTCGAGCGTAAGCGTAGGTCGATTGTTGAAAGCCGTTCGGAAGATCGATGTATCCCGACTCGAAAGGCATATCTTGACGTTGGCACGCTGGACAGTCCGTAAGATGAGGTCGATTAGCTCGGTTGAAGTACCTTCAAGTTCGTCAAGCCCATCTATCATCAGGAGGAACTTGTTTGATGCATCGGAAACTAAGAGCTCGAATGCCGTCTCGAGTTGCGAAAAGGTAAAGCTCTGCATGCCTCCACCGTATGACCTGAACTGGTTCCAGCGGTCTGAGAAAAGCTTTTGAAGAATCACAGGGTCTTCCTCGAGCGGGCCGTGTATCATATCCTGGAGGGTTTCGTAGAGTAATGATCTTAGAAGCCCTACGGGCGACTTCTGTAGATTGGTACCGCAATTCCAAAGGAAAAATCCGGTTAGAATACCGGGTGAGTCTCCTGACCAATTTTCCAGTCTTGCGAAAAGGCGTTCGTTGCGGAACAAGTATTTCATGAGTGTGCTTTTGCCGGAACCTGGCTTGCCTGGTAGGGACTGAGAATAATCATCCGCGGACACTAGTAGGAAGGGTCCTCACCTGTGATCCAAAATAAATTCTGTCCGCTGGTGTTGCCTAGCCAATCAAGGAAGCTACCTTCTTTCTGATGTCGGGCGTCGAACATCCATCTAAAGCTCCCTTTAACTGGCGCACCGATGCTATAGAGTCGGTCGTCTTGCTCAGGAAAATGGAGGTTTGCAAAGATATCATCGTAGAACTGTGCTTCGTTCTCAGCAAGAATTAGCGAGTTGACTTTCTCAGAGAACTCTTCAACGTGGGTTTTGTTCTTCGGCTTCCAGTCGTTAGTGCGGATTATGTCCAGGGTCTCCTGCTGCCATCGTTCTCGAGGGTGGGCTCCAGAGCCGTCGATACTGAAAGGGAGCAAGCCCTTCTCCGACGATTGATCAATGTATTGCCTGGCATTAAGTTAATATGTACCAAGCAAGGCATCAGCAGCCTCACCACTCTACTTACCGTAAGGCAAGGAGGAGTGTCGCATCAACCTGCTTTCTTACTACCTGAAGCTTCTTCTGCATACTTGTAACGTCCTTCTCTTTCCACATGGTGAGCACCGCCTCTCTTGTGGTCGTCCATCTCGGATCGCCATACAAGCAGCTTGCCTGCGCCTGCAGAATTGCATCAATAAGAGGTTTCGCAGTCTCATTCGTCTCCTCGCCAAGTTTAAGGAGATGCCGCGCAGCTTCCCCTAGCTTCGCGCCTTTGGAGTCCGCACGCAACTTCCTCGGGTCACTCCGTTGAATTTGTGAGCTGAGTCGTGTGAGATTGTTTGCGATATGCTGGAGTACTGCGGGGTTCTCTGGAATTGATCCGTCCGTGCTTGGAAAGATGGTGTGATCCTCTAGGAGTATGTTGGTGGAGAAGTCAATGAGTTGTACAATGCTTGAGGCCAGTATGACGGCCGGTAGAGTGTTGGGCATGGTGAAGTCAGCGAGGATGCATTGCTGCAGTCTGCATGTCGGTGAGGCTGTCCGTTTTTCATACGCACAGCCGGAGTCCGTCGAAAATTGGCGAGCCTATCACGCCCCTGCACTTGGCACGCAGTAACTACATTAAGGTTAGGCCAAGCCACACCGATTCTCAAGCCCTCACCTAACGACAGGATGAAGCTTGTTGGCTCACCGAAATATCACCCCCAAGCCGTCTGTCTCGCGAAGAAGATGAATGGCTCTGTCACCGAAACCAAAATCCTCGCTCCGACTTGGCGTGCTCTCTTCGAGTGACTCACGCGACGGGAATTCGGATGGTACGTACAAAGGAGGGCGCTCGATGCGTTCGCACAGTTGGCAGCAGAGCTCGAGAAATGAGAACCTCCGGGGGAATATCTGGCAGTGATCAGCTCAGAGATGAAAGGAAACGCTTCCCGCGAAGAGCTACGAGCAGGCGCATGCACCGGAACTCACCCCGACTTTCTTCCAGGACGACGTAGTTTGATCGAGAGTTACTTCGTTCCCAGCAGAAGTGCCTCGATAAAGTGATCTTGCGGACGGCGAGCGTGAGAGTGACGGGTGAAAAGGAGCGCCCGCCACTGCTTTCCCGAACCACGCAGACTGGAAAGAAGTCAAGTCGCAATTAACCCACGACTGCACCACGAGATACTTCCTTTCCCCTATATCAGTCTTTCGTCAGAGTCCGCTGCCTCCAGGGTTACTGTACCAACACCAGTCATCCATAGTGACTCAATAGCAACGCACGATTATTATTTTTGCCGTCGCAGACTTCGAAACTATACAACTATACAACACGCACCACCACCTCCACGCCGCACGGGCATGGATATGGACAGGGGAGTCCCTCCGCAACCGGACGACTACAAGACTTTACTAGAGTCAAACGCCGAGATATATATGTGGAGGTTCGGGCTTCCGCTGCTTCTGCGTTCATTACCAGGCTATCGCGCTGGCCTGCCTCTCATTCGTCGAGAATACTGACTTTTCTAGTGGCTCCGATCATGAATACGGACTCCGCGAAAAACTCGACTTGGAATGGCACCACGTTCCTTATCTCAACCAGCGGCTCGCTGAAGACGTCGAAGGCGAGCAGGACATAAGCCAGCGGATGACTCTTGTCTACATCATTGGATTCTTCACGGACGGTTGCGATTTCATATACTACGTTAAAGGCGGCGCAAACATGTAAGCATCAAGAGAGCCCTGGGGTCTGGCTCAACTCCTGCGTCGAGCGTTTACCATATTGAAGTATGCCCCTTTGGTCCAAAACCGTGCTGATTCGTACAAATCCATAGGTCTAGGTTTATGGCGGGTACGTTCTCCGGGAAACCCTACGATAGCCCCTGCTTTGCTACGCCGTGTACCGTCTTCAATGCCCAAGAGCTCTTCAACTCAGCCGGGCTAGACTCTATTCAGTTCGGGAGGGTGGACAAGAAGGAGACGAAGGGTCTGCGATGGAAATACTTGTACGAGTCGGCGGTGAAGGCGTGGGAGAAGCTGGAGTTCGATTACGACAAGCTGCAGGGCATCAAGACGAAGATTGACCCGGAGCGCCAGTGTCTTAGCTCATCATATGCAGAGGAAGGTGACCTCGAGAGTCCTGCTGGAGAGGAGCATGTTGAGGTACCAGCCTCGGAGCGACAGTCACCCTCAACGAATCCAACGACTCCGGCAAGCGGGGAGCCCGAGGCTCAAGGAAATGGTGATAAGGGAGATATGGAACAGTATGATGAGAGAATCGAGGAGAGCGATGTGGAGATGGATACTCCAGAGGGTGACGATGAAGAGGATGGCGCGCAACGGGACATTCTGGAAGGTGAAGACGACGAAGGCGACGCCCCGATGGACATATCCTGGGGGGAGAGTGCTTGAGATTATGGATTGTTGAAAAGAGTTGGCTCGGACTTTGGCTGACGAGTCCTCCTTCGGATTCATACTAGACGTCGTTGCTGTCGTCATTTGGTGGTGTCCCCGGCTATCCCGGCTCAGGTAACGCGGGACCCTGTTCTCACAGAATAGAGTGTATACAATAGATGCATCGAACTGCCGCCGGAAGGTCCAACATGCGGCATGCATCTACCCTTTGTAATGCTTCATCGCTGGAAACCAGGAAGTTCAACGCTCGGACCAAAACGGGCCAGCGATGACGTCGTGAGCAGGGGTTCCGGCATTGGCTTCGCGAGCAAGAGAGGCGATGCAGCAAAGCCGACGACGACGATGACGGCACGGCGTAGGGTAGAGGCGTAACTGTGTCCCTGCAGTCGTTCTCCAGCCTGCCAGCCTCGAGCGGACGTGCCGTGCTCGATCTCCAGTGCTTCGTCCTCTTGGCGGGTGCTTGCCAAAGCTTGTTCCTCGCTAGTGGCGGCGACCCTGTCTTGCGCTGATCCTTAGCGCTGCCTTGCTTTTGCGCAGCTCTGCGGGCCGCGTTATCCCCAGCCTCTCTACCCACGGCGCACGCTGCATGTTATGACAGACTTGACGTATTTGACCCATCTTTAATCGTAGTACCTTATTGCGGCCCCGGATTGTCCGCGCACTACAAGCGCCGGCTTCAACGCGCAATCAGCTCGGCGCCGGCCATCACTAGATCCAGCGCTCACGTACAGTAATGGCAGAAGAGAAGGACTCGAGGCAAGACCCCGTTGCGAATGGCGGCGCTACAAATGGCAATGCGCCCAAGATATCGGAGAAGAATGAGCGCGGCGCGCTGCCTCAGCCGCCAAAGCCGCAAAAGACCGGGACAGGCGGAAGCAAGAAGGGTCCGGCGGGCGGCTTCGACGATACTCCCTTACCGCACGCACCGCCAGGCTATACAATCAAGATTACCCTCCATCGCGCGACAAACCTCCCTCTCGCCGATATCAATACTCTTTCCGCCGATCCCTTCATCGTAGCCCAGCTCAAAACCTCCCTCCCGACGCGGCACAAAGAAGACCCTCCGCTGCAATTGCGCACTCCTACAAAGCGACAGACTACCGATCCGGTATGGAATACAGAGTGGGTAATTGCCAACGTGCCGGCGACGGGCTTCAATCTGAAGTGCCGGATATTCGACGAGGACCCCGCCGATCACGATGACCGTTTGGGCAATGCTCATGTTTTCGTAGATTACATAGACGAGAATTGGCCGGGCATAAAAGATGCGGCATATTCCATCAAGAAGCGCATGGGGAGCAAGAGGGCATATTTGCTGCGCGCGATTGCTGTCTGCTTTAACAAGGTTGAACACATGAACGGCTCCCTCTACGTGAGCGTGGAGCTACTGGGGAAGACGCCGACCGACAACGGCGGCCGCGTATACACAGTCGGCCCTCAATTCTGGATACGGCATTACTCGCCGCTTTTGGGACGACTATTGGGCCAGAAAGAGCCCAACGAGGGCGGGGTGTCGAAGAAGACGGGCAAGCCCAAGTCCGACAGATACAAGTAGGTTCTGTATTCAGTATAGAGCGGGTTATACTGATTAGTGCAGCTTCCAGTCAAACCAGATGCAGTTGCGCGGTCCCGTACCGGAAGCCATGTACCATCGCTACGTCGAGTTCAAGCCGTTTGTCAAGTCTATGTTCACAGCGAAAGGAGTCCGCGGCTTCATACTATCGAAGGCGCTGCACCATCAGCACGCGCGCGTATACAACTTTGACCGGGAAACCGTATACGAGGTAATCCAAGAGCCGTGCAAGGAGTTTACGCTCAAGTTCCTTGAATTAGTGCACTTCGACAAGGGAGGACGGATCTTCACCTACGTCCTAACATTGGACTCCCTCTTCCGATTCACAGAAACCGGCAAGGAGTTTGGCATCGACATGTTGTCCAAGCACACCATGCACAGCGATGTGGCCGCATATGTTGCCTTCTCAGGCGAATTTTTCATCCGGCGGTTGAAGCACCACCATCGCGATCCTCCTGAAGTGGGAGGCCACAACGAAAGCCATCCACCAGATGAGATCGCCGGCGGGCCTCCCAAAGAAGGGCCCAAAAACGACCCTTCATACTATGAACTAATAATCGACAATGACTCCGGGACCTACCGGCCAAACGCTAAGCTGCTCCCCGAGCTCAAAGTCTTCTTCGAAGCGAACTTCCCAGGTCTCAAGGTCGTGACGCTGGACTGCCAAGAGGACGCTGAGAAGATGGAGGCCATGAAGAAGGAGCAGCGCGAGCGCAAGAAAGCGGAGGGCGAGCAGATCATCTACACGCAGATCAGCAGAAGTAGCAGCATGAGCTCCTCCGATGTTGAAGAGCTTGACCGCATTGAGGCGGCTGGCGAGAGGCCTGAACCGCATCTTCGCCATCAGATCATGAGAGAGGCAAATGCGAGAGCAGACGCTGCAAAGCTACACATGAAGGAGTACAGACCGAGCCAGAATCGCGAGGGCTGGAGAGGGAGTAACCATCAGCCGAAGCAGGACGACGAGGCTGTGGCGAAGGCGAGAGCAGAGGCAGGACAGGCTGAACCTGGGGAAGCGTCGACTGCTGCTGCGAGCGAGCAGCCAAGGTAGCGACTTATTTCTATTCTAGTATCATGACTGGGTTCTCTTATATTTGCGTTGGATACAGTCGTTTTGGCGTCTTCAGTCTATACGCTCTGGGAGGAGGGAAGGACTTTGAGCTCGCTCACTATCCTGGAAAGATACCCGCTATTTCTTTGGTATTCACCACCTCGAGAACCGCTCCATTCCCGTTGTCCACATAGTTACGTACATCCATAATTGTAGTATCTGAATCTATCTTTCGAGCCGCTAATCCCCCAATCCCCCTTAAAACTCACTCATGATCCTCTCATCTCCCACCCTCTTCGTAAACCCCACCGTCCTCCTCTTAATCCTCCACACACCACTCGCCCCAGGCACACCCTCATAGTCACCGTCTTCCCCGACATCCATCAGCACTAGCTCATCCACATATCGCCCGTACGCCTGCAGCACCTTGCCCTCATGCGGGCCTTGCCCAAAGTGACTCCCGACGAAATACGTGACTGCGTTTGCAGTCCTAGGGTCGCTGCCGAAGACGATAGTTTGCGTGCTGAGGGCGTGGTGCGTGGCGATGGGGCCGAGTCTAGCGAGGGCTCTGGTTAGGGTGATGCGTGGAAGAGAGAAAAGCGAGAGGAGGAAAAAGAAGTTTAGGTGTTTGGGAGAGTAGTAGTACCTGTTACTGATAGCGTTTCTTACGGCGTCAATGCCTTTCATGTCCGGGTTGAATGGGTAATTGGCAACGACATCTGGCGTGAAGACTTTGGTGAAAAGATCCCACACTTTGGTGTCGAGCGCCTCGCAGTACCGCGCAATCGCATTCTGGATCGCGAGCTGATCTAGCGGGTTTACCGGTTTCGCCATTGGGAAGACTTGCTCTCCTTCCCTATTGAAGGTCAAAGGTTGGAGGTGCGGGGCGGCGCTTTATGTCTGCTGCTCGGAACCGGCATCGGAACCCCACATTGGGGATTCCGACGCGTGATGGCGTGAGTATGCAAGTGTGCTTTGTCTTCGGAGATCAGTTCAGAGATGCGGAGACATGCGCATTGGGCCAATCATTCAGATTAGAGATGCTGAGAATGCTCGTAGGCCTGTTCCCGAACACCAGACATGGGATGCTTAGTGATGCTAAAGGAGTGAAGAGGTGTTCCGAACTCGCACGCCCCTCGTAAGGAAGTCGCCATGATGTAATGTATTCATACCTTCGTCGTATATATACTACAGCTCTCAAGAGCTCAGCTAGCTCCAGGCGGTATATCCGTCCAACTCCCGTTGGGCCACCAAATACCCGCTTTGGTGAAATCGCTATACGTGACCCCTCCAAACGGTAGGTAGTTTATAAAGCCAAATCTGAAGTACTCTGGATGATCCATCGCATGTCTTGCCCACGTGAAATTATTATCGCCGTCCTTGTGAAAGCCTCTGAAGCGCTCAACGTCATTGACCAGAACGCTGACGCCTTCGTAACCACGTACTAGACCTTCCCATGCGAAGGTAACGTTCGTGCCGTTGATGATGGGTGGTAGGACGGAGACAAGGCCAGTGCCGAGCTGAGCGTCCCCCTGAAGCGCGACAGCGGTTTGCAAAATGGACGCGAAGCCCCAGCGTGCGACGCCATTAATAAAGAGGCCGACGAGTAGGCCCTGATATAAAAGGCTCGGGCGCGTCTGGAGGGCAGTCCCCTGGAGAAGAAGTAGCGCCAGGATGTAGTGATGGATACGGAGATTCAGGGATGGCATGGCGAGGAGGATGAGGAGCCCAATTCCCAGAGTAGCGTAGAGGGCTAGGTAGCGTAGCAGCCGACGTTCGTTCCTGAAGCACCAGGCTTGGTAGAGTGCGACACCAGTGAGAATAAGGACGATGAAGACTAGCGCCGTTATAGCTCCTGGCTGCTGATTGAGGTCATGGGGCGTGAGGCGTTGGATCGGTATTTTCTCAAATGTGACATTGCTGAGTGCGCCAACCCAGCAACCGCCTATCCATAGGACAGTCTTCTCGAATTGCGCTTTAACGCCTTTCAGTGTCTTCCGTATAGTGAAGCGGTATATCAATGCTGCCACGAAAGCGGCAGGGAGGAAGTTGCCGAGCGCGGTGGACGCTAGGGACGCGTAATCAGTGTATGAAGGAGGGTCGGAAGCCATGGCTATTTGGAAATAGACAATGACGAAAACAGGGCCAAAGAAGGTAGCGGGATGAGAAGTAAAGAGCGAGAAGATTGAGGTGAAGATGGTGGATAGAGTGAGGAGGTCCCACCGAGGATCGCGGCACTTCGCTGCATCGCTCATAACCGTATCGGACTGGTTGAAGTCGATGGATTGAGGGAAGCTTGAGTTGAACCCAACGCTTGTGATCCCGTTCTTGAAAGTGGAGCCGTAGCTCTCCTTCTCACCAACTAACGAGAGAACTCCACAGCCTCCCCGCGAATCTTTGAGTATGCCAGCGTGGATTGCAGCCCCGCATATAAAAGAGTCACCGCGATATACCGGCTCATTCGCCTCTGAGCCATCTGAAGCGCCGCCTACGACTAGCGAGCGGTATATGATTTGTTCTTCGCCGATCGTGTAGGGGTTTAGGACTTGGACACTTGCGCATTCAGCAGGGCAACTGAAAGCGAAGCTCGAATCGTCGAACGGAAGACAGTTCCTGCCATCAAGTCCGCAGCTCCGAGGATCTGGCCTGCGCACTGTCAGAATGTGTGTTGGTGAGGATGGAAGACTTCGGCTTACCAAAGTCTTGCGATGCATGACAGCCTGACGGGAGCGCCATAACCCCCAATATCTTTGGGAAGACCGTTTTTGCTAAGAAGAACTCCGAATGGAACAATCCAAATCACGAAAGCTAGTATGTAAAGACCGATTCGCGCGACCTTCGGAAGCCGGCCCAAAAGCCGCGTAGGGAACGTTTGGACCGGCTCAAGCAAGGGCTTGATGTGATATATCCTCGGAGGCTCAGGCCCTTTCATCCACCGCCCGAATGTCCGCGCACGACGGGTGACAGGCGCCGGCATCTTATCCTCCATCTTCCTCCACCAAACGGAACCGCGCCACCAGTCGCGGCTCGGTATGTCTTCATATTCTCCACTTGTGCGGGGATCTGGCGTTGGAGATTCCGAAGAATGCTTGCTTTGGTCGTCCGGTAAGGACTGGGAAGCGTCTTGCTCTATCCGATCGCCATTCTCGAGGTCGACCGCGGTCGCAGGATGTTTCGAACGAGGGCTGTTCGGCGCCATGCTCGCGACCAATTGGAAGTCGCGGGGGTCACTTGTGTTATTCAGGGAGCAGAATCATTGCGGCAGTGTCTAACCCGGATACTCGATGGCCAAGGAATCGATGTACTGTCAGACTGGAAGGCCTCATGGTTGCGTTATGTCTGACGACTCGAGATGCCGCGCGTGTGCGCCAAGGACCTCGGGATGCAGGGACGTGCGCTTAGCGTGCATGCGTGGTCCTGCAGGTACGATGCACTCTCTGAGCTCTCGTTGACACCCTTTCCCTTGCAATGCAAAATATTTACTGACAGACTGTACGACTAACCCAAGTCTATTGTGTTTGCAAGTTCAAGATGAACCTCCCTTTCGGCATTACGACCACACGCGGCCCTCTTGCCCCTATGTCGAACAATCCTCAACCACGACAATGCTAGGGTAGAGTCTGTCACTTAAGGCGCCGGTCCACATGTTCTTACTCATTGTATTAGAATCTATCGTGTATTCAAGAACAGCTTACATGTTACAATGACTACAGTATCCACAATCCCTCCCACAAGTACGTACGAATCGCATCGAATAGGCCTCGCTCGGCATCCCGCATTTCGGTATCCCCACCATCAAGGTCATCCTCTCTATTAGCCATGTTCCGATCATCGTCTTGTCCGCCGCCTTCACCGCTTTGATCATCTCGATCAGGCTCCCCAGGAGCCTCTGGGTAGCGATTGTGCTTATACTTCAATTCCGTGAGCAACCGCTCCCGGCCGACGTATGCGTTCACCGTTAGCTCCAAGAAGATGTTCAAACGCGCATGCGGGTGAAGATGGTCTATCCATGCCAACTTTACGTCTTCAATAAGACGGTCAGCAAGTGCGCTGGGGGTCAAGATCTCGTCTCTCGCTAGCCACAGCACCACCGATAGCCTCGAGTGCATGATCGTGGCCTCGGGTGTCAGTAGTAGCTTCAGCCATTCTGGATACTGCCCGTCCGCGAGCTCCACAGCTTTGGCAAGTTCGAGAACCCACTGCTTGTAAACACCACCTTTGCGTTCATGTGGCCTTTCCGGATATACCTCGTCCAGCGGATCGTCGTGCGTTTTGTTGAACTGTACAAACAGATAATCTATCTCCTGCATCTTGGGTCTTTGCAAGCGCATTGCAATGTTGACCATGAATCGTAAGAGTATTTCGGAAGGATGGTCCTGGATCCTCACTCGCTGCTCACTTGTCCACCTCCTGCAGTCCGTGATCAATCTCCGCGCATCAAGCGTATCGATACGCGCTTCCTCCTCGTCGAAGTCAATGCGTTGTCTGTGTCGCGCAGTGAGCGGCGGAATTGATGTATACCTGCAGATTGATTCGGTGCAGTAGGGGCAATTCCCTTGCCTGCTGGTTTCCATCCAGGACTTCAGGCAGGATAGACCGAAGACATGGCCGGCAGTGCATGGGAGGCGAACGGGCGGGTCATCAAGCTGTAGGTATGGGAGAGCGAAAGGGAGGTGTTGGAGCAAAGCGAAGGTATCTTCGTTAACCGTCTCCAGAAGTTGAATGTACACTTCCCGAAAGTAGGTCTTACATATCGGACAGGCCTCGTCCGCGGGAAGAGTGGAGGGCAGAATAGGTTGGAGGCTTGCAAGGAAGGCTTGATATACTGGGAGGGTTCTGGACATCTTGGGCGTTGCACTCGTGGTAGATAGACGTACGGAAAGCACTGGCAGTAGGTAAACCGACGATAGAAATGCAGGTTGACATACACCGCGTCAGCGGCCTGCCTAGATAGTTCGGAGCGTGAATTGATATTCACATTTTAAATTCATGTTCGAAGGAGGCGATTTGCTTCAAGAAATGCACGCCTCATCGAGGAGACACGCTCACCCTGCTTCTCGTGCTTCAATACCGACATCCATTCTGTGCACGCGTGACAAGCCCGCTGACTAGAAGTTCCCTTTCTAGAGGATGCGTAGTGGTGGTATTGACTGCTCTTGTAACAGAAATAATTATGAATGGAATAATTCTTCATGCGTGGAAATCCCAACGAGGTCTTCGCCGTCACCGAGAGAGAGGTGCAGAGTGGAAAAGGATAAAAGCCAAGGGGGCGGATGTATACATCGCCGATGAACAGCAGTAAAAGGAGACGCAAAACTCTAAGGAGAATGTTGAGCAGAGAAATGAAGCCTACGCGTCATTGTCGTGGTCCTGAAAATCATGGGGATCACCGGTGTAAAAAGCGGACCCTTCTGGCACCTATTCTTAGCACTACCAATCGGTCCCTTACATCTAGACTGTCAACAGCCGAGCCGAAGACTCGCCGCTGTGGAACGGGGCTATTTGTTTGCGCTTCGTTGCGCAGGCGACGTTACCGTGCGAGGAAGCCATCTGGCTACTTGAAGTCTGACTACGCAGCAGGAGGTTGGTGTGCAGGAAACGCACTGACAATGATGAGCAATCAACAAGCGATAAATTCTTACCGTGATAGCGACATATGACGCAAGGTGGCTATTTCTCGCCAAAAAAAGGAGGCGAAGTGCTTCGTGGTATTTTGTGGCGGTGGTAAAAGGTGGCTGGGGCGCGGCTCCGCCCAGCCACCCACGCCTTCGGCCGGCCGACACCGACGTTGACGTGCATGTGGTTGGCCTGACAGCAGCCTCCTCCCGGCCACACGAAGCTCCACACCTGCAGCCATCTCAGTTCGGTCGGTTCGGAGAATACTACGACTGGCTGGACGCCCGATGATGGGTGGGCCTCAGGGGTCGCCGTGTGGGCCTAGTTTGTCGCATGAAAGCTTACACGCCATGGCAACAAGGGAGGGGGCTGGATGTGTTTGCGTACACTGCAGTGGTGGGTTCTAGAGGCCTGGGAGTGGTGGCGTGCGATATAAGAGGGAAGTGGAAGGTAGGACAGGCATCTCATCTCATCTTCCCACTCCCAAGCAAAGCTAGAAGTCGAAATCGTTCCTCCGAGCAAGTCACTTTCATTCAAGTTCTTCATCAATCCTCAATCCTATCCAAAGTCCACTCGTCCTCAATCCAAACTACCACCTCGACAAACATAAAAATGCAGTTCTCCGTCGTCTCCATCGTTGCCGCTCTCGCTGCTGTCTCATCGGCCTCCTACCTCCCATCCAACGGAACCGCCATCTACCCGACCGGCACTGCTGCTCCCACGGGCTCCATGTCGCCCACTCCTTCAAACACCATCCCCTTCACTGGTGCCGCTCCTGTAGCTACAGGCGCTGGCTCTGCGATGGCTCTCCTTGTCGCTGCTGGAGGCGCTGCTTTGGTAAGTTTGCTCACTTTCTCGTCATGATGGTGGAGCACTTTGCTAACGAGCTGTAGATGATCTAAGCAACCGCATCACGGCTTCTTTTTACCTTCATCTCGAGCGACTTATACAGATATGGATATTCGACTTCCATCATGGACTCTGGCGCTTTTAGCTAGACTCTGGCGCATCAACATCGCCTTGTGAGGTTCGGGAACTGCATTTGCCGGCGCATTCATCTGGGCTCAGCTTCGGATAGACTTGGATACAGTAATGCATGATCGTGACCCTGACTGGTCGACGACAGTACGAGAAGGAAGGCATGTAGATAGATGATGCCCATGGAGGCATATAAATAGATATTTAATACTCTCCCAAGTCCGTATTTCTTCGATCGTGCAGTTCGGCGCTTCCACATGACGTGTCGCGGGTATGAACTGGAGATTGTGATGATGGAGTAAAAAACAAAAGCCTCAAAGGGGTGACACTCTTCTTGAACGTGTTTTTGGATATTTTCGCTCGGAGAACGAAAGTCGCGCAGTGTCCTCAATCTTGCGGTCCAATGGTTCAGCACGCACACGTTCTTTCTGGGGTTTATCGATAAGCGAGCGCGACGCGACTTCCTCGCGTCGCACCGCTTTCCGACCAGCATTCAAACTTCATTACTCACGCCACGACCACACCTCTTCTCCGCATTTGTCAAAGTAATCAAGATGGTACTGACAGATGGTGACGTGCTCAGAGGCGAGCCCTTGTAAGTTGCCTCATCTCGCATCTGCACTATGCTTCTAACAATCTCTCAGCGAAGACCCCGCGTACCTCCCCTCTCGAAATGCCTCCGCCTACAGACCTCTCCATACATTCGAGCTTCCGAAAGGTGTTGAAAAGCACTACCAACAGCAATATGCGGACATGTACTTCCTGCGGTTAGCCCAATTGAAGAAATTCGTCAGACAAAATGCGAAGGACGCTTGGGAGGATTTCGAGGTACGGCAACACGCACACAATAGCACAGGCGCGAATACGTGCCTCTATAGAGATCAGTGTATACTGACATGAGCACAAGCTAGGAGAGGAGAAAGCAAAATATGTCGAACGAGTGCTGGATGTGCGGCAAGGAGAACTTTGCTGGGTCGTGGGCACTGTCTACATGGAGATGAACCTGAAGCCCAACGTTCTGGATGACATTTCCAAAGAGGTATATCCTCCTCCTTCCACTGATTCTTCTACGACTCCAAGCTCACGCAATTGCTAGCACTGGATAGCCGCCCCTCCGCCCCGCGAAACCTACGTGAGCACCTCCGGCCGGGACGACATGATGCTCGAAGACGAATCCGGCCGTCTCCGCGTGACAGGCGACTCCCTAAACACACACTATGTAACAGGCTGCGTACTCGCAGCGCTCGGGACCGAACAAGCAGACGGCTCTTTCCAAGTGATCGCAACGCAATACGCTGACTTGCCACGCCAACCGCAGCGTTGGGAGCGCGAAGACTCCGAGCTCACGGTGGCGAAGAAGCCGAAACCCAAGCGAGAAAAGGCAGGAAAAGTAGCTATAGTCTCAGGTTTAGAGATGACAGGCAAAGAAGACGACGACCTCACGCTCGACCTCCTCCTCGAATACCTCACGGGCGAAGCAACCGGCCCGCCAGATCAATCCTCCGTTGCCAAAATAACCCGCCTCATCATCGCCGGAAACTCCCTCTCGCACGCCTCCCCCATCCTTTCAAGGGAAGACTTCACTGCCAAAAAGGGCGGATTAAAGAAACACTATGGCTACGACTCTACCTCCTACAATGCTTCTCCCGCCGAAAAACTCGACTCCTTCCTCTCAGAACTCCTCCCAACCGTACCCGTTACTATATTACCAGGCACCTCCGACCCCGCCAACGTTGCCCTCCCACAACAGCCCCTCCACCCCGCTCTCTTCCCCCTCAGCCGCCCATACGCCAACCCCCCCGCGCAATCTAACGAAACGCTGTCGGGTCTCGACTCCGTCACAAACCCCTGGGAAGGCGACATTGAAGGCTGGCGCGTCCTCGGCACCAGCGGCCAAACCGTCGACGACCTGCTGAAGTACGTAGATGGCGTCGAACCGCTCGAAGTCATGGAGATGATGCTACGATGGCGGTGTATTGCGCCGACGGCACCTGACACGTTGTGGTGTTATCCGTTCCAGGACGACGACCCCTTGGTGGTGCAGGACTGCCCGCATGTGTATTTCGCGGGGAGTATGAGGAAGTTTGAGAAGAGAGTTATAGACGGGCCGGCGGGGCAGAGAGTGTTGCTTGTTTGTGTGCCAAGATTTAGGGAGAGTAGGCAGGTTGTGCTGGTGGATATGGAGAGTATGGATGTGGAGTTGGTAGAGGTGGGTGTTGTGCAGCCGGGTTCGTAGGGCCTAGGTGTTGCAAGCAAAGACAAATTTGAAGGGAAGAACCAAATAGGAAGCATGAATTTGCTGTATGATACCCGTTTCTGTTGGCGAAGATGGAGGCATAGCACGGCTGGCATGAGAAGGAATAGTTCAGAGTATCCAGAATCGAAGTCTTGTCGACTCGGAAGTGTGCTGCCATCTTGCCCGTATCCCGGACTATCTGCTAAAGCTACAAGTACCTGTTATACACTTAGACATAGAGAAAGGCCCCCCGTCGGACAATACAATCAGTACCCAGTACCCGCTTTTGGGAAACATCCACCACCCATAAGCTAAACAGAACAATTATCCATAAATCTCACCAACCAACATGAATGAGGGAAACGCATACTCCCACCCAACGCCTTCACACCGCCAGCACGTAGCTTAGCCCATACTACTCAATGGTGGCAGAGTGTGTGGATCATATGTTCTCTCCTCGTCCTCATCCTCGTCGCTATCCACGTCATCCCTCCTCTCCAACGCATCCTCCACATCCTGCATCTCCTCATCCTCATCCGCGTACTCCTCTTCGGCAATCGGCGCCGCCGACCCATTCGGTCCTCCATTCGCATTCTCCAGCCGGGAACCCTTCGGCTTCCCCGTCCTCGCAGCCGACTTCCCACCATCCCAGCGCTCCATGCGCCGCAGCGCCCGATTTAGCAACTTAGCGCGATAGTACGCTTCCTCGCCATGGTCGTCGATCTCGCCGCCGAAGTCGATCGGAATAAGGCCCGCAGGAATCGGGGGCGGAGTTTTAGTTCCGACTTCGATGTCTTGCTGGTGCAGGGCCTGCGTGTTGCTTTCCTCGTCCGTGTCGTAGCCGTCTTGCATGCCCTTGCAGCGGATCCAGGCGCGCACAAAGGAGCCTTCTTTGCGGCGGCGTTTAGCGGCGCGCTTGTATTCGACGCGGAGGCCGCGGTCGAGGATGACTTCTACACGACGCCGGCGGTACTGCTCGACTGCTAGTTGGTGTTGGGTTAGTGGGCGGGTGCGTTTGTGTGATGGGTCGGAGCCGTTGAGGGGGAGGTAGAAGCCGTGGGGTCCGGAGAAGGTTTGTGCGTTGGTGGAGGGAGATTGGCCGTCTTGAGAGTTTGCTTGGTCGAGCTTGGATTTGAAGCTTCGCGCGCCTCCAGTGCGGTTGCGAGACCAGTTACCTCGACCAGGGCCCTTAGGTGCGGGTGATGAAGCTGGTCCATCTTCGTTGAGGAGCGTATTGATGCGCATATTAGGGGTGGCTTTCTTGCCCGTGTTGTACACGCTGCCTGGTGGGGATGCTGAGCGCGTTCGGTCAGTATCTGAAGGATAATCACGTTCGATGATGGATTTCGCCAATTTGCCTCTACCTCGAGCAGAGCCTATATATGAATTAGATAAATTACCGGAGCAATTGCCAAGGAATTGATCTTACCATGCGAGGGAGACTGTCGTTCCCGTCCAGGCGTGGAGGCACCGTCGTCTGCCAATACCGAGAAGACGGGGTTTTGATTGAATGCTATCCCAGTGTTAGCAAAACCGGCGCGGGAAGGCGAGAAGCGAAACAGTGTAGGATTTGGGAACACGTTGTAACTGTGAACCATGCCACTAGGGGCAAGGGAGCTGAAGGAGACGGAGTACGCGGAGACGATGATCGAAGAGACTCGTCCCTTTTGCTGTGTTTTCTCCGCGTCTCAGAATTAGACCAAACTCCCTACGGAGCCACTCACCCTTCTTGTTTGTGCGCTTAGGCCCGGTCACCACAGGGGCCATGTCACTTGCCAGAATAGCTGCGAGGGAGTTAGCAGAAGCCCTTAAGCTCCCAGTGAGTTCCCATACCTATCCGCTCCTTGCGCTTGATCTCTCCGAAGTTCTTCTCGTCAACCGTATCCACATTTTCTAGCGCCTCCATCTCAGGCGTCAGAAAGTCGAAAGCCGGGCACTTGATCGGCATGCCTGCAGTCGCAGCTTCATCAGGCGGTCCATACTGCCCCGGTCCGAAGGGATTCTCCAGTGCAGCTTCCTTCGAGAAGTCGCTTTCCAGGTACCACCACATCAGCCAGAGGAATGCGGTCGCCCTACTCCTGCTGCTCAGGTTCGCCCGCATGACGAGGTCGAAGAAGTCGCGCGGAGGGAAGAAGTGCAGCTCCGAGACCTTGGGAGCATATTGCGAGAGGACGAAGATGAGGTTGACGGGGTTCGTTCGGGGGACCGGCTTGTCTTTGATGTCTTCGATTGTGCTTGGCTGCTCCGTATCCTCTGTAGCTCCCTTGAGTATTGACTTTAGTCGCGGGGCGTCTTGGAGCTGCTTGTAGGCGTTCGGGTCTTGGTGCGCTTGGAGGGAGGGGATGGAGTGGTATGTTCGAAGCTGCGCGCGCATTTCCGGAAAGACTGCAGAAGAGTTAGAAAGAGACCAATCGACGAGGCAGATGTCTCTCACAGTTGAGCGTGGTGTTCATCCGCCCCACGTTGACCAGCAGACACACCATTGCCATGTTGATGGCGGCCGGGCGCTCCGTCAATAGCTTATCCTTGAGAATCTTGCTGCACTTGCTGCTCCTCGCCATAGCATCAAGATATATATCCGCAAATGTATGGCCCTTCGAGCCGTCCACCTTTGTGAAGACCCTCTTCTCGTCTTCGAATACGAACTTGAGGAAGTCATACTGGATATCCTTGCGCCAGAGCGGAATCCCATCATCCTTCTTCAGATGCCTAATCTTGTTCCCAGAGTACACGGATGACACACTGCCATTTGCATTCCTTCGAATTGTCGCCGCATTCGCCGTGTAAAAGTACGGTCGCTCGGGCTTGGTGCTGTCGGGGGCGTCGTCGCGCGGAGCTTCGCTCTCGTCGGGACCGGGCGTGTTCGCCTGCGACGTCGACGTCTTTGCATCGTCCATGGCGGGCTCAGCGGCGAGAATGTGTCGCAGGCTGTTCCTAGAGTCGGGCTCGTCGGTGCGCGGAGGAGCTGCCGCTGATGAGGTCGTGTTCGCATCCATGCTGAGCTCGGCCGCTGCCCTGTGTAAGGTTTCGGAAGGCGCAAGGATGCTATCGGACCGTGGAGTCTGAAAGGCACATGAACACTCGATGCAGAGAGAAGTGAGCGCGCAGGCGAACGCCAGAAGACGCACTAACACCCTTCCATAAGCGACCGCCCAACATTGAAGCTATCATCCATCCAGTCTCGGCACGGGGTACGGAATAACGTATAGCCGGATGAGGTTCTAGATTGGCTATCACGATCCGCACATGCAGGGGTCCGCTTCAGCCCCGACTTCTGCCCAGGTGGCCTCAAATCGGGGGTCAGGTGCTTGCCAGCCGCCATTGCACGCAAATGCGCGGCCGCGCTTGTTCTCAGTTCTAGATAGACTAAGGGCGACATGGGCATCTCACGGTGCGGGATTTTCCGGATATAACGACATGCGTAACAGCTACCTTGGAGGCCTTCGCAGGGCCATACAACTGTCTCTTCTTCCGTCACTTGCGCCGTGAATAGGAACGGGAAGGCTAGTGAGAACGTCACAAATCATGGGCAGGAATGGTTGAGAAACCACTCGCATTCATGGAGCCGCATAGTGCGCCCATGCAAACTAGTCTATGAACTAAACTATCCCATTCGGATATTGCTTTTTGTGATTCCCTCACCCATGTCATCTGAGGGTCAGCTAGATGCAAACCAGAGCTTTCCACCGCGAGCTGGCCTATGCAGCCATGACCGTTACCGAAATCTGGGTATTTCCTTCGCCAGGCCCTCGAGGAGGGCTCATTAGAGAAGCGTAACCCTCGTAAACGCCATCTATGTGCGATAAACCAGCAAACTTTTCCGTCGTCCAAAAAGATCCACGCTGTGACTCTCTCCGAATTGAGACAGACGACGAAAAAGACGAGCTCGCCGAGGGGTATGACAAGGGAAAAGGGATCGCTTTTAGAGTAAATGAAAACAAGTCGGCATCGAAGGCCGGAAAAACGAGATCTATTTGAAGGCCCCCAAGCAGCATGGAGCAGGAAGAACGAAGGCATGAAGTGTTCGTAATGCGTTCCCTTCCTGGTAGAGCCCGGCGCCTTTGTCGTCTATAGATCGAGCTCGACGTGAGTTCGACGATCATGCGCCGGAAATGCTGGGAATGCAGCAGAGCTCGAAATGACGCTTGGCCGCAAAGAAACTGTTGCCGTCTATATGCTGATTGGGGTATGAGATTCCGGACTTCCGCATCGTTGACCGGATATGGATCGCAGGAAACCACGAAGGAAAAGTGCTGAATAAAGAAACCGAAGCCGCCATGGATGCGACACAATAGCCCAGGGTATTGGAAAGGAGGGAATTAGGTCCTGGGTATCGCTAAGTCGAATGCTGAAGGGATGGCGTTTACCACCACGAGTTGCCGGCAGGGCCGGAGGGGTTGCCGTAGCCTCCCCCAAAGCCACCACCACCGTAGCCGCCGCTAGGAGGTCCGTATCCACCTGGAGGTGGGTAACCTCCGTAGCCACCCTGTGAAGCGCCACCGCCCCAACCTCCACCGAAGCCAGCGCCGCCTCCGCCGCCTGCGCCACCGCCTCCGCCTCCATAGCGACGGACATCGCGAGTAGCAGTAGTACCACGGCCACGACCACGACCGCCACCGCCGCGACCACCGCCGAAGCCGGAGCCTTCGCGGGCGATGCTCTCTAAGAAGGAAGGAACCTCCTGGTTGGCTTCCTTCAGGAGATCAATGAGGTCGCGGACGACACCCCGGTTGCCGCGGTTGAAGAAAGCGGTGGCCATGCCTGTGTTTCCGGCACGCCCGGTCCGGCCGATGCGGTGGACATAGTCGTCGATATCGGTCGGGAGGTCGTAGTTCACGACGTGCTGGACATTCGATATGTCAAGTCCTTTATAGGCAGGTTAGCATCTTATGCATGGATACATGGATTTCGATTCGAAGGCTTACCTCGAGCGGCAACGGCAGTGGCGACAAGGATTGGACAACGTCCGGTACGGAACATCTCCAAGGCCTTCTCACGCTCGCGCTGAGTACGGTCCCCGTGAATCGAGGTAGCGGGGAATCCCTGATTGATAAGGAAATCGGAAAGAGAATCGGCCATGCGCTTCGTCTCAACGAAGATGAGAGTGAGACCCGCGCCGTGCGTATGCAAGATATCGAGAAGAACGGAACGCTTGTCGATGTCCTCGACGTACTCAACCTTCTGAGTAATGTTCTCAGAGGTGGAGCCAACGCGACCAACGGAAAGGAAGATATACTCCTTCAGGAAGTCGCGGGCGAGCATCTGAATGTCTCGCGGGAAGGTGGCAGAAAACATTAGAGTCTGACGCCCAGCGGTAGGGGGCATATCCTCGCCCTCAACGATGCGACGAATCTGCGGCTCGAAACCCATGTCCAGCATACGATCGGCCTCATCAAGAACGAGGTACTTGATGTTCTGGAGAGAAATGCGACCACGCTCAATCAAGTCGACCAAACGACCGGGAGTGGCGACGAGAAGATCGCAGCCGCGCTCGATCTGGCGAAGCTGAGAGCCAATATCGGCACCACCGTAGACAACGCAAGGTCGCACCCAGGAGCGATAGGCGAACTTGCGGGCCTCGTCGTAGATCTGGGACACCAGCTCGCGTGTGGGTGCCAGAATAAGAGAGGTGGGATAGGCCTTGCGCTGACGTCCATAGCCGTAGCCGCCAGCCTGTGCCGGTGGAGCAGCAGTCGGGCCATGCAGATAAGCCTGGGAGAGGATGGGGAACAAGAAACCACCGGTCTTGCCGGAACCTGTCTGGGCGCAGGCCATCAGGTCGCGGCCACCCATGACAATGGGAATGGAGTACTTCTGGACCGGGGTGGGGACCTTGTAGCCGGAGAGCTCGATATTGCCCAGGAGGTGGTCGTCAAGAGGTGGGTTCGTGAACTTCGTGACGGGCTCCGGGACCCCTTGGCCGGAGGCTTCGACGGGGATGTCGTCGTACTTCTCGAAGTTGATACCGGTGTGTTGCTTCGACGGGTCGTTGGGGACCCCGAAAAGCTCGCGCTCCAGACGCGGATTGGCGGGACCGGGGATGTGCTTACCGTCCCTCCACTGTCCATCGCCAGATCCACGTGCAGCGCCTCCGCCTGCACCTGGTTTTCCATAAGCATTTGGGTCGAATTTGCCCGGCGCGGCACCCCAGCCGCCTCCGGGTTGTTGAGGTGGGGGAGCGTCACTACCTCGAGGAGTGAAGTTGGGGGCGTTGGCCCAGTTGCCACCAGCATTGCCGTTCACGCGCTGCTGAGGAGGGCCACCATATGCTCGGCTGTGTGAAGTTAGAGACGCCGTTCCCTTCAATGGGGATGGTTTTACTGACGTGGGGCCCCAGGCGCTGCCGCCGAGACCGCCGCTACCGTTCATCATCGGCGCTGGGCCGTCCATGGCGGGCGGCGGACCGGGCTGCGACTGTCGGCCGCGCAGGTGAGGGGGAATGTACGCAGCACGCTCAGGCTGGAAGCCGCCGGGAGCGTGTTGCGAGTCGTGCAGAGAGAGACGACCCATGTCGAGTTGTTCAGCCATGTTGAAGGAGGGTGATGCTTTGGCTGCTGGGAGCGACGTGCGGATCGAAAAACAAGGACGAGTCGTAGATGACGGTTCTCTATAGTTCTCCGGCTAACTCGCGGTGAGCTGCAGAGAAATGTCGCCTTTCTAGGTGAAGATGAAAGTCGTAAAATCGCAGGCAGAAACGCGCCTGAAACTCTTCGTGACAGGAAAGGAGGAAGCGCCTCTTTTCCCAAAAACGACTGAAGAAATGAGAGTGAAGGCCAAAAGAAAGGACTTCACCGCTGCTGTGGTAGAGGAATTTTGAAGATGCACACAGGAGGGGGTTGATGTGTGGGAGGAGTGTTTGGAGGAGAAAAGGTTGAGGATCGGGGCGAAGAAAAAGACCTTCGCCTCCGCACTAGGCCGGATTAGTCATAGCCTTGAAATCATCCGCGTCCGGGCGGTGAGAGACTGGGGCGAGATTATTGTGCGGTGAGACATTTAGAATTCTCTGCGCGCAGCACGTCACTGGTCCGTCGTCAGCCCTCGTGCAGCGGATTTTGCGAAAGCCGCGGCAAGGTGCAGTTACATAATCATTTTACCACTCGCGGGTGTTCGCACGCACGGGGCTTCACGATAATCTACGGGTGCGAGATCTGTGCTACCGCGCTTTCGGTGCAGGGTACTCCTGTGAACGTGCTCCATTTGTAAGGCGGCTACGTCGCCATAGAAGTTACGCCATGCTTTTCTCCTTGAGTCTATCTGAGCCGTGGCCTCCGCGAGAACGAAGAAAAATTGCGCAGACGCCAACGATGATGCCGAAAAAGAACAACTTCTGCCCCCAGGAAAGACCATCGTCGATTTGTACTGGAATGGATGTTGGGATTTTCTCTGGCTCACTAGGAGGTTGTGCGACATCAGCAGAGTCGGAAAGTGATTGCTGGGAGGAAGTAACGTCGAGATCGTCGCCCTCTATGGCGGGCTCCGCTGAACCGTATTCATCTTGAAAGAAAAGAAAGTATCAGCGCCTCTCCAGCATTCATGCCACTCCACTGGCTTAGAGTTCAACGTGGATACCTTCTTCCGGCACGGGCAGCTCGCCGCTCTTCGCGATCTTGACCGTCTTCGCCGGCTTGTCGCCCGCTCCCTTGGGCACGTTCTCAATCTTCTCGACAATGTCGTAGCCCTCGAGTACTTCGCCGAAGACAACGTGGCGGCCATCGAGCCAGCTGGTAACGACGGTCGTGATGAAAAACTGACTGCCGTTCGTATCTTTTCCGGAATTTGCCATGCCTGGAACCGTCAGTTCAACGTAGCGTTCGTCGTAGATGCGGTGCACGTACTGAGAATCCCCTTCTTGGTATGCTTGAGCTTGAAGTTCTCGTCGGGGAACTTCTGGCCGTAGATGGACTTTCCACCAGTTCCGTCTCCGTTGGTGAAGTCTCCACCCTGGATCATGAACTGCTTGATGACACGATGGAAGGTGGAGCCCTCGTATCCGAAGCCCTTCTCGCCCGTAGCCAAAGCACTACATCATTGTAAGTTTGGAAAATCGGCAGGGGGTTTGTGTGTAGTACCGGAAGTTCTCAGCGGTCTGCGAAAGCTGTTAGCTCAACGTGGAGGGGGCTGAGGGACAATGAGCATACCTTGGGCACGGTCTTGCCGTACAGACCTATCACGATACGTCCCAGCTTCTCATCGCCGTGCTCGATATCAAAGTACACCTGTTCAAACCACAAATCAGCCCATCGCATCCCGACGAAGCGCAGAGCTACGTACCTTGTGGGTGACCTTCGGACCCTTCGCAGCCTCCGAGGACTGCGCAAAGAAGACAAAAGTGATCGTGAGGATCAGCAGAGCCGAAATGGCGATTCTCTGAAGAGAAAGCATGGCGTATGGTTGTCTTTGGTTTCAATTGGGGTGAGTGGGGTTTTATGCGGTAGCTGAGGCCTGGGGAAACAGAGGTGCTTCGGTGGCCGCTTCTGAAACGTGGTGGTTCGGCGTTTCCTTTCTCCGCGCCATCCCCGTTTCGCAACCACTGGTGCGGCTCAGGCAAAGTTACAGAACGTCTTCAGCAGCATCAAAACAACTTCTGCTTCACTCGGCGCAATGGTATGCAAGCAATTGGACCCCGAGTGAGAGTCGCCCTGATTGTTTCTAGGTGTTCATCTTCGGTATTAATTTCAACGAGGCGTCGCTCGTAAAGGTACGTTCACCTCCCGGTCCACCTCCGTTAGTCTAACAGCCGCGCAGCGCTCCCTCGAAAGCTTCTATGGCATCGGCCCCAAAGTGTCGCAGCGCATCATGGCGCGATTCCACATCCACCCCTGGGCGAAAGTCGGCACCCTGAAGAACACGACCGTCATGGACCTTACCGCTGAGCTATCCAACATGAAAATCGAGAACGACTTGCGGCGAGAGGTACAGGATAACATACGACGACTGAGGGATATGGGATCGTACCGTGGAAGGCGGCATGCTATGGGTCTGCCGGTGCGAGGCCAGAGGACAAGGACACAGGTAAGGATGTCGCTTTCCAGAGCATTTTGCTGGATGCTGACATGCCTAGATCACAACGGCGAGAAGATTGAACAAGATAGAACGAGGCGGAACAGGACGCATTCAAATGTAGAGCAGACGCTACGGTACCACTGTAAAATATTGTACAGCAAGCATGGAAATGGCGTCAATCTATCCGTCTCCGAGGAGCCATATCTTCTATCATGACATTGCGTGTGACATCTAGCGATGCCTGAGACTATGGTGCATTGACTAACAGCGGTATGTTGTGGTATCATTGACAAGGCACGCTCTATGAGTTGGTACAGACATGCATCAACATATCAGGCGCCATTTCTCAAGAGCCTTGCAGTCCTACTTGCACTTTGCGAAAGAGTACAGCTGTAGGAGGGGTTTGGAATCGTGGGGGAAGCCCTCAGAAAACTTTCGTTGGAAATTTTAACTGATATACGCAAAAGGAGGCGAAGGAGGCGCTTCACCACTCTGCGCATGTGCTTGGGGATGCCTGGGCTCCGACTTTATGGTCGCACCTGCTGGCTATACAGGACAGGATATCAGACGGCCTGATAAACGAGGTGCAGCGAAGCAGAAGCAGCTCCATCCAGTTACATCTTATCGTAATCATGACCTAAGACGAGTGGATACTACCCAAGCTGCAGCTTTCCGACCGTTAGCAAGCAATCCCCGGTACGCGTAGTATATCCACAAGGGCTTGGGTTACACGGTGTGGCCCCGGCGGAGCTGTCAGAACCTTGATCTAAGGTCTTGTTCGGACTTGTATCTCAGCTCCATTGGACGTGTAGCTCCAAGCGGATGAGGAAGAGAAAAAGGGTAACACAGGGCTGTCGTGGCGAAGACGTTCATCTTAAAATGTTTCCAAAGTTTCAACTTCGCTGCCTGTCGCCGGTATGATGGATTGGCGGAAGATCCGGGAATGCTGACGGCGAAATGATAGGCTCTGTCAACTGCCGTGACTGGAGTCAATGACAAGATTGTGGACTGGTTGAGTCAAATTGCGAGCGAGTCCCCATCTGAGAGAAGCGAACGGATACTGAAGAAACGCAAGAGAGGCCTCGGTCGCCGGGACTCTGTTCTATTCCTCGCTGCGTTTCCAATCGTGATTACTTTTCATCGTTACAAAGCTTTGACGTCGTCACGCCTAGACCCGTACGCATGCAGATGTGCGAGGCGTATGGCGCAATGAGGCGTTATTGAATCCAGCCTCTTAAACATCCCGTCGGTGTGCATCGGGAGGATTCAAAGTGGATCCAGAATTTCCGATAACAAAAACCAATCTGAAAGGCTTGCGAGAAGCCATCGGCGCCGCAGATGCCGCGTGGTGGTCGGTATCATTCCCGAACCGGTAGGTCCATGTGAATGCAATATGTACCTGCATTCGGACTCGCGAAGGCTATTCCAAGCGCGGAATCGAGCAGTCCCGCTCGGCGCGAAGAAACAAACTCAAGAATAGACAAGAATAGAGGAGATTTGAAATATGGATGTGTTGGAAAGGTGTTTGAGCGAGATGAAGGGAACCGGGAATGATTATGCGGGGATCCAGTAGAGCACAGTTCTGGCGAAAGTTTCGAGACGTGTTCAGATCGTCGCTTCCCCAGCTTTGCGGCCGCTAGAATCGCCACCTGCAGTTTGGATGCGCAATCCGTTGTCGTGACAGGACTTGGCAGCAATGCGCCCGGATGAATTGGCGCCGACGACCGGAAGAAGCGGAATGGCGTACGCTGGAGGTCGTCCTGAGGAGCACTGCATCGCGGGCCGCGCATACGATGGCGGTGCTCAGGGGCATTCGAGGAGGCAGAGCAGCCTTCTCCTGAGCGCTCTGCCGCAGTGAGCAGAACGAGTAAGTACTTTGGTAGACAGCATCGGCATGCAGCAACGTGCAGGTAGCACGCTGACGGTCGGCCGTTGCGTGCTAGCCTCGAGGGTACCGGCGGCTACGGCTACCTGCGTTACTCTGGGACGCATGAGGAGAGGGGTGTCTCAAGACGAACGTCTTCAACCACGGCAGCCGTCCCTGTTGCTGCTTATCAAGACGAACGGCGCGGCGAGGCAGCGGGGGCATCGTACGATTTTCTCGCGCCAGACGCCAGAGTTGTTTCTGAAATGCGATATCAAATCAGCCGTCTGTCGCAGCGGGCGCGCTGGGTGGTAGTACAGGCCGAGCGTAAAACACGAATTGTCAGGGCGCCAGGACGCTGTGGCGCGCCGCACAGTCCTCCCGTTCTGGCGTCTTTAAATTACCGCCCGCGGCTTCGTTCTGTTCGGCGCGACGAGAGTGGTCGAGCGTCGGCCTGGAGGTGCGCGCCGTGGGCACCCTGCAGGCGCGGGGTCTTCATCTCCCACATGCAGAAAAGCTTCGCTCTGAGGGCTGGCGAATGCTTGACTTTGGCAGCCATCAAACACCCCAGAGACAGCTCGGCGCGCGCCAATCAGCGCCCGGAAGCCTCTCCTTTTCGCTCACCGCTCGCCGCTCGCCGGCCGCCGGTCTGCGAGATGGGCAGGGAATGGTGTTCTGGCAAGAGACAGCAGTGTGTCGAAGAGCGCACGCGCGAGCCAGTGACACGCCCGCAACAGCGACCGCGGCGCTGCTGCTCCACTGCCGTCTGCGCTGCTCCACCAGCCGGAGACGGCCACGCGGGCGCGCTCGTATGCACGAGGTGTGGGCGGAGGACGTCGCTGGCGAGGGCTGCTGTCAGTCATCAAGGCCAGAGTCAGAAGAGACGCCATCAGCCTGCTAGCCCGCCCAATTGGGGGGCGCTGGAGAGCGGTTTGGCGCCCGCGCAGCGAGGACGGTGCCAGAGTCACGGCCAGACCGGTTTCAGCTTTGTGTGCGCGAGAGGCGGTTCACGCCTCCGCGCGCGGCCACAGAGGCCTCAGGAGGGTGGCATGCGGTGGTGTGGACAAAGCGAGCGCCTGGCCTTCAATTCGGCTCGATGCAGGAACCCTCGCTACCCTCACAGGCCCGGCAGGCGACTCGGCTGGAAGCAGCAGCGGCCGTTGAATGCTAATTTATCTCCCTGCGCATCCTCATACGAACCTTGCTCGCTGCGCGCGTGGGGCGCCGCGAATTGCAGCACTGGCTCCCTCCCACCCGATTGCTGATTGCTGATTGCTGATTGCGCTCCCTGGGGCTTTTCAATTCACTGCTCCTCGCTCGCCGCCCGTGTCTGGATGGAGCCCCGGCGCGCTGCACTCCCACAGTACTACTGCCCCGTCTGTCCGTCCGAGCAGTGCTGACCGTCTCCCGCCCGCGTTGGGGCCGCTGCACCGCAAATCAATTCACCCAGGAAATATTACGAAACGCCGCAGTTACAGTCTAACTGACGAGGGGGACCCAAGGCCATCCTTGTCCGGCGCACTAGGGCTGGTTTAAGCCAGCATTACAACCGAAGGTCATGCTTCAGCAAAATGGCCAACCCTCGGCGCACTCCCACAACACCATCGCGACCTCCACCTCGACCTTGACGCCCTCCTCCCCCCTCCGCCCCCTCCCGTCCTCGCCGTCTCTCGGTGAGAGCATCCGGACCCTGCGCGAGACGACGCGCCCGGACACGGTCCCTGCCTCACCGATTCACCCGCGCTCTGAACGGCGTCGACGGCCCAGTCCGCTCCAGTACTCGGGTCAGACCTCAGCTGCCAGCACCGGAGCCGCAGCCCATCAGACGCCGCGCTCACCTGCTTCCTCGGCGGCCTATCACGACGGCCCACGATCTCCGCGAGAGAAGCTTGATGCTCTGATTGCCGAGGAGGCCAACTCCAGATCAAACGCCGCGACGCCCACGCAGGCGAGCCCTCCTACACCGCCGACCATACCGGCAAGAGGCGGAAACCAGCCCGCAAAGCCGTCCTCGTATGCCCAGCTACGCAACGTCTCTGCCCCAGTCCTGTCGTCGACCGGCATCTCTCCTCCAGCATCGCCCGTCACCATGCCTCCCCCGTCCCGGCCGCACCGACCAGAAACCCGTCCCACAGCTCCCCGCAACCCGTCGATAGACTCTGCAGCGTCGTCGCTCTCGTCCGGTGCCTCGCAGTCATACCGTGGGAACACTGGCCATGGGCAGAGGCCGTCACAAGACACAAGCATGGCCAATCCGCCGGATATGGCAGCTCTCATGCTAGCCGCGGGCTCTCCAGAAGCTGCGCTGATGGCAATGTGGAGGGAGAAGCAGAGCGCGTCTCATCACAACGGCCAGCTCTGGCGGCTGGTAGAGAAACAGCGGTCCATGATTCTGGGCCTGCAAAAGGACCTGGAGCGAGCATTCAAGGACAAGGAGCGGTACCGGAAGAAACTAAAAGACTATACTAACCAGGTACCACCACTACCCGGTGCACCCCAGAGGTCCGACACCTTCGACTCTGTTGTGGAACGCGACGAGAGCCAGTCGCCGGCCCCAAGCGAGAAACAGGAGGATCCCGCCAAGGCGATCACAGCAACGAAACCCGCAGAGCACAAGCCTTGTTCGCCGCTTACACAAGAAACATCCGCGACTCAATTGATCCCGGATGCTCAATTGGCACATTCGCCATCCAACTCCTCAGCACACACCGCATCTAACCCTGCGTCTAGCGTAAACTCTCCGACGGACTACTCAGTAAAGCCGCTTAAGATAGTTAGCAAGGGTCTGGGACTGGATGCCGTCGTGAATGAAAATGCTCCCCACGTGGAACCACCGGCTGAGCCTATGGGGGCACGGCGGCCTCCGCAAAAGGACTCAGAGGCTCCAACCGCGTCATCCGAAGCGCTTAAGGCCCCCGCCTTATCTCTTACACAGGCAACACCAATACTTGGTGGCGATGGTTTCGAAGCGTCTTCAGCAAAGCCCGCCCACCCACTACGGAAAGCTCCTCCCGCGCCGCTCATATTATCTAAGCCCGCGAAGACTAGCGCCCATCTACTCCAGGCCGCACCCGGACAGCATGACGACTCGGACTACGATGACACGCTGGAAGTCGACGAGATTCCAATTGTCGAAAGAGGAAGACGAAAGACACGTGAAGAAGATGACCGTGTCAGAGAGGCTTTGGCAGTGAGGGACGACGAAGCACGGAGCAAGTCAAAGAAGAGCAAGAGCAAGAGCAAGAGCAACGTTAAGGCTGCGGATGACAGCAGCCAGACCGAGCCCTCAACAGCAGGTCTATCACCGCGTCAGTTCAGTCCGCTGCAAGCCGGACTGCCTCTTTCGCCCCGCCATCCTCCTGCGAACTCTCTGAATGCTCTTCTTAGCCCCACGAATTCGGACAGCTCCATGGTGGCCCAGAGAAGCATTGGATCTCCACCTTTGATGAGTCCCGGCTTGCCTACGAGTCCTCGTCCGGGAGACAGACCAATGAACTCGCCACTGCCAAGAAATCCGAAACAGTCGTTGGCTTCTCCGCCCATGTCCCCGAGATCTGGTGTCAACGGGATGCCCCAGCCAGCCTCGCGGGCCCCGCGACAGCCGATTCCTCTGCCGCCAAACACGCCGCAGTCGTATACCTCACCACCAGTCGCGCAACCCGTCCAGCCAAAGCAGCAAACTATTTCGTCGGATCTGCTGAAGCCGCCCAATGCTCAACCAAGTCCCGAAGCGGACACAGGTACTCTAGGATCAAGCGATCCGGCAGCTTCCGAGCATGTATATCGGGGGCTCGTGTCAGACCAGTATCCGGGACTCTTACTTCCTCCCAATGCGTTACCGTCCATCGAGGTCAAGGTGTCGTCTTCACGACTAAGACCGTCGCGCATGAGCTTTTTAGCTCCCAAGCCGCAAGAAGAGGATCCGGTTTTCCATCTCGCTGTCTATGCACGCTCTGATGGGAAGCAGTTGTGGCGTATGGAAAAGACTATTGTGGCACTGCCAGCTTTGGATGCTCAGTTGAAGTCATTATGTGACTTCCCTGGCAAGCTTCCTGATCGCGGACTTTTCAGTGGTCATGCACCTGCCAGAATCGATGCTAGGAGAGCTGCCCTCAACCAGTACTTCGACATCATGCTTGAGACGCCTATGAATGAGAAGGCTGCACTGGTTGTCTGCGAATTCTTTTCGACAGATGTCATTGGCGCGCAAAATGGCGATGCTCTCACGCCCGAACCGACCGCACCACAGGCTTCAGCCATACCAAAGGGCAAGCAGCGGAAAGAGGGCTATTTGACAAAACGTGGCAAGAACTTCGGTGGCTGGAAGGCGCGCTATTTCATTCTTGACGGTCCGGAGTTCAGATACTACGAAATTGCAGGTGGCGCCCACCTCGGAACGATTAAGTTGCAGAACGCTCAAATCGGAAAACAATCTCAACAACAGTCGAATCAATCCCCTCAGCGCAGAGATGATTCCGAGGACAATCAGTACAGACATGCTTTCCTCATTCTGGAGCCAAAGCGGAAGGACTCGTCAAGCTTGGTGCGCCATGTGCTGTGCGCTGAGAGTGACGAGGAGCGAGATGCCTGGGTGGACGCTCTACTACAGCATGTCGATTGGCAAGAAGAGTCTTCCCCAGTGGAGTCCCAGGCATCTGGCTCGACTCGTAGCGGTGTTCTCACGAAGAACCAGCCCAAAGACTCGTCGCGTACAAGGAGAAAGGACAGTCCCGATATTGACAAGCCGGATCGTTTGCAAGGATTGAGCTATGACGATACTGTAGCTGCTGAAGCGCCCATACGCGGGCCAACTCATCGGGAGGCCAAGGAAGCTCAACATTCGCCTAAAATCGGGTCCTTCTCCAGCGAGAGCTCCAGACATTATCCTTCAATTTCCGGTCCTAGCAACGGCGCTCCTATCCAGGACGCTGGAAGCTGGGGCAATAAGACGCTGGCCGCTCCAATGACTGTGAAAGATAAGAAGCGCAGCATTTTCGGTTTTGGTTCTCGCGGACGTGGTTCCTCTGACATCCCGCCTGAGCAGATTCTTGTCCAGCACCAGGTTGTAGAGCGTATGATCCAGCACAATCGCAACATCTTCGGCATTCCTCTGGCCGAAGCCGTGGAATTTACTCAACCCGTTGGTGTGCGAGACCCGCTGCCCGCTGTGGTCTATCGCTGCTTGGAGTATCTTAAGGCGAAGAAGGCCATCAACGAGGAAGGAATATTCCGGCTGAGCGGTTCCAACATCGTCATCAAGGCTCTTAGGGAGCGCTTCAACACCGAAGGTGACGTCAAGCTCTTGGATGGCCAGTATTACGATGTGCATGCCGTTGCGTCTCTCTTGAAGTTGTACCTGCGCGAACTCCCGGCGTCCATCCTCACTAGGGAGCTCCATCTTGACTTCCTCAAAGTTCTTGGTAAGGTCTCTGCTAGCGTAAAAATAGTAGTTTACTAACGGCATCTCTAGACATGGACGAACGTTCGAAGAAGATTCAGTCATTCAACGTCCTGGTGCACAAGCTGCCACGAGTGAATTTTGAGCTCCTCCGGCACATGTCCTCATTCCTGATTGAGATCATCGACAACGCTGCCATGAACAAGATGACCGTAAGGAACGTTGGAATTGTTTTCGCTCCCACGCTGAACATCCCTGCGCCCTTGATATCCTTCTTTTTAACCGACTATCAAGACATCTTTGGTGCGCCCATTGACGAAGCGAGCTCGCCAATCCACGAAATTCGCGTAACCACTCCTCAGCAGGGAGATGAGATAAGATCACCGCGACACCAGATGTTCTCGGACATCCCAACTCCTGCCTACAATGAAACGTCCTTCCCGCAACAGCAGCAGCAGTACGATCGACCGCCTTCTAGTTTTCCTATAGGTCCTAGCGCTACAGCCGCTCCTTCATACCCTCCACCGCAACCACCGCAGCAGCAGCAGCAGCAGCAGCAGCAACAGTATGCCAGCTATGACACGGGCTTTATCCCACTGCGGCCCAGCTATGAAGCCCCTGCCTACGAACAACAGTATCAGTCCGAAGGCTTCGGTAGCTTGAACGGCGCTGTGCAATCCGGTAGCGCAAGAGAGCAAAGGCAAAGGCGACGAGAGAGCGGAATGCTTTTGATGGGTATGGGCATGGGTCAGAGGAAAGGCTCCAACGGTTCCAACCCGCCGCGACACCGCGATGACTTCCACGGCAATCCTCTGATGATCCGAGAGGAGGCGGCTTTCGACTGAGTTCTCACCTCAACGAACGATGATCCATACGAGTCGACCAGAGGCAGTCATGACGGAGTAGCAGGGCAAGCGACACACCGTACCTCCACGGAAGACGCTCTTCTCTTATACCACGCAACCAGGGCTTGCGGTCTCATCCGCTCCGGCTGACGATCTATTTATATCTCCTTAATTTTTGATTCTAATTTACACGACCCAGGACTGGATCTATGGGCTCTTAGACGATTATTTCTCCCATGTACAGAGTAATACCAACAGCGAACGTACGGCAAATACGGCGCTGCTCATTCCCGGCGTTTGGGGGGCCAATCATATCAGCAGAGAGGTACGAAGGGCCTCTTGCCTGGTATTCCGTTTTGGTTCATTTCTGCATACCTGGCTCCGTTTTGGTCTTGCTTGGTCTAAGGCAAGGCTTCGGCGCATCGGTTTTATACCTTGTTTTTCGTCGTACTTTCCGCTCGCTGAGATTCCCCTCCATGTTTGCAGCTTTTGGCTTGCAGCTATTGATATGTGTAGCGGAGCAGCTTTGGCGCTCGCAGTTGGACATGGGAGGATTGGGTATGCCTGTGCTATGGATGGGTTGGGCAGGATGTGATGCATGTACGAAAGAGAAGTGGATAGGCGGAATATAATTGCATTTCACTTTGCATACAAATTTCTCTCGATAGGATGTTCCGCCTCCTCCTAACACGCTCGTACTTCGTGATCATGCCTTTGTAGAGAGAAATGTGGGCAGGGCTTAGGCAGGGATTGGTCGAAATTAGGAGGATTATAATTTCCGGCGAGCTGTAAGTGGTTACTCTTCGCCCTTTTTGTTAACGACTGTCAATTTGACTCCATGAGCCCCTTTCGACTGCGTCACTTGGCTGAGACTCGCATTGAGAGTGAAGGCCTTACTCCTGGATCAGAGCAAGATGTGCGTGCGAAGCGGCGTCAAACGAGCTATCTTCGCCAACTATCTCAATGAAAATATCACACGATCTTCAGCTAAAGCCCCGATTCCCCTCCTCACAGCCCTATCACCGTCCACCAGCGAATCGGCTCCTCGTGCTTCGGCCACACAAAATGCTTAACCAAGGCTCCCTATCGCGGAATCACTCCACTCGCTTAATCCGTACCACAAACAGCCACTTCGCACCATCTCATCTCCACACGGAAACTTCCCCAAGATGCATGGCGCAGATCACAACACCCAAAGCTCCCGCAGCTATCCCGGCACAGCTGAGGAAAGGCGCAGATGTGGGGTCATAGCACCGAGCATGTGATTGGGGAATGGCGGGCTCGGCGTCTGCGGATTCGCGGATGTGACTGGGGAAGACGTGTGGATACGAGCTCAGCGTCAGCGACAAGGCAGCAAAGCATGGTAGGTGATAAGATGGAGAGGTATTTGGCCGTTTGCAGTATCGCATCGGTGGTGTGAGTATTAAACCCCCGCCTCGCTGTTCTACGAGGCTCGACGTTTCTTTGTTGGAGCTTCTTGAGTGCGCGTACACTCCCACCTACTGTCCTCGGAGCTCTTTCCTCTCATCTCACTTCCATCAAAAGCACCAGTCTTCCAACCAGCCTGGAGATTTCACACACACTTCCTCCACAATCTTCAATTCCATCCAATCACCCACAACCCCAACACCCTGCCCTTCCTTCCACAGCATAGCTAGACAGCAGCATGGCTTCCGGCGGAGGACCAATCGACCAAAACGATCTCCACGACTGGAAGGAGCGGCTGAACAAGAGCATCGAGACGAAAGCCTGGCACTCCTCGACAAAGGGCGGGACCGCCAGACCATGGAGTCACAGTTTCTTTGGCTGCTTTTCGCCGCCCAGTCTTTGTAAGTGCAGTACATCGTAGCATCAACTGGCTTCTAGCATTGAGCGGATTGAAACTGACGCGTGTTTTGTGCAGGCTGCCTAACATGCTGCCTCCCCTGCGTAACCTTCGGCAAGACGCATCACCGCCTCCGTAAGAATGGGGATATGCAAGGCTACGAACCGATTAATACTTCTGTGCGTCTGCCTTCTTCCCTCTCCTAACCTCCCCCGCTCCATCATCTCCCTTCATGTCCCTCCATTCGAATAAGCTCACTAACCCAACACTCCCACCCACAGTGCCTCCTCTTCTTCCTCACGAGCTACTGCGGCATCCCCTTCATCCTCAACGCCATGCAACAGCAAGACCTGCGCGAAAAGTACAACCTCGAGGGCTCCTGCACCGAAGACCTGCTCAAGAGCTACTGCTGCCTGTGCTGCTCGCTCGTGCAGGCCGAGAAGGAGAGCAAGGATAGAGAGGTTGAGGCTAGGCCCGTGGTGAACCAGCAGTATACGGGAGAGGCTATGGTGATGCAGCAGGGTCAGCAGGGTCAGCAGGGTCAGCAGGGGCCGCAGGTCTGAGGCGCGGTCAGGGGTGAGATTATGCGACACGAGTGCAGATGAGGAGGCGCTGGTATGGGATCGGATGGTTGAGAGGGGGACATAGTGGGGGATGTTGTGGATGTGGGTGTTATGGAAGCAGACGGACGTAATTATCCCTTTTGTATCCTTGGTGGGGGACTGCGACATTCGACAGCGATACCCTAATTTGACACTCCTAGTTCTTTCGTTCACTACCTCCGCCCTGCTACGCAAGCGTGCTGTATCCAACATAAGAGTCAAACGAGCCAGTTCTCCTCAACGCACAACCCACCTTAATACTCGAAAGGAGCGGGAAGTCACATCGATGCACGCAAGAGGACGCCGAATGCACGAACATCTGCAAAGTATCAAGTTGATACCCAATACTATCATTAGCAATGATGACCACCCCTATATCCCTATCCAGGGCACCCAACCGACCTATGTCCGCCTCAAAAGCAAGAGATGCATCCTGGAGGCATTCGCGAGTGCGTACAATAGCATGTATAGTCAGTTATCCAAGCAATTTAATCTGTACGGCGAACCAGTAGATCCCGAGAATTTCCTACCGCCTGAGCCACGCTTCTAAGCGACAGAGCACGCGGCGCCATTTGTCGCCCTGCCCTCATCCTCGCTGCTACTCGAACTGGAGCTCTCGTCTTCACTCTCGCTCTCGCTCTGACCAAACGGTGCCGCCTTCCTATTCGGTTCCTTCGTAAGCCTACCCAAACTCGACGTCCTAGGGTCGAACCTCTTATATGCTTGGGCAGACGGCGGGGTCGCGCGAGCGGAACTGAGCTGCTGCCGGATGCTAGGGAACTTGGAATGTGTAGTGCGGCGGGCGGCCGCGAGCTGGGAGACGGATTGAGAGGACGCGAAGGATCTCGTAGTAGTGGTGGCGGCTGGCCGGGGCGCGGTTGGTGTCTTAACTGATGGAGGCTCGATGAGCGTCCTGCGAGGGAGTGGCTGGGATTGTGAGGTGCGTTGTTGGGAGGACTGGGTTGCTGGTACCCTCGGTGTTGGTTGTGGAGGGAGTTCTGGAGGCGAGGACAGTGGTCCGGCGTCTGCGGTGGGGGAGGCAGTTTTCACGTCTGCCATTTCAACATCTTCGTCCTCCGCCTCGGATTCATCGCTAGAGCTGGTATCGTTGTCGCTGTCGTTGACTTCCTTGTCGCTCGCTGCTTTTGAAGATGCTGCTTGCGACTGGGAACGAGTCCGCGAGGCCTCGGATTCCTCCTCGCTGCTCGACTTCTCTGGCGTCGGCGAATGGGTGAGGAAACGCGCTGGTTGGCGTGAGACGGCAGGCGAGGATCGTGTGGAGTTGGCAGCACTAGGGGACTGTGACTTTGATGCGTCGTCCTCTTGGTCTTGGTAATAGTCTTCAGCTTGAATCTGAACTTCAGCTCCATCTTGGGCTTCATCTGCAGCTTCGTCATCTTCTTCAGCCTCGGCGTGGTTTTCGGTTTCGAGTTGGATGCCAGCCTCATCCTCAGCTTCAACTACAGCCTCATCATCGTCTTTGGCTTCAGCTTCGGCTTCGGCGTGTGTTTCGGCTTGAAGTTGGATATCAGCTTCATCCCCGGCTTGAACTGCCGTTTCGTCATCGTCTTCAGCTCCAGGCGCTGACTCCGCAATTCCTTCTGACGCCGAACACGAGGGGGACTTCGAGCGTGATTTTGGCCCTTTTTCCTCGTCAGGCGTCTCTACGACATCATCTTGCTGACCCGGCGCACCAATCCCCCAAGAGCCAGGTTTCCGTGACCCTGCTTCAGGCGTCGCATCAGGCTCGTATTGCTCTTCCTGAAGACCTCCCATGGACTGTTCAAGATGAGCGTGCCCATCTTCAAAGACCTGACGGCCAAAGTCAATGTCCTTCCTTGCCTGGTCAATGCCTCTGGGGAATATCTTGCTCATAACGCGACCATGCTCCTTCTCTACGCTGGCGGTGTTCTTCGGTGGTCGACCGCGGCGTTTCGGGGCTCCACCTTTAGCGTTGGAACCTGGGATAGCAGGAGCGTCCTTCGGTGGTCGACCGCGGCGTTTTTGAGTTCCGTTTTCAGCGTTGGGGCCTGGTGTAGCAGCAGCGTTCTTTGGTGGTCGACCGCGGCGTTTCGGAGTTCCATTTTCAGCGTTGGAGCCTGGTATAGCAGCAGCGTTCTTCGGCGGTCGACCGCGGCGTTTCGTAGGGGGAGGAGATGCAGTGATGTTGGCGGTCCTTGTTGCTCCATTTGACAGCGATGTGCCGTTCCACAAACGATGCCTTACATTTTCTGGGAGCGGAATTGGTGTTCTCTTCGGCTGCGTTTCAGCTGACAACCTACCTTGTGCGCTTGTCGGCTGAGCCCCCGAATCATTGAGCAGATGGACTTCTCTCTGGACGGCGCTTGGGGTGCTCACATTTTTTGGGAGCGGAATAGGTGTTCTCTTCGGGACAGAGGGGAGCGGCAGTACGGATGCAGCCTGCTCCTGGGGTGTAGATTCGATCTCGTCAGGCCTAGGCAGCTGGAAAGAACGAGCGTTGCTACCCAGCGTACCCTGAGTCTTGCTTCGTCCGCACTCGCTGCCCTGTGCGCTCGTCGGACGACCCCGCGAATCATTGAGCAGATCCACTTCTCTCTGAACGTCGCTTGCAGTGCGTGTAGAACGTCCGTATGTATGTCCTGGCTTCGTTTGAGGGCGCATGAATGGGGGCGAGCTAGGAGCACGCACTTGGGGCGCTGGTAGAGGTGGCTTCTTGAAGTGCTGCTCGAGGCTCTCGGGAACGGTGCGTTGAGGCGGATCGCCGAGCTCTGGAGACTCCTCCTTCACCTGGGTCCCAAATTCCTGAAGCCCAGTCTGCGAGTTCCGAACGACAGTGAGCGAGCCGCCGGACTCAGACCTTCTCGCCCTTTCCTCGTGCCGGGCGACGCGAGTATCGGCTGCAGTGCCCTCTTCATCGTCGCCATGTTGCGATTCGGTCGAAGGCACGGGTCGGTCGCGGGCAGGGTCCGTGTCCAAGGAATTGCGGTATTCCTCCTCGAGCCGTCTTCTCTTGCTTGAATGCTCTGAGCTGATCTCTCTGACGCGTTTCTGGGCGGCGACAGGGCGGAGGTTGGAGGTGGCAGGCACAGAGAAGTCGCGGTTGATGAAGGTAGGGACGACCTTGATCATACGCGTCTGCACGTCGCTTTCGCCTTCAAATATGGAGCCGACCGTGTCGCTGAGGTCGAGGTCGCAGTCGTAGGCGTCCTGCAGTTTCTTGATGGTGAAGCTCCTGCGTGCGGTTGTCAATGCCCGCTGCCACCAATGTGAGGAGGCGTTTGGGAGGTACTCACGCCGCTTGCAGAGGCGTCAAGTAGTTGCGCTTGTAGCGCTCCTCGATCTGCCGCCAGACTTGGTCGAGTGTATGCTCGGTCTGGACCGGGAGCGCGAACTTCCTGCCCTTGAACGCCTCCAGCGCCGCTGCTTGATACGGGCCATAGGCGTTCTCGGCAGCGAGGGGCAGGACCTCGATAGTCAGTCGCATACGGGCGTTTGGAGCCGCCATCTGCCCGGGCGTGTTCCAAGGCTGCGGCGGTACAGGTGGCCGAACGGTACAATGGCAAACGGGAGGCGCGTCGTGAGAGGTCCATGGTCCATCGAAAAGTTTTGGGAGGAACATTCGGGACAAGCACCTGATTGGCCGGAGAAAGGTGGGCTTGGCAGCCGCTCTGACGCGCCTTTCCAACCACCTGTGCACGGTGAAAGTGAGCTATCACCGCACCCCCACCAACTCGCATTGCGGCGACTCGTCGTCTGTGAGTAGCTGACATGTCTCTGAAGACGCCTTCATTCCGGCTTCGTCCTCCTAATCGCCAGTCTCGGCCAGAGGACGACCTTGACAGCCCTAGGCACGTGAAGACGCGTTGTCACGCCGGAACTCACCCCCCGTGGGCGCTTTCTTCGTCTTCGTCTTCGCCTGTTTGTGTTTTTGTTTTCACTCGGGCAACAGCAACTGCGGCAAGATAACAGCTTGGCTGCCGTCGGGCCACTTGATCTCAACCCACTAACCTCCGCTACTAACACCAACCTGTCCACCAGCACCATGGCGAAGAAGCGCAGAACTTCGACGTCCCCGACTCGCTCGGGTGCCCGCCAGAAGCGCAAACGGACCCGGTCGGCCTCCGAAAGCACTCTAAACTCTGGAGCGAATACTCTTCCGACTAGTAACGACTGGGTATTCCGCCTAAAGGTCCTATCCTCCTCACATGTCGACGACGATCTCCTCGATCAAGCGGTCAGAGGTCTCGTTCAGATATGCTTTCCAGATGGATTCCTCGAAGAGCTCGGAGTCGATGTCGTCGAGGCTCACATGCGCGAGGAAGGTGCCGCGCAAAACAACATCGACCGAATGAAGCCTGTCTTCCACGATGCAATGACACGCCAAATGGCTTGGCTACTTGCGAAATATCTGGACACACCCGAAAAGCTTGAAGAAGCCGTCTCAGCCCTTGCCACTGCAAGTCAGCAGCTTCACGGTGATAAGCTGGGAGCTGAGACCGGGGAGGGCGAGCACAATGTCGCGTCCGACGCTAGCGGTGAGCCTTCAGAGCCCGAGCTCGAAACCCCTCCAAAGAAATTGAACAAGAAGAGCAAGGCGTCGGACCAACGACGGAAGCCTGAAAAGAAGAGGCTGGAGTCGAACGAGGATGTCATCATGGACGATTCAGAACCCGAGGCGGAAATCCAGCCTCACTGCGACCTAGCACCGCCGGAAACCAACCGAAGCAAGGAGAAAAAGGTTTCGACATCCTGGCGCTGGGACATCAATCCTGCGGCTCTCCCAGCAGACAATATTTCCAACCTCTTCAAGAAAACCAGCGACCTCTTCGCCTACCATGCACTGCCTGTTGTCAAGCACGAGCTCGGGCCGGGAACCGAGAGAAAGGCGATCAGGAAAAGAATTGAGGCTATTCTGACCGACATGCCGGAGACCCAATATGAGAAATGGGTTGAAAGTCTTCAGCAGCTACACAACGGTGATATGTCAATGTTAGATCGGGTGTCACCGGACAACATCTCAGTCCAAGGCGACATCACGCGAGCTACGCCTGCACCCACCACTGTACAGCATAGGCGCGGCAACCGTCTCCAGGTGTACAACGAACGCGCTTCTCGAGAGCAGCAGAACGCTAGCAGACCTGTTGTGGAGCAGACGCCAACCCATGGACTCCCCGTGGTTGGCCGTGATCTCCCCAGTATCAAGCGAGAGAAGGAAGCTGACGTTGTTGAAGCGCCCGGAGCCTCGACTGGCGGAGCGCACCACGAACTCAACGATGTCAACGCGACCCTATCCGCCTTCAGGCATCTATCCACCGAAGAACCTCGCTCAGTAAGTTCAATGCTTCTGCAAAAGAAATGTACTGACTTCGCTAGCGGGAAACATCTCAACCTCACGAGACACCCGTGATCGATCTCCTCTGGGGAACTTCTCGCTTTAGACACGACGACCGGGAGCGCGTAGTGCACACAATTATGACTAATCTTGACAAGCGCGTATCAGCAGATGTAAGTGCCTCTGCAATGCCGGGGATGTCCTACTAATACGCCACAGTACATTGGAGTTCAGCAATTCGACAAAGAGACTCGCGCGCGTAATAAATGGCACCTGCGCTCCGCGCTGGGATCCTGGGGAAAGAGCCTCGAGTTCGAGCATTCTGATGTCAGGGCACGTATGGAGGATAAGCTTAGCTTTTGGGTGATAGCAAATCCATTCGCTTTCCCCGAGCTTAAAGCAGAGCCCCTCTTCTTCACATACCCGATGCCTGTGAGTCAAATAGCAAGCAGCAATCCGGCAGTCGAAATATAGACACTGAGCTTTCATTTAGGCCGACACAGTCCTTCTGGACATAGTAGATCCTCTCGGAGTATCCCGTCCGCCGATGAAGGATAGGCGGCGAATTAAGGCAGTCATCCTAAATGTGTTTCGGTATCGTATTTCTTCAGACGTACGTTTACCAAGCCCATCCCTCCCCTTTTTTTTCCACCAACTAATCTCGCATAGGACCTCGAGATAGCCCGTGTGCGTTACGAACTCGAGTATATCCTGGCGCGTCCTAATGCCGATGGCGTGCAAAAGCGGGGCCTGTTGGAGAGGATGTTGCGGCGTGCTGCGTTTGCGCGTAGGGACAAGTTCCCTGAGTTGATGGGCTCTGTCCTGGTTAGGGCTTGGGAGCGTGTAACTGGGCTGCGGTGGTGAAATGGTGTGATTTCTCGGCTATCTCCTGGCAGACGTACCTTAATGCTCGTCGGCAACTCGCTACCTTCGACGGGTTGTTACGTGGTCCGACTCGCCCTCTGGACTCCTTAGTGGAAATTGCGGATAGCCAAAACGACGTCATACGATGCATAGGTCAGGTTGGCTTTCGGTTTAGTATTGAGAGTACTTTAGCATACCGGGCCTGCTCGTGGAATAAAAGTCACTTCAAGATAGCAGTCTGGAGTCGCCATAATGATGTTAGCCTACCCTACGGTCTTAAGGAAGAAAGTTAAGCCGCTTGTCCTGTCCTAGGAGTATCTCGTAGGTCTCATTAGGAGGCTGTAAGGGTCGGAAATAGCAGCATCCATATTCGGGAAAAGTCCCGTCGAGCGATCTCTGCGGAGGTGGATCGATCAGTCCGTTTAGCCTATGGTTTAAGTATGGGCCGTGACTACGGCTTCCGCAAGTTGCTCATTGCCTTTCTTGCAGGCATTCAGGAGGACGTACCCATTGCTCTCTCAAGTACCACCCATGTCTCAACCTCTCTTCTCCCGCAGGTTCGACCGTAGCTTGCCATATGCGGGACAGTGACATCCCCCAAAGGCATTCCATCCCAAGCCTGAATACGCAAAACGGGCGCTCAACTCTGAGCAAAATCTTCCGTCCCAGCAGAGTGGTCCATCAAGCCTTGGTAAACCGATACCTCCATACCACCTCAAGCGCCTCCTTCCCAACCTCCAAGCTCTGCCGCCCCTGCCCACCCAAAAGCACCGGCCCCAAGGCCTCGATAGAATCCTTCAACCTAGCCTTCAACGCATCGTCGCCCTCAAAATAGTTCCCAAAGCTGACCTTCATCTCCACCACGTTCAAGCTCTGCAGCGTCAGACTCGTCAGCGCCCGGAGATCCACTTCAATAGGCCGATTCGGATCCTTGCACGGCGCGTAAGAAGAGACCGAGAGCTCCAACTTAAGGATGCGCAGGTTAGGCGAGGAAATGAAGCCCATCCGGCGATACCTCAGCGGCTGCGGAACCGGCTCGATAAACTGCACCAGCGTGGTCACCGTGCGCTCGTTAGACTGCAGCTCCGCCTGCTCCGACACCTTCAGCTTCCCCAAATCCAGCGTGTGCGTCTTCCATGGATTCAGCAGCAGCCTACTCGGCGTCTTCTTCGGCGCATTATTGCTGAAATTGTCCCGCTTGAACGTCCAGGTCGACTGGCGGTCGAACTGCGTGATGGCTTCGGCGAGCATTTGCTTGTTGGCGAAGAACCATGGCGAGGGGAGCAAGGGGCGGTTGGGACAGCGTAGGCGCGGGAAGGGCGGGCGAAGACCGACGCGGATGGAATATTCGACGACGAACTCGGTTTCTTTGTAGATTAGGTAGAACGGCCGTTTGTGGGCCCAGATTTCGTGGTAGATTTGGTCGCGCAGCTCGCGGGGGAGGAGAGCGAAGAAGGCTGATGCGGGTTGATGGCTGATTGGAGTGCATGTCTTGCGGCGCTTTGAAGAGCTGGTAGTGGGGGTTGAGGGCTGTTGTGGAGCGGTGCTTGCTCGTTGGCGCAGCGGTCGCTTGGGCGCCATAGAGTAGGCTGTAGCTGATTGTTCTCAATGCCCTCCAAAATTTAGAGAGAAGCCTTCCTTGCGGTCAGCTAAGTCGGGGAACTAGGTATGGATATGTGCAAAAGGCGGGGCAAAGCGTTTGCAGTTCGAACATGGAGTCCAAGCTTCAAAAGGCTTTTAGGACAAAAGTCATGTGACGGAGTTCTCTCTCATACAAGCTCAAGTGGAAGGCGGAGCCTCTGTCACTCCTGGCGTGGTGAGACTCGCGCGGGGGAAAGTGAGAGGCAAGTCACGGGTCGTCGGTGCAAATTCGGCACTTACCGAGAGAGGCATTCGTAACCGGCCCAACCTCAACCTTCCTCCAACGTCCCCTTCTCTTTCACTATTCCCGCGAAGGATACCGGCCGCTGCACCACCATTCCTCTCAAATCGTCCGTCTCGCCTCTAACTCGGAGCAAGGCACAAGCTTATCAGGCCTTCCGAAGCATATCAGTGCTTATCTCCATCTCCAACCCACTTTTGCTCCCAAACCTCCAGGGTTCAGATGCAGATCCCCACATTAGCCAGCTATTATTTGCGATGGGTTCGCAACGCCCACTGCCATTGTAGCCTCGCCCGCCTTCGCATATCACCTAGCGTTGTTCGATAGGATGCTGACAGCGGACATGGGGTCTGATCCTTTGCCTATCTGTAGCTATGCCGCGAGTGCGGAACGCGTACCGTGGGAACATGCCGTCACCTCGGTACGACGTTGCATGAACACTATATCAACTTCAGTGCACCCCGCGTAGTTTAGTCGTGGCACTGTCCCGAAAGCTCATTCTCTCAAGTCGTCCTATCTTGTTGCTTTGTTTAGCTCGTCATGGCAGACATTATAGACCATTCCAGCGATGGCGAAGCCCACATTCCGGGAACGGTTCACCTGGTTGACCTTCTAGGGACGATGCACGCAAGGCATGCGGAGGGTGGGCAGAAAGATATTGTCCTTGTCCCAGCGCCATCTTCTGATCCCGATGATCCCCTGAACTGGTCACCATCGAGGAAAGCTTTGAGCACGGCATGCATGTGCGTGTACACGCTCATGGTAGGGATCGCAAGCGCAGCCATTTATTCCGTCCTGGAACCTATCAGCGAAGAGACGGGCTTGACATTGAACGACTTGAACCAAGGCACCGGGTTCGTACCCGCCGATGTTTTTTACTTTCATTCGAATGCTTATACCCAGCAGCTATATGTTTCTCTTCTTCGGCTGGGGCTGTCTTATCTGGCAACCGCTCGCTCTGCAGTATGGAAAGCGTCCAGCGTATCTGCTGTCCATGCTTGCAACATTAGCCGTGCAAGTCTGGGCCCCTTACACCAAGACGAACGGACAGTGGATCGCGAATAAGATCATCCAGGGCTTCGTTGGAGCACCAATTGAGAGCTTGTGCGAGATCAGTGTAACCGATATCTACTTCACCCACGAAAGGGGACGGTATATTGGACTGTATGCGTTGTTGCTCGCTGGCAGCAATTTTTTCGCCCCCGTCATTTCTGGCTTCATTGCGGATGCTCAAGGGTGGCAGTGGGTGTTGGTACGCGACTCGCATCCGACCTTCAAAGAGCTATGCTAATGGAAACAGTACTGGTGCGCAATCTTCAACGCCATCGGCTTCTTCTTCTGCTTCTTCTTCATGGAAGAAACAAACTATGTCCGCCACCAAGTCGGTACACCGCCTGACACCCCCGGCATCCGCACTCCCGCCGAACCCATCGACGCCGAAAAAGCGACCGCCATTGACAGTCCTGCTCGCGAGCCATCGCCCTCCCCAGCCTACAAGCGCAAAACGTACCTCGACAAAATCAAAGTGTTCCAGAAATCCGACCTCCAAAAGCCTAACGAACTCAAAGGAATGATGACCCGTCCCCTGATCTTCGCTACGTTCCCTGTAATCTTCTACGCAGGGTTCTCATACGGGTCGAACCTTGTCTGGTTCAACGTGCTCAACGCCACCGCATCCCTTATTCTAAGCGGCACGTATGGGTTCTCCGCAAGCATGGTCGGCGTGTGCTACGTCTCCCCGCTAATCGGCGTCGCCCTCGGCGCCGCATATACAGGTTGGCTGGGAGACTTTTTCGTAATCCGAAAGGCGCGCAAGAACAAGGGGATCATGGAATCCGAGCACCGCCTGTGGCTCTTCGTGCCCTCGCTTCTCCTCATCCCCTTTGGCCTCATCCTCTGGGGCGTCGGCTCCGCGCACCATGTGCACTGGTTCGGGCCGGTTTTCGCTATGGGCGTCATTGCCATGACGAACACTTTCGGTGTTCAGCTGTCGATCGCCTATTGTATTGATTCGTACCGCGCGCTGTCGGGTGAAGCCATCATCACGGTGATTCTGGTGAGAAATACGATGAGCTTCGCAATTGGATACGGGATCACGCCTTGGGTGACGAATATGGGGCTGCAGAACTCCTTTATCACAGCCGCTTTTGTGGGGTTGGCACAAGTTTGTACGATCTTCATTATGATAAAATGGGGGAAGAGGTTGAGGGAGCTGAGTGTTGGGAAATACTCGAAGTATGTGGAAATCATGGCGAAGAGTGGTATGGTGCATTGAAGGATGAGCCAGAAATGGAAAGGAAAGCTTCCAATGATAGGGGCAAGTGTATTTATGCCGAGGGCTTTGCAACCCAGGGTATCTAGAACCGAGCACATTGTATATGCCGCACAGATGATTACAAAGATATAGATCGTTCAATCGTTTCTTGGGGTAGATAAGCAGACATTCTTCTCGCAGTTCAATACCCATGCGGCACGATGCGCAGCTCGCTCGAACTCGTGCTGGCCGACCTCTGCACACCCTCAGCGTTCGAGCTCTTTCCGGCCACACTCTCCAGCTCAATGTCGCCAACATCCCGCGATGGGAACCTGTCCGCACTCTCGATCCTTATCTCCGTAGTCTTCACAACCTCCATGTCCTTCGCGCTGATGCCGCTTATAGGACTGATATTGTCGTCCATCCTTGCGTACGCCGAATTGCCCATGGAATTGCCCACGGTAGTGGTACCCGCGAGCACAGTGCCGTTGGCCGTGTTGGATTTGCCTGCAGATCGCTTGAAGGTGGTATGGCCGTGGACGGTGGGATGGGATCGTGGGTCGTCGGAGCTGTCGTGGATGCGGCCCTGGAAGAGGTCGAGCAGTCTGTTCAGGATGGAGAATTCCATCTTCAGCTTGATGCTGTAGACAGCTGCCTTGTACACGACCTGGACGTCGTAGTAGCCGGCGTATTCGATGGCGAGCAGGGTGATATCCAGGATAATGATCATGACGTTGACCCAGATGAGGTGCGTCATGACGAGGCGCGAGTTGCGGCCGCGAATTCCGCATTCAGCGCGTAGGAGTTTGGAGGTTTTGTAGAGGTAGAGGCCCGAGATGATGACCTCCTGGAGAAAGAAGATTGTTATCTGGACCTTTTCATAGATGGAGTACGGGGTAAGGAAGGGTTCGGGGTTCGACGAGTTGGCGCCGTAGAGGAGAACAATGACTGGGACATGGCAGACGATGGCGTCGACGACGATCATAACGAGTACCCATCGTCCGGTGTCCGCGCTGCTGCGGTATATCAAGTGGAGACGCGAGTAGAGGACGACGGATTGCCCCGTTATCATGCAAGGCCAACCCACCGCGATAAGGGTGAGGTAGAGTATCCTCGACGAGGTGATGTTGTAGAACTTGAAGAAGAAGCCCAGTGCGTAGGGTATGATGCCCAAGGTTGCCACAAGAAGCGAGTAGAAATATAGGCCATGGCGTCTTTTGAAGGTCGTAAATATCACGAGCATAAGCTCAATGACGTTGTATACTGAGATGCCGAGAAAGACGATGAGGGTAAGGGCGATAGGATAGGAGACTTCATAGTCGGCACCGATGCCATTGTCACGAGCCATCTCGTGCAGAAGGCAAAGCTGCTGCGATGTAGGCCGTTGCGGGTACTAAGAATGAAGATACGACGACTGGAATGAATCCAAACGACTTGGAAGGAGTTGAGAGCATGTGGAGCTAAACGAACCAAGGGTCTGAGATATAAGGAATAACTCAAATCTAGGGAGGGTAGCCAAGGAGCCGAAGAAGCAGAATACGAACAGTGCATGGATAGGTGTTGTTGGGCATCATCCTAGAATCTTCAAAGCGGCACGTTTTGACAGCCAAGCCGCCTCGTGGAAGGATCATGATCATCCAGTCATGAGCTGCCATGCTCGACAGTAATGCAAAGAAATCTCGATGCTACTGTCCAGGAAGGTTACGAACGTCACCGCTCCCTGGGCAATTCGGCGGTTTTGAGACTCGAAATGCATGGATCGTCCCGGGGATGTGCCGGCACAGGAATTAACTTTCGCTTTCTGACTCGAGCGTGCAAAGGCATGCATTTAACTCCATCGTATTGGTCAGCGCCGACTCGGCGGTTGAGTTGAGTTTTGTCAGCTTGCGGCTTTTTAGTTGGAAACGGTGCTTTAAAAAGTGAAGCAGGATCTAGGCCCGAGCGGTCAAGCACGTTCTTGCATCGGCAGAGGGGTTGAGGTTCGTTGAAGCCGAAGCTGTCGACACCCAAGCACGAGGCACGAGCGAGGGAAAAGTGGGGTCGAAGGGTCGATCAGTGCATTGGTGGCTTCCCCGGAGTTTGGCGTTTGACCTGACTTGCGTAAGCTGGTCAAAACACCTGCCTCAGCCTTATTGTGGGGAACGATACGGGCCCGAAAACCGAGACCTGAGCAGTAATGCACGCGACCACTCGCATATGTATGCAAGGATAGGGTCGGATCGGGCATACTGTACCTTTTCATGGAGGGCTTTCCGGGTTGAAACACAACTCCCTTGATCCTTTCTACCCTTCACGGCAACAGCCGCACGAAGCTGCCAATGGCGCCTAGGCAAGCCCACAGGACCCTGAAGACGGCATGACCAGACGACCATGGGTTGGCTCGCTTGCTGCAACCTCCGACATGCTACGGAGGTCGGAGAGCTCTTCCCCAGCCGAGGGGGCTTCAAATGCTTCTACACTGATGAAGATCATGCCCTTACCACGGGGAGTGATGGAAAACTTGGTTTTCAAGACAGAAACCGTTGCGTTCCAATGGTGAAGCCGAAACAAGCATGTCGTGCCCGATAAGACGTTTGGATTTGCTGATCAATCACAAGTTCAAGCTTGCGTCGGCAAACCTGCAAATTAGCGATGAACTATCGTCGAAGATCGTGTCTCCGACCTGGAGGCGCGATGGAGCCCAATTGTTCGGGTGGTCTGAAGTCTAGACTAGCTCGCGCCACAATGCCGATCGCAGGACCCACACCATGCGGGTGATATTGGAACCCTTTGCTCGTGCTTCGAAACGGTTGCAATTTGGAGGAGAGCGCCTTCGTTAAATCGAGCACTCGTGCGTTCGCGATACGATTCCCGCCCAGAATGAGGCTGTCAGGTGAAGTTCTGCGCCTACTTAGCTCGGAAGATCGCAATTTCGAAGGCCTAGAAGACGGAGGGATGGGGAGTACCGACGGTATAGACGTTCAGCTCGAAAAGTGAGGATAGAGAGGAGCGGTTGAGGATAATGTTGAAGGTTTGAGGATTGGTTTCTCGTCTGAAAAGACGGGAAGAGAGTGCCCTCGCGCCCAAAGTAACCGAGCTTTGGCCCCAAGGTCCGTGCACAGAGCTGACATCGACACCTCTCCAACTTCAACCCTCAAACTCCTCTAGAGCCATCTCGATTCCGTCGGCATACGTTGCCATCTCAGAGCTTGGCATCTTGCAAGAGCACTTTATCGTTTACGACCTTCCACCACTCATTCGAAACACCCACCCACCATGCCCGGACCACAATCCATCCAAGTCCCTCTCTTCTACCGCCTCTTCTTCACCTGGATCGACCCTATAATCTGCGTTTGGGGCGCCTACATGGACTTCTTCGACCCGGCTTTGGTCCTCAGCTCCCACATTCCGAACCCAACACCTGACATCGGGCACGCCATGATCCTTCGTCAACGCGGTGGGGGCATGTTAAACTTCGGCTTCATCTCAGCAGTACTCCTGCGATACACCACGGACATGACCATCTGGCGGATTGTGCAGATCGCGGATCTCGTTGTGGATTGTGCGTATTTCTGGGCTGTGCACGGGGCGTTGAGCGCGCAGGCGAGGTTGGGATGGCAGACGTGGAGGGCGGAGGATTGGGGCAGTCTGGCCATCACGGGAGCGGCTGCGGTGGCGAGGCTATGCTTTTTGTTGCGCGTTGGGGTAACGAGAGAGGCCAAGGGAGGTTCAAAGAAGGCTTGAAGGTCATGCAAAGATGCCAACCGCTTAACTACGGGACAATCATCTAGATTCTGATACGGAAAAGATCAAAACACCATCTCCAATATTTGTACTGTCTCACATCGTAGTATCCCCGTCCTCAGCGCAGTTCAAAGACCTGATTTCGAAACATCGGGAACTGGTCTTCCAAGCTTCCATCTGCGACCATTACCTTCACACCGTCCACAACGCGCTCAGCTTTGTAGCCGGCATATTTATCCGCGTCCTTGGGCTTCTCTTCTGAGGCCGACTCTCCCCGCTGCGCCATATATCGATTGTATAGAGCGATAGCCTCGCCATCCATCACGCCGTAGATGAAGGCTTCTCCCATCAGTTGGCAGTAATACTCTTTCCAGACTCGGATTCGCTCTTTCGAAAGCTGGCTAGGCTTGAGGGGAACGGAAGAGGTATCTAGGAGTTAGTCAGCGAGTGATATTAGAGAAGTAGATAAGTCGCACCGCTTGGCTGCTTTTGATGCTGATTCTCTTCGGGCTCGTAGCCCATCACTCCGTCAATGATATCCCGAGGTTGAGCTTGCCCACCCGTAAACAGGGTGTCGATCTCTTTTCGGCTTCTCTTTGTCGAGATGCTGCGTGATCGCGTCACCCGAGGTGCGCCCAGCCCTTCTTGAGAGGGGCGGCCATCGGTTTTGATATCTGTTAGAGACTGTTGAACACCGGGGACGGTGTCCTCTGGGGTTATAGCATCAGGGCCACTTTCTGGTCTCTGCTTGATCTGTGGGGTAGTCCTGCCACTTTGTTGTGCACTCTTCTCCGCCGCGAGCCTCTTTTGCTCCCTTTCTTTGATTTCAGATAATGCCGTACGCGGTTGTTTGCTCATCCTGTGTCTCCGCTGGGCTACCCGGCTCCATTGTTCCAGCTCCTCTTTCTCGGCTCTCATATCCTCCTCGATGTCTGAACGCTCCTTTTTCATGGGACGCAGAATGACAGGAACGCTACAACCATCCATTATGCACACCAGGTCTCCCTTCTCGACCCCTTCATTGACGATGCCGAGCCGGCCAGCCTCTGTCCGAACAAGACACCTGTTCCAAATAACGGCTTGGACCCTACGGAAGAATTCGGATACTACGGAGCAGCGGCCGTGATCGATCATATCGGTCGTGTTCAAAGACCCTGTAGCTAGCAATCCCTTTTGCAGCGACATTCCGAAGGCGCGAGCGTAGTACGCAGGCGGGTTCCTTCCGTTCTGTCCCCTGTCCGCGACAAGGGTCCTCCAGAACTCTTCCCATGAATCCTTCATTTGCTGGTCTTCGTACTGCTGGTTGAACGGCCTCGCGTTGATGTCTGCCATCTCGAACCAACTCAGCGGAATGTTGCCGTTTTGTGATTGCTTGTCTACCGCTTCCACGCGGTCCAGGACAAAGCCGAGAATTTCGATGCTGTGGTACCTCCTACGCTTCTTGATCCTGATCCGAGCGAGGTCGGCCGACTTGTCGCCCGCTGCATTGTAGTTGCGCTGGTTCAGCTCGGGAAGGCCCACAAGAGGATCGGCGTTGATGCGGCCCATTTTCTCGACCGAGTCGGCATGGCGAATCATGTTGTGGGAGGCGCGAGTGAGCTGCGGAATCCATGATGGCATTCTCTCTTGGTCATTGTCGTCTGAGTCCTCTCCGACGAAAGGGCTTAAGGGGGCATTTGCATCTGACCGGTTGCGATTCTTCTCGGCTCTCTCGGGCTCGGGAGCCCAAGGGCGACAGATGATGTCAAGAGCCCTGGTTCGATCCGCTTGCTGATTGATCGCGAACTGGACGTAATCCGCACAAATATCAACGTATCTCTTGGTATAGTCCACAATGTACGGCCGCGCTTGCAACTTCATGCCCACGGTAATGCTTTTCAACGCGTCCGTCAGGTAAGGCGGCTTCTTACATGGTACTGGGTTTGTATCCTTTGCCACGGCTAATAAGGCATAGATGATATCACGTGGATTCGTTGCTTGGAATATAGAGAGTGTTGATACCAGGTGTTCGAGACTTAGTAACGCTTGTCGATTACTCCTGCCTGATAATCCCCTAGGGTAAGCGGGGCTTTTCGACGGAGTTGCTCCCGGAATCGCCAAGCTTGCTCGGGTATGAGCGCCAGGAATGTGCTTGGTCTCAGGCCACTCGATCTTTGAGTATCGAAACAAAGTCCCCGTAGCATCCACGAGCAGGCTGGCGCCTAACTTGGATACATATTCAAACCAACGGGGTACATGGTAAAAAGAGTCATGTATCTTCATGACTTCCGAGAGCCGATGAGTCGCAGATTCGACTGAGACGAAGAGTTGCACAGCGTCAGCGAAATCCTGCCAGGGAATGTTCTTCCGCCCGCAGTAGAGACGCGCCTCTCTAGCAAGCGCAATTTCCTGGACGATCCCTAAACCGCCAGGTCAATTAGTATTATATCCAGAGAGGTATGCTAGAATACTAATCGTTGGACAGATTCCAACATTTGTGATGTTTGAGTAAGCGTCTCATAAGAGGAAAAGTTGCTTACTACGCTTAAGTTAGCATAGGTTCTAATCGCTATTTGTACAGGGGATTGGGTACCATCTGCGGGAGAACCAAGGCCGCTTCATCAGGTTGAACATTGCATTCCATTTGGGCGCCGAGCCGGGACTTTCGCATAGTTTGTCGAAGTCCTCAAGTTGGATGATCTCGTTTCGGATGAAGTCGAACGCCATTTTACTGTCCTCGTCGCCTTCTCCAAGCCACACGCAAACGCTCTTCGCGCCGCCATAGATCTCGGACATCATTGGCACTTGTTGGCTTTTCTCGAGAGGATCTGACTGGTCGATGGAGATGGCATCCACCCACAGCACTCGCTCCGTTTTCTTGTTTCGTAACGCTTTGAAAGCACCTATAATGCTCTTCGGGACGTTGAAATAATAGCGGACTCCATCTTTATCGATCTTGACTTGTGCATCCCATGGAGTTGTTCCCCAATTCCAAGACAGCGCTTCATATTCAGCGGGCACGCCTGGATCACCAAGGGCCGGGACGTCGGTATACGAGGCTTTGATGTGGCTTGTCTTCGCTTTACTCTTGAGGCCTTGTTCATGCTCAACGTGAATGCGGATACTATCCGGAGCGCCGTTGATTGCGCCATGTTTCCCGCTCCTCTTCATTTGTTCGCGCTCTTTCAGCATCTTTTCCACTCTTCTAACGTCGGCAGTGTACTGGGGATCCAAGTCCACCTCAACGATCTTGCAAACGATTTCATCTTTGCGAGTACCCGGCTGTAACTTAATGAGCCGAGTGGATCTAGGCGCATTCAAATACTCGTATATGTAGGGTTCGACATGGTCTTCCGGCTGTTCGTCGGATTCTGAAGAGGAGTCGTCATCGTGGCGGCGGCGAGAAGTGTTGGTTTTCATTGGGTCTGGCCGAATTCGCAAGGCTGGGGTGGATGAGGTGTGGTGAGGCTGGCTTTATGAGTAGGGAATGGGATTATGTAGCGGGCTCTCTGCGGCGCTTTGTACTCCTCATGATGTGATCGGTGCGTGAAAAGGTAGCCTGTCCTTCGCCTCAGCTGGATATCTTTGCTTCTGCAACGTTCCGTCATTTCCATTCAGAATTTCCAAGAACAGGTGGGCCTGGGCGGCTAAGTTTTCAGCTCTAGGCTGAGTCACGACCAGAAAGTCCCGGATAAGTCGTCCTTCGATGTTTTCGGGCAGCTCGGCTGACCACCTTGATGAACTGAATGATGGTAATTGGGCGGGCTTGGATTCCTAGTTAGTAGAGGCTCCGCCGGTTCGCAGCGAACCAGGGGCGGGAAGGACCGCAATGAAGCCTTCGATAAATGTGGCCCTAAGGGCCTGGTCGCTGCAATATCATGTGGGGTGGCTTGGGCGTCCAATGCGATGGTGTTGAGGGGGGCTGAAATGCAACCCGTGTGCGCCACTCGCGGGAGAACTGCAGCCTCGCGACAAGGGTCGCAAGGCTGAAGGCAATATTGGACCCAAGTGATGTGTTGTATGGAGCGCCGCAAGAAAAGAAAACCTGTCGGCGCCGCTCACTCAGCTATGTGTCCATTACTAGCCTCTTGAAGTAATAGGAATGACAGAGCACTCACCTCATCTGAAGACTGGTCTCCCGGATGTGGAATGGGCCACGGGATGTTATCAGCTCCCCAGGTTCCATATTCCTTCGGGAACCCGCATCTTGCATTGATGTCCTTGCATGCCAGAATTGCAGCTACTGTAATATCCACCATAGCTACGCGCGTCCTCCCAGTCAAGCTCCGGTGCGGGACACCACCTTTACGCCATCATCACTATGCCAATGTGGAGCCAGCCATCTAGGTACGCAGTAGCCCGCACTAAGTCCTCTACACTAGCGCTCAAAGGAAGGACGGCACCATGCAATACCGCTTGAGCTAGCAGCGGACTCCGTCTGCTGGGGAAAAGGCTCGGTATGATGTGGTTAAGTGCTGTGCCTATTGTTTGGGGATGTCCTAGATACAAATTAGCTATGCATCATGTTGAGCACACAAGATAGATCACCTACGAGAAGAAAGCGCGGGCGTGATCAACGACTGTACCACTCTCAACGACCCCGGTGTGGTCTCCTTCTCCATCCCTGGTGAAGCCGCATGCGGCAGGTAAAGCTTGACGGGCAGATGCCGCAGGTTAGCCCCTTGTGGATTCAACAGCTTCTGGTTGATAGGGTTGAAGAGCGTGAAGTCATGCGACTTGACAGATTCCCAGAGCTGGGTAGAGTCGGCTTGGCTGAGGAACATGACGGTCTTGCCGGTACCAGTGCGGAGATAGTCAGCCTTGCAACCATTAGCACTCAAGGAAGCAGATGAAGCACGGACTAGGTCGTCATACCTCCTTAACGCTATGGATGAAGAGGTCGTGGAGGTGTCTGCCCTCGGAGTCAAGCTTGACGAGATGCTCGACAGGGTAGTCGGAGAAGTGGACCGTTAACTTCCATGGTATGCTGTTTTGCCCTTCATCATCTGCTCCGGAGCCTTCCTGGTTCGCTGTCCCGTTGGAGGGGTAGTATGGTTCCGCTCCTGAGTACAGGTCGTAGAGCAGGCCGAGCGGGTAATGCCATTTCAAGGGCACACCTTCGTACTCTAACCACGCATCCGCGGGCGAGACATCCGGATAGATCAAGTTGTTTTCGTAGAAGCGATGCAGCTTGTGTATCAGCAGGCCCAAGTAACTCAGTCTCGGGAACTGAATCTATTCTTCATCAGCATACACCTAGGCTGCAGCCCGCAGCAAACTCACCAAGTAAGGATCCGACTCATCATACGTCCTGCAATCGTCCTTGTGCAGCCGGATCTCCAGCGGAATAGACCCATTCCAGACTCCCTGGCGCAGCCTACCCGTGACGTCGCGCGACCCCATGGAGCGGTTGACGGAGGGTGTGGCTGATTGACAGGTCTGGACGAGGTGTGGGGGGGTTCGAGGCGGGGTTGAGAGAAGCTTGGGCGCGGGCGCGTGCCTGCGGTGGAGAACCCCGGTCACCTTCCGTCTCTACAGAAACCGGACGATGCGCCCGAGCGCAGCGGATTTTCCGCTCTGGCTTCCTAGCTTCTTCTACACCACCCGCCGAGCGCGACTTTGGGTGCGCAACGCAGATGTTTGCCGTTGAGAAAGGGCCCTGGACTATGAACGTTGCGCTGAATCGCAAACGATCGCGGCTTGCGTTGGAAGATGACGAGGAGGAGGAGCTGCGGCTGCCGGAGCCTTCGCCTGCGCTGTCGACATTTAGCGACGCCTTGAAGAGGACGAGGACGCAGAGCGATTTGGAAGAGCTGGGCATAATTAGGCCGGAGGACGCGTGGAGCGTGGATGTAGAGAGCATACTATCGTCACATACGCTGCCCACTGCGCCCGGCAGCGGCCTGCAAGCACACAGCAACGTAGACAACTTCCAGAAGAATACGTCTATAATAGTGCTGTGCGTGCAGGGTAATCTGCATCTGCACTACGACCTTCTTTGGTGAGTGGCCACCGCGTCCTGAAAGTTGATCGCTGACGGCATACAGCTCGATGCTACCAGACCTATATGCGATGTCACCCTCATTACAAGCCCTCGTCCTCTGCCGAGACCCTTCGACGCATATCCCTTCCGCGACCGCGCCGTTCTGCCTTCCGTTAATACAAGCCGTCGGACCAAGCTATAATCACTTTGTGCGATTAGGGCTACTACATCCTCTTGGAGGAGGGAGCTTCCCGCTGGACGCTTTGGTGATAGTGGATACAAGAGGAAGACGGAGGTTACTCCTGCCGTTTGGCTGGGGTGCTGGGAAGCATGCTAGTACACCTGCTGGACGGATAGTACAGAAACGGTTGACGGAATTGCTGCGGCAGTGCATCGAGGTTCTGACCAAAGAGTGAAGGGGAATCTATAACAGTGGGTGGGCAGGGACGTACGAGGATGAAGCACTCAGGATCTATGACGGAGAGCACAGCGCCAGGCCGGCGGCTGACTAATTGAGATCAAGGAAAGAGGCTCTCCTCCATCACTGTGCCTAAGAGGGCTTTGCTGTAGCTGGAGGGATCACATCATCAGAGAAGATGCCGCTAAGGGAGGAGCCTCCGCAGGCTATATCTCGCGCTTAGCCTAGCCAGCAACGCACGAGCACCGCACTGCGAGAAGCATGAGGTGATATGAATGATTCAATTGAGTGTCGCTATAGTCATTGCCGCATGACTACTGCAGCTCCTTCCCATGGTCCTACCCCATCACAGTGAAATATTCATCCCTCAGGGGGCCAACAAATCGAAGCATCTAATCAGTGCTCTTGTCGAACGTGGTCGGCTTGTCCTTGATCGGCATGTCGCTTCCCGCTACGCCCTTGTACCGTCCCCGAATGAAGTCCGATATCTGCTCGTCCTTGGCTTGCTCGACAGCGGACTGCAAACCGATTAGCATCCCTACATCAAACGCAATGCAGCATGGCACATACCTCGTTATCCTGCTTACCCGCACCGAGGAACTTCTCCTGGACGAAGTCGATACCTGAACACGATCAGCTACCCATCCACCGCAAAAGCAAGTCGTCGGAAGCTTGGCAGCTGAGCGGCGGGTAGACTCACCCTTGTCGAGCATGTCCTCGTTCTTCTCACCGGCAGCACCGCCGCCACCAGCCTCGTTCATCTTGTTTCCAAGGCCGCTGAGGAAGCCGCCGCCCTCCTGCTTCTGCTCCGAGGAACCCTGCTGCTGTTGCTGCTGCTGTTCGTTCTTGTCGCCGCCGGTGAACTTGTTGAGGTAGTCCATGATTGATGATTGCTTGGTTGATTGAAAGTTCGAGGTGTTAGTAAGGTGCAGATGTTGGTTGAAGAGTGGAATCTGGGAGAAAGCAGGTATTTATGTGCAACGGAGAGCTTCCAAGGCGGTGGTCTTGGGTGCAGTAGTCGTGTGTTTGATGCTAGTATGTAGTGCGTCCCTGATTGACTGCCCCTGCCCCACCGCCCGACGCGATACGTCATCTCCTGGACCCCGCGTCCGGGGTCTGGGCCCCAAAAGCAAGCGCGACCACGTGACCTCAACATCCCGCTCTGAGTGAAAGTCTCTTCTCCCATTGCTTTTCGTAGGCCAGAACGTCGCTCACTACGCTCCTTTCCTCCTTGTTACTACTTGTATACCATCATGATACCCATAACGATAATAACAGGCTTTCTAGGCTCAGGCAAAACTAGTACGTCGACTCGAGAAGTTCCGCAATCCCGAGTTTTCTGACGCACTCAGCACTCATCCTCAATCTGATACCGCAGCTCCCTAGGACTTACAAACTCGCCCTACTGAAGAACGAATTCGGCGACGTCGCTATCGACTCCCAATTGGCCTCCTCGAACGCGATATCCGGTGTCCAAGAACTCCTCAATGGCTGCATATGCTGTAACCTCGTCGGCCAGCTCTCCGATGCTCTAGAGACCCTCGCCCGAGACATTACGCCCGATCGCATCGTTGTCGAAACGTCTGGCTCTGCTTTTCCTGCTACATTGGCTATGGAAGTGAATCGGCTATCACAGAGCACTGGAAAATACGTGCTAGATGGGGTCATGTCGGTCATTGATGTGGAGAATTGGAAGGGATATGAAGACACGAGCTATACAGCAAAGATCCAGGCGAAATACACGGATCTGATAGTCTTAAATAAGTGGGAGCTCGTGAGTGAGAGAAGACTGGAGGACGTAGAGGATTCTATTCTGGGGCTGGAACTCGATCCGCCTATACCACGGACGAAGAGCGATAAGGGGTGGGTGGATAAGGATATCATATTTGGCTTGGATGCGAAGCTGGCGAAGGGAATTGGGAGGAAGGATAAGCACCACCATGACCATGGACATTCGAGCGAGGTGGAGGTGCTGAGCGTCACGTTAGCAAGTAACGGAGAGAAGACAGGCGTGGATGTGGAGAAGTTGAGGAAGCTCCTGGAAGAACCCACAAAGGACTTGATATACAGGATAAAAGGGGTCCTCTACTCGTCGACACCCCCGAAATCCTCGGATAACACATCCGCGTCTGCTTTGGATGTCAACAACGGTCGAGCGAGATATATCCTCAACTGGGCGTTCGGACGCTGGAACTTCACGCAAGTGCCTCCGCCTTCCACAACAACTACTCCACTCGCCTCGGGAACCGCGACTCCTGTTAGCTCTGGGCAGACGACGCCGCTTCCTCCAGGTGAAGAGCCTGAGCTTCGACTGACTGTGGTCACCGCCAAGTATGAGTCGAACCAGTGGCAGAAACGGATTGAGACCAGCGGCTTCGTCGCTCTTCAGAATGGAGGCGAGGGTACATTGACTGTTCAAAGAATCCTATGAGTGCATTCTAAACGATACCCCCGGTATACCAAAAGCACGACGTACCTAGTCAGAGGGGCTGTGAAGTAGGTGACAGACACCAGATCACCATATGCGCCTTTCCGCTCACTGTGCGAGCGCATGGAATGTCATATTCGATATGACGCTTCCTCATCGATTCTTGGCTGTCCAGGATTTTCATACCCAAGCTGATCTGCAAGAAACTCTTTACAATACCGAGCAGCGGGCCCTTGCACTATCGGTAACAAGTAACGCACTATAGAGCACCGTACCTGGATCGGGAGGCGCGGCGTTGCCTTATACGTATGAACGCCTCAGAAATGAGGAAGATGGATCGCAATAATCGACGTCTCGAAGAGACAGTACCTTTTCTTTCGCCTGCAACATCGTCTCCCGCTTGAACGTTATTTTTTTTTTCTAACAATTCTTGCCTTCGCCTCTTTTAATTCTTCTTCTCCTCGCCCCGGATCTATCCCGAATTCTTGAGCCTATACCCGCGTTCGTCATCTTTATCCGCACCCCTGCCACCCAATATGCCCAAATTGCCCACCTGTTCAAAAAGAGACTCTGCCACGCAACTTGGATTGCTTCTAGAATATTGAAATGCATCACGGCCAGCCTTCTACGCCAGGCGCGGTATGGTAGGATTCCAAAATTGGAGATCTGCGATGCGACTCGCATGTAACATGTACCTAGATACGATTGTCGGGATTTACGATTAGCGCTTAAAGGACCGCAAAAAGTACCGCGAGCTAGAGCTTTCTGGATGCTTTCTGGAGTCCTTTCTGCTTTTGTTTGTGGTTCTTTTCCTCCTTCTTGGGAATCCTGGGAAGAGCAGTCGCGAAACATGTCCATCCTACTACCGTTGTACATATACCCATGGCCAGGAGCTTGGGATCCTTTGTACTGGGTGTGAGTACCTCCACCGCCCCATCACCACTCCCTCCCCTACCGCCAACCCTCATCCCCACTAACATCCACCCCTAAAACAGCGCGGCAAACCACCCGCACCTCAACTTCTCCGTCGTCCTCAACCCCTGCTCCGGCCCATGCCTCAACAGCACCCCCGAATCGCCCTACGTCACCGAAATGCCCAGACTCAAAGATTACCCCAACATTCGCACTCTCGGCTACGTCGCCACGAACTACACCGACAAACCCATTGATACTGTCATTGCGGAGATCCATAGGTATGCGGAGTGGACGCAAGTTATGAACGACAGTAGGGTGGCGGTTGATGGGATTTTCTTTGATGAGACGCCTGGATTGTATCATTGGCAGAAGCATGATTATTTGGCGAAGGCGACGGCGGAAGTTAGAGGGCTGGAGGGGCTGGGGCAGAAGGTCGTGGGTATGTGTCTCGGCTCTCTGGGGCGACTTGTTCGGTGAATTAAGAGGAAGCTCACGATTGCAGTGTATAATCCAGGAACGCTTCCAGACATAACGTGGAATTATCTCGACATCGCCGACATCACCGTCATCTTCGAAGACACCTTCACCAACTTTATCGACGCGAACAAGTTTAATGCGCTCAAGAACTTCCATTCCGCGACCAACTCGACTAAATCTGCGTTCTCGATCATGCTGCACAGCATCGGGAATATACCGGATGAACTGCTTGAATGGACAGCTAAGGAGATGAAAGAGATGGCGGAGTGGAACTTCGCGACTAGCGTTGCAGACGCAGGGGCGTACTGGCATAGCTTTTCGCCCATCTTCAGCTCGTATATAATCAAGTACGAGGAGGAAGACGGGGTTTGAGCGCTAGCTGGCTCGGAATAGGCCAGAATGTATTTGTGTATATATGTTTTGTTGAAGTTATGTATGTCAGGGTCCCGAAGATGTTTCTTGCTCTTGTGCGTGAGGATCGTAGCCTTCCTGATACCAGCTCCAGATATTCAACCCAATCTTCGTCCCGCTTTTTACTGGCAAACCCGCATGCCAACTCTCCTCATATCCCGTCCCATCACTGCGCATATTCTCCCAGAACACTGCATTACCCTTGATCGGCTTAAACGTAACCCCCTGTCCCTCCTCCTCACCGAAATCTCCCTCCCCCTCGCACTCAACAAATCTACACCAACTCTTATCACCAGGTCTTGTAAGTCTAGGAAACCTGGTCCCGCCGCCCGTGCAATCTGCGTCGAGCCACACCATAAAACTGCTAACTCTTCCAGCGTGTCTAGTAGCGGTACTCCAGTCGTAGTGGTAGCTGTAGTGCCCGCCTGGTCCGTATCGCTGAGCCCACAGCCGCTCAACAAAGACGTATGGCCGCCAGCCCTGGAACGTGCGTGCGCGCTCTTCAATGCATTGGACGACGTTGTCGCGTGAGACGCGGGCCTTCTCTGATAGACGGACGGAAGGGTCTAGACGCTCGTGGCCGGAGGTCCACACTGTGCTTGGGGTGAAGAGGGGTTCGCTATCCGCGTTAGCACGGATTCAGATGGAGGAAATAGAGCAGAGAGAAAGTTGGGAAGAGAAGAGGCAAAAAAGAAAGAGAGAGACAGATTTAAAAAAAATTCCAACAAATAACACACACCTCAACTCCACAACATGGCCACACTCGTCCTCGGTCAAAAACCCCTCAATATACACAACCAACGGCTCCCTACTCAACACATAAACACCCCTATACGCATGCTCCCCGCACGTCAAATTGCCCTCCGGAATAACCAAGCTCTCCAACTTTTCCTTTGAAATTTCCACATTCCTAGGCCTATCTATCTCCCTTCTCCCATCCGAGCTTGAAAGAATGGACAGCAGCGGCGCGCCCGCAAGCACATACGCCAAAACCGCTAAAAAAGCATACTGAACGAGCGTGCCCAAGGAAAACGACGACGAGCGAGCGGACATAACGATGTAACGACAGAATATAATGGAAAGAGAAGGGGGGCAGAGCGGGAGGAAGGAAAGAGGAGGGATGGGCAGGGATCGGAAATTTATATCGGAAATGGGCGTATCACGTGCTCGTAAGGCGGGACGCGACCGTTGTTGGACAGTGCGGAGATAGCGGCACTGGCGGCGGCCCCTGGATTATCTAAGGGACTAGCTAGGACCCTTGAAGGGTTGCGGGGCGGGAAAGCTTTTGTAAGGGATCCACTACTAGATCTAGATCTTTTGTTTGCCCCTCCTGTTCGTTTGAGATATTTGATCTCGCCGTTGATCGATTCCACTCGTACCACAAGCTCGACCGGCGGCGTAGTTCACATAAGCTTCAATAGCACAAGGTCATTCAAATGATTGCGACACGTTCCCGAGACCAGATCAAATTGCCCTTCCGTGAACTCCGCCAATACACCTCTAATAACGCCGCCTAACGCATAAAAGTTGCAGAGAGAAGAGCATTCATAACCTCATCCATGATGGCCGCGCCCAAAATATGGCCATCGGCATGAACCGCAATCCCACCACCGCCCCATCTAATCCATATACTAGGATACCAGGTATCTCGCTTGAAAAGAAGAAGAGACCAAAGTACAAAGCGAGGGCACGTAGTAGGCTCAGAAATAGACCGAAGTCGGAAAAGTGAATGACTTCGGCGGCCCGCTGCTGCCCATAGAAGTAGAGATCTATCTCCTGTCCCCGCCTACACTCAGAGTAGAATCCCCTAGGGAAAGTAGGTGTAGAATTATCGTGTTCGATGGCTCTGCTATCGAGCCTTAGGTGTGGTATTGATCCTTGAGTCAATACTAGGTCTGGACCTCGAAAATCGTCCGGGGTGTCAAATTCCTCACTCGTTCAAGGCCTGCCGCCCGCTGTGCGCGTCCCGTCATGATGTTAAATCGTCACCGCTGTTCGATGATCCGTTCATTTAGTGTCGTCCCGCTTGCCGCTCGTGCTGCTCCGCCACCTCCCGTGCATAGAATTCTACAAGCATCGTGCCATATGCCTCCATCTCTTCCAACGGTACCGCCAGGCGAAAATCGTTCAGCAGAAGAAACTGCAGTTCTAGGTGATTAAGCTCGACTAAGGGTAGCCCGCCGACCTGCAAAGTTTAGACAAAGGCCGATACGTGAGGAAGCGGGACACTTACCTTTGCGTATCGTGAATTAGTATAGAAGACATCCGAGAAGAACTTGCTTGCACAAGTAACACCCGCGATGACAAGACGATGTATGTTGAAGCTGTCGACTACGAAGAAGTGCGACAAGCTGTAAGGATCGGGTTCCAACTCCTGCTGTGGCGGAGAAGGTGGCTGAGGGCCCCGGACGGGTGTCTCTGGGGGTTTGCCTAACGAGCCAGATGGGGGTGGTGTCGCTGCTTGTACAGAAACGGACGACGCCTGGTCTGTTGGTCCAGAGGCAGAGTTTGCAGACAGTGCTGGGTTTGCAGCAGCCTCGGCATTATCACGCTCTAGTGACTGCTGGTTTGCTTGCCGTAGAGTGGACATTGGGCCCGCATTGACCCTCTCTGTCATTCTATCAAAATACACGAGGAGACTGAGGAAGACCTCGTAGGTAGTGGGGCAGTATTTGTGAATGCGGCTGAGATAGCTCAGGATCGATATGCTGGGTACATTCTTGCCGTGGAATGCCAGAACGCTTGTGGTTTGCTGGCTCAGACCTGAAGTTCCTTCTGGAGGCGGAATCTGGCGGTGCAGATGCTCGTGCTGCCGATCGTTTGTAGTTGTGATCTTAGTCAACAGGCCGGCCACCATTTCGATGATATCCGACACGGGCATCTCGCTGATCTCATACTGTGGCCCGACATCGTTCGGGTCTCGCCGCTGCCGCCGCGACAAAGAGCGTGTCTGTGAGAAAGGGCTGGTCTCATCGATTGCAAATTGCTGAATGTGAGACAAACTCTTCACCTTGATCCGCCTGGGCGAGGCTGACGTCGAGTCTAGCGGCGATCGGAGCCCGTGTATTGGGGACTGCTGGGCGGAGGAGGGCGTGGAGGAGGGCACCGGCCTGGTGTTCACAAACGCGTGCGGGGCCGGGTTAGCAGCGACGGGCGTCTGCTGTTGGGAATGCGGTCGAAAGCGCGGGCTCGGCGGGGGCTTCTGCGACGACAACTGAGAGGTAGAGCTGCGCGCGCTGGTCTCGGCGGGGCCCTGCTGCTGTGATCGCTGACCGGGCGTTGAGCTCGACGGTGGGGCAGCCGAGTCGGCCATAGGCACGTCCGCGGGCGGGGGCACTATTCGCAACGGCGGATTCGTGCTGACCTGAGGAGAGGCGCGAACCGGCGTGTGGTGCACGGCGGGGGACTCCTGAGTTTGTTGATGGGAGCCGCCGCCGAACATGCTGTTATGAAAGTGGTTTCCACCAAAATCGGTCACTACAATCGATCCCATACCGCGTTCTGGGGGCTGGGAACGTCAATAATGCTGGTGCCACTTCGAGGCTGGGGGTGCATAAAAGCCCGCGGGTCGGTGAGGTCGCGAAAATGCGCGCCGGCTGCGGTTGATGTCGAGATGCAGGGGGTGGAGAAGCGGACGGCGGCGGTGCAGAGTCCACCGGTGAGGAAGGCAGGGACGCGGTCGCGAGGCGACGGCGTTGGGCAAAAGGAGCGTGAGTCTGCTGCGTCGGCGCAGAGGAGAGGGTCGGTGGTGGTGTTGAGTCGGTGCAGGTCTGTGTCTCTGCGATAAGAGAAGCGCCGCGACCGGATTCGGCACGCCCCAAGATTCGGCTTACCAGCGGACGAGGGCGAGGAGCATGCCTCAATTCGAGCGCGTCGTAACCAAAGTGAATTGGACGACGCAGCGCTGCGAGCAGGAGAGGGGGCGGGCGGGCAGGGCGGTGACGGGCGGTGACAGGCGGTGTTGAGGTGACGAGAGGGTGTTTGAGGTCCGTGGGGAGGAGTGGGCTAGTCTTCGTCATTAATGGCGCTGTGAACCCTTGCCGATCCGCGACTTGATAAGTACGTCGCCGCCCGAGTGCTCCTTTGATCGCTGCTGCGGTGGGCACACGCGTTTGCTCGCAGTGCACCTTTTGTTCGGCAGCTTCACTTCTGCAGTAATTCTCCCCAACAGGCGCTGCGACACGTTCACCCATGCGCCATGTGAAGATCTACTGGCAGATACGAAAGCAAGGCCACGGGCAGATGGCCCCAGCGACGGCTGCTCATTGGCTCCCCATGGACTGCCCGCCCACCTCGCTGCCGAAGCTTCTGTCCAAGTGGATGCTAGCGGAGGAGACTACTTTGACCTCTCACGTTAACGTGGGATACACGGGCTCGATCACGCCTTGCCCATTGTTCCAGATCCGCGTCCATGGGCAGATCTCCATTGCTGCTATGGTCTGCGCCCGTCCGTCAGCACGCAGTGTCTATATTATACAGCCAAGTCCGCGCCCCAGCGACTCCGTCTCTCTATTGAGGGCCAGGCCCCTTGTAGTCTTTGTCCGGCAGGTACAGATGTCGCTGCGCACCCTGCGCCGTAAGCACCACCATGCGAATCACACCACCCGAGCTCCCATCCCACTTGATGGCCTCCTGCAGTGCGCCTTTTACGAACTCGACTCCGTCCTTCTCCGTCATGTTCTCCTTCCAGTTCGCATCGCAGTATCCGTAGATGTACGTTGACCCCGAGCCGCCAATTGCATATGCCTGCTTGTGTAGAGAGCCGCCTAGTGGTATTGAGTACACCTGCCCGCCATGTCGGTGATCATAACCGGCGATGATCATACCGGCACTATTGTGCGTCAGTGTACAACTCTAGAACAGTTCCACCTTGCGCGCTTACGATAGCTGGTCCTTGTTGGCATAGCACAGCTCCTGGAATATAGCCGCGGCCGTCTGGGTGGTAGGAGGCTCGTCATTCGTAATGCCGTACATGCCGAGATGGTAGTGGACGATATCTGCCACGGCCTGCGTATCCGCCGCGGAGCCTGACCGACAACACCAGATCGTATCGTGGACTTGTGTGAGCTTATCCGTCACTCGATTGGCAATGTATGCGCCCGTTGTGGTTCTGCTGTCTGCGCCTAGTATCACGCCGTCCTTGAAGTTGATCGCCATACTACGCCTAGTCAGAGGATTTGGTCCGGAGCGAGAGGACAGGTACGACGCACATTGAGGTTCCGAGACTGTAGTTACTCGTCAGCATGCTTCAACGAAGTTGAACAGAGGTGTCGTACTTCACCTCCCCCTTCTTCAAGTGGTCCATGTCGACGTGGATGCCATCTGCAGAATGTGAGCTCGAGCCGTTGGTGAAATCCAGCGAGTGTACCTTCTCCTAGCATGCCGGAGGTCATCATGGTGAGTTTCTGAGTTCGACGGATCCAGGAAAAAGGCGAGGATGGCAGTGGTTTAGTCCGTTCGGGCAGTGCGCAAGCTGTGGGAGTGGGGAAGGCGAGGTACTGATGTTGTTGCGACCGTCCAGGCAAACAGCTGTCGTAGGTCCACAGCTCGCACAGACCATCTAAGCTCCGAGCGTCACGTGCCGTCGCCGGAATCCCAGGACGGAGACTTTGCACCATTTTCAATGCTTGCAGCCGAAGCAGGATGATGAACTGTCAATGGAAGGTCTTTTTGCGACGTCTCTCTGTACCGCAAGCAAAAATATCATTGACTGACGGCTCCAATTCTGTTATTTCCTGTCGGACCTACCTGCGCAAGTGGCTCCTGAAGCCCGCCGCACCTGCCCGATAGCATGGAGCTAACTTGAACCTCAACCACCTCTGCGACAGCCGCATTTCCAGCTTCTCCGCTTCAGAATACCTGTTCTAGCAGTAGTCATATTCATTCTTGACTCTTTCGCTCGCTCCAGCCTACCTCACGTCTCCGAGTTTCCCTTCGCTGTGATTACAATTCACGGCTCGCTGTATTCCGCCCGTCATGGGGTCCGCTCTCGAGAGTTTCATGTCGTATCTTCGAATACCACTCCTAGCTTCTTCAGGCATTGCTGCCTTGCTTAGCGGGGTCCTATATTTCAAGCAAAAGTGCGGATTGCACCTCTGTGTTTTGCAGCAAACGCGATATTGACGTTCATCAGCGAGATCATCTACGCTAGAAACTTCCCACCCGATGCCCGAACGAACGTCCCCCGACCGGCGCAGTTCGGAATCGCCGATTTTGAGGAGCTCTTCATCCCTACACCCGATGGAGAGTCTCTCAGCGCGTTCTACATTCGAGCAAACAAGCAACACGCCCGCAATGCCACTGTACTCATGTTCCACGGGAATGCAGGCAACATCGGTTACAGACTGCCTATAGCCAAAATACTTGCCGAGGAGCTCTGCTGCAACGTCTTAATGCTGCAATATCGAGGATATGGGCTGTCTTCGGGAACGCCGAACGAGAAAGGCATAACGGTGGACGCTCAGACCGGGCTCGACTACATCAGACAACGGCATGAGCTTCGAGGAACCCGCATAGTGCTCTACGGGCAGAGCCTCGGGGGTGCTGTAGCTATTGGCTTAGCCTCAAAAAACCTGAAGCATGGGGATATTGCGGGCATAATCTTGGAGAACACTTTCACGTCTATGCGGAAGATGATCCCGAGGCAGGTCTTTCGCTATACCATCTTGAGTCGAGGCGCTAACCTGTCTAGCGCTCTTCCACCTGCGAAGTATCTGGCCTCTCTTTGCCATCAGGTTTGGCCGACCGATGAGGTCCTCCCCCAGATTACAGGCGTACCGATATTGTTCCTAAGTGGATTAAAGGATGAGATCGTTCCGTGAGTGCCACTGAAGCAACACCCCTTACGCTCTTTGTGAATAACTTCTGTATAAGTCCGTCACATATGATCCGACTCTTCCAAGTGTGCCGCTCCGAGCCTAAGATATGGAGAGAGCTTCCCAACGGAAGCCACAACGACACCGTTGCCGAACAGGGCTATTTCTCATACATTGATGACTTCCTTTCCGAACACGTCGCTCGATGAGGTCATGGATCTTGTTGAGATCCGATCTCTTCGTTCTATTCTTGTATACCCAGCATATTTTGGACACTCCCTCCACAGCGGCTGCGGGCGAGAAAATATGCCTTAGGATTGGGGGAGAGCAAACTGAATTGCAATATACTTCCCCATAAGGCTAGTCTGTAACAGGGCTATTTCTAAAAACGCATCGGAGTAAATGTTTGATCTTCGTGTCCGAGCGGTCGGTGCGTTTCAAAAGTCGCGCGTACATAATTGGGAGATTGCCTTCGCCGACTTTCCCAACTTTGGGATTACGCTGATCGTCGGACAACCCCCTGGCTAACAGTTGGCATGGGGGGCCCAGAAGGCGGATGATGGACGGGAGTCAACGCCACTGGCAAAAGGCGTTCTCCGAGTGCAGGCGAGAGCAGGGGGAGGGCTCCTCGTTTCTCTATCCGAAGCCGCGAGCCATGCTGCGCTATCATGCGACGCCACTGGTAGACCCATGGGTGATGTGCAAGTATCGGCCAGAGCTCCCACACCACGATGCCGTCGCCAATGACGACGTATGCTATACTTGGATCAAATGCATGGAAGCACCCGCATATGGCGGAGACGCGGGGACTAGCGATCGCCAGGGGTACTTGTGCCAGATGTTTTGTATGAAGTGTTGTGGACGTAGGTTACTCCCCTTGCTGAGGTCATGGGCCACGCCAGCGACGCCAAAGCGATCTCCGTATCAGCATTCTCTGCGCTTATGGTAGGCGCGCCAATTGCCTCTCGCGTGGCAAACAGATGGACGGAGGCTGTCCGACTGACGTGCGCAAGCTGCAGGCTCCGGTGGTGGTGTGGCTGCGGGGAGAGCAAGAACATGTCAGATTTCTCTCCTTCCCGACGAGGACTGAGGCATCGTCTGCCAAAATGCAGCGTTCGCGCCAGGTGCCCACAAATTGCGAAAACTGCCGTGAGCGGTGGGCAGTCGGTACGCTTGTCGTTGGACCCTGGCGGGACGGCTGTTTAGCGTTCACGCTGCGTTCGCGCCACCGCGATTACGTGGGTGGCGCGTGCTTGCGAGCTTGAGATGGGAAAGCGGCCCCTGCACCAGGAAACGCCATCTCGGCTGATCGAGTTCCAGTGAAAATCCATGGTGGCGCATCGACAATTTGGCTGCCCTGCTTTTCGTGCGACGCCGCGGACGCAAGGCATGGAGAGCCGTGTCGTGCGCGCTCTCAGGCACAGTCCGGGGGTACAGTACATAGCCACGGCTTCCACTACTGCGTCTCTCGCTGTGCGCTTCGAGGGTCTCGCCGTCGCTTCTCGATCGGCGCAAGATCGTCACCCCACGGCAGGCGTTGCGGCTGTGCATCGGCAGCCTCTGTCGATCCCGGGCAGAAGAAGGCTCGTCGCGACGGGCGGCCAGGCCGGCCTGTGGCAAAGGGCCTTGCCCGGCACCTCACTGGTGGCTGGGCTTCCGAGCGAGCAGTATGTTGCGAAACGGCCGCCCGTGCGGGCGCCGAGAGTCGTTGATTGCAGCGGACCACTTCTCCAGCACTATCTGCGCCAATTAAGGCGGCGTCTTGACAGCTGGTCGCGCCAGTTCCGAGCTGTGGCGTTGGCGGGCTCCCAGACCGCACCTCTGCACCGCACTCTCACCCCTCCCTTCAACCACGCGCTCGTGCCCACGCCCGACGCCGGCGCCCCGCCGACGCACTCTGTCCCCCGGCGCGCTCTTTTGCCTGATTCCCTCCCCTCCGGCCTGGATGCTGGCCCTTGCAGCCATGTCCTGCTGGCATAACGAAACAGCGGCCACGCGGCGCCTGCAGCTGCTCGTCGGCGCCCTCGTCACAGGAACATCGTCTTGGGCGGCCTAGCCTGCGCGCTCCCCGCCGGCACTGTCGCTCGCTGCTGTCCGTCTCGTTGGACTGCTGGCATTGGAGGCTCCTTCGAAGGCGCCGACTACCTGCGTCTTACTTCATGACTTCTGGCTAACTGCAACAAGAACGGCTCTATGCCTGCCCGCGGGGGGCCCCCTAGCATGCTCCTGCCCTCGTATCTCTCTCTCCTGCACCTCATACCTCATACATGCCTCCCGCCTGCCTTCCACGCGCGGAGCATCCACCAGCCAGCTCGCTTCACGGGCTGCTTGCTCCGGGGAATCGTGCAGTCTCCTGCTATGTCGTCCTAACATGCTACGTTAGCTCCATCTGTAGGGTCGTTTAGGGCCACAAAGGGTCCGCTAAGCTTCGGCCAGGATCCGCGCCTTCGGCCTATGGAAGTCTAGAAACGGGCGTCACTCGCCACACTTCGACTAACGCTCCAGCCCGGCACCTTCTCTCCCCTAATTCATACAGTACTTGTTTTGCCCGTCTGCGCCCCAATTTCCACCCTGTCCTCATTCCTGGAAGATCAATTCGCCTCCAGAGCTTCGGTTCGGGCCCTGTCAACTCGACAGCCAGTCCAACAGCCACAGCCTGTCGTTCCAGAACCAATCATACGCCGGAAAGCCACTGCACCGAGAGGCAATTGAGGCAGAGGGCTTGTAAAATCCTCGTGCCGCCTTCCCGCCTACACTGGGCCCGCCCAGTGAACCCTTCTCAAGCTCCTTTCGCCGCTGCAGCATCCGAACGTCAACCCACGCGCACGCTTGTCCCTTCTTATCGTCAGTGCCGTTGCGCTGTCAAACCTCATAAGCTGTCAAGACTGCTTCTGCCGTCTGACTGGCCACGCAATCCTGACCATCATCTTTGTTCCGCTGCAAGCGAGCCTTTTGGTCCAGGTGGTACCTCGACCGCAGCCGTTAATCTTCCCCCCATCGGGCATCACCAGTTCTTCGCTTCTTTTTTTACCCATCCTTTCCATCTCTTCTCGTCTCATTGGCATACTCCAAAAACACCTCGTCTTTTGAGAGCATTCTACTTCGGTACTCTGTCCTTCCGGGTCGCCACTCGAATTATCACTTATTTTGATATAGGCCCAGGTACGTTGTGCGTTCAACTACAATCGCTTCAAAAAATCTGTTTGAAACTGTGTTTCCTAGCTACCCTAGTCGCTCGCTATCTTTTCTCAAATATGGGCTGACATGGCATTCGTTTGGGTACAGCAGTGGATTGCTCTTCCTATCATTCTCGAGGATCAAATGGGCGACCTACCCACCGGATCTGGCTCCCAGCCTTTGGACATCATGACAGCTGGTCTTGCGCATGATGAACACCAAGGCCATTCCAACCCGACCCCATCGAACGTCAAATCTCCTAGTAGTAACACCCCCTTCTACTCTCAGCTCAGTTCGATCCCGCAGGGCCAATTCCACCCCGACCTTCGCTCGCCCGCGCACCCAACGAGTCCGCCTTATCCAGCCCAGGAACAATCGTCCTTGAACATGGGCGCAATGGCAGGCGCACTCCCTGAGTACGCCCCCATTGATGCAGTTCAGGGTAACCCTCAAGCGCCGCCGCAACATGGCCAACGACAACTGTCCGGCGCATCGACATCCGCTCTCGTTTACCAACTCCAGCAAAACTTACAGATTCCCGGCCCCGCATCTGCCTCTCTACCAACGCACTCTCCCTATGGTCCTGGATTCGGCGCAGGGCAGTACCCGCAAAACTTCGTGCCAGCTCAAAGCTCACAGCACACCAACTACGCCGCTTTCCCTACCAATCAACAACGCTTAGCCGGTCCCGGCTCGATGCAAACGCCATATCAGAACTTCGCCCAACCTTCACAATATCTCTACTATCCATCGCCGTATGGACCACAAGCGCAATTCCAGCAAGCCTTCCCAGGCCAAGGCGCTCAGGGCCAAGCGATGTTTGGGAGGAGACAAAGTCTGCCAAGTGCGCATGCTCCTTTAGCTGGACATGACGTGGGCATGTCTCAGCAAGAGGGTGGTCGCATGGCGCCTGGGGGCCAAGGAGAGCCGGGAACAATTGGCTCTATATTTGGTGGACCTTTCATGCAAGCACAAGGTGAGTGGGTTTGCTTAGAACGCTGAGAACTTTTAGGCTAGAGCGCATAGACAAGAGGAATTCACTAACGGCTCTGTCCTTAGCTATGCATCGCACAGGGCCGGCCAGTTCGATACCCCGTGGACCACCTCGAAAACCCAAGCAGTCCGGGCACGCACTTTGGGTCGGAAATCTTCCCCCAGGGACCACCGTTGTTGCTCTGAAGGATCATTTTTCTCGCGATGCTACACGCGACATCGAGAGTCTCTTCCTCATCTCGAAGAGCAATTGCGCTTTTGTCAATTACCGTACAGAAGCAGCATGTACCGCGGCTATGCACAGGTTCCACGACTCTCGGTTCAATGGCGTCCGCCTGGTGTGCCGACTCCGTCGCAGTTCGGCACCAGCCTCCGGTGTGCCCACCGGCCCTTCAGCCATGGTGGGTGCTCAGCCAGGCAGTGGGTCGCCTCCAAGGTCGCCCCGCGAAGCCGAAAGCGAGACAGTGCAAGTAGACAGCGAAACCGCTCCCCGTAAGAGCGGTGAGGATGCAAGGACAACTTCCATTGCGTCTGAGAAGTACTTCATTGTCAAAAGTTTGACATTGCAGGACCTGGAGCTGAGCGTTCGCAACGGTATTTGGGCCACCCAGTCTCACAATGAAGAAACGCTGAACAAGGCGTATGAGGTAAGTGGACAATGACTACGAGTGCTTCGGCAACGAGTACCTAACGACAATAGACTGCGGAAAACGTCTACCTCATTTTCTCCGCCAACAAATCCGGAGAATACTTCGGCTACGCTCGCATGGCATCGCCCATCCTCGAGGACGACACTCAGCTGTTGGGGTCGGTCCCGAAACCCGACAACATTATGGAGGCTACAGACGTGCCCAAATCCATCCCTACACCTGCGACAGAGTGGGCTCCCAAGGGAAGAATTATCGACGATTCTGCACGCGGCACAATATTCTGGGAAGCGGAGTTGACTGATGAAGAACCGGAAGAAGACCATGGCGAGAAGGAAGAACAAGTGGATGCAGAGACGCCAGCGGTTGCGCAAAGCTGGGGGAAGCCATTCAAGGTGGAATGGGTCTCGACAAACCGACTACCTTTTTACCGCACACGCGGGCTTCGCAACCCTTGGAACGCTAACCGCGAAGTCAAGATTGCGAGGGATGGCACTGAGCTGGAGCCCAGTGTCGGGGAGCGCTTGATCCAGATGTTTCACCGCCTTGGGCCTTCTAGCTCCGCGGCGCCCATGATGCAGCCTCCCCAGCTCGGCGGCCCTCAGATGCGACCATTCTAAGTACGCGTTGGCATAGACTAGTATGCGTTGGACCGCCTTTTCTGCATTCACGCCAAAACGCATCTCCTTTGTCGACCACGATCATGTTACTGGATTAATACTCTGCAGCCCTGAAGAGAGAGAAGAGGCGTGATTCCTCGTCCTGCCGGCAGGTCCTCTAACTACGTTCACCTGGTTCGATACGAGTTTCGACGAAGCAACGATTTTGTATGGAGATGAAGACGAGACGATAATGGCATGAGACCCTTTTTGCATGGTATGGATGTCTTCTTTGTTCGGCTCTTCTGTCTTTCCCGCATCAGATCCTCCATTTCGTCGCAGTGTAATATATTGATGCATGGCGGTCGTTTTTGGAAGCGTTGAATATGCGTGTAGTAATAGTAATCGCATATTTTTCCATGGGCACCTCTTGTCTTGTTACTCTCACGCTGTACTACTACTCGCATAGCACCGGCCAGGAACTCGTCGCCTTACCTCCGATCCGACGCCGGTGGCAAATGATCTTTTTCCCAACAGCCGCCTACCGTGTTTTGCGCCTCCCAGGGTTCGACTGGCCAACAGGCCATAGAGATAGCGTCCCAGACGTAATGGTAAGGAGGCCCGCACACCTAGCTAAATTAGCACGCCCTTGAATCAGGTACAACAGAATAACAGCCGAGGAGGAAGCGCTTGTGGGTCGTCCCCCTATTCCTTTGTAGGGGACCACGGCATTCCACGAGGCAAAGATAAAAATCCCATCTCCACAAAGGCGCGCGGGCGTTTCCGAGCGGAGAGAACGAACAAACACAGGTACATGTTCCCAACCTTACCCCTATTGCTGGGTCCCCTTCCACGTGTCCTTCTCCATCTACGGGGCTTTTGCGCGGGCGGCTTTGCCACTGGCTTGTTCACCCGTTTGATTGGGAATTTTCTTGGGTCCATCCCCTCTGTATACGAGGCCGGCAGGTTTTTTGCGTGCCGATGCCTATCTGATCTGATCTTGTGATCTCATTATTGCGAACACTCACAGTAAGCGAACACGGAGACGGCGAGGATCGGATCGAGAACGCCGAAGTTTTCGCAGATTTACTCTCCTGCTCCGCAAGCAGCGGCGTCTCCGCGCAGAGCATTGTTTGTAATCGCGATGTCTACTGTATGTCTATCGTGCTATTCGCATGTTGAGCTACCTATAAAATGGCTTTGATTACTGGACCCACGAGAGGAAGAAGAAGAAGGGGTAGCTGTGGCTTTGCGAGCAAAACAGCAGCGCCGGTCGCGATCCCCCGGGCGGGCCATGCGCTTTTGAAATTTGTCCATGAGGGACGGTGCGCGCGTCGCCCGGCGGCACCGCCACATTTATGCCTTTTCTAGTCTTAGCCTAGGCGCCGGGCCCCCCTTTAGTTTCCGCGGAACAGCGTTCCAAGGCTTCTCACGGCGGCAACCAGTTTCTTCTCTTCCCAGCAAGAACCAAGGAACTGGCCCGCGGGCTTTTCCAAGGTTTTTTGGGTGGGAAGGCGGTCGGACGGATATTTTGGCTTTTGCTTTTGGGCAGAGAGGTGCCAAGAGGGTGAGGGGGAGGGACGCTTGCAGTAGTGTTGCATAGTGGATTTGGAAGGCTGAGCGGTGAGTGAATGAGTGAGCGAGTAAAGACGACAGGACGTGACGTGGAGGGGGGAGGAGGAGCGTATGCGGATGAAACCTTGGAAGAAGACACGGTGGGTACAGGGCCCGGGTCCAGCTGTTAGCGTCGTGCCCAGATGAGATGTATGCGGGTAGGAAAGCAAGTTGGAGTATGTAATGCGAGAGGGTGCGAGGGTTATCGTACGACATTTCCTTTCCATGCTCGTACCGCATATTCTCAGCTTTCCGCGGATAGTGAGTTTGGACGCTGAGTGGATGGACAGTTCTGCTGCTAGTTGCTGTGCGGCATGGGTTCTGTGCCTTTGGCGGGTATGGGAGGCCTGCGATGTAACGCGGTAGGTATGGCGTGTTCGGGGCCTAGCTAAGTCACGCGCCAAAGATCTGCTATGGAGGAGCATCACAGCGGGTATACCTAAGAGTTCTTGACATTGGCATAAACACGTGGGGAGGGACTACAACTCTTGGATCTAAGTGAGCTACATCGATGACAGCCGCCTTGGTCGATCACTCCGCCACTGGTATCTGTGCTTTGCCTGTCCCTGCTCGGCGTCAACCTTCGAAGTCCAGGATCTTCATCTCCCCTTCCACACCTACTTCGCCGCATGATCCTCCTCACTGACACCCGGGTCCCAGTCTCCTACATCAGCTATCTCTGCAAGCACAGAAATCTTTCCCTGGGCATGCGGCTTGGATCGTGGGTCTGCCCAGGTGACTGAGCGACACTGCCGTTCATCGTCGCCCATGAAAACCCAATTCATGCTCACGTCTTTCAGAACGAAGAAACAGGCACTTGATGCTCTCCCTTTCCTCTCCCCTTACACAGGGCGCTTACATCCAGTCCTCAACAAGCTACCCGCATCGTCCTACCGCTCTCACCAACAACATCTGGCGCTGACGCCCACAGACTCCTAAACACCTCTCCGAGCCTCGCACATAGTCGAAATACAAGGACTCTCTGGCGCGACCGCCATCGTACACGCATATCTGCCTTAACGCGTTGGCGACTCCGTTGATTGCGCGCCATGGAGGCGACAGCAACATATAGCCCTGGAGCAAGCAAGCCTATATACAGCTCATACAAGCTTGCTGAAAGACGTCCAGACTCCACTCTCCACTGGTTAGACCCATCTAGCTCCTGCTAACCAACAGAATCCGCCCGTTACAACGCCGTCTCGCATATACATACATACAAGCGCCGTGCCATTCCTCCCCTTCCTACTCCAACTCGTTGGACATACCCCAGCTGCCATGAGCACCTCCTCTACGATGTCATATCACGCCGAGCCCGCGTCTCGAGTCTTGCTCCAGGAAACGCTCTCGAGTTCGAGTAGTGCTTACGAAGATCACGCGCCTTTCGAGACCCTGGGAATGCTTCTAGCGGTCCAATGTTGACGTCCCGTTGGACAACACTATCCGTTAGCTCTCGAGCGCTTCCCCTTCCGAATCGCGTCTCGACCGATTCACGATGACTATTCTTGCTGATGCCGACCAGCTTGAGCCCTACACGCGCACCATGCTACCTACCATCGTCCCGAGATCCAGTCCGGCATACATTCAACGTTGCGCACTTTTCTATGAAAGGGAAACGTCTACCCATCACTCTTTACGCATACCATGCGACCTACCCTCCTCCTGAGATCTAGTCCGCCATATATCCAACGACCTTGCACACTTTTCTACAAAAAGGGAAAACGTCCACCCTCACAGTCACCATCCACGCGCAACTAGCATACCAAGGTACCGAGCAGCTCCAACCCAGAGCGCCGGAGGTTGAACACAGCACGTCGACAAGGAAGCAAGACTTCAAATAACGTATTGCGCGCATGCAAAACAGCGCCTCTATTATCCAACCGGCGTCACAGCCCAGAGGACCGAAGCGGCCGAGGAAGAGCAGAAATATCTAACGGTATCAGAAGTATTCCAGAAGCCAAGCCAAGCCAAACCAAACCAAACCAAACCAAACCAAACCATGACAAAGCTTTTATCACCACTTCCATCCCGTCTCAATCAATCATGAACTCGAAAAACTCCACCCATAACCGTAACAAGAAAAATCAATGCAAAAGAGCACAGGCCAGCGAAAGCAGAAATGCCTTCTGCTACCGTCGCGACGGACCATACGTTGTGGTCTCGGACAGGTGGGGAAATGTATCACAGATCGGGGGATTGACCTTACTCGCCGATTCGCTCCTGCTCCTTCTCTGCCGACGAGTGGCCCACCTTCATTGGTGTTATAAGGCCGGGGGAGCTGTCTTCAGCTCCCTTCTCTTTCCTTGACTCTCTCCATGTCCACAGCAACTCTCTGATTCTAAACCTCTTTAGAGTCGCCCCGTTCCCGTTTTGCTGTTCTAATCGTCAGCATCATACTCGGCTTGATTGCTCAAGGTCTTAGGACCATCTTTACGAATCGGGATCTTGATGCCCTGGCTCGCAAAGACCTTGCTGAGCGGCGTGCTCTCGATGACGCCGGGGAACTTCTTGGCCGAGTAGACCTGGAACTGATCTGAGAAGCAGGTGGCCAGGACGGGGGCGCGGCCTTGGTTGAGCGTGTTGTTGTTCTGGCCGCTACCGACATCGACGAAGTTCATCTTCAGTCTGTGTCTGTTAGTGAAGCTTCAATAGCGCCAGAGGGCGGACACTCTTACCTGAAAGAGCCTTCCGTCCGCACCGACAAGTCCTGCAGGACGAACCAGAATCCCACCTTGTTGTCCGTGTCGGTGAGCTTGAAGGCATTGACGGTGAGGCTTCCAATAAGGTTCCTCGTAAACATGCCGGTGGCAGAGCTCGGAGGAGGGGGTGCTACCATTGGCATTTGCACGGGATTGTGAGCGTACGGATTTGGGTTGCTGTACTGGTAGCTCGGCGGGCCTCCGTGGCCCTGGTAGTAGGATGGCGGCACGGAAGGGGCGCTGTACTGAGGTTGCGGTGGCATTGGTCGACCGTACATGTCGAACTGCTGGGTCATGGCGGGCGCCATATACATAGCTGGACGCTCAACGGGCGGCGGATACGATGTGGTAGTGCTACTCGAGATCGACACGGTCGGAGCTCCGCTCGAATGGCGGACCAGGTTCACCTCACGCGTGCCCTCGTTGTCCCATAGATCAACGGTGAGGACGAAGAAGGTGCTGTCTACTTCATTGGGGTCTATCTCTTTTCCCGTGGCGGCATCGCACACGAGGAGCCTTATGCAAGGCGGAGGCGTGATGGGCCGACGGTCCTATCATTGGTCACATGGCTTAGTCTCATCCAAGGTTACCATAGCGACGGGGGCCCGGGCCGTGGGCTTACCTTGTCTCCGAATCCGCACATGCGGGCGCGAATGGGCTGCTGTTCGACCCGCAGACTGTAGATTGCGTGAGACACGATTCGGAGAATTGGACGCGGGATACGCACCGATACGTGCGGCCATTCTTGGAGCCTATGTACGGCTTCAGATGGTCGACAGCGGCGTAGACGGGCTGGCTCTGCTGCGGCGGCATGGACATCATGGTGGAGGAGTCGTGGGGAGTGGGGAGCGGCGGCAGCGAAGCACCCTCAGACTTTTGCTGTGGGTGTGGTGGAGCCGGGACAGGATATTGATTGTTCTGCCGAGAGTACATGTCGGCGGGGTGGTTCGCGGCCGGAGATGGCTGCAGAGTCGGAGAGCGGCGGCAGCAGGGGGCGAGCTGCTCTCAGCAGGGCGCGGACGCGAGGCAGAGGGCGTGCTCGTGGGGGAGGCAAGCAGAGACGGGGCGCGCAGGTTCAATGACGAGGGCGCATGGTCTTTGTACTCGCGCGGGCGGGCTCAACAATGTCGCGCTGGGCGGGCCGCTGCCCACTGCTGGCTGCTGCTGGCTGCTGCTGGCTGCTGCTGGCTGCTGCTGGCGCGGTGCACGACCAGAGGAGCGCTGCGGCGGCGCGTGTGGGCGAGGCTGGCGACGAGACGAGACGAGACGAGACGCGGCGGGCGAGTGTTGGGCGTCGTCTGCGCGATGGGAGCGGAGTGCTGTGTGGATGCGGTTGTGGGGGAGGCGGTGCCGGGCGAGGCTCGCTGCTGGGGCTCCCAACCGTGTCTCTGTGCGCCGGCGCCAGTGTCAACGGGCTGCAGGCGCTGCGATGCTCTGGGGGCGCTCGTCGCACTGTCTCTCGCTATGGGCCTATGGGTAGTACCCGCGCGCTGCAGCAGGTGCGAGAGCGCGCGGGCCTGGGGGCAGTTATTAGTGAAGGGCAGGCCGCCTCGGCACACGGCTTGGGGCAACCCGGCCGTCTGGCGTGCCGTGGATGCGCACTGAAACGGCCACTGCTCAAACGCGCCGCCAGCTGCCTCTCCGGGCGCCGTCGCCCCCATTCAGGCTGCGCTGGCCTGCACCGCCTGCAGCCGGCATCATGTCTTGTTGCGCTGGTGCTGCAAGTGCTTATCGTGCGCGCCGCAATGGCACAGGCCCGCAAATCTACGCGTCGCCATCGCCCATCTCCCACGGGGCAGGCTCCTTCCGCACACCGATCCGCCGTCGCGGTTCGAGCTGCGCTAGGCCCGCGCCATCGCAGCCCCCAATGCCACCCACTGCACGAGACGCCGTCGGCATCGCAGCGGCAACCCACTCCCACTCCCACTCCCACTCCCACTGTTGACTGCAATATTGTCTATATCGGACATCTGTCCACGCGCTACCCGCTATTCCATCGCTGTGTTGTCCACCTTGTCCACCTTGTCCACCGCTGCTCAATGCCCTTCTCACGCCGACATCAACCCACCCTCCTGCCGCCATATTCCCCCAGCGGCACCCCTACATATTGCCTGAATGCCGCCCACCGCCGTTCCGGGGTGCCGTCCACACTCCCACAGTCCGCACGCCGAATCAGGCAGTCCAAGATATTTGTCTGCAGGGCCCTACATATGCACCTCATCGCTAGCCAAAGTGGAACAGCGTCTGCTTCTTGTTCTTGTTGCCCTTCTTCTTTCCTCCCCCGCCAGCGCCTGCTTCCTCCGGTGCCGGCCCGTTCGCAGCGCTGCTCGACCCGATTCCCCCGCCCGCACCCCATGCATTCACAGGGGTGTTGCGTCCGCTGTGATCCCGCCGAAGCCCTGCGCCAGAATATCCTGGGCTGAAGATGGTGCTCGTCGGCTTTGGCGCTGCCGGGAGTGCCGGGAACGCCTCGGTGAGCTTCTGTGTGTTGTTCAACGCCGCAGAAGATGTGGCTCGGGAGGGCATGGGCGAGACACGGTTGCTTGACGACGACGTGGCCCACGGCACTTGCCCAGGTTTCGCCCCTACACGACCTGATGACGCGGCGGGCAGAGGAGGGAACAGGCTGTTCGATGAGGCCGTGGACCAGCTTGCCTGTCTGTTCACCGCTGAGCGCGACGATTGCGCCGTAGAGCTCTTCAGCTTCAACACTCTTGAGCCGCCGTGGGCCGCGAGAACACCACTCAAGGACTGTGCTGTCGCCGATCCCGGAAGAGACGGATAGTCCTCGTTGATCGCCTTCCAGTCACTCCATGCCTTCAGCAACCCTTCGCGCTTGGCCTGTATCTCAAAAATATCCGCAAGCTCCTTGATGAGCTTACCGAGCTCGGCTGAGCTTGTGTCAAAGAGAGCAAAGAAGCCTTCAATGAGCTGCGTGGCCGACACCTTGGAGTTGCGGTAAGCTGATATCTGATTTCGGAACTCTTGGAGTTTTAGTTGGTCGTTGCGGAGCATGTTCGAAGCTCTTTCCGTCACTGCATTATGCCGCAAAAGTCGAGCTTGCTCCTGCGGCGTCTGGGCTACAGAGCTGGCTGGTTGGGAGCCAACGCTCAGCTGGGCCACACCCTCCGCGACGTTGTTCGCTGCTCTAGCCGAGGGGCGAGATGCAGTTACTGTGGTGGGCTCTGGCGCGGACGGTGTAGGCCTAGCCGTAAATGCTTCAGTGGGTGTAGGTCCAGCCGTGAGCTGGCCACCGAATGCTCGTCCGGTGCCTGGTTGTGGGTTTTGCAACGCCATCTGACGGTGATACGCCAGTTCGGCTCTGCTCATCGGCTGAGCGGAGGATGGAGGTAGCGGTTCTGCGTTAGGGTCTCTTCCTCGGCCCCTGCCCCTACCCCCTTCCCGTCCACGACCGTCTCGCCGTCCGCCAAATTCCTGCTCATGCGACGAGCGGATCTGGAAACCCGACATGTCTACCCTTCGCGCGTCCCGCAGAGCATCCTTCGAGAGGCCGTTGGGGTGCACTTCCAGCTGGTGTGCCTTCAAATCCATCTCGGAGTCGAACACGACGAACTTCTTCTCCAAGCACTCTCGATCAGGGCAAAGGAAATGATCTTTGCGGAAATGAACCTCTAGAGAATCGTAGTCCACGTAGTACTGCTGCTTCCTGCCCTCGCTGTGTCGGTCGCAGATATGGCAGCGTTCGTGCTTGTCTCTGCAATGTGTATATAGTTCGTCGTCTCCATAGAATCGCTGCCGGCAGAAACCGCAGTCGGGATGGCCTTTGAATCCACTCTGATCAACTGCACCTGGGTTATCGTCGCCGAACTTCTGGTGCTTCCTAAGCTCAGCGTACGTGAAGAGCTCGTGCTCGTGCGTGAAGACTTTCTTGTTTCGTGTACAAAGATCGCTATGTAGAATTAACATGTCATTCTTGGGACTTCCTAGCGGGCTGCCCCCGTAACACCTGGTCGTGGGAATTGGTGTGAGAGACGCGGGAATGAGTACTTACCACATAACCTTGCCATGCGCCGTCTTGACATGGCGGTGCAAGTCTGGCCAACCCAAGCAAGCAACATCGCATTCGCTATCCGGACAATTATATTGCAGTATCAACCGGGTGTCCTCAAATATCTCGGGATTCTCGAAATGTATTCCTAGATTGTCATCCGACTTGAAGAAATCTTCCGGCGCAAAGTCCTCATAGTTCTTCTCTGGGTCGTCCGTCAATATGACATGGTCCGATTCTGTCCTGCAATGCGCACACGTCTTCGTTTTATACAGTGCTCGGAGTCGCAAGGAACAAATATGACAGGTCCGGTGGTTGCAAGGCGAAACAGCGATATGCTGGATGGATGAGGCGCAGATAAAGCACACCTCTCCTTCCTCCGCATCGGCATCCGTCTCCGTGGCAGCGGGTCTTGAGGCAGATACCGGAGCTTCCTGAACACCCTCTGTAGTGACGAGTGGCGCCTTGCCCTTCTCTGGGATTCTTCCGCCGCGAGGGCCTCCTCCTTCTCTAGCCCCACGGCCCCGACCGCGGCTTGATTGATTGCCGCCTCTTCCACGCCCTCTTGAGCCCGAGGGTTCATGTGCGTTGTCTGACCCTGAATATGCCCCTCGTCCGCGACCTCTGCCTCGTCCTCCCCGTCGTGGTGGGCTCGTGGGACCGGGGTCGTTGGGCGCCGCTTCGGTAGTGGAGGGCGTCGCGGTGGTAGTAGAAGCCATGCGGGGTATTTGGCAGCTGTCTAGTGAGATATGGAGAGGAGAAAGCGAGTTCAATTTTTCGATATTTGAGCCGATTGTGTAGTCTCAGTCAGAAATGGTAGGCAATAATGTATGGAGGGGTGCAGGCGCCGAGTGGTATATATTTGCGTTAACCGTTTGGCCGTTTGGTGAAAGATGACGCGGGAATCGGAAGCGAATTAGAACGGGCGCTTGGACCACGCAAGCCACAAGTGGACAGCGTTATTGCCAGGAACAGTCATTTGAAGTGACTCAGGCACAGTCTGATTGCTTGGATGTGGAGGTTCACCAGGAATTAGCGTGATGATTCGAGATGATTCATCTGATTATGTGGCTTAGCTGTTAGCTATCAGGCATCTAGAATTATTGCCGGGGCACAAGGATCGTCCGACCTGAAGCACCTTGAAAGCCTTGTACATTCGAACACCCAGATAGCAACACTTATGAACTTCCCTCCAGAGAATGCCCTTCTGCCGTCTCAAAGCTCACGTAATCCGCCTTCTTCCTCGTCGAATTCGTCCCCGTAGTACATGCGCTTGATGTTGGACATTTGCTCCAGGTCGCCGCCCGTCTGCTCCTTCAACCAGCCTTCCATGCTAAGCACCTGATCCGTGTATTTCTCGACCTCGTTGCGGGACAGTTGCGTCTCGTTTCGCTTCTTTTCCATCTCAACCGGGTCTTGCTCGCTGTATGCGGCTAGCTCTTGCCGCAGCTTCTCAAGCTCCTTGGTCAAGTCCGCATGCTTGGTGATCAGAGTCTTGCGATCGCAGCCTACCGCTGTCAGCAACGGTACACGATCTACTGAAGAGTTCCTACCCATACCCATGAGCATATCCTCGTCTTCTGCACGTGCGGCTCCCGCTTCATCAACCTTGGCCTGGAGCTCCGTGACAATGGTGTTGGCCTTGTTGTACTCTTCTTGAACCTTCTCCAGAGCATCCTCTTTCGCCTTCTTCGCGTCGCTCGGAAAGCTCCAGTACCAGTTGCCGCTGCCGACTTTCTCGACGCGGATCATGTTCTCGTCCGACAGAGCCTGCAGGTAGTCCTTCACCTGCATGCCATTGATCGATGCGACCTGCGGCAAAGCCTTCTCGAGATCCTTGATGCTATGTGCGACAGCCGTCTTGTGAAACCATGCGAGGATCGTGGCCTGTTTCGCGGCGTTGGTGGTTACTTTGGGCGCCTAGAATGAAATTAGCAAGGGCATTAGAGTGGGCATCGATAACTCACCATGACTGAAGCAAGCTACCGGTCGGGGAAGTGACAGAGATTCGCTCGGCACGGATGGTGAGGTGGGGTTTCGTCCAGACGTGCCTGCCTTAGAAAGACCGCTAAGCCCTTAACTTTTAGAAATGGCAAGTACCTTCGGAAGCTACTTTGCTTCGGCTATTCTAAAGATTTCTTGATGATGAGTAACGTCGACGGGCCTGGCTTCCCGAGCGCACCCTTTAGGGGTATTCAGCCTCCTCATCTTTCCTAAGCCTCTGAAGCATGCGCTCAGCATATTCTTTTCGATCCCCACTTCGTTCGCTCTCAATCAGACGCATCAAATACGCCTTATCATCTTCGCCAAGCTGTTTACCGAGTATTTCCCCTAGTTGCGGACTGTTCGGTTGCTCTGGAGGCAAACCCGCAAATGCCCTCTCCTCATCAGTTCGCGCAGCCTCAAGCAGAGCAAGATCACCCGTCTCGCCCATAACCTCTTTCGCCACTTCTTCCATCAGGATCCCGAGAGCGATAAGTGCCGTCTCGTCCATACACTTCCAGGTCTTCTCCTTCCCGTCCTCTTCAGTTCGGTCAAAGAGCTTTGAAATGTATGCATGTAGCGCACTCAATAGGTCGCCACTAGGTAACTTTTGATCCGATGGAAGATTCTTGTGCGCATAGTAGTAGTCAGTCTCCTCATAACGGGTTGGCGCGCTGAGTTTCTTGAAGAGAACCTCGTCCGGGCGGAGAGGCTGATTGGCGCGCTTTTGCTCGAACGTTTTCAGACCCAAGAAACCGGACTGTGTTACTCTACCTGAAAGCGTGTCAGCACATTATTTGATCTTGGAGCGACTGTGTCTAATCACCTGCTGCGGCGTCGTATACCGTTGCTCTCCTCCCCGTGTGTTTAGACCGTGTGCTTTCATCGCCGGAAGACGGCTCTGCAAATGGGCTAGTTCTTTGTACCATGTTGGTTCCTTCAATTCATCAGGTCTTTCTTCAACGGTGATGTTCCGAGGAAGAGGTGAGGCGAAGCGATGCACCTAACAGCGTCGACAAGTGAATGTCTTACATAATGCAGGGTGGTCCTAGCTCCACTTAGGCTTCAACCTCCTCCCGGGAACTGTCTCTACATCCCAACCACAAAGCATGTAGTCGGTTATTTATGAACACACAACACCTCCTCGAACGAGCCTACGGTTCTATCTCACACGATGTTGTCAAACGTGCGACCGCCTCGCCTCTCGTCTACGCCCTTCAACCGTCCACCGTGAACTTTAGCCAGCGTGCGCCTTCGCGCGACGAAGCAGACGAACGTCTACCAGCGCACGTCTCTGGCGTGAATGCGCTCACGATCGATAAGTTTGAAGGTCGGTACCTGCTCTCCGGTGGCGCAGATTCTTCGATCGCGATATGGGATCTCGAATCCCAGCCGATCGCTTCAGACGGATACTTTACGTATGGGCCGCTGTCGGCTGTGAATAAGACGACGGAAGAGCATAGGCTGGGCATCACACAGATATCGTTCTATCCCTTCGACAGCTTGGCCTTCCTCACGTCGTCGTACGATCACACGGTCAAGATCTACTCCAGCGAGACGCTTGCGCCGTCCGCATCCTTCGACTTAGACTCCGTAGTCTACAACATCGCGCTCTCGCCCGTTGCTTCGCATCTCCTCGTCGCATGCGCAACCCAGCATCCCTCAGTACGCCTTGTAGATCTACGATCCGGAGCTAGCACACATAGCCTAGCAGGTCACTCAGGTGCCATCCTAAGCACGGCATGGAGTCCGATCCGAGAACATATACTTGCTAGTGGGGCGACGGACGGAAGTGTACGGTTTTGGGACGTCAGACGTAGCGTAGGCGAGCTCGGCGTCTTAGATCTGGAGGACTCAGTCGGTGTATTGGGTAAACCAACATCCTCCTTCACGCGCAACTCTGTCCAAGGGAAAGCGCACAGAGGTCCTGTCAACGGCATCGTATGGTCAGAAGATGGGCGACATTTGGTAACTTGCGGCCACGACGAGCGCATCCGTGTTTGGAGTACAGAATCAGGCGCGAACACGCTCGCTAACTTTGGGCCTATGGTCAGGAATTCGGGACTAGCGCCTTGCATTCCTGTCCTGACACCTGTGCAGAACTTGCATCCGAAGAAGGATATCTTGTTCTACCCCAACGAGCACGAGATCCTGGGATACGAGCTTTTCGAAGGGAACTTGTTCCGCCGGTTACGGCGCCCGGAGCAGCAGAAGCGCGTGCATGAAGCATCCACTACCAAGGGACAGCGCAATGTCAAAGACAGAGTCACGGCTTTGACGTGGCGTGCACATGATGTAGAGATGTACTCCGCGCACGCAGACGGCAGCATCGCCGCATGGAAACCGCGAACGGAAGAGGACGCTGAGCTCGACGAAGAGGAAGAGCAGGAGCGGGAAGACAACGAGGAGAGTAAGAAGAGGAAGAGAGGAGTCCTAGATGAGATATATCAGGGTCTCACGAAGAAGCAGATCACATTCGGAGGGCTGTGAGAATGTACGCTTGTTCTAGGTTATCGACAGTGTCATATTATCATCTCATCGTACATCTACATGGACATGGGCTTGTGCCGCCCTCTGCTAGATACCTAAAAATGCTCGAGCATATGCAAACGTATCATCAATACATAACGATCATCAATGCTCGTGTCCGTCTTCCCCAATGCCTTTCGAGTTCTAATCGAGTCATACAGGTAATGCAATGCGGTAAGAACGTCACACTTCTTCTCAGCTCTCCTCCAACAGCTGGGCTACTTCCCTCGACGCGACATCCAAGCATACAGGCTAGTGGTGACTAGCGTATCGGCCCTGCCATCTGCCGCAACAATTCGCGCGGCAGGGCGATGATTTGCTCGCTTTGGGGAGCTTCAATCAGATCCTGACTTTTAAACATGATCCTGAGCTAGTCTTTGGCTTTCAATCGGGTCCCGAATCGAAATGTGGTAGGCGCGCGGGCACAAAGCTAGAATCGTTCGACTCCGCGGAAACTTCCCGTGGCTCATCCTTCAGAGACAGCGGCCTATTCGGCGTGGGCGCGATGCTGGAATAATCTGATTCATCGACATGGAACGAGGAGCTATCAGGCATTGTTTGCGAATCCACTGCTGGGAAGGGAGACGGCACTGCATCTGATTCAGCGTCCGCTTCGCTCGTTGTCTGGAGCAGTAGTGGGGAGGTTGAAGTCTGCATTGCTGCCATTTCAGACTGACTGTGAGGTGATGAAAGACTGGGCGAAAGTGCTCGGGGCTGGAGATGCTGATCCACTGCTAGACCTCGTCTTACAGCCAACTGCTGCGCTTCATGTCGCTTGCGCGCTATTTCTGCTTCCTCTTCTATGCGTAGACGCTCTTCTTCTTGCTTGAAGTCGGATAATGTAGGGACTTCTTCTATAGCTGCGGATGCGGAGCGTTTCATGTTCGCGTCGTCGCTCCTTCTTCCTGAATCAACTGTGTTCCGCGACGAGACTGTTCGCGAAGATACTCGTGAACCAGCTGGTCGCTTGCTTTTGCTGCCTGAGCGAACCTTGCTCCTTCCGCTGCTGGTGTCATCGCGCCATTGACCTGTCGTCCGCCGCTCGAGTGCAACAGCAAATTCGTCGTCTAGAGGTATGGCGTCGTCCTCGTCTTCACTGGGGAAGATGTCACCTCTAGAACTTAGAGAGCTTGCTGTTTGACCGGATGCGCTGGTATGGCTCCGCTGCCGCGTGTGCCCCTTCTTCTTATTCTCGCGGTGCGCTTCGTCCTCACTTTCGTCGATCAGCGGCTGCGACTCTTCATGCTCTTCGTGGCTTCTTCTTGACTGCCCAGGATGTTCCGTCAGATCGGCCGCCGAAGGCTTATACCGTAGCACCTTCCCGCCGATCTTGAAGGGTAGCCTCCCCAGGAAGCCGAAGTATGATGAGCTAGGGATAATCGTAGGGTCTAATCCTCCATCATGAGGCTGTACTGCACTCTTCCTCCTCGCAGTATTATATCTGTTGTCGCGTTGCCGAGTGCCGTAGCTCATGGCCCGCTGGCGACCAGGCTGAGACACGGTCCCATAGTTGCTCGAGCTTCCCCACAGCCGATCCAGATTATCGTTTCCCCACCCCAGCAGCCCATCGTTCTCATCCTCTTCCCAGTCATCGTAGAAATCGAAGCTCAGTTCCTCTCTACCGCGCGATCGTGCGCGATGCCGCCGGCGGTCATTCTGTGAAGGGAAGCACGGCGCTGTGCAAGCGTTGACGCATTCGGTGACAGATTGCAGGCAGGGATTGACGTATTTATGCGTAAAGCTGTAGAGGTTCTCCTGTGCCGACTCGTTTGCGTGCTCGACTGTATGGGTAATATTCTGGATCGTGCGGTTCCAGCGTGGGTCGCCGCGGCGGTACATGGTGCTGGTGATCGATCAATGAGGTGGCTGGGGAAGGAAAGGAAGGTAGTGGCAGCGGCGAGCCGCTATCTGACGGCGCATTGAGCTCAAGGGGTATGAATGTGGTTGCGATCTTTCACAGTGCGAAGTGAGGGGCTGCAAAGGGCGGCGATGCAAGGTGTTGAAGGCTGAGGTTTGGTTGAGGCTGCGGTTGACGTCTCATCACCACCCACCGGCTTAGAACGCACGGACGATGCACGTGCTCCCGCACATGCCAGGTGCACTCCCGCAGCCGGAGCCGCAGCCGAAGAAGATGGCGCGAAGCTAAATCGCTCCCGACTGCATTTCATCGCTCTTCTGTCTCCGTCGCACCCAGTCTTATCCTTGTTCGTCTATCCTGCGATGCGGTATATCCGCTTTCTCAAACCACCGCGCATCATACACGGAAAGAGTACATCAAAAGAGCAAGTAAATTGCCTGATCACCATCACTTCGGATTTGGGGGATTCGTTTCTACCATGCGACGTGCTGCTCTCAACCGAGCTTTTGAGTGCAAATACAGGAGAAGTCATCGTGTGGAAAACTGTTCAATGGACCGCAGGAATACGGGCCCTCCTTGTTACTCTCCCTCTCAGCAAGTCTTGCACACGGTCCCCTTTGAGGATTCGCATAGGTACGGAACCCAAGTCGGGATTCGATGACTACAGTACACTTGCAGAAGGAGATGGTCGCGGAGTAGTGTCCGCGTGGAGCGCGCCGGTAAATACTTCCAGTGGAAAGAAGGAAGCTGCGAAGATTGTGGAGAGACGCTTCTGTATTGGTACCAATGAAATACATATCTGGGAAGAAACTGGTGAGAGTATTGCTCGCCATATGTGGTACTATACTCTTCCTTCGTCGATTAAGGAGCCCTCCGTTGAAAATGCACAGGGATGCCGGCATCACGATATCTTGTCATATGAACGATCTCTTAGCTAGAGTGGGCAGGGAAAGCTCTCAACTTTTACCAAAACCCCAAAGGGCACTGAAGGTTCTAGAGCTGGGTACAGGTTGTGGCATGGTAGACTAACCCCAGACCCCACAAGTTCAAGTACTGATAGCACGTAGGTCGGCATATCGATCGCGCAAGTGATTGAAGGAGCGCATGTTATGCTTACCGATCTTTCTGAAGCAGAAGAAATCGTCAAGCGGAATATCCAAACCGCCAAACCAGCCAAGGATAGTACACTCGAATTCCGAGAATTAGACTGGGAAGAAGACTTACCCGCAAGTTGTCGCAGTGCGCACATAGGCTTAGTGATTGCGGCGGATTGTACATACAATCCGGACAGCTGGTACGCTCCCATTCCTCTTATCCATAGATATCCTTACTGAAACTTCCAATAGCCCAGCCTTGGTCAACACATGTCACCGTATCGCAAAAGCTTCACCAAACGTCTTTGTTGCAATAGCGATGAAGATCCGGCATTCCAGCGAGGAAATCTTCTTTGATCTAATGAGGGATGCTGGCTTTCATTCCACGCAATCTTTGGCATATCCGCTTCCTGGGGATGAAAAATCCGGCGAAGAGACGGTGCACCTATATGTTTACCGTTATGATCGAGGAAGGAAGGAATCGTTCAACCTGACGAATCCCGTCTGAAACGCCAAGGACATTGAAAGCTCGATCTCGTGGCTCGTTCGACGTTGCGAGACTATATGCGTCCAATATACCGACAGAAGGGCTCTGACTGCAGGGCAGCACCCGTTTCCGCCATCAGCATGCTGCCACATGTCTAGCCGTATCCAAGATGCGCGTCTTATGCACGACTTCTCTTCCCCGCACCTCTCGATAAGCTCGTGGCCAATCGACGACTTCAGCAGCGACCAATGACACGGGTCTCCATACAGCATCGCACCCACGTGTAAAACGGGACTTCAGGTGTCCACGCTCTAAAAGTCTTCCTACTCCTCGCTTCGAAGCGTCGACACTCCTATCCAAGACAACCATGCCGACACCCTCGGTCCACTCCACGCACCTCTCCTCCAAACACACCTTCTCCAAAACCTATACACCTACCATCACTCTCCTCCCAGGCCTGGGCGTGCAGAACGACTGCCACTCCGGCCAAACAACACGACACCAATCTCAGGCTTCTACCAACCCCTCGGCCCCCAATCTACGACAGGTGCACCTCATACCGTACGAGCTCTTCCGCGACCTGTCTTCCCAAAACATTACCATCCAACCAGGCGAGCTCGGCGAAAACATCACCACGTACGGCATAGATTTGGTCTCCTTATCCAAGGGTAGTTACCTGTATTTTGGGCAGGGCGACGATGTGCCAATCGTGCAGGTCACAGGGTTGAGGTGGCCGGGACCGGGGATTGAGAAGCATAGCAAGGGCCTAAAGGAGAAGGTGCTTGTTAAGGCGAGGGATGGGAAGGTGGTGAGTAAGGTGGGCATTATGGGTGTTGTTGTTAAGGGTGGAGAGGTGAGTACTGGTGATTTGATCAGGGTCGTGGAGCCGCAGGGAACGAGGGTTGCTTTAGAACCGGTCTAATGATGAGTCAAGGGAACGAGGGAGCAGAAGAGTTGTAATGGCTCCTCCATTCATGTACAAGCTGAGCAATGCTTATTAATTTCTATAAGATTTTCCGTACCTCATACAGTTCGAACGCCGCCGATGACCACTAATACATACTCTTATAGTTGTTCGATACCCTCAACAAGCTTATCTAGACTTGGCTCATCATCTTGAAGCAGGCCTCTGATCATGCGGGACCTAGACATACGTCAGCTTTCGTTACCTTCAGATTCGGCTTGAGAAATACTCACATGTTCGACATCTTAGACGCTGCCATCAGCTCCTCAAGCTCCCTGCTCTTCCCCTCCGCAATCTCGATGACTTTCTCCGGCACCCTCGCCAATCGCGCAACATTCAACCCATAAGATCGATGGCTCATACCCTCTGCCACCTCATAGAGGAAGACGACCTCCTTCCCACCGTCTCTTTCTTCGAAGCGCATATGCACGTTCTTCAGCTCATGCTTTTCGAATCGCTCCTGCATCCTCGCGAGATGCTGATAGTGCGTAATGAACAGCGTAAGAGACTGTATATCACGGACAACATAGTCGAGCACTGCTTCAGCGATAGCAACACCATCAAAGGTGCTTGTTCCGCGGCCTAGTTCGTCGAGAATAATGAGCGAGCGGGGAGTAGCGGACTTGAGGATGTCGGAGGTTTCATTGAGTTCGACCATGAAGGTACTCTCGCCTTTAAGCATGTTGTCGAAGGCGCCCATTCGCGTAAAGATTGCATCAAGCATGCCCAGTCGGGCTTCGGTAGCAGGCACATAAGAGCCGATCTGGCCCATGACGGCGATTAGCGCCGCAGAGCGAACGTAGGACGATTTGCCGCCCATGTTCGGACCTGTGACGAGCAGAGCGCGGGTGTCTTCATGCGAGAGGTGGACGTCATTTGGAACGTAGCTCTCTAGAAGGAGCTGCTCGACCATAGGGTGTCGACCGCCGATAATGGAGAGCTCGATGTCATCGGTAAAGGTGGGCTTAACGTAACCTGGCTGCGAAGCTAGAGTGGCTAAGGAGAGGAGAGCATCAAGGGTCGCAAGAGACTGAATGCAGTCACGCAGGTCCTGGTATTTCGCCGAGATCTCGATTAAGAATCGCATAAATGCCGCTTCGCAAGCTGCTGCTAGCGACTCCTTGTATTGATCGCGTTCTTGTAACATCCGTTTGACCTCCGGTGTGTGGAACCGCGAGACAGCCTTCGTGGAGGACAGTTGTTGCCAGGAAGCTGGGACTTTCTTCTCCTGTGGAGACTTCTTCTTGACCTCGATGAGGTATTCAATGCCGCTGACTGTGACGTAGTCCACTTTAGTCACTCCAAGCTTCGCAGCCGCCTCTGTCTTATGAGTTTTGAGATCATCTTCGACAGAGGCAATGCTCAGCTTGAAATCATTTATGTCTTCCGCTTCGTGCTCCTCTCGAAAGAAAGCATACTTGTCATCGTCCCTTGCGGCTTTGGCGTTGATTTTCTCCAGGAAACTATTGACATCCTGATAGATCCTTGGGATGCTCGAGACAGCTTCGCTCAGCAATTTCGAGGAGAACCCAGTATCACCGGCCGACGTGACATTCGAATACTCTCCTGCAATATCCTGAAGCGTCTGGAGCGCCGAAAGAACCTCAGGTCGTGTGGATTTCTTGTAATAGATCCTTAGGAGAACCTTCTCCAGATCTGTCCTGATCTTTCCGAGCAAGAACTTCAGCTTGTCAACAGGCCTTGTGTGCTCCCCTTCTTTAAGCTCTTCAACGGCAGCTATGCGCTCTTCTAGGCTGGCCCTGTGTATCAACGGCCGGCCAATCCATTTCCTGAGAAGCCGCTGACCAAAGCGAGTTTTTGTGCGGTCCATCGTCCAGAACAGGCTACCTTTGCTGGTGTAGTCGGTCTGATTCTGGTAAATTTCGAGGCTGGATAGCGTATTGCCATTCAAGAGCATGTACGACCTTGCGCTAAAAGGTTGGAAATACTTCGTCAAGTCGAAGACGTGCTCCAGACCGTAGTCGCTGAGGTGGGCAATCATCGCTGACATGCATATGGTGACGTGCTCGGACAGCTGGTGGACTTTGTCGAGGATCGCACCTGCGCCCTGCCCAGTGGAGACCTCATCCTGGTTGGATTTCATCTTGTCCGCGTAGAAGTTCGAAATGTGGCTGTACGCTTGCGCGGCCATGGTCTTCGGTTTCTCAACCCTTTCTACCCGGGCCTTGTCCCCAAAGACGTTTGTTTTACTGGCCGAGAGATGTTGAATAAGCTTGTCTGTAGCCTTCGATAGGTCTCCGACGATCAGAAACTCTGCTGGGGCGATGTGTAGCAGACGCGTCTCAATCTCGCTCCTCATAAAACCATCCTCGAAGTCATCATAAATGATGTCCCCGGTCGCTGGCTGTACGGCCACGAGCCCAACCTGCACCTTTTCATCGGTGCCCCAGCCTTTGGCGTTCGTTTCCGTGATGCATAGTAGGTATCCGGTCGACTGCGCACCATGGCCGGAAGCGCCGCTGCCGGGGGCCTCTAGTCCCTCGATATCATCGACATAAGTGCCCTTGGTGTAGAGATTTGTCAATTTTCGTATGAACGGGGTGTTCCTGTTGTCGCCAGCTGCCTTCAAAGCCGCCGTCTCAATCTGCCTTACGACACCAACTTTGTGGTTTGCCTGAACTAGTCGTTTGACATGAACTTGCAACCGATGTACGGGAAAGCTTGCGGAAGCAAATCGGTCCAGGTGCGCCTCTGAAGGATGCCTAAAAGTAGGGGTGATCGGTCAGCGCAGCTCTCAAAGCGTGTAACAATACGTCTAGTCTGTAGCTTGCCGTGCCGCGAAAAGCCACCAAGGAGCCATTTTGCGAAACGAACGCACACTTTTTGACGAAGACACACATTTATACCGGGGCTTTACGTACTCATCGTATCTGAACTTGCCTGGAATACAGAAAATCCCAAGTTCTTTCGAGGCGATCCGCGCGTCCTCGCCATAGAATTGGAACTTGTAGCCTACCTCCACGACCAGGATGGCGTCGAGGTGCTTTCGCTTGATATCGAGATATTGCTTCTCCATCGGGGTAAGTTTTCCAGCCCTCTTTGATGCAGTGGCCTTCTTCCCTTTCGGCGGCTGTTTTGGGCTCTCTTCTTCGTCTTGTTCTCTACCCTCTGCATCCTTGCCCTCCTTCGCAGTCTCGTCAACGACTTTGTTTCTTTTTCTAAGCTCCGCGAAGGCATCAGGTCTCCCAAGCTTCTTCACAAACTTCTTATGTAGCTCTTGCTTACGTTTTTGCGCAGCCGCAGCATCTTCCTCTGTGCTCTCATTCTCATCGGTTGCTGGAGGAGAGGATGAAAAGATGTACTTGGAAGTCCTGTCTGCTCTCACTTCCACTTTTCTAGCATTCAGATCTGTTGGAGATGCCTGCCCAAGTGATGGGCGTCGTGGGCTTTCGCTATCCCTGTCCCTATTCATATCGTCCTTCCAGCCACCACTTGTCGCATACCGGACCCGCTTAGGTGGCGACGAGCGGCTTGCATCGTGTTCTTCATCATCGCCGATCGTACGCTTGTGGCTGGCGAGTGCGGAGGGTGGTACGGGAAGGTCATCTTCGTCCGAATCCGGAGGCGCGCTCGCCGGCGTTGCAGGCTTAGCGGCGGGCTTGATGGCGGGCGAAGGCTTCGGTGCAAAAAAGCTCGAGATGGATTGCTGCTTAGTCTTCTGGGATGACGGGGTAAATGGACTACTTTTCGGTGCCATTGAGTTGTTGGCGGACTGCGTGTATGCAAAAAGTTGGAGTGGAGGTAAGGGGTGGGACGCGTGTGGGGAAGCGACGCGAAATTGGAGCTTTGACATCACGCAGTCACGTTTCACTTACAAAGGTGCCCACCTAAGTAACCAGTACCATGATATCAGTAAGCGGCACGCCTACGCTTCCTCCAACGCACAGGGAGTGTCAAATGATTGATCGATGGGTGCCCTTGTCTCAATTTCGGAATAGAGCCTTGCCATCATCTAAGCAAAAGCTGCCGCTCCGACTCGTGAGCCAATGCAAGCAGTCTTCAAGCTTCCCAACATGCGGCTAGATCTCATGCTTCACGGAGTATTGTATTTATACACATAGAGAATGACAACTTTCCGAAGGCTCCAGCGCAGCCGAGTAAAATACGCAACCGGCCCAGGAAAACCCCAGCGCAAAACGCTTCCGAACCACTATAAGCCTAGCAGCCTCGGCCTCGGCATTGTGTAGTACAGCTCCCGCGGTGGTCCAATCTGGAGCTCAATTGCCATGTCCCTCATCGCCTCTGCCACACGCCCGAGGATCGGATCGCAATCCGGGTAGTATTTAGCCAGACGCCAGAGGTGTTTAGACATATCGTCAACTACGCGAGATAGCCAGTAGTCGAGGGGGGGTCCAGTGTTCCTTCTCTTGTAATACCAGTGAAGCTCATGATATACGTCTTCGATTGCCAGAATAAGAGAGTGTGGAAAATGGATGGCAGGGTTTTGGAAGGCGATGAGCTACGGATATGTTCAGTCACAAGACAAGCAGGTCTCCATGGAACTACTTACGAACTCTGGTGCATATTCTAGCCATATCTCGCACCATTCACAGCATGGGTGCCTCGGGTGCCTCCCGTGCCTCCAACGTGCTCGATTGCGCCGGGGATATTGATTGGGATGTCCAAAAGGCTTAACGTGCCACGGATTTCGACAGGTGGGATAGGGACACAGGAAGGCCATAGCTAGCGAACCGAAGAGCCTGATCGGTTACAGAGAAAGTTCGGGAATGTAATGAATTCAAGCGCCAAAATAGGGAAGGATTTGGCACAGTTGGTCGGGCAAAGATCTCTTTTATATCTGCACATGCGGGCTTCAGGTCAAGGCTGTGTCGCTGTATTTGCTGTAGCTGCGTGTTCACCAAGCCAAAGACGAAACAAGGAAGATTAATCCAGAGTGAGACGCAAACATAGTGGCGGTGAGTTCTGACAGACAGGCCCCGATTTTCCATGCGATGCAATCCCAAAGTGGTGAACCTAAGCTCATGCGATGAGCGACGGTTGGGCTCAGGTGGGTGAGAAGCAAACAGAATGAGTCGTTTGTACGACGCGAACTTGGAGTCTGAGATACACCTGGTGACAGCCGCCTCGTCAAACTGCAGCGAGTGCGAGGCGAGCTGATGCTCTCCCTGATTGCTTGCTGCCCGTGAGATGAGCGATGCGGAGATGGTGTCCGTCATGAGAGCTCGGGCTCGGGCCTGGATGCCGAAGATATTCTTCAGCACTGCCGAAGGGACTGTTTGATCCGGACGTGAGACGTAACCAGGTGACGCTGTTTTGTTCCTGAAAGACGCAGGGCGCGCGTTAGGACGTTAGGTTAGCATTGTCGAAAGGAGATGTGATCGAATGGGCGCTTAAAGGTGGGACATCTCAGAAGCGCCAGCGCCGATGAGAACTGTGTGCGAGTAACGTGTGCGAGATAGATCTTCCTGAAAGACTTAACGTCTTAATAGTGGTGAAGGTTGTGTTGAGCGTGCACAGGCGGTAACAGAGGGGGCTGGAAATGCCAAGACCACTTTACGCGAGCGCGTGCGCGATCGCGCTTGCCAAAAGCCAGACGCGTCGCCTGCTCCTGCTCTCCAATTCATCCCACCGAGCGCACCTTCCACACCACCACTCCTCCTTCCCACGGTGTCTCGCTGTCGTCCAAGATGCCTTCCACAGTCCTCGGAAAGAGAACCCGCAGCTCTGCGAACGCAGATGCATCCGGTAAGTACCGCTCGTCCCCGAGTCCCATAAACACGTCTAACGCGGCGCCTCCAGATGTGAAGTCTGCCGTCTCTACACGCGCAAAGCGTCGGGCACAGTTTGTGATCCTTGACGAGAATGAAAACGAGAATCCATTCATCACTCCAAACAAGAAGGCTCTTAGCAATGGCGACGCAATGGACATTGATGGTGCGGAGGAGAGCACGTCTGGGAAGCGTCGAAGAAGGCCTGGCACGATTCCTGCCAAACGCGGCGCATCCGAAAGCCGCGTCCCCCTGACTACCTCGGAGAAAGCCAATTCGCCCTCGAAAGCGCCTGCTGCATCTCCAAAGAAGCACGCACCGACCCCTTCAACCCCACGACATCGAGACGCCCTTTCCAACAAGATCGCGGTGACGCCAAGGCATCGCCTCATCATTGCTGGGCGACCGTTGACACCTAGAACACCACACACGCCTGCTACTCCTCGCCATTCTGCCCCCACCATCTACAATGAAGCTCGTCAGCTCTTCACTAGAGGCTGTGCACCGACTGCGCTCTTCGGACGCGACGAGGAGCGAAAGGAGCTCCATACATTCATCTCGACACGTACCAAAACCAGGAAATCGGGGTGCATCTACGTCTCCGGACCACCTGGCACCGGCAAAAGCGCTTTCGTCAACGAAGTGTGTCGCGAGATTGGACCCGAGGGCGCCGTCAAGACCGGTTATGTCAATTGTATGAGTGTCAAGAATGCGGCCGACCTGTACAGAACACTGTTGGAAGAGTTTGTGGACATCACTGAGATCGCGGAAGGAGAGGAAATGGGTGCGCTCAAGAAGCTCTTCATGCAACGCAGGACCTCCTATGTTGTTACGCTCGACGAAGTGGATCACCTCCTAGAGCTCGATATCGACCTGCTCTACAACATCTTCGAGTGGTCCCTTCAGAAGTCATCCGGCCTCGTTCTCGTGGGCATCGCAAACGCTCTGGACTTCACTGATCGATTCTTGCCTCGCCTGAAGGCTCGCGGACTCAAGCCTCACCTGCTACCATTCCTTCCCTATACCGCTTTCCAGATCTCTTCGGTCATCACGTCGAAGCTTAAGGCACTGCTTCGGGCTGAAAACAACCACGTCCCATTCATCCACCCGACAGCGATCATGCTCCTGTCCAAGAGAGTTGCTGCACAATCGGGCGACCTGCGAAAGGCGTTCGATATCTGCCGACGAGCCATCGACCTCATTGAGGCGGATACTCGCGACCAGCACGCCAAAAAAGTCGCTGAGATGACTCCTTCCCCAACTCCTTCGCCGTCGAAGACACCACTTATTGAGAATATGAACCTCTCGTCCCCGGTCGTCCGATCACCTTCCAAAGGCAAGACGCAAAGCGCGCTCGCAGCGTCGCTGGCTCAGCTTACCGTCGAGAGTGCTCCACGAGCCACAATCGCTCACGTATTGCGTATCACAGCTGCGGTCTTCAGCAACGGCACCACTCAACGTCTTCAGAACCTCAACCTCCAGCAGAAGGCGGTTCTATGTTCGCTATCGGCCATTGAGAAGAAGAAATGTGCTGCCGCGACAGACAACTTCTTCTCGACACCATCCAAACCTCAAAGCACTGCACCCACGATCAAGGAGCTGTTTGAAGTGTACACCGCCTTGTGCAAGAGCGAGAATGTCCTCCATCCGCTTACAAGCACCGAATTCCGTGATATCGTTGGTAGTCTCGAGACCTTATCGCTTATCTCCGCTGTGGAAGGGAAGGCTGGATCGCTTGTTGTGACTACAGGCACTCCAAGCAGGAAGGGCAGAAGTGGGGGCTTTGGTGGAGTTGCAATTGAGGATCGTCGGGTCGCAAGCGCTGTAGCTGCGAAAGAGCTAGCTGCTGCTCTTGTTGGGCCCGGTAGCAGTATTCTGAAGGGCATTATAGAGGGGGACGGGGCTTTCTGAAGCCGTGTACAGCATCGCGACATGGGGGGCGGCATTCACTCTTGTCTAGCATAGCGTGGCGTCTTCTGGATGGTATTCCAGCATTGGTTGCATTGCATAACGTAGGATAGCCGTTGGATGTATAATATCAACACTGTTGGATACAGAACTGTTAGCATCAATCTGGTACTGCAGCGATGTGACCTTCTACGAACGACGCACCGCCACAGCGTGCGCCACATCTCGGATTCGAGCTGTTCCAACCTCGCGAGATTTCGTCACAGCGCGAACCTGAAGCCAACCTATTGCTTACCCCTCAACGTACGTCGCGGAGCAGTTACGGACTACTTCGAGACTCCTTCTAGGTCTTCTGGCGGCATGACGTATGTAGTAATGGAAATGTGCTCGGGTTTTGTGATGGCTGATCTCATTGATGCAGTCGCACTATACGAAGCAATGCCCTCGAGAAGCTCGCCAAACTTTCCGCGCAGTCGCCTCCTAGCAAGTCTCAGAATCATGACTTGCAGAGAATATACAAACGGTGTCGGAGTGGCTCTATAGGCCAGAATGGCACAGCAGGGGAGAATGGCGTCTCGGCCACCAATGTCGCGATGGTCCGTTCATGCCAACATGCTTCGTGGAAACCCCCTTTCGCGGAGCGAGATCATCTGGCCATGTCTGATTGCTCGATAGAAAGTGCCCGAACTCGAGGCTGTCCTCGCGCTCTGCAAAGCGGCCCCATTCGTAAAGGCTCCAGACGTGGCAGAGCAGCTTCTACACCGACTTGCGCCCTACCTTCCCGAGTCGTATTCTCAGATACTGTCGCCTTCTCCTACCCTCCGAGACATCGATCCATCGCCTTACGAAGTCCTGACCGGCAGTATTACTTCCGCGATCCTGTCACTTGGCGTCCACCACAACAGACTGCGATCCCAGGCTCAGGACATAATATCATCATACATAAAGGGATGGTCGGCAACGGCAGCTCAGCTGTCGGCGGAGCAATTTGACGAGGACGATCGAGTGGACTTTGCCGCCAACGGCGAGCTTGCGCGCGTCATGACGCACAGCATGTCGCTGCTTGGGTTCCTGAACGCTGCTGCCGATCATGCGAATATTTGGAACGCCTACGAAAGACTCCATTTCGTTGAAGACGTTCGCTCAGCTCTATCTGAGAAGTTCCTCATCGCTTTCGAGACGGCACTGTCAATCGTGCGAAATGCACGTTCGCATCAACATGGCTTACGGAATTGGAAGCGTTATTCGAAACACTACGCAGTAATTGGTCGACCGCTAGGAGCCATGATCCTTCACGACTCTTTCCTCAATTTCGTTGTTGCGTGTTCTTCGCTATTGGTAGAGCCTCAAGATCGCAATCTTAAAGAGAACATCCTGGACTCGTTGCGCTCCTCGTACAACAGCAGCAAGATACTCCGAAATACTTCCGAGGACGCACTGGCCGATGGGCTGACTCGCATAGCAGTAGAGGAGATGGATCGATTAGAAAACGACGTCGAGTATCTCCAGCGGGTCGGCTCAGCGTGGCAACAGCGCCAGGCCGCCTCGGTCAAGGCAAAAGTCCTTACCACCTATCTGTGCTGTACCATCTACGACGAAGATATTGCTGATTCCGATTTGCTGATGTTCTGGCTCGACGGCGCGTTGAACGACCCCGGTCAAACAGCAGATCTCACTCTGGCATGCACGGTCTTGAAATGCATGGCCATCCTCGCCAAAACGTCGCCGGAAATAGCTTCGACCTTCGGTAGGTCGCTTCCCCGCGTCATTGTTCAAGGGGGTTTCGAGCATCGAACAGCATCTGTGGCAGCAGATTGTTTGGCTTCAGTCCTCAGTCTTCTGCCCCAAGACGCAATCATTACGACTCTCTACAGCCTGGGAAATGTCATAAGCGCGGGTCCCGTAACTGATCGAGGCTCTGTGGCGTCTCCGGCCTTGAACGGACACGGGAGGGGCTCAAAATCTACAGTCTACGACCATCAACATACTGGAAGCGCCATTTCCCTCACTCCTAGCGACGTCGAGGAACCGCATCACGTGCACACGGCGGTGGTAGAGACGGTTATCTCGGTGGCGAGGAACTGCAAAGACGAGAAAATCACTGCTCTGGCGCTCTCCATGCTTATCCAGAAAGTCGGACGCGCCAGCAGAATCGTGGATGCCAAAATCATTACCGACTCCGCTTTGCTCGGTATTCATAGTGGACCTGGAGAATTCCGTGCCCTTTTGAAACTCTACTCCAAACTCTGCCATGACGCCCTTGTTCGGGATGATCTGCCTATCTTGGAAGCTGTAAGTCAAAGGCCAAATAGCTATGATGACCATGGTACACTGACCATGGGTATAGATTATGAACGCACGTCTGCAACTTTCGAGAGAGATTGACGCCAAATCTCCCGCTTTCGAAGTCTACCTCACCTATTTGCTTGACACGATTGTGAGCAAGGGAGATGCACATGAGATTCATCACCATCAGCTTCGAGACTCCGAATTAGCTGCTCAGGAAATCGCTCAGCTACTAGCACCTTTAGCTCTTCTTCTCTCGAAGAATGCAGCGCGTACAGATCTCGCGAAACTGGACGATTCCATCCTTAACCTGCAGCGGGATGCCTGGTTCAATATTGTCGTACACGGCTTCGACCTGACCTCCCCGCTTGGGAAACAGTATATCGATGAACTCAGAACTCTAGCGCGATTCAGCCAACCCTTGATCACTGAAGAGAGAGCGTCTCTTGTAGAGAGCGACATCGAGCTCAATACAGTCCTACGACGAGGAAAGTCAGCCGAGCATGTAGTCGAACAGAAGAAGCGCCTAGGGAGGATGCTACCTTCATGCGAGGCCGATATCCGAGGGCTCAGCTACCCCGAAGCCGTGTTCTTGAATACCGCCTATGTGGTAGAAGAACTCCGAGCCGGTGCCGGCGACTGCACCAAGGCCCTCGCCTATTTTCTGGACCCAAAACTGCGTGCCGGGGGTGTAGGAAATTGCATGTTTGCTATTGCGACCGCGGCTACCAGGACTTATGTAACAAAGACCCTCTCCGGAAAGCTCCAGTCGTTCTCCACTCCGTATCTGGCTCAACAGCTTGCAACCACGTTTGCTGGTTGCTGCCATCGAATTGCGCGGGTTCAGCAGGCGGCGACCGCATGTGCGGAGATCATCATCAGGGATGTACCATCCACTCTCTGCCAGAAGAGCGCTCTATTCGCCCTTTTGGAGCTTCTTTCCATCATGTGGTCGAGCTGTCTAGAGGGCGAAACGGACGAGTATAGGTGGACTTCCACCTTTACTTCCACTAAGTCGAACATAGTAGTGGAGCTCTCCGATGACTACAGCTTACGGCGAGCAACTTTGAACAGTTTTTATAAGCGTGCTGTGGCTTGGGTGACGGGCGTTCTGGACGTCGCTCCTCTCGATATCAAAGGACTCTTGCAGACATACCTCTCTGAGTACGACGATGAAGGCGCTTACGGCCATATCTCTCTTGGTCGCTCTTTTGCTTTGGAAATGGGCTCGGTCATTCCCACTACTGATCAACGCTTAGGTGCCATTGAGCGGCAAGGGATCAACATCAATACGGCCTCCGACTTCATAGCCCAGTATACGACGCGCCAGGAGTACAAGTTCGTCGATGGCTTAAACGACCAGGAAGAGGAGTGGCTGAGACTCGACGGAAGTACCGGTCAACGCAAGTCTGCCTTCCATCGCAGCATCGAAGACGCCACGAAATTACTCGTCGATCTCGAAGGCCGTACTCTCCACAATAAGCATGTTACGATTGGCGAGCTGCGAGACATTCTTCGGCGCGCCTCCGCGCTCCTGTGTCGGTTGCAGACGGATCAGTCGCCATTAGTGCATCACCTAGTCGGCATTCCTTTTGCGGTGTTCTCGAAACAATCGATCAAATTAGGGGTCTCACTCTGGATGAGTGTGTTCAAAGAGAACCCCCGGATGGAATCTCGTATTCTCGTGGCCATTGCTGAAAGTTGGGAGAATACTGTGCACAAACGAAGGGGCCTTTTCAGTCCTGTCTTACGGTTCGTATTCTTCTCTCATTATTTTGGTATATTGTTGACTGTTGAAGGCATCCGAACCCGTTCTATGGCAAACAGGAGTTCGCCCCTACCGATAAGGATAGCCTTGCGAAACACCAGCAACATATATATAACATCATAGCACCTCATTTTCGCCTTCTCCAGTTCCTATCCAGCCACTTCAACGCCACCCGGCTAAGTAACCCGGATGTCGAGCTTGTCTACGTTCGGCTCATGCATATTACACTCGATGCGTTGTGTTTGGGCTGTCCACAGCCTCTAGCCAGGGAAGCATACTTCCACGTTATTCTTCTCGGTTTGCGAATTGTACGCCACTGCACGACTTTGCCCAGCAGTATCAAGTGGCGATTGAAGGATCGCATTCTCACTGCCGGTCTAGCGTGGTTTGCGAAAGCACCAGAGTACGTCTTTTACTACAATTATATAGTCACGGACTAATTAGGCTAGGTGGTCGTTTGGTGGGAATCGTCTCCAAATCAAAGCTGAGACTCACGTCCTATCGGACGTCCAGTCATACCTAGAAGTAGTCGCCAAAACCGGATTGACTCCAGAAGGCTCTCTAAAATCTCTTAAAGCGAAGCAAGATCTGCTCTCGCTGCTCATTGCTAATGAACAGACGCGTCTGATGGTCTGGCTGTTCCCACTCGACTACGGAAAGAAACATCACTTCACTTCTGGTCAACATAGCAAGACCTTAGCCGATGTAAGTATCCCCGTGCTATTAGCTACACAATTTCTAATCCTCCCAGGCTGCCGCGACTGCTCATCTCAAGACGGCGTGGGAAGAAAACCCAGCCATTGCGGTGCACCTAATCAAGCGTTATCAGTCCCAGCGTTTAAACACCGAGGTTCGATGGCAGGTGCTTAATTTCCCGCACAAGGTGCTTGATGAGCCCGAAGCTCTTGAGATGCTGCTTGGCAACTCGTTGCCGAATGATGTGACGTTCCAGCTCAAGGTTCGTGCACACGCTTCCGAATAAGGAAGTCTATACGCTGACTGAAGATAGCATTTGATGTACTGGGCTTCTGTAAACCCGATCACGGCCGTCACGTACTTTTTGCCGGCGTACGGTAATCATCCCTTCATCATACAGTATGCGATGAGGGCGCTTGAGAGCCACTCGGTAGACGTAACTTTCTTCTACGTCTCACAGATCGTCCAGACGCTCCGATATGACGTCCTTGGTTATGTTGAGAGGTACATCATTGAGACGGCGAAATTTTCGCAACTGTTCGCACATCAAATCATTTGGAACATCAAGGCCAATGCGTACAAGGATGAGAATTCTGAGATAGTAAGCTGCTCCCTCATTTCATGTGCGCATCCTCTAACGTTATCCCCAGCCCGACCCTGCGAAGCCCACGCTGGACAAGGTCATGGACAGTCTTGAGTCCAGTTTCAGCAAGGATGATAGGGCGTTCTACGAGCGTGAATTTGCCTTCTTCAATGAGGTCACTGACATTTCTGGTACACTTCGATCGATCCTCGACCGACCTAAAGAAGAGAAGAAGCAGAAAATCGAAGAAGAATTGCGTAAGATCCAGGTGGAAGTCGGCGTCTACCTGCCCAGCAATCCCGACGGTGTAGTCATCGGCATCGACAGGAAGTCCGGCAAGCCTCTGCAGAGCCACGCAAAGACCCCCTTCATGGCAACCTTCCGCATCCGAAAATCCAAGACCGACACGCACCCAATGGAAGAAAGCTCAGACGACGGAAGTACATCAACAAGGCAAAACACGTACGAAGTCTGGCAATCCGCCATCTTCAAAGTCGGTGACGACTGCCGCCAAGACGTCCTCGCCCTCCAAATGATTGCCGCTTTTCGCGGCATTTTCAACAACGTTGGCCTCGATGTTTGGGTCTTTCCGTACCGCGTCACTGCCACCGCGCCCGGCTGCGGCGTCATCGACGTACTCCCCAACTCCATATCGCGCGACATGCTCGGCCGCGAAGCGGTCAACCGCCTTGATGACTACTTCATCTCCAAGTACGGCAACGAAGACTCGATTCGCTTCCAGGAAGCGCGCAGCAACTTCGTCAAGAGTATGGCTGCTTACAGCGTCATCTCATTCCTCCTGCAGTTCAAAGACCGACATAACGGAAACATCATGATCGACGACGCTGGCCACATCATCCACATCGACTTCGGTTTCTGCTTCGACATCGCGCCGGGTGGCGTGAAATTCGAACGCGCCCCCTTTAAACTCACGGGGGAAATGATCGCGGTCATGGGCGGCTCGCAGACCTCGCAACCTTTTCGCTGGTTCGAGGAACTCACTATAAAAGCCTTCCTCGCTAGCCGCCAGCACTGCGATCATCTCAGCCATATCGTTGAGGTCATGCTGGACAGTGGGCTGCCGTGCTTCAAGCCCGAGACTATCCAGCATTTTAAGGAGAGGTTTGTGCTGGAGAAGACGGAGAGGGAGGCTGCAGATTATATGCGCGAGCTAATTCGCAAGAGTGCGAGTAGTTATAGTACGAGTGGGTATGATCGGTTCCAGTTGATTACGAATGGGATTCCGTATTAGGCGGAGGGTGTTTAGCGGTAGATTGGTGCGTAGGGCAACAGAAGCCTTTGCTTGCTCTTGCGTGCAAGACATTAATTGCTACAACAAATATAGAGAAACCCGATCTATGTCTCGAGGTTGTTGATGAGTTACAAGGCGGTGTATCGCATGTATCCCCTTTCGCATCACACCAACCAACGTACATATGTCGGTTCCTCATCATTAATGAGCACATACGACTTTCGTGTCGGCCTGAGGAGGAGGGGTGGGAGCCTCCTGAAGACCCTGAGGAGGATGTTAAGGACTTTATCAACGCAGAGCTTAATAGAATCTAATTCAGCAACGTTTTATTACTTGTAACGCTCTTAGAACTCTAGTACGCCTACTATTTAGTAAACGTATTCTTTAGAGAGTAACTTTTAGATAAAAAGTACTTAGAAAACTCTTAAATCTTAACGTACTTTACAAGCGAACCGACTACACAAGCGAGCCGACTACTTTTGCCAAGCCTCTACTAAAAATTATCTTAACTACTATAAGTCTAGCTATCTACGCAGAATCGTCCTCTTACAAAGCTAGAATATAGCTTACTCTCTTCGCTCTCTAGACTAGCTAAATCTAGAGCGAACGACGCATTGTAGCTATATATAGAGTCTACTAATTAACGCTAAAGAACTAACGCGATAGAGTAACTTAAAGGCGCGAAAAAATATCTAATTTAATAAAGCTTACTATTATAATAGTCTAGTTTAGAGATTTACCTTAGTTATATAATCTTAGGTTATATAATCTTATTATATAACCTAGCCTAGCGTTTTAGTACTTAGCACCTCTATATATAGAGTCTCTTAGAGCCTTTTTTCTACTTCTTATCTTTAGATAGCTAAATTTAACTTAATCTACTCTACTAGTACCTCTTATTCTTATAGCTTATAGAGATAGTACTACCTATAGCTAACTTATCTAGCTAGATATTTAGAAACGCTTATAGTAGTAGAGACTATAAAGCTAGCTCTTATATTATCTAAAGGTTAATATCTTTTTAGCTAAAGATAATAGTATAATATTAGACTAAACTAAGTAGTCTTATAAGAAGCGTTTACTAATAGCTATACTAAGAATTAGAGCTATAAGAGTCTAATTACTTACCTCTTTAGCGCTATATAAGACTACTAGTAAATCTAGTTAGTAGTAGAAAAATATCTTAGTAGTAAGCTAAAAAGAGCTATTAAAAGCTCTATATATAGAAGAACTTCTATAAAACTTCTATATATAAAAACTCTCTCTCTTATTTTAAAAAACTAATAATTCTCTACTTTACTAGTAGAGCTAATAATTAGCTACTACGCTAGTAGCCTATATTTTTACTTCTTAAATAAGAAGCTATACTTAAGTTAAACTACTTAAATACTATAGGTAAACTCTTATAAAGTGTAACGGTCTAGTTTAGGATTTACCTTAGGTCACATGACCTCGGGTCACGTGATCTTACCACGTGACCTAGCCTAGCGCCTTGGCGCTCGGCACCTCTGTATATAGAGCCTCTCGGAGCAGCCTTCTACTCCT